GGACGTTCGACAAGAGGCTATTATGTCAGCCAGGGCAACAAGGCCAACGATAAGAAAAAGAGACACACCCCGACTACTGCGTACGGCACTCACACAGGCCCAATGGATGAGAGCGTCGGCGCAATCTCGCAGACGCAGCCCAGGAACCAGAACCAGGGACAGCGTCCACCTCGCGACAAGAGGAACGACACTTGCAACAACTGTGGCAAGACAGGGCACTGGGCCAGAGATTGCCGACAGCCCAAGAAACAGGGACAGGGAAGACTTCCGAACGACAGAAGGGCACGCTCTGACGGATCTCAGACCATTGGAATGGTGCTGAAACACGTCGACGATTCTCAGACCATTGGGATGGTGCTGGAAGACAGCGATGAAGAGGGAGGCGCACCAGACTACGCCACCGGAGCGCTTGCCTACGGGCTTGCAGCAGCCTGGGGACTGGCAACCCCGCCAGCACCGGGAATGCCCCAGTACGATGGACCAAGCCCATGTCGCCTGGATGAGAGCCAACAGTCTCGGAGAGCTCAATGAGGAAACCAGATACCTAGACGAACCAGCTCCAGTTGAGAGCTGGGTTGGTCCAGAAGAACGAGCAGAGATTCGCCGCGCACGAAGACCGGCGGGATCTACCCAAGTTGGAAGAGCCGTCCTGGATATCCCTAGCGACAAGGAGGAAGGAGACGAGCCCGGAGACGCGCAACAGCTTGACCCCGAACACCCCGAACACCAAGAAGTGGATTGGGCGAGTTGCATCTACGATACATGCCGCACTCATTTTGCACCGAAGTGGCAGTTCGACCATTTTCCGGCTAGAATACCCGGAGCAGCAGTGGCTAGGGTGTATAGGCACATACCCACTTCGCAGACCCGAGTCACGACAATCTCGGAGGATGATCAGGAGTCAGAAATCCTGATAGAGCCTCTTTCATCTAAAGATTGCCGGGAAGGCAATACTAGTTGGAGAGCTTGCGAGAACATCGACTGTGCCATCCACCAGAGGCAGAAACTAGTGGACTGGAACAGAACGCGGCACTACCACCTAAGGAGGGTCAACCAGAAACGCCAGCGGGTCGCTAGAAAACAAGAAAAGCGTGCCAAAATCGCCGAAGGAACCCTCAGGAACTCTTGGAAGAGTTCCAGCAGCTCAGCAGACTTGAACATGACCCTTGGTCAGCCCTGAGAAACACCAGAGAAGAGAGACTGCAGCGCTACGAACAGCAGCAGATACGTGAGCGTTTGGGAAACGGCTCGCGGGCCTCTAGCAGGCCCGGAGACGTCGAGTAACCCTTATGCCCACACGGATCAATACCGGGGACCAGAGGCACCCTACGGTCGGATCCGCCAGAAGCCCTCAAACCCAACCTCACTTGGGCGAGCAGGTCGTCGGCAGAGTCGAGGCGGAGAAGAATTTCCCACGTGGGCTACACGTTCAAGCCCAGTGCGAATGGAGGTCGAAGAAACCTCAGGAGCCAGTTACGCTCCTAGCAAAAGTCGACAATGGGAGTGACCGGAACATTATTTCGGAAGACCTCGCCAAACGACTCCGAGTCCCGTGGAAGAAGAAGAAACTGCCGTTAGTACTACGGACCTTCGACGGAGAGCTCATGAAACATAACGGGGGGCGTTGTGAGAGAGAAACCCAGGAACTCTTGATCACGGTCGATGGACAATCCCTCAACGTCGTTTTCGATATCCTGCCTCTGAGCAAGCAGATCGACATCCTGCTAGGAGACCCTTGGATCGAAGAATACAACCCCGACGTTTGGTGGAAGAAAGGCGAGAAGTACCTTACTAGCCGCCAGAAAGAAAGCCGAGGCTCGGGACGCCGACCTCGAAGAACAAGCCGTCAGAGAAAAGACGAAGGGCCGCCTAAAGATACCGGCAGGAGCCAGGATCGCTTTGCAGGCCAACGCAGGGATCAACAACGGTCGACTGAGCCAGGAAATGAGTTCGAGGACCTAGAGAGGTTCGTCATGCTCATTCACGCTAGCGAGCCAGATGAGGACGACTTGAGCAAGACACCGGATGAGTTCAAGGGCTTACCACACGAATACTTGAAGTACGACATCTTCAGAGAAAAGATGAGGGACGAATTACCCTCACACGGTCCATTTGACCATGAGATCAACCTCAAGGAGGGTGCAAGACTCAGGAAGCACAAGATCTACCATATGACCCCACAGCAAGATGAGGCTATGAAGAAATACCTGGAGGAGAACCTACCCAAAGGCTTCATCAGGCGTTCACGGTCACCAGTGGCGTATCCAGTGATCTTCGTGCCGAAGAAGCATGGAAAACTACGCATGGTTGTGGACTACCGTTCACTAAACGAAGAGACGATCAAGAATCGTTACCCGCTTCCGTTGATTACCGAGATGAGAGATCGGCTTTTCGGAGCTCAGTGGTTTACGATACTTGACCTACCTTTTGCGTTTGGCCACATCAGGATCAAGAAAGAAGATGAGTGGAAGACGGCTTTTCGAACGAGACACGGCCACTTTGAGTACCAAGTGATGCCGATGGGCCTGACCAACGCTCCAGCATCGTTTCAGGAGATGATTGACCATACTTTACGGCAAGCGATAGACGACTTCGCTATGGTCTACGTCGACGATATCTTGGTCTATAGCAAGACCCTCAAGGAGCACAAAAAGCACGTGCACCAGGTGCTGAAAGCTCTTGCGGAAAAGGGACTCTCGGTTAACCACCATAAGAGCGAGTTCCACACGCAGAAGACGACTTTTCTGGGATTTGAGATATCGCCAGGGGAAGTTCGGATCGACCCAGCAAAGATTGCGGCAGTCAGAGACTGGCCCGCACCAGAGAACCCCACAGACGTCAAGTCCTTTACTGGATTTGTAGGGTTCTGCCGGATGTTCATTAAGGGATTCGTGGCTATCGCGCGACCGCTTCATGAACTCACCACCAAAGATACCCCTTGGGTATGGGAGGAAAGGCACCAGCAAGCCTTCGACTTGCTTAGGCAGAGGATGATCGAGGAGCCTGTTCTGAAGCTCCCCGATTTCAGCAAGCCTTTTGAAGTCGAAACAGACGCGTCAGACTACGCTCTGGGGGCAGTACTCAAGCAGAAACATGACGGCCACAAGCACCCAGTCGCCTACATCTCTAAGGCTCTCCACGGCGCCGAGCAGAGATGGCAGATTCACGATAAGGAGCTAAAGTCGATCATCTACGCTTTTGAGGACTGGCAACCATACCTCAGTGGAACGGAACACCCCGTACAGGTGTACACCGACCATCAGAACCTCCAACAATGGGCCAAGAAGCAGAAACTCAGCGGCAGACAGACGCGCTGGGCAGAGTTTCTCGCGCCATTCAACTTCGAGATCCACCACATCAAAGGCACAGAGAACGCCAGGGCGGATGCTCTTAGCCGGAGACCAGACCATCGGGTCAAGGGCGAGCAAGTGGAATCTCCACCGCTCTTTGAGAGAGACGGAGACGTGCTACGCCATCGGATCGAGGATTGGTACGACTGTTGCATGGTCTACAGGGTAGACTGGGCCAACGAGAAAGAATACTAATTCCAGGTTACTACCCCAGAGGAAGAAGAAGACCTTCCGTTCGGTACTACTACCGACGGCCTAGGCAAAGTCTGGTACGGAAACAAGATGTACGTCCATCCGGACGTCCAGGCGGAAATGATTAGGGAGCATCATAGCGCCAGGCTCAACGGACATCTTGGGCAAGCAAAGACGCTCGCCAGAATCCCGCAATGGTACGAGTTCCCCAAGATCAGGTCTAGGGTGAAAGAAGTACTAGAGGAATGCGAGGAGTGCAACAAGAGCAAGGCAAAGCGGCACATGCCGTACGGGCTCTTAGAGCCACTACCAGTCGCCGAAGATCCATTCAGTTCAATCACAATGGACTTCATCACCAAACTGCCACCCTCGAAGGACCTAGTTACGGATGTGGTCTACGACGCGGTTTGGGTAGTTGTGGATAGGTTTACGAAGTATTCGTACTTCGTACCCTTCAAAGAGACTTGGGATACCGCACGGTTCGCCAAGGTCTTTTGGAAGCACATCGGGTCAAAACACGGATGGCCAAGAGAGATCATTTCAGATAGGGACAAGTTATTCGTCTCCAAATTCTGGAAGAGTCTTACGAAGAGATGATGACGAGAGGCAAGCCTTCGACATCACACCACCCGCAAACCGATGGGCAGACAGAGCGGCTCAACCAAATCCCGGAAACCTACCTCAGGATCTACGTCAACTTTGAACAAGATGACTGGGTTGACCTCTTACCAAGCGCAGAGTTCAGCTACAACACCGCGGTTCTGGAAGCTACCGGAACTACACCCTTCTTCAACCTCCAAGCACGACGCGGATCTTAGGCAGTGACCACCTGCGGAAGCACCAAGCGCACCCCGTGCAAGAGTGGTTGCAGATCGGGTCAAGGAACTCCACGCTTACCTCCAAGGAAGACTCGAGCTAGTACGCCAGCATATGAAGGAGTACTACGACAACACAGGCTCGAGGGACCTCGCCTAGAGGAGGGGGATAAAGTTTATCTCTACGAAATTTTTGACGACAAAACGGCCAAGTAAGAAGCTGGACTTCAAGAGGATTGGACCCTTCAAGATTGAGAGAAAGGTTGCGACTTCCAACTACGCACTTTCACTACCTAGCTCGATGAAGCTAAGGACTAACGTCTTTCACATTTCACTTTTGGAACCAGCACCCAAGAATGCACCGCTGGAAGAAGACATCGAAGTCGAGGACTTCGAAGAGGAATACGACATCGAGCGGATTTTGGACTCACGGATCGTACGGGGAGAACTTCAGTATCTCATTAAGTGGCTTGACTGCGGGAATGAGGAGAACTCGTGGGAACCGGTTTCACTATTGAGTTGCCCAGAAAAGATCCAAGAATTCCACCAGCAAAATCCAGATCGGCCTAGGGAGCCTGCAAGGGCAGCTCCAAGACGCCGAACGCGGGCGCGCAGATAAGGAGGAGAAATTGCGCTGTCAGACCTAGCCCGAAAAAAGGGAAGGCAAGGGCTCGGGGGAGCCAAAGGCCAGCGCTTGGTCAATGTCTACCGCTCCCCAATCGGTGGAGAAGAGCGATACGGGGGGTGCCGCCTCGGGGGCCGCCAGGGGCTCGAGCCGCTCCTCCTCTTCCAGCTCCGCGACAGCGGCATCCTCGTGGGCTACGAGTCTCGAGATTTTGGCTTGAAAGGCGACACGCTGGCGGTGGACCCGTCGGCGACGGGCGGTCGCAAGCCTGCTCTTTTCGGCAGCAGCGGCGCTCTCCGCGGCAAACTCGGCGGCAGCAGCGGCGCTCCTTTCGGCAAATTTCGCGGCCGCCGCAGCTTGTAGGGCAGCAGCCTCCTCGTCCAGGGAGATGGCTTCTTCCCCGCTATTTCGATCTGGGTACGTTCATACTGAAGAGCGCGTACTGGGAGGCGTGTTAGGACTCCAGAAACCTCGAAGAAGAAGGGGTGCCTATGGTCGGGGCCATCTAGGCCGCAGTGCATGTTTCCAACGCGGGTGCACTCGGCACAGCGCTTAGCATTCGGAGGAGCCCGACAAGTCAGGGACTTCTCGCGGCAACGATACAGAAAGGCATGGCCTCTGTAGAATGGGAATAAGTAGCGGCGCGTCTTTGTCGCCGAAGTGTACTTTTCGCAATCGTTTTCTTAGGAAGGAAACTCATGGTTAGCCTCGCGCCGGGAAGACGTTGAAAAGGGAAGGGATCACTTACCAGAGCTCCCGGTCGCCAGCAGTCGTTGGCTTCGGGACGAAGCCTAGAGAGGAGGGGCATCGTGTTACGATCCTGGTTCAGGCGCGCAGGAGGCTGCACGGAGCCTCCCGCTATTGGCTGACGCAAGGAAGTGGAGTAGTTCCCCGCTTCGCTCAAGTGCAGCCAATAACGGGGCGGTCAGTACGATCAGCATGGTCAGGGCGATCAGTGAGAGAACTGATCGCACTGAGCACACTGACCGCACTGATCACCTAGGACCAACGCTCTGATTGATCCGCCTTAGATAGATATATACGACGACCGTAGCCACGATCTTAGATAGTTCTTGCTTGGTTCTTCAAGCAAGCAATACACATTCACTGCACTCATATACTTTGAGTGGCATTCCGATTTGACTGTATTACCCGTGCGATAGGAGCTTGCCCTTTGTTCTATCTTCATAATTACCTACCCCAGCATCCTGTGGAGCCCGTGCTCCCTTACAGACAGACGACCCTAACAGTCGAGTGGTTTGTAATACAAATCTAACTAACTTGGTGGTAGTTTATTAAGTATGAGCTGCCCGAAATACTTAAAAGAGAGGGTAAAAGGATAGTACAGAATAAGAGGATAAGAAGGTTTGGTACGAAAAGCCACTTCTTTATTTAGGAAGGCAGCTATAGAATTGTAAGGAAAGGACACCCCAAACACCAGCCGCGCGCACAGGGTGCGCGCTCACCACCTGTTACCAACTGGCCAGAACACTGGCAGTTGGCACAAGCCACTACACCACGCTATGGCGCCCCGGGCCTGAGCCCCTGAGCACGTATATAAACAGTGGCCCTCGCCCACCTTCCTTTGCGAGGGCCAGGTTGAAGTCTCACACCAATACTACTCATTGCTCGCCCACCTTCTTACCTGCATTGTGACTACCTTGATCCGGCGTACCTGCCTTCTCTTACATCCAACACTCGCCAGCCTCATTATCATGCTCAGAACAAGGAATCCAGCGAGGCATGTTCGTGACATAACAACCCTGGAAGCGCGGAGTAGCAACCTCCAAGCACGTATTAGAGTAGGATTGGGTGGTCGCCGTTAATGGTTTTCACTCAAATCGATAGGTTTCTTCTCTTAGGTCTCAGCAGGAGCGCAATCACTTCTCTCCGGTACATTGAGCGCAGCTGCCACCAACTTGCGATTTTAGCCGTAGACATTATTGTGCTAGATATAGAGCGCCGATTACACCTTCCAGATAGCCATCCCCAACTTTTATAGCCCACTGAGTCCTCTGCTACGTCTCTTCTGCCTACCCCGCACTACTGGACCCCGCTTTGCGAAGCATTAACGGGGAGCGCGTTGACCAAATAACCGCTGCTGTGACCATCACACTGGACGGCTCGTCCGGGAGACACTGCCGAACAAGCTGTCCATTTAAAGCTTGCCAATTGCTTGCGCCGCGATCTCGTAGGCGATCTGCGTCCGACGTAATCACAGGAACGCTTTAAACGCTTCTTGATGGTGGCGAGCGTCTCGTCCTCAGGCACGATACCACGTTCCCACACGAGCTACAAGATACTCTTGTGACTCGGGGTTTCGAGTATCTCCGCGGCTATCCGACACCGGATGAGATCCTATTTCTTCGCACCAAGAACCACAATTTGTAATACGTTATTGCTGACCAAAAGGTATTTAGTAATGTCAACCGGGAGGTCCTTTCCGTTATAGGAGTGCCTTCGGATAGTCAAAGGGTGTGAGTTCACCTTCATGAAGATGTTTAATGGCCAAGCGACGTCCATGGTGCTCCATTCTTTGCTAATTTTCTTGACGTGAGTCGCCGGCCTAATATACCTGACCCTCCACTAGAGTGACCCGTCGAAATATTGGGCCGAGGGTAGCAGCTCGCGTAGACTTTTCGAGATGGTTGACCGCAACTTATACTGCTCTTTTGTAAGGGCGAAGTGGAACTCCCGAATGGTATTTGTAGGCGCAACGGAGCTCGGCCCTACAATAAGGGACTTGAGAGCTTGATAGAAGCGTGTCGCTGGGAAATGCGGCCTCGCCGCCTGCAGACTATACATAGTTATCGATCTTCATGGTGAATTCTGTCAAATCTGCGTAAAAGAGCTGCTGCTTACTAGGTCTATTCCCTTGACTAATTCGCTGTCTCTTCTGCGGCGGATATTCTCCCGCGGGTGGCGCGGCCCTAAGTCTCTGGCCTAGAAGAGAGCGAAGGGCTTAACTAGGCGACGAAGCTCCCGTGGCCGATACGGCGTCTAGAATCTGGACCGAAGCAGAGCGGGCGGGCTGGCGCGGCTAAAGCGGCACCTAACTATTTCCTCGCACGGATCAAAGGTCGCCAATACTAGGTACGCCAAGCTACAGGCCATTATAGGCGTCCGGAGTGGCGAAGTGGCGCTAGTTAGCTGAGGCTGGAGGACCGGGCACAGGACTGGGCGACGTGATAGCAGGCGCCGAGAGTAGGCCGCCGGCGCTATCATAACCTACCAAGGGTGGTTGCGTGTTTTGAGAAGGCGCATTGGTGGTCTAGTCTATGACGTAGACGAAGCGGGATTGGGTCACGGGAGCATCAGCGTCTATCAACTGAAGAGCTTATGGCGCCTAGCGCCTCGGGTAGAGTAGCAAGATTCTATCTAGGTCTATCCGAGTGATTCGACACGGCGGGACTCGGCTTATCGCTTAGGGCCGGTGACGAGAGCTCGACGTAGGTGCTTCTAGGGACGCCGAGCCAAATGTCAGCTTCGCGAAACATAAAAATGGCTCAGGCAGCGGGCGGGCGTGACTTACGGCTACGGTGCCGGCTGTGTAGTAAACGTTCCTACGCGGATTGGCGAAGCGAGTAGACGGCGTGGATGTGGACGTGGACAGAGCCACCCATGACGGCTGTCGCGTTTTGAAGAACGAGTGGACAGTGGCATTCGACGAGGCGATCTGATGGAGATCGACGACGAGGGGATGGGGAGCTCCTACAGGCGTCTGCGGCGGCATAGCAGCCTCTAGCCAGCCTGGTGCCGAGGCGACGGCGGCGGCGGGCCCTAGCAGAAAGGTCTGCTATGTTTCGAGATTGGCAGAGACGATGTCAGATGAGCGCGGCGCCAGGGAGCCAAGTGGTGCTAGGCAAATATACCATCACCAGGAAGCGCCTAATGTGACGGAAGAGGGAAGAGGGAAGAGGGAAGAGGGAAGAGGGAAGAGGGCCGAGGCGGGCTGACGGAACGCCAGGACTGGGCGAGGTAGAGCGGGAAGCACCTACCCTCTAATCCGACTCGCAGTTGCCGGTGAAATTTAAGATGGAGGTGAGGAGGGAGGTGTAGGGCGGTGGGAGCGAGCGAGACGGGACGGCCGGTCGAAGAATTGTAGGCGGCAAGACAGTAAAGCTCGGGCGTACGATTGGCGATCCGAGGTTTTCTTGTTCTCAGAAACGCCGGTATCTGGCCCGGCGTATTACAATCAAGCTTCCCAGCGACGGGCTCGGGGAGACTGGCGGGCGTACGAGCTTCAAAGTCGACCGGGAGATGGGCAGTCGGGGCCGGCTCGTCGCAGAAAGCAGCATACAAACACGGCGAGCCGAGAATCTGGGCTGCAGGGGGGCAGAGCTGGCGGGGGTTGGACAAAGACTCCCTTTACGTCCTTTGCGGTAATTGCCAGGTGCATTGGTGGCGAGAAAGCAATCGTTGTGGTGTGCGGATTGCAGCGGTCGGGCTGGGCTCTCGACGACGACCCCTGTGACCTAAACAATGGACACGGCCCAGGGCTGCGCGAGCTGAGGGTGCACTGTTTCTTCTGCTGCCAGGGGTGTCGCGGTCTTGGTTAGTGGGATCCACCATGACCACCGAATAAAGAGCGCTACCGGGTACTCCGTAGCGGTCGGCCAATCCGTTACAAATTACAGCGGGAGACGAGAGGGCGGGAGTCACTTCAAAATCCCCTAGCTCTTTGCCGCCTATAGCACACAAAAAACACGTAACGAGTCAAAGAGTGTAGACGCTAGAAATACCGCCGTACGCCTAGAACTTGGAAACCATCGCATTCGACCGACTACAACTCGACGACGAAACCCCGCTAGCAGCACAGTCGAATCAACGACCAGACACTCGCCCTAACCGCCGCAATGGCCGCCCTGGTGCTCCCGCTGGCGCAATTGAAGCTGGTGCCCGGCCCGAGCCCGATCACGGCCGAGCAGCGATACTGGCGCTCCTTCAAGAGCCAAAAGTCGCACACGTCGACGGCGGCATGGCCCATTCGCGCATTAGCTTCCCCGCCCTCGGCCCCGGTGCCGCTACCGCCTCGCACTCGCTCGTGGCCCCCGCCAAGGCCAACGACCTATTCGCCGTCACGTCAGACCCGCGCGTCGAGCTTTTCTCGGTCCGCAAGCGTGAGCCCCTCAAAACCATCGGCCGCTTCGACAGCGATACCTACAGTGGTGACATCCGCCCCGACGGCCGTGTCCTTGTCGCCGGCGAGGACTCGGGAAAGATACAGATCTTTGGCGTAGGCGGCGGCACGCGCGCCGTCGTACTCAAGACATGGCACGTCCACAAGCAGCTCGTCTGGGTCACACACCGGTCTCCGACCGACCTCACGACACTCATAAGCGCCAGCAACGACGAGTTCATCGTACATTTTGACAAAGCCCGACATCACGAGGATACACGATCAGACGTAGTGTCCGGCACAACGAACGCAGGGAACCTCCCCTTGGAGTCTGGTCTGCGACGCCCGCGACGAGAGGCCAGGATGACGATGTGGAGGTTGATGCATGACGTCAGGGGGAAAGGGCAGCATCGCTGAAATTGAAGAAGTCGTCGTCACATCCTATCGAAGTCTTGCAGAGACATAAAGTTGAATAGCCACTGCGTCGCGGCCGCATATGACACGTTGAGCGACCGTATCCGCGCTGTCGGGATGTCGCTGGCGTAGATCCAGCACACGTCGATACCGGGGTGGTACAGAGTAGACTGGTTAGATCTGTATGGCCCTTGCGGGCGGCGTAATCGAGCGGCGTTCTGTGAACTTGACACAAAAGCTCGGCCCAAATTTTAGCGGGCGTAGGGCCCACAGAGCTTACAATGCTGTGTCCCATACTCACTGTTTGCGGCAGCCTAGGCATATTTGTTGAGTTGAACGTGTCGACTGCGCTGGGTATTGTCGTGCTAGATGGTCAGCGCTGATTGCGCCTTCTATCGAATACCTAGACAATCAATGCCCCGCAATCCTCCGAGTCCTCCGCCGCATTCTCTTTGCCTACCCCGCGCTGCCTGGATCCCACTTTGCGGCTTTTTTTTCCGGTCCAACTGACGCTGCACCTCTGTTATCAACTCCATTCCTTTACCAATATCCATTGTCAACCATGAAGACCCCGCCCCTATGTCACAACGGCACAGCGCGGCTGCTGCTGTGACCATCACGCCGGACGGCTCGTTCGGCGAGACACTGCCGAACGAGCTGTCCATTTAAAAGGCTTGCCAATTGCTTGCGCCGCGATCTCGTAGGCGATCTGCGTCCGACGTAATCACAGGAACGCAGGACTTGGCACAGCCCTGTCACGGCAGAATTGCGAAAGCGGTATGGCCGGACTTTTTGGGCACTCATGTTTTGCTGTCGAACCATGTTCAACCTCTTCCGCACCAGCACGTGCGATCAAAACCACCAGCTCTTTCCAGGTGGGCTTTAGCAGCTTTAACACGTTTTATGACTAACTTAGCTAACCGCTACGTTGTACAGGTCGTTCTTAAGTCAATCTTGCTCCTCGCTTCCGACTCCCGCCTTCGTCGACCGTCCCAATCCACAGCCTGTAGGGTCGCTCCCTAGATCGCCTCTTGGATATTATCGAACCGGGTGTCCACTCCCTCCCGATGCGAACGTTATGCCCGCCACTCTAGACTCTGTCTCTGTCTCGCTCCACGATGCTATAGGAGACCAGGAATTGGGGTTGCGTACGGCTCGCTTCGAGACCCGGTTTTTGTCTCTTGTACCAAGTTTGGTCTCCAAAGACATGGTTTCTTGACCGCGCGCTTATGGACACCCAAGCAGGTCCCAGCTTTGCCAGAGCCGCCGACAACAGGAACAGCCCACTGCCTACCGGCGGCGACCGTTGTCACACAGCAGTGGGCGGGACAGCCTGTCACTGCATACCTCTGGGTATCCGGTTGGTCGAAGACCTAGCAGCTCCCGGTGTCTGAGGATACAACATTTTGCGACCGGATCTCGCACTGATGGAATTGAAGACCAACATACAATCACCAAACTCAGCAAGCACTCGACAAAGATTCGGTGGATTCCAACTCAGCAGACTAGCCTTCGAGGTCATGAGGAAGAGCAAGACGAGGACGAACAAGAGCAGTTACAAACACATACAGCCGCCCCAAACGCTTATGCCTCTACATAACACGAGCGTTAGATCGAGTCCTCCGCGACATTAGCGACCGCGGCGGGTAGGCTCAGTAATACACCTTGAAGCCTTCTCTACAGCAGACTCTAGTTCTCTCGCAAAATCGTCCTTGCCTTGTTTCTGTGGTGTTCCGCGCTTTCTCTTCCGATTCCGACCATTCGCGTCTATTAAGCCGAGAGGTTGCCCACCTCGGAACTCAGCTCGCTCAAACTGTAGCTGCTCTGCTTTCTTTTCTTTTACGACTCCGCTCTCTAAGATCTTCTGTAGCAGAGTCTTTTCGGCTTGACCCTGGCGTTCGTCCTCTATTTTAGAGTTCAACGTCCTTACTAGGACCACCTTCATAAGGTTCTGAAGAGGGTCGTCTTCAGAAGGAGGCATTATTGGTGTCGAGATGTGGAACGCGCCGTTGCGCCAATGGCACTGCTGAGTAGCTTCCGCAACGGAAGCGCCTCCCGAGTATGTCCCTCACTGGTTCACCCGATAGTAGTGTCGAGGCGTGAGTATTCGACTGGACGGATCGTCGCAGCGTCGCTTGCGTTGGGAACGCGTCACGGCGGGTTATCGCGAGGGCCGCGTCGTAGACCGGACGCCAATGGGAGGTTCTCTGCGTTCGTTGTGCTGGGCACTGCGTGAAGGCGGACTCTGGTCACAATGCACGATGAAGTTGTGTTTCTCTCTATACTGATAACCTCGCCCTTGGCCCTGCAGGGTGGGTCGCTAACCGAGGTCAGCCACGCTAATTGGAGAACATGGCCAGCCTGTGCATTGGCAAGGGTTGGAACGTGATGACAGAAAGCTGAGAACTGCAACTAATTGTTAAGCGTCTGACGCCACGAAAACATCGAGGTTGCTCTGGGAGCCTATGCCAGCGTGGCGGAGCCACGCTCCGTCTCCAAGCCGTAGAACGGACCTGCTCAGACAGTGGATTTCTATTCCCTGAGGCTTGCTAATCTGAAGTCGGCCCTGTAACCTGCGTTAAACTGGGATTATTTGCTATAGATCGCTACCTACAGAGATTTTAGTCGCTCTAGCGCTGGGTTGGCGCTATTGCACCCTTCGCCTTAGGCGACACTTGGAGGTGCAAAAGCTCCCGCAATTCGGTTTTGCGCGGGGCTTTCAGGCCCCTACCACCGACATAGAACTCTACGCACCCGCATTGATTCTAGCCGAAGCAGCTGGGCGCACAGGGACGACCCAGCAGCCAACATCCAGATTGCGGAGAGGAATGGACGGATGCGGTGCGCTAAATCTGCGATTACACTGGACATGGCCTAGCTCTACATGTGTACGACTAAGGCTAATAGGTACAATTCCATGCATGCCATGCCGAGAAGCAATTCATTGCGCACTTTGTGAGCAGGCACATCTTTCTCGAATCCGTCCTGTGGCGTATAGCCATTATACTTCAGGTCCTCGAGCGCAACGGCCCCTACGGAACGACCTGAACCACTCCCGCGGTTTCGGATTATCATTCGTAGGCATAGCTTCGAGATGAGGATACTTGCGGGGAAGACAAGGTGCTATTGCGACGGTAGCGACGAGGTGAAGCTAAGAGCAGCATCATGCGCTGTTATTATGGAGCGGGGCTGAAAACCGCGGTCGGCTGGGCTTGGTTTGCTGCCCAGTCGTTCATGGTCGAGCAGTGGCGGTGCTGGCAGCGAAGGGCGTGAAGAACCGTCTTCTCAGATACAGGACAACAGTACGAGTTCGTGCAAATGCGCATGTGAACCCACCCCACTGCAAATTTACTGTGAACATCAGCGACATGATGTCTTCTGATCTGATTCTGCGCCATTCTGCGCACGAGGGCGTAACAGCGCGACGCGACTCGCCGGGGTCGTGGTGCACGCAGAATACCCCTTGACGTTGCAAACCCTTGAGTATATCTGCTCGGAGTGGTCCATTACAACTCCAGCAGTGTACAAATCGCTCTCGATAAGTAGCTGGTCATCCGGAAAAGCCCGAACGACGTCGGCAAACTTGCTCTCTACTCCCGGAATAGAGAGATTGACACCTATGGAAAAGGAAAAGAACAACTTAGCCTAGATAGCCAAGTTCAAATACTAGCTCAGCATCTATGCCGCCCCGTTGAAGGAGTGTAGACATATCCGTGGCGGGAAAGGCTTTGGCTAGTAGGGCTTTCTTGCCACCGCACTTGTGGTTCTAGGAGCCTCGGTCGCGTCGTCGAACTCGTTATTGTCCTCCTCGCTTAACGAGAAGTCTTCAGCACCAGCTACAACCAGCTTCTACTTACATTCCGAGATGACCTCCTTTTCGTGTCCCTTCCACAGCAACGCGAGGGCGTCAAACAGTACGGCCTTCCCACGCAAAACCCACGGTTTGTCCCGGCCTTTGTTCGCCCTCGATAGCGTAGAGCTAGACCGACACTGAACCCCTATTTGCGCCGAACTCTACTTGGTATATATAGAGCTCTTCCGAAAGAATGTCGGCTTGGATCGCCGCTTTCCCTTCCCCTGCTCCAACTCCATTCTATCTAATGCTGCCCCCAAAACTTTGCACCTCTCGGACTCACAGCGCGTCGCCGAGCGAAAGAAAAGGAAGTCATCAGATCAACCATGTGACGTGCTAAAGCCGTCTTCTATTTGGGAATCGCTTCCATCTCATTCGGATCCCCTATCCATATATCCACGGTGTGCCTGACGAGACCGACACCCACCAAACCGGCGGTCGCGAACGACAACTATCTTGCTATGGCTCTCATTAACCCTGTCCACGGCCTCGTAGTGCCGTTTCTCTACATATTCACCATCCCTCTCGCTATATTCGCCGGTATTACGACGGCTTTAGTATTTTCGGTCCTTATATTCCATATCGCTATTATCTATCTCGATATCGCCCCTACGCTTATTCCTTAGTATTTTGTATCTCGTAGCAGACCCTGTATTCTACTATCTCGTGCCGCTTCCTGTACGGGCAACCACGGGCATTAGCACAGCTTCTCGTGAGACGGCCGTCGTATATCGGTATCGCCCCCGGGCAGCGTCGGTAGCGGAAGCGGATATAGTACGCCGCCCCGGCATCGCCGTTCCCGTCCAGTACCAGCCAGCTATACCAATAGCACTATTTGGGCCTAGGCGGCCACCGTAGCCCTAACCACCACCGCCGCAAGAGCAGCTATAACTTCGGCGCTACTATACAAGCACGTTCCCGCTACTCTAGTTAAGTAAGCCTAACGTCCCTTAGAACTATTACGCCTATCTACGAAGACGAAGTAACGCCCCTCATTACCGAGTCTAGCCTGACGCCGTCGGTAGACATAGACCGTAATTTCGAGGGCCTCGGCGGCTGGCAGCCAGACGACGACGGCGACGGCGCTAACTAGGCCAATATCAACTCCTAGCTTAAACTACCCCTCAAGCGGTCTTCGACCCAGCGATCGCAAAGCGCCGGCCGCGTTACGCCGGGCGAGGGGATATAGCTAATAATAAAAGAGATATGTCAAGATAGCCAGAAAGATAAAGACTAGGAACGGCACTTCTATCATAGCCCCGGCAAAGGGCTAGTGTCTCCAAATAGTAGCCGCTTTAGAAGTATGCAGATGCCTACGGCGTTAATAACACTGACTAAGGAGTATAGATACTCCCCCGATCTAATATCGCCGAGGGTAACTAAGAAGCTATCGGCTTGAGACGGACATAGCATGCATACATTATGCTCCTGCATCCTGTCGAGAAGTTCTCGGAGAGAAAATGGCGCTAGCGCCACAGAGACAATATAGATTCTAGAACATTTTTACCCCCTTCCCCTTTTTGTACCATGGCGTTAGCTTCACGCAAGGTTATTTCTTGGGCGCGGCCTCTTTAAAAAAGGCATTTGGACCTAGCAAGTTGGAAAAGGCGGTATTCCAAGTGTAATGTAATCCAGAACTGGCTGTCGCTGGCATCCGGGAAAGGGCGCGCCGCTCACGCGGCACAGCGCGCTCGCTGCACCAATAGAGCTGCACCTACTCGCAACTTTCCACTATTGTACTCTTTAACTTCTCTCCTTCCCTCGTTAGCTCGCCATTCTGCTCCCTAAGGTCCGATTGGAAGTTTACATTTGACGACAGGGCCACGTGTTCCAAGTCAAAAGCTAAACCTCAGGTGGCAGGAAGAAGTGGTTAACGGAAACAATGGATACGCAAGTTAAATCTCTCTATATTTCGTACGGGTGTCTAGTGTTACAAGGGGGGGGGAAGACCCAACCGATCCGCAGCCTAGATAACATTCTGCCATCATCCCCCAGCATAACTTTGAGCGCGAGTCAGAGGGCTCCCTCGAGGGGTAAACGGTGCGCTCGAGACAGCCTCAACATGCTTGCTGCGCGCCTGCCGGGGTGTGGGATGCTAGCATGGGGAATTCGTAAGGGGCGAGGTGTTCTCATCTAGGTTGATCGGCATGGAGAGGCCGCGAAATAGCTTCGAAGGAGGACATAATTTCTGGCAAAACCGTTGGCGGGTCATCACTTTGGCCATCTTCTACAAATCCGTGCTCCGCAGCAACGCCGTAAAGCCCCCTTTTACAGGAGCCAGCACCTCATTAGGTAGTTTGCCTTCGGCAAACCCGTAGCATAGGTCCCTGTAAAGGAATTCCATACTGTAAGGATAAGGTACCTCGGCAACCTTGGCTATCTCGTCGACGATTTTCTTCAGAATATTTCCGCTGCGCATCGGGTGTGTGGCCGCGATGTAAAGATTCTCGGTTATGAGTGTAGCGCTTGTGTTCTGGTTCCGGTAGTTCTTTTGCATATTGTTCTCGACAATGGCATCAACGATGGCTGTTTGATAGATGTAGCGGCAATGAACTAGCGTCTGTGGCGAATCCTCTGGGACTTCGTGATATAAGAGCTGTCCGGCGGGGTCGCACCCGTACATACCTGGATCCCAGTCTCGAGTCAGCCAGCCGGGGTAGCTGAGGTTGCCCAGTGACTTGGGCCAGGCGCCGACACCGTCCCAATCGATAATACCAGTGAGGTTTCCGTACTTGTCGACAAGGAAGTTCTGCAAGCTGAAGTCCGGGTGGGCGAGGACAAAGGACTGACGATAATCTGCAAAAAATTCGTCCACGCAGTCGATGAAAAACTCCAGAAGTCGCTTTTGGCCACGCAAGAAATCCGTGCCAGGGTTGTACCTGTCGAGCGCAGTGGTATAAAACTGCTTGGCTTTCCCGTAAGGACCACTGGAGCGGTAGGCAGGCATGTAGTTATCTTTGTCCAGGCGCGCATCAGATTCGACAGAGTCCCGCTCACGGCGGTGAACAACCTGTTTCACCTGACCCTTGCTGTCAAACAACAATCGGCCGCCCTCGTTATACGAGAACTTGCTCAACTGAACCATTGCTGACGCCACCCCCTTGAGCACGTGAGTTCGGCGGCTGGTGCGATTTGCTTCCGAGGTCTCGGCATGCCAGAAGTCGTACAAAGAAATGCCAGGGATGAAGGAGAGCCAGATGTGCGGGCATTTGAGAGGGTTGTCGCAAGTTTTTTCGTATCCAAAGACTTCGGGGACGGGGATTGTGGTGCGATTGCGAATGAGCTGCATTGTCCGAGCTTCTGATTCCAGCTCGTTGGTGCAAAGGGTGTCCCAATAACTGGGTATCCCGTTGATGGGGATTTTGAGAAGCCATATTTCTTCCCTTTTGTCTTTGAAGGTGAATTGGACTTCAAATAGGATGTTGTAGGACCCATGATGTGGCTGTCGAACAATGGGTAAGTGAAGCAGACTACGGTCGGGATATGCGCTGTTCCAGATCTTTTTGGCCTCTAGGGGAATTTCATTCTTTCGAACGACAGCGAGGACCGGGCGAAAGGGCGCCAGCTCATCCTCCTCGGCATCAAAGTAATTCGCAGCCATAACGGAACACAGGCTGTGCAAGGTAGAAAAGCGTGGAACAAGATTTTCTTGACGATGAGAAGAGATGCCGCGAACGGAAATGCAGTAGGAAAACACAGGAGTGTGGAAATGCAGACGGACCTAGGTAGTAGCTAGGTAGGTAGGTAGGTACCTAAGGCATGGAGGTAGGTCGGTATGTACTTGTCTATTTCGTAATGTTGAGTTGGCTGGCAACGACGTCTTAAATCATGGAAGAATTGTTTTGCGCAAAAAGTGCTGCAACGACGGCGGAACCGATCGGTTCTTATTTGCCTCCTAGATCAGTACCTACGTGCCAGTACCGCCCAGTTCCCGTCGCTGTTGGCTTCGTCCCTACCTTACCTTAGGTGAGGGAGGTTGACCGGGTACTGTGGTAAGGACTTCGAAACACGGACGGCCTTTGGGGTCTAGTGTCGGGTGGAGTTCCACCTGGGCCCCGCCTGGAGGGCACAGGCCACAGGTAGGGCTGGGCGGGTGTCAAACAAATGACGGCGGGCTACTCCGTACTGCGTCGGTACATACCTAGGTAAGGTACCTTACCTAACCTCCACTTCGGGACCCTTGGTGGTATCGAACACATGGAGAACAGCTTCTGCGGATCTGAGCTTACTATATCCACTCATCCAATTCAGATTCAGCGTATGATTGGTTAGGTGCCTAACCTGAGTTTAATCCTCTTCCCACAAATGTTTATTTCGAGTTGTCGACTGGTGCGGCACACGGCTGCCCAGGGCTCAAAACTTCCGAACCGGCCGAGGCGGTACGTATGAGTACCTACATAGCATTGAGTCGGAGCCTGCTCTACCCGCGGGTAGGTACGAAAGCCGACCCACCATACCACCGCCATAACCGTTAGTCTGACCTGGAGGGTAGTTGGATAGAAATGCACACGGGCAAGGGTGGTTGGTCATAGAAATGCACAGGCCAACGGTTACATGCAAGATGATAGTTTTTGCCCCACTAAGCAGGCAGGTATCTGGCCGCAAAGGATCGCTCGCCGTCTCCCTGATCCAGCACTCACCAATCAATCCACGCTCCTGCCCGCTTGGGCGGCTACATCAACTAACGCGCTAGCCAAGCGTTCCGGCGAGCCAATACCCCTCCAGCTTGGAAATCGGAAGCTCCCGACGTAGCGGTGATAAGGGACATCGCACTACCTTTGTGCCCCGCGGAGGTGTACACTCCTATATACCCCGGTCCCTGAATGCTTGTTGGCGTGGTACCTGGGAAGAAGCAAAAGGATATCGTGAATAAACCGGCTAGAAAATGGTCTTGATATGTGCTTGAATCAGAGGAGATATAGGCCTCTAGGATTCTAAAAGAGGCAATCATTCCAATGGCCATTACCTCCCTCGGCGAAAAAACCTTGACGTCGAGCCGTAATTACAGTGCTGCCCGGGGCCTTCAGATCTTGGAAAGTCCCCCGCTAGCAAAAGCTCGGGGATTGGACTGCATACACCTTCGCCTTGATCTTCGTCGTGCCTCTGGGTTGCCGGGCAGAAAGCTTACACGCGGAACTGTGCCTTGTAAGCGGCTGAACGCCAGTTGGGCTCTGGGGTATCTTGCTGTTAATTCGCTCAATTCGATTTTCGCCCCGTTTTTCTTCATCTGTCCGTCGCTAAATCTGGTCGACTTTTAATCCCTGGCCCTGGTGGCTGGTTTTCCAAGAGGACGGAAGTACAAACACCCCAACACATTTTGGCCACACCCTGCTGCTAATAGTGTCGTACGTAGTCGACTAAGACAGCAAAAGAAAGCCCTCGATCCGGCGCATCTTTGAAGGGTCTTGCAGCATTACCTGAATTCTCCGGTCTACCTAGCGGAGTATACGTACGTTATTATATTTACCGTACGTAATCAAGGCTCAAGCCCAAACTGCCAGGGCCTTGAAGTATCGATCCAACGAACTTTGAGGGGCTGGGGTGTACGTGTAACAATTGTGCCACTTTATGAAGCAGAGCGCGGATATACCTTACGCCTCGTATCTAAGGTACCCAAGGTACCTAAGGTAGGTAGTTGGTTCAATCTGCTCTCCGCGGACACAAATATTCCCCATTTGATTTCAGGTCGCCCGATGGCGCGGCACAACCAACACTTCGCCTACGCCTGAAGATGACCTTGCCAGAAGGTTGCTGTCGACAAGTCCCGCTTGGTCCTGTTACTGCCACACACCTACTTGTGCCACCAACATTTTCGTCTTCGCCGGAAGATGAAACGGCCAGATCCGGTCTAGTGGTCACCCGCCCGCTGCTTCGCCCGTCGTGGAACCTGGCTGATGAGGATTGATATCATGATATGAAAGAAGCCAAGCCGCAGCCCAAGGCGTAGTTTGTATAGAGGGAGGGTCTACCGCCGTGACCGTTGGGCCTTGACTCGTACGCTAAACACCTTCCGTGATTAGCGCACGAGCCGACGGTTAGGCCAAGAGTTTAGTTTTTCAGAGGCAACTCAGCCAGAAACATCATTAAGACAAGCGAGACACTCTTGGGCACCTGTTTTTGGCCCCCTTGCTGCCCGGGGACGGAGTTTTGCTCTCGCCTCGCCGGTTTCATGTTGCTGGGGACCCGGTTCGAGAACCAACTGGCAACTGGCCTCTGTGTACCGGTCAGACCAGACCGCTTCAGGGAAAGGCTTGCCGTTGGGGAACCCACAATCCGCTGGGAGGATTGGGTGTTGTGAAGAAGACATCGGCCGTCTGCAAGAGAGACATTGTATATAAACAGGACACCCTCTCCCTCATCCGGCTACATGTCTCATCACTCACTACCTACTCAAGCTTCACACGTCAATTCTTCTAGTATCTAGTATACCTCTTCAGAATCATCTCTTCCTTTCCCAGCTGGTCTGTCCGTCTCGTCCTTGATCTGCTGTCCGTACACTAGACATTCAAGAGTCCAGTAATATCCATTCAAGTCCACCCACAAGTCCAGCCTACTAGATTCGTTTCGGAAATTTCTCATTCAAGTCATCATGGCCCACCACTGGTAATCATTTTTTTTTCAACTCATATTCCAGGCCACCATCTTCACATATATATTTCCCCGTGGCCCGGATAGCTAGATTCTTTCCTGCAAGCAATCCAGCCATCACTTTCCTGCCCACAATAGTGGCAATATCCAGGCGCTATCTTCTCAGAAGAATTGAATTAACACGTCCCGTATAGCCCGAGTTGCCAGAAGCCTGCCTCCAGTCGCTGTGTTACACAGGGCCATGTCGCCAAATGCAACAAGCACAATGAGTACAAACAGGTGGGGAAAAGTTGCGCGAGCTGCGACCAGGACGATAGATTGGCCGAGATAGCTAGGCAAAAAGCAAATAAGGAAGCTCGCGACGAGGAGGAGAGGAAAAGGAAGGCAGAACAGGAAGAGGCTGATCGCAAAAAGATACAGGACGCAAAAGATAAGAAGGAACGCGAGAGACAGGAAAGGAACGAGCAGAGGCGGAAAGACGAAGCGGCAAAGGCGGCAGCGGCGGCAGCGGCAAAAAAATGAGACGAAAGCAGAAGCAGAGGAAGGACACCAAGAAGCGGTCAAGATTGGCTGGTACAATCTTTATAGTTTCCTAGTCATCCGCGTTAGCTCTGTGTTTGGGCTTGGATTATACCCGCTGCTGGTCGGCGACCGCGGTATATGCATGAATAGTTAAAATCAAAAGAGCTGGTTTCTATCATTTTTCTCCCCACCTGATTGTCTTTCCGTGTTATACACCGGCCAAGTCAAGGCTTCTGATACCTGACCTCAGGCCTGGGTATTTTTGGAGAAGAATTATGCCTCTAGGATTCTGCAATAATTCCATAGGGGTTCCGATAGCTTTTGCCTGATGCCTCTCTCGGCGAAAAACCTTAAGGGCGAGCCGTAATGTATTAAGCCCTTTCACATCTTACAGGGTCTCCCGCTAACAAACATTCGGAGATTGGATTCTTCCAAACCCGTATCACAATTTGACACCATGCAGTATTCCGGTGGAAAATGTAGGGTGAGGCTAGGACTAATCGTTCTTGAAGTTGAAGAATGCCAATAAGAAACAGAGATAAGAGGTGGCGAGCTTATATGCTACCTGATCTCACCTGACACCTACACTGGTAAGCGATCACATTCACTACCTTACCTCGTCTAGCTGCCCCCGATACCTGCTGCTACAAGCCACCAAGCGTCTGGGGAGGAGCAGCAGCAGTGGCGGGAGCGGCTCCGGATGGAACTCGATATCTTCGCCGGCCGTCTGTACGCCGGCTTCGACGAATGTACCGCTCTCAGGAGATATATGGAGAGCCCGGACGGCGCCGCCTTGTCCGTGAATCCCGCAGGCTTCCTCTTCGAGTGGCTGGCGCTACGCCGCAAAGGGCAAAACATCACCCACACCCCCATGGGGTACGTGTGCCAGGGGTGGCCTCTACGCAAAGATCACCACCTATTTGCTGTGCAGGAGGGGGAGGGCCTCCATCTTCCAGGTAGCCTTGACCCGCTCATCGAGTCTGCTAGGGTCGGAGGTGTCTCGGACTCGGATGCGGACGACGGGAGCTCTGACGAAGAATAAACGACTGATTTAAGACGTTGAGCTAATAGGCGGGATTCAAGGTGGACTTCAAAGGGCGTGGTCTCGTCATCCATGGACTTCTATTTCCGATGAGGCTCTACGAGGCCCATTAGCCCACCAGCAGTATCTTGACTATGTGCATACCGGGATCCGGGGACCCTCTGCAGTCAACGTGGCAGTACGCCCGGAGACTGTGGTAGACAGAGCTTCATGCGGGCATTGTCTCCGGATGGGAGCTTGCAGTCAGAGTCCACTACACGCCCAACGTCTCCAAGGAAGCCCGACCGCCCAGAAGGATCCTACATTAGCTCATGAATAGGCTTGCGAGGTATCAGTTGCGATATATTAGCAGCGGAGTGAAAGAGGAAGAAATATCACAGAACAGAGTTCACACAAGTAGTATTTACAACCCCATCAATTCACACTATCTAGAGTGCCGTGTTTCTGATAGTTCCCGTGTAATGCTGCCCCATGACCACGGTTGCAGCCCGCAACTCCAGCCTTGCTTAACAAGTCGTTGAGGGTTGTGGGCGGCGGGCCTGTGTCCAGGTAAAACGGCGCAGCTGTGTTTGGGATGGGTGGTGGGCTTGCCTCGGTGCGGAGGCGATCGCTCTCGGGAATATTCTGAGCCTCTCTAGCGGTGACGTCAGGGGTAGGGCGATCCCTTGACGCCGCGGTCCCTGTCTTCCTCCAATCCTTCCTGCTACGCTTCCTGTCCTCCCCTTCTTGTTCCTGTGCGCAACCTTACGCGTGCCGTTGTTCAAAGCTTTTGCTGGTTGGGCCCGGCCCGTCACCCTCAGCACTGGCGAGAGCGAGGCGAGTTCAATGCCATCGAGGGAAGGTCGAGAGCGGAGTTGAGGAGCTCGAAGTGAGAGGTTGCGGGGCCGCAGCTGCGGCTTGGGGCCATAGGGCGCTCGGCGTTACACGCGGCTAAGGGGCGGGCTAAGGCACCCGCCTAGCGGCTCTTCGGGACCAAAACTTGGCGCAAGGGACGAGAAATGGGTCTCGAAGAGGGCTGGGCGTAAACCCCAATTCCTGGTCCCCAACGGCGGCGAGACAAGTTGTGGGGCAAGCGGGCGAGGGCATGGCGCGGCGAGGTTCTGTACAAAGCGGGCGCTTCAAATGGTGCGGAAGGGAACGCGAGCCCTTTGATGTTGGGTACAAGGAACGAAAAGGCCAGGGAGCCGGGATGGAATCCCACGCTAGAGCGTTCGAGAAATCGCCGGAATTGCCTATCTACACCCGTAGACACTGTTGGTGAATACTTTGACCAAAAAACAGTAGGTCTGCTCACTCGCTTCACCTATTTCGGTGAGACGAAAGCTCTGGGGTCGTGTCCGAGTGGGGTCCCAGTCGGATCCCTTATATCTTAAGAACCTAAGTCTACTTGCCGGACAGCATTATTATACTCTGGGTATCTCCGTACAACCTACTTCATGGACGACTAGGGAGACGATGGCGATGGCAACCGTCTTAAGATGTAGTTGGTTGTACGTGTCAAATGGCCCATACTCGTAGATCTGCAAGAAGCAGTCAGGACAGAGGGGAAGGAGCAGTGAAGTATTGGTATTGTTGTCCCAGGGTAGGACGGGGGATGTTTGGTCGCTGATGTACTCGAGCCAGTCGGCAGTTACGCGAGCCAGCTGAAACCAGAACTCGGTCTCATCGAGAGCTACTGGAAGTAGCCATACCGGTGATCTGCGGGAACACAACGTGTGAACTGACTAGAAGTACGCTGAAGCCTGAAGGCCATATGAAAAGTAAAAAGCGTACTGGGTCCTGGACAACTCACTGCGAAGCTCGTCTCGAGTTTCATAAGCCTAGGCTACGAACTCACATGTCTCTTAGCGCTTCAGCTGCGGCCCTGCCCGTCCTCTTTTCTCTTGTTTGACTTCATGGATAACCCAGACTGACGCCGGTGATCTAAGAGAGTAGTGTTCTAGCCGCTCAATGTAGCCGTCAATTCTTGCGTTGAAGGACCCGTTTGGGGGTTGTTTGGCGCCACAACCGGGTCCAAATGTGTATTAGCGCTGGTGGCTTGATGATGTATATGCGGGGAACTTGGACGGGTTGAAGGACGAAAGAACGAGGGTATTGATGAAGTCGACGAGTAACTCGACCATAATGCTTTCGGACCTTGAGCGGGGACCTTCCGGCGCAGGATGGTTATCATGTAAGCTCTCATCGGTTCCCGTCGCTGTTGTGTCGGGGGCTGGCGTTCGCTGGCGAATTCGTTGTGGAAGCGGCGAGTTGAGATACGGGCTGCGAGTGGTATTAGGGATCAAGGGCGGCTGACTGAAATGCGGTATATCTTCGAGTCTATACTCGCGAGATTCGTGAACCAGGGCTAATATATACGGAATGAGCTACTTACGCGGTAAAAAGATGACTTGGTCTAGTGGCTGTCTGCTCTTGGAATAGAGCGAGGCCGCGACGCGGACCTGCAGGACCGAGCTTGAGCTTCGGGGGTGGTATTTGAGGATTGAGACTGTTGTCCATATAGCAGTATTTAATCTGGGGCTGGCCAAAAGGCCCGAGGGCGTGGCCGAATGTGTATGCTTCTGTGTCGTCGGGTTTTGAGGTGGGCTGGCGATATCTGATATTGGAAACCATGGTACAGAAGAGATGGTGTGGTGCCGTCATCTGCTCGTCGGGCTACGCTGATGCAGATTGTTTGGGCTGCGGGGGCGCGTTCTCAAGGCGCGTCTACTTGCCATGCGGTGTCTGCGGCGGCGCTTGAGGGAATTGATGACTCACAGGACGCGTCCAGCGCCACCCAAGTATGTCCTGGGCCGTGGCCAGGCTGGCATCATCCACAGCGCGGGCCGCCTTTGAGCCGACCTAGAAGGCATTCGTTGCGGGAGGCGCTGTCGCTGGGCCGGGGACGTGTACGGCCCGAAGGTGTAGCATCGCTTTTGCCGTCGCGGTAGATGCAGAGAACGGCGGGGAGTCTATGTCGACTAGCTTCGCGCCTTTTGGTAGCAGTTGTTCGACCTGCTGGTGTCACGCTAAAAGGGCATCGGCTAGAGGGGGGTGGTGCTGCATCGTTGATTGCTTGTACTCTATCTCCCAAACTAGAGACTTGAACAGTCCCTCGCTGTGTCTTGACTCTGCTTCCTTGACAATTTTTGGAAAGCGGCGCTCGGATGTTGTGGTGTTACTCCACTTAACCCGATCTAGATTAGAGCATTTCTTATCGATTATCCGCTTTTCGCCGGTTATGGGATCGGGAAGTTTCGCGTTCGGACATCGCTTTGTTTACGCGTCTAGGTCTCTCCAGTACAAAAACTGTGATCCTGTCGTACTGTGAAGGCAGGCATAAACGAGAGGCAATGCTGCAAGTAAGGAATGACTGTATTCGTAAAGTAACTAAGCTAAAGAAAGGAAAAGGAAAAGAAGAAGCCTGCAAGCTCTGTAGGCTGCGGTTTTGTGGTAATGTGCGGGGCAAGTGCGCTAGTCCCGATTGGGCGGAGTGGGGGGGTTGTAGCTGGCGCATGGTTGCGGCACCACGGACCTCAGTTCGGCCGTGCCGTAACAGTACTGAGCTAACTGTAGCACCTTGATAGGTGCTGTATTACAGGCCTATCAAGCACGTAGTTCAATAACATCTTATTACACACCACTCGACTGTTAGGGTCGTCTGTCTGTAAGGGAGCACGGGCTCCACAGGATGCTGGGGTAGGTAATTATGAAGATAGAACAAAGGGCAAGCTCCTATCGCACGGGTAATACAGTCAAATCGGAATGCCACTCAAAGTATATGAGTGCAGTGAATGTGTATTGCTTGCTTGAAGAACCAAGCAAGAACTATCTAAGATCGTGGCTACGGTCGTCGTATATATCTATCTAAGGCGGATCAATCAGAGCGTTGGTCCTAGGTGATCAGTGCGGTCAGTGTGCTCAGTGCGATCAGTTCTCTCACTGATCGCCCTGACCATGCTGATCGTACTGACCGCCCCGTTATTGGCTGCACTTGAGCGAAGCGGGGAACTACTCCACTTCCTTGCGTCAGCCAATAGCGGGAGGCTCCGTGCAGCCTCCTGCGCGCCTGAACCAGGATCGTAACACGATGCCCCTCCTCTCTAGGCTTCGTCCCGAAGCCAACGACTGCTGGCGACCGGGAGCTCTGGTAAGTGATCCCTTCCCTTTTCAACGTCTTCCCGGCGCGAGGCTAACCATGAGTTTCCTTCCTAAGAAAACGATTGCGAAAAGTACACTTCGGCGACAAAGACGCGCCGCTACTTATTCCCATTCTACAGAGGCCATGCCTTTCTGTATCGTTGCCGCGAGAAGTCCCTGACTTGTCGGGCTCCTCCGAATGCTAAGCGCTGTGCCGAGTGCACCCGCGTTGGAAACATGCACTGCGGCCTAGATGGCCCCGACCATAGGCACCCCTTCTTCTTCGAGGTTTCTGGAGTCCTAACACGCCTCCCAGTACGCGCTCTTCAGTATGAACGTACCCAGATCGAAATAGCGGGGAAGAAGCCATCTCCCTGGACGAGGAGGCTGCTGCCCTACAAGCTGCGGCGGCCGCGAAATTTGCCGAAAGGAGCGCCGCTGCTGCCGCCGAGTTTGCCGCGGAGAGCGCCGCTGCTGCCGAAAAGAGCAGGCTTGCGACCGCCCGTCGCCGACGGGTCCACCGCCAGCGTGTCGCCTTTCAAGCCAAAATCTCGAGACTCGTAGCCCACGAGGATGCCGCTGTCGCGGAGCTGGAAGAGGAGGAGCGGCTCGAGCCCCTGGCGGCCCCCGAGGCGGCACCCCCCGTATCGCTCTTCTCCACCGATTGGGGAGCGGTAGACATTGACCAAGCGCTGGCCTTTGGCTCCCCCGAGCCCTTGCCTTCCCTTTTTTCGGGCTAGGTCTGACAGCGCAATTTCTCCTCCTTATCTGCGCGCCCGCGTTCGGCGTCTTGGAGCTGCCCTTGCAGGCTCCCTAGGCCGATCTGGATTTTGCTGGTGGAATTCTTGGATCTTTTCTGGGCAACTCAATAGTGAAACCGGTTCCCACGAGTTCTCCTCATTCCCGCAGTCAAGCCACTTAATGAGATACTGAAGTTCTCCCCGTACGATCCGTGAGTCCAAAATCCGCTCGATGTCGTATTCCTCTTCGAAGTCCTCGACTTCGATGTCTTCTTCCAGCGGTGCATTCTTGGGTGCTGGTTCCAAAAGTGAAATGTGAAAGACGTTAGTCCTTAGCTTCATCGAGCTAGGTAGTGAAAGTGCGTAGTTGGAAGTCGCAACCTTTCTCTCAATCTTGAAGGGTCCAATCCTCTTGAAGTCCAGCTTCTTACTTGGCCGTTTTGTCGTCAAAAATTTCGTAGAGATAAACTTTATCCCCCTCCTCTAGGCGAGGTCCCTCGAGCCTGTGTTGTCGTAGTACTCCTTCATATGCTGGCGTACTAGCTCGAGTCTTCCTTGGAGGTAAGCGTGGAGTTCCTTGACCCGATCTGCAACCACTCTTGCACGGGGTGCGCTTGGTGCTTCCGCAGGTGGTCACTGCCTAAGATCCGCGTCGTGCTTGGAGGTTGAAGAAGGGTGTAGTTCCGGTAGCTTCCAGAACCGCGGTGTTGTAGCTGAACTCTGCGCTTGGTAAGAGGTCAACCCAGTCATCTTGTTCAAAGTTGACGTAGATCCTGAGGTAGGTTTCCGGGATTTGGTTGAGCCGCTCTGTCTGCCCATCGGTTTGCGGGTGGTGTGATGTCGAAGGCTTGCCTCTCGTCATCATCTCTTCGTAAGACTCTTCCAGAATTTGGAGACGAATAACTTGTCCCTATCTGAAATGATCTCTCTTGGCCATCCGTGTTTTGACCCGATGTGCTTCCAAAAGACCTTGGCGAACCGTGCGGTATCCCAAGTCTCTTTGAAGGGTACGAAGTACGAATACTTCGTAAACCTATCCACAACTACCCAAACCGCGTCGTAGACCACATCCGTAACTAGGTCCTTCGAGGGTGGCAGTTTGGTGATGAAGTCCATTGTGATTGAACTGAATGGATCTTCGGCGACTGGTAGTGGCTCTAAGAGCCCGTACGGCATGTGCCGCTTTGCCTTGCTCTTGTTGCACTCCTCGCATTCCTCTAGTACTTCTTTCACCCTAGACCTGATCTTGGGGAACTCGTACCATTGCGGGATTCTGGCGAGCGTCTTTGCTTGCCCAAGATGTCCGTTGAGCCTGGCGCTATGATGCTCCCTAATCATTTCCGCCTGGACGTCCGGATGGACGTACATCTTGTTTCCGTACCAGACTTTGCCTAGGCCGTCGGTAGTAGTACCGAACGGAAGGTCTTCTTCTTCCTCTGGGGTAGTAACCTGGAATTAGTATTCTTTCTCGTTGGCCCAGTCTACCCTGTAGACCATGCAACAGTCGTACCAATCCTCGATCCGATGGCGTAGCACGTCTCCGTCTCTCTCAAAGAGCGGTGGAGATTCCACTTGCTCGCCCTTGACCCGATGGTCTGGTCTCCGGCTAAGAGCATCCGCCCTGGCGTTCTCTGTGCCTTTGATGTGGTGGATCTCGAAGTTGAATGGCGCGAGAAACTCTGCCCAGCGCGTCTGTCTGCCGCTGAGTTTCTGCTTCTTGGCCCATTGTTGGAGGTTCTGATGGTCGGTGTACACCTGTACGGGGTGTTCCGTTCCACTGAGGTATGGTTGCCAGTCCTCAAAAGCGTAGATGATCGACTTTAGCTCCTTATCGTGAATCTGCCATCTCTGCTCGGCGCCGTGGAGAGCCTTAGAGATGTAGGCGACTGGGTGCTTGTGGCCGTCATGTTTCTGCTTGAGTACTGCCCCCAGAGCGTAGTCTGACGCGTCTGTTTCGACTTCAAAAGGCTTGCTGAAATCGGGGAGCTTCAGAACAGGCTCCTCGATCATCCTCTGCCTAAGCAAGTCGAAGGCTTGCTGGTGCCTTTCCTCCCATACCCAAGGGGTATCTTTGGTGGTGAGTTCATGAAGCGGTCGCGCGATAGCCACGAATCCCTTAATGAACATCCGGCAGAACCCTACAAATCCAGTAAAGGACTTGACGTCTGTGGGGTTCTCTGGTGCGGGCCAGTCTCTGACTGCCGCAATCTTTGCTGGGTCGATCCGAACTTCCCCTGGCGATATCTCAAATCCCAGAAAAGTCGTCTTCTGCGTGTGGAACTCGCTCTTATGGTGGTTAACCGAGAGTCCCTTTTCCGCAAGAGCTTTCAGCACCTGGTGCACGTGCTTTTTGTGCTCCTTGAGGGTCTTGCTATAGACCAAGATATCGTCGACGTAGACCATAGCGAAGTCGTCTATCGCTTGCCGTAAAGTATGGTCAATCATCTCCTGAAACGATGCTGGAGCGTTGGTCAGGCCCATCGGCATCACTTGGTACTCAAAGTGGCCGTGTCTCGTTCGAAAAGCCGTCTTCCACTCATCTTCTTTCTTGATCCTGATGTGGCCAAACGCAAAAGGTAGGTCAAGTATCGTAAACCACTGAGCTCCGAAAAGCCGATCTCTCATCTCGGTAATCAACGGAAGCGGGTAACGATTCTTGATCGTCTCTTCGTTTAGTGAACGGTAGTCCACAACCATGCGTAGTTTTCCATGCTTCTTCGGCACGAAGATCACTGGATACGCCACTGGTGACCGTGAACGCCTGATGAAGCCTTTGGGTAGGTTCTCCTCCAGGTATTTCTTCATAGCCTCATCTTGCTGTGGGGTCATATGGTAGATCTTGTGCTTCCTGAGTCTTGCACCCTCCTTGAGGTTGATCTCATGGTCAAATGGACCGTGTGAGGGTAATTCGTCCCTCATCTTTTCTCTGAAGATGTCGTACTTCAAGTATTCGTGTGGTAAGCCCTTGAACTCATCCGGTGTCTTGCTCAAGTCGTCCTCATCTGGCTCGCTAGCGTGAATGAGCATGACGAACCTCTCTAGGTCCTCGAACTCATTTCCTGGCTCAGTCGACCGTTGTTGATCCCTGCGTTGGCCTGCAAAGCGATCCTGGCTCCTGCCGGTATCTTTAGGCGGCCCTTCGTCTTTTCTCTGACGGCTTGTTCTTCGAGGTCGGCGTCCCGAGCCTCGGCTGTGCTCTTGGCGGCTGGCGAGGAACTTCTCACCCTTTTCCCACCAAATATCGGGGTTATACTCTTCCATCCAAGGGTCCCCTAGCAGTATATCGACCTGCTTACTCAAGGGTAAGATGTCGAAAACGACGTTGAGAGATTGTCCATCGACCGTGATCAAGAGTTCTTGGGTTTCTCTTGTACAACGCCCCCCTTTGTGCTTCATAAGCTCTCCCTCGAAGGTCCGTAGTCGTAACGGTACTGCCTTCGTTTTCCATGGGATTCTGAGCCTCGCAGCAAGATCTTCCGAGATGACGTTCCTGTCACTCCCGCCGTCGATCTTCGCTAGGAGTATGACTGGCTCCTGAGGGTTCTTCGTCCTCCATTCGCACTGGGCCTGAACGTGTAGCCCACGTGGGAATCGTGCATCTGCCTCTACCCTGCCGATGATCTCTTCATCCGGGTAAGGCCGTTGTTGAGGGCTTTCTGAGGACCCGACCGCAAGATGCCTCCAATCTTCGGTATCGGTCCGTTGAAGCGCGGGTTTTACTCGCTTCCTTCGGGCCTGCTGGAGGCCCGCGAGTCGTTTCCCAAATGCTTCTCGTACTGACGATGGAGGAACCTAACGAGCCGTTCTTCATGGCCTCGATAGGTGGATTCTTCTGGCTCGATCCTCCTCATCGTCTCTGCCTCCAGGCGGTACTCAACCGAAGGCCACGAACGGTGCGCCCTGTTGAACCTCCTGTTTCTGGAGTGAGTGAGGTGCTGGGTCTTCTTTCTGTGCCAGTCCTCAAGCTTCTGCCTCTGGTGGACTCGGCAGCCTGTCTGTCGACAAGTCCTCCAGTCGGTTTTGCCTTCTCGGCAAGGTTTAGGCGAAAGGGGTTTGATCACGATCTCCGCCTCCCCCTGATGGTCTTCCGTAGCCGTACCGACCCGTGTATGCCAGGTAGGTATATGTCGATATACCTTGGGAATCGCCTGTCCTGATTTCCTGGCCGGGAAGTGGTTGTAGAGCCATTTTGGCGAAAGATGTGTCCGGCAAGTATCGTGAACGCAATTTGCCCAGTCCACTTCCTGGTGCTCAGGATGCGTGGGGTGTAGCTGGTGTGCGTCTCCGGGTTCTTCGTCTTCCTCGGCTTCCCCGATTTCAGCGAGGTCCAGGAATGCTTCCCCGATTCTGGTATCCTTGAGGGTCCTCTGGGTGCACCAGATCTCTTCCCGCTCTTCTGGGTTGATCCAGCTTTCAGGTGGTGCTGGTTCGTCCTCAAACTCCTCAGTCTCGATATTGAGCTGTTCCAAGAGCTCGGCCTTCTGAAGGGTGACTCTAGCTAGCTCATCAAGGGCGAGCTGTCGTCCCTGGGACGACTGAGTGCCGCTGCCGATCAGCGCGATCATCTGGTCCTGTCTTTCCTTCAGTTTTTCGAGAAAGTGCCTGATGTTCTTGATCTCTTGTCGAGTGGCCGCTTGACCGGCTAGTCTTTCTTCTGCGGCTGAGCTGAAGGGCCAATGGTCAGGGCTCTCTTCGTTTTCCGGTTCGTTTTCCGGTTCGTCTTCCGGTCCGGTTCCGCGGTCGCTCCTTCCTTCAGGCGACTCCGGGACCTGCGGGACTTCCGGTCCCCAGGCTTCCGCGAGTTCGTGGGCAAGTGCCGCGGTTCCGTAGTCCGGTGGACTCTCTTCGTCGATATCTTCCAGCACCATCCCAATGGTCTGAGAATCGTCGACGTCCTCCAGTACCATTCCAATGGCCTGGGAATCGTTAAAGCGTGCCCTCCTGTCGTTCGGAGGTCTTCCTTGTCCCTGCTTCTTGGGCTGTCGGCAATCTCTAGCCCAGTGGCCTGTTTTGCCACAGTTGTTGCAAGTGTCATTCTTCTTGTCGCGTGGTGGGCGCTGTCCCTGGTCCTGGTTCCTGGGCTGTGCCTGAGAGATTGCGCCGACGCTCTCATCCATCGGTCCTGGGTGAGTGCCGTACGAGGTGCTTGGAGTGTGCCTCTTTTTCTTGTCATTGGCTTTGTTGCCCTGACTCCCGTAATAGCCTCTTGTCGAACGTCCCTCCTTTTTCTCTCTGCGCCTCTCATTCTCGCGCTGGAACCACCTGTCGTCGATGTTGATTGCCGCGTCGATGTACTCCCTCAGTGTCTCCGGGCGGGGCGTTTTGCAAAGCTCATCCTTGACGTGGTCCTTGAGACCATCGTAGAACGCAAGCAGTTGCCCCTGAACCGACCAGTCGAGGTGCAACATGCAGGTCTAGAAGTCCACTGCATATTCAGCCACTGAACGAGTCTGCCTCAACTTTTTGACCTGTTCCTCCGTCTTCCGTTGGATGTGACGGTCCGCGAAGAATTCTCCCATTCGTGCAAGAACCTCCCTGACTCCCTTCTGGATGACGGCGTGGACGTCCGGGTTTCTGTCCGCAATCTGTAGCGCTAGCGCCTTCTGGTAGGGTTCGAACCAAGTGGCCGCCTTTCCAACAAGTCCAGTACCGAGGTACGTCACCCCATCCTTGTGGTATGGCAACTCGTCGACGTTGTATGTCGTGTAGGAAAGCACTGAATCTTTCCATGTCTCGAACTTGTCTTTGTCCCCGTCGTAGAGTTCGGGGTGGGGGATCTTCAGCTTCTTCTTGGGAGGTGTTTTGGCCGCTTCTAGATCCCGAATCCTGTCTCCGGCCTCCGTCAGATCCGTTCTCAACTGGGTGACTTCCGCCACCAGCTGCTCGTTGGTCGCCATGTTGTCGTTCAGCGAGAGGGGTCCGAGTTGCTGCGCGAGGTCCGTGACTCCTTCGTCACTGGCGTTATCCTGGGATGGAGCCGCGTCTGCGTCTCTGATCTCCGTATCCTCAGGCTGGATGGATCCAGCGATGCTACTATCGTCAGACTCGTCACTGCTTGACGAACCGGGTTCTCCTTCTGGCTGGGTGTCTGGCAGGACCGTGTCCTCCCCAGGCGTAGCCAGGTTGTCGGTGTGCGATGAGCACTCTGTTCAATCAGTACCAAAGAGAGAAGCAAGCAACGTATTACAAACCACTCGACTGTTAGGGTCATCTGTCTGTAAGAGAGCACGGGCTCCACAGGATGATGGGGTTGGTAATTATGAAGAGAGAACAAAGGGCAAGCTCCTATCGCGCGGGTAATACAGTCAAATCGGGATGCCACTCAAAGTGTATGAGTGCAGTGAATGTGTATTGCTTGCTTGAAGAACCAAGCAAGAACTATCTAAGACCGTGGCTACGGTCATCGTATTTATCTAATTCATGTAACCAATCAGAGTTCTCTCTTTGCGCTCCGTGGGCCCCGGGTGCTCTGCTCACAGAGCACGGAGGCCCCGCAGAGCGTCCGCTCCGTCCGCTCTGTTGGTCTTGGCAGCTAATCGGGCAGAGCACTACCTGATTGGCTGCACCGAACCCCTGCGGGGCCCGGCCCGCCTGAATGAAATGCAAAAAGCTTTATTCGGTTGCGCCGAGCCTAGCGAATGTAATGAAGATATTCGCATGCAATTACGGCTTGTTCTGCGATGTATCGGCTTGTTCAAAGTAATCATGAAATTCGTGATGTGGAGGGCAAAATAGTGCTCTGCCGGCCTTTGTAGCGCTCTCTACAGCGGGTGGTAAGCAAGCGTAAATTACGGAGTGAGTTACCTTACGGGGCTGCGTGTAGTGCTGGAAGCGGCCTAGTTGAAATTTATGTAACCGTTGGAAAAACGCCTCTTTTCAGATGTAACCAATTGCGCCCAGACAGGCTGGCTAATGCAGGCCAACGGAATGGGCCTAGCCCATGAAAATCCCGTTGAAACGTTGTTTCTCCGCACGTGGAAAGAGATGACTTCTTTCGTCGCTTCAGTCGCCTCAGTCCCTGGCAGCTCGGGAAGCTTAAACCTGCCGTATTGATCTAGCAGCCCCCGGGGCGCGGCGAGTCTGGGTCCATTTCCGCGATTGAGTTATCGAGTTCTTTTATCCGGACCTTGGGGACCTTGAAGATTTTCCCATCCTGATTCTCTTCTCTATATACGAAGTCGAGAGGAGGGTTCGGGTGGGCGGCCTTATAGATCATGACGGCGGGTACCGCGAGATCCGCCACGACCTGCTTTACCGGGTTCCAGTGCCGGAACGAAATAACGGCCGTGAGCTTGTCGATTTTGAGGAACAGCTCGCCGTTGGACTCGACTAGTACCACCCCCGCGTTCGTAAGGACCGCTGTCTCGTGGGGATTCCAGGTTCTCTCAACGTCGGTTTCTAGCATGTAGATTGGTATGCTTATATTTTCGCGCGTCGTAATTGTTGTCATTTGTGTGATTTGTTCATTTACGCACATGGTGACTACCCAGGAAAATTGGCCAAATGTGGTGCAAATCAGGGCGTTAAGCTGGCTGTTGGCCAACACGTTGAATGGGCATGCATGTATGTGAGGCCGATCGAGCAGAGTGGAGATGTATTTTATGGTATTGAACTAAATAGAGGGCAAGCTCCTATGGCACGGGTAATATAGAACTGGATTGCCACTCAAAGTGTATGAGTATAAAGAATGTGTATTGCTTGCTTGAAGAACCAAGTAAGCTCTATCTAGGACCGTGGCTACGGTCATGGTATATATCTATGTTCGTGACCCACGATCTCTTGGACTCCACGTCGTCGTCCCTATCCAGTTCGTAATCGCCACACTCAGACTGATAGTCGCAATCAGGATCCTCCTCGTCGCATTCGCAGTCCTCCTCCCCCTCATCGTCATCGGCGTCATCCTCGTCATCCTCGTCGCCCTCACCCTCCTCTCCCCCCTTGTGCTGCTTGCCACCGCCCCTGGCCCGCGTCTTGTCCTCTTCCAGATCTGAGATATCCTCGTCAAAGTCCCTAGATTTCACATCCCTGTCTCCTTTATAACTAAAACGGAGGACTCGATAGTACCAAGACGGGAGATTGCGGCCGTCTCTCTGCTAGCGACGAGTCTTTTCGATGCGCAAAGTCTCCTTTGCTCGTAGGGGATCAACTCGCTTCAAATATTTGTTGCGTATACTGTCGACGTGGGTGATTCCTTGTTGAGTTGTTAGGAGATTTTGTTACTAAAATACTACTAACGATGACACACTCGCCTCATAAAGAGGAGCAATACCAATGTGTGAGAAACGGCTGGAATTGCAGAGTTATCCTGGCGATGGTGGTTTCGATGAAAGTGGCTGGATGTGGCTGGAGAAGTCCTCGCAAACTGTGGCGGAAAGGTCCGTGTGTTCTGTCTGTCAGATTCTTGGTCAGCAGCCACAACCCAGCCCAACCAACTCAAAGGCACCCTTCGATCGGCCACTACGACACCACCTTTCCGGTAGTTGTATCTGGGATGTCATATTCGGCGGCAGTACGGAAGGAAATCTACCTTTCCTGGAAACCAGTATTTTCGAATCCACGCTATAGCCAGCTACGAAAACTGGGCAAAATCAAAGCAGTTATCAACCTGTATGCCCCGGCGTCACACAAGTTCTGGCATCCAAACCTCGCCGAAATTTTGAAGGAACTGCTAGAGGAGCAGGTATTTTATCTCGATATCTACGCGTCGATATCTACGCGAAGAAACATTTCCCCGAGCTTTTCAGTTCCGCGCAGACGAAGAAGAGTCCAGAGATGCCCTCCAGCTCAGATGGCAACACGTATAACGAGGCTCATCAGGAGTTAGCGGAGTCCCTAAAGAGGTACTTACCTGTCGTTTTTCTAAGATTAAAATGCAGGAAGCTAACATGAGTTAACTAGACTGTACGCCAGGGGTTCCTACTCTGACCTTGAGATAACCTGTCAAGGGAAGAGCTATCCAGTGCATAAAGCTATTGTATGTCCGAGATCTGCCTTCCTCGCAGCAGCTTGCAGTGGACAGTTCAAGGCAAGCAGTTACCTATATATTCAACGGTCTAAAACTAACATCTGGTTTAGGAGGCATCGGATGGAAGGATTGACCTCTCGGCTAACGACCCTAAGGCCGTTGGTGCGATGATCAGTTACCTTTACTGCCTTGACCACCTAAACAGCGTTGAGGATCCCGCAAACTCGATTCAAGCGCCAGAGACCTGCCCTGAGCTTGTAGCTCACACCAGGGTCTACATACTTGCAGAGAAATATCTCATTGGCGGCCTCAAGACCCTTGCGCTCCGGAAATTCACGACTTCAGTTCACGACCACTTCAACGTTAATAGCTTTCTTTAGGCGATGGAGGAGGCATACAATAATACTTTAGAAAGTGATAAGGGGCTCAGGAACGTCATCATAAGCACCTTATACCAGCAACGCCATTTGCTGGATCGAGAGGAGGTACAACTCATCTTGAAGGATCTTGGAGAAGTTACTTTTGATCTTGTTATGTACATGAAAGGGATGATGTAGAGACTCTCGGTGCTGCCAAAACAATAAGTCTGCACACATTGGTTGTTCGCACTCACCGACTAACCACTTAAGTATCACAATCCTGCTTCCGGGATTGGCTCATTCACTCTTAGTAGTAGGCCTCACAGAAAGCAAATCATGTGAATCCCTAATCTCAGGTCAACCTTCGACTAGTTATTCGGTTAGCGCCGTTATAGCCCTTATGTCGGGGGATCGCGCGGAAATTCGCCTTGGGTTTCTCTATACGTAAGACGGCGCGTAAATTGAATGGGCAGAGTAGAAGACCCTAGCTAGGGAACTTTCAAGCGTTCTGGTGTGAGCCTCCGCAGACATTAAATGCGGCAGTCTCCCAGCGCGTATAGGATGACTATACGGAGGATTATTGCGAGGATTACCCAAAGGAGCGCAATGTGGGACTTGGACACGGTCTTTGGCGTGCCCAGGAAGGTAAGGAGTACTCCTACTGATGCGCCCCAGTCCTAGGAACTTAGCTAGCGTTCATTTACAAATAGTGGAAGTGATGCTATCCTTAGTGTAAGGATAAAGGTTTTGGGCGAAACTTGCCCCAGTCTTGCAACGTTATAAATGACACGACGCTCGCTGCTGATTTAAAGAGCTGTAATTCGCGAATATGGCTCATGTGGCTACGTAGAGCAATTCCGCCGAGACGAGGACGCTATGACTACGGCCGCACAAACCACCGACGCTATCCACCCTGGCTATAGCTTTCTCGCCGAGACCGCCGACTTCCTAGTCTCCCTATTAGAAAAGTGGTCGGTAGCCGAAGGCTAGAAAGTACTATTATTACTAGAGCTAGTAGAGGGAAAGGAGGAGTAGGAAGTAGAAAACATTGTAGAACACAAGGATGAGAGAGAGCGAAAGAGGTTCCTAATCAAGTGGGTAGGCTGGCCAGTAGAATACAACACCTAGGAACCTAGGGAACACTTGGCTAACGCATAAAAAGTGCTATATGTTACGATCCTGGTCCAAGTCTGTAGGAGGCGCTGGAAGCCAATTGCTAATTGGGCAGTACAGGTGACGACTTTCCGATAATCCAGCTTATCCCCCAAAAACAGTCAAGATTTCGCTGACCAAGGTACAGGACACCCTCCCCCCCATTAAAGTTCAAGATCGTCAAGGTCGTTGCCCTCGGCTTCAGCCTGCATATCAGCCTCTCCCCGACAACCCCAACGACACTATTTAGGGCATTCGAAGAATACGATCCGCACGAGACAGTTCAGGAGGTCTAAGATTAGCTGAACAGCTGGGCAAGCAGTTTGGGGTTGCCTTCGTCCGGCGCAGCGGGAGCAACTACCGCAATGGCGACCGCAGTGGCAAGGTCGAGCCATCTCGTGGCACTATCCGCAAAGCCCGCAGCAGGAAGTGTGGGTGTGAGTGGCGTTGCGTAGCTACTGCCCGTAAGGACCATCCACGCCGATACCACCGACCCTTGTCACCATTCACATAACCATCCTCCTTCCCTTCACCCATCAGCTCACTCAGTTTGACTTGTCATCCTCAGTCTACTCAGAATTAGAATTTATTCCTCGAGTATTAAATAATACGCGAAAACGACTCCTTACCAAACCCTTGCCTGGCTCCTGTCTTACTGCCTCCATAATCTCATCGTCGCTCCAGCCTGTGACTTCTTGCCGGCTCATTGCGGTCCAGAAATGCGTTTTCTAGCCTTTCCGCCTTCGAGCCACAAATTGAATGCTGACAGCTGTAGGATCGCTGTCAACCCTGTAGGCAGCTGCAGTAGGCCTGTCAAGAAGGATGCTTGTTGGTCTGGAGGTCGGTTGGCAGTGCCAACGGGTCAGTGGTAACCGTATGCCGGTTCCCGGGCACCTGTGTGCCTGCTTCCCGGGCCCGGTGTGTGAGGTCCGCAAAGGCGAGCCGTTGTTGTACCTGCTCGGGGGTTTACCCCGGCTACCACCCCCTCTCGCCGTTGCGAGTCCGGCATCACCGGGTCGGGGTTTTCTTCGGTATGGAGGAGTGTCGTATTGGAGTGCCTAGAGCGGCGAGCCCTGCCGATGTGCCTGAGGGCGACATGCCCTGCCGATGTGCTCCGTGAGCTGTGAGGTCGATGTGCCTACCCGCCGTGCTCGCAGGGCGGCATGTGAGGTTTGTGACGGTATGCCCTAGTCAGGGCGCCGTTGAGGCGTCTTCCTGCCGGTTAGGGACTTTGTGGCGGCATTACAAGCCAGCTGCTTGGAGACGGCGTGCCCGGTGCGTATGCCTACCAGGACTTGAAGCCGTACGGGGCGGCACGGTGCCGTGCCTGTGTGTGCCCGGGGTCCAGCCTGCATGGCTGCAAAAGGCTGTATGCCCGGGACTGGTTGTTGTATTCCGTGTGCCGATGAGCCTGCCCGCCGTGCTCAAGGCGGCATGATGACTTCGATGCGGGTACTCCGCGTAGCAGCTGCGTGCCTAGGGAGCGCCCTGCGCGTGTGTTGCTTCCTGCCTTAGGGCGGCGTGCCCTGCTTCTTGCCTGCGGTGCGCGTCATCGCTACACGCCTTGCGCGTACCCAAGCCGGACTCCTTGGAGGATCCCGGCTATACGCGGCACCCGAAGTTTACATACCGCTACGCGACAAAAAGAGAAACACTCATATGAGCTTGCAGGCCGCACTTCAAGCCGAGGTTTACTCGTTTGGATTACTGGCATGTTTTGTTGCGCTCCAGAGCAACGATCCGTTCAAGGAAATCACTGATGCCATTACTGCGGGAACCGACATTCCTGGATGGAGGAGCTTTCCGGGCGGCGAACTCATTGAACAGTCCAAGTGCCATCCCGAAGCAGATAAGTTCTTGCTGCCAGCGTTGAAATATGTCGTGGAACGGCAAGAGAAAGACACGGCCGATCTAAATCAGCTCCTGAGTCCGTGGATACCGAGTTTACTCCTCATGTCTCCTATGGATCGATGTGCCGATCTCTCAAAGATATTCTCGTTTAACAGTAATCCAGAGAGCCGGATCTCCGCAAGGTAAGACTTGAATCGTTTATTTAGGCAGCCTCTGCGGTTGATTACGGTGCTGATATAATAAATTATGCACTAGCGGCCTTTCGTCGAATCTCGGGGTTAGGGGATATAGGATGTTCTATATGAAAGGAAAAGTACAGCAACTACTTGTTTCAGGACTGGACGTGAGTAAAGTCTACAACTTCCCCTTATCTAGTTGGTCAGTTACTGATGCGCAGAATCACAAATCAAGGTCGAAGTCAAAGTACTGCATCTCTTTCAGAACTACGACCGTGTGGAGTATCTGTATCGTGACTTAAAGGCGAGCGCCAATATGCTGCTACAACTACGCGACCAAGCTTATTCATGCGCCGGTGGGCTGAGACAGTTAGCGCAAGCGTCATACTCGTGTTATCAGGTTTACAGTCTTCATGCAACTGGATTCATCGATTTAGACACGGCAATGGCACAAGAGTACCTGTTCGCGAGCGCAAAAGGCGGTTACCTGCAGGCGATCTCCGAGCTTGCAAAAAGAACCCTTCTTCGAGAACCTAATTGCAAATTGGAGCCCTTCCTCATATCAGCTCTTTCCTCCAGCATCGAAATTGGTCCACGGTACAGCCGCAGTTTGTGGCTTCGCACGTGCTCATTCCTCGTCAAAGCAGCTCCCGAAGAGCTGGAAATGAGCATCAAAAGACTACGTAATTCTGGGTATGGGGAGCTTGGGGAAGCTCAGGACCTTGTTGAAGGCCTGGATATCACATCGTATGCCGGGCCGGATATCTCGTACGTATGGATACCGCTTCGGAGCGCCGAGTTCTTCGAACGATTATTGCATCTCTGGCCAGCTGATGCTATTATGCAGTTAATGCATAGAAACCAATTTGGAGCTTCGCATCAAGCAGCCAACGGCGATACCATGGTTTACCTAGCCTGCCGTGCCGGGGCAGCTGAGGTGGTCGAAAGACTGCTAGTTGAATGGGACTGGGCCAAAGAGCAAGCTCCAGTTGCGAACAAACAAGGGGTGACACCGCTGCATTGGCTACATCAGATGGAACAACCCTGGATGCAGAAAATAGGGGATATGTTGGTGGAACACGGGGCCGATATTAATGCCCTAGATGAAGAGCATCACCGGCCCCTCGATTGCGCTATACTCGCTGGACGACGTGACGTTATGGAATTTTTACTGTCTAAGCGTAAGCACCCCAGCCCCGGGTATTTGCCTACGGACAAATGTGCTGATATTTCATGTCACTTACAGGAGAGCCATTATTCGTCAACTCAGAACGGCTTGAGAACGATAACACAACTGTGATTAACGGAGTCCACACAGGCTCCACGTATCTCGTCAAGCAAGCCCTCGAGACAGCGAAAACAAGCGATATACTTCGCTGTCTGCGTGAAACTTGCATTCGCAGATTCGGCCCACTAAGCTATATTGACACAGACAACGGGTCGTGCCTTGAGCTGCTTGTGGAAAAACTCCCGGTTTCAGGTTTTGCACCATCCACCCTGATCGATGCGATAGTGTTTGCTGTGGCCAATGGGTACCACGAGGTCGGCATGAAGCTCATTTCTAGCAACATTTTAATAGCCAACGGCTTTTCCCCAACAGAGTCGATGCCTGCCCTACAATGCGCAGCCAGAAAATCACAACCGATTATATTCGATGCCCTCTTGGGGGTTACAAAGGGTTGGCAAGTCCCAGAAGCATACGAACTACTCAGCATGACAATTCAATTCCGTGGGCCTAAGCAATCGGAAATTGTTAGCCGGCTCCTTGTAGTTTTAGATGATATCGGGCTCGCGGTCCCAGCGGTCAACTACCGCTCCCCGAAATCCTGTCATCCAGGTTGCCAAGTCGTCCATACCCATTGGTTTCATCTGACAGCTTTATGGAACGCCATCGACGAAGGGAATTATGGTGTGGCTCGCATTATAGCGCCCTACGTCGACTACGACGAGGCAGTGCCTTCAACCCTTTGCCACCTGCTCAGCGGCGAAAACCCTCGCCGAAGGGTTTTGGAGGACATGCAGTTTCTTGTTGACCTGGAGACTGAGCAGAATCATGAGCATACTTTCTACGTCTGCGACCCTGTTACCGGCGAAACAACCTTACATGTAGCGATTGCAAACCATGGTACATAGTGCCCCTTTTCTTATTATCCCAGCATGTATCATGGCTGATTGGAATCACAGACAAGTACCGATCCTCGCAAGATTTCCGCCACGTTCTGGAGACGCTTCTGGACTGGGCTGCCACTACCGACTCAGACATCAACCAATGCGATCGTCAGGGACGAACAGCTCTCTCAGAGGTTATCGCTTTGGGCCTCGACGGGGTCGCCGGTTTGCTCCTTGAAGCCGGGGCTAACAAGTCTCTCCTGTCACGGTCGCCACAGGGCTTATGTGACAGGATTGATTCTATTGGCTGCATTGTGCTTAAGGTGTGGCCTGTGCGCACTGAGCACCACTACCTATTTCTCCGCGCCCTGCGCGGACCCGGCGATAGATTCCTTTCTCTTCCTTAGCTTTAAATCCACATTCGTTACTGCCTTCAACCATTGACATCCCTACTGCGTAAGGCGGGCCGTCACACGCCCCACCACGCTAGAAAGCATTTAAACGCTTATATCTCAGCCAATTTCCCTTATAAAACGAATCGGGCTTTAGATGGCGACTTCTGGTCGACGAGGGATCTAAAAAATACCAGGGACTATCCCCTCGAGCGACTCGAGGCTCTTCAGATCCCTGCAGTCCTCGGGTGTGGGTTGACCGGCCGCAAAAAGTACTATACTCCCGCCATATGGGTGTATCGCAAGCCTCCTCGTAGCCCGAGGAATGCCTCTTGGATACTTAACCCGCGAGGCTCCCCTTATCCCACAAGACCGTCCTACCCTACCTCTTGTGAGGGCCTGGTCCTCCAGGCCTCCCAGACGCTCTGACTAATCAGACGCCAGTTGGGTGGATCCACCCGACCAGCCAGAGCCCCACCTTGAGACGCCCTGGAAGAATCTCGCGAGGGGAGGCTTTTGAGCTTCTTTTCCCTTTTCCCTTTAGTTTAGAATCTTCGTCTATAGCGCCCAATAGAGGAGTTCCGCCCTCATTCCAAGCCGGCCGTGACAGGTAATATGCCTTTGCTTGATCCCTTGTTGAACAACACGGGAATGATTCCTTCTCTCTGAACAGCACCCAACATCAAAATGATCAAAGAGCCTATTATCTTGGCTAGATTTTCTGCTTTCATCAGACAATTCGACTCTTGCTTCAATCTGGCTTATAGTCTAGTAGACCCTGTAGGTAAACGGCAGGCCCAGCTCGCTACCCTCCCAGGAGAGGCTGACGTGCAGTCTCTCGTCCAGCTGCACTGGCGGCCGGTGGCGGTTCTCCCTGGGCGAAAACAACCACGAGTGGGTAATATCGTCGGACTGGCCATCCTCGGGCGGATCCGGTTCTGGTGGCGGTTGCGTGTTGTGCCGCTCGCCATCCAAATTCCAGTCGCGCTGCTCGCAGAGACTCAGGAACCTCGAGGCCGTGCACGAGTATCTCCGAAACACCAGCCCGTCTATCGCAAAGAATGATCTCTCGCTCCCACTTTCACTCTGCCATATTTCGCTGTCGTCGTCATCATCGCCTGATTCCTCGTCGCCCTCAGTCTGGTTGGTGTACCTCCACACCGCCGCCTCGTCACCGTCAGAGGTCGCCCCCCAATTATCTATCCTCCCCCCAGCCGATCCTGCGCGGAGCTGGAGCTGGCCATCGATGACGCCGTGCTGGAGCTTTCTTTTATGCTCGGTATCTCTCCCACCTGCCTCAGCCGCTCTCGGACTCGCCTCATACACACCCAACACAAGACCGTTCCCGTCGCCGATCGCAAGCCAGTCCCCTAGCGCGCGCACAGCTTTTGAGCCCGCTGGCCCCGGCGGCGCATCCGCCTTCGCCTGCGAGTACCGGTAGGCCTCCTTCTGCTCGGCCGCGAACACCTCGATGAGCTGCCACACGCAGTTCGCCACGGCCAGCACCCACACCGGCAGGCGTCCTCGCCGATGAGTACGGTCGCGCATGCTCACACATGCGTACGCCGCCGACGCCCCGCGCCCCAGCAGCTCGCGTACCAGCTGGGCATCGCCCCCCGTCATCGCCGATAGTAGTAGGCTCAAGTCTGCTCCCTCTCCATTTACACCTCCATCTCCATCTCCATCTCCATCTCCATCCCCAGAAGACGAGGTGAGAAGCAACCGCGGCTGCCGGGCGACTAGGTGCAGCACGTAGCGCGTCTGAGCATACGCGGCAGCAAAGTGCGGCCACGACGCGCGCGCTAGCGAGTCATGCACGCTGGCGCCGTCGGTGTTCCCGTGCGTGGCGCACAGGGGCGGCACGCTATACCCAAGGTGCGCTCTCGATGGTGGCACAGGCGCGTCCAAATCCACATACACATCGTCGTGCATAACAACAGCGCGGAATCCCTCAGCCACGGGCACGGCGAGGTCGTGCGCGAGACAGTGCAGCGTCTCGACGAGGAACTGGTGCGGCAGGTCCGAGGGGAGCATGAAGTGCGGGCGCGGGCGCGGGCGGAAGCCGCTCGTGTACTCGGCCAGCCGCAGGCGTGCGAACGCGTCGTCGACGTCGAGGTGCGCGTAGTGTCGTATGCGTAACGTGGCGAGCTGGGCGGGCGCCGCCAGGTAGTCCATGGCAGTACGGTGGAAGAACTGGATGCCGTGCGCGAAGAAGGCGTCGGCGGCGGGACCGTCGCTGCTTTGGACTGGGCAGACTTCTAGCAGGCCTTTGGTGAGGCTGTGCAGCTGGCGGCGGACGTAGTCGAGGGCGTCGGTGAGGGCGGCGGTGGAGAGCGGGGGCAGTGCGGTGCACATGGGGAAGCCGGGGTCGGCGTCGAGGTCGTCGAGCCAGGAATAGACGACGGCGTTGAGCGGCGACGGGAACGGGTTGGTGACGGCAAGTAGCAGCATCAAGTCAGAGCGGCGGCGGTCGGATCCGAGAACGGTGGCCAGCAGGCGCTGGTATAGGTCGTCGAGGCCCTCGGGTACGCCGTCGAGGCGGCGCATTAGCACGTCGAGCTTGTCGCGTCGCCCTAGCGAGTCTAGTAGCAGCCGAACCGTCAGCCACGCCCACAGGAACACGCCCTCGGCCTTGTCGACGATGCGGCGCGCCAGGTCCTCGCACGAGTCGGCGGATATGGTGGCCGTGTTGGCGTCCTTGGCGAACATCTCAAGGCTGAAGCGGTAGATGTCGTCGCGGGTTAGCGTGTGTAGGTGGATGACCGTGTTAGGCGGGCCGGCAAAGGTGACTAGGAATTCGGTGTGCGGCCGCGCGCTGATGGCCATCTTAATGTCGGCCTGGCGCGTCCAGGCCTGTAGGTGGCGCGCCAGCTCCCAATGGGCGGCGCTGTCGCCGTGGTACTCGTCGAGCCCGTCAATAAACAGGCAGAAGCGGTGCGTTGGGTTAGAGGCCTTGGCCGCGAGCAGCTCAAAGGCGCGCTTGACGGCGCTCGCCGCCATGTGGTTGCTAGGCTGGGTCGTGCCCTGGTGCGCCATGGCGTCCCACTGCTGCGGGAACACTTGGACGATCAAGTCCGGGCACTGGCACAGCACCTCAAATAGAATTGACCGGTACAGCCCGTCGAGCGACATCTGCAGCTCGTCCTGCGCCGACCGCCAGAAGTAGAAGTGCGCCGTGACGAGCTTCTTGCGGCCCGCCCACTCCATGAGCGCTAGCTTGGTGCGCGCGTCGTTGTACAGGAACTTCATCAGCGTCGACTTGCCCGACCCGGCCTTGCCCGAGATATGGAAGATGTGGCTACCGTAGTGGAGCCAGGACATGAAGACCGACTCTTTACGCAGTGGTCGCCGTGGGTGCATGGGGGAGCCGTCAAGGTCGGAATCATGTTCGGATTCAAGTGATGGCGCTGGTGCTCGTTCAGTCTTAGTCATGTCCAGGGCCTCGACGTGCTCAGCCTCCGCCGGCTTCCAGTCTTCTGGTTCAACTGATTTAGGGCCTTCTCTCTGTTGGGGGTCTTCCTCGACAATTCCAGAAATAGGCGTCGATGCCACCGCTGACTCGGACGGAGCTTTTGCTTCAGACTTCTCGGATGCATCTCCCTGGGAACCGTCGTCATCGCTCGACACGTAGCCAGCAGACTCAAAGGACGAGTGGAGCATTCCATGGCCATATTCAACTGTGATAGCCTCCAGGCCGAAATTTGAACCCGGTAGTATCGTTGGCGGTTCCTCGGGAGTGTAAGAACCGCCGTCATCGGGGCAGCAGCCGTCATCGCCCTCGACGCTCTCCTCAAGCATCCACTCAAACGTACCACTATGGGCGTCGTGGATGGTGTCCTCGCGAGAGTATCTGGACTTGAAGTCGAGTTGCTTCAGGATTTCGTGCTGGATGTTGATGCCCTTGGTTAACGAGATGAGCTCCACTATGAGCCTGTGCACGCCACGCAGAGTATCTTTCCCGGGGTCCGCCGGATTTTGTTGGATCTTTGTTGTTTCTTGGACTTTGGGGGGTTCTGGTATCTTCGGGGGTTCTTCGGCACTGTATAGCGTCTCGGAGTCTGAATCATAGTCGTCTTCCTTCTTCTGGATGCTTGCTACCGCCTCCAGGATGTCGCTACGTAGCGCGTCGAGCTGCGATCCAGTGACAGTGTTGAGATCGCTGGCTTCCTTGCGGATCTGATCGAGCTGGACCTTGATGGACGACTGCTGGTCACTTCAATCTGAGTCAGCCAACGATACCGGAGAAGCTGGTGACAGTCTGGGTAACAATACTTCAGCATCAGGCCCAGACGCAGCATGATCTCGCTGCGGTACTCGCGGAGCCTGTCGAGGATGGACTCGACATCGGCGGCCTTGCGGATGCTGGCCCATTTGACGCGCAGGCTGCCCCAGACCGAGTTCTTCTTCTCGCTGCGCTTGAGCTTCTTCAGGAGGGCCATCAGTTCGGCTGACAGCTCAGAACATTCAGCCGCGAGCCGTCGCAGGGCCTTTTCGTGTTTGGAGTCGCCCGACGGGGTGCCGTCGAGGTCTTCGGAGACGCTGCGCAGGTCGCTGATAACATCGTTGATGTGCACATTTTCGATCGTCTGGCCTGTCGCCGACTGGTAGACCTCGTAGGTCCCCTTGGCCAGGCCCCAAGAGAAATCGACAAAGGCGAGAATGGTGGCGGCAAAGGAAACTGCAGCGAATGGGTCCATTGCGGCACCGAGGCGGCCCGTGAGGGCGAGTGAGGTGTTTTGTGCGGCTTTTACTCCGCATCCATGTAGGAATTTGGGATGGACTGACGCGAGCGGGGTCGGTCGCATCCAAAACTGACAGAGAGGCGGCAAAATAGCACAACACGCCTGCCAAATGCAGCCCCCAGTAATTAATTGGTTGTCCACTTAGAGGGCCATCGCAGGAAAGGCGGCAATTTTTATGGACGCTCCTGCCCGCCAGGGAGAACGTCATCAACCTTGAAGTGTTTCACCCCGTGGCTCCTTCCACCTACTTTGCCCGAATCTCCCTCGCCAGAGTGGGGCTACGGAGCTTGCACGTGTAATTTAGCATACATGCGTCTAATTAAACGGACCTAATTTGTACGTTTGTCGAACTGAAGAAAGGGCGCCAGGACTTAGGTAATACGGCGATGTGGAATGATTTCTATTTGAAGCCTCGAGAATGGTAAAAAATCTTCCATAACTAGCGCGCGTGACTAGGCGACGATAGATTAACATTCCTTAATACGACGTTCATTCCGGCTTGATCGAATCTCGGCTCGATCGAGTCCTTCATCGCCTTGTCGCGAGGCTGACCATCCCTCACCATACTTGCGCACCCATATCTTTCTGGTCTCAGTGTTTCTTGGACACTGTTTACCAACTGCTCAAAGACAGCGTTGAAGGTATGTGGTTTATATGATTATTCACTGGATTGATTGTGTGTCACGTGAATGTGGCCGCCGTTGACGGACACCAGTCTAGTCTCCATCTGTGCAGGAAAATCCTGGTCATGTTCAGACAGAAGACGAGCACGCTGCTCATGTTACTGGGTGCCTGCAGTTTCTGTATGCAGGCCTAGCTAGCCACCTATTATTCACCCGTCTAAGACACTACCTCGTCTCTTCTCACTCGTCCGCGCGCCAAGCAAATCGGCATTTTCGTCTTCATCTTCACTTTTCTCCGACACATTACGGAGAGATCCGTTTTATCCCCCTCTTTCTAGGCCCGATCACCAAAAATGGCCTGAAGAGAACAAGGGACGAGACCGAGAGCGAGAGCGACGAAATCCTGCGTCCCAACAAATTCACCATTGTTGCTGACGAAAGCAACCTCCAACCAGCCAATACTGGTGGCCTCGACACCGTCTCAAGGGTGATTGTCCGGACAAGCGCCATATCGATGCCTTCGACACCTCTCAGCCTGCCTGTGGTCACACTGCCGCTGCGCACGCTCTTCGATCTGCCAGCAGAAATATTTGTCAAGATTCTGGGCTATCTAGGCCCGAGGTGTTTCCGCAAGAACACCCGCCGCCTTACCATTTCAAAGCAGTGATTTGAACTGGCTGGTTTGAACTGGCCTGCGAGTTTACATTTCGACACCTCGAGATTATGACCTGGGAACTGATGGAGCTCGTCCAATGCGAGGAAGCTCTTGAGCGCTTGCGCCAAACAGCCGTCGCATCGGTCGACGTGTATCTTGAGTATCCAGGCTTGCATCGAAGACCAGCGGAGATCCATGCAATGGAGTCAAGGATCGCGACGGTAGCCAGCGCAGTACGCCAGTTCCGCCAGCTAGTGAATTTGCGAATCCGAGATGACGGATCCTATTTCAGCGGTTTCTTTACAACCGACCGGAAATTGACTGCCTCGACCAAGTGGGCCAGCGGCATTTTCTCCCTTCCATTTCTGGACCCGGGCATGATGATCACAAACTTGCACCTCGATGTCGTCGGCGATGCCCCCGTAGGCAGCCCGCCCTCCCTCAGATCAGAGAGCCGGCATCGCTCTTTGCTTCTTTCTTTTTCTAGCCATCCTTCAGAAATCACGTCTTTTTACCATGAATTGAGATCCCCGGACCAGTGCACGCAGTGGTGTCTTTTTATTTGTTGTTTTTGACCACCTGGCAATGCAAGGCTGCACCTGTACTCTGAAAGGCTCGCCTTGGTGTTGTGGTGCCTTTTCACCACTTCAATGGTAGAAGATAGACGGAAATGAGTAGGTGGTAGGTGTATATGCAAATTTGAGAGAAGTATCTCTTAACCATCCAGACTTCCCTTTCGTCGCCTCGCTCCGTTATTATCATTTCAAGTGAACCCGCTATCGTCGAAGAATGCGCTTGTAATTGAGTCTTGCGCTCTCGAGTCTAGGTAGTCTTTGAAATGTCTACATCCCTTGCCCGACCCTCAACTGTTAATAGAAGCAGAAGCACATGTCTAGCCGTGAAGCAACACTATAGGGCTCTCGGAAGGGCAACTGCACCAGAGCTGCCAAAGATCAGACGGATAGCCACTTTACAACATTTCTGACTTCCACGCCACGCCTACCGTCTTGATCTGGCTGAAGCCCCCCTTGCCACCTGCCCCGCGTTGGGACAGTCGGCCACATGAATACGGTGGCCAGTACCGAAAATGCCCTTGTTTCCTTATCTATACGATGAGAACGGAGATATCCTGACCGTCACCCGATAGAACGACCACCCTGTTCACGTCACGAGGCGCCTAGAATTTCTGGCCACATGCCGTTTAGCGCCGCCTATGTATAAATTCAGCCAACAACCCTACCTTGTTCCCCACTTCCCTCTTTTCACTTAGCAGTGGAAGCCGGCACCCAGCCTTGTCCACTTTCTTCTCTTTGCAGTGGAAGCCAGTATGTCATCATCTTCACCGTCGCTTCTCTTTGCTACCTTCTACACAGAGAGCAATCCCACGCCTTCACCTGCTACGCCCGCAACTGTTGCCACTTCTATTTGCATTTCTGCTCCGAGTCCGAAATTCCGAGGCGCAGTAACAGCGAACCTGACTTCCGAAATCCAAGATGGCCCCGACTCTGCGACCAAGGAAGAGGGAGAGAGAATCCGCCGATGGCGACAACACCGATCGCCGCAGTAAAGTCAGAGTTGTTGGCGGCGCAACCGCTACGTCATTAGCTAATGCTAATTCCAATGCCAATGCTGACGTTGATGGCCACGACATTGGCTCAGCGCTCGTTACCCGCAACAGCGACATGTCACCAATGTCGGCACTTCTTGGCCTCCCCATCACAATGCCGTCAACCACACTCACCGGGCTACCAATTGATATCTTTGCCCAGATCATTGGCCACTTGGGAGGCAAAAAATTCTTCCGAGAAGACATCACCCGCCTCATGGTCTCGAAGCGGTGGTTTGAACAGGCTTAGGAGGTTATGTTTAGACACACGCAATTGACGACTAAGTTGGCAATGAACCTTGCGAAAAACAAGTGCGCCCTTGCGAACATGTTCCGGGGAAACGTCAAATCCGTCGAGCTCTACCTCGACAAGCGACGGAGCTTTGGCGGCCTGATGTACCCGAAGGACCGAACAAAGTTTCATTCGTCTTTAGCCGCTCTCACCAAGACTCTGTCCCAGTTGCGCCAGCTGCAAAATCTAAGCATTCGAGACATAGGAGTACATTCCTACAATTCCTATTCGGCGTTCCTCAATATACGGAACCAAGATGTCATGTCGCGGTGGGCGACCGGGGGGTTCGTCCGGGGCAACCTGGCCCGTGTGTTTTCGGCCAGCGATCTGACTATCACGAACTTATGCCTGGACGTCGTTGGGGAGTATGCGCGGAATGGCTGCTCAATGCAGCCGAGCGGCCACTTCTGCCGCTCGGTCGGCATTTTACTCGGCAGCATTCCGACGCTGAAGAAGTTCCACTGCCGCACTGCGTTCGTCTGCAAATGCCTTCTCGACACGCCCGAGAGAAAATCCAACCAGCCACCCCTTGCACTCGAGGAGGTGCTGGTCAGCCTATGCTTTGTCGGCCCGCTAGGTGCTGGCCCGAAGCTCTACCACTCGCGCGGATGCAGGTTCTCTGGGTATCGCTCAAACGACACCTCGACGTTGATTCGGCACATGGGGGAACAGGCAACCAAACTTGCTGGCAAACTCCCTAACCTAAAAACTGTCAAGGTCCTGTCTTGGAAAGACACCGGCAATAGTGAAGTTAGCTCTGGAACTGACGTTTATGCATTTGACGCGGTCACTGGGCGACGAACCCTATGGACGAAATCAGAATCCTACAAGAATTGGTCCTGGGACGATCCCAGGGGCGAGCCTGACTTCTAGGACGTGCAGTGGCTACCCGAAGGAGGAGCAGGAGACGCTTTGAAGCTCGCTCGGCGGCGGACGAGATGAAAGCATTGTTGTACAGACCTGAGTCATAATGGACTGGATGGGTTAGGAATCAACTAGGCCGATGAAGGATGGACTGGATAGATGGGAAATGAACTAGATAGATGGGAAATGAACTAGATAGATGGGAAATAAACTGGATACGCAAAAGTGACTCGTCATCCATGAATAATTTGCATTTGCCGTGGATATTTATATGTTGGTAATAGTATCAGTAGGTGTCTTACTGGCTTTGTAGTGTTTGACAAGATCATATCACCTCCCAGTAATACAAGCACCTGTCCGATCGTGAAGCAGTAGGCAGTATGTTAGTAGGACCCCTAGAAATGCAACACCGCCAGTGACGTCGACGGCCAGACGCCAGATCGCCAAGTCACTAGACCAATGCTATTATCCAGACTATTTGGACGATAGCATGGAGATTCCTCAATTGGTTTCCACGTGACGCAGTCCTAGCCTAGAGCCAAGGCAGAAAGCCGTTTTGCGTTTTGCCACCTGCCCCTCGTTAGAACCGGCCACGCCCTTTCATAGAGAGCTCCTTCCGACACGACACTGACTGACTGACCAGTCTACCTAGTGACAACCAACACCAATACTCAATCACGAACAAGATTAATCACTCGATTCCGTTCATTCCTTCATTTGGGGCATAACCCGACTACAGTTCGGCAATTTCCTGCGCTGCCTTTTGCACTCGGAAAATCCACCTCGATCGCCGACTTCGCGATCATTCAGCGACCATCCGACTGTCAATCGTCTTTCTCAGTCGTACATCAATTCCGAAATAGCCAAGTCATCATGATTCACTTCACGCCAATCGAGGAGATTGCCGTGCCCGTCATCACTCTCACGGGCAAAGAGAACCTCGTCATTTGGAACAATTCACTGCGCAGCCATCTGCTCGTGTACGGCGTCCTCCACTTCCTGGAGAGACAGGGCACCAAGGAGCCCGACGACGCCCCGGCCGACGCCAATGAATACGAAGTCGCTGAGGTCGACGACGCGAAGGCGAAGTGGGCTATGGACCGCTTCTTTGTCTGGGCTGTCCTTTACACCAGCCTGTCCAGCGAGGTGCTTGAGAAGCTGGAACTTAAGAACTGGCATATGAGGCTCAAGGACCCAAAAATTGTACATGATCTTATCATGGAAGTCATTCCGCGCACTTAGCTGGGCGATGGTTTGTTGCTTGTCGATAGCTAGTACAAGAAGGTGGCACCCTCAAAAAGAACAAGAACAACCTCGCCAAATACACACACCTCTTCTCACCGGCATCGACGAAGCGCTCGCGGCAGAACAATTCGGCCTATTAGTTCGGCAAAGACTTCAATGTTGACGGTGTAACACGGATCCCGCCTAGCGAGGCAAATACGGACATCGGCAGCTCAAGGTCAGGGTGCAAGGTGCTAATGGAGATGGACAAGGTCTCGGAATGATGGAGGGTGCTAAATGGGATCTGGGGTTGGGTGCATGAACAGGAGACAGATGAGATTTATACATGGCAAGGCTCGGGCCAATGTTTTCCCGGAGCTTATGGGTAGATCATGGCCTAATTTCTCACACCGTCATTTGGGGACTAGCCTATGCTGTGGCTATGCTCGAGACTCGTGACTCATCTCAGGAACGATGCCTGAAATAAAACCCCATGCCAGCCTTTACCAATCCATCATAGTTCTGACCTGAAATGTTCCTATCATGCTAAAAGTCAGGATAGAGAGCACACACATTGGAGACAGCCACAACGCGGGACAAACACCAACACCTCCTGCCTCAGATCCGCACTCACAATGTCCACCACCACCCTCCCGACCCCCATCCTCACCCTCCCCAAAAGCATCATCCGGCCGATCCACGCGTCCGACGCAGCGGCCCTCGTCGCAACAGCCAACAGCCCACGCCTGGCGCGGGGTCTGCGCGCGCACTTCCCGTCGCCGTACACGCTGCGCGACGCAGAGGCGTGGATCGCACGGTGCGCTGTCGAGTCGCCGCGGCGCAGCTTCGCCGTGTGCGATCCCGCGACGAACGCCGTGTGCGGGGGCGTCAGCCTGCGGGTGCTGGGGGGTGACGAGGCGCGCACGTTCGAGATCGGATATTATCTGGGTGAGGCGTACTGGGGTGGGGGTGTCATGAGCGAGGCCGTGGCAGCGTTTGCGCGCTGGGCGTTCGCGGCGGTCCCTGAGGCGGAGTTGCAGCGGCTTGAGGCGGGGGTGTATAGCTTCAATCCCGCCAGCGCGAGGGTGCTGGCCAAGGCGGGGTTTGTGTTCGAGGGGTGCAGGCGGGGGGCTGGGTTCAAGCACGGGGAGGCGTTTGACATTTTGATGTATGGCTTGTTGAGACAGGATCTCGAGTAGGAATTGGGACATGATTTGAACCGTGATTATTTGAGGTTCAAGCTAGACATATTGATGCCGAGGGGTGCTCTGCAGTCGAGAAACACCCTGTACGCAAACTACACCAACTTCAACTCGCGGCTCTCCCAAGTCTCAAGCCAGCGCATGCCGCCTTCGGCGAGACGAAGTGCAGCGTAGCCTACCCGCTCATACGTGTTCTCTCCTTTGCCTGGGAGCGACCGGAGTACTAGGCACTGTGCCGGCACTGTCTCCTCGGGCAGCGCATCGGGTGTGCGGTCGCGGGCGTGCACCAGCATAACAACAAGCTCCACGTCGTCGAACAGGTCAAAGTCAATCTCGAAGTGACGGCCATCCTCGCCATATCGAGTAATGACTGATAAAATATAGTCCTCATCGGAAGCGCTATCGTTCTCTATCATAAATAAGTCTGTCGTTGTCGATATGACGCTTGTCTCGTCGTCGGCAACATGCCGGTTGGGCTCATCGAAGTAGCCCAGGCCGACAGAGCCCTCAAGCTGGTATGACGAGACAACTTGAGAGCTCCGGACGAGGGTCTTGGTAGGCGCTTTGAGAACGAGATAGGCCGAGGTGAGCTCTCCGAATGGGGTTGTCTCGTCTTGCAGCACAACAGAGTATCCAACGAGCTGAGCTTTGTGCCCGCTTGGCAGCAGCGGATCTTCCCTGTTGTTGCCGAACAGGACCTCGTCGTTGCTCACAGCCCACGACCATGACGGTGCACGATACTGCGGCACATGGATACACTGACCTACGCCAGCATACCAGAGAAGGCCACGGCAAAAGTCACTACTCCACAGCCCGGCCAGATAGTCGCCCCCAATAACCGGCTGCAGACGCTGAGCAACACCGGAAAAAGCAGGGAATTTGTCAGAGTCAAAGGTGATGTTTCGACTCGAATATTCGACAACCAGGTCATAATAGTCGTCCAAACAGGCCTCGCGACTCAAAGGGCCATCATGTGCTAGCTTCTCCAGAGGATTAAAATGCACGACGTCAGATAGGGCGTGATACGATTCTGTTGGGAATTTGTTGTCGCCGGGGCTGTCGTCGGCAGATTTGAAGCCGGCTGGACACCTCCAGTACATCTGCCGATTCCCGTAGAGAACATGCTTTGACGACAAGATGAATTCTTGCAGGGTCCATGCCCGGGTGAACAATGGGCCTCTGAGAGCCAAGTTCCGCAGACACTCGTCTTCCGCGTCTACCCATTCTACCCTCACTTCTTCCCGCCGGGTTCTGTCCTCGTAGACGCGGAGTGTTGTGGGTGCGGGCGTCGACCTGTACATTGGCCTTGGGTCGAGGATGCCCACAGCACTATTGTGTGCAACGACGGCCGAAACGGTGACGGCAGAGTCGCGGTAGATAGTGCCCATCTTTTTCGACTCCGCCGCCCAGTCAAGCTTGGAGTCCTGCAGAATGCAGAGCGAGTCGATCCACAGGTAGCGGATGGAGAGTTCTCTGGTGATGATGATGGCGTCGCGGAAGTTTGCGGGCAAGTCCGCGTGGGGCAGGGCAATTTGGAAGTCGGAATATGTGTCGGTTGTCAGCAGGGTGGTGATCGGGCCGCCCCAGCAATGGCTGAGTGCGACGTATCTCTCCCTTCTCCCCTCAGACAAAACAAGACGTGCGTCTTCAGGCGCGTCCTCGTCCGTCCCAACATCGATGACTCGTGTCGGCAGCTCAGGGATTTGGCCGGTTGAGCAAGCGGGGTGCAGGGTTTCGCAGTCTTGAAGCCATTTCCTTGCAATGGCGTGGTTGACAGGTGCTCCGAGATGGGGGTCTACCTGCAGCCGGCCGATGCGCCAGTTGTCTATGGCGACCCTCACGTCTGCACGTTGTTCATGCGAGGCTATTTGTCGGTTATCTGCTCAAGGAGAGCACGGCGTGGACCGATATGGAGATGGTAATTAACGGGCATCATACCTCGAGGGGTGCTGAGAGCTAGGGACAGAAAGGGAAATGGCCAATCGCTGTCCTCTTCATCATCCTCCTGGATAGGGCCGACATGGACAAGAAGCTTGTTGAAGAGGCTTACGCTTTCGAGCGGCTGGGACGACCATACGTGGTCTGTGTTGATGCAGAGCTTTACATCGGACACGTCGAGCTGCTTGGCGGCTGCATACGCCGACTTGTCGATGTCGAGACGCGGGCCTTCCCAACCCGACGGCCAGAACGAGCAGTCATCCCAGGGGGTGCCCCTAAAGCATTCTAGGATGAGTTGGCACAAGTCGCAGCCACCCGTCGCCGACTGCTCCACGTCGCCAAATGACGGGTGATGTTGGTAGAATGCTCGTTGGGGGAAGGCGTGAGCCGAGAATTCCGTTTTGGCCAAGTCTACCAGCCGCTCGATTGACAGGCCGGCGCAGTATCCACACCGCGATGCCATTCTGGACCAGTCTTCCCCTGTGCTCGCTTTTTACAAACCGGCACCGCCCCGGTTTGAGCTTTGAACAAAGTTTCAGTCGTTGACGGGTGGAGTTTTAGGGCTCGTATGCGGATTGCAGCTGACGTTCTTGGAGTAATAGATTGACTTCGCCAAGAAAATAGGCCGGGGTTAGGCTGCAGACTTAGGCTGCAGCGGCCTGCTTCACAGCCACCAAGAGGACCTAGTCTCGGCAAGAGCAATGCATGTCTCTGGTTGGCCGAAACTTGAAGCAAACAACAACCGTGGGGCTCTCGGCGGTGAATGTCTCCGACTTGAATGTAATTGGATTGGTTACCAATCCTTGCGACTATCTTCCCCCGTCCAACCCGTCCATTTCATCAACAACCTCGCGCCATTTCAAGTTCTCAATTAAGCGGATGCAAATTTGCAGCGCCCACCCCCCTCTACCTGCAACTAAACTGCCTAATTCGGGAAATCGCCCTCGGCCCATGCCCAAGTCCTAGCGCGATAGCACACCCGAGAGATCAGGTAAAACAACCTCCTTTCTGACTTGTTCCGCTATGAAGTCGTCATATTCCTCTACGAGGGCGGCTATGTCGTCCGCATCTAGCTTAAAGAATAAATTGCTGGAGTTAGACGAGTGCGAATTGTTGTGGGCGGCGGGCTTCTTTTTTTGGCGGCACTCTCTTGCCCAGTGGCCGGCCTTCCTGCAGTTGTCGCAGCTGCCGTCGCGGATCACGGTGCCGTCGCAACGCCGCTTCACGCCGTCGGTCTCCCGCTCTGCTATCGAGCCCTTGTTCTTGTTCTTCTTATCATTATCGGTAGCTGCAGCTGAGTAATTAGTCGCTTACTTACTTCCTTGTTGAGTGCATACCTGATCAAGTTGGCTTGGATCTCGAGCAGGCTGGGACTTCTGCAGCCCATGCTGTCCTGTGTCGTCGCGCTCATGGATGCCCATTCTGTAAACCCGGATCGGTTGGCGTTACGGACATATCTGGAGATGGCATCGGATTCCTGCAGTGGCTGTCCAGTAGTGGCAATGACCCACACCAAATCGTTGAATTCCATGTAAACTTGAAGACGTCCCCTTTTTCACACCGAGCTCCCAGATCTCAATTATCGCGCAAGAACGCCGTAGCTCATCATTGATGCCATATCAAATTCTGCTTATTTCGAGGTCTTCTAGTTAATAAAAGATACCTTAGGTTTCTTCTTCGCTCTTAGCCTATCTTACTAATAATTTTCCACTTAAAATTAAAATTGCTGGCGTCGCTTCGTTCGTCAGTCGCGTGACCCTTCGCTGCGCTACGGGACGCTTCCTTCCTCTCTCTCGCTCCTGGTAATTTAGAGCGCGATAGTTAGCTTATTTAGATAACGTAGAGAGCAAGCGAAGCGACAATATCCTGCCCGGAGGCCAACAACTCCGATGCTCTAGAGATCTTTTCTTATAACGACGGCTAAACCTACATAACTAAATCTTATATCTATACAATAGAGCTATTAGTTATATACCCGCTCATATCGCTCGAGTCAACCTTATCTTCCTATAGATCTAATAGCTGCAACTTCTTTGCCTCGTAATCCACTATCTTCAATTGTATGCTCTGTACCGGCACTTCGCGGTGTATTCTACTCCGATCAAACGGCGACTCAAACATTAGGCCATCCAAGGTCTTGACCCTGGAAACTGCTATGTACGATAGGCCGGACGCGAACTCTGGCGCGGAGATATCATAAACCACCTTATCAAGAGTAACGCCCTGTGACTTATATATTGTGATTGCGTAGCAAACAAGCAGTGGAAACTACTCCCGGTAGCCAGTGCCAGCCCCAGGAACAAACTCCTGCTAAACCCTAAGGATAGGAACTGTTACGGCACGGCCGAACTATGGTCCGTGGTACCGCAACTATGCAATGAGGCTGCAAGCCCCACTTGCAGCCCTATTCCTGATTGGGGCTAGTGCGGGGTCAGCTACATGGAGGGGTCTACAGTGGTGGCCGTGACACCTAACACCACAAAACTAACGCCTGCACACCTCGCAGGCTTTTTCTTTTTTGTAAGAGAAGGCAGGTACGCCTGATCAAGGTGGTCACAATAGGAGCAACAAGCAGGGCGAGCAATGACTGGTATTGGCGTAAGACTTCAACCTGGCCTGAGCTAAAGAGGTGTGCGAAGGCCATGGTCTATATACACGTGAAAGGGGTTACGAGTCATCCTTGCGTGGCCAGGGTGGTAGTGGCGATAGTGCGTGGCCCTGTTAGCGGTGGCGATAGTGGCTATGGTGGCGAGGGTGGCCCTGGTGGCGGTGGCCATGGTGGTTACGAGGGTGGTTTCCTTACAGATGGCTTTTGACTTGTTGTCAATACCGTCTATGTCAACAGAGTGCGAGAGGGCATTCAGCCAGGGAAAACTGGTCCTTGGCACACAGAGACATAGTATGGTCGTCGAAACCCTGAATTACCTCATGTGTAAGAAGAATTGGGCGAGTAAATGAGGATCCTGAAGGTCAAGGGCTTTTTTCCGGTCTCAAGGTGCCATTCAGGGCTCGATTTTCTTGTTTTTTGGTGGAGCGGCAAATTCCGTCAATTAAGTCAAATAAAACCCACCCAATCAGAGAGAGCCTCTTACACAGATAAATACACCATTTTGGGCCTCAAATACAGTCAAATAAGGCTTCATATTTGGCCTGATTGAATTGATGCCAGCGCTGCCGAGCAGGGCGCTCGGTAGTCTCTGAGACGCTCGGTGTACCAAGCGTTAGGAGGAGCACTGAGCACGCAAAGGAAGAGTCTTGATTGGTTACCTGAATTAGATATATACGATGACCGTAGCCACGGTCTTAGACAGTTCTTGCTTGGTTCTTCAAGCAAGCAATACACATTCACTGCACTCATACACTTTGAGTGGCATTCCAATTTGACTGTATTACCCGTGCGATAGGAGCTTGCCCTTTGTTCTATCTTCATAATTACCAACCCAGCATTCTGTGGAGCCCGTGCTCCCTTACAGACAGACGACCCTAACAGTCGAGTGGTTTGTAATAGGTGGGCGAGGAAATTCGACGCGGGGTTGAAGGGCAATTCGCGTAGTCACGTGCGCAAGCCCACCTTTACGCACGCCCTGTCACGGTCGCCACAGGGCTCATGTGACAGGATTGATTCTATTGGCTGCATTGTGTGTGGCCTGTGCGCACTGGCACCACTACCTATTTCTTCGCGCCCTGCGCGGACCCCGCGATAGATTCCTTTCTCTTCCTTAGCTTTAAATCCACATTCGTTGCTGCCTTCAACTATTGACATCCCTACTGCGTAAGGCGGGCCGTCACACGCCCCACCACGCTAGAAAGCATTTAAACGCTTATATCTCAGCCAATTTCCCTTATAAAACGAATCGGGCTTTAGATTCAAAATTTCCGTAGAGTTATACACATAATGATACCGGTTGCATATTACAAACCACTCGACTCTCAGGGTCGTCTGTCTGTAAGGGAGCACGGGCTCCACAGAATGCTGGGTTGGTAATTATGAAGATAGAACAAAGGGCAAGCTCCTATCGCACGGGTAATACAGTCAAATCGGAATGCCACTCAAAGTGTATGAGTGCAGTGAATGTGTATTGCTTGCTTGAAGAACCAAGCAAGAACTATCTAAGACCGTGGCTACGGTCGTCGTATATATCTATCTAAGGCGGACCAATCAGAGTCCTTGGTGTCTGCGCTCCGTGGGTCCAGGGCGCTCTGCTCGCAGAGCGCAGGGGCCCCACAGAGCGCCCGCTCCGTCCGCTCTGCTGGTCTTGGCAGCTAATCAGGCAGAGCGCTTCCTGGTTGGCCGCACCCACACTGGGTGGGGTCTGTCCGTCTCCACCACGTCACCCAATCACGGGGCGGAAGCAGGGCGCCTCATGCACCCTGAACCAGGATCGTAACATTGCATCAATTTTGGAAAGTGTGCTGACCGAATGGCAGATAGGCACGTGATAGGGGCTACCCATATTGATGTGACTGAGAAATCGGGTCCACTTTTCCACATAGGTTAGCCAATCCGGAAAGGCGATAAGGTGTCTTATCAATTTCACATGGTAATTTTTTCAGAGTTTCGCAGTAATATTGTCGTCCGAACAGGATAAGATATTATTTACTTAACTGTTTAGATAATAGTGAAATCCCAACGATTACGAAAGATGGGTCCTGAGGGGATAAATTCAAATTTATTGTTTGGGGCGATGGTATTTACCAGCTTCGAGAGTGAGGATGTGGCAAATGTTGGAGCTTGTGCGAGGTACGGTACATACTGAGTGTGTACACTGTGGATCTTGACTCAGCACGGGCAGGCACCCGGCCACAGAATAAGTTTCCCCGTCTGCCAAACCCAACGCGTCGCGTCAGCACCAATAGAGCGCTGCTGAACTCTTGACTTCTCGAATTGCCACACAACATCCGAGTCTGCCCGCATTATATTTGTGCTGCTTCCGCTGGCCTCCAATGAGCCGCTCCGTGTCGACACGGCGCTGAATTCACGCGAGTTGAAAGCCTTTTGACTTTCTCCTGGTGAGCGCATCTCAACGCGATCCTTATTTGGCCCCGATTTAAAGTCCAAGGCGCACAGATTCCAGAAACTATCACGCAGCGCCGCCCAAAACACCGACAAACGTCAAGAATGGCCGCCCCTATGCCTCGCGGATGTCGCTCCGTCGCCGAATACAGTTTCCGCGAGGAACAAACTGATGCCATTGTTCGAGCCGCCGCCTACCATCGCAAAGACTTCTGTCGCTCCGTGATATGGTTCTCGCCTCGCGAACACGCCGGCATTCGTATGCCGATAGCAACACCCTTCCCGCAGACTTCTAGTACAGGACTCGGCTCTCTCGATCGACTACCCCTTGAGCTCTTATACGACGTATTATTACGTCTGGATATGTATTCAATATTCAACTTTCGACAAACAAATCTCAAATCGAGAGAGACGGTAGACTCTCTTAAGGAATACCAGGCGGTGGTTTCGCATGGACTAAGCCTTCTCTGCGCCTTGTCACGGACACGACTTGCCGTCAGCGTTTCTCTATCCGACTTTTACCGCGAATTTTGTACCAAGGCTTGTACTCTTTGCGGTGAATTTGGCGGATTTATATCGCTCCTCCCCTGGACTCGGTGCTGTTTTAAATGCCTCCAAGCGGCCCCGGAAACCCAACTGCAACCTCTTGCCGCTGTCCGGAAGCAATTCCACTTGACCAAGGCCCAACTAGACCAACTCGCGTCATTCAAGACTTTGCCTGGGACATATTCGACGAAGGAAACCGGATACAGATCTCGAACTAAGGTCGTTTCTGTGCATCAGGCCAAATTGGTTTCCGGAAATCAACCGCACCCTCTCACGCAGGTGCATCCAGCACACTCGGGACGAAATGAAAATTTTAACTTTATGGGTTCGTGTGCAATTCCTTGTTATGATAGACACTGGTCGAGTCGAATACCGAATATCGTGTTCGGGGTGTCAAATCGCTCTCGAAAAAGACATCATCGGCTCGAGGGGCGAGAAATGGGCATTTGAGGCTCGCGACAAGGTATATGCGCAAGATGGCTTTTTGGAGCATTTCCGATAGTGCAAACAGGCACAGCTCCTGTGGAGATCGAGTGGCGAAGGTAAAAACCTGCCAACTGAGCTACCAGAGGCTGCTCTGAGAGGAGGCTACTTTAGCAATAAGGAATGCTGTCGCCTTCAAAATACTCCCCTCACCTTCGCCAAAAAGATATAGCCCAGGCCCGACGAAGAATACCCCCTTTCTTCACTCCCACAACAGTGTTCGTCGGTTCCGCACATGTTCCCTCTTCTTCTGCTTTATTTCTCTCCGGGGTCGCAGTATCCGACCGGGGAGGAGCGGGACTTGACCTAGCCGGAGATGATGACTCGCTCGAGCTAGTAGTTGATAGCTCGGGTGTACCCTTCCCCTGGGGCGATTGAACGCTCATATTGGCTTGCGTCGACAACGACGACATTGGCGTATCCGGCGTGAGAGGGGACGCTCCCGCGACGGACTGACTGGTGTGAGACGCCGAAGAGCTGTCGTTGGCACTGCTGGAGGTAGTCCCTGCTGGAGAGTCTGGAGTGATGTTGCTCTGCGGTTGCATAACCCCTTTACCGTCTGGCCACGTCCATTGGAAGCCGTTGCCCTGGCCGAAAATGACGGCTCTATCTCCTATGCCGATGAGACTGAGAGAGCTGCCGGTGGCGATACGTCGCCAAGAAGAAGGCACGAGTTGCTGGACGGGAGACGGGTGTTTTCCCAGTGTCTGTGTCGCGTCGCACACGCATCCGAAAGGATCGTCTCTAGAAGGGTTCATCCAGACCAGGTCGGGCGAAATGTGGATGGGGTCTGCCAAGATATCCCCTCCGGAATCCTCAGCTATGTTCTGTAGGTCCGCGACACGAACACAGAGGTAGTGTTTGGCTGTGGGAACAGATCCCCAGCTGGAGCACCTGTTCCTTGCCGAGTCGGTGGTCGGGGATAAGAGGTCCCCGAAACCTTTGCCAAACAGCGTCATCGCTTGTGCGATCCTTGTTAACTCAACCCAGCTGAATGCGCTTGCAGGCAGAGTAGCTACGCGGAGATGGGAAGGGTCGTGGTTGGTTGCCAGATCCGAGAAATCCCAGCCCTCAAGGTGCCTCCGGAGCCGGACTTTGGCGTTGAAGCCTTTGGTGTTTTCAATCTGGGACTTGTGTTCGATCATCCTCTCAAGGTAGGTGTAGATCTCCTCCACCTTGTTTCCTAGAGTTGTATAGGTTATTTTGGTTTTGGTCTCGGTCCTCGTCTCGCCGTCGACCCCTGTTATGGTCTCCGTGTGTGTCTCCTCCTTCGAAGGGTAAAGTAACAGTCGACGGTGTTCCGGCTTGAGAAGAACCTCGATTGCCGAACCATCCTTGAGTTTGGAGAAGTCGAACAGGAACTCGGACCGAAAGCTGTCAGTGCGCGAATGCTCCAACGAGCCGCGCAGAAGGTGATGCAATGCGGTGGCCCCGTCGACCATCCAACCACGCTTGGCTTCTACGTCCCAGAGAACAACATGTCTTTGGGTGATCCAACGAAGCTTCTCGACGTATCCACCCTTGGAAACGTGGATTGGCACGTCCTTCTTGCCGATGCTGAAAGTGGCTCCCCCGGTTATCATCTGGCCACACGAGAGAGAGATCTTGTCGAGAGCAAAGTCTCGGCCAGCTTGTGGTAATCCCGATCGTTTGACTTTGTAGTTGGCATTGGAAGACCCTAGCTTGTGTTAGTCAATGTGATCCATTACCGGGTTCGAGGCAGCCCCGGCTTACCTGCTAAAATGCTGGTTTTAGTGCACCAGCCGACGATGTGTCGCGATGTGGAGAGCACATGAGCCGGAACCTGGCCGGCCGATGTGTCCCCAGCCTCGTTGTAGGATATCCTCGTCCCGTCCGAGTTGTAGAGGTGATGCCAGTTACAGACTCCATCCGTTTGATCCACAGCGACGAACATCGAAGCAAAGCCCTTGATGTAAGACTTTCCCAGAAATTCAGTGACGTGGGTGGCCTGGCCGAGCCCGGCCATGATGTGGAGGGGCACCTCCAGTCCAACTCCATCGTGTGGCCTTCGACGGATGGGATAACCTCTTACGACGACTGGGTTCCGAAACATGGCATGCCAGCAGGTGCCATTCGGCTTCTGGTCTAGTTCTCGTACGCTCAAGTCGAAACCGACATCCGCCTGTCGCTTTCCCTCCGAGTTCGTGATCTGTTTGATGAATGGAGTGCAGTACGTCAGTTCATCCCCCTCACTGCTTCTCAGAGCAGCAGCAAGCCAAATGATCTGTTCGGCCATTTCCGTTATGACATCAACAGTCCCTTCGACTTCTAGGGTGAGAGAGCCATCAAAAGCGGAGGCAGTTATTCGAGTCCTGTCAGAGAGTTCTTCTATAGGAAGCATGGCTGTCAGCTGTCCCGGCCGTAAACAGCGATAAGAGCGCTTACCTGATGCTGGCTTCCCGCTCTGAAAGGCTCTCTGCACTGCCGACAACACATCACCTCCTGTGCTCGGCCACGTCTGCTCCATGTATGCCAAGCAGGTGAGAGCTTGAGCATCAGTAGGAAACCCGGTTATGGCTATGACTTCTCCAAGCTTGAACTCCCCGGCCGTGTCTGGATACTCATGTCGGACGAACGTTTCAACATCGCAATCACACCTGATAGCAATGGCATGGACGTCTGATGCGACTTTGCTGCTGACTGCCTTCGCTCGAGGCAGAGCTTTGGAGATCTGACTTCTGATGACTGCGGTGGCGTCATCCGGGGAGCCAGTGCTGAGACCGGCATTCTTGCCGAGGGAAGCGAGAAGCCACTTGTAAGCAGGGGATTTGAAAGCAACTTCGCGATACTTTTGCTCATCCGGGATGGCAGCCATTTCTTGTTCATCCAATTTTGCAGGAGGGGCTTCTGGGACGTCGTCGACTAGGCTGGGTTCGTCTGTGAGATTTTCAAGCCACCTTTGCACGCTGTCTCTAAGTTTTTCTTTGTCGACTAACTCCTGTGGCTTGGAAGAAGCGTCTTCGTCGTTTGCTGTGGCCAGGAGAGCTTCCCTAAAGCGCCGCGCGATATTGCTGGTTGAGTTGTTAGTGACTGACTCCCACGAGCTTAGCATTTCGGGACAAATCCGCTTACTGTCTGTAGCGGTGGACAAAGTACATGACCGAGTTTTCCGACTGCGTGGTTGAATGTTGGCCCAGTCGTAACGCAAAATTCCTAAGGAGGTCAGGCAGGGTATCGGCCATAGTCTTCTTGGCAGTTACGTCGGGCTGCAGCATCCGCACCCAGTTCGCCAAACCATCGGCGAGTTCGGATTCGTACACGTTCAAGTGGTAGTCATCCAGATGGTCAGCTGCTGAGTATACAGTGGCTGTGTCGTTTTCGGGGAAGAGGTTCTCGTCAACACTCTGCTCGATCTCCAAATCAGGACCAATGGTACCGATATTAGGTCCCGACTCGACGACTGGCGGGAGAGTGGCTTTATTGGGTACATGCGACATCGAAGCATACCCAGAGTCGGTTGCGGCTCCTGCCGGCGCCATACTGGTCGTGTTGCCATCCGAAGTCGACATTTGCGGCCCTGGATCATAGTAGTGCCCACTTAAACCCGACGTACCCGCAGGTGAGCCTTGATCGGACTGACCGGGATTTGGAGGAGCCACAGGAGAGCGGGGATGGAACGGACGTGTTGCTAGAGCGGGATGGCCGGGGACCGAAGTAGAAGGTGGGTAGTCATACCGACTGAGATATGGAGGAGCTACAGGAGAGCGGGGAAACAACGGACGTGTTGCTAGAGCGGGATGGCTGGGGACCGAAGTAGAAGGCGGGTAGTCATACTGACCGGGAGAGTAGTCATACTGACCGGGAGCCGGAGGCGGAGTGGGATAGGCGTACGGGCCTGGGACCGAAGAAGTGGGAGGGTAGTCGTATTGACCTGGAGCCGGCGGTGGAGTGGGATAGGCGTACGGGCCTGGGACCGAAGAAGTAGAAGGGTAGCCGTACTGCTGACCGGGAGCCTGAGGTGGAGTGGGATAGGCGTACAGGTCGGGGACCGAAGAAGTGGAAGGATAGCCAAGTGCTGAAGGATCACTGAAAGACAGGGGATCACCCAAAGGACTGATACCAATGCGATATGGATTTGCTTGGCGGTTCTTCCAGATAATGTAGTCGCTTTGTCGTTGAGAGCTGCTGGCGGATTGGCGGGAGGACGCAGACGTGCGGCGGTTCTCCTGGACAGTATAACCGCTTCGTTGTTGGGGGCTGCTGGCGGATTGGCGGGAGGACGCAGCCGTGCGGGAAGATGCACGTCTCTCTTGCTCCCATCTTGCACTATCTGCTTTGAGGCCTTGGACCATGGCCTTTGTGAGAAATGTCTCAGCTGATGCGCCATCGCAGCCATTGTTCAAATTACCTACAGACGTCAGGTTCCTGTAAGCCGTGACATAATACCCCCGTATGACTTTTCCATCCGGGCTCTGGTTATCTGTTGTCAGCCATAGCACCTCTATACTCTGTACTCCTGCTTCCATCGGGTTTTCCATACCTCAAACGTCCCTAGACGCACTGTTGCGTCATTCCCAAGGTAACTGCACATGTCGCTCACGATGACTTCTCGGTCAATACCGTCGCGGGGAACGAAGTATTCGTTTTGCTTTGCGGCTACCGGAATCTGGGGCGCCGAAGCCGGCGGCTGGCCTGGGTTGCTGGAACTTGCCATCGTCTTGATGGTTTCGACTTTTATTACAAATGTATAGAAACCTGGCGCTGAGCTTGGCCGGATATTTTGGTGCGAGCTGGACACCAACTCGGGGACGCAAAAATTGTCGGGAAGTCGCTGCTGCGCATGCTGCGCAGAGATTTAGGCAATCGTGGGCGAAATGGGAAGCCATTTCGGAGAATTTTTGACCCGACCGACAACGTAGCGTTGTGTTACGCCCATCTTTAGGGGCCTCCAAAAGTGAGGCGAACCGACAAGCCTTAGTTAGGCCAATCGCTGGTCTGACGAATTAAGAACCATAGGATTCTCGGCCACTAAGACGCTCCCATCTGCCCCCTTTCCCCCCTCCACCGCAACTCGACATCCCGGTTCGGCGCGAGTTTCCGTAGGATTTCCTGCTTTGCAAAGTAGCGGCCAGGACACATGACGTGGCCACCCCCTTTTGCAAGGTCAACATCAACTATCCTCAAGGCATCATGAAATGGAACGGGGGGCTTACCCTATGGAAAAAACGAACCCGGTCTTCCTTTCATGGCAGACTGCGCCTTCCCGTCGTCGCCGTACGCACGTGTCTCCCGCCCAAAACTCATTCGCCGGATGATCTCAAACCCCCCACACGTCGTCAAAGTAGGCAGCCTGCGAGCACCCCTGTAGGAGGGCACCTTTTTTGATAGGTCCAACAGCCTTAAGTGGTGTACTATGCGGTGGCCCTAGGCCAATAACCCCCTGGTGCTCCAGCAGCGGGAGCCCGCCCCAGGGCTTTGTCATGGCTCAGCCACAACAAAATCAGGGCTTCCAGATGGCACGCCGCTCACTGCCCTGAACATGGGGCCTGTGGCGGGGTTGCCCTGCACGTGACTGGGCACGTGGGCATTAGCCCCGCCCTAGAGATTTCGCCCACACATTTTGTAGGGAGATTTCCTCCGCCTAGAATTAGCTAGCTAATGCACACATTGTCCACTTCCACAGGGCCCGCCCCGGTCGACTACCCGGCATGCGGCCAGCGCGCAATGACCGCCATCGCCTACGAGGCCGGCGGCACCACATCGCAAGTCTCCCTCGTCTTCTTTTCTTTCATATTCCGGTGCGTCGGATAATATGTCAGGGAGACTCTGGTATTAACGTACCAATATTTCAAGTACAACCCGGAGGGGCACCTAGACTACATGTAAGTGCAAATGTATGTATGTACATGCGGATGACTAGGACAAACGAAATGATATTTCTCCAAATCAAATTCGCGACACCAACGAATCCCCAGTGCCCGTGACATTCAACATGTTCAACCGCACACTACTTGCATTGCTAACCTCCTTCCCCAGCGGCACCCGTCGCCCATCATCCCCAGTCCCCCGGCTGTCCGTCCTAAACTCGCGGCCGCGCACCTTGGCCAGTATCTCGTCAATAGTCGCGTCCCCGCCACCTCGGCCGATCACATCCCGCAGGACAGGCGCGCCAAACCCCGAGGCAATCTCCAGCGGGCTCAGCGTGACGTTTCTGCCCAGCAGCCAGAAGTTCCACAGCAGCGCCGCGACGAGGACCAGCCCGCACGCCATGGCAGCCAGCGCACCAGCCAGGTACCGCGCGTCGGCCTGGAACACTGCCGTGGGCACCGTCCGCCGAGCCGTGAAATTCTGCGCCTCGGAGATGTCGCTCCCCGCGTGCAGCGCGCATCGGAACATGAAGTCGTACATGGACGCCAGCACGTACTCGGTTGGGCGGGACCACTGGAGGCGGCACCGCTCGTTCCGGGGGAGGGCGTCGGGCGAGGCAAGGAATATGTCAGCGAGGGCGCCTGGTCCGCGGTAGCTGGACATGTTCATCTCCGGGCTGAAGGTCTTAGTGGCGTTGTCGGTGAGCCGGGTGATGGCGAACTCCACCAGGCTGACTAGTGGGCCGGCTCCTGAGCCGGAGGGCGCACCGGGTGCGTCTCCTGGGGATGCGTACGATGATGTGACGGGCATGGTCATGAGCTCGTCTCGTCGTAGTGAGATGGTCGAGTTTTGGATGGCGATGGGGTACTCGGCGGTCGCGGCGGCGAGGTCGCATGTTTCGACTTGGATGATGGACTTGCAGTTGCTGTCGACGGCCGAGACGTACTTGGATGTCAAGCGCAGAGTGGCGTTGTCGTTGATGGCTGTGTCGACCAAGAAGACGGTCGCGTTGTTGGTCGTCTCGGTGTCCAGCTGCAGAGTCTGCTGCGTGGTCCAGCATTGGTAGCTGAAGCCCGCGCCCCGGACGTGGCCGTAGCATGTGCTGTCGGCGCAGGTATGCCCCCCCTCGACATTTGTGACCATGGGCTCGCTGCGCCACCACTGCTGGATCTCGAAAAGGCCGTGTTTGAACTCGGCAAGCTCCCCGTCGTAGACGTCGCCGAACCACCCGTCAGGAATACGGCTGGCCAGGTCGAGTGACAGCGACTCGAAGCTGACACGGTCTTGGGTGGTCTGAAATGTTGACCGTTGCAGGAGGGGCGTGGCTGCAAACTGCATCACGTAAGAGAGCGATACTAGCAGTGCAACGGCTCTGGCCCTGGAGCCGGCGCGGAGGGCGGGGAAGAGGTTGAACCCGCGGCCGTGATTCCAGATGTAGTGGAGCTGAGAGATCCGGGTTCCGCTGGAAGCACCACGCCAAAAGCGGACGGCGATGCCCGCTCCCAGAGCAGCGCTGGATGCGATGCTGGACGTGAGGGAGAACACGGCGACAAAGACGGCGGGTGGGATGGTCCAGGACGCAACGACTTGGTCGTGTGAGACCGAGACCACAATAGCAGAGGCCACCATACATGCCACCATGCCGATCAGGGACGTGAGACCGAGCCATGGCGCTCTCTGGATGCAGGGCCTAGTGGGCATCTTGTCCCGCTGGAGATGATTGTGCAACTGGTGCAACTGCATCAACTAACAAGTTTGTCGCGATGAGTAAAATCTCTGTGCAGCTGCCGACGGTCCCAAATACACACTGTGGCATACTATTACGTGGTTTTGGTCTTTTTCAATGGGAATCGCAAATTTTATTATGAGCTGTGGTCGGCAGCTTGCCGGACTCTCTAGTTCTGAACTACCACGGCGACGGATAAATGTGCTTGCTTCTGGATGTAGTTATATTTTCAGTCAGTTTATCATTCTTCTGCTGCCCTGCAGTTCGAGATTGGCAGTCATACGACGTAGTAGATAATAGCCAGCACAATGTGACACTGACCAACCTCCCCCCCTCCCCCCTATGCCGGAGAATCGAGTCAAAATGGCATCAAGAACCTAACGACATCCGAAAGTATGTTAGCTGCCACCCAACCATCCCCAGGCATCCAAAGCTGTGAGCTATTCTCTGTCGATTTATTTATTTCCATGCTACATGGTGTTACATCTTCCAAACGGCGTAGCCACAACCGCTGGGTACGGTGTTGGCGTCCTGGCTCACAGTTGCAACGCTAGGTGCTGACATGTCAGCCGCACGCTGACCACCCTGTCGGTGGCCATCCTCCTGTCCCTAGCGTCGGGAATCCATAGGGCAGAAGCAATCCATTCGATATCACATTCGCAGTAACCTTCCTCATCGAGGCGAAATTTGAGATTTCAGCTAAAAACAAATATCCGAGCGCATGCCAATAATTCCCACCCGTCTCATGTTGCTCCGGAATTTCCGCGCATACCGGCCAAGCACGACAAGGAGCGCCAAAGGTGTGATTGGGTTATGATCTCGGGAAAAAGCGCACTTTCTTATTCAGCTATGTGAACTCGCACCCATACATTTCGTCCACTGCACTTACAACAAGTATATAAAGACGTCTCAATGTTCCAGGCGTAAGCTGAGGCAGGACATCTTGTCATCATTTCCTAGCTCAAAGAACCTTCGTCCTAGTTAGGTGAATACCGAGCGTTTGTTGTAATCATGCACCTCTTCAGTCTTTCAGTCGTTGCAATCTTGCTAGCTGCCCCCCGTGCACTCGCTGACAGCAGCAGCGCCACGTTGACATCCTCTCTACCTGTACCCGCCTACAACTGCACAGCAGGGAATGCAGTAAAGTACCCCCAGTCGTTCAGTTCAGCAGTGTGAGACCCCTGGAGTTAATGGCACAGCCTCTTATAGGGAGACAAATTTGTTTGCCAGAGGTGGTACGAAGCCTGCATGTGCGACTGCACTCAAGTCGTACGTCTCTCTCACCTAGCTTTTTTGGCCTTTCCTTAGCGACCTTGTGGCTGATGTGTGCTACTTTCAAAGAAACCTGTGAACTGCAAGCGGTGGGGGAAGGGTCCTGACCCTATTTCCAGTGGTATTCCGGGAAGCGGGGCAGGCTGCATGCCAGTTTGCAAATAGTGGTGCCCCTGGTAGTTTGTACGTTACCAGCATTTGGCATCAACTGTCCGAAGCGCATGCCCACCAGATGTTTGACAACTAGTTGTGGTGACCGAATTCGCATCAATGTTTTAGGGGCCGCTGAATGAGGCCTTATTCTTCAATGTTGTTTTTCCCGGCGTCGGCCTTATCGCGGCTAGTCTTTGGATCTCGGTATTTTGGTAATTACCACACCCTCCGTCTCCTATTTCTCTGCACGCTCCGTGCATGTTAGAAGGCGTAAGGCGATAAGAGGAGCTGAAAATTTGAATTGCCTTTAATGAAGGCAGATTTTTGTTTATTAGCTGTACTATATCGTCTACAGGCATCTTCTCAAAATGTACCTAATGTATAAAGTAATCCAATCCTTGTGCCGGGTCTAAGTTCAGTGTCAGCCAGCGCATTCCCACCAATGCCTTGTTTACCAATCATGCAGCTCCTCGGCTATTCATTCATGACCATCTTGTCAGTTGGCACCCACGTACTTGCTGACTTGGCATCGACATCCTTTCTGCCCATGTCCACAGGAAGCACTAGTATGTGCACCTGTAACTGCCCGTCTGCGCCACACTTCGTCGTAAGTACTAGTCAGTTTATTATTATGAAATCCTAGAACTGATATTTTTCCCCTCTAGGATAAGGAAATGATTTGCCAGAGCTGGTACGAGCGGTGCATAATCGACTGTAATGACAAGGAGAAACTAGTAAGTCTGTCTATTACAATGAAACCATACCAACTGGTGGCTGATCGGTGCTATTCTTAAAGAATCTTGGCTTCTGTGACAAGTGGGCGACTGAATCGAGTGGAAACGGTTGCCATCACATGTGTCGATTGGAATAGGAGTTATACGGCTATAATTGCTTCCTAGCTCTCTAGATAGTAATAAATAGAGAACAACCTTGCCCCCAACCTTGGTATTGCTCAGCAGCACGGCCGCCCCTCACCTAACGACGCCCGTCGCCGCCAAAATGAATCTCCTCCACCCCAACTCGCTCGCGCTCGACGTCGCGAGCCTGCAGGGCTTCGAGCCGACGCTGCATGAGTACGACGCGCTGCTCAAGGCGCTCGGGGCGGGGGCCTGGGTGGCGCCGCCCTGGATGTGTTTGACACGGAGCCCCTCCCCGAGTGCAGCTCGCTGTGGAAGGCGCCTAACCTGATCATCTCGCCGCATGCTGGTGGACGGCAGGGCGTACTTAATCATTAGATCCACAGAGGCTCGCTGATAGGTTAGTTGCGTTCAATACATTGGGCATAAAAATGTTTGTTTAGGGCTTAAGGAAATTCTTGTTATCGCGTCGCTCGTAATTACCATGATTATTCGTTCATTAAGAAATCAGTATGAGATGACAGTTTATTCAGGTTAAGCATAGTAATTTATTACGTCGCTATTAACTTGGGTCTAGTTCCGTGACTTTGATCGCAGGCTCGCAGCACAAATTCGCCACGGCTGAACTTGTCCGATTACATAGAACTAATCACGCTGACGTCGCAGAGCTACTCGACTCGCTCACCTGTTCTGACACATCCGTCTGGTAGGTATTGGGGAGTCATAGTCTAAGACACTCAGCGAGGGAATGGCATTTGGTCGCGGGCTTTGAACCGCACGTATTCCGGGTCAAACATGACGTTCGTCGCCTCCTCAAAACCTAGCCTGCTCAGCAAGGACAGGGCCTTTGCGAAGCGGGCCACGCACTCGGGGTCTACGCAATCGGGGTCTACGCAATCGGGGTCTACGCACTCGGGGTCCTTAACGTCCTGCCGGTGCGTTGACGCTAGCCGGCACAGGTCCTTGCCCACGGCCTTCCACACCGTGTACCCTGTCACCGCACACTTGGAGTGCGCCGTCACTTTCTCGAAAAATCCTGCCAAGCCTTCTTCTGTCTGTTACGAGCTTTTCCGGAGGTTGTTGCCGAAGGCAATCTGGAACTGTGCGACCTTCATGGTGGACATTGTGTGAAGGCTGATTGGGTGCGTTCTGGGAAGATGAGGTTTGATGGTAGGTGTCATTAGCTATATTGAGAGGATAGGTAGGCGCTGTTATACACTAGACTTATTAGGTGGTAACAATTCAGGAGAAATAATCTTATTATCTAGTCAATCTGTAGACAAAGGAGTCTAAGCGTCACGGTTATCTGCACAACTTCTTTATGTTGCTAACTCCCTCCTGTTTTAGTCACTGAGGCTCGATATAAGAAAGACTTTGAAGCCTAAAGAGACAAAGGTGACTGGGTTGGAATCTCCAACATGGCGGTTTGACGAGATCAGCCTTCGTCAAGTGAGATGGCTTCAAAAACTTACTTCACATATCTCTCAACCAATTACCATCAAACCCTGCGCACCGCCTTCCCCAATGGCCCCGTGACATGGCGGTGGAAATAGACCTGGGCCTCGTACTCGCTCATACCCTTTGTCCGCTCCCCAAACTCCAGACAGACAACAAAACAATGCACTGGGTGAACACGGCGCCGACCTGGTGCGGGAGCGTCCTGGCGCATATTTCCCCCAGTACGCTAGCCACCTCGGCGGCCACGACGCGCCCGCCCAGCCTATCCAGGTACGGCGGAGCGGCGGAGCGGATGTCCTTCCAGAGGGCAATCTCGAGCATGACGACGCCGAGCGCGTACGCGTCGTGGCTCTTGTCAAACCGCGCAGCGGGCCGGCCCCAGCGGCCCGGGTGCCGGTATAGGCTGTTGGGCAGCGAGTGGTCCTCGTCCAGGTACGTCGTCATGTCGCCGGCGCGCGAATACTCGAAACCGAAGAGGTTTGGCCGGCCGAGGTCGAAGCGGCCGACCAGAGGAACGAGTTGCTGGCCGTGGGGCCCTGGAACGGCACCTCCGTGGTCGTCGTCGCCGTTTGGCTCCGAAGCTGGTGATGACGATGGCGATGGCGATGGCGATGATGATGACGACGACAATGATGATGACGATGAGGCCGCTTCTGGTCCCGCTGCCATAAACGCCACGATGCCGCTCCGGATGCTCTTGTGCACCCAGCCCACGCGGTGGAAATGCTCCACGGCTACGGCCAGCGCCCAGGCAAGGTGGATGCGGTGCCCGAGGGGCACGAGCTTGTGTATCTTGTACAGCTCGGCGAGAGTCGCAAAGTCGTGGCTATTGCTGCCCTCGGGCTGGAACGTCAGCGGCGCCTCGAACACCAGCCCCAGCTCCTGTCGGAGACGGTCGCGGAAGAAACCGGCACAGGGCAGGATATGGAACCCCTTGCCCTTGGGATGACACAGTAACCCCGTCATCCTGCGGACCTGCTGCAGCGTCTGGGGGTACGGCTCGCCGCTGTGGTCCGGCGCCTCTTTGTACTTGTAGATTTCCATGATTACGGGGCGGCTGTCCATGGCGCCGAACTTGATGCGTCGGTGATATGGCTGGCCGCTGCTGGTGCCATCGCCCCGACTCGTAGGCGAGGAAAATACAATCTTATCACGGCTTATCTCGGAGCTATAGCGGCAGGGGCCGTCGCTAAGGACGGCCTGGCGGAGAGTAAGTGCTGCGTCCACGTCCGCCGCAGCCAGGAGTTCGTAGAAGCTGTCGCCACTGCCAAGGCCGCTGGGCTCTTGGGAGTCATGCGATAGGGCTCCGCCGACGTCCCTGACGTCGAGCAACAGCGGTGTCTCGACAGCCGCGCACACGGTGGACACGACGTCCTGGATCTCCCCAAGAGACGACTCGATGGGCTCTTTCTCGAAACTGCCGACCGCTGCTGCGGCAATAGACGCGTGCTCGGCCGAACTGGCCATGACCGTGTTCAAGCCGCGCAGGCAACGCAAGATCTCGGCCCTGGCGGGCGCGCTGAGCCGCTCAAACATGGAGCCCGGGGGGAAAGCCCCGTCTCTTAGAGCGCTCTGCATCCTTCGGGCACGGCTCACGACGGCCTCGATGCTAACAGCCGTGACATTTTCGGGAGGGGCCGTCTTGAGCCAGCTGGCGACCTGCAGGCCAGTCACGTCCTCTGAGAGCGACGCCTTGAAAAGGAGATAGCCAACTGACTTCTGGATGAAACCGCCTGACTGAGAGTCTGGATCTTGCAGGCGCTGCAGTCGGATCCGTGTCGAATATTGTCGGACAAAGTCATGGAATACCGGTGTTTCTGTAAGGGGGGGGGGGGGGGGTTTATAGTTCCAGTGCGAGACTAGTCGGGGGAGGGGCTGCGACCTCACCTGTGATCTTCTCGTCCTCTCTCAGCTTGGAGGCCAGGCTCTCAGACGATATACCCTTCTCAGCATGTTGTCCCAGTAATCTGATCAAGGCCCTCGTGAAGGACTTGCGTCCTGGCACTGGAGTCTTGGCCCCCTTTGCCGATGCGGCGATGAGCTCGAACCGGCCTCCATCGTCTTTGGAGCCCCGGGTAATAAGAGACGCATTGCAGCAGTCCAGGACCAGGAGCACATCCCCCCTGGCCGAGAACACCAGCTGCTGTGTCACATTTCATGAGAGTGTTGGACCCCCTTTCTCAAAGGCCGCCCACTCGGCCAATCCTTGTTTATTGGCGCTACAGTTTCCGGCGTAGTAGACAATGACGAGAGAGTCCCGCCGGCGAGACTGATTCTCGACAAACGTGGATATTTCCGAGTTGAGACGTCGGCGCTGTGAGCCGTCGACGGGGATGGGAAAGAACGAGACCGTCGTGTAGTTGTAGTCCTTTTCGAAGACGGCTCGGAGGTCCCGGTTTTCATCTTCTGCGCCGCCAAGATCATTCTGGGACCAAGCTATCAACAACACGTGAACTTCAGCGTAGGGGCTCTGGAGACTGGTCCCGATGCTGCTCTTGAATGACTCGACAACGTCGGCGTCGGTGTCGGCGTCGGCCATTGTGCACTTCGTCCAACTGTGTGCGGTCCAATAGATATTTCCACAAACTAGCAAGCCATCTACGTAGGGGGCGGGGAGAAGCGTAGGCTGCGCTGGGCAACAGAGGGCGGAAAGACGGCATGGATGGTGGTGCGGGCCGCGCCCCAACGCCAAGACCTTGGTCCACCACACCGGGCGTCGTATGTCTCCTGTGCCGGAGCCTTGTCCAGGATCACTTAGCAAAGACGTGAATTGCTCAAGACTCAATAGTGGAAGGCCTTTTTTCTTTGCGCATGGCACCGTCCTTTCCTTCCACAGTCCGCGTAATAACTAACTACTCGATCAAATTTACTCGGGAAAGGAATGGCGGCGTCCGAGAGTATCCGCGGCCGGACGAGGCCTGAGGAGGACGATTCGTCGTCGGAAGATGAAGCGGCAGACGTGAGCGAAAATCCCTTGCCCGCGCGATGGATCCTAGCCACTGACGGTTAGCCATCCACAGGCCTAGAAGACGGCCTCAGACACATCCTTCTCGCAAAACGCAAAGGGACGGTACCGCTCGTGAGTCGACGAATATGCCAACAAATCTGACGTATGTGCGCTCCTTTGGCCCAAGTAACGTGCGCGAAGAGGAGATGGGGAATAACAGCTATTGATGATATCGACAGTGGCCTAACGAGCCGCTGTACGCCGTGGGCGAGGTCGTGTATCTCGCCGCCGCAGGCTGGGAGCAGCCCGCCGGACCGTACGAGGTCGTGTCTAGCAACAACGAAAACTCGACATATGTCATCAAAAGGCTGGACAATGGTCATCAGCATCCACGTGCCGTGCCGGAGAGCAGCCTGCGAGTGCTGGCATGAGCTGGGGAGGGACAACAGTTTGCTGGATAGGCATCTGTCATGCAAGTGCTGGTTGGGGGGGGGGGGGATCCTGCGTCCCCTGAATGGGCGACCTCAATGCGCCGGGCAGTGGATGAGAAGGCCTCCAGGGGGCTGTGAGAAAGTGCCAGTTTCGCCCCGACCAGGCAGCCATTAGTTTGCAGCCATTACTTTTAGTAAAGGCATTTATTTGCTGCATTTTTCACGGTGCCCTCAAGATTAAATGAAGCCCCTGGAAACATTATGCTGTGTATCGGCCCCTCAAAGCCGTGCCGACGACAACGACGACGACAACAACAGCAACAGCAGCAGCATCAATGGCGTTGCCCCAGTTTGTGAGCCGCCAAAGGCATAAGGAGATGACCCTTGTCACCCCGATTCTTTCCTCGTCCGGGCAGTGTGTAATTAAATCCCGCGCAGTAGTGGTCGCACAGCATGCCAGCCCCGCAGAATGCTTCACCGACTGCCCCCCAAAGAGTACGCGTCCCAATCCCCCCCCCCACACTGGAGGCATGCGTCGCATTCTCTCAGCCAAGAAAGAATACATAGTCCGTCTGAACAAGTAGGCCCTGTAATTACTCCCATGCTGACGCAGGACCCTCTCTCAAGTCGAGGCGTTCCCCCGGGGTACCCGTCTCTGGCGGCCTTCCTCGGCAGCGACAGGGACTTTGCCATGTTCCGTAGCTTCAGGCGGCTGCACGCACGCGTGCTGCTACACAAGCAGGATGAGCTCGCCCAGCTGGAGCAGCGCTTGGACGGCCTCGACGATACCGAGAGCAAAACGAGCCCGTACTCCCTGACGACCAACAGATGCCAGGACGCGAAGGCGGCCGAGCGAGCGGCGCTGCTTGGCGAGGTAGAGGAAAAACTTGGCGAGTATAGTAATTAGACCTAGGGCCTAGCCACACTCGCCCCCATCACCACACTACTTGATTCGGGAGCTCTTCTGAACAGGCAAGTGGGTATTACATAGCTTGGGCAGCTGATTAGCCGTTTCTAGACAGCCTCCTCGCGTCGTTCCTCAAAAACCTCGAACGCCCCGAACCGGAAGGCGACCAAGTCAAGAGCGTGGCGAACTGGATGGATGGGAAGAAACCCCTGGTCCGCGCAGAGTCGGGCTTCCTCGGCGACTGGAGCGACCTCAGACGGGCGCGGCCGCCTCTGGAGAAGGGAGGCCTTGAAGTGTTCCTCGCGAGGTGCGCGGCGTCGTCCAGACTGCGTAGCATCTTCAAGGTAGGCAATTTCCTTCCTTACCTGACCTAAATGCTCTCCAAGAATGCTCGCTAGAAGAAGAGAAGTTTGGAACTCGGAGGTTTACTGAGCCTAGAACTGCTCATTTGCTGACCCGACTGCCTTGTGCTGTGTTGACTGACTAGGTCTTCTCAAAGGCTCCGGTAAGTAATTAATCCACCCTCAACCTGATAATTAATCAATACCTGCCCAACGGCCCTTCCCTGCGCGGAGTAAAAACGACTGGTTCTCAAAACCTAACCGTGCCGTCAACCGAAGCCCTCGTCCTCCCCCAGAACAGACGACCCCAACGTCCGGCTGCTGAACCAGGCCAAGATCGTGGCCGCGTCGCGCTCGCTCGCGACCGGGTTTGCCGTAATCGCCCTGATCGTCCCCATCATGGCGCTGTTGGTGTTGGAAACATCGGTCGGGCGGCTGCTGGGAGACGACGGGGGATTATTCTCAGAAATATTCTCAGAAACATGAGTCGTGCGGGTGGTGGAGGAGTAATAAGACGGCGGATTCCCATGGGGGGCCGTCAGCGCGGCTTGAGGTAGCTCTATTTCAGCCCGACGCAGCATGTCGATAATCTCAGTGATGTAGTCCATGAACCGCGTTTCCACGCGGCGCAGCTTGTTCAGTGAGTACAGCTCCGAGTGGTCCTGTTCGGCCCGCACGCGCGGGTGGAAGTCGAGCTTACCCGACTTCATGCTCTCGCGGATCTTAATGGCCAACTCTCGCGGAGTCCCCCCGTAAGTGAAGTTGCTAGGCAATTTGTGCCTCGTCGGGTCTGCGCCGGCTTCGAGGAGCGCCATGACGCCATCGACGTCGCCAAAGTACGCGGCGTCGTGGAGGGGTGTCCAGCTGGCGCCGCTGAATCCGTTTACGGCGTCCTGTGCGCACAGCTCCTGGCACTTGGCTAGAAGCTTGCGGACGATGGACGGACGGTTTTCGTCGATGGCCGCGGCTTTGTGGAGAATATTGTACTCCGCGCCCAAAGACATGAACGTGACCCCTGACCCGGCGGCTATGAGCATCATGATTGCGCCGAGCTGGCGGGCGGAGACTGCTCCGGCAAGCGTCTCTCCTCGGCCGAGGTCGGCGCCTTTGCGGATTAGTGCGGCCAGGACGCCTAGCGGCCCCTTGAGCGCGGCCAACGACATAGCCGTGTCGCCGCGGTCCGTCTCGACGTCAGCATCGATCCCCGGCACCTGCAGCAAGGCCTCGGCGGCAGGCGCGGCGTCCAAGATGGCGCAGAGGTGGAGCGCGTTGAAGCTCCCGTCGCCGGGGCCGCAGGCGTTGATATCACGGACATGCGACACGAGCAGCGGGATTTTGTAGGCCGAGAGGCGGCGCTGGGCGCAGCCGATAACCGCCGAGGAAACCAGGTTGCCCTCGCGCGCCTCGCACTCGGTCCCCCCTACGGCCCCGGCCCTGAGCAGCTCCTCAAGTATGTACGGCTCGAGATCAATGTTCTTCACTGCCACGAAGAGCGGCGTCTGGCCCAGCGAGTCCACGGCGTTGATGTCCAGCCCGCGGAGGACGAGCACGTCGATTGTCTCTTGCAGCGCAGCCCGGTGGCCTCGGCCGTGCGCCATGTATCGCGCAAACTGCAGCGTCCTGTGTCCGGCTATGTGGAAGACGGAGTGAGACCAGTACCAATCCCCACCGTGAGCCTCGCCGCCGCTCTCCAGCAGCAGTCCCGCAATCCGAGCATGGTGGTACATGACGGCTTAGTCGAGAGGGCTGGGGCCGGGACTGTGGCTCCAGTCGGGCTCTTCCTGGTCGGTCTGCATCCACTGGGTCCTGGCGTTGACGTCGGCGCCCAGAGAAACAAACGCCGTGACGATATCTGCATATCCCGCCGTCACTGCCCAGTGCAGGGGCGTCCCGTAGAGCTCCATGCAGCGATGCGGGAGCAAGACGGTGGTCTGGTCGTGTCCGGACGCCAGGAGCGACCGCATGCCTTGTAGGCGATCGCCTTGGTCAGCCCCGTCCGGCCCCGAGACGAGATGCCGCAGCAGCTCGGCGGCCTCGTCGGGATTGAACATGATCAGCCAGTGGAGGAGGTTTGGTATGTCGGTGTTGATAGCAGAGAGGGCTGTGCAGTGTTTCGCGAGCAGCATCGCCACGTCCAACAGCCCGTCTCGACAGGCCATTGTAAGCGCTTCAGAGAGCTCGTGGGGCTCGAACCGACCCCTTTTGACCAGGATTTCCAGTACCCGGAACGAGGCCACACTGATGGGGCCCAAGTTCAATGTCTGGTCTTCAGAATTGTTGGTATTTTCTGGCTCGCTTCTCCATAGAGCGCTGCCCAGGAAGATGGCCGGATTCCTGCACGTCACGTCGTCGACGGCACCGGGTGCTGTCTGTTCTTGACCTTGTTCGTCTAGTTGCAATGCCGTGCGAACTCGGCTGAAAATGGCCCGGGCGACTTTGTTCTCGCGTGCCGCTTCGAGGTGACGCAGTGCTCCCAGGCTGTCAGGGGCAATGCCGTAGCCGATCTGGAACATGAGAGCGAGCTGCAAGTGCGCCTGGGCCTTTCTCTCTGGGCTAGTTTCCGTCTCAAGTTCGCGTTCGATAAGCGTGGCGGCTTCGCATTGGTTATACCAAGGAGGCTGGGTTTTGAGGGCAGCCTGAGACGCAGTTAGCTAGGTAATTGGCCCACCAGTCGTCGTGCTCTTGCCGTCGTATAACTAGGTACAGATCAAAGGCCAACACGAACCATAAACATGTCTTCGTATCCGTAACGATAAGCCTGCGGTGTTAAAACGACGGTCTCTCTCCGCTTGGGCGCAGGAAGTACCATCAACTGCCGGGAGGGGTCAGCAGAGGCGTCTTTGGGAACAACGCGTACCCGAGAGCCCGCGTTGGGGGACAGGCGAATGCCGTGATTTTCTATGCTTTGGTTCGCGTTTGGTTTAGGATTCCATGGCTGGTGATCAGGAGGCCCTATTCTGCGTGTCGAGTTCCCCCCTAGCGGAACACGGTCCCCGATTTCAGCCGAAAGTGTCTTGACAATGTCATGGATTTGGTCTCTCTGCAAGATTTCGTCCCGCAGACACAAAGAAAGCGTGCGCTGCAACGCTTCGGAAAGATCGGCCTCCAGAGTAGTGGCGAAATCGTCAAGCTGTCCACGAAACTGAGGGTAGTTGTTCACATAATTGGCCATTTGCGAACGGGTTGGGTTCGAATATGGCCAGCCCTTGGCATGCACAGCAGACATCTTTGCTTCGTTTTCAGAGTGTCCCGAGGGAGTCGATAGCCGGTTTAAGAACTTGAATGCCAGGTCCAAGACGGCGTCCTCCTTCTGGTAGAATATCCGATCGAGAAAGTCACAGCATCCTCGCCTGGCTCGAGCCAGCTAGGTTCCACAAATGAATTTCCGCCATTGAAGGTCTCCCATAGAAGGAGACCAAACGAATAGCAGTCGGCCGCCTTGAACTTCTCGAACTCAGAGAGTTGGTTGTGATGCTGCTCGACCGAGTCCCGTCGTCGGCCACATATTTCGGGGGCATTGTACTTTGGGGTGCCCAGATAGTATTCGTCCTGACTGGCAAAGTCCTGCTCAAACAAGGCGGAGCCAAAACCTGCCAGCTTGGCGATAAAGTCGCGGTCATTGTTGGCTGCTTTGTGCGGGAAGTCGTAGATCAGCACGTTCGCGGGTTTGACGTCGCCGTGCACAATGTTGCAGTCGTGCAGGGCGCGGATGCCCATGGCAACGTCGAGCGCGAGCTGGCGCCTTTCGGCGAGAGTAATCACGCACTGGCTGGCGAACCGGGCCAGCGAGGCTCTGTCTGAGTAGTCCATGACGAGGTAGGGGCGAGTGGCGATCCACGGCTTCGCGGTCCAGCCCCAGCCTATGGCCGAGACAAGACAGCCATGCGACCGCAGCTTGGGGTGTGTCAGCACACGAATCTCGCGCATGACGTTGACGAGACACCGGAATGCAAGCGGCTGCTCTGCACGCGTGTCGTCCCAAGCGCCGCCGTCATAGTTATTGCGTCGGACGATGATGCGCTTGACCGCGGTGAAGTACGGCATGCCTTCGGGTGGAGAGAACAACTCCTTGGCTACTTCGAAGCTGCTGCCTTGGCCAAGATGGCTGATGAACGTGAGACGGTCGGGCTGGATAAAGGGTAGCTCGTTTCGCACGGCGACGAGAACGTCTTGCAGGAGACGCTCCTGCTCCAGGTCGTACCGTCGGGACGGATTGGTAGCGTCGGTATCAGCGTCGGCGTCGTTTAATCGCGAATCCCAGCCTTGGGTTTCGGTCGTCATGTTTGGCGGTTAGGTATTGCCTTCTAGACGATATTGTTGGAGATTGAGCCGAATAGCGCAGCGGGGAAAGGGTGAAGAAATAATTGGGTTGCGGCTGACCGCGGCTGCACCACCACGGCCGACGCCATCCAGTTACCTGCCTCGCTGCTCTGCCTCTCCATCGTAACATGAGGGGTGCCTTGGTGACCGGCGCCAGGGGGTCGCGGCGGAGACGGAACGAACGGCAGTGGATGGGCTTCCATGGCTCAAATATTCGAGGTCTAATCTTCGCAAAGTCAGAGGATACGCCGCGCCGGGTCGTCTACTTCGTGGTCGACTCTCGTATATCGCATCCATCGAGTTTATAGGAATATGTAGATGATACACTTGATGTCTGCGGTGTTCTGTGGATTGTTCAGAACTCTCGCGTCTTTGAGGTCGAATACGAAGTGTGCGACCAGTATCGAATCCACCGTTGATTCTGCTCGATGTCGCCTGCAGAAGGGTCGAAGAGCACCTTGTTTTGCTAGGATAGAAGCCACTCATTTTAACGAGTTTACTCCTAGGGCTATCGCCGCACAGTCGACTGCTTGAGACAGGGCTGCAGTAATGGTCGCTGTACTCGTAGAATCTAAGTTTGGAGGAAGCCATCTATGCCCGCGCCGGGCGCGGGAAAAGTATGTGGGCAGTGGTTACGTGTGGGCGTTGCACTGACCACCAAGCTAAATAGGATGCGGCCAACCAGGGCGCATCGCCTGTCTAGGCGTGCCGTGACAGCAGAGTCCTCACAGTCTAAGTGGTTGGTCTGCAGCAGAGTCCTGCAGACCTGTGCCAGCCAACCTGCTTGCAGAGAAATGGTAAGAACAGGACGGATCACGTCATGTACCCGTGCCCCGCCCCACCTTTTTCGTTCAGGGAACCTGACCTCCCAAAAAAAGAGTGGGGCGGAGCACGGGTAAGGCTAACCAGAGCCGAATTTCTTCAAAAGGTGACCCGCCGGATGGTGGTCGGGCACCCACCGCGGCCTGCTGGTTGAGCCTGCGATGAATGCACCCGACAGTGTCATGCGCCCCAATACCATCTAATGTTTTCGCGCAGAAGTCCCCCCCCCTCTCCAAAAAAAAAAAAAAAAAGACCAAGTGAATGCAATTCCCATTGCTCTTTGATCTCCTTCAAGATTGAACGTCATATAGGGGACTATCCGTCTCCTTTGTCAAGCGAGATCTAGTGTGCCTGCTCAGTAATACATCGCGAAGGCTTTGTATCGTCCCGTCTTTTGTCTTCGCTCTGGTGTTTCACCACATGGTCTAAGTGTATTGTGATACCTAAGGTACCTATTTGATGCGGCCCTTTTGGGATCACTTTTCGTTTTCTTCTTTTTTGTGCGCCACTCCTCAATCGCCATCGCCAACACCTAAATCCCATTCCGCATTCTACATTTGGCCAGTGCCGCCTAGTTTTTGCCTTTCTAACCTGCACATAAAAGAATTCGGATTCTTTCATCATGGTGAGTCTTTGCCAGTCCTCCCTGATCCATTCTTAGGTCCTGTGTATTTATCCCTTGTGTATGTCCAAAGACGCGGCGGCCGGAACTAACACACGCAGATTCCCCCAGGCGATCCTCAGCTGCCCAGCGGCTAGATAAAATCATGGCGACCCTCCACTCTCGCCTTGTATCCGACGTCGACGTTCAGGACTACCACTTCCTCGTTGATCCTATCGATCACCATCACATCACCTACGATGGCTTTCCACAGCGAGGTCATCTGGACGAGGCTTTTCTTGGCAGTAACATCAACATTGTAAGTTCATATGTTGCACTCGCAATGTAGCGATAATCACATACTAATGTTTTGGGGGTTACATAGCACTTCAACCCCATCACCAGCGAAATGTCCGTCTCCACCTTGGGCTACGCGCTCCAAGTTGAGCTTCTGCACTTGCTTCTCGGGAAATTGCGCGGCGTTATTGCTGCCCATCCTCAGATAGCGGATACCAAAGTCTTTCCGTTTCTGTGGGAGCGCGATACTTTCGCAGCCGAAGTGCCCCACCCCCTGATTTCCTTGTATCGATCAGCCCGTGATGTTACACCTTCTATTGTCATCAACACCAGCACCTTCGCCGGAAAGCGAGGCAAGAAGGGGGGCGTGAATACGTCGTCTAAGAGCGCTTCCGCCCACGTCATGACACGTTATCCCGGCCTCCAGACCATGGTCCGTCTTGATCTCGGCGGTCTGACCGTGGGCGGGTACGTGGATAGAGAGCATCTCGAGCATCTCAAGCGGCGCGTATAGCGCATTGCCGACCTTTCCTTGGTCCTCACTTGGACACGCGATGAACATGGCAACGTCATCGGCACTAGCGAGAGTCTCTCCAAGGATGACGGCGAGCTCCGTCTACCTCTCAGCGGCAATGGCAGCAACGTTCCCGATCAAGGTGTTGAGGCTGCTATCAAGGACAGCGAGATCTTAGATGCGATCCGTTTAGCGGCTAAAGCTGGACCTCTTGGTGGTGCCGTCCCCCGGGGCGACGACTCCCTTACCCTACAGTCCTCCGTGGTCCCCTTTCCGTCCTTCCGCCGCCACATTTTTGCCTCTTATTCTAACACAAACATCGTAGGCCGTGCTACTCGGCTGCTTGGTCTCGGTGACACGGCCACTGCCGCCACTACCGTGTTGGGTGGCCGCGGGGGTGCCCGTATGTTTCGCCTCCTCCCACATGCCGCGAACCGGGCGAGAGCTGTAGTCTCCACATGGAGCCGGATCTTGGCGCGGCTTCCTCGCAAGCTGTAAGCGTTGCGCGGGAAAGGGAAGAGGCGAAAGGGGAAGGGGGGGAACGACGGTGAATTCGTGCGCTGTCTCGATGGGAAGAGGGGTATTTTATTTGCTTTTCAGCAGAAGAGGGGTCTCTAGGTTTGCATGGCAGAATAGACATGCTTTGAGAAGAGAAGAGAAATCTTAGACAGGGAGAGGGAAAGCGGTCTTGAGTCACTACATTTTTTAAAAAAGGAGTAGTTCAGATAGCTAGTAAAACCAAATGAGGCTTCCTTTAATTACAAGGGTTTATATCGTGTGTGATTTGAAGAGGCGTTGAGATGCTTGTGGGCTCGGGGGCCCTACATCATACGGGCATCACGAATAGCCCGCGAGATAACTCGGAGAAAAAGGCTACGAGCGGGGAATATGCCAATAGACCCAGGCATAGTAGCGAGCCTAGCTCGCTCTAAGGTCTCGAGGCAGGCTTTAACTCAGAATTCGTCGGCTCCACCTCTACATTTGTAAGACTAGAGCGTAGCCACTGTAATATTGTCCGAGGCACTACCAGCAGAGAGGAAAGCGTCGTGGGCCGTCAACGTACAAGGAGGAAGAGGCGAGATACAAAGACCTCTAGCCGCCACAGGACCTATCCCCTGTTATGACTCTTGTAGCAACTGATATTGGATCAAGGCGAATATACAGAATTTTACCAGATCCAAAAGTTTCACGACGTTGAGAACTCAAAATGCTCTGTCGAGTGGGCGGGCTATGAGAACCGGACCTGGGAACCCAAGTATACTATCCCGCGTCGTCTTACTGAGAAAGCCATAAAGCGTAATCGTGACCTTTGCATTGGGCCGTAGCTAGTCAATGTATTTAGCTAGCGTCAGTAGGGGTGGAGGGAGGATCTTCTTTTCCCCTTGCTCTCTTTTCCCTCTGCATACCTGTTTATATAACTTTCCTCTTTTCTCCCTAATTACCATTTATACACCTCTACATCAACAGTCAACTCGAAAATGTGAAAATAGATTCAATCCAATATAATAGCTGGTGGCCTGTCGTATTTTCCTGGCGATTACCCTTACACTACGGCCCTCAACCACCAACAACCAGAGACGAGAGCGACCTGTGCAAAGCAGATTCGCTAACAAGACACGCCAACCTAAATCCTCCCACCTTACCTCGACTATAGTAAGTAACAATAGATCGCAGCATCTGCAGCAATACTAGGCTAAGTCGAAGTTAAGCCTGGAGGACAGGGCTCTAAAAAGCGGCCATAAGCGCTAACTAAAAATTCGCGTACGTTTCGTATAACAATGCCAAAATATACTGCAACTCAAAGGCTTCATATTTGACTCGATTGGGCCTTTCTTAAGCATTTTTAACTCGCAAATGGCTGCATTTGGCGTATTTGTATTCAAAATTTACATTAATGCGAGCGCTACGTCAAACCCAATGGCTGCGGCGTCCTCTAGTCCTGTAATCGTCTTGACTACGGATCGCCTTATATGTGATGCTGCCCTTATGGAAAGATGTGGTATAAAGGCACTTTGTCAGAAAGGCCTTACTGCTTTCGGCATGGTCTAGGGTGCCCGGGCAGGGCCCGCACAGGGCACCTAATTAGACCGCGGTTTTACCGGGTCAAATTGGTCCCCGGGCCTGCAGGGGCAGGCCGGTTTTTCCTTCCTAGAACACAAGACAATACACAATTGGAATACCCTCATTTTGGACTGCTTTTGCATGCTTTTGGCTTCTGAGACACTTGGCCTGCCAAAAGTTTCCGCCCATGGACTTCCGACAGCCAAGCTTGGACGAGGTGCTAAATTCGAAATTCAAGTGTCGGCAGTAATAACCCTGGTAAAGGCGCGCTCATTCTCGGGGACTGGGAGGGCGCCCCGCTCACCGCCGTTTGACTCGCAGATCTACGGCGCACGCAGATCTACGGCGCACGCAGAGGACACCGTTCCTAACCTTTCTCTCAGCCTACGGCGTGGCCAGTCCAGGAAGTAGGAACAGTCTCAACGGGCCGATGAACTTTGCTATTGCCTGACAGGTGGCCGGTCTCCCGTACGTAGCTGGCAGCTTCGGACTTGTGTTAGACGAGGACTATTCTAAGGTCAGCAACGTGGTAATATCGGAGCAGGACAGCTCCAGCATAAGTTGGGTGTCATTTATCCACCTTGGCGTTTGAGCATGGACGGCATCAGAGTGAAGAAGCCATTTGTATTGCACAAAGCAAAACTTAAAAGAAAGAAGCATAGGAGAGTCGCCAGCTCTGCCGGCGAGCCTTAGCACACGAGCCACACTATTGACGGCCACACCCGCATTTTGTGCTTAGTTTTCCATAAGCCGCCTGCCAGAAACCGCAGCTACCCCGGCGCCACGTTTCCTTCAATTGTACCACCATATAGTGAGACAGTCGGGCTTCCCCAGCCCACCAACTTGAAAGATGGTCTCTCCATCCCTCCCACACCGCGTGACGGCCGACGTCTTGCCCGTGGGCAGCATGGTGCTCATGAAGCCATGCACGACCGACGCGCCGTAGCCCAGAGCCATGCCGACCTCGCTCCACTTGGGCGGGTTCGTGAACGCGAGGTCGCGGTACCCGACGGCGGCGCGCATGCCGCCGTCAAACACCTTCCACCAGGGGTCGAAGGCGAGGTGGCCCTGGCCGGCCGGAAAGTCGGTGGGCGCGGGGATGACGCTGCACTCGCCCAGGATCCAGTATGACAGCCCCCTGCCCTCGGCCGAGGCGCCGAACCCCTTGGCGTATAGATCCGACGAGATGGTTACGGTGCCGCCGCCGGGGAGGCCGCCGTTGGTGAGGAAGTGATGCGGCCACCCGTGGCCGTCGCTGAAGGCGACGTCCACGTTGTTGACATAGTACCACGCCCATTCATTGTATCCCCTCGCGTCGTCCCAGTAGTACTGCGCGTCCACGAAGCGCGAGGACGCCGAGTGCAGCCCCGACCATAGGCCCCAGCCCTCCTCGATGAAGGTTGGCGACAGCCCGTCGCCGTTCATCAGGTAGCGGCCCAGGGCGATGGCACCGTCGCGGCGGGACGGGCCCGGGAGGCGCGCCAGGGTGGTGGCGCTACGGGGCGACCTAGTGGCATTCAAGCCCGGATCGTACTGGGGGAGGCTGGGGCCGGGAAGGGCGCCCCGGTCCGGGTTGGTGATGTTGGGCAGCGGCTCCAGCGCGCCCTTGTCGCTGGCGGGGATGTAGCCGACGAGCAGCGCCGTGGCAGGGCCGCCGGCACTTCTGACGGTCGCGTTGAAGCGGAAGACGGGCTGGATGTGGGCGGCGCCCGAGTCGTAGAAGCAGAGGTCGACGTGGCGGACCGTGGCGTTGCCGTCCAGCCCGGACTCCGCAAGCTTCTCGGCGATGCGCGCCCGGATCTGGTCGGGCCTCAGGGGCTGCAGAGACGTCCCCTGGCTTGTTGCGGGCTTCCAGGCGTGGCGCAGCCCCCGGATGTTGCCGCTTGCGTCGAAGCTGAAGACGGCCTGGCTGCCCGGGCCGCAGACGGGGTGCGAAGCGGACTCGTACGGGATCGCCCGCCGGACGGCGCCCTCGAGCAGGTACGAGGCGGGTGGCGACGGCTCCTTGCGGAGAACCTGTCGCGAGCCGTCGAGCCGGGAGCCGATGACGATCCCGGCGAGCGTCTTGTCATTGGCGATGATAGAGCGATCCGCCATCAGGATCTTCAGGAGCTCCCCGTTGAGCTTGATGTCGCCCGGCTTGAGGGACGGTAGGTCCGGTAGTACAAACGTCTCGTTGGTCTTCTTGTCAAAGCGGCCGACGAGGGTTTCTCGGCTGTACCAGTACCTGCCCGAGTCGTCTTCGCGCTCGTCGATCCTGGCGCCGCCCCCGGCCGCCCCCTTGATGATGGCCTGCAGCTTGTCTTGGGGGAACACGAGGGAGTGGCCGAGAGCATATGTGGGGAGTCTTTCCGTATGCACGGGCAGATTGCACTCAAAGACGGGATGGTGTTCAGTGGGGTTGGCTACCTCGGCCGGAACCGCCAAAGCGGTGCTGACGAGGAGGCCGGCGAGTGCCAGGGCGGACCTCACCGGGTGCATCTTATCTGATGTCGAGTGGCCAGATGTTGGAGGGGAGTCTGAAGAGCGTCGAGAAATGGTTTGCGGAGACAAATGGGCAAACAGCACGCTTTGAAAAATGTCGACAGGCTCTTTTATGTCGAGGTGGATTGTCGGTTTATTTACAGGGAGGCTATGCAAGTCGCCGAACATTAGGGCAGGTCGTCGACCTGCGCAGAGTAACTTTGCACTTTTTTGTTTATCGGGCCACACCCAGGGCTGAAGTGTTCTCCGAGTTGCTGGGGAGCCAGTCGCACCCAGTTCTCTCGCGGCATAACATGTGGCTTTGACACAGCCCTGGGCTAGCCAATCCAGATTTGCGAGACAGGAACGCAGAGGAAGCGATGCACACGCAGCCGCGCATTGCTCCGCCACCCCGTATCACACATCGGCCCAACCCAGCCAAATCCGACCGCCGCCCAATTGACAGCGCGTCAGCCAGCTCCGAGCACCATGAACTCTCTTAATTACGTCGTGCTGTTGTAATTGTTCTGATTCGACCGTTTTTGGTGCGATTAGAATTAAGTGTCGTGAGTCGCGAATCAGTGAACACGGATCGCTCAACCTCGCCTCCTCGGTGAGCGTACGCAGCCTCGGGCACAGCCAATGGCGTCGAGATCAACCTGCTGCAGTACTTGAACGACTCGAGGCAGACCACCAATGCCAACATGCTTCCATCGCCATCAACTGGATGGACCAAGGGGGGCTGAGCCGCTCGCCGACTACTTGGCCGGAGACCGTCCGGCCCCATCAACCTCGCATACGCCGACAAGTTCATGAAACCTCGGCTTCAACCAGCTCGACTGCTTCATCAACCAGCTTACCCAGACGACCATGTACTCCACCCAAGACGCCTCGACCCTCCGCACTCGCCGCCTTAACGGCCTGTACAATGTCCGGTACGCTCCGAGCGTGGTCTTCAACGCGGCGGCCGGGCCGCAGCAGAACGGCTCCGTCCACGCCCGGCACCAACGCACAAACAATCTCCGACTGGCAGCAACAGCAGGCGTTGCACCAGTTGCAGCAGTTCACACCCTCGTCGCTGCACCCGGGCTCGCCGTACCAGGGCGGGGACAACCACTACCCGTACTACTCGCAGGGTACCGGCCCGCCGCCGTCGGACCACAGCCGCATAGGCAGTCCCGTGATGAGGCAGTCCCGTGATGGCGCAGCACCCACGCGCAGCACCCACGGGAGCTGGCAGCCGCCGGTCGAGATTGGCGTGATGACGGATCCGCCAGTTGAGATGGATAGCTCACCGGTGCCCAGCCCTCAAGGGCGGCTCCAACAACTTCGGCATCGTCACTAGCTTCCGCACGGCGGCCATCCCGCACGACAAGGTCTGGGGCGGCATGGCCTTTTCCCCAAGCAGATCATCCCGTCGGCCGTCGACGCCAACCCGGGCAGCAACCTGGTCTGCATCTTCACGCACATGCCCGACTTCAAGGACATCGTCGTGGCCGCCCTGCCCGAGATCATGAACATCCTCAAGATGGCCTCCGTCTCGGAGATGGCCTTCGAGCACAACATCCCAACGCGCTACCACAACAACACGTGGTTCACATCGTCGTTCCGCAACGACGCGCGCATCCTGGCCCGGGCATCGGAGCTGCACGACGCCCTGGTGGCCGAGCTGCAGGCCTTCATCCCCGACGGCGACTTCATCACGCAGTGCCTGTTCTAGCCGCCGCCGACGCTGTTCATCGAGAACTCGGCCGCCGCGGGCGGCAACGCTATGGGCGTGGAGCGCTACCGTGACACTGTTGCGCCGCACGAAGGCGTGCCGTAGCTGGCCGTGGTGATGGCGCGCACGTCCGAGCAGGAGGCCTTTGCGTACCCCAGGGTGAAGGCCCGGGTGCAGGCGGCCAAGGAGTTCGCGCCGCAGGGCATCGACGGCGGGCGTGGCTTGCTGGACTGGGCGTGTCTGAACTATGCGGACCCGAGCCAGGATGTGCTGGCGAGCCCTGGGGAGGAGAATGTGCCAAACCCCATCCTCTGGTTGCCTCAACCTGAGTCTCCAACATCCCACCTCCTCTCTCGGCGTAATTCGGAGGCCAACCGCAGACGCCGGCGTCGATGCGCATCACACCCGCGTTTGCCGTGTGAGGGTGGCATTTGCCGTGTGAGGGTGGCGTTTGCCGTGTGCGGGTGGAATTGGGGCGTGCATGGGATATTGACCTTGAGTGGACGGATTCAAGTTGGTTGCAGACAGCATCGTGGACAACATCCAGGCAGTCTCAGCGCTGCTGTGGTGATTTTGCTGCTGCTGGTGGTGGTTGCTTGCTTGCTCACTTGCATGGGATACTGGAGGGCACCACGGCGACAGTCAAAATGCCAAAGCTGAGCTTTGCGTGTTTCCATTGGGCTTGGAGGCTCTGGCTGCCGCTGAGTAAGGGTTCCCCGCACCGCATCTTGCTGTTGTGCGCCGCAGCTGCGCCGCTTTATTGATCTGGGTCCCCAGAGGGTGTGGCGGCCCTCACCGTTTCTGGCTCTGCATTAGCCCCATGTCAAGGCTCGCTTAGGCCATGGGCTGCGCGTAACTCGACTCCCACATTGGTAATGGTTAATGATCTCTACATTGGTAATGGTCAATTTTTAGTAATGTGTAAACGTAATACCGAACAGACACTCGGGCGAGGAACCATGGGCATAAGCGGGATCCCGATCCGGCCGAATTCCACTGCCAAGAATCAGACCCGGGTGTTCGGGCCAATCGACGGCCAGGTTGGAGCCACTGCTGATGGTTTGAAGATGGGGCAACAGTCTTGGTCAGCAGCCCTCGTCAGCTTCCTACATGTATGGCACTGCGGCCTGGCCAATATGCCGAGCTCTCTTTGACTTTCTCTCAAGGCTTCCAACCCACCTCAGTTACAACGTTGCGCTTAGAGCGGCAACCTCATCGCCGCCACCTGCGAGCGTCACTCTCTGTTTGCCGTGCTCGAGCACACATCTTCAACACAGACTCGATGGAGACCGGGGCCCTGAGTCTATTCTACCATCTTAGCTGTGCTCTATTATTCCCAATGCAACCCCGCCTTCCCTGGCATTACTCATGACGGCAGCAGAATGGTCTGACCTGAGGTCAGGCTGAGGTAGTGAGACTCCTCCAACGGTTTCTGCACGAAGCCGGAGGAAACAACTTGCCCAGGACTAAGAGCGAGAACGGCAAGGCAGGCTGGCTGGGCAGGCTGGGCTGGGCTGGGCTGGGCTGGGATGGGATGAGCTGGGATGGGCGGGGATGGGCTGGGATGGAAGGATAAATACCGCCATCTCTCCCAACCGTTGAGGTTTGGCTTTCTTGAACAAGCAAGCCATCGGCACATAGCCCTATTCCCTCGCCCTCCTGTCTCTCCCCCTTTGAATCCTCGTCTCAACAGCTTGATACATTATCGCCGCCATGAAGCTGGCCGTTATTGCTACCTTTCTGGCTGCGACCCTCGCCATGCCCTCGGCCAACGATCCCACTCCAGTTGTTGAACGGGATGAAGTCAACATCGAAGCCCGCGGAGAGCTCAATGAGCGTGGAAACATCGTGAGACGCGTCGAGGGCGTCCATCTCGTCAACTGCCCCACGTACTCGCTCGTCGTGGTAAGAGCACCTCTTCCTCCCAAGAGACCCATCTCCCCGCAGTCGTGCGGTTGACTGACAGGTTTCTTCGCCACGGGCAGTATTGCCCCAACGACGGCAATTGCGGCACGTACCCCACGGGCAGCAACATCGTCGCCTACAGCTACATCGCGGCGTGGGAGGGCGCAACGTACGGCGCCACCTTCACGAGTGGCGTGACCTTCTACTGGAACATCTACTCCAACGCGCAGTCGTATGCGAACTACAGAAATGTCGGCTGGGGCGACAACAGCTACACCAGCTTCGTCTGCCGCAAGGACGACCAGCACATCATGTTCTATAACGGCGCCGGCGGCGCCTGCAGGAGCATCTACTACTGCCTGCCCGGCACCTGGAGCTCCACGCTGTTGAAGCGTGCGCCCCAGAGCACCGCGACCCCTGTTGCTCCCCCGCCCGCTACCGTCAGTCCCTAAACTGAGTGCGGAAGCTTGTGGAGAAGGCATGGGAAACTGAGGTGGGATTCAAGGGAAGAGGTATGAGAACTTGAAAAAACATGAGGCAGTTCCAGGTAGTAAGGTACCTCGGGCAGTTAGTAAGGTACCTCGGGCAGTCCTATAGGTAGCTCAACCAACAAAACCACGTCGCTCGTTACTCCAGCCCAGGAAGCACTGTGATAATGTTTGATTGTCCCGACGAATGCAAATCAATTTCTAGTGGAACCTGGTCTGGTCGGATACCTACTTGAGTCCCTGATTTTACGAATTCCAATAAGTAGAGTCGTATTCAACGTCTTAGCCTAATTATCCCAGCAGCTTCCAGCTCCACGGCGCTGCACTAGCGTAAGCCGATCCCACCATCCATCCATCCTCTGCCCATCACCATCGCCGGTTGGCTTGCGCCACCAAGGCGAAAGCGAGGGCAAGTCCGAGCTCCTTTAGGAGGATCCTTTATAAACGACGCCCAGTCAGATTTCAAAAATTTGTTTTCTCCTTCCCTCCCAACCGCCAAGCCCCCTTTCACCCTCAACCAAGACATAAAGGGAAAACGAAAAAAGAAAAAACGAAAAGCAATCACCAGCAAACCACTAAAATGCACGCCCTCCTTTCAACCTCCCTCCTCCTCCTCCTCCTCCTCCTCCTCAGAGTAACCATCTCCCAAACACCACCACCAACCCGCATCCCACTAGCCTGTCTCCCCAACGGCACCCCCCCTCCAACCGCATTCACCAGCACCTACGCATTCACATTCAAACGCGGGCTCAACTTCGACTTCGTCGCCGCCCAACCCAGAGCCGCCGCGCAGGTATGCGACTTCGCCGGGCCGATGATCGGCCACGCGCTGGGCGGCGTGCCCGGAACAGCAGCGACGCTTATCACGCCCAACGAGGCCACGCTCGGCGCGCTCGGCTATGTTGCGTCGACGGTCCTGGTTGCCGCGCCCGCGGGGATGGCTGGCGTGCTTAATGCGCTGCTGGCGAATGGCACGTCGGAGCTGTATACCAATCCTGAGGATATCGTGCGTGCGCTTGCGGGGCAGTTGGATAGGGATGTTACGGTCGTGGGTAGGTAATTTTATCGAGGTTGTTCTGTTCATAGGTTTAGGGTTTTCTTTGTTTGGTTTCCAACCGAGGCCTCCAGCTCGTCGCAGCGGTCCTTGAGGCCGTCGATGCCCCGCTCGTCGCGGTTCAGCGCGGCGCCGTGGTCGTCGATCCTATCGCCCTGGCCATCGACGGCGCCCACGACAACCTGGAGGGCGCGCTCGAGCCTGTCGATGGCGTCCTGCATCCTGTCGCGGTCGGCGGCGAGGGCGGCGATGGTGCGTGTGATGCACTGTTTGTGCCAGGAAACAAGGTGTGAAGAAGGAGGATTCCTCCAAAGCTAAGGTTTGGTGCCTACGCTATGTAGGCTAATGCACGGGTCACCTTCCTTGCTTATATAAGCACAGCATATAAGCATAACAGTGCGCGCCTGTTCGTCGAGGTGTAGCGTAGGAGGTTGGCCGCCCGCCCCCGCTCAGCGACGATGCCCTGCGGGACGGCGACCGTGATCAGCACAGGCATCAACTCAAATATGTTCAAATCAAACGGTCAATTATAGGCCCTGTTGTCAGCCAAATATGTGGTTTTGGGATATAATTCAACCAAATATGGATCCAAAAATACTTGGGCATTTGATAGACATCTCCCATTGGCCAGGCCATTTTTTGCGGGGCTTTCGGGGGTTTCCTGGGGCCTGGGCGCCCTCTGCCCAGGCCCCAGACCACAAGACTGGCCTTCCCCCTAGGCCAACGTTGCATTCCTGGCCCGGGAAAATCTCCGACTACCAGGCTTCCACATGCCGTTGACGCTATAATGTAACCATCACCACATATGTCGACAAACAGCCTCGAATCCTTCCAATCCCGCAGCGACCTTCCCTGCCTTGCTCCCGAGCCGCCGACAAGATGCCTCCCTCGACCGTTAATGCCGCGACCCTCCACACGGGCGAAAAGCGAGCTTTGGCCCTCATGCAGAGGCCATCGCAAATTGCAACGCAGTACGAGGAATTGATCCGGCAAGACGAGAAAGAGCTGGCGAATTAACCGATTACCATACCCCCCCACCCCCAAACGGATCACCCTAGCAGTGGATCACCCTTTTACACCAAAACACTCCCTTTTTGAACAACAATAACGTAGTCAATTGTGAAGCTATTCGCAAGTAGGCAATTGAGCCAGTTATGTAATTGCATGTAGTTTAATCTTCGTATGGATTTGTCAGCCCAGAAGCCCTGCTTTTTTCGCTACATTGTCGCAAAGTGACTCCAAGTTAACTCCAAATTAGCTTCCTGACATTCTTCTCCCCCTACCTTTAAGTGGGAATTGCGTCTTGTACTACCATAATGTCTGAATAAAGTAACGATAATATGGCCAATGCGTACCTAGATGTCACAGACAATAAGCTTTCCATTTGTCAATCGGCTCAAAAGCATGGAGTTCCTTATACAACGTTGAACCGACGACTCAACGGAGTCCCCCCCAAAGAAGAGGTCCTCCAAACACAACGCAGGCTCACAGAGCCTCAAGAAAAGCGGCTCATTGAGTGCATCGTCAACAGAAAAGACTCGGCTTTGCTCCGAGTTACTCAACAGTATCTAGCATTGCTACAAGACTCTGTAAAGAAGCAGGGCAAAAAGACCCTGTAGAGGAAAACTAGATTTTTAGCTTCAAAGCTAGAAACCCCGACATTCGAGCCAAAGTAGGCAAGAGAATGGAAGCCGTTCGTTTTAACGGGTTTACTCCCAAAGTGTCAACTGGTACTTCAATATAAGGGAGAAAGAATATCGCAGCACTTGTTGACAAGATCAACTTCATTCGCTGCTAAAAGGTAGTCAGGGAGGAAACGTTGACAGGAAGAACCATCAAATCATCATTCCGGACGACCGGAAATTGGCCTGTTAATAGGCAAAAAGCCCTAAAGTCTAAACCACCCAGAGATTCACCAAGACAGGGCAAAGACCCCTGAACCCCCTGTCCTCTCTAGAATCCCTAGTATACCAACTACAAGACGTCAGATTAGGGGTTTTAGGAAAGGAAGCAGTCCCCGGACTAGATGGAAGTTCCAGAAAGCTGCGGCGGCCGTTGAGAAGCTTCAGGCCGAATTGGTACTCAAGCAGCACCGTATTGAAGCCCTGGATGCTCAACTGGAACGTATTAAGCCCCAACAACGAAGGAAAATTCCCAATCCTAACAAGCGGTTCATAGACCTAGGGAGGATACTACTGGGCGGCGAGGTTCCCGCAGAGCCTCAAGCAGAGCCTCAAATTGAAGAGGTGGATGATGAAGAAGAGGATGAAGAAGAGGCTGAAGAAGAAGAGTTGCCTGCAAGAATGATAAGATTTGGCCGTGCACTTCGTGTGCCAGCACGATATATGGATTGTAGTGTTTTGGTGTAAAAGGGCGATCCACTGCTGGGGTGATCCACTGCTGGGGTGATCCACTGCTGGGGCATGGTAGCTTTTCCGGAAATCCGCAACACGCCTTTGCTGTGCTTGAGCCACTCGAGGAAAGGGAACCGGCCGTCTGAGACTCGTGAACCCCTTGGCTGGGTTTTTGCATCAAAACCCAACGGATGGTCTCATGGTGAACTACTAGGATTTCGGAGTGCCGAAACGGCATTGAATCAAAGTCGGGGGATTTCAGAAATTTTTGCCCTTTGGAGATCATCTCCAGATCTTTTTCCGCCAGCGACAGAAGTGAGATTTCTTGTTCGATAACCTTGACAGCATCGTCGGCTTCGCTCTTGTCCCTGCCACGCAAAAGGGCCTGCGCCATGCTCTGCAGCTAGCCATCGAGTTTGTCAAAGGTTGCGGACTAGTCTATTCTCAATTTTGACTCCTCGTCTCGCAGCGCATCTCGAGTGTGGAGCATGGAAGTGTGTTGTTCTCTGACATCGTGCTTTGATGTCGGTAATTAATCCGAGTCGTGGTTTACTGGGCGCACATTAGTATTGGAAAGGTGTGCAAAGCTATAGCCCCTTTGAACCGACTTATTCTTCCTTCTAGCTCTTTAACTTTTTTGCTGCCGAGAAGCGCCTTGAATGCGGCTAAGAAGGCCTTTAATGGGCTCCGGGATGCCCCCGGGTCTTTGAAGCCTCTGAGAGTGTCGATTAGTTCATTGCAAAGGACTTAACATTCCGTGGCGAGCTTTTCAAGAGATCTGGTATTCGAACCAACTCTGGAAGAGTTCTGGCTGTTGGGCTGCGCGGCTTGGATGACCAGGTTCGAGCTGAAGGTGTTCAACGAGTCGTAGACCGTCTCGAGTTCAAGGTTGCGTGCAGTGGCATCGTGGACAGACCCGGCAATCTCAATTCCACTAAAAACGAGAGTAGAAACAAAGTCAACAAACTAGGCGACATTGCTTGCTAACCCGAGTATCGTAAGTGGCTCCATATTTGGGGATGCCGACTGGTGGGTGATTAGCCTGGCGGGTGATTAGCCTGGCGAGATGGATTCTTCCCAGACGAGGTTCAGGGGATGGATTTGCTAGGCCAGGCTGCCACAAAAGCGTGGGGCCGTGGCCAGCTATAGAGGTAGGGAGAAAAGGTGCTGAGGGACTTAACGTCGGCGTGCAAGGGTGTTTCCAGTAAGAACACAGCCCCAAGAGGTGGCCCAACCGTCTTCATTACTCGTCTGCACCGCCACCATAAGCCCGGACCACGCCGCCCACACAATGGGTGTGATTGAGGCTGCGACTAAGTTAGGTGGGGGGGTAAGCGAACACTACTGATTTAGAACATTTTGTATAAGCAGGAGTCCCAACTAACCCTCCAACAAAAGAAAGGGTGATCTTTTTATTTACAAAACTTCAATACAATCTTTGATATCCTCTGAATCATCCGCTTCTTCCGCATCTTCTAAAACCTCTGCTGCACGCCCTACAGCTCTCTGGGCCTCACGAATAGTCTGAATATTCGCAAAGGTGGTATTTGGATCTTCTTCAACCTTCTTCTTCTTTCTGGCTCTTATTGATTCGAGAGTGTGTTCTAGACCTTCAATCTTTCGCTTCCTAATAGCTAGTTCAAAGGCCTGTTCATCCAAAGCCTTACCAATCTTTCTGAGGAAGAGCTTATCCGCTGGCATTGCTTTGATGATGCGTGCGAACTTCTTTGCCTGCTCAACGTAATCACGTGCCTTTCTAGGAGTCCTCCACTGCACCCGATCGTTTCCATAATCCTCCAGGATTGGCATACGGAGTGTGCGAACCTCTGGGGTAACTATAGTAGTTCTTAAGGGGCGTGAAGTATTAGAATTCTTGAGGAGGAGTGGGCTTCTTAGCGGTTTGTTGACATTCAAGGGCCAAAGGCCTGATGCCTTCCATCCTGACTTAGCATTACTCTTAGTAATTGCCTCTGTGCGTGAAATCTGGTAGCATTCCAGAAACGCACGTTTTTCGGCTACAGAAGAGTCGTCAAAGGCGTTAGCAAGAAGGTCCTCAAGCCGTCTGCGATAAAGTCGTTTTAGGGGGCCAAATATGGCCAAATCTAGGGGTTGGAGGACATGGGAAGTATGGGGAGGCAGATAAATAATGTGAATATTGTTTGTGAATACCTCCCACATATAATCGGCAGTTGTGTGGCTGCCATGGCCATCAATAATAAGGAGTCGTTTCTCAGAGGAGTTTGCTGGCTTGGTGAGAGGAATGAACACATTTTTTAACCATTTGAGGCTTGTCTCATCGGTAGTCCATCCTTTCTTAGTTGCTGTAAAGAACCAATCCTGAAATGGCTTCATATCCAAAGGAAACCATTGTTGTTGAACGCTTTTCCCCTTAAAAATGACCAAAGGAGGAAGGCAACGGCCAGCTGCTGAGATGCATTCGACAAAGTGGTCCAAGTGCGGGTTCCAGGCTGTTTTTTTTGAAGCGCCTTAAAGGCACGGCTCCAATGACAAGGCCGTTGGTTCCTCTGCCTTCCATAATACCAGATTCGTCCTTGTTCCAGCGATTCTCTGGCTTAATCGCCTTGATAGCTGGTGTTTGGAAATGGTTGAACCAAGGTCGAATTGTTGACTCTGTAGCGCAGTTGACGCGGACCGAATCGACTCTCTTGGCCCTCTGAGTCTTCAAAATTCGATTGCGGTTAAGAAAGGCACGGCACCACCCCTTTCCAAGTGGTAAGGAGTCCCCCCTTTCAGCTAGAATACGGCGTGCAAGCTCCCTGATCTGTGCATGTGTAGGGGGCAATCCTAAATCTTGTTGAAGAAGAATCCATTCGACTAAACGATCCTCTTGGGTCTGTGTAAGCCTTTGCTCATCTTGATGAGCAACATTTCGAGTTAGGAAGCCATGTAGACGGCCATAAAGGGTGGAGGGTGGAACGTTCCATTTTCGCGCGACTTTGCGTAATCGATGTGTTCTGACGGCTTCCTCGCAAGCCTTGCGGAGGTCTTCTTCTGTATATGAAACCATTGTCAAGAGAAGAATAAAACGAATTGAAGATGAAGAGAATTGGAAAAGAATTGGTTGAGTTATGGGCTTTTTATATAAGAGGGTTGGTTGTGTTCCTCGCTTATCTAGAATGTTCTGGATCAGTGGCGTTCGCTTACTCCCCCACCTAACTTAATGCAGTTGCTGCAACCCAGAGTGTCAGGCAACCGGAGTCTGGTTTTTTTCTCTTGGCGACGCGCCGTCCCGAACAAATCAACATGTTAGGTGTGCAACAACAAAACTTCCCTCCAAGGTCCAATAACTGCTCTGCTATTCATTGTCTAATTATCTAACAGCCTGCAGCTGTTGAGTACCTAGGTAGGTTTCCGAACGACGGCTGAGGCGCCTAACACCCCTGCCTACCCCTCCTACCCAGGAACAGCACCGAGGACAATGACTCAAGCCACCCCAAAGCCAACATTCTCAATCTTGGGTACTGTCAGCCTCCTCCGAAAGACGTTGATCACAAACCAATCCCGAAGGGACTGGCTGGGTTTGAAGATAAATACCCTAGCAATCCCCCATATGTCTTTTCCAAACATCATCCACGCAATCGACCTTGACGGCGATGGGCATTGAAACTGCCTAGAAGAGCCTGGGCGACGAAATTATCAATGTAAGCATCTCAGCTCTTGTAGTCACGATTACTAACTCCTGAGATGAGGTTCAAAAAAAGGACTTACCAAAAGAGCCCGCTTCCAGCAGCAAAATTGCCGCCTAGGAACTGATCATCGAATTAGCTTGTGCTAGCATGAAATGGGTACCGTGCATAGGTTGGTGGGCAGGTGGGAAAACGCAAGGCATAAACGTACAAGTTGGCAGCGATAAGGCTGACAGGAACGAAAACTGATGCCATCCTTGACCAAAACAGGTGAGCTAAAGCCCAGAGTCCGACGGAAGCCCGTTGGTACGAACTTGGTGATTTGGCCAACGCTGGTTACGGTGTTAGTTGTAAGTCTCTCTCCTCAGTTGGAATATGCGTGTGGGCAGCTCAGAGACGCACAAATTTGCCTGAGCGGTTGCAGCCGATGCTTGGCATGCAGCAACTGTTTGGAGGTAGCTCTCTGCTGTCCTCTTGATCATCTCATCCGCGAAGTCTGCCGTTAGTTCTAAATTCTCCCATTCCGCCAGTTCAAGTTCTCTCTAGCGGCTAGCGGAGTCAGTGCCTTCAGATTTCTTTTAATAATTGTTGCAGGATAGTCCTTACTGGGTCCGATTTCAGGAGGTTCTTGCTGTCGCTTCGGTTCTTCCATCATACTCTGCATGAGTTTCGGGAGGGGCGGGATTGATGCCCTTGCTGGTGCGTAGCGTTCCCAGTTCCTCCAGCGAATCACAGTACCGTTACCCTCAGTCTCCCAGGGTTTACCAGAGCCAACTGGTTTCGCTGCCCCTGGCTTTGGTTCCGCTGCCCAGTAGCTAATTAGCTACTGGCTCACGGCCGGTTGAGGTGTCATGCCATTTTCTTCACACGTCGAGATTTCCGCCCTTCCGAACTCCTCGTATCGTAGTCAGCTGGGCGATCGTCCTTGGGTTCGTCTTGACTGAACGAGATAGTTCTGTAAGCGGACCCGGCCATACAGTGAAACTCGGCAGCAGGAATGTGTTACTGTCTAGGGCTCAGGAATAATGATGCTTATAGAAGGCCGGAGACATACTTTCGCCAGGATTTGAAAGTTTGGCGTCATGAAGCTGGCTGTACGATAGTACGCAGTAGTATCGGGGGTCTTGGGCCAATGGTGGGCGAGCCACGCCACGGTTATGCAAGGTAGGATTTGCCCAGTGACGAGCAAAAAAGTCCAAAGAGATGCGTGGGAACTTCTAGTAGATGGCACGGATCCACTCAAGCCCCATGCCTTCGAGGAAGATAACTCTACCTGCGGTTTTCGGGTTGGTGTCATCAGCATCTCATGTCTTGAGCTAATCTAAGAGGTCTTGAAGGCTGTAATAGGTCCCACCGTAGTCGTTCGGGCTATATCGCCCAACTTCAAATGCTGCCGCCCACCCCCGACCCCGCTCCTCGACAGTTTCCAACGGCGTCGCCTATGCACGGTCCCGGTCCCCGAATAGTCTATCCCGTTTCTTGTTGGGAATATCGGCCGGAGCATACTCTCGTGTCTGAAATCTCAACGACTCACAAAACAGGCGCTCGAAAGAACCCACCGCGAAGTCCGCCTCCCATTCTTTCAGCCGTTCTTGGAACTCGGTATCCGGGCCCTTGTTTCCCATACTTGTGGTGGACAGGCCGAGTCGCCTGTTGTTCATTTGAGTTGGTCCAGGTTTGGAGAGGGGGGTGCCTGTCTGAAGTCTTCTGCGTCTGGGAGAATTGACAAGGAGGACGATAAGGCTCTTGCAGCTTCGGCTTGCCACGAAGACATTCAGGTCCGTCCTACGATTTTTCTGTTTTAAGATGCAACACCCAGTCAGCTCGTCTTCGGCATGCTAGGAACGAGTTCGTCCGGCCGCGCCGTTTCGAGCAGGGTATGCATTATCATAGCTTCAGGATAGCCATTTAATTCGGCAAGATAGGCAAGTATCAGAAGGCAAGAAAGCACGCAAGAAAGCGAAGAGTGACTTGAAGAAAAGGAAAGAGCGCTAGGATTACATTTCAGTTGAACTTCATATTACTAGTTCTAATGGGGAGGAAAGAAACAATGGACATGGCCTGATTATCACTGCAGTTACTGCAGGAAACCCAATTTGTCACTTTTAGCGAGTCTCTCCTCCACCTACACAATCGTTTCGAAGGTAAAGGAATGGATGGGGCAAAGTGAACTGAGCGGGTAGTGCTGCCCAAATGCAGCATTACAGCGCTCTAACAAACATATACGTCCGTCATTCGATAGTAATATTGCAGTGTTTGTTCTGTTAGATGAGACGAATCGAGACGACTGCACTCTGGTCTGGCCCACGTGATGCGTCGCCGCTTTTGCTCAGGCTTGTTCAGGCGCTGCTCACCTTTGCTCACTGTGTCCACCCTTTGGGGTAAGGGGCGTTACCGCCGCAGACTAGGAATTGCTTCAACTCTAGCCGAGGAGGGGGGGGGCCAAAACCAGTCCCTCCAAGGTGGCCCAAAATGAGTCCCTGTCCGGACTCAATAAGAGGCACGCGGCACTGCCTCGTCTCTGCACGCATATCCTCTCTTCCTCGTTCCATCTGGTCGCTGCTGGAGATTTAAGCATGCTATCTCCCTCCTCGCCCCCTTCCTTTTCCTCCCTACTCCTCATCCACTCCTCATCAACTCCTACCTCCTACGTACATTTCCTTGACGGAGGAACCAAACTGCAAACATGAGCACAAGAACGAAGACATACAGCCGGGCGAAGACACGGACTCATGGAGACGCCGTGATTGAACGGGCTGAACAGAGAGGACTCACAACAGATCGCTCAAAGATCAGTCCTCACGCAGTCCGCAAGAAGCTCAGGCCGAAGAGCGAGGTGGAATACGCCCGAGACCTTGAAGTATGGCATTCGTAAGTAAACGGCACCCCAACCTGACCGAGTACAATGGCTGACAGGCTTCAGATACGTGAGGAAACACGGACCTTCTGATCCCAGGGATATGCGAGTGATGAAGCATTTTGTCGAAGCTATGGCACTGTCGTCCTCACCGGTAAGCCTTGACCTGAGCACGTAATATGCATGCGGCATATACAACCCCCATGTCACTCTGTTGTCATGACCAATGTATCCCAGCACTTCTATCAGTCTTACGATGGCTCTACAGGTCCAATCGGGCAGTAGCCCTTCCTTCCGGAGCCAGTTCCTCATTGCCAAGTGCACCAGTTGTTGGATGTTTACAGTCGAGTCTGCAGACCGCTTAGTGACGAACGAGTAACCTTGCAGCGTCCCTATCGCTTGTGTCTCCTTCTTCCGCGATTGACCCGGTGGAAGAAGCGATTGCGGGATGTCTTTAGTATCTACACAAGCCATGAAGGAGAGGTAGTCCGCCGCAAGAGGGTCGCGACACCGGATTTGTTCGAAGGAAATAAACCAAGTAGTGGCCACTGCGTTCTTCACGTCGCGATACCGCCCTTCGTCTTCGAAATCCTCGTTAAGGAGATCGATTACGTCCTCTTCTTGCTCTTCTAGGAGCGACAGATAGTCTCCCAAGCTTATTCCGTTCGCGTTAATGTACACCGCAGCCTGAATAATGGCCAGCGGGAGGTAGGTAAGCCTTGCCAGCAGGGTCGTTGCATCTTCTTGGCTACTGAGGCCCCGATTAACTAGGTATTTCTGTATTAGCTGCTTTCCGCCAGCTTCGTCCATTTCCGACATTTCTACCACGTTTCGACCGGCAAGTCTAACTGCTGTCTTCATGTCGCGCGTCGTGAAGATGATGGATCCGTGGCTGCTTCTTGGGAGGCAGTCAATCAGACAACCAGATTCCGGCGTAAATTTGTCCACCCACATGCCAACGTCGTCAGCGTTGTCGAACACCAGGAGCCATTGGCCTGCGCTCTCGCTGCTTAGGTGATCTCGTACAAGTCTCCTGATATCGGCTTTGTCGTCTTCACATCCGGATATGCTGAGTTGCCTAGCGGCATTGAGATAGGCCTGCCCAAGGCTCTCTTTGCTCGTTACGGGTATCCAGATGACCGAGCAGTTCTTGTGTTCGGCCCTTATTTGATAGACTAACCCAAGTACAAGCTGCGTCTTACCGACTCCCCCAGGCCCTGTGACTGCGACCTTTGCAGTCCGATGTCCCGTGAAAAGCGCCTGACGGAGCACTTTCAGCTCGGACTCACGGCCGGTGAAGAAGGGATTTCGTTCAAATGGCACCATCCAAACGTGATTCATAGCTTTAGAGTAATTAGTAATATAGATTAAACAGGTGCGGGTAATATACCTCCTTGGCGGTTAGGCGTATCGTCGCGGCTCATAGCGTCGGCGATCTCTTTTCTGAGCCGATGAACCACGTGGGCCTTCCCTTCGCCGTATATAAGTGGTAGGAAAATACTGCAAATGTTTAGAAGACAATTCTCCTAATCTTCCTCGTGTGCCGTGCCGCGTCTCTCCCCATCTGAACCGTTCCTCGACGTCGAACAGGACGCTTTCCTGAAGTGTTCGAACCGCAATCCCCATTATTACGTGGATCTGTTGCTCGAGCCGTCCTTAGGGGGACCAATTCTGGGCCAGAGGTGGTCCAGAACAGGGCCTTTGTATCGTTTTTGAGGGCCCAGAACCGGGCTCACGTGTTACGTGCACCTTGGCGTGTCCGAGCAGAGTTCATGCATTTGTACCTCATCGGACTACGATGACGCAGTCACTGTTGGGTTTTTCGATGCCCTCGAGTAAACCTTATTAGCGAAATTTCTCAAGCTAGGATTTTTCGATGTCCTCGAGTACACCTCGTCAGCGAAATTTCTCAAGCTGGGATTTCTCGATTTCTACGAGCACTCCTATATTTGGTCTACCCGACAGTTTTGGTTGGCCGCTTTTTGGGTCCGCTCGAGAATTTCGAGCACTCCTATATTTGGCTTGCTCGACGGATTCGGCTGGCCGCTCTCTGGGTCTGCTCGAGAACTTCGAGCAGGCCTTGCAATCGAGCAACCCCACTCTGGGCCTGATCGAGGATTTCGAATACACCTTGCAATCGAGCATCCCGGTTCCGGGTTTCCTCGACTGCAAGGCCTACTCGAAGTTTCCGAGCAGACCTAAAAAGCGGCCAACCGAAACTGTCGAGCAACCCAAATATAGGAGTACTCTCGGAAACCCGACCAATTCTGGGCCAGAGGTGGTCCAGATCGTTTTCATGTTCGTTGGTTGCCGCGGGCCACGCCGAGTCATGCATACCTATTGGACTGCGACGACGTACAGTTATGAGCATACTTAACTTCCTCTTTCACAACACGTTTCCAGATTGTAGACAAGACCCACATAGTGTTACTTTCTTTTTACAGGCACCGTGTACTTGAGTGGTAAGCTTTGGGGACGGTCAAGTATTTATATAATTGATTACTTACCAACAAAGCTTAGATAATCACGCCGCTGCCACTGGCGCGCCGGAAATAAAGCCTGAAACGCTTTGGGTTGATTGTATGATTGTGTTAGGCTGCAACAAAAGCGGCCAACGACTTAATCTATGGGCTTGTCGAAGGTGCCCTGGCGGCTTGTAGCTTGAAGGGCAATAGTGAAGCCGACGGAAGTTTGCAGGACCCCGCTCCTGGTTGTGGAGGTCGTTACCGAACGGTCCATGCCCCGCGCGACCCAGCGCCATGCAGTGCCAGTATGAACGCAAGAGAACGAAATCATGTGCAAGGTCACGTTATTAGCATGACAGCGCGTGCCTCCTGGTGGACTTCCCCGAAGAGCACGGCAGCCTAACAGAAGCCCAACAGAGCTGCCTGCTCACCACCATGAATAGCTGTCTTCAGCTTCCGACGCATTATTCGATCTAGGCATAGTGAACAGTAAGTTGAGAAAGGACAGACTGAAAACGATGTTACTCAAATTGCTAAATTTCTATTCGTAGGTCCCGCCAACGATGGGCTTTGCACCGAACTCGACACCCAGGGGCTATAGCTATTTCGAGGGTGGCCCTCGTGACTTTCAGCAAACGCTCGACAAGAACAAGCCTCCAACAGATGTTGATTTTGCTGCCCTCATACAGAAGGCTCTTCTAGACGAAATTCTCAAGGGAAAATACGCACGACAGGCAACAAATTTTGTTCAGAAAGGGGTAGGCAGTCTTTACACGACTCATTAACGGGGCCGAGTTTGGTAAGGGATTGTTTAAAGAGACGATGGGCCAGAGCGGGGACATGCTGGGATGGATGGTTGGAGCCTCTGTCGCCGCGACGTTTTTATGTGGTCCCTTCGGAGCTGCCGCGATTGCGTTTGCCGGCTCCACGATAGGTCGCATGGCTGGACAGTCACTTGCTGGGTTAGTCACGGATGCGTAGAGATGGTTTTATGGAGACGGACTCGTCGACGACGAACACCTATGGAGAGTTAGCTGGCGAGTACTCTCGGACCAGCTTATCAGGAGCCCAGGGGTGGGCGCTAGCTAAGAGAATCATGAGTCTGAATCTGAAACATTTGTTTATAGCCCTACAACCTTTACGCGATGATCCCGAAATACAGTAAGCAGGTTCCTCTCTGGATCAACCTGTGTGCTTCGCTCTTAGTCTTCTTTTACCAGACGTCTCATCTCTCGCAACGTCTTATATATATACTCATGATCCTTTCGAACAGCTCCTTCTTCTTCTCTTATATCCGGTATCTTATGCAATAGTCTAATCAAAGCTGGTGACGTTCCAGCTGCCCAAAAATGGACATTGTCGGGGAAGTGTCGTCGGGCGATAAGGTAGACTTCCTTCAGATATGGCATTACATTGTCGCGGCTGACGAGTTTAGACTCGAAGCGCAGAAAGTACTCGGAGCGGTAGGGTAGCACAGGGCCCTCGCCAACATTGAAGAAGACGTAAGCGTTTTTAGTTTCTGGTGTGCCGATGATCTGGATAAGGGGTTCGCCTGTATTAGGGTGAAGTGCGTCCTTGTATTCCTGGATGACTTCTTCAAGAAAAGCCTCGTACAGGCCTTGGCATTGTGGGCTGATCGAGGGATAGATATCGAAACCGCAGTCGACGCCCATTTTGGGTCTACGCTGGTATTATCGGGGTGTAGAGCGAGGCCTGGACGCGGTTCAGAAGTCGCCAGATCGACGATAAAGGCCCTTAGTGCCGGCGCGGGCTCCTGTGGCATTCCCTAAGGTTCCATGAGTTTCTATGTCCCCTCATCACGTGAACATTCACACGGACACCTCGCATTTAGGGGCAGCAGCACGGTACCAAGCTACTCGCGACCCGAGTGGGGATGTGTGAGTGAAAGCGATGAGCGACTTACTTGCGGCGATGTTTGCATGCTAGGATTGGCGTCGGCGCGCGTTGATTAGGGGGAAGATCGCAGCATTTGTATTAACAGCTCGCGCAAGGTACCGAGAACGACGGCTCGCACTGTTGGTGTGGGGCATAAGCTTCCGAAGCAGTGCCCCGTGCTTAGATATACTTAAGAGTACATAAGTAAGCAGCCAATATCGGCGTTGGATGCTGACATTGGTCCCTTTTGGGGGATCTTGGAAAGTACACTTATGTACCTAAAACACCCCCACCAAACTTTGAAAGACTATGGATATATAAAAGAGGAAGCTACAGTAGAAGGCGAATTGGGTGTCGCTGTTTTTTTCAATTAACCTTTTTAAGGGGGGCCTATTTCCAGGCACTTGTGGCTTTGACACCCGTGACCGGTTGTAGACCCAAGGTACTGTTATGAAATGTTGTAACAGCAAACAGGAGCCATTTCCGGTCACTTTTATGTCCGCGTTCAAGCTCGCCAGGGCTGGTCACGTGGACGGGTGACTCTGGGCATCGGATTAATTCGCATCCGGCGGTCTAAAAGAACATTGGAGCCATAGCGGAAGCAGCCGGCATGTGACATTGGGCTGAGCACTGCCCCGCCACGCCATGACCCGGGGACTTTGAGTTTGATGTGCTGTTTCCTGCCTTGCTCCGCCGTGCGTCTTGTTAACTAGTAACGTGATTCGCCATCGCGCGGTCCACTTTCCGACCGCGTCGCGACCTCCCAGCCTTCAACTCTACCACACCACAACAAAATAATGTATCAGCAATCCCAAGAAGCCAGAGTTAACCTTGCTATCCAGGCAATCCACGGTCCCTTAAAAATGCCAGTCCGACGCGCTGCGCAGGCGTACGAGGTCTCGAAGACGGCTCTCCTTGCACGGATGAACGGACGCGTCGCAGAGGCCGAGAAACGCAATGGCCGACATAAATTGACTCCGTCTGAAGAGCATACACTTATTTAATATGTACTTGACTTAGATGCGTAAGGATTTCCGCCCCGAATCGCTGGGGTGAGCGAAATGGCCAATCTCCTTGCGACGCGCCACGGGAAGCCGACCCGCAAGCACTGGGCACAACGCTTCATCTCAGGCCACCCTGAGCTTAAGACGCGTCTGTCGCGTGCCTACGACAAGCAGAGGGCCCTCTGCGAAGATCCTGAGCTTATAAACGCATGGTTCCGGCTGGTAGACAACATGCGGAAGAAGTACGCAATCCAAGACGCAGACTTCTACAACTTTGATGAGACCGGCTTTATGATGGGTGTTATCTGTAGCAGTATGGTCGTCACAGGTGCCAATCAAGAGGGCAGACGCAAAATTCTTCAGCCCGGTAATCGGGAATGGGCTACAGCGATCGAGTGCATCAGTAGCGACGGCTTCGTCCAGGGCAAGCATCACCTCGGCTCCTGGTATACCGAGTCTGGTATTCCCAACACCTGGAGGATTAAAACCTCGCCAAACGGCTGGACAGACAAAGTAATGGGCCTCGATTGGATTCAGCACTTCCACAAGTGTACAGACGGCCGGCGGAAGGGTACACATCGCATGATCGTCCTGGACGGCCACGAGAGCCACCTCTCTGCCGAGTTCCAGAAGTTCTGCAAGGACAACAACATTATTACTCTCTGTCTCCCTGCACATTCCTCGTATCTCACCCAGCCTCTTGATGTCGGTTGTTTCAGCGTGTTGAAGCGGGCGTACGGCAAGGAACTTGAGCTCTTCATCCGAGCTGGAATCGATCACATCACAAGGTCGAATTCCTTATCGCGTTCCACGCCGCCCACAACAACTCAATCACTTTATCAAACATCCTAGGTGGATTCCGAGGTGCTGGCCTAGTGCCTTTCGACCCCCAAGCCGTCATCTCAAAGCTTGATATCAAGCTACGGACGCCAACACCGACTAGATCCCTCCTCCAAGAGGCCGACCCTTGGGTATCTGTTGGAATTTGTCAAGCAGAAGGGCCTCGAAGGTTCTAGATAGAGACTTCGCCACCAACTTCGCCACCACAATAGTAGTATAAGAACGGGCTTTCTGGCACTGCCAGAAAGCTAGAGAGAAGAACAGACATCTATAATCCATCACTTGAACCACCAGTTTTCGGCGTGCAGCCACGCCCTGTTGAGTCCAGTACCGGTACCCTGGTGAATCCAACAGTATCCCAGACGCCGCATACAGCTGCTGAGGCCATTTCGCAGTCTGCGCATGTACATAGACGGATTTCAGCCCATCAGGGAAGCTCCCCAACTACTTTGTTTTCGGCTGTAAAGCAGTTGGCAAAGGGTTCTGAGCATATGGCGCATCAGATAACTCTGATGCGCGATGAGCTCCGAACCCTTCGGAAGGCCAACGAGGCCCTTGCAAAGCGCCGCAGGGCCAAGCGCACACGTCTCCAGGATGGCGGGTCACTTAATAAAGAAGAAGCGCAAGTTTTAATTAATGAGAGAGAAGTACTTAAAGAGGTCGAAGCGACCAACAGTATCGGAGGAAGGAGAGGATGTGGAGGCCGGGCCAGCGACTCAACGGCGATGTGGCAACTGCGGCAAAACTGGCCATAATGTACGAACCTGTCAAGAAGTTGAGGAGATGTCCGATGAAGGTAGTTGTATAGTGTGTGGTTGAATTATTTGTGTTGTCGTGGAGTAATTGAGTCAGGAGGTCGCGACGCGGTCGGAAAGTGGACCGCGCGATGGGGTGGACCGCGCGACGGGTGAATCACGTTACATGTATGCTGACTAATCCTCTAATAGTGATAACTAACTTGTTTGAGTCCTTACTTATTAGGGCATGTTCTAGCCGTATGCACTAGTGAGCGACAGATACTATACATACGTGGTGCGCGTGGTCTTAGTGGTGAGACTACCGTCGCCGCGTCTCCTCCGACTACCTCCCGGGGCTCCTGACGGGGCTCCCCGGGGCTGACGGGGCTCCCGTCGGGGCCTCTGGCGCGCCTCTATGTTGGCTAACCCCTCCCTAATTGTCATGGTTCCTCCGGTTTGGATAAAAGCTCGACGTTGTGTACGTTTTCTCTTCTGCCGAGCATTTTCAGCTCGGAGCCGTGAATTCTTATCGGACAAGAGAACGGCGTTATGTATTGCCATCTCGCACCATTTGATGATCTTCTGGAGTACCTGGTCTGTTGGGCTTGTCCCATTTTGACGTCGTCTCTGGAGCCGATCAAGCTCAACGATATTTGAGGGGGTCTTAAGAGGGAGTGCTGAGCTTGGAGGTCCTTCGGGGGCTAGTGGAGGGCTTGGTGTTCGAATTTTGACCTGAAGCCGAGCAAGTACTCGGTTTGGATCAAGTGGTATGAGCCCTGCCGCTGTAAACCCACTCCTGATATTCTTCAGGTTGAATGTCTTCTTCCGGGTATTAAGGAGAAGCTTAAGGAATAATTATTGGCTTGTCGATATGGTAGATCCCAAGTACCATCTTCGCTTTGACGAGGTCGCTGTAGGCTCGCTTAAGGACCGAGAAACAACTAATATCAAGAGGCTGGATGACGATAGGCCGATTCCTCGGATCAGATCGAGTAACCACCTTCGCTGTGCTAGCTACTCCTATCTGGAAGCCGGTCTTATCGAAGTTGTAGATATCGTAGTCGAGGATACTATATTTTTCGATGGTTTTTTGTACCCGTTGGAACCACGCTAACACCTTCTCTGGGTCTTCGCATAAGGCCCGCTGATAATCGTACTTTCGAGAATGCTTCGATTTTAGGTGAGGTTGCCGACTGAGGAACCGCCGGACCCAATTCTTTCTAATAATATCATCCTTTGCTGTTTCTGACGCATCAAGTAAAACCAGGCTTCCACGCTCGCGGATAAGAAGGTCGGCCATCTGTCAAATATAACTAATTGTTGGTGACATGCCGCGGTCGTCCTTTGATTCGATCTATTGAATCAGGGCGGCTTCCTCGATTGGACTGAGCTTCCGACGTGTAGCTTGTGATTGTTGTCGGGAGACGCGTCCCGCGACACGCCCTCGTAGAGTTGGGTACGCAACATCGAATACGGCTGCAGCCTTTCGAATGCTTGAAACCTGACCCGATTTGAGTGCTCCGAGTGCTAATTGGAGTCGGTCTTCATGCTCCAAAGGCTCGGACATTTTGCCGTACGATAGATGCTCTGAGGTGTCCTTGAAGTTAAGGTGGTGGGGGTGTGGGGCAAGAAAGTGGTTCTGAAGATGGTCTGGTTCTGAAGGTGGTAGATTACGTTAGAACCTTCCTGAAGATACCAGAACATAATCAGATCTGGTCCAGATGTATAAATTTGCCGTGGCCCCTAGGACCCGTATAAGGGCAGAGATAGGAGAAATAAAGATATTATAACTTAGTGAACTTATTTACAATCCCTCTTCTTCCATACACCTAACGTATTACGAGAAGACTCTGTAGGAATCACCAGGGTACCGGTACTGGAAACAGCATGGCGCGCTGCGCGCCGTAAGGTGGTGGTTCAAGTGATGGATTCGTTTGTGTCTTTCTGTCTTTCTATCTATCTGAACAGGTGGGCGTAGGCCAATATATATGCATCTGTCAGGCCCGCTCCTCCACAGACGTTGCTGTGGCCAGGAATGCGGAGCCGCATTCCTTGGATCAGCGCGTCATTCCAGTATGTTATTCCAACAACTCAGTATCTGGATGGCTATTTCCTAGGAGTTGGGTTTGTGAGTGTAAGCATTCCTCCATTAAAGTTACTGCCTCCTCGTACTTCCCCTGGTTGTCGAGTACCAAAGCGAGGTTGTTCATGCTGGTGAGCGTATCTGGATGCTCTCGGCCGTGCACCTTTTCTCTTAATTCAAAGGCCTGGCGTTGCATCGGTTCGGCCTCGTCGTATCGTCCTAGGTCCCGGAGTACCACAGCGAGGTTGTTCATGCTGGCGAGCGTCTCTGGATGCTCTCGGCCGTGCACCTTTACATAAAGCTCAAAGGCCTGGCGTTGCATCGGTTCGGCCTCGTCATATCGCCCTAGGTCCCGGAGTACCGCAGCGAGGTTGTCCATGCTGGCGACCGTATCTGGATGCTCTCGGCCGTGCATCTTTTCTCTTAATTCAAAGGCCTGGCGTTGCATTGCCTCGGCCTCTGCGTATTGGCCAAGGAGAGAGGAGCTTTCCCCTACTTTTGAGAGAAGATGGCCGTTCGTGCTTTCATCCGTAACCTTTACGCAGGTCTCGAGTGCAGCCCGCGCGTGCGGTGGGTACCCTATCCACACCTCCCTGTTCTCGTGCTTAGGAAATGGGTACATGTTGTCCAGCCGCTTAATTACCCTGGTTAGCCACGCCGCCTGCTCTCCCTTGTCCACCAGCCAGTTGTGCATCGCTAGTCGAACCAGCCTGTGAATGTCAAACCGACCGATGTCTATCCGCTCGTTGATAAAAGCATATGCCTTCAGCGTGCCGAACGCCTCGTCTGCATCTAGCTCATTGTCTTCTGCCAGCAGTAGTGACCTTGGGATATCCTTCTCCGATAGGAAGCTGATAAACCGTAGGTAGTCTGTCGCTAGCGGTACGTCCCTCGCGATATGCTCAAATGAAATGAGCCATGTTGTCGCGACCGGATTGCTGGCGGCTTTGTTTCGGCCCCGGTCGTTTAAATCTTTGCTGAGGAGCTTGATCAAGGTCTTCTCGCTGGATTGGCAGTGCGCAAGGTACCGAGCTGTCGACATGCCTGTCTTAGCTATATACGCAGATGCTTGCTTGACCGCAAGTGGCAGGCCAGTGAGGAAGTCAAGTAGAGCGTTCATGCTCGGTGTATCGCGTATTTGGTCCTCATCTAAGCCCTGGCCAAGGAGCTTGCTTGACTCGAGTCGGCGCATCGCCTCCACATTCAGAAGACCCAGCTGGGGAACATCGAGCCGTACGGCCACTTCGTGGTTCCGCGTTGTGACAAGAATCGAGCCGTTCCGGTTAAAGGGGAGATCCCTTAGAGCCCCTCGATTGCCAAACAGCAGCTTCTGATCATCAGCGTTGTCGATGATCCACAGCCACGGCCCGATGTCGTCCCGCGACAGCGCTGCGTGCACAAGTGCCTGCACATCGGCCTTGTCGTCGTCGAGCCCCTTTATATCAAGTACCTAACCAATATCACGATAGGCTTTGTTGAGCGAGGCCGGATCCACGGCTGGCAACCAGAAGACGGAGCAATCTGGGTGGACTTGGTGGACACGATAGGCGGCCTCGAGCGCGAGCTGGGTTTTGCCGATACCGCCGAGGCCTTCGAGGGCCGTACGCTGGCAGTCGTGCGGGTTAGCAGTGGGAGGGAGGCGTGTTAACAGGCGGTCGAGGATGGCATCGCGGCCTACGAAGGCCTCATTGCGGCCAAACGGCACCAGGAAGGGGCGTTTCTTAGAGGCTAGAGCTTAACAGCTTGTCAGCATGCCTCCGCTTCGCTTGTCGGAATACAGACTGCAATTCGACGTAACGGCGTGTTGCCGTTGCAATCTTCTTATTCCCCGATTCTCCAACGGGGATTGCTCTGGAGGATACATGGAGTTGCAAGATCAGCTTACCAGTAGAACATTCTGTCAGACATTTCCTTGCACCCATGGCCAGGCGCACAATTGCATCCTCCACAAATTGGTATCCTGCGTCCTTAGGGCCAGGGAATTTCTAGAGGTTGTAGTGATGCCGTTCAAGGGATTGCCTTTCAACGCCCTTGGATATATCCAGACATGCCGATTCCTTTGGTACGAGGTAGTCCTAAGTTATGGTTAAGTATAGAGTGCATTAACTAGGTGTACTATCTGACTTACGTCTTCCACGCCGTCTTTCCGTAGTGTTTTGCTTATCGGACTTGGTTTGTTCTCGTAGAAGCACCAAAGTGGTATTGGATGGTCCCCGCGACGTGTTGCTGTAAAGCGATCCACTATATCCTGCAAGTACGGATTTCCTTCAACGGAAAGTGCCATCGTTTCTGGGTAGATCTGCAAGTCCGGATTGCATTCTGCAACGGCCTCGACGATCTGCGTTAGCGAGAGGCCTCGTCGTCCTCGAAAGGGGGTTCCGAAAAATATGAGACCAGCTGCGGAACGAAAGAGATTTGACCACCTATCGGGATTGTCGAAGGAACTTCGAAGAGCCTACATGAGCACAAGACCACCGTAGCTATGTACAATGAATATTACAGGCCGAATAGTATCCTAACTTCGCCTTAGTAAGACCATGATGAGGTGTGGAGGACTGACTCACACGACGATTGAGCTCCAATTGTTTGAGCAGCATTTCAGCCACGTCGGAGACAAATTTTTTCTTTGGTTCGTCCTTATCAGACCTAAACCATGAAGATTCGTAGCCGAAACGCATTATGCGAGCAGTAGGGACCGCCCTGGGAAGCATATCGGAATTCGTGAGCCAGTTGACTTTTTCTTCTGCCGGCCCTCTCCCGGTCCAGGTCCCATCCGGGTGGGCTCCGATCCCATGAATTGCGACGATGCTGTGGAGCGTCAGGCGATATGTGACAGTCCTGGAATGCGCACAGATACTTACTCGATCGAGTCCTCATCCTTGTTGGTATTGGCTGTATCGCGTCGTCCTGGGTCGACCAAGATGCTGATTCCAGAAGCCATAGATCAAAGCTATGTCTTCTGACGTGTGTACTTCGATGATAGAGAGTAGTAATCTGTAGGAACGGTTACATTTGTGACCGAGGTGCACAGGAGCGATCGTCAGATTGAAGACCACGAGGTGGGAAGGGCCAGCATTATACAAAGGACAATATTAGCGCCCCTGAGAAACGAACGAGATGAGCGGGTGATGTGGCAGTCCACGGAACATGTAGGGACCCACGGCAGAGCAACCCCGCTTCTAGGCAGACGAGGCGTCGGCCAACCAAACGGCCGCAAGTTGCTCTACGATGCAAAGCAGCCTCACCGGTCCAAGCACCGCCGCCCAACCGAAGCAAACCGGGGGTAGGCAGGCCGGAGTGCCTGGGGCCGGGCTGTGCATCCGGGCTGTTCGACCGGACGCCGCAACCCCCCTTGATGGTAGTGCAGCCTGACCGGTCCAAGCTCCACCTACGCCCAACTTGAGTGTTTGGCATGGTATTGGCATATGTGCTCATGACCAAGTATAAACTGTCATTGGAGAGTTGTATCCCATTATACAATGCTACCTGTCCGCAAAGACCTCCGGATCCTCTCGGGCCTCGCGAAGGATCTCCTTCATCGAGGAATAGAGCTGTGGATTTGGCTTCTTCCATCGCTCACCATTCGGGAATACCTTCCTCCGCAATCTATTGACCCATGACGTCAGTGTCTGACACGACGACCTGAAGTGCTCCTCCATGATCTTGAGAAAATCGCCTTCCTCGTCAATCACACCCTTCTTAGAACTCGCCAGCTCTTCCGTGTCCACATAATTCCACTTCTCAAACCGTGGAACGACTCTGCTTTCGTTCGGCCCGTTGTAGTGAATGCATATCCAGAAGAGACCCAGAAGAATGACTCCAGATCATGCATGAAAGAATGCGGCTCACCAAGGAGGGCCCCGATTGCCATGAACGCCCTCGTGCCAGTCTTTCCCCTTGCTCCCGAGATACCCTCTCGTTGCTCTCGGATGGCGAGGTCGAGGTCGATCAAGAACGAATGCCAAGAAGGGCTGTTGTCATCCTCATTGATCATGAGATTGTTGATCGAGATGTCTCTGTGGAGGAAGCCGGCCTTGCGTAAGGATTCGTGTCCTTCAATGCAACCCTCCAGCGCGGCAAGAAGAGCCTTCCGTGAGCTCGCCTTGTAGATGGGCTTTCCGTAGTCGCAAAGAATGACACGTCTATGCACTCGATTGGGTAGTGCATGGTTGCCGGCCTTCGTTGGAGATGTCGAACAGGATCGCTTGCTGGGGGGCAGGGCGGCGCCAGTTTGGCCCAAAGATCGCTTCCTGCCAGTGGCGCTGCTGCTTCGGCCTTTCCGTGAAACACCGGCCGCGATCGTACTCAGCGGCGGCATCGAGCGTTCTGGCCGGTAGTTCGCGGCCGTCGTGACATCCAGTCCCCTTCGAACATTGTTTCGAATATCGTCCTCCGTACCGCGTATCTGAACAGTCTCGTGGTGATAGTATCGGGCCACGTTGACAACACCTTTACCAGTCGCTTCGCATAATAATTTGCCCTCCTCATCGCGTTCTAGATATTGCCACGAATCTTTGATGACAAGAGGTTTCCTTGGGTGTCCTTCGTGGTGGGCTTTCTAGCAGGTCGTCGCCCGACCAGCTACCAAAGGTGCGCGTTGCATCACCTCGTCAATAATGAGTCGCTCTGTTGAACCATCTCGCTCGATCTCGATGAATCGCTCGTCATTCGCCGTCATGATTGTCGGATCGAAGCCAAGCTCCTCCTCGCTCATCCAGAGAAACCCGAGGACTGTGGACACAAACTGCAGCCCATCTTTGTTGATGTCGAATTGTTCGGATGCGTTCCCCCCGAGCCGGTCAAACTCCCATATCCTCATGAGAGATCCACAGATGGTAAAGCCCAAGACGAAGCAACGGGTGTCTTGAGCAGCAAGCACTTCTCTCGCGTACGTCCCAATATTAAGCCATGCCTTTGACGCTTTGTCGGCCGACGGATTGCTCTTCAACTCGCCCGGTACAAGGATATGCGACCAGTGACATCGAGAGTCTTTTCCAGCCTTGGGGTCGTCCACGAAGCCGACGTCCAACTTGCGTTCTGCCGTGGAACCCTGGATCGGCTTGTTGGGTTGTGCTAGTGGCCTTCGTCGATGTCGGGGTCGAATTGTACTCTTCTGCGAATGTTGCTAGTTTCTCGTTCAATCCCGCAAACCAGCTCAAGACATCGTCCTGATTTGCATCTGTCGGCCATCACTCCAACCATTATTGGAGAGTGGTTCGCTGCCTTCCATGCACCTGAAGACGGCCTCGGATGCTGTCTCAAGACCTGCCACCGTCCAAAAAAAGCCTCGTGGAATCGTGGAAGCCCGACGTACATAGCGCCGAGTTTATCCCTGAGGATTCTGTCCACATCCTTGCGGTACTCGGAGGAGTTCGCGAAGCCGCTCGTGTTGTGCAGCCATGGGGTTTGTTGGACGGAAGAGGCGATCGCTCGTGGAGGTGGGGTGGATTTGGTGACGGCCTTGTAGACTTGGCCCCAGACGTCGTCGGGATCGCCGGTGATGGCTGACTTCAGGAGAGGTCTGATGCGGTCGAGGTCGAAGTCGTCGGAAGTAATCGCTGTATTAAGCCTCGATAGTTCGCTGAAGAGAGCTCTTCCACTGTTGGAACGGAGCAGGCGGGCAGCCGGAAGGATCTGTAACGTCGAGAGAAGGAACAGGACGAGGTTTTGGAGATCTACACGATGGTCAAAGAAGCACAACAGAACCAAGCTGTGCCGTCCTTCTTACCTTCTTAGCCAAGTTGCTCCAGCGCATCTAGATTGCCGGAGATGTTCGCGCCTTCGCAGATCGAACTAAACAAAGCGCGGAAGGCAGCAAGGCCCTTCCCAATAGGGTTATCCTTGATGATCTTTGACCGCAGTTGGTCTGCCATAGCGGATGGGATGCTCTCGAGATGGGAGAGGTGGGAAGAACTGAAAGTCGCGTTTAGTGGCATGTTTTGGCCCGTGCGGGTTTTTCCACCAGCTACCTAGCTACTTAGCTGAGCCACCTCCGGGAAAACTTTCATTCCGAATTCTTAGTCAGCCACAATTCTATAGTTTGACGGCACGGAAAATCCCCAATCCGATAAGCCAACCAACGTTAATGATTCACTCACATGGACCGGAAACCTTTGTGGCCAGAAGACCAAGCCCAAGAGAGCACAGAGGAATGGAGTTCCAACTTCAATGAGAAACTGCAGACAGGACGGAGGAGGGGGGGAGGGAGAGGAGGAGGGCAGAGAGGAGGAGGGGAGAAGAGGAGGGCAGAGGGGAGGGGAGAGAGTAGGAGGGGAGAGAGTAGGAGGGGAGAGAGGAGGATGGGAGAGGGAAGCAGTGACAGTGAATTGGGGGAACTGAGGACAGTTATTTAGATTGGCACAGACGGCCATTTCAAGGCAAATAGATACCGAGGTCCATCTGGGGAAATTGGCTCATCCGCCCCTGGACTGTGAATCCGCCCGTCCACCGCCATCATGTGGCAGCCGACAGGTCATGCAGATTCATGCAAGGCAGAATGACGTTGAGGAAGGCAGATTGCTCCCTTGCAGTGGAGATTTCTGTAGGTCATTGAAAGGGGGATGGAGGCCTCTGACCAACGTGGGTGATGAGATGTAGGTTACGGGCTACGCGCGTCCAAGAATCACAAGATTCGACTCTTCTCAGAGTCACCGGATCTTTATTAGTACAGCATCCAGATTTAGAACTCCGTGATGCCAAGCCTCTTCTGCCTACTGCTGTCCCTACGTGCAGCCGAGGTGCTGATCACAAGAGAACTTCCGAGACCATCTAAGCCCCTTTTCACGCCAGGCTGGCCGGATGCCTTGAATACCACCAGCCTCTTCGTATAGCCTTCTCGGCGAGGGAATCGCTCTGCACAGAAGATCCGCGCTCAGCCAACATCATTACGTGGCCCCTCGGTTCTCCCTCTCATTGCGTAAAGCCCTGCCACGCCAGTGGAACCATCTAACCTCCTAATTGGCGTCAAGACGCACGTCCACCTCATCCGTTCCTTCGGCATCGCCGGTTATTTGCCATACAAGGTGAGGCACCCTCAAGGGGTAGTGGACTCAGGGCGCATAACTCCCATAAAGTGGCGAAACGCCCTGACCCGAGGATGGCAGTGCAGAAGTGGAAGGGGGTATGATCGGGAATTATACCTGGTTGTTCAGCTCTTCATGGGTGCAAGGCGGAGCCATCGGGGGATCAGTCGTATAAGGGCCAATGATTTGATGCCACTACCCTTAGGTTTCTGGTTTCAGCCCATATCCCAATGCCTCCGAGCCGTCTCTAGCGTTATTGAATCATTCGACAAATGGATTCACTGCCTTGTCCGGAATGCTCCTTTCATGCAGCATGGATCCAAGCCAAGGACTCCCCGTCTCCGCTTCCTTACACGCTACGCTCCGCCAGCTTGATTCAAGCGTCTATCTCCAGGCAGAATTTATGCGTGTGGGTGAATCCAAGTCAGACGACTTCGTTAGGCATTCCTACCGCCCTTTTGGTGCTAGCATCCTGGGTCGTAGCCGCACAGCCGAGATCTTCTGCCCTCTCATTCCCACTCTCGCCTTCAACGAAGTTCCCTCAAGGCACACTTATGCCCGAGGTTAGGCAGACGCTTCCTGCAGCGCCTATTCCGTCCTCTCAGCAACAAATCATCCCCTACGAGGTTGCATTGTGGCGATGTCGATTGGACTAGCGATCAACCCATGCCTAGAGAAGGCGACTCCGACTACAACTCCGCCAGTCTCTCCCTCGTCCTCTTCCTTCGGAGGCGTAAGCCCCGAAGTCGCAGAGAAGCCGATGCCACGATACCCATGTCATGACGACCCATGCCGCTATGCTTCGCCCTCGCTACACCCATGGTTTAACCATGAAGACGTAAGTTTGCTCCGGGAGTGTCGGCAAAGTGCCTACCTGTTCCAGGATTCAGCTGTCCGTGTCATGAATCTCTGTCCCGTTCGGTCCATTCAGTTTGTTGGTCCAGCGTCTCCGAGGTGCGATATGGCTCCATGTACGATCGTATTGCTTCCATATTTCGCTAGTAAAAGCTCACATTACCGAAGCCAGAAGCTTTTGACATCTATCGTACTTAGATGGCAAACGGATGTTCAACGAGCGGTCTCTACACTGGAATCACGGTCCTGTGGTGCATGTGCCCGAAACTGGGTCCGCAAAATTATCCCTGGGCTGTTTTTCCATTTTAGTAAAATGGCAGGTTTAGCCGGGGTGGCCAGAAACAAGGCTCCGGGGCTGTGCAGCGGACGCACGCCAAGATCACCACAGCTCAGGTTGAAGCTCAGGTTAAAGCAGCGGCAGCTCAGGACCACGTCCAGCAACAGAAATCGTGGACGTCTGGATTCGTCACAGATAACCTGCTGTTAGTTGGCTTCTTGTCAACTAGGGATAGAGCTATCAATTCACTCGGCGCATTTCCAGAGCCCTTCCCCTTCCCCGCAAAGAAAATTGCCAATCGCTCGTATAACTCCAAATAAAGCTCTTCCAAAGCGCTAGACATAACCAAATCTGGTCCTACTCTCTGCAGGAGAGCATTAGAACCAGCCCAGCCCCAAGCTGCACATTGACAGTAACTATACCTACAATTTCGTCTCTCTTCTCTGCAAAGCCTCAAATAGCTAGATATTAACGGCCTAGCTAGATATTGGGTGGGCGCAGAATTAATCTCTGCGCTCAGCCAGTGTGAAGTTCTCCTTGTTTGACCTTGATTTCTTCTTGTCATGGTACAATACCGTGTAGTCGGTCCTGTTGTCATTGTTGTACAGTGCGCGCATGGGTCCCGGTTTCTTAGGGTCGCTGCCGGTATAGGGCTGCTGTCTTCCCGGTATCAGGGGGAACTCCCACAGAGGGGGCTTTGCCGTAATCTTGTTGCCCTCCGTGTTATCATTGTGCTTCGGATAGCGCCCAGCACCCCCGAGGTTCCCAGGGGCGGCCTCAACCTGGGCATCTGCGTCAGAGACGCGAATATACCTAGATCGACTGTTTGGGTCAAGGTTGGTGCATTCAAACTATATTTATATGGCATATTAATCTTCTGTTTACATCCTAGAGAACACAGCCAAAGGGGTCTTCTCACATGAGGCTCGGATGGCGGTTGTGGAACTCGTATGTTGTGCGGTCGTCGATCTGGGGTATTAGGTGGTTGTTGAACTGGGGTCTTGGGGTCTGATGGAGGTGCAGACGAGCCACTCATCGTGAGTCTACAGGATATGACAGGGGGGTTGCTTTAGGGTTGTCGATGTCTTCTGATCTCACTGCTCTGGTGTTTACTGAAGTATTAGTCCGTATCGTGCCTGTCTTCTACAAATTTCATCAACAGACGAACGGCGTCTAGCCGGGTATATGTATTCTTGTTAAACCTAGTTGACGAGCTTCTAGAAGCTCAAGAATGCTACACGAATGGAAGCTGCCAGTAGTATACCGACGACTAATGGTCGAGTAGATGATATGATAGCTCACATATCGCCATCCCCTACTTGAGCGGTAGTACGAGGACAATGGACAAAGTAAACAAGGGAATATGATATACGATTGCGAATCTAATGGAATTGAGTTGGTGTCAGTTTGGATGTTTCTCTGTCAAAGATGACGCAACCGAGTCCGGTAGCCATGCGGCTGTTATTGGGCTACCAGACTACTCAGAAACGGCGAGAACACTTGTGCCTGACTACGAAACATGAATCAGGAGGTTCCGGGTACGAGTCCCGGGCGGATCGTGCAGCATTGAGCAGCCGTTGGGTGGGATCATTGTTCCATTCTTCTTACCGGGTTGCAATGCCACTATTCCGCTTCTTTGTTTTGATCAGCAACGCCCAGAGAGAACAATAGGCAGTCAATCTCTTATTTTCAAAGGATAAAGCAGAGGCCACTTTTTGTTTTCTTATTGTATTCTCTCTTTGTTCCTGGTGAAACAGAAAGCACATGAGAGAAGCTGCCTGTAGCGAGTCCCTATGCTTAGGCCCTATACTCAGGAGATACTTACTCTCTATGTACAGCACCTGCTTATCTAGATGCGAAATTCCATGCAGCATCCCTACAACAGTCCTACCCATCGATCTGCATCGTATTTTTAACTTCGGTATAGAGCTTGGCCGCGAAAAATATGCGGGCTCATATCAAGCAGCGCAGTAGTAAGGACGGGCGGGAATCTCCAGTTCTTTTTAGCTTCGTCATCGAAGCAGATGACCCATTTCGAATGATTTCTGTGTGCGTCGAAGAAACTGCCCATCGTAGTCGCGCTATAGTCGCGCTCTAGCTTGGGTAGACTGGGTCGGTAAAACCCGACAAACAACACAAAACTTAGCTCTAGCTCAAGCTGGCGCAGGGCGGGCATGCGCGCGGTTGCGCGGGCAAGGGACGTCAAAAAGGGCACCAAGATGGCGCCACATGGCTTCGTGCGGAAGTTGTGGAATGGGTTTTTGCTGTTTTCCCGCTGCCAGCGACTCTCGAATGCCCAGACCATGGCGTTGGGGTACTCGGCGTCAACGGATGAACCGTTGGGAATCTCGCCTTCAGAGTCGCCGTAGTCTTCAATCGGTTCCACATCTTCTGGATTCCCGGTAAAGTACCAGCGAGCGTCTGGGGCCGTCAAGGCCATGCCGATCTCGATCGTCTTCAGCGACGGCCACACCGAGTCATCGGCGGCTCCGCCAAAGATCTGATCTGACAGGATGCAATTCCCTATAAGTTGCACATGCCGCATGGTAGGCAGTTGGCAGATGCGTCGGATGGCAATGCTGAATCGATCATGGGGCGAGTCGAGGCCAATGTAGCTCTCGAGTGGGAAGCGAAGGCTTGAGGGCTCGCAGTCCCCCCAGTAAAGCTTCAAGCAGGTAAGAAAGTGCAGATTCGCAGCGATGGCACATAGCGAACCGGCCATGGACGACCTGATGGACTGTCGCATGTTTGGCAATCGACGGGCAGGGGCGAGGAAATTGGCGTCGAGCCCCTCCAGGTTGGGGAGCGCCCCGGATAGCGTGGTGAGTAAGTTGGGGTGATAGAGCCGATAGCTGACGCTGAGTTTGAGAGCAGAAACCACTAGCACCAAAGGAAGCCCGCCTGATGCATTGAGGATGGCGTAGTCAAAGTTGACGTACTTGATCCAATTGTTCACTGGGTTCGGGGGAATGTACGTGTTCGTGTTCATGTCGGTGCTGCGGGGGCTGCGGCCAACCAGATCCACTCCGATAGCGAGATTGAACCAGACATTGGTGTCATCACGGTCCCAGACAGACAAGGTCTGGAACAAGGTGAGGTTGGCCTCGGTGAAGGCGGCATTGTTTTTTGCGGCCTCGCGTCGGGCCTGGACTTTGTCAAAGTAGGGACACGGCAGCTCGACCTCGAAATCGAGGACCTGCAACATTCTGCGGCGGCGTGTGGTTTTGAAGGCGGCATCGAACTTGAGGCGCGAGCCTTCGTCGCTCGTCAAGTGGATCTCGGAAAATGTCCGCGCTTCAATCACGTCCTGCCACCGCCGCGAGATGGCTGCATACGGCGCAAGGGGCGCTTCCAGATGCGAGGCTATCATGACCATCAGCTCGTCCGGAGTTCGGTCCATTGTTGCAGCAATAATAATTTCCAAGCTATTGGGGAAAAAGAAACCTGAATCTATCGCAGGATCACGGAGCGCCCGAGTGGAAACAGTTTGCAAAGGAATGCATGCCGTGACTACTCCGAAATTCCAGGCTTAAATTCATGCATGTGCCCAAGCCTTCCAGAATCACATGGCAGGTGGGGACCGTAATGAGACACCTAAGCGGATACGCGGGCGTAGTTCGACATCCCCTAAATGTACTTGTACTCTCAGAAATAAGGTTAACGTTCAAACCCGTGCCGGTTATTAATTACTGTTTGCCTTCCTCTCCGAGGACATGTGATTTGTGAAATGTGGATTTCAGTTGCCGCAACCATTCCTTGATATCGTCAAACAAGTCCCCAGAGCGATTTGGGTAATGACTGGAAGGTGTGTGCAGGAAGACCCATTCGCCAATTGCAGCATTCTTATTCTATTTATGCTCGGGCCGGCCGATCGAGTTTGACACCACGGCACGACGTGAGTCTTGTCGATGTACGTGTCATCGGGTAGCAAGTCCATGGTTGTGCGAGTCCTTGACGGTTCCGGGCCATTTGAAGCTCGGGTGTGTGGAGCGGAGCGGCCGGCGTGTGATGCGCCAGTTGTAGACAGCCGGATCTGAGAACGTTTCACGTTGGACTTGTGCTCGTGCTTCCGCCGGGCATTGGCTTTTTTTTCGTGACCAACTTTGATCTATATACCGCAGTACTATTTGTCTAGACCGTATCTAGGACTGTCTAGTTGCAAGTAAGATAAACAGGACTAGTCTAACAAGCGTAATCAAACCGGGCAGTCAGTCAACGTATTAACAAATCCGTCTCCCAGCCAGACATTATGTTACGCATTTCGGCAATTGCAATTGATGCAAATGCGCAAAGTAGTCTTCATTCATGGGAATGTCTAAAAACAGTGGAAGCGTCCGGCCGTTCTTCTCGGGCTGGTCGAGGGCGGCAAGCTCGCGTTTGCCCGTCTTGTCGTGTCAAAAGACTTGAAGCTAGTCTATGTGGTTTCTCGAGGCTCGCTTCCGCCGCACCAATCCTTATCGCTTATCGAACCTCTTGGCGGCAACCTTGGATGGTTTGGTGGGGCGGGCAGACTTTGAGTCTTGGCATGCACTGCCCACTCTGAATTTGACTCCATCCCCATTTTGCAGACGGACAACACAATGTACTTCGATCAAACTGAGTGCCGTTTGCGCGGGGAGGCTCTGCAAAGCACACATGATACGTCACTCTTTGCAATTGGCAGCCTCAGTATGCCTGCCATACGCGCGCACTAATCATCAGCCAGCTTGAATTTCATTCCCCCATTTCTGGCATCGGCCGCAGTTCGCGTGTGTGGATTATGGCCCCGTCCACGCATGCAACCTATCCCCGCGTTCAGCAGATGACTGACCACTGTCCGGGAATGCACCCACCCATCCACGCCACCATTTCGTTATCAACTCTTTTAATAGAATAAGGCTGCGAAGGTGGTCAAGATTTCTTCCCCGTGTGCTATAGGCACCTCCGGTGGCTTTCAGCCTGAAACATGGCGCGATACTGTGCCGTTGGGTCCATGGAACAAGTGCATCTAGTATGTGGTCAGAGAATGGCGCTCCGAGGGGGGCTCTGAGTTTCCATGGCACGCAGCCATCCCCCGCGCCGTTTTCGTGATAGCTGCCAAGCCAAGCCACCGGAACAACACGCGGATTCTACTTGTCGGCTTCAGCAAGCCCGTGCCGCACTGCCACCACCAGAGGTTATCCAACATGACTAGCGTACCGGCGGTGTTTCCACATTGGCCACGGGGCTGATATGCATTCATGTGGGAAGCTATCTTCATACGCACTTTGCGCGGAAGGGATTCGGTTGGCTGCTAACAAAAACCAAGAATAGACCCCAAGAGTGGCCGGCCAGTGACGCTGTGCCGTTGGGGGCTACGAGACGGTGGCATTCATTGGTGAGAGGCTGAAAGCCCTGCGTTCCTTCCAGAGCCTCGTTAGAGACAACAAACATGTAGGTCTCATAGTCCACTTCTTGGTTGGAGGGTTTCCCGCACCGCATATAAGTCTCAGATCAGACAATGACATCCAGGTTTGCAATCTTACACCGGCAAGAGGGAGCCTGAGCCTGCCAAACCACCAACATCATCATCACCATGGGCGCGTACGTGTCAATCGACGACTGCCGATTCCACTACAACAGGAATATCAACTGCACATACTACTTCGCTTCCCCGGACCGGGACACTCATATGGTTGGCGGCTTTGGGAGGCATCAAGTCCCGACCGACGCAGATATTGCCGGCATTGGCGTATGCACCCCCCTCCAACCTCGTCGTCCAAGCCATTCTAGTCCCAAGTCTGATTATTAACCGTCACGTACCCGTAGATCGTATACACTTTCATTGGCGTGACATCGTTCGCACTCGCCTTGAGCATATATCATGTGGTATGGATGATCTCCAAAACGGTTGGGTGGAAGTCCCGAATCCTCGAAGGTAAGATTGCCAACCGACACCTGCCTCTCTTACCACGACGTTGGTTTAACAGTGTCAACTTCACACCAGCGAATCCGAGTACCGGAAGAGCCAACGCGGCTGCGGCCTCAGCGTTTCCATCATCTGCGAGACGCTCGTCATGGCCTGTAGCGACCAGCAAGTGTTCACGGGGGGCGCGTATGCCGTCACGCTGAGATATGTTCGTCTCCCCTTCCTCTCACTCCCCCCCAAAGCTTTTCCCCCATTTGGTGGCTCACAAAAATGAAAACAGTGGAAAGGATGCGAGGTCACCGCTTACCACTACAACATCATCTCCAACATGATGATCCTCACCTGCGCCACGCACCTCATGTCCGTCACCATCGTGCGCAACTACTAGCGATTCCCGTAGCTAGCCATCCTGCGCATCCTGATCGTCACCGGCCTGTTCACCGTCACCGGCATCTTCCTCTCGAGCCAGAACGCACAAACCACATCCGTCCTCCTGCCCTTTCCCAGCGCGATCCCCCCGGACAACCAGATTGAAAACGTCATGTTCCTGCCGGCGGCGTGCTTCCAGAGCAACAATTCGCTCCTCATATCAACGCTAGACGACTCGACGTCCTCGCCGGAGCAGTCGAAAAAGACGCTCATCTACAGCCAGCCGGGCAACCCCATCCAGGGCTGGAACCTATTCCTCATAATCCTGTTCTGCTACTGCGCCGCCTTCATCGTCGACGTCGTGCGCTTCTTCCGCCGCGGCATCGGCAAGGAGCCGCGCGGGTGGCGCGGCAACTTCGCCGCCAAGCACCCGCGCTTCTGCGCCGCGCCGGGCAGGGCCCTGAAGATGGCGGCCAAGATCCTCTTCTGCCTGTATCTCTTCGTCAGCATCAGCGTCAGCGCGACCGCCGTCATCTTTTCGGGCCTATACATCAACGGCCTGCGCTCGTGGGCCAAGAATACGGGCTGGTTGGAGGTGAGCGAGGGTGGGCAGAGTGCCGAGGACGATGCCACGTCGTTCGGCCAGCTGGTTCCAATCTTTTTGTGTCTGTTGATTCTGTTTGGCTTCGCGCAGACCCTCAGCGGTGAGCTAAGCCCCCTATCCCATTTTATGTGTACCTCCTTTTAGCCGCTGACTTCGTTTGGGTTACGAACAGACATGAACAAGAGATACAGCGAAAAAATGTACAGCGAAGATGGCACCGTCACCTACGACCCCAGCAGCAGCAGCAAGATCATGCTCCCGACACCGACACCCGGGAAGGAAGGCATGCACGTGGCGGAGGGATCGGCTACGCCGGGAACGCCCGGGTTTGGGGGATGGCCGCTGCCGCAGCAGCAACCTTCAAGCCATTATTTCATGAACAATGGAAACCGTAATCATAGGGCGGCAGCACTCCGCCGGTCCGGCCGGGCCCATACCCCCACCAGCAGAGCCCGTACCCCCACCAGCAGAGCCCGCGCCCCCAACACAGTCCGAATCCGCAGCAACAACCGTCGAGCTATTCCTTCATGAACGCAAATCACAGCCCTCAAGTCGGCACTCCGCAGTCGCATGACCATCAGAGCCCGCACATCCATCAGAGCCCGCACCTCCATCAGAGTCCGCACCTCCAGCAGAGCCCGCACCTCCAGCAGAGCCCGCACCTCCAGCAGAGCCCCAAACCGCAACAGAGCCCACACCCCTGGCAGAGTCCCAATCCAGAGCAACAGCCGTCAAACCATTTTGTCATCAATGGAAATCACAGCCCTCTGGTCGGCACTCCGCACCATCACAGTCCCAATCCGCAGGACAACTCAAGATCCCTACGGAGCTCACGTCATTAAATTAAGGACTACTAATACTGCTATCGAAGGAGCAAGGGTTTCATTTTTCCTTCACTAGCGGTGTTTACCTTCCCCTGGTGTTAGCCATGATTATGAGAGCATGGAAGTTTCTGTGCGGCATGGGTAATTAGTCTGTTTCCCGCTGTGATGATATTTAGTTGAACTGGTCGATATTGTTGGATTGTTCCTTGGGTCGACGAGGGGGATTCAGATTGTAACGCTGTTAATGAATCCAACTTTTTAATTACTATTCATTTTCTAAGACTGTTAAGCCATTGGACTTGGAATTCTTTTCTCATTCCCTCGTTATGTGTCTTACTTGATGTTGTCTCTTGCGAACGGGCGAAAGTCAGCCTGAGATGCGTATTCGTCCGCGAAGAAAATAATCATTGGCTGTATTCAAGGCCTTCCTTAATTCGTGGCTGCCAAAATGACTGGGGTTCGTTAGCTCCGACGCCGCCTGTCGCTTGCCGCGGACATCGACCGTGACTACTAACTCCGCGGATATAATTAGGTAATCTTTTTAGCTCCGGGGGAGGTGTATTAAGAGGCTTCCGCTTCCAACCCTGTCCTGTCCATTACGCCGCGTCCGTATTAATAGTTTTGTCAAATGACTGGTTGGCCAACATACCTACCTTTATAAAATTCGAGCCCGATCACTTTTTGTCCTTCTGTTCCCGAGCCAAATCAAGCCGTCAAGGCCCTCAAACACCGAATCGCAGCCATCGCAATGCATCTCATCCTCGCCGGAGCCACAGGGCTCGTGGGCTCGGCCGCGCTCGACGCCATGCTCAAGATATCCGATGTCACACGCATCTCCATCCTAAGTCGGCGTCCGGTGCCAATGGCCGAAGCAGCCAACGACGCTCGCATCAACGTCGTTATCCACACGGACTTCTCATCATACGACAGCAATGTTCTCCAAAAACTCAGCGACGCCGACGGCTGCGTGTGGGCCCTGGGCATCAGCCAAACCCTCGTCGGCAAAGAGTAAGTCGGCTCCATACCACACACACACACTCAATGATTACCACTCTCCCGGTCTCTCCAGGTCCACTTATTAATACCTACCTCTCTTCCTCTCCAGAGAATACATCAAGATCACTAAAGACTATGCCGTCGCTGCGGCCGAAGCCTTCCAGAACATCCCCTCCACGACCAAAAAACCCTTCAACTTCGTCTACGTCTCCGGCCGTGGCGCGACCTTCACCCCAGGTCTCATGACGCCGCTCTACGGCCGCGTCAAGGGCGAGACGGAGCTTCTGCTGGCCGAGATGCGCCGCAAAAACCCCGACTTCCGCGCTGCCACGGTGCGCCCCGCGTGGGTGGACGACGCCGACCACGCCGCCATCAAGCCCTACATACCGGGCGACAAGGGGTTCGTGCTTAGGAGCATCACGGTGGGCGTGCTGGGGCCCGTCGTGCGAGTGGCCAACAAGGCTTCGTGGTCGCCGACGGGGCCGCTGGGCGTGCTGTTGACGGAAATGGCCTTGGGGCGGTTCGACGATGAGCAGGCGTGTGCAGGCAAGGGGTATCACACGCTGGATGGGGGGTTTAAGGTTGTTGACAATGTGGGGATGCGGAGGTTGGGCGGGTGGGACGAGAAGAAGTGAGCTGGAGACAGAACGTATCCGAGGTTCATGTTGCTTCAGACCGCCAAACGAGAGCTCGGTCCAAGTTTTTTAGAGGGAGGGCTTGGTAGAGGTCTGCTCGGACGTACTGCCGTCCGTCTCCGATCCCCATACGTACGGTAATTGGAGCCGCCTTGCAAGAACGTGTTGGTCTCAATCCAACCAACAGTGAAATCCCAAAACAGTTGGGAACGAGGAACTGAGGGCGCGCGCTCCCAGAACATCGTCGAGAGGAACGCGTGTTGCGTAATTATTATTTTTGCACCTGCGCACGTGACTATTGAAACAAAAACCGACAAGTGTTTGGAGCAGTGAAGCAAACCGTTCATTAGAAGAAGCTCTGGAGGGATAGGACACTCACGTGATCAAGTACGAAACAAAACTGACAAGCGTTAATTATTAACGTTCATGATATGCGAGTTAGCCATGATAAGCGAGTTGGCCACCTTAACGAGATTTGGTGGGGCACAAGCAAAAAGATGTTAGTAAATTGTTAGTGATCTTATCAATTTCTTATTGCATTTGGCTGCGCACGCTACCTGGTCTCGTTAAGGTGGCTAACTTGCTTATCACGGCTAACTCGCTTATCAAATACGTTACACTCGACAATTACCCCTCTTTTTCCTTGGGCAACCAAGCTTTGAACTCTTCACACGCGCCACTCGCTCGGCCATTGACTTCAACGATGCCTACACTTCTTCAACTCCCCAACGACGTACTGTCTCTGATAGCTTGGGAAATACATTTGCGGAGCTTGCTCAACTTTCGATTGGCATCAAAGCATCTAAACGCTGTGGCGCTGCCGGCAATTTGCAAGCGACGCTTCGAGACACGTTATGTAATGCTTCAGCAGCATAGCCTCGAAAATCTTCTCGAGATATCCCGTCACACTGTTTTTGGTCCCGCTTTAAAGACCTTGACGATTTGCATCGACCATCTGAAGAAGCATCCCCAATATGACCACGCCCCATTGCATTGGGGTGACTTGGCTCGGATGATGGCCGAAGGAGACCTAATCCCCGGAATGCCCGATCCGAGTTCAAGGGGAGGTAGTGAAGAGCTTGTTGTGAATAGACCAGCGTATGAAAGCCTACTGGAGGATCAGAAATTCATGATGGAATCGGGGCTCAACACAGCATACCTCACGCAAGCAATCGCGGCATTCCCAAATTTGGAGACCGTCGTCGTCAACAACGCGTTTCAGCCGTGGGGGGCAGCCGCCCAGGGACGACAAACAAGCGTGCCCATGTCTAACGGCATAGATGGCTTGGAGAGCAATGAGTTTGTTGTGCAGACCCTTCATAGGGTTATTTTAGCCATCGCCGCAAACAACATTTCCTTGTACGAATTGGATATAGCGATCGGACGGCTCGACGGCGGTATTAGCCCAGACATGCTGGTCTTTCCGAGGCCAGTCTTACGGTACATCCAAAGCCACCCTATTAGCCTTACCAGCCTCTGCTTGTCAGTCAGCCCTCGCAACAGTATACACCCAAATAGTGAGCTAGTGGGAGATCTTTTGGGCTTTACCGCACTTTTTCCAGGATTACAGCGTCTGTCCCTCGAATTTAACCTTCGCGATGAACACGAACATTTCCCTGCCATCTCGCAGAGGCTGCGGTTGCCGGGCTTACGATTTCTGGCCATCGGTGCTGTCCAATGTACCGAGAGTGAACTTGTTACACTTTTGCTCGGTCAAAAGGATAGCTTGGAAGAAGTTTCATTCACCCTTATCGACATTATATCCGAAGGTGGAAGTTGGCAGTCATGTCTTGCAACAATACGCGATGAACTCTCTATCCGGCTTCTGGAAATGATTCACTGTCAATCGGCGGATAAGGATGTATACTATTGTGAGAGCGGGAGTGATGGTGTAACCTATCTGGACGCCTTTGAGATTGGTGGGTCCTGGCAAGACTGGACAGATAGCATTAATTGCATCACGATAGGGAAGGGTGGGAACTAATGCGCCGGAAATTATGGTGGCAGCCGATAAAAGGCTGGAATATTAGATAGAACAAAAGAGGGAGGGGCATGTCATTATCAATGGGACAGAAGTAGGCTCCTTGTGGTTCGATATGGCAGATCGTTCGAATTTGAACATTGTGTTGTGTTGGCGCAGGCGAAGGTGACTACAAGGAAGACCCTCGGAAGATTTATTGAATCATCACTGTAAAATATGAGTCACGAACAATATTTCAAACCCCACAAGAAACAAAAAAGGAAGACATATCTAGTCCGACATGAACGGACACCGTCCAAACCCCCCAATCCTATCCGACTCGTTCCGCCACGCAGGCGCATGTAGAGAATCGGACTTCTGCAGGTGTATTCCACCTTCGTATAAAAGTAAAACGAATAGGCCAGAAGGCCGGGTTGGAGAGTATCGTAACGTAGCACTGGGGTGGGAATGTGTATGGAAGAAGATGCGAAAAGTCAAAAAGGGTCCTAAGCTAGAGCATCCTTAAGTCTGTGTGTATAGTTGTCGCGATCTTAATTTTTTTGGCAAAGCTCTACCGGAGAACATGGCCAGGCAGCGGCATATTGCGGGAGAGAGCACAGGGGGGTGGATTGCAGGTGCATAAACCAGCTGTGTGCCGAATGACGGAGAACGCCACTGAGAAGGGCAGGTCACTTGGCGGAGCAATGGTCACGACTGGTAGGCGGAGGTCTCGATCGAGGCTGGTGGCGGTGGGCTTGTGGGGTAGGTATATTTTGGCCTCGTGTATAAATAGAAGGAAATGACTCCATTAATATCTAGCTATATATTCCAAAGCTTCCCCGATCTACCCGACCTAATACAACTCGGTATATTTCTCCGGACGGTAGCGGCCACGATGCGGTCGTGTGGAATAAGAGGTCAGCAAATCGAGCGCCGTTCCGTTTTCAGTTCAAAAAATGGCCATGGAAGAACCCAATGATTTGGCTTACAAACAAGGAGTTAGGCCCAGAAATCAAGGCATTATGGCCGAGTAAATCAAAGAGTCGAGGCCGTAAATCCCATAATTCAACTTCCCCTTGCGTGAGTAGTATCCTCGGGCGGCGGCGGGGCTACTTTGAGGCCCACCTTCAGAACTAGCTGCAACTGAGATCTGCACGGAAAGGCATTGACCGTTTTAACGTTCAGCACGTATGCCACCACCACGCGGTTACCAAGTCCTAGCAAAAAACGGACTAATCAAATATATTACACATAACTGCATAATATTACTCGTCTTATTGGGAGTCAAAGCGATAAGAACCCTCCGATTCGACCGTATAAACGAAACAACATCGTATATTCTAGCTACTCCACTCAGCGAAGGTGGCTAAAGACGACAGCGTATATGGATGCTCTTCGCCAAGCACTCGCCGCCGAGCCTGGGCACAGTCCCCCATTAATGATAAAGCATCTACGCGTCGACCTTGACCTTTCCAGGTAAAAGCGAGGTTGTTCATGCTCGCCAGCGTATCTGGGTGATCGGCCCCGAGCTTGGTCTTGCTCGTCTCGATCACCTGCACAAATAGCTTCTCGGCCTCCTCCCACCGGCCCTGGTCCTTATATATCAACGCCAAGTTGCCTATACTCACCAGCGTATCTAGGTGATCGGCCCCGAGCTTGGTCTTGCTCGTCTCCATCACCTGCATCTCTATCTTCTCGGCCTCCTCCCACCGGCCCTCGTCGTAATATATTCCTCCTAACGTAGCCCCGATAAAGCTTTGGTGCCTCAATAGATCTTTGCCCCTATCACCGTAATTTTCACTGATATCTGGGAGTTGTCCAACCAGGTGTCGACGGAACTCAGGCTGTTCCTCCTCTACGCTCTGAGAGCACGCCGCGAGAACAAAAACCATATAACACCACCGCCACGGCTGACTTTGGCCGCTCTGAGTTGTCCGCCACCGAACCAGGCCATGCATCGTCACGCCAGTCCAATCTCCCTCCACTCGTTATAACAGGCTATAGCGGAGTAGTATATCGCGGGCCTGCCGATAGGCAAAACTATCCCAGTCGCCATCGCCGGATAAAAAAAATTTTGGAGCTCAGTAGGTATCCTCTCAACTGTCTCCTTGCCCAACCCAACGTTGATGGCTGACATTCCAAGACTGTCCAAACGAAACATCTCGTCCTGAATGATGCTGCTCTTGAAATACGCAAGAAACGTCAGCAGCAGGTCAGGCCGTGGGTGCTCCTTCGAAATCTTCTCGAGTGTGGTGTCCCATACGGTCCATACTGTCTTTTCCGTCGGTCGCAATCCCCGGAAATCATTTATCTGTAGGAGTTCGTCGCGGTGCCTGTCGTAATCTGCCAGATATTGCCGCAGAGCTTGCTCGGTCGGGGAGTTTTCGGCGATATAGGCTTCTGCAAGATCGATGGCAAGCGCTAGGTATACGAGCTTTTCCGCCACCCTGTTGCAGCTCTCTTGAATGCCTTCAGAAACAGACTCTGCGTCGAGCCGCAGATGTTGGAAAAGAAGTCCCGCTCCCTCTAATGGAGACATAGAGCCAACTCGGACCTGTTCGCAACCCCCAGAGACCAGCTTCACACTCCAGCCGTCTTAGCTGGTGGTGATGATACTTCCCCCCCGCCTTCCCCTCGGCATGACCTTTTTGATCCCCCAAATGATATCGTTAGCATTATCGACAATCACCAGCCACTCGTCGTCCGTCTCTGTTCTATGACGAAGCCATCGGTGTACCGCCTGGACCGTTGCGTCCGTATGAACCGATCCCTGTTTCTCAATGTGCTCCACCGGAAGCCCTAGCTCCGCAGCACATCTTTGGAAGCTGGATCTTGCTGCCTCTTCATCCGTCGCATCGATCCAAAGAATCGGGTTGTGTTGATGTCTGTGCTTCTTAACGTAATCTAGCGCCAGCTGGGACTTGCCGGTACCACCTATAGTCCGTAAAGAGCGACCGTGTACGGAACGCTTGCTGTCTCGAGCCGTAGCTTCAGCTTTCGCTCGAGTTCCGTCGACAGCTTGGCTCGCTCCGTATAGGTATGTGCCGTCTCAAGCGGGACGGCGTAGTAATGCTTCACCGGCCGGGCGGGGGATATCGTTACTTCGATAAGCTTCGAAAGTATTATCTGATGACTTTCGCTTCTCGACCTAAACTTATTAAGCCGTAATGGTCGACGGATAGGCCAATGTTTCGGACGTTTCGGCCCTCATATGTGGCGGACTGCTCACGGACGCACTAGATCTGTTATTAGCGCGCTATCCAGGCTGACGCTGACATTTTACTTACAAGTCGCTGCCACCGAATAAACCACAGCCGGAGAATTCGCGTCGGCCGCTTCTCGAAGAAGTTAAACCATCTAAGTCATCTCGAGCAATCGCCATAAACTCCTTATGCAGGTCAAGCAACGAAATCGAATCATATTCCAAGTTGGCTAGGAGGAACGGGTTCGACCTAAGCGGCTAGAGAGCTTGTGCCGCTAGCCAGCCCCATGGGCCGAAACTGGTCCCACGATGCGGTGTGCCCAGGAACAAGATCGCCTTGATGTGCTCAAGGAGCTCATTCCCGAGGTTTGTTAACCGTGTGTGCACCGCATCCCTCTTCTAGTATGAGTCGTAGTTGTAAAAGAACATACGAACATCGGTGCTGCCCGCCGGAAGGATATCGCTAGGGAGAAAGTCGCTGACCCAGTTCACGAATCGCTCGCCGTCCGTCGTCGCTTCTTCGGGCGTATTAGCCGCCGTCACATGTTTCGTCGCCCGCCACGTCGTGTCGGGGTTGGACCCTAGGCCGTGGACGAAGACGATACTGTCCTAGTCAGAAATTTATCGTTACAGTGGTAGCCGGGATTGTACCTACTCTAATCCGTCTGCCCGCGCCGGTGAACTGTTTGTGCACGCTGGAACGAGCCCATATCTCGACTTTGGGGCTTGGTCGAAGCTGAGCCGGCTCGAGATCCTCTTCGTGACTTAGTAGTAGAAGAATAGGCTTGAGAACAGGAAGATGAGGATGTATGCAGCCCTATTCGAGACTCTCTCCGTGGCTTGCTTGTAGAGGAAGACCACGGAGAGCAAGAAAATGGGGTATGCAGCCGATGGTCACCCCCAGGCAACGGACTTAGGATGTTGTGGATGTAGGTGCGGCCTGGCGATGGCCTGCTGTGTTCCTGATTTGTGTGGTAGCTTTAGCGATTGTTGCCAAGTCGATAGATGGCAGAAGTGAAGGGATTGAGCTCTGCACGAGGCTGAGCAGCGTTGGCATATTTGCAGCCACACTGAAGTTACTGTTGTTGCCTGAGGTTGCATTACCCCTCATGACACCACTTTCCACCGTGTCTGTCTGCCTGATGGCTAACAATTGCCTATCCGCCGCCTAACTTGCCGTCTAGTTCTGAATCTTAGTGATGTCTATTTTAACCTATTCTCAAACTCCTTTCCCTCCATCCTGTGCTCCGAGTACAGACTGCCTTAGCCCTTATAATGACGTGAGCACTCAAAATGGCTCATCCCAGCCAGAGAACGTGGCTGGATACATAACACACGTGCCAGGAGATCCCGCTGTCAGTCTCCTCTCTGACGATGTTCATGCCCATCTGTCTCGTCACCTAGAGAATCCCCTCCTGGACGAGCTTTACGAGAAGCTCTGGGCTGTTGCCAAGAAGTCCAGTCGAAACATCGACCCGCTCCATACGCAAAAGGTCAAAGGCCGAAGCATTATCCCTACCGAAGATCCCAGACTCCATCTCACCTGGCACTGGGACAGGATCTATATAAAGCCCGTTCCTGTGTTCCTACTTAACTACGAATTTTGGACAACATATCTTCAGCCTTCGTCATCTTCAGGCTTCAACGGCTCGATTGCAGTTGGATTCTTGCGGTCGTATGCTTTGCTCGTGCCACATCGTCTAGACTTCATGTTGGCAAAAGAGGCCCACCTGATTCCTAACGATGTGAAGGACTAGCTTCAATGGTCAAAATTCATCAGCCACTTCCGCCATCTCCCTGATGAGAGCGTCGCGAGGCGATATCGCTACGGACAGTTACGACTTTCCCGGCTCAACTGGGCCGTCCGAATATTCCGCCCACAACACACGAGGACGGTGTGGTTCTACGAGATCCCCCATTGGTCTATCTCCAGCTTTATGTCGAGGGCGATTGTGCCTCTGTTGTTCGTGTTTGCCGGTATATCCCTTGCCCTGTCATCCATGCAAGTTGCACTCTCGGTACCGACAGACGACCCCTGGTTTCATGGACTGGGCGAGTCTGGACTACAAAACGTAGGCCGAGCGTTTTGGGTATTCTCTATCGCCGTGATACTGGGTTGGGTAGCTCTCTAGGCCCTCTTGCTTCGCATTCCAATTGCTATCCTGGTATCGCAAGTTTCATGGGGACTTGCGAGAGAGAGGCGACGTGCGGGGGTTACTGCCGACCGCGGCCGCGAATGCTCAGAATGAACAGGGTCAGGCATATAGATCGGAATGTGGAAGAGATGTCGACTGCCGGCTAAGGGGTTTGTCAGTTGGATGTACCTGTGCGGAGAAAGTTGAACATTGAAATCGTGGGCACTGATTTCGGTCTCTACTGTATAAATGCCTGCATCAATCACCTAATCTACTTCCGACGGCTGTTTGGTGGCCCAGCTCGCCTGCAGCGGGTTTCGAGCGCAGTGAGAAACTGGGACCTGGGTGGGCCACGACTTGGTTAACCTCTTCAGGAGCTGAACCCGCCCTAGGCCTAACTTTTTCGGCTCTCGCTTCTCCTCTCCCTCTGCATAAGGTAGAACGCTTTGCATTGCGATAATGAGATTCGCGCTGATTTCCCGTCGTTTATCACAGTACGCGCGTATGAACAATACGGTACCACAAGGCTATCTGTGAGGGTGTCAACACGGCCCAGCGGGAGCGCCGCTATCTCCTCAGCAAGCTCCTATGGCTATCGCTTAGCTTTCCAAAATTCATCCATGGCGTTCGTAATCATATTTTATTCCTTCTCTTCTTCCACTTTTTTACTTATCTCGATCCTTCGCACTAGGTCCCTTTCAGTTTCATCATACTGCTCATTATCCGCCCAAGAGGCCAGCTCTAGTGATTTAGAGCGTCTCCCGCACCAACCGGTAGAGAGAGCCCTTCTCGAAGGGAGGACATTATCAAGTGCCGAGGATCGCGGGGCTTGTCGAATACGCAGATACGCCAATGGCTACCGCTCCGAATCCGCCGCTGCGCAAGCGCCCCCCAAGTATCTTAAATGAAGCCTGGCTCGCTCAGAGGAAGCCGAAGCTAGCAGTATCAAGGCGCCGAAACCTGGAAAGTGGAAAAGACGCACGTGCCCTCCAATCGACAGAATTTCCTACAGTACGTAATCATCTCCCCTTTTGAGACTGGATAAACTCTCCCCTTCTGGAAAAGACTAATAATACTAAATTTTACCCCAATATCAAGCCTTTGTGTTATCCCTTCATGTATGTGAAGAACTCGTTAAATACCTACTTTAAATTTTGAACCCATTATCTACCATCATTTTCTTATCGATTCTTCCCCTTAAGTTGAGTCGAATACGCCGTGATTCTCCCCCCAAGTGGAGTCGAATAAGCCGACGTGACTCCCCAGAAGTAGCCGGGGATGTGAGTGTCTTTCGATCTCTGGGACAGCAGTTGTTTCGTCCCCCTGCCCGGGATCTACGTTGTCGAGGCCGACAGCCGCCTGAGAGTCGAGATGCTAGCGAATGTCTCTCAGGATATGGCCCATGCACAGGAGGTAGACCTCGCGAAGGGCCGGGCAGGACCCGATGACCATGCCTATGAACTCGCCGTCGTCGACCTTCATGGCCCACGCGCCAGAGTCTCCCGGCCGGACCATGTCCCACATGGTGGCAACCAAGACGGGCTGCGGCCAGCTGGTCGTGGGGATTCCAAACACGCCGCTGGCCTCTAGCATTCCAAACTTTAGGTCTGACGATGTCTTGATGACAATCTGCGTTGGCGGAAAGCCCGCCCACAGGTGCATGAATTTCTTGTTTTGCGCCGGATGCTGCAGCTTCTTCAGCGCCCAGTCGAAGCGTGCATTGGGCGTCGCCAACACGCCGAGGTCGAACCGCGGCTGGCCGAGAAAGCTTTGGACTGCTCCAGCTTCGGACACCATGCGGCTCAAATCAGAGCGCTCGTTCTGAGACGTTTCTTGCTAGCCTTGATCAACATCCACGCCCAGTGGCTGTTCGGTGCCCTGAGTCTGGGTCGATTCCTCGGGCGCTGCATCATCATCGTCGTCTCGGGTCACAGATGCATATTGCACGTCGTCAAACAATTCAATGCCGGAATCTTCAACTCCTTCGTCCTCGTCTGACTCTGCGACGGGCTCGAAGTCGTTGAGCCGCGCGATAGACCACGCAGGAGGCACAGCGCCGCCGGTATTACTATTGCCAGAGGTCGTCGCAGGCATCATGTCGAGCTCGGCCCTGTAGGCCAGCCCGCAGCACCTAAACCTGCACGCCCTCAAAAGGCCACTCTGGACGATAACCTTGCCGATACCCTTGCGGAGCCACTTGGCAGCGGAGATGACGGCGATGCGGGGCGTTGCGCGGTCCGTGTCGGGTCCGACGAGGAAGCAGCGCAGCATCCATGGGGGTTCGCTGAGTGGGTGGGCCGCTGGGCTTGCAGGCGCTCCCGCTTGGCTTTGATCAGGTCTCCCAGTGAGCCCTCGAGGTTGGTCCAGATGTGCTCCACGACGCCCGTCACTCTCCACCCGATGAGCTTCAGCCCGGGAGCGTAGTCGCTCCTGAAGGCCTCGGCGCCGAAGCAATCGGCATATTTGGGGTCCGTTCTGGCAAATTGCTGGAGCACCGCCCGCGAGGCTGGCAGGCCGTCATCAGCGCCCAGCTTGACGGCCGGGGCCAGCGTAGATGCTGGGAGAAATGCCGGTAGGGGTAGTGCAGCAGCGGCGGCGGGCATGGTCTGAATTGGGGCTGGACGGATAATTATGATGAAATCAATTACCAGAGTGGCGGCCGCCTATGCAGTTGCCGTGGTATCATTGTGGTTTGTCGCCTGCTTTTTAATTATGCTGTCTTTTTCGAAGAGTGGATGGACAGAGGATATCACCTAGTGGAGGAGTTGGGACTGCTCAACCTGAAAGACTGCCCGGGGCAGGCGCCTGCCCTTCAGCTCCCTCCTTGCTTTCTCCCAAATGGGCAATTGGAATTCGGGGCCGTGGCACAGCCACCACCACAATCAGGACTGAAAACTGGCAGGCAAGGTCTCTTGGCAGGGTATGCCGCTATCCCGGACCAGACAGACCTCGAGATACCTAGGTAATGTAACTACTACCAGGATCCGGCAATAAACTACCTACTCGTCGTCTTCAAAGAATTACCTCAAATTATGGCTTCACCCGTTGGAACCACGGTGCTCCTTCATGCGCCCATGTTCAGCAACACGCCAATGCCTCAGGCTCTCAGGGCCCCTCTTCTCGACAGGCTATAGCCTCTCTCCGGGAAGCAAGCCGCTGGGCAAGACGCGGACCACTTCGAGGCATACTTTGCCCACCTTGAACAGGAACGCAACCCAGCAGTGCTCAACCACCACGCAATGCAGACCTTTGCAGACTTCTTGACCATACTGGAAATCATCTGCGGCAACCCCACGGCCAGCCTGACCGCCATCCGCTCCCTCGTCGCCGCGGTCAACCCGGGTCTCTGTTCCGACCAGACCAAGCTCTCTGCGTCGATAGAGCTAGTAGACTAGTCTGGCTCTGGCTCCTCGTTAACGTTAGGATCACCATGCCCGCACGGCAGCACAGATATCTCCTCGAAGTCAGCCTGCCGTGGCCCGACAACCTGAGTCTGGCCGACGTGCTCCAGCGGCACCTCTCGCAACCGCCGCCGCCAGCGGCCTCCCAGGTCTCCACTGCCGAGCGCTTCTCCGACTACCTCAACGTGGTCGACATGAGGAAGATTACCGGCGTCCGCGTGCTGTGGACCGCGAACCTGGGCGAGCATCTCGTCTCCCAGGACTCGTGCGCCTGCCTTTTCCATCACGTTGCCGCGCTGAAGCGCATCAGAGACTCGGTGCCGTGGTAAGGCGACCAGCTCACAGAGCCGTGCTGAATTGAAACACTAGAATCGCCAATCTCTGAAATGAACTGACAAGCTGTGTCTCTGCCGCAGCAACGCGTTCCTCCCGCCGGCCTTCGTCGACGAGACGCTGGCCACAATCAACCTGCTGGTCCCGCTCGAGGACGGGCGGTGCAACGCCTGGCTCGGCGGCGAGATTGCCAGGCTCGGCGGCGAGATTGCCAGGCTCGGCCTCGACGACCAGCTCATCTACCGCAAGGCGGCCAACCGCAGCAAGCGCGGCTTTGTCTTCTGGCAGGACCGGCTGCTGGCGTTTTCCGACGCGTTCGACCGCGCTCGCCCGTCGGGACTGGCGCAGTGTTGGCACGACCGGAGGGATATGGGCCGCTGGTGGAACTACTGGCTTGTGGTCGCCGGCCTGGGCTTGGCCGTCCTGTTTGGCCTTGTGCAGTCGGTCACGGGCATTCTCCAGGTCATTGGGGTTAGTGGAGGAGGGACCTGATCTTCGAGTGGTAGATAGTTAATTATGTTTTCCCGCCCTGAATAGCTGCCAACCTGAGGACCTAAGCAAATAATTAAGACTCAACGTCCACACCCTCCAACCTTCATCCATTTTGTGTTGTGATTCTTTAGCCGGAGGATGACACGGTGAGTTGAGCCACTTAGATTTACTTGTCTTTGTAGTGAAGCAGTGAAAAGGCACCACAACACACAACAGCCACAAAAACAACACTGAGGCAAGCCGCAGGCGAGCCTTACAGAGTACTGACTGGTACGGGATTCTATGGCCGGGGAGTCAATATAACAAAGAAAAAGGCACCACTGCGTGCACTGGTCCGGGGATCTTGGTTCATGGTAAAGAGACGTGATTTCTAGAGACTGCATAGAAAAGAAGGTAAAGAGCGATGTCGGCCCTCCAGAGGGAGGGCAAGCCAGGGAAAAAAAATTGGAAAATAAAGCACACTAATAGATTACATTAGGTAAGGTGTAAACAGCCCCTTCTAGCCCGGCCCCTAAACACTAATCAGTAGAGAGACAACAACAGCACATCTGGCTGCTAATTACTGTAATAAGCCAGGTGACAGTGAAGCCAGGTGACAGTGAAGCCAGGTGACAGTGATGCGACAACTATTGTTCAAATCAGCAGTGGGCTAGAAATATTCAACAAAAACGATTGCACAGATTCTACAAAATCAATAGCTCGATTTTCGTGATCTTGACCGAGACTCCTGCGTCTTTGCAGTTGTCCTGATAGGTTTCCAGGCTAATTTGTCCCCGCTTGAAACCTTGATAATAATTGTTCTTGAATAAAAGCATTCTTCCAAGCCGATTTACTTGGCAGTTCAGCCTTCTCTGCAGCAAGATTTGCAGGAAGATCAATACCGAGGGCGCCACACCCGGCCGCTAGGAGTACGACTACGAGTTTCTCGACAACCTCCGAGCTGACATGTCCAGTAACTCTAGCGGTAGGGCCAGGATGCATGAGCATCTTCATAAATGCGATGAGATGATTTCGAGCAATGCCAGGGTGAACGAGTTTGTTGAGAGGGCTAGAACTCCGACTTTGGTTGTCGGCGGCAACAAGAAAAAGAGCAAGAAGACGACGAGGAAGAACAGAGAGACCATTATGGAAGTGGTTTGGCGTGCCCGCCTCCCCGAACCTATGCTAAAACTGGTTTAATCTTTCTACCACCTTCGTACTTCTTCCATGCAGGCTACCGGCCTAAGTCCCTGTACTATAGAAAGAACTTAATGAAAACTTCTAAACCCAATACTATTTCCTAACAAATTTAAATGGCTAACTATCTTGGTTGAAATTGAACTCATAATACCCATGTAACTTTCGTAACGGCTTGCTGCTCCAAGACTTAACAAGGCGGTATGGCCAGGCTCACGCCATGGTCCGTCTCAACGATCTCCAAAGAGAGAGGGAAGCCACAGTCGCACACAATCAACCAGATAAGTGGTGGTGCAAAGCTGACCGGCCCAGTCCACCGCTCATACAGCAACGCGTTCGCCACGGCTACAGTGGCGCTCTAGCAGCATTGGATGTTGAAGCGGAGGAAAGACATTACAACACAACGAAAACAACAACAAAATGACGCTCAGACGAGCCTTACAGAGTGCTGGCACAGGGATACATGGCCGGGCAGTTAAACATAGCAAAGAAAGGTAAATGCAGGTGTTTACCTTGAATGTGTGCGTAGTGGTGGGTATAAGCCATTTCACATGTGTGATTAATCTAACTGTGCAAGTCCCTCCGTGAGCACAGCCTCCTTGAGTAGACTAAGTATTACATAACAAAGAAAAGGGCACTACTACGTACACTACTCTAGGGATATCAATTCACGGTAAGGACGTGATTTCTAAACAAAGGCTAGAAAGAGCAGGTAAGGAGTGATGCCGACCTCTGATCAGAGGGAGGAAGGCGGGCCACCCACCGTAAATGAAGTGTGCAGGCCTAGAAAAAAGGAATGAAAACGTACCAGATTACATTAGGTAAGGGTGTAAATAAACCCCTTTTTATCCCGCCCCTTAACCCCCGACCAAGGTGCGTATGGATGGCAACTGGAATCAAAATGCTAGTAAAAACCGTGTTATACAGATCTAATTTTTTACCGACCAGGTACAAAGAAATCGAGCCAAGATTCAAAGACATACATGATATACAGTAAATAAACAATGCCCCGAGACCTAGCTGCAGACACTTGCAGCTATTCTCCAATCTCCCCAGCCTGCCATTCAGCCATGTGTATCTCTCGCGAGCACGGGACATTGATAAGGCCTGTACAGATACTATGCTACTTAAGCATCTCTTGGTCAAGTTCAAAAGTAGGAACCGGCCTACCTTGGTTCTGTGCAGCGCCTGCGACGGCGGCGGCATCGTGGGCGCGCCACCCCGCTTTCTCGTCTGGTGTGGGAGACTATGGTTTCGAGGCGGCTGGCGACTTGTATGTAGCCACCCTAACTGATGCCATTTTCAGCGTCCTCCCAACACATCGTCTGATCCACTGGAAATTCCGCAACGGCTTGCACTGAGACGAGCCTTTGGTCGGGTGATGAAGTGGCTGTCGGTAGCATTGTTGCCGCCATTACCAACTTCCGAGGGGTGGAGGAGCTGATAAGCTCTGAGAAACATCACCATTGCATCCATTTAAGGATGCATCGGAAAGTTCAAGTTGGCGAGCAGAACCGCGGCTGGGATCCTGAATGAGATCCAGGTCGGGGATATGGGAATTTCGTTCAACGATATTATGCAACTTTCATCACACTCCGCTCGCTCCGTCAGTTGTGCTGGATACAGGTCCACGAGTCAACGATGACTTGAGCCTCTTGGCATGTCCGGTGCTAGCCAGGGGCAGCTGGCGAGATTTTGCCGCCTCCTAAGTTATTTTCCGGCTCTCTTCCAGGAGAGCGTCCAGAGATTGTTGGATTTCGCTCAGTCGCCTATCCTTACCCCAGTCCATGATGTTACGGACGTACTTCCGGAACTCCAGAGAGTGCTCAGGTTCCTGAAGCAAGAAGCTCTTGACTTTCTCCATGTACTAGTCAAGGTCACTGTGCTTCCAAGTGATATACAGTCGTGCTTCTGTGCCGCTCATAGCAATACTGAAAGCAGCGCTGTTGGTCAGCCGGATTTTGCATTGTCGCAGCGCCTCAGCTGGTCGTTGAGGCGTTCGGCGATCTTAACACAAGATGCCGACCCACCGAGGCATTGGCTCGTCGCCACCCACATGGTTCCGCCTCCAGAGGGGCCGTCGGCCTTGAATTCGATGGCGAAGAATGGATATATTAGGTCCTGGTTGTTGGCAACCACCCCGACCCCATTGGCGATGAGTTGGACATGCTGCTTGGGAAATGCGCTGCGATTATAGCCGTACAGCATATCGGGCACCGGGGTGCTGACCTTGAGCTTTGGATCTCCTTGGGGGACAGTGTGTTTGGGCATCGGCTGTCTATCATTTCGTTGAAGGGGCTCGGTTGGGCTTCTCCCGCCATGTCCGGTGCGAGGCCAGTAGGGGGGCTGGCCGGCGAGACAGCGCCTCGGTCTGAAGGGTTGCAATTGCGCAGAGCTGTGATGTCGTTGATTGCCAAGGATCTCCCACGCCGCACGCGTAAATAAACGCGGGGCGCCAGGTTTTGGCGGCGGCGAAGGATAGTTGGCTGACTGGGGGTGGTTCGTCAACCCCATGCGGCCGGGACATTACGCTGCCTGCACTCTTGATCGCTTGCATCTAATAGAATCCGCATTATTAGCGGCTGCTGGATCTGGGAGGCTTGAAGGCTGAAGCTGCCTTGCAAGTTGCTCGGTTTGCCGCAATGATGAGGGTGCTGTAGCTAGGTTTTTGCCGTGCATCAGCAGGAGCTCGGTGAATGTGGCCTAAAGTACTCCACAGCGGCACAGTGCCCCCGTTTTTAAGCACGCCGGGTTCTAGCTTCCCAAAGCCTCCCCCGACCAAAAGATCCGGGGTAAAACAATAATGATCAAGTCACACCGAGAGAAATAAACAAAAGCACCAACCACATTCCTGCTGCGGCTTCATGATAGTGTCTGGGAACGCCTATTTTCGAGAAAGACCAATGCAGAGTGCACACAGAGCGTAAGAACAGCCGCGCGGCTGAGATTGTCTCGCCTTTGCATATGCACTCTTCCTCTTATGCGGGCCTTTGAAGGGTTAGGTATAGTTATAGTCCAATGACTTATAAGCTTATACAGCCGTGAGAACAACGTTTTCCAATCCTAGCTGTGCTAGAGCCAGATTACCTTTGCGGAAGACTGCGAAACCGCGGAGGTTAATACTCCTCTCTCAAGGCGTTTATAGTGAGGAGGGCTAGGCAGCAGTATGATAGTTGGACTTGCTTTGCGCACGCTAAAGAGCTGACAAGATATTGCTGATGGTGTCGGGAATCTGAAACGAGTGTCTGTATTAAGGACCATCATTAATTTTAGCTTCGACGAGACCGTATCCGAGGTTGCCCAAGCCATGTACCTCCACTACTTCTGCCTACTGAGCCCGAGGCTGCGAAGCGAAGCATTTGGGGGTGGTGGGTGATGCGAAATCTTCGTTGTCCGAAAGTGAACTGAGGTGGCCCACACAGCAAAGACAAGACTGACGAATCGACAATGTAATTATGCTCAACGCCTTGTCTAGAGAACACCAAACCATACTCTTCATCCTCTTCCTCCCTCTAAAGACCGCTAGTATGCCGTTGTTTAGAACAAGCCAGCTCAACCAACAACACTCTTAGCAACCGCCGCATCCCACCACGCCTTCAGACCAACCGCCTCAGCCTCGCACCAGCCCAGCCTGCCCGGATCCTCAATCCACCAGCTGGCGCCATTCTTCGGCTTATCGCTGACATATTTCTTGAGCGACCCGCCGTCAAACCGGTGATTCTTGACGCCAAGAAGCAGCACCACACTGCCGACGGCTGGAGCAAAGTTCCCGGGCTCGAGAAAGACAGTAAGCAGGACCTGCTTGGGCGTGGAAGGGTCGACAAGGCGCGCGGTGCGCTGAGTGTACGGTGGCAGGTGCGACGGCTCAACGTCGGAGAGCGAGGCGACCACGGCCAGCACGTTGACCATCCAGTTTTGCTTGTACGGTAGGTTGGGGACGGAGCGCAGCGGCGTGAGCCGTAATGGCTGCGTCGGGTCGTTGGCCATCCACGGCGGGGGTGGTTTGCTGCTCTGGGTTTCGTCGGGCTGCTGGGGTTTGGTGCTGGCACCAGCACCAGAGGCATCACCATCGTCTTGTGGGCGTATTTGAGGTCGGTGTCTAGTCTCGCCAGAGAACTGGGTGCGCCGTTGGGCCACATTTTCCTCGGAGACCTCCATAGTTTCGAATGCATCGTCCGAGGAAGACATGTAGTTAACATCTTCTTGTCCATCCTCGCTTGCAGCGTGCACATCTAGCGCAGGGTGGACGCTGTGGACTTGCGTGCCGGTAAGAACAGCAGCTTTTGCATCGCGAATCGGCCGTACGCGAGCCGGGTTATCAGGTACACGCCTGAGCTCCGGGCCACCAATCTGCCCGACGCTTCCCCCACTTGCGAGGCCCTTGTCATGCTTGGATTCTGGCACGGAGTCAACAAGTCCATGCCCAACGGCCGCCTGAGGCCCAACCCCCAGAATTTCCAAATACGCATTGTTCCAGCCGACTGTGATCATATCCCCAACCAGCAGGCACAGCACCTTTCTCGGCTGCCCCCTCGTCTTCGACATAGCAGTCTCCGTGTCGCCAAGTTCGTCGTCTTCCACATCCTCCACCTCCCCGGTCACCTCTATCTGGCGCAGCTCGACCTTGTCGACGCGCACATAGCAGCCCTCGTAGATCTGGCCGCCGTCGACGAAGCAGTGGATCTCTGGGTGCAGGAGCGCCTGGACGCAGAGCTCGCCGTCGCCGAGGAGCACACGGACTGCACGGTATTTCCTCGAGACGGGGATACGCGACTCAACGGACTCGACAAGAAAGATTGAGCCGGGGATGCAGTAGCGAGTGCGCAGCATGTCTGCAATCAGAGGTTTGGGATCAATTGGCTCGTCGGGGTTCAGGGAAACGACCGTGGCCGCCGCCGAAGCGACAGGAGCTGCGTGCACCGCAGACATGAGCCCGTGCTGGGAGCGCCCATGATCGCCCACGCAATGAATCCCCCGAGGAACGGCGGTTGGTTGGCCGTAATCCGTACCAACGTTGGACTTTTGGATGTTGCCTCGCCTGGTGGGTCCTAGGTAGGTCGTCAAGTGCGGGGACGCGATTTATCACGCGTCCGTCGCGTCGAGGATGAACGTTAATCAATCTATAACCCTAACCCGAGTGGTGGATAAGCTACTATGTACGTGTACCTGCAAGACGGCAATATGGAGGGCACCGACAAAAAGCGCAGGCACGGAATATGGAGGGCACCGACAGAAAGCGCATGCACGGAATCCCGTGCTGAGGCAGGCAATTCCTTGACGTCAGACTCTGTCGGCCCGAGGATACAAGGCTATTAAAACGGTGCCGCGGGAAGTGCCTAACCTTAGCTTCTTGATCCGGCTTTTCAATCGAAGGGTCTCTGTGGGGTCATTGTTCGTTGATAGCTCCGGTTCTGCATCGGCTGGCCTCGAGGGAACGTCCAAGGTCAATTCGTCAACTCCAAAGCCGTTGATACGGACTCCCAGCACAAAATCTTGATCGTAGCCCAAGGACAACAGGACATGTAAGACGGGTGTGAAAATCGGATCCGGCATTGGCACGTGCCGCAACTTAAAGCACAAGTAGAAACTCACTTCTCACCGTGTCATGTGGCATGTTTTCCGTCAGGTATCGAAACTAGCTCTCTATTAAGTGTGGAGGGCCGCGTGATTAAGAAAAAGCTGCAAAGATGTGAAAGAACTTTGGTACTAAAAGAAAATAAGGGTAAGAAGCCCGGGCCACGGAAATCGATTGCCAACAAGACATAAACACCATAGGCCAAAGGGGTATGACCTGTAATCGCATAGCATCGCATTGCGCCGTCGCCATCGCTATTTTCCTCCCCCGTCACTCGTGTCTGGCGCCTTTTTTGGGTAAGAGCTTCTGAGCACCACCTCCGCCGGGATATCAAGTCCTCTCATACACGTAGCTCGCATGGGTAGGCAACTAGAGTCTGTCGAAAGCGTAGAATCAAGGGGTATCGCACTTAGTAGCCGTTCATGGTCATCCGCTGCGAGCTGCGGCTCATCTCGCGATCCGCGGCCGGGCTAATGGGCCTGCTGCCATGGCCTTGTGCACTGCTCTCCTTGAGGGCCAAAAGCTGCTTGGCGCGGAACGTCTCATAGTGGATCTGAGACGTCGTCTCGATCAAGTCCTGGAGGTGGGTGCGGAGAAGGAAGTTCCGAAGGTAGACAAATTCGCATTGGTTCTCATCCTCGACGTTAATCACCCCCCACCGGTTTTGGCGACCGCGGACTTGCTTGCCATTGACGAGGATCGACTTCTCGGATCCCACAACCGCGAAAGGGATCAAGCTCTGGTGTGCATGTCAGTTGCCGCACGGGTTTTTCTAGGGACGGGTAGCAAACCTTGATCTGGTCGTTGACATTCCGCTCCTCCGCGTCAAACTCGTCATTGTCATAGGGGTACATCTTCAGGTTGTGGAAGGCGAACTCCTCCTTGATGCGCTCCTTGAAAGCCAATCGCTCCTCAAGAGTGAGCGAATCGGCCTTGGCAATCACCGGGACGACATTGACGACGTCCGAAAGCTTCTTGAGCACCACGATATCAATTGGTTTGAGCGAGTGGCCCGAGGGCTGGATGAAGAACAGGCAGCAGTGGATGCGCGTGTCCTGGATGTATCGCTCGCGCTGGGCGGTGAGCTCCTTTCGCAGGTACGCGGAGTGTTGGTCCTTGATGTACTTTACGATGGGGTCCCAGCACCGGTCGTTGTTGATCAGGTCGCCGTAGCCCGGGGTGTCGACGATGTTCAGTCTCAAGCGAACACCGTTCTCCTCGATGATGTGCGAAACAGACTGGATCTCCGTGGTCGACCGGATTATCTCCTCGGGGGCGAGCCTTCCCTTGGACTCGATGAGGTGGGAAGCGAAGATAGTGTTGATCAGGGTCGACTTGCCCAAGCCCGTCTGGCCTGCATCGCCAAAGACACGTCAGTCCCAATCACGGGTGGATCAGTGGAGCAGGAACAGGGAATATGCTGTACTGACCGACGCAGATGACATTGAATTGGAATCCGCGCTTCAGGAGCTTGCGCTCAATCTGAGACGTGATGCTGTCGAACCCGACGTGGCTCTGGGGGTAAATGGTGGCAGCAGGCATCGACGCCATTTTGGTCGGTGCTGATAATTTGCTGTGGGAGTCTCGTCTATTCCAAAAAGCAATGGAGAATCGCTCGCTGAGAGCTGGTTCGAGGGCCGACGGAGGGGATGCGGAAAAAAGAAGAGATTTGGGTGAATTGGACAGGTCGACGAAGCACAATCCGGCAGAGGGTTGGAAAAGTTAGGGTGTGCTTCTACTTTCTTCGTACCTCCCGCCTCTGGGCAGCTTTCCGCCAAACAATAATTTCCGTTCAAGGGGTCAGAGCTGGCTGGGGAAAGGGGGGAAGCGACTGGCCGCCGTTGATTGGCTCGGCGGGGACTGCTGCCCCAGGCACAGACCGATGAGGTTAGAGCCTGCAGTGACACTATGGCCCCCTGGGCAGGGGAGGGCCCGTGCATCCCTGCCATGGTGCTGGGTGGAACTTCCCGGGAGCGCGACCTTTTCTTCTGGCGACAGCAAAATCGGCATTGCGATTCCCGGGTCCCCATCAGCCCAGCACGAAGGAAGAGTACGGCACCTGTCGAAAGTGCAGCTACGATACCGACATTAGTGCAGATAGGAGAGCTCTTTTTCGCTCCGAGACCCTCCAATACCGACAGGCCTCGATATAACGCCGTAGAATCGAGATCGACGGTTAACTTCAACATTTGAGATGGCCATGGCGGCGCCTGCATTCAGGGCAGCTCCCTCGAGCCTTTCCTTCCTGCCGCGACTGCTGCCCTCAGTATTCTTCTCGGCGCCCAGCACACCACAACGCAATGTCCGGCTATTTTCACTTCCGTTCCTCCCCTCGCTCGCCTTCGCACTTCCAGCCTCTTTCCAGCTAGGCTTCCCGTCCATACCGTCGCTGCTCGAAGATATATGGGAATCTGTCCTCAGGGCGGTGCCGAAGAAGAAGACGTCGCACATGAAGAAGAGACATAGGCAGATGGCAGGCAAGGCGTTGAAGGACGTCACTGCGCTCTGTAAGTGCCCGGCTTGTGGGCAGATAAAAAGAATGCACTATCTGTGCCCCAGTTGCGCGATGAGTAAGTGCTACTGTGACTATAAACATGAATATGGAGCTCGTTTGCTGCTCGTGTGCTGACTATCTTACCAGAGCTCAAGGCGATGATGAGGAAGGACCAAGAAGGGAGCAATGCGGCAAAGTACTAGAGACGGGCTCGGTAGCTTGCGTTCGCTGCGGTCCCAAGAGAAGCTCCTCAGAACCCATTGGGGCACGCTTTGCCGTAAGACGTGTATATAGGGCAAGCAGGCAACTGCGTTTGTAACTTTATGGCATCTGTAGGTTACTGTAAAAGCTGTTTCTCAACAGCAGACTAGAGTTGTGGGAAGACGCGCATTGCTCAAGGCGCCAGGAACTTCCCGACTCCCGAGGAAATATTAGGAATTGAACAACTTACTCTGGGATGTCTAACCACTCGGTAGAGTCTTTTTATTGGTATCAATAAAAATCCGGTCCTCATTTTGGCTTTAACTGGCAGTTTTATTTCTTTTGCTCTCTCTGAGGCTTGACGTCGGAGCGCGCATGAAAACTACCCCACCAACCGCTGCTTCAGCCTGCGATTGAGCAAACAGACCCGACAGCTCTCAACCCAGCTTACTTTACCACGAAACATCACAAAACCCGAAATACCTTGATGGACAGGTAGCAATGGTATGGGCACCTTCTTGTCGAGCGCTGCTATCGTGCACTAGCTAATATGGGTTTCTCAGTCCAAACAATACCTCACCGCCCACACGGTGGACCAAGGTATGTAAAAGACATCGCAGCTCCGCCATTCACCTGCCTCACCCCTCTCCCTCGCCTTCCCTGAGCTCGCTGTCGGGCGGAAACAATTCCCCACGTCCCTGCCACAACTAATACCATGAAAAAACAGCCCACCCAACCGAGATATTCTCGCTCGCCCCGACGCCGACGTCGCTCTTCTCGGCCAGCGGCTCCTCGGCGCTGCGCATCCACGCCACCACCGACCCGACCTTCCCCCTGCAGCAGACGATCCCCAACGCGCACAAGCTCGGCTGCCACCACGTCTGCACGGCGCGCGGCGGCGCGGGCTACGTGGCCGCAACCGTCGGCTTCGGCGGCGAGATCAAAGTGTGGAAGTGCAAGGACAAGGACGGCAACCTCGGTGGCGAATGGGCGCTGCAGTGGGAGATGACGCCCAGCAGCAACGGCGGCAAAAATGCAGCGACGAATGCGCCCGGCCGTGGCCGTGGCGTAGGCGGCGACGTGTGGGCGATCGCGCTGAGCACGGACGAGAGCTTCCTGGCGTGCACGACGAGCGACGGGCGCATCCACGTGTGGGACCTGGCGGGCCGCGAGTGCATCCAGACGTACGAGACGGGCAGCAGCGGCGGCGGCAGCTTCGCCATGGCGGTCGACCTGAGCCGCGACGGCCGGCTGACGGCCAGCGGCCACGAGAGCGGCGCCGTCTACGTCTTCAACAACGATGCCGGCCGGCTCGTCTACTCGCTTTCCGGTATGGCCATTTCTCCTTCTGTACCCCCTACAATCGCAAGTGATCATGGAGCGGGGGAAGTGTTATGGGATTGTATCGATGGCTAAATTCTGTGTCAACTAGGTCTGGCGAAGCCCATCCGGGCCGTTGCCTTCTCTCCGGGCGGCAAGCTTCTCGCGGCAGCAGGAAATGCCGGCATTATCGCCCTCTACTCGGTGGAGCACGGCGAGCACGTCGGCAACACCAAGCCGTCGAGCGACCGGCCCGCCTGGATTATGTCGCTCGACTGGAACGACACTGGCGACTACCTCCTGAGCGGGGCCCTGGACGGCCGGGTCAAGGTCTGGGATCCTACTCGAGGCATCTGCTTGGCAACACACAGCGAGACGGACGGAGCGTTGTGGAGTGTCCGTTGGCTGCCCCGAAATGAGCGGGCTTTGGCGCCAGGCATGAGCAAGGGAGAAATGTTTTGTGCGGCGGGAGCCAGCCGAAGCATTTCGTTCTACCGTGAGGCTACGGGTTCATGAAGAGCGGGAGGACATGATACTTTAGGTCGGGTCTGAGTTGGGATTTGGGAAGGTTTTGAAAGGGGTACTATGCCCCTGTAAAGATGAAAGCGGCATAGACAAAATTCCCTATAATTTGCCCATCTCACTTGTTTGCTTCTCACGCCCAACGTAGCTCAAAATTGATCTCATGCATGCAAATACGTTTCCTTGGATGGCCATGAATTGGCGCACACCCATTCTCGCCCCGATGCCCTGAAGAAGTCGGGAGCCTCGAACTCATCCTCCCACCGGCCCAGTTGCTCAAACCGGTGCCTGTCTTTTGTTCGAACCACGCGCAGTCTCTCGTCACATGTGCGGAGGTAGCGAAGATTCTTGCAATGCGAGACGATGTTGCCGTAGCCAAAGTCCAGCCAGGTCTGAGAACGCATCTGCGCGACTGGCCGACCGCTGTTTCCCCACAGCTGCAACATACGACGAGCAGTCTTGTCGCTGGCGGCGAGATATACACAACTAAGAATCTTTTGGGGAACACGGTAATGCCAGGTCTCGTCCACGCAGTATGGACACCGCAGCCAGAGATGCTCAAGGTTGGGCAGCTTCTGGAGCTCGCGGATGATGGCGCCGTTTCTCTGCACGTTGACCGGGTAGTGCGAGTCGAGTATGAGAGTCCGAAGCGCCGTACTGCCATCCATGTGGGAAAGCGCGGTGCCATCGCGGTCAAGCGGCAAAGACAGCCCCCAGGCCCCCCGCAAGTCGGCCCACCGAGGCTCGAAGGTGATGGTACTAGAACGTGTCCAGTCGGTAAGACTCTCGAATTGGATCCCGAGATGTGCCATTGTCGCCGTATCATGAATCACATAGTTCAAAGAAGGCTTGTAAGAGGAGAAGGATAGTGTATCAAGCTTAGAGCAGAGGTTCTTCTGTGTGAGAATCACACACCAGACACGGTCCGAGTGCTGTACGGGCGCGTGGAAGAGCGTGTGAGGCCCGGTGTGTATTTGGTGATTAAAGATGGAGAGATGCCGTAGGGTCGACAGATCAACGACTCGGCTGAGTTGTTCGATAGCTTGTACCGTCGATCCGACTTTTGCCTCCCCCTCTAATGAAAACTCGGCGTCGTGAATTGGGGTCTCTTGGTCGCTGACAGTCATGCCAAGACCTAATACCAGGGACTGCAGCCGGAGTGGCTGGCCACCTTTTTCGATGTATTCCCTACACACGGTTGGAAAGAGGACGCAGATCGACTTGTCCAAGCAACCCTGGCTGCCTTGGCGGCCTGGACAGCCGTCTAGTTCGTGTTGGGTTATTATTGTGTCAATATGCATGGACAGACCAAGCGCCGTCAAACTGGGACTTTCTAGCAATATGTTGACAATCAACTTCGTCCACAGCGAAATCTCGCCGCGAAATCCGTGGATCGACAAAGACTTGAGCTCGGAAAAGTGGCTCAAGTATAACGCTGGGTTCTCCTTCTGGGAGATACCAACAGTACCTCGACGGCCGCGCACAGGTGTCAGCCACCACGAACTGGCCCAACAATTTCTAGAAATATGCTCCAACAGTGGGCATGACTTGTGTATCGCCATGAGTGTGTCCGCGTAAATTTCGGTTTCAACACAGCTGAGAAACGAATCAGCGGCTCTATCCTGACAACAAGTTTGGGAGTCGAGTGGCGAGGTTGCTATCTTACATGAGCCGTCGGAGTCCCGGCATCCGTTCTGTGATTAACCGAACGGCCATATTGAACTTGTTAAAATCCGTTGACGCTGCTGACGAGTTTCCCATATCTGGCACGAAGTGAAATTCTAATGTCCTGGTGAACTGGAGGTAAGGGCTTTGGATGAGGCGGTAAAGCTTCTCTATCCAAAAGACTTCGGCGTGTTTTTCGTCCAAGCGGACGTGAGAGTACAGCACAGGGGAAAAGGCTGCATTCCAGGTCTTGTTCACTAGGCATAGGGCCCCGAGAGTTTTGCGGCAATGTATCTGGGAGGATGGTGAGCGATCTACCACACAGAACTCCGATAACACATGAGAGGCATCAACATAATGCTCACCTGGCTTCCCAGCAGAGTCACATAGTCCTGCCGGCTGAAGAAGACGCTGGAGGCGGTCTCGTCCATTGTGAGTTGCTTGAGCACACAGTTCCGTGATAATAAGTGTGTAGCCAGATATTTGCAGACCGTGCAGACCGTGTTATTGTCTTTCACATCTGCTTCGAAACCTTCGATATCCCCGTAACAACGATATGGGTCCAGTAAGGAGCAAGATAAACGAAATGTGCAGGGAATGCAAATACACGTAGTCTAGTAGGCAAGAATGCTAGCAACTGAAAGACAGGGCGGTCTAATGACACAAAGAGACATTATGTATAGGAAGATGCGCAATTTGAGCCTAACTACAGACCCTCGTTGACAGGAAGCGCTTAGCTAACCGTCTGGGTTCAAATCCGCGATAAACGAGGGATAAAGTATTGAGGATAGAAGAATGCGATTAATGTCGAAATAACTAGAACATTAAGACGGGAGACTACCTGCAGATACACCGTCTATTCACAATAGGTGTAGAACAAAACTGAGATATCTGCACTTAACTCTGCGAAAGAAAGTAGTGAGTCTTAAGTCAGATTTGGAGTTTCGGAGGTTTCTCGTAGTGGCTAAGGCAGTCCGTGGGCTTTTCGATTGCTTGGAGATAAGTTCAGCAGACGTCGTCGTCTGCCGACCAGGGTACGGAGAAGTTGATACTAGTATGACAACCTCGATATATCGCTAGCAACGAGGAAAGGGTCGCAAAATAACGCCAGATAATGATCCAGGCCGTTGTGAGGCCTTTTTTCTAGCAGTACGCGGAACGACGGGAGGAATGGCACCCATCTGTAAGGTCAGGTAGGTACCCAATTCCATGTCACCTGACCAGGCGCACGGGTCGTGTTGCCCCGCCAGCGCCTTTCTCCCCGCCCTGATTCAATTGGCGTCATCGTGCCCACCCCACGAAAGAACCCCGATCAATCCAGCATCACTTCAACAATTTACGGTACGTACCAGAGGAATTTGCGACAGACGATCTCGGCATTCATCACCTACTTTGCGATATTCGTCACCTTCGACAGTGTCGGAATTGGTACTCTAGAACCACTTTCCATCACTACTAATTCCTGTCGACATCGCTGCACTCGCTGCAGCCAACACAAAGACGATGCCGGCGACACGCAAATCCACCCGCTCGTCGGGTCCTCCGAAGGGACAGTCGACGCTCAGCTTCAACCATCGCGTCACCAAGAGCGTACCGAAGTCTGCAAAGGACTCGCTGGTGAAGCCCTCTTCGCTCTCCAAGGAGATCCTCCCAGAACCTGGAGCGGCGACCCCGCCGCAGACGACCGATATCGAGTTCGAGGAGGAAGAGGCGCTTCAGCCGCAGAAACAGGAGACGCCCGAGGAGGCCGCAGAGAAATCCGACGCAGAGTTCAGGGCGGACAGGATCAGTGACGCCTCGATCGAGCGGTACTGGGGAAAGATCGAGGCGTCGCGGCAGGCCAGGGCGACGCACAGGAAGCACACTGAAGGCTTGACGACGGGCGAGAAGCTGCTGCGGTATTTCGATGTCAGCTCACAGTATGGGGTACGTCCTGATTCCTCTCCTCCTTGCGCTTGTCTACCAATTGCGCTTCTTGTCTCGAAGCCGCTGCTCGAATGCTAATACATGATCGGCAGCCGTGCATTGGCATTGATCGTGCCAAGAGGTGGCAGCGGGCAGAGAAGCTAGGGCTGAACCCGCCCATTGAAGTTCTCGCCGTTCTTCGCAAGGACGAATCAAAGGGAGATGCCAAAATTGAGCGAGCCTACATGGACGAGATTCTTAACTCTACTGCGATCGGTATCTGATGAATTCGTACGGGTGATCCTTTACGATCTTTTACGATCTGGGTTCTATGATGTACGATAATTTTCTGCAGGGATTTTAGGCGTTTGTTCAGCGTTGGGTTGGTGGGCCTGGGCTCTGAAATCGGATTACCGCCGCTTGGCTTCGTGCTTTTCTTCGTTTCGCTAAGCCCTGGGCACCCATGACATGTCTGGAAGGCATGCAAGCGAACAGTTTAGAAGCAAAGGACCAGTATACCTATGAATTAACGAAAGTCGACAGATTTGCGTCTTGCCTTAGTACCAAATACTCCGTGTTCGGTGGTGCGGGATGCTCTCCAGCCCTTCCAGTTCCATCTTCTTCATTGTGTCATACAGAAAGAAGTCGATAAGCACAGCGTTGATCGTTGTGCCGGGGTGCTGCTTCAGAATCTCCCTCCGGATCAACTCCACACACCATATACTGCAGGCTGATTGTAACACAGGACGTTAGTAAAAATTTCTGGCCCTTGTTTGCATGCCACGAAGTGTGTATAAGATGGTACTTACCTCTTAGTTGCATTTCCCAGCTTTGTCCTTGGGGGATCTCTCGCTTGGCTCTGACAGCTGCGTCCAAAGGAGGGCTGTAGGCCAGACACCCCATGCTATTGAGAATTTGCGGCACCCGGTAGTCGGCGAACATGGTAATCTTATCAATGTCCTGGAAGGCGCCGTAGCCGGCGCCCTCGAAGCACGCCCAAAGATCGGCAACCAGAATCTGGGCCCGTTTGAGGAAGCGAATCGGCTTGCGCCGCCCCTCGAACCGATGCTCGTCCCGGAAGCATCCAAAGTCACGAGCTAGCAGGTTGACAAGAGCAGCAGCCGAGCCATTCGCTTCGGATATCAGGTTCACGGGGTGGCATTTGTATTTCTAGCACCCGCTGAGGTTAATTTTGAACTACGCTTCAGATACGGGACATTAAGGCGAGCCTAGGAGTACCGTACGCACCACGCAACTACAATGGGAAGATTGTGATAGGAGATGGAAGAGAAGAGCAAAGATTCAAAACATACTTGATAGAGAACGGTGCCAGCTTCACGCAGACAGGCAAGCCGTTCCTTCAGCAGCGGCATCTCTTCATCTGTGCTAGATCTGAAGACATGCTTCAAAACATCCAAGGTGCACTCCTCTTCGTCTTGCCAAAAATGTGAGTCCGTGATGGGAATTCCTTGAGGTCACGGTTGGTCAATTTTCAGGTTCCCTCGGCATAGGGATTTGTGTCACACTGTGGAAGGTGCTGCATCGGACACGGCATATAGAGGGCAACACGACGGAGCAAATGGCCGTGTAGGGTAGCGCTGCGTGGTAGCATAGCTTGGGCAAGAAGCCCGAGACAGACACCAAACGCCCCGTTGGCAGACGGAAACACACCTTCATCCAAGGCCCTCTGCAGGGCAGCTACCAAACTCCAGTACCCGGTCCATCGTTTGTCGCGGTAAGACAAAGCGAACCGGTCGGCTTCGGGCTTCTCGGACCAAAAAGAAAAGTTGAGCAGGTCCATGGTGAAAATGAAAGCGACGGTGGCCTCGTCCTTGGCTTTCGGGTGCAGCTCGTGGGCAGACCACTTAGCGGCCGAGTACTCCTGCTGCTGCATCTGGGCGTAGATGGCGGCGGCGGCATTCTTGCACGACCGCATGTCCAGCGCGACGTCGATTGAGTTGTCGCAGACATACTCGGCACTCTCCAGAACTCCCGTCTCGGGGTCCTCGCTGAGTGTCAGCTTCCCCTGGAGGTGCTGCCGCAGGAGGGCCAGAAGCTCGGGATCTGCCTCGTCGTCCGACATCGCGGCGAGACTGAGTGAGTGAGGGGCGCTTTTGGAACTGCCGTTGGGCACACACACTGCGTGAAAGTGCTCGAGGCAAAAGAGATGCCCCAAAGAACAAAACAACAAGGAACAAAAAAAAAAAAGGAACTGTGTAGCTGGGGAAACTGCTAGCTACTCAGCGGAAGTCTTGTATTTTGTGGATTTTTAGAGGGAACAGGCATTGTGAAGAGAGTGCCAAGCATCCAGCCTGATGAGGGAAAGGGCTGTGGCGGCTGGCGATAGCATGGAGACAGACAGGGGCTCCGGAGCAGTTGCCCATTGGTCGCCAGCCAATTTGAGTCGCCGGGCAAGTACCTTGAGGATTTGTTTGTTGCATTTTGAAAATCTACAGGATAATAGTTTTTAGATGGGTATTCATGTAGCTCAACTAGATCGACATGTAGCGCAACTAGATCGAGTATTTCTTGCTCTATCTCTAACACAATCCTAAAATTCTTTCGAAGATGTCAAATATTTGCATGCCCGCTTCCTGTGAGATGTCACTGAAGTGGGGTCGTCAGTAGGCCACCAAAAAGCTTCCAAGGCTGATGGAAGTTGCCCAGAAGTGGGAGCTCAGCGAACCAAGACGCCAAGATGGCCGCCAATAAGGGGCGCTCGCGTATTCCCTCCCGCTTGCCTGGCGGGAAGTGCCCCCCCAGGCACACCTATCCTCTAAAGTTTTAGCGCAGTTACCCGCTAACGCTGATGGGTGCCTGCACTTTCCAACTGATGATGCGCGTGGTCGAACCGCAAGTTTTGGTATGCGACAACATTTCAACACACCATCCGCACCTCCCTCAGACAAGGCTGGAGCCAACCTACCACTTCTGAACCGACAAGCTTGCGAGTCAATAGTGTTGCTGTCGGCGGCGTGCGTCGGATTCCAAATTTTCTTCTCTCTGAACGCACACACCTCCATGACAGCACTTTGAACCGCCTCCTCTTCGCGATGGAGTCTCACCAAAACGGCAGCACTACTGCTGTTGCGCCCGTCAGCCCGTCAGCCCAGACCCGGGATAGCTTCAATTCGCAGTCTTTTGGCCGTGGCCTAAATGCGTACGTAAAGCAGGTGCGTAAAGACATGGCAATTGCGTATTCCAAAACCTCCACCTCCACTGAAAGCGTCGCCAACGAGTCCCTCTCCGAACCACCGAACTCGCCCGCCCAAGCCCGCGCCGCGCCGCGCCGCGGCGTGCTCTCGCGCAACCCCCCAGACAACACCTCCCTCCTCATACCCCGCCTCCTAAATGCATTCTCTACTCTTTCAATGCACCGTTGGTTTTGCGCGCATGATTCTACACCGCACGACCCTAGAAATGGATGCTGAGACGGATTCTCTGCTGACTCTCGTGGGACAGGCGCGCGTTCTCCTGGTCGGCGCTGGCGGTATCGGATGCGAGCTACTGAAGGACCTCGTCTTGACCGGCTTTGGAGAGGTCCACATTGTCGACCTGGATACCATCGACCTGAGCAACCTCAACCGGCAGTTCCTATTCCGACACGAACACATCAAAAAGTCAAAAGCCCTGGTACGTGGTGGATGCATCGAGCTCAGACAATGGAGGAGGGGGCGGTTGTGCTGACAACATCTGATTTTAGGTCGCCAAAGAGGCAGCGCAAAGATTCAACCCAGACGTCAAGATCGTGGCACACCATGCGAACATCAAGGATTCCGAGTTTAACATCGAGTGGTTCGACGGCTTTACGATAGTGTTCAATGCGCTGGATAACCTAGAGGCGCGGCGGCATGTGAACAAGATGTGCCTAGCAGCTAATGTTCCGCTGATCGAAAGCGGAACGACAGGCTTCAACGGCCAGGTCCAGGTTATCAAGAAGGGTGTTACTGCATGCTACGACTGCTCGCCAAAAGAGACACCCAAGTCGTTTCCGGTATGCACAATTCGGAGCACGCCAAGCCAGCCGATTCACTGCATCGTGTGGGGAAAGAGCTACTTGCTGAATGAGATCTTTGGCTTGAGCGAGGACGAGTCCGCCTTCGACCGCTCAGCGGATGCCGAGAACGCCAAGGAGATTGAGGAGCTGAAGAGGGAGTCAGAGGCCCTCCGAAAGATCCGGCAGTCAGTGGGTACGCCTGAATTCCCGCAGATGCTTTTCGACAAGGTCTTCAAGACGGATGTCATTCGATTGAGGTCAATGGAGGACATGTGGAAGTCGAGGAAGCCTCCGGAGCCGCTCGACTACCGAAGCCTGGTGGAGAAGTCATCAGCAGAGATCGCGGACAAGGACGCCGTGTTGAAAAATGGGCAAACGATCTGGTCGCTGGAGGAGAACCTTGTTGTCTTCAACGACAGTCTCGATCGCCTAAGCAAGCGCATCCTAGATATGAAAGCCGCCCAGAACGGTCCGGCCCAAGATACAATCATCACCTTCGACAAAGATGATGAAGACACGCTCGACTTTGTTGCCGCCAGCGCAAACATCAGGTCGACTCTTTTTGGCATTGAGCGCAAGTCAAAGTTTGACATCAAACAGATGGCTGGCAACATTATTCCCGCCATCGCCACAACCAATGCAATCGTGGCGGGCCTCTGTGTTCTTGAATCGTTCAAGGTTCTCAGGGGAGAATATGACCAGGCAAAAGAGGTATGAAATTATTTAACACCGAGCAGCCCTGCCTTCACCATCCACCGTTTATTAACTCTTGGATCTTAGGTTTTCCTAACCCCTTTCGCGTCTGCCCGTCTTCTGGCTTCGGACAGGTCGAGAGAGCCGAACCCAGATTGCCCAGTTTGCAGCGTGTTCCAAACGCGTGCTTACGTCGATCTGTCGCGAGCGACGCTCAGCGACCTTGTCGAGGACTTCCTCAAACTGGACCTGGGTTACGGCGAGAAGGAAATCTCTGTCTCCAGTGATATTGGCATTCTCTACGACCCGGATGAGACGGATAATCTAGATAAGAAACTGACGGACCTTGGTACATCGCGGTCCATCCATTCAACACGTCTACGACGGCTAATATAATCTACAGGCATCACACCAGACTCGTTCTTAACAATCATAGACGAGGATGACGACGACCCGTGCGTTAATGTCATACTCGCCATCCAAGAGTCGTAACTCTCACCGTCACATATGGCTGTAGGCCTACTGCTAATTATTGTTACAGAAAGGATGTTTTAAAATGCAAGCCCATCACCAGGGCCTGGTCAGACGAGATACGCATTCCCACGAAGCCAAAAACAGCACCCGCGCCAGAAGTCAACAGCAACGGGCAAGAGAACGGAAAGCATGTCCCTAACGGCGATGTTTCCGAGTCCGTGCCGGCCAAGCGGCCGCACGTGGACGAGCCCGAGGAGGGCTCAATAGCCAAGAAGGCAAAGCTTGCTTCCACAGCGCCTGCGCCTGATGCAGACGATGACGTCGTCATCATCTTTGATAGCAGAAGCGGCGCTATCGTCATTGACGATGACTGAGAGCCGAGTTTTCGTAGCTGAATTACATGTCCGTGTACTACTAACGGCAGCTGGTTGGGGTCTCATCAACCGGCACTGAGACCGCCGTCGACATTAAGAATGCAATTATTTGTATAGGTGTTATTTGCAAGAAACACGGCAGCATCAGCGATCTCGTGCGGCAAACCGAAACGATGCAGCGGGATGGCACGCTTGAGGATGTCTGTTTCAATGGCTATATGGCATGTAAGGGTTAACCTTATGACAATGTACAAGTAAAATGAATGGTTTTCTGGTTTCTGCGACGGGGAAGTCCACTACAGGGTTGATCTTGGGTTGATCTTGGGTTGATCTTAGGAAGGTAGAATGGGGCATGGTTGCCGAGGCGGCACGCAGTTGGGGACACAAGAAGGTTGGATCGCGGGCTCAGCCCAGCACCGCTTACTTACCGTTTGTCATGAGCGTCGAGATATATCCAGGAACAATAGCATTGACTCTGACGCCGAAATGCCCGTATTCGATGGCAAGGGTTCCGGTTAGACCTGTTGCGAGTCCGTTTATGGACACGTGCTGTTAGATACCGGAATTCTTTCTTAACGACTCTAAACCAACTTTCCGCCTGATGATTCTGGAAACGGGAAGGGGTGTAAAACTTACCGAGTAGCGCTGCCTTCGTGGCACCGTAGATGGCTGTGCCAAAGTGCGCCTTGACTGCCAACAGGCTCGAGACGTTGATGATGCAGCCGCTCTTCCGTCTCAGCATGGGCTTTCCAACGGCTTTGCAGCCCCAGATGGCGCCGGTCAGGTTCGTGTTCACGATGTCCATGACCTCGCTGGGCTCCGTCTTGACGAGCAGCGACTTCTGGGTGATGCCGGCGCAGTTGACGAGGATGTCGATCTTGTCCTGTGTGTCAATGGCAAATAATCAGCATGCAAGGCGAGTGACGATATGGGCGTTGCAGTCAAGGCCAGGCAAGGAGGGCAAGGGGCCTTACGTGCTCCTTCGCCACATCTTTCCACTGCTCAAAGTTTGCAACATCAAGAACGGCCGATGAGAATTTCTGGCGGTGCTGATCTCTATCCTGCCCATCTGCATCTTGAGATATTCCAGAAGCGGAAGATAAAGTCGGGGTTCCCGACCGAGCCACAGGCGCTGCGAGTCTGACGTGCGCAAAGGGCTTGACGCTCTGTATCTCGCCCAACGCGCGCTCGAGCTTGGCCTTGCTCCGGCCAAGCAGCACCACGCTGGCGCCCTCCTGGGCGAACCGAGTCGCGATAGCAAAGCCTATGCCGCCGGTCGCGCCCGTGATGGCCGCAGTCTTGCCCACCAGCGACGGCAGCGCTCTCATTGCGTGCTCCATCGTTATAGGAATAAGCTCAGGTTGCTACTTATGGCCCGAATCCATCTCAAGCCTTAACGTGAGAATTTGTACGGAAGTAACTCCAGCTTTAGCCAATGGGCAATGAAGCCTGAAATGACAGCTGATGATGCGTGTGTTACAGTGAGGATTAGCTAAGATTGTATTAAAATTCCGTACGCCGTATTCTGTATTCCGTACCGGTATTGCGGCCCCCATGAAGACGGGATAGCTGTTGGTTCAAGCGGCATGGTATCCGCGGACCCCATCGATTGGGCCCTCTCAACCTAGTGCATATGTAGGAACCTTGAGACCGACCCCCCTCCTTAGCCCTTGCAGTCCTGCAGTCAGATTCGAGAATGGACCTCCGGTAGCTTTCTCTATTACCTTCGTTCCTTAGGGCTCAATACGTATCTGCCAACCGACAAGAAATACTAAACTTATATGGTATTCTGTCTGGAGAGCTAGAATGCCCTGATGCATACCTCTTCTCCTGTTCGTAGACCAATTTTGCTCGCATCGCCCGTCAATGCCGACCACGACCGCGTGTTCTCGTTCTGCAAGCACGACATCCATATCTCCGTACCGATCCTAGACCTAGATTTTGCTTTCCGGCGACACGTCCGACCTGATCTCCTCGGACTTGCACCTGCAGCGCCTCCATGAATCTCCCTACTCATAGCTCTAGCCACGGCTCAGAGTCCCCCGAACTTGCCCCGCCGCCGCCGCCACCGCCGACCGTCGCAGGAAAGGAGGCCCAGAATGGCGTCGTGGACGCGGGGTTGAGGAGCCAACACCACTGTACGTTTATCTGCCCATTGCTGCCGCTCATTGCCTCCTACATGGTGGGATACTCTCTGGACGGGTTGGCATGCCCCTCAATTGTGGACAGAGTTAGGAAAGCCACAATGCTATCGGTCGCAAACGCTGCCGCCGTGTTGGCCCGAGACTCGCGCATTTGCTCCCCGCCTCTCCCTCCTGCTGCGCTCAGTGACTGTGACCTCCAGCAGAATATTGCGGAAGATGGGATGCGGACATCACTTGGCTTTCTCGCTGAAATGACGTCGCTAACGGCGATGAACAGACAGGCGAGCCCTCCCAAAATGGCGATATGCTCTACGAGAGAGCGTGCTCCCGCTGGTGCGGTGGGAAACCCCCTACCTCGCCGCCATACAGTCCAAGATGCGCACCCCGGCTCTCGACACCTATTTTGCCGTGACGGCCAATCTTGGGACACACACGTTCTTTATGGTCGGGCTGCCCATCATCATATGGTGTGGCTTCATGGACTTTGGTAAAGGGTACGGAATTCGGCTCAACTTCCCCTTCTTTCTGTGCTGTTATGCCGGGTCCGGCATGAGCAAAGATACAGGGCTGACAATGCTTGTCCGCAGGCTTATTCACATTCTCGCGTTCGGCGTCTTCTTCACTGGCTTTGTCAAGGACTTCTTCTCCCTCCCAAGACCGCTCTCGCCGCCCCTACAACGCATCACCATGTCAAGCCATGTCGCGCTGGAGTACGGATTCCCGTCGACGCACTCTACCAACGCTGTCTCGGTCGCCGTCTACGCCCTCTTGGTCCTACGCAGCGAGGCCAACATCTTCTCGCTAACAACGACTCTGGCTCTCGAGGCCCTCTCTATTTTTTACGCCATATCCATCGTCTTTGGCCGTTTATATTGTGGCATGCACGGGTTCTTGGATGTCACTGTGGGGTCACTGATGGGCGCCGTCATATCAGTCATCGAGTTCTACTACGTGCCGGCCATGGACACCTGGATCAAATCGAGCAGCTATCTTGCCCCGCTGACAGTGGCGCTCGTCGTCTGCATCCTGGTACGCATCCACCCCGAGCCGGCGGACGACTGCCCCTGCTTCGACGACAGCGTCGCCTTCGCCGGCGTCGTGATCGGGCTCGAGTTCGGCTTCTGGCACCTCTCGCGCACCAAGTGGGACGCCGTCTACAACGGCCCCGACGCCACCTTCGACCTGTCGGCCCTCGGGTGGAAGTTCGGCATAGCGCGCGTCTTCTTCGGCGTCTTCCTCATCTTCGCCTGGCGCGAGGCCATGAAGCCGGCGCTGCTGCGCCTCCTGCCGCACCTCTTCCGTGTCATCGAGACGCAGGGCCTGGCGCTGCCCCGCCGCTTCTTCGTGCCCGCCTCCGAATACAAGGACGTGCCGCTGCACATGGGCGACGACAACGTGCTGCCCAACGTCAGTGACATCCCCAAGCTGGTGCGCAGCATCCGCGGGCCGGGCCGCGGTAGGGCCGTGAGCATCGGCCCCCAGAGCGCCGCCGACGCGTACGAGACGCTGGCCTACCGGGAGCGCCGCCGCCGCGAGAGCCTCGGCAGCGACGGCGGGAGCAGGGTGCGCCACCAGCGCAGCCTGGCGGGGCTGCGCGAGGACGCCGCCGCCCAGGACAGGAACGTCGTCGAGGCCATCGAGGCCCAGGACCAGGCCGGCAAGTGCTCCCAGGCGTCGGGCGTGCAGAGCAGCGGCCGCAGTCACGGCGTTGCCGAGTACGAGCAGAAGATGGGCAAGGGCACGATCATGGTGGATCACCCAGCTGTCGCCGCAGCGAGAAGTGCCAGGGAGGACAGCGTCGAAGCCGAGCCAGATCTATCCCCGCTAGAGCAGCAAGACAAGATTGGCGAGAAGGAGATGTTCTCGATGCTGGTGAAGCCGAGAGTCAGGTATGACGTCGAGGTGGTGACTAAGCTGGTTGTTTATGCAGGTAAATATTCCGCCCCCGCCCCCCTCCCCCCCCAGCAAGCTCGCTTGCGACATTTTTGGTTCTCGTTTCTTCGCGGCCGATGCTGACAACGTGATTCTTGTAGGCATCGCAATGCTGGCAGTGGATTTAATTCTTATAGCCTTCGAGTTTGTAGGCCTGGGCGCGGTAGCTTCTGTTGGCGCGCGGTGATATTAAGTAATAACCTATCTATACAGGAGGGGTCGCATGGGATGCCTAGGTAATTGGGAGATCGGTTTGGCTGGTTGGGGATTTAAATATCCAATTGTAAACATTTCTTTTGGTGTATGTTCGCCCTTTTTCTTTGGCCGCTTGTGGCCGTTCGAGCGGAGCACGAGACGAGAGTGTTCTTGTTGCCATGCTGCGAACAAGAGGGAGATATTTTGATGATAGTCACGAATGCAAATAAGATGATATATGGCTGGCACTGCCGTGTGTTTTGAAGGGGAACTGACCGTGGAATGGATGGAATATATAGGTATGCTCGAAGCCCACAATTCCTACAATCCAACCCGATCCCTGAATGTCTGTTGGGCTAGGACTTTCTAAGTTAAAAGACCCATTGCCTTGGGATTCGCCCTGAGGATCTTTGTCTTGGGGGGCAGAAGGTCTTGGAGTCCCTGATGGAGAATCTTAGAGGCCTATCTCCGTCTTCGGGATACCTCAACCGGGGGGGTTAATCCATGTCTTCCTAAGTACCCGCCAACAACCATTCAGGGCTTGGGGTGTTGACACACCCCATCGGCACCCGGCGGTCTGGAATGGGTACAGTACAGGGATTAAGGGAGGAGCTAAGGGAGCTGCACCAAGTCAAGGGACCTATAGGCAGTATTTCTAGGCTGTACAAGTACAAAGAAAGATCGACAACAGCTGTTCCTGCATTGTCTGCCAACAGCTATAGCTTGGCTCGCTCGTCGGTTTCACAGATTGTGTGCGCTTTGCATCTCGAATCCCGACTCCGCCTCTCGTCGTACAAAACCGTTCAAGATGATAGGATTGCTTAAGCTGATTGAAGTAATGAAGTAAAAAAGAACAAGAATTATTTTACAAAGCTTGAATGAATCCGATTGGAACGTGTTGGATGACAGATGACGAGGCGGTGCATTGAGATGCGGCTGCACTTCGTAGCTTCCATGAGGAAGCCACAGGGCGGGCACCCAGATCTGGAGAAGATCGTGCTGCATGAACCAGAGATCGGAACCAGCAAAAATGACGTTCGTGAAAGTCCGAGCTTATTGGAAAAAGGATTAACCGCGAATCAGCCGACCTCCGGTTCAGATTTCTTACCTGTGTGAACAGATTCGATCGAGAATGCGTTTGCTCGCACCTGTGGCTTACTGCCCGATATGGTTAGCGTAAGCTATCGGGATTCACGTGTGCTAGCGCGAACCTTACACTTTCCGTCGACCTGGATGCGAGTTAGCGGCCCCGTTTGATCCCTTTGCGGCGAGGTACAACCAGACGCCAATCTGAAAAGCTAGGCCGCAGTGAAGTTGCACAGCCGTCTGCAAACTCCAAGGGGTTCGTTTTGCGACAAGATCAATTTAAAGCGTTGAGTGCATCGCGACTTCCAGCTTTGGACGGAAAACTGAGGTGCGCAGGCGATTCCGCTCCCGCAGCGGTACAGTACCTTGCCCACTGTAACTGAACCTAGCCAGGAAGCCTCTAGCGCTCCCCAGTGTAGTTCCCCTTCGGGGCAGTCACCCGCTTTTAATTGATCAGCCCAGATTCCTGCTAAAATCGGCCCATCAGGAAGCACACACCAAATTCCCGTCTTCCCCCAACCCCCCCCCCCCCCCCCCGCCTGCTCTCCGAAACGACGACACCTCAGGTCAGGGCTCCAAATCTGCCCGTCGCTGAGAATCTGTTACCGTCCGACCCGGCAGTTGCGAAACGGCCTGGACGCACCACGTTGCCGATCTGTGATACCGGAGGCTCCGATCTTTACATTTGGCTCTTGTAGTTTTACGTCGTTGTCGCTGCGAAAAATTCGGACGCATGTAGCACCCAGGACCATGTCCACCGAAGCGATTGGCGCTGCGGCGCCCGAGTCGACAATCGTCCTGAATGTCGAACCGCCTAGCGCCGCCACAATTAGCTCCAAGCCCGTCGCTTTGCACTCGCCGCCCGACAGCAACAATGCAATGAACCTCGATGGTAGCGACTCGGAGCTCAGCGACATTGACGAAGTCGCCGACAAACTAAATGGCACACACAAGTTCGACTTTGAGCCTGCGCCCGAGGCCGCATCCGCTCCCGAGCCCGAGCCCGAGCCCGAGGCCCAGGCCGAGCCTAAGCCCACGGTCCCGGCCGAGGAAGACATTGGCGAGATCCTTCCCGACCACTTCTCGGGCACCGTGCCCGTCTTCAGGCCTACCATGAAGCAATTCGAGGACTTTAAGCGCTTCGTACGTCATCCCCCCTACCGCACAAGTCCACGCCGCAGTCTGCTGACACTAGGATATAGATGGAAAAAGTAGACCACTACGGCATGAAGTCGGGAATAGTCAAGATCATCCCTCCGCAAGAATGGAAGGACTCGCTTCCCGAGCTTCACGATTTGGTCAAGCAAGTCCGCGTTCGGGAGCCTATCAAACAGGACATTATGGGATCAAACGGAACATATCGACAAGTCAACTTCCTCCACCAGCGATCCTACAATCTTCCTCAGTGGAGGCAACTATGCGACCAAAGCGAACATCAACCGCCGGCACGGCGAGGTGAGCGCCGTGCGAATGCGGAGAAACACAAACCCGTCACCCGCTCCCGTGCGCCAGCGGCATCGAGTACGAAACAAGGCCCCACGCCTAAGAAGCGGAAGGGCAGACAGACTCGCGGGTCGGCTAGGGCAGCAAAGGAAGAGTTGGTCGATCCTGAGGAGCGCCCAATGACCCCAGTCTCGCCTGCTCCCGAAAAGCAGGAGGTGGTGGAATCCGTGGAGCAGGACCCGGGTGTGAAGGAAGATTGCGAGGACGACGAGGACGACGAACCAGTGGTGCGCAGAATGGGCTTTGGGCGGCAGTCGAAGCCAAAGACACAATCCACCTCGGCCCGTCGAAAATACAGCCGTCGCGAAGGCTCTGCGAGGATAGACGAGTCGGCGTTCGAGAACTGGGACTACCGCATGGACGTTTCGGATTACACGCCGGAGCGTTGCGAGGAGCTGGAGAGGATCTACTGGAAGACACTTACGTATGCTTCTCCGCTATACGGCGCTGATCTTCCGGGGACCTTGTTCGACGAGTCGACCAAAATATGGAACCTGAACAAGCTGCCCAATCTCCTTGACGTCCTCGGCACCAAAGTGCCTGGCGTCAACACCGCATACCTGTATCTCGGAATGTGGAAAGCGACCTTCGCGTGGCATCTAGAGGATGTTGATCTCTACAGCATCAACTATCTCCATTTTGGTGCGCCAAAGCAGTGGTACAGCATATCGCAAGCTGATGCCCGTCGATTCGAAGCCGCCATGAAGAACATCTGGCCCACCGACGCAAAAGCCTGCGACCAATTCCTCCGACACAAGGCGTTTTTGATCTCTCCAGCTCACCTCAAGCAGCACTTCAACATCACCGTCAATAAGTGTGTTTCCTATCCTGGCGAGTTTGTGGTAACATACCCGTATGGTTACCACTCCGGGTACAACCTGGGGTACAATTGTGCCGAAGCCGTCAACTTTGCTCTGGACAGCTGGCTTTCGATGGGCAAAATTGCAAGGAAGTGTCAGTGTGCCCAGGCTCAGGACAGTGTATGGGTGGATGTCTACGAGATCGAGCGCAAACTTCGTGGAGAGTCGACAGAGTATGAAGAAACTGAGGATGAGGAGGAAGAGGAGGACGAAGATCAAGAAACAGGCCTTCCAAGCCCTCCTTCAAGTCATGCAATCCGAGTCAAAGGTCCTGGGCGAAAGCGCAAACGGCTGGCAGGCGAGCAGGAGCCGAAGGGCAAGACGAAGAAGATTCGCTTACGCCTCAAAGCTCCGGTTGAAACACCTTGCTGTCTCTGCCCTAACGACATCGCCGGGACGGAGATCATGCCCACAGACGACGGCCGCAAGGCTCACCGCATGTGCGCACTCTATCTTCCAGAAACCTACATTGAGACGGTGGACAACAAGGAGATAATAGTAAACGTGGCAGGCATTGACAAGGCCCGCCTGGAGCTGAAGTGCTTGTACTGCCGGTCCAAGAAAGGAGCCTGCTTCCAATGCTCTCAAAAGAAGTGCCCAAGGTCCTACCACGCGACTTGTGCCGCGGCAGCTGGAGTGTTTGTGGAGGACGGCGAGGTGCCTATCATTGGGGAAGATGGGACCGAATACAAGGAGCAAGCATTTGAGTTCAGTTGCCGGTTCCACAGGACGAAGCGAGACAGAAAGAACGATGGCGATTCTCTGGAGGAAAACCCGCAAATCCGCGAGGCTGCAGTTGCACTCAAGAAGAACGACATTTGTCAAATGCAATACTTCAGGGGGGAGATATTTGCGGGCATGGTGGTGGAAAACCGCCATGGCGAGGAAACGTTCCTCCTCGATATCGTTCCCAATGGGTATGTTGACCGTAAAGACATTGTTGGGGCACACTAACAATTAATAGGGATCGAGTCGAGGTCGAGTGGAAGTGGCTACTCTTGCCTGACCCTTCGGACTTCCGTCTGCCCAAGGCGTCCGCAAAAGCCATCCCAATGCCAACGTCGAGGAAGGCGAAACAGGAGATCAACGGCAAACGACAAGTGGACGAGCTTCCCAGGAAAGACGACGAGTTCGTTACCGGGTTTACTTGGTTCGAGTTCAACACTGGTGATCCGCCCAAAAACCTAGCCCAGGTCAAGATTGACTTCACCAAGGAGAATCAGGTCTGGCACTATCTCGGGAAAACATCAACAGAGGCGAAGGCCCAGTACACGGACAATCCAAGCGTGCCCCAACACAATCTCAAAAGCAATTTCTTGGACTCGATCCCGAAGCCACCGCCTGTTGTTGGTCCTTCACAGCCGAGGCGGTCATACCCGGCTGCACATCCGGTCAAGGCATTGCTGCCGGGGACAGCACCAGGGACAGACCCTAGGACATTGCCCGGCACGGCGGTTCAGAGGCCGAAGCCCTACGTCTATAAGCCCAGGAAGAAAATGGAACCAGTGTTTGTGCAGTTCCCATCGCAGCCACCGCTACAACCCCAACTGCAGCCACAGCCACAGCGCCAGCACGTCTTCCAACCTTCGCCAGTGCCGCTGCCAGCGCACTTTCAGAAGATAGCTCAGCAGCCGCGGCCCCAGCTACAGCCCCTATCACAGCAACAGCAACAGCAACAGCAACAGCAACAGCCGCAGCAGCTGCCGTGGAAACGGCAGCAGCTACTTGCACCACAGCAGCAGCAGCAGCAGCAGCATCCTCTACAAGTCATGCAATACCAACCTCCCGGCAAGGATCAATGGCAGAAGGATTCATCATCATACTATTCATCGCACCGTTTCGCGCCCGTCGGAGGTAGTAATGGATTCCCGCAGCTTCCTGGCTTGACCTGGCCCCCTGCTCACATGAAATCAGGGCAAAATTCTCAATTAAGAGTCTGGCCTTCTTCGACGGACGCGGCTGCTCCCCGGCCGTATCCTGGGTCAATGACACCGCCGGCGTTGCAGTCTCCGAGTTTTGCCCTTCCGCAATCTGATATTGCAGGAGTGCAGCCGCAGATTGGCACGTACCAAAAGTACAGCTTCTTTCAGGTCCACCACAACCGGTAGGTTTCCAAAAAAAAACCCCCCCTTTCCTATCAATTGCCAAAGTTGCTAAACCAGACACAGGGACTCGTCGAGATACCGGACGCCGTATGGACATTGGGGTGGATTCACCAATGGTTACGAGGGTAACCTACGGGCGTTCCTGATACGGGCCCAGCATGCTCTCTCCGGAAAGAAAACGCCGCTCAAGGCTATTCCGGCTTCGCTACTTCAACCTCTGCAGCCCCGGATTGCTCCCTCCCCCAGTGGTCAACCATCAACCCCCAGCCACGGCAATCCCCACAACCGCGCGCTCTCTCATCCGGGGTCTCAAAGTCCCCGGAATTCTTTCTACCATGATAACTCGAGGGTTTCACCTGCAGCAGTGGCATCACAGTCGTATCAGAACCAAGTGCATCATTCTATGCCCACCCATACGGAAACACTTGAGGTTCGGCAGCCGGTATCAACGCCGTTGCATCCTGCCATACGACCGCAGTACGGGTCGCCTTGGTCGGACATGAGCCAGAATGATTTCAACACGTGGTCGTCGCCAACCCCGAATAAACCCAGTCCGCCGCCCGCGCGGCCTTCCGCGCAAGCCAAAGCTCCAACCTACCACAAGCAAAGCCACAGTCCGATCCCGTTGCCGTCATATGTGAAACAGGTTCCGGCACTTGCGGCGGCGAACAACCCAACCCCTTCTCCACTCAGCCGACCTCCACTACTAGCGGCGTCGCCTCAGACGGGATCCTGGAATGAGTCAGGTGCTTCTGAGAGCAAACCACAGGCGGTGCAGGCGCCATCCAAGGCGACTGCCGCACCCACTCCGACACATAGAAATACACATATAGCAGCATCTTCACCCGCTCCTATCACGTTTGAGCATACATACCCGCCGCCACCTCAAAGCCAGCAGCAGCAGCCACAACTGCATCATCAGCTGCAGCCGCACCTGCAACCGTACCAGCAGCCACAACACCAGCAGCAACAGCCGCAACAACAAAGCTACTGGGCTGCATCACACGATTTTGTAGACCAATCGACATCATTCTATCCAGCGTCACCGACGGCAGGGATATTGTCTGGCACGCCGCAGTACTCGTCGCCTTATCACCACCCGTCTTTTGATATGACAGCTGGCTTCGACGGAGGCGGGTATCACGGCCAGACGTATTTCTCTCCCATGCCAGCCGAGACACAGGCACCTGAAGAGGTTTCGGCCGATCCGGCGGCGCTGGTGGAGAAGATGATGTTAAATCTTAGACGGGCAAGCCAAATGGGTGCGCCGACGTAGAACTATGCGGTATTTTGTAATGATGTGGAGACTTTTACTACGACTTCGGATGGCAGGACATGGGGAGGAATTTGGCGTTATTGGCTCAATTTACGGGTGGCCAGGACGGCCAGGATGCCGGGGGCGGCTATGGGGACCATTTGGGGCCATCAACCTCTATAAGTTTCGCTCTCAAGCGATGTACGATTAGGCGCACGACTTAGATGAGCATTGCCGGGGCTAAGTAACCCGAGAGCGGAGAACTCAGTTTACTTTCAAGTTCAACGGATGCAGTGGAAACATGGGTGACCTAATGCAGCGACGTGGCCCGGAGAGGCATCTCTCGGCCGGGCTGGGGACTAGCCCTGCATTAGGCCCAGGAACATATGTAACGAGTTGTAATTGACCCGGGCTTATCCCCAGTGCTAGACCCAGGGCCGGTTGCAAAAGACACCCTCGACCCGTCTGTCGTCAACCGTGGTGTGGTGACTGTGGTGTGGGACTCGATCCGTCTTTGTATGTGCATAGTGATGTACAGTATATAACAAATTGGTTGGAACAAAGCTAAGAATAAAGTACCTTGGGACCCTAACGACAGGCTTGAGGCGGGAGCATTGTCGACTTTTGCGGGTGTGGGGAAGGCGCAGGGCGATCATCAAATGGAGGGGCGGCTGTGTTGCGTCGCAGGTTTCCGGGGCGGGCGTGGGCCAGGATGTGACGTCAAGCATGACATGCCGCTTCTTCACGTCTGCGTTTCCTGCTTTTGGGCTCAACCCCTACGCGAGGGCCTCTTGGCCGGATGGCGAGAAATAAATAGGTGGAGTGCTTCCCCTTTCTGCTCGACTCGTGCCTAGCCCAAATTCCCCATTCTGCAACTTTTTTCTCTGCGTTGGTGGTTTCGTACCTGTGCTAATTTTATATATACCTCCTTATACGGAGCAGCAGCCGTCCAATCCCAGCGCGCCATCAAGCCTTGTTAGCGACTAAGCGGCTAGCACAGCCAGGGTCCCTAACATAACCATCCGCCCCGACCACAACATACCTACCTATACATATATATATAGTTGAAACCACAATCCCTGAGACAGTCATGCCCACCGTCCTCGGCCTCACCAACGACTCCCGAACCGCCGTGTCTCCCGCCCAAAACCAACTGCAGACGCGGCCACCCCAGAGCCAATCCCCCAGGCCCAAGCAGCAGCCCGCAGCCCCCGGCACATCCAACAACAAGATGGGCGGCGGCGAGAACAGCAACAAGAAGCACGACCGGCTCAACACCATCAGCAAGCGCAACCACGCGGCCGCGCACGAGGTCGAGACGCTGCTGTGGCGCGCCCTGTGCGACTCGCCCGAGGCCGCCAAGGAGTACATGGCCGAGGACTGCATCATGATCAACCCGCTGTTTGCGCCCGGAGGGTCGACCGAGCCCATGGGCAAGGACACCGACCCCTCGGTCGAGGACGTGCTAGCCGGCGGTGAGCCCTGGGCCGGCTTCCGCTTCCACGGCGAGCCGCTCGTCGTCGAGATCGACCTTATGGCGGTCGCGCTCGTGTACAAAGTCAGTCTGTTCCGGCAGTCGAGCAAGAAGAATGGCGGCATGCGCGAGATTGTGGCTAGTGTGAGCAGTGCGTGGCGCCAGACGGCGGGCGCGGATTGGTTGTTGTGCGCGCAGCATGTGGCGTATGCGGATGACGATGAGTGATTTGTTTTGCTTTACTGTTTTTGCGAATTTAGGTCGGTTTTTATTTTCGTAGAAGGATCGAGAGATGGAACTTACGTGTGTCTGTGCCGTGTGAAGACTAAGGGGATACTTTCTTTTGGGTTTGCCGGACGCCATGGCATTGGTGTTGCTATGTACCTGTTGAGTATTTGAGAATTTAAATTCTTGTCCGTTTACTTAGTTCTCTAGCTTTTAAGAAATACTTTGCCAACTTAACTGTATCCATTTTAGTGTGTGTGTGTGTGTGTGTGTGTGTGTGTGGTGCTGGGTATAACCCAATTCACTTTGGCGATAGATCTATTTGACTGTGGAAGTGACCCCTTAAACAGACGAATAAAAAATAAATGCTTTGTGCTAAAGACCAAAAAGCTCGACCAAATCTCGGCCGCCATGGATATTGTTTAGAGTTGCGAACTTTACACCGTGTCAGTTTTCCACCGCGTTTGTATGTGGGTGCATGTTGGCCGTTACAGAACTTCCTTTTCATCACTACCACATCAACCGCATCACGATCTACCACCGTCACGATCTACCAACATCTACAGTGAACACCGTCCAATTTACCAATTACATATCGTAATATGTCGGTATTCAATTAGTTCCACCGCACTATCTCGTATAGATTCTTCGGGCCCGAGCTAGACCGAGAAAATCCCGTCTTGGCTGGGATGAGCAACGCCGGGAAGACGAGTCTGCTCTAGATGTTCAAGTATAATCGACTAGGCACCCTTGTACCTATCAGGCACCCGTACGCCAAGGAGTTCGTTACCAACAACTTGACTTTCACCACTGTTGACCTCAGAAACGACGACGAAGACCGCCGCTTGTGGCAAGGCGTCATTTTCGACGTCAAGGCCGTCATCTTCGTGGTCGATGCCTCGGCCTCTGATTGGCATCTTACCCTGGCCTCGGAGGCGCTTGAAGATCTCTTGTGCACTGAGAAACTCGAGGGGGTGCCGTTTGTGGTGCTGGGCAACAAAGCCGACCGCCCCAACCTGTATGTCAACTCTCTTCAGTCGTATAGGTGCACAATCCATTGCTTCCTGCTGCTAACCTTACGTCCTGAACAGTCTCGGAGGATGTCCTGCGCGAACGGCTTCACCTAGGCCGGCACACAGATCGGCCCATCAGGCTCTTCATGTGCTCTGTCACGGAGAATTGGGGATGTGGGGAGGCTATCAGATGGCTTGCGGAGCACTTATAGCAGGACAAGGCCTTAGGGGGAGATACTTGCGCTCAGCCACGTCCCGATGTTGGCTACGGCTTGTATTCAAGGCATATCTTAATCGCACTCAACGTTTGGAGAAGCGTAGGTAATCCTTGATAAGTAATCAATCAGGATAGAATTCCTCAGCGCTAATAATAATGCAAATAATTCAATGCAAATCAACGTAATCCAAATATAGGCAAATCAAATACGGCCAAAACACCGTTCAAACAAAGCAAATATGAAGCCGTAGATATTTGAATTGCTTTGATCTATATTTGATAAATGTAGGGCATTTTTCCAGGCCAATTTTCTCCTAAATAAGGGTATTAGCTCAAAAAGGCCACCGCAAACCTCGCCTAGATACCTGCGCAACTACAAACCTCGCTTTCTTACGCCAACATACTACTTCGAAGTCATCCTCACGATGTCAAGCCTTTCCGGTAGTCCTCCCGGCTCCCCAGCCTCCCCTGCGTCGAACCGGGCCGCGAGCCCTCCTCCTTTCGACCTCGCCGCTTTCTTCGTCAGTCAGGCCACGGCGCCCCTCACGAGCCAGCTCGAAGCCCTCAAGGCCGTCGATTCGAACACCCTGTCTGCTGACATGAATACCTAGCCGTGTGTTTGTTTGAGGGGATCGCGGTACGTATTAGAATACTAGATTTACAAGAAGAGGAAGAGAAGGCCGTAGATTACCGCACATGGCGCTTTTTTGGTCGCTTTGAGCGCTTCCGGGGCCCGGTTCTTGGGTTCCTTTTGGCTCTGCTCCTCGTGTATGGAAGGAATCCTTTTCAATTCCATCGCAACGTCTTCGGCTTCTAGTCATCTCGGTATACACGGCGTACATGACCTTTGACATCCTTTCTATCCCGGCGATATTAGCTGACCGCGAGAGGCTATTCAGCAACGCCAAACTGCTTATTGGGCTTCAAAGACATAGGCTTCATAGCGATACCATTCACAAGCTTTTATGCCTTGCTAATTGGCTGCGAAATGGCCTCTTTTGAAGCCGGGTGTTGTGTATAGCTGACTTCCGACGTCCCGGGATACAGAATTTTACATGGCCCGGGCCGGGTTAGCCTTTTTCAAATCTAGTTCAAATCAGGCTAATTATGCCTTTTTGGCTTCAAATATGGCCTCATTTTCTTCAAACAAGGCAAATAATCTGTGCAATTTGTTTGCATTATTATTAACGCTGCCGAATTCCTTGAATATCTGCAGAAGTCAATCGTTTGATTTCACCTTATTTTGTAACTATTCACGATGGCTTCGGTGGCTCCGTTTAGCTTAATCATCCTTTACCGGCCTTGCTAGTAGGAAGTACTGGCTATTAAGAAGAGGAAGTAAATGCGACTAGGGTAAAGTCCTGATTCAACCTTTTTCAAGAGTGCCCAGGCACCGCTCATGTCCATTTTTACCTGTCCTAGCTCTTAGAAGGCCTGGTTTTTAGGGCTACCGCTGCACCTGCAGACAAATTGGACCTTTGCCTGAGATTTTGGGCAACAGTACCGATATGGTCACAAGCCGCCACCTTTCCAAAGTCCCATGAATATGGAACACGTCTAATGTGGCATCACTTGGGGTTTGCAGCAATCAGTCGAAAAAACAAGATACAGATTATAGCGTACGACCTCTGCAGTTTCTGCAATGGGTTTGGCCAGGCCGCTTGCCTCTTCTGTTTGACACTTCTGTGTCAAGACATGGAGCGGATCTTTTCTCTGGACCATCACCGTCGACATCCGAAACTGGGGGAATAAGGCGAAAGTAGTAGATGGTCAGCTGCCCTGTTCCTGTGGCGGGCCCGTGTGTTGTCTAAATATCCAGGCGCGTTGCCCCCGCCACTAGGCACGTCCATCCCCCGTTCTCTTTTCTGTTCCACCATACCTCCATCCCCAGGCTTACCTCTCTCCCCAAGCATACCTACCTCCATTACCGATCACCGATCACCGATCAACGAACAGAGCCACTAATTCTCTGGACAGATGTCGCTCAGTAGAATATATATTCCCATACTCTCTGACTCCTACACACTTTAGTTTCCCTCTTCCGCATCGCGCCGCGGCCAGCCAAGTTTTCAACCTTAGTCTTTCCACAATTCATGCTTGACTAGCAAAGAGGCTCGGCGCTGGTCCCCGGCCAATCTCCGTGCTGAATGGGTCGCCTACGAGCGCATGTACAAGGACCAGATGATGGTTCTCATGCGCGGCAACTTCGTTACCCGCTTTGCGTCTGCCATGGCTCAGATGCCCAGTGCCCTGTCGCTCGCCCTTTACACGACACATCGCCACATCATGTACTACCACTATGAGGTGGTAGATTTCGCAATGTTCATAAACCGTTGCGGTCATCCCTGGAGCCACGGAACTATCCGTGCCTTCACATACCACGGCGAGGCCATCATCTCCAGACACGACGCAGAGTTAGGGCTCGAGTCGAGTCGATCGGCCATGCTTGTCACGGCATTCCTGAACACAAAGAGCCTGAAGACGGTCTGCGTCTGGTACGATGACCGCTCGCACGGCATTCCGCCGTTCTACGCCAACGGCCCTTGGCCCTGTGAACGCGTCAGCAACGAGTTTCTGACGGCCGACTCTTGGTTCAGCGTCAAGGACCTCACCCTGAATAACAAGCCGTTCTCAATTCAGGACCTGCGGTTTATGACGGCGAGTATGTCCAAGCCTCTTCAGTCGATTTGTCTAGACTTAGAAGGCTCTCGTATCTCAACAACCAGCTGGGCGGACTTTTTGGACCTCATGCGAGGCATCAGTCGCAAGGTGAAATTCTACAGGCCTGGGGCCTACGAAAAGAAACCAACGGACGCCTTCTACAGTTATTACCGGACAACATCCCCGACCGAGCTCTTCTGCATGGGAGAAATTGAGAATAATCCGCTCAGAAAGTATGACGATGAGGCTTAGGACTTCGACAAGCAAAATCAACGACAAGAACAGATTTCAGGAAGGACATGTTAGGAGGCACCACTCGTATGTATCATTTATCATCACTTTCGCAGATTTAGTAGACGGCGGTTAACAGCATGGGGTGTTTGTAACAATAGATGGCGCAAAAAAGGGTGTGTCGGGATATGAAAAGGGACATTTGAGATTGTTCAACCCCAGGTTGTTATTTCCTAATTCCTCGACAGAACAGTCGATCACTACTTAACTAGCACCTGTATCACGGTTGATTACATCTAGAGCTAAACATGGATCTACCCTCTTCTAATCTTGCCATATTGTCTCAGAAACTACCAACTTGGTGAAATAGAGCTGCTAGGGTCTAACGGGACCTGCCATTTGCTCGTAATCTAGGCTTCTACTGCCCCTTTTCCACAGAGAAAACAAACATTTTAACCACTCCCATCTACCCTTGACGGGCCCTTGATTTCCTGTAACACATTTCCCAAACATTATCTAGCTTGTTTTGTCATTCTAATTATTCATGATATAGAGCAGCTCTTCCTTCTACAACTTGTGAAAATCCTAAACCAGCTAGCCGTCTAGCCAGGCCTCTCCTTTATTGATTGTTTAACTCTCTGCGCGGCTGTCCAGTCGCGTTGCCCCTCCAAGTTCGCGCTTCTGTCTTTCATTGAGCCTTTCTGTTTAGCAGCGATGCACATTCCCGAGAAGAGACGCCCGAACAGAGGCATTGATTGCTCAGAACAATCCTAGATTGGGGGAATATATAGAACTCAGTGTATTACTTCTTCCTCAATCTTCACCACTTCTGGCTTTCCGGCAGTCACGTATCCCGGAGCATTTGATACTGAGCGTATAATCTTGCTTTGGTATTCATTTGCCACTACCATCGTGGCTGACACCGAGATGACGGATGTCGCCGAGACGACCTCTCAGCCAAAAACCAAGCGTCCTCATGGCGTCCCCTCTATTCCGAGCAAAATCCTCAGGATGATCTTCTCTAACCTTCAGCAGTCAACCCCCCCATCTGACCCAAACCCCAACCGGAACCTCCAACGTATACGCATGGTATCCCGCCGGTTCTACAACCTCAGCTCGGACATGCTCTTCCCAGTCATTGACATTGATATCAGCACGACGAGCCTTCGGAAAATCGACATAATATCGCGCCACGAAGCCATGAGGCTCGGCGTGAGAGCCGTTCGCATCCGCGTCGACCTCATGAGTCCCATCCTGGCCGAGTCCCGACTTTGCTTCCGGCATTACTGCTGGGGCATCCCGCGGCCCGACCCGCACATTTCGTACCACGAACTCCCAGAGACTTTTGCTACCGAGGATGACTTCCTCGCTACCTGGGCCAGGTACAACTACAAGGCTCTGTATCACGACCAGATGCACCTGCTACAGACCGGTGAGTTTACCCGCGTCGTTGCCCAAGCCATGGCTCGGATGGACAGAGCCAGGTCTCTCGAGCTGTACACCACTAAGTTCTTCACCGACTACTACGAGGAAGAGGCGGAAATGTTCAATGATTTCGCGGAGATGCAAGATGACTACCCGGAAGTGGGCACTCTCCGGCGTTTCGAGCACGAGTGGGAAGATCGTAGCATGCCTCTCACAGCCATCTATATTGACCTGCCGAGGGTGCTGCACGAGGCCGGTGTCCATGTGACCAAGCTTTCGGTCGACTTTTCATGGGGTGAGTGGATCCTCGAGTTAAAGCGACTTTCCTCGTCACAGGCCAAGGGAATCCAGAACGGTCTGAAAGAGTGCAAAACCCTGCGCTTCATCATAAGCGGCCACGCCGCGGCCGACGGACAAAACGGGGATACCCAGAGAGTCCAAGCCTTCTACCTCATGGAAAAGTACCTGAACGCGCCGTCGCTGGAGACTGTCGAGGTCGGCAACAACTCCGTCATCGACTATTTCGATATCAGCCAGAGATTCCTGGCGGCTCAGTGCTGGTCCAGCGTCCGCAACCTCTACATCCGGCATGGAGAGTTCGGGCTGAGGGAGGTGAGGCTTCTCGTAGACAGCCTGACCAGGCCGATCTCCTCGCTCACGCTGGACGGGACAGCTCTCCCAACCAACGAGGAGGACCAGTACTTGGACATCCTGAGAGGCTTAGCCCAGAAAGTCAGGATTCTCGACCCTTTGCTCCATCCCGGCAGCGCCGCAGAGAGGGTCTTTGATAGCTCAGGCGGCCTCAGCTTGGCTAATCGTTATTGTGAGGGGCTGATCGACAAGAACCCTCTCCGAGATAACTAGAACTGGTCTTGAGCGCCCTCGAGACACGGACTTTGTGACATAGTCAGGGGCTCATCTACACTCTTACCTAGGTAATGTCATTTAGTACGACTTTTTTCTTTTCCTTGACATGTCATCCCTCTGATCAGAGGACCAGCATTGCTCTTTGCCTCTTTTGGACTTTTTCTTCTCGTATTTAGCTACCTTACCTAGCTATTACTACTACATATACCTTTACTCAGTAAGGCGAGCCTTACAGTTCTTTTTGCTATTTTGTGCTATATGTAGTATCATTTCACCCCTTCACCATCGACTGTTGCGGCGCCATGTTAAAATGCTAGCTGTAATTTAGGCCACCAAGTCTAAGACCATACATACCTAGTCAAGACACCGTGGGAACCGGAGGACAACTCTGGGAAGGTCGTGTTGGATCTACTGTCGCTGCACTTGGAACTAACCCAATATATTCTCCCCATTTTACCGGTACTGAAAGTAAAAAACCGATTAAGGTTCGTGAGTCTGCCGATATGGCTCTGTCGGAGCAGTGCCGTGTTTGACTTTTTACTTTATCGCCGCAAGTGCCTGTATGGAAGTTCCTCCTTGAACAGAGCTTCCTCGATCGGACAAAATATGACATATCTCCCTATCTTCCCTTATTAGCTTATTTTGTCATCTTGTTCACAAGACAGAACTTATTAAGCCTCTATTCGCCACCTACGCCACCTCACGGCTCGTAAGCTCCCCTTCGGCTCTTCCTGACTTTCCGGGTAACTTATTTTATAATTCCTGAACCGGAACAGGGCCGGCTGTTCAGGCCATGCCCCTCCTGTGTTGGCTGTTCAGCTCTCTGCCCCTACATTCCAGAAAAGTGGTTCTGTTAGGATTAATCCTCAGTCGCTAAAGGCAATACCTATCCCCACTCCATTTTGGCTCTCAACTCCCCACCTTTCTTCCTCCTTCACAGTCCCGCAAACGAGCTTGGTGCGCAAGACTGCCTACAAATCTTTCTCTCAACCACCCATTCCTGGCCACCTCAACGAAGGAATACGACACCAATCAGAATCTTCTAATCGACTGCGCGACCCGCCTCGCATCTCACCAATCTGTCAGAGAAGAATATCACGACAATCCGGAAGGCAGACCGAAATGGCTGCCCTCAATTCGACCTCACCCGACCAGGCCGGCAGACTCTTGCCACAGACACCCGAGCCGACTTGCTGTATTCGTAAATTGCTAAGCGAATTGCTTCGGGATGTGTTCTCATACCTGCAAGAGACGGACCGCTGTCGCCGCTAAGTACCTAATCGGGAGATCTAGAACCTACGCCTTGTCTGCTGCGGATTCTACGACATGGATTCATACATGCTGGTACCTGTCCTCAAAGTCAACATAAGCTTATCAAGCCTTGAGAGACTCGAGATCTCACAGCAATCGTCCATTAGTGCGGGCGTGGAGACTATTTATATCTGTATGGACCTTCACAGTCCTATCCTGGCCAGCTCGTCAGTTGCGTTTCGGCAGTATTGCTGGCACTTTCCCGTGCCTGACTTGGCGCTGTCATGCCTCGGATTGCCCCCCCGCTTTGACGGCGACGAGGTCGAGATCCGGAAGGAATGGGCCGATTACAAGCGCAAATTCGACGACCAGATGGATATTCTCAAGAGCGGCACGTTTGTCAAACGCGTAGCCGCTGCCATGCGTCACATGCCCAGAGCCGAGTCCCTCTACATTCACACGTCCGTGCCTTGTTCGCAATACTGCGTCACAGAGCTCGCCATACTCCAAAACGTCCAAGATGGGACATATAATGATAGACCTGTTGATTGCTATGCGATTGACCCCGAGCGATGTGTGCCTCTTCAGGCGATATACATGGTCTTGTCTGATTCTGAACAGGGTGGGCGAAATATTTTCAATTATACAGGGATCAATCATATCACTTATCGGTCTTATCGATCGATTATCGATCAATACAGATTATTGATTCAATACTGCTGACTCATCAAGATACTGCTTAGTCATCCACGATATTGACCTCGTCAATATTTTCAACAAATTCCGCCTCCGTTGTAGGGCCCGACCTAATCCAATGTTTCAAACATTCAAGCATCTCGATACTAGTCTCTTCCAGCTGCATTCTTTCCCACGATATCGTACGACGAGCCCCAGAAAAGACCCTCTCCGGTTCAGCACTCATTGCTGGAATCGAAAGGATATTGATAGTTGTCGTCTGGAACTGACCCACTTTTCATGGAATTGGACAGGCCCTGGTTGACATGCCTTTGAGCTTCCTTCATTCTTTGTTATTTCCTTCATTCTTGATTCGGAATGTCCTCATTTCATTCGGAATGCCCTCTTTCGGGCTGATTACAACGCCTCACTTGCCTTCTCTCCACGAGTATAAGGAAGCGTTCTTTTCTGAACTTTTAGACCTATGGAGCAGACAATTCAATGCGCTGTCAACTTCGATCGCGTGCAACAATAGTCAATTGGGATAGTTTTGGCCAACGGATCCGCTGTTGCGATTGAAGCCACCAAGACAGAGCTGAACCTTTGATCAGAAGTGGTGGTTCTGATAGATACTCTTCGAATTCATCTTTGCTTGGTGGCCTTGGGAAGTTCTGAAGGTTCCGAAGAAGGACGTCATAGTCATTGCCATCATCATTTTGATTTTGCTTCTCGATAAGGGGTGTTGGCAGCTCACGGATGTCATGTTCTTCTTTGAAAAAAATCCAGAGCTTTTTGACTGCTTGGCTTGCTGGCTTAATCCACTTCTTCTCCCGATTGTATTTGAGGTATTCACTCTTCCTTGATGGATGAAGAAATATCGCAGCAACATAGTATGGGGAATCTTCCGTCTTGAGATAATATTTGTCGAAAGTCTTCCAGCTTTGTTGGATCCGGGTTAAAAGGAAAGAATTCGATTTGAAAACTTCTATATCGGCGATATCAGCTTATCGATCGATATCGATATGGATTATCGATATCGATCGATAAGATATCGTCGCCCACAGATATAGTCGCCCACCCTGTCAGCAGGTAACATGGATCTGCCAAGGGCGCTTCACAAGGAAGGCATGTTTGTGGCTAACCTGAACATTGAATTGTCATTCGGCGATTGGATGTTGGGAAAGCTCTCGCCGACTCTGATCCAGGGAATTAGGGATGGATTGCGGAACTTGAAAAGGCTAACATTCGACGCCAGCATCCCCCCTATTGTTGCCAAGTTCGACGTATATCAGGACCAGTCCAGCGCAGCTTGCTCCCTCTTGAGAGCTTACATGGATACGGATACCTAGTTTCTTCCACTCCTTCCTAGCCGAAGAATCTGCGACGCCTCGCTACTGGCCCGGTTTCTTCCCGCCGAGGAACTTGCGTCGGCTCGTTGCTGGCCCAACCTGCGTAACCTGCGCCTCGATTATACGGGATTAGAGGTAGGGCCTTAAAAAATCTCACACAGAAGCTATCGAAGCCGCTGTCGTCAATTTTGCTAGCCGAAGTCAAAGTCTACGGCCACAGCTGGGCCGAGTTCTTGGACGCCATGCAAGGCACAGGCAAAGAGGTGGTTATTGTGCCAGGTGATTGGGCCATAGAAGGAATGAGGGGCCCAAAGAAGGTCTTCGAGCCCAAGAGATCAACGGGCAAATCACTAGCCAAGCTATATTTCCAGGGGGAGATTGACGAGAATCCCTACCGAGATGAAGACGGAGAAGTCAACAAAGACGTTTCTGGCAGCGAAAATGGCGACGACGACGACGACGAGCATTCGGACTCATTTAAGCGCATATCCGATTTACATGATCAGTATGGGGGGCGGAGAGATTGTATAACATGAAGGCATTCACTAAACAGGCTCTCGATTGGGCAAAGGAGGACGGGGCCACGGGCATTTCACTGCGAGATTATTCAAGGGTAGATTTCGGCTGCCTGTATTATTTTGCCAAGCACAGTATTGTCACCAATGATCTGCCCACTTGCCTGTTAATTAGGTACAAAACCAGGCTAATATATCCTGACATGCCACAAAACCAACGTAGCTTCCTTAGTTTCATATCTCTCAAGAAGCCCCTTCCTCTACACTCTAATCCCCGAATGTTTGTTGGAAAGGCCTTTAATAGGTACAGAGATAGGCCTCTAGGATTCCAGGATAGGGGTTCTAATAGTCGCTACCTCCCTGGGCGAAAACCCTTGAGGCCTTTGAAACCTTGGAAAGTCCCCCGCTAACAAACATTCAGGGATTTGATTGTAGGGGCTAGGGCCTACGAGGCGGGTCAAGGACGTGAAATGAAAATGAATTGATAACATAAACGCGTAAATTTTCCGTAATGGTCAGCTGTTCAGTCGCGCTCCCCCTTACTCAGCTTTTCCCTTCTGCCACCCTCCGTTGACGCATTTCCTTTCTACTGGCCCTCCATTTTCAACAGTATCGGTCGCTAAATGTACCATCTCTACATTCTACCCCCGCTCCGAAGTCTTCACCTTTCTTCCTCCACCGCACCGCGACCGAGCTAGGTGCATGACATCACCACACATCTTCCTCAGTTCCTGTTTCCTGGAAGCCAAGGCATACCAGGGTACCTCAACACTTGGAATACGCCAATCATCATTCAAGGCTGAGGGTCGTGCCTCCTTTCGCTGCCCTCAGCCTGCGTCTTCCATTTCCGCGCTCATCTGTCCTCGGCAGCAGCCCCTCCCTTCAGGAAAGAGGCAAAATGGAAGCCGCCAAACCAACTTCTGCCGGCGAGGCAATCGAGCTTGACATGAACGATACGACAACAGCCGCACTCATGTCACTGGCCACCGAGCGGCCCCGCCACATCGCACCCGTGCCAAATGAAGTGCTTCTGCAGATATTTTCGTACCTACAAGCATCGAAGCCAAATCGCCGGGTACCTGGCGAGGCGATACGGGAGCCCAACAAGTCGATACAGAACATTCGCTTGGTGTCCCGCCAGTTCTGCACCTTGGCTTCACACATGCTGATCCCTGTCATCGACATCGACGTAACCCCTTCAGGCCTCAGAATAATCGACAGCATCTCGCGCCACCCGACTATTAGCTGCGGTGTGGAAGTCGTGCGAATTTGTGTGAACTTGAGCAGTCAGATACACGCCGAATCAATGCCGGAGTTTATGGAGTACGGTCACGCCATTCGTGACCACCACCCCGAAATGGCCGGTGGGTGGCGGCCAGCCGACACGCAAAACTACTTCATTGATAACCTCAATGAAGACCTTGCGTATCGAGATTGGACTCTTCGCCGGGATGAATATCAGAGTTACTTTCACGACCAAATGACAATTCTCACGTCCGGCCAGTTTGTTCGTGGCGTTGCCGCTGCCCTGGCTCAGATGCCGTCGGCGCGGTCCCTCTGCCTATACAACACCAACTTCTATATTTAACACTACCGCGGCGAAATTCAGTTGTTCGAGAATTTCGCACCGATGCCCAGGAAAGACCTGCTGAGAACAGCACGCCTGGATATGCGAGCTACTATCATGCGATTCGAAAAGACCGCGAAGAGCTGGAAAGATCGAGATTTGCCTCTCAAAGCTATATATATTGATCTTCCCAAAGCGCTTCACTTTGCAGGTGTCTATTTGAAGAATCTCGACATCACCTTTCATTCGGCGACTGGAGACTGAACATCCCCTCCGATGATGAGATTGCGGGTATTAGGGGTGCGGTCCAGAAGCTGGAAACACTACGTTTCACGGTCCAAGGACGGCCCATCAACAAAGACTGGGAAGCAGTGAATGGTGCTAAGCAGCATGCAACAGGTTCGCTGTTTGTTATCAACTATTACCTAGACACTGAAACACTGGAGTCTGTCGTGGTGAGAGACGAGAATTTGAGATATGAGACCTTGGATGCATTCGACGCCAGGAGCAGTCTGGCATTTTCAAAGGCTGGTTTCTGGAACAGCGTGAAAGAACTCAGCCTGGAGAATGTGGACCTGCATCACTGGCACGCAAAGCGTATTGCAGAGAGGCTGTCAAACCCCCTGCAGTCGATGACACTGATCAAAGTCCGAGTTTCCGAGTCGTACTCCTGGGGCTTTTCTATCGGTCTAGACTAGGCCAATCTATAAGGTACCATACGAGGCACAGCTCACACGGTGACAATCAATACCCATCTCTATCCCTATGACCATTTTTTGGGCCGTCACCATAGCAATTTTCTTGCTTTCCGGAGAAAAGATAGTGGTCCATCCTTAGTCGAGCGCTACTGCTAGAAACAGATTGAGAAAACCCCTCTCAGAGACTAGTTCTAGCCTGATGAGTTTTGAGCGCCTTGGAGGCACAAATTGCCAATCTGGGCTTCTGGATGGATGGATGCCTTCTTGAGTCAACCGTCTGGTTATTTCATGTACCTGGTCAAGGGACATTGGAGGTTCAGCGTCGCCGCAATGGTCAACACGTTGCGTACGGGTATCTATGGGGGAGTCTTTCGATTTCGGCAGAGCACAGGGGATTCACTGGCGACTGGCACAAGGAATGAGACACCGGCCTAGGAAAGGTTCTATCATGGCATGGAACTTCCGGGGGTTTCTTTCAGTAAACGTATTTATGGATGTATGTACATACCTAGATATGTATCTAGTTCCAATGTCCTTCACTGTAAATCGATAGTCTCGGCCGATTAAGACACGCCTGGAGCTGTGCAACACACCCAGCAGCACTTGCTTGTCCCTTATTGACCCAACTTCCAGAGCCTGCTTCAAGCTGAAGGACTCCGCCACCGCATGGCTTGAATGTCACCAGAGCGCTTGGTGTGTGAGCTTCCTTGCACTAAGGCGTATTTAAAAGCTCCAAAGATGTCCTTGAATTTGTCACGTCTGTCTTGCTCTGGCACAACCAAGTTCAATCACAAGCCGGCCAACGGCAAGCCGCTGTGGGCCTCTACAACCAGATTCGGTGGGTGGACCACGACCGCGGGCGGCTGCTGCCGGAGATATCGAGAATCGAGCACGGCAACGCGCAGCTCGAGAGCCTGCTGCGTCTGCACAGCGTCAGCGACCCCGCGGCCATGCTGGGCGACTCAGCGGCCACCAGGGACGAGGCGGCCGAGCTCGAGGCGCGCATGGCTAGGGTTAGGGAGGTGCAGATGGCGCTCCGTGACTGTACATTGCCCTCGCACAGTCGAACCAGCCCGCTGCCGCTAAACCCGGCACAAGCACCAGCACCAGCAACACTGCCCAGGAAACCGCAGGGCCCTAATAATTCAGTTTCAAGGTCATTGAGGAGCCCGATAAGCTGGCAGACAGTCTGGCGGAGCAATTCCTTGACGGGGAAGACGAAAACAACGACGTCGGCCATCTCTTCCCCACCAGCCGGGGCTTGTCGTGGGCACCGTGGGCTCTGCAGGCGCGTATAGGCTGCTGGGCAGTCTAGGACCGGCGCACGACGCACACCGCGTCATCTACCACGTTGGCGGGGCGTGGAGGGCGATCACGTCGCTGCGGGAGCTACAACAAACGGGCGGAGAAGACAAAGACGAGCCACCCGAACCCAACCTAGCCCTCGCAAGGTCTGGCGGCAGCACACAGCTCGGTGCGGCGGAGCGGCTTCAGGTGGCGCGGCTCATGGAGCGGCTGCGATGGTGGCTGTCGACTCGGGACAAAGCCCTGGTTCAGTAACACATAGTAGGTATGGATATAGGACCCATGAAAGTTGAGCTGCAGATATCAGCAAAGACGGCTCCAAGGCGGCGTAAATTGGAATCTGTATGTCAGTCATCGGTGGGCGGCCACTCGTTCAAACCCTGGCCGGGAATTGCTCCCGTTGTCAAATTCTTTTTTTCTTCTTTTTTCCTCTTTTACCTTTCTTTGTTGGGTGGGGGAAAGAAAGCAAGCATCGGCCGTAACATCACGTAGCTCGATGTTCTAATTGTTTTATTAATTATATAATAATATGACTTCTTGAGTTGGAATCATTCGCGAGCTTTCTTAACCTGCCCAAAAAGTACATGGAGATCGCGACTAAAACACATCGGATGAAAAATCACCCACCCAATAATTTTATGCCAAGACACGTCAACACCAGCAGTCGTCTTCTTTCTAAACTTACTAATCTACCACGACGCGCTCAAGTTACCACAGGGTGCAAAACAAAAGGCTCAATTTGAATAATAGAAATGCGAATTTGGAGGGTATCATAGGACTCTGCCCAACCTAAAGATAAATGAGAACATAGGAGAACCCCTCGCGTGACTATGCAGCATGGCTAATTACCAGCAATATCTAGTGTGTGTGAGAGAGAGAAGGAAGGAAAGAAAGAAAGGGGGTGAGGGAATGTGAGCGCCGCTGATATGATCCGTGTTAATGCAGCAAAATCCGAAACCGGCCGACAACACCAAGCCCCGGGGAACACGAGAAAAAGAAAGCCTCCGCCGTGTCATTTCCTAATTTCAACGACGGGTTGTAATTGATTCGAAGGCTGTCTGCCCTTATCGACGCCCTAGCCATGGCCACTATGCCACCACGCCACCGCCGCCGAGTCCCGCAGCCAACAACTCGTCAATGGGCAAGGGCACGGACACCGGGGACGGCGGGTCCTGCAAGTCGCCACCGCTTTCGCTGGCGCTCGCAGAGGTAATGACATTTTCCTCGCTGACGACAGCCGGGGCGGAAGCGGCTTTGTGCATAAGACGCCGGTTGGCAAGCCGCTCCTCTCTCAGCCTGGCCTGCTCCCGCTCACCCTCGATGGCTTTCTCGCGGCGAGCCTCGACCTCCTCCCTCTTAACGAGACGGCGCAGTCCCTCTGAGGCTTGAATCAGGCCGTCGATGCTGATGGCGTGGTTGGTCATCTGGTGGTTGATGTACGTGTAGATGCTGGCGGGCGAGTCGCATGCGAGTAGCTGCTGCTCGTTGAGCTTGAGCAGGGCCAGCGCGACCTGGAACAGGAACGTGCTGCCGTCGTTGGTGCAGAGCACTACGTCCCAGACGCGGAACAGGGCTTCGGCCGAGAGACAGTCGGTGAATACAGATAAAAACCACTGGAAGGTCATGGTCTCGAGGTCGATGCTGAGATCCTCAAAGTGCTGGCTGAGCTTGGGCAGCACCTGGGCCACGTACTGCCGCAGAACCTGCTGGTCAGCGCGCGACGCCAAGAGACTGTGGTCAAAATAGCTTGGCGGAAGGATCTGCTCGACAATGGACACAAGAATCCAAAAGGCATCCTCGGCTGTGGGCGTCACGAGCAACAGGTTTGCTGCGACCAGGTTCATGCCCTGGCAGTATCCGATCTCGAGGTTGCGCCGAGCATACGCCAAGAGCACCTCGTTGAGCTTCTCCACCCCCGGTCCTTTGCGGAAGAAGATATTGTCCGTCAGCGTCCGTGTGATGTCTGCCTTGATCTGTAAGACAACCTGCGGGTCGTCCTGGTCCTCGGGACGATTGACGATATCCTCATAGTAGCCGGGGATGCGAAGCGCCCGAGCTCCGCTGCACTCGGACCAGATCTTGGCCCGGTACGCAACGGGAACCCCCGCGAGGATCAGGGCCTTGAACTCGTTCGCCTTCACGCGGCCAACTTTGCCCTGTATGCCCAAGCTCGCAACACCAATGAGCTCCCCGTCGCCAAGCCTCGTTTCTGGCATCATGGCCGTCGCTCGTAGTAGACGCGCCTCTGCGGTATTGGCCACCGCAGCCACAGCCGCTTCTCCGTCTCGCTTTCTCTCAGCCCGGACCTTTCGGAGAAAGTCATTCCAGCGTACGGTCTTGTCCCTCTGGAGTGTATCGTGCAGCTGGCTGAGATTTTCGAGGAGTAGCCTCACAGGCTCAGCATCATCCTTGGCCAACGTTGCCGAAGACTCCTCGTTCTCAGAGGTGGACTGGGAGTCGTTGTCGATAGGTGCAATTGCCGCCGTGGTGGTTGCAGACGGGAGAAACCCACGTTCCTCGGATATAATGAGGCCGGGTGATTTGGGCGACTCGTATCCTTCCATCACCTCAAAGCCCTGTACGCTAATCGAGGGCGTATGAGAGAGTAATTCTGTCGGAAACGTTGCAATTTTGAGATAGTCTTGCCATCGCTTTGGCTTGACGTCGTCGCGGAGCTCTTCGAGTGAAGACGGAGTATCAGGCCGCCCATCCCCGATGACTTCCCATTTTCCGCCAGGACTTCCCTCCATCAAAACAGGCGACAGGGAGCCCCGGCCATTGGTGAGCATCTCGGTGCGGCTGCCCTTTTTAACATGGCGGGCCATCTTGGCTGCTTCCCTCTGCCTCTTCTTCCTCCTCTGGTCGTATATGAATCCAAACCGGTCCGTGAGGTACTCGGCTCCATTATAGTTGTTATATATGTGCGTCAAGGTCGGGGGCTGGACCTCGGCCGGGAGAATTCTGTCCATTTCCACGGGGCCGTAGCTCTCCTGCCGTGACATGGACCTTTTCCCCGGGCTGGGCACCATCGTGTCCCAGCGCTCTTGAGGCTGCATCCGAGGAGCGACGTCGATAGGCCTGACGATGCCGCCCGTGGCCCGGCGCATTGCCATCAGTGCCTTTGGACCGCCCTGAGCCGAGACAGCGCGAGTAGACACACTCGTCTGGGCACTAGATACCGATGAAGTCCTGAGAGAGCCGCCAGGGAGCGGGCTGTCGGCGCGCCCTCGCGGTTCGCCCTCCCGTACTGTCCCACCCCCAGCAACAAGCCGCAGAGCCATGCTCGCCAGCGACGGTTTTCGCGCAGCATGTGCCGAGTGAGTGCTAGACGCTCGGCTAGAGCTGCGGACCGAGTCTGTTTCAGGCGGGCTGAAGAGATCATCTGCGAGGGTTGGCCGCCGGTCGGCTGTAGGACCAGCCCTTATAACAACAGGCTGTGTCCGGATTGCACTACCACTGGCGTTACTACTTGCCCGGCTGAGCTTCCGCGTTGTGCCACCCCACAGGTATTCTTTCCAGGCCCGCATAGTACCTTTTGCTGTGTCGCCATCCGGAGCGACGGGGGGCAGAGACATGCCGCCACTCGCTCGGATGGTCGCGTCGTTAAGGGCGTTACCGAACGAGTCTCGTACATTATCAGACATGGCGTCGTTCATGAGGTCCGACAAGCCGTCGCCCGTTTTCCGTCTCGCAGCCCCATTTGTCTTTGCCTCTTGCTCGATAGCCCGCAGTCTCGTCTCCAAGTCCAAATTAGATAGGCCGCATTCCAGGATGATCTTGCGAAGCGCACGCTCCCTCTCGTCAGCCCGGCGCCGCAGTGCGGAAATTTGCGTATCCCGCTCTGCTAGATCCTCAGCGACCTGGCGCACGAGGTTGACGACACCGTGGCGGGCTATCAGGCGCTCGATATGCTCGTCGGGGGCGTGGTGCAGAGCGCCCGGGATCTTGCGGGTTGACAGCGGCGCGTCCTCGAAGAGGGCGCCCCGCGACGTGGGCGGGGCGGTGGTGGTTAGGTCATCGACGATAGAGGCAGGCCGCTGGCGCTCTTGAAACTCCTGAGCAATGGCCGAGACGGAGCTGGAGCCCGAGGGGTCGCGCGAGGCCAGGGCGAGGGCCGAGTCGGAGCCATTGGTGCTCTCGAGGAAAGCTCTCTCGTCGCGGGGCGATTCGGGCGAGAATGAGGGAAACGAGGTGAGGGACTTGTCCGAGGCCGAGGCGGCGATAGACGAGGCCGAGCTCGAGGGTTGCGACGTCAGTCTCTTGCGGGAACGCACGGCGATGGAGCGGTGGCTCCTGGTCGACGTCGCGGATTGCTGAGAGACTGAGCGCTCGAGCGGGGCCGGGGAAGCAGCGGTCGTCTCCTCCATGTCCCCGGACCACAAAGCCTCATGGTCCTCGCAAGTCTTGGCAGGCCGAAGCACTCGTCCTCGTCATGCGCCGGTTTGCCGGTTCGACGTCGACGCTCCGTTCGTTGATCAGTGGTGTTTTGCGAAGCTGCTTTTTATCAGCCCGACGGAATTTGTGACGTGCGTGTTTGCTGCGGTCGGGGCTCGAATAAATATTTGGCTGCGCGGAGAAAGGGATGGAAGTGGCAATGGTGTCATGGACTGAGCCTAGTCCAGGGCCAAGGAAAACCGAAAAGCCACGACGCAATGATGCCGAACGCTGAATTGTGCCCAGCGAATGTTCATTCATGCAAGATTGCAGGTGATTCCTCCCCAAACCCACCGAGCTTGGGCCTTGATGCGCTTGGGCCGTGATTGGGCCCAAGTTCCGCGAAGATCTGCTTTACACTGTGCGTTCAATCCAAGCCCTGAGATATTGTTAGTGCAGGACTTTCCGGTATGCAAAAAGCTTAATTGTCTTGCCAGTTTCCCTAAAGGTCTCCCCAGCGATTCCTAAAAATTAATCTCAAGTCCTGTTCCATCCCACAAATGCTCTTCCCGGTACGGAGGTGCCTTTCAAAAGTTTTGCGCAGTGCCAAGAAAGCCACCCTCTTTAATTACATACGACCCTGGCCATCTTGGCCCCCTAGCTCCTTATTCTTTTCCGGCCCTCTCGATACTCGTTACCTCCTTCGCACTTTATTACCTGTTGTATATGCTCAACAATCCTTTCAATCCAGGCTTGAATACGCTGCTGAGTAAGTTTTTCGTTCCAGCAATGTTCCCATGCTCGAATAGCCTCAGCCCTGCTTTTTGGGGCTCCCTTTTTGGTTGTTTCTCTCTTCATCCAGAACCAACAAGGCTCTATCATATTAAGATCAGGTGAGTTACCTGGCCAGAGGAGGCGGAGTACCTGATGGATATCGTATATACGCTGTTGAGCGCGATGAGCGTGTGCGCCAGCCTCATCCTCCTGAACAAGCGTATTCGGCCCACAGCTTTTGGCGAAAGGGATAAGCTTTGGTATAAGGATCTTGGTTTGATAGCGATACCAGTCGATGCCTCCCTTGGATTCTCGTACGAGTTTGCCGTTCGCTTTGTTCCATCGCCATTGTGGTTTTCTGCCTCGTTTCGTAACCAAAGAGAGCCTTCCCATTTTGGTATCCAACTCCCACTCTTCACGCATTATTGGTTCCAACTCCTTATTCCATTCCTCAAGATCCTTCTCAGCTTGCTCCTTTTCAGCCTTTGTTTCCGGAAGCCAACAATGGCAAGGCCCCTTTTGATCGTACGAAAAGCAACCCCAAAACATAAACTCCGAATATCCTTTCCACCGTTCACGAATACAGCTTTTAAGAAAACGCTCATCAGCTTTCCTCCAAATACGATATCCTCCTCGGCGATGAAGTAATACAATAGAAGTTTCATCAGACCAAATAACACGTTTCCAATCTTCTAAAGTCCAATCTTTATGATCAAGACACCACTTCAGTCGTTCCTCCTTCATCTTCTTCGTCAATCCAGGCTTCCTCGTTGGCTTCGTTTTGTTGAATCCTGCTAATTTGAGGATCCTCCAGATTGTGATAGCTGAGATGTCGAGGCCCTCGGTACTGAGCTCACCGGCCAGATCAGCACAGGATTTCTCACGGCCATATCGATCTTTGCGAACCTTGGCGATAACCTTCTCGGTATTTTCGGGGGTGTGTTTTCGTGGACGGCCAGAGCGAGGGGCATCTTCAACCCATTCATCCTTAATAATTAAGGGCCGTATATTTGGATCAAATCCACGCTCAATAGCCCTGGCATATATTCGATTGACGGTACTAACGGAAACCCCGGTTTGTGCAAAGACATCGGCCGAAGAAAGGCCCACAATAGGAGATTTGAGGGTAACTATAAGCGCACGCATGGAAATATCTGTATTTGGCGACATCTTGATCGTTGTGTTGACTGTTGAGCTGTGGAAGCGGGGTTGAGGGGTAAGATTACGTGGCCAAACCAGATGTGGTGTGGTCGCTGATCATTCAGCTAAAGGGGTGTGGCTGGCTTGGCATTGCGCAAAACTTTTGAAAGGCACTTCCGTATTCCGGGCTATTTCCCCAAGTACCCCGTTAACAACCAAACCAGGCTTGGGTTATAAGGGCAAAGCATCCCGTAACCCCAGAGCCACTCTCAGTGCATTCATCGGTCTCCACGTGTCTAGCTTGTCTGCCCGAGTAGGGTTCTGCGCTTCTGATCCTAGCACCAATGAATGATATCACCGTGACTGCGGGACCAGGGGGGTTGCTGCAGTCAGTGCAGCCCTGCCCGCATCTTCCTGCCGCCGATCCTCCAATCTAGATCTCCAACAACCTACACTACAAAAAGAGACTCGGAGCCGCGTGTCTGTGCCTGAAGGTCACCAGTGACGATCACCACAGTGGCTGAAGCAGCCATGCCAAAAATAAACCCAGCGTTGCCGTGCTGCATCGCTAGCGAGAATGACCTAATAAAGTGCTTGCAAGAGGTTAACTGGGTGACAACAGCAACAGCAACAAACTAATGTAGACACAACACTCCTAGACCAGACGAACAGTGAAAGTCGGCGCGGCCAGACCTTGCAATAAACCACGTTCCACTACGGAGTAAAATGCGAAATAAACCCTCTTACGTGCCATGCCCCGTTTTCACCATCGGCAAACGCACGAACGTGATAAACCAAGGCAATGTAAACAAAATACTAGACCAGACGAACGATGAAAGTTGGCGTGGCTGGATCGTGCAATAAACCATGTTCCACTACAGAGCACGGAGTAAAATGCAGAAGAAATCCCTTTTCACCATCGGCGCATGCACGTACAAAACACAACACACACACAACATTACAGCAACCGTTCTCCATATTCAACATGCAGCGGGAGGGCAATACAGATATCGCCATGGCCGTATCAATGGATCAATGCAAAGCCTAGAATTTTCCTTCCACAATGCTGCTCGCAGCATGTTCATGCCCCTCCCTCCACTCCTTTGCCCCGGCCCGCTCTCATCCCCATTCCCAACATACAGAACAAATACACACAGACACTCCTCGCTCGCGCAATTTCGACCGCGACCTATAAAATGCCGTACAAATGCAAAAGTAGACAGCAGAAAAGGGGAAAAGAAATATAGTTAGATACACGCCATCCTTTGTATGCCCGCCCCATCTTCTTTTTTCCTCTTCTTCCTACTTTTCTTTCTTTTTCTTCTCCCCCTCCTTCCATTTCTCTACCACAATACAATTACCACTTCCCTTCGCCTTGTTCACCGACCAACTTACACACCCAAAAGACAAAAATCCATACATCTACGTTGGATACGCGAGGCCGCTAGCTGCCAGGCATCCAAGTTGAGTTGGGTAGAGATAGTCAGAGATCGGTGCCACCCTCTAAATTGCTCCCCAAAACCTATAGTCTTGACGAGCAGCTGCCGCCCGGGCAGCCCGTATCTCGTCATTGTCTTGGCCGTTCCGTTCTCCTCGTTCTCTACCCACAATTGTCCCCATCCCCGCCGCATTAATACCGTCGTTATTATTGCCGCCGCTGTTACTGTTGCCCCCTCCACCGGTACTGTTCCTGCTCTGTCTTGCTGGTGAGGATGGCGCCGGTGAAGATGGCGACGCCAGGAGAAGTGCTATTCTTGACTCCCCACCGCCGTCCATGCCGGGCCCCGTCTCGCTCCAGCTGTCCCAGCTTTGGCGTGGGTAGTTGCCGTGGTAATCTTCCTCAGCGACGTCTTCCAAGTCACGAGGCGTTACGGCAGTTGTGGATGCCGTGGATTCGTAGTGCGAGACGCCGCTGCGCGTCAGGCTCCGGAGCAGCGGCCCTGGACTGCTGCGGCCACTGACCGGAGATGCCACCGAGGAGAGCGGAGACGGTGGCGGCGGCGGTGGCGGCGATGGAAGCGCGCGGCTTGGAGGAGGGCCTAGGGGTGGCAACGGTGATGCCAGCGTCATTGCTGGCGATGACGGGTTAGGTGACACGAGATCTGGGATCTCGAGGGGAAAGTCATGCGGGCGAGGCGGGCGCGTCGGGGAACTGATAGGTGGAGGAGGCGGAGGAGGTGGTGCGCCGCTGATCGAGTTATAGTTCACGGCCTGGACTTCGTTGCGCAGAGACGATGGGTGTCCCCCGGTCAAAGAGTTCGCGCCGAAGCTGCTACTCCCCATGCTTCCACGGCTGGCGTGATAACCATGGACTGGGCCACTGGGCGCCCCGGATGCATTTTGAGGCGGAATCGGGGGCAGACCGCCGTTGTATGCCCGCGGAAATGATGCTCTGCGCCCAGCCTCCTGTCGCGGAACGAGCTTGTTGACCGTGGGAGAGTACAAGGGCGAGGTCGGGAAGAGGGCACTGTTGTGCGTAGAGCTGTACGCAGGGGTGAGAGGTGTCAAGGGGGGCGATGGCGAGCGGTTATCTCTAGAACGGAGAATCGAAGGCAGGAACCTGCGGTCGCGAAGGCGAAGAGGAGGCGTGAGCGGAGACGGGATACTTCCGGCAGTGGAGTGGGCAGGTGATATCAGGAGGGGCCGCGGTGAGCCGGATCGAGGACCATTGCGGCCCAACCGTAGGCGGGAGCGGAGACCACGCTCAGGAAATGCCGCTTTGCTCTTCCGGCGCCGCCTGAGATATAGCAGTGCCAATAATGACAAGATGACGAGCCCAAGGACGGAGCAAACTGCTATGGCAGCCTTGGATGACCCAGACAAGGAACTGCGAGACGCGGTTGATTGGCTTGGCTGTCCAACTTTCCCGGCGCCCAAGGCAGCGGGGGTTGCTGAACTCTGATCTGAGGACGATCTCGTCACAGCCGTGGTAGAATCTTGCGGCACGGATACGGTTGATGTGAACCAACTCTGGGTGATAGTTGGATAGCTGGATTTAACCACCGAAGCCTGATAAGAGCCCCCGGCCGTAGCTGTAGGATTATCAGGGCCAGACCACATACGAGTCCTCGAACATGGGCCTTCGTCGCACGTATACTCAGTGGGCGGCGGGCCTGGATCTAGCACAGAGCTAAAGCCAATGCTAACGGAAAGAGAAGAAAAGCGTCAGCATGGGGTCTATTCTTGCTCCTCCCGAGTAGCGGTGAGGACAAAAGGGAAAACCCCTCACTTTTGGCAAGTGTTGATGATCAAATCGACGTTTGCTAGTGTCACATTCTGTTAGCCAGCCCGAGACACCGACGATTAGCACCGACCTCCCCTGGCCTGGGCGCTGTACTTACGATCTTGCTGCAGGCCTTCTATCGGGATGATTGCCACTCCGCAGAACTTCGAGTCGCACTTGTAAAGATCCCAAAGACGCGAGTCGGGTGAGTGGCCCGTCAGAGCCTGGCAGCCTTTGTCCCAGCCTGAGCTTTCCGTCCAGTCTGCCGATATAGACTCCAAGAACACCTGCTTGCAAGCCTGTAGACACTGTTTTGTTTCCCGAGCGGCCATTCGTTTCCCTGGAGCCGCACCATCGACATTACAGCCACAGGATGAGACGTGCTTCGGGGGGTTCTCTATGTCTGGCATTATCATGGCCTCAAGGCAAAATCTCCTCACGGCATGAGGCAGAACAAGACGGCGGATGTCGGTGCAACAGTATGCATAGTAGACGCCAGATCTTTCAAGACTGGTAGTAGATGGATGTATTGGTGGTGGACGGACGAACGGCCAACCTGGTGCGTAAAAACGAATTTAAGAGAGACGAGAAAACGAAGACAGAAAGGTAGGCACACGGTAGGCAGCTACGTGTCTAATCTCCCGGCAAGGAGTAAGAGGACGGGGAGAGATAGCAAAACTCGGCAACGGGAGACAACTCCAACAGGCAGTAACAATAGCTGCGGCAGAACTTGTCAGAAGCGACAGGTCGCATCCGCTAACCACGTAAGTCGATCCGGGGATGGTGGGGGGGAGGGCCCCTGGGGGCACGCCGCGCGAAGTATCAGATCTATATTATATACTCCGGGGCGGCATCGCCCGCCTCCCATGTGTGTCCCCTCCGAGGGGGGCAAGGGGCGAGGGGACGGTCGGTGACATCGAGGGACGGCAGCACAGCATCGTCCCAGGCACCGTGGGTGGGGAGATGGATCAGACAGTTGTAGGCGCAAATTGGAATAGCCAGGCCGGACGGAGCCCCTCCTTCTCTGTGTGCTGCGCTGCGGATGGAAAAAATGAGCGGGACGGGAACAATAGAGCTGGGATCGAGCGGATAGGAAACAGTTGTGCTCCACTTGGGCAAAGAATAAATACGGTGACACGGCCGCTGCGCGTCCCCGCTGCCCGACGAGAATAGTCTCGTCTGGGACCAAGGAAGGCGGACAGCTGTCTTGGTAGTAGCGGAAGCCCTTGGGGAACTTGCGAGTACCCTTGCACCCGCACTCCCGTCTATGACGAGCACAGATTCATGGCCAAAAGGACGCCGCCCAATGCACCGTTGCCAGGCAAAGACCATCCTGTGGTGTGCCGGTGCGTGGTGCAGGTTCCAGTCTCGCCGGCTAGGCCACATTAATGGGGCTACCGCTCCATCTGTTGCCGTATTGTAGATTCATCATAGATTCGCGACAAAGGTAGAACAAACTATAGGACAGATCTGGTCTTTTATCCCATGACAACCGTCTGCAAAATGAAGAGGGGGTACTGGGCCGACATTCTCATTTGAACTGGTAGTCATCCCCGGGCCGCCCCGATCGAGTAAGCATCGACTGATCAGAGAAAAAATGCAAATGGCGAGGGCGAGCAGCATGGTGCCAGTTGGACCAACGATGGCCTTGCAATACCGAGCCAACGTGTCACGGGCCGGCCCTTCTTGACGATTCGGCCCCCTCGCCAGAGAAACCACTGCGGCAGTGTCGGTGTAGACGTCGGCGACCCCCCCTTGCCCCTCGTCTCGACTCGCCAATGCAAGCCAACTGACGAGCTGGACCCCGACAAATGCACCCGCACCGGTAGCCAATTGGTTCCTAGCTGGGCCTGCATGTACTCTGAAGTTTGTGCTGGGTAGACAACTGCAGGTCTCTCTGGTGGAATTAGAGATGATGCCTGCTGGAAGCACCTCCGGATTGGCGTGGTGGAAGGAGTCGAGCGCTAAGAAGCAAAGCCAAGATTTGAATACCCAATGACTTTGCTGGCTACGCGAGAGGGTACGTTGTGCGAGCAGTGGTGAGACTTCCCGAAAGGGGTCTGAGGTTGACCTAGCCTTGCGTAATATTGGCGTGTATCGATGCTGTACGTATTATACACGTACACATACATGTACAGTACCTGCACAGATATTATGCGGCATGTATGTGTCTTGAGCAGCGACTGTTTGCTTTCCGGCGCCCTCCTGCGTCAGGATGTCCGCCTATTGCTGCGTGTTTGCCTCCGCGACGGCAGCACGTGAAATTCCCTGCTAGCTCCAACACCTGCATATTGCTTCATCCCATCGTCAGCGTGCTAAATATGGCGCCGGCCGAGGACTCCTTGGGGAAGGATAGCGGCACAATGGCGTTGTGCCTATGCGTGGCGAGTGTGATGATGGCATACCATCCTGTGGGCTGCTCAGGATCCACCATTGTCGGCGAAGAAGCTGAGCTGAGTGTTCTCGAAATCCCAGCTGCCACGCTAGTGGGTATCATCAACGGCTGCAAACAGGATTCCATGTCTCTATCCGTAGAAGAAAAGCATGGTGTACTGGCCCGAAGCCCAAGGAACGAAAAGAGGGCTTGGCATCATGGAAGTAGATGAAAACTACACATGCTGGTTCAGGAGCAAGCGGGCCAGGACAGTCCCGAGCCCCGATGCTGTCTTTCAACGCCGCAAGTCCCTAGTGGTGCTGTATCAGCCCTGGAGACGTGGCCACCGGGTGTCTCAGCGCGAGGCTGAACAGCGTGCAGGTGTCGCTGATTCTTGATAGTGGCGACCAATGAAAGCGGGCGCGATATCGCCAAGAAAATAAATGTAGGTTTGACAGACTCTCGTATTTCTGACCTTGCCTGCAAAATTGGACCGATGCGGCGCTAACAGAGCCGAAGCAACTGACAAGGGAGGGGATGAGAACCTCGTGTCGCTTCTGAGAATGACGGCGAGGCGTTCTAGCACCCGACTTAGCACAATGCTGTGGTTAAGAAACACCAACCGCCGAGTACAGTTGATCAGCGCTCTCAACTTTGGTGAAAGCCTCGGGTTCAACTGTCGGAGATTATAAACAACTGGGGGCGGCTGAGGTGTTGTACCGGCGCTGGGAGTGTATCTGGCTGCAATAACTCGTTTTCTCTAAGAATTTGACCGAGCGTTTCAACCGCAGTGCCAGCTTCCCCTTTATCTCGAAAAGGCCGAACGCCTTTGGGAGTCAGTTAACCTTCCAAGTCATTGGGGCCTGTTATAGCTGTGTTGTACGAGACTCATGGATCAATTTTCCAACCCAGGACAGGCAGTCAGCCGTTGGTGTGGGTCGTTTGCCATTTTCTCCTGGACTATCGTTATCTGCATGGCGATGATATCTCTTGGGTTATCGGGGGAAATCTCCTCATCAAGGGCTTTCTAGGCAACCTTCAGCGTGTCAGCCAGCGGCGAACATTGGAACGTCGTCGTGGCATTCTCGTTTGCCTCGCGTCCTGGAGCCAGGAGTGAATGTATGCAGGAAGACCATTTTTTGAGTTGCCGGGCGGGTGAATGGGACACCATGAGTGCCTAGATCTGTCTTTGAACCAGAGCCGATGCGTTCCTCCATCTGTACCAGAGATGCCTGCACGTGAAGTCTTGGAAACAGTTGTTGAAAATACCAAATACTAAATAAAATCCGCGACGTCTTGAGCCACGACAACCGCCGCATTAGGTGGGAAAATAAAATCGAAAAGACAATTAGAAAAGGCGATGACGCGTGGCGTGCTCGAACACCTGGGGAAAGGAGCTAATGAGTTGCCCGTTCTGGACTGCTCCTGCCTTCCTTGCTGTTGTTGATCGATGCCTCGGCCCCTGAGAAAACAGCCCCAACCCGACTGAGTAGGTCGGCTTCCCCTCCTCTTACAAGGGTCATCGACCCCTGCAAACCCCGGCTTTCAACGGCCATCCATCCATCAGCCTGTCTGACATCAACAGGACGGACATGCAAACGTGGTATCAGCCATAACAAACTTGAAACATCGTGCTGCGCTTCTTCTGCTGCGTAATCCGGGATATAGGCCGTTGTATCATCCCAATACCATCATGTCCGAGACAGCAAAGCGGCGGGTTGAAGCGATTGGCAGCCATCTCGCAGCGCCGTCAGCAGCCACCAGCATCCCGCCCATCACAAAGATCGCATCCAACTCCAACGGCCCCCGGGTCGTTGGCAAGGTGGTCATTGTCACCGGTAAACCCATGGAAGAAAGGCTCCACATGTTTGTAAGAGGGCTGACACTGTGATATACCGAAAAAAGGCGCGAACTCTATTCTCGGCATTGGCCGGGCCTCAGCGCACCAGTTCGCGCAGAACGGGGCCCGGGCCGTCTACATCTGCGACTACGACGACTCCAACCTCGCCGAGCACAAGCGCGAGATAAACGCCGCGTGGCCCGGGGTGGACGTGCACGTGCGGAAATTCGATGCCGCCGCCGAGGAAGCCGTCAAGGCCGTCGTCGACGACGCCCTCGCGCGCTACGGCCGCCTTGACGTCTTCTTCGCTAACGCTGGCATAATAGGGCCGTTGTCCAAGTTCACCGACGTCGACGCCGACGACTTCATGGAGGCATTTCGCGTCAACACGCTTGGGTTCGCAGCCTGTCCTTTTCCTTGCACCAAAAAAGGAGCAGAATCCAGAATATGAAAGCTAACGTGCCAATGCCCCCGCAATCAACCAGCGTCTTCCTGGCCGCCAAGTACGCCGCGCCGGCGATGCAAAAGACATCACCCGAGAAGCCAGAATCATCGGGGAGCATCATCGCGACGGCGTCGGTGGCGGGACTGCGGTCCAACGCCGGCCCCACGCCGTACTCAGCCTCCAAGGCGGCCGTGATCTCGCTGGCGCAGACCATGGCCTACCAGCTCGTGGGCACGGCGATCCGCGTCAATGTGCTCTGCCCCGGCATGATCGAGACGGGCATGACGTCGCCTGTGTTCGAGGCCGCGCGCGCGCGCGGCACCCAAGGCAAGATCGGACAGCTCAATCCGCTGCGGCGGAGCGGGCACGCCGACGAGATCGCCCGCGTCGCCCTCTTCCTGGGCAGCGACGAGAGCAGCTATGTCAACGGGCAGGCCTGGGCTGTGGACGGCGGCTTGAGCGTTGGCCACCCCTTCGTCCCAGGGAAAATGGCTTGATGGCTGTTTTTGGCTGTGCCATCTGCAAAAATCTATGTTTACGAACCTACTTTTCTGTATCAGTTAACGGGAAGGAGCCAAAAAAACGGGTTGAAATATCTTTCTTAGTTGATGGGGATATGGCGGATATACGGATAGTGTTTGGAGTTTGTTGAACCACATTAGCATCCCTAGATGTCAAAGGTATTTTCCAAATACAGCGAATAAGTCGTCTCCAGTTTTTCTGGTTTTTCTCACCGAGAAACTATATCAACCTCGTAAGTTATGCCAAGAGGACCGGGATACGGAGTACGCTGAGTTTCTTCCTTTTAATTTAGGTTGGGGAGTATCAGGCTTTTGAGTGTCATACAGGCTGCCAAGTACCTACCGAAGATGCCTTCGGAGATGGGATAAGAAAACTCACAAAAAGGCGCTTTTTTGTCAACTGAGCAGCCATACTTGCTCACTGATAGACCAGCTACGTATCGGGCACTGCCGTGACGGCCAAGACTCGAGGTGGGAGCACCCGCTGGCCTGGGAAGCGGCTGGGTGGCGAGCCGTGCAGCACAGCACTCCCCCCAGAACCGAAGTGTGGGGAATGATTGCTAAGGGGTGGGGCGCCAGTGCTTGACTTGGCTGTTTTGTTCCATGCTAGCGGATGTCGGGCTTTGGGGCTTGGGATTCCGGCTTGCAACAGACTTTGAATTGAGCTCGTTTTAGGTCACGCCACTTGCTTTTCAGGCAACCTGGGACGATGCCAACCCTCCCATTAGACTTTAGAGGCAGTTTCTAGGTTGTCTGCGTTGAGCGTTGTTGGGTAGTGGATCGTTGGTTTTGCTAGACCTAGACTCTACATTACTCTATGTGTACTCCTATCTAAGGCGCGGCACAACCAGAAGCCCCCGCTGCGGAAATGAAAGATGACGTCGATGCTCCCTGCCTCCAGTGGGACATGGTTTGCACGGCTAGCCTCCAAGTTGTCTCCCCGTTACTGTTTGGCGCACCGCAACAGTGCAGCGCTTGACATTTGCACTTTCAGTTTCTCGGAACTGGCGGGCCTTACATTGTGTCTCTGCGGAGTCGGTCGGGTTGTCTGCTAGTTGGCAGGCACCCTAGGCCCGGCCATGTCGATCGAGTGTTGGAGCGAGAGGGCAGGGGTTGCCCCTCACCTTTTTTCCTGTTGACCGTTCAGATCAACGGCCAAAAGGCTCTTTCTGTGATAGATTCCCTCGGCGCTGTAGTGTAGGTCGGTAGGTTGAGCGTCGAGAAAGCTTCCCCGACCTCCACTCCTCCAGTGTGACCTGTGTTCTATGCATTAGTTGCATCGCATCGCGTCCATGTGCGTGTCCCGCTTGTGCAATGGTGGGCAGCTTTTCGGCTGGTTGCTGCAAGTGGCGGAGACGGCCGATTGTCGAATCGTTGTCGAAGGGAGGCGACGGCCGATCCGCCAAGCAGGGAAGTGTGCCAAGACCCAAACCTGCCGCGAAAGTATAGTGCCGTTTCGCCGTACCTCCGCTGTAAGTACCGAATTGCAGGTGCATGTATGGAAAGCAGGTGCCTGTATCTCCAGGCAGCGCGATGATCATCTCGTCCGCGTTTCCAGAAGCTGGAAACTAGGAACAAAGGGCGCAAGTGCGTAACATTAATGCGTTCTCAAGGGTTCCTGGGTCCTGCCTTAGGTTGGATAGCAGTACTGTATATACATACGGTATTTCTGAACAGCATTTTGCTCCGTCATTTCCGCTGGCCGCGGGTTTCTAGCGTCAAGATTGCCACCCCATTCCATTATTCAGCCTCAGGCTTCCGCTCACGCGACATCCTCAAGGTTATCCTTCCCACCCGTGGACCTTACCTAGGTTCGCTCCTAAAAGGCTTGCCCGTCTCGCACGTTTGGTAACCCGAGCAATTGCCAATTGTACTTTGGAAAACCCCGCTACTTGGTGATAGCAACACTGCCTGGAGCTGCCTCCTCTGCGTCCTCTATCGTCTCAATTGGGAGCTGAACAAGCTGCCTGCTCCTCTCCCCAACCCCTCCTCTTCTGGATTCGCTCAAGATGGGGAAGAGAAAGTAGATACCCGCCCTCCTGGCAACGAGGTGCTTGCGGTGACCAAGGCGCTGTGCAACATTCGAGCTCCGCGGTTCTACTCGACGCCCGACTTCCGCGGCCGCATTCTCGCCAGAACTCGAGCCTCAACAGCTTTCCTTCTTTTCCTTGCACCCGTTGCGGTCCTCTCGGGCTATTCGGTCTTTTCTTATTTCGCATCTCCACCAAATCTGCGGCATTGAATCCGGTCCTACCCGACAAAGGCAACCTAGTTGCCGGATTCTCCATTGCCTAATAATTGGCGCGAGAGTTGTCGCTGTCGTATCCTTGATCAATATGGCGGTCGACGGCCAGGCGGTGTCTAAGCGGAGCGCGGTGCGTGCCTACGTCGAGGACGAATGCGGCGCGGACAAGGACACACCCGAAGGCCAGTCGCGAATATCATCCAAGTACGAGGAAGAAATGTATGAGACGACTGGCCAGAACACCCCAACCAGCCGCCAGGCCAGTCAAGAGACGTCACGAATGTCGCAATCCGATAACACCGGCCCGCAGAATGGGCAGCTCTCCATCACATTTGACATTTTCCGTGGAATTGCCGATGGAGCACACGATTATGCAGGCTGCACAAGCCCGCAGCACGATGCGACCATCCCTGTCGATGGCCGCCCGATCAACTTTGGCGTCGTTGTTCCTGGAGTCTACCGAAGCAGCTTTCCCCAGACCGAGGATCACCTCTTCATCAAGGGCCTCAAGCTGAAGACCATTGTCACCTTGGTCCAGAAGGACTTCCCCCAGGGATACGAAGCCTTTATGCATGCCAACGGCATCAAGCACCACGTGGTTGACATGAAGGGCACCAAGAAGGAGGAGATTTCCATGACGACCATGAAGACCATCCTGCGCCTCGTCCTCCGCCGGGAGAACCATCCCCTCCTCATCCACTGCAACCACGGCCGACACCGCACCGGCTGCGTCGTCGGAATCATTCGCAAGGCCTCTGGATGGGATCTGACCAAGATCATTGACGAATACAAGCAATACGCCGAGCCCAAGATCCGCGACTGTGATGTTAAGTATATCACGCGCTTCGAGCTCGCCGCTCTCACAAACCTCTGGGCCAGCGAGTCGGGCGCCATGCTGCGCATCCGCAATTTCGGCCGCATCACCCTGTTCACAGTTGTCATTCTTGTCATCTGGATCATCTCGGGCAGCAAGCTGCATGCTAGACGCAAGCTCCTAAGATGAAGGAGAAGAAGCAAGCGATAGACGGTGCTGCCACCTCATGTCGGCTCCCGTTCTTTCCGACTTTATTTTTTCTCTTTGGCCGTCTGTATCTGGCCAGTCAAAACGACCTCTGGCGGTCCCATATTTTCACCTTTCCGATCTCCGTGGGTTTTGGGCGTCATTTCTTTTCTATTCCGGGTGGGGCCCTCCTTTGCGCGCCCCTCCCCACCGCCTCTTTTCTACTTCTTCGAGTCTTGGCTCGGCATTCTCGGAGATCTGTGTGCATTGTCAATCCGCCTATTATACCCCGCTTCAGCTCGGCGTTTCAGGAGAAACGGAATTGATGTCCTCGACAAAACAGGAGGCCATAAACAAATCATCCATCTTGGCACTCCGGTTTGGAAAGGAAAGGGAAAAATGCAGCTGGCGAAAGAGGGGAAACACTTTCTAATGTCTGTTCTATGTTATTCTTAATCCATGGGTAGTCTTCTAGTATTGGGTTAGGAGCTTCTGCTTGGATTGCTTGGCTGGGCCGGACTGGACTAACTATTTTTCCTATATTCTTTTCTTCCTCTTTTTAAACCCCTGGGACATCACTCACCAAAAGTCATGTGGACTATGGAAAATAGAGATTGGGGAAACGGCGTGCTATGTCGGAGACTATCAAGCGCTGAGGAGTCTCCCGGATGGAGTTTATTCCCTCTTTTTTGTCCTTTTCCTTGTTTCCGGTTAGTCAGACGCTTTGGGGCAACCTGCACCTTTCTGCACTTGTTTTCTCTCGGAATTTCTTGTAGATGCACGTATGTGAGATTGTGTACTAATGTCTATTTATACACGCGGGACGGATTTGGTTTGGCCTGGGTTATTTTATTACTCAGACGGGGAGCTGCGAAGCTTATACACATATCAAGCCGCAAGGCTGGCCGGCTTGGCTGTTTGTCCTGCATGGTGGTTTGTAGAGACGAGAAGAAAAAGAACGAAGACATTTAGCTAGGTACCTATATCTTACACGCGACTGAGCCGGGCGATGCTGGAGGTGTCGCGGCGTGGTCGGAAATAAAACACTCGAGACCCTGTTTGTCTCCATATCAACGAAATTGTGCTTGTTTCTCTCGACGCAACCCCTCGTGACGTCCATTTATGCTGCATGGCGAATCTCGTGCCCCCTCATATACTGCTGCTGTGACCACCTCCAGATTCCCTTTTCGTCTGTCCTGCACTTGTCGAGTTCATTTGTCGTCGTCCTGGTACACCCCCCACTTATTGAGTTCGCGGCGCTCATTCTCCTCGGCGGCTCGGTCGGCCGTTGCGTACACGTACGCGCCGGCCAGGCAGTTGACTACGCCCAGCCCCATGGCAACGGCGCGCACGCCGCCCCGCACGGTGAACCGGTTCCGCAGCGACGCTGGCCGCCGACGCGCCGCCAGTAGCACGTACATGCCGCTGTATGCCGCCGTCATGCCCGCCCCGTCCTTCTTGAACCCTGCCACGCCCAGGTAGCTACTGAACATGAGCAGCGGCGCGAATAGCATGGGCAACACCTGCAGCGGCCGCCAGTGCAGCGCCGTCACTAGTGTGGCCAGTCCCATGGGCGGGAGAGATGAGTCTGGGGGCTGTTAGTTGAGCTCTGGTTTACGAATATTGTCATAATCAAAGGAAATGGAAAGAGGATAATTGTTATATGTAGTATTTGGGGAAAATGATGAATGGATCTCTTTTATTTGGCCCCCAAATTGGAAAGATGTAAACAACAGAAAAGGGGGGTGTGATAGAAGTGGTTCGCATGTTTCAAGCAGCACATCGTGAGGGGAATGACTGAGTAAATGACTTACTTCCCCAACCCTTAACCATGGACAAAACCGACTTGGACGGCTCAGGATCCTCTGAGGCGGCCATGCTGGGCCAATGAAATTCTAGAACTCTTCGAGGGTGATAATGTTATTGATCTTGAAGGTGGAATAAGGCTTGCACGCTCGGGGGCGCTTCTCGCGGGCTTTGGCCTTCCAATTGGCACCGATTTTTCTTCACTGGGCACCAATCTTGAAGTGACGTCGAGACCGCATGACTAAGCGGAACCTTTGCCAATTTGGCGGCACCGAGAACTAAAACTTTGTCCCGCCAAGCCAGCCATTTTCGGGCCGCAGCCAACCCGGCGGATGCAGCGTTTATTGAGCAGGTGTCAAGGTATCGCTGCGGAAACGGGACGTCGCAGAAAAACCAATGACCAGCTGCATACAGGGCTGGGTATAACGTCGCTCATTCGAAAACGACGTCGCAGTGGTGCGCTTTGTTGATCTCTTCACGACCTACCAGAACTCGCGGCGGCTGCTAGGGATTTTGGAGGCCTTGACTCCGTACCACCTTGTGGTTTGCCAGGCAATCTCTCAGGGCCCCCTTTCATCACGAGCTTCGAAAAAGCCACGAAGCCACGCTTTCAATCGGCAACAACCACGGCCAGCAACACATCGAAACATCTCCATCGACGCCGCGCACCCCCGAAACCCATTTGCGAGGGGTCTCAGCATTCCGATCTAGATTGGTAGACAACGCACACCTCTACTGTGTCAGAAATATTCGACAGACACCCCGCGTTCGGCGCCGCTCTCTACACGCTAGCGACAAGATCAACCATCAACCTGCGCACGCCTTCGGCCTCGACGCCTTGCCAACTAACGGCGCCCATCTTGCCACACAAACACACACGAACGGCCGGGTGCAGCCCCGACCGAGCTCCTATCTAAAGGGGCAGCAGAATGCCCTCCGCTTCCGCCTCGGGGGCCGATGCCTCATCGTCGTCGGCCCGCAACCGCCAGCACAACCAGGGCAACCAGGACCGCACGTACACGGCGGAGCAGAAGCAGGCCGTGGTGCGCATCCGCGGCTGCAAGGCGACGGCCTTTTACGAGATCCTCGAGCTCCAGCGCACGTGCACCGACGCCGAGGTCAAGAAGGCCTACCGCAAGCAGTCGCTGCTGACGCATCCTGACAAGAACAGCTACGAGCACGCCGACGAGGCCTTCAAGATGGTCGCGCGCGCCTTCAGCGTGCTGGGCGACAAGGAGAAGCGCGACAAGTTCGACCGCTTCGGCACAGACCCCGACACCAGGTTTCCGACCGGCGCGGCGCCACAGCAGAACCCCTTCGCCGGCTTCGCGAACCGCGGCGGCGGCGGTGGTGGCATGGGTGGAGGTGGTGCAGGGGGCATGTTTGGTGAAGACATCAGTCCAGAGGAGCTGTTTGCGAGGTTCTTTGGCGGCGGATTTGGAGGAGGTATGTTTATCGAAACCCATCGCCCCTTGTTTCTTTGTTTCTGGTCTTGCCTCGTTTTGTCTCCGCCACAGGTACTAACATTTGTGGTTTGCAGGACTCGATACGGGCCCCGGGTTCGTTTTCAACTTGAACGGCGGGCCGAACTTCCGGGTTCACCAGTTCCAGGGCGGCCGGCCGAGGGCACGGCCCCGGAATCCCGGGCAGCCAGAGGAAGCCAGCCTGTTCAGCACACTTATGGGCGTCCTACCCATCCTCCTACTGTTCATATTTCCCCTCCTGTCCTCGCTTTTCTCGGGCTCCTCGCCGGCCGTGGCGCCGAGTATGACATTTGACGCTCCGCACGCACCCTACACACAAGAACGGACGATGCCGAATTTCGGCGTCAAGTACTACCTTAACCCCAAAGACGTGAACACGTACAACGACCACAAGCTACACGCGCTGGACAAGAAGGCCGAGGTGATTCTGGTGCAGAGGCTGCGGGTTATGTGCGAGGACGAGAACTCGCACAAGCAGAAGCTCCGCGAGGAGGCCCAGGGCTGGTTCTACCAAGACCCGGACAAGATGGAGGTGGCCAATTCGATGGACATGCCCAGTTGCCGGCGGCTCAAGTCGCTCCACGTATAGCACGACGCTTTCCCTCCCCGGGGGGATAACGCCTTTCTTGTTTGATGTCGTATAGTCGTGCCTCTCAGAGGTACGTGCCTGCCCAGCGCCGATGTGACGAAGATGGACGGCTGGCTAGCTAGGAAGGACGCGCCGACTTTACATAATTGTTTTTTCCCTTCTTTTCTTGTCGATTAATGGGTTTTCGTTCTGTCCTGCTGCGTTTTCATTTTGGCCTCCTCTTTGGCGATAGGAGGGAGGCGGACTGGCGTTGTTTTTTTTTGGGTGAGTTTTGCATAAATAGCATTGGCCTGTTCCCCAAGCTTTGGATTTTTGATATAAACTGAAATTCTAAACCGTGGATTTACGGTTAAAAAAATACACGGTAGCTGCCCTGGCGTATCATGGCTCGCATGGCAACTAGAATCACACATGGGGCTCAACAAGGTCTGTGTCAGTTGCCGCCCTCATGTCCTGCGGGCACTCTTGTGTAGCCATCCCCATATCCTGCTGGCAGCCATCGATTTCTTGGCGTTGGCATGGTCAAAGAGGAGCGTTGTCCGGCTGCTTGGCGATTTAGGCGACCTATATACGAAACATACAAGGAATACGATATTTACGATATGAAACCAACATATCAAAGCTCGCAAGATGGCAAGTCTGTGTGTTAGCTGTGTGCTAGCAGCTCCTTTACGTATTGAAGGATTCCTATTTCACAGGATATTCACAATGTCTGAAGAAAAATCCGAGCTCGCAAAGGGACGCGCAAGCCACTGGCAAGATATAACAGACGGAACGCTGCAGATTCGAGTTCTTGGTCTGTGTGTCTACAGCCCTGTCCTGGCGGGGTTAGTGGCCGTCAAATTGGGCGGCCCTCGGAAAGGGTGACGAAGCCTCATTGACCCCTGTGGCTTTGGGCTCGCGTGATTGGATGTTGGGGCGCTCGGCCTGACGTCGCCACCCCAGCCTGCCGCCCCGCTACCTTTCCTTCAGCTGCAACGGAGGACTGGATCAGCCGAGCCTACGGATTTCAGTGTCACTTTCAAGTCCGTCACAACGGTCTCGGGCTGCAACACGGGCTGTACGTGTCGAGGAAAGAGGCGGCCTGCTGATAGACCTTTTAGATATTCGCAATAGATTTTTACCAAATTTACCTCACCTACAACATATTTCTTCCCTTTCTCCGTTTCTAACCTTTTCCTGCTTGCATCGTGTTGTCAAGAGTTTCCATTGCAAGGACGGGCAAACGACCTGAAAATAGGTCTACTTCCACTTACCTTTAGGTAACGTCGCCCCACCGAACCAACATTAAGCTACAGGGTCATCCTCCCCTTACCACCAACCCTCTTCAACCCACCCACCCACCTACCCCAAAGCGAAGCTGGCGTCCGTCCGTGATTCCGCAAACCAATGACGCAACTACATGCGACAGCTTCCCAACTTGATTCTCAAGAGCACTTAATTTACCAACAGTAAGAGCCGCTTCTTTCCCAATTGCATGCTGTGATGGTTCGTAGATCTAAATTGTAAACAGGACCCCGCAACCTGCTGCCTATTCCGGTTGTTAGCGGGTTGATTGCCCAACCCCAACTTGCCCTGCCTCCTCCGCGCAGGCCGCCCGCCGTTCTCGACTCGCCCTCCTTCGGCCTGCTGCATCGCCCGGACCTCCAACATAGAAGCACGCAGATCGGAGGCCGAACGAGATGGTGACCCGAAAGCCGCTTCCTGAGAGCGCCGCCGCCGCAAGCCAAGCCAAAGCTGCGCAGCGGCGAGATGGGGGGAATGACCAACAAAACCGCTGGTCCTCGACTACTGGCTCTGAGCAAGATGCGATCTGGGGCGACCAACCGACGCAGCACCTGCATGGAGATGGTGTCAGCGCTGGGGGTCCTACCGCAGGTGACAATGCGCCAGAGCCTTTAAGGCCCGGCGCGCCCGGCGCGCCCGGCGCAAATTACACTGGTCTAGGAGAAGAGTACAATATATGGGCTAGCGACGTAACTAAACTACCAACAACGGCCGGTGATGGCGGGCTAGGCGGCGGTGACAGAGTGCCCGAGGTTTTGCGGCCTGGTGGTGGCCAAAGACAGCATGCTGGTCCTACGACAACTAAGAACGAGGAGGGGCATGATATTGATCGAGTACCGACTATCCTCAGACCCGGCGCCGGGGGGCTGAAACCAGAGACGAACCCGTTCAAGCGCAAGATGTCGCTGAGCGCCTCTGGCGCGAGCAGTCAGGAGGATCTGGGCAGACAATCTGCACCACAGACAGCGGCCCCGCCGTTACCTCCTCTACCCGTGGATGCGTTCGCGCAGCTCAATGTGTCAGAGACGAGTAACAACCCTTGGCAACCAGCTCTAGGTGATAAGAAGACCGCAACGCCACAACCACCCCCGATTCCTGCGACCTCTGAGGATGGCATTTGGCATTCCGCCAAGCCTTCACGAGAGACTACCCCCGGCCCGACGTCAAACTCGCCTGCTCTGCTGTCTCTGCCCTCCGAGGAGGGGTCGGCCGGCTGGGAAGACGAGGAGTCCCGAAAAGCGGCACCGCCTGCGCTTCTCCTTCCCTCGCCAGACGAGAACGTTCTTGAGGATTCACATGCATGGGACGATCTAGGGACCATAGACAAGGGGAAAGGGCCCGCCCAAGTCCCGCCACCCGCCCCGAACGCCGGCCAAACAGATGACTGGAATCTCATTGACGTGGACACGCCTCCCGGCCCGCTGTCCAAACAGAGCACGTGGGAAAACTTTAACGATGAAGAAGGAGCAGCTCCGACGCGCTCACCCGGCCTGCCGGAGCAAAAGCCGCTACCGGTAATACCGCCGATGCGACAGGAAGAAGCTCCACCGCAGCCTCCCCCGCGCCCTGCTGCCAAATCGGAAACATACCAGATCAAGAACATCAACTGGTTTGACGTGACGGCCGCTAAGAATCCAAGAACCTCGCCCATCCTTGTCCAGAATGCGAATGGGCCGTGTCCGCTTGTTGCGCTTGTAAACGCGCTCAGCCTGACTACGCCCGCAGATAAGACAAATACGGCGCTTGTTGAGACGCTCTGGTCTCGGGAACAGGTCAGCCTTGGGTTGCTACTCGACGCCGTGTTTGACGAGCTCATGTCAGAACGGCGGACGAATTCCGAGGTCGCCCTTCCAGATGTTGGCGAGCTTTACAACTTCCTCAAGGGCCTTCACACGGGCATGAACGTGAACCCGCGATTTATTCCCGCTCCCGAGGTTGTCAACTCGTTCAAGCGCACATCTCTCAGTCATCTCCATCCAACAGAAAGAAGTGACGTTACAATTCCTGGCACTTTTGAGGCCACCAAGGAGATGGCTCTTTATGCAACTTTCTCCATCCCCCTTATTCACGGATGGCTACCCGCAAGAGAGGAAGACGTCTACGATTCATTTGTACGGCAGGCGACGTCCTACGAAGATGCTCAAAATCTACTCTTCCGAGAGGAGGAACTTGAGGAGAAGCTCAGCAGCGATCACCATCAGGGCCTCACCGAGGACGAGCAGCAGATTTACCAAGATATTCTTACCATTAAGTCGTTTCTGAGTATATCAGCAACCCAGCTCACGCCCTGGGGCCTCGACGTCATCAGGCAGTCAATGAAGCCCGGCTCGGTGGCCATTCTCTTCCGAAATGACCATTTTTCGACGCTTTACAGGCACCCGCAGACCCTCGAGCTTCTTACTCTAGTTACCGATGCCGGGTATGCAAGCCATGCCGAGGTTGTGTGGGAATCGTTGGTAGACGTTAAGGGCGAGCACGCGGAATTTTTCTCGGGGGATTTCCGCCTCGTTGGAGGGGCTTCGCATTCCCAACAGTCTGGAGGCCAGGTAGCGTCGCCGGCTCGCCACTCAAGCGGTGATGGTTGGCAAACAGTGCAAGGTCGCCAAGGACGGAGTCAGCCGACTTCGAGCCAGGCAGAGCCAAGCGGCGTTTCCGCACCTCCATCTCGTGAACAAGAGGACCGGGACCTAGCGCTGGCAATGCAGCTTCAGGAGGAGGAGGACGAGCGCCATCGTGTGGAGCAAGACCGCCGCCGCAGAGAAAGCATGCTCTCTGAGCAGTTTATCGAGCAGCAGGGGCGTCCTACTCCAGCCGGTCCTCATGATGGACGAGAGGGCGGTAGACGTGGCGGCAGCGATGGCGCCAACGCCGCTGTCGCCGGACGGGGCGCCAACGCTAATGGCCGCGGGGGCTCGCGCACGTCCTTGTCGTCAGCCACGACGGCCCCAACAGGTCGACGCAGCTCTAGCACTACGAATATTCCCCTAAGTGCAATCACGACAACTGCAACGGCCACTTCTCAGTCGTCGAGCACTTCCGCACGCGGTAACGCGCGAGGTGGCGGTGCCAGCCCAGCTGCCGCTAGAACCAGGCCGACGGTCCAGACTGTCCGGTCTCTAATTCCGCCACGCGCGCAACCTTTGAACCGTGGACCTGAGGACGGGCTTGACGACGCGCCGCCGAGCTACGAGCAGGCGGCTAAGGCGACGGCCTATGTCCCGCCCGCCGGCAGCCCTCATCACCCAGCGAGCAGCCCCCGACACGATGTTGCAGGCGGCCCGCCGTCTGCGTCTGGTCTAGCGCCGCCGTCCCTCTTCCCAGTAGGCCAATCGCCTGCCTCTAGCGCACCACCAGCTTTTACGCCCCAGAGGACAGGCAGGCCCCCGGCGGGGTACCCAGGATCTAGCGGGAATGTTCAGGGTCGATATCGACAGGGAGTTCCTCCGGCTGGGGCAGCAGCGGCAAGTTCATCAAGTCGGGATCGGGACTGTGTTGTGATGTGACGCGTGATATTTTATGAAGGCGATGCCTAAGCATGCGGCCCTAGCGGGACTTGTGTCTTGTGGCAGGTATTGCGAACGACACATTCATGAAGCATGGGCTGGGAATTGTTCTATCATCAAATAGAAGCGGTTGTTTATTTTTGTTTCTAGTTAGATTTTGAGAGTCTCTTTTGAGTATCTCGGCATTCCCTAAAGTTATACGGTTTGCATCACTGGCGGGGGGTTTTAGTGGTCGGGTATTCGTCGATCTTGGTATCGACAGGAACAATGGAATTAAAACGGAGAGCTACACCTTAGATGTGCATATGGAACTGCCAGCCTACCTACACTGCCCGGTAGACTCCAAACCTGACTTTGATCCAGTCGTCGCCGTCCTCGACGTCCATCTCGGTCCTCCAGCGCGTCCCCGTGGCCTCGCCCACCTCGCCCCACATGTCCCTCCAGCTCGCCGAGTCGAGCACATATTTCTCCCACCCGTCAACCTTGGGCCCGCCGTTCTGCCCAAAGATCACGGCCCGCGCATTGTCCCGCCGCAGAAACCCCACCATTCGCTTCGCCGCGCGCACTTGGCCCGCCCGCTCAAACAGATGGAAGAAGAACGACGCGTACACGATGTCGATCTGCCCTCGGAACCGCGAGTCGAGCGGCGAGCTGCCGTCTGCTAGCATGTCCCCCGCCACAAACGCCGCTGCTCCGTCCCCGCCCGTCATGCGCTCCCGGTCGCCGAACAGCTCGTACCCGATCTCGAGGAACCCCGCGTGCAGGTCCGTCCCGAACAACCGTCCACTTGACGATAGTTCTGGATGCGTAAACGCTAGCTGCCGCACCACGTGCCCGACGCCGCAGCCCACGTCGAGAAACGTCTCGCGCGACTCTGGTGCTGCGAGCCGGCGCGCTGCGGCTTGGAAGCGCGCGTCGCTGAGCGTGGCGCCGAGGTCTAGGAAGGCGAAGGTACGGATGCTGCCGTAGGGGAAGACGGCGTGGGATTTTTGGCGCTTTGGTATGTGAGTGGAGGTGTTAGTTCTTCTCATCTTTGGCAGTCCCCCCCCCCTTTTTGTGTTTTCCTCTTCTTCAAGCTGAGCCAGGTCAAGTCGTGTCACATGCAGCGCGTGTTGAGCAAACAGGTGAGGAACTCGGCACCTAGCTAGGAACAGTGTAGAGAACACGAGGGATGTGGCATGGGCTGGGTAGGTAGTTACAATGTCATAGAGCAGGCTGTCGACCTCGTTCGGCGGCACGCCACTGTAGCCTTCGAGGATGCGGCGGACGGGGCCGAGTTCCGGAGGGATCCCCGGCGGGAATTCCGGCGCCGCATTGCCGCTGCTGCTGCTGCTGCTGCTGCTGCTGCTGTTGTTGTTGTTGTTGTTGTTGTTGTTATTGTTGTTGTTGTTGTCCGCTTTGCCGGCTGCCACCCGCGGCGAGGCTTGTTCGGGTTCTGGCGGGCTGGTCATTTTAGGTTCATATTGCTTCACGTCGTGTTGTTGTGTGTCATGCTTCGACGAAGAACAAAACAAGACAGCCGTTGTGGTCTTTGCTGCGTCATGTTGTGTCTGTTCATACTACGGTGCATTACTGATCGACTGCTACTTAGTAAACTACCTGCCTTCCTATTTGGGTAGTCCCAGATCTATCGTCAATACAGATTCCGCAAACAAGCAAGACCTTGGCTGTCTCGAGTCTGCTTATCCCGCAAGAAGCCTGTCTCGCGGCGACATGTCGTGGTAGGTTTTCCTTCCGTGCCTCCCTTCGTTAACTATCTGGTGCGTGCCGCTACGAATAACTGCCGACGAGAGAGTAACACCGAGCGGACGAGTGCTGCAACGTCACAGCTCGGCGTTGATATCCCGTCCATGGATGCCTCGATTGTTTCAGCGTGAGCTGTCAAAGCTTGGGGTTGCAGCCGTGTGGTGACGTGACACCGATGTGGCAGGTGGAACCGAGCACATTACACCCCAATCCCTGAATGTTTATTAGCGTGGTACTTGAAGGGAAGGCTTCATCGCAAATAAACCGGCTAATAAAAGGCTTTAAGATTTTTTGTTTTAGAGACCAGACAGGCTTTTGGGATTCTAAAATAGGGATTCTAATAGTTTTTACCTCCCTCTCACCCGGTAGAGGTGTTGAGTGAAGGTGTTGTATACGGGTTTGCCATTGTGTTCCTGTTCTCGGCTAAATTGATACGGCGAAACCCCTTCAGGGCGAGCCGGAAGGCCCCGAAACCTTTTTACAGTAAGTAACACACTGGCTGTAATGTACAAATACAGTACCGTATTCCAGAACCCGGAGGTCGATCCACGGTCCGCTACCAAGGACAGCAGATCAGAGAACGCGGCCCCGTGATTGGCGCTGCCGAGATAAGCTTAGCTTTGCCCGCCAGCTTTGTGGCGGGTTTAGCTGGGGCTTCATTGACATCATTCGTGTTCGTTACCGCCAACGAAATGAATCGCTGCCGCAGAAATGTATCTACAATACAACCACACGCCCACATGCAACTCCATGTGACGGGTTCGTAAACCCTTCCTCCTCTTCCCTTTCTCGCGCTTTGCCCTCGTTTCCTGGCCTGGCTGTTACCAGTGATCCATCCTCTCCGTGACCGTGTATAAGACGAACGGGGTTTCAACATGAATTAGTACAGTACCTCGAATCGGCATACATATCTCCGTAACAGGGCCAAAACACCCGCTTAGCGCCCATTCCACCGCGTCACCCAAGCGGCCGCCAGAATATATACCCATTTGGGCCTCATACGCAGTAGACTGAGGCTCGGTTCAGAGCTCGCATCCAGCAAGCGCCACTCAGCAGAGTCCAGGGACAGGGAAATTGCAGACTACGCTGGTCGGACCAACTGCACTATAGAGAGCAGGGGGCACCAACACCGGCAGACACGGAATTGTCCAGCTGGGTCCAGCTGAGGACAGGAGTCTTTGATCTTTCGAAGCTTTCACAAACAAGAAAAACATCACCTTTGTTCTCAACTGCGCTCCTCAACCCCACGGGCGAAAATGAGAGCCCTGTCGACGACGGTAGGGCTTGTTCCCAACTGGTACCCGCCGACGAGGGAAAACTACGACCTGATCATCAGCGTGTGGCAATGGTTTCCAGTGGTATGCCCCCCAATCTCCACCCACTTCCCCTTCTTTTGGGCTTCAACCCGTGGCTGACTTTAATCCCCACCTCAAAAAAGGCGGCCTCGCTGCAGTGGCTAATCTCGTGGTACGGCATGGGCAAGACGTCGGTGGCCAGCCGGCTGAACCTGCCGGGGCGCGTCGGCTGGATGACCATGGAGGCGCCCGGCTTCCTGTCGCTGCTGTACATGATGAACACGCTGTCGGCCCAGCACGGGCTCACGGACCTGCCGTGGCAGAACAAGGTTCTCGCCGGGCTTTTTGTCAGTTCCCTTTTCTTTTTACCAATAAACAAAACACTAACAAATCACCAGGTAATCCACTACAGCTACCGGGCTATCCTGTTCCCGCTGATCCAGCCGTCCATGTCGCCGCTGCACTTGCTGATCTGGCTGTTCGGGCTCTCGTTCCAGGTGGTCAACGGGACGTGCATCGGGGCGTGGCTGGCGGCGTACGGGCCGACGACGCGCGAGGCGTGGGCCGCGCAGCTCTCCCCGTTCCCGACGCTGCAGTTCGCGTCTGGCATCGCCCTGTTCTACGTCGGGCTGGCCGCCAACTACTTTCACGACGACGAGCTGCGCGAGATCCGCCGCCGCGAGATAGCGCGCCAGGCCCGCCTTGCCGCCCAAGGGAAGGGTAAGGGTAAGGGTAACGGTGGTGCTGCAGAGAAGCACTACGAGATCCCCCAGGCCGGCCTCTTCAAGATCATGCTGTACCCGCACTACTTTGTCGAGTGGGTCGAGTGGCTCGGCTTCTGGATCGCCGCCGGCTGGTCCTCGGCTCCGGCCCGCTGCTTCCTCGTCAACGAGATCGCCGCCATGCTCCCCCGCGCCGTCAATGGCAAGCAGTGGTACATTGAGAAGTTCGGCGCCGACAAGATCAAGAAGAAGTGGGCCGTCATTCCCGGCGTGTGGTGACGTTCCTGCCGTGTCTCAGAGACATCTCGGAAACACGCTCAGAGTCTCAGATGCACGCTCTCTTAGAACCGTACCCTCTTAGAACCGTACCCTCTTAGAACCGTGCCGCTTCAAGTCTGAGCGAGCTTGCGGTGAAGCCGACTCAGCTCTCAATACGATATGGTTGGGCAGAAAACCCCTCTGGAGCGACACCTACCGTGGTCCGGGTTGTCCTCATGGGTGCGGCGTAGGGCAGCAACCTAGTAGCAAAATTAATTAATATAAACCCTTCATTAGGGCTGCCCCCGTTCCCAAATAGACTAATAAATAGGTAACTCATCTGCTGCCAGCCTCTCTTCCTGGGCGAGCAAGCATATAAATATAGTCAAGATTGCAAACAATTCCACTCTATTTGTAGCTACCCTCAGGCCGGGAGAAAACCACGCTGTTAGACTTTGTTCTCCGAACTCTTACTAGCACAATTCATGTCACGTTTAAGTAGGACGAGACAAACCACTAAAAGGAGGGAATTTTTATCGGATTTTTCGTTGATAGGGAAAAAAAATGAAAAGCAATAGATTACAATAAAACGCTCTACCCGTGAATGAATGGCCTCAGCTCACCTCCGTCCTTTCTACTCACACACGCAGTCTGGAATAAAAGGACAGAGGAATCCAAGATAAGCAAAGCACCTTAGTAAACATACCCGACGCTAAGCTGTTATTTATGCTGTGCTTTTCGATATCGTGACATTGAGACTCCCGCCTCCGATCTGTCTGCCATTGGCAAGGCAGAATGGAAACCAGAAGCAGCAGACGCTCAATGTTTAAAACTAACCCCCGCCCCGTTGTGGTCCTCCGCTACCTCATAACCCCTTGCCGTCTCCGTTCTCCCTTGCGGTTGCAGGGGGTAGCGGAGGAGCAGGTGGGGCGGTCCCCCCCGGCGCCCCGCCATCCTCCGGCGGCGTGTCACCGGGAAGCGGTGGCGGGAACGGCAGCAACCCAGAAGGCTTGGGGATGGCCATGGGACCCGGCGGCACCGAAATACGATCGGGCAACTTCTCGCCCTGAATAACTTTGGCGACCTCCGACTTGTCCAGGGTCTCATACTCGACGAGTGCCTGGGCTAGAAGATCAAGCTCCTTCCGTTTCGACAGAAGAAGCAGCCGGGCACGCTCGTACGACTCATCAAGCACTTTCTTGACCTCGGACTCCACCATGGCTCTTGTTTCGGAGCTGAGCTGACTGTACTTGCGTATGTACTCGACTGGGCCCAGCTTCTCCGACATGCCTAGCTGAGCCACCATCTGCCACGCTGTTTGCGTAGCCATGTCAAGGTCCTGAATGCATGGTTAGAAGGGACAGACTAGTAGGGAAGATGAAGGCGGGGTTTACTCACGGCGCTGACTCCGCTTGTCACAAGTTCGTTGCCGTACACAATCTCCTCGGCCACCTTGCCACCCATGGCACGGTCGATGGCGCCCATGTAATCCCGGACACTCATGGAATGCTTGTCCATCTCCGGTAGAAAAGACGTGTGGCCAAGGCTTTGGCCGCGCGGGAGAATAGTAACCTTGTACAGTTCGGATGCGGGATCGCGAGCAAAATAGGCGACAAGTGCATGACCGGCTTCGTGATAGGCCGTCATTTCCTTCTCCTTAGGCGAGATAACCATGCTCTTTCTCTCGGCACCCATGAGAACCTTGTCCTTGGCCCAGTCGAAATCCTTCTGCGTGACGGCTTGCGCTTTCATCTTGCTGGCGTGGATGGCGGCTTGGTTGACAATGTTCTCGAGGTCGGCACCCGAAAGACCAGGAGTGCGGCTGGCAATGGCCTCCATGTTAACGTCAGCAGCCGCCTTGATTTTCTTGGCGTGGTGCTTCAGAATGGCGATGCGGCCGCGGACGTCGGGAAGGGAGACAACGACATGGCGATCAAAGCGGCCTGGCCGAGTAAGAGCGTGGTCTAGCGATTCGGGGAAGTTGGTGGCGCCAAGGATAATGACTCCGCTATTTTGCTCAAAGCCATCCATCTCCGTAAGCAGCTGGTTGAGAGTCTGCCGGGCATACGAGGCATCCCTAGAATTGCGACGACCGCCGATAGCGTCCAGTTCATCGATAAAGACAATCGAGGGTGCCTTGGCCTTGGCGGCCGCGAAAAGCTCACGGACACGCTTGGCGCCAACGCCGACGTAGATCTCCTCGAACTCACTGCCCGACATGAAGAAGAACGGGACGCCTGCCTCTCCGGCAACGGCGCGGGCAAGAAGGGTTTTACCGGTACCAGGGGGGCCAACAAGCAAAACACCGGTCGGGAGCCTGCCTCCAAGGTTGGAGAACTTGTCGGGGTTGCGAAGAAAATCAACCAGCTCTTGCAGCTCTTCCTTGGCCTCGTCGCAACCGTGGACATCGGCGAAGCGCGCCTTCTGGTTCTCGGGCTTGGCTTCGGGGCTGTCGAATTTTCCACCAGGACGTTTGATAGAGGTCATGCCTTCAACAGCCATCGTAATAGCCACCAAACTTATGTAGGTGGCAAGTCCGAACCAGAAGAAAAACTTCAACCAACGGAATATGGAAGAGCTGATAGTCTCATCGACGACAACGTGGAGGGGCCCGCTTTTAGTGCCCACCCCTTTGCTCGAAACAGCTATGTTTGCACCGGTGCGTTGAGCAGCGACAGCCTGGCCGACAGCCTGGATCTCAGTCGGCGAGAGTCCACTGGGATGGACACTGGTCTCGGCCTGCGCACCGGCAATAGGTCCTCCTCCCATCATTCTCGAGGCCGCGTGGTAAAATTCAGCTGATTTCTCGTCGGCAGCAAAGCGACCTGTGAGGGGGGAAACAAAGTATTAGCGTACAACGAGCACACGATTCGATACATTTAGGTCAAATAGTGGTTTACGTACCCGACTGATATCGTTCAATGACAATGGCAGGCCTCCTAGCCTTCAACAAACTATCGTAGAACATATTCTGAGCACGGGAATCGTTGACGTCTGAATTCGCCATCTTCTCGAGCCGAGCGAGCATCGTTCTAGATGGTGTGTAAGAATCGCTACCGAAAGAGCGGGATGAGACACGACTAAGCGGGCGCTCTGTCGCCCAGCGAAACGGCTGCACACGACTCGGCTGGTATGAACTCATGAAGCGCAGGCCGGGAAGCGATCCGAGAGGGCGCGGCGACATCAGGGCCGCGTGCGAGCGGCGGAACAGCGGGCTCGCCATGACAAGGGAGCGTGGGGAGGTATTTAACAGTTCCGAGAGCGTATTGATGTTGAGGGACGGGGGTGGCGTAGCTGAAAGGGCGCGAACGAGAGATTGCGGCAAGACAGCGTCTCGAAGGAAGTCCGGGAGCTCCGTCGTCACGTCGGCGATAGGTGGTCCGATGGCGGACAAGGCTTTGGCCGCGTCGTCAGCCACTCCTGGCTGCGTTGCTGATGCGGACCCGCTGCGAACGGATGCAGTCGATGCGTTTCTGCGCTGCGACTGCGACTTTGATTTGGTAGCTGGGGAGGACCAGTGGGCGGCTCTCCACGGAACTATCAGGGTGTTCGCAATCGAGGGCCACAGGTCCGTCGTCGCTGCTGCGACGCTCTGCGAAAAACCAACAAGCTACGTCAGCATGTACGAAGGAGTCGGTATTGGCCGCACAAGCGATGACACCAAGGTTCAGTAGTTAGACGGGCGCAAAAGTTCTTACCGGTAGCCCGCTCGTGTAGAAAGCCATGTTAGCTTCGGCGACATGCCCCCCAGAAGAGAAATGGAAATGCCGATTGTTGAAGGAGTGACGAGCTGTGATGTGATGCAGGGCGGGAGACGTTGAATTGGCCGACTGAGGAATGCGCTACGGCCTAGTGGCTTGGCGGCGACGGGGAGTTTGGTTTGGCCACCACGGCTTTTCCCTTTTCCGCGTGGAGGCAAGTGGCGGTCGAAGCCCAACGAAGCCAACCGTTTGCCGACCCGCCCACATCACGTGCACTCGCGCATCGGCCACCCCTGACTCGCAGTGGCTCGCCGCGATTTTGGAGCATTCGAGGAAGCCAAAGCCATCCGCGTGAGATGAAGCGACTTGATGAACAGGGAAACGGACAAAAATCTCTAGACCGCCAATAATCCCCAACTTAATATCAGCCTTGGGCCATAAAAAGTTGAAAGGAGCATATCCCGATATTACTCTTTTATTTTTGGTTTCTTTGAATTCCGGGCCTTTATCTATTCCTTGTTACTTGAGTGTCCACCGTCAGTCACTCGACAGCTGAGGCGTCACCATGAATCGGTCCATCGAGCTGGCGCTGGTGTCCCTGCTGCCAACGCACAGCGCAACACTGCCACAGCCTCTCTCGGAACTAGCGAGCTCATTGCTGGCGCAGTCTCGGATCCGCGCGAGCACCCTCAAGGCCGAAGAGGAAGTCGCGCGGCCGTACGCCTGCGCCCACATCGCCTGCGACAGGTACTTTCAACCCCCAAACTCATTCAACACCTATCTCATCTCACATCACTAACCTCCCACTCCCAGACTCAAAATCACGCTCAACCTCCCGCCAATCGACCCCCGGCCGCCCATTCCCCCGCGCATCTACAGGCGGCTGTACAACCACCTGGACAAGATCCTGCCGGCCGTCTCGTCGTCCTCGGCCCCCGGCACGCCGAGCCGGACGACACCAGGAAAAGGCAGCATCCGGACGCCGAGCTCGAGGCTGCGCCAGCAGCCGGGACCAGACGGTCAAGCGTCGCCGCTCGGTAGTTCCCCGTCGCGGTCCAGCCACCGCACCCTTGCTACTGCCACCACTAAAGCTGCTACTACTACCATCACCAAAACCGCCCAGACACCGTCGCGCTCGCTCGCGCAGTTCCGCGGGACGCCCGCCTCGCACAAACGCACCCCCAAAGCCACAGCCGCCGACAACCTACCCGCGTGGGTGCGGGCGACAGTGCGGCACCTGATCGCCGCGCTCGGGCCGCCCAGCATCGGCCCCGTGGTGATGGCGGGGATGGAGTCAATCGCGGCGGCGGCGGCCACGCGAGCTGCGCGCGGGCGCCATGCGCGCGACCTTGGTACCGACACTGGCGGCGCCGACGGCTGGGTGCGCGACAACCTGCCCGCGCTGCTAGGCGCGCTGTACCTGTACGTGTGGCGGGCGGTGGAGTGGGCGGGGCGCGAAATGGACGCGGCGGCGTACACGCGCATGCGCCGGAGCGTGGCGGCGGCGCTGGCCGAGGCGCGCCTCGGCAGCGTCTCGGCGGGGAAACAGACTGCTGCTCCCGACGAGGATGACACCAAGGACGAGGACGAGGGCGACGACGACGCGCTGTGGGAGGGCTGGCCCGGCCCCGCCAAGGTCAGCCCCAAGGACCTCGACGCGGCGGCGCTGCGCATCAACAAGCAGGGCTGGCTGGAGCTGGACTGGGCGCGGGGCATCGACGACCTGGTGGCGCGGGGCGAGGCTGCATTGACAGAGGCAGAAGCGCTGGCGGAGGAAGACGAGAACAACAAGCACGAGGCACACGAGACGCTCCAGATCAGGCGGCCAGACACCATGTTCCAGGAGCGCTACGATTACCTCAGTGAGCGCAAGAAACGGGACTATGCCGTCTGGAGGGAGAAGGTCCTCGGGCGCATCCACGAGCTAGAGCGCAGCCACGGCCACGGCGGCGGCCGGACGCCGCGGCGAGATGTGGATGCTATGGATATTGACGAGTGAAAACTCTTGTGCTGATGTTGGGGTTGGTTAGTAGTAACACAGGATACTGTTACGTCTGCGGGATGGGTTATGGACGGCCTGTGATCGAGACTCGGGCACTCGAGGCATTAAAGGAGAGGGCGTTTTGGGAACATGCGGTTGGCTGCTGCTACGCTAAGGACAACCGCGTGCAGGTATGTAGGTAATGGCGTCGACACCGGCCAAGCTAAACAAATACTGCACTCTAAGAGACATAGGTATCACCATTTCTCCAACCTCATGCCGCTCAACCCCTCGCTCCTCCAGTAAAATAAACCATGCGACGGCGCCAGTCCCCCGCTCACGCGCCGTGTTCCTTCAGGCTCTTGATCGTGTCAACAACCGTCTTCTCGAACGGGATCCAGTCGATGCCGAGGAGCTCGGTGGTGGCGGCATTGTCGACCTTGAACCGCTGATCAGCAGGTGGCAGCTTGCCGGGGCCGAGCTGGTCGTCGGACGGCAGGATAGCCGCGTCGGCGGGGAAGTTGCGGCGCACAATGTCGACGATTGCGGCGTTGCTGTACGAGCCGGCGGTGGTGAACAGGCGCTTGCCGCCAGCGGCCGGCAGCTCGAGGCCGGCGCGCACGTGCGCGGCCGCGACGTCGCGCACGTCAACCCAGATCATGGCGGCGCCCGTCGACGGCACTCCGCCAGCCTTCCACTTGCCGCGCAGCAGGTCGAGGAAGCGCTCGTTGCTCGTGTTGAGCCCGTCGAGGCTGGCCAGGTGGTGCGCGACAGGGCCGAACACCATGGGCGGATTGACGGTGACGAGGTCGAACTTGGCGACGCTGTCCGCCGGCGGGGCCGCCACAAAGGCCCACGCGGCGCGCTCGGCCAACGTCTTGGACGCGCGGTACGCCGTCGCCGAACTGCGGTAGATGTCGTCGATTGTCACGGGGTTCCAAGACGCCTCGCTAAACACGGTGGCTGGGTTGGAGATCTTGGGCTCGTCGAGGATGGCCGCGAACGACGACGTCACCACCACGCGCCGCACCGCCGGCGCCGACCGCGCGATGGCCTTCAGGATTCCCGTCGTGCCGATCACAGCCGGGTCGACGAGGTCCTTCTTGGGGTCCGCTGCGGAACGAGAGGTCACAATGAGCAAACCGCGTTTTGTATACACTTTGGTGGGACGCATGGGAAGAGGGAATAAAACGCACAGATCTTGAAGTGGAACGGCGAGGCGGTGTGCAGCACGACCTCGATGCCGGGGATCTTGACCACGTCGTCAAAGGCGTCGAGCCTGGCGATGTCGGGCACGACCACCGTCTGCAGCTCCCCGGCGGCGCTCTTGTCGGCGTAGGCCTCGCGGATCTTGGCGGCCTTGTCCTCGGTCCGCACCGTGGTCACGACGCTGTGGCCCTTGGCGAGCAGCTGCTCCAAGATGTGGGCTGGGGTTGCGTCGCGTCAGCACTCAATATTGCTCCGGGCGTTCGGGTATGCCTCGCGAATCGCGGCTGACTGGCCGTCCGTTTCATCCCGCCCCTACTGCGGGCCCACATCTTTCATGACGGCCGGTGCAAGCAGGGCTCCTCTTCTTGGGAACTCGACGTCAACGTACCGGCGATAAAGCCCGAGCCTCCTGTACAAGGAGTGTCGTGTCAGCTTATTACCACTGTATGTCTTGCAGTGGGACATGATCCCGAGACACTTCGGGTGCCGCTCCTTACTCGAGGAAACGCCGGTACCGGGGCAAGCTCACCTGTCAAAAGCACCTTTGTCATTTTTGCGGCTGTTGCTTGTCTCTGCTGTAGTTTAAATCTCGATGTAGATTAGATTGTGGATATCTCGTCTGTATTGCGTGGCCCGGTTCGATTGCAGAATCAACAAAGCCAAACTCGAGTCACTCGGATTCCCCTGCTGCCTTATATATCAATCTCGGCTGCTGGGGTCAGTATAATTCCTGTGTAGGGCAGGGGCAGTACTGACACACAACGAGCCGCATTCCCGAACTGAGGCAGCTTGCAGCTGTGATTGGGGGGGTAGTTGGGCGTGGACGGACCAGACCCCCCACAAGTTCACAACAACCCCCTCCTCCCTCACCAATCCCAGCATTGGGGGGGGCCGACAGCCCCGCAGCCGGAGGTAGGGGCCGTTAGCGGGAAATACGTCATCCTACCCAGCAGAAACGGGATATCGGCAGGCCCCTTTCTCGCTTATCGCCGCTCATGCCATGTTTAGCTCGGTCGGCGTTAAGAAGGGCCGCCCAGAACCCAGCACCCAGCACGTTGTCGCCGACTCGTCCTCCGATGTGTGGGCTAGCCTAGGGCCGCGGCGTTTCTTCAATGTGGGAAAACCCGATCCTCGCCCGCCGAAGGGCTGTACAGGCACTGTCTGCGGCCTGACCCAGGTCCGGTTCGGAGGGTGGCCCATTGACGAATTGCAAAGACCAATATTCCGTGCTAGCGGCAACTTGATAAGCAGTCGTGCCGTCGGACTCCGGCATCTTCGTGTCCCCACCGGGATCCTCCGCTGCCGATCGGTCCCCTGACTAACGTCATGAATTCCCAAGTCAATATCAGCCCCTGAAATGACTTGTCAGCATGATGTAGAACGAACTCGACCGGCAATTCTGCAGGACGAGCGATGGATCTTGCGCAATATTATTGTTTTGTTGTGTTGTTTCTTTCCGGGTATTGTCGCAGACCAAGCAAGACAAGACGTCGCGTCACAGAATTGACTGTGAGCCGGTGGAATCGGCGCACCTCGTTTCCTTGCTCACAAGGCAAAGAGTTAATAACGTCATGTGGTATTACTTCTATAGTCTTCGCAGAGCATCATCGCGGTATTGTTTTTTGGCTTCACATGTGCATGTACTAGTCCCAGCGGGCCTCTCTGGTCATGTGTGCGTCCAACGGTGATGCTTGGATGGCAGAAACAAAACACAGTGCAAATATTGGTGAATGCGCGCAGTGCGGCGGGACAGACGCAAAAGGAAGTAACGGCGAGGTGAAATGGGATGCGCGGATGGAAGGGAGGTATCTTCAAGTGCAGACCATATAGGGCAGGATTGCAGTACAGTCTTTCAAGTTAGCCCGCCAAGGAGGCGCCTTAGGCCGTATAGCTTAACAGGTTAGAGGTGCGCACGCCCTGCTGCATTCTCGCGACTATGAAAACACGGCCGATGTTCCCCTGCGTGGTGGGGTTCTAACAATGGCCAGTTTTCGTAAGGTAGCCAGTTCGAACCGTGGGTTCGGAGGAGCGCTTGAGCTTTTTGTTTCCCTGCCCTTTATTTCTTTTGGTCCCAAGAAGTGTGCAAAGACCGGTATGGCGTGGCCACTGGTCAGGTTATAATATATGCTGGCCTGGAAACGACGGACGCGTAGTGAGATGACAATCAAGCGGCTTCTGACTTGGGCCAAGCTTGGGTGTTTCGGGTCTGAGATTCCTGGATATCGAGAGATGCCCGCCGTTTACGGGTGTAGTCTCTAGCAAAATCTGGGTTTAGTATCCATGATAGGTCCATGTGACTACGATATTGGTAGAACCGCTCCCGCCTCATCGCTCGGATGGAAAGTACGGTTAGGGCTTGGTACCTAGCATAGAACAGCCAAACCCAGGATGATAATTGGCGTGGTCCTTAAGATGGACAGACAGCAGGGATACTGTTGACTGAGCAGGGTATTTGTAGCGGAAGGGTAGGACTTGTCGCCTCCCTTGGAGATAAATTTCGCGGCCGAGGTTTAAGCCATCGAGAGCTTTCGCGTCCCTAAAATATTTCCTATTGCACGTGACCGAAGTTGACAGCGCATTGAGTTGTCTGTCTAAAAAGGTCTAGAAATATAAGAAAAGAAAACACCCAGACCCTCAGCCTCAGCCTAACATCAAAATGGATGCGCCCGCAGCGACCGCCAGTTTGGACCGATTTACTCTGTTCCCGCGCCCCCTCGGGAGATCCAAGACATGATCTAGATGGAGGCAGCTCGCATTCCACGATTGCTATTTATCGGCCCAGGCTGCCAGAATACCCGACAATACCAACAGCAGCTGAACGACTGCCAGTACCAGCCATTCGACCTCCCGTACCCCTCATTGCTGCGAGTCTGCTGTGCGAGTCGCCAAGTTGCCCTTCCCATCTACTATATTCGCTTCCGGGCCAGAGAGGCAACTTCCGAAATGGTTACCTACATCCTTGCGGGGGATGATAACGTCGTCTACGGCCGTGGCCTTCAGACATCACCGGGGATCTTCATGGATTTTCATTGCTCGGCCCTGGCCTCCACGCCAACAACCCGGACTCCTCGTTGGACATAGTCATCCGCATTCTTCTATTGTACCGCTTGGCACAACTGGGCGATATATTGATTGAGGGGGAATCACTGGCAGATAACTTCGATACTAAGCTCGATGCTGTTTTTTAGGACCAACGTGGACAGCCTGGGTGGTGACCCGAGGGCTGGCATATTCTTCCTCGGAATCAATCCATAAACATGCGTGGATTCGGCGCGATATGGAGTCGAGCGGGGTCAGGAGATGCTCGGAGACGGAAATAGGATATCAGGGCCCATAGGCAGGTGACAGTAAGGTAGCGAGAGGATGTATGTAATCTATCAATCTGTGAGAAGCGACTTGGACTTGTGAAATTTTGAGTGTGAATCCGTAAAAGAATTTACTCGCGGTCGGCAATTGCTCCTCTTTGGGCGACACCTATGTTGGCCGCTGAGGCAGTCTACCTATTTGTACGGTACCTACGAAGTCTTTGACGGTGTGCCGTTATTCCCGCAAACAAAACAGATTCTTGTTGCTTGGCACTCTGGGCAAAAGCTGCTATATGGTCGCAACCCCTACCACAAAGACTCTGTTTGATTTTAGCCCGCTTGAAATAGGCAGGAGCGACGAGAAAGTCCCGCTGCTTCAAGGCAGGCACAGAGCCCGGCACCCTCCACCTTGATCTGCTTGCTTCCTTCAAAGTTCAAACTAAGGCGCCAAAAAATCTATCTGCTTCTCTCCCCAGCTCGACATTTTAATCCACATCCGTCAGAAGCTTGAAATTACATTTAACCCTTCATGACATATTCTTGAAGCGCCGCGCCCAGTCGTGCAAGCTACGTGAGGCAAGTTTCCCATTCCCAGCCCGTTCCACCTGCAAAGGCTATGTCTTGAAGCGTCCTTGGAATTTCGCCCGAGGGAAGCCAACGCTGACTAGACGTGAAAGAAGACCAATGTCGCAGCCAAGCGTCGTCGAGGTGTCATCGCCAGCCGAGTTATCATCGACCGCCCAGGTGGCATCGCCGGACGAGGTGGCATCGATCGATGATGTGGCATCGCCGGACGAGGTAGCATTGCTGACGGAGGCTAGTGCGACCCGATTCACCCGATTCCGGCATCTACCCCAAGAGCTTCAGAACATGGTCTGGAAGGAGGTTGCTCGGATTCCACGGATTCTATACACTGCCACGACTCTCGAGTGGTGCCGGCGGAACAACCTGCCGTGGAACCCCATTGAGCACCTGGAAGACTTCCAATACCAGATAGACTCCCCCGAGCCGCCAGTACTTCGAGCCTGTGTGGCGAGTCGCCAAGTCACTCTTCCATACTACAACATCCGCTTCGAAGCGAGAGACGCATTTGACCGGCTGGTCACGTACATCATGGGAGAGCACGATGTCATGATCTTTTGTTTTCATTGGACGACTAGGGAACTTCCACGAGTCGCAGCGAACAGCCGGATTTTAGTGCTTCCCCGCCGAGTTGAAGTACCTGAAGCGGACACGTCCTTGTTCGATTTGGTGGAGAGGGTGCGAGACGCAGGCGACAGTTGTCAACGTGGAGAAGATATGGCATACTTACTTAGTTGCTTACTTCTTCCAGAAAAAATCTTACTCAGAAAATTTATGGAATTATTAATGATCCTCGCAGGTAAATAGACCTGTGAGAATAACCAAAGCCTGGTAGATAGTTGCTTCATCGGTGGCTAAAGCCTTGCTTCCGATATTAATAGTCCTCTGAGAATTACCGAGACCTAGCAAATTATTTCTGTGGCAGCATGACTGAATCAATGGATCTTCGTGAATCGCCTTACCAAAATCTCATTTCATTACCCATTTCTCCATCACCCACTCACCCCAGCTAACGTACCTTGTCATACTACCTCGAAAGTAAAACCTCCCGCTCAGCCTCGGCTCTGGAACAATTCAGCACACTCGTGGACCGCCTCACTAAATTCTATTTGATCAGGTTCTCATCCCTACATCGCTAACTCGCCGAGTAATTATCATCCTACCTCAAAACTCCGCTCAGCCTCGGCTCAAGAACAATTCGGCATGATACTCGCGGATCTCACGAATCTCAACACATCGCGTCTCAACACATCCTATCTCATTACCCATCTCATTACCCATCTCATTACCCATTTCATCACATATCTCATCACACTTTTACCATTGCCTACCTGAGTTAAATGTACACCAAGTAGTGAGTCATCAGACGGCAATCTACAACAACTACATCCCACGTGATACGACACGATACACAGAGAAACTGTTTTCAGAGAAAAACAAGCAAGTTTCATCGCAACTGAATCTGCTTCTGCTCCGCCAATGTTAGACTACGTCTAGATCAGCCGAGTAGCAGACAAGTGTTACGTATAGGGCCACTTTGGAATGGCGCGTTTACGGGTGTTGATCTACGCCAACAACGGCCTAGTGCTTACATGCTAGAAAGCAGGCATTTTAACTGTCATAACAGGAATTCCCTCAAGAATACATCACATTCTACCCTCTTATTGACCTCGCTGAACGTGACAACAAGTTCAACCACGCAGTCCACACTTCAGAAGAATGGGAATAAGATGAGAGGTATCGAATATGAAACCAGTCATCTGTCAAGTCGCTACCTTTCTCTCACTGTAGTAAGCATCGTGTTTGCCCCCCTTCCAACCCCTTATAACGCCCACTATCAACAATGCAAACGCGCAAAGAAAAAGTAAGCGGGAGAAATCTATCTACCATCGCCCCTCACGGAGTCGTAGGCGGGTCAAGTGGGATGCAATCAACTACTACCGGCTAGCCAATCAGTCATTTGGCCCTGGCTGCTGACGCCATCTCTGCGTTCTGGTCCTGGCACTTAACGGTGGCTTTCCCGCCACTCCTAGAAGAAAAACGCACAATACCTATCCCCCCCCATTCCAGAGGCGGATTGTCAGGATACCACCCTCCAATTTGGATTATTCCAAACCTCACTCCGTAGTGTCCATCGCATCGCCCGCAACTTTAGCCTTCAATTGTGCGGTACGTTCCAGCTTCCAGGCCTCAATCTGGCTGCGCAGAGCCGTATCAGGGACGACGTCGTCGATAGTCATGGGCTGGCGGGTGTAGGGGTCTTTCGGGTCAGACAGCAGATGCTGAACGATGGTAGAGCGGTCAACAACGTGCTTCGAGGGTAGGATGACGGGGTCCGTCATGAGCATGCCCATAATGGGGTCCTCGAACTCGGGAGGCGCGTCGTCAAAGTCGATGTCGGCCTGGTCGATAATCTCCTTGGCTGCCTCAAACTTCTTGCACAGCGCATCCCAAGCAAGTAGTTCCGGCAGCTCTTTCATTTGCTTGCCACGCAAGATTTGCCCAGCTGAAGCCATGGTCGATGGCTTGTAGGAACGACCGTCAGCCGCAACAGCCTCGATAAATGCCGAGCTGGACCCGAGATTCAAGTAGATGTCGACAATCTCCGGAAGAAGCGTTCTTGGGTTGAAATAGTACTTATCCGCGTTCTCCACCTTCAGTGATTTGGACTTGGGGCCCGTGAGGATCTCAAGGTTGTAGTCAAGCATGCCCGCCAGGCGGTGGACGATTTCCGGCATGGTGAATGCCTCGCTCAGTGTGGTGGTGAAGAGCTTCATCATGCCAACCGTCTCATTGACCAGCTGCATAAACGACGTAGCCTGGCCTTCGGCTGTGCGGAGCTCCTCTTCAATCTTTTCGCGGTCTTGTTGTGATAGGGTTCGATCCTTTAGCTTCATCTGCATGTCGTGGATCTTGGGAAATTTGCTTAGACCCTCGTCCAGCACGTATGTGGCGTCGTTCATGAGCATATTGACGAATCGAACAAAGAACGACCGATTTGTCCTATTGAGATTAGTATTGCTGCCTACCTACAAGAAGGAAGCGTAGTGAACTTACTTGCTCGACTGTACCAACTCATTCTTGTACACGTCATTCACCCAGATGCATTTAATGATCTGAAATATCTCATAGCGAATGTTAAATTTGTCATAAAACTGAGAGCTGGCTCCCGTGGACTCGCATTCGATGTAGAACTTCATGATGGCGTGGAGTAGATAGTCATTTGCGAATCGGGTGTTCGTCAAAAGATCGCCCAGTATTCCCTTGCTCAGGTGGTATGCAGGCCAGGTCCCGTGAAACAACAGTGAAACGAGGGACGACTTGAGGTATGGGTTTCGAATGTACTCGGACGATTCCAGGAACGTGATGCAAAGAGCAACCATCTCGTCGCCAACCGCCGAGATGATGACCTGGGGGATGTAGCGGAAAACGAACTTGAAGTTGTCCACAATATCCTGCAAGGCATATTCTGGAAGGCAGCTGAACGCCTCTGGTAGCGATGCGGGTAGAGGAAGACGAAGCGGCTTGTCCGGAGTGTATTCTGTCTGGCTGGCAACCCGGAGCAGCCAGACTGTCACGTATCTCATAAACTGCAGAGACCGGCTCTGCATCTTCTGGTCCAATAGCACGCCCTCAATCGCGAATCTCAGAGCCATCGCCCGTTCTAGGACAGCGGTGTGCCTTTGGAGGGTTTGCTCGAGTATCCGAAGCTGATCTGGTCGGTTAGCCAATTTGGGACGCTCTGCTTCGATCATGGCAAGATTCTTTTCGTAGAACTTGATGTCCTTCTCTAGGTTCTTCATCTTGCTGTTGGCCGCCTCGCTGCCGTAGTGATGAGCAGCAAGGGTCAAGAAGAAAACCTCAGTAATGAAGTTTGACTCGCCATCAATCTTTGTGGCGTAAAACTCATCCGACTCCGACTGGTCGGCATTCAGCTTGGTCTCCTCTTTGATGTCCAGCCGAGGACTCCTTCTGAAGTAGTTGACGTCGATACGGCCAACTTTAGAGAAAGTATTGTCCATAAAGGGCTCGCAAAGGAAGTCGAGAACAACCGTTACATTCATCATAAAACCATCAGATGACACTTCTCTAGGGTCGACCTGGAGAGCTCGCCTCTTGTGGTTGACGTTCATGATGTAAGCGAACCAATCGAGGACTCTATTCTTTGCCTCGGGACTGGCGCGAATAAAAGCATTGATAATGGTTCGGAGGTCAGTCTGATGCGCAGAAAGGCTCATTTGCAGGGCGGTCTGTGATGTCTGGACGCTGCCCTTTTCCATGGTCCTCGGTCCTGCGAAAAAGACCGTAGTGACTTCGGGCTGGAGGGGAGATAGCCGGAAGAACGGACCAAGTAGAGTGTTCTTTTCTATCCCTGGTGCTGATTGCGCCATCTGGAAGGAGGAATGGCCCGCCAACGCCCTCAAGAGAGGCGGAAACCTAGAGTAAGTTGTGAGAGCCTGCAGAAAGCTCTTAGCCGTTATGCTCGCCACGAGTAGATGAACAAGAGCAGTGGCTTACATTGACATAGGGCTTGTAGTCGTCGTTCATGCTGAGGGTAGATAGTTTACTGCTGATGTCCACCATAGCTCTAGTGAACAGCGTCACGATGGAGTCATCGTCGTCGAGGCGGCCCATTGCCTCGGTGAAGAAGTCCATACACAACCCATCTTCACTCTCCACCCGTCGTAAAACGTACGGCACCAATGTGTCATGGTGCGGGTTCGGCTCCCGACTAGCAAAAGGGTTAGTAAGAACGAGTCAATCATGGATGTTTCGTATTATACGTGCCCGAAGAGCTCCGGCATGGTGAGGGCGAAGATGCAGTTGCTGAAACACAGCCGCTTTGCCTCCTTCAAGATCTCCTCCTTCTGGGGGGCAGGACCGCGGAGAACCTTAAGCGCACGCGTGACGCGCTTCCAGCAGGGGAGGAGGTAGTCGAGCAGGGGTTTGTCGCGTGGAAACGCCGTGGCGCCCTCCATTATGGCCTCCTCGACGCGGTCGAGCGACAGCTTCAAGGGCAAGCCGTCGTTTGCCAGGTCCTCGCTTAGGGCTGGCAGGAAGGTGAGCTTGTGGCCGATGCTGCCTACCGTACGGCTCGGGTCGGCCGAGATGCGGAATACCGTTTCGAGTAGACGGTTGGTGTAGTCCTCGATAGGCTCGTCCTTGGCCGGAGTGTGCTTCTGGGGCGGCGGGGTGCCTGGATAGTCATCAATCTCTGAGACTCGTCTCTTTCGAGGGAGTTCGCCACTCGTGGTACCTGCTACGCTCTTCGGCGCCCCCGGGGCCGGCGAGATGGTTATCTGTGTTCGCTTTCCTTTTTCGGCCTCTATCCTGCCCTGATCTGTAGCCTTTGGCGAGCTCGGGGTTACCGCCGCCGCCGCAGTAGCAGCACTAGATGTCTCGGGTTTCGCAAGCGTCGGAGAAGCTACCGATGACGAGGGAACTACGCCAAGCTTCGCCATTCGCCTCTGCCGTATCTGCGCCATGGTTTCCTCGTCGGGGGCGTCGGGCGTTGTCTGTGCAGGCGGTGCAGGGGGTGTGGGCTGCTCAGCCGGAGTCTCGGGCTCGACGGATTGCTCGTTCGGATCCATCTTCTCGGTGGCCGCTAGGAGTAGTGAATGAAGACGCCTCAGAAGCGAACGACAGGGCCGAGAGATGTCGAGATAGAGAAAATAGCCCAGAGGTAAGGCTGTGGTTGTGGAGGAGGTTAAGGTTGCCTGGGGCCTGGATTAAACCATGGTGGGGTTGAGGACAGCTGGGGAAGGGCCCCTAGGTTGCGCAACTCCAGGCTTCGCTTCGTTGGAGCCTGGTGTGAACAGGGCTGAAGTCCACTGCTAGTGTGGCGGGCAGACCTTAAATTGGATACTCGCACCTGATTCGCCAGCGCGCAAGAGAACAGAACCTCGCAGAACTGGGAAGGGGACTCGGAGCAAGGCTTCATTAATAAGCTCTTAAGCCCAGATTTGTGCCTGAAAACCGACAAACTTTGGCCACCTAGAAAGCTTGTTATTTTTCGAGTGTGGTCAAATTTCCTTGTTGGCAAACTCGTCTGTTGCAGTGTTGTTGATGGACAGGGTGGATGAGCCAGGCACTGCACCACACACAAAGCAGTCATGCAAGAGGCAACGGAACAATTAGTAATGCAGTTCTAGAAATAAGACAAAACATTCGCAATGCGGTGAGGACGAGGGTTATAGGTTGGACAATACGAGACTAGGACCTCCGCTACATGTAAATGCAGTGATAGATTCAGGCTCTCGACCTGGACCTTTAGGTAGGTGATGGCTCGGTTATCATTTGGGTATGAATACGGATACCGAGGGTAGAATTACAGGTATGGCCCGACATCGGAACCCAAGCAACGTACTGCCGCGAGCCCTCGAGGCAAGACAACAAACACTCGTCAGTTTCACCAAAACAGAACCCCAATGCTTCAACTCTAGGGTAGCGTCCAAGAGGAATCCGAATAAAACAAATATACGCCAATGTTTCTCCTTGCGGAGGACCTAAGTGTGTATGCCCGCCGTCCATTGTCTCATCTCCCAGCTGGCCACGCAGACTGACTTGTACGAGAGCCGAAATCACGATATCCATGGCCCCAGAACCTTTTTGAATGTGTTATCCGTCCCAAACCTATAAAATTTCGCATCTCTCCGTCTTCTGGTCCTTCACTGGTCCCCCATACATCTCCAACGCCAAACCAAAGCAAATTCGTAGACTATAAATCTCATAAATCATGTTTTTGCGCAATTCCGTAGCCAATGAGGCATCGGCGGGTATCAAGACCTTGAATCCCCTCGCCCTCAGGAAAATGGGCGGGAAAGGAAGAGGAGAGGGGATGAGCTCCGGAATGGGCACAGCCTCACCCGAGCTTAGAGCGTGAGGAGTTTGAGTTCGAACAATTACCGTACTCTCTTCAGTTCCATTATGTATTAGAAAACAAAGCAAGTGCAGGCGAGGCGGGCCTCTATAGACGGGGTGGGTGTTGGCCTCTGCCGTCACTGCTGCGTCGGGACATCGCGGGCGGATTGCTGTGGTAACGGCGTCCTTCCTCGTGGGACTGGCCTCTCGTACCCGCTCCGCCACCGCCTGGACTCGATATCCCCGAGGGCGAGGGGGCTCCATTAGCGGCGCCGGCACGCCCTTGGACATTATTCTGCTGCTGAGTTGTAATGGCCAGGGACCTGACCTGCAGGCCGAGGGCTCCCACTCGGTTGGTGAGCTCGTATATCTGCTCGTTCAAGCGCAGCAGGTCGTTGATTTGACGCATAGTGTGCTGGCTATCCGACTCCAAAATCATCTTATGTGCGCGTTCAATCTCGGCCTCGAGGCGCTCGAATTGTACCAGCATGTAGTCTTCGGTGGACCCCCAAGAGGCACTGTTTGCGGCAGCGGAGGCGGCGGCACGCGGGCTCTCGGGTTGGACAATCGGTACGAATCCGCCCATGAAGCTGCTGCTGCCGACCCTGGGCCGGGTAGGCGGTGATGTCTTGCGTTTGATGCGCGCGTCTAGACCGTCGAGGCGGTGCTCCAAGTCCTCGATACGCGCACGATCCTCCAGGCGCAGAGATTTCAGCTCTCCAATTGCTTGATAAACGCAACCCAGACGCTCGTGTTCTTCAATTGCTGGCCTCGTGTCGTGCATTTTACAACCGTGGCTGCGAAACCTGCAATACTTCTTTGTCCCTGGGCAGTCCCTGCCGAGATGTTTGTCCATGAGATGGCGCACGACAATTGCATTGCAGTGGGAACATTTTGCCGTGTGCCCATAGCAGCTAGTATCGTAGTGTACCTCAAGTTCGGCAATCATCACCTCCGACTCGCAATAGGTGCACGCAATGTTCCTGTGCAAGCATCCATTGTCTGGATGCGCATCGGCGCGGGGGACGCGGCGGCTACAGGTCGGGTCCGGACAGTGAACGAGAACGTACTCGCAGTAGACGTTGTAGTGGGCGGGGAGTAGCTCGCGAGTGCAGAAGAGACCGCAGCCCTTGCTCGGACACTTGACCTTGAGGCGGTCAAGCTGGTCGCAAATGACCCGCGCGCGGTAGAGGTCTCGGTCGGCGTTGACGGGCTGGCGATCGATAGGACACACGGGCTGCATCTCGAGCGAGCGGCTTATGCATTCGGCGCAAAAGGTATGGCCGCATGTACTGGTGGTGAGTGGCATGTAGAATGGCGTGTGACAAATCGGGCACTGGAGGGCTTGGTCCACGGGCGTCTCATAGTCGAGCGACTGGTAGTCGATAGACGGGATGCAGTCACAAAGTGTAGAGCAGCGGCTGCCGGCTGAATTCGGCCCCTGGCCATCCCCGGCTGTGGAGGACGGCGTAGGTCGTGGTGACTCTGGAGGGGATGCTAGCTCCGACGATGCCAACGTTGGCGAGGGCGGGAACGGAGACGGGGCTGCTGAAGCTGACGTCGATGTCGACCAGCGGCTGCGCCTCCTCTGTGGGCCTACACGGCCATTGAGGTTTCGGTAGTAAGACATGGCTGCGGTTTGGATCTCGTCTTCGGGAGTGTTTGGGGGTGGCATGGCGGAGGGGCAGAGAGGTAGGCAATGAAAGGAGCCCAGGGTCGCGACCGGCAGAGAATATGTTTGGGTCGCCACGGATATTGCCGCGCGTGGCGGGCACGTCGTCAGGTCGCGAGGCTTGTTAAGTGGAGGTGCCTGACGTGACTTGGGGAAAAGGTGCAAATCGCGATAGGAGATTGGGCTCGCGCGGGAGACGCAGTTACCTAACCAGTGAACCGAGGGTGTCACTGGTCCATGCCAGGGATGCTTGCAATGCAATCCCGAGCAAGAACCAGTGAGGGCGGGGTTTATTGTCTAGGCTGCGGGTTGCGGGTTGCGGGTTGGTGCCCTGGCTGCGTGCGGGTCGCGGTTTGCGACAACTCTCTTTTTATTCAACCAATTGGATGTTGATTGTCAAGGTTGAGGTCCGACTCGGTCAGGTAACCGAGGTCGAAATGCTCTGCTAACCGTGAGCTCGGAATGCCCCTCGGGTGTGTGGGTGACTAGCTGGTTCAGGTTACTGTATGTACTACCGATACCTACTATAGTACACGTGTAAGTTCCCTTCCACGGTGATATGCCAATCATTGACTTCAAATTTCCCAGAAATGTCGTTATCTAGGTCCTCATGGAATAAGTCCGCTCATGGGTCTGCGAAGTATCTCCGGTACATATATCAAGTCTGGCTTGACTGTATTCTCGCAACTCGGTTCTTGATGCAGTTCACTCGATTAATTCCTCCCGCTGGCGCCAATATGCACAATTGCACATGCACATGCGCGCTCTATGCACAGTCAAATATTGAGTGGAGTGACACTTTGGAAGATCGAGTCAAAAAGGGGCGCCCGCCATCGCTTGGACCTGGGCTGTAACCGGGTTAGCTACCTATGGGTGTCAGGGAGCGGGGTAAACGCCCGTCCGTGACAACAAGCTCTGACAGCTGAGGTTCAGTTACAGAAAAACAAATGGTGATTATCACTGGGAACTATATGCTTTATTTGGAAATGGATCTGTGTATGCTGTAAAACCACTTATTTTGAAGACATGCAGAGCCTACAGATAATATGGAAACCAACTGAAAGTGCTAAACCAAGCTACAGTCTACTTACCTCAGGATCCTTGTTTGTCGTGACATTTCATTCATAGCATCCGCAAGTAAGATAAATAATCGTAACTCATCCAGGGAAAGCCCTCTTTGCCGAGTACTCTGCATTCATAAATCCATAAGCTGTTACTCTGTGTTAGGTATAGACTGAAGAGAGAGGCCACTATTTTCGTTCTCTTTTTCCTTTTACATGGTCGCTCCCACGGCCTTAGAGTCGACCACAAGACTCGCCGCCTCCTCGTTGCTCTTAGGCGCCGCCAGCGCGACCGTGACCTCGGAGTCGCGGGCATAGACACGAAGCCCGATGACGCACACGGCGTTCCAGGGCACCCTGTCCTCTTCCTCATCCAATGCTGGAGTCTCGTCCTTCTTCTCGTCCTTGTCCTCTTCATCCTCGTCCTCGTCTTCTTCTTCGTCGTCATCATCGTCGTCGTCGTCGTCATCATCAACCACTTCCTCTGCCTTCTGTTCAACTGCCACCGTCTCGGCAGACGCATCGGCCTTCTTGTCCTCGTCCTTGGTCTCGGTCTTGGCAGCTTCTTCAGGCTTGGCCGTCTCCTCAGCCTTTGCGGGCTCGTCGGTCTTTACGGCCTCCTCGGGCTTGGCAACCTCGTCGGTCTTGGACTTGTCCTCGACCGTCTCCTCGGGCTTCTTCTCCTCCGAAGGCTTGCTGCCCGCTGTCGACACTTCTGCGGTGGTGGTGCCATCTTTGGTCTCGACCTTGAGCTTGACCTCGAGTGCCTTGGCCTTCTTGGCCTTTGCCTTAGCCTTGGCCTTCTTGGCCTTCTCCTTCTCCTTCTTGCGCTTCTCCTTCTCCTTCTTCTTTTTCTTTTTGTCCTCAGCCTTCTTCTTCTCTTCCTCTTTCTTTTTTGTCAGGAGCTCATCTTCATCCGGGATGCCGCCCTTGGCGTGGGCAAGGTCATACTGCATGCCGACCTGCCGCAGCTTGGAAGGGTTCCTCTCGGCCCTGTGGTGAAAATGTCAGCAAGCACATCTTCTGGTGAGTAGTGAAGCGATCAAAAGCCCGTCAGTCACTCGGCCCTGCGGGTGGGGAAATACGTACTGCTCCTTGACCACATCCTCCACCATCCTCTGCGACTTGTGGCGAGTAGCCGTGATCTTGGGCAAGACCTCGTATCGGCCAGGCTCGAGGTCCAACTCGCAGCTTACGGAACGGTTTTCCCAGTCGTGCACAGGACGGACTCGGCACAGGTGCTCGTTGCTCCCTTCCTGTTGCAGAAGGAAGTGAAGCGAAAATTGATACTGGCCCTCGAGTCCGACGAAGTAGCGCTCGTCAAGCTGCACAGACGTGTCAGAATAAGCGGTGAGAGATATCTTGATAGAGATGGCGAAAAGAACATACCTGGGTCAGGACAACAACGACGGTACCGCTCTTCTTGACTTCAATGATAAACTTTGTGTTTAGGTAGCCGGAGACCCATCCAACATTGACACTGGTCCATTGCTGGACAACAGTCCACTTTTCATCAAACAGTCTCGTTCTGTGCAAGAACATGAAAGTCTCCAGAACATCCTTGTACGACATCCAGAAGATGCCGTCGTCGCCGAACTTGTGGTTGAGCTTCTTGAGCCTGCGCATCACAACGTGTTAGCGTGGCTCCAAACCCCGTGTCTACTTCTGCGGGGGGGGGGGGTTGACAATGTTCACTTACCAGTAAGGAGTCCACTCCTTCGAGCCATCTGACCAAGGGCCATTCCACTCGCCGATTCCATTCCAGGCTCGCTCTCCCCAGGGGTTTCTGCAAAGAAATGTCAGTAATCTCTTCTCGAAGTAGGAGCGTCACGTAAACAAACCTGATCTGAACCAGTCTAACTTTCTCCCCGTCCTCGCCTACCTCCTCGGTGGCTTTTAGGATGGAGTAGGCGTGGCCCAGCGCGAGGCCTCCCTTCTGCCAGTCCCAGCCGGTGCCCAGGGCAGAGAGGGCAAAGACGAAGTCGCCGTCGGCGTTGACAAGCTCCTTCCAGAGCTTGTCCTTTTTCAGGACCCGGTTCGAGGCCACCGTGGTTGACACGCCGCCCGTCATGTCCTCGACGGCCTCGCCGGGGTAACCGCCCGAGATAGCCTCGTAGTCGTTGTGGACCTTGGCGTAGGCCTTCTCGAGGAGCGGCAGCCACGTCTCGTTCGGGTCCTCGCACTTGGCAAAGTACAGCGCCTCGGAGCCGGTCTGGTAGCGCTTCCTGTGCTCGCGGGCGCGCTTGCCAGTGGAGTCGTAGGTGTCGCCGTAGTAGTCGAAGTCGGTCTCTTGGAGGTACAGGTTGTCGTCGACGACGGTGCTGATCCACTCGCCATCGCGGTAGAAGACAAAGCCGTAGACGCCAACTTCCTCGTCCCGGATCACGCAGACCTTGTCCATGAGCTCCTTGCGGTGAGCAATCGTGGCCACCGACGCCAGCCACCAGCAGTCGCCGTTTCCGCCCTGCTTGATGTCCGACGACGAGTACCCGTCAATGGTAAACTGGGGAGACTCAAAGATCCAGTCGAGCCGGTGGATTGAGCCAGGGTTGTACCTCTCGCCATGGGAGACGGCGAAGCGGCGCTCTTTTTCGTCGTTGTTCCCTTTAACCTGACCACCGGATGCTCCGCTAGCCTCGGTGCCTAGAGCCCGTGAGAGGACCTGCAAGTTACTATTAGGCTGGCCATTGACGCCCTTGGCGCCTTCCCCAAAGAGGAAGGCAAAGGGGTTGCTGTCGTTGATGTAGTCGCGCACAACGTTCGCATCTAGGGGCACAGCGCCGCCGGAGCCTAGGACGTTGCTGCTGACTAAAGTATCGAGCGAGCGCTTGAGCTGGCCAGCGGAGACAGCCGTCCTCTCGTCGTCGCCGTACGACGAAGTGCGGTAGTCGTCGCGGACCAGGCCGTTGAGGCAGTTGCCGTCACCCCACGAGTCGGCCTCGATGTCGAAGTCGGGGTCTGTGAACTTTTGGTTGGTGCGATTGCATTCGAGGATGATGCGCTTCACATTCTCGCGGCACTCCTTAGCCGCGGCCTCGTAGCTCTCGGCCGCGTTACGGGCCGAGCTCGCGCCCCGCGGCTCGATGGGCGGGAGAAGCGTGGCATAGAGGCTCCGGGGGAAGATGGAAGTGACCCGACCCGTCTTCTTGGCAAAGAACTTGTCCCAGAAGTCGCTCACAAGCTCCTGTGGCGTCTTGGTCAAGTCCTTCTTCTTGGCGACGACCACCGGAGGGACCGACATGATGCGGGTGCTCCCGAGTGGGGGACGTGGGAGTTGGATGTGAGTGTAGGTTGCACAGCAGGCGCAACAAAAGAATCCAAATAGGAGCAGCAAGAAGCTGGGGAATAACACTACAAGTAGGCTGTAGTACTGTGCTGTACAGACAATAGGAACGAGGTATACCTAGGTTGCAAGGTATTATGATGTGGTGCCTGGCCGGTCAAGACAATGGAGGGAGAGACACGGAGCAACCAGGAGAGGAGACAAGGCACCAGACATCGCGAGGCATGCAGAGTGTCCACCACGCCGGCTTTATAAGCGGACACATGGTACGGCGAGGCAGGGCCAGAGCCCAAGTAAAGAATAATAATTGGCTGGACGTCGTCCACGGACATCAGGGTCCTCAGCTAGCGACATGACAGCAGCGAGCTGGGCAGCTCTGTGGAAGTGGAAGCTCCTGTGTCTCCTCCTCCTGTGTCGCAGCAGGGATGCGTCGACTGCTACCCCACGCGGGCAATGATTCGTTTGGCCGTGTTAGGGCTGACCTCCTGCAGGTGGTGCAGCAAGCTGCTGGGGTTCAATAGGGAGGTCGATTAGGGCGCCTTACCGAGTCGGGGTAGCACGGCTGCAAGACCCATGGCTCCTGCCACGGCTCTCAAACCTGTGTGGCGTTGGTGGTTGGTAGGTGCCGTTGGGCGCCTACCTGGTTCTCAGTAAATGCCTCGACGAGGCTGGTTGGGGAGCACGGATACGGATACAGCTTCCTCATAGGTCTTGGCGAGTAGATGGGATGACTTCGCCGACGGGATGCAGGTCGCGCCGTGGCAGACGTGAGAAGGAAGGAGGACAGCCCCGTCAAGGTATGCCCCTTTATGGAGATGCCGTTAGCGATAGAGCAAACTGGAGCTCCATCTATGTCCGGAGATGACTTGGCCAAACTCGCATCGGCATCCCATTGGACGTCCTACTGGACGTTTTCTGTGTATGGGGTATTGGCGCGCTTTTACAGATGTGTGTAGTAACCTAGTCGTTGCCTGTCTGTGGCGTGGAAAGATTGCTGGCCAGCCTCCTATTTATCTAAGACTGAAGCAAGTGCCACTGGTGGTATTCGTAGCTCCTTCCGTAACCCGCAAAGTCGGCATAGATTACTAAGTTCCTGGTAAATTTAGCTCGATTACAAACATTGGATGTTGGCTGAGCGGCAGGGAGCCAAGTCGACAGGGTCTGCGATTCGTTCCAACTTTAAATTCTGCGGAATGGGAGGCAAGCGAGCCTGGCGCCTACGACTTTACAGGGTACACGGCCCTTACCAGACTGCGTTCAGACTTCACAGCAGTGGCCTGGCAGTTACGGACATTCGGACGGGTTTAAAGGCAGTTTCAGGGAGAGACAAACCGAGCGGCGTCGGTAACTTAGCCGCACAAGTCAAGTGTTCCACAGCAGCATCGGACGTGCCATGTCGCCATCGGCTTGGCCAGTCGAGTAGGCATCACGTCCCCAATCCAACTCACTATGGAACCTGGAAAGGCCCAACCAATATCGGAACTCCGCCTGAGATCTGAACGGGCATCCCAAAAATAGAAAAGCTCGCCTTTTCCCACTATTATGTATTCGCTCATCCTAAACCTAACGTCCATTAACCAAATTATACAAGAATCGCTGGTTTCCATTATACTCAGGCCGCGAAACCACCCGTAAAGCAGCGGGGCTGTTAGTAGGCAACCCTGTAAATGGCACCAACTATTTTCTCCTTTCGTCTGCCCCCAACCCATGTCGTATCTGGGGTTACTCCGCACTCTAAAGTCTGACATCCAACCTCGCCAACCCCCCAGAATATGTACCTTGCCGCTTGGAAAGGATTAATTATCCAGCCACCGTGAGGACGAAGCTCGCCATGCCCCGCGCCGGCACTGACACGCCGCCCACGGTGCCGTCGGCGGCGACGGTGGCCGGCACGGATGCCATGTCGTTGGTCCCGTCGGTGATCCAGGCCTTGGCAGCCCCCGCCTTGACGCCCGCGACCGTCACCGCCGCGGCCGCCGTGCCCGAGTTGATGGCGACGACCGCCACCGTGCCGTCGGCGTTGACAAAGGCCGTCAGCTTGAGGCTGGTGGCGCCCGACACGCCCACGCGCACCGCGCCCGGCCTGACGACGCGGCTGTACTGGGCAAACGCCCACAGCCGCTTGGACACGAAGTAGCTGCCGCCGTCGACCAGGACCAGCTTCTCGTTGTTGTTGTTGTTGGTGGCCTTGTCCTGCGTCGCCACCCACCATAGGTACGCGCTCAAGTTGCCCGACGTCAGCCCCGTGTAGATGTTGTTCGCCCACGTGTAGCCGTCGCCCGTGCTGCCGCTCCCCCCCGAGTACCACGCCGTCGACCACGACCCGCTGAGGTCCGAGTACTCCGACTCCCAGACCTTGCGGCTCGTCGGCTGCGTGCCCGAGATGGCGCTCGTGTACGGGTGCGACGTGATGACCCCGATCAGGTCCTCGACCCCCGCGTCCTTGAGTGCCCGCGTCATGGTCGCCTGCGCCGTCCACCCCGTGGCGTCGCAGCACGTGATGGCCACGCTCGAGAGCCCTGCCGACTGCAGCGTGGGATACAGCACCTTGATGAAATCGGCCGACTGCTGCCCGTTCGACTGCATTGACGCATAGCTGGTGCTGTACACACGGATCAGATCAGCTCACGTCAGCACAAGGTCGCAATTAGGTAGGCGGCTCGTTTGTCTGTACACTTCAGCTAGCGAATAGCTTGGCGAGCTCAAGGGGGTTGGGACATTAGATAGAGAGCTTTGACGCCTTGGCCTATTCTCTACGCAGCAGCAATATGAGGAAGGCGTAGACTCGGAGCCAAGAAACACGTCATCTCATGCCGCTCACCTAAAGTCAGGCTCGTTGAGAAAGCCCAGATGGGTAACATTCACCCCGCTTTGCTATCACGAGGCGAGGCAGGTAAGCAAGCGGTCATCTCGATCGTCGCTCAACCGTACCAGGGTTGGACGCATAGGGTGGGTAGGTACTCTACACACCTGGTAGAACTGGATATACTTGACCAAGTAATCAGCATACGCCTGCCGCCAGTCGCCGCTGCTGCACTTTGCGTTGGTCACTCCGCAGAGCGAGCCGCCGTTCGAGTCTTTGCCGTTCGTCTTCATGAATCCCGGCGCCGACCATGCGTTCGCGTAGAACGTCTTGACCCCGTACTTGACCTGCCGATTTTAAGGAGTGGCTTATTAGCGCTACCCGCTTATGTTTCTTTCTGCCTCGCCTTGTCTGAGTTCCTGCTCGTCGTTATAGTCACCCGGCCTTGCAGATAGATGGCTATCGACTGCAGCTGTTCAGATGGACACAGCCATCTCCGGCTGCCCGGCCGACGACTGCCGCACCAACGACTTACAGCTTGCTGCGACACCCACAGCTGGCCCGAGTCCTTGCCGTCCCAGACGTAGGTGGCGTTGGCCGAGGGGCTGGCCGGACCGGCAGGGATAATAGTGTTCATCCAGTCGTTGGAGCTGTTGGGGCTGCTGCCGATGCCGTTGCGCACGATGCTGAAGCCGGCGCCCGACGTCGTGTTGAAGAGCAGGTCGACGAGCTGCGACCGCTTGGGCTCCGCCAGGTTGTAGATGTTGTACGCCCGCTGGAACGCCTCGCTGAAGCCGAACCCGTCGATGGTCTGGTACGTCTTGGACACGTCGACCGTGATGGCGCCGGCGCCGCCCGCCTGGCGTGGACCGACCGCTCCCGCCGCCGTTGTGATGAGTTGGGATAGATGCATCTTCTCCTTTTTTCTTTTTTTTTCTTTTTTTTTTGGTCTCGTCCTTGTTTCTGAAGAGCTACGAGGACAACCTGCAAATAATTTCCGGTCGACGAGTCTCGAGCCTCGCACTATATATATCTCCCTCTCCATTTGCAGTTAATCTAATCGTTTCCGCCTGCCCAGACGCCTGGATTCAGGAACAGCGCGTCCGACACTATGGATAAATTGCGGGCGGGCTTTCCCTCGAGGCGAACCCCCTTTCCCGTGAGGGGACGGACATGGTAAAGGCGCATCATCCAAAGACGTTTTTTTTTTCTTGGGGCCGGGTAGATATATATATTTGCAGAGGTTGCGGCGGCCATATATCAACCTGTATTAGCCGGCTGGACAACTCTGGACCTCCACCATCAGGATACACCCGCCGCGCCGTCCCACAGATCCGGCCCGCCATCTACCTTATACTTCAACCCCTGAATGTTTGTTGGCGTGGTAGCTAGACAATTTCAGATGGTAAAGATCACGGGAAATATAACGGCTAGGAAAAGCCTTTCATAGGTATTTCTAGGATAGAGAAAGGCCTCAAGGTTCTAAAATAGGGATTCTAATAGCTTTTACCTCCCTTAGCAAAAACCTTTAGGGCGAGCCGTAAGTTATTAAGGCCTTTCAAATCTTGGAGAGTCCCCCACTAACAACCTGGAAACTTTCAGGGATTGGAGTGAGTAAGTTAGCCAGCCGCGTCACGTTCAATGGAGCCATCAAATAACACACACAAATATGCATAATCGGAACAATGGTATGTTGGTCCTGGCTGTCCTGGCTTCGCGGGGCAGGTTAGAGAATGACGATCGGCTTCCACCGTCTTTGGTCAGCGCAACGTAGTGCCTTCGTTGCTCCATTAGTATCTCCACCGATCGGGCTGTCAGTTCTATTTCCAACATCGCCACGTCGAATTCTTCTTTGTGGCGCCGGGCCCGCTGACCATTTCGTCGTCCTGTGTCAGCAGCGCTTCGTCTAGAAAGTCCCTGGCTCTGCTCTCTTGGCGCCTCATGACCCCGTACCACCAGCCCATGCCGCCAACTTGATATCGGAACCAGGCTGGGCAGGATATGCCATGCTGTTCGTTGCTCTTTGGCTGCCGGACTGACGCCATGGACGAAGGTCCCGGTACCTTGCCAGGCGGCGTGGAGTAGAGATTCTTGATCTCTCCCCGCACCGTCTCGACTTCTGATCCATCATCGTGGTCAAACTCCAACTCTAGTTTTTTTAGTATCTCAGCCCGATCTTTCAACTGAGTTTTGTAAGCAAGAACTCGATCCCTAAGACTTCCCCGTAAGGGTCCTTCACGCCCCCGGCATTCCTCGAGTTCCGAAATAACTCTCCCCCACAAATTGTATTGGGCACGGGTGGCTTCCATCAGCTCCTCTAGAATCGGTATCACGGGCGCCATGATATCGGGTCGCTGGTATGAAGGTGTGAGCAAGAGGATGGGCCAATTCTCCCGGATAGTATGGGTCCATATGTTCTCTGCCTCGCGTCCGAAGGTCTGAAACACCTGTACTCCCATTCAGCGTATTCTTCCAGTTTTGTGCCTTGGAGATTCTTCAAGGCGGCGTGCATTTCTGCGTTTTCTTCGTGGAACGACTCCCTCCCAATTTGAGACCGAATCCTTAGAATCGATTGTTCGGCAAAGTCCCGGGTCCAGAATGGGTGGTGTTTCCAGGCCTTTTCGTATATTACCACACCTGTCTGGGCCCTGACAAAGCACATGCCCACAAATTGGAAAATGTCATCTCTGCCAGCAAGCTGCCGGCGGAGAGTTGCCGCCGTGTCAAGGCCGTGAAGCAGAAATACGGAGTCCGTTTCCAGGGCGGTTGGCGGCCCTGTAATGAAAAGAGGCCCCTCCCAGACAGCAAATCCGTCGACAGACTGGTTCCTTGAATAACCCTCTGAAAGCTCTGTTATCTTGACTCCATGCAAGCAGAGACCTCCTTGAATGGTTACTCGCGCCAGAGGAACCTGGTCAGGGTTGACTAATTCCCATGGCTGTGAGACGAGCTCTGTCCTCGGCCTTGAGATCATGAATTTAGAAGCGATGCTGATTTGGGTGACGCTTGAGTGAAACGACTTGATTTGCGACATTATATCCCAGTCTCGAGACAAGAGTTGCCAGTCAGGCACCCATGATGGCAACGACTCTGACTTGCGGTATCCTCCTGCATACTTGAGCACCTCTGCCACTCCATGCCTTGAGATTGCAAAGTCAGCGAAGCCCGTGTACCTAGACGCCCAAGGTTAGCATATTCTGGCGGAAATGATGAAAAAATAGTTTAAGCTGTATTAAATGCTGCAAAAAAAAAATACGCACACCTGTTCCATCGAGAGAAAATACTCGGCCAGCAAACTATCTGCGGCGGCGCCAGAGATGACACCGAGCAGAGCAAACACTTTGTCCCGTGGGTCGCGTGCTTGCGAAGTCCACGAATCAATGACAAGCTGCCACAGATCATCAGACGTCTTGTATGCCCTGCTCTCAAAGTGTTTAATCCAGGGAAGAAAGGTGTCTGTAGCCGTGTCCTTGTCGTAAATCGGCCAGACATGCGAGGACGCGCCTTGCGTCACGATTGCCACTTTCGCTGCGGCAATCTCCTGAATTATCCAAGCTCGGAAGAAGTAGGGACGCTTCAAACGGTCGTTCATATCTCACCACTCCTTGTCCCACTCGTGAAGACGGGTCCGCAGGTGACGAAGACGGAGATCGAGCTCGGGTTTGTCGTCGCCAAGATGGATAAGCACACGCTGTGCCGTCGCATATATGATGGGCATCAGCTGGACTTGACTTGAGCGTTCGCGAATGTTGTTTTGGTCGATGCATATCGCGTCGACCCAAATGAATCGGTCCTTGGCCGGCAGCCGCAGGGTTCGGAGAGCAGCCTCGCAGTTGGAAGTAATGGGAAACATGGTCCATTCCTTACCCAGATAGAGCCTCTTGGTCCTGCTTGCGTCCCCACTTGCGTCGGCTCAAGTGTACGAGACGGCTTCGTACTCTGGGAAGTACTTGAGATGGTGCACCCTGAGGGTCCCGTACAAAGCGTCGGTGCCTTTGCCTTTGCTCAGACGGAGGATTCGGATACTGTCTGTCCCAGTTAGTTCATCCGGCGCCTGACCATCTTGTTTGTCTATTGCGGGAGGGATATTGTCGTCCTCCGTAGGCGTGGCAGGCCTGCCTGAGCTAGGGGAGGCATCGACATGCCCAATGACATGGGATAGCACGGGGGTGATATCATCCCCATCCACCCCAGTACAGCTGTCGACATATTGAATCGAAGAGGGCCACGAAAGGGCAAGTGCAGCCCGTTTCCCACTCGGCACCGGTGGCGCCGTTGGAGCTTGGTTTGGCTCGATGTCTTCGGCTGGAGCCAACGAACCGCAGCTCATGCACAATGGATTGCCATCAACGAGCTCAACGTCAGGCCGGCCACACGACGTCTCATGCCTCGAAGCCATCCTTCTCTATTTCTATCCGTGCTCTTGATGCTAACAAAGTCGGGAGATACCGCTTAGCTCGACTGGAAGCACTGTTACTTGGGAGAGGATCAGAAACGGCGATTGGCCATCTCTGATTGAGGTGGAGTTGGACGAGAATGGCAAGGCTGGCGGCTCGTGGAGTGATGCCTCTTAGCCTGCCGTCCTTGACTCTTTTCTGACAGCAAATCACAGCCCTCAATGCGCCTGCAATCTGACGACCAATGCAAGGCATACACTCCAATCCCTAAATGTTTGTTAGTGGGGGACTTTCTAAGATTTGAAAGGCCTCAATACCTTACGCTCGCCCAGAAGGGTTTTCGCCGAGGGAGCCAAAAGCTGTTAGAATCCCTATTTTAGAATCCCAGAGACCTATCTATTCTCCAAAACACATATCAAAGGCTTTTCCTGGCTGGTGTACGGAGTATTCTGCCCAAGTACCACGCCGACAAACATTCTGTACTGTACATACAATGGGAGCCAAAAAGTCTCGCGCCACCCACTTACACACACCCTTTTAATTGAAAATATCACAACTCTATCAAACAAAGCCCAAAATACAAGCAAAATATACCAAAATGATCTCAATTTAATACTTAATCGCCCCGACCATTGAAATTTTGAGTAAATACTTCCATCTGGGCATTATATTAACCAAATTCGTCATCAACTCAGGGGTTATCTAGCCCTAGGTTTCCCGTATGGCCTTCGCCAGCTACACCACGGTTTTAATCCTGCGCCGTTATGCCCCTATTTTGAGCTTCATCTAGTACCATAGATTCTCAATGGGGGAAAGATGCAGGCTTCGTACGGGCCATTCCAAGACCCTAACGTCGAAAGCCTTCAACAGACCTAGGAAGCCGTTATGGTGATGGGCAGCTCCATCCTCTACAATTGCACGCCATGACCGTACTTTTCCTTCATCTTATTGTAGAAAGGAAGAAATTAGGGAATAAAGACAAGATCGGATATTCCTACCTATTGAGACGGGTCCCCTAAGGGAATGGGCCGTTTTTCCGGCCCCATAAAGCATCCCCACACACCCACTTTCGTACAGTCACTCTTGAAGGTAGGCTATAGGCAGTTAGGGTAGTATTCCTCTTCAGGGGACCGAGTAACATAGATTGTGCGGCCGTCTTCGCCTACTTCAAAGCATACTTCGTCTAACCAACAGATCAGGGTCCAGGGAGTATACTTATTAACCCAGCGGAAGTCTAGGCGCTTCTTTTTACTCTTGAGAGAGATCCAGGGCTTCCTACGAGCACGCCAGCGTGCCGTAATGTGTATTTTGAGCAGCTTTCTGACCGTTTTCCAGTTGATCCTGTGCCCAGTTTTCGAGGGCATTCCGAGGGCTGTGAGGGTCTCCTTACGTACGTTATCTGCATAACGAAGAAGCTTTCGAATGGCCCGCTTATCAAGCTTATGCGGCCTCCCGGACCTAGGCTTCGAAATGAACGGGTTTTCATTGCTATTAGTTAGGTTTTGGGTAACCCTCTGTATGGTGCAATTGACGGTGGATTTCCCGACCCCCATTTGGGCCGAGATGGTCTTACTTATAGCTCCGACGACGTGGAGAGCCCAAATCCGGGCCCTTTTTGCTTCTGAAAGCTCGCAATTGAAGTTCTTTGAAATGACGGCCATGCTGTGTTTTTTTGTTGTAAAAGGATAAAGCCGGTGAAGAAGTTCATCGTGGAAGGTAAAGGGGTATGAGGGCCAACCAAAGCGTTGGTGGCTTCTTTTAGTGTGTAGGTGGCACAAGACTTTTTGGCTCTATTGTAATGTACATACATACAATACAACCTGCGCAGCCATTGACCCCGCAAGCAAAATGCCCTCATGCTGCCCAGCGGGGACATAGCATGAAAGGAAGGAAGTGTGTGGGGTGTAAGAAAGAATAAATGACCGAAAAAAGAAAAAGAAGAAAGAAGACAGAGAAGTGCTTGAGGATCCCATGCGAGAAGAGCTACCCATGATTCGAACGGATCTGGTTTGAAGCTCAAGGTCACGCTCGGCAAGTCGTCCCAAATTTAGGCCCGAGAGTCTGCTGTGCAACAGGATGTACGGCCAATGTCTTTCTCGGTATTCCGTATTCCGGATCCGCTCGGCTTCGAGAGTCCCGGGCAGTTGCAGGTCTGGATCTTGGGTAAGGTATTCCGTAGGCAGGCTGCGCGTCGGATGGGGTGCTTAGCCGTCCGCTTATCGACCAATTCTAATAAGCCTGGGCGGCGTCGGAAAGCGGCGGCAGTGAGTTCCCCAGGTTTCCATCCCTGAAAACAACCGGATAGTGAACCTTAGCCGCTGCAACGCCATAGGTATGTACAGTACATAACCTGGGAGTTAGCCTAGCTGTGGAGCTGCAGCCGGAGCCGCAGCCGCAGCCGTTAGCTCAGGTTCCATCAAGGCAGTCCTACTGATATACATCTTGGGTACCTATAGCAAGTTAGCTGTTCTTGAGTCTTGTTCGTACCAACAGGTAAGGTAGGGAACCTAAAATGGCAAGAAAGCACATGACAAAAGCCTCTTTGTCTCGTCACCAACTCCAGCCAACCGGGCCGCCAATTGAGACGCCGCACTCGCGTTGCTTGCAGGGCCAAGACGCGGAAAATGGAAAATAGGGTCACTGGACTTTGATGGGTAGTGAGTGAGAAAGTTTAGGTGGTTTCAACGTTTATTGGTGCCTTCATTCAGTGGCAAGGAAAAGAGGAAGAAGTGGGAGAAGAACCCGGGTGTGCGCATTGACCCGAGACTCGGATGGATGCTTCTTTCCATTCCATGGATGTCCCCATTCTCAATATTTTGCGGACTTGGGCGGTTTCCAATTTTGGATCCGTTCAGCTTGCCCGTGCAACGTCCGCTTCACAGGGCTTCTTCGTACTGTAAAAACTGCCCGTTGACGTGGGCCCAAGCGATCCTAGCTCGATAGCCCCACTCAATCCCCCCGCAGCTACCCTCGGCGGTAGCAGGTTTTGGTTCTTGCCCCTCGGTTGACGGGAGCGAAGCCCCCTGGTCGTCGCGTGCGTTCTTGACTTCGGCAGGCGCGAGAGGCTAATTGAGGCGAGAGCGATTTTTTTTTTTCGTTTGTCTTTTGGGATCCCATTGTTGGCGCTACGCAACCAAGTGCCATCACATTAATTGTGTGATGAAAGCTCGGTGCCTTTAACCACTATAAAGTGCATACAGTATCTCTCGACACAGCGTTCCTGGCGTCAACGCGACGGCCCCGGCGAGTCACTCGAGCCCCGCGCAACCTATTCAGGTGAGAGGCAGGCGCGTCGGAACTGCCATCGAATCGCCTAGAGTTGCTGCGAGAAGCCGCCCGCCCTGTTCAAATGAGCCACGGACTCGACGCCCGTTGCGTAACGTCAAGATCCAATGGGAGACCGGTCCACTAGATAGTGACGGTAACCGAATCCATGGACAACAGCACGGCCAGGAACGAGGCCAAGGGCTCAAAGTCCGACACGCTCAGCCTGAGCATGGGAGTGACCTTGAACACCGTGAGCGACACCAAACCCAAGGATCACCAAGCGCCCACGCCCGCCACAGATGAGTCCCACACCACAACAACCCCAAAGAAGCGGCGCAAGGTCAATCATGGTAAGCAACATAGCCCCTATTCCCACCCCTATGGAAGCAACATGACGTGCCACCCCTCCAGTTCCCCGGCCCAGCCCAAGCCATATCCATGTCCATGTCCATGTCCATGTCCATGTTCATGTCCGCCCCAGCCAGCGCCTCACAGAGCTAATGCCGTCTGCACTGCTACAGCTTGTCTCTACTGCCGTCGATCTGTAAGTCATGCCAGTCCAGTGTAATCCGTACATGCCGGGCGGACGAAGCCTGTCCCCAACCCCTGTCCCCAGCTATTGGCTCGCCCCCGCTCCGTGAGCCCTCCGTGGGCGGCTGCCTCTCCGGAGAGAGAGTGAGCCAGAGAAGGATAGAAAGGAGCCCTGCAGAAACATCTACGGCTGTTGCATGCACACTACTTTGAGGCGTTACAGTGGCTAACCAGGCTCCCTTCTGCCCTCTCCAGCACATGACGTGTGATCTTGTATGTATAACCCGTCCGCCATCCATGGCTTGAAATATTGGTCCGCGAGCCGAGCAGCTATTGACCCCCTGGGCTCCCCGCCCCACTCCCATCGAATAGGAGAGGCCATGTACGAGATGCGTCAAGCGGAACATCGGCCATCTGTGCCATGACGAGCCCCGAGAGCCCGAGTCCAAGAAGGCCAAGAGCACCGTCACCACATCCTCAGTGCCTGACTCCGAGTCCCAGCCAGACCTCGGGCGCAGTGCCGTAGACCAGGCTGTGGGCTCCATGGAGCCCCTCTCTTTCGGTCCGGCGGCAATGGGAAACGGCCCTGGCCAGGCGGCGAAGCCTGGGTTCGATGCCGCAGCCCTTGGCCGCGAGAACCCCAACTCTCTACAGCTCGTGCAACCCACACCAGTATCGGGCATACAAGCCAGCACCCTAAGCAGTGCCATGGGCCAATGTAGGTCGTTCGATCTTTCACTTGCGTTTATCGCACAGGAGCTGAAGCTGCCGTCCCCAGTCCCTGCTTTCTCTGACGTCTGGATGAACGCCCAAAACCACTATCACGACATGCACAGCTTCCACCCCAACTTTCACATCACGCCCGAAGTGACGAATGAGTTCAATCTTCTCAATGAGTTTCTGCATTCGAGCCTTCTTGACGGCGGCGCGCTCCTCGCCGATGACCAGCCGCTCGGACAGGGCCAGGCCAACTCTGTCCCGGCCCTTCAAAGCAGCAGCAGCCCCCTTCCACCAAGCGCCATGCCGGATAATCTTATGCCCCCTCCGCCTAATTCTAAGCAGGCCAAGTCGATTACGAGACCGACAAGCGCCCTCCCGACGGATAAGGCCCGCGAATACTACTTCCAGGCGGCCGATCCGTCGGGCAACGCCGACCCAGAGGAGCGCATGCAGCACGTCTTGAGAGCCAAATACGAGGCAGGCCTCTTGAAGCCATTCAACTACATCAAGGGGTATGCTAGGTTATCGGGGTATCTCGACACGCATGTCGCGACGTCATCGAAACAGAAGATTTTGAGGCAGCTCGACCGTTTCCGGCCGAAGTTTCGCGAGAAGATGCAAGCCTTGACCGATATAGATCTGATCTTGGCTGAGATGTGGTTTGAACGCACGCTCATGGAGTACGACCGCGTGTTTGCGAGCATGGCGGTGCCAGCCTGCTGCTGGAGAAGAACAGGAGAGATTTTCAGGGGCAACAAGGAGTTTGCCGAGCTTATCCACGTGCCGGTCGAGGATCTCCGAGGAGTAAGCAGCCGCCGTCTGGCTGCACCCTTGAGTTTGTTTGGTCTATTGTCTAACGCGATTTTCTCAGGGAAAGATCGCCCTACATGAGATATTGACAGAAGAGTCGAATGTGAGGTACTGGGAAGAGTTTGGGACCATAGCCTTCGACCCAGACCACGAAACCCTCTTCACAGCTTGCTGCTTGAAGAGTCCCGACGACACATCGAGCGATCCAGTTCTGAACTGCTGCTTTACGCTCCGGATTAGGAGGGATGACAATAAAATGTAGGCCTCAACTCCTTCTCCCGGCGGAAAGCAGCCACTGTACTCAGTTTGCTAATTTGTGCAGCCCGAGCTTAATTGTCGGCAACTTCCTACCTCACGACCCACCCCCTTGATTCGTCCCCGTATTTTAGAAATACAGTGTCTGAACTGTTTCCATTCTAAGACGCCAGCGCTTAATCTCGTCTCCGCCATCATGGGACTTCTATGTTGCTCTATTAAGAGCGCGACTTTGGTGCACCACCTAGACGTGGGGGTTTTGTATGCCCCGAATGTTCATAGAGACAGAATTGCGTCTTCAGTCTTTCAAGGATTGAACAAGCGCCGAGCATATCGGTGGATGAGTCATAGAGATATCTACTTATCTACCAAGGTAAGATCGGTGCCAGCAGGGCATGGAAACCTGGTGATTGTCATCGGGAAGGTGCCGTCGAAGGCAGTTGCAAAATCGGGCAGGTGGAGATAGGCATATGGTGATGAGTATCGCACCTTCCGTGAAGCTGAGATCAGCCACGAGAGCCAGAAGCCTGGTACCTTCCATTAGGACCTTACTGTCTCGCATTTACTTCGGGTTCCAAGGAGTCCGCCTACGTACGGAGCGCTATCATCTACGCGCACGATCCGACCTAGGTGGGTCGAAGTCCATAGGAACCACCCAACAGCTTCGTGCCAATTTTTATTGTGTCCCCTGCTATCATCGTCTCGCCCCGTTTATGCGTGTATTCAGGTTCTTTTGTCAATCTCAATCAACCTCCAAGTCGAAAGCAGATATCTCATGTCGGCCAGGACACCCACTGCACTTGCCGCGCATGACGAGAGGAACTGCACGGGCAAGGATACTACTGTCACGTCCGATCAAGTCCAACTCGACCCTAAGCCTTCCATTATAAGCTTCAAGCATGCCCCCCGGACAGAGACAGCTACCCGCAATCACAACCCAGCCAGGAAATGGGATGGAGAGGCGCATAGAAGCCGTGGTTGGTATGCGATTCAAGCCCGCCCCCCACGGATGCCCCTTTGTGTGGTGTTTCCGCGACATTCTAACCCAGTTGGGGCAGAATTTGCCCATGAACTCTACCGAGTTCTCTCAAGCGGCCCGCAAGATGCGCCAGCTATCGACGCCCTCGTCGACCAGATTAGCAAGCATATCGACAAGCTCCACGTTTTCAACCAGAAATACCTTCCCGGCCTCTCGGGCGACCCCGAGATCGACAATCAAGGAAGACGGCTTTGGAACATCTCTACCACACTGCGCCAAGAATGCGACCCGGCTTCGAAGCGGCTGGGGAGACTCTGCGTCTACGCCCGGGTTCTCGCTTTCCATTTGCTTGCTATTTCCAGGCCAAAAGAGAATTGCAGGGCGCACGACATGATTCACCTGCTGAAGCTGGCGCTCAAGGCAGCTCGCAATTGCATAGGTTCGTCTGGGCCACACTTCTACGCACACGAGACAAGCTGTAGGTTGGAAGCTAGTAGCTGACTTCACAAACCGGACTTTTACAGATACTTCCGTACCCGCCTTAGCTACCCTCGTGTTACAGAAGGCTGCCGACTACAAAGGGTGCCTCCAGGATCTTGCGCCTCGACTACCAAAGGACGACGCGGACGCATGTAACTGTCTTGAGATAGAATATTTCATCGTCCGGACTGCTTTAGTATGTCGACCTGTCTCAATATGAGTCTGCATCTGCACTAATGGACTCTTAATGTTTGGCTCTAGCTGACCACTGCCAGTCTTGGGCAGAAAACAGACTTGATGTTGCCGATCACATGTTTACCAAAGCGGAATGCCTGCACAAGTTCCTCACGCCCGAGTATGCCGAGAGCCTTGCTGACGTTCTTTACGAGATCGGAAAGACCTCAAACGCCAGAGCCAACTATCCCATAGCAATCAAGTGGCTCGAGCGGGCGAACGAAATCATCAATGGCCAGAATCTTGAAGCTCTATCCCGCGAGGGCAGAGAGCTGCGCCTGGCCATTCTACAGGCGCTTGTAACCGCGCTCCTGGGTACCGCAACCCCTGACAGCTTAGGCCAGGCCAAGAACTATGTAGATTTTATGGAGGTGGAACTGGGCAACAAGTTGGTCGTGTCGCTTCTCAGACTGGATCTTCTCCAAAAGATACCTGCCGAGGTCTTTGACAGTGAGGGCTACGCCGAGGTACTGCGGCGTATCATAAGGAACTTCAACTCTTCGGACGCCGGCTTCAAGCTCATCATTCACCATATCCGGAAACTGCACGACAAGAGCCCGAGTATTGGATGCGCAGTGTTGGACGACTTTATCATGGCCCTGGTTGGTGCCGACAACAGCGACTGGATGGAGAGGGCCGTCGTCACGCGGATGTGGATGATCATCGGCCACCGGGATTCTGTCGACGCTATCAATGATCTCCAAGGTGTTTTCTCGTATCTTACGAAACCCTTGAGTGCAGAGGCGGCCGCTGCAGCCCAGGTGGTAAGTTTCTCTTCTGCAGTCAGTTAAAATAATGCTAATATGTGTTATTTCAGCTCATCTGGAAGAAGCTAGAATCAAATTATAGCTTGAGTCGGTTCGATCTGGCAGAGAAGTGGGGTTTGCTCTCGCTCCATGACGTCTTTCAGAATGGCGGCCCAAACAATACATCGAAGTTGGAAAGGTACACAGGCAAGCTTTGCACATGTTCAGTTAACTGAAGGCTAACTCCTTGCAGGAAACTGCTTCTTTGCGCCCTTGCAAGAAACAGTATGGAAACTGCGGTGTCAGTAATGCATAAGCTGTCCAAGCAAAGCTGGAACGAACCCATGACAGCATATCTGGCCTTCAAAGTTGCTATACGAATCGAAGACCGAGTGCTGGCTGAGCAATGTCTTCGGACAGTCAGCGCGGCGCCAGGTCACATCGACTATCTTGGTGCCTGCATTGCCGAGTCTCAAAAGGTCGGCGACATCTTCTGTGCTATTACTGCACTGAAGAAACTGCACGAAAAGTATGAGTACAAAGAGCCGAATCCTATACACTTGCCTGCGCTCTTCCGCTGTAAGATCCGGCTTTTGCATTTATTGGTGGAGAGATCAGATGCTAAGGAGACCGCCGTCGTCGAGGAGCTGTGCGATGAATTTGACGCAGGCAAGATTTCCCCCCCTTCTGAACACTTTCTGCCTCTTCAATACTAACCTTGTATTACCAGTCGTCTTGGCGCTTCAAGAGCAGAAGCAAAACCCAGACATTCGCAAGCTCTTCGATGTTGACGAACTCGAGTGGTTTAGTAGGAACGCTTACAACTTGGCCTTGAAGAACACAGCTACTTGGGAGCTTCGTCTCGTAGTGCGAATGCTTACCTCCTGCGTGGGCATCATCTGCCAATTTCCCCCAGATGTGGGATCTCAGGTCGAGCTTTCATTAAAGAAACCCTTTTCTCGCTTCATCATTGCCTCTGCCCTCGTCTCTCTCGCGAGAACCCAGGACAATGTCGAGAAGCGGCGGCATGACTATGTTATCATGCGCGAGCACGTCATGGCGTTCGATGGCGAGCTTCCCGGCTATCTGCCACATCTGGACGAGCAATCGCGAGATGACATGATACGAAAGCATGCTACGCTACTCACATTTGACTTTGAGGCGGCCATCTTCCTCGGCCAGTGGGATGATCTGGGCGGCATTGTGCAGCGCGCCGTCACTTGCCGCAGCATTACGGCGTATCAGGCCATGGCTGATAGCCTTCTCAGGGCTCAGGCGCCAGGGCAAGGTATGTGGCATTCTCCCTCTCTTGCGTGCTCATTTTCATCAATGTTTTCTTTTTCCTTGTTTAGGTTCGCCTTTTCTCGCTGACTCTGATCTGTCTTTGTGGCAAGCTCTTTACTCGACAATACGGAAGATCGTCAACGAGATCTGGGTTTTGGAGAGCTTCGACGCTATGAAACTAGCCAAGTATACACGCTGTATGTTCCAAGCAACGCTACCTCTCGACGATGGCCTGGCAATGAAGCTGCTGGACGAGGCTTGTAGCAAGGTCAGAGAGCTCCGTGAGGTGAGTCGAATATTCTTTGTTCATAATGCTGCCCTTTTTTCTCTTCCATCGTGTCAAGCTGTGGTTTATCCCCTCTGTAACACTAAGGAGGACGGTATTTTTTATTATGTTCTTTTGAAAGTATATTTGACTAATATATGATGTGTCCTGGCCAGAGCGAGGCGCACTGGCCACAGGAGGAGCTTGAATGGATGGCCACGACCGCCTTCAACCACGCCATCGACTGCTACAGCGCGCGAGAGATTGAGCGGGCCAGGGACTGGGCCACCAAGGCCATCAACCTTTCACACTATTGCGAGGACGAGGGGAGCGGTCTAGAACGTACCCTGCAGGACAAATTTCTGCGCTTGAACTTTGGGGCCGCGGAGCCAAGTTGATCTTTCTTCTTTTATTCTAGCTTGTATGTGACAGGCTTTATCAAATCTGGTGCTTTCTTCAGACCGATAAGAAAGTCATTTGAGGGTTCTCTTTAGTGAAAGAACGGGCGCATGGTTGTATGTATCCTTGTTACTGTGGAAGTCGCTCCTAGAGTAGGCGAAAGAAACAAAACGTGAATGCTGGTTGATATTGGCTTGGTAGCCTGGCAGGTGCTGGTTTGAGGGCTGTTCTCTTAATGTCTCTTTAAAAACTTGAGATACCTATGTACCTTCAAGACCACACGTAATTCGCCAACAAATGAGCAGCGACTTCATATGACTACATTGTGTACATGATATTAGAATAAAACTATTGGTGTTTTTAAGCGGCTGTGGACAGGACATAGTGGTGCTTAACTCCTTTTATTCGCTTTATTTACCCACATGGCATCCACGATGGGATGCCCCTTGCCATACTTGCCAGGTACGAAGACTCAGGCAAAAAGAAAGGGTCACCTTCCCTAGTGCCTTCCTAGTGTAAGGCTCAGAACGCCATATCCCAGAATCTTTCACAGCGTAAGATAATGGTCTTCAGGACGATTGCAAAGAGTTTAACGGACACCTAGCAAAGTGGCTGTACTGTAGGAGTTGGAAATTTAGCTACTGCGAAGCGTGACCCTTTCTTTTTGCCTGAGCCTTCGTACCCAAGGTAGGATCTTTGCCCAGCAACGTGCTTTTGAGATGGTAATGTAGCCATTGAGATCCTGCTCGTGTTTTCTTCCAAGGTAATAATAATAGTCTCACATGGGCAAGTAGTAATCCCTCCATGCCTGCTAGTCTTTAAAGTTGGCAAATCCGTCTAAGTCCTGTTGACACGGGGTTGGTTGGCTTGTAACATGTACGCCGTACGGCGTTCCTCCTCATTCTCTACCACGCCCTGCTGCTGTTCAAAAGCGAGCGCTGTCGTGGGCAGGCCCGCCGACCATGACGAGGATTTCGCTGGGAAGCGTCTCGATGGCGTGAGCTGGGCCGGCCGAAATCAGACATCAACAGTTCTTGGTGGACGTCGTCCCGCTATGACCGCCCCCTACTGCAGGAGTGTCCTCGACGTGAATTATTTCGACTGGTTTCGATTCGTTTGGCGGACAGTTTTCCCTCTTCAAAACCCATCGCCGGCGCAGAGACATCAGTATCCGGCGTAGCCTCTGTACAAACGGCATATTCTTAGTCGCTTGTGAGTCTGGAAGGAACCTGTCGGGGAACCGAGCTGTCCAACACCATATGGGAGTAACGTTTAAATAGAGGTATTCGATTATGCTTGTTGCCGCGGGAGTCTGAACTGAGAGAGCTAGAACCGCCGAGAGATCAAAGATATGTAGGTACAGTTGAGAACAAAGGTTAATTAAGGGTAACCGACTACAGGCCAAGATGCCTATCGGCCCCCCCATGACGTTAAACAAATACTACTACTCGAGGGCAATCGAGGAAGTTGAGAAATCGTGCCTAAAAGAGCTAGATTGGAAAAAAGGGTAAGACTGAAGGTTATTTAATCTCTCTCTCTCTCCCGTCGACGACTTGGTATTTTTGCCTCTTTCCCCCCCCCCCCCCCCCTTTTTTTTTTTCCTATTGTTTACTTATTATTCCTTGCCCTTCTGGAACACACACCGCCCTGTTTTTGCGCCTGGGGTAAAGGCAGCGTTCGGGTTGCACGCAAGCAAAGAAACGGGGACGAGACAAAAGACCGGGCTTCTTTTAACAGTATGCTTCACTACTAAGTCGCTGATATTGCTACGCCCTATTGACAATCCAATTTCTACTAATAGAAAGCGCTCTGGATTTGAAAAATTAAAAGAAAATAAAATCCAAAAGAAAAAAGAACAAGAGAGCAAGACGAAGTAACTAAAATAAAAAGGAAATTCCCGTGGCTCGCCCGCAATCCCCTCAAACCAGTTTCATAAGATGACTCCACGAATAATAGATAAATACGCTATTTCCCTCGCTCTCAATACCTACTTAAATGGCAATAAAGAAGTTCTTCTCGCCCTCCTTGGGAACGACACGCGCGCGCTCCATGATAGGATCGACGCAGGAGAGCCTGATCCTTTCGGGTGTGGCAGGGCTCTCAAGGCGAAGCAGACCGTCGGCGGCGTCATCGATGGCGACGGTGGCGGCAACGCCGTACTGGGCGCGGGCGGCCTTGAGGGCGTCACGGATGGCGAAGAAGACGGCGCTACCCATGAAGAGCGGGGGCTCACCGACACCGCGACTGCGCTGGATGGTGCGCAGGTCCTTCCACTCGACGTCCTTGAGCAGAGAGACATTGAAGACTTGGGGAATGTCGCGGAAGCCGGGGATCTTGTAGTTGCCGGGGCCGCGAGTGAACAGGTTGCCGGCGAGGGGCCCGTTGCGCAGCCAAAGCGACTCCTCCATAGTAAACAGGCCAAGGCCCTGTACAAACGCGCCTTCAATCTGGCCGTAGTCGATAGCCGGGTTGATGGAGCGGCCGACGTCCATCTTGATGTCGGCGCGCAAGCACGTCCAGGTTCCTGTGAGCGTGTCGATCTCGACTTCGGAAGCCGTGACACCTTGGGTAAAGTAAAAGAACATTTTGCCCGTGTTGGCACCCCACGTGTAGCCAATCTCGGGCGTCTTGTAGAAGCCTTGGGCTGACAAGTTGACGCGGTCAAAGTAGGCAGCGTGTGCTAGCTGCTTCATGGTGGCTTCTGGGCCGAGCTTCTCGCGGTATGGTGCGAGGCGCTCGTTTAGCTGAGCGCAGGCATTGTACACAGCATAGCCGTTGAGGTCCGACGAGGCCGACGCCGCAGTGGCTGACGCATTGGCTACCGTGTTGGTGGCTGTTTCCGAGATGAAGACGTCGTCCAAGGGTACGCCCAATGCCTGGGCCGCGATCATAGTTATCTTGGTGTGTAGACCCTGGCCCATTTCAGTACCGCCGTGTGCGACGAGGATGGAGCCGTCGTGATAGATGTGGACCAGCGCGCCGGCTTGGTTAAACCAGAGCGCCGTGAAGGAGATTCCGAACTTGGTCGGGATCAAGGCGAGGCCGCGCTTGCGCCACTTGTGCTCGGCATTAAATTTTGTTACTGCATCCCGCCGTGCCTCGTAGTCGGCCTCCTCTATAACCTGCTTGTACATGAGCGGCACATGCCAGTCAGTCAATGGCTGGTTGAAGTGTGTCTGCTCCTCGGGCTGATAAAAGTTGATCTCGCGGAACTTCTCGACAGGTATGCCCAAGCGGTCAGCCACCTCGGACATGTACGACTCGGCGATGAACATGCCCTGAGGGCCGCCAAATCCACGGAAGGCTGTGTTGGACATTGTGTTTGTTTTGCAGATGCGTCCGCGGACGTGAATGTTGGGGATAAGGTAGCAGCCATCCGAGTGCGACATAGCCCGCTCGCAGACAGCCGCGCTGAGATCCCAGCTCCAGCCGCCATTGTTGAACACGTCCAAATCGAGCGCTTGGATCTTGCCGTCCTTATTGACGCCCACTTTCCACCGACCCAGGAACGGGTGGCGTTGCCCGGAGACGATCATGTCCTCCTCACGTGTCAGCATGCACCGAACAGGCCGCTTCGTCTTTTGTGCCGCGAGGGCGAGGATGCTGCTCAGCTGGACCGACCGCGACTCCTTTCCGCCAAAGCCGCCGCCCATGCGCTTCACCCGCACAACAACCTTATTAGCCTGGACGTTGCAGACTTGAGCAGCATATACTTGACTGCAAAAAGAAAGTGGTCAGCAGACAGCTTTATGGCAACATGTATAGGCAGGAATGGATAGGGGTATGGTGCTTACGCTTCATTAGGGTTTTGGGTACTAGAAAAGATCTCAATCTCGCCATCTTCAGGCTTAGGCACGGCCAGAGTGACGTTTGTCTCGAGATAGAAATGCTCCTGTCCGCCGATCCTGGCCACACCTGTGAAAGTGTAGTCGCAATTCTTGAAGCCCTCCTCAGGGTCGCCCTTCTTGATCTCTTTGAAGAAGTTGAAGAAGCTCTCCTTCTCAATGGCTTCCTCCATGGTGAAGATGGCAGGTAGCTCCTCGTACTCGACCTTGACGGCCCGGGCCCCTTCGGCAGCGCGCGCTGCCGATTTGGCCAAGATCAATCCGATGGGCTGCCCTGCGGTATAAATGGTGTCCTCGGCGAAGAACATCTCCTCGAAGTGGGGGGCGCCCCAGCGGTTGGCTTGGGGGTTTGGCATGTCGTTCTTGTCGACATAGTCAACAACTCCTGCAATCTCCAGAGCGGCCGAGTAGTCGACCGACTTGAGCTTGGCGTGGGCCTTGGTGGAAAGCACCATGCAGCCATACAGCTCATTCTTGAGGGATGGAATATCATCGGTATACTGTGCCTCGCCCGTTACCTGCTTCAGAGCGGCAACATGGGGGTTCGATTTTCCAAGTGTCTCTTGCATATAGGCAGCGGAAGCTTCTCTGTCCTCTTTTCCAGTAGAGATTTCTCTTTCAAGTTCGGACACGGCTTCCTCATCGACGGCCGTCTTCTCCCCGCCAAGGCCTACCATGACTTCATGGTAGAACCGATAGAAGAAGCTCAATGCCAGCGACTTTCGGTATGATGCCATGCCGCCGGGCACTCCAAACTGGAGGTTGAAGTCTTGTTCGAGGGAACTCATGGCTCCCTCCAGAGTCTCGAGCTCGGCGAACTTCTTGCATATCAAATATTCGTTTGTCTTCTTTGCAGCCACCGTGAAGGGCGCCATGCCTCCGTAGACGAGGTTGGCTGCCTCGACAACGCCGTCACCATCCAGGCGGACTTTTAGAGCCGCTGTGACTATGGCGATATCGTCATCTTTCCTCTTGGCCTGCTTATAGGCGCGGAAGAACTCGTTCTTTTCCTGCGTATAAGGAATGCGAATGGAGGCGAGAATGGCATCGGCAGGGAGCGCCGTCCGCCGGTAGCCCGTGAAGAAGTTTGCCATGGGAATTTCGGTCTCCTTTTCTATCGACTTTGCTACTAAAACAGCATCGGCAGCCATGAGGACAGGATTCAAGTCAGAGATGGGAGAAGCAGTGACGAGATTTCCTGCCGGAGTGCCAACATTTCGGATTTGCCGGCCTGCAAAGTACTTGAGCTGCTTGTGGACTGCGCTGAATATTTGTCCTCGAGCTTCTCCATACTTCTCGACGGCGTCGTGAGAGAGGATCTCGAGGTCTGTCAGGGTAATGTTGGCGCCGATCTCGAGATGGTCATCCTTGAACGAGTACTGCCTCAGCTCGGCAATGTCGCCGACAAAGACGGAGATGGGGTACTGGAAAGCCTTGAACTTGATCTCAATCTGCGTCTCGGTGCTGCCGCCAATGATCTTGGCATTGGGGAAGAAGTTCTTGATCTCGAGGAGCTGGTCTAGTGTCACGGGGCGGTACCAAGTCTTCCGTTTGTTGCCAAAGGCCAGGGGCTTGAGCTCAAACTTCTTCAGGGCCGGAGGGAAGATGAGCTCCGTTTCTGGGTTGTACTCGATGAAGCCCGGTGGGGTGAACCTCTTGATGGGCTGGTCAGTGTAGCCGTCCTGCTTTCCGTCCTTGCAGCAGCCGCCGCCGTCGCCCTTCTCCATGCAGCAGCCGCCGCCGCCGTTGGTCTTGCTGTTACCGCAGGCGGTTTTGGTGAAGGTCTGGGCGGCATCGAGAATGGGGCGGTAGCCGGTGCAGCGGCACAGGTTCCCGTCAAAGGCTTCCTCAACATCATGCTCGGTGGGGTTGGAATTGTTGCGCAGAAGGGCGTACAGACTCATGACGATGCCCGGAGTGCAGAAACCACACTGGGAGCCATGGCTCTTGGCGACACGCTCCTGGGCGGGGTGGGGCTTCTTGACGTTGCCGATGCCCTCGACGGTAATGACGTGCTTGCCGTCGATGGAGGCCAGAGGTGCCAGGCAGGCGTTGACGCTGGCGTGGTAGATTTGCTTGGTGGTTGGGTTGTACTGTGAGACGACGACGGTGCAGGCGCCACAGCCGCCCTCGCCACAGCCCAGCTTGGTGCCCGTCAAGCCAATGCCGCGCAGGTACTCGAGCAGGGTGATCTCGGGGTCGACGTCGTCGAGAACAACGCGGGTGCCGTTGAGGTAGAAGCGGAGCGTATCGTCAAAGGCCGTAGTTAGAGCCGCCGGCGCACGCTCCGGAGACACGGCCGAGGGAGCCATGATACCCAACGGCTTGAGGCTCGATCAAAGGTGGCTGGTCCAGTTGCGTTGCTGTTCCTTGGGTTGAAAGAGCGATGATGGCTTGGCTGGCTGGATGATTCTTGTTTAGATTGGTTCCACGTTTGGATTGTCTTGTACTCGGCACCGGCGCAAGATGTGAGACGAGATTAAGCAAAAAAGACCAAGATGTCCTCAGAGGGCTGGCGCAGCCAAAGGCTGACGACGGATATGGCCGGGATGACAGCAAGTCGAACGACTAATCTTCCTTGTCTTGTAATCTTGTCAGAGTGTTTGCCGTACAGTACTGTACATACAAGTCGTAAGCCCCAACAGCAGAGGCAGAGGCAGAGGCAGCGGCCAGAGTCAAACGGCCGGCCGTCGTTGCATGGAAGAATAAAATGTTAAATTGGAATATATATCTCTCAGGGCCGCTGCTAAGGTAGGCCAGCGGGGACTAGAGGCAATTAAAGGAGATTGGGAAGGTGAGGCACAAGGTGGGTGCAGTCATCATTGCCCAGCAAGTATCCGTAGTAGTCGGTGGCAACTGCTCTTGTTGGCATTCGTTCAATCCCACAACCAATTCCCTCTGCTCCCCCACTTGGCTACAGGGATTATGCTCGGATCGGATTTGCAGACACCAGAGGCGAACTGGGCATGGCTCCAGATTATTCCCTTGAGTGCTAAACTAGCGTCCAGCTCCTTGGCAAGCCCTGCGCTCACCGGGCAAATCAAAAGCTCTCCCTGAGCCTAGGGAGTTGGCCAGGCGTTGCGAAGTGAGTGCACCTGCTGGGTGCACCAGAGACACCTTATCGGGGCGGTGTGGGGGGGTTGTGCGGGGTGCGATCGCTCAACCCCGCCAAAGACACTTGCTGTCGTCGGCCGGCTCCGCAAGCGGGCACGCCAAGCCCAGCGGCTTGCTGATACAACCTTAACTCCGGGACCGCTGACATCCTGTGCTCGGCGATTGGATGAGTGAAGTGTGCGAAACAACTCGACAGTCACCTCGTTAGGTTCCACCAGATTCACCATCGCCAAGCGAAATCAACAAACCATAGAAAGTATCTAGCAGCAGTCATGTCAAGTTTGGCATGACGCTTTACCTTGGTCTTCTTTCTTTCCCTAGACTCCCGTCTTGAGACTGATTGCACAAATGTACCCGAGGTCCTTAGATAACTGCCTCTCAGCTTTCCAGATGTCACACCATATTTGCACTCTTTTGATTCTCCGATACCCCTAGGAAACGAGGCCACGCCTAGGTAGCTTCCACTCCAGGATGAATGTCAAGCGGTTTCATTTGCGATCGCATCGCGCTTTCTCTCCGCACTGATTCCATCTCTGACACCAAACCCGACCGTCTCACCAACCTTCTCACCAACCTTCTCACCAACCTTCTCACTAACCTTCTCACCAACCTACTTGTTTACCACCCATTGACAGCTCCCGACTTGACGTTGCTCGCATCAACGTTTGATATCTGTTCGGCCGTCCTACGCCTGACCCTGTCAATGTCTCCTGGTTCGGTTGAGTGCTGAACCGTACCTGCCTGGTAGTTTGCGGCAGATCTGCCGTGACCTTGGCTGAACCCCTCATTCTCCGCAATCGCGGGCGGACAAGCTGGGGTGCTCCCCTGGTGGTGTGGTGTTTAGTGGTGGTTGGGGAAACGGTCTCCGGGTAATTTTTGCTTCTGCAGCAGCAAGGAAGCCAAAACTACTGGCCGAAACGAGAAATTCCGAGGTCCCGTTGTGCCCGCGTATGTATGCTTCAGAAAGGAATCAGGCAGAGCTGCCGTGGGTGGGTGGCTATTCCATGTTACCGCTTATCCGGAAGACAGCACATTATATCAACCCGGCTTGATCTGTCCTCTTGCCCCAGTCTCTCTTCCTCTCTTATATGACTCTGGCGAATACGTGTGTGTGGCCCATCCAGTCTACCCCAATAGCCAATTCTTCCCCGTCTCTCAGAAAACCCCCGGGTCGCCAAGATGCAGCCCCAGTTCTTCAACGTCATCAATGATGAGCTCCGGGGAAGCGAGAAGACCCACGCCGTGACGGACCCACGGACCGAAGAGAACCTTTGGCCCTGCCCCATTGCCTCGACCGACGACTTTGAGGATGCCGTCGCTGCGGCCCGGAAGGCCTTCACCACCTGGTCGCGGACAACCGTCGCCGAGCGCCAGGCCCTCCTCGTGAAGCTGGCCGAGGTACTCGAGCAGAACGCTGGCGAGCTCGCCGAGATCCTCGCAAGGGAGACGGGAAAGTCGGTACGTACCTAGTCAGCTCTCTCGCTCTCCAGCGCATACTGTGTGTGTGTCAGGCCAAAACTGACTTTTGCCAGCAAATCGTCGCCTCCATAGACGTGAACGGCTCCATTGCCCAGTGCCTGTACTATTGTCAGTCCAAGTCCTGCCCCGCTCGTTGGACGGGAAACGGGAAAGAAAAGAAACCGAAAAACATGTAGATAGGGGGGCTGACTCGCTCACCTAACCCAGCCCAGAATGCCCTGGAAGACGAGGTGCAGTTCGAGGACGAGACCACAAAGGTGGTGGCCACGCACATCCCGCTCGGCGTAGTCGGAGCCATCTGCCCGTGGAACTTCCCGCTCATCCTGAGCAACATCAAGGTGGTGGCTTCGCTGGTGACGGGCAACTGCGTCATCCTCAAGCCGTCGCCGTTCACGCCGTACGCCGTCATGAAGTGGACGGAGCTGAGCCGTGGGATCCTGCCGCCGGGGGTGTTCCAGGTGCTCAACGGCGGGGCGGACCTCGGGGCGCTCATGACGCTGCACCCGGGCATCGACAAGATCAGCTTCACGGGCACGACGGCCACGGGCAAGCGCGTCATGGCCAGCTGCGCCAAGACGCTCAAGAAGGTGACGCTCGAGCTGGCGGGCAACGACGCGTGCATCGTGTGCGCCGACGCCGACCTCGACCGCGCCGTGCCCAGCGTCGCCAGCGGCGGCTTCTTCAACGCCGGCCAGGTGTGCGTGGCCAGCAAGCGCATCTACGTGCACGAGTCCATCTACGACGACTTCCTCGCCCGCCTTGTCAAGGAGGTCGAGGCCAGCTACGCCATCCAGGAGGACAGCGCCGCCCCGAGCGTCTTCGGGCCCGTCTCCAACAAGATGCAGTTCGACGTCGTCAAGGGCATCATCGAGGACTGCCGCGCCAACGGCTACAACATTGTCTCGGGCGCCGCCGCCGCCGCCTCCGCCAAGCCTGCCACTGCCAAGGGCTTCTGGCTCCCGCCGACCATTGTGTCCAAGCCGCCCGAGAACTCGGTGCTGGTCAAGGAAGAGCAGTTTGGTACGTGCTGTGCTGCCTTTTGTTTCCATTCTTATCTCTGCCAGTTATCTCGTAATGAAAAGACGAGCAACTACAGTCTGCGAGTCGAAAAGAAAAGAAAAAGAAAAAGAGAAAAAGGGGTTTTCTACAAGGAAAAACAAGACTAACACAATCCTCACTCCAGGCCCCATCCTGCCCATCCTATCATGGTCCGACGAGGACGACGTGGTCCGGCGGTCGAACCTGGCCAACGCGGGGCTGGGCGCGTCCGTGTACTCGGCCGACCTAGCGCAGGCGGAGCGCATCGCGCGGCGGCTCGAGGCCGGCGGCGTGTGGATCAACCAGTTCGAGCGCCCCAACTTTGGCGCCTTCTTCGGCGGCATCAAGGACAGCGGCTTCGGCGGCGAGATGGGCAAGCAGGGCCTGCTCTCGTACGCCTACACGCAGTGTCTGCACTTTGCCAAGTGAGTTGAGTTGCTGTGTGCGAGAGAAAGGGGGATTGGTGGTGTTGTGAGACGGAGGTATATAGTAAAGGGGCAAAGCCGCCGTGAATATGCGCTGTTTTTTTTTGTGTCCTCTGCAGGAGGCAGTGCTGGATATCTCCTTATCTGTATCTAATGACGACGCCGTAGGGAGGAGGATGTTCTTTCTACGGATACTATCTTCTATATACTTCTATATACATATTCCCAACGGCCCACAATCCAATCTGTGAATGTTTGCTGGCGTGATACTGGGCCGAACAAATGTTATAGCCCAGCAAATAAACCAACCGGCCTGGGAAAGCCTTTAATAGGTGTTTTGGAGAAGAGAAAGGCCTCTAGGGTTGGTTCTAAAATAGGGATTCCAATAGCTTTCACCTCCCTCGGCGAAAACCTTCAGGGCCAGCCGTACGGTATTGAGGCCTTTTAATCTTGGAAACTCCCCCGCTCAGGAACGGGCAAGACTCGAAGTGGGAGCACTCACTGGCTTGGGAAGCGGCGAGGCGGCCCCCCCACTCACCCATTTCTTGTTATCTATATGGCATGTACGATGGGCGCTCCCACTATCCCCCGTATACTCTCATTAAATCGTCACCTATGTACTCTCGCAGCCCTTGATTTTTTCACCACGCCACACCTCTCCTCGCTTCCAGAAGCAAAAAAATGCCTCTACGGGCCGAACCCGCAGTAACCCCCCCTCCCCTACTCCCGGCCCCAGCAGCCAACGACAGAAGCGGCAGCAGCAAAAGGAGGAAAAGGAGGAAGAGAAGCACAGCAGCGGCAGCGGCAGCATTATCAACGGCGTATTCGGAAGCAACGCCAAGAGATCTAGCAGCTTAGGCGAGGGTTGAGAGGGGTCCGACAAATACCTACCTACTCCCACGCCAGAAACAACAGCAAGCGGCAGCAGCAGAGGGACAGAGAAAGGCCTCCAAGATTTTACAAAAGGGATCCTAATAGCGACTACGTCTCTCAGAGAAAAACACTGAGGGCGAGCCGTAAGTTATCAAGGCCTTTCTAATCTTGGGAAGTCCCCCACGAAAAAACATTCAGGGATTGTATTGTATGCTGCGCCGCCTTGCTTGCCTCGCTACGGCGAGAAGGCGGCCGCTTCCGCGAACGGCTAGGAGCTGTGGGTGGCGCACCTCGTCCGTCTCGGGACTTGTTTGGCTGTGGTATTGACGATAGCGGCTGTTGGGATCTGGTGGGTGGAGTGGAAGTGTCACGGCACCGTACCAAGGACTAGGGGAATGGACTTGTGATTGTGCAAAGAAGAGAAGAAAGAGGAAGTGCGCTATAGTGCGGGTTAAATGCAGGGTGGCTATCATGGACGTAGGCGCTTCGGTTACGTATCGCCTTGGTTCTAATTGTGTGTCGCCAGCGTACCGTGACATTAAAGACTAGGGATTTTTTTATTTATTTATGTCTCTTCTTGATAATTTCCCTCGTCTAGTCGGAATTACCATTCCCCTCCTCTAAAACGCGGCATCGCCGCAGTACCTTGGAGCCTCCTCTAGTAACTAGTAACTGCTACCTTGGGTATAAAAATGGCCGAGACAGCATGCCGCGTTAATCCTGGCGAATGTACTTCTTCAGGCCCCTGAGACGGTCCTTGGCCGTCTCGAGGACGTCGTCGGGCTTGCAGACGGCGAAGCGGAGGTAGTCGGCGACGATGTGGGCATTGGCGTCGGTGTAGAACTCGGACGGGGGGATGGCGGCGACACCAAGCTCCTGAATGAGGAACCAAGCCAGCTGGAAGTCGCGCGGCCGGTCGGCGACGTGGGGCGGGAACGGGTAGTCGGCGGGCAGCTGCACCTTGCTCAGGTTCACCATGACGAAGTAGCCGCCCTCGGGCTCCGAGTAGGGCAGGCCCAGCTCGTCCCACACGGCGTTGAACCTCGCCAGGCGGCCCTTCATGTCGGCCACTTGGTCGTCCCAGAAGCCCTCGGCATCGGCCTGCTCGAAGCCTGCGGTTCGTGTTAGGCAGATCGGGCCAAGAGAGGACTGAAGAGCGGCGGGTATTACCAATAGCGCAAGCTTCTTGCAACGGTGACACGGACGAGTAGCAGATGCGAGTGTGGGCGGCGGCGACGTATTGGATGAGGTCAGGCGGACCCATCAGCCAGCCTTAACAAGGAGAATCTTCGAGTCAGCTGCTGTCACCAACAAGAGAGGCGTCCACAAAAGCAGCAGTACTCACCAACTCGCCATCCCGTAGCGTAAAAGTTCTTGCCGGCAGACCCGACAGTCAGGGTGATCTTTTCGACCTCGGGCGAGATGGTGGCGACACGTGTGAAGGGGGCGTAGAAAAGGCGGTCGTATACTTCGTCGGACAGGATGATGATCTGGTGCTTCAGGCAGAGGTTGGCGATCCTTGCCACCTCGTCTTTGGAAAAGACCTTGCCAACGGGGTTGTCTTGCGCGATTCCAAGTTAGCGCGTACAACGAGCCAGGGGCAATGTAGCAACACAAGACTAGAGAGAGAAGGGAAACTGAGGGGGCAGGTCATACGGGGGGTGTTGAGGACCAGCATCTTGGTGTGGGGGGTGATGGCCCTCTCGAGCTCGTCAAAGTCGATGGTCCACTCGGCAGCCGAGAGCGTCTTGACGCCGCCCTCCTTGGGGGGGTGCATGGGGACGTAGACGATCTTGCCGCCGGGCATCTCGATGTTGCTTATATATCTGCCAGGGGTGTTAGACTTTAGTCCGTAACTAAACTACGCAACAGAGCAAGCGGGCTTACTGGTCAAAGAAGGGCTCAAAGATGATGACCTCATCGCCGGGCTCGATAAAGGCCATAAAGGCACTCAGCATGCCTGGGTGCAATGTCAGACTCGTTGACAGATATGTAGGGGGGGGGAGGGGACAGCAGACCTTCGTTGGCACCGGTGGTGATGGTGATCTCGGTCTCGGGGTCGAGCTTGCGGCCCCAAAAGGAGGCGTAGGCGTCCGAGATGGCCTTCTTGAGGCGGGGGCGACCCTTGGTGGGGGAGTACTGATTGCAGTCGACGCGGTCGAGGGCCTGCTTGGCGGCGTCGAGGATGAACTTGGGCGGGTTGTAGCCGAAAAAGCCCTGGCCCATGTTAACGATGGGCTGCTTGGGCGACGCCGCCGCCGCCTCGTTGATGATGGACCACACATCCTGCCGCCTGCCCGACACGCGCGCCGCCGGCTTCAGCTTTTCGCTCATGGCGGATCTAGTAGAGTGCAGAAAGTGCCGTGGCTGTAGCTGCACTTGCAGTTGTGGTGATACTGCTTGTCGTAAGAATACGGCAGTGGAGCTCGTCGACTTTGGCCTTGACGCAGCAAACAATATGAGAGACCGCCTGAGAGAAGGCGCCGGGGAAGGGAGGACCATGAGAGATTTAAACGGTAAAAAAAACAACCAAAACTGCTACGGAGTTAAAAAGGATTACAAACGAAATAATGGAACCAAGCCAATCATGCACCGCTCGTCGCAACAAGGCAGGCAGCTACTGTATTGCCAGCTACTAAGCAAAGCGTCTGGGCAGATTCCGGGGGCAAGATCGTCGACGTCGTCCGCAATCGGGGCGTTTTGCTCGGTGCGGTTGTGCGTGCCATCCCGTAAGATGGCGCAATCCGGGGGCGCCATGCCAATGCATGCGTGCACTACCGAGAAGGAGCAGCTGCCAGGGATGGGACGGTGCGCTACTATGTAATGGGCCATAGGGCCTCTGCTGTGGCTGAACCGTGAGGCAGCTGACACTGACCCTGACCCTGACCCTGATACGCTGTGGCTCAGTGCGTGCAGGGGATTGCCAGAACACCTTACGGTGTAAATATCTATGCAAGAAAGCAGATATACCCCGGTAGCATGATATCTCAACGTTGTGTGTGTTTTGTATCACCATGTGACAGCCACCACAGTAACAAACGGCATGTGCCTAACATGATAAAAGTCAGTTAATCTCGCTGCACTTCAACTTTTCTTTCTGATCAGTGGAATCAGCCCAGAAATTCATCAACACGGTGACCCCTTTTGACAGTACGACCGCTCTGGCCTGGCCTAGCTCCTAAAAGCGAATTATCACGTCAACAGAAGTGCGGAAAGGGGGAGCGCGGGGGACAGTATCTCCAAGTATTGCCGCACAAGTTCCACATGGGCTTACCCGAACCCGCGTGGGATTGTGTACAGGAGGGAAAAAATAAAAGGAAGCCAAAGATCCGAAGCGGGAGGGCACACACAAAAACCGAACAGCAGTGTCACATATCTTTGCGCGTCGACTTCACTTCGCAAGATAATTCGGTTTCCAGAGTTGAAAGTGGCCCTGCTTCATCTGGCTCTCAGAGCAGCATGATATATAATTCGGGTGTGGCTTGGACACGTACTATCCTTTTCCTGTAAACGGAATTCAGATGTCGCCGCTCGTATCGCCTTCAACAGCCTGGCTCACCCTAGCCTCCCTCACCTTGCTCTCACCTCACCACATCGCCTCTTGACATGCCGTTCACCGTGCGCGCGCCAATCCCCTCAGCCTGTGGAAAAGACAGTCCACAAATTCACTAAACAAACAGCAGCCCCGGCCAGATTCCTTGCCCTCATTTCATCTTAACCTACGCACTGCTTTTAACTCTGGCCGCTTCCTGTTGCCCCGCGCGCCTGTCGCTCCTTTTTTCCACACATAAACAAGATTGCCCAGCCCAATCCCACTGCAGCTGCTGTAAAAAAAAACTTTTAACCACTGACCGCCGACCGCGCCCATATCTCCCAAAACCGCTTCATCCACAGCCTGATCACCATCTCACCACCTATCAAATGCCGGGCACTCCTCTAATGCACGCCCACGTGGCGGGCAGCCGCCTTCCTCTCGCTGGCAGCATGCGGCAGCAGACGCCCAGCCGGCCGGGAACGCCCCAGATTCCCGTCCAAATGGCGGGCGGCCACGCGATTCCCGGCAGCGTGCGGCAAGCCATAAGTCGACCGCCCACGCCGTACTCCTGCTTCCCCGCGGTGCCTGGTCTCGCAATCACCCACGAGTGCTACGCGTTCGGGTCCAACAAGTACGCCGCCCCTTTCCTCGGTTTCGAGTCCAGAGCCCCAACTCCGGCCGGCCCAGCCTCGACCTCTGCGTCGCCGAGATATCGCGTAGACCCCACTCTAGAGATGGCGTGGAAGCAGGCGGCAGACTTCGCCGCGTTCCGCGAGCAGCCACCGCGCGCCGCGAACCCAGCCACGGCTCAAGCGCCGCTGTACGGCCAGGCCTTCCTCACCCGCACCGGCAAGGTCATGTACAAGCCATCGCCGCGACTAGATACCTGGTTGGCGGACCTGAGCCTGTGCTCTCCTCCCCTCTCTCCCGAGGCGGACCTGATGGACGGTGTCCAGTTCGAGGACAGCCACAACCTCGTAGCCACGGATTCCGAGACGGATAAACATGATTTCGCTGTGGCCACAGATGCCACCCAGGCAAAGGAGGACCTGAAGCTAGCCTCCAAGCCCGAGGACGTGGCAGCGGGCTCCAAGCGCAGCTCGGTATGTTGATCTCGAATGACCAAAATAGAAGAAGAAAGCTAACCTGGGGATGATGTCATTCGCAGGACAAGATTACCGCGTCTCAGGAGCAGCCGGCGTCCGAAGACCAGCGCGCGTCCAAGCGCAGCCGGCTCGGGAAGACGGTCCGCAAGACGCTGTCCCGCATGAGCCGACTCAGCATCTGCACGCGCAGCTCCAAGGGGCCCAGCAACGCCGTGGCCGATGCCGCGCCGCCTCGCTGCGCTGCGCCGTCGCCTGCTCCTCCTCGCAACATCTTCAGCCGCATGAGCCTCCTGTCGCGGGCCGGCCGTGACGACGGTGGCGACAACCTAGGGGCTGCCGCAGTGGCAGTGGCGGCATTGGCCGCACCGGCGGTAGAGAGAAAGATCAAGGTGTGTCTGGTGGGAGACAGCAACTCGGGCAAGACGGCCCTAGCGAAGTAAGTCACCGCTGTCCCTTTCCGCGTTGGTGTGTTGTCCGCCAAACGAGATGCTGTACTAACTCGCGACCGTCTCTCTCTAGTCGCCAGATCTCGGGCCGTTTTTCAGAGGTGCGAAGCCGCCCACAGCCTGTCACCAGCCAGGCACGCAAAAGAAACAAACTGCTGACCACCGTGACAACACAGACTAGCCCGTCGCTCTTGACCGACTGCCGGACCTTCACGGCCGTCACCAACGACAACCGGCTGATATCGGTGGAGCTGTGGGACTTCCCCGGCAGCGCCAACAGCAGCAGCTGCACCCAGATGCTCGCAACGTACTTCCACGCCGCAGTAATCTGCTACAGCGTCGAGGACGAGGCAAACATCGAGACCGCCATGAACGTTGTAAGTGCCCACTTCTCTATCTTTTCCCGGCCCAGGAGGTTGCAGACAACCCGAACTGACATGAAGTGTAAACGAAACAGTGGAAGCCCAAGCTCGACCACTCGCTGACTGAGTGCCCGCTGTTCGTGCTGGGGCTCAAGAAGGAGCTGCGCCCGAGCTTCCCTTCGCTGGGACTGAGTTTCCTGCCGACCGCCGTGGCAGCGTCGGCGACCTTGGTAAGTCCGCTCTCCACGTGTCATGTTTAACCCTTGAACAACAACAAAACAAGCAAATCGCTAACACTAACGTGTAAAGGGCCGCTCCAGGGCGACGCAGATGCGCGCGGCCGGGTTCGGCGAGTGCTCGGCCAAGACGGGTGACAACGTGCAGGAGGTGTGGCGGGGCATCGTCAACTTTGTGGTTGACGGGCTGCGCATGCGCGAGGCAGGAGGCCGAGGACGACGGCGCGGCTCGATACTACGCCCCGGGGTTGGTGGAGGTGGTACCGGAGCTGCAGCTGCAGCTGCTGGCGGCAGCCGTGGCGGCGGCGGCAAAGGCGATGATGCCCGACAGGGGGACAACGACCACCACGAAGCCAGCGCTGACCACCCCGACAGCACCATGTGCGGCCTGCCCATGCCCAAGCCCGTGCCCTCGCCTTGGGATGTTCTGGGCGTTTCACCTCCTTAGGCACTAAAGTTTGACGATGAGAGACGGGACCTACGTTGTGTGGAGACCCCAAGGGGGCAAGGTACATGTGTTGTATTTGGCTTGTCTTGATATGAAGAGAAAGAGAAAGAGAAAGAAACGGAGCTTGGAGTTGGAGGCGTTTGATGCTTCTTCTGTGGGCAAGGAAAAGGGAGAAGGAAGGAGACGGGGCGTGTATTACAGGGACATTCATTGGATGATTTCCCACGCCTCCACGCCTTCTGTCTTTGGTGTTCCCGTCCTTGACGGCACTAATTATGTGATGAGAAATACAATAGCTACCAAGTACCCGAAGTAGGTTATGTAGTACGGATACCTAAAATAATGTGAAGGGGGATATTCAGCCTGATGATGCCCAAGACTGTTTGAGAAGAATCGCAATGGCACTGTATTGCCATGCTAGGCTTTGTGGAAGGTTAATGACTTGAGTTATGGGGCGTGCGGTATTGTTCTTTGGCTTTGGCTTTGGCTTTGGCTCTGACTTGGGAAGGCGAGTGAGGGGAATCATGTCGTTCGGTTAGCTGTAGAACAGCCCCGATAGAAGCATGCAAGCCCCGATTCTCAGATCCTTGGCAGGCATGCGGGGAAGCAATTGGAGAAGGAGCGTCTCCAAAAGAGCTCTCCGCGAGTTCCACGGGAATCCTGCAGGGAACAGCAGCCGCTTCAGCGCCTCAAGTCTTGGCTGATGTCGATCCTGCATCAGCGGCTGAAGGCGGGAAAAAAGAACGACACCGAGCTCCTTGACCAATTTAATACAACACCCGTCCAGCACATGGGTAAGAGATTTACGCCCTGGTTTTAACTGCCAGTCCAATCACGATGAGCGGCCGCCCGGGCCGCAGCAGCGGCAGCTCTTCGTCGTCGCCGACCAGGCCGAGCCGGCCCCTCCTCCCTATCCACACGGCCGGCGCCACGACACCCTCGTCCCTCACCGTCCCTCAGAGAACCCCATCGACCTCCTCCCTTCTATACATGCCCCCCGTCATCTACACGCCGCCGCCTCCGCCGCTCCACCTGACCGTGCGCTTCAACGCCGCGCTACCCGACGTGCACCTCGACATCGTGAACCCCCACCAGACGACCGTCGTCGCGCTCAAACAACTGATCCGCTCGCGGCTAGCCGCCGAAGCCGAGGCCTCCAGCGACGATGACTCCGACTCCGACTCCGGCCGCGGCGCTGGCGATAAGAGCAGCGACCCCCTCATCAGCACCGCAAGCCAGCCAGGCGCAAAGCCCAGAGAACGCAAGAGCCAGGCTACCTCGCCGGCCGCGGCCGCGGCACGGGCGCGGCTGCGCTTTATCCACGGCGGCAAGATCCTGCCCGACGGTGCGGTGCTGAGCGGAGTACTTCGGGCGCCGCCGCCGCCGCCGCCGCCGTCGGCCGTGTCGCCGGGCGGCGGCTCGTCCGACCGCAAAGGCAAGGGCGTTGAGGGGCGGTCGGCGCAGCCGCCGCAGCGCGTCTATGTCAACTGCAGCATCGGCGACGAGCTGGACGCGGCGCTTCTCGCGGCCGAAGAGGCCGCCGCCGCGGCGCCCGTGCCGCTGCACCCACCGGTGCCGTCGCCATCATCATCCACGCCCTTCCTCTCCCCGTTCGGCCATGGCAGCCAGCAGCCACAAGACGGCGGCGGTGGGCTGCTCTCGCCGCTACCGCGCCCGGCCTCGTCTGCAGGTGGTGGCGGAGGGGGCGGCCGCACGCCTCGCGGTTTCGACCGGTTGTTGGCGGGCGGCATGCCAGCGGTCGAAGTCAACCACCTGCGGCTGCAGTTCCGCGCGATCCAGGCGCAGCGGTTCACCCCCGACACGATGCCGTCGCCCGACGCGCTGACGCGCATGGAGGACGAGTGGATCGACAACGACGCTGGCGGCACCACCACGAACCCCGCCGCCACCTCCCTGCTCTACGCCAACGGCGTCAACAATAGCAATAACCCTGCCACAAATAATAATGGAGGTGGAGGAGACGACGGCGATACGGCCGCCGCCGCTCCAGCCACTACCACGGACGACGCGTACGGGCTCAGCGCCGTGTCCGACCAGCTGCTCAAGGGCATGGTGGTGGGCTTCTTCTTCCCGCTCGGCGCCGCCATGTGGCTGCAGCGCGAGGACGGCCTGTGGTCGAGGCGCTGGGCCGTCTTTGTGTGGCTGGGCGTGCTGCTCAGCGTCTCGGTCGGCATCGTGCGCGCCCTGTCGGCGGGCGACGCGTAGCGTAGCCTAGGTAGCAAGCGTGGACTCTGTCCACGTGGCGGCCGCCTACGAGACTCGTGGCTATGAAAGCCACGAGGACAGCGGCAAGACCCACAAGATATCTTGCTTGGCTTTGTTTTAATAACATGTGTATAGTGGATGAATGCCGAGCACTGCCCCGCTGATATTGTATTTACTTCAGGGAAGCTTGTATATATATATATATATATATATTTAGAAAGAGAGAGAGAGAGAGAGAGAGAGATTAGGCGCTTCTTGGGAAAGAGGGGAAGGAGGGAGAGCAAGCGAAGGTCCCTAGGGGACGACACATGAGATTTAATTTGTTGATGGAGAGCAAGCATTATGATACCCCCCTCGAAAGAATATAAAATGAAATAGAATTACTCACGTCATCAAAGATTAGGGTCAAAAAGTGAGGCCGCAAAACAACACGTCTCATTGCTCCCAAGTAAATTTGCCAAAGACAACGAAGGCATCTTCCACTCCTCCCCGAGCTCAACATCTACCGTGTGCTAATGGCACTGTCAGGACGCGCTACACGCCTTTCACGAGTTACCTTCCATCTATCCCATCAAATGCTAAGCGATGCTGTCAGGACATAACACACGAACCAGGGCGCTTGGTATCTAGCTAAACATAATCCATAGAATCTAGGACAGACAAAACACACACATCAACACGCAGCCAAAGCTTGGAAATGCCCAGGCTATGTATGCTAATCCACCGCGCGCGAGTTTTACCCTCAACAAAGCAGCCCTAGTGATTTTCCTTAACCCGCCCTAATGCCCATAGAAGAGTACGTAGTAATGATATATATGAGCAAAGAAGATACCAAAAACGAAATGGTGTCATCATCAGCGCCATCATGCTATCCCACATCCCGTCGCTGGCTGCGTTTACCACGCACTCTAGATCCTCGTCTGCCTGACGGAAAATTCGACCCACCTCGAGCGAGGACCCTGCCTCTTAGAGATAGAGGCTGTTGAACGAGACAATATCACGCTTGATCGTTTTCAGAGTGGCGTCGAACTTATCTTGGAGATCTTGGCTGCCCATGACTTTAGCTGCTTCAGCCATCTGGCGGATTAGCTCCTCAAGTCGGCGGAAGAGCCGGATTAGAGACCCCTCGTAGACATTTGTCATTTTACTGAATAGCGTCAGGATTTTCACAGTCCAGAGCGGCCGCTCAGTCTTTCGCACACGGTGGGGCAACAAAACATACCAAATTTCCGAAAATGGCTTTCCCTGGGCCCACGCAAGGACTGTGTCCATGAGCTGCCATTTAAGGCTCTGCACGTATTCTTCCTCGTTAACCTCGAGCTTGCTCTCGGCGCTGACCTTGGCAATGACTCTCGCCTGGGCCTGGATTTCCCGGAAGGGCTTGGCCAGGTCCTCCTTGGGGGAGTTCGTATCTACTTTCTCGTCAAAGATAAAGCAGCTCAGGATAGCCGCGCATACTTCTGGGGTGAGCTCGTTGAAGAATCGGTTGAAAAGAAGCTCGGCCAGAAGCAGCTCGTGGCCCTCGGTGGAAGATATCTCACAAGCCACGCGCGCCTTCATCTCTACCACCTCGGCCTCATTGATGAAGCCTAACCTGCGCAGCACGCGCTTTCTCGACTTGAGCTCGTCGAGCTGGGTAATGCTGTGCGCCTTGGCGATCTCCTTCTTCTTCTCTTTGATCTTCTCCACGATGGCAACTTTGTCCGAGTATTGCTGCCACAGGTCTGGGAGAAGTGGAGAGTTGTGTAAGGGGTTCGTCACGAGGCGTGACTCGAGAACCTCAATTTTGCGGAGGAGTTTCTTGAAGGATTCATCGACAATACCCATGTTCTCGATGGGATCCAGAATTGGTATTCCGTCCGAAAACCGCCTGCTCACTTCGTTGACCGACGAACCAACTGCTTGAAGCTCCTGTCTAGATTCGACCTTCTCAGGGAGGAACAAGCGGAGCTGGCTGAGGGACTTGATGCATGACAGAAGACACGGAACAACTTCCCACTTGGTCTTGTCCCCTTCCTCCTCCGGCAAGACACCGTCGGGCATCGCTTCGTTGGCCTTGATGTTTGACTCGAAATCCTTGCTATCAGCTGAGATCTTGAGCAGAACATCTATGAAGTAGGTCTCCTGTGGTGCGTAGGGCGTCTCTCCAGGTTTTTGGGCGCTGCGGGCAACAAAGTTCATTACTACACCCCACCCGTATTCGGTTCCACTGGGGTTCTTGATGTTGACGAGACGGCCGGGTTGAAGAAACTCGAGGCAGTAGTTGGGGTGCTGTATAACGGCCAAAAAGTCCTTGTTATAGGCCTCGAGTTGTTTCCGAAGGCCGTAGTACTCCTTGACCGTGCTCTCATCTGGAATGATCATGCTGTCCCTCTCGTGGGTCAGGACGCCGAGTTCCTTCTCCAACTGCGGCACGCTGGCAGCATTTTGAAACTGGTAAAAGCACCTCTCCAACATGTACTCGGGCGAGATTGCCTCAATGCGCAGCAGGTTCAAAACCATGTTGTACCCAAGGTGGAACGCAGAGTTCAATCGGTCTTGTTGGCCAACGACAATGGCCCTCGCCGTATCGGGCTCGAGCTTGTCATCCACCATCATGATGACAATACCTCGGTCGTCGAGACCACGGCGACCTGCTCTTCCGGCCATTTGAACGTACTCGGAGGAGGTAAGGGGTCGTAATGACACGCCATCGAATTTCGTGACCTGTGTGAACACTACAGTCCTAGCCGGCATATTCAACCCGATGGAGAACGTCTCGGTCGCGAACAGAACCTTGATCAGACCCTCTTGGAAAAGGATCTCGATAGTCTCCTTAAGGATGGGCAAGAGCCCAGAGTGATGGACACCGATGCCCTTTTGGAGCAAAGGAAGAATGTGGGTGATCTGGGGCAGGTTCTTGTCGTCGTCAGAAAGCTGCGTCAGTGCATTCGCAAACACGGTCTTGACCATTTCCTCTTCGTTTGGTGTGTTGAACTTCATGGACGTGGTTTTTAACGCCATTTGCTCGCAGTCCCTCTTGCTGAAGTTGAAAACAATAACGGGCTGGAATTGCTTCTTGACAATCATGCGAATGATCTTGCTAATGTCGGAGGCTTCGTTTGTCACCTGTCCCTTGTTGGTCTTCTTGTTTTTGCCTTTGCCCTTCTGTTTTGCGTTCCAGTCAGCGGGGTCTGAGCCCTTATTGGCTTCGATCATGGCCATGGCATGGTTGAAATTGGACTCCTTGAAATTACCCCTCTCGTCGACGATCAAGAAAATGCCCTTGCCGCCAGCCGGGAAGAAGTAGTTTTGCAGTGGTGTCGGTCGGAAATCGGTATAAACGACGTGGCAGGCTTGTCGGTGGATCTTGGCAATCCACTCGGCGAACTGGAAGGCGTTTGGGATCGTGGCTGAGAGGAACACATAGCGCACCTTATCCGGCAGCAAGATAATCGTTTCCTCCCAGACCACGCCTCGGGTCTTATCCCGCATGTAGTGAATTTCGTCGAAAATGACCCAGGCGACCTCGCGCATGATCTCAGAGCCCCGGTACAGCATAGATCGGAGAATCTCGGTGGTCATGACCAGGCAACTGGCGGTCGGGTTGATGGTGACATCGCCAGTCATGAGACCAACGTCGCCAAACTCGGCCTGGAAGTCTCTGAACTTTTGGTTGCTCAGAGCTTTGATCGGACTTGTGTAGATGACCCTCTGGTTCCTCGCCAGACACTGTGCAATGGCGTACTCGGCAACGACCGTCTTTCCGGCACTGGTATGTGCCGAAACAAGCACGCTTTCATCGCGCTGAATGGAGGCTATCGAGATACTCTGGAAGGGATCAAGTTTGAAAGGGTATGTCCGCGCAGGCTCCGCGGGCGCATTGTGTTCCGAGAGCGGAATGTACTCGTAGTCCAAATCAGGCGGAAGCGCGACCTGATGCTGAATATTGTGCGATAGAACCAGAGGCTTTTCTCCTTCCTTCGGCCCTTCAAAGCCCTGGGCCGCGGTAACCTCTCGCGACGCGGCAGTTTGGAAGGAGTCGGCCAAAACAGGCTCAGCTTCGGCCTGCTTCTTTCGCCGTTTGTGTTCGCTGTGCATCTGTGCCTCTTCCCCATCATCTGCAGCGGGCATTTCCTCGTCGTGGGAGGCGGTCTCATCCCCGTGGCCTTCATCTTTGGCTGCAACTTCGGTTTCCGCCTTCCGCTTTTTAAAAGCGCGCGGCTGCTCTTCGAAAACGCCGAAGAGGTCGTCCATTGCGCGATCTTGAAAGGCCGGAGCCAGACTAAAATGGGTGAAGTCTGCGGAAAATCGATTGGGGGTTTGAGCACGGCAGGTGCAGGGAGAAGAATTGCGAAGCGCACCCAAATCCTATGGGAAAACTTGGTTGCGGTGCAGACGGACGCTGGTCACGCCGCCGATAACCAGACGCGAGCAAGCGTATCTGCAAAAAAAAGTTGGGGGTGGAGGTGCTGGGGCAGAACTGAGGGTTTCTGCGGGCGGTGAGAGGGCTGGTTGGTGCTCAGGCTTGACTGCAGCTGTTCGTATGCAGTATCCGTATGCACGTATTTCGCAGTACGGGGTACTCTTTGTCGGACCTTTTTCCTGCCTCATTGCAGGTGGGATCATGAAATAATCGGAAAGAATAAACGCACTGAGCAGATAATAATTAGGAATGTCTTAAAATTGGCGTTCTACTTTGTTTCACTAGATTTGTCCAACCTCGGGGGATGCAAGAGAAATTTACCATTCTATGTAAAGTAAGAGTCACGGAAGCCGCTACCAAAAGTCTTTTCTCACCGCCTTCTTGGCAATCCAGCCGCTACAGGGCTTCCCCACTAAAACCTACTCAAAATACAGCACCTTTGTCACTTCCACCCCACCACCAATTCTAACAAATTAATCGCAATCGCAGCCAATTATTAATCAAGATAACTATCTACTTCCTTCTATTTGATCGCCGTAGTGGCGCCGGCTTTGGTAACTGCTCTTGGGCTTCGTCCTGCCACACAACTTCTCTCTAATTCTTCATCTTCCGAATACACCTCTGACAGTTGCCACAGAGCCGAATCTACAGATTCCAAGTCCGAACCCTTCATACCTTCTTCCTCTCAAACAACCTCCACCACATGATTAACCTCACGGCTCTTCAGCCAACGTCCAAATATACTACGTCGTGGGCCACAGATCCTCTTGGGCCAGATCCTCTTGGGACAGATTTCCATGGCACGCAATCGTCTTGCTTGGCTACCTGTGGCGACTGCTAGCACACCGTTGGGCGCGCCGAAGGCCTGTGCACTGGCCTGTGTGCGTTATTTTTACCAGTGGCTGACAGGAGCTATTGGTGGCTTACAGAGCACCTCTCTCTGGGCCAATCGCTTACAGTGGATGACCGCTGTGGCCGCCTATAGTCCCCACTGGAGGAATTCTGCCGGCAGAAAAACACTAAAAGCGGTGAGAAAAGACTTTTGGTACCAAGCTCTCCCTGTCAGCTCTCGGCCCAGAAACGAACCAGAAAGGATTAAGGCTATCGTAACGGGTGCGCATACGATTCTTATAAATGTTACTCCGTATATCCGTCCAAGTTAAACCGAACCAGGTAGTCTGACCATTGGGAACGAATAAAGAAAAAGGAAATGTGAACTAGTCGCAAGACTACGAACTCAAACGAAACTCTCAACCTGGCAGCAAAGCTCACACCTAAGATAATGGCTCGTACATCAGATACATTCCATACCTATCGCTGGTGGCCACCGTAGGCACGAGAGGATGTACTAATTATACGGTATATGTGTTTACATACAGTCCTCCTAAAACTTAAAACCCCCCTGCACGGAAAGTGGTACAGTACTTCACCTTCCTCAAAGTGACAATCCATGCTCTCGCAAAGTTCCGAAGTACCTGCCCGAGGTGGTAGGCCGTTCGGTTCGGTACAAGGCCGGTCCGATTTTTTTTCGCAATATCCATAAAATAAAATAAAATAAAATAAATCCGAATCCGAACACTTTCAAGTCCGCGCTGCCGGGTTTCCGCGCTGCCGGGTTCCCGCCCGTGATTATTATATTACGTAAGATTTCGCATCGCAACTGTAGAAAGAAAAAGTCCCCCGGCGATCCCATCCCAACAAATTCCCGAGCGAGCGTAAAGTTAAAAAAGTATAGACCCGCGTCTCCGTATCTCTCTAAACTTTGCGGCCAGAAAAAGCGACTGGCGGATAGGCGCCTGAGCACAAAGCGTCCGAAATACAGGGAATAGACAGAGACAGAGAGAAATGGCGCCCAAGATCTCGCTCAAGCTCTCAAACAGAGTTCCTAGGAAGCCTATCCGCAAGCTCCCCGCGACGGTCGAGCTGCCCCGCGATGCCACGGTCGAAGAAACCAAGATCCTGATTGCCCGGCAGGCGGGCATCAGCGACTACAACCGCGTCGGGCTGTACGACCCCACGACCAAGAAGACGCTCAAGAACCGCCTCGGGCTGGTCCGTGATGAGACCAACGTTATGTCGGCGGGCGAGCTGGTCGTGAAGGACCTTGGTACGGTTTTTCTTTCCTGTCTCCCCGTCCTTGCTCTCTCTCTGTCCAGGGGGAAATTGACGCTTTCATACCCATAATCCAAGCCAGCACATGCTAACCAGACCAAATACAGGCTTGCAGTTTGCGTGGCGCACCGTCTTCGTGATTGAGTACGCCGGCCCGCTGCTCTTCCACGCCCTCTTCGCGTACCTGCGGCCGTACATCTACGCGCCCGTTTATTCCAAGGCGGCCGTCGAGGCGCCGCTGACGCAGGTGCAGTGGCTGCTGTTTGCCATGTTCCAGCTGCACTTCCTCAAGCGCGAGTACGAGACGGTCTTTGTGCACCGATTCTCGGCCAACACGATGCCGGCGTGGAACATCTTCCGCAACTCGGCCTTCTACTGGCTCATGTCTGGCCTGCTGTGCGCCCTCGACATCTACCGGCCCGGGTCGTTGTCGGAGCGGAACGAGCTCGGACCCGTCGACTACCTGGGCCTGGCCCTCTTCGTTGGCGGCGAGGCCTGCAACTGGATCGTGCACCAGCATCTGGCCAGCCTGCGCAAGCCCGGCGGCACCGAAAAGGGCATCCCCAACTGCATCGGCAGCAGCCTCGTCACCTGCCCCAACTACATGTTTGAGGTCACCGCTTGGGTGGGCGTCATTCTCATCAGCCGCAGTGTCACAGTCGTCGCCTTCATCTGCTATGGCATCTACTACATGCGCCTGTGGTCCCGCGGCAAGGAGAAGGCTCTGCGCAACGAGTTTGGCGACCGCTACAAGAAGAAGCGGTACACGATGCTTCCCGGACTCATCTAACGGATCTTGCGTTGAGAGATGTTGGCGTTGCTGTTGTGTCTTGCGTTCGATATATAGCATAGAGATAGCGAGCGTGTGTATGTTTCCGTGTAGCCAGCCTCTAGACTGGGTTATGGACGCTGGGATGTAAAAACAAGAATCCGCTTTTCTTAAGCCAAACTAAACCGACGTTACCTGGTATATCGTTCGTGTCGTCGTGACGTGCAGGGGACAAGCAAAAAACGCCGCGTTCCCATATCGCAATCATAATGTCACAGGTGTGACAGCAGGTCCGTCGTTGATAGGACCGGACTGCGGCGGAGACAGTGGCAACGGTACCGACTCGGGTTGGACGAATAGGGGCGGCTTGGCCTCGACACTTGTCGATAACGTCTCCTAAGTAACTTCTGTTCCGACTCCTGCACCGTCATCGGTGGATGTAGACGCAGAAGCAGCGGGCACCACCTCCTGCCCTTGGTCTCGCCCCGGCTGTCGCTGCTCCTGCTGCTCCACGGCCTTACCTTTACCAGGCACCTGGCCAGCCGCCTCGTGATCGTCCACCATGGCGACATCGCCGTCACCATCCACGTCGCCATCCCGGCGTCCGCCGTCCCCTTCGTCGCCCGACTCGCTCCGCGACCAGCTCCCACTCCCACTCCAGCTCCCACTGCCGCTCCCGCTCCCCTCCCTGACCAGGCGCAGCGTCTCCTCGACAATAAGAAACTCGCGCTCGAGCATCTCGGCCCAGTTCTGCACGTTGCCAATCTCCTTGACCTTGCGGGTGTGGTCGGCGGCGAGGCGGGTGAGCTTGTCATTCTCGCGGCGCAGGGCATCGGCAGCGCGCGACACGTCGCGCTCTTGACGCTCGATAGCCGCGTTGTTGGCGTGCAGTAGCGCGCCGCGGCCCTGTAGCTCGCGGTCGAGCATGTTGCCGAGCGATGCCACGACGGCGGTGCGCGCCTCGTCGATCTGCCTCTGCGTGCTCGGCGACGGCAGTGTTGGGTTGAGCAGGCTGTTGGTTCTGGTGCTGGTGCTGCTGGCGCCCCCGCCCCCGCCGGCGCCCTGGCTTAGGGAACTGCTGCCGGCCGTAGTAGCATAGTGGTGTGGGTGGTGAGGGAGAGGTGGGAGCCCGGGGAGGAGCTGCGGTTGCGCCGACGAGGAGACGGACGAAGGAGCGGTCGAGGAGGATGGCTGTTGCTGCTGCTGGGGTGGGAGGAAGGGCAGGCCAGACGGCGATGACGAGAGGAGAGACAGCGACGATGGTCGTGGGGTGGTCACCGACGTGGCCGTCGTTGCGGGGGAAGAGATGGACGTGCTACCGCCAGCTGTGGTACTTGTCACGGACGGAGGTGCCGGTTGTGGGGGGGTTATTGTAGCTGAAGGGGCATTCGCTGTAAAGAAGGAAGACATGATGCGGGGTGAATTCAGGAGGGACCGCTTGGGGAAGTGGGCATCGACGTAGCCAATACGTTGGCCAAAGTAGTTCTAAGTATGCATCGAGACCTCAGTTCGAGCTTCTTTGCCTTCAGATAGTAGATGGACGCAAGCCATCGTTGCGCTGAAAGCTGCACGGGGTCCCCAGAAGATGCGGGGAGGGGAGGTTGGCATGGAGGTGCGGGGGCGGGGTTGATGATTGGCCCGGGAATATGAAACGGAACCTGACCGTAGGTACGGATTGCATCCACGAATTTGCCAGGTCGTAATTTACCACTTTTTACCACATCATCATCTGGCCTATACCTTTCCACTGCAACGAACCTTCAACTACTAAAAAAACCATCGTCGGCGCCGCTGATAGGGCCGTTGACGACTCCGTTAACGACGTGGAATACAACATGTTGCCTGCAAAGCCCTTACTTGAATGTCCTCGCGGTTGCCGTACTGGAAGCAACAGACTCTTAGCCATTCCATGTTATGTTCGAGCCTGTAGAAAAAGCAGTTGCAAAACTCTATTACAGTTACTTCGCTTAAGAAATAACGCCTCCATAGCCGAATATGCTGTGTCATGTATGATCCCAAAGCTCCATGCAATGCACAACCTTCTCAGCCCAAGACAAAAAGCACCATGGCTCCAGATCCAGTAAAGCTCCCTCCCATATACATATTATGATATCTTTCTACAGCCATTGCCCAAGACGACCACCCAGTCAGAAGTTGAAACGCCAAAGAAAGTCCAACATTGACGCCCAGAAATCGTGGGGTGCAGCATCCAATCCCGAGCACATATCTGCACTGCAGGGGAACGGTGCACTTCAGGGTCCTTTATCTAGAAGGCCCTCACCTAGGAGCCAACTTTGCCCCCATAGTTGACCCGGAGAGGTAGAGAACCGAGCGGGCCTGGGCCAGGGCTAAGAGCCGAAGAAGGCGTGAGGATGCCGTCTTGCGAAGAAATAGTGCTGCTCATAGAATTTAGACTCGCCGTCGACGTCGAATTCATAGTTCCAGTCCGCGACATTGAGATCCCACCCATCGAGATCAGGGCATCGGCTCTTTCGAAAACGTTGCCCGTGAACGCGGCGGCGAAGGAAGCGCTCTGCGGTGTCGACGGGACAGTTGCCTGCACGGCGGGACCCAAAGCCGCACTCTGTGGTGTCATGGGGAGAGGTACAGGCGTATTGGATTGGGTACTGTAGGGGCTTGAAATCATGACGTCCAAGCCAGCCTGGCCGGCATAGTAAGCCCAGGGCGACGAATGCATAAGAGCGGCAGTCTCCTTCAGGCTCTGTTGGATGGTGTGCAGCCTCATCTTGATATCGGGCGGGAGCATGATGTCCTTCTGGAGCTGCTTCATCTTCCCGACGAGCACGTAATATGCCTCGACGAAATTGTGGCAAAGTATCCAGAAGGACGCCTGGGTGCGGATGCCGGGCTCCTTAAGCTTGATCGACGACAGTTTCCCCTTCAAGAGCTCGGTCTGCTGGATAAAGGATGCGCACTTAAACATTAGAGCTTTCCAACACTGTACAACATGGTCAGATGCTCTCTGAGCCATGGCGTTGCGCATGTATGCATTAAGTTGTGCATTCAAGGACGGCAGAACACGCATAGCGAGATCTGTCGACTTTTGAAGGGACAAGAATATCCTCTCGAATACGGCATCTTCCTCAGTAAAGTCGGCCGACAATCCGCGGCCGCCAGACGTGCTGGACGATATGAACGAGTCTCCAGACCGTGGTGTGGCAGCACTTATCGCTACCGTCCTACCAGTCCCGTTGATGTATGACATGGGAACGTCGGTGGCAACGCGCAGATTGCTCGGGTTATACACCAGGGTGCCGTTGCGAGACCTGCCATTCGCGGTGACGCGATCGGCAATTGGAGTAGCCGAATTTTCCCGGGATAGGGGGCGCAAAGTGTCTCCAAGATCAGACCGAGAGGGGCCGCGACGTAGGGTGTTGTCCGAAGGGACTTGGGAGCATGTGACACGCAGCTCCATAATACTATTATAAAGCTGGGTCAGTAGGGTACGAATATACCGTGGGTCGCCATTATCGAGGAAGAGATCAACATTGCTCATTAATAGAGCGCACACGTGGGTGTAAGCATTGACCAGTGTGATGCACGCTCTCTGGACATTTTCGTTCTCTCTTGTACCGTACTCGTCGACTGGGTCATGCTTTTGGATTTCAATTTCCAATTGCTCGACGTGCGCATTGGTGTTGTAGAAGACGATTTCCAGGTTCGAGCGCCGTGCGGTGCCGTCGTCGGCAAGACTCATAAGCATTTGGATCATCGGATGGATCTGAAAGATGGAGTAAATGATTCCCTTGGCGGCTTCTATTATCGGATCCACAACCTTTGACTCGGGCCTGCGTTCCGGAAGGATAGAGAGCCGGCGGAAATAGACGGGCCGGTGCGAAGATGCATCGGCCGGGCTTGCCGGATTCGGGCTTTTGACTTGCATATGAGTTCCGCTCCCCTGCATCGCCGACCCATGACTCAGGCCGCGGTAATGGCTAAAGCGGTTGTTGGCCTCTGTCTCATCGAGCGTGCTGAGTTCTGAGGGTTTCTTGGAGACAATGCCCATACGCCTCGATCTGCTCTCGGCCCGATCTCGGCTTGAAGTCTGGATCGTTGTTTCAGAATTGCTGCGAACACGCTCGTTGGGGTTACCAATGGTGAGTGGCATGACGCCTGGTCTGCGTTGCGCTGTGTTCTGCTGCGAGAGACCCCGGTAGTGAGACCGTGTTGGAATTGGCGGGGCCCGAGGGAGTGCGGGCGACCGGAGGTCGTGAACGTCGTTCCCGTTGACCCGGATAGGGAATCGCCCACTGAAAACGCGCTTGATGGTAGGCCGTGGGGTTTCGGTGCCTTCTGCGGGCTCCTCGCCCGGCGAGTCAGCGTCCGCTCGCCCATTGAGGCTGAGAGCCTTTTGCTTCAGAAATTTTTTTATATGTGTCGTTATGGAAACTTCTGTCATTTCGAACTCCTTCAAGACATCGTTTTGTATAGTTGCAGCCTGCACCTGCAGAACTTCGGGTGGAGGAAACACGAGCGGGTTGCCTTCTAATTTAATAACGGACAACGACGGCATGTCTGCTAAGCAAAGGGGGAGTTCAGAGATCTGGTTCTTTGGTATCGAAAACACCTTCAAAGATGACAGCTTGACGATCTCTGGCGGAAGAGTCTGCAGCAAGTTCCGCCCCAGATCCAGGATTTCAAGTGATTTGAGATTGCACAGCTAACAGAAAAACACAGTCAGCCTGGTGTTGCCGGGGATGTCATGGGGCTGAGGCAGCACTCACAGCAAGGGGAAATTCCTTTATCCTGTTCTGTCTGACGTTGAGGTACCGGATCGAGGTGCACTCAGCGAACCTGGTTGGGAATGTCTGCAAATAGTTGTGCGACAGCGCAAGCCTGACGGGCAAGTAGAGCATTAGATAAATAGTCCAAGAGAGGGAGGGATAGTTTATAGACCCTACCGCTCTAATTCATCCTTAATTACGTCGACGATTTCGTCGGGCAGCTTCAGGATCTTCTTCCTACTCAAGTCAATAGTGAGACCAGGCTTGAGGCTGTTGCTGACTCCGCTCGCCTCGGCGGCTTTTGCTTCATTGTCGTGAGCGACTTTCATTGCCTCCCTCGCCAGAGCGATAACCTGGCTAGAGGAGAGAGGTGCCGACGCCGATAGATTCGAGTTAGAGGGCACATCTCGCAGGCTAGGCATCGGGGGCGGAGCTGGAGGATTCGCTAGGGCAGCGGCCGCGAGAGCCCGTCGTGCTTGGGCTGGGTTGTCGGGCAAGCCCCGAGGGGCTCGTTCCATAGCCATGAAGCCCGCTCCCAAAGACTACCACACCTCTAGTCGTCAATTCAAGCAGCGGCCCGCGAAATATATGCCAGAACACGCAAGAAAAGTCGCGCCCCAGGGGCTGTTTATTCCGATTTTGTTGAGGAGAGTCTGGGCGGCTGTCGAAAGGAGTCGGTTGGGGGGAGGTTGTTCTTTGGCCAATTGGCAGCGTCGTGACTAGGGATCGAGGGACGATATCATTGCGGGCCCAATCGCGGCGTGGGCAACGGAGACGAGGGCGTGTCGAGGGCGGTAAGTGCGAGAGGCAAACAGGCAGGTGCGTTTGCGAATGACAGGAGGCCCCCTCGTGGGCGTTGGAACGCGCTCGATGGAGACGATCGACGGCGACGGCGACGGCGACGGCAATGGTGTCGAGAGCAGGGACGGCGGAGCAGTGAGCAAGGGATCAAAAATTCCTTCAGGTTTCCATTTGGGTCTGACTGCGGTTCCGTCTCGGGTGCATCTCAGGTAGCGAAAGCCCAAGATAGGGGTTAGCGTATCCGTAGAGAGGCACAGCTGGGGGTGCGAGTGCTGGCACAGAAGAGGGTCGAGCCTACAGAAGGCACGGCTAGCCGTCTCATCAGCCCAAAGGCAAGTCCAGGGTAGCTCGTCATCTGATTGGCCGCACTATGTTGTCCGGCGCGGTGCCTAGGGTGTGCATGTAACCACACCACACAAAACGACCCTTGACGGCTTAGCGCGCCGCAGAACTCGCTGTGCTGCAAGGGGCACTCGAGGGGCAGCGGAGGGCGCACGTCACAGCTACGGCCACAGCTGCCGGAAGCCTCACTTTACTGTTGCATGCGCTTCTTCAAAGCACGTGGAGTTCAACATTCTCATGGAGCGGCGCGCGGAACTCCCATGAATCCGCCCTACACTCAGCCTCTCCAGCAGCCAACTCCCAGCAGTCAATAACCTAGAATCATTCTAGCCGTCGCTAAATGTGGAGTAAGGTTGCAGGAATAATTGATGTCGGTTTCGGTCTCTTGATCGCGGCGGCTTTCTCCAAGTTCCAACCGACAATTTCCAAATTGCTGCAGCCCGCGCCGTTTCAATCTATCATCCCGCTCGCTGTTCAAGTCGGTGTTGGGAGGCCGGGATACGACACTCGATTAAGTTGCCATCTAGAGCCTCAAATATCCCCAGCCCGTCTCTTCCGGAGGGACGGACGAGCCGCAACCACCCAAAGTTCAAACTCTGCCGTGTCATCCGATTGTAGGAGGAGGATTCAAAGTTTGCCGCCGAAAATAAATAGCTTTGCTCGCAGCTGCAGGCCAGGAGCGAGAATTGCGGCGCAATCAGATTGCCTCTGTCAAGTGTGTTAGCATTTCTATGCGCAGTTAGTCTACGGGCCTGCCCGATAATTTCCAGGTTCCCCTCCATCCGTTCCGTTGCTTAGTCCGTTGCTTTGTCTTCCTGTTGTTTTGTGTTAAGTCGGTCCACGTCAGGATAAGAGGTTTCTCTGGATCTTCAAGAGACACGTTATAGCGTTCTTGTCTTTCGCCATTGTCTCGATCCCTACGGCACCTAGCTAGGTATGGGGGTGCCTTACTCACGACGGTAAGCATGGCAGGAGGCGAGTTGATTACTTGACCATTGAATTCCCGTTGTTTGCAATATTTGACAAAGAGCTCAAGACTGAATCATTGCACGGATATCCGTATAAATCAAAGGACAAATACCTACTTGAGCAGCTAGCATCGGTTTTCATGCTTTACATAGTATGTAGCCAGTTAATATTAAGCCTCAAAACCCCTCAAGAAGAACCCGATACCGCATTGAAGTCTGTATCTCTCTTCCAAGGTTCCCAGTCAGCCAACCAGGCACACCACAAGTTTCTGGAAGCCCCCTTTCTTGGCACCAGGGTTCAGGCATCCGGGTCCTGAAACGAAACCCTTGACCCTTGTTTGCGCCGACTACGACAGGGAGTCGACCCGACACGGGTGGTGAAGCAGACTACCGTGTACGGAGTATAAAAAAAGAAAGACCCGGTCTCGTTTTTGAACCTCCTCCTGGTCGAGAAGCGGTAATAAACGTTCTATGTCCAATGCGGTAAGCTGTTTGTGTAGATGATCAATTTGGACAATGATATATCATCTAGGGAGATATAAAGGTTCTAGTCCAATCTCTAGATGTTCCTTGCTTCTCATGCCAATAATCATTCATGGATTGGACTACACAAGGTGCTTCAGTAGCTTGATAAAGTTTGCGGTCTTTGCCTTGTGTGCTATTTCAGATAACTCAGTTTCTGTCATAAATGTAAGGGCACAACTACTAGCAGAGTTATTCTTGAACACAAGTCTCATTCTTTGCGTAGGTTCCATCCAGGGCAGGATGTTTCAACGGTGGGGATGGATATTGCGTCGTTGTCCACTAACAGCTGCAAAATGCGGGGGCTGATACCGGTCGCTCATGCGCACTCCAGCTGCCAACCCAATGGATGGAAGGCCCGGCTTCAGCCTGCCAAGTTTCTTTTCTGGTCAACTTTGCACCTGCACCAGTCGAGTCCGAACATGCCACCACAACAAATGGATATGATGAATTGCGTCTTTGACTTGTTTTCCCTTGATTGTGACTGAGCGCCACTTCCCTTTTGGATGATCCCGCCCCTGAAGACAAGACGCTGCGGGTCGGAGAGCAACAACGATGTCTCTGGTGAGGTCCAACTTGTTCCTGGACATCGACTTCACTCTGCGCCGGCAGTTCAACAAGGAATCATTTAGGTATGGCATGCTCCCTGGGCCTATATTTTTCTCATAGCTGTGGTTGCTGATATTTTGAGCTTGGCAGACCATTTCAGCGCGAGATCATACTCGCCGCGCTTGAAGGCTACGATGTTTTTGTCCAGGCAGCGACTTCGTTTGGAAAGAGTCTTTGCTTCCAACTCCCGGCTGTGGTTGATCGCGGAAGTAAGTCAGAGTTCGTGACTGTAAACTGTAAACTATATCATCTCCTGTTATTTTGACCAGAGAATGAAACTAAAGGCGAGGCTTATAGTCACAATTGTCATATCTCCGCTTCTGAGCCTCATGGTAAGCCTCTGCCTCCCGAGAGACCACCTCGGGATATTGCCTAATAGCTACATTAGATGAACCAAGTAGAGGCACTTCGTGCTGCCAACGTAGATGCACGCACGCTGAACAGCAACACGCCCATGGCCGAGCGGGACTATATCTACCAGGACCTGGCTACGGGCCATCCCCTGACGCGGCTGCTGTACGTGACCCCCGAGCTATGCTCAGGCGAGCACTTCCGTAAGCGGCTGAAGCTGGTACACGAGCAGCAAGAGCTGGCGCGCATTGCCGTCGACGAGGCACACTGCATATCGGAGTGGGGTCACGACTTCCGGAAGGACTTCAAGCGGCTGTCATGGTTCCGCGAGACGTTCCCAGACGTGCCCATCATGTGCCTGACGGCGACAGCCAACGAGCTGGTGCGGCAGGATGTGCTCTCGACGCTGGGGCTGGGGCAGCTCAACCGGGGCGGCGGCGGCGGCGGCGGCGGCGGCAGCCGGCTCAAGACCTTTACCACGACGGCACACCGACCCAATCTTCACCTCGAGGTGCGCTTCACCAGCGACGAGGCCAACGATCGGTACGACGACTTCGTGACATGGCTACAGAACGTGTACGCGCGACGAACGGCCAACGAACGGCGGGCGGAGCTTGAAGCCGCTGGAGACCGCGTCGATAATGTACCCGGCATCATCTACACCATCTCGCGCGATGAGTGCGAGTCCTTGGCCGCGGCTCTACGCAATGACGGCATTGGCGCCCGCCCCTTCCACGCCAAGTTGTCTCGAGAGGCCAAGGAGGAGACACTGGCTCAGTGGATTGCCGGGAATCCTGGCTACGCCATCATCGTGGCTACGACGGCTTTCGGCATGGGCATCGATAAGGACAACGTCCGCTTCGTCGTGCACTGGCGCCTGCCCAAGTCGTTTGAGGGATATTACCAAGAGGCGGGGCGCGCCGGCCGCGACGGCAATGCTAGCTACTGCTTCCTGTACTACAGCCGCGAGGACCGCGATCGCGTCTGCAACCTGGTGACGCGGGACGCTGGCGGCAAGGACGGGAGCGGAGCCCCCATCAGTGCTAACGGGCGGGCGAGGCTTCAGAGCCTAAACAAGCTCGTCGCCTACTGCGAGAACACCAGCTCCTGCCGCCACGCTGCTGTCTGTGCCTATTTTGGCGAGACGCAGGTCCCCGAGTGCGACTATGCGTGCGACTGGCACAAGGACCCGCACGACCTCAAGAGAAGGATGACGAAAGGCCTGGCCAGCGAGGAGTGGGTCAGCACACAGAGGGAGGAGGGCAGATACGACGAGTACCACTGGAGCGAGTAAAGGACTCGTTGGAGATGTGGTGTTTCTCCTTCATTCTTTCAGGTCCATTGAGATTTAGGCATTATGATACCCGGAAATGCGAGTTATTGTTATTTTACAAATGATGATGCTACAGGCTAGAGGTCGCCAACAAGTTTCAGGTGTCTTGTGCATGGTATAAGCCTCCCAGAGCGTTACCAGGCTGCTGCGCCACGGTAAGCTGCCAAAGGCCAACGTACACCGACAACAGGTAGCGACGTAGCGGGTATACGATATGTAATCGGAACATGTTCGATGCGCATGGGCGAACGCTACAATTCGTCCTTTGGCGGCACTGGCTTCGGTTTCTTTTTGGTCCGTTTCGCAGTTGCCGAGTTTATCGCTGCTTTCTTTCTGTTTTTTTCTTTCTTTTGGTCATCAACGCTCAAATCTTCAACATCCGGTTCAAAGGGAGGTCCTTCGGAGGTTAGCCATGGCTCCTCCTTGATCCTTTCTTCAAAGTTCCGCTGCCACATGAGCCACACGATCCCCTGCGTCAGGCTGTCGGACAGGTCGTCCAGCTTCTGTGCCTTGGGCGGTTTGGCGCCTTCTTGTGCAGAAGGCGACTCGGAAGCCCCAATTTCGGCCTTGTGCTTGGCTCCTATTCGCTTCGGCTTATCGGGCTTCCCCAGCACGGCCTTGGACATCTGCTGCCGGACGTCCTCGGTCGTCGGCTCAACCACCCCCGCACGGATCCAGTCTTGCAGGATGCTCATCTTGCGCTTCTTGATATTCACGCTCTTTTCCGGCAGGGAGTCGGGCTCGACGGCGGCCTCGGCGTCAAGCTCGCGGTCCAGATAAGACCCGACTCGATGCGACAGAATGGGAATGATGGCGCCTGCGTCAAAGGCGCCGGCGCCGTCGCCTCGCTGCTGCTGCTGCTGCGTCACCAGGATGCCGTACAGTATGGACTCGAGACTGTTCACGCGCAGCGTCCACTCGGTGACGGCCGCGGACCCGCTGCTGCGGTTGCGCTGCCGCTCGATCAGCACGTGCGTTGGCTGCAGCGGCAGCAGCCGGTCGTTGACCAGCTTCAGCGCCAGTTTCGACAACGACTCCGGGTCGAAGACGGCCGCCTGCGTGGTTCCGGTCGCGGCCAACGCCTGGGCCTCGGCCTCCTGGGCGAGGTCCACGACCTTCCATTCGTGGACCAAGACCTTGAGCCGGCCGGGCCACTGCGGTGTCTCGCTGTGTCTTTGTGTGGAGAGTTTGGTCCATGTGATGAGGCTATAGGCAAAGTTCTTGATGCCCAGGTCGATGCTAAGGATGCGCGCGTTCGCCGGCACAGGCGTGAATTTCCTGGCTGCGTCTCGCAGCCGGAGAACCAATTCGCTCTTGATCCCCCCGACTGGCAGGCCGGATTCTACAGCTGTCGATCTTAGTGCCTTTAATTGTAGCTGTGGTGGTTTTCTGACCAAGACCATTTTTCCTCCCTCCTGTCTCTATTTTCTGTTTTTTTTGTCGTTGTTGTCCCCTAAATAGTTCGACTTTTTGATTAACCAACTCCCAAAGAGTATTGGTCCGCTGTCACCTCGCGTTGATACTTGACCCGATCCCCGTGCTTGTCTGGCATCGAGGTCGAGAAAAGGTTCCCTCCACGTGAACCGATCGTTGCGACGCCATCAAATCTGAGAAAGATCCAGCCAATGGGAAGATTAAACATCTCCAGCCAATGGTAGCTCGCACCCAATTTGTCAACATCTATCCCTGCAATGACGCAGGCTGCTGCGGGCCGCGGGTTGCTTAGTTCAGCGCGTTGGGACAGCGTCGGTTCTGCTTCCCCAGTCGGCATTCCTCTGCGTGAAAATAGTAAGCAAACCCGACATGTCCACGGCTTGGCTGGGTTCTAGCAAGTAAGGTGGATAGAAGAAGCGAGGGCCCAGAATCCATCTAGGCATGGAGAGTCAATGTGCAAGCGACAATTTGGAATTTTCCTCGCTTTAGTACACTACTGTAATCCGTATCGGTTAGTGGTAAAGCTGGCCGTCTGTCAGCAACTATTAGCTACAACTGAGGGAACCTTTGACTCTGCGCTGTCGCAAACAGCGTTCGGAATTTGTCAACCAGCCCGCAGCCCACAGCCCAGCCCACCCACCTAACCCAGTCTCGAGACGGCGCATATGCAAGGTATTTGTCGTCCAACCTTTGGCTTCTATATACCTATAAATAAGCAGTTGACCCCTCATACCCCGCGGTGCGTTCTTGTTCGAGCTCCCCTATCGCCCACCTCCCGACTTCTGTCCATGCAAGCCCTTTCTTCCATTCTTACTAGACGCCCTGTGCTCTCGTCAAGAACTGCTGCCAGTCGAATTACGACACTATCCAGACACTTCTCAGCAACTTCGCTCGCCATGGCTCCCATTTCCAAGGAGATCGATTTCCTTGTGATCGGGGGCGGTAGCGGAGGCCTCGGGGCTGCTCGTGCCGCGAGCTCCCGGTATGGAACCAAGGCCATGATTATAGAGGGCAAGCGGTTAGGAGGCACATGCGTCAATGTTGGGTAAGTAAACTGGCGAACCCACTATCCGGCTTATAGAGTCAAGGCGGGCGCTGACAGTCCCTGTTTTACAGATGTGTACCCAAGAAGGTGACCTTCAACGCCGCATTCATTGCCGAGACAGTTCACCAAGCCAAAGACTACGGCTTCAGCCTCCAGGAGACGGCGCCGTTCGACTGGTCCACCTTCAAGCACAAGAGAGATGCCTACATCAAGCGGCTGAACGGCATCTACGAGCGCAACCTGGCCAACGACAAGGTCGAGTACGTACACGGATGGGCGAAGCTGCTGTCCCGCAACCAGGTCGAGGTGACACTAGACGATGGCACCAAGGAGGTCGTCAACGCCAAGAAAATCGTGGTGGCCGTCGGCGGAAACCCCACGGCCCCGCCTGCGATTCCCGGCGCCGACTTTGGCACTAACAGCGATGGCTTCTTCGACATCGACACACTGCCCAAGAAGGTGGTGCTGGTGGGCGCGGGCTACATCGCCGTCGAGTTTGCCGGCATGTTCAATGCGCTAGGCGTCGAGACACACCTGTTCATCCGGTACAACACCTTCCTGCGCAGCTTCGACCCCATGATCCAGGAGACCGTGACCAACGAGTACGAGCGGCTGGGCGTCAAGGTCCACAGGAGCACCAATCTGGACCAGGTTCTGAAGGACGAGGCGTCGGGCAAGCTGACGGTGCACTACAAGGGGGCGAAGGGCGAGGGCTCCGTGGCGGATGTTGACCACCTAATATGGGCGATTGGGCGCACTCCGGCGACGAGCGGCATCGGGCTCGAGGAGGCCGGCGTGAAGCTCAACGAGAAGGGCCACGTCGTGGTGGACCAGTACCAGAACACGAGCGTCGAGAACATCTACGCGCTCGGCGACGTGTCGGGCGAGGTCGAGCTGACGCCGGTTGCCCTCGCAGCGGGCCGCAAGCTGGCCGCGCGGCTGTTCGGACCCGCCGAGTTCAAGACGGCGCGCGTCGACTACACCAACATCCCGTCGGTCGTGTTTGCGCACCCCGAGGTCGGCTCCATCGGGCTCACAGAACCGCAGGCCGTCGAGAAGTACGGCCGCGAGAACCTCAAGATTTACAAGACAAACTTCACCGCCATGTACTACGCCATGATGGACCCCAACCAGAAGGGCCCGACGGCCTACAAGCTCATCTGTGCCGGCCCGGAGGAGAAGGTGGTCGGCCTGCATATTCTCGGCCTCGGCAGCGGCGAGATGCTCCAGGGGTTTGGAGTCGCTATCAAGATGGGCGCGACAAAGGCCGACTTCGATAGCTGCGTGGCTATCCACCCGACGAGCGCGGAGGAGCTGGTCACTCTGAGGTAAAAGAGGAAGGGGAAATGCAGGGAAAGCGCTTGAGCATGTATATCTGATATTTGATGTTGGCCATACACAATATGAATTGTTGAATTAATGACATCTCTCTGTTGCATCACATTTCTTCTCTTTGTCGATTTGCGACAACTTGTATGTGAATATCGCGTCAAAGCAGCTTGCAGACAAGAATCAGACGCCGGGCGTGGTTCATTATCCGAACTCATCCGCTTACAGAGGTAAAACATGTTGAATTCGCGGGAATCTCTGTCATAGTGCAGAGCTGTACAATCCAATCCCTGAATGTTTGTCAGCGTGATACTTTCCAAGATCCACATGGCCTTAGCATCTTACGACTCGCCGTAAAGGTTTTTCGCTAAACGAGGTAATAGCTATTTGAATTCCTATTTTGGAATCCTAGAGGTAGGTCTATTCCTTCTCTAGAAATGCCTGTCAAATGCCTTTCCTGGCCGGTGCCTTTGTTATTTTCTTTTCCTTTATAAGTGCCACGTCAACAAACATTCAGGGATTGGATTGTAAACTGAACTGAAGGGCTCCGTATCGGAAGGAATGAACGCGACCCCGCGCGCAGGGATTACGTAAGGCCATGATACCCGATTATCCCTGTCGCCTGAGCTGACTACGGCAGACCACAGCTCACAGCCGTAAAAAGTCACACCACCGAGCTCGAGCTGTTGCTCTTCGAAACGACGTCGCTGCTCTACTAGCGTTACGGCTTCCGGATTGCAGGAGAAACCTCGCAACCTCTCACACCAGACGCACATCGTTCCCCGGCTCGTTGCACCCGCAAAAGCAAATCTCCACTCTCTCAAGGTATGCATTGCGTTCATCATCTTCAATTGGAAAACCTGGCTCTCGCGCGCAATTGAGCTCTCTGGAGGAGTAGCTGGCGGGCCAGCAAAGCCGGGTCGGGTCGGGTCGGCACGACGACTTGAGAGAGAGAAGGGGTGGGGGGAGGTCGCCGGTTGGGAGGGGACGCGGATGAGGAGCGAAAACTGCAAAGACTAACCAAGCCGTATCCAACCCCTCCGAACACAGATGTTTGCCCGTACCGCTCTCCGCGCGGCTCCCCGGACGACGACCATGGCCTCGCTGGTCGCCCGCCGCGGCTTCCAGTCGACGCGCGCCCAGCTCTCGTCGCCCTACCACTACCCCGAGGGCCCGCTCTCTAACGTGCCCTTCAACACCAAGACCAGGTTCTTCGGCCTGCGCTACTGGCTGTTCTGCATCGTCGGCTTCGGGGCCCCGTTTGGAATTGCTGGTGCGTCTTTTTTTACACTCTCCCAACTCTTCTGCTCGCTTGGACTTTTCGGGAGGGAATGGTTATTCGATGGGGGTACCAAGCGGGATTTTCTCGTTGATTCTTTTTGTTGAATGCTGACGTGTGGCGTGATGACAGTCTGGCAAACCTACCGCCCTCGGTCCTAGATTGCCGTCTTGCAGGAGGGTCAAGGGGGGTCTGGTTGCGTCTTTGGACGGCGGGTCAGGCGAGAATGGTGTCTGTCTGTGTTTTTGATAAACAGGATTAGAAAGAAGGTTAGGGGGGAAAGGAGGCCGAGAACGAATGGAAGGGCCGCTCTGTACATGACACAATAACCGATAAACTCATCGACTTGGTTTCCCTTTGTGACTGCAATGACTATGGCATTTCCAGGCCCTGCTCGGAGGCAGCCGCCTCTACATTCGTGATACTAACTTCCTCTCCTATCTGTATGCCTATAGAATCAGGTCTGCTCTACAGAGAGGTCGAGCTGGCGGCTTTTAGCATTGCTGCCATGGTGTTCATGTCGTCATATGATCAGCACTTTGATAAGCAGGCCTAGGACCTACGGGGCTTTGTGGCTTGCATCTCTCATTCGTGTAGACTTGAAGATATCGAACAGACAAAACATGCATAAGGCATTCCGATTGGCAGCCAGTCCTCCTGTTGGAAGCGCATCCAGCGGTCCCTACGTGTGGGTTGGTTATGGAATGTTGCCCTCAAGTCTTCGAGGAGGGTACCTGGAGAATTTCACTGTTCTAGTTAGATAATTGTTTCTTATATAACATTATACTATTAATTCAATCATTAATACTCCACAAACAGAGAAAGCAGTGTTCTGGCCGCCGAATTTGGCTGGCGCATGCTGCCACTTTCGGCGGCTTTAACACCAAGCGCACAAGTCTCTTACAAGTACCGTTGGTGTACCTGTGTCAGAGCAGCCCTTCTAGCGCATCTCCGTCACGGTCGAAAGAGTATCTAGGTGGGTGCTTCAAGAGACAGCCCAACATAATTAATCATGGTTATGGGTACGTATTGAGGCGCGCCGCAGACTACGGCTTAAAACATGTATATGGGGGTGGCGCCCAGAACCCAGGATCCACGGATCTAAATATTCTACAAGCTCCATCTTTACCACCTGCCCCAAAATAGAATCCTACTCTAGGATGTAATCACTATCCTGGTCGCGAAGCTGCCTCTTGACTCTTTTCTCGGCTACCTTAAACCGCTAATTTTGATATAAAACGGGCATGTTAGACGGGTATCTGGACGACGGTAATCATTCGGAACCTTTAGGGAGAATTGGCGCACGGACCGTAATATCTGGGCGCCCGCTGGGGAACCGGCACCGCTGAATCTCATTACAGCATGCGCTGCAACTGGGCTGAAACAACATCTCAACCTCCACTGAACGAGTGCCATGTCAAGCATGGGAATGTGGTTATATCATAGCACATCGGCTGACCAACCCCGACACGGCATGGTCTGAGGGAAACCCACACATACACGGCCGCCTAGGCAGTCTCGAGAAAAGATCCAGCCATGGACGTGCCGCCCGTCAAACTGGCGGAGCTGCTGCGGCACCCCGACGACCTCGACAAGATCGCCGCCCTCAAGGCCGAGTTCACGCGCAAGAAGGCGGCCGTCGACTCGCAGCTGCGCAGCGGCCTGCGCGACCAGCTCGAGACGACGCAGTCGGGCATGAATGGCCTCGCCGACGGGCAGAAGACGGTGCAGCAGATCAAGGAGGAGATGATGAAGATCGACAAGATATGCTCGGGCTCCCAGAACATGATCACCGACTTTGCCACCATCAACCTCGTGTCCCAGGCCCACCGCAACTTTGGTGCCGTCGAGGCCATGCGCCGCAACCTAGAAATTTTCAGCGACCGCCTGAACGGCGTGCTCGAGATGCTGCGCCAGGACGACGCCGACGCCGAGAACATGCCCAACCTGCTCGCCATCCACTACGAGCTGACGCAGCTGCGCAACATCCGCGATGACGCCATCGAGCAGATCCAGCGCGGCGACGACCCGAGCCTGCAGTCCACGCTCGAGGACTACTTTGAGCGCCTGGACAGCGCCGTCAAGTGGTTTGACGAGCACATCACCCTGATCGCTCAGAGTCTTATCAATCTGGTGGTCGACGACAATAATAGTCTTGTGGTCCGGTTCGCGCTGGTCATTGAGGCCGAAGAGAAGAGCGACCAGAGGGTCCTGGCGCTCCAGGAGGCACTGAAGGACCACAAGGAGATCGCCACGCGGTTCCAGAGCATCACGGACGGCGCAAAGACGGTGAGGGGGTACAAGGACAAGTTCCTCAACGCCATAAAGCAGGTCGGCGAGAGCCAGTTCGCCGAAAGCAGGGAGCAGTTCCTGGGAGATCCCAAGGAACTGGAGAAGAGCCTCAAGTGGTACTTCAACGACCTCAACACGGTAAGGCTAGGCATGGTGCAGCTGATGCCGAAGAAGTGGAAGATCTTCAAGACGTGGGCAACAATGTACCACGACCTTATGCACGCGTTTCTCGTGCGCCTCATCGACGACCCGCAGACGTCGTCATCACACACGCTCGAGATTGTCAGCTGGCCTGAGAAATACTACAGAAAGATGAACAAGCTCGGCTTCAAGCAGGACGAGCTCACGCCGCACGTCATCGACAACAGGGAGACAGAGCTCGTGCGCGACTTCCGCTCCCTCATCATCCGCTTCTTGGACGAGTGGATCGACCGCATATTTGTGCAGGAGAGGAAGGACTTTGCCGCACGCAACGCCGAGGGTGGCAACCTTGAGGTGGACGAATACGGCTACTTCCGGACCAAAAACTTGGTCGACCTGTGGAGGATGTTGCGGGAGCAGCTGGACGTTGCGGCCAACTCGAAGCGGGCCGACGTTGTCGAGGGCGTGGTGGATGCCATGTTCCAGAGGCTGAGGACGCGCCAGCAGGGGTGGCAAAAGATGCTCGAGGACGAGGCGGCGCGCTACGAGACGGGCAAGGTGGTGGAGCTGGACGGGTTCCAGCCCCTGCAGGACTGGCTGGTGGCCACGGCGAACGACCAGATCGCCTGCATCGACGACAGCGAGGACGGGAGCCGGCTGGGCTACCTCTCGGACTTCCAGAAGAAATTCACCGACATGGTCACGCCGCAGTACATGGAGCGGGCCGAGAGCGAGGTCATGGCGATCCGCGACGGGTACGTGGACCTGAGCACGTGGTGCATCACCAAGTTCGCGCAGCTCGTCTTCACCATCGACTTCAAGACCGTCATGCCTGACTTCTTCACGGCCAAGTGGTACACGAGCACGGCCATGGCGCGCATGGTGGCGACCTTTGAGGAGTACGTGAGCGACTACAAGCAGGTGCTGCACCACTCGCTCCTGGACATCTTCATCGAGATCTTTGCCGAGGAGCTGCTGATCCGCTACCTGTCGTCGGTGCGCAACAAGGGCGCCAAGTTCCGCCGCAGCGACAAGTTCCAAGACAAGATCTTTGACGACCTGTCGACGGCGTTTGGCTACTTCAGCAACCTGCCCAACCCGGGCGTGGGCATCTCCATCAAGGAGACGTGGCGCGTCACGGAGCCGTTCCTGCAGCTGCTGACGGTCGAGAAGGAGCAGGTGCCCGCCGTGTTCGAGGCCTTCAAGCGCGGCTACTGGGACCTGCAGATCAGCTGGGTCGAGGCCGTGCTCAGGTCGCGCGACGACTTTGATAGGAGCATGCTCAACGCCGTCAAGGCCAGGGCCGCCCAGATGGACGTCGTCCGCGGCCCCGAGACGGTCATGAGCAAGGTGAAATGAAAAAAACACGCACATGTGTCTGCTTCATGGACTTGCAATGATGTGATTTTTAACAGAAGCGAAAATTATGTAGCCTCATGTCTATACGATCTCGGTCTGAAACGGCGCTTTGCGTAAGGTTTTTTTTTCGACTCTCAATTCGCTGTCTGTGACCTGATGAAATGTGACTCGACATTGAAGGTGCTTTCAGTCTATCTTCTCTTGCCCTTCAATGATCAAGTATCGATGGCGATGCAATTCTTGGTAAGCCGTGATAGGCCTTATTACAGTAATTTTCTTTCAGTCTTTGCGGTTCATTTTTTTAATTCAATTTTCCGTGATGGGTTGGAAAACACAGGATGTGAAAACTTGTCTCGACGCTCCAAGTCTCTTGGGTGGTGGTGGTGGCGGTGGTACTGTGCGGATGCCCCACTGCCCGGGCTCCGTGATGTGGCGGTTGCTGGGCATGATGGGAACACGACCTGTGTTGTAGGTGTTGGATTATTTGAGGCTGTATACTTGGGCAGAGAGAGTGGAAGGGGAAATGCTCATGACAGCCAATTTCTTTATGGCTGAGCTGCTGCAGCCCTGAAGAGAACCTAAAACCTCTTGTCAACGGCCACCAATGAACTTGCTCCTGTACCCGAATTAGGTGGCTGCCCAGCGAACTCACCCCCAACGCTTCCGGCCACAGCTACAAAACAGCCTACGCATGATGAGCCGGAATCAAGACGCCAGAAGGGACGGCCTCCCGGTATCCGACAGCAGACACGACACACGACGGCCGCAACAACCACATTAGTTACAGCGACTACAAAGTCAATAACCGCACCACCGCCATCCGCGACTGGCTCTATGAAATCCCTTCCCAGGCCGCCGGCGGCGAGAGCCAGGCTTCGGTGATTTAGCGCATTTAAACCCCCTAAAAACACACGCAACCTTGGACCCCTAGAACAGAAGCAACAGCAACAGAAGCAAACGATTGTCAAAGATGAGCGACCATCGCAGCCACAGCCGCTGGCCCAGATACTGGAAAGTCCAGGGCATTCACCTAGGTATTCGTCAAATAGTGTCTTCCCACAAAACAGCCGTGCCAGCAAGGGTAGCAATAGTAATAGTAATAGTAATAGTGATAGCATTGCCAATCTCGCAGCCGTCCGCCAGACCATCATTGCAAACTTCAGGCGGCGCTGCATCGATCCGGGAAGGTATAGCACCATCCTGAAAGTTGACGCTGAGATCCGGCACAGAAGTCCCGACAGATGCCTGCAGTGGTGTGTGCCATTTCTCTTGTCTCTTCTTCATTCGTATTGCCCGCCTCACCACACCCAGCCCAGCCCAGCCCAGCCCCTTTAAGTCACCATAACCCCTTTTCACTCCCCACCAAACCAAACAACTACGCAGTAACTAAAAACCCCCACCCAAGCATCACGGCGCAAGGATACACCATGAAACCCCACCACAGTAAGCACTTCTTCAGTCTCTACCTACTGCCGATTTCCGAGGGGATCAGCTAACCCGAGATGACGACGCACCTCAACTCCAGCATCGTCCCGCGGCTTTCCCAGTACGCCAACACCAAGCAACCCTCCGCCACAACCAGCTCTGCCGGCCGCTCGCCAACTGCCCATCAACAGCAGCAGCAGGAGACCCCAAGCCCAAAACCTACCGGTAATCCAAGACTTTGTCTCGGTCCCCCTTTGGGAAACCAAGACAGGGGCAGAATCAGAAGCAAGCCTGCCGCGGGACTACTGACTGATGCCATATATTCGCTGGCTGGGTAGTCAGTTGATGCCGGGTAATAAATAGTCTGAACTGCCGATGAGGGAGGCAGACACACAGTTGGTCATATTTTGAGATCTCGATATTATTCATGTAATGTACAAGCGTGGAAAAATAATAAACTCAACTTCTAATGATCTCCTCCCCGTTGTGAGGCAATCTGCACACGTGCAAAATTATGTTAACAGTATACATGAGTCTGTGCCATGAGGGTTCTGTGGTGTGTTTAGTCATGCCTCCGTGTCTTGTGTCTATATGATACGAGTATGGCATTGGCGTGGCTGCGGGTGGACTGTATACTCCAGCCCGCGGATGTTTGTTAGCCCAGGACAATATCAGATAGGTAGGTATTAATGGCTTTGGGTGGTTTGGAGTTCCCCCTGGGCATGTACTTTTTCAGGCGGAGGCAGTCGCTCTTTGAACCCTTTAGACCTTGGGTACAACATCATGGAGGTCTATCTTACTAATAAAAATACGGCACCTATGCGAGGCTTTTTTTTTACTGGCTGGGATGTTTGCTATAATCTTTATTCTCTCCAGGTAAAACCACGTCAAGTATTCAGGATATGACTAGACAGGGGCATAGGTACCTACTATTCAGACTGCCAAGAAACACATACACACAAGATAACAAGGATAAAGCGGCTGTGGCCAGGCAGGCGACGTTGTAAGGAAAGTTTCAATTTGATCTCTAGGTTCTCTATGTATACAATTGTGGATATCTCTCTCTCTCGTCTTCCAAACAGGGGATTGGGTAGGTGGATAGCCACATCGGCTGCCCGGCCATGAAGTATATACGATCTAAAGAATTCTCAAATGATGGTCAATGACTATGCCTGTGGAACGCCCATTTCAGTTTTATATTTTTTTTTAAATTTTTTTTTAGATCTTGCTTTCTTTTCCATGGTTGACGAGGTGAAAAAAGTGGGTTGGAGGTAGGAAGTTATGCCCCCTGTGCTGATTGATAGGTAGGCTGATAAGAACCAATGCCCCTTAAACAGTTCTGATGGCAGCTTGTTGCTACTGCTGGCGCCCGACAGCGCCGTCAAGAAAGGTAGAAGATGAAGTCGAAGCAGCAGCAGCAGCATCGGCGGCAGTGGCAGCAGCATCCTGGCGAGGGCCGGCCGACGACAACGAGGAAGACCACTTCTCGCTCTCGCGGCGGAAGCGGCGGGTGCGTTGGTCCTCGATCCTGCGGGCCATGTCCTCCTTGCGCTGGCGCAGGGCGAGGCAGAACTTTGAGTTGGCGCGGATGCGGTCGCCCTGCCACAGGAACACGAACGGGATGGCGCACATGAGCAGGCTGATACCGCCCAGCAGGCTGCAGGCGCCCGAGATGCCCAGCCGCGTGAACATGGGCACCGTCGCCAGCGGCAGCACCGTCGCGAGCAGCGAGCGCGAGCACGACGCCGCCGCGTTGGCCGAGGCGGCGAAGATTTCGTACGCGTCTGTGAGGTAGTTTCTGTGTGTGTTGATCGCAGTCAGATCATGGACTGTGAATTGATATGAGACAAAACTTACAGCAGCGCCTGGAAGATGCACATGAACCCAATGCCAAACGGGATTCCGGCAAGCATGGGGACGAAGAAGGGCACGTCCTCGCGCGCGGTCCAGCCAAGCCAGAAGAGCGAGATCACAAACATGGGCCCGCCGATGCAGGCGAGCGGGAGGCGGCGATACTCTTCGTGGCGGGTCCACGGCGCGTCACGGTCCTGCGCGCGGCGGAGAATGGTGTCATAGGCAAAGAATATGGGAAGAGAGAGCAGGCATCCGGCTAGGATGGCGAGGTACGTCAGGCCGCAGGCGCCGGGGGAGAGCCCGTACACGCCCTGGAAGATGATGGGGAAAGCCTCGAACGTCATGTAGAAGATGGCGTAGCAGAGCGCTAGGTACGCGCAGCTCGTGTTGACAATGGACTCGAAGATGATCATGCGGACGGGGCGGGTGAGCACGACGGCGACGAGGTCTGTAAGACTGTTCTTTTCCAACTCGTGAGGAGCGACGACCCGCGCGGCTGGGTCGTGAGCACGAATGTCTCTGGCTCTGCGCAGGAGGAGAACCGGCCCGTTCGTCTCGGGGAGCAATATTAGCGGAATCAACGTGGCGCCAGCGTACATGAGCCCAATCCAGAAAGCCCATCGCCATCCAATGGTGGGCGCGCAATAGCCGGAAATGATGGGAGCGAGGAGAGGCCCAGACACAGTCATCTGTAATACATAAACCAGTCAAAACCGTTCTTCAATATGTTGGGAAACGAGTTGAACTACCATAAAAAAGAGCCCCATACTCCGGCCGCGGGTCCTTGGGTCACCGCATGTGTCGGCAATAATTCCAGGAACGATGGCAATCGGGGCGCTGGCAAACACGCCAGTCATGAGCCGGAAGACGAGAAACGCGGTCCAATCCGGGGCCAACGCGCAGGCCAGGGTGAACAGGGTGAACATTATGAATGTCCCTATGGTAAGCTTCTTCCGGCCGTATTGCTCGCTGAGAGGAGCCCACAGAATCGGTCCTACAACACCAATCTATCAGCTTGAATCCGAGCCGGCGTAGATAAAAGGCAAGGCTCACCCATGACGTATCCTGATTAAAGGTTAGCTGTGAACGTAAGAAGCATAAGTGTGTGTTGGATCAACTACTTACCGATGAGGTAAACAGATATGGGCAAGACCTTCTGCTGCTCCGACACAATCCCCCACTCGTCCATAATGAAGGGGAGTGCGTTGCTGGGCAGAGCGCTGCCCATTGTGGAGTTTACAATCAGCATCATGGTCGTGAGCAGAATGCCCGCTTTCCGCCTTCCCGACCAGTTATACGGGTTTTCGGGATCATTCTCCTCCCAGGCCAAGATCATGTCTTCCTTATCCTCGTGGTAAGTGCTGGATGCGCTGAACGAGTGGTGATTATAGGGCACCCCATTGCCAGCAGCTTCATCCCCGTACCGCGAGAAGGCGTCTTGGTTGACACCATCTTCAATTACAATGTGGCTGCAGACTCGGCAACCTGTAAAGCGTCATTAGAGGGCTAAAAGCTATGAGAGCAGGTCCTCAAACTCACGGCTTAAACCTGATTGGGGATTTTCGGCAGACTGCACTGACTCCCTCGCAGAGATAGCCCCACGATCGGCTGACCTCCCATCTTGAGCAGATTCTCGACGCTGGACATCCTCCACCTGCTCTCCTAACTCTGTGGGGTTTGACTGTTCAAGCCGGACCCAGTCTTCGCTGCGAACAGAGATACCCGACTGTCGTGACATGGCAGGCTGTCTGTTTGGGACAGAGGGTTTATTCTGGCTGTCATTTCCGTTGTTGCCGGTTTGTGAAATGTCCATGGCGGTGGAATGGGCACCGGACTGTCTAGGGGGAGGGAGGAGCGAATGAAGGGATGTATGAGGGTAGCCGCCGTCGCGAAGCCCAAGGAATGGGAAGGCTGGCTCGGGTTCGAAGACTGGAATAAAGGACGCCGCGGAAATGCCAATGAGCCTACAGCGAACGAACGAAGAACATGGGAGCCGGGCAAACAAATATGCAGTTGACAATGAGTCGGCCGGGGAAGCGCCAGCGCCTGTGCAAGTCGTTCACCGGCCATCCCACATGTGAAGGGGCACCTGCGCGCTCAGGACAGGGAACACCAAACGAGGGCGTTAGCGTCGAACAGGTAGCAGGAGGCTATGAATGTCCTTACGAACCTTAGCATGAGTGCATTGTCCGCTAATGTCGGGCCATTGGATCTGTCTTGCAAGCTGCCCGACGCAGCCGAACCAAGAAGTCGGGCTACTAAAACGATGGTGGCCCCCTAGGCTGTATTAACTTTGAACGGCGCAAGCGCGTTTGCGCTGCAGCCGTACAAGATGATCTCGAGAAGAGAGACCAGGAGGCGCCGTCATAGGGCTACGAATCCGACGAATATTATTTAGCCCCAGTTTCCGAATTAAATGGCGTTTTAGGGCGCACGATAGTCTAGGCGTAACAGCTGAGGGCTGCTCAGATGACTTGCAAGAAGAGCTGACATCGTTGACGAGAAAGACGCTTCGCCGGAGACGCTGTACTGCGAGGAGACGCAGTGTTCGGAGACTGTAATCCCTTAACTTGCACAGCAGAACCGCCGAGAGGGTTCGAATTGTAGTTGACTTTTGCTCATGCATGTGTCGGGTCTCAAGCATCCATAACGTCTATCACGAGTCAGTCGGGCATTAAAGCCATCTACCCATCCGAACATTGATGGCGGTGTCATTGAGTATGCAACACCCGGAAAGAAATTTGTTCTTAGCTGGGCTATAAATCTTGAGTGCAGCAGTGACGTTGCTTGCGAACGGAATTGTTACCGGTTGGATCAAAGCAGTTTTTTCTCAACCTCGTAGGGCGCTGCTGAAACAGGCCAGTTGAAACAATTGCAGGCGTGCTCAGTCTCACCAGCCGTTAAACTTTAACAGCGCAGACTCGGCTTCATGTCCTAGGAAAGTTGGATACAAGCCTGGATTGCCTAAGCACTTGGGTGTTCTTAGCTTCTTGAAAATGATGTCAACACCTTCCCAACGAACTCAGCGGTTCCAAGGGGAAGGTCAAGGCTTATGCGTGCAGGGACATAACTAGGTATGTAAGGTACCTAGGTATAGCATATACCAACGATGCCTCATTCAACCGCTCGCGAGGTAGAACTCCCTGACTAGTTAATTAGCACGGAATACCGCCGCTGCTCGATCAAGCCGGCTTGTACACAGAAACCTGGCACTTTCGCTAGAGACATGAGTCTTGTGTGAATGAACAAAAGTCGGTCGATGCTTCTTTGCGAGTACGTGCCATAGGCCTGGGTTGAAATTCGCTTTTCGTCGGGGAAAAACGGGTGCTGACCACATACGCAAGGCTCTGCAGCCTGCCTGCGTGCTGCTACCGTACCACTCTTTTCATTCCCGAGAAGCTTTCACAGGCCGGCCCCTCTTTCTGTCGCTATCAAATGCAATCGAATGGGCATATTTGGAAGACAACCGAAGGTAGCGGAGATAATGATATTGGCTTGATTCGTCCCTAAACTCGCTAATAACTATACAGGACTCGATGGTTGAGTCTTGATCGTGGATAACAGGCGCATACAGATGCACGCGTACCGAAGCCGTACTGAGTGGGCTGATCATTGTGTCACCGTCCCGAGTTTGCGGGTGAGGAGGCGTGCAGCAGCGGTTCACATGCGTGGATTTCTAATGTGGAAGAGAAGCTCATTTTCGGCATCACGTCTCAAGGTTGATTGTTTTCCCAAATCTCGCATATAGGTCAACCTTGAGCTCGCTCATCTCATCTCGGATACCGGCTAGTTTGTCCTCAAGCACCGCGATTTCGTCTTCTATTTTTGCGGACGAGACGCCTAACATCTCCTGGGCTTGAGGTAGTGATACGTGGAAGAAGGCGTCGCCAACCTTATATCTACGCTAGGTCTCAGCACCATAGCTCCTTTCACTATGTTTCAGGATAAAAAAATCGTGGGGGTATTACTCACGGGACAGTCTCGTCCTCGTCAGCAAGCTCGAGCTCAGTGGTGACGTCGTCGAGTTCCTCTTTCTCCTTCTGTAAATTGGTTCAGCGACTCGGCCTTTTGATCCTGCCTCCTAGCTCTTGGTGGTGTCGGGACCGCGCTCACGTTCTTGATGGTCAACTTCTCTTCTATTGACAGCTCGTGTTGGTGCAGGCGGCTGAATTTGTTGATCTTGTCCTGGTCCTCGCGGCGGACCTCGATCTCCTCTCCCGCAGCCTCCTCCTCCTCCCTCGTCAACTGTTAGGCAGGCCGTCAGCAGGGATTTCGATCAAGGGGCCGCGCGATGCGAGACACATATAGTCTTACCATGCGCCGATTCATTTTCTATCGAAGGTGCTTCTGATCTTGGTGGTCAGCTCGTTGCTGGAAATAGGAAGTCGTCGTCGGTTTGGGCGTTTCGGCTGTCACAAACGGTCGCCCTATTAGCTTAGTCGGGCAAAAGTGACAGGGGTCTTCAAGGTGGGTTTTGGTGGGGTCGCTCCATCTTTTCCCCGATTGGCCACTTGCCTTGGCCCACACCCAAGTCAACAAACCGAACAAGGATCAATTCACATCAGGCACTTGAGCGCGATTGCCTGCCAACAATTGTCAAATCTATTCTCAAGTGCCTCATTCATCGCCCTTTCACGCCGACCGTATTCTGTGTCCCGCCACAACCCGTAAATCGAACCCATAGGGGCCTAAAATGGCGCCCGGCCAAAAGCTCTATCCACGGGTGACAGTCAAAAAGATTGTTAAGGCTCACTCAAACTGCAACGTCAGCAAGAACGTGGACGTGCTGGTACTCATTGATCTCTATTCCTCGCGATGGTGGAGCGTGTTTCTTATTGTTTACTCTCCTAGATCTTCCTGGACTACGCGCTATTCATGCAAACGTGAGGACTCCCCCCATGTCCCTCGTCCGTGTTTCTAGCCGCCCAGACTGACTGACACGGTGCAGGCTGATGAAAGAGGCAACCATCGAGGCCAAGCAAGGGGGTGAGCGAGGTATCACAGCCCGGGGCGTTAGGAAGGTCACGGCGGTAAGTGCTCTTACTCGTCAAACCCGGCCAGGATCCCGCATTATAGTACTCACGCAGCATTGCTATTTCAGGATTCGCTAGCCAAATTCAAGGGATGAGGTGACCTGGAACCGATGTGTCCGGGCAGGACAAAATACCCTCGCTAGATCTACCACCCCGTCCTCAAACGGGGGAAGTCTTTTGAGACAAGTAAAACACCAGTGACAGTCGATCGAGGACTGGTGGAAGAGCTGATACTGCCAGGTAAAAGGGTAGCACTAGAGCCTAGACTTAGGGGCAACCATCTATGCACGCGATTAAGAAGCGAGCATTCAAGCCATTCCCACCGAGGATGGGGAAACTGACCTCGGTGCCTTGTTGGAGATAACTTACTTGGGCATTTGTTTCTACATACCTTACATACACTACCTGGAAGGTATGCAAGCAAGCCTAGGGAACATCAATTGAGGCGGGTCGGCAGCGCAGTCAGCTATTTTTGGCGGTTGGGGACACCTTGTTGGCTGATGAGGCACGCCAATTGGAGGCAGTTGCTCCATCGTACGTACTGTGCCCTGTAACTCTCATGATGTCTTAGGTAGCAAAGTGAGAGCTACGGTATGGAGTCAAGAATACGGATATCGCGTCTCCTATACACTTCTAATTCCATGAACTTGGCATAATGTCTCGGGGGGTGAGTCGCACCGCTCGATACCTACGTCAATGATTCGTCGGAATGTTCTTAGTGCTTCGGCTGGCTTCTCTCAGCCCGCCCCGCCCCAAAAAGAGCAAACGAGGCGGGAGAGGCGGGAGAGGCGAGGTGCCTTGGCCCGTGCTAAGGCGCCTGAAAAACCCGGGGTTGGCAGGCACGCGGCCCTGTCGCCTAGGGGGGCACAGAACTTCGAAAATTTCCTACTCCACCTCAGCTCGTCAACCCAAACTCACCAACAACGTTACAACAACGTTGACCATTTTCACAACCACCTGCAAACCCTAAAAAATCCACACCCAAACCTCGATCCCCTCTGCTGTCATACCTTCTACAAACTTTTGATTTGGCTGCGCCCTCTCGTCTCGAGACATCTGCATCTTTGTTCTCCAACAAGCACTGCATCCGAAGAACCCCCAAAAATCCCCACGGCTGCCTGCCCCAGACAGCTTCGCCCCGGCTTCCTTGAACACGCAAATAGCTTCCCAAAGCGTGCCGACCCAATTCGACATGGCTACTTCTACCATCCAAAACCCTCCAGCTCCTACCGAATCCAAGTCGGCCAGGAAGAAGAAGTCGAAGGTTGAGCGAACGGAGTCCCCTGCCCCCGCTCTCTCGACCTCCAAGCCTGCCTCAGTGGCTGCCAATGACAAGGACGACGAGTTTGCGGACAACGCATATATCCGCGAACTTCAAAAGTGAGGCGACACCATTTTCCCCTCCCCTTTCAGTCATTGTGCTAACGATTTAACCCCCCCGCAGGAGCATCCGCAATGTGACCAAGAAGATTGTGAGTCTCGTGCCCTAGAATCCGAACCCACTTCACTTGATTACCTACTAACAGCATCTTCTAGACGAATTCGGCGAAAATTGATATCATCATAGCAGAGCACCCCGGCAAGACCCTCGATGACCTTGTCACCTTGAAGCTCATCAATGCCGATCAGAAATCTTCGCACCAGAAGAAACCCGCCTTGCAGGGACAGCTCTTCCAGCTGGAAGAGCAGCTTGCCCAGCACAAGAAGATTGATCTCGAGAACCGTGCCCGCATGGCCGACCGTGAGAAGGTCTTGGCTGAGAAGTTTGAGAAGGAGAAGGCCGAGCTTCGTTCTGAGCTCGAGCAGAAGGCTAAGGCGGAAGCCAGCGAAACACTCAACAACAACCTCCTCACTCTCTCCCAGTTCCTCCGCCTCGCTGCGGCACGCCGTACTGAGGATATCGATAACACTGCCGACGAGAATCTGGCTCTTGAGGGCGTGCTACTCCACCTTTACTCTGGCGACGAGAATGCCGTGGCTACCATGTTGAAGTTGGTGCAGGGTGCCGAGGAACAGACCCGCAGCACCGGCGGAGAAGTGCTGGAGACGACTTGTAAGTTCCCCAGCAAAGAAATGTGGTTCTTTTGGAAGAGTGCTAATTCGTTGTGCTGCAGATGACCAGGTTAAACAGCTGTCTATCGCCAACGCTACCCCGGTCTACCCTGCTGAGAGCACCCCTCAGGCGTCTGAGCTGGAGACGGTTGAATCTAAGGAGCTTGTCGAGACAGATCCCACCGTCTCCAACGTTGGCCTGACCGAGATCGACGAGGGTTCAGCTGACGCCGCGCTAACTAATGGCCATGGCCAAGAAGTTTCTTCGAGCGCGAGCGCCCCTAGCAATGCTAATGTTAGTGATACCGCCGCAAATGCGGCAGGAGAGAGCCAATGGGATGCTGCAAATGATATGACCATGTCGCAGGAGTGGGTCAAGGTGCCCAAAGATGCGAGCGAGGCTGCGTCCAGTCCAACCGCAACCGCCGCCGTGACCCAGGCAGAGCCTGCCGCCCCGACTGCACCCTCTGTCGCGCCTGCAGCTGTCGAACCTACCACAACCCAGTCATGGGCCGACGACCATCCCGAGCCCTCAACCGAAACCCCTGCTGCCGCGACGGATCCCCAGGATGGCTTCCATCAGGTGCAGCGCAACCGTGGTAATCGTGAGGGAGGCTGGCGAGGCCGCGGCGGTGACCGCGGCGGCGATCGCGGTGGCTATCGTGGCCGTGGAGGATATCGCGGCGAGGGACGTGGCCGCGGCCGTGGTGGACCGCGTGGTGGCATGCCAAACCGCCCTCGTCGTGGCGGTGATGAGCAGCCGCAGTAATTCCCTCTCGCCGAAGAAGCAGGCAACATGGTCCGGGGAGCACCGTCGCTTCCTTTTTCGATCTTTTGCGTCTACTGTTGGCTTGTCATCATTCAGCCATCATGCGGCAATCATGGCGTTTTACTGAAAAAAAGAATCTGCCAATGAGCGGATCTCTCACATTCGGTAGGGATACACAAAAAACTCGAGAATAATGTACACTTAGAACGATGAAACATGGCAGATGGAAGACCACCTGCCGAACGCTTTGATCAGCCCTGAATGACTGGAAGCAACACGAGCGAGGCGAGATGTCTGCTATACGCGAGGGCGTGATGCGGGCGCCTGCTTGCTCGTTGTTAACCTTAGACAGATTGGGAGAAGAAGCGAAATGTATTGTATCATAACAAGCCTTGCCTTGCTAAATGAATGACGAATGTCTGTGCCTTGTCCTTTTTTTCTTTTGTTTTGCGAGCTTACATAGTTGAGGAGCCAACTTGTCTCGAAAGCACATCAACACTTGTCACATTTTATAGCGAGGAAAGGTAACTTTGTCGTACTGCAGCCAGAGACAGCGTATCAATATATATGTATATTTATATGTATATATATAACAAGACTTCGAACAAAGAAAATGTAGTATAACCCAACTCCACATGTATCTCCTTTCTGTGTCGTGGTATTATCTGTCGTCGTCGTGTTCATATTCGTCATTTTTAGCCAAACCAAACCAAACCAAACCAAGCCAGCCGCTGGAACCCAAAACACCACTCTGGGCCTCTTCATACTGGCTACAGAGAAGCAGGTGCTTTGACTACTGTTGCGCCTCACGGCGGCGCGAACCCCGTGAACGGCGTCCCCAGCACCTTCTCCTCGCCGGTCTTGCTGCTGGGGCTCGCCGTGCCGAATTTGATGCCCTCGCGCCGCAGCAACATTCGCTTCTCGACTAGCTTCGCCGACGATGCCCCGTCGCGCGGCCCGACCATGCCTTTGAACCCACCGAGCTTGCCCCCTGTTGCGATGACGCGGTGGCTGAGGGGAGGCGGAACTATGTTAGCTCTGATATTGTTTTGGGGGTTTGTCAGGGGATGATGGGAATGATGTATGTGGTGGGGAGATGGATGAAGCGTCTCGAGGGCGAGCTGGATGGGTAATATAACACACACCCACACAAAAAAAAAATCAAAGCAAATAAACAGAAGAAGGAAAAGAACATACCACGGCACGCGCGGAGCATAGGGGTTGCGGCGCAGGGCATTGCCGACGGCCCGCGGCGACGACCCCAGCTGCGCCGCCAGGATCCCGTACGTCGTCACGCACCCGCGCGGAATCTGCAGCAGCAGCCGCCACACCGCCTTGTCGAAGACAGTGCCATGTTGATAGCCGGCGATGAGCGCCTCGAGCGCGGCCACGTCTTGTTCTTCTTCTTCTTGGCGGTGGTGGCGGTATCCCGTCAGCCCGGAACTGCCAGCGCTGTCTGGGCCGGGTTTGATTGCAGTGGGGGTCAGACGGTGGGCCGTGGGCTTGCGCCTCATTCCGCCTGACATTTTCAGTCTGCTTTCCATGCTTTGTCACGACGTGTGGCTCTATTGGCTCTGTAGGCTGGTACGTAGGTAGTTGAGAGTCTTCCTCCTGTCCAGTGTGTGTGCTGTGTTGGGATGTTTGTCTCCAGACTCGCTCTGTTTCTCCTGCAAAATAAACTGTAAACGTAGATGTAATTGCAGCAATGCCACAGCAAGGCGGGTTTGAGGGGTGGGAATCAATTATATGTCGGCCGTGGCTGTCGCCGTGTCATTCCAAGGGCGCACGCGTCGGTCTGGGAATTAACGCGTCCGCTCGGCGCGAGGCTGATGCGCGGTCACGTGGTTAATTCGCCCCGTTGGTCTTGCGTCCAGGTGAGATCTTAGGGGCCCCCTTTCTTTCCGTCATAAAATTCGGTGTTTTCCGTGCTTTGGCTACCCTTTTTCGATTTCAGTCTTTGTGTAACTAGGCACCAACCTTTAGGCAAGCTCCCCGGACACGTTCCTTCCCTCTTGGAAGCTCAGAATATCTGTGGTTGACGGTTCAACGTCCCCACTTAATGTAGCTACCTTTGTGGCAGGAGACGGCATCTGTGCTTCCTCTTGCGAAGTCTCTTGCCCTACCCCATGCCATTACGAGTCGGGGTGACTCTTTCCTGGGCGTTACTACTTACGTGGCATACAGTGGATCTGTGGCATGGACAATTTTTTCTGTCAACGGTTGGCTGTGTTGGTTATACCGTCCACGCCAGTTACGCTTTTCTTTTCGGTCAGCATCGCGTCCTCAACAACCACACCCTTTCCGCCGTGGAGGGATCACCATAAGCCCTACAATGGGGCAACGGCATGAGGCAGTTAGACGGCCCCGGAGGTTAGGCAGGTGCTTGAGTCCCTGTGCCCAAGCCTCTCTCGGGCGGAAACTCGCCTTCCATAGATGCTTCATATAGCCTACCGCTACTCCCACATTCGACGCTCACAACTTATTTACGCGGATGTTGGGGGTGGCGATAAAAAAAAACCACGCCCATGCACTACAGAACTACTCCAGAAAGCCCGCCGCTCGCCGCTGGCCGCATGTTCAGCGTAGTGGCCGAAGCATGTAGACCTAAGGTAATTTAGTTCTAGTTACGATTATACCAAGCCACTAAACGAGCTTCGGCCCGTTCCCTATCATACAGTCTCGTGGAATTCCTTCGCGTTGTATTGACTTAGCTCTTTCTACATGGCTACCTGGCTGCACAACTTAAAGCGAGTGCCAAGGATCTTTGATGATGCAAGGTGAAAAAAGGGCACAGCGCGCTTCATTGGTTCTTGACCGCAACTATCCTACCGGCCAATCACCCTCTCCAATGGAATTTCCCGCTGTTTCGTCGCGAAGCACAGTCATACAGAGGACAAACACAGGCGGGTTCTGCTGCAAGACGACCGGAACCTCGTCAGAGTGGCGAAAGCGAAACCACCCCGTCGCCCGTCGCCCGTCGCCCGTCATCCTAGATTTCTTTGCATCCCGAGGCGAGTAGTCGCGTGCTCTTGAACAAACGGCACTCTCGGTCCTGTCTGGGTCTTAGTTTATAAGTCCCACGTCCTAGATCATCGGTCCCTCGCAGTCATTCAGGTATAAGTATCTGAGACTGGCTCACTGTTTATCAGGTATCATACCGGCTCCCAACCTGTCAAACTGCCACTGCCACCGCCACCGCCACCCACCGCTCTCCTCTACGCAGTTCAGACTCAATAGTCCATTTCCCATAGCCGCGTAACAACGAGTACCTCCGACATGGCGTACAGTTTGTCATTTTGTCGTTACCCCCGGTGTTCCAGCTTTGCGGCGACCAAGACAGTCAAAAGCATCCCGGCCGGCCGTGATAGTCCCGAAAGAATCACTTCAGCCAGGTTCTGCCCGCAACGTTGGAAATCCCTTCCATAAGACCCATCAACTCGCCGCTGACTTTGGAATAGATTGCTGCAGCGCCTTCTACGGGTCCGAGACGTGCCTCAACCACCATGATCCTTATGACTCGGTTTGCGGCTTGCGTATGACACAAACCCTAGCCCCCCTGACAGGAGATAGTTGAGCTTAGCTAACCCCTTGGGTAGACACATATTGTTCCATCTTAGGCTGCTCCCTGCCTCGGTATCCAATTCCAGACCCCAGACAGAGACCTGGCCTCGGCATGCCTGAGACGGTCATTCGCGCCGAAACCTGCATTCGCCGTAAGCCGATCCACACTAGGAAACTGCATAGTAATCGTTATTTACGGAACACTAGACAAGTGCCATACTGGAGATTGCCGCAAACCTCGAATCTCGTCCAAAAGTCCACATTGTAAAGACCGTAAGCTACCATTCACCATTCACCATGTCGAACACCGGTTTCCAGAGACTGAAAAACAGAGAACAGACACCTGCCGGGCCGACAGCTGCAGAAACACTGTCATAGGCAACAGTAGCTGCTGTCTAACTCGTACGTCGGCCCCCTCTGCTCGTTCCGGTCGTGGTCATTTTAGTACTCGAGGGGCTAGCCGTCCTTCAGATAAGTGTAGGATGGCTGGATGCTTGTCGCTAGTAGAGAGAGACAAACAATATTGCAGTTCTCGTAAGGAATATTCACTAGCCAATGCTATGTTGGAAACACTGACCAGAAAATCCTGCCGGGGCTAGACATGGAATGCAGCAGAGCAGACTGTGGCAGGACCCGGTTATGGTCGTCCGTGAGAGGAGACTACGACCCCTATTGTCACATCCGTGAGTATCCAGTCATTTTCCTCTAGAAAAAAGACGTCCAGATCCAAATGGTGTTATATAAAGACAGGAAACTAAGAACGACCCACCTAGATACTCCCAAGCCGTCTCCGGTGCACTTGCCAGCCCAACTGCAGAACGAGAACAGAGGGCGTACTCTCCATACGAGTATCCTCAGGGGCACTATTTGCCGTGACAGGAACTGCGACTTTAGAGCCTCGGAGGATAGACCATACTGCGGCCACCGTGAGTAGCCTCTCCAAAGTTTGGCAACAGCCTCGACGTGTTTGTTTTGTTCTAATATACTCTCTGTAAGATACTTGTATGGACCTAAGATGCGCGTACCCTCGACCCTGGACCCTGGAAGGAAAATACTGCCCGATGCGTAAGTCGACTCAGCCGCTGACGCGGACCCTTGCGCGAACATTATGGCCTGACACGGTAACGAACGTAGACACTTGCCGTGAGCCGGCCTGCCTAGCCCATGTGGGTAGCAAGAGTATCTACTGCGAATACCGTAAGTCATCTCTCCCACACAATTGCGGAAACAGGCCTTACCAGGGGCATTCATCCCCTGTATTCGTGGATCCAGAAGCTGACACTCAGCGGTAGACGTATGCTCTATTCCAAAATGCAACGCTATAGCCGTTAGCAGCGAAACTCAGCTATGTCTCGACCGTGAGTTCATATAACCCCCCCTCCCGCCTTTACCCCGGGTGCAAAATAACCAATCTCCTTTGTCCTCTCGAATAGACCTCAACGATTTCTACAACGGCACGCCTACCGCGAGACCCCTCGTAAGGGTGAGATCTCGCTCACGGAGGAGAACTCGCTCACAGTCTCGGACTCGAGAGCTTCAGTCTCGAGACGTGATCTGGGGGCCCCGACCAGTGTTCGATATCTGAATACGGGTAGGAGTGCCCGAGAGAAGAGATGTCGATATCCAGGTATGCGACACTGGAAAGCCACCACTCCAACCCGGCGACGAGGATGCGCAGTTCATTTCCGGCTACGCACGAGTGCACATGTGCAAACACGGACTCCGAGATCTTTTGAGTTTCGGGCTTTCCCCATCCTCACACGGACTTTCTTCACTATGTGTCTTTCCTTGCCTGTGACTCTTTTCAGCATCACTTTGTGAGTATATCGTGTATTCACCGCACATGGGCAGCATTTTACGGTTTGGATGGCTTATTTCGTCTCCGTTTGGTTCCTTTGGATTTTCTAGAGGAAGGTCTGAGGATTGGCAAAGAATGATCAAAAATGGATAACAACGAGGCAAACCAAGGGAGCGGCTTTTCTTACCAACATATTGTACTTGACCCAATAAAAGAAGAAAAATTAATTTTTTTTTGCAAGTTTACTTCTTTTTGGCCTGCTGCCCATGACTTTCCGAAATCCGAAAGCCCTCAGTACCTCTCAAGGTTTTTTTGCCGAGGAAGGCAAAAGCTACCAGAATCCTTACCTTGGGGAAATATCCTTCATACGCACACCCTACCTAATAAAGGCTTACTATGTTGCATACAGCCACACGCGGTGAGCGTGGCGGACAAACTGTAAGAAGCACCAGGGTTATCTTATCTTTTATTGTGGGTATCTATCTGTAAGGTAGCTTGAATATGCGGGCCCTGACATCCACAGACCGAGCATGCTGCTATTGTCTTTTTGTGTCTACTATATCCCCAATGGAACCGGATATCCATCCTGGCCAGCCTGAAGTGCCGCTGACAGCTCACTGACCTCCCGTCCTTGCGTGTGCAATGTGAAGAGGTAACAGACTTGGGGAGGAATAAAAAAGGAGTGCGGGGATGAGAAACGTGAACGGCAAAGTGCAGAGTGTGTTGGTATCCATCCGTGTGAGAAAAAGTAGAACCAGGTATTGTCCCATCCCATTTCCGAGGATACGTAACAGACAGAGGAAAACCCCGACTCGTTTTCTCCTCTTTAGTCACCCGTGTCGACCTCGAGGTCGAGCTGCACGCCGTTGGACACGCCGTAGTCGGCTAGCGTTAGCTGGTCCTTGAAGGGCCGCTCGCCCTGGCGCTTGAGCAGGATCTCGTGGGGCTCGCGGCCGACCTTCATGGCGACCATGATCTTGAAGTGCTTGACTAGGTCGCTCGCGAACGCGGGGATCTGCGCCTTAGTGCCCAGCCGGTCATTGACCGTCACCACGATCATCTCCTCGCCGCTGTACGCCCCGCCGGCGGGAGCTGCTCCTGCGGCTGCTGCTGCGGCTGGCCGCGGGGGCGGGTTGGTGCCACCAGACTTGGGCTTACTGGGCTTGTGCTTGCTTTCTTTTCGGGGGTGGTTGTCCCTGTTGTTGCGGTCGCGGTCGCGGTCGCGGTCGTCGTCGTCGTCGTCATGGTGCCGCCGCCTCGAGGATGCGCCAGGCGAGTGGCTGCTGCGATCGTTGTCTCTGCCTCTGTCTCTGTCTGTGTCTGTGTCTCTGTCCCTGTCTCTCCTCGACCTGTCGCGGTCGTCGTCTCTTCTCCGGTCTCCGTCGCGGCCCTGCTGGTCACGGTCCTTGGCCTGATCGCGGTCCCTGTCCCTGTCCCTGTCCCGGTCGCGATCGCGGCGCGGGGAACGGTTGCGGTAGCCGCGCTGGAGGCCTCCGCGGGCGTCGCGGTCGTCGTCGCGACCGCCCTGCTCGCCGCTGCCGTCGTCGTTGGAGCGCTTCTCCTTCCATTTGAACCCGCCACCGCCGCCGCTGCCCTTGGGACGACGTCGAGGAGAGTGGGAGCGGGATCGCTCTCTGCGCGGAGAGTCGGCCATTTTTTTATGTGTTGTGGCAAACCCGATGATGAGGTGTGTGGATTGTAACGAGAGTTGGTCGTCGAAGTTGCCGCGAAATCGAGCCCTGCAGCTCAGTACAGCCTTACAGGGCTTGGCTACCAGTGACGAAATTATAGTGGGGCTCTGCTCCTAAAATGCGATTACATAACGGGCTCTCAGGCAGGAAAAAAAACACGGCGAAAACGTCCAAAGATCAGAGAAGAACAAAAGACAGATAGATAAATAACAATACGACCTTATATCATTTTTAATTCTTATACTAGAGAGCAAGCCAGACACACGCTCCTTTATGGTTCAATGAACATGATCGCTGCTCACTAAGTAGAGCGCTACCATCACTCAACATTCGGCAGCCAAAGCCTCTCAGCCCATTTTTCCAGTCACCTCCAAGATGCAGCGCCCCGTGACACTACAAAGCGCAGACTATGCTCCAATGACGCCGTTTACCCCATTCCAAACGCCAGGTGACAAGAGTTGGTATAACCGCAAAATGTATCATACAGAAGAATCAGTCAGAAAGCAGCAGCCTCATGCATCGCTGTGGTGCTTCTTCTTCTTCTTCGGCTTGTCTTCTTTCGCGGGTGTCTGTTCTGCCTCCTCTTCCTCTTCGGCATCGTGCTTGCGCTTGGAACCCTTGGCCTTCACCGGCGTCTCCTCCTCAGCCTCCTGCTCCTTTAGGTCCTTCTTGCTCAGAACATCAATAGTGCCGTCCGGGTTTAGCTTGACCTGACCACGCTCGTAGCGGCGAGTGAACTTGGAAACTGACAGGCCGGCAGATTTGGCAAGGCGCCCGATGTCCTTGGAGCTGAGCGTCTTGGATGCCGCAGTCTGTGGCGCCTCCACGTTCTTCTTGGAGCTGGATACCGGTGTCGCGGCTCCCTCGGGGGCCTTCTTGGATTTGGCGGCCTTTTTCTTCTCCTTGCGGGCCTTCTTGGCCGAACGAGATTCCTCCTCATCTTCAGAGTCAGGGTCCGCCGCCTTCTTTCCACTCTTTTTGGGAGTCTCCTTCATCTCCACATCTGATTCGTGGTCGGGTTCAACATCTTCCATTTCTACCTCGGGAACCTCTTCGATCAGAGCCCTCTTCTTGGCAGAAGGCTCCTCTCCAAGCAGACCATCAGCGTCGATATTATACTTGCGAGCTTCTTTGATGTCCCACTTGGGCGCGCCCAAGGGCATGTCATTTGCTGAGGAGCCTTTGGAGAAAAGAGGCTTGCCCTCAAGATGTCTGAGGTTGTTCTCAAGTCTGGCCTTGGACCGTATTCCGAGGTTTGCGCGTGTCTCGTCGGCGGCATTTTCCTCAAATTCTGCCAAGGCATCTGTGCGGACACCCAGAGCCACCTTGGAGGCGAGTTGACGAGCCATCTTGCCCTTGTTTGCTCCAGAGGCCTGGCCAACAAGAGAAGCGTGGTAGATCAGACCGTATTTGGGAGTCGCGTGCTTGGTCTTGAGAGCACGGAAGAGCGCCTTCTCGGCACCCAGAATCTGAATGGTGCTACCGGGGCTCTTGGCCAGGCTCATGAGCGATCCTGCGTGGGCGATAAGTCTCGCACCAACAAGAGCACCGACAAGTTCCGTCATGTTGGGGGCAATGGCCCTCATGCGGTTCTCGAGATACTCCGAAAGTTGCTTTCGGTACTCGGAAAGGTTGATTACCGATTCAGCGAGCTGGCAGATGTTTTCCAAGTCCTCAGGACCAATCTCTGTGCCCATGCTAATATCAGCAGCGGCCTTGACGGCCGTCTCGATCTCGTGGGGGAGGATCTCTGAAAGATCTGCCTTAGGGGCGTTGGCTCGGACACCCATCGTAACGATGATGCGGGCGTAGGAAAGATTGTCGGGAAGAATCTTGGCCAATTCGGGGAAATGCCAGCCATACCACTCCTTTACTCTCATGGCGTATGTGTTCAATTCCTTGTCGAGGTCGTCCAAGAGGGACACAGCGTGGACAATCATAACGTCAACCTTCTCGGGCGAGAACTTGAGGCGGTGTCGGGAGAGCGAGTGAGCAAGACCCAACGTCATCTCCTTGAAATTCTCAGGCAGCATACCCGGAATCAGATCGGGAAGATGCTGACGAATGGCACGGAAGAGTTCATTTGTCGTGCCGTCCGCAACGGGCTTGATGTTGAGTTGGGGCAGCTTGAGGATGGAGCTTCCAAGCTTGGTCTCGTTCACCGCCAATGTGACCTTCTTCTCATCCTTGAACTCCTCAAGCAGATGGGCAAGTCTTGGTGTGACCTTGCCCTCTATTAAGCCTGTGATTTCCTCGAGCGCACTGGCAGCGCTTTCGAACTTGGCAAATTGCTTATACTTGATCCTGCAAAAGAGCCATAATTGGTACACGAGCGCAACAAGAATCCGGCTGAGACTGGCACCAAGACAGGAAAACTTACTCCTTTACAATCTTGTCAACAGTCGACAGACGCTCCGTGATGCTGTCGTCATCGAGTAGCTTCTTGTCGGCGGCCTTGAAAAGACCATAGCTACAGTCGCGTGTCAGTCCTGATGGTCGGTCTCGCAGGCGGAGGTAAGGGTTCGGCAGGTGCAAGTTGCGGCCAGAAGCAACAATTGTCAATTGGAGCAAGGCAACTTACCCGGCGCTAGTCTCTGCGAGAATGAAGAGAGGCATAGTGGGCAGCTAGCACTGGTGAGCCCAAGTGTGCTTGCTGGTCGCCGTTGAGGTGGTGGGAAGCAGCGGTTTGACTGCGTCCTTGCGATTCTCGAGGGCTTCGAGGAAGGAAAAAATATCGAAGCATTTTTTTTTTTACACCAGTGGCAGGAGTCCGAACGTTGGGAAGTGGGGCAGTGGGCCCGAGCTCTCATGCGGTAGGTTTTATGGATAACAGTACGTACCGCCAGTATCTTAGCAGGGTAGGTACCGTATCGTATTCCGTACAGTCCGTTCTCCGTAATGTACCTGCGCCTCAGTGACCTGGTAATAACATGCCCGCCTTGAGCAGTCCTGTCCCTCGCCCACCTGAATCTTGAACCGACGTACACCACTACGCCGCCTCAAGATCCAACAAGTCAGGGTCCCTCATCTCCAAAGCTCCACGGCTTTAGGCAGCGCAAGATGGAGGGCCTCTTCTTCAACGTGAACAATGGGTATGCTGCATTGAAAATTCCCTTGCTGGGTTGGACGGTCCGGGAACGTGCTAACAGTTGACGCAAGCTACATTGAGGGCATTGTTCGTGGCTATAGGAATGGCTTGTTCACTGGCGCAAACTACACAAACATGACACAATGCGAGACCATCGACGGTGAGCCTCTCCCCCTCCCCCAGCATCGGCCTGTCGATTTTCTAAACTAGCATGCAGACCTCAAACTCCAGCTGGGCCCTGCCTACGGCGACTTCCTCGCCTCCCTCCCTCCTAACCCGTCGACGTCGAGCCTCGCGGCCAAGACGACAGACAAGCTCGTATCCGAGTTTCGCTATGTCCGGGCCAATGCCGTCGGGTCGCTCGCCAAGTTTATGGACTACCTCACGTACGGCTACATGATCGACAACGTGGCCCTGTTGATCACGGGCACCCTGCACGAGCGCGACACTCGCGAGCTGCTTGACCGGTGCCACCCGCTGGGCTGGTTCGAGACGATGCCGGTGCTATGCGTGGCGACCAATATCGAGGAGCTCTACAACAGCGTGCTGATCGAGACGCCGCTGGCCCCCTACTTCAAGGGCAGCCTGAGCCACCAGGATCTCGACGAGCTCAACATCGAGATTGTGCGCAACACGCTGTACAAGAACTACCTCGAAGACTTCTACCAGTTTGTCAACACGAACCCCGAAATGTCGGGCACCCCCACGGCCGAGGTCATGTCCGAGATTCTCGAGTTTGAGGCCGACCGCCGCGCCATCAACATCACGCTGAATTCGTTCGGTACGGAACTGTCCAAGGCAGACCGTAAGAAGCTGTATCCGAATTTCGGCCTGCTGTATCCCGAGGGCACGCTGATGCTGTCGCGCGCCGATGACTTTGAGGGCGTGCGTCTTGCTGTCGAGGGCGTTTCTGATTACAAGTCGTTCTTTGAGGCGGCTGGTCTGGGCGGTGGTCCCAGCGGTCCCAGCAACATGGCCGGTGGCGCAGGGTCCGACGGCAGGAGCCTGGAGGACATGTTTTACCAGAAGGAGATGGAGATTTCCAAGGGCGCCTTCACGCGGCAGTTCACATTCGCCATCATCTACGCTTGGGTGAAGTTAAGAGAGCAGGTAAGCTATACACCACCCACTTTACCTCCCTTCCCGCACTTAACCCGCTATCATGCATCCCCTGCATATCCTCTCCAAGATGGTAACCTAACATGAGCCAAAAGGAAATCCGCAACATCACATGGATTGCCGAGTGCATAGCACAGAACCAGAAGGAGCGGATTGGCAATTATATCAGCGTGTTCTAATTTGCTTCGGCGGTTTTGCTTTTGAGCTTGTTGCGTTTAGCTTTGTAGATTAAGTTGCCTACCCGGAGCATGAACAGTATAAGTAATCAGAAACAGGAAGGGCGACGGGCGTCTATGCGGGCAAGGGATCAGATGCAATGGGCGACTAGAACCCACGAAGAACGGGAGAGTCTTGGTGCACTCCTGCCGATTTTATTGCCCTTATTGTACACATAGAGAAGTTATAATGTTTTGCTGTTGGTTTTGTTACATGGCGTATTCTCACACATCTCCCACCCCGAGAGCCCTTTATTAGAAACTGATCTGCTCCTTCCACGTGGCGGGAGATAGCCCCAGCGTCTTGATCATGTTCTGCCACCTCTCGCTTCCTCTCTCCTTCCTCTCCATGTACCGCAAAAGCCGCTGGCGCTTGTGGCAGAGCACCCGCAGATTCCTCCTGTTAATGATGTCCTTGTTCCCCTTGGGCCCCTCGAGTACCAGCGCCAGCGCCCGAATCTTGGCCGTGAGAATGGCGATCTGCACCTCGCTGCTGCCTGTGTCGGGACCGGCTCGCTCGGGTTTCGGCTGGGGCTCCACGCCTCGCGCAGTCGGCGGGCCCGGTCGCGCGAGGGTATGGTCCGTGTTGTGGCGGCCAAAGACGTCGATGCACCGCCGGATGTTGGCGTGCTTCCGGTCCTTGGCGCTGCCGTTGTTCAGGTCCGTGATGCGTTGCAGCGCAACCACCGCTTTGGCGTGCCTATATGCATAGTCCTCGGCCTCCCACTCCTCGGCGTTCTTGTTCCTGGGGTTGTCGATGCCGCGCTCGGCACCTGTCAGCGGCTCCGCCAGCCTCCCGGCGAACTCAATCGCCTTGTCCAGCTCCTCTTGTGTGAGTAGGTGGTTCTTGAGGTGCGGCGCGGTTGGCAGCGGCCGCGGGTCCTCGAGCGGGACGCCGTCGGCGTTGATGGGCGGCGTTGTGAACTTGGCCTGGCCGGCCGAGTCAAACGACTCGACAAAGGGCGTGGTGATGCCGTGGATGGGACTGCCCCATTCCGCGTTGCGCTGCGCCTGGATGGTGTCATGATGGGCGACGTGGGCGGCCTTACGCTGTTCCGCCTGCATCCACCCGTATTTGTCTTGCTTCATCCTCTTTTTCTTCTCTCTTTGGCTGAGATTTGCTGTCTGTATCAGGGGCTGGAAGCTCGGCGTGAAAGCCGATGTTGCTGGGCGGAGACATACTGCGTCGTTCGGAGTCCTGTTAGTTGTGCACATGGTCCGGCAGCCCATTGAGGGCTAGATTGCCTCGGTGACTTACATGTTAAGCTATGCAGCCCTTGCGGGACTGGTATCCGAGGAGGCATGGTGATGTTGCTATAGCTTCCTCTCTGATGCTGGGGCGTGCTTCGCGACTTTCTCCTTGAACGAGGCCAGACAGATTTTGGGATATAGAGACGCTAGTCCTAATGTCGCCTAGCGCACCGACAGATCCACACCAAAGTGTTCAAGGCAGGTCCCGTCGCCAAAAGACCCACATCCCTCGGCTGAACGGCGGCTCAAAAATCCGACCATGATGTGCCAAGAGTGGGTGGGTCTAGGCCTAGTACCTCCGTAAGCCAACCCTGGCGGGGCTCCCCACAAAATCGAATTTGTGTGCGAAAATCGCAGAGGTACTACCTACAGCTATCGCGAAGGGAAAAAACGGCATACTTTCTCAACCGCCTACGCTTGATCTTGACAACTCTTTCTCCGTCCTCACACTCAGGAAAGAGAAAACACAGTCAAGATGGCGCCCGCAAACCTCCCCTCTATCTTCAATGCCACGAGCAATGACATCGAGCAGCTGCTCGCTGCTCAGTGCCACGTCGGCTCCAAGAAGTAGGCGACCTTAAAGCTGCCATGCCGGAGACCGAATTGTTGCTAACGATTTTCTTCCGAATAGTCTCCAGGTTCATATGCAACGTAAATACTCACCGCCCGAATCACTGCCGCTATAAAGCCTTCTAACAGCTTCACCAGCGTACCTGTGGAAGACCCGTGCCGATGGTGTCAACGTGATCAACATTGGCAAGACCTGGTATGTTGAATTGGACGACGAGTGCTCCCTTGGGGCGGTTTCGACATATCCTGGCAAGCAGAGGGCCGAATACTGACGCTCTTCGCCTCCAGGGAGAAGATTGTTCTTGCTGCCCGCATCATTGTCGCCATTGACAACCCGAGCGACGTTTGCGTCATCTCCGCCCGTCCCTATGGCCAGCGTGCCGTGCTCAAGTTCGCTGCGCACACCGGTGCCCAGGCCATCGCCGGTCGCTTCACCCCCGGTTCGTTCACCAACTACATCACCCGCTCTTTCAAGGAGCCCCGCCTTATCATCGTCACGGACCCCCGTACCGATGCCCAGGCCATCAAGGAGGCTAGTTACGTCAACATCCCCGTGATCGCCCTTTGCGACACCGACTCTCCCACCGACTACGTGGATGTTGCCATCCCGACCAACAACAAGGGCCGTCATGCTATTGGCGCTGTCTGGTGGATGTTGGCTCGTGAGGTCCTGCGTCTCCGCGGCACCATCTACAACCGCGAGACCCCCTGGGACGTCATGGTGGATCTGTACTTCTGTATGTCTTCACCAACGCTCTACTTGCAAGGAGCTGTGCGCTAACCCATATTTCTTACAGACCGTGACCCCGAGGCCGAGGCTGAGGACAAGGTCGAGGAGGAGAAGCTCCCCGGTGTCGAGGAGGAGGGTGTTGTCGCCATCGAGTCTGGCTACCCTGTTGCTGGTGGTGGTGACTGGGATGCTGCGCCTGCTGGCTTTGCTGCTGCTGGTGGCGGTGAGTGGAGCGAGGCTCAGGCCGGCACCTGGGATGCTACCGCCGCTGCTGGCGGTGCCGCCCCTGCTGCCACTGCCCCTACTACCGAGTGGGGCACTGAGACCATCAAGGAGACCGCCGAATGGTAAATCCGGAAAAAAGTCAGCGTTGGGGTCAGGCGTAACGGGGCGTAGTGGGCTGGGTCTGGCTTGGATCCTGCCGATTTTCTTCCCTTTATTCATTAGACTCTTCTCCTGAATCGGCTTTTGCAATCTCGACATCCTTGGCGAAGGTTAACTTGACCGCACTGATGAGGGAAAGATACTCGATCTGGCTCTGCCAGAGAGAGGGAATGCCCTGTGGGGTCAAAAGGGGTGGACTTAATCGTTATCCTGCCTTCCCTTGGTACAATTTGCGACTGCTTGATTTGTGGTCCTCTGTCTTAGCCGAAAAGGGATTTGACAAAAATGAATGGCCCTGAAGCTTGTGGACAGTCTCTCGTTGCGTGTCTTGCTATATCCTGCTTTGTATGGGCTGGTCCATGTCTGCAAGTAACCCATATCAGGTCTTGGGTCGACGCTTCACTCCAAAATACCCATTGTAGGGAAGATGGACATATGTCAATGAGACCAACTTGTATTTCATGGGCATTTTCCCTTCGGGCCAGCTCGCATCACAAAATTCTTTTAGACTGGCCATATTCTACTGCGGTTTGCCTCTGGATCTTGCATGGCTCATAGCATGCATCTCTTAGACTGGCTCTTGTCTACCGCCCATGAAGAGTTGTAGACTCGCGATACAGTTTGCTCAACGTTCCTCGCATCATTCTCAGGATCATGAGTTACTTTTCCGTCTAAGGTGAGGGATTCTCCAGGCACCGTCTACTCGGTCATGTCCTTTTACTAGCTTGGTGTTTGGCATTGTCACTAACCGATGGAGGGTAGTATACAGGTGACCTTGGTAGCTCACGAACTCAGAAGCAACAGGACTTTGAAGATAGCTATGTCTCTAGGCAGTCGACCAGATGCCTTGATAACCTAGTGAAACCGATAATGAGCGTCGTTGGTAGGCCACCATGTGGTAGTGTTAGCCCGCACGAGATGTCGATGCATTTTAATATTGAAAGGTTTCGCTGTTTCCCCCCTGTGGATTTAATTACGATTTGAAGGGAGACTAGACCTGTAATGCGGTGAGGTAGTTCCCGGGGTGTGGTAAATAACCGTCCTTACTCTAGCAAGTGGTGGTGATATCCGACACTAGGCCACGTTTTCCCATGAGAAACGTAGATTTTATGAATGGACGCCCCCTTGTCTACAACACCTGGCGATGATGCATTGATAGAGCCTAGATCCTGCCCTCCTCATACGTGGCGCCGTAGACGCCAAAGAGGATACAACTGACGATAGGCTCGTTCACGCCTTGCACGATCGCGCGGATGTCCGTCCCTTCGAGCACATTACCCAGAACATGCAATCTTTAATAAAATAAGTATTCAGAGCCATATATTCTTCGTCTTCAACTTGGAATTTCCATACCGCGCATGCTAGTGACGTGCGAAACTACACACTTGGGCCAAGAGAAGAAAGAAGTTGTTCCTGTGCGAATGGATTTCCAAACAAGTGTAAATAGATGTAAATAAATAAAAGAGATGCCTCACTCGCAGCGAAACCGAACTACCGTACCAAACGAACACTTTAAGAATAAAGACAAAACGGCGCAGCACGTTAACGGCGGCGGCCGATCCACAAAGACTAAGAATGTTACTTACCAAAGATAGTTTTGAAAAAGGAAAAGATAAAATGCTGCAGGTAATTGAAGCGACGAGACATCGAGAACATAAAAAGAGATTGTCGAGGCAAGTTATAAAAAGTAGAAAATTAAATGCGTCAGCCGCGAATCGAACGCGGGGCCCATCGATGGCAACGATGGATTTTACCACTAAACCACTGACGCTGCTTTTCTGAGCTGTTATGGAAAATCCTGTAGTATCGTGCATCATTAGTGAAGAGCTAGCTGGCACCATGCAGACGCGGCAGGGATTTAGCAACCCAGCGTCCCGTCCCGCCCAGCCCCCCTTTTAACGACTCGACGTATGTAGGTGAATAAGAAGGAACACTGTCTGTTCTTTATAGAAATAGCTGCAAAGAGCCTAATGAAATGGGGGTTTAACGCCTTACTTATCCGTATATAATGGTGAAATTGGAGTCATATTCGAAGGGATTCGTGAAATGCAACTTCAGGCAGGATAAGAAGATAGTTTCTCTAGTACTTAATGTCTCGCGTAGAATAGATTCGGCATGCTCATTTCTTAACGGCAGTTTACGAGAACACGAACACACACATAGCAAGAGAGCAAAGACACAAGAGAAAAGCGCGGTATGCATAAGCCCTATCTGCCCGGCGCGGCCCCGCGCAGCCATGTCCCAGCCCATGCCCAGCCCAGCCCCTTTCCCGCACCCAATGCCATAAAATGAGAAAACAAAAATAGACCATCCCGCCACACATCCGGCCACACGCGGTCTTGCGCCCTTCCTCCCAGTTTTACAGTATCCTCGCCCCTGTTTCTGCCAAATGCAACTACGTAACTCTCTCCCCGCCCTCCCCCAAGACCCGAGTCCAAACCCCCCGCAAGCCACTTTCAGTGGTTTCCGGGGTTTGGGGTATATCCCATTCGTGCGAGAGGCTCCGTACCTAGTTTTTATAAAAAAAAACCTAAGAAAAAAATACAGCTCCTTCCTGCGCCGGGATTGGTTTTGATTTCTGGTTGATAAACATCCAAAATGAAACCAACGAGACAGCCCAAGGTGGCCGAGAACAAAAGAAAAGAAGATAGGATTATAAGTTGATAGTGTGTGTCGAGGAGAGAGAGTGAGACCGTTATGATTAGGATATTTTGTAACGGAGGAGTTTCGAAGCAGAACAAGCAGGCCGGACCCGGGGCGCCAATTTTGTCTGATCTTAAAAGGTGTGTCATAAAAAAGGGAGATGGTGCGAAGAAAGGCCGTACACAATTAAAAATAAAAAAGGGAAAATAAAGCGTGGTATCAATGTGTGTCTGACCAAACACGACAAGTAAAACCCGAGTAACTCGTATCAGCAGACGTATTAGTTATACAGTGAATATGCCTGGGCAAGTGAGTCGTCTATGAGGTGTATATCGCGTCGGGGCTAGAAAAAAAGGCCTAGAACGGGTATGTAACAGGAAAAGAAAAAGGATAAACTAAATGTCGATGAATGCGTATACAGGGTATTTTGGAAGAGTGAATTTTGCAGAGAGCCGTGCGCATTGGCTCAGTTCTGTCATAACTCGCGAGGACTCGAGTATTCGTGAATTTGCGTAAATCGTCTCGTCACACCCCTTTTAGGTGCCGCACCGCTCTCACTCCAGGGTATCGCTGAGCCGTCTAATCTCCTCGTCGCTGAGCGCGCCCATCCACAGGCAGCGCTCAGTAATGCCCTCGATGGGCTGGAAGGTGTAGAGCGTGCTCGCCTCGAGTAGCCTTAGTAGTGTCTTGACTATCGCGGCCGAGGTTCTGCACCGCTCGAAGTTGACCAACGGCGCCGTGGTCGGCGAGCTCGCGATCTCGCTCGGTCGTTGGGTATTGAACAGTAGGTCGTGTGTGTAGATGCCTACAAATGGAATGCACCCCATTTCTGCAACAGCCGAGCCGACCGGGCCGCCTCCCTCCATCTCGGCTCGCAGATTGTAGAAATTCCTAGTCGGGGAGACCAACGCCTCCAAGTCATGCAATGTCCGCCTGTCGCTGGGCGAGACCATGGCCCACGTCTTGTTCAGCCGGCTGATCTCGTTGCTCGTCAGGGCAATGGCCAGTTGGCTCATGGTAGCAAAATTACGGTGGCGCCGGCAGTGGGCCGCAATGTGGATGAACTTGATGATGCACCGTGCACGTTCTTCAATGTCTTGGGTGAGGACAATTTCGGAAATAGTCCATTTTACCATGATGTTGAAGCGAGCAATCACGACCTCGACCCCGCGCGCATCGGTGTCTCTGAGGAACGAGACCCAGCTGCGAGCGTTCACTCCATTCTGCTCCGCATTTTTCCACCGCATGTCGATCAGCTCTTTCCAGTCAATCTCATTCAAAGCATCCTTCTCGATCAGAGTGAACTGCTGCGCCAAGATGTCACTGTCGAAAGCGAGAATGAACGGAAGGTGCGCCGAGAGCTTGCCCCGAGGTGCCTCGACCACGTCTGTAACATGGTCCGTGACTTCAAGCATCGGCGCATTACGTAGGGCCTCCTTGGTTCCTGTCGGATCTACAGGCGACGAGACAGGGTATTGCCTGTATGGAGCGGCAGCCGAGGTCGGCGTGGTATCGGGAGTAGGCGGCAGAGGCTTCTCGTGCCAGATCTGATGGTCTTGCAATGTGGGCACATGCGCCGCCTCTGGAGACATGCTGAGAGCTTGAACAAGGGTGATTGGCGGTGATGGCGGTGATGGCGGATTCGTACTAGGTGGCTGCGTGTTGAGGAACGTGAGCTGGTTCTCGCCTAGAGGATGAGTAGGCAAGGTGGAAATGGCAATTCCGATCTTTTGGGACACGGGACTGCCATCTCCTCTATCCGCAAAACCGAGCGCTTCTACGGAGAGCTCCGAAGAGAGGTCTGTTCCGTCATCGCTTTCTACATCCAGGAACGAATGCTCGGCGCTGAGACGCGGGGCTGGAGCTGTCGGCACAGTACTTCCAGGCGGAATCTTGTCCAGACTCTCCGTCCTCTGAATAAAGTCGTACGAAGGGTGCTGCGAGCCGCTGGCGCTGTGTTCGCGGGATGCATTTGGGCCCTCCTCATCGGGCCCCTGTAAGAACGAGCGATCTACCCACTCCCGAGTGACGGTTCGCTTGCTGTGGCCGTCGTCTGTCAAGCCACGTTCGAGGAGAGGTATTGAGGAGTACGAGGCTCTCGAATCATCAGATAGGAAGGACTGCACGTCTGTGTTTCCCTTATGGCGACTCGTAACGTCCAGTAAACTCCCCTTGACACTCGTGGCAATGCCAGGGATCACCGGCACAGGCGGCAGCTCTTCTACAACGTGAACATGACGATGCTCTCTTCTCTCCTCAACGCTGACCAATGTGTCGTACCCGTCTATCGAGACAGCCTCGAGGGGGAGCTCGACTTGTGGCGGCGCCATCTTCAAATCCATTGATAGCTTGGCTGCCCTCCTCTCGTACCTGCCTTCAAGCTTCAGCAGTGCAGACTCGACTCCGCCATCGTCATACACATCATCGGGGATTTGTGCCAGCTTCTGTGCCTCAGCCTCAAACGAGGGGCGCATAATGGGCTTCGAAGAGTGGGTGCTGAAGAGCGAGAGATTGCGCTTGGGATTCTGCTCCGCAATCGCGCCTAGGGAGAAGGTGTCGCCACGGTTCGGAGGCGAGTAGTCGCTGGTCACAACGTCTACATAGCTACTAGAGCCCTGCGCAGGACTGCGGAGGTAAGAGCTGCGGATCGAATCCGTGTACGTGGTCAAGGAGCCCACCGAGCGCGACCTTCTTAGGGTGGACGGGTCGAGATCGCCTACATTTGAGACAGCACGAAGGTCGCCACCCGGCCTTCTCCGAAGAACTCGGAGCGGCTGCGGGACGAGAATTTGGGACGAGTCGTCCACCGAGCCCTCTGAATATGTAGTGGCGTCGAAGCTCCGGATGGTTGGCTGGGGAGCAATGCCGCTCGTAAAGGACGCGTATCGTCGGTGACCAGCAGACCGGTTCGAGCGGTACGACCTGCTCGACGGGTGCCGGGCGTGGCCACGCACTCCGCTAAGGGGCGGCCTCATCGGGTTCCGCGAAACGAAGTCGAAAGAGGGCCGCGTAGAATCTACGGATGGCCGAGCCGTGGACCCGAGCGTGGCCAAATCGGGTACAAACGGTGGCAGCGGATCAGCGGATAGCGAAGGGCGGGGTACATGCTGGCTCAGTATATACGACGATCTCCTTGGTGTTCCCCCCACAAGTCGACCTGGCGGTGTGTTGGGTGGTGTTGGGTCTGCGGCATGATGTAGGAAGGACTCGGAGAAAGCTTCCACGGAAGAGTTGATGGCGGGAAGCGCGCCCGTCATGGCGGGATAACTATCCGAAAGTACCGTGTCATCAACGATGACGATGGACTTGCTTCCCGTTGTGATACCCATATCGCTCGAAGGTCGCACGTCGCGGTTATCGGAGAGTCCGAAGGAGGTATCCATGTGCGCGGCCGAATATTCCAGCATTTCGTCTGGGGCTCGTGTGCCAGCCGCCGGGATGGATAGATATCCGTTCTTCTCAGCTTCTGCCAAGGCGTCTTCTCGCACAGCCTTTTTGAAGTCTTCGGCAATCTCGGCACCCAGCACGTCGATCCGCACAGGAGGACGTATGCCGTTCTGGCGGGGCCGCGCCTGCGGCACTATCGCAGTACCCGGCAGTCTGTTGGTGGTAGCCCCTCTTGGCCCAATTGGTGAAATGTTGATAAATGTCCCCTGAGTGGGAGACATAACCTGGCCCCGGGTACTCAAAGCACGCCTTACGCTGCCCAGAAGTCTTCTCATGCCTTGTCCGGACATGGCCGATGCCGTAAATTTCTCTTTCGGAAGCTCAGTCACAATAGGCTGGAACAATGTAGTCTGCCTGGAAGCTCCACCAACAACACTAGGCTGGATAACTTCCACAAAGGGCTGACCAGGCGGAAACATGTTGCCGCGGACGAGGCTGCCCGCATATGGTAGAGTCAAGAGAAGCTCGGCACTCTTGTACAAGACCTTCTCCGTTACGGTCGCATGCTCGCGTAGCGAATCGCTGAGGCTGCCATTTCTCTTGTGGGAGTGGTGTGGCCGGACACGCTTGCCGACGAGAGCGCGGGGGGTGGTGGCGATGGGATCAGAATTGTAATACACAGAGCTGGGGTCGACCGGGTGCGCCGCCAACGGATAGCTAGACCCGGGATGCGCGAAGCGCATGTTCTTAGGGGGTAGAGAGCAAGACACCGCTTCCACGCTAGTGATGCTGATAGGTGAGGTTTGGCTCCTCTGTAACTCGGACCGCGGGGGGTTTTCCGGCGTGCCTGGGCGGTCACCAACGACAATAGAATCGATGTGTCCGGCCCTTGACACGTCGGCGTAAAAGCTCGTCTGCTCACGTGTCGTCGGTAGGAGAACCCCTTCCAGCTGCGGCGGCCCAGAATCAAGCTTCAGCCAAAAGGTCGGGTCTAGGTCGGGGTCGCGATGGCCAGCAACCCCTCCGGGTGAGATGGGAATATCGGATCCTAGTGATGCGTCAAACTCGGGACCATCCCAGTACTGCGCGCATACCCTCCGCCAGCACTTCTTGAGCTCGGCTAGAATCTTCAGCTGCACCTTCCGCCCTCTCAAGTCCTGTGATAGCTCGTCGACGAAGTTGTTCAGCAGACTACAAAAGGTGACTCGCAGGCTGTAGTCAACAACGAAATCGTCCATGAAATAGTTGAGGATCCAGTGGCGCAAGGCGACAAAGGTGCGGACTCTTACAACCATGCCAACCTCGTCACTCCGTGCTAGAGCCCATCTAAGGCGCGCAAACAGCATGCGAAGCAGATCTGACTGCTCGAGGAACGACCTGAACGTGAGAAAAAAATCCGACAACAGTTCGTAGTCCAAGAAACTAGGAGACGTAATCTCGGCGACCAAGCGAGGCGGCGTCGCGGCAGTTACACTTCCCACGGCCGAATATCTGACAATGATCCGGTCATCGCAAGCAGGCTTGAAGGTCAGCGCGTCAAACATGGCAGGCTCGATAACTAGGTGGGTGGACATATACGTAGGTCGTAGCGGGGGAGGGAGACGGGGAGACGCCAGACTGGGCCCCGGGGGGTTTGAGGTCTCAGCCGTAGTTGGGAGTTGTATCTCGGGTATACGAGTCGGGCTTGACCCGGTCGACGTTTTTGGCGTCAGGTCCTGGGCGGTGCGACGGAGGAACGAGGCGCTGCTGGAGCGGATATCCTCGGTCGGCGCATACGACGAGCCACGGATGAAGGGGGTCCCTCGGACGCTGAATCTAGGCGTGCCTATCCTCCAGGACGGAATGGCCACTTCCAGCATCAACGGGACGCGGCCAATGTCAACGTCTTCGAGCGTTTTAGGCCTCTGGACCTCGCCAGGCTGAGTAATGACTATCTTGAAGCCCCCTGGTTCCGACTCGCGAGCTACGCTGGTGTCGGGCACGGTCGAGTCCGACAAGGCGCGGCGGCGTCGTATTCTGCTCGTAGTCGGTCTGTCGCCAAAGTGGAAACGTCGAGGCGACGACGGAGTTGAAGGGGCATGCGCAGGAGTCCCCTGGCTGCCGCGAGGCTCTGTGCTCTCGTCTATCTCTTGGCGTCTGTCCGAGACCAGGATATCCAGATTTGCGGAGCCGGGCGGTGTCATGGGAAACACAAAGTGTGGCTGAGGGTAGCGCTGGTGCGCCGGGCGAACGGTCGGCCTAGAGGAAAACACGTCAACAGGCTTGATCCTCGCGGGCTCGAGAAGAGCGCGAGGGCGCCTAGGGCTTACCTCAGATAGATGCGACCGTTATTCCCAACATTGGCCACGGCAAATTGCCTTCCTTCGCGTCCGGCGGAGCCTCCGTCGGGAGTCAAATCCCACTTGTCATCGTCCTGGCTAGTTTTGTTTGTCCGGCGAAGTGCCGGGTTGTCGTCGTTAGGCTTGCGTTCCGACACGGGGAGCAGCGACCTGGGCAGCGCGCCGGGCAGAGCCCGCAACTTTGCCTTCGCCACGCCAGCACCCGATGCCCAGCGTGCCAGGGGCGTTCTATCGCCGTCCTTTGCGAGCTTTAGGGGCGATCGGCGTAGCCTCAAGTCGCGCTGAGACCTCTCGGGGTGCGAGGCCGCGTCTCGGGCCGACTGGTCTCGCCCTCGTTCCCGCTCTCTCTGGGCCAGCTGCTGCTGTCGAAAGCGCGTCGTGAGGCTGGCCGCTGGAGGCGCCGACGGCGAAGCGGCCGCCTCCATTTCGCTGTGTCCCCCTTCCTCAGCTCGGCCGATTATTGTGTGCGGCGACGGCTGTTGCTACCGATACTACTGCTTCTGCTTCTTCTGCTGCAGTTGCTGCGGGCCGAAATGTCCGTGATTGAAGACATGGAGAGTTGACACGGTCGGATGAGAAGTTCTCGTATCGCTGTCGCCTATGCAGTCGCGGTCGCGGTCGCACTTGCACTTGCACTTGATTCGGACGAGAGAAGGAGCATGGTAGAGATTCGCGCCAGAGGCAGAGGCAGGGAAGGCAGCATGCCGAGTCCAGTACTGTCGGGTAGTGAGTGGAAGGTGAAGTTGGGGTGGGTGGGTGTGCCAGTGCCAGTGCCAGCAGGTGTTTACCACCCAAGGAAGCCCTGCGCGGGAAGGAGGGATGGGCGGGTGGGCGTGCTGTACATGCGGGCGGGCTCCCAGGAAGAACCAGACGGGCAGGGCTGTTCAGAGGGGAACGGCAGGGCTGCAAACAACGACTGGTGCGAGTTCAGGAGGTTTAGCGCGCCGAGGTAAAGTCACCTCTCACTACCTAAGGTACGGAGTACGGCATTCGCACCGCGCCAGGCAAGATCGGACGGGACACAAACACGCTATGATCGCCAAAAATGGCAGCAGAAATTCGCCGATCCACAGTGACCGACCAAAGCGGCACAGGAAGATGTTGTCCACGGCCAAAAAAAGCATGCCACCGGCAGCCTAAGTGGTTTTCCTTGGGCTAGGTACCTAAGGTCAACTCGTTTACTTGGTCTTGGGCACGCCAGTGCGGAGCACAGCACCTTAGAGCAACAAGAGCTCTCTCAGTCTCTCCCACATGCCCGCTCCCAAGTCCGTCCCAAGTCCAGCTCGAGTGAGCAACGCCCACGGGAATTGAATTTTTGCAGTGGGCCGGCCACTCACTGCCAGACTGGGGAGGCAGGGGAGGGGCTGGAGTGGAGGGCCCTTGGTGTGCAGGCATGGCTGCATGAGGGACGGGAATTAGGAATTGGCAGCAGGCGACTTGGGATGACCGCTGCTTGGCTCTGGGAGACTGGGGATAGGGTCGTCGTGGGAAGACGGGCGGCGCAAGAACCGGGGGGCAAGGTGCAACGCTAATTTGCAGTGGCTGGCCCGCTTGGACAATCTGGAAGGCTCTCGTCTGGCGAGCGTTGCCGCACTCTGCCAGCCCACCAAAAAGCAAAGGAAGGCACCCCTCCTCGGCTGAGGTGGTGGGTGGGAGGGCGGATGAGAGGGCGACCAGTGGTTCTTCCGTGGACCGTGGTGCGTCCGGTGTGGTTGGGGCTCGATTGCCATCCCGTTCGTCTTCCCGCTTCACTTGGCTTGTTTGACTAGAGCGCGCAGAGATTAGGTGTGCCGTTAAGCCCGAAGGAGAACTGGCCTGACCGGGAAAGGCGAACGCCTCCCGCCTCGCAAGTCCCGGAATTGTCGTAACTGTTGCTCGAACTTGGCTTGGCTCACTTAGGGTCACCAGCCAGGCAGACTGAGGAACCCCCCATTCCCAAGTGCGAGGCGAAGATGGAGTGTCGATGCACGACAAGAACACCATCGAAAAAGTACATACCGCGCGCACGGTTCGACCAAGTCTAGCGCACCCGATGTAGACAAGACCCGACAGATGCTGACGAGAAGGGCAGGGCTCGACGATGCGCGTCGGCAACCTGCACCTGTGCTGCACGGAGCAGCAAAAGGCATGTCCTCAGGTTCCTACATGGCACAGTACGTACCTCCGTTCCACAACATGGCTGAGGGTTTGTCTGTGGCCGCCTGTGCCTTTTCGGCAATTGTAAGTTGCGCCCCGACAGCGCAACTCTTCCAAAAGTTGTCATTGCCATACTATGTAGTCGTCAACATTTTTACATGCTGTGCCACAGGGGCGTCATCCGCTGTTCCTCTTGCACTTCTTCTTTTCTTTGCGTTTCTTGACGCAAGACTGTGGCAGAGAACCTCGACGGCCCAAGGTGTTGGATACCGCAATGGGGCTTGGGTGTTCTGTTTGGGACTCGGAAAGGGCTCCGCCTGAGCGGCACAGGGTCCGCGTCTGGACGGGTGACGCTGCCCGCCTACAGATAGGCCGCGAGCTCAGGCCGCAGCCAAAGCAAACCAGACAACTTGACCTCGCACCGAGAACCTGGGCACCGCGCAGCCTGGGTTGGATTGGAGTTGGACACGCGATGCTGATTCCCAGACGGACGGAAACGATTCTCTCAGCGATTGGAGCATGTAGCATGCAAGCCTGCTCTCCCCTCCCGTGTCTACGTCAACCGTCACGGTTGACGTAGACACGGGATGGAAGAGAAAGCGGGACGTCAAACCCAAAAAGCCAAATGGCGTGTCCTTCCATGCCATCCACGGGCCACATCCAACACGGATGGGAGGTTGCAACCAGCGGAATCCGCACTTTGGTTTTCTGCCGCTTCATACCGGTAGCTACGGGGTGGCTGGATTCTCTTGGCCGCTCCGTACGGAGACAGCAATTCCGTATAAACCCACAAAAGAGGATAGAGTCCACAGATCCGGGTCAATCTCCAATTGAATATTCACAATTCAACGCGTCTCTTTCATCAACATCAATAGATCCACCAGCGTCAGTGGTTTAGTGGTAAAATCCATCGTTGCCATCGATGGGCCCCGCGTTCGATTCGCGGCTGACGCATTCTTTTTTCACCTTTTTGCTTCTTTTTTGCTCTCACCAGGGAGGGGAAGGGGGAACTTGTGTGTTGAGGCCGGTGTGATATATCTCACAGGCAAGCCTCCCGTGTAGATGTCACAGGTACACAGTGCATGCAGCAGCTCCTCTAATCCCAAGAAAAATGACATGTTTTGACCTTCGGCATTCTGCTGCTGCGAGATACTGTGTGCCCGCTGGCCATGGTCTGACGTCTTCCCGACATCAGCATACGTCGAAACTCGGCGAAGCTAGACAACAACAGGCAGTTCAGTTGCACACCTTCTCCATACACCGCTGTCAGTGCCGACAGTCATTTTTGTTAATGGGTTGGCTTGCTGGTGAGAATTTGTATCACAGAGAGTTGGCGGGAGGCCGACATCGCCTCAGGCCACTCTGGGTTCTGGTGCGCTGCAGGGAGAGCATTCCCAAATCCAGACGCTGGCATTTGGTATCTGGGTCGACGGACAAATCACAAGCCAGGCTTTGGAGTGGTGTGGAGAGCTGTCGGGGCCGTCGGGACCGGCTGCTACCCCTCTCAAGACCCAGAAACCAGGCGCGCGATCCCCCCGCGACTCTGGAGTCTGAGGAGGATTGCCCAGCCATTTGGCTCTGGCTTGCGAGGTGGACCGTGGGCGGACCGGCCTTTTTTTCTTTTAGAGTCGCCCGCGATCCTACGTCAGTCCTTCCTTTCTTAGGAAAGGTGAGCAGACGGCGCGGTTTACCGCAGCATCGACAGACCGGATGACATCCGCGTGGTTCTAGTGAGCTCGGCTGGAGCTGGACCCTTTTCAGTTTCCACTGTCTCCCGCCTCCAGCCCAGTCCAGTCCACCTCTTCTCTCGGTCGGCGCGAACGGCGGGAGCAACGGCGGGAGCAACGGCGAGACCCAAGGCCTAACGGTCCCCCAAGATGTGATGATTGACTGGGGGGAGGTGGAAATTGGAACAAGCAACAGCTCCCCCACCTTCCGCCAGCCCCCCGCCTCCCCTCAGACGGCGGGTGGCCTCATCCCCACGGTGGCGGCGTGTGGTCTCATCGCTGGCGACTCAATTGAAGAATTGTGTTACACGGCAGGATCCAATTATCAGCGCGTCGATTAGCAAGTGGGGGGTTGTTGTTGAAGAAGTTATGAGACACGATGGAGGGGGGAATTGCTTCAAATTCAAAATCAAAATCCAAAAACCCGACGGCTTGGTAGATCGGCTATCTGACCAGTCAACGACGCGATTCCTGCAGCTTGAGCGAACAACGTCACACCGCTTCGCGTTCCCTAACAACAAGAAGGCCGCGTTTTGATGGCTTTCGAGGGATATTACACAATACAGGGTGCGTACTATACTCCGTATAACTACCCAATTCTCTCTTGGCAGGAAGGCGTTGAATCACCCAACCAGGGCACATGTTCCCCAACAGGCGAATTTGACGCCGCAGTGGTACATGTACTTGCTTGCTAGCTGCATCGTCGACGACTCCAGGATCAGATAAGCCGGTTCCGATACCATGACCAGGATTAGCATCAACACCTGGATGAAATCCAAGAAAATCCCACCGTTCCGATCGCTGGGGAAAATGACAACAGATGGAGCCCCGGGCAAGATCTCAATTATCCCGACTGCTTCTCAGCACTCACGTGTTTAGCGTGCCGCTCTCAGCGCCAACAGACCCGGGTTCGCGGGTCCATCTCGCCGGAACAGAAGCGAGATGGATGAGTGAGCACGTCGTCATTCCTCCGAGAGGCGAGGCATTCGACTCCCAGTGGGGCCGGCCCTTATTCCGAGTCACGCACACTTTCCGGCTGTTCGTTTAGCTGTGGTCATTGCTTTGGTGCTGGTCATTGCCATGCCTGTTTCCTTTCGGGACATGCCATCATCAAGGCTGCCGGCTCGGGATACATGTCAGATCTCACGGGGAGGACCTAGATGAGTAAACGTGTAGTTAATCTGTGAGTTAAGACACATAATTTCCGTCCCTTCTTTCTTAACAAAATATCACGCTCGCCGTCCGCCTTTGGCCAGTCATCTTCCAGCCTACCATCTCCATCAAGTTGACCAATAGTCCGTCAGTAGCGCGAGAAAACGGCTCTCTTGTTGCCTCGAAGGATTGCATTGCATCTCTCCTCCACACACGCATGGGCTTGATAAACGAGGTTTCCTTCTCTTTCCCTCGATTTCTCAGTCTGAGGGTGTCAAGTGTGTGATGTTCAACTGTTCTGGGCCGCTGGGCAAGTCTGCAGTCGAGACGACGACCAGCAGTCGGCCCAAGCACCCTTGCTCATCCTGCACACGGTCCACCCACACCCATACTGACCAATCAGATGAACGCCTCTTCTCTCCTTTTTCTTTTCTTTTTCTTTTCCCGGTCTCCGCCTCGCCTCGCCCCCTCGAAAAAAGACGCAAGGGGCAAAAAATATAAGGCTTTTGACCAATTGGCTTCTGCGGAAGTGTGCAGAACTACAGACTATACAGGCGATTGGTGGCCGACAAGTGGCCGACTTCCCTCCTATCTTTTCCTTGCCTGCTGCTGTTGTTGCCCGTGCCGCTCCCGGCTGTCTGGGTGCGTGGCAGGGGTTGGACAACAACCCCGAGGAAGGAAGGAAGGAATGGACGGGGGGAAAGCTGGGAAAGGGGAATGGAAAGAGGGGAGAGTGGCTAAAGGAACGACCATGTGCTAACGTCTTGTAGGTATCCGGTTTCCATTCACTGCATGAGAAAAACTGCGAGTCTGGCTCTGGCTCTGGCTCTGGCTCCGGCTCTGGCCATGGAAGTTCCCGTGTTTTTTGCAGCAAAGAGCCAAGAATAATATTAGATATCTTAGGTATTATGCATGATACATCATGCCAGGGGCCTGTGTTGTGGTCGCCCTTCCAGGTATTCCTTTCTTGGAGGGTGTGGTCTGGCGACTAGATTGTTGTTGAGTTGCGGCGGAGATTTGTAGAAGATACATTTCTGGTGATGTATGTGTGTAGATGGATGGATGAGAGCGTAACGAGCTCGCCCTGGCAGTTTGCTTTCCTTAGTAACAAAGACGCGGAGACGTCGTACAGTCCAACCCCTGAATGTCCGCTGTCGTTCATACCCATCGCAACATTCTTGAAGTCTGGGACGACTGCCTTTGATTTGACCCTGGGAATCGTGGTTTCTCCCTAGATGGCGCATATGGAAGATGCCACATTCATCCTAGGTTGTCTCGAGAAATGGACTCTCCTGAGTCTAAGTCGGTGTCAGTGTCGTCAGCGCCCAGTAAGCCTCGTGGTATCGACTGCCGCCCGCTGGCTTTGCTCACTTTCCCTCTGTTGCCGTGATTCTCTGGCGCTATATACTTGTAGTTGAGATCTGCGCGCAGACGCGGTGCGGCGTCCAGAACTTTTAAAATGTTCACTGGAATATATCAATCTTGGAAAAGGTAGGTATCTCTCTGATGATTTATTCTCGTGGTGCCTACCTGTCTAGTTATGCAGCGAGGAATAAAGACCTCAACAAATACACCGGCTAGGGAAAGCATTTAATAGGTAATGTATTCTAGGAGAGAGAAAGGCCTCTAGGATTCTATACTGGGGGTTCGTAAAACTATCATCTCCCTCGGTGAAAACAGTTGGGGCGAGCAAGACGAAAAGCAGGTAAGTAGGTAGGTAAGTATTACAGAGTAACAGGTCGAGAGACCGGCACCGACTCTAAAACGAAGACGCTTCATACACTTTTGTGATGATCCGCGAAAGCATTCGCCCGTTCTCCATAGTCCCGACGCAAAGGACAGGCCCCCGCTACTTACTAATATGAGAAGAGCAACCCGAAAGCCGCAAGCGCCATTGCATCGTTGGTAGGCCTCTCAACTTTTGGAAAGTCTCCCGCTACAATCCAGTCCCCGAATGTTTGTTGGCGTGGTAGTTGGGAAGAAGATTATAGTGAATAAACCGGCTATGGCAACTGGGATTCTAAAATAGGGGTTCTAATAGCATTTACCACCCTCAGCGAGAAACCTTTAGGGCGAGCCGTAAGGTATCGAGGCCTTTCAAATCTTTCGTCCCTGACGTTTTCGACTTCTATATATTATATCGTCTGCGTCAATAAGGCTTGCCTAAGGAGGGACTTCCGCAGTTAGATTTATGACAAAGTGAAATGGCTCATACCCATCACCACGTACACATTAAAGTTCCGACTTCTATCTTTGTTACATACATCGTCGTCTGGAACGCACTTCGAATTCGCTCTGCTGTTGTGCCAGTTGAGTCTTCAACACGTTAATGGTTTCTGCCATTAATTCCATCCATCTGGTTCTTATGGCTCTCCATTTCATCTCAAGGACCATGAAAGGACCTGTCCGCTGTTGGGAGGAGTACTTGCGAGGTGGTCTCCCGGGACAAGTGGTAACCATGGTGCAATTTTAGGTACACCTTATCCCCTATTCGGATCTCAACGGGTTGGCGTTTCGGGTCATGTGCCATTTTCGCCTGTGCTTGTGCCTGGGGAATGGCCATGTCTGCCTCACGCTGGTACAGCATTTGCATCGCCTTTGCATCGTGCGTGTCATTGTCGCGGTAGACCAGGTCAAGGGCTGACTTTGGCTTGAAACCGGAGACTAGTTCTAATGGCGCGCGGCCAAGGAAAGTCAATATTCAGGGGCAAGCAAGTGAGCCTGAATTTAGCAAGAAATCAAGGTTTAGTGGCTACGAATAAAGCCAATTTCGCTTATAATTCCATCTTCCCTCCCATGTTTATCCGTCGCCTCTTTCCGAACGTATATGTTCCCAACTGTCCAACCCCCAAACCCACAAAGCCTTCAAGCTATACTATGCTCTACCTATACATGGCGACCTGCCCAGACAGCTGCTCCGCAAACCACCCAGTCGCATCGTCGCTGTCTTTCGCCCTCACGGCCGTGGTGAGGATGGCCTTGATGCCAATGCGCAATGTGTCCGAGTTGGTATAGGAGCGGACGTTGTTGAGGGCCTCGTTCACGTCAGCCGAGGACGCGAAGGCGCCCGACTCGCCGAGAACGCGGCCGAGCTGGCGGAGGTCTTCGACGGCAGGGACGGGTATTTGACCGTCAAATGCGTTTGTCATGTCGAGCTGCTCCACAATGGTGCGTTGCGATGTCGTAGCCAGAACCAGCAGGCGGTGGCCCTTTGGAGGCGGCGTCTGGAGCAGAGTGACCAGCGTCTGCACTATAGTGTTGGAGAAGCGGAGTCCAACAGGGTTCCACTCGATCATGCGCTCGAGATTGTCTAGTTGCGGAGGTCAGTCAGAATAGTCAAGCTAAGGCCAATGGCATTTACAGCTGTAGAGAAGAGAGAAAACAGTCTCCGAAATGAAGTCAAAGGGATAACAAGCATACCCAGAACGATCAAACTCAGTGGACTCTTGTAAGCATCCGTGAATATCTTATGCAGGTGGTCCTTCTTGGCTATCTCATCACGGAAGCCGATAATAGTCGCGGGCGTGATTAGCTTGATAAATGGGAACTCGGATTTCATGGCCTATCCACGTCGGTTCTTGTCAGTCCAAGTATCCTCCAGGTACCACACTAAGATACGGGTATCCTTACAATATAAGCGGCCAGAGCCGTCTTTCCACTGCCCGCCGGGCCGTGGAGAAGAACCGACGTGCGCCTGAGCTTTTCCTGTCGCCTGACGCTCTCGACGTACAGCATGCCGTCGTTGAGAATGCCCTTGATGCTCTCCGAGAAGTGGATAATTCCGAAAGGAAAGAGATCTTGAAGCTCCTCATCGTCAACACCAAAGGCCGGCTTCACTTCTGCAAGGGCATTCATAAAGTCCGTACGGCCAACTTTCATGTTCGCTACCTCGTCGCTCACGCCAGCCATAGTGCCAACCTTGATATTCCTCGCGAACGCAAACGAAGTTGCCGACTTGACGAGGCCGCTCAACTCAGCGCCCGAAAAGTTCTTGGTCAGAGCAGCCAGCTCGAGAAGGTCGACGTCAGCCTCGATGACCTTGTTTTGCTTCATCTTGGCTGTGTGAATTTTGAGGATCTGCCCTCGACCCTCTTGGTCTGGAAGCGAGATCTCAATCTGAACCTCCAATCGACCGGGACGCAGCAGAGCATCGTCGATCATGTCTTTCCGGTTGGTCATTCCGATGAGGAGGATGTTATTGAGCTGGTCTACACCGTCGAGCTTAGAAAGCAGCTGGTTGACCACGCTGTCGCCCACTCCCGTGCCGCCACCGGCACCAGAGCCTCTCTGCTTGCACACGGCATCTAATTCGTCGAAGATGATGATGTGGAGCCCAGACTCGTCTCCTTTCTCCTTGTACTCCTTCTCTGCGTCTGCAAAGAGCTTCCGGATGTTCTCTTCACTCTGACCCACGTACTTGTTCAAGACCTCTGGCCCGTTGATGATCTTGGGTTCTCTGGCATTCAACATTTTGCCAATCTGCCTAGCAATTAGAGTCTTTCCGGTTCCGGGAGGCCCATAGAGCAGCATGCCCTTCACGTGCATGATGCCGAGCTTCTCAATGAGGCCAGGGGGGAAGATACGAGAGGCGAAAGCACGGCGGAAAATGGTGGAGAACTCGGCGTCCAAACCGCCAATACCCATGTCCTCAAACTTGAAATCCGGGCTTATGATGGCGTTGGCCGCAGGTCGTTTGTTCGACGGCTTAAGCTTAATAGGTGACCTGGCGTCCTTGAAGAAGCCTATGTTGGGCTGGGGGTTTTTGGTGAGAATTCCGCGAGCGGCCGGATCGCTACGCGTTGGGGCATCGCCCCCGGGTTTATTCATCGAGAGGTCAATCAAGGTCACCGTCCTGACCAATATGGACAGCGGCACATTGTTGATATCCATTATCAGTCTTTGCCCTGGGGAGAAGACCTGGTTCGCGAAGTTTTTTGTGAACTCATCGGCGAGTTGGTCGGGGTCGTAGAGCGTGTCGACAAACTTCTTGGTCGAAGCAAACCCGACCTCGAGGTCCATGGCGCCGAGGTAGGCGGCAGCGCCCTGACTGAAAGGGTCATATAGTTCTCCCACCAGCTCGTCCATCATGCCCACTCCGCACCATGTCCTTTGGGGGTCTGAGAGGCTGATGGAGTTGTTGGGGAAGCTGGGGGTGGGACGCGCCGTCAGGACGAAATCGCCTCGTAGCTGAGGCCCGCTCAAGCGTATATAGATATCCGAGCCATCTCGGTTCGGGGGGAAGTCGTTGGGCGACACCGCACAGCTAGGATCGCATGAGGCAGTCAGCAAGAGCGTCCCGGACAAGAGGAAGACGGCTAGCCGTCCTGTCTAGACGTCCGAAAGGAGCGCGCACTTACATGTTCCCGAATATGTAACGCGCCTGAAGGGTTTTGTCATCTACCTTAGCTAGTCTCAGAGGCACACCACCACGCGTCTTGTTGTTATAAGAGGGAGGCGGAGGGGCGTTCGGAGAGGCATAACCGGCGTTGTAGCCAGCACCGTCGCCATAACCACCACCACCACCACCACCCCCTCCGACGCCAGGTGCGCCTGTTGGCCGGCCTGGTGAGCGGCCGCCGTAAGCATCGTAGTTCGCAGGAGCCGGGGAGTAGCCCCCCGCATCGTTTCCGGGCTGTGGTCTCTGTGCTGGGCGGGAAGGCAGGTTGCCGGCTCCTCCTGCCTTGGGGCCTTTGCCGAAGAGGTTGCTGCGCAAATCCATGACGCACACGCAAAAGAGCTGGAGAGCCGAGAAAAAGGGACTGTGGTTTGGGGGTATCGAGGGTGTCGCTTTTAATATTTGCAGATTGTTTGGAAAAGTCGCAGCCTAGAAGTGGGAGGATGTCGTGGCATCAAGGGACCCCAAAGGTTCAAAGCTCAGGCTACATCCCTGGATGTGAGCTCTGGGCGTTGGCGGGGCCGTTTCAGGCTACACCCCGCGAAACCCGGGTGTTACAGGCAAACGCTGTGGGTACGGTGTTACGCTCGGTAACCGTAACCTGGCACGCTTTACAATACGGTGCCTAAGGTATGCAGCCTTGTGGCCCGCCTTGCAGTTACCGGCCTGTCGTTGTAGCCCGGGAATGGATGCCACCTGGTCAATGACGAGCTGCTGTTTAATTTATTTACTAAACTTTGTATTAAAAAGGCTCGGGGTTGGGAATTGTGTATGAATACACACCAGCTAGCAGCGAGCAACAGCTCCACCAATTCCATCCCATCTATCGATATACGTCCCCTCTTGTTGTTCTCTTCCACGCTTGACTTGCAGGTTCTCTTTCCCGTCGATCCTTACAGCCGCTCTACTTGCCGGTTACTGTGACGCGCGAGTCGAGATGTCCTGAAGCCCAGCTAGGGGGAGACAAGAAGCATGCAGCTTGGGCAGGCCAATGCCTTGCAGTCGGGGCAACGATGCAGCCATTTTCTACGGATCTCTCCGCAGAACACACAGGTGGCTCTGCCCTTCTTCTTTGGCCAGCCGAAGCATGGATGAGCACATGCAGAATCATAGGGAGACCCAGGAGGCGCCAGCGGCTGGGCACCGGAATCGGCTTGTCGACGACGCTCTGCTGCTTCTCTCATGTCTGCCCAGGTGCGGCGGGCATCTTCCTGCCTCTCCTCGATCAGGATACTCTTCAGTCGCTCCTGCGCAGCTCGTTCCTGCTCGATCCTGATCCTCGTTGCGGCTTCTTCCGATCTTATTGCTGCTTCCTTTTCCTTCTGTTTGCGTATCCGCTCTTTGGCTGCCTGCTCTTGTTCTTCGCGTGCTCTTCTGGCGGCTTGTCGAGTGCGTTCTTCGGCGAGCCTCTCTCTTTCCTCCCTCCTCCTTTCTCGCTCCGCCTTCTCCCGAGCAGCTTGTATCTCATCCTCTCTTCGTTTCCTCTCGGCTTCTGCTGCTGCTCTTTCTCTCTCTGACTGCTCTTCCCTTCTCCGATTCTTCTCAGCTTCTTGTGCCCGTCGTTGTTGCTCGGCTCTTTCTCTGGCAGCACGATCCTCGTCTTCGGCTTGTCTCTTATTTTCCTCCTCGCGCTCGGCTTTTTGCCAAATTTTGTATCTCGTCCATTGATCTTGGAGATTAAAGTAGTCACTGTCGTAATCCGCACGCTTTTTCTCATCCCTCAGGCAATCGTACGCTTCGTAGACCTGAGTTAAGAAGCCGCATCAGTTTTACTTTTGTCCCGGGCCGTCTTGTAACAGAAGTTGCCAGATACTGACCTTCCGGAAATCGGCAGCGTCGACATGCTGGCCTGGCGCCTTTTTGTCTGGATGATGTACCTTTGCCAGCCTATAGAAAGCCCGTTTGATGTCTTGAAAGCTTACGTTCTGGGAAAGCCCAAGGTTGGTATAGTAGTCAGGAGTGCTCGGCGGTTCCATCATGAGCACATGTTGCCTTGAAGCAAAGGAACGGCCGCCCGCTCCAGGAACATGGCGGTTTGACTTTCATATCCGCAAAGACAGCCTCCTGGTCTGTGAGACAGGCAGCCTCACAGTTGCAGTGGAAGCACGGTGCAAGGGGGGCAAACAACTTAACAGAGTACAAGACTTCGGAGAAGTGTGTTGCTGTGATAGGCTCTTCGAAATGTGTATTTTAATGTACTGAGCCCTACAACTAGATACACCTGTGTAAACGGTCGATTTGTGCATCGACCAGAAAAAGCCGGCGACCGAGGAGCTCCCGCCTCGCACCGCCTGAGTGGAATCGTGAACAATCGTCCAGCAAACGCCCTAAATCTGAAGCTCTTTCCAGCGATATCCTGGCTCCACACCCTGGCACATTATTCATATAGAATGCGTATTTTCAACTGCCCGAGCGGAGAGTCACTGTGAGCCTTTAATAAATACGACGTGGACATTGTCAGGAAAACCCGTAGAACTTTGGAAACGTGGACGCTTCGCTTTCCTACTAGTTTAGGGTCAGAATTTCTCATATCCAGAGTTCTCATGCCTAAACAGAGACCTGCAGGGGAGGCCGAGGTGACGCAGCGGGTAGCCGTTGCCCGTTTGTTGGAGCTCGTTCCTAGAGGTAAGGTACGTACATACAGTACGGAAAAGTACAGTTCATACTGTATGGACATGCAATACGGCCTGTGTCGCCAATCTTAACCACGCCGAAGGGAGCCTGTGCCTCAGCCACAGGACCGACTACTCCCGCAACGCCAGGTATGACTATGAAGGAGAACCAGAGACCGTAAGGGGAGGTACCAAGTGCTAGTCAAGTGTTGGTAGTAGTTTTGCTATGTTAGATGGTGGTTTTCACCAAATTTCGAGGTCTATTGAACCCTTACCGACCCGTTAGATGGGCATTCTGTGTGGCAATGCAAGAACCTGCGAGATAGGGGTTGGTACATAATCAAATGCAACTAATTCTGTGCCGCCCGCTCCAAAACGAGAAGAACTGGAAGGTGCTGAAAGGCGGCAAAATCTAGGGCACAAGAGCAAATACTTCCCAGCCATGCCCGCCACCACAGCGCCGATTCAGCACAGTGACCACCCCCCTTAGTCATCTTCTCTTTTACCCTCATCCTCCTCTAGCTCAGCCTAATAGTCAAAGCCATCATATTTTTGTGTCCGGCGGACGACTTGGCCCGCGACGACGACTAGCCCTGACTGGTCAGGCACTAGATTGGCAGATCCCCCCTCCTCCTCAATGGCGTGTTCCATGATGGACTCAGCGATACTGCTGACTTCGTGTCCAATCTCGTTGACAAAGCCGAGGAGTAAATTCTTCTTCACGTATCTTCCGTAAGTGCCCCAGTACCTTGTCCCCTTGAGGACTTCTTTCTGTACTAACGAGTTGGGGCTTGCAACCGACCCCTTCCAGGTCAGCTGGGTAATGGCGCTGAGAAAGGTCCACCACATATAACGGGCCCTCGGCCGCGCCTCGTTCAGGAACTGCAACCGGCGTCCGTGTAGGCCGGCCAAGTTCTCGAATTCGAGTTTGTAAACCTCCTTCAGGAACACTACCTCCTGCATAGTCGAAGGCGTTACGTCCAAGACCGTAATACGGTACCCTCTGGGAAAAGTCGTTTCCCAATCCTTGAGGGCCTGGTGCCGTTCGTCTTTATCCTCCCACGGAGCTGCGGAATCCTTTGGTTCCAAGTCAGTATCAGGGACGATAACCAAGAAGCCCCTATCAAAAGCCGTTTCTATGGCCGGATGTAGAAAGATGCCGTTAACGGCTGAGAAGAGCTCGTCGCGGGCGCCAATACCGAAGATGGAGTCCATTAGGTCCGCTGAGCGCCAAATGGCACTATGGCCAGGGCAATAGGCCCGCTTCATCAAGTCTCTCATCATTGACCGGTCACTTGTTTCGCGCCGGCCCTTAGATGTAGCATTCTGGAGGTTGAACCTGCAAGTACTGAATGGCTGTATTCGTAGGCAGCTAATCTAAAGAAAGGAAAAGGAAAAGAAGAAGCCTGCGGGTGTGGATCGCTTCAGCTTTGAGGGTGCCCGACCCGACAGGGCAGCCACTAAACGGTAAGTGCCTAGAGTCGTTGTGCTCCACTGATACGCCAATGACAGACGACGTGCTCTAAATTTGGCGAGGATGCGGTACAAAATGCCATGGAAACAGGAAACTCAATACGCAACAATTGATGATAGGAAACCCTAGGGATGTCTAGGTTTTCCTTTTGGCAGCAGCAGCAGGGCAGACAAGTCTTTTGGTGAACCTTTTGCACACTATCAATCGGTTGGAGAAAATCCTTGCGGGGCTTTACTTTCCCCTGCCAGCCGAAGCAGCGGCTTCCGTCCGTCTGATCAGGATCGGAATCTCACGGACGTCATGCATCCATGCCTTGCTCACCTCAGCTTTCACAAGTTTGAGCCGTAACATACTATATTCATTGCAGTAGATTATTCCGCAGGTCATCTTACTGTTGAAGATATTCTGGCAGCGGTTTTGTTGCTGGATGTCCGGAAGCTACGTAATTTCCCCGGTTTGCTTCCAGCGTTGTATCACCCTTGCACCTCTACTGGAGCTAAAAATTGCAGTGCAGTGTCCTAGGTACATCACGCACCACCACACTTTCAGACGAAGGCGCCCTACCCTCGGGTACAGACGACAAAGCTTTCCATTCAGAAACCATGCCCCTGTAAGTCTTGTCTCTACTTAGATTAGGTCAGGTAGTTTTTGTCTTTTTTGCAGGCTGGGCTGACACGGGGCAAAAAGCCATCTCCTCGGCAAGAAGTCATGGCACGTGTACAATGCCGACAATGTGGCGCGGGTGCAGCGCGACGAGGCGGCGGCGCGAGCCCGCGAGGAAGCCGACGAGGAGCGCATGCAGGCGGCCGACGCCGAGCGCCGGCTCGCCATCCTGCGCGGCGAAGTGCCGCTGCCGCTTGAGGGAGATGAGGATCAAGATGAGAGAAAACGCCGTCTCTATGGCACCTCGGCCGAAACACCAGCAGCAGCGGCCTCCAGGGACGGCGACAGCCGCCGCGCCGACCGGAAGAAGCGCAAGCGTGCTGGCGAGGACGACACTGATTTCGAGATGCGGGTCGCGCGGGAGCAGGCCGAGGCCGGCGACCGCGTGGCGCGCGACCTGCTCGTGGGGCCTTCGGCAAAGCCTTTCTCGTCGGCATCGTCGGCAGCCGCACCGTTGGTCGACAGCTGGGGCCACATCTCGCTGTTTGGCGAGGTAGACGAAGTGGGACAGCAGCGGCTTCTCCTACCAGGGGGCAGGAGCAACAGCAGCAGCGGGAAGAACGAAGAGGCGGAGCGCGAGGCGGCGCAGAAGAAGCGGCAGTTCCAGGACCAGTATCAGATGCGCCTCGTCAACGCGGCCGGCAGGGACGGGCTGGGCCTGACGGACGGCGGGCCGTGGTACGCGGCGCCCGACGGCGACTCGTCGTCGGCCGCACCCGTGCCGTCCAAGAACGTGTTTGGGCGCGACGACCCCGGGCGCAAAGGGCGCGAAGCCGCGCGGCTCGACGCCAGCGACCCGCTCGCCATGATGAAGCGCGGCGCCGCCAAGGTGCGCGAGGTGGACAAGGAGCGGAGGCGGGAGGCCGAGGAGCGGCAGCGGGAGCTGGAGTCGCTGAAGAAGGAGGAGCGGCGGAGGAAGAAGCACAGGCGGCGTCGCGAGGAGGGGGAGAGTGGCTGCGACAGGACTAGGGATGGCGTCGATAGGGTCAGCGGCAGACACGCCGGGTCCGAGGGCCGGGAATCCACTCGCCATAGACGCCGTGATGGGGCGCCTGAAGAGCAAAGGGACAGCCGGCACGGGAAGCACAGACACAGGGGCGACGAGAGCCACCGTCACCGATCCTACAAGCCTGAGGCGACCGACGATAGACATAGACATGACAGCAGACATCGCCGCCACCGCGACGGCGACCGTTGAGGTTATTTATTTCTAGCATGCAAGTAGCGACTCAAGATACCCAAACCAATAATACCCAAAACAAACACTGCGTGAGGCCTTGTGATACATTCTTGGTAATTGGTTTGTTTAGACCGAGGTACCTAGATAGAATACAGGCTTGAATTCACCTCTCCTTCCATGGTAGGCTGATCTGCACGGGCCGCATGTCCCTAGCGCACATGTCGACGAGCGGCGGCGCGTCGAGCGTCTTGAGGGCGGCGAGGATCTCGTCGACGGTCTGCTGGCTGGCGCCCTCGGCGCGGTCGCAGTAGATGTCGAGGCCCTCCTTGGTGAACAGCGTGGGCGCAAACCACGTCACGACCCAGCGCTCCGTCGCCGTCTCTCCTGCTACCGGCCGCTCCCCCCACGCCAACACCTCCCAGTGGCTGCTCACAAAGAACAGCCAGCCGCGGCCGCGCCAGTCCCACGCGCCGCTGTCGCCGGCCGCCGCCGCCGCCGTGTCGATGCCCGCCACGCTCTTGACGCCGCCGCCGCCGTCGGCCGACTCGTACTCGACCAGGTCATCGATGCGGGATCTGCTGCGGCTGCTGCTGCTGCTGCTGTCGTCCTTCTTCTTGGCCGGCACCGCGTCAAGCGGCGTGTAGGTGATGCGCACGTTGCGCGCCGAGCGCCACATGGACAGTGTCGAGTGCGTCACGCTCCAGGTCCGGTGGAGCCATTCCAGTGGCGGGGCCGTGAAGGTGTCCGCGGGGCCGCTCTTGGTGCTGCTGGCGCTCGCGCCCGCGTACTTGGACGGCAGCCGGATGTTGATGGGCGGCGGCGTGGCTGTCGCCATGTTATTTTGTTTTAATGGTGGCAGATGGGTGTAATTCTATTTCTCTCGCTCTCCGTTTTCCCCTCCAATAGTCTGTGAGGCGCCAGCTGAAAAGAACTTTGTTTACTTAAAAATGTGCGGTATACTCTAGTTTCTTGGGCGGGTTTCAGTCTAGACTCTTGAGAATGTCGTTGCTGCTGGCTGTGACAATGACGCTTTGATGCCGGCCTGCCCTGGGCAGGTTACATGGATGTCACAATGCGCCCCCGTCCATCGCCAATGGATGATGCTCGTCAGAGTGGCGCACCCCCTGCAAAGACGAGGGTTGACCACCTCTCCCCAGTACGCCCCAGGGCATCAAGTTGTGCTAACCAACAGCGAGCCGTATGCATTGTTTGAGGGAAGGCGGCAAAAATACTTGGGTGTTTATTGTGCATTTAAAGTATGCTTGGTAAATACAGGTATGGTATCAGGTGGGGGGTTCTACGTGAGACGGCATCGACCGCCGCTTTGGCACTCAATCAGTGGACGTCAGCGATGGTCTCAGCGTCCCACAGGTCGGCCCACAACAGCCAGAGGCCTACAGATCACATGACCTTGCGCCTCAAAAAGGAGGCTCGACTGATTTGGCAACTCTCCTGCCCGTCATCTCGCACCAAGCCATGAGGTAGTGGTGGTGGTGGTGCTGCTGCTGCTGGTGCTGGATGCAGCCAACAGAGCGGCCTGGCCGAATCGTTTGTGAGAAGTGACAGACAGCCCCTGGCCGCTGAGAGGGCAGGGGTTCACACAACCCCCGGTCAGTGCTAGAAATGGGCGTTCCGGCCGCCCCACAAGGCTGATTGAACCTCCAACTTCACCTCGTCGCTCGCTAAATCAATCACACAACAAATTGAAACACATTAACCTGTCTTGTTCACTCGCCCTGGGGATATTTTGCGACGTTTCTTACCGAAACATTGTGTGCCAGCTCCACGGCTCTCATTTTCTCTTCAGTCCCTGCCTGGGGGAACAGAGTCAGAAGGAGGGGACGATTACGGGAGATCATGCAGCGGTCGAGCAAATATTTCACGCCCGAGACTCGTTAAACCAACCTCACCAAGCCGAGCCAAAAACATAGCAACACCAGCGGGAAAACCATCACATCTCGTACCATCTCTACTATTAACCTTCATCCTATTCACTCGTGTTTCATCAATTCCCTTCATCCTCCCCAAAACTATGAGCCACGCAGACCGCCTCGCAAACGCAGCCTCGCTCGAGGAGGGGAGCCACTACGCGGAGCAATATGAAGAAGAAAGCGAAGGAGAAAACTACGGCGACGGCGATGGCGACGGGCTAGATATGGACCCCGAAGCGGCCGCCATGGCAGCGGCAATGGGATTCAGCAGCTTCGGGGCGCAGGACCGGCCGGCTAAGAAGCGGCGCTTCAACCGGGACGACGAGGCGTCTGCCACGGGCGCTAACCGCATGGCCTTGCACCCGCGGGAGAGCCGCGCCGCCGCGCAGCAGCAGACTACAACTGGCTCTGCAGCTGTGCCTCTGCTAGCGGTCTCCAAGAAGGCAACGGAGAACGCTGATGAGATTGACCTGGGCGACGACGACGATAATGACGGCGGCGACGATGGCAGTGCCACCAACATCTCTAGTAGCAGCACTACCAACCCCGCCGGGCTGGCAAAGTATGCCGCTCCATCGCTGCCGGCGCGGCCCCCAGCTCCAGCCGCCTCGTATCCCGCCGAGGGAGCAGGGAGAGGAAGCGGGAGCCACGCGTTCAGCCCTGCCCCATCAGCAGGGGGGCCGCGATATCAGCAGCAGCAGCCGCACCAATCTCACCGTGGCGGCCGTGGTGGCGGCAGCGTTAGCGGCAATGGCAGACGGGAGTGGTGGATCAATTACTACGACCCTTCCAGCAACGAGAACCCGTGGGAGCACCTCGAGAGGGAGCGGAATCTGAGGCCAGCCGCAGGGTCCAGCTGGCTGGCGCTGCCGTGGGCATCAGGGAACCAGTCTGGCGGAGACGGCGGTAGGGGAAACAACGCGGTTACGAGCTGATGAAAAATAAGGGGGGAAAAGATTTCTCCACTGAAAATGTCAACAGCCGGCAAACGAAAAGAGCCACTCAGGAAGACAACGACAAGAAACCATGAAAGATGCCTAGGTGCCCACCACCCCTAATCACCAACGATAGAACCTAGAAGCGTGGAAGCAAAGAGACAAAGAGAACCCCTTCCCACGTCTTCTCTACCCCCCTCTCCGCATTCATCGCCACCAACAGCCGACCAAGCATTTTTAGCACATCCCCCGGCACGAGAAGAACTCAGAAGACACGCACTGCACGGGGTCTTATCGACCGATCGAGCACCGTCAGACTTTATTTTCCCGCCGCCATTTTCATCAATTCAGGGGTATCACGTGACCGGCTCAGGGGAGGGAGGGCACGGCTTGCTTGTGGGCCCGAGAAAAAGGTGCAGGGTTGGGCATCACCACTCGCCAGTCACATGATACGCAAGGTGTCAGAAACAGGGTACGGGCACAGTGCCCTCCCTCCTTCCTCAGGCAAGGCCTCGCTCGGGCACACGCGCGGGGAGTCGGGAAAAAAGAAGTCCAGCGAGAGGATGGACGGTCCCAGTCTTACGGTTTTCGGACACGGAAAAAGTCTAGATCCTCAGTGTGTGTGTTCTTGCTACGGCCCTATGGAAAAGAGACAGAAGAAACGGAAAACCCCCCCAAAGAGAGAAACGCCCTTTACCCAGCCCTAGCCCAATTAACCAAGTAAGTAGTCAAGAAAGACAAAAAAAAGGACACTACGGCCAAAACTTGTGACTATCACCACCCCTCGTGGACAAACCTCACCCTCTCTTTTCCGCAAGAGGCAATATCTCCAGGCCCCAAAATGGATAAGCTCCGTCTGGCCTTCATCTTTCGCCCCGTCCAGTTTTTTTTACCCCAAAACGGAGACAACCCACCTAGTGGGTGTGCGTGTGTGTGAGTGTGTGTGTGGCCCCCCCTCTTCCCAGCAGTCAGTTTCACCCCCCCTCCCCAGGTGTGTGGCTTGCTGCTGCTGCTGCTGCTGCTGCTGCTGCTGCTGCTACCGACCGCTTGCTCGGTACTGTGGCCCCCCCCGCAAGACAGAGCAAGCAGGCGAAGCCCACACGCGCGCCGTGGCTGGCGCACACCCAGGGCTCCGGCCCCCCGGACGAATGAAGTAAGCTAGCCCACACCCCCGCCAGTCGCCAGGGCTTACTGCTGCAGCCCTGCCCTGGCGCCTTGCCTGCCTTCCCGTTCCGCCCGCTGCCAGATCAGCGAGTGACGTGCAGAGTGGGGGGGGGGGGGGGGCGGGGGGCGTGTGCTGTGTGGGAGAAGAGCTGGCGATCTGCATGGCGCGCGTGGGAAAACGCTAGCTGGTCCGTAACTTCTTCCCCGTGGGAAAAAACCGTGGGCCTTTGCTCTCCCATCCAATCATAAATCGTAACGTCGTGAAACAGCCGTACCCGGGGGCGCTCGCTCACTCGAGCAGAGATTAGTGTCTGAGTGTGTGTGTGTGGTGCCGAGAATTTGGGTGTGAAGGAGGGGGCGTGAGATCGAAAAAAACGCCCGCTTGCCCGCTTGCCCGCCCTGCCGCAAGCTGCACTGCTGCAGGAACACGCACTTTCGACCCCCCCCCCCCCCCCCTCTCTCTCGGTTTCTCTCCGTTCTCTGCCCTTACCCTCCGTAAAGCAGCGAGGGGAATCCCGCGGCTATTTTGCCGCGCCTCGCCTGGTCTTCTCAACGTCACCTATTTCCCAAGGCTGCTCCAGAGCCCACCGCACCCAATCAGCTCCCATTTTCGCCAGAAGTGAGAAAATCAGTCTCAGGGAGAAACAAACAAGACGTAAAGCAAACGGGGGTATGTAAACTTCCTCTCCCAGATATGTGCAAACCCACCCGTTCATATGCGCCAAAAAACTCAACAAGGTCCTGTGTGCCTAAATTTGAGGCCTGACAAAAGTAAAAAGAAAAGATCAAAAAAAAAACCGAAAAAGGATGAACCGCCAAACTCAAGAAAATCAGGTCTGGAAAATGATGGAATGCTAGTACGAATCTGGAGACGGGTACCGCGCCCGCGCCTTGGTGTATTCCTTGGAGTGCTTCTTTGACGCCTTGGTCTTCAGAGATCTGGATTTGCCAAATATCAGTCCCTTCGCTCCTCCGATGGCTGGAGGGCTGGAGGGTTGGAAGAGTTGGGAAAACTCACGTCACTTTCTTCTGGGTCCATTCGAGATCGTTGCGCACTTCTTGCGCATCCTCGAGGCCCTGCGCGAAGCGCGCCCGGGACTTGGCCAAACGCGCCTGCGCCTTGGCCTGCAGTTCCAGGAGCTCGCGATGTTTTGCGTTCAGAAGGCCAGATCTGAGGTTTCCAAGTTAGCCAAAGAGCTCATCATTTTCTGCTTGACAAGTTGACCAATTCTCCCTTCTACGAGCAGACTCCAAATTCGGAATCGGCTCGCAGAAGGGAAAAACGGCGAACGGGGGAAATAGGATGCTGGAAACCAAATTTTCAGGGAGCAGAAACTTACGCTTGCGCTTGCGTGGCTGTGCACTTGTCGAGCGGGATCGGGTTGAAGGTGTCCGCAAAGCGATCTTGCATGTACTCATTGAGATCAACGCCGTTTGCAGACCCGGCGCTGTCGTATTCGCCTTGGCTGCTGCCGGCATAGCTGGACGTGGTGGCCGAGAAGCCAGAGTGGCCATACGACGCCACGCCAGATCCCGAAGTCACGGAGGCGTCTAGATCCTCGGGCGGCGACACCGAGTAAGTGCTGTCGCCGCTGGTGTAGTAGGTTGGGTATTGGTACTGGTATTGCCCCTTGCCGGCGGGGATGGGAAGAGCTCCCGAGGCGGCGTAGTACTGGCCTGAGTAGGGGGACGACATGGTGATCTGTGCTGCGGGAGATGTGCAAGGTGCTAGTGGGTGGATAAGGCTGTGGGGTTGTCCTTGTGTGCGAAGCACTAAGACGGAAGCGTGACTGAGGGGGGCGATGAAGACAAGCGGTGCTTGTGTAAGTGGTTCAGGGGCGTTGGACCGAGGTCAAGCTAAGTGGCCTGGAGTTCTTGGGTCTGGAGTCTGAGGAGCAGAAGAAAAGTGATGAGAAAAGGAGGAAGAAGAATTCTTGAAGACCCCGTCAACGACGACCCCTTTTATACTTTTCCAAAGATCCCCCCCCCGGCCGGCCATCGGCCAACATCACGAGCTCGAGCAGGATAAGACATCCTGACTCTATTCGTCAGCTCTTCGCAACCCCGCTTGAAGCCGGGAAGAGATAGGATGTGGTGATGATGACGGAGACGACGATGGCCTAGCCTCCATGGTGACAGGGCCCTCGCCCGCCCTCCCGGCGTGGGCATAGACTAAAAAGAATGTCGGTTGGCAAGGCCGATGGGGTGATCCCTGGAGCAATTGACCAAGCAACCAAGGCTCGGATTGGCCTACAGACGAGTTTCGATTGATCAGAGAAAGGACTGAGCAAACCAGATGCATATGCCGAGGAGCGACTATCATCGTTTGTATTGGTGGACATGGCCGAGCGGAGGGGATGAAGGGCCATGGAGCCTGTCGGCGATGCGGGTGACGGGGGCACTAGGGTCAGACATGGCAAGGGGGCGAAAAGGGAACGACGGTGACGGGGGTATACGAACCGGAGGCTCAACGGCAGAGTCCAAGGTCAGATAGAACAGCCGGTATAGAGGGGGGTGGATGTATGACACTGGGTTCAACCAGACATGGGATGACAAGGACGGGACCGGGGGGGAGACGGGGGATACGGACGAGAGCACACAGAAAGGCAGGAGGCAAGAGACAGAACCAGGGGAGTCTGGCTCGAGACTAGACCAGGCGTGGCGGGATGGAATGGGGGACGGGGGGGAGGGAAACGCCGTATGACAGGCTGGGGTTAACGATGGAGGTCAGAGACTTGTATCCAGGACAGAATTCGGAGGTCATCAGATGTGTGCGTAGCCGACTAGCTAGACGGTAGCTTGCGAAACCCACTGCACGGAACGGCATTGCACACACACGCACACGTACACACACACCCACGAAGGCGAGCTCGGGGCAGACATTCGACATTCGACAGCCGGCTCATTTGGGGGGGGGGGTGCCTTGGAATCTAACAAACGGAGGACCGGAACTCCAGAGAGGATCGGTGACGAACAAGCGCGCGTTCTCTTAACGCCAATCCCACAGCAAAAGCGGCGCTGGATCCGGCCTGCTTGAGCTGCAATCTTGTTGGCCCGGAAAGAAAAGACGCCGCCGTCAAACAAACGTTGCAAAGTCGGGTTAGGCAGTGATGCATCAGTCGGGCAAATGTGTTGTCTAAAAAAATGGCTGCAGACACTTGAATTATTTTTTGGGCCGGTCAGTCACCCAAGCCAACTGCTTCTCCGTGGCCTGTGCGTTTCCCGGACCCCTTTGGAATTATGGGAATTAAAATATTCCAAAATCTAAAATATTCTATTGGTGGAAGGATGGTGAATTCGACCTCATTTGGCACCCCATTCGTTGGGAGTCGGTAGAGTGTGGATGTGCTGCTTGCTGACATGGGCAAAAACGGACCGCAGAGGCTAGGCAGGCAGTCAGGCAGTCCGGGACAAGACACCACCACGGCATGTATCCTGGACGTGTGTTAATAACTCCTCGACATAAGCCTCTCTCTTATTTTTCTCTCCCATCCTCGTCGCGTACTCATGCTCTGCAAGGCTTTGTGGAGAGCATGTAATGCGCCTGTGCCTCGGAAACCAACTGCGTAGCTGTCGGTCAAATACTGCCGGAATTTTCGGCCACAGACCACTCCAGACTTGTCACGGCATGCAAGTCTGAGACTCGCCATGTCGTGGTATTTCACCTGCCTGTTTCGCCCTGTCGAGATAGTATGCAGAGGGAGGGCTCGAATCTCGGGTCTTTGGTGGCGGTGACCGTAGCCGAGAGAAGGCAACATTGCAATGTGTCCAAGTACCAGGTGGTACAAGCAGTCGAACCCCGTTGAGCGCGCGGGACGGATGCCTTGGCCGTTTCGGTAAGGGCAGGCGAGCAGAAGAGCATGTAGGGCAGTCTCAAGTCATGTACGTCAAAGGGACGACGGAAAACGTGGATGGTCCACCCGATGCACTTCCAAGGTCTGAGGTTGCCGGGATGGGTCGACGGCAGAAAGCACGCCCACCCCCTCGCCTCCCTTCCCAAGTAGATCTTAGCTGTGTGTTCCGGACAGCCCACGAAGCAACCATGGTTCTCCATACTCCTATGCTAGCGGGTGGCTTTTAGAGGGGTGTCCGAGGGGGGAAGGAGTTGTCTATACTGGGAAAGACTATCTCCTGGTGGCTTGAGTCCCAACCAGGTCAGCCTAGGCACATGTTGCATCCCCTAGACCGCAACAAGTCGTCCCGGCCTGGGGGGACTACAAGGCCCAGAAGTCGGGGAGGGGGGCGGGGAAGGCATGACTTGCAAGGCATGCGAAGCAGAGAGACTATTGCTCTTGTTGGTGGGCAAGAACAGCCCAATGGCTCGACAATGGGCCATCGTTGGGGACCACAGATCAAGAGAGCCGGCAACCTGGGCCCAGTCGGTATCGAGTTAGCTGGAATCCTCTCTGCTCCGTGTGCACGGCTGACCCGTGGCCTGGCCAGCCGAACGTGGAGTGTGTGTACATGGACATCTCTTGGTTCTCCACGGCCACAAAAACTGCCAAGCACCGGCCTCTAGCGGCGGCACTAGGAATTGCGTTAGACCGCGCCGGCAAGAGCCATCCCCAAACAATTGCCAGGTAGAATACCCCAGAGACGCGAATTGACAAGAGAAGAGACGAGGAGAGCGAGGAAGAGAAAGAGCTGCGAGCGAGCGAACGAACGAGCCAGCCAGCCAGCCAGCTCGGCGTCTCAATGGAGAATGCTGGCCCGCGGATGGGCAAAGCGGCGTAATGCAGGCTCGGGCCAGCGAGGGGGGACAACGCATCAAAGCCCTCCTGCACGTCCAGAGCCACTTTGCTGCAGAGCGTTCCCTCCATGACGGCGGCGGGCCTTCGAGAAACAAAACGGGCCCGCCTTGAAAATCGTGTGTGGGTACCGCGAAATGTAACATCAGGGTTTGAGTGGACTTGGGAGATGCAGTCAAACTAGACCTGCGCCGCCGATTGATGACTGGGCACGATTCTATAGGATGGAGACGCCACAGCCGGGCCTCGGTGCTGCCTTCTGAAAAGCCCATGACAGAAAACGTACATGAGCATACAGATGCCCACTCCGCCCTAACGGGCACATGGGCGTGGCGGACGGCTGATCTACGTTCTCCAGCTCTCCGTTTGAAGAAAGGGAGGGAAGTGACGGCAAGAAGAAGGGCCGGTACCTTTTGACTGCGGGCGCTGCTATAGCCGTGACATGCTCGCGGCAGCTCCCCTACATGCATGTGTGTGCCTCAAGCCATATCCGCGATCAAGATTGCTCGGTTTTATTCGACGTTTCCTGTTCCTGGGTCGGTTGGCGTTTGCAATTGCGTCTTTTCCTGTCCGTCGGTCTGTCTGGCCGGCCGCCTGTGCGACGTTTGCTGCAATGCCTGGGGCGTTCGTGAGAGGGCATGCGGCTAATACGGCCTCGGCCAACGGCGCTCTGCGAATCGGGACTCGTCAATGGACTGCAACGGGTGCGTTCGTGGGACGAGATTGCTGTCGTGTTAGGTCCAAAGAGGATGATAGTTCCGGCATGGGAGTCGAGAGTCGGGAGTCGGGAGTCGGGAGGTGGTGGGAAAAGGACGAGAAAAATCAAAAGCTCGACCCTGGCTAATTTTGGTTTTTTTTCTGTTTTTTCTTCGGGTCACGGTGCAAACTGCAAAGGCGTCCCTTCGCTCTTTCCTTTTTTTCACGTCTCCATCACAGCAACATCCATCACCCGCCTTCTTTCCGTTTTGACGCACTCCATCGACGGAAGGCCCGCCCCAAGGTCCCCTCTAGCTAGGCCCGAATGCAAGACATACTTGCTTGCTTATCCCTTCCTTACTTAGCTTTTCGTGCTTGACTTCCTCTAATATGCTCAAAACTTGCGTGGCAACAAATCGTGTTGAATTCAATCTCGCCTATCTGCCCTTCTCCTAAATGGATCACTCGTGTTCAAGTCGGCGACTTTAGAATACCGAGTCGCAGAACATGACCCTTCGTTTCCTCCACATTGGCTCTGTTTCTGTTAAGACGCTAGCAGAGACCTAATAGAGCGGAGGCGGCCTAGCTGCAGAGGGCACTCCATGGGATCCTAGAACTCTCGGTTGCGGGGTTTGACAACATACCCTTGTAATCGGTAGCTTGCCCGCACTAAGCTGCGTGGGGTTCGATGAGAGGCTGCCCTCGGGCTATCTAGCAGGCAACGATGGGGTTGGGTTGTGGTTTGTCTGTTCCTAGCGCTCTGGTTTGGTCTTTTGGTCCACCAGAAAAGAGAGGGGAAAATGAGAAGAGAAATTCTGTCTACTGATATCTAACTAGGTATGTAAGGTATGTAGATAGGTAAGGTAGGTAATTAGAACCTAGGTTTGCCAAATAGCCAGCCATGCTCGGCGCTCACAAACTTCACAGCCTGCCGAGGCTGCAAGCAAATCTCCAAATAGTTACACGTTAGTTTTGCGTCAACATTGCACCATGACTCCCGGATACTACCTAAAAAGAAAAACGCCGACCATGCATCGATAAACACACGCACAAAATCCATGCCGATCATTGCAGCAAAGCAACCAGATCCAAACGTTTGCATGCCGGTGTCCATTAACCTTCAAGCCCTCAGCCACCCACCGCCTATTAACCGAAAATCTTCAAGAACCCCCAGATGCCGAGGCCGCTTAACACGGGAATTGTCAAATTGTCATCCAACCCAAACACGTCGACCAACTCGCTGGTCGCGGCGACCAACCCCGACCAAACGCTCATGATGGCGAGAGCCAGCCCACCCGAGACGGCAGCCTGAGCCGGAGTTAGTCCGACCGCCTCTGATATGGTTTGCGGCAAGCTAAGCGTGCCGGTGAACATGAACGCCTCGTCTCCGGGGAAAGGGCCCATTGTCGGGACCAACCAGCCCCAGAACCATGCCGCAGTGCCGACTCCGACGAGGAACGCAGCCAGAGATCCGGCGAGGGACTTGCCTCGGCGAATGCGAGGGGTGAAGCGCCCATATAGCCTGCCGAACGTGCTCGCGGCCGTGTCGCACCAGCTGAGGAGCAGTGTGCCCACAACGCCAACGTCTTTAGGGAAGAAGAACAGTACAGTCCAGGCCCCGAGGAGATAGAAGATGACGCCGTTGTAGCCCGAGAACTCGCTCTCGCGCATCAGAGCACCTAGAACCTTGACGTAAAAGCGGTTGAATGGCGCATAGTGATGGCGCGCCACGTCCACGACCGCGATGGGGATAAGGGCCCCGAGAAGGTAGGGACACACCGCTAGGGTCTGCGTGCCAGAGAGATAGAGCCACACGACAAAGAAGCCGATGGACACGTGCAGCGCTTTCCTTGGAACCTCGTGCTTGTGCACGAACGTCCGCCAGTGCCTGTGGATGGGGATAAGGCCCAGCGGACTCGGGCTGCGACTAAAGTCCCTCCAGCTCCAGCCAGAGTATATGGATGGGGTAGGCGGCACGAGGTGGCCGTTGGCCGACTTTTCGGGGATGTGACCGTTTGAGGGCGATACGGTGGCGGGTGCCGCTGCATGGCCATTTGCACTCTTTTTGTTGGTAGACGGCTTCGCTGACGCCAACCTACCCACCTTCCGTGTGTCGATGGGGCTTCGGCTCCGGGTCCGGGCCCGTTGGAGCTCCGGACTTTCATCCTCGTCCAGATCCTCCTCAACAGGATGCGGTGTAGTCAAACGCCTCCTCGCTGCCGACCTCGTCACAGGGCCAAAATATGCCTCGCGGGCCGCCGCATCCGTCTCGGACGGTGTCGGGCTGGGGGATATGACGCGCGGCGTCGCCGGCACGATGGGTTTCCCCCGGACTGACATGATGTAGGGAAACGGTGGAAGCGCCGGCAGGGTGATGGCGCCGGCGAGCGCCCGCTGGAGATCGTAGAATCGCGGAGGCCAAAATGCCGAGCGGAGATGTTTATCTTTTCGAGATTCTCGCGTCAGGGTCGCGGTTAAGGCGGCGCCGACGCTATAGTCGGGTTGGTGGTATCGCAAAAAGACGGCGGCGTGTTGAGCGATCGGATCCAGCGTGAAGAGTCGTGATGCGGTGGAGTGATAGAACTCCACCGATCATGGCTGACTGAGGGGGACGCAGGCCTCTTGACGGTTTGAAAGGGCGGCGGTGGTCACAGGAAGGTCTCAGGCGGCCAACATCAATGTACCTGTCTATTGGTGGCAGGGCTTTGATGGTTGTGGGCGGGCGGGCTTCTTCTGGCAATCGGGCTGGCTTTGAGGGTGGGTGTTACGAGAAAGCCCTGTTAGGCCTGGGCGGGACGAGGATTTTTCGACGCTTCGGCTGGTGCGGATGACGAAAGTTGCAGGGGGGGGCGGGGAGGCAGTCGGGCAGACACCTCACTCTCCGGCCCCTGTAATCGCATGTGACGGGCCCAAGAGGCCAGGCGATGATAGATGCCTGTCTCTGGCAATACTGTAGAATCGTCGAAAGAAAGAATCCATACCTTAAAACTCCAAGCAAAGCCCACGATGCATTCATATGAGGTATGAGCCGATGATCTTGACCTTACAGATTCTAAAAATATGCAGTCTTGTTTGTTGGCCAAGGTTTAGTGGGCGTGGGAAGTAGCCGTTCACCACGGCCAAGCTAGTGAACGGAATAAGGCCAACTTAGGCCAACAACAACCCACTCCTGTGACCCACCTGTCTCAAGCTGTTTATCGCCATGGACATGAACACCGCCCTGGTAAGGTAGCGGTGGCACGGAGTATACGGGACACTTTATGTAACCATGGTCCTATGCGTGATACCTTTGTATTCGTACTGGTCTCTCCGTAAAGTCAAGAGCGCGAAAAAAGCTCAAGCAGAGCAGTTGCAGGCGAGGCAGATTTGTTGTTTTCCGCTTCGAGTCACACCACTCTGAGCAAGGCGAAAACCCCGAATCCCGTAGAAAGTAACTACATGTACGAGTACGTATTGATTAGCGCAGTGGCTCGGTTTCTTCGGAGGCTGCTTCGAGGCATCGCTTCTACGGATCCCTGAGGTCTATCGATAAGCCGATAAGATAAGGGCCAAATAATTCCCAGGATTTTTTGTTTCGTCTTGATCATCCCGCCTTGTCCCACCGCGCAGAGGCTCGAACCAGAACCAGACAGAGCCTTCAGCCCACAGCAGCATCATGGCGCCAGATCAGTCACGCGCCAAGAAGGCTCCGAGATCATGGGATGCTCTGACCCCGAGCCTTGCGCAATGGATTCTCGATTATCTGTCGTCAATGGGCTTCGAGCAGCCCACGCCCGTGCAGAAATCATGCCTCGAAATCTTCCGCGGCAACAAAGATGTGGTTGTGGAAGCAGTCACTGGCAGCGGCAAAACCCTTGCGTTTCTGATTCCTGTTGTTGAGGTAAAAAGTCGCTTCTCGACAAGGCGATGAACACTTTTGCTAACTTATCTGCCTCTCTGAAGCGAATCTTGCGAGGCGCCGAGCCGTCGAAGCGACACCACGTCCAGGGCATCATAATCTCGCCCACCCGTGAACTCGCGACGCAAATCTACAATGTCCTTCTCTCTCTCATCAAATTCCATGCGCCGTCTAGCGAGATGCTGTCATTTGCCGAGGCGGACGAAAAGCGACCCGAGACGGCGCATCCGGTCGTTGTCCCTCAACTGTTGGTCGGTGGTACGACGAAAGCTGCCGAGGACCTGAGCACATTTCTACGCCTGTCGCCGAACCTCCTCATTGCCACCCCCGGAAGGCTGGCCGAGCTTTTGTCTAGCCCCTACGTCAAGGCCCCTGCGTCATCGTTTGAGGTTCTGGTCATGGACGAAGCCGACCGCTTGCTAGACCTCGGTTTCTCCCAAGAGCTCACCAGAATCCTTGGCTATCTCCCAAAGCAGCGCCGTACCGGTCTGTTCAGCGCATCGCTGAGCGAAGCCGTTGAGAAGCTCATTCTCGTTGGAATGCTGTATCCCCACAAGATCACGGTCCGGGTCAGGAGCTTGAAGGACGGCGGGATCATCCAGGAGAGAAAGACTCCCATGTCGCTACAAATGTCGTACATCGTGGCCCCGGCGAGCAAGAAGCTGCCAGCTTTATGCCAGCTTTTGGAGAAGCTCGAGCCGCGCCCTGCGCGGTCCATCATCTTCTTCTCGACTTGCTATGCTGTAAAGTACTTCACCCGAGTTCTACAAGCCATTCTCCCCCCTGGGTTCTCCATCGCATCGTTGCATGGAAAGCTAGAGCCACAAGTCCGCGAGAAGAATTTCGAGCGTTTTGTGAACGCAACCTCGCCCACCATTCTCCTCACAACAGACATCGCAGCGCGAGGCCTCGACATCCCTCAGGTGGATCTCGTAGTGCAGCACGACCCCCCCACCGACACCAAAGTATTCATCCACAGATGCGGGCGTGCCGGACGCGCCGGGCGCCGAGGGCTCGCGGTCGTCATGCTACAGGAGGGGCGGGAGGAGGAGTACGTTCAGCTGCTAGAGGTGCGCATGACGCCCATTGCGCCGCTCGACAAGCCGCTGATCGACGTATCAGACGAGGAAGCCGACCAAGTGTCGGCCAAACTGCGCGCGCAAGCGCGGGCCGACCGGGAAATATTCCAGCTGGCGCAACGTGCCTTCGTCAGCTGGGCGCGCAGCTACCTCGAGCACCAGGCCAGCTCCATCTTCCGCATCACCGACCTCGACTGGCGCGACCTGGCCAAGGGCTGGGGGCTGCTCGAGCTGCCCAAGATGCCCGAGCTGCGGTCGCTCGACGTCGACCGGTCGCTCGGCCTGGGCATCGAGACCGAGGCGGTCGCGTTCCGCGATAAGGTCCGCGAGAAGAAGCGGCAGGAGGAGCTGGTCGAGTGGAAGGCCGCCAAGGCGAAGCGCCTCGCCGACCCGGACGCGGCGGCGGCGGCGGCGGAGAAGGTGCAGAAGCGCAAGAGCAACGATGCCTGGAGCGCCAAGCACGACCAGGAAGACGTCAAAGTGGCGAGGCGCGAGAAGAAGCGCCGGAAGCGCGAGGCAGAGCGGTTCAGCCAGATGACGGACAAGGAGAAGGAGGAGCAGAAGAAGCTGGATGCCTTGATTGGGGAGGTGAGGAAGCAGACCAAGGCCAAGGAGGCGGCGGCGAAGGAGGAGGAAGAAGAATTTGAGGGGTTTGGCGAGTAGGTTAAAAAGGAGAAATCAAGAAGGGAGATGGGAGGAAGATGGGAAATGAGAGTTGATGATTTTTACCCCATTATACCCCTTTTTGTCTGCTGGGAGAGAGAATATTAAGTCGGCATGAGAAATAAGCTGGAACATTAGTTAAAATGCAACAATTTGGAGACAAATACATGTTCGTTATTGCCTCGTAATCTCAGTACCATTGTCAGAAACAAAACGAACGTTGGTATCATAAACGAAACGACCTAGCAGCTAATTGAAAGGAAAACGAAATAACAAACAAAAGTGGTATCCCTGGTTAAACAACTTGTCCCATCCGGTATTTCATATCGATCATCCTTCGTCCGAAACCTAGGCCCCCTTTGTTTTGTTTCGATCCCAAGGTTTCCCTCCTTTCCATTTCATCCCATTCCATCCCCCCTTCACTCTTGCGTTGAAGGGTGGGGTAGTCCTGATCGTAACCATAATGTACATACTTCAAGTTTTCAGATTCAATGCAACCAAAAACATTTGGTAAAGCGGGCGGGTTATTAGTGTTGTGTTGGTTAGGAGTAGAAAACAACTCTCCAGAAATTAGTCGTTGATAGGTGAAATTTGCGTCGTGTCAGCTTCCTTGGCGGCGCCTACGTCTCACGTCATGGAAGGACAGAATCAGATGTTCTCAATGACATGAGCGTTGATGGCCTGCTGGAAGCCCGAGTCCGCCCCGTTAAAGTCGCCAAAAACATTCTTACTGCTGTTGCTACCTTCGGCTTCGGGGTGGGCCAGCGCCGCATCGAATTGCGATGCCGACGGCATGGTCTGGTTGGCGGCCGGCAGGAAGATGACCTTGCTGTTGGCCGTCTTGGCCATGGCCTGCATCGCCTCGAGATATCGGATCTGCATGGCCGGCGCCGACGACAGGATGTCTGCGGCCTGCCGCATCAGCTTGGCAGCCTCGACCTAGTATCGTCAGTTAGCAATTTTGATTCGAGATTGGAGAGTGGAGCGAGTTGGACATGCCTCGGCCCTTGCAGCGATAACCTTGCTCTCTCCGATACGCTTGCTCTGCGCCGCCATGGACAGCGACTCCTGCAGTTCCGTGCTGAAAATGATGTCCTTGATGAGCATGCTCTCGACGGCTACGCCCCAGCCAGCCGCGACGGGTTCGATTATCTCGCCAATGCTACGTGCGACTTCCTCGCGGCGTTCAATGACGTCCTGCAGAACGCGCGCGCCGATGACGTGACGAAGAGTAGTTTGCGTCCGCTCGATCAGAGCCTGTCGGACGTTGGTGATACCGAAGGCGGCCTTATGAGGAGAGATGATGTGGTAGTAGATGACGGACGTGAGATTGATGTTGACGTTGTCCTTGGTCATGCAGACCTGCTTGGGAACCTCGACAATCTGGATCTTGACGTCGACCTGTATCATTTTCTCGCTGAGGGGATTGATTTTGACGAGGCCTGGATCCACGGCCCTGTAGAACTTGCCGAACTTCGTCACCAATCCAACGTTTCCTTGGCTGACTTTCTTGAAGGGGTTCGGGCAGCAGATGCAGCAGGGGACGGCACCGCAGGTTCCAACGACAGCCCCGAGTGCATTAACTATAGGAGGCGCGCAAATTCAGCACGAGTAACAGAGAAGATGGGATGGAGAGCGTACTCATTGAGCCATACCAGCCATGAGCGCCAGCATTTTCGTCTCCAACGATGCTGGCATAGCTCTTCTGGAGATCTTCAGGCTTCGGGGGTTCTACTGTCATGGGGACCTGGGGGCGGAAGCCACCGCCGCCATTGAGAATGGGGTCGGTGCTCTTGCCCTTGGATGAAGCGTTGTCGCTCGAGGCCATTTTGTGAGTCTTAGCGATGTTTCGGACACGATCGGGATATTGCGGCAGGCAGTTGATATGGGAGATGCTGTATTGGTGCGCTATTCGGATGAAAACTGATGGTGTCTGACGATTTAACACGTGGGAAGCAGGATTGGAAAGACGGGTGTGGTGGTCTGACAGAGGGGCGGCTAGCGGTTGAATATATACGTTTCTGAAACCAGGAGTCGGTAGTCTGTAGGTAAGGTCGGTGTGTAGGGGAAGCTTGAGGTGTCGATGGTCATGCTGCGGCGCCCAAGCTCCCTAGCACCCCGCTGCCAAGAGATGTGATGTGGGTGCAAGGTTGACCTGGAACCTAAGGTGCAGGGGCAAGTGTGCCCAGTGCGGGGAATGCGACCCCATTCTAGGGACCGAAGTCTCCATCCATCTTGTCTGCCCAAGGCACACTGGGAATTACACCGGGATGAACTCGAAGCTCTCATCCACCCGACTTGAACGAGCTTATTTCCGTCTTTCTATCCGTTTCAAGAACTCTTTACGGAATACGGAATCCCAAAATCGTACGTATGACCTCAAGAGCTCCCTTTGAAATCGCTGTGCTGTGTCGCAAAAAGGCTCATGTTCAATTTCCCAAGACTCGAAACCCTAACCAACCCGAGATTTCAACCCGATTTCGAGCGATCGACGATGCTGACGGCTGGCCCGCCTTCTCCATACAAACGCCTTAGGAACCTAGAGTGGTAGTGACGAAAGGGAATACCTACAGTACATACGCCAGGACAGGACGGGAATATTCGGGTCGATTCCTCGATACCCGCTCGCCACAGGATTGTCTTCGGCCTGATAGCCTGTCTAGCCACGAGGTGAACATGCCACCTTCTCTTCCTGTGAACATGAGCTATTTAGTTACTCATTGACATCTCTTGGATGGCAATGGAACCGGGCAACGGCTTGTGCAGCCCCATTCGTTTTTTATTTGGCTAACTACCTACCCATCCACCTATCGTGTATCCCGGGCTGATTTTGGCAGCGTCGTATTGCAGCAAGTACTTCGACTCGAGATTTTGCCATGTTATCCCGTCGTCTATGTGCTCAGGAATCACGGCACAGCCAGGAATGGCCAAAGCACCAGATGGGCACTTTGGCCAGCTATTCCACCCGAAGTTCTGTGCAACAACCCAACGCCCAACATGGAGTGTTCTCTTTTGGGATTTGGGGGACCACCCACCACCAGCAAGCAAACCTTGTGACCGTGGCATAGCCACAAACTAATCCTCTTCGGCGCCTCTCATTCGACAATCCCACGCGGAACCACCTTCAAGACCAACCGGACCCCTCTGCAACAAACCTTGAACGGGAACTTTGCAAGTTGCTGTCTTTGCTTCGGTGGACAAAGAACAAGGAGAAAACCGCTCATACTTTGTCTGACCGAGGTCTTCCATCTTGCACCAAGCCGCGTCACAAGGTGGCAAGCTGTTGTGGAGCCTTGGATCGGCCTTTTCCAGAACAATTCCTTCCCCGCGCCCCAGTTTAAGTTCTGCAGAGTTCCTACTTACACCTCCTCCGGGGTAATACATGTTAGTGTGGGAAGGTGGCAAAGTTAGTGATTAGCGAGATTTCCCTGGAAGATACTAATAGTAACCAACGTACCAAGCTAACATGTATTTCCCCGGTGGATGTTTACATGCCATGAGCCGCCCCAGGATCGGCCTGCCAAGCTCCCAAGGCAGCTGCCAGGCTGACTTTGAATGGACTTCAACCCCCACAATCAATGCGTACCCGGGTTCGGATTCGGCCAGATTCTTCTGCGCGTATTTACCTGCTTACTGAAAGGCTTCAAGACCTTCCTGCCGTTGGGGTTGGCGCGAATGTCACGGTGCTGACCACACTGCCCGCCCGCCAAGATGCCGTCGGTGTGTTTGTGATCAAGCGGGATGTGCAATACTGAGCGGCGGAGGCTTGGTTCACGAGACGCAAACGAGGTCTACCCGGTTGAATCCGATTTTCATTATTTGGCCCCTTGGGATATGACCCTGCCTGCTTCGTCTCTTTTGGCCCCAGGGCTAACTATTCTCGCTCCTATTGCAATGCCTACATCTCCCGAGTGCATCTATCTGACCAATTGTTTATCCAGTCATGGCACCCGAGAGAACAGACGGGGCTCTGAGCAGGGCTTTCTTCCACTCTCGCACGCCCGTGTTGGCGGGATATATTTGCAGCCAGCACCTTGATGACGACCAAGTTGAGACTGCATGCCAGGATGGGATGCAACTTCCTCTCCTGGTGTGACTGAAGGCTGTACCCAACACTGGCAGATGAGTGAGGCTCTCCCCCCAAGCCCTCGACAACTCTGCCCTGCATGTCCTACCTGCAATCTCATGCACAACACAACTGTAAGCGGCCAACCAACATGATACAGAAGCACCGTGTTGGAATTCTGTAGCGCGTGATTTTCGAGGTGGTATGCCTTGAGGGACTCGGTTTCCAGTATCCCGTGCTTGCTCTCCTTCCTGGACATATTGCCGGGCTCAGGACGACAGTGGGTCAAGAATCAACTCTATATCCCCGCTGATTTGCCCTTTCTTAGGCACTCTGGGGCTTTCGCAGCCTCATCTTGTAGGGCGTTTCAAAGGGTGGGCCTCCGTGTTGAAGACGTATTCGTCCAGGCTAATGAGGTCAGGGGGGGAAAAGATTAGGTAAAAATACTTCAGGGTCTCTGCCATCCAGAAGCTCTATATCATTGCAAAGAACAAATTAGCCACAGCCCGGCCATCAACGACACGAGTTAAGGGGGATGCACCTCCATGTTATCCAGTTTCGTGGTGTTACCGCGCTCGACCGTGACGTCCTCGATGGCCGAATTCGCGTGTTCTGTCGATGTCGCGTTCTGGATGGCGAGGAACATGTCCCAGGCCATTTCCTGGTACTCGGCCTTGCCCGTCATGCGGTACATGAGGAAGACGCTCTCGATGGCCTCGGGGCGCAACAGGTAGCGCGGGTCTCGCGCATTGGTAAACCCCTTGGGCAGGCCAGGTGGCTGGTCCTCGCGGCCGGCCTGGCTCTTCCACCTGTCCTCGTCCCACTCGCAGCCCTCCGTCGCCGACGGACACGCGACCATGCCGAAGATCTCGGGCATCACCCCCGTGGGGAACGCCTTGTACGCCCACGCGCATCCCCGCGCCAGCTTCTCGCCGATCTCGACGTGCTCCTCGATCCCGAATAGCTTGCCCCCGAGTCCGAACATGCCCCCCGCGAAGCAGCCCAGGTGCTGTCCGACGGCGAACAGCTCGGCGACGCCGCCCCCGCCGTTATCCCTGCGCACGTGCACGTCGCCCGAGAACAGCACATCGGCGCCGTCGGGCAGCATGGGCCGGAAGAGCAGGTGCTCCTTTACGGTGGCCATGGCGCTGCGGTACATGGCCTCGTAGGCCGGGTCGTGGCCGCCGACGAGTGACGCCATCTTGGGCAGGTACTCGTACAGCGAGTCGGAGAGCGCGCCCAGCGTGAAGTCGCGGCCGCGGTCGGCCGCCTCGCCGGCTAGGTCTAGCAGCGTCGGCCACATGCCCGGCAGCTGCGTGGCGTCCTGTGTGCGCGCTAGGAACGCCTTGACCCGGTCCACGGCGTCAAAGTACTTGGGGTTGCCCGTCAGCTGCGACAGCCGCGTGAACTCGAGCGCCAGCGTGCTCGCCGCCGCCGCCGGGTCCGCCGTCCCGGCCTGCTGCGTGCCTTCTTTGGCCTGCGCGAAGTCGAGCCACTTTAAGGTTTCTCTGCGGTCAGCAAGCCGCTTATCTGGTAGTTTTTGGGGTGTAGGACGAAAGCACAGTCAAGATCATGCGAGAGAAGCAGTAGCAGGGAGGGAAACGTCCCAGCCACCTCCAGGCGCCCCTAGGTCACGCTCGCTCTCGCCAAACGGCCTATCTTGACCCGAAACAAGGTGGAGGGGGGTATCGTAGACTTACAAATGGAGGCAGGCGATTCGGCGTATCAAACACGGCATAGAGCATGTCGCCGAGCTCGATGGCCTTGAGGAGGAGGACACGCTCGCCGCTCAGGTCGTAGGCGCTGAGCATGCCGCCGAGGTGGCGGATGGTAGTCTCGAAGACGTTGATAGACGCGACCGAGGGCTGGCCAAAGTCGAGCGCGCCAACAACGGGCAGCGCAGCATCGAAGTCGTCCCACAGCCCCATGATCAGCAGCGTGTCGAGCGAGTCGACCAGGGTCGCCGCCCAGCCGCCGAAGGAGTTCCGGCCCTCGAGGCTGACGGGTGCCAGCTCGTCGTACCGCCACGCGTGCTCCTTGTAGCTGTCCCAGCACCGCACAAACGCCGCGCGCACCACCCGCCGCCGCGACGCCGACACGATGGTGCCCGGCAGGTGCGGCGCGTACGCGCTCGGCGGGAACGACAACTGCACCTGCCGCTGCCGCAGCGGCGGGCCCGGCGGCAGCCGCGCCATGTCCGCCTCGGCCACCGGGTGCCGCGGCGTGAAGTCGCGCGCCCAGTCGTAGCTGCTCTCGACGAAGAGCGCCGCGTCGTGGTCGAGGTTCGTCCGCGCGCCCCCGCCCCGGACGTAGCCCGTTGTCCGGAGCCCCGTCCATAGTCCGCTGTAGCCGGTCCTGTAGCGGATGTAGACGACGACTAGCAGCGCCGCCGCGACCAGCCCCAGCCGCGACTGCAGCCCGCGTCGGAAGAGCTGCGGCAGCATTGTAGTGTGTGCACGGGATCTAAACCCCGTCTCGGCCCGCGGCCCTTCCTCGCTCGCTGCTGTGGCCTCGGGCCTTCGTCACGGGCCGTGCAGCTAGGCCTGTGTCTATGTCCTCTGCGGTTCCCAGCAAGCTCGGATTCCAAGACTCGAAGCCTTTCGCCCCTTTATTCCGTCTTCTGGTGTAAGTGTGAGTGTTGGCGTGTAAATACTTGTGAGGGGGTCTCCTTGAAGTCCGTCTTGTCCCAAGCTGCAACCAACTTTCAGCAGTATTTTTTCTCACTTCACTGCTGCAAGAATTAAACAAGCAAACATACTGAATGTTTGCATGTTTTCGTCTGGTCCTGGCAGGCGTTCGTACTTTTATTCGTTGTTGCTGTTTCTCTCCCCCGGCTGCGCGGGCCTACCAAGGCCGCGGCCCGAGGATCACCAACATGATACATCGAAACCTGCATGCTCACCCAACGTTTCACTTTCTCGAGGTGGTGGCGGCGGCGGCGGCGGCGCGGCACAACCGGCAAGGCTGTGCCGCGCGATCATCGTCGTCGTGCCACTGCATTCCATGTTGCTTGCCGTGGAGCCGCAGATTTGTTTATTTCCTGTTAGGTCTCGGAATGTGGGAGAAATACTCGTGAAGAGTCTTTTCCTTGGGCGTGGGACTGTTTCGAGGCGAGGCGTTGCCGCTCGAAGCGGTCATGCTGTCAGAATGGGGATTTGTTGGGGTGTTGTTCTTGGTGAAGTGAGTATTTCATTTCGACTTTTATAGGGCAATGGTTACATCGTCTGAAAGCCTTCGGTCCATTCCTCTTGAGCCACGGGAAGAAAGCATTCACAGTAAATGCCAATGGAGAAGGTTTCTGTTTTGGTGTTTTACATCTTCATGTGGGAACAGGCGGTTCGATACCCGCAATACCGCCATCCACTTCCGTCAACAAACATGGAAACAGAATCCACCAGCGTCAGTGATTTAGTGGTAAAATCCATCGTTGCCATCGATGGGCCCGCGCTTGATTTGCGGCTGACGTAATTCTTTTGCTTTTCTTTTTTGTTTCTTGCTCTGCTCTTGCTTTAACTGGCGAGGGAGCGCTGTCTCGCTAGGTTGTGATTCACAACGTCCCGTCATTCCGATTCCTTCCCGAGGGGGAGGCAGTCCCAATTGGCCGGTTCTCCCCCACACCACACCACACCCCCCCTGAAGCGAGCCCCAACGCGGCGGGGGTTTCCTGAAAATCTCCGGGCCGTTGCGCTAAAACAAAACCGAACAGGGGTTCGTCCCGTGGTGGTGGTAGTGTGGTGCCATTCGTTTCTCAAGGGCATCGATTCACGTGTTAATGTCTGCGCTACGCTGAGTAGGTAACTAATTGACGGGGAGCTCAAAAATGCCGTGGAATCTGCGCTGTGTTCTTTGTCTTCTATTTTTCTTTCTTTTTTCGCTTCTGCGAGTAGTAGCCAGCCAGGTCAGTGAGTGTGCCGTTGGTGAAACGAGTTTCGAGTTCTGGGTCGGCGTGGCGGGGCCTGAGCTGTCATCCGTCAGATGTTAGCATTATTCGAGATTGTGTACGACCTAAGTGGTGTTTTTTGTGCATTACTTGTACACGAGCTGGTCACTGCCGTTGACAAGAATGTTGCGGGCAAGACGCTGACACGAGATTTTGGTATTCTTGAGGATGGGCTGCCTTATAGACTGCTTGTTTGTTCATTCATCATTTACAATAACTACCTATCTACCTGTAGTCTATCTTACCACGCAATGTCAGAATGTAGCCCTTCCGATAATTGATCACAAGACTTGTATGGTATATTTCCGTGAATGGTAGTACCAGTCGCGCATCTGAAAGCATCGGAATTGTGGACGTCTAAACTCGGCCAATATTTTGGACTCGAGCCAAGTGTTGTCATCCCCTTATATTTAAATCTTCCTCTATTGTAACTATTTGCCGAACAATCCTTCAACCTGCCGGTAAAGAATCGCATATATCACTTCCATATGTCTATCAATAACCTAGCGGGGATCCCAATCTAGCGGACCCTTTTTGTCTAAGTTAGCGATGATACATACTATTAAAGCATGGCGGCTCACGTTACGTTGTCTGTCAATTTGTACGCATTTGGCTCTTGGTAGTGATGATTCCTCATTTATGAAACTACGCCAACTGTTTTCCCTGTCGGAGCAAAGCATCTATATACAGGAAGAGACAGAAACCCGAACCGCAAAAGGCAATGCCATGCGCATAAAAACACCGAATTCATTTCCCTAGCCCAAAGCAAAGCAAAATGCACCTCTCCCCTCATCGAACAGATGAAGCCCGGTCTCGTCTAGTGCACCATCGATTTCCCAATCTCGCTCTCCCAGCCCTTAGCGCGCTCGAACCCGTTCGTCTGCGTCTGGTAGTCCATAAATGCCTGGTAGACCTCCTCCTGCGAGTTGAGGACAAACGGGCCGTACTGGACGACCTTTTGGTCGAGCGGCGTGCCGGCGATGAGCACGAAGCGGGCGCTCTTCTCGGCGCCGGCGTCGACCTCGGCGTACACGACGTCGCCGGCGGGCTCGAACACGACGTTGTTGAACTGCTCAACGGCGGTCTGGTTGCTGGCCTCGCCGAACAGCGCCTGGCCTTCGAGCACGTACGCGAAGGCGTTCCAGCCGGCCGGCAGCGGCTGCGCGACCTTGCCGCCGGGTTGTACCGTCACGTCGAGGATCCACACGGGCGTGTACGCCAGGTCCTTGACGCTGTCGATGCCGTGGCTCTGCCCGCTGATGACCTTGACGTGCACTTTGTTGTCGTCGACGTCGACCGACGGGATCTCGTCGGCGCGTAGGTCGCGGTACCGCGGCTCGCACATCTTGAGCCGCGTCGGCAGGTCGACCCACAGCTGCAGGCCGACGTTGGCCGAGCCATCCGTGTTCTGCGCCGGCATCTCGGCGTGCATGATGCCGCGCCCGGCCGTCATGAACTGCAGGTCACCGGGCCCGATGGTGCCCTTGTTCCCGGCAAAGTCCTCGTGGTCGACGGCGCCCTCGAGCAGGTACGTTATGGTCTCCTGGCCTCGGTGCGGGTGGTCGGGGAACCCCGCGCCCGGCTTGACGCTGAAGTGGTCGAGCATCAAGAAGGGCGAGAAGTTGCGCAGCTGCGGCGTGCCGACGGAGCGGCGCACGCGGGCGCCCGCGCCCTCGGCTTGCTCGACGGCCAGAAAGACCTTGCGGATGGCGCGCGCGACGGACATGTTGGTGGCGTAGAGGAAGGTGTCGGGTGGCAGGTCGAGTTTGTAGGACTGCAGCAGATGCTCAGGAACTGGGTCTGTAGTAGTCGTATGCGCTTCTGCTTGCGTTTCCTTCAGTGTGTTTCTGTCGAGGATGGTGTCGAGTAGTTGCGATATCGAGGAGCTGCATGCGACGAGGTCGAGAATGTGGTCGCAGAACAGGAAGATGGAGCAGAGTCCGACGATGACGGCGATGGTAAACGATGCAAAAGATCTCATCTCAGGGAGGGGACGAGCAAAGCTAGAACTACTTATGGAGAAACGAAAATAGAAAAGAGGGAAAAAGAGAAGGGCCCGTCAAAACACTAGAAATATCGTGAATGTTCCCGCCATCCTTGTCTGCCCCCCTTGACCAATGCTCCTTCAGCAACGCTCTCTCCAATTGCGATGTGTCGCAAAGCATTTGCCCCTCATTACTAAACTGCCGCGACCCTTGTCCGCACAGCTTGCTCCTTGATCGGGCTAGCGCAATCTGCTTACGTCAAGGTCGGTAATCGAAAGCCTTCGTTAGCTCGCTCCCAAGCTGGAGGGCGAGCAGGCCGAGCTCCGCCGAACGGCGGGGATCGCGGGGTCATTTGAAGTGCTGATTGATGGCTGATTCATAGAGCAGCCTTCACCTACACACAGGAGGCTTGGTAACTTGCTGAAAATAATCAAATAACCAAGCTATCCATTCCCTTGCGATCATTTGGTCATCCCTTGGAATTGGAATGTTCCAATTTTGTTGTGAGGCTTGAACACCTGCTTCTGGTATGGTGTGGCCTGCGTGTCGCAATGACTCGCCCGCACCCGCCTGCGTCCTGCATGTCTCGCTCCCTCTACGCCGGGCCCTGGCATTCGACTCAAGTGGCACTAGGCTGGTAGCACAAGCCGTCAACGGTCAAGGAAAAGCCATTAATTTTTTTCCAAAATCTATCCCAATCTAACAACCACTCAAAGTTACTTACAGAGTAGGTAACAATACCATGTCCAAGTAATACATATTTGAACGAAACAACAGTTCGAAAACCAGAGCTTAAACCCACCCGTCACCGGCGAACCAAGGGAAGGGGAAAAAAATAAAAGGCGAAAAAATTACCAGGAACAATGAGGAGGTCGAGGAAATTCGAGAAAAGAAAATACATGAGGCAGGCATGTTTGTCGCATGTCCTCTCTTTCCCCCCCTAGGTACACCAGCTAGAACTCGTTTCCCCCTTCCTCCCGGGCCGAGCTTGCGGTTCACTCGACCCAGCATTATTCCCCGACTGGAAGGGATCGCGTCTAGGGTATCGACAATGAAAACTCCAGGTGCCATAAAGGCCATAAAGGAAAGCCGCAAGTGAGACAATAATGACCCGCCCGACATCCCGGTATACTTGAGTGTGTGCGTGTGATTGGCGGCGCGGTGGGGGCTAGTTGTTGGTCCTCTCCTCGGTGCTCTGCTTGACCTCCTTGGCCTTGCCACCGAAAAAGTTGCTGAGGGTGATGTAGGCGTCCGTGGTGAGGATGAGCGCCGTGGTGATTGCCGCCTTGCCGTACGTCACCAAGTTGTTGTCGCTCTGGACGCTCTTGCACTCGGTCTGGTACGTGCTGACCACGTGGTCCTTACCGATTTGGCCAACGCGATACGGGAAACCGGCAATGGTCTTGACGTCGCTGTAGATGTCCTGTGTCGGCTTCTTCAGGATAGGGAACTTCTCGTCCACCTTGGACAGGGTCCTGTCGCCGAGGTCGTCGGCTTTCTTAATGTACGGGGCGACATATTGCAGAGGCCGCGAGAACCAAGGGAGGACGGGAGCGGCAAAGGTGCGGTAGACCTTGTCGCCAAGCTCTAGCGACCGCTTGCCGATAGGGTTTGCCTTGAACTGGTTGATGCTGTCATTGACGACGGGATAAGCGAGGATGTGCTATAGCGCTGAGGTCAGCATGGGGCTCCAGGATGCCAGGAAGGAAGCCATCGACAGGCGAGGCTGTGGGCAGCTTACGTCGACGGCAGCCGAGTGAGGCACGTCCCCGTTGACCTGCTGCTGAGGCATCTTTTTTGTCTGGTGAGGCATGTTAGATGCATTCATTACTACTGAGAATGAGAATGCGGAGGAACTTGGAGCGGCGAACCTTGGATTATGTACCAAGAGAAATGCGCTTGGCGTCGGGGAGAGCGAGGATAGCCGATAAGTCAAGTGCCGAAATCTCTCTTAGGCAAGTGTGTCACGAACCGAGTGCGAAAGGGACGTGAGAGGGCGGTAGCTTGGTGATGATTCAGGTCAGAGTGGGATATGAGCACACTATACTGGTCAGACTGCGAGGTGGAATGTGAAAGGTCATGTGGAATGGGAATGCATCTGTGGAAGAGCCGGGCGAAACCTTAAAGGAATCAACCCCTCCTCAGGTCAAGGGGAGGTCCCACCTCGACGCCACGCCCAAGGTACACTACGATCCGGATTTTCACGTGCTTGCCAGAGTGAGCCGCGCATGCTGCCTGCATCCGGCCAACCAGCGCGCTGTACCAACAAACCCGTTTACGGCAGAATCACAGCAGGGCCACGATAAAGGTGAACCTCCCTCCCTTGGCCGGCTACGGGCCTGCCTGCGACGGAGGTGCTTTGCGAAGGTGGGGTGCTTGGGCGCGGGTGGGTTTGCCGGGCGTGACGAACCTGACGCCACGGCCACTAAACACCCCCAATGGCCCCTGTAGGCTTGATAAGAAATGGTGCTGCGGATCCAGAACCCCCTGTTAACCTGTCAGACACGGCCCGGGCTGGGAAACGGGCCAGCATGTGAAAGCGCCAAGCAGCCCGTGCTTCTGAAACCCAGCTCTCCGGATCTCTGATCGCCGGGATCAACACACCAGCAAACCTCGCCATCGGAATCCATCCCTCGGACCCAGATTGTCCCAAGACATCTCTAAGAGAAGGGGAAGAAGTATAACATAACGAAAGGACTAGTTGCTCTATGTCTAAGTTGACCAATTCTCTAACTACGGCTGCCAATTGCCTCGGGTGGATCGCTACCAAAGCTTGGAGACTATTTACAGTCTTGTCGTCGCCCTCAGCCCTCGCCATCTATTTATGTTTCTTGAAGTTTGCCAACAAAACAACCTTGCGTAAGCTCCGTCCCACAGCCTTCTAAGTCGAAGTCCGGTGCTTTTTGGCCTTGGTATCCTTGTCGGTCGGTGGCGCTTCTAGTCTCTGCATAAACGAGATCGAGTATGTCGCTTGATGTGAAGCTCGCAATGTCGTGATCCCAGCGCCGAACCAAACCGTTCTCTAGAATTGTTTGATATATGGTGACAATAGTAACCTCTGTGCACCATACTCCCGACAGTGGACTGTCTCGGGCCAGGTTGGTTGAGTATTGTGGTGAATAGGCGCGAATATCCTCCATAAATCACCTGGAGTTGCTCCCTCTCGAGTTACTTGCTCTAGAACCTGAGGTTGACTTGACGATTCTTGCTCTAGTCCTGGAGGTATAATATAGCTTGCCTCACCCAGTGCTGATGGCGACCATTCTTGCTCGTGGTCGCCGCATTTCCACGGCATCTTCAGCTTGTTCCCGACTGTCGCATCCGGGACCGACTGCAAACCATTGCCTTTGAATGTAGCCCAAAGGAAGCACCGCAATGGACTAAACTCCGTCCATAGAACTGGGAGGCATGGACTGGACGGGGCGACTTGGTTTGCCGCGACCGATCCGTAGAGGAGCCCGTATCTGACCGTCGCTTGCATTTCAAAGGTGGGGATCCCTCTCAATGCATCGATCCCGTGGTATACGGGAAGAGCTCGCCGTGGTATACGGGGAGAGCTCGAAACGAAAAGTGTGAGGGATCGGCACCTCTTTCATACGAGTTGGCAAGCTGTTCCATTGCCCTTGTTGTTGGGTTGCCATTCCAAGCTTCGAGAATCGTCGACCCTTCGAGTTCAAGTTGGATGACCGAGCATGGTTCGGTATCGGTGGATGGCTGTTTGATAGCTGTTCCGTACGGGATCCGAACGCCATTGCTGATGGCCCTTCGACAGGGGGACGGCTCTCTTCATGGCTGGGTTGATTGGTGCGTTGCTGCTCGCTAGCTGGGGTATCTAGGCCTGCTTGCTCTGGGCGGAATGGGACTGCCTGGGTAGCAGCCTCTTCAGCCCAATAGGCAATGCCATTAATGACGTCGAGCATTGCCTCCCTTGCTGGGCGCAACCTAATGAACTTGTCGGCCAAACCGTGGATGCCGACCGACTCATCAAAGGCCTGGGTCTTGGACCGAATATGCTCAGACGCGCTACTCGAAAGAATATCTTTCATAGAGAGAAGGAAGTCATCGATGGATCTCGACGGTAGGTCTAGATTGGTGCTTGTCGAAACATCCATCGGCATGCCCTAGGTGATGACGTTAACGATCCCAAAGCCGCCACTCCGGTCGATATTCTGGATGTAATCTGCAATAGTCCGTGTAAAAAATGGTGCTGCATGGGAGGCAGCGACTGTGTATCTTCTAGAGATGAAGCTATCGTCCATTGTTGCTGGCGGCGTGGGCAGGTCTACGGTAAAGTTGAAGAAAGGGAAGGAAATTTTGAGCCGGGCATGTAATGGAAGACATCACGACTGTGGACCACTGAGCCTCTTGGTCCAATCCAAAACCAACGCATAGTTCAAAGATCCTCGGTACGCCTTATCTCAGTAAACTCAGGCGTCTTTTCTAGGCAGGAGCTTCCAGCGAGCGCCAAACCAAACCCTTTGCCTATTCGACAATCGGTGCTGACTTTGAAGCCCTAGCCGACTTTCGAGGGCTAGGCACGCTTGCCTGACGAAGAAGCTGGATTGGCCAAGTATTTCGTACCTAAAGACAAGACTCGATACAGCCGGCGACTCATAATTACGAGTAGCGAATAAGCAAGAAGTGGCAAGTCCAGGATGGGCTAGAAGCCTTCTTTATAGACGACACTCGAGCGAGAGAAAATGTACCCTTCCGTCGAATTTTCGATACCCCATTCCACGCGCGTGAGGCTTAACGGCTTACCAGAATGTGTAAAACTTCTCTCATCGAAGTCACAATGACAACCTCGTGTCTCGCTGGATTCTTGGATGTCCTAGTGGACGAAGACAGATATAAGATACCTTGGACATTTGGCTCAGTCTGGTTGGCTCCAAATACCCACATGTGGAAATCTAGCTTTTGCTTCACGAGGCATCGAAAATTAGGTTTCATTAGCTCGCTGCAGTCTTAGGTAACTCGGCGTAACGCTATTGCGGCTTGGCTTGGGTGCGATTTTGTTTTATGACAAGACGGAAAGACGAATCCTCGGCCCTGTTGTCATGGAGCCTCGGTCTTTCCATCATGCCAATTCTCTCACTACGCAGAAAGGCGTTGGCTGCCGGGTTCAGATAGGCCCAGGTGGCGAATGGACAGGACAAGTCGCATTGTCGGACAAAGAAATGGCATGCTTCTGAATTTTTGCAGTCGAAAAGATTTTGTTCCTCGGCTTCACAGGCAGAGAATGTGAAAGGGCCCATTTCTTTTCGAAGTCGATCAGCGTCACAGTTGCAGTTTCCCTCTCGGCGATGGTCCCATATTCCGATTTTGATACGAGTGGTCGCCTTTTGAGAAGGAGAAATGATGCATCGTCAATGATTCTGAAGACCGTGTCGTTTCGCGTCCCGGGTGCTCCGAAAAGGAACCCCCCCCGGTCCCCCCTCTCGAAGGACCCCCGCGAGACACACATGCAAGAAGTTCAATGGTCCCTCAGCCGACGGAAGCCCTGGTTCGGAAGACGGCTCACCATGAGGTGGCCCCACTACTTTGACGGAAGCAAGCCCTGTAATGGAGCTCTCTAGATCGACAGGGGTCCCGCCCACTTTCACATGCCAGACTGATAACCTTCATTGGCCAAACATTCCCCCTCCATGCAACTTGGGTGCAGTCTGGGCAATCAGCTTCAAAGATAGAATTGCCGGAAACCTTCTCTCGCCAATGCTACGCACACCATGAACCATAGTGCAGCGTTCTTCGTCCCATCCATGATGATGACACCCTCTTTAGACGCCTTGGTCGAGAGAGTAAAAACCGTTGATGATCCCCATACTCGTCATCGTAGCACCGCATCAAGCTTGCACAATGTGACTTCATCGAGGGAGGCTGGGCACCGATTGAGTTCTGGCACAGCCCTTTCCAATTGCTCCGGTGATAGGGGGTGATGAGCTTTGCATGATAGGTAAGGATCTCTGCCGATTGACCAGCATCGCCATCCCGCGTAACCAGAGCGACGGGGACCAGGGTCCGGATACGTTACCAGAACTAGATCCTTCCATCTCGATCCGGAAGCGGTCGGGCTGCTGAGCCTCAGGTCGAGGCGCTAGGATTTTGACAAGCCGAATTATCCCTTCGCGCATCTGGAAGGAGGTCAACGCGCACGACATCTGCTTTGATCACCATTGCGGATACCTAGTCCCACAGCCGCCTGCCTGTCGCCAAAGGTGAATTTCACGTGTTTGCCTTTGACACGCTATCGCTGGCGTGGTTCTGAACCCTAACATACTCCTCGGTCCTCGAGGCAATCTAGCCAGTCCTGCAGGAAATCTTTCGAGAAGAAAACTATCAAGGCGGCAACTGACTCGCCACTTGTTGAGGAATATTCTCATGCAAGCACTTGTTCGAACCCATCTATTTGCTGCTCTCTCCTCGTCTCTGACTCTGGCACTGACTTCGGCAAATTTACAGACCCTGCCGTCTCCAAAATGACACTCGGAAAATGAGCTGTATAAACCCGCTGCGGTTAAACGTTGTACTACGAAGTGGGTGCTACCAAAAGACTGTGAAATGCCAGTGAGGTCAGGCCAAAAACCTGCCCGGTATCTCGAAACGGCGTGGCTCGAGCCGGGTCCTCGTCTGCGTGGCTACCTCGTCATTCACGTTCAAGGTCGAGATCGACTCCATCCGTCGGCCAGAAGAATCTCAACGGCTTGAGGGCGGGTTAATTCAGACTCTTTCTCTGTCAGGATGTCCCGACTCAAACCCATCAAGACCAAGAGTCTGTGTAGGCGCCAGACTGTTGCCCATCGCCAAAAATCTAACCTACGAACGATTGTTAGCGCGACATTTGGGGCAGGACAGGGTCACGATGCCGGCGAATTAAGTCATGCTGGGAAGAGCCTTTACTATGGCATTCATTTTCCAGGAGGGACGTGGCTTTGAGATTCCAGGGTTCTGTATCAAGGGCTCCGGGGGCTAGCCACCTACCTACCGCCTTAATGAAAAACCCCCTTAGGGGGATGTGCAAGGCAGTTGGGCCCATTACATCTTGAGAAGTCCCAAGCTGACAACCATGCAGGGACTGGGGTGTGCAGCGCACTCACAGTCTTCTTGCATGTCGTCGATGTCGTCGAAATTGACAGGTTGTCAGCCTCGTCTCCGCCAGATCCCAAGATAACAATCCCATCAGCTCAACCCCCCCCCCCCCCCCCCCGGTGTGCGGAGCCGGCCTCTCTTATTCTCTCCACAATCGGACGAACCCGCTGTCGAACCAGGGATAGCCGAGGATGGCATCCCTGGGGCTACACATAACCCCATCTCTACCCAATATCTAGCCTCTCGAGGCAGGAGTCGGGCAAGAACGAGGGGACATAAGGGGTTTATTTGTCTGCTTTTGGCCATTTGACAACCTGGCGGGGGCTCTGTACGAAACGCGTTTAACCAAGGCGCCAAAGCTAAGCCCCGACGAGCAGCATTAAGCGAGCGAACACCGTATAGTTGCGTGCGTAGGTATGAAAGAGTTGCCTAGTTGGTGGATACGATTCGGAGGTGTGTGTGCAATCGGTCGACAATCCAACCCGTGAGGCTACTGGTAGTTGAACGTCAGAGGTCAACCACGTAGTAAGTCAGTCAGAGATGGCTCATGGGCGCCGGCTCGGAATGGATGAAAGAGTGAAGGCAGTTCCAGACGCCCTTGGCAATAAACGTCAGCGTGCAGGCTATCCATCCATCCATTCATTCACGCCAAGTCCAGCTTATGAAAGAAAATTACATGCTCTGTGGTCCACCAAGTGGTGATCCCCTGAATCTGAACTCAAGCCTCGACTCTCGTTTTCCTGGGGCTTCTGAAAATAACAACTTGGGTGGAAAGGGTTGTTATATATATCCTCTGGTGAAGATGCAGGTGGAAGGTGTCGGCTGAGAGATGGAGTTGTCCCAGGGTAGCGAGAAAAAGTTGTCTTACTCTCTCTATCTCCTGCTGCTGTATATAGGAGGCAAAACATCTTAATTAACCAAGCTAGAGACAGCTGCAGACGGTGCCTGTGGTATCCTAGATAGAGATTGCCAGAAAACATAATCGTGGTCTGGTACCTCCAATTTGGGTATCTCCCTTCAGTATTTTTCGTTACCATTGATGTTTTCGAGACTGTTAGGCGCCTCGGGAGTGGAATGCGCAAGTCCCGAACTAGAACACAAGCCCATAGTAAAACTACAAGCCGGGAGCAACATTATCAGCCAGTCTTCACGTTGACAAACAAATCAATGACAGCAGCGGCATCTGTGTGCCTATTGTTAGAAGACCGAAATGAAAGGTGTCTAATCACCGGACAACGATATTAAACGATCCCCAAAGACCACTTGAGAGAAAACGTCACAGGGAAAAAGTGTTGGGCGGCGGACTCACCAATCAGACGAGCAGCAGAATCGAGTCAATAGTGAGACGTGGATGCCCGACCTCATCTTACGACACGGGGATTGACTCTGTGATAGACCAAGAGCTTTGATGGGTAGATCAAAGCTGATAGCTGCAAGTTTGAACATAGAAAATCGGACCAATATAAGCGGATTAAAACACGGCGGACAGATACCTATTTAACAACGCATGATTATGCCACGGCGAGGTGGCAAGCGAGGTAGAAGAGGGCCTCAGGGATGTATCACCTAGCATACTTCGTTATCTCGGACAGAGTCCCACTGCGTTACCAGATGCGCTCAATTAAGTATCAGCATTTGGAAAGAAGAAGACATAACACCAAGAAGAGCGGACTAGATTCGGGGACACTTAGCCAGGTGAATGCTGTTTGCACTATCTCTCGGAACTGCACACGGCCACGGCGCGAGGATCCGAAATAGGTTCCTGTTTGCTCATATTAACTCGAACAGTAATACGTTTACAGCGCTATACAGCACATCAACAATATACATACATACATACATACATACAAGGCATTGCTTCACCACAGAGACACAACCACAGACATAACTTGCTCTTTGTAGAATAACACAAGCGCGACTGTGGTCAGCAACCACTCAGCTTCAGTCCGAACCTGCCGAGTCGTAGTCAACAAGGCCTCTTGCTCGCGGAAGCACCTCGGCCAAGTCCTCGCCGCGTCCGCCGCCGAACGGCTCAGGCTTGGCCTGCATGCCGTCCATGACGTCGTCGCCGTCGCTGTTGATCTCGCCGTCGTCGATCTCTACCGTGTTGGCAGAGGATCGCTTGAATTCGACCCTACCACCTCTTCCCCGGCCGTGCCCACGACCTCGTCCACGTCCGCGTCCGCGGCTTTGGCCACGGCTTTGGCCACGGCCTTGGACACGAGCTCCCCGAGACGGCCTTCCGTCGCCACGCCGGTCAAATGTCTGTATTTTATATGGGCGGCGTTGAGGATTTTGCTCCTCCTCGTCTTTGTCGTCGTCGGGCTTCCTCTTCCGCTCCGGGGAGCCGAGGACGAACTTTTGCGGCAGGGCCTCACCCGGGGGGAGAACGAATATAGTAGGAAACTCCACAATGGTCCGGCCCGCCAGCGCGCTGGCCAGCGTATCCGTGGCCAAGACGGGGATCAGGGTCCGGGAAGAGGAAGCCGACCTGTCCGCCTTTTGTAGAAAGAACCGCCACCTGTCGAATCCAGCTGCCCTCTCGTCGTCGGTCATAGGGACCGAGGAGGCTGTGGTTGTTCGGTTCCACTCTCCTGTGAGAGAGTACTGTAGTGTGTAGTCGCTAGCGGGCCAGGCGCTCGAATCTGGGTCTTGGTTTAGGGAATTCGAGACGCCCTTCCTGTTTTTCTTGGACGACCTCGGCTTTTTCTTCTTCGGTCTGGATCCGTCCTCACCTTCGTCATCGTCCTCCTCGCCGTTGTCTGAGCCATGTCCCGCACCCTGCTCTTGTTCTCGGCTTAGTCGGTCTAGCTGGCCTCGTTGCCACTCAACTGTCGTGGCCAACGCTGCGTTTAGCGGTATCTTCTCGAGTGATTTGCGCAAGATCCGTACAGTCTGTGGTTGTTGTTGCTGTTGCAGGCCTTGACTTGGTTTGGCCAATCCCGGTATCCCCGAAACTAGCCACTCGACTTGCCAGTTGATGCTCATTGTTCTGCGATTCCATGACGTCGTATTCTCCTTCTGCCTCACCATACCCTTCGGCATCGCCACGACCTCGGCGTCCAAGTTTCTCAGCTGCCGGCGCACGTTCTTGTCGAACACTTCAGGGCCAGCGCGGCCGTCCTGGGGAAGCTGCTTCGCGTGGGGATCAGGTGCATTGGGCACATGGTGCAGCTCGTCGCCGTACCAAACCTTGCTGAATTGCTTTTCGTCATTGGGGGGTCGCAACTCCTTGTCGCTCAGCAGCTGGCGGACCTCGACCAGTTCCTTGGCGGCGCGTTCTCGGGCGGTCTCTATTGAGTGGATGAAGTTGAAGTCGTGGTCAACCCCGGCGGCGGTGCGCAGCTTAGAGATGGGCACGTAGGCCCGAGGATTTCGCTGGCCGTCGCACTCGGCGCGCGTCTTGTGCTTCTGGGAGCACGCCAGGGAACAGGTGCGTGCTTCGCATCCGGGGCATTTGTATTTTGGCGGCTCGGAATGGCATATGCAGCACAGCGTGCTTAGCACTGTTTCCGACATGGCACGATTGCAGTGTCAGCAGAATACTGCTTTTCGGCCTTGTCACTTCTGCCGCTAAATATTGTAATGATCAATTGTTGTTGAACTTGACGGAAATCCGTCTTGTCTGACGAAACTGCCAATAATTTTTGGCCCGATAAGGAGCGATAACGATAGCTCCAGCGATAAAAGCATGGAGACTCCACAGCGGGGCGAGTTACAGTGGGGCAGCCATGGGTGGGGCGTCAATGTTTTGAAAGCCTTAATTTTTGCTCCTAAGTTTAGAGCTGCCAAGTCAAATCAATCGAGACAGCTACGTAGATCCACCACGCCAAAGTTGAGCTTCTCGATGGGCTGCTGTGGTTGGTAGGAAATGGGAGGATTGAGGGCCGACCACCCACTTTTGTCTGTCTCCTTACCCACGGAACTTGACCGTGACTCCTTTCTGAGCTACTGTGGATGACGAGTGCCGTTTCTATGTTCACTTTATACCTACCTTACCCAGGCATGTGTCAGACTAGCCCTGGTGTCTGTCGATCTCAAATTCTAGACCTAGACTTTGCTTTTCAAGTGACTCTTATTCCATTTAACTAAGTTCCCTTCCTGCCAGAGCCCTATTCACACTGTTCGAACCTTTACAGAACGTTCATCCTATGTATTTGATGAACAAGGTTTGTGAGGGAAAAAAATGCAGATGGGTACAGTAGATAGTTTCCAGACTTGCACGTTAATTACAAATTCCAACGAGTCTCGTGTGTTATCCAACTTCCCTAATTTTGCCCCTAAATGATGTGGCTCGCTCAAAGGGGGCCGGAACTGGTATGAGTATCTGTCATATGCTAGAACCTCTCTCCTGAGCGGCTCGGAGAAAGGTGTACGGATTCTTAGTCATAAGTACCAATACCGTATAGTCTCTCGAATATCGGAAATAGGGGTGGAAATAAAAGATAGAGAACCCCCTGCCCCCCAAATAACCTACCTATAGCCGTATCGCAGGCCGTTCCACAGCTCAAGAAGCCACCCGGAGAACCTCAGATTGTGCCGTATTCCAAGCCTGTCATTACGTAGCTGCTTAGACAGATGTGTCCGATTTCTGTCTCAACCCCTATTCCCGACGTTTGAGAGAATATACGGTACTTGTAACAGTTGTAGAAGGGAATTTCTCAGGGCCATTCTTGTCTAACATAAAGTTAATACCTCAGCAAAGGTGCGACGATGCTCATTGGCCGGCCTCTTCTCTGCTGAGATAACGACTGTAATGTGCGTGAGCGTCTACCAATTGCCAAGGGCCTCCAACTCTCCCCAACATCGGCACCTACCTAGGGAGTCTAGCTGAGCACTTCGTCGCGGCTACAACATCGAAGCCGCCAGAGCCGAGCGCCGAGCACTTCCAAGTCATTTACCCTCATCGGTTGCAGACAAATCCATGGAGCCAGGCGCCGTGGGCGTTCTGAAAGGGAGACACTGGCGGTTCCAGCCGCTGGGGGGCGTTCTTCAGCTGAGGTCTTCACAACACCATATAGTGGACCCTTGAGACAGTGGCTTCCAAGACAACGATGTCCTTACTGCTAGAGTCCCCCTTCGACCTCGATAATTTGTGGAGGCTGCGGGGCCCAAAGCGCCACGATCATGCAATGTTCCTAATTAGGTTGGTAAGGTTGTGAGTTCCAGCTCGATGCGTCTTCCCAGGTACGCGCTCGAAGCTGGGTGTCGTGGACAAAGAGAGGCTTCGTTACGTGTCCCTGCCTTCCACAGACTGTGCGCTGGTCTTGACTCCTCCTCCTTGGAGCTGTTAAACTTCTTACCTTCTCTGCTATACGGACCATCATTAACAAAATTCCTGGCTTCTGTTTCTTCGCGATTCAGTCCCATAGATCTGTTTTTCGGTTCTCATCCTCGTACCCAGCCCCCAAGAAAGAAGAAAAAATAAAAGAAATCATGGAGTCCATCACCATCACCTACCGTGGAGAGAATTTTTGCCTCGTCCTAAACAGCGGCAACGATGATTTTCTCGGATCGCAGGCCGGCAGCCGCAGCAGCGGATCGGACCTGCAGCGGTTTGACGATCCGGAGCTGCAGTATTGTGCCGAGTACAAGTACCCGGCGCTGCCGGACCGGAGAACAAAAAAGATGATCCGGCTCTTGAAGCTTATGTCGGGTGCGCCTACCGGCCGGGAAATCTTTTGCGAGCTGATTGAAGCCACGTACGACAAGAATTTCCGCATCCCTACGACGTCACCCATTGACTCAAGCTCGAGCTCGCATGGAGGGAAGGGAGGCGGTCTCGGCACCCCGCAAGCTGGCGACGGGGGAGATGATGAAAGTAACAGGAGTGAGCAGGAAGATTGCTGGAAGCCGCAAAAGGTCGAGACAGAAGGCGAAGCGCGGAAGCGGGCGCAGCGTAAGGGCAAGCGGCGGTTTGACAAGCTAGCCAAGGAATTGTCGGCTGAGCCTGACAAGGCTAAGGCCAAGGAGGAAAGTCGGCTAGACGAGCTGGTCAAGGAATGGGAAGGCGTTAAGAAGAACGAGGTGCAGTACGAGGCGCTATCGTGGACATGGAGGAGTGCCGACGAGCAGTACGTTATCTTATCAAGGTCGGCCCTATGAGGTACAAGATGCGCGTGCGTAAATAGTTGGCGCTGGCGCTCAAGTACCTGCGCCGCCCCGGCGAGGAGCGCATATTGTGGATCGACGCCATCTGTATCAACCAAGACAACCTAGGTGAGCGCAACCATCAGGTGCAGTTGATGTCGAGAATCTACACACGCGCGTCGCAGGTCTGCGTCTGGTTGGGCGAGGATGATAGCGACAGTAAGGTTGCCATCAGCTTCATCAAGGAGGAGATCCGGGAGCTCAAGAATTTCGACACCATCTCTTCCACCCCGCAGTACAGCCGAAAGTGGCGGGCCTGGATGTCGCTGATGCAAAGAGAGTGGTTTTTTCGACGCTGGGTGGTGCAGAAAATTGCGCTAGCTACAGCAGCAACCGTCTACTGCGGCCCGCACTCTGTGCCCTAGAAGGAATTCGCGGTGGCGGTGGAGTTGTTTGTCGAGGTTGAGACGGCAACCCACCGCCTCTCAGAAGTGATGGGCGAGACGAGAAGTTCTGGCACGTTCTAGGCTGGAAGTTTTATGACGACTCGATAAACGAGCAGACGTTTGAGCTGAGATGGGGGTGGCCGCAGCTATCGTCGCCACAAGTTGGATATCTCATTTTGTGTTCTCTTCTTCCTCAGTACTATCCAGTAGAATTAGTATCGGGGCGAAACTGGATAATAGGCTCAACAATGACATGGTAGCACCAACCATTCGGCAAAGAACCTCCCCTTCTAAGGACTCGGAGTCTGTGGCATGGTTTCCGTGCCTCGTCTCAGTCTCGTAAATCTTCTTGATATTTCGTCCGCTGTCCACCTCTCCCGACAGTGATTCTCTTGACAGCACGCACGATGAGGGACTGCCCAGTCAAAGCCAAGCAGTTTGCGAGGCCGATCCAGGTGCTGTCGGGGACCTCGAGACAGAAAACAAGCAATCCGGCAAATGTGACCCATGTAAAGAGAACCCACTCGCGGATGAGGACATTGATTTCCTGGAAAGCTGCCTGGCCAGCGAGCTTTGCCTTCGATTTTGCTCTCCGAAGTGATGCAGACAGGTTCACGCTAAAGACTCCCTGGCTTGGGATCTTCAGCTATCAATGCATATGGTTCATCATTAGTTGTTCAAACCTGAGTAATATTATAGCAAAACCTATCTAATATAGATAATTAGTAGGTAAAATAAGAAGTAAATAGCTAGCCCTAGAGAAGCCATATTTGACTTAGCATATCCATAGCCGGTTTCGGCCTTTCTTCGTACTATTGGTCCTTGCCTATCTCTTTATATTCGCTCGTCCGGAGAGAGCCGAATCACGGTACGAGCGAACGTTGCGCTTGTAGCGTGCAATGAGAAGGCATTGTATCGGCGAAATATTTGACGACGAAAAGCAAATACGGCGAAGGACGAAGGGCGGCCGCGTGCTTGCTATGGAGAGGAAACGGCGACAACCTAAGAGAGCAGGAGAAGGAGATGGAGTCGCTTGCCCAAAGGCGGTCGGGCCTGGCATTAAGCAAAGGCAGTGAGGGTCGATGAGGTCATGTATGAGAGCAGCTTTGTAACTTGAAGATTTTGCTTTTCGACCCTGATTACCTCACATCGTATCGACACATCTGTGAGTTAAATCTCAAGCATCTTACCAACTACTACAAGCAGCTGCAGTTGCACAGGAGCTGGCAATCCATTACGGGCTGTTACCGTGTTACGGATGCTTGGGCTTCCTGTAGCGTGTTTCTGAGGAAAAATAGCGCTTGACAGAACTTTGCGGGGTTTTCGAAAAGCATAAGGGTTTTGCGAGTACGTAATGGCTCTCCGTGTGATTCTTACCTTAGTGTCCGTACGGACTACGGAGATACACGTGGTCGTGGACTGGAGAGCTTGAGTTTGTAATCCTGAGAGCAAATGATTGGATGTGGGTTTGCTTTTGCTTTTGAATGTAACGCCCAAAGAGGACTAGCCAGGGGTAACTCTCAAATCTTGGAAGCCTGGAACTAATCGGGCGTCTTCCTTCAGTGGGCCCACGTTGGCAATTTCAAAGCGTCCATCGGATGAATTTTCTAAACGACTGTCGAGCTTTGCATTCGGCGGCGGCGGAACGAGACGCCCGACTGGACCTTTCCGTGGCGTCCATCTGTTTGACACATGACGCCAGGAGGGACGCCGTGCCATCCGTTTGTTATCGGCTGCTCGGTGGCATCATGGTTCGGACGGGCTCGAAACCGGGGACTGTGTTCCAATAATGGGGGCACTATTGAGACGGCCGCGGGAGGGTCGACCTGAATACCGGACCCTTACCCTACCTATACGTGCTTCTGCTATTGTGACGGCTTGAGAGGCTGGGCGATCAAGACGCGCAAACTGCTACCCGTCGCGGGGTTGCCGTATGTATTCGCTCGGATTGAAGCAGCAGGTGAGCCAGAATGAGGGGTAAGGCCGTTTGGATTCTGATGCTTTCCTTTTCCACACGATATTACGGAATACCTATGAGGGATAACGCCGAATTCCAGCAGGCCCTGAAACATACGGTGAAATCGCACCAATCCTCGGGTTACCCGCTGCTCTCAGTTTCTCGTGAACAGTGGAACACACTCTGCCTGCACTAACGAGCCCAGACCGAAGAAAGTCATTCCGTGGCTCGCCGTCGATCACGTATGGCGCTCCATGCGTGGCTGATATTCGGTCATAATGCATGTGTTCTCGAGGATCAGATAGACACCCCGTTTGCAGGGTGCAGAGACAACATGTTTCTTTCCGCGAGACGCGACCTAAATTCCGCCCCACCTGAAAAGCTACCTTGCAGGTTGTTCTCCCATCTGCAGCTGTGTCAGAGACTTGCCCCTGAGCCTTCCTCCCACTCCTTGTGCTTCTCAAGAGAAAATAAAATGATCAAAGTGGTAAAAGCAGCATCTCGAGTGTCTCTCGACAACAACAGTGAGGGGTATTTCCTTCCACCCGGGAATTGAGTTCCGAGTCCGTCTGCTGATCTCGACTTGACTTGCGCTGCCACCTGGATTGCCCCGCCTGCACAATTGTCAAAACGCAACGCTCGGTGCACTTTCTGCCCCGGATGGGTCAAAGCGTACCTGGAAACGGCAGCTGGGATGCGCGGGATTAGAGGGCTGTGCGCCAGCTCGGTTCAGAAAGAACATTTCCATCCTGCGTTGCATCATCGGCTGGCTCCTGTCCAGTTTCACACAACGGCGTTTGCTTTTTCGTTTGTTGTCGGGCAGGTCTTGCTGCGCGGCGTCCATTTCGTCACCCGAGAAGGGGCCTTTGGGCTGGCTTCTAGTGCCATTCTGCCCAACCATCATCGGAACAATGTCAAGCCCAAATCATTGTTTATTATCATTCCTCGTTGACAGTGGCGCTAGTCAAGTCGATAGTGTATTTCGCTTGTAGCGTTCGATCCCCGTTTGTGTGACTACCAAACGGCCGATTGCTTGACAGATGTTATGACCGAGTGAGAAAGGCGGCCCGTTCACAACCTAAATCGGGCTCACCGGTTGACAATCGTCTCGAAGCCCCGAGTGTAGATTCGAAAAATAGACAGGAAGACAACCTGCCTGCTATGACTGAACCTTTTTTTGCGTATGAGATACAGGAACCACAACCCTGGTATACCCAAGATTCAAAAGCCCGCACAGGCTCCGGCGCTGGCCGAATTCCTAAGTAACCCAGCAGATTGGCTCACTTGACTTTAAATTCCGAATCGAGTTCCCCAAATGCGTGGCGTTTCCGCGTGAAACGGGAAAAGGCGCAACCTAACCTTGGTGATCGCGGCGATCGGAGGCGCCTCCTTTTCCACAACAGCCCGGATTCAACGTTCATACAGTGAAACAGACGGCAACAGCCCGTTATTTTCACCCCTCCATTCTGTACTACCAGTAGAACTGTCCGTACTTATAGCCCATTCTGTTTGCTTCCTATGCAGTATATAAAAACAAATGCTCTCTCGACTTCCAGAGTTTGAGGTCTAGGCTGGGCCACAGGCGGCATTCAAAGGGGTAAAAAGCTGGTGCCCCAGTGCACGCACAACGAACGCAGCAGGCAAACGTACAGTCGGCGGGGTGCAGATGGCGAATCAATTTTGTCCGTCCAGGGCGGACTGCGCCAAGGCCGGCCGAAGCTACGATGCTTTTGGGAGAGCAAGGGCTAGGCCAAGTACTATGTACCAGTCACTTAGCGCTCTTCCCTGCCATAGCATACGATAGGGGTGGGTTCTTGCGTCCCGAGCCGAGTGCATGGCACTCAGACAGCTTCATGATGCTGGGTTGGCCGCAAAGTCCATGGTACCCCAAGCTGAAATGAAATGTTATCTCAGGCCCCTGCGTAACCCCCTGGTCGGGTGCCCCTAGCTGCAGCATTGCTAGTCCTGACGTGGTATTGGTCCCCTCGAACCCATTTCCCAATTCCGCATCGACACCCCATGCCCCCCCCAGTCACAGTGCAGCCCCGGCGCAGGCGAGCACCCAGAGCTTTCTCGTCCCATCCTGGGCCGGCCTTTTGAGCATGCTCGGCCTCTCCCTTCCAGCCCCGACGCCATCCTTTTCTCTCTCGCGCGACCGTCCAACGGGCCTCGTTCCTTCCTTTCCACTTCTTTTGTTTCCAGGAAGCCCCCAGCAGCGCGGCCCATCGAGCAGCACGCAGGCCAGTCTGTATCGCCCGTCCGCCACGGCTCAGACCTGTCTCCGCCTTTGACATCGACAAACACGCGAAGCTTCTCCTTGGGGCTCGTGCATTGTCGGTATCTTGCTTCTTCACTGTGCTCGTCGGCCTAGCTTCGACTTGCACGCCGCCCTTTGCAATTTGCAATTGACTACTTTGCTTCCTCGGGCAATCACCGCCCGGATTCTCTTCGCAACCGGAACGAAGGTGTTCGCTTCTTCGCTTCCACCACATATCGGATACACCACCCAGCTCAGCTGTGGCCTGCTCTTTCCGACGACAAGTTCCATTTTAGGTTATTTATTCACGAGTTTGAGGTTTCAAGCCAGCGGATCTCGACCGAGACCGTTGCTCCCGCGAACCTAATTGGAAGAGAAACTCTGGGGAAAGCTGCTCGCCGTCCAAACTCAAAATGGCGCCTTCTCTCAATGCCCACGCTTCTTTCCAGCGTCCGCGGACTGGCGACCGCGAAGGCCGTCCCGGAACCCGCGACCAGGCCGACAGCAACCTTATCATCCCGAGCCGCACGTCGTCGCTCCACTCGCGCATCACGCAGCCGATCCCGTCGACGCTCAATGCCAAGCCCCAGCAGCGGACGCCCAAGACCCTCACTCATGCCTACATGGTGTGCGGCGTTGGCCGCGAGCCTTCGCAATGGGTCAAGGCTCCCGCGCCCGCGCAGGGAAAGATTGGGCACATGAAGGGTGCCGTGGGCCAATTCTGGCTTCCCGAGATCCTAGGAAGCAGCCCGAGACTGGAGCAGGACAACGAGATTGCGCGTGCTTTGCATTCGGCCATGAGGGTAGGTTCTTAGCTTTTTGGAGGAACTCATTGAGAAGAGAGTCGACTAATTCTGTATAGGCCTGCTTCCCTCACGATGTTGAGATCTGCACTGGTCGAAGCCAGCCTCACTGTGTTCACCACGCATTTGTTCTCCAGCAGGATTCTTCGCACACTCTATACGGCATTTGCCTGCGTGTTTGGTCGCGCGCTGACGAGAAGAGAGCCGAGACCATCCGGGAGCTGAGAAAGAGAACCGAGCCCGACTTCTACGACAATGCTGATGAACAGTACTGGATTCCATATTGCTTGTCGTTCCTTTCCCGGTATCCTCTCTACAATCTGCTCGGCGATTACCTGCGCGGCATGTGGATTCACTGGAACAAGGCCACAAACCTCTTCCACGCCGAGGAGGTGTCGCGGATCCTGAGTTTCCCAGCTCCTAGATTGAACGACTTGGTTCGCATCGACATGAAAGACTACGCTCTTTGCTACCAATTTCCTTCCTCGCCCACCGGCTTCCAGAACTTTGCCATGTGGCCTCTATTCTGCTGCCTTTCAATCCCCAACATTGTCGGCGTAATCGAGGCTGCCATCTCGCCCACTCGCCGCATCATTTTCGTCAGTCATTACCCTGCGATGCTGACAATGGCTGCCGAGACGGTCCGCTTCTGCGTCCGCGTCTATGAGTGGAGCGGCCTTTATGTCCCGGTTGTTCATGCTCGGCATGCCAAGGAGCTCGTCCAGGAGCCCGGCCCGTACATCCTCGGTATCACTGCCGAGTGCAGATCTCTCTTCACCGCCCCAACCGATGCCTTGGTCGTTGATCTGGACCGTAACTTTGTCCTTACATCGAGCCCGCCGACTGCGCTCAATGCGGGCCAACGCAATAAGTTTGTGACCCGCCTGACGCAGTCTCTGAATGGCGATGTCACACCGTCCGGCGTTCCCCAGCACCTGCGGTCTGCTTATGGTGGGGGAAAGCTAGTCCCGGCTGGCCAGATCATTGTGATGCGCGGAGAGGTTGAATCGATCCAAGACCCCGAATGGTGGAATCAGGATCCTGTTATGTCCGTAATGGACCACGTCTGCGAAAAGATGGTAAGCTTAATACCAAAACAACAAAGAATTTTGTGGATTCCGATTGCTGACATATTTCTTCGAATCTAGGGCCGAAACACGGGCTTGAAGGCCGTCTTCGGCGGGTCAGTCAAGAAACCCTTGATGACCAAGGTATCAATGAGGCACTTGAATGAGATTGTCCGTGAGCGAAACCAGTATTCGCGAGATGCTTTGGAAGCCTGGCAAGATTTCATCAACCTAAAGGGGCGGATGGAGACCGAACTCAACAAAGTCACCAAGCGAAACAACTATCTGGTTGAGGAGCTTGAGAGCTGGAAGCAGCAGGTAAGCATACCACGAAAATGTCGTCTTTTTGGTTCCGACATCACTAACATGCTTTACAGTTCCTCAAATTCCAGGCCTTTGCCGAGACGCTCACCAAGGAGACGCAAGATCTCAAGGTCAAGATTGAGAACCACAAGCGCGAGAACCGTCGCCTGGGTGGTCTTCTCGATCAACAGAAGGATGACAATGCACGGTTGTCTGTCCGCCTTGCTGGCACCGAGAAGCAGCGCGACGATGCTCTGGAAGCTCTGGTTCTGCAGCAAGAAATTGCAGAGGAGCTGGAGCGTGAGCGCAAGAGAAACAGGAAGGAGCTCACTGCTCTGCAGCACACCAACGTCACCATTCTCCGACAGCGTGATGAAGCTCGTCGTGTTGTGTTGCACCTGCGAAGCCTGATTGCAGGCCAGCATCACCATATGGAGCACCTCGTTAAGACCCTGACGTCTCCCGATGAGCTGGCTGCCGAGATTGAGGCCGGCTTTGTTGCCGCCGAGGGAGTGCCTGAAGAAGGGGGTATGTGGCAGAAACCCCACAGTATTGCATGTGTGATCGGTATTAACGATTGTATTTTAGAATCTCGCGAGGAGACGGAGACCCGCTTCATCAAGAATCTCGCCCGTGCCAGCAGACGCGTTTCTACGCAGACTTTCGTCGATGTTGCAGACCGTCACCTCAAGGACAAGACAGATGCCATTGCGCACATCATTCGCAACATTGCGGAGCAGTGTCAGGCCGCCGTCGAGGGCCTGCAGCTAGCTCAAGATGCCGAGCTAGGCACAGCTGAGACTTCGTTGCGGTCTCTGTCCAAAGGTCGCCGGGGGAGTAATCTCTCCGTTGCTCCCAGCGATGATGGCCAGTCCGTCGCGACGTCCGAAGCCGGCGACGACAGCCTCCTCCGACCCAGCAGTGGTCGGGCCTCTAGCATCCCACCCACACCGGATCTCATTCCCAACCGTAGCAGCACTAGCATGTCGATCGCTAGCACGGCCACGACCCCTGAGCGCACCTCCCAACAGTATGTCATTGGTCACGACATCCCCACAAAGATCGTCGAGGACGATGAGGACGACCTCTCCGGCGACCGCAGCGAGGGGGAAAGCAACCCCATCCCCCAGGAGCCGGGTATTGTTGGTAAGCACGCCGAGAGCCTGATCCACCGCCCTTCGGGTGCCCGGATTAGCGCTCTGGGCAGCTCTCGCTGAGCGTGCTTTGCTGCGTGGTTGTCAAGTTCCTGACGCGGGCTTCTCGTCTTGTGCATCATATGTTCTGTTTATACCAATTTTGCGGTGGGGGGTTTAAAGGGTCTGGGTCATTCAAAAAACGAAATCGTTTTCCGGCGTTGAGAGATTGCTATTGCCTTTGCACCAAACATTCCCTTAGTTGCTTTTATTTTTCCACGCTCACGTCGCCGTCATCTCGCGTCGTTTGGACCTTGGGCAGGGCTAATTTTTATTTTCGCTTGTTCCTTTATTTTACCTTATATTGCAGATGAGCCATAGCGCTGCTTTCCTTTTTTCTCATCTTGGAGTGGCTCGTTCGTGCCTTGGTTCGGGACAATTTAGGCTGTTGATGGATCGTGAGTAGAGCAGCAATAAACGCTTTGCAATTTGGTTATCTTGATTTTACGACTGGCGAGACTTGTTTGTAATGCTTAGTATTGTCTCTATATCCTTTTAAGACGCTAGATATCCTGCAAATATCAGTCCTACCATTCAATCCCTGAATGTTTGTTGGCGTTGTACCTGGCAGAATAAATGTTATAACATAGTAAATAAAACGGCCAGGAAATGCATTGGATTATATACACAGCTTACGACGTACTAGGTAGATAGTTGGAAATCTCAGGCAGCTTTTCGGCCAAATGGGCTTGAACATGTGAGATCTTGCCCGCCCCAAAGTTGATCATCGTAAAAATTTGTCATCAGTTTCCAGACACCTTCAGTATGCCGCTAGGTTTGAAGGCTGAACCAAATCCGTAAAACTCACCGGGATTGAGTTAACCAAGGTTAAAACAACTGATAATTAAAAACACACAATGCTCAGAACTCAAAACGAGCGAGAGAAGTGGGGGTTACGAAATACAATAAACAAAAAAAAGACAAAAAAAAGAATTGGATACACCGCGGATAGAACGCGGGACCGTCTGTAACGATTGTCCTTCACTAGTCTCATCAAGGAGACCGAGTCAATGCAAAACAGAAATCATACCACTAGACCATGTACCCAGTGACAAGCTGATGAAGCAAACTGCTTGTCTAGTGGGGTTAACGTAGAGTTAGGCAGATTAACAGGTAGAAGAAGCCCACTGTCAGTTTCAGCTCTCTGAGAGAGGTTTCTCCACTGTTGTTTGCTGGGGGCTGTCCAATGGGGTGTTATGGTGTTGGAACGAGCCCCACGCTGACGAGTGGATTTAGGATTACCTACTTTCGTCGCGAGAGATAGATTTGTTAAGTAGTGTAATAGGCATGATTGAGGAATTTCGAAGAGGTTCACTCTAATTCATTATTTTCTCTGTGCACGCTATATGTGAAAGAAATCATGGCAACGGATGTTTACGCTGAGACTACGGACCTTGCCTGCCACACGCCAACGGGACAAAACATGGACGGAAGAGACGCCCCAAAAAGGGGTAGAAAGCTGCAAAAAGAACAAGGCCTTCCACCAACCTCTGATGCACAATTAACTCGAATTATGCCTAATCAATCGAGTGAGAGACACACAGTATGAGATGTAACCCTCCAACAAATAAAAAAGTTTACCGTGCCCGTCCGCCCGCCCGTCCTCCAGCGGGCCCCCTAAACGCAGCCTCCACCAGCACCCCACAACAACCTACTACCACAAAACAATACCACAACAACACAAAGACAAAAAAAAACATACAACACCAGGGATTCGCTGGTCGTCACCGACCCAACTACTAGTCTGGCCCTCACTGACTTATCTAAGGGAGAGCGGACGGGATCCCGAGTTCTCCAGTGGGTATGGTCGTATGTGGTATGTATATCTCTCAGAGGGGACTATATACACAAGGCGAGTGACCGAACAAATACAGGCCACTGAACATTATTGGTATTGGTGGGAAGCGAAAGGCCTGCCCTCCAGAGGTCGCTCGCTTGGTCATCATCTTCCACGCGGCGCGGTCATGTCGCTGCATTGCCAGTGTCCTATCTAGGATCTATGAGACTGCCGAACGCCGGTCGCCTGCCTAAAATCGAATCTGGTTGCCATTCCTGGTATGTACAGTACAGGTCGGCTTGAAGGGCCGGATAGTATGAGAAGAGTCCATCTTCCAGCAGCTTGGTCCGTGTTCCGGCGCCCGAAGCGGAAAGTCGAGAGACGCAGCAAGCAGCCCAAACACATTGTCCTTTTATTGTTTGTGTTCCTGACATCATCTCACGAATACGGGCTCTCTGCTCACATAATTATGATACTATTCGGGATGTGCTACACAGGGAACCCCACCTCCCCCGGGAAACTACACCAGTACTCCGTAGTTGTCGAAGATCCGAACACAATACGAGAGAGGAGCTTGAATAGCTTCACTGTTAAACTTGTCCTTCACCAACTCAAGCCCTTCAAGCTTCATATAGGGTCATAACATAAATTGGGAAGCATCTTTTTAACTTTCGGAGCGACTTCTATAGGAGACTTGTGATCTGCTACTATGTCCCTGTTTACGCCCCGAGTTCTAGCGATTATATACCCACTAGCCATAGGCTTATACGAAACACCCGAGCAAGTCATCTTTCTTTGAGATAACGTAAACGTGCTATACACATGGACCAATCACAGGGAAAAAAACAGACCCAGTGACAAAACAATGTTCTGTGTCTTAGAGCAGGGCAAGAGCAGGTCAACTTGTCACAATTAAGAACCAGCCTTTTATTGCAATTGTCATCTCGATTCTTGCTGTTAGCCCTTCGATGCCCTGTTCGCATCTATCCAGTAGTTTGCCTACCTCCAACGTGTGCCCCAACAAGTGCAAATATGCGCCAGTTCCCTCAAAGTTCAGTTGCCTGCTAATCGATTTTAACGATATCGCTATTGCAGCTGCCAGTTTGCTGTCATATCGTTGCATCATCCCGCCGCCAAACTCCCGACCAGACACCAAGGCCAGGAGCCTTTTCCGCCGCCGCCGAAAATAAAGAAATTTCGCATTCAGAGGTATTGAGTATTCATACAGCGCACCAAGTTTCAGTCGAACCGGTGAGTCGTCAAGGAAAAGATTTGTCGATATAGAGGCAGCCCTTACTGGGAGGGTGCCTGTGCGTCGTGCTGGCGGTACCCAGCATTACCGCCTCGACCGCGGTAGCCACGTCCCCGTCCACCGCGGCCGCGGCCTCGCCCGCCGCGGAATCCACGGAATCCGCCATCGACGCTGCCTTGGCCGAAGGTTTCCATGTTTCGGCGCTGCTCCTCGCCACGCCACTCTCGACCGCCGGGCTTCGGACCGGTGTTCTCAAGCCTGTCCTTGGCCTCGCTGGAAATGTTGTCAAAGAACGACCTTGACGGGTTGTAGGCGGGCGCAACAGAGACGCTGGCATCGACGACCGCCTCGGGAGTCAAGGCATCTCCATTGGCCGTCTCCGTGAGGGGCGAACCGGAAATTGCCTCCTTCACGATTTCTTGCTTGTTGAACTTGGCATTGGCAGAGGCAAAATCGAAGTCCGAGTCGGGGACTTCAACCTTGGCCGGGCGAGGACCTCGGCCGCGACCGCCACGACCCACATGTGCCGGAGCTTGCCGTCCAGAATTGACTCTCATCTCGTTGACCTTCTTGGTGAGGTTATCCATGGCGGGAGTATTATTCAGCTGCTGGGCGGGAGCCGACCCATCCAGCTGAGCCAGGTTCGCCATCGCGACTGCTACCGCAGCTTTGGCGGCCTGGGTTGCGTCTCGCAATGCCTCCGCATTATTAATCTGCTCGCCAGCCGGCTTGGAGGAGGATGCCTGTGCTTGTTGCGATGCTCTGGAGGTCAAGCCAACAGGCAAAGGGACGGCGGGCAAGATCTGTGTGGGGCGAGAGATATTTTTAGGTCCCGTGGGAATGAACTTTGAGGCCTCTCTGGGGGCAGTAGGCGGAGCATTTCTGCTAAGCGATACAGCCGTAGCCTTCACCTCCTCTTCAGTCGGCTTGGACTCAACTGGCGGGGGTGGCGCCGCTGCGGCAGCGAGTTCCTGCGCTAGCTGCTCTGTAGACTCCAACTTGGACGGCGAGTCGGCTTTTTGTGTCGGTGTGAGTGGCTTCTTTTCCGTCAAGGGACCAATAGGGGAGGGCTTCGGCGCGAGAGACGGAGTTGAGGGTGTTTGGCTGGAAGACTGACGTCCACCCTGACCGGGCGCGCCAGGAGCGCTGGGGCCGCCAGGAATGCCTGGGGGACCGCCAGGGCCCGGGGGGTACGCATAATTATTCCACGGCGCAGGTCCTACTGGCCCAGGCGGGAATTGCTGGCCTGGCATCATCCAGAGCGGTTGTGGTGGATACTGCATGCCGCCAAATGGGTTCGGCCCCGGGCCCGGAGCACCGGCTCTGCCCCAACCTTGCATATGAGGCGGAGGATAGTAACCAAATCCCGGACCACCGGGTATCGGTCCATGCTGATTAGGGCCACCGAGAGGATGACCAGGCGGTCCTTGTGGTGGTCCCTGTAGCAGTCCCTGCGGAGCTTCTTGAGGAGCCGGAGGGCCGGGAGGGCCGGGCGCCACATTAGCCGGTCGAGCTCGAACCTAGGTAGCTATTAGCAGCTACTCAACACCGTTGAGGTATCTCGTCAAGGTGTGAAGAAGGCCACATGATCAGAAGGAAGGCAACGGAGAATATCAACATGGGATTTGTTTGCGCAATTTAGACATAAATGTTTAACATCCGAAAGTATTTCATCATGATGTGGCCGTTCTTTGTGCTCGACTCGAGGGAGGAATAGTAACTTACGCCGACGATTGCTGGGTCATTGGGCATGGCAGGCGGCTCCTCCTTCGCGGAACTCGGGCCCTCTTCGACCCTCAGGTCTTTGACGTCTGTGCCGCGGAATACAATGTACTCGTAAAACTGGTCGGACGGAGCCACCTCGTCGCCAGGGTTGACCTTCCGACCCTCGGTGCCGAACGATCGGACATTCTCAAGCGACACGGTCGAGTCCTCTGAATTGATCTGGTGGAGTGTCCCGACATATCTGAGCAGCGACGGCGGTTAGCATCAACGAGGGCACGTGGCGTTAAAATGCGGGGCAACATACCGAATGTCGCTATTCGATATGAGGGATATCCGAGCTCTGCGCGCCAGCTGGAGTTAGCAATTGAGGGCAAGAGTATGGGAGAGAGCGGCTGTCCCCGTGCCGTGGTGGACTAACCCGAGGAATTTCGACATTGTGGGGATGGCGCTGATAGCTCGAGACAGCACCAACGAAAGAAGTGCGGTGCGGCGAGCACGCAGCGGAGGAATGTACGGTGGCAAGAATTAAAATTAGGGAGAAAGAGCAGTAGGCGACCTCTCCGTAAGCGATATTGAGAATGCGCCGATATGCGGTCCGCAGCGGGCGCAGCGCTTGTCGCGAGTCGATGGAGAGGATAGAAACGAAAGAAAGTAGGAGGACGTGAGAAAAGTTCAACAGATGCAACCTATGGAAAATTGGCGGCCTCAGCCTCCCTCTTTCGGTTCGGCGCCGAGTATTGCCTAGCGCCACTCCGCTCTGTGCGGCGTAGGTCTGTGCGCTAACCCTCTTTGCAGCGTTGCCCCGCCCCTAACCCTAGATCTATATCTCAGATTGGGGCGGGTGTCCTCCGAAACAATTTACAACCAAATATCATAGAATCTTTGCTGCCAATTTCGATGTGGCCGTCTCCTGTGGTTTCACATCACATCCAAAACACGCGAGATCAAGTTCAAATGCACAAGGTTTGGCTTTGCCTAACATATTGGCGTCAAGATGGCTACGTGCACACGACCTCTCCCAGATTCTTTTCTCAAACCTTATTCTCTGCGCATTGTGAAAAGGGGCGAGAAGACGAAAACGCAAAATGATGCGTGAGGAAAGGCAGGAGAGCAGCCGCCAGAACACGAACATCATAATACACGAGTCTTATTCTGCTCCCCCATAATGAAAAATCGCCCTAAAATCTGAACCATGTTTTTGAAGCCGCCCTCAGCTTTTGAACCTAGATTGACAAAAAATACAACATTAACCGCTCACGGCCCTTTGGCCGCTATATCCAGCCAAGAGTGGCTCGATGCTCTGGGTGGTGTGCTCCGAATACCCTGAATATGCCGAAAAGACACTGTTCAGACTGTTGTTGCTGGGGTAGTTCCGAGCTAGCTGGGTCCGAGAGGGATATTGGGTCTGCCTGTACAAGGACGAGGGAAACGAAGGCATAAGGCTTGCGTCAGAGGTATCGGGCGACAGAACATGTCGAGCTCGGTCGACAAGCAGAGGAAGGTATTCCTGAATTGTTGTGGATTTCGGAGGTCGCGATAATCCAGGCCGCCGTACCATGCCCTTTTGTCAGGCAGCGGGACTTTTCGGGTGTCCGTACCTGTCTTTCCGTGATCTTTGACGCCCCAGAACATGCAACCAGAGTCGGCCCAGTCGTCGACAATGTCTGCAATTGTCTGGATGTGACCGTAAGAGGCAGGTAGAGAGCCTTTGGGCCGACAGAAAACAGAAAGAAAAACCCCAAATATCGTAGTAGCGAGGGTAAGAGCAGCAAAGTAGATGACCTGTGGTGGATACATGTTGATCCCAATTCGAAACTGGAGGTTGATGGCTAGACCGAACAGCCAGTGGACGCCAGATTTCAGCAAGAATAGAACGACTGTCTGCCATGCCGTCAATGCCGCAACTATCGAGTTGTAGTGGCCGTTGGTGCCCTTGGGGCCAATTAAGGCGCGGTATATCTTCTCGTCTCGGGACATGTTGACTATTAGTTCCGCGCAGTGCAGAGATATTGTGACTACCGACTGGACGCCGGTGGTTAGAAGGACAGCCGGGACCATACCGGCGGGCCCGTTGTCAGCACCCAAATTGAGGTTCACCACAGAAGTGCCGGTGGAGCATCGGAATGCACTGCAATTCGAGTCGGTGATGCCCTGAAACGAGGGGAGAAAGGACCACGATTGCCCTAGAACGGTCTTCGGAAAGCCCTCTCTGATGTAAACGAGAAGAGCGCCCCCCCAAATCACGCTCACCAAAGGAAGGCACCCTAAGAGATAAAGAATACGCCGTACTCTGCGATCGGCCTTGAACATGTTTTCCTGCTTGGCCAAAGGCTTCAGACTACGCGCATCTTCTTTGGCCAAATGAACGCTCATCATGCACCGACCGGATCGAGGCTGTACCCGGTGTCCGTCATGCCCGTCGTCGACACGCTCGGGTAACATCAAGAGGGTTGGAGCTCCATGTCAGGACGTCTGTTTTGGCCAACGCCCATGTTGTGACGATGGCTTGGAGGAGTAGGCCGACGCCAAACGCTAGAAGCGCAATGGCATTGATGTGGAAGTCAAAGGCATCTGTGAAATCGTAGTTGTGTTTCAGGAGATCCGCAAGATCGGGATTCAGGGTCAAGAAGATTGAGCGAGGTTGAGCCGTAAGCGAGGGCAATGCCAGGAAGGTAGACGGCGCTGGCCAGCCTTCCATTTGGTCTGCTGAATTTCGAGGCCGTGAAAAGACGCAAGTTCGAGTTGCACTCAAGCTTGCCTTCTCTCTGCAATGACCACCGGAGGGTGCAGGTGTGAATGTAGCCCATGCTGTCGTTGAGTAGAGTGACTTGATGCAAGGTGGTGAGAAACCTGAGAGGGAGGAAACCGGGCTGGCCAGTAACATACCCAAAACATCGAGTCCCAGAGGCAAAACTTCTCTCCAGGTGTCCCATATAAGTATCTGCGTAGCGCGGCCGTTTTGGATCTCTTGCTTGAACAAGATCGCACTGGCCAAAGAGGCAGCAATGGCAATAAGCCAACTGATAACGAGGCCCGCCAGACACCATCTATTGGTGACATGGCTGTCATGATAATTGGGGGCAGCCATAGTCATGAGCAAAGCAAACGCTCCACCTCCGACCCCTTGGCACCGGAGAGACAGCTAAGATGAGGGCAAGACATGGAGAGAAGGAGAGGGGGCATATTAAACGGCATTTTAGGGAAATAGGAATCGCCGTAGCACAGAGCGAGCCCACGAGAGGCCATGGACGCGAGACGGCACACCCAACTTCCTCCGACGCTCATAGCCGTTGATAAGGCGCCTTTCCAGTCTCATGGACCCAAGCTCGAGGCTCTCGCTGGAGAGCCTGAAGGCCGCGCGAAACAAACGAATACCATACGTGTAACTGCACTGTAAACTTGGACAGGCAGGTGGATTTGGTAGGCTCCCCTATTTCCGGACCACTTGCTGCGCGCACTCGCGATAGGGCTCCTGGCCGTCGACAATAGATTAAACGGTCAAACCTTGGGCACCCTTGCTGTGCCTGAGATGTGATAGACCACTCCACGGCCGGCAGGCACCAGGTTCGTAAATATAAGCATACATGTCTAAACGAAGAAAAAACGAGAATTGATCAGACCTGAATTCACTCGCTGCTCGACAAGGCATAGGCGGGCCCAATGCATGCCAAGACAAGCGCTGTTCCACGGCACCCGTTTTTTTGGGACAGGGAAGCTGAAAACTGGAAGAATTGGAGTCGAGGCTGGTGGCCCCGGACCTGGCGCTTTCTGTGATACTGTAATTATGCCTCTGCTTTGAATCGAAGATTGGAGCGACAGGCTGGCTGAGCAGGATGATTGAACAGTTCCTGTATGCTGCATGTCCGCCGCAACAGGTAAATGGATGTGCTCGAGACACCAGCCTGTCGGTTACCGGGTTCGCATAGTATCCGGTGCGACGTTTTACTGATATTGGCGCATTCTAAACTGCATAATCGGTGCTTCTTTTAGTATCAACACATAAGGCGACTGACGAGGCAACTAAAAAACGGGGCCGTCTTGGTAGTCGTGAAGATGAGATTTGGAATGGCCGAGGGGAGGCTTGGCCATAAAACGACCGGGACCGGGGTAGGCACAAGTGTCATGTATGTACCCGTATTGTACATATCATAGTGTAACAATGGATGGTACGGTATGAGTATGGAGGGACAAACAGTGGACTACTATGTACGAACGGCGTAATTTCGGGGCTTCTGTGTATTGTGACGTATAGCTACTGACGAAGTAGTATTTACAACCCTTAAGGCTGCGCACCCTTGCACAATTAACGGCGGCTGGTCTTCACCCCACTCTCGTCATCCCACCGTGCGCCTCGTTCACTCAACATGGCAACTCCTACTTGCCCCTCATCTCATCAGCTTCTTGACCCCGTATCGACAGCCAAACTGGAAATAGCACTTGGAGGCATTTGCTACCTGTAGTGCTTGTGCGACTGGTTTTGCGCTCTTATCCATCCAGATTTTCTGCTTTCCCGGTTTTTGGAGCGTCGCACGGCACGGCAGAAGAGGCTTGGGAGTCACAGCGTTGAGCGGGGCATCCCCAAAGTGCATCGCCACTCTTAAATCTCAGACATCCTACCTAAGATTCCCAAGCTTGGGCGGATCACTGTCACTGTTGCCCGGCTGAGCCTTGAATACGATCACAGCGGCGAGACAACATGGCAAGCCGGCAGCTTCGCAAGCTCAGGAAGCAGCAAGAGCTGCTCAGTCCCCAGACCGAGGCTGGGGCTGCGGCCGGAAGCGACGAGTCGGACTATGAGCCCGCCCCTGCGAAGCCCCGGGCGAACGTCTTTTCCGGCTTTGCGGCTCTTGGCGACCTCGGAGGCGACGGGGAAGATGACGACCAGATCAGCGAGGAAGATGTAGCCGAGCCTCAAAAGGCTGCTGACACCAACCAAGGACCCGCAAGTGGCCAGGTCGATGAACAAGCCCCGCCCAAGAGGAGCAAAAAGCCCAAGAAGAAGAAGAAAAAGGGAAAGAAGCCGGATTCGCTCGCGCCAGCCAAAGAAGAGAATGAATCCGTAGACGAAATCGACCGAGTGCTTGAGGAGCTCAAGCTGGAAAAGCCTGCACAGACAGCGTCTACTAGCAGCGCGTCGACTGCCGCCGCCGCCTCGACCACTCAACTTTTCGATCTCCTGGGCGTAAGCTTCCACCATCTGAAAGCTGCCAACGAGATGCGCAAGCTCTTTGGAAAGTCGATGGAGGCGGCCAGCTCCGAGGACAGTCCTAGGCTAGCTCGGCCACGCGGCGGACAACGAGAAGTTGACCTTGAGACCTTTCTTGCCGCACAGCCAGCTATACCAGGCCAGCCGGGGAAAACTAGCATGTTTGACACAGTCCTGCGAACCAACCCGTTCATAGAAGGCAAGAAGACGTGGCCTAGGGATTCGACACACGGGCTTAAGATGATCCGTATAGGCGACGCCGACGACATTGGCGCCGTCGAGTTTGCATTTTCCCACGACGATAACTACGAGGCCCTGGACGTCGCCTTCTTCGGCCTGGTCGGCATGTACGACCCCATGCAGATTGTCTATTTCCTCAACCGCTATCCATACCACATCTCGTCCCTCATCCAAGTCAGCAAGGTGGCAAAGCAAGACCAAAACTCTGCTCTTGCCGCTGACCTCATTGAGCGGGCTCTCTTCACGTTTGGCAGAGTAGGCCTCAGCGATTTTCGCAAGAAGTTGGAGCAGGGGAGAGTCAAGATGGACTTTGCCCGGCCCGAGAATCGACAGTTTTTCCTTGCTGGATCTAATCAGGTCCGAAATCTGGTCTTGAAAGGCACCTTCCGGACCGCGTTGGAATGGGCAAAGCTCTTCCTGGCTATCAACCACGATGACCCGTATGGCATGATCAATTGGGTTCATGTGCTAGCTATTCGCGCCTACGAGGCTCGGTGGTTCGTCCAACTATGCGGCTCCAGGCTTTTCGACGAGACGAGTGGGGTCGCAAACAGCGTCTATGCCAAACAAACTCTAGCGTTGGCGCAGCTACAGCTAAAAGATCGAGAGGGAGCCAAGGCGACCCTGACTGCGGGGATAGAGAGACTACCCTGGCTGTACTGCGCTCTATTCACGGCTTTGGGCCTGGACACGCCGAAATCGATCTGGGCCGTCCAGCCCCGGAACAAGGACGAAGAACTGCACACTAAACTCTACATTCACACGGCTAAGGATTTGTGGAGCGGTCCAGAGGCGGTTTCCCTGCTTGCCGAAGCAGCCAACGCAGCGCGAAACATCGATTCAAAGTCCCTCCCTCCCGGGCCGAATGTATCCCTCGCGACGGCCCGATTCATCTACCTCGACAACACCCCCGAGCTAATGTCGGCCGTGCCACGGGATATGCTTCATACGTCCCCCAACTTCGACTTCGACCCTCTCCCGCCTCCAAAGGACGAGAATATATTTTCCTCGTCTTCCCAGGAACGGCCATGGGCGCTGACGGGACGCGATCTGCTACGGGCTGTCATGGGCAATCGCATAATAGCGACCCCGGCTAACCAGCAAGACGGGCCCGGGATAGCAGACCTGCCAGGATGGCCAGAGGCTGCCTGGCCCGTGGACGACAATAGCGACTTGAGCATTAGTGTTGGCAGTGACGATGGCGGTGGCGACGACGACCGTGATGCCAATGATGACGAGGACGTCGTGGTTCGCACTGTCCCGCGCGACGGCTTCATGCAGCGCGCAGTTGAGACCTTGATGGCCAACATCTTTGGTGGCGGGGCCCGGGAGAATGGCGACGACGACGAAGATGAAGACGACACAATGGCGCCTTTGTCTATGCCGGGCGCATGGTTTGAACCCGACGAGCACGGTGGTGCAGACAGGGAGGGTGGGGATGGAGAGCACCGCACTTAGGGCTTTAGGCCCCGAGTTCCAGGGGGTTTGCTGATGATGTCATTCTACGCATTATGTATCAAAACTTGGAGTAGACGAGTTCAGAATAGAGAGGGCTCTCTCTATTGGTACATTGTGAATATTAAAATTTAGCAAGTTTACAACGGGCTTTGCCTGGGTAACTAGGCAGGTATCAGTTTATCCCCCTTTTCTCAGGTCTAGGTGGGCGTTTATAGGAGGTATGGCTTGAGAGTGTTGGGGCGGCCGGTGGTAGAAAACCACCGAAGCAATACTTTACACATATTAAATTGGAAAAGGGGGCTAGATTTCAGTATAAATGAGCATGAGGAAGGTAGAGGCAACCAGACGAGTTTCTGCCAGGGTCTTGTGACGGAATGACGTCATAACCCCTCATTTCAAGTGCTCACAAGCTGACGCAACGAAGTGAAAGAGACGAAGAGCACAAATGCAAACACGGAGGGAAAAAGGAAAAGAAGATACAGAGCGAGCGTTACAGCGATGGTATCTCTCTCCGCTAACGGCAAAAGTTGCGGTTCCACCATTCACATGTGTCCGCGCGCATGCGACACGTGGAATATGCATCTTTTTTTTTTACCCGGAGCGAGCGAGCGTTGGGGCGAGGTTTCACACTTTCTGAGTCGGGGGCGTTGGAACAGTGAGCAAGTTTCATGATTGCGACCTGGCCCACCCACTATGGGCGGATGCTGGGGAAGGACGGTATCTGATCTTTCCATAAGGTAAGGTACCTATGTACCTACCCTGCCCCTGAGGTGCGATGCGAATCGCGCACAGCGAGCGACGGCCTGGCCGCAGCAGGGGAAGGGCCGCCGCATCGCATCGCTAGGAGGCTAAGGCAGGCTGGCTGGCGGGCGATCATTATCAACTGCAGGATTGCGGTGTTCTCGGCTCCGATGGCGAGCTCGCCAACCACAGCTCAGCCCAGCTGGAGAACACAATTGCTGGCCACAGCTCTTGCCGAGATCCGAAACCGCCGGTCCCGTTGACAGAACTGGAAGAACGCGATGGAAAGTGTCGTAGCACCCGCTGCGCTGCGCTTCAGAGCACCCCGACGGAGGTGTGAGACTGACCGAGCACGCAATTACTAATGTTGTAATGAAAGCATGGATAGTGTAAGCTTTTCGTCCCCCCCTGGGAGCCTTCCGAGAGTGTTCGGGCGTTTCGACTGCCCCGTGTGCGTGTGCGTGTGCCACTTTCTCGCCATCCCTTAAAAGACTCCACGCCTCCCCGCCCTCTTTTGTCGGGTGGCTTGGAGCTTGCAACAAACTGCCCCTCCTTTATTTGTTCGCTCCCCCGCCACCACCGCCAACGACAACGACCGACCGATCCAAACCTATTACGGGTTCGAATTACGCAGCAAGACAAAAAAAGAGTCTAATACGCGCTCGTTGTCGTCACCCCCCCGGTCGTTGAAGACAAATTACAAACGCAAACCAATTTCACAATGTCTGATCTCCCCGTCGACGCCGTCCCCGCGCCCGTCGACGCCGACACGCCCAAAGACACCGAACCGGCCGGCGACACCAGCTCGCCCACCGGCGACGCCCCAGAGCATGTCTATACCTTCAACGTGACCATGACCTGCGGCGGGTGCTCGGGCGCCGTGGACCGGGTGCTGAAGAGGCTTGATGGTGAGTTTTTATCTTGTCGTCTTCTCCCCCCACGCTTGGAACGAGAAGCTTTCAGCTCTCACAACATCTATCGTATGCACGTCAAAGCATCGCCGTTGCGCAAAAATGAAACGGTGGCCCCGCGAAAAGGGGGGAATGGGGGGAGCGAAACGCAAAAAGCGAGAAACGAAAGATGGGGCAATATAACGGCTAACACAAACCGTTTTCCCACAATATAGGTGTCAACAAGTACGAGGTGTCGCTCGCCGACCAGAAGGCGACCGTCTACGCCGGCGAGTCGCTGCCTTACGACAAGGTCCTGCGCACCATCGCCAAGACGGGCAAGAAGGTCACCAAGGGCGAGGCCGACGGCGTCGAGCAGAGCGTCGAGATTGCTCCCGAGGCGTAAAGGGACATTGCTTTTTTTTTTTTTTTTTTTTTTTTTTTTTTTAAAAAAAAAAAAAAAAAAAAAAAAAAAAAAAAACCCTCTTTGGAAGGACAAAGCTGGACACGAAGCGTGATGGCTTTTTCTTTTCCTCTTTTTTTTTTTTGATCTTGATGTGTCTTTTTACTCATTTTCATAGCCAGCCGGTACCGAGCACGCACACGCGCGCGCGCAACTCCTAAACAAAGGCAGCTTTTTGTTTTGATCTTTTCATCACATGGCAGCTAGCAGCACAAGCTCTCGTTCTTATCTGTTCTGCAGGAGTTCTCGCCCCCTTTTTTCTTTAACTTTTAGCCGTTGGTTTATTCAGGAACTGCGGATTAGACAAAGTGAAGCCATTTCTTCTTGTTCCGTGTCCCTACCTAGGTTTTCGTGAACAGCCCGAAACTTTGCACGGCCGTGAAACCCGTAAAAGGGTTGGTGATATGTGGAGGAGACCTGTCGTTGACTAGATGGGTGGTCTTGGCAGTCCCGTCCACGGGCTGCCAAGCATGCGTATCTAGCAAAGTCCCTTTTGTGACAAACAAACCGTGGTTGCAACACCGGGGCTCTCTCCTAGCATCCTCCCGCATAATGCGGCATGGTTTGGTAACGTAATGCGCAGTGTGGCGACTGCACACGTGTGTGGCCGGCCGGAGCGTGTGTGGTGTGTGGTGGAACTTGTTACTTGAGACGGACGGGTCGATCGATCTCCCACCTACTTGAGGAACAGTCGGCTTGGCATGTCTTGCCACGGGCGGGCAACTAACTCTATTCTAACGTTTGACAGCTGCCGCGCCTGCTTGTGCTTGTCCTGAGAGTTGCCGCATGTATTTTTCCATGGGCCCAGCAGAGCGGCGATATTCTACGATCTATCTCGAAAGGGAGATAAACACGAGAAAGGATCCCTTGCACAGTCCTTACTCCCTTTCTCACATTTAGCATGGCGTGGCCACCAGCGTAAGTACCTCACAATGTCACGTCATATTTTACTAGAACTGCCAACCGTGGCCGCTGCGTACGTGTGTACCTATGTATATTGCCGCCGGCTCCACGGAAAACGGCTTTCGCGGCGTGGTGTGGCGTCCCATTGGCCGACTTTAACCCATACATGTACCTAATATTCCTTATCAAAAAATGCCGGAGTGCCAATGCCGTCCCCCATATTATGTATGTACCATACCATCATTTCTCCACAGTATCACAGCAGCTCCCTCTCTTCCCCGTGGGGCACACACAGCATAGCTCAGCTCGTCCATTGCCTGCTGCCGGTGCGGATACACACACCGTGGCCGATTTTATATATTGCAATACCCATATTCTCTCGCTTCTTACACTAGTACTTCCCTGTGCATCTGCCGAGGGGAGCCCGTTTCCTGGTCGTGGAAGCCCCGGGCAGCCGGCAGCATCCTAAGCGTAGAAGCCCCGTGGAATGTGCTCGCCTCGGGTGGGCAGTCACAGGATCGAGGGCCAATATGGACAGCCGCCTTTTATTGGCCGGGTTATTTGTGGGAATTTGTTTTCGCGGCGAGCGGGAGCAGGCCCACGACGAGAAAGTGCGAGAGGGTTGATGATGGTGATGATGGGTGGCAGGCACTCAATGTCTGTGCATCCATCCTGTGCGCAAGTTTTTGTAATTGGCGGTTCTGCATTTGCAGAGTAACTGGCTGGCTGGATTGTAGTGGATGGGGGGTTGGTATGATCGAGTGAGGAAGACGATGCCCTTTAAAGACCTAGCCGATACAGGGTGTGGTTTTTATGGACATTTTCCTTCTAGAGTCAACTCCGCATCTTGTCGCTGTAGGCATAGCATATAATCACCACGATGGCGCTGTTGAAATCACTGCCATGCGCTCTCCTTGTTGCCGTGCTTGCGGCCGTGCAGGTTGGCGCCCATGGCATTGCCACGGCCATAGTGGTCTTCCCGACGGGAACATTGTACGTGGTCCTCTCCGCGCAAGTCAGAGACGAACTGACATGCTCCCTTCCGTACTCAAGCTATCAAGGGTATAATCCAAGCTACCAGTGGTCACGGCCTCCCCCAACCGTCGTAGGATGGTCCACGCCAGACGACCTCCAGTAAGCCAGCTCGACTTCCCAGTAGGACAGAAATTTCCTAAGCATGAAGTCAGAAACACGTTCGTCAGCCCAACTGCGTACGCCAGTCCCGACATTGTCTGCCATCTCGGAGCAACTCCAGCCGGGGCAGCCGCCCCAGTCAACGCCGGAGATACAATCGAGATTCAGTGGACGCCGTGGCCAGCGAGCCACAAAGGCCCGGTCATCGACTACCTGGCCAACTGCAACGGGCCATGCGTGAGTGTCTCTCCCGCGGCAAGAACGCAGCGCTTACCGGCAGCAAAAACACTGACAGAGAGGACCCAGCAAAACGTCGACAAGACCAAGCTGAAGTTCTTCAAGATCGACGAGGTCGGGCTCGTCGACGCCGCCTCGGGCACCTTTGGCGCTAGCCAGCTGACTAACAACAACAACAGCTGGGTCGTGCGGATTCCCACGGACATTGCGCCGGGAAACTACGTGCTGCGGCACGAGATCATCGCACTGCACGCGGCTGGCCAGACGAACGGCGCACAGAACTATCCGTTCTGCTTCAGCCTGGCCATTTCGGGCAGCGGCACCGCAAATCCCGCCGGCATTCCCGCCACGCAGTTCTACGCGGCAAACAACCCGGGCATCAAGTTTGACCTGTTCAGCAAGTTCACATCGTACCAAATTCCTGGGGTAAGCCTCTCTCTCTCCCTCCGTGTCGCGTCCTCCCCCAAAGTCTCCGAGACTGGACTGGACTGGGTCTGGCTGGCTGACAGTGAAACCTCTGCGTGTTTGCAGCCGCCGCTCTACTCGGGAGCCCTATCGGTCGCGCAGAGCAAGGCAGGGCCGATCAAGGCCACGGCGTCCGGAGTCGCAGGGCTGGCCAACAAAAACGTGGTTCTGAGACCGACAAGCCCGGCCGCCAAGGTGGTGGCCGCCGCCCCTTCGCCGGCCACGACGGTCGCGGCGAAATACGCGGCGGCGCAGACGCTTGTTAAGAAGGCCTCGAAACGAACAGACGCCCCGCGCGGTGCGTAAAAGGAGCGAGGTTTTGTGCAGCACTTGCTTGCTTTCATTGCGGAACCGACTCGCTTTGCATAGCCAGCTTCGGGTTGGGACACAACTTGGAAAGCTCGCAGTGCAGTGATGCCAGACAGTTTCCGTAGCTTAAGAGGTGTGGGAAATGGAGAATGGCGGAATTGTTTTCTTCCTCTCTTGCGTCTGGCCCTCGATTGGACACCTGCTCTGTGAAGTGATTTGAGATGCACCAACCAAATGCAATTGTCAGCGGTATTTATTCTCGGGCCAGAAGCAAAAAGGGCAATAATAAAGGAATGAAGAGAGCTTCGCTGGCTGAGCTGAGCGAAAAAGCTGCTCTGACAGTAACTGCTCTGACTGTGGCAGCTCTGAGCCTGGCGCCTCTTCAGGGCTACCGACCCGTGCGCCATACCCATGTCGTTCAGGGGTATGTTTCCTTCCCTGCGGACCAACATCTCTCAATCCGAGTAACCACAAGAATTGGCGAAATCCGGCGGGTTTGCTCGCTTCCAGACTTCTACGCAGTATACGGAGACACGGACTGTGAATTCCAATTGTCTGGCCGGTCCGATGTGCAGTGGGCAGGGCAGGCAGGGCAGGCAGGGCCATTGGCCTTTTGTTGCTGAAATAGATGCGCCCTCTGTCGCGGCCGTGAGGCCAACACACGGTCGCCTGTGGCACAATGTTAGAAGCTTCGTCAGGGCCGCCTGGCTGGCACCTTTGGTACTTAGAACAACCTGCTCCTCGGGTCTAGGTCCAAACTGTGGGACGGATGCAGCTGGATTCCATGCTCGGTTTCCATATTCCGATTTTTGATGGATTTTCCGAAAAATGGACCCCATTTGTGACTCGGAGCTGAAGAACAAGAGGTAACCTAATTGGCGGTTCTTGGAATGGTTGCGCCTGCTGGATTTGGCAACACCGCGCGATTGCAATCTCGCCCAAGCGCGGGATCACCTGGGCAAGGAAGGAGCACAGCAGGAAGCAGGCACTAGGCAGAGATGGACAGGTTGCGGGAGAGTGGGGGCTCGGAGCCGAGAACACCATCGAATCCTTTGTCGACGACTGCTCTCGACGGAATCCCACGATCCAAGAGTGTGAAACGGCCCCGACCAGTCAAGTCGTGCCTCGAGTGCCGGTGAGAAAACATTCTCTCATGGCACGTCGCCAGCCTGTTGCCACCATGCTGACCTCTTTTGACCTGCAGAAAGCGCAAGCTCAAGTGTGATCGTCAAAAGGAGTGTTCCCAGTGTCAAAAGGCACGGAGGTTCTGCAAATACCCTGATAACAATGCCGGAGGCGGTTCGGACGCCTCTGACGGCGAGACGGAAAGGGCTACCAAGCGCCCCCAGTACGCCGCGGGCCCGTCCACTTCCGATGCATCTCGTCTTTCGGCTTACTCTGGTGGTGCCGAATTGGCAATCCCGAGAAGTCCCGTCGGCATGGACGAGGTTGCTGCCCGCCTGGAGCGGCTCGAGAAGCTGATCACGGGCAGTCGCGTTGCAGCATCGCCGATAGCCATTCGGGGCTTGTCGCTGAAGGGCGAAATGGGAGCCCGCATGCTGGGGCAGAGCAAGGCTAGGACAATGTTGCATCTCGTAAGATATTGTGCCAAAACATATCTGCATACTCTGGTAATTCACTGACACGATTCCCAGTTCGGCGAGGCCAGCGATATTATGAGGAACATGGCGGACGTGGACCGCTGCCGTGAGGTGTTTTTGGGTCTGCAGGACGCATACCGGGCTCTGCAGGGGCAGCATCGGAAATTGACCGAGGCCATTCCGGTTTTCGCCCAGTCGACGATGCCAGTCGAGAAGCGCATGGCCGACATCCTGCCGCCGAGGGCTGTTTGCGACAGACTTGGAGAGTCGTACGTCGAGGTCACTGAAGGACTGTGCCGTTTTATCCACATGCCCTCGTTCTGGCGAGAGTACGAAAACTTCTGGGGCGGAAGGGAATGTCGCGACGGCTTTCTTCCACAGCTGCTCTGCGTCCTTTGTATCGGCGCAAGATTTGCGACAGACACCAGAGGCCTTAGCCGTAATCGCTTCACAAGCGTCCATATCCCAACTGCTTGTGCACTCGTTCGTCAGTGGCTGGACGGTCTCCAAGGCGACCAGCTTGTCGATATCACGACGCTCGAAACAGAGCTCTTGCTCTTCCACGCGCAATATACGATTGCCCCGAGTCAGCAAACTTCCTGGATGCAACTGGGGTACGTCGTCAGGATGGCAATGGCGCTGGGTCTGCATAGAGATCCATCCGAGGACCCCACAATCACCCCATTTCACTCCGAGTATCGACGCAGGCTGTGGTATACCGTGTTGGAGACGGACCTCTATGCCGCCCAAGCGTGCGACCTTCCGTGTGCGACCAAGGAGGGTGAATATTCCTGCAAGGCCCCGGCAAACCTGGGCGATGAAGATCTCGCATATGACGCCAAGAGACTGCCAGAAACAAAGCCCTTAGATCACTATACGTCTCGTCAGCTTCCGGTCTATGCAGCAAGGACGCTCCCGAGTCGAATAAACGCCGCGAGCGTTGTCAGCCGCCTGGATTCCGTCCAAGACTATGCTGAGATCTTGGATGCCGGCGCAGCCCTGGAAAGAGCAATCGACGACATCAACTGCCTTTTCCCTCAGTTTACCTCGCTAGACATACAAGAAAAGCATAGGCAATGGATCACCAAGACCTTTCTCAGCCTGCAAGCCCGCCAGTCCTTAATAGCTCTGTATCGTCCCTTCGTTTTTAATGCTCCTAATTGCCCGCCGCAGATTTCGTCAAGTTTTTTGAAGTCGTCCATGATGGTTCTTGTTTACGCCGAGGAACTCGATACGCCGCGCCCTGGCCACGAAGAGGCCATGGTGATGTTTCGGTTCATCTTTAGACAAGACATTATCGAGGCGGCATTTGGCGTGTGCTACTTTTTGAAGAACTCTCGAGATTCCACGACGCGGGCGGTGTCACGAGACAGCTGGCCTCCAGCCCAGGCCGAGGGTGCGGCGCCAGCGGAGGGGCTTGATGCGCAATATCCCTGGTCGGCCGCAAAGATGATCGACGCGGTGGAACGCACAGTTGTACGGCTATTAGGCACAGTCGGCGCCCCTAGTTCCGACCTCTGGGACATTATCGCCCTGGCCATAGTTGTCAACTCTGTTCGCGCTGGAACTGCAGAGCAGAAACTCGAGCGGACGACGGATTCGATTATGCGGATCGTAGATATCTGTCGTCGGGGCGTCAAGCCGGAAGGCGCCCTGTTCTCTCCAGTGCGTCTCTACACCCAAGGTTTATCTCTGCGTACCTCGTCTCCGCTGACCACATTCGCGACGCAGCCGGCCGGAGTTGCTCCCCCGTCTACCGGTAAACATTCCAACACGCCGGATGTTTATTCGAACCCCACGTCGAGATCGTCTTTGTCGGAGGCTTCGGTGGACGAGGTATGTGCTGTACTTTTTATGATGACGCAACGTGTTTGCTGACAAGGCCGCTGTTTAGGACCAAGACGAGTTGCCGTTCTGGGAAGCTTTTCTCGCGGGCTCGAATTACACGAGCGACGAGATGAGTCGCCGTCCATCTTAGGTTTTTTTCTTTTACAAGGTATCTCTAAATGGAGAGCCGTGTCATGCTAGACGTGTCATGTGTTGGATGCCACACCTTTTGGGACCTGTTTGGTAAACTTTGGGCATTGCGTGGAGTTGTTTGTCTGGGAGCATTTTATGGAGTCCGGCTTGGGGATCAATGGTTTGAGGGAAAAAAGCATGCGGATACATTCGAATCAAAGGTTTTTTTTTAGGTAGACTAAGCAGTACGATTCAGTCTTCCTTTCTATAAACGAGTAGTGAGATATCGGATATACAGCTCTCGGGTCACCTCGATAGCATATAACGTCTTCCATTCCTAAGCTAAAAATGATTCAAGGAGGTAGAGATGGTAAGCAAAGGTGACCGAGGTTCACTCGTCGACAATCTCTACCACGTATTCTATGGCCTCCTTGTCCGCATCGGCTAGGTCACCGGCCATCATCAGCTCGCTCGTCAGCAATTTTGCGCCCATAATTCCTAGAACCTTAGGCCAGTAGCGCAGTTTCGTGATCCGAACCGCCAGGAGATGTTCGCCGGTCACACCGTCGGCCTTCTGGGAGATGGTTGCACCCTTGGACCCACTAGCCTTCCCGCCCAACGACAGGACCGAGGACAGGTTCATGAAAACCCCCACGACGCCGCCCGTCTTCTTGTTCCGGTTAAACTCGTACGATGAGTTATTGGTCAATACCTTTCGACCCGTGATCATGTACACCGGGTCCGAGGAATTGGCGAAATGCGTCTGCATCTTCGGCGACTTATCCACGGCCGCTTGATAGAAGACTTTGTCGGCTTTGTCATACTGGGTCGTCTTGACGAGCCCCTTGTACGAGTCCATATCGTCGCGCTCCCGCTCAATTTTCGCCTCGCCCCCGGCGTCAGCGCCCGCCGCCTTGGCCGTGACGGCCGCCTCCGCATTCGTCACTTGGCCGAGCGCCGCCTCCAAGTTTTCGTCGAACTCGTGGATGTCGCTATCCTCGATTTCGGGCTCTTCGCCTGCGTTGATGCGTACCATGGTCCTGATGCCTTCGACCACTGTTCCGAGCTTGTAGTCCTGGGCAAGCCTTCACGTCCCGGGGTAGTAGTATTCCAGATCCTTGAGCCCCATATTGTCATGGGCAGAGAGAGACAAGGGGCTAGCCGAAACACATGAAGGGGCGGCGATACTGGCTTTGGTTTGACTACTTCTCACTGTTGAGAAATGTCTCACTGTTGAGAGATGAAGGGCACATCGTAGAGTATAATATATCCCTCTGGGCTTGCTAGAAGCGCCCGTCGATGGCAGCCTTGCCGGAAAAAATGGCTGACGAGCATCGAAAATCCTTCCAATCACAACACCGGAAAATGCTCGTCCAATCTGTGGCGGAATACAGCGAGCGCCGCGCCATTTTGTTCGCCCGACTTGTATGGCACGGCATTTATGTCCATTATCCCAGCACAAAAGGCCTGTGGACTCCGACTAATGCGCGACATGCCGGCATATGCATGAGGTCCCCGGACCAGTCCGGTCTCTCGCCCACGGCGGCCTCGTCCACCGAGATCTCTCTTCTCGAGTTCCCCGCTCCAATTCTAGCCTCCGCGAAGCTGGGGTGGACCTCAACGACACGATGCAGAGACTCCAAAACGCTGGCCGTTTGCTGTCTGAGGCTCTGAATAATTTCTACCAGAACCTCTACATGCCGGGACCACATCTAGTCCTTCGGGCCAAAACCGATGCAACATTTGCTTTCGTCGATACACAACTGGGCGGGATCAATCTGTAGGAGCCTACGAATGATGATGGCGAAGGCGTGATATTATAGATCACAAACGAAGCGCAAAGAATCACGAATGCCATCAAGCGCGGCAAACTCACCAAAGAGGACCTCAAACGCGACCTTGACCTCCTCAGTAGCCTTCACTCGAAGGCCGTTGATGACGACAAGGCCATCAACTTACAAGACTGCGACGACGAGAGCGGCGTCGACCTTGACGCATTGCCCAGCGAAGACAAGGAAGAATGGATTCGGAGTCTGCATAATGGGTTGGAGCGACAGGTTTCGGAGTGCTTCTGCCAGCAGTCTCACCTAGCGAGGCTTAGACTGCCTGCCCCGGATGCCCGCGGCGGCAACCTATCGTTCAACGTCTATTTCTCATATCATTCGCATGAATGGGGCTGGGTACCCAGCGAATGCACACTGAACAGGTCGGGCCCCAGACTTTTGTAGCGTCCCGTGGCTTGACATGGTCGCTCGCGTGCTAAATTCGAGACGTAGCAACTTGGAATCGCGCGAGGAGCCTGGGTGCCATTTCATCAGGGATGCCCAAAATAACAACACGAGCCTCGACATTTTCGTGGAGCGGGACGCGGCGGCCGAGGATGGCCAACGAGAGCGACCTTCCCAGGCGATACGCAAAGGCAGCGTCCGATTACGAACGCCAACCCGCCCGCCGGGGAGAGCCCATAGCAAGGCCAGGCCTGTCGTGTCGCTACGAGATCTCCTCAAACCAACCCGCAAGAGTGTCCAGGTTTCCTCCAAAAAGTGCTCCCCTCGCCTGAGAGAGCAGCTCTTGTGGAACCTAAGTTTGGGACTTCTTCATCTCGGGCGAGATGAGTGGAGATATCTGCAATGGCACGCTGCTAAAGCTGCTGAAAAGGAAAGCGGCATTTTCTTTCTCAGGGATCCCGCCACTGGGGAAGTATGCGATATCGCGAACCCGTACATATCCTGGAAGTTGCAGTTACGGTAAACGAGCAATGACGACCAAACCAGGAGCGACCAGGAGGACTTGTTGTTTCACTTCTTGGGCTTCGCTCACCTCCTCGTCGAAATCTACACGTGGGAGGTCCTTCGGTTTCCAGACAGCCTATGTGGAGACGTCACAGAGTCCCAGCTGTGGCTGTTGAGGCATGTAGGCGAGATGGGGGTAGATGCAGGGCCGTTCCGGACTATTATTGAGGCCTGCCTCAACGTAGCGGCCGGAAGTCGCGATCTTCAAAACTATGTGCGCACAAACATCGTCGTTCCCCTGAATCAATATCGAGACACATCTTCTACTACGAACCACCTCGAAACAGCGCTATCGCCATCATCCGAGGAAGTGCATTTATTCGATTCCCGTGAAGTCTAATGTACTCAGAATGCAGATCGGTTTGTACTTCTCTTTCACGTTTCCTCAGGCTCTCCGCTCCGTACTCTGCTTCCGCTTTTCCCCTGTCTTAGTCTCGTATTATTTCATTTTTTGTTTCCTTTTTACTCCTTTTTTTTCTGCTATCTCTCCGCCCTTCTTCTGTTTCTTGCTAATGTAAGGCAACGACAGGGCCAAGGCAGACGATTTCTTCGATAAAATGGACTCGTATCTGCACCATTATATCTGCCGGTCTCAACGGACTATGTCACAGTCCAAGCCGCTGAACCAACCCCATGTTAAGATTGCCATCATCGACAGCGAAATCAACCTGCCTTCCGTGAGGGATATTCAGAATATGAAGCTCACTACTCGTACCCGCAACGTCACATACGGCATCGACGCCAAGATAAAAGACCGCCGCAATTTTTGTGCTGGGGCTATTGATGATTGTACTGACCAAGTCGGGCATGGTACCAAGGCAGCGTGGCTACTGCACAAAGTGCCCCTAAAGCCGAGCTCTACATTGCCAAAGTCTGCCACTCAACTAAAATTCCTGCTAACGAATCATATCAAATCGCTGATGTGAGTCCACGTTATCCCAAGCGAACGTGATAATTGTAAGGACAGCCTCCCTCGACTGACGCACTGACTATAACTATTAGGCCATATATTGGGCAGTTACCGAGTGGAAGGTCGACATCATCTCTCTATCTATCGGCCTTAATGGTGCGGACAATAGTATCGATAGAGCTAGATGCTGCCGAGGAACTCGGCCTTCATGTGATCACCTTCGCTGCGTCCGGAAACGGTGGTGGGAATGTGGCCCTCGCGTGGCTAGCTCAGAAGCCGGGGATCATAGCCGTTCATGCGACCGACGGCCTCGGTTCCGAGGCCGGCTTCAGTCAGCGCGCGTCTCACGGCAAAGGCGGAGAGGCAAGTCGCGATTTTCAGTTCGCAACGCTGGGGAAAGACATACCGTAGAGTTGCAAGGCTTCCGGCGAGTGGAAACACAGCCTTATATCCGGCTCATCCTTTGCCACGCCCATCGCGGCAGGCATTGCAGCCAACGTACTGGACTTTGCCAGAAGAATGCAGCGACGACCAAACATTTCACTTCAGCCGCTACAAACTAGTGCCGGCATGCGGAAGATCTTTCAGGCCATGTTGGTTCGCATTCAATCTCTCGACTACCTTCAGCCTTGGACGTTCTGGGAAGGGGCGAAATCCGGCACTGATGATCCGGAGGAGAACATTTGTCAAGAGCTTCGAATGATTCTACTTAAATAGGTATTGAGGACCGGTCAGGCTCGTTAATACAATTTTAAGTTATGCGAGGGCCAGGTTCTGCGAGTGAGAAGAAGTGCTGCCCAAAAGAGTGCAATGCGAGACAATGGTTGCCTATATCCGAGTCGATGAGGTCAGGTTTAGGTTCGTCAAAGTTGAAACAAGTCACCAAACGGTCTCAGCCCTACGCAATTGGACAAGCTGGGATGTGCGCCCCAGCCCCTGGAAGTTCGTTAGCTCGATACTTCAAAGCCTTAGCAAATAGTTTATATCTAATTATTTCTAGTGTAAAGTCGAGCTAAGAATACCCAAAGGTACGGCAGTTATAGTACGATTCTAACTAAGAAGGTATTCGGCACTGCTAAGCCCTAAAGAACCAACCCAGCGAACTTTCAGGGGCTGGTGCCACCGCAGCCCCTAAACGTTCGTTCGCGTGGTACCTCGAGGCACTCGGGATTATAGCCAATCGATTAAGTACTGCATATCAATGTACAAAATCTAATTCGCTTGACAGAGAACTGTCTGATTGGCTATTACCCCTCAATGGGATTTATTCCTGCGGAGTCCATGTGCCTTGACTTCCATTCCATGATGGATTCCCCATCCGCATAAAAGGCCTCGTCGGGCACCTAAACTCCATACCTAGCGGCATCAACAAAGTAGACATCCCATCATCCCTCATATACGCCAGATAGGCTGCGGCCATGACCGATGCATCTGTGGAAACAAAGATGGACATCAAATCCATCGGCATCACCTGCCTCAACCTGCTCGAGTCGTGCTGCTACAAGACTCAAGATGCTGAGCTCGAAACTAAGCTTGAAATAGAAGAACGGCGCTTTCGGTCATGGACGAACAAACTCAATGTTTTTGCGAGAAAAATCAGCCTAGATATGCAGCTGCGTTCCGAGGAGAATAGATACATCCGCGAAATGGTATTGGCACTACTGGACGTGTTGAGAGAGAATCTAACAGGTATTTATTCTGGAATCACGTACCGGCTTTGCCGCTACCCATCTGGGACTCATACATATGCGTGTGTAGCAGCTAACCGTTTTCTCTCGTGCAACCTCAGCGCTTGAGCTCGCCTTGAACAAGAATGATAAAACTCATGTTGCGGAGGTGGAGCATCTGCTCTACGGCGTTGACGGCTGTCTGAAGCGTCTCGGCAAGATTGCACACGCCCTGCTCGAATCTATCCAAGCCAGCTTGTCAAGACGGATTGTCACTTTTGCCAAGAAGCAAAGCCGCAAGCACGGCATCGATGATTCAGGCTTGGATGAGATTGGCAGCTTAGCCTCATGTCTCGGAAGTCGTTCTTGGGCGGTTTGAATCATTCCATCTGATGGAGCCGCCGGAATTGGCAGACACCAGGAGCCAGTTCCGGAGTACCATGGTGCTCAAAAATCTGGTGAAGGAAAGGAAGGTGACGGGACAGGAAGAATTGAAAAGTACCGGTATATGATGGCAAGCATCCTGAAGAAGGTGCTGGGTTTATCCGACGAGGAGACTAAATCAGGACAGCAACTACGGACACAGGGCTTGTTCTCGGCCATCGTGAGGTCGTGTGTCTTCAGGCACTACATGATTCGTTATGCGCGGGAAAAAGAAACACAAGAGCGTGAAGAAAAAAGGGAGCCACCGGCAATGACCGTCGAGACTTCGCCAATTGGTCCAACAGCTGACATGGAACAAGAACGCAGAAGGCAGGCCCATACGGATATCAAAATAAGTGCACTCAATGACCGAACACAAGAAGTCCAGTCATCAGGCCTCCTAACGATCAACCACCACCGCTTTCACGACGTGGTGGGCGATGGAGGATCTTTTTCCATGGGAACAGCAACGTGGAAAGCACCCATTTCCCCCTCTGAGGCTGGGCACGGTGACTACCCTCGCCCACCGCGGGCTGAAGTTGTGGATGGTGTCAAGAGTGGCGAGTGTCCAATTTGCAAGCAAAGGATCCCGGAATCGGAGCTGGAGCACGACAGTTGGAAGTAAACTGACAATTTCCGCAGACGAGGCAGATTGTGTACTAACTACCTCATCTAGACGCCACGTCGACAAAGACATACTGCCATTCGTCTGCGTTTTGGATACATGTATGTCTGAGCTCTAGTTCTTTGCCTCCCGCGAGAGCTGGGCTCGCCATATGCACACAGTGCACACGCCGAGCTGGCTTGAGAGCCTGCATAACGGGTATAAATGGAGGTGCTCAATCTGCTACACTGCGTCGACCTCAACCTTGTCCAGAGCAGAGGTGGAAGATGACTTCGTCAAGCACGCTCAAACTAATCACCCGAAAGTGTCGGATGCAAAGATTTTGGCCACGATTTGCTGCTTCACAACACCCCAGCCCCGAGACATCTGCCCCATCTGCGCCAAAACCCACTTGGAACCTACTTCACTCGGCCAAGACGACAGACCACGAAACTCGAAAGCCGCGGACACTGCCCCGGACTCCTCGACCAAGATGGTACGATTTGCAGAGGGTACGCTTGAGAAACCCAGCCGCCACACAAACCTGAGTTCAGTCGAAAAGTGTGTTGCGCAGCACTTAAAGGCCCTAGCACTATACTTCCTGAACCGTCTTCTTGGCGACACTGAGCTGGAAGTTGATGGCCCGGGCAGCCACGTCGTGGATGCATGCGTTTCACGATCCGACTTCAACGACTCAAATTCGGAAGACGTCGTTGACAACGTACTAGACATTCCGGCCTCTTCGACAGCCGACACCAGTGGCGGTGGAAACCCAGCTGGCGTCGACAAATCCGTGCGTGACACTTATTCAGAACCAGACTCGGTCCTAGATGCCGAAGAAGAGGCATCAGAAAGCCCCCGAGAATTATGGGCAGGACTCAGAGACCCTGCACCAGATCCGGAATTGGACTCCAAATTAAAGCCATTCGTGCCTAAGGCTTATTATTACAAACCACTCGACTGTTAGGGTCGTCTGTCTGTAAGGGAGCACGGGCTCCACAGGATGCTGGGGTTGGTAATTATGAAGATAGAACAAAGGGCAAGCTCCTATCGCACGGGTAATACAGTCAAATTGGAATGTGTCACAATATTGGGATTAGTGAGGAAGAAAGATCTAGAAGCTGCTATGTGATTCTTCGCCACCAGCTTTTGCCACTATTCATAACTATAAAAAAGAGACTTTTGGCCCTGCCAAAGGAAACAAAAGATTAGACCTTTTCAGACAATTCAAGCCTTACCTCCCTGCATCAAATGCTTCATTTCCGTTGCCCTGTGAATGCGCGTGACAGAATGCCACTCAAAGTGTATGAGTGCAGTGAATGTGTATTGCTTGCTTGCGAGATCAAGCAAGAGCTATCTAGAACCGTAGGCACGGTTGTTGTATATATCTATCTACTGGACCAATAACAATGGTCCCACTGTCCCGTGGTCCCGCGTCCGGGACGCCGGTCCTCCGGGGCTGTCCCGTGTCCCCGGCCCAAGTGGTCGGGACCCTGGGACACCTCTGATTGGTCCACACCAAACAGGGAGTGCCCCACCTTCACGCATTTACGCAGAGATTCGTAACACTTATGTTTGGCACATGTCTAAACCGACCTTGGCTGCGAGCAAGCCAAACCCACCTGATACCGGAACGGATGAGAGAGATAAGGAGGGCCGGACGCCGCTATTGCGGGCCGCTAAGATGGGGAATGAGGCTGCCGTCAAGCTCTTACTCGAAACGGAAGAGGTTGATATTAATACGAAGGACAACCTTAGCCGAACGCCGCTATCGTGGGCCGCTGGGGATGGGCACGAGGCCGTTGTCAAGCTCTTACTCGAAACGGATGAGGTTGATATTAATACGAAGGACCACCTTAGCCGAACGCCGCTATCATGGGCCGCTAGAGGTGGGCACGAGGCCGTCGTCAAGCTCTTACTCGAAACGGATAAGGTTGATATTGATACGAGAGATAATTACAATAGCCGGACACCGCTGTTGTTGGCCGCCAGGGTGGGGAACGAGACCGTCGTCAAGCTCTTATGTAAGGAAACCACCCTCGTAACCACCATGGCCACCGCCACCAGGGCCACCCTCGCCACCATCGCCACTATCGCCACCGCTAACAGGGCCACGCACTATCGCCACTACCACCCTGGCCACGCAAGGATGACTCGTAACCCCTTTCACGTGTATATAGACCATGGCCTTCGCACACCTCTTTAGCTCAGGCCAGGTTGAAGTCTTACGCCAATACCAGTCATTGCTCGCCCTGCTTGTTGCTCCTATTGTGACCACCTTGATCAGGCGTACCTGCCTTCTCTTACATCTTACTCGAAACGGATGGGGTTGATATTAATACGAGAGATAATAATGGCCGGACGCCGCTATCGTGGGCCGCCGGGAATGGGTACAAGGCCGTCGTCAAACTCTTACTCGGAACGGATGAGGTTGATATTAATACGGGGGATAAAAATGGCTGGACGCCGCTATCGTGGGCCGTCCGGGGTAGGCACGAGGCCGTCATCAAGCTGCTCAAGTTAGCAAAGTAGTGGTTCAAATCTTACATATTGTCACGGCAAGTGCAGACAACTGGCTGGATTGGTGGGTCCCGCCCTGGCCCCACCTGGCCACACTGGATTTAAGCGGTGGTCTGTGCACACCACAACCACGCGACCCACAACACAACCTACTTCCCCCGCGCCCTTGCCCGGGCCTTGGAAGCTTCTTTCCTTTTTTCCTTCTTTAGCTTTAGATTCTACGAATACAGCGACTACATTGCAGCCTTGCCTCATAACAGTTGACTGTGCGGTGACACATATTTTGCTTCGTCTACTCGAGGAGGCTCTACTCAAATAAGGACTTTCATAGTTGGATCTAGTTATTGCAAAAGTGAAATAACTTATACTCATTACTGCTTAATTACATACGAAAATGAATGTCGGCATTTGCCGCGGTATAGGAAAAACAGAGTAAATAATTTTTACTTGCGCTTGAAAGGTAGGGGAATCACGGAGAGGGCGAGTAAATATATCGGTATGAACCCGCGCTGGATATGGCGTAAAACTGCGCCAATTATGTCTTCATTTACTTGTCGTACAACATCTAGGTAAATAAGTGGGCAAAGTTCCGATTGATCGAACTAAACGTATGTCTCGTTATACTTGCAAACACTTGGTCACCGACGGCCTGGTCTTAGTTCGAGCTCAGAAAGGCCCAACAACACATGGGTAAGAACTACCTATAGTTAAGAAGGTGCTGCGTAAGGTAAGGAGCATCCCGACACACTCGAGAACAATAACCTGAGGCACATTCGTCTATTGCTTTGATCTCTCTTTCTAATCCACAGCTTGCCGTAAGAAGGGTCTGGGCGGACAGTTTCTTCATAAACTCCAATTTCACTCTATCACTTTACGGTGTTTTGGACGTCCTTCATCTCCTGGTAAGCTGACTTAATTCGATACCTAGCCGGCTGCGAGTATTAACCCGCCTAAAATACTCTTGCGACCTGAATAACTATCCGGAGTAGCCAGACTCTGCCCAGCTATGCCCTTATAAAATCTTGTTGGGAGACTTGTGGCTCCCTGGTTTTCGCTCCTAGATTCTGCCATTTTCTGCCTCCGAGTCTTCTCGATAATCATTGTATCGGCTAGGCTATTTAGTAGTTGGGTTGGTGATGGCTAGTGGATCCCTAGTGCTCTATACCTATTTTTTGCCCCTTTCTTTCGGTTTGTGTTTAAACAACGATACAATAAAACCCTGCTTCCTCAACTATTTCCCAAAATATTAGAAGAAAGACTAGACTCTTTCTTTCTTTATTTTCCTTTTCTTTCGTTTATTTTGAGAGCCTCTGTGACTCCAGATTGCCGGCTGACATGTGTCCCATGCGTCGCCCTTTTGATTAGAACCCTGCTTGGTCGCGCTTCTTCCTATATCTACAGAACTGGGGGTGTTCTTCTCTCATTTGGAGGTGGCAGTGGCGGAAGGCTGAGATCGTCTCAATATCGCGAGCAACGCAGACGCCGGCACAGTTCCCGGCTCCTCGATAGTCGAGCTTCTAGCTAACCTGCATCCTCAACGCAGCTACTGAGACTAGTTATGTCCTGCATTTGGACCTCAGCTCCCTAATTTCTTTATTTGGCGTGCGTGCATAAGACTACCTAAAGGTACTGCCCAGCCCTCTCCATCACCGAATCGGGCTTTTCAGCTTGCCACGGACATGCCCAGAGACCTTATGAACTCTGGGGGCAGTCTTCATTCTAAAGCAGTTTCTTAATAAGATACAGGTATGAAGCGGACTAAATGCGCCGATCTGGTATGGATGGGGGATATTGAGCTGGACTTAATCCAGGGACTGTGGTAATTACTGGCCGAGTTGAAATTCCCCGGGAGATCTCAGGAGTGTCTCAAGCCGGCTGGTTGAATTTTAAGAAGAGGACTTTGGGTAATGTACATATCCTCTGTCCAAGGCTCCTTGCATTGCATCGCAACTCGGCTCAGGAGAACGACAACATGGCCGACAGCTCCCAGCCTGCCTTTACAAGTGATCGTGATGAAGTTTTCCTTGCTGCGCTTTCCGAACCCCTCTTAGTTAATGCACAGTTTGTCATGGAAGACGACGATAGTGTTGGTGCGCAGGAAACTCCCCATATAGCTGTAGTGTACAACATTGTTTGGCATTTTCATCTATTTACCGCTGGAGCTCCGTATTCTCATCCGATAACTACTATTCACATAGCTAGTTACAAACTAGCTTCAGAAGTAATACTCTCCAGAGAATAGCCCATCTTATTTAGCATTCGGTCGTAGCTGTTCAAACTCTAGGAACGCCGTTGAAGTGGTAAAACGGTGGAAGCTCTGCCTCTCACAAAACCACCAAAACAAACACAAGACGAGCCGTAGGCGAGCCTCAAAGGTATGGAAAGGTGATGTCAGGTAGTTAATATATCGAAGAAAGGCACAGGCTCGTGCATAAGGCTAGGAGGCTTAGGTCATGGTAAAAAGGAGTGAAGATTTCCAAAACGCTAGGAAAAAGAAAAAAAAGAAAGCCCTCTGTTAGATCAGAGAGTGCAGACCAGCCACCTTATATAAGGTTGTCCCCATCGTGTTCGTGATTGGTATCGCATCCATTATCCTGAACGGCTTCCAGGTTGGCCATCGCGGCCGACCAAGTACATCCCACCCGAAACGACGAAGCCTTGTCGTCGGTGGCGCTCTGGGTCGGCGTGGTGATGATATTGTCCTTTTGGGCCGTTTTTCTCTTGCTATCCTCGCTGTTTGTCTACAAGGTTGCGGCGGAGCGGACGTACGCTATCCAAAACCGCCTGCAGCTCCGGTCCGAGTCTAGGGCGACGGCTCCACCTTCAAATGTCTGATCGGGTTCGGCCGGCCCTGCACCTCAGCTGGTCGTCGATCCGATCTTGGCACCTTGGCTAACATCCGATTTCGAGGCTCCACTTTCGACCAGAGGCCATATTCTCCCGAAAGCGCTGCTAGACGATCATCGCAAGCCACTGAAGGGAATTCCGCCGAGTTCCTACAGGCGCAGATCTAATTAAACGCTCCAACACCGCATGTCGCAATCGCACCTCGACAAGCTGGACATCCAATGTTCACGACGGACGCCGTTGAGAGGCAGTGGAGCGGCACGCAGGCGCTGACTGCAGTGGCGGCTGACCGACTTGGCCGTGTCGTTGGGGGGTATCGAGTCCATCATGCTGCAGTGCGGCATGCGGCATGCGGCATGCGGCTGGTGCTGCCCAACTTGCCCCCCCACCGGTAAGAATACAAAACTTTATTTTCCGTAATTATCAGAGACAGACTCTAGACCTTGAGATTTCTATTGTCTAATAGTTGTTCTCGAACCTAACTATTTAAGAGCTTTGTTCGTGACACCCTACGCAGCATGTCAACACAAAACGTACCAGGTACTTCAATTAATGGTTGTCGAAGATAACAGGGGATTCTGGTTGGCTACGGGCTTCGGCTTTGCAGCAAGCTAAGCCCCGCCGTGGCGCTGCTGGTGCCTTGAGATGACAACATGCGGCAGATATCTGTTTGCACTGCGGGGTGAAAACACAGCGGGGTGAAAACGAAGCCAGAAACAAAACCAAATCCTTTCAGACGCCGATCTACGGCACACTGGCTGAGCAAGATTTTCTTACCTAACTTACCTTACGCTAGTAACATGACCGTATTCGTAGATATAAGAGGGATCACCGTCACTGCGCACCATCAAACATGGACCCAACTGCCGCCGGTCAGGAAAAACCAATCTCCCAGAATCAATGGTTAGGCAATGAGGCAACCACAAGCGAGCAGCTCTTCGACGCCGCCATCCAGACAGCCCAACATGCCCTGACCGAGGAAGACCAGCGGCATTTCCGCAGGTTCAAGGACCACCGAGACATGATCAAGGATTTGCAGGCAGATGTGTACAACTTTTCGGCTTCCCGCACTAGGCTCACGAGATGCGCCAAGAAAATTGCATCCTTCTCCGAGGCCTTTGCCCCCTTCTTTGACGTCATTGGCGTCCTGCTGCAGGTAAAGCCCGAATGAACAGCCATGTTCTGGGGAACAATCTGGTTTGTCTTCAAGGTAGGCTGGCTCCTTTGACCTCCTGATCGTCCCGATGGCAGGTAATGACTAAGGTACCTATTCACTCGCAACTCAGGTTGGCAGCAACTTTATCCACTTCCTCGAGCGCGTTAGCGAAATGTTTGAGGAATTGTCATTCTTCCTGCCGCAATACCAGCAATGGTTCCAGACGTGTCGGTTGAACCCGTCCATCAAAGACCGTGGTCGGCTGAGTCAAGCACTGGGTTTGATCTAGACTACTCCGACCTGACCCAATTTTCGATTCACATATACTTTTTGTTCTCGCGACAAAACAAAGGTGCCATTCGCCCTCTCTTTTGTGTCTCAAGTCTCACCTAGCTGACTTATCACTCTCAAGGCAGGCTAGAACGTGCCCTCATGGGTACCGAGCTCATGCTCCGACCTTTTGAGGCAAGATTCTCACAGCTCAAAGAGAGGCTCACCATGCAGAAGGACTGGTTCGAAAGAGAAGCTGCCATTCACGAACACGCCCTCTTGGACCAGCTGCATGGCGACTTTCGGCACTATATTCAAGACTCGGAGGAAAAATCTCAGCATAGAGACGAGTTAGGGCAACGTCGATCTGATGGTAAGCTCTTATTCTGTTGGACCTAATTACCTCCCAGATATTTTATGATTCCACCTAACGGAGTAATTACAGCACTGAAATTTAGCGACGTTAAAAGATGGATCAGAAGCATCGATTACGCCACTACCTTAGAAGACATCAAGGACCGGGTTCACGAGGGAACTGGGCTGTGGTTTTTGCAACGTCCCGAGTATCAAAGGCTAAAAACAATGGACTTTGTTCAGAGCCACGTAATGCCTACGACATCCGACGCTAATCGATGGCTCCAGCGAGTCTTGTTCCTGAAGGGTATGTGGGCGCTACAATTTCTTGTCGGTTCTTAACAAGTAATCATGGACATGTGTGCAATCGCTCACTATTTGCAGCCAAGCCTGGATTTGGAAAGACATGTCTTTCTCTAACCATCCGAAGACCTCGCCCAAACAGTCTTGCCATCCGGTGATGCCCCAACTGTGGCTTACTTTCACTTCGACCAGCAGAAAAAGTCGAGAACCAATTCTAGTGACGAGGCACTCCGAGCCATCGCCGAGCAGCTAATCCACAGCCACCGACGTAGCCGCATCTCGCTTGATGCACTCGCTCTCATCGAGACTGACAGCGGCAGCGGGCAATACACGCCATCGCGAAGGGATATCCGGTTGGCAATCGACATTCTGCTACGGCAGCATCCGAGTTTCCTTGTGTTTGACGGCATCGACGAGTGCAGCGAGCCAGCCCGGTTCCTGGAAGAGCTCCGCAGCATCTGCATTGAGCACGACTACCGTGCCGTCCTCTTGGGGCGCCCCAGCGTCGAGATGCCCTACCAGTGAACTCTATACGATGGAGCAAGTCCTACTCTCGCACTGGATGCAACACTGACTCGGGACGACATCGCCGCGGTGCTCCGACTAGAGATCGGGAAAATGTCTCCGAGGGCTTCTTCGGCTATCAGATTAGAACGACAGACAGCCTATTGATACTGACAGGTGAAGACGTCTTCGTGAAGCTCAGTTTGCGAGCTGAGGGCCTTTCCTCTGGATGAGATTGCTCATCAATCTTCTCTGGATGCTCGAGATGACTTTTGACTGCCGGCTCAACCTTCTAAAGGATCTTATCTATCTGGAGAGCTTCAATGGCTTGTACGGCAGGATCCTCCAAGCGATATTCGAGAATGGCGAAGAGGCCTATGAAATCTCTCAAAAAGTTACCCACTGTATCGCCTTCTCCGCTATCCCGCTAAACGTGGACGTGTTTGAGGTCATGTTGGCAATTAACCCCGGCCAGCCGACGACGGCGCACAGCCATCTCTCCAACTACCCCAGCTGCATCGCTGTCATCACAGGATCGCTGGTGGAGTTCCGTAAGGGATTAAATACCGTGTCCTTCATCCACGTCACGTTTCACGACTTCATGCTATCACGCTGTGCTGATAGACGCAGTAACGTCCAGCCGCTTCGTAGCCTGCCGTTCGAATCATTACCCCCTGACGTGAGCCCAGGCGAGTTGGAACTGTTGGACCCTGATCGAACTAGGGGCCTAATTAATGTCCGTATACCGTGGGCGAACGTACCGATTCGCGATTTTGGCTCAAGCCCTGTCTCGGCACGTGTAGCGGTACACAAGCGTCGCCGCTATGCTGCCTCCCCCTCTCCACCGGAGACATAGGCCCGCCGTCACCTAGATATCTTCTCCATGAGACCCGAAGACATCCACATGCAGCTCGCCGAGATTTGTATCTCGCACCTTGTCTTCGACATCCCAGCCTAACCGCTGTCCGACATCCACGTCAATGACGCATCTGATATCATGCAGGTCGAAGCAGCCAGCAACACTCTACTCGCAACACCAGAACAGGCCATGGATCTCACTGAGCTCGCATTGAACTGCGCGTCTCTAGATACGCAGCGCCTGTTTCTGCGCTACGCCGCACTTTGCTGGTCCCACCATCTCATCAACGCGCATCCTAAGCCTAGTGAGCATGATGATGGCTCACGGTTTGGCAACATGTCCCCGCTGTGGGTGACGCTCCTGTCGCAATTTCTCCTGAACCGTCTGGCGGTTACCACCTAGGTCGAAGCCGCGTATACTTACGGCTTGATACCGAAGCTGTCTAGTCTCACCGCCGTGGTGGAATATCTCGCCGCCGCAGCCGCCGCGCCCCATCATCGGCACTACCTCTCCTGGTAATAGCATCGAGGAGAGGGAGCGGAAATGGGTTTATTTGGGGCTTTGCCACCCTTAGAAAGTTGGGCACTTGGGTACTTAGGCACTTGAGTACCAATTGCGTCGAGGAAGGTCATATACCCTGGGGGCGTGGCTGTCTGTGAGGGAGGTTGTGGCCTGCCGCTTCTTATATGGCGAGGCAGTGTTGTTGAATATCGTCCGTTGGACTGCGCTGCACTTCCTAGGCAATGCCTCTCTTGATTCTATGTACCGGTAACTCCAAGGCTGGGGAGACCACCCGCAATGTACTCTGGTCTAGCATGTCCGACTCCAGGCTGTACAATAGTCTTTATGATTGAGGCTTCAACAGAGCAGAGGCTTGAAAGTTGTAATTAAAAGTGGATCCGACCCACGCCCCTGTCCCTTTGCCAGCATCGAGGCCGCACATGGTAACGATCCATAGTCGAGACCCCGGTGGAGGAATAGGTGCATGCATTAGCGTACTTTTACTGACACCCGGGTGAAGCGCTATCCCCTGGCTTTTTCCCCGCCCCCCCCCCCCCGCTTTCCTCCCCCGCTTTCCTCGACCGCTTTCCTCTACATTCTGAGTACCCCCCCCTGGTCGTTGCGCACCGCACCACTGCCTTAGAGGGAAGCCTGATAGATGTATCATCTTCTTCGCCATGCCCGACCAGCGATCAATACAGCGGGCCTTGCGTGCCCGAGAGCTTCTAAATGACGTGAAGAGTCGAATGGCTACGCCTTCTAACCATGGCGCAACGGAGATCATTAATCTGATTGCGCGGAGTAGGTATGGAATGGAGGGAATAATGCATCTTCAAAAGTCTAGTCTGACCGTGGCCGGAATGGTACGAGCGGCAAAATTCCTCCGCCGTACAGAACTTGAAAGACTTTTTATCTTTGATGAGATTCGGGATGCTGCCCTGAAGTGGCTTAACGGGGCGCCAGAGTTGGACCCTTACTGGTTAGACTGCCAGCGTCACCTTTCAAACCCAGGCTGGGCGAAAGAGTTCATATTTGGTATGGTTTATATTTCTTCCTCGCTCTATAGTACTGAACTAATAGTATCCAAAGAAGTTACTCTATATCTCTGGCAGGATGATTGCGATGATCTCCTAAGGAAAGTCTTTGGTGAGTCATTCTACTTTATTATTCCCTAACTACATGCTTATAACTTGAAAAGCAGCATATAAGGGTAATTTACGCCCCACGGCAAGTCGACAAATCAATCGGCTGTGGGAGGCTGGTATGATGAATGAAGCGCGGGAAATCTCAGTGTCCGCTATCCCAAGCTCACCAACCCCTGTCATCCCACCTCCCGACTCTGGCCCTGAGTCTCAGCCAATAACCTCTAACGAAGGCCTCGCCTCTGAAGGTATGGATCTGTACAATTCCTAAAGAGGGGCCCACGGAGAAGTGGGGGGCCAGCTGGATGGGAAATAAGTATTGGGAAGGCGGCACCATGCCATATTGTATCGCCCTATGGGCAAGTCATAATCCTGCCATGATCTGCAAGGAGGGAAGGGTCAATCTACTGTTATCATGAATGGAGTCCTTCTACAAGGGATAAAAAACTACACCTCCCCCAGTCTTCGAAATGTTTTCTAAGCCCAATAGCATACTATCCGACGGACCCGCGTCCCTCGCAGAAGGCGTATTGCTTTGAACCACTTCTGACGCGATCGAGGGGGACCAGTTATAATTAACTGCTTTCCCCGAGTTGGAAACAAAACCACTCGGCAATGTGGTTCGGGGTGTCTCCCAGCAACGTTAAAGCGGACGTCAGGTGGCGAGTAAACCGGGGGTTTGCTTCTTTCTCTTCCTCAGCCTTCGGGGTGCTTGACAATCCGACCGTGGGGCACATCGCCGGAAAGGGAAACGTCGCTCGCGTACGTGCTGGCAGGCAAGGAAATATTCATGAAACGACCCTGCGCACCCATCCCGGGGCGGTAGGGCTCACCTCATAGCAGCGCTCACCTCATAGCAGCGCTCGCCAGCAAGCCAATTAATATGTGCGCCAACACTTTACCAGAAACAACACATTCTCTTTACAGTGACCAACTCTTCATGTACAGTTCAATTCCCACCATGACGTCTGACCCCCACTCAGCTTCCGTTGCCTAGGACGTATGGGGCTCACTGATGAGACGCTCGGGGCATAAGACGAAGGCATCTCGTTCATTTACTGCGAACTCGAACAACTTGGGTTCTCGACCGGGAGAAGAAGACTCTGGTAAGGTTTTCGGGGGGGGAAGGCGAAGGAGCGGCCATCTTGGGGAACAAAAACTCGATGGAGGGGAGGATCCGTCGGCCGTATTATCTTGGAATGGGGATCCCGGGATCTAAAGCTCTCCTGTTATACCCTGGCCCTCCCCGACGACGAGATGTCACATATTGCAACCCACCCCACCAGGATTGCGGGACATATGTGCATACATACTACTAACTCCGCGCAGAAAGACAGAAAACCGTTTCCGACAAGTGAATGGTATACAAGTGTGGCGACAGCCCCACACGTCCACCAGCTCGCCAGCGTAAAAGTTGGATGAATTAGTTTGATAAGCGTGCACTTTCTGCACAGTACCATAGCTAGGTATTTCATAGCCTGGGGTTTCATGGTTGTGCCCTTGTTTTCACCAGACGGCTCTAGGATGATGGCGCCCGATGGTAGAGGCGCCCGGGCCTTCAATGCAACCCCGCTCATAACCCCGCTTACAACTCCGCTCACAACGCTGAACGCACCAGCAACTACAGATGTGCCAAAGTCACGTGAATAATCCCAACGAGTTGGGTACCGAATGTGACGCGGTCAACATCGTGCACGGACGCCAGCGACAGTGTGCCCAAGCCAAACGAAACGAAACGATGGTCGGCCAGCACGAAGACAAGACCAATAACATCCGGTCACGCGCCGAGCGTATCGCAAAACGCTTCAACAAATGGCTTAGGAATTTCGTCGAGAAGAGCGGCGACAACGGCGGCGGCATTGCGATGGAACCAGAGACCTGTTTCGTTCAGAACCTCATCAACTACCGCCACAACCAGATAGAACAAGACAAGGGCGAGATCCTAGAAGATATACTCCGTGCCGAGATACCAACAGACGGGGCGGCCGCATGGGGGCTCTGGTACATTGAGATGTGTTCTCTGATGCTTAGAACTGCCCAGGACCGGAGATACTCGAAGACGGGTGATCCCAGGAAAGAAAAGGCGGAACGGAATAAGATGCATGCATGTCGTCTCTTGAATCAAATTGTGAATGGCCTTTGGCCCATTTTGCAAGAGGATTGTTTGGTGTTTTACCGTTTTTTTGCCGGTAAGATGACACTCACCCATTATAAAGGACTTGCTAATGTGTTCTAGAGACGAACATCCGTTTAACGGAGGTCTCGCGACTTGAGGACCGGTCGGAGTTCGTCGGATTTTTCGTTAACATTCTCGTTGGTGAAATATCAGAGGGCAAGGTCAAAATCCCAGGGAGCCCTTTCGCTCTCTACCCAACCGTGCTCTTAGCTTGGCTTAGAGGTCATAGGTAACTTTCTTAACCTCACCATATCGGCCCCTGACTGACTTGTCTACCTCCTTAGCTATCAGGAGGTATGCCGTGTGATTGGACTACATAAGCTTGCGCACCTAGACATGGACGTGGAGGTCGCTGGGTGTAAGGATAGACTCCTACGGGGTGGGGTAGGTTTGGCTTTCAGGGTCGCACTGGCGCCGAGGCGCTCGACAGAGCTCATCGCTACCCCTGGTGGACCTCCACCACCCGCGCCACCCGCGCCGCAGCCTCCAAGCCGCCAGACGCAAACGCTCAGCGAGAACGACGTCAACTCAAGGACACTTGCAGGCTCTGGCGACATTGGAGCGGCAATCTTCTTTTTGGACTATCTGGATCTTGATGATGAAAAGGCACGTTTCCACGGATTCAAATATTTGCCGTTGTAGAATAAAAACCTCGTAGTTACTCGGAATCTCCTTTTCCGGTGCCTCCTAACAAAGTCGTGCGATGTATAATGCCGCATATATAAATATCACGAGGGCACGCCTCCTCTCTAAGGAGCACCTGCTCTCCTGCCTCAAGGAAAATCACCTCACCCACTCGACACTTGAATATGGAATCAGTAGTAACAGGACCGGCTATCGGAGACCTAATGATACCTTCCGAGGGGGGTTCTTCGGGCAATTTAACACTTCCCCTTAGTCGAGGCCTTGGGACAAATATAAGCATTGCAACCATGTTCTCCGGGCACGTTATATAACCTCGTTGAAGCCAGAGTATACTGCAGCTAAATATCTCCGGTACAATGTCAAACCCCTTCCCCCTTGCCCACATATATGCGGGGGTTCTCTATATTTTCGTTAGCGTTATATTGTCGTTTATTAGAGACTTTACAAACCATAGTCCTGTGAAATAAAATATTCAGGTCTTGGGCCGGGTGGGGGTGGGTTAGAACTGGTAACCTCAATAAGTCGGACCGATTCGCCGCAGGTTGAAATTCATCGGCATAGAAGGTAAGTCCTTCGGCTCCTTCTCGCATTTCGTGGGTAGCTTGTTCAGCCAACGCCCGGTGGGTAGCTTGTTCAGCCAACGCCCAGTGGGTTTCCAATACCGGCTCGTCTAATTGTAGGCCGGCGGTCATGATGTTCGCGATGTCTGTGGCACGGATAACAGGCATATTGTAATCTTGGGAGTTTGAAAATCTAGTAATAATGTGCCTGGCTATACACGGGTTGGCGACAACGGTGCAGGATCGCCGCGGCCCTTGGGTGGAAATGACGTTGGCATATTTCCCAGCGGTGGTGGTTTTGGCTGTTCTCGGTCGCCGTAAAATATGTGGAGAGATTACGGAAGAGATGGTGGGTGGCTTACGTAAGGTACCTTTGAGCCGATCAGGCATGCGGGGTCAAAACGGGCGGGCTCTTGCGGCTGGAGATCGCGCTTTCTCCATAACTACCTCTCATGTCGCGATCTATCGAACTTCATAAGCCAGTTGTGCCTGAGCCGACGGCGAGAAAAGCTAGGTATGTTATCATCCATCCATAGAGTACCAGATCGCTGGGTGAGGTTTACCCCGGCTCTCACCTTGACGCGCCGGATCGGCTACCTTTGAAGCCTATCCTGGCATCAAATGGGTCTAATTGAGCCTACAGTAGCTGCTTAGAAGAACCCCCACCGCAATAACTATTTAAATGAAGTAAAGGAATAGCGGTACTATTTTAATATATAGATAGCGAGCTAGATGACGCCTACTGTTTACCACTTAGTATAAACCACAGCTCAGTACACTATCCCTGTCTAGGTGGCAGAAGACGACGCTTCATTTGAATCTTTAACTTCTCTGCTGAGCGAATGATCTTTGTCTCGTTTAAGCAGAGTTTATCCGCAAAATGAGTCGGAAAGTATTCTCCAAAGTTCTTCTCCATAAGCGTATAAGGCTCACGCCCATGGCATAATACATAGAGGTTTAATATAATATTCGATTCATGAATAGTTGCTTCCAGCATTTTTGGATCCCAATTGTGCTCTTTAAGGCTGTGACGAATATCGTTGAGGAGGTTCTTCGGGTTGTTTTCCGAGTCCCTAAACCAATCGAGGGTATCATAGATAATATAATGTGGTTTCTCGACCCTGCGCTTTTCAGAGAGTTCTTTAGCACTTTACAATAAAAACGCCAACCGTACCGGATTTAGCCAAGTTCTTAAAGAAATCTCGGTTTTTGAACATCATATTTATAACATTATGAGGACACTCCGTTAGCAAAATCGTAGGCCCGGGGAGGTGAGCTAGGGAAACGTTGGCGTTAACTTGTGCTGCTTTCATATTGAGCAATAAAGGGAGGTAGGGCATTACTAGGGCTTAGGCAAGTAGTGCTAATGCTACTAACTTGGACGTCATGGAACTATATACCGTCCAGACCGTCTTAGCATCGATGCGCCGCGCGATGCGCCACTCGACGCGCCACTTGATGCGCCACTTGATGCGACAGTACGCACGTGCCACAAAGATGTCGCACATCTTTGTGGCCCGTGCTACGTAGGTTCGTGTTCCCTCCACTCCAGGCTAGGGAGCGGCGATTAAAAAACCAAGAACTGATCAAGATATAGCAAGTTATATACCTATATTCTAAAAATTTCAAGGCAAACATTCGCCACGCCCACCACGCCCACCTCGCCTCGACCATTCCGAGACCGCCCATCAAACTCAATCGAGAGCGCTGGAGCGTCAGCGTGGAAACCCACCGGATTGCAATGGCTGGCAGATCCCAGGCTGTTGAAGCAGGGCTGAGTCAATTAGAGACCACCCTAGACCAAGTTACCGAGATTATTAGGACGTACCTCACTCCTATCCGACGGCCCGAGCGCTCATAGCGAACATTTGTTGAAGATGGAACACCTTCTTGGGATGAAGATGGAACACCCTCTCGGGATGAAGATGGAAGACTTTTTCGGGATGAAGATGAAATACTTTTCGATGAGGACGAGCCACCTTGGGCAAAGAAAATTACCGACATCTTGGCCTCCCTGTCGACACAAGTACAAGATCTTAGGAAGAATATGGCAGCTAGCCGTGCAGTGGCTGGAATTTCTCTGCTCACATCAGATGTCGAGGCTGGTATCAGGGAACAACCTACAGCGCCGACAGAGCCGACAGAGCCGACAGAGCCGACAGAGCCCACAGAGCCCACAGAGCCCACGGAACCGACAGAGCCGACAGAGCACACAGATAGGACTGCGTTAATACTACACACAAATCTAGACGGTTCTAAAAGCGACACTGTCGCTTTTCCAACCAGCACAAAATTAGACAACGATGCAGCGTGCCAACTGGGCTTAGACCCGCCCGAGAGAGGGCTGAAGGTCGATAACATGAGAGATGGACTAACCCAAAGTATTTGGGAGCTCATCGGAGGAGGCAATAATTTCACCAGCAAAATATTGATCAAGAATTTGGACAAGTTTGATTGGGACGAGATTACGAAGAGGATTCAGCCGCCAGAACCCAGCTACGGCCTTCTTGAGGTTGAGTATGGTCGAGGAGGTAGGGGATTCTCAAAATTGTTCCTATCCGATTCAAAGAGGTTCAATTTCCCCGACCTCTCCAAAACACCAAAGCGTCCAGTCGACGGCCAGAGCTATTTCCAGCATCTTGTCGACAACCCTCCGAAGGGACAGAAGTCCTATTATATTGGGCCTCCACTAGTAAGCAATTTCGATGATCTACTTGACTCGGGGGAAGAGCTTTCTGGGATCGGGGAGCTCCCCGGTATTAATTCGACCTACTGGCACGCTGGCGAAAAGGATTCGGGTACGGCGTTCCACTGTGAAGACACGAACTTCTGGTCCTGTAACCTCACTTTATATGGATGGAAGCTCTGGATCTTAATCCGAGAAAGCCACACAGAAGTATTCGAAGCCTTCATCGATCGACATTGGGGGTGCGGAAATTGCGATTAGCGTGACGCCATCACAATCTAGTGATCAGTCCAGCCAAACTTAAAGAGGAGGGGATCGCATTCGATATTTGCTATGCCGGTCCTAGCGATTTGATCATTACGAGACCGAGGCAATACCATATGGTAATCAACGCAACCAGCTGCTTCGCAGTAGCAGTCAACTTTCTCTGCCTCCCGGACAGGTGGCCATACCCAAGGTGATTGTGTGCCCAGAATGCACACTTTATGAGTTTCTACATCAAAACGTAACTCAAGAAGAACAGCCTATCGCTTCAATGCAGGCCTTGCGACCACGTAAGGCCTTGCCCGATAGACCTACAAGGCCTACTTCAACAAACACGCCAATACAGCCAAGGCGTTTAAAGAGAGCAAGACACGTTGTCGAGCAGCAGGGCTCCGGAGAACTGGTGGAGATTGAGCGACAGATCAGAGCAGTCGACAAGCATTGCAAAACCCCCTCAATCGAGCATATAAATCCGCCAGGCCCTGACATCTTCAAGCTTGCGGCCGCGCTATGGAGCAGGCCAGCAATTAACCAGTTTTGCTCTCTTATTCGCAGTAGGAGGGATCCTAGCTTCCGGTTCACCAGCACTGGTGAATTCAGCACCCGTATCAAAGCTTGTTACCAAGGCATTACTATCGCCGACAGGAAAGTAATTTTGAATATATTCCTACTGCGGTACCATCAGGTTAGGCTCGCCCGATACGTCGAGCAGACGAAGCAGGGCACTCTCCGAGCAGATCCAAAGTTGTTAGCCAATATCCGGCAAGATCTTGGGTTGAAGAAAGCCGAATTCGATAACCACCTCAAAACTGGCCAGAAATGGATACGAATTTGTGCCCCATGCGACGGTCTCCTATGCTTCATTTTTATTAGTGGGGATAATAAGTTTGGGATATCACCAACCAGCTACCTCGCTATGACATCTAAAGGCCGCTCAGCATTCCATCGCCTAGTATTTGACGACGAATATACTACACACCTACACAATCTAGGGAAGGTATTTCAAGATTCTTTGGACAGCATAGTAGAGGATGTTGAGTTTAGATTGGAGAGCATTTGCCCCCTAGACTTGGAACAGCTCTCAGAACCGGACCTTCTCTCTAGCTTTGAATCCCCACGATGCAAAACCTCTACCAGCCGGACGAGTATCCTAGTTGGCCCAAACCAGAAGGTTGGCCCGACGAGTGGCCATGGCCGGCCAATCCCATGTCGATACCAAAGGGGGAGATGCAGTGTGATCTTTGTAGGCAACCAACCTGCGGGTGCGTTAACTCTTCCATGTTCAAGCCGCGTATTAAGGATTGTGGGAGCGCGGGACGCGGTCTCCAAGCGGTCACAGGTGGGTCCGGGGAGAGAGCGTATGCGAGAGGAGATATTATCGGCTATATCACCGGCGAAATTGTGCCGCTACAAACTTACAGCGGTGATCGAGTCCGGACGTCGTGAGACAAGATATCCCTGGAGAGCCTATTGTCTGTCAAATCCGTTGTGTGGATATTGGTAACTGCTTCAGGCTGTTGAACCATAAGCCTATGGGGACGGCAAATACGCAGCTGAGGGGAATCAGAGTATCTGGAGCGTACAGGATTGCAGTGGAAGCAACCGTGGATATATATGATGATTGGGAGATAACAGTTCATTACGGGGCGATGGGGAAACTGGCGTAGTCTAAGATTCTTATATTTCATGTTGCTATGTTATTTCTTTACATATATTGAAGCTAGAGCACCGTATTCCCAGCCCTTTTTGTTTGTTATTGAGCCTCCGCTAGTTTCTTTGCTATTTCTTTCGCTTCGCTCGTTAATTGACTATATAAGCAAATAAACTCCACTGAATAGTTTTGCTAGATTATCTACTCTCGTAAACTTAATAAAGTATTATCTATTGGCTCGAAGTTTTTTACTATTAAATTAGCTATATTATTAGTCTAAGTAGAAAAGAACTGCGGTAGTACGCTGCGTGTCGTCTTAGGGCAGCAGTCCTCTGATATCTTACCCCGAAGGATTCCAGTCAGCGTATCGATGACACCTGTTGACATAGACCGCTTCAACCGCTATCTTTCCAAACTTAGCTTCGAGTACACGAAACTGTTCCGAAGTTGGACGTCGGTACAGAGGGCCACGTGGATTGCAACTTCGTCGGCTTGTTGGTCTTACAAATATGGTATGGATTTCACCTGCATGATTCACCCTGCCGTATTCGACGCCGGGGTCCAATCGATATTCGCCAGTGCTGGCTCAGTGTCTCCTGTTTCGGCCGCATATCTTCCTGCCAGTGTGGGGCGGATTCGCGTTAGCGCTGCTCCTGCTTTTGCCGTTGTAAGCGAGGAGCTATGCTTCACCATCGACGCAGGACCCTCTTCCATCCCTGCTGTCATCGTCATGGTCCTTCCTCCAGCTCATTCTCCTCTGGCGCTTTCTCTACCTCTCCCCCTCGGCCCCTTCTCCGGCCGCCTAGGCTAGCTACATCTGTTCTTCCGCCTTGTTGAGGGGATAGAGGGCAGTTGGCAGAGTATCTTTCCAGTGTGAGGCGACTGCGCCGGTCTCCACAATCTGTGGTTTTGAGGTAGATTCCACTTTCAATTTAACCATTGCCAGTTGTCCCGATCCAGGCGCGAGATCCCTGCCGCGTTTCCCTTCCACCTCAGCCACAGTGAAGTGAGGCATACCTCGGAACTTTGCCGGTATGTCGCCGTCATTTTGATCAAGCGGAGGGTGCCTTTTTGTATCGTCGTCGTCGTCGTCGTCGACGACGTTTGAGACGAAGTAAAGGGGCCTCACACTCCCATCTTCTAGAATTTCTACTACAAGGACCAGCCTCGTATGAAACCAGCGAGTTGTATCACTCCCGGCTGACCGGTGTTTAGCGAAAAGACGTCCTACACAGAATTTAGTCATTGTCCCAAGGTCTGGCTACCCACGCCACGACATACCTAATGGAGCAAAGAGAATTGATCTGTTGTTGGGTTCAGAGTCATTGCCGGCATCCGGCGACGCGTAGCACATGCCCAGAACCAAGCCGGGGCTCACAAGGTCTGCGTTGTACGTCTCAAGGACCTCGGAACTTGCTCGCCAGGGAACCAAGGGGCTGCCGTGGATTTGGAGCCCCAGCTCAAACTCTTCAAGTTCCATACCAGTCCGTGGATGTCTTTCATGACGCCGCCACGAGAACGTCGTAGCAAGGAGTTGAGTGTTAAGAGAGAATCATTGCCCGTCTTCCAGTTTGCACCTAATACAGAGGCAAAAATTGAGGAGGGATCGTCGGTCGGAGAGTTGGTTTGCTGCTTTTCCATCCACTCAAAGAAATCGTCGACAGCGGCGTCGGACTTGAGCTCCCTCTCCAGTTCGTCAAGCTACGTCATCTCGTCATCTAAGCTCTTCCCACCTTGGCTGCAGAACTTATCATAGAATTGCTGAAATTTCTGAAGTGTAGCCTGGTCAGATGGGCCATGGTCCGATAGTAGAACTGAAATACCGCGAGGGAAGGGTGGTAAGGGTGGTATCGGTGGGAGTACTGGACCCCGCATGCCTTCCAGAAGGCGGTGATCGATCGAACTGTTGGCTCGAAAGCTGGGAAGTCCTCGAAAGATTGAATTTTCACCGATCGATGACTTGGCATCTCTGGCGTTGCAGGAGTAGAGGAGAGACAGCCGTCTACCGATCTGGCTCTGGAGTCGATAGATGAGGCGGAAAGCGATGGCGTTGATGTGGAGAAGCGAACGTTGTCTATCGATCGACGTCTGGCGACGTCAGGCGAAGCGGTAGGCGATTGAGTTGAACGAGAGAAAGGATTATCGTAGTTGAGCAGATAGATGCTCCAATTTGATGGTGCTTCGCACGTGCCCCGCAGTTCGACTCGGGCGGTGGTCGAATAGAGGCCCCCATCATTTTTAGAGGTGGGTGCTATGCGCTCCGACACTGGCAGAGGGACCTGTGTCTGAGAAATTCTCGGGCCACTTCAAGCCACCGTGCATACGATGTCAATGCTTATACGGTGCAAATTGGGACCCTGCCCTAACACCGGAGGACAAGACGAATGAAATGCGGCAGGCACTATCTGGCTTGCAAGATCGGAAGATGCAATATCACATCGACGGTAGGAGACCACCATGCAACTACTGTGTGGAGACGATTGCGGCTGCGAAGATCTATCTGCTCTACAACGGAACTGTTAGTCTCTTGTAACGGGCAATACGCTGTTGATAGAGACGGAAATTTGAGTACACCCACACAGAGAGCAATAAATCTAAAACGGTCGCTCTGATTGTAGCGTGAGAGTACGAGCATCAATCTGATGGAGAGAGATACATCGTCAGTGTCATTGCTCTGCTCACAAGTATCAGTCCTCTGAGGAGCCTCAACAATTAGGCCGCTTCACGCACCTGCATGAGCTCAATCAATGCTTTGGTGAAACCTGAATCGACGAACGATTGTCTCGTCGGCTCCGACAGGTACGATAGTTTGACGGATCCTGATTAGAGACGTGTTGCACGCGATCGAAGTTGACAGCGCATTGAATTGTCTGCTCAATAGGTCTTAAAGTACAGAAAAGAACGCTTCCTTATACTCATGGAGAGAGGGCAAGGGAGGCGCAGCCCGAAAGAGGGCATTCCGAATGAAATGAGGACATTCCGAGTCAAGAATGAAGGAAATAACAAAGAATGAAGGAAGCTCAGAGGCATGTCAACCAGGGCCTGTCCAATTCCATGAAAAATGGGTCAATTCCAGACGACAAGACGTTTATCTCCTAGGTTATTATCCTGGCAGTTAAAGCCGCACCAAATCCACACGAGCTCTGTCCCCACACAACTCTAACCAATTAGGATTATCGAGCTAGGTTGCATTTTTCGGTACGCTATTTGAACCTCATTGGAATCGGATCGATCGGGATATAAAACGGGTGATAGTGTGGCTGAGTTAGGACCCTGGTTTGCAGAAGCGTCGGAGCTAGACGAGAATCACGCCTGTCACTATCCCTGTATTGAGGTGGCTTGCGCCAGGCAGCTATTTTTCTATAGGGGAGTACTGATACAGTACATACATAACTGTCAGTCCCGTGACCCCCGTCTGTCCAATAAACGGGGGCTTAAGTGCTCGTACAATGCCCTCGAAAACGAGACGCCCGCCCAAGCCATCAAAAGAAGGAACGACATATATAAAGGACGGCAAAAATGGCCAAAGCTCTCGGTGAGAGGGTTGTGCTGCAAGCGGGCTCTGTGGCTGCCAGCTGGCGCCCTGGTTCAAAGCGGACAGTGTAACTAACTGTGTGGTAGATTTAAGGTCACTGTCAAAGCATTGTCCGGTACGCACACTACCATAGTGGTACGAGCGTGGCTCACTTGTGCGCCTCTGGCTCCAGTCATTCACCACAAAGCTGATTCAATTGGCTGCGACGTGTGGGGTCGGATCATCGGGCATGGCAGCTGCGTATGTCGGAGGCATCTTCGTCCAGCAGGATAGGAACCAGCTCGGCATTATTTGCTAAATCTAGCAGTTGTGCCCTAAAGAGGCCTGATCAGAAGCTTATTATACGAGGTAGAGGGTCAAAAACTGAGGTTCTTGGGGTCTAAAAACGGGCCCTTCTTTTTCTCCTGTTAGTGTCCCGTTTTTTTTTTTAAAAAAAAAAAGGAAAGAAAAACGGTCGCGCTCACAAACGGAGGAGAATCCCCACTCTTGGCATTGGCAGCGAACACGCCACGTGTGCCCTGTTTGGTTGCACCTTGGCCTATTTGCCCTCCCATCCTCTCCTCATTCGATAACGACTAAGTAATTACCCCGTATCGCGCGCTATAGTCTTCCTGCCCATTACGATTGGTCACCACCTAAGCAAGGAAAGGTCGCAATTATGGCCTCACAAACTACTACGAAAGCATGACTTTCGCCCAACTCTGGGCCACCACCCCCAAGCTCATTAGGGCAGAGCATTTTTCGCCTAGCACTACTAGAATGCGTGGTTACCTCAACGGAGAGAACTAGGAACTCTCTCGTTGGTTGACAGGTGCGTATCTCTCGGTACGACCCTTTATCAATCTTTCCTAGCATGTGCATCTAACCCTACCGGCAGAACCATGAAACACATCTTACGAGGCTGGCTCAGAGACTAGTTCTCCCAAGTTAGTTATATTCCCTTTAATGAATCGCTCGAGTACTGATAAACGGTAGGTTACCGACGAGGCAGTTGCCTCCCTGTTCCGATGCGAGCTCGCCACCGGTATCTGGCTCATGCTAGCGGCGTATGTGGAAGTCACGCGGAAGATTTGTACTAGGGAGGAAGTTGGGGTACGTATGCGTGACGCACTTTTCGCTGCATCTCGGGAGCTCAGCTCCATGGAATGATGCTCAGCCTGTAAACCATAGCACACCGTCGAGCCAATGGGCGGCCGGCGCTTCTCGCTTACTTGTCGCGACATTAATCCCGACAAGATGCAGAGCCAGAGCGACAAAGATGACGAGCCTGTCTGGGTCTGGAATCTGATAGTAAGAAGCAGGGCAAGCAGCCAATGCGTAACCCAAATGATTGATGATAATGATGATGGCCACTTTCAACCACTGCAGCCCTCTTTCGAGTGAAAAGAACATACCGCCGTCCATCAGAGACGTATCCCGCGGGTCGGCGAAAGGCGATGGGCGACCTTCTCCTCGGCGGCTCAAAGCAAAGATCATCTGTCCATGTTTATCAGCCGCTGATGAAGAAACGATGTTTTCATATTTGTTACCCCTGCCCTGGTGTTCAAAACTATTAACTAGTTTAGGGTCTTTCTGGCTGTTGACGAGAGGAGATGATGGAGTTTGAAAGATTAGTCTAGCGTGCAATGTAGACCGCAGAAAGCGTCGACGGTCCAAGGATTCGGGTCAGGTTGTCAGATAGTGCCATATCGCCAAAGTTTGAATTTGTCTGCTTAATTACCTGTTACAATCTAGAACACCGAGGTTCCACGGAACTAGGCTCGGCCTAGGATCGTGAGGGTTGGGTGGGTGAGCTGAGGTAGTGCGAACCACACGGGTAAGTCGAAGTGTTGCACGCGATCGAAGTTGACAGCGCATTGAATTGTCTGCTCCCTAGGTCTAAAAGTACAGAAAAGAACGCTTCCTTATACTCGTGGAGAGAAGGCAAGGGAGGCGTTGTAATCAGCCCGAAAGAGGGCATTCCGAATGAAATGAGGACATTCCGAGTCAAGAATGAAGGAAATAACAAAGAATGAAGGAAGCTCAGAGGCATGTCAACCAGGGCCTGTCCAATTCCATGAAAAGTGGGTCAATTCCAGACGACACGAAGCGTAAGGAGCGTACAATAATGCACAAATTGCGAGAGTCTCACTCTCAATCAAACAAGTAATGTAAGATAAGCCATATGCATTGATAGCTGAGGAACCGTCTCCTAGAGAGCGTTCCTCTAGCTCCTATATAGAACTATGAATAACCACTCAGAGTCTTCCTGGGTGCTCAGTGCGCTCAGTGTGTCTTGGCAGCCGATCACACTGAGCTCCTATAGGTCCAACCCACCTGCTTACCCCAATCCAATCAGCAGTCAGTCCACTGAGCCTCCTGCACGCTTGAGCCAGGGTCGTAACATTACCCTCCCAGCCAACAACTGTCTACTCATTATTTAGACGTCATGTGGTAGGTCTTGGTAAATCCTCCACGTAAGAGTACCTAATTGGACACCGCCGGACCCATGCTTTAGTCACGCTCAGCTCACTGTTGACGACCAACTATTCTAATAGTCGGGCCGTCGCCTAGGTGCACAGTACGCCATGGCCTTCAAAACCACCTCATAACACGGGTGATGCATGGTCCAAGACTCTAAGACCATGATAAATGCGATAATTACTCCCGCCGTTTCCCAATTACTTAATTACCAGTAAGATAAATTCCCATCTCACACACACACTTTGCGCCATCATTCTTTGCCAGCCAATCCACACACAACCAATCAGTCTTCTTCATCAAGCATTCCTGATTACAAAACTATCTAAATACATAAGAGAAAGCCTAGGTACTCGGACTGTAGGCAACGTCTATTCGGACTGTAATTACCTAGGTACAAAGGCGCCTGGGCCGCGCCCAGGAAAACCCCACTTTTTTTTTTACTAAAAAGGGCAATGAGACGAAGCCACCAGCGCAATTAGACTTCCGATTAATCAGCCATATGGGATAATTAGACGCATCCTTCCCGAGCGATAGTTAATTATGATCTCGTCGAGGTTATTTAAGAATGCGAGCACGGATATTGCAGCTCGCTTGCTAGTCTAATGCTAACGCTACCTTACTTACTGATTGGCCCAGCCGCAGTAATGTATGCAACGTATCGCAATCAACAACCTTGCTTAATATCCCTCCGACCAAAGGAATTCAACCTATCTATCACAAGAAATTGTGCCTTGAGTAGCCTGCTACTGTTTGGAACTCGCCATCCTTTACCTACCTTACCCAAGCGCTCATACTTATCACACCGAGCAGCCCTTCCTTTCCTTATGCCCGCTGCCAGTGGCTCCAAGCTGACCCCCCCCCCCCCCCCCCCCCCCAAAAAAAAAAAAAGACTTTGTGTCATCCAGAGCAGACCCTGGATAGCTCGGCTATGGGGGGCTCAAGGGAGATGCCTCAGCTTGGGCATGCCCCAGTGATTGACGGCAGCCTGGATCAGGGCCGTGTTGACCGTTGAGACAGTTTCCCACTGCTCCTGGCCGTGGGGCCCGCCATAATCGTGGATAAACTGCAACAACTGCTGGAGGCACTCCTGCAGTTCATCCTGGGTGCCCACCATGGTCGCATCCAGGACCTGTGGGTTACCTATGTACTTCGGAAACTGGATAACCATTTTCTTCCCGTCTCTCCAGTCACCGGTGCTGGCTCCCAGCTCGAGAGCGTGGTCCTTGGGGCACCACACAATGATGCCATGGAATACGGGCTGGCTTTGGCTGGAGGCGGACCGGAACAAAGTGGGGACTGACTTGGCCGCGGACTCTTCGACCTCCTTCAGGCAGATAATCATAGCTTCTGCGGGCGTGATAGGCGACGACGAGTGTTTCTGCAGTGGGAAGGAAAATTTTAGGGTTAATCAGCAAAACTCAGACTCATGACACGCAGGCCATGAGGCAGGCCATGATGCAGTCACTCACGATTTTACCTTCCACGTTTCCGTCCCTCTCAAACTTGGACTCGGAGCTCTTGAACTTCCAGCTTGCATTTGTTTCTGGAAACCTTGCCCAGGCTCCTTCAGGCAGTGCAAACGCCCCGCCAGTGATGGTGGAGCTGGAATCGAGGACGATGCCCGTGTTTCTGCACCTCGCAACTCGATGCCGGGAGAGGTCGTAGATTTCAAAGTTGAATATCGGGACGCCCCCTGCGCCACTGTGGGCGTTCAGCTCGCTGATTCCCTTCACCGCAAACGACGTACAGCGACCCGCGTAGGTGTTCCAGGTAGAACCCAATCTCTGAAGGTCGGACCCAGTGACGTGATCCAACGTAGCCTTCTTGATGGAATTCTTGGGGTCAGTGAGGAATTGCTCGTGCGTTTTTGTAGCCGCATTGAGGAGGTGTTCTAGCATCAACAACCCAGTATAGGGACCGCCATTGAAGATTTTCATCCACTCTTGCTTAGCGAGAGCAAGGGGTTCAGTTGACGTCGTGTGAGACATGGTGTAGGTCGGCAATTAGATTTAGAGCAGATGATAATGGTAAACGAATATAATCAAAGCCGAGCAAGCAGAACCAGAGGTAATTAGCTGGGTGGTGAACTGGTGATGATGATAGAGAGGTCTGGACCAGGACAGTAGCCAAACCACCCAGGCATGACCTTTATATAGGAAATACGGCAGATGGCTCCCACGAGGACAAGATGTGTTGAAAGGGGCCGTTGCCGTGCTCGTGGACGTTATCGTGGCTGTGGTTGCTCATGCTGGAGCTTGTGTTGGCGCGAGCCGAAGGGTCCCAAGGGGATCCAGGCTCGTATCCATGGTACATCGCCAGGGCGGCACGGCCGTTGGGCCATGGCTGCTGAGGCCGGTGACGGCTTGTTCCAAAGCGTTGTTGACCTGTTTGAGGGAGGAGGCGTCATTACTGTGGTAGGTAGCTTGAGCTGGTGTTGGCGGCGAGTGAAACAATAGAGAGGAACCCACCTGTAAGCTCCCATCTCCGACTGGGGCGGCACGGCCGTTGGGCTATGGCTGCTGAGATGAGACTGATGATAGTTTGTTCTAAAGGGTTGCTGGTCTTTTTGTTTTCCAAGGGAAGAGGCGTCGTCTCTGTGGAAGCTTGAGCTGGTGCTGGCGGCGAGTGAAACAATAGAAAGGAAAGCCACCTGTAAGCTCCCATCTCCAACCAGGGCGGCGGCACGGCCGCTGGGCCATGGCTGCTGAGATGAGACTGATGACAATTTGTTCCAAAGGGTTGTTGGCCTTTTTTTTTTCTAAGAGAGGAGGCGTTGTTTCTGTGGTAGCTTGAGCTGGTACTGGCGGCGAGTGAAACAATAGAAAGGAAAGCAACCTGTAAGCTCCCATCTCCGACAGGGGCGGCACGGCCGTTGGGCTACGGCTGCTGAGATGAGACTGATGATAGTTTGTTCTAAACGGGCCGTCGGCCTTTTTTTTTTTGGAGGGAGGTGTGTGGTTGTACCTAGGTAGGTAGCTTACGCTCGTATTAGCGGCGAGTAAAACACTGGAAATACACCTGTAAGCTCCCCTCGGGTTATGAAAATTTAATATTAGTACTCTGTAAATTTTAGTCCCCGGGGGAGGCGTGTGTGGTCGGTCACGTTAGGTTAGTGTTATCCCCCGGACCGGGGCGGCAGGGTTTGGCTGCCTGGCACGGGGCGGGGCGGCGTGGTAGCGGGGCGGCGTGGTAGCGGGGCGGCGTGGTATCGGGGGGCGTGGTAGCGGGGCGGCGCGGTAGCGGGGTGTCCGGAATGCAATCCAACGCCTAGGTTATTGGTCCCGTCGTAAAACCCTACCTTACAGTTTCAGGGTGTTGGGTGCCTTAGGTTCTGGATCCACTGGGCTTGCTGCTTGGGCTCTGCTGCAAATGGTAGGTGTGTTTCGACTGCTGTCGGGTGCTTCTCGATGGGCTTCTCGCCGACTACAGTAAGAGTAAGAGTAAGAGCACTCACTGGTTGACGTTCCATTCCGGCAATGATCCATTAATTATAAAAGCCTTCAGCTCCCGTCCCCTAGTTGTCAGGTTTATGCCATCCATCAGCCAAGTCGTTCACGTTCAGAGCAACCACCCACTGCAGCACTCCATCATCGCTCGTAGCTTTGTTTCCTGCCAATAACCCAAAGTATTCCTTTGCGTCTAGATCCCAGCGACAAGGGATCTAATCTACTCAGTGCAACAGAATGCCATCCTCTACGACTAAGGTGAACGTGAGCGCCTTGCTCAGGACCCTGAAGCCATCGACAGCCAAGCAGAGTAAGTACACTGCAAACCCCGCCCCATCCCCCTCACCGCCTGCAGAAACCCAACGTCCGCCGCCCCCGTCTAGACCGTGCATACTGATTGTACCATGCAGATGCGCTCGGCACACCCACAGCGACTTCGGGTGACTCGGTGAAGAGAATCTTGCTCGAAATCGAGTCCGCACCGCCAACCACAACCGCTCCCACTTCCACGCAGGATCATTCCAAGGCCGGAGTTTAGGGTGCAATGGCTTCTTATACTGTACAGGGCAGCATCAGGGCTGGGAAGGACCCTTTCCAGTTCTCGACGCAGGGCCTGTTGCGCGTTGGGGATGGTCCACGGCTTGCTGGCTGCTGGAGGAGGTGTAAGCTGTCGAAATAAAATACTTCGGCCCTTTCTTATCTCGCGGGCTGGGCCCCGGAGGGCTGCAACGTGGAATCTTAATCTTGGCTGGACCGAGAGGGAGAGGCAGACTTACTTGGAGGGTTCAACAACAGATTGTACAAAATCGAGCCAGCGCCGGTGTGACTGGATGCCACTGCACGTGTCCCGCATATGTTAGCCCGAGTGATCTTTGCCCGCCGTGAGCTCCCTGCCGGCGTAAACAGGGACCGGGAGGTAATTAGTAGTACCTCAGCGTCTCCTCAATTGCAACGCGTTCTTCTTCGGTGGTGTTGGGGTCGCGAAGGTCTTCTCGCCAACCTTCCTCCTCCACGTCCAACAGTGCTCGCATGGCAACATTTGCCGGAACACCGCTGTGCACCACCGGAAGCCCTTCCCTTTGTCAGCCTGGAGTGGAGGGCAGCTTGAAATTCTCTCTCTCGCCCCCCCGGACATACGTGAAGAGTTTCTGTGCCTCTCGGCTACCATCTCAAGCAGAGCATGAACATCGACTGCGTTCCCGGCCGGTCGGGGCCCGTTGGCATTGTCGCTCTGGTTGCCGTCGGCGCCGTCCTTGCTGCTCTCGGCCATTCTCAATCTCGAGTTGGTGCTGGCAAGAAACGTGGTCGAGTGGCGTGTGCGTTATTAGACGTGGCAAAGCGTGAATCTCAATTCTAGCCTTCACAGTTGGTAATGGATGGATGGATGGATGACGGAGAAAGAACTGGGAAGGGGAGGTCGACAGCGTGCGCACAAAGGCTCGCGGGCTTGGCACAACCCGAGGGAGGCGAAGGAGGCACAGGATTAGCGTTACATTCAGGACCCCAAACCCGCCCACATTTCATGATTCAACTCCCATCAAGACATCAAGACATACATGCCAGAAACAATACAAGATGAATATCTCTTTTATTCTTTCTATCATGACCATGTCTGTTTTGTGTGCCAACTATTAATTACATACTAGGTAGAATAATTACCCACCTACCGTATCTACCTACCCCACCTGCTTGGCCGGCCACACAGGGTCACAATGACATAATGAATGACTACACAGCCCAGCCCGCCATCCAGCCCGCCGTCCAGCCCGCCGTCCAGCCCGCACGTAGCAATTACCTCGCTAAAGAGTGAGAATGAGAAAAAAAAGAGAAACATAAACAAGTAGTCCCCGAAAGGTAATTACGGTAAAAGAGAAACCGCTCACCAAGCAGACAGGCGAGAACAGCTAAGCATCTGTCCCAGCAAGGCGGCTGACCTAAACTTCAGCCCCCAGACGATTCCCGCTCCCCCCTTTTTTGTTCTGTTCGCCTAGGACAGACACCCTCCCAGACAATAAGAGTCAGGGATCAAGGCCGATGATGGGCGACGTTCGACGGCTCCCGTTCGACGGCTCCCGCAGCGTAGGCTCCAGCTCAAAGGTCAATCAGTCTCCCGCCTAGAGAAAGGGAAAAAAGTTTTGGGGCTAAGATATCACGGGCGTAATTTGCCTGGGAAGGGGTGACCTTACGAGTGGGCCAGGGGCTAATAATGTGGGTGGAGCGTTGGCTGACATGAGAAGCTCCTGCGTGCGGGCGCGACAAACGTGTCTCCAGCTGAGAGAGAGGCTAAGTACCCGCACTAGTAAATGTCGCCCTGGCGGTACCTTTGTCTCCCAAAATGGGCGAAGCGCAAGACATGATGAACCAGCGGCGGCTAACGACATTTTATTATTTAAATCCAGGGAATTATTCCCCCATTGTATTCCTTGGTACGCTGCCCAGACTGGATACCTATGCAGCTTTGAGGCAGCATCAATGATGTGATTGTTTGACAGTCGAGACAGTGTCGGCAGCAGCCGCCTCCAGTTTTGGTGCCATTTAGATCTTGGAGCGATTGTGCTCCTGCTTCTATCTGCAAGCTGCAACCAAAAATTGCGGCAGAGATTTTACATATCTTACCTACCTCGCGTTTGGGCTGAGCTACTGTGTATATCCGCGGGCGGACTATTGGGTTCTTGAAGGAAGCCTAACTGCAAGCTGTTTCAGTGCAGGGTATCCATATCTGACCCTAGAGGTAAGCATACCAAGAGTGGCTCGGATTCTTCAGAGATGACTGCTTTTCGACATCTAATTATTTACCATGATCTCTGAGGTAGGAAGACCATCTGCCCTTTGCGCATACCTTAGTGCCTGCTCAGGCATGCGGTGTGTCCTGCAGAAAGCGTGACCAAACTCTCGGAGGGTCGGAAGCCAAACCATTCCAAGCGGGTACCTACCTACCTTACTATATAGTAGCTAGCAGCCAGCTGCTAGTAGCACCCCCACGTCAGAGCCGCTTGCTGTCGAATTTACCTTACATAGTATTAGGCCCCCTGCGATTCCCGCCAACAAGCATGCGACTTGGAAGTGTAACCGATTGCTTTGTAGGATACAGTGCTGCCTCTAGAGTCTTGACTATTAGAAACAAGATGAATCGTCCGTTCAGTCAGCTGCGCAGCGAAATGTTGCCTCAAATCACGCCTGCAGCCTCTCCTCATGTCGACTGACATCAGCAAAGCTCTCGTGAGCCTGTCCCCGGACCCAGTTTGGAACCTAGTTGAGGGATGCAGTCCCAGGTGCCCAGGTGCCCAGGTGTCATGAAGCCGGCCTGCAAAGCTAGAACTCCCCGCAAAAATGGGGTGCGCCCGCCCACAAGCCGCAATAGGGGGTTTAACCTGCATATCGGGCCTAACCGAGGAGCCTGCGACTTGGTCGGGGCGTTTTGGTAGCCCTGACTAGTAGGCGGCAACTTGCCCAAGACAACTTGAACGAGCTTGCCAAAGACTCACCCTCGCGAGGACATTGAACATCCCTAGGCTGTAATTCCCAATGCACGTAACTCCTGCGCCTTGTATATGCTTCTCAATTTTGGTCGCCCCTTTCCGCTTGATGGTGTTCGTTTTGGTACCCGTGCGGGTCGAGACGACGGCCCACTCTGTGACGACCCACTACGCCTGTGACCTTTCCTCTGCCTTTCGTCAGCGGACTTTAAGGACTTGACAAACCCTTCACGCCTGGCTCTTGGCTGCAGTGGTCGATTGGGAGGCGCCTTTGGTGATTGGACTGGCCCTAGGTCAGGCTGCGGCGGTTGCATACTCTCATAGACTCCTTAGGAAATCGCTGTGGCCGCTGTTTGCGCCCAATCCATGGTAGTAGGTGCAGCTGGGTATATCACTGTAGCCCCGTTCGCCTTGTCCGCAGGTGACGACACTCCCAAGCTCGTCCCGGTGGCATTAGTTTGCAGATTTCGTAATGGGGCGTGAATTGGCTGCGAAGAGAATTGGTTGAGAAGCTCGCGAGCCGCTGGGCGCTCATAAGGGTCGTTTGCAAGCATAGATGCGCACTGAGGTGCGTGCCGGTTCTTAGGTATCCAGAGTTCTTGGTACCACTGCTGCCAGTCCTATATCGCCCGCCTCCCTTCTTCGTTTGGGAGTTCCACCAAACACTCCACCACGGTCACACCGAGCGAGAATATATCGACCTTAGGCTTCTGCTCAAGTTTCTGCCGGACCTCAGGCACCGCGTACCACTGTGTTCCGATCAGAGTCTTTAAAGTGCCGACGACCTTTGCGATGCCAAATTCAGTCAGGAGGAACTTAGCGCCTCGGCTGCCTTAGTATAGGACATTCGCGGGCTTGATATCTCGATGAATGATAGCAGGATCGTACGTGTGTACGTAATTCGAGAGCGCCCGAGATCTGAGAGAGCATTCTATCGGTCATATGTATCACTGCTTGTGGACCTTCGGGTCGGTATTGCCTTATCAGGCCGTGAAGGCTGCCATCGTAGATTGGTATGAAAATCTAAATGTTCTGACTCTTGAATCCCTAGCAGCATATATATGGTACGATATAGTCCTAATATAACTGTGAGTATGATGAAAGCGGACGGGCAGAAGGAGGAGCTTACATGCTCGAGTTGCCGAACCAAATTTACTTCCATTTCGACTTTTGCCCTCAAGTCCTTCTCCGAATATATGTTCACCTCTAGTACCTCAGTCTTTACAGTAACGATTTTGCAGGTATGGTAGCTGCCATTGTGCATATCGACAACCTTATACACATCGCCCTATCCGCCTCTTCCCAGCGGCCTTAGCTTCGTACATCGGATCACATCGTTCACTTTAGGCTCGAGTGGAATTCTGAACCGAGTATTATGAGGGTTATATGTAATCGTCGACGCAGTCTAGTAGGTGGTTATCATAGCTCCAGGCCGGAGAGACTGCAAGCCCAGCGTAATGAGCCGCTCCAGAGTTCCCTCGACCGATCGCTCGGGGTCGGTTTAGTAGGTAAAGGCAAGCTTCTACTTGGTAAGCTTTTCCCCCTCTTGACCCTACGTTCCTGGCGGTATAATACGGAACTGGGCTTTACTAATTTCGAGTATTAATTCGCGGTCGGGCTCGGGGGTAAGTACCACGACGCATTACCGAGGAGACTTCCATATTTGCTCGATACGCCGGGGTTCCTTCGTAGTTTCGTCTAGGACGGCGTAGTAGAGTTGCGTATCGTTCTTCACTGATGCATCGTGGAGGAGGAGCTCGCCGGTTTCGTTGTTGAAATCGAAATATTACTGGCCGTTTCTTGAAAAGTAAGGACCGAGGATTATATCGTTGTGGTCACGCCTTGGCGAAGTTGACGAGGTAAGGCGGTGTTTTGATTTGTTGGTCCAGTCCAATCCGCAAGCATGGCTTATTTGCGACGTTGGAGACAAAGCATCTTCGATCGCCGTTAGCGGGGTCTCGAACACCCTCCGTAGCACGTTTATTGTTGTAAGGGACAAGATAGAAAACTGTCGGGGGCATCCATTGTTGGAGAACATATTGGGTAAAGGAATGAGCGACAATCAGGCCTACTAGAAGGGGCGCACTTGTTTATCCGAAGCAACCGGGCGCGCCGCGGGGAAGCGCCCTAGCGATTGGTGCAGAGCCTGGCGCCAAAACGGACGCGAACGGGTCTGCTACCATGGTATGATGGGTATGTTTTTCCCCTTGTATGTGTACTGGTAGGGGTATATTGGCCAGTGCAGTCCCTGCCAAGTCCCTGCCAGCGTTGTATCGTGATTGAAGGGCGCTGTAATTTTCAAATCGTGGCGCGCTGGGGGGCTTGTCGGTACCCGAGCAGGGGGGCTCAGGGGGGAAAACTTTGGCTCGCAACCATAGTAAGCCTAAAAATATTCCCCACTTAAAGCACAGGCGATATTTATTTCCCCTTCCATTGCCGACTTGAGTGTTCCCATCAATCGGTTCTTCAAACACACATCTTCGCCCATCTTCGCCCATCGATTCCAGATGGCTCCGCGCACGCGCACACAGCGCCAGCGCGCATCGACGACTCGACCATCAGTTGACACTAACCCCAACGGCGCGCCTCCGATTCCCAACAGCAATCGCCCCGACAGCAATCGCGGATCTGGCCAAGTCCGTCGAGGTAGAGCACATCCAAGAGGAAGAGCTAGAGATAGGACCACAACAGCCATACGCATACATATTATGCAGGGAGATGCTAGTTCCGCAGGCATACGATCCCGATACGTACGACCTTGACGGACCAGTGCCATAGACGAACGCCTGAGCCGGAGCCGTATGATCCTGAGACTTATGCGACTTGGGGTCGAAAACACTTTTGCGAGAAATGGTCCAAGCTACGAGAGACCATGCTCCGGGAAAGGAATATCTACCTTGTTTCCGACCCGGTCTACTTGGAGCGCCAGAAAGCTCTCAGGGTAATGGAACACAAGATAGAAGGGCGGCTGTTCAGACCAGCACTTCGAGCAGGCGGGATGTCTAACAAAGACTGGAAACGATTGTGGTCTCGACTCTCCAAGGTCTTGCTGCGTGTCCAGCCGCCTACCCCGGTATCTTCCCGCGCCGACGACAGCGACAGCAATAACAATCTCAGCGGGTTTAGCACGTATGATTCCCCCCGAACCTCGTGAGCGAGCCCCCTTCCCGACGGTCCATGGGAAAGACTAGAGTACGACCGGAAGCGTTTCCGCTAGAATGAGGAAGCCTATCACTTCGAGAGGATCTTCCTCAAAGAGGGCCTCATTGACTCGGTCAGGGCAAAACACGAAGGCCAAGGTGACAGATAACGCAAGAAAGAGCTGGAGGACATAGAGAAGGTTTGATGTTTACCGGGAAGTGCCATCAAGTCGGCCGAGTACGATTATCGGATGGGGCACTTCAACCTTCGAGCGGATGGTTGGACGCAGGGGTAGATCGACGCTGAGGATCGGGCAGTAGATGCGGCGGCCTAGAAACGTAGTAGTGAGTTTGAGAGGCAGTTTAATATGCCGCCGAGGAGCCAGGAGGAGATGAATTCGAGATTCCGCCCCTGGGATATCTCTGGAATCAGCCGCGAGGAGCAGGGCCGGTTAGGTCGCATGCATGGCTTCTCCGAAAGGCCACCCGATCCCTATCTTTTCCGTACTCCAATAGAGAAGAGACCACCGCCAAGAAACCAGGAGGAAATGGGCCATCTCTTTTCTCTCTAGAATCGGAAACTCAGCCGCGTGGAGCAGAACGAATTAGCTAGTATGTATGGTTTCGGCCTGAGGCAAGCTGGCACGGATAGACATTCTGAAGGCAGAGTAGCGCCACAGGCGCAGGCATCACCACTGCGAGCGGCAGAAGATACTCTAGCGAGCGGCAGTCGAGCCACGAAGAATGCACCGCAGCGCCGCAGTCACAGAGCTGCTCGATCCCGGCGGTCCGCGCTGACAACTGCAGAAGCCCTGCCACCGAATCAAAGGCGCCGCCCGTCCAAACCTGACGCATTCGAGGGCCTCAGCGATGAAACACAAGTAGTACCTCAAGGTCACAGGAGGCAACGCAGGATATACTAGAAAGAGCGGGAAAGCCGGAGGCTCGCGGGACAGTCGCCTGAGTTTGGGTTGCTGTCAGGGCGAGGTGAAACACAGTCACTCTACGACACCTCTCTACAACTTTTGAACACCCGTAAGACGAGCAACCCAAGTACCGGCCGGCTGTCGAAGAAGCCAACGGCTAAGGGCATAAAGCCCTAAGGGATTTCAAAGTCCAGGTAAATAGGGACAGGCCGCTTAAAGAGGTCGGCGAGGGGATCGGAGCATCTGGACACTAGTACAACAGGATAGATTATGGGCGAATGGCTGCGCCAGGGATAAAAAGGAGTTTATGGCAACACTAATTCATGTCTGAGGACTCTGATTGTGTGAATGCAAACGCCGTGAATCATTGCGGTATCTCTCAGCCGACGCCCAGCGGTGCTGACCAAGCGCATGCCTGAAGTCGCCGAGACAAGGCCGCTTCAGTCGCTGTCTCAGTTGGTTGAATGATAGATTGAGGACGGGCCTGCTCCGAGATCCCTCTGACGAAAAACGCGTCAAATGAATTGGATCAGAGGGATCACGAAAGCGCTCTATCTGCCCGGCAGCCTCACGAAGCCGATCTGTTCCGTTCTAGATGTCTTTATTATGAAACCGCTCTCGCTGAATTCCTTCTTCTCTTAGTTTAGATAACCAAACTAGTTACCTTGAGATTGTTATTTGACGCGGGCAACGTTGCTACAGGACCATAGTTCCAATAGTATCTGAACGGTGCTGATAAAAATTACTCTGGAAATCGTGAGTTGAGGACCTCCCCTCTCACTACCGCTATCTGGAGATGGCTTCAGCCCGCCCCATCCATGTCTAGCCCGTGAACAGCCTCCATTCAGCCACTAACTCGCCTTTAGATATGGGCACTTGCTTTATCGGGTGCCATGCTCAGGAGGCAGGGGTAAAGTAAACAAATGCGCTCGTAGTGGGCTGGACTTGAGCTGGAGGACATTCCGAAGCGTACAGACCCCGAACGGATTAGGGTCGGAAAAGGAGCCTGAGACGGCACCTGGCTGAAGAAGAGTCTTTTGCTGCTACCGTCTACCCCTTAGATAATCTTCCGATTAGTGGCTCATCTATGGGAGAGCGGACGGGATCCCGAGTTTTCCACTATCTATGGCCGCATGTGCTAGTACATAACTTAACTAATACCTATATAGGAAAGAGACAGATGCGATGCTGGGGTTCCGATTACAATAGATGAGATTGGCAATACCATCACCACAACCTCCCCGCTTCATCGTCGCCGACAACGGCCACAAGCTCGATCCTGGCACAGTACTTGTCGCCTAGCACGGCAAAGCGGGCCCCTTCTCTCGCCGTCAGCCAGCTCCAAAGACGGGCGATGTTCCTGCCCCCTTGGCCATCCCCTTCGACCTCACTGAGGTTGAGCCGGTAGACGTGGTCGCCCATCCGGCAGCTCACCCAGGCACTTAATTCCGGTTTGGGCTTGTGTTTGTCGTCGTCGTCGTCAATGGCGGCAGCGCGGCTCCCGCCCGGTACTTCTTGTCCTTGCCCTTCGTCCTCTCCATCACCGTCAGGCAGTCCAGCGGCAGCATCATCCCATGCCGGCAGCGCCTCATACCGATCGCTGCAGGGCACGAGGCCGGCCATGACTTCCTCGGGTCCGGCCGTGCCCTCGGGCGGTTGAGGCTCTTTGCCAAAAGAGCCGGTTTCTGACAGCAGCGCGAGCACGCGGATGCACGGGGCCATCTCCAGCATGCGGATCTCATGAGCATCCGTTTCCAGCGGTGCTTTCGGCCGGGGCGTTGAGATGGAGAACGGATAGTGAGGCCTCGGCAGCTCCTCTCCTGCCTCGCCATCTGCATCTTCTTCCTCCTCACTGCAGCCATGCTCATCCTTTTCGTCAAGTCCGTGGGCGGCAATGGAAACCCGAGTCTGGTGCCTAGCAATGGCCTGGTAGCGGATCATGAACTGTGCGACTGCGAGGTCGTAGGGCAAACTGTTGCTGCTGTCGTTGGAAATGCCGGAGTACTTTTCGGCGCCCCAGTCGAGGAGCAGTTCCACGGCGTCCGGGCAGCAGGCGCGTACGGCGCGCTGCAGTGCGGTCATGCCGCTGTGGTCTAGCGCGTCGATGTTTTGGTCGCTGCCGAACTCGTCAAGCAGGGCCTCGAAGACGTGGCGGAACTCGGACGGGGTGTTGTATTCGTCTGTTGATGAGAAATCGACAAGTCAGCAAGTTGCACATGTCTTGATGTATTTTAAGCATTTCCATATCAAAACAAGCAAGCAAGCAAGCAAGCAAAAATTTTAAGAATCTCCCTCAAAAAAGGGACAACAAAGAAAAGGGGCTTGTTGACAAAAACAACAACAAAAATAAAACCCACCATGCCTATCCACCACCACATGCAGCGTATTCTCGCCAGCCGCCGGGTGACACAAAAATGCAGCATGCGTGCTGCCCAGCGCGAGCAGGAACTGCACCTGACGTAATATGTTCCCCCTAGGCGTCGACGACAGCACATAATACAGCGTTGTAGGGCTGACGTTGCTATTATCATTATACGTCACGTACGGGGCGACCAGCGCGGCGCCGGCAAAGTTCTCGGCGCGCACCGCGTTCCACAGCGCCGACGAGTTGTGCACGTGGTCGTGCTGGGCCGTGCAGCCTGGCGGGCATGATGCGGATGTGCGGAAGTTGACGGCGGCTGCTGCGTCGCCGTGCTCGTCGAGATAGGCGAGAAGCATTTTCACCATGTTGGTGGTGCTGGTGGTGGTGGTGCTGCTGAGGAGCAGCCGGAGGACAGTGGCCGCGCTGTGCGGGTGGTCGAAGCTAGGGATGAGGTTTAGTAAGGCACGGAACGCAGACTCGCTGCCGCAGCGTGCTGCGCAGTATAGTAGATTCTCTGTCACTGGGGACGAGCCGAGCGGGGCGACGAGGTCCGACTGCACGAGCGCGTCGAGGATGTCGAGGTTTTTGGAGAAGATGGTTTGCAGAAGAGTGTGTTGGACGAAGTCCTGCAGGGTGGGTTTGTAACAAGATGAAGAAGGGGACTCATTGTCGTCATCACGTGCTGGCTCTTTTCCCTTTCCTCCTCTTCTGGACATACCCTCCAGTGGTAACAGGAGCGACGCGGCATCTTCTTCGGAGAAAGACAGGTCTCTGCGTTTGCGCAGCGCCGAGAACATGTCTAGGATGTAACGCCCTGTCGCCGACCCGTATGCAGCCACGCGGGTCTCCAGCCCAATCTTGGCGACCATTTTCAGGGCCTCGGCGACGTCGTCGAAAGGCGCGTGCTCGCAGCAGTGCTGGGACAGGGTGCTGTCGTTGAAGGTGACAGATGTCAGGAATGTCATCAGATCCTTGGCTGCGAATGATGGGTCTAGGTAGGGCAGTCCTTCTGTGGATTTTGTTCTTGTTAGAGACTCAGAGGTCGGCTCAGCTGTCAAGGGGTGGGATAATCATGTTAATCAGACCAGACCTACGGTGAGCCAGGAGAAAACGCACGACATCGGATCTCCCAGCGACGATGGCATGATCAACAGGACGGAGCCCGTAGTCGTCAACCACATGGAGGTCCGCGCCGTGCTGCAGCAGCGCCTGTCCCACGTCCACGTCGCCGGCATCGAACGAGTGCAGCCAGTGGGCCGGTGTCCTGCCGTCGCGGTTAGACGTGTTGACCTGGTCTCTGGCCCAGCCGAAGTCAGAGAGCAGCATCAACACCTTGTCGGCCTCGCCCGCCCTGCAGCAGATGTACAGGCACGTCTCGTAGTTCGCGTTTGTCGCGCCGTCAGGTACTACGCCCGCCGCCAGCCATTCCCTCAACGTGTCGGCAGAGATCATGGGCATCTTGCGCTGGAGGAACCCGGCGCTGCCGACAGCGTAGTACAGGTACGCCGGGTGTGCGCCGCGGAACGTGTCGGCCAGCAGCAGCGTCTCGGCGTCGGCGCTCTCTCCCAGCTCGGCGAAGCCGCTCTGGCGCAGCACGGTGATGCCCGCCTCGTACGCGCCGGGGTAGTTCTCGCGCGCATACGCGCTGGTCTGCAGCCAGGCCGTGAGTCCGAACCGCGGCCCGTTGGCGACTGCTGTCTGGAGCGCATCCTGCGGCAGCTGCTGCAGCAGGTCTGGGGGAAACAGGTGCGGAAACGCGCCGGCGAAGGGGAACAGGGTCAGCACGGCCTGCAGGTATCCGTGCTGGGCGCTCAGGCAGAGGTACTTGGCTGCATCGCCGAGACTGTACTCAACTCCGAGGCCGTGCAGGTAGCAGACGGAGACCTGGAAGGCGGAATGCGCCTGGTTGGCCAGGATTGGGTCTTGCGGCCCTGGGTCTGGCGCAGACTGGAGCGTGTCGGCGCTTGCTTTCAGGTCCTCAAACATTCTCCGTTTGACTTCGTCTGGCTTGAGCATGAGTGCGTCGAGGTTCTGGAGTACCTGTCATTTTATATTTGGAATAATATGTCAGATGAGTGACAACTGGGCTAGTCGACACTTTGCGAACACGGGGAAAATGCGAATAAGATCTGGGGCAGTAAACCGGAACAAAAAAACATAAAAATAACTTACAGCCACTGCAGAGACAGCGTGAGTCTCGACCCGTGGATCTCTATAGAACAAGGGCTGGTCCTTGCTGAGGGTTACCTTCACTCCGCCTGGGCGATCATGGGGCTGGAAGGGCGGCTGGTCCTCGGTTTCTAAAAAGGAAGCAACCGCTGCAGACGCGTCTGGGAAGCGCCGAGATGGGCTCTTTGCCAGCATTCTCTCCAGCAGTGGACTGAGAAGAGCATGAACGACGAAGTCGTGGCTAGGGCCGGCGGATGAGCCTTGACTGCCTCTTGGATCGTCACTACCTGCCGGAGACGGCGACAGGTCGAGCCGCGACATCTGCGCCTCGACCTCGAGCATCTGCACCATGACGGTGGCGCACTCGACCAAGGTCCTGGCGGCATCGTCGTCCGTCTTGGACTGCACACGGAGGTCGGGGTAGACGGCATACTCAGGGTCCAGAGCCAGCCGGGTCTGGAACTCGATGCAGTCGAACACGTCCCTACCGCCCAGGGCGATAGCGCAGGCCGTGAGACCAAGCGAGTACACGTCGGCGCGGATCGCTTCCGCAATGGTCACCTTGCATGCCGAGCCCGAGTGCCGGCTGTGCTGGACCTGCTGGTACAGCTCGGGGGCCATGAACAACACCGTCGGTCCGCCTAGGACATCCAAGCGCAGCTCCTCCTGGTCGTGTCCTTGGGCGTCGTGCAGCAGCCGCGCGGGCGCAATCAGGGAGCATCCAAAGTCGGACAGTTTCGGGGTGGGGATGCCATTGCCGCGGCGGCTAGGCGGCTGCTGCTCGTCGTCGTACTCTTCGTCGTCGTCGTCGGCGAGGAGGATGTTTGCGCACTTGAAGTCGCCGTGGGCAATGTTGCAGGCGTGCAGCGCGGCCAGGCCGGCCAAGATTCCCTTCAACAAAAACATCTTGACGTCCCACCGCAGCGTGGCGCCCTCTGTCTGCGCCGACGTCGCATCGAGATAGGCCTGCAGGTTCCCGCGGCCCGCGCACGCCTGGACAAGGACCGGGCTGGTCACCATGGCGCCCGCGCTGGGCTCGTAGCGCGAGTCCCAGCACACGCCGAACAGGCGGACTAGGTTGGCGTGGTCTCGCAGCGGGCCGTGGCTGAGGATCAGCAGCTCGTGGGCCACTGCCCGGGGCACGCGGCAGCTGGCGCCACCGAACGGGTCGCTGTTCAACTCGGTTGGGGGGTTCACCCGTGGCCGCTTGAACACGACGACAGTTCCCCCGCGGAGCCGCACACGAGCCGGGCCGTCCTGGTAGCGCGGCACGTCAATGGCTCCCCCAGCAGCCACCTTGCCGACGCTGACGTCGAAGGACAGGCCCGAGGCCAAATGTCTCTCGGCCTCGACGATCGCGCTGGGCGTGTCCAGTATGGGCACGTCCAGCCGGGCAATCAGGCTCTGGAACGTGGCGTCGTCGAGCGTTGCTGCTAGCTCCAGAGGGCTCTTCTCTTGTTGGAAGGCCCGGTCCATGCTTGCGACGGGAAACAAGTGCAGGTATTCTCGGGGCCACCCCGAGAGCACCAGCGCTTCTTCTTCTTCTTCTTCTTCTCCTTTGTTTCCGCCTAGCCGCTGGCTCTGGTATTCTTCAGGATCTTGTGCTTGCGCCACGAGTTCGTGGACCACGAGCCGTAGAGCAACTTCGGGGGCGAGTCCCGCCGACTCTAGACGCCGGACGAGGTGAAGCATCATGGCGGAGTAAACATCCTCTGGCGGCAGGCGTGTCTGGTTACTGGGAGCTGAAGCGGCGGAGGTTTCCTCACCATGTTGCCCCTGGGACTGGGTTCCCTGTTCCACTTCATCATCCAGCTGAACCTCTGAAGCGTTTTGCTCAGAAGACATTTGTGAGCGTGGGTTCCGTCCGTCCGTCCGTCTGCCGTCTGCTGCAAGTAGCTGAATCGCTGTGGATCTCAACCTGATGCTCTGGTTTGTTTGATGACGAAGTCCAAATACAGACACCGAATTCATCATCGGACGAGGCTCTCAGATTGTTAGTTCGCAAAAAGAAGGCAGCCATCAGCATCAACTAACCCCACCACAACACACCCTCTTCCACCAGGCTATAACATCCATTCGCCCAAATCCGGGGGCTGTGTACATACATTGTGTAACACACCGCGCCCTGCTAGGTGCCTAAGCCACATGCAAGATGCTCAACTCGACGTCAAGGGCTCCGTCAGTGGCCGTCTTCCAGAGCGAAAACAGCAACCTCTTCTTTCTGGCATGGGAGGAGGCTCCAGATCTTATATTTCTGCACACGCCAACTTCCCTCTTGTCATTCTGGAAAAACCCGTGAAGCACCAGTTAATAGCATACGATGACGGACGCCGCAGGCTTCGTGGTAGGCCTTCCCGGGCTCATCAGCTCGTGCGCCAATGTCTACCAATTAGTCGTCAACGCCCGCCGCCTAAACACCGAAGGCTCTCTCATCGTTGTCAAGCTAGCCGTCGAACAGGTCAAGTTCCATATGTGGCTGGGCAAGGCCGGTCTGCTCCAAGGATCCGTGTCGTCGCTCAACCTACACCCCGTAGCGCAAAAGGTGTTGCAGGGGATTCTGGAGGGGATCAAAGTGACGCTAGTCGAGCTGGGCAGAATCATCGACAGGTACGAGCTGAGCGAGGGCGGGTCCGTCAACAGCGTCAGCTTTACTCTCCCAGACAAGTTCTGGGACATCCACTCGTCGCCAGCCGACCACGACAAATCGCCAGACAAACCCAGCTCTCGGCCCCGACGGCGGAGGTCGAGTCTACTGCAAAGGACGCAGTCGTCGCTCAGGGCCGTGACATGGGCTTCGGCAGACCAGCAGCGCGCGCGCGAGCTGCTGGCCGACCTCCGAGGGCTCAACGACGACCTCGGGCTGGTGGCGCGCGAGTTCGGCGCGGCCGACTTCTCGTCGCTGCCGTCGCACGTGCTGCCGCGCGTGCTGGACGACGCGAACCTGAAGCGCATCTTCGAGGCCGCCGCCGACACGGAGCCCGACCTCAGCCGGTGCGCCGCCTTCAAGCTCGAGGTGCTTGCCATTGCGCGGCAGTCGCTGAACAAGCCGGACAAGCGATCGGAGCTGCGGAGGAGCCCCAGGGCCCTCGTCGAGCGCCGGCCGCTGGATCACACCGCCAACACCACGCCGCCGCCCGGGCGGCGCGGGTGGCGGCTTGCCAAGTTCATCGTAACCAAGGGCGGCGCTGCCGAAGACGTCATCCTCGAGGACAAGACGTACGACGACGTTACCAACGACGAGGCTTTTGTGGAGAAACGCGTCGAGGACATCTCGCGGCTCCTCTCGCGGGCCCCGAGGCCCGACAGCATGCGCATTCTCGACTGCGTCGGCTATTTTCCCGACCACCTCGGCCGCTGCTTCTCCTTCATCTTCAAGTTCCCGGCCGGCGCGGACGTGTCTACGCCCCCGGTCTCCCTGCACCATCTCATGTCAGCGAAGCCGGGCTATGACAATCGCAGCAACAGCAGCGGAGGAACGTCACTTCCCATGCTCGCGCCAAGCCTCGGCGAGCGCTTCGCCCTGGCTCGTACGCTGGCGCGGGCGCTGATGCTGCTGCAGGCGTGCGGCGCGCTGCACAAGGCGTTCGGGTCGCGCAACATTCTCTTCTTCCGCTTCCCGGGCCCGGGGACGATAACCGGGACAGACGGGGGGCATCCTTATTACCACGAACATTACGACCTGCAGCGGCCGTACATTGCCGGCTTTGGGTACGCGCGGCTGCACGGCAGAGACTCTTCGTCGGACGACTACACCGGCAGTGGCGCGCTCCTCGGCCACGTCGAGCGGCAGCTGCTGTACGCGCACCCCGAGTACGCCTTCACGACCCAGCAGCGCTACCTGAAAGTCTTTGACCTGTACAGCCTCGGGCTGCTGCTCGCCGAGATCGCGCTGTGGCAGCCGCTCGAGGACATTGCCAGGCACTACTTTCCCTCCTCCTGCCCAACCACCACCACCACCAACACCAACCAGCAGCAGTGGGGCCAATGCACTCGGCACGCGCTGCGCCGTGCCCTATTCGCCGACATGTCGCGCTTCTGCTCCGTCGTGGGCGACAAGTACACGCGCGTCGTGGCACGGTGCATCTCGGGCTGTTTTGACGACGCCGACGGCATGCCGCGCGAGCTGCGCGAGAGCGACAAGGTGGATGATGACAGGCTTGGCAGTCAAGAGGGCCAGGATGGAGGTGATGCAGAGTTCCAGGAGATGGTGGAGAGGAATATTGTGCGCGAATTGGCTAGGCTGGTAGTTTGAGGCCCTATTTTAATCAAGTGCAACAGCACAACGAATTAAAGGCATTTTGAAATTAAGCATAAACATGTTGCTCGCTGCGTTCTCGCAACCGGGCAGGTGCTTCCAGTGCGTCCAAAAGCTACCCAAGTACCCTAAGCACCTTCTAGGTTAGGCAAGGCGACACAAACCCCCACTCCACGGCCTCCTCCCTTCGCTCTCGCGCCTACAAAGACCCCGCAGCTATACGATTAAAGTTGGTCACGAAAAAAAGCCAATACCCGGCGGAAGCACGAAGCACAAGTCCAACACGAAAGGTTCTCGGATCCAGAACTGGCGCTTCACATGGCGGCCGCTCCGCTCCACACCCGAACTTTGAACGGCCCGGAGCCGTCAAGGTTCGGCACAACCATGGATTTACTACCCGATGACACGTATGTACAGGTGTCCATAAAGACAGCACACGATGGAGCACAACCGTATTTTTACTTCAGTGGGTAAGGTACAGTACAATAGTACGAATACCTTACCCAAGGTAAGTAACAGTACATACATACATACCTGGCAGTCACGTGCTGTGGGGCAAGTCAGCAGAGGCGACAACGCAGCAGCACCACTCAGGGGCTAAAGTAAACAAAGCCTGCCGCAGCCTCCCCGACCTATCAACCACATGTTCACGACCGACCTTGATGCCCTTGGGGCAGATATCTAGGCGGGCGTCCCGGGGAAGTTAGAAGCAAGTTAAAAAAAAACCGCGCAAAGACGGGCACTATTTTTTATTTCTATCTCTAAAAAAACCCCAGGCCTACCAATCCCGACCCGCCGGCTTGATACCCCATTCTAGTAGATATCGCCGGTACCAGACCAAACACACACTACCTATCTATGTCTTTCCACACAACCAAAATTCCGTATCCTGATCTGATGCCTGCATCTAGATCACCGGGGGGCCTGCCCCGGGAAAGCAACCTCACTCTTTCTCCCAAAAAAGATGTCTCTGCCATCTTTCTGGATGTGTGTATGTGTCCCAGTCCTCAAAATTAAATTGGCCTGTGCGATTTGCCCGTTTCCCAGCTAGCTAGTTAGCAATACTCAAGGTATCTTAGCTCGTGAGCACCACCATAAACCACCATAAAGCACAACGGGGTGACTGGCACTGTTGTCGCCATAGAGTGTCCGTCACAACAGGTACCTCACGAGGGGAGGGGCGTTATTAGTAGGTGGTCGTTTTCTTTTGTTTATCAGTAGAGACAACCGCGGGAGTAGCGACAGCCGCGGGAGTGGCCTTTGCCGCCGGAGTGGCCTTTGCCGCCGGAGTGGCCTTTGCCGCCGGAGCAGTGATAGCCGCGGGCTTGGTGTTGTTTCTGACAGCATTGTGGTTCAGGGTGCCAAGGAGAGCCCTGACGGGCAGGGCTGCTGCTGCCGCAGGAGCAGCCTTGCCCTTTACATCGGTGCCGAGGATGACGATGTGTTTTTTCCCGTGGATCACGGCAAAATGGAGAGACATCTTGGTGTTGGAGTCGACGCTGGTCTCGACCTTGACATTGACTTCCTCGAACGTGGAGGTACCGTCCCTGGCTTCTTTTTTTTCCCTCTTTTTCTCTACGCTTCGCACTGAGCTGAGAGTTTGTTTTGAGGTATTGTTCTGGCAGGAACTCTTATCAGAGAATATGGGCTAGATTAGCCGTTAGGTATAAATTCATCATACAACTTTAGTACTACTTACCCGCAGGAATTCGTCGATATTCTCGAGCCAGTCGTGGGCAAAGTTATATCTATCTATTGCTACTTCTTTTGACAGCGGAATCCTCTTCATCGCCTTCCATTTGCGGAGGTTATAGGCGCGGAGACAACGGCGTATAGTAGAAGGCGAGATTTTCTTCCCTATGGTGTTGAAGAGAGCTTTTTCGCCAAATCGCGGTTCTTTTTTACTAGCAAAATTATATAGCGCTTCTCAGCACGCCTGAGAGCCTCGGGACGACCTGAATGAGCTTTAAAATCAAAAGGTCGCTGAGTTTTCCAGAGCTCAATGGAGTTGGTGACGGCGTGGCGAGACACGCCGAACAGGGTCGCGACAGAGCGCTCACTTTGGCCCGCAGCCACAAGCGTGCAAATGGCTGCACGCATACCTGGAGTTAACTCCTGGTTAGAGCTACGATTTGTGGCCAATTCGGCCGCGAATTCATTCAAATTGAGCTTCATTTGGGCGAGAAATGGTTTTTGGAAAGTTTAAGGGAGCGCGAACGCGTTGCTCACGCGTTTAATTGATGGTGGGGTGGCCCAGACTTTTAACCCCTAACTGTAGGTAACTGTGTTAGCCCGCCCCACACCAAAAGACAGAAGACTCGAGACACGCAGATCAAAATATACTGCATCTTCTGGTAAACGTGGGCGTTCCTTTTCTTCTATACCTTTTATCTCCCTTTTTTCCCTTCCCTCCGGAGAAGAAAGGGAAGGGAGGGGAAAATGGGTGCGCTGAGGCTTAGCACGAACACGTAATATTACGTAGAGAGACAGCAACCTCTGAAGTCTGAAGCTTTGCATGTCCCTTCCCTTCGCCTTTGCCTCGCGGCAGTACTCGTCTGATCTAGGTCGGGGGTGCGGCAACCGCAGTATTGGACCCATGGTAAAGCGCGTCGGTCCAACATGCATGGCGCCTTACCACGTAAGTACTACGCAGTCATGTAACTAGAATCGCCCGAGAAGATGACTAGCGTCGCCGAGAATCACCGTTCAGTTAAAGTAGCTAGAATGGGTGGTGGACTACGTTTGCGGGCCCGTCACCGCTTTTCGTCACGCTCTATGCAGATGTGGCTGCAGCCATTGTGTAAGTTTAGAGCCCCCTTTCACTCCTGCGCTAACCGAGCCAAAGCAAAAATTGCCGCAAGAGAGACAAGCATACACTTGGGAATCTTGCATCTACTGCCTTACAAGAGGCACCTAGCCTAGAGAGCTTATCAAGGCATGTATTGGCCTTGAAGAAATAGCAGAATTAGCTCTTCGACCAGATTAGACATTAGATGAGCAGAAGGCCCTCACGGCAGTTAGGTATGATTTACGTGGAGATAAGGCTTTCAGTTATTGGGCCACTGGGCAATGCCAGGGCGCCCACAGCCAAGGCTTTGGCGCTCACAGCCAGGGCTTCGGCGCTCACAGCCAGGGCTTCGGCGCTCACAGCCAGGGCTTCGGCGCTCACAGCCAGGGCTTCGGCGCTCACAGCCAGGGCTTCGGCGCTAACAGCCAGGGCTGCAGCAGGCGAGATTGTTGTAGCCGCCACAGAGATCGGTCCCTACAGGGCCCTCCAATGCCTTGAGGAACAGGAAACGGGGAACGGGCTTGGGAGCTGTACACCTCCACTGGGGAAATACATGTTAGCTTGGTAAGTTACCTACTATTAGTATCTTTTAGGGAAATCTCGCTAATCACTAACTTTGCCACCTTCCTACGCTAACATGTATTACCCCGGAGGAGGTGTAGAAGTAAGGCTGGAAGGGCTAGAATCCATAGCCGCTAGTATCCTGCAACAAGCGCCTTGCGAGTTTGTTACGGGCTGTAAACGCCTAGCAAAGGCAGCCGAATTGGCATTTCGCAGCGCAGATTGTATGTTCTTAACTATGGCGCAGCTAAAACAGATCCGAGCTTAATATTGCTGGGCTAGAGGGGCCGGGGAAGAAAGATTATAACGGGCGACAGCCTCGCAACAGCCTTTGGGCACCAGAATTCCGACAGGAAGGACGGTCTATCACTTTATTTTTGCAGAATTACTAACAACCATGTTTTCACCCGCCCGACGCCTGAACCACAGCCTCCCAAGGACCAAGAACATGTTGGGTGTCTGCGTCGTTGGCGCCGGCGGCGTGGGGACAATTGCAGCTTACGTCCTGGAGAACTCGCAGCGCGCCCGTGTCACGGCAATCTTGCGGTCCAACTACGCGCTCGTGAAGGAACGTGGTTTCGGTATTGACTCGATCGATCATGGAAAGGTCACAAACTGGAGGCCGCATAACGGTAGGTCACAGGGAAAAAAGCTCGCCTCATGGATTTCCTCTCTCTCTCTCAGCTTAGGCTGAATTCATCTTCTGATAGTTGTCTCCTCCTTCGCCTCCGCGGCCGCCGACTAAAAAAGCTACGACTTCATTGTCATCACGACCAAAGCTCTACCAGATCTGACGTCCTCTTATAATTGCGGAGCTGAAACCACTGGTCACGCCGGGGAAAACTAGCCTCGCCCTGGTCCAAAATGGACTGGCCATCGAAGCTCCCTTCGCCGCCGCCTTTCCCAACACACCGACCTTCTCGAGCGTCAGCATGATCGGCTCACGCCTCACGAACTCGACCTCGATTTTCCACCAATACCCGGACGTATCGAAGATTGGCGCACATTTCCACCACGTCGACGATACGTTTACGCGCGCGACGCAGCACGACGTCGCCGCGCTCTACGTCGACGTGTACAACGCCGGGCTCGCGGGCGCGAAACCCAAGACCAACGCGCGCTGCCTGCTGGTCGAGGACATCGTCGGCGCGCGCTGGGCGAAGTTGCTGTGGAACGCCTCGTTCAACACCCTGTGCACGGTGCTGCCATCCCCGTGGGCGAGTTGCTCTCAGGCCCGGGTCGGAACACGCTTTTGGAGCCGGCGATGCGGGAGGTCGCGGCGGTCGCCACGGCCGCGAGCTACGGGGACGCGGTGTCGGAAGACATGATACAGAACATGCTTCATGACTCGGCTCCCACTAGCACGTTTCGGCCCAGCATGTTGGTCAATCTGGAGAATGAACGGCCGCTGGAGTTGGAGGTCATTCTTGGGGCGCCGTTGAGGGCGGCCAAGGAGAAGGGTGTCTGTACGCCGATTTTAACTCAGGTCTATGAGCTCTTGAATCAGGCTCAGTGGAAGTTAACACAAGAAGTGGGAAAATAGTCCGGAGTCTGGCTGGGTAATGAATTTCTTGACATTAAATAAACTAGAGACTTATCATCAACCATCAAAGGTAGTCAAGTAGTACTTTTTTTGCCGCGAGCCTGAAGGCGGCTTCCGATACGTAACACCACAGAACCCGTGCCTCTACACGTTTAACATTGTGCAAGCAGCTAGGGCTTCTTCCTTGTGTCTTGTGTCCTCCTATTCGTCCTGTATGTCCCAGACCGAGCCGATTTGAGATAGCTTGCCGCCGCCGTGTGTCACTATTCTCTCGATGACCTTCTGCACCGCATCAACGTCTTCGCGCGTGAAGCCGAGTCTCAAGCATCTTTTCAGATGCCAGTCAGTCGGTCCTTTTAAATCCTGGCACAGGATAGCTGGTAGGATGACAAGTTCCGATTCAGTGATGTCCAAGACCGAGTGGTCAGAGAGGAACAGTCCATACGAGGTGTCGGTCTAGATCCATTCTGATCGTGTTAGCGACACCCGGAAGCACTATCTGGATCCTTGCCAAGGTCCGCATAGGCACCGCACGCCGCGTGATTTGTGTCCTGAGCTCCACGGTATATGGCGTTGAGATGTTGAACCGCCCTCGCGTTGTTCTCCTTGTCAGGTGTCCATCCCGCTCTGCATGAAAGCCTCCTATTATCGCTTGGCATGCGAGAGCTATCAGCGGGGCCTCTCGTACCTTGTGAAGGAGTGATCCTAGTCCTGCTCTTGCTCCACAGCCGCTAGTGAATGAAACGTTAGCATGACTTTTAGAATGCCATTGAGGATGATGCACTTGATCATAGCCTCTCTCAATCTTCTAACTAAGTGCTTCCGTGACTCCGGCGTTTCGAGATGCTCGGCCTGTAGGAGGTGTTGGTACAGCGCGCCAATGTGTGATTGGTGTCCACTCCCGATCAGGGCAGCGGCCTAGAGGATGTCTGATCAGCGCAAGCCTTTGGACCTGTGGGAAGACAAACCGTCGTGAGATACCAACACTCCTGTCTCCATCTCTCTGGAAACAGCAGCCTTGACCGAGTAAAGAGATCGTGAATTGAAGCATCCTGTGTAGCCGTCAGCAGCGTGCGCGCCACCCCGTAGTCATTTCCAAAGCTGTATTGAGTTTTTACGATGCTGCTGGAGGATCGAAAGGACCTTGGATGCTTAACGCGGGACGACAGAATTGCAAGACTCCAAGCCCGAAGGTTATGTCAGCCGTGGAAAAGTCGGATCGCGGCTGTGGAGCGATAGGACAAGGACGGAATGATGTTTTGCATCTTAACGACAAGCTTATCAATTAAACCCTAGGTGGAGAACGAGAGCGGAGCCGGTGATGTAATTTCGAAGAAGCCGATGTTGCGTTTCCCGGAGGAATTCTATTTACTGCGAAAAATGTCTCCACTGACTAAATCGTGCCGTTGCGCTTCTGTGGAGATGCCCTGAACCGCTGTCAGTGGAGTCTGCTAGTGGTCGGCCTGTTCCGCTGAGGGGCTCCAACTAAAGCTGCTAGTGCCCCTCCAACCTGAGTATTACAAACCACTCGACTGTTAGGGTCGTCTGTCTGTAAGGGAGCACGGGCTCCACAGAATGCTGGGGTTGGTAATTATGAAGATAGAACAAAGGGCAAGCTCCTATCGCACGGGTAATACAGTCAAATCGGAATGCCACTCAAAATGTATGAGTGCAGCGAATGTGTATTGCTTGCTTGAAGAACCAAGCAAGAACTGTCTAAGACCGTGGCTACGGTCATCGTATATATCTAATTCAGGTAACCAATCAGGACTTTTCCTTTGCGTGCTCAGTGCTCCTCCTAACGCTTGGTACACCGAGCGTCTCAGAGACTACCGAGCGCCCTGCTCGGTGCGCTCGCCTAGTCTTGGCAGACCAGTCGCACCTAGCGCCTCCTGATTGGCTGTGTCGAACACTTGCGGGGCCCGACCCCGCCCACCTGTGCGGCCCAATTGGCAATTGGCTTCCAGCGCCTCCTGCAGTCTTGGACCAGGATCGTAACACTGAGGCGACGACCAATGTAAGAGAAGGTAGGTACGCCTGATCAAGGTGGTCACAATGCAGGCAAGAAGGTAGGGGAGCAATGACTTGTATTGGTGTAAGACTTCAACCTGGCCCTCGCAAAGGAAGATGGGCGAGGGCCATTGTTTATATACCTGCTCAGGGGTTCGGCCCGGGCATCAGTCTGCGGTCGTGGCGCCACGGCGTAGCGTATGCCAGCTGGCAGTGTTCTAGCCAGTTGGTGACAAGTGGTGGGCGCGCACCCTGTGCGCGCAGTTGGTGTTTGGGGTGTCCTTTTCCTTACAAGCCAATAGCGAGGCGGTCAGCGCGATCAGTATGATCAGTGTCACGGCCGGCTTGGAATGAGGGCGGAACTCCTCTATTGGGCGCTATAGACGAAGATTCTAAACTAACGGGAAAAGGGAAAAGAAGCTCAAAAGCCTCCCCTCGCGAGATTCTTCCAGGGCGTCTCAAGGTGGGGCTCTGGCTGGTCGGGTGGATCCACCCAACTGGCGTCTGATTAGTCAGAGCGTCTGGGAGGCCTGGAGGACCAGGCCCTCACAATCAGGGCGATCAGTGGGAACTGATCGCACTGAGCACACTGACCGCACTGATCACCTAGGACCAACGCTCTGATTGGTCCGCCTTAGATAGATACATACGACGACCGTAGCCACGGTCTTAGATAGTTCTTGCTTGGTTCTTCAAGCAAGCAATACACATTCACTGCACTCATGCACTTTGAGTAGCATTCCGATTTGACTGTATTACCCGTGCGATAGGAGCTTGCCCTTTGTTCTATCTTCATAATTACCAACCCCAGCATTCTGTGGAGCCCGTGCTCCCTTACAGACAGACGACCCTAACAGTCGAGTGGTTTGTAATACCTTCCCAACAGGAAGGCGAGGGGCCGGAGGTGCCTGAGTAATTATGACCAACACTTTTAAAGGTGGTAGAAGCAGTAAGAGCAGCAATGGGAACGGTTGGCGCCAGCCGGATCTACGATGCGGATCATGATTGGTATACGCTAGCAGGGATCAAAGAGACGGGAGGGTGATACGGTAGGACTTTTAGGTAGGGCTCGATTTTCATTATTACATTTTTCGAATTTCACGCCCTAGCCCGAAATCTTTACGTTCACTCCTCGAGGTGAGATTTCAAGGCCGAAATTGCCTCATAAAGGGTCCCAAAATTGAGCTTTAATTGGCTATTTGAAACAGCCCCCAAACCTAACCCCAGCCCTCGAAATCAGCTTGTCTCCCACGTGGGGAGATAAGTAGGTCTGTTGTCAAGGCGTGAAATTAGTGAAATTTATAATTACGCCCCTATTGAACACGAAACGTGAGATTGCGGAGCCCTACTTTTGAATAGGCATCCAGGGGGGGAGGGGACGGTTCTCTCTTACTATGCCCCACAGCCTAGCGACACTGGTAGTGTCCAGCATAAAGATATCTAAGTGCATATAGGACTATATTCTCCGTAATCGTGCCGGTAAAGGCGCATTTATTTTGTCCGTCTACTGAAGTCCATCTCATGCGCGGACACGATTGGATGGATCTGCGCGCTGGCGATTGAATACGTCGCAGCGCGTCAGGTCCTCGATGTCGAACACGATCGAAGCGGATACGTTTCGCAGCCAGGTGACAGCAACAGTTACACTTTTGGATCTATCGCTTCTCACAATGTCGTCATTGCCGTCCTGCCCAGCGGCAAGTATGGGCTGACCTCGGCCGCGGTTGTTGCGCGAGACATATTCCGCTCCTTCCTTCACCTACGAGTCGTTCTCATGGTGGGTATTGGAGGCGGTGCCCCGACAGCTATGCACGACATCTGTCTCGGGGATGTGGTGATCAGCGCGCCGAGCTCGGGAAGAGGAGGCGTGTATCAATACGACTTTGGGAAAGCAATGCAAGGTCGAGGCTTCCAGTCCACTGGGAGCCTGAATAGGCCCCCCACGTTTGTTCTGACTACGGTCGCTGAGCTGGCCGCTCGCTTAGAAGAAGATGATTTGGACCTCGATGCCGATGTGGATATCTTGCTCTCTCGTCGGCCAAACCTCAAGCAAAATTACGCACGGCCCGACCAAAGCTCAGACGTGTTGTATAGCGACACGTATGCGCACCCTAATCCGGATACAGACTGCTCCGAGGCATGCTTGGCCCACGAAACCGCCATAGTACCAAGGAACGTTCGCCGCGCGGGACATCTGAAGCTAGTCGTGCACTACGGCTTGATTGCATCTGCAAACTAGGTCATAAAGGACTCGACTATGCGGACCAAGATTGCCAACGAGGCAGACATCATGTGCTTCGACATGGAGGCCGCAGGCTTGATGGATCAAATTCCTTCGTTCATAATACGAGGTATATGCGACTATGCCGACAGCCACAAGAACAAAAGGTGGCAAGGCTATGCCGCAATGACAGCCGCGACATATGCACACCGACTACTATTGACCCTGCCATCCGTCGCTTCTGAACAAGAGCTCGCTTCGTTCGATCTTCCCGGCCAGGATGTGAGCCAAAGACGTAGCTCTGTGCAACGCGTCCGGCGGCGCGTGATTGTGCCAGTGATTCAAAACTCGCGCTTTACTGGACGCGGTGCTATTCTCGAAACAATTGGTACGGCGCTGTCTGTCTCTACAGGAGAGCAGACACGTGTTGCACTCATCGGCATGGGTGGTGTCGGTAAAAGTGAAATCGTACGGGCATTCGTCCACTCCCCGATGGCTATGACAGCTTTCTCTAGCGTCCTATGGGTTTTTTCTCAGTCGCGGACCCAGACCATCAAGTCATTCTCCAAGCTGGCAGCTGCACTTGCCCTTGCTCAACCTCTTGCTTCTTCCAACACGACCGATTCCGCTCCGGCAGACCTGACAGACACCACGGAGATACCTAGAGAAGTTCATGCTGTTCTGGACTGGATGACCGAAGAGGACAACCGAGACTGGCTGCTGGTCATTGACAACCTCGACGATTTAGAGTCCTTTTATATACAAGATTTCTTGCCAAAGGCTTCTTTCGGACACATCATCTTCACAAGTCGCCGAAAGAGCGCAGGAAGGCTAGGTCAATCGATCAAAATTGGCGTTATGAGTGATCTGGAGGCCGTGGAAATGCTACACAGATGCTCCGGAACGAAAGATCCGGCACAAAACGAAGCAGCGATGCAACTCACACAGGCCTTGGGAAATCTACCACTTGCTCTAGATCAAGCCGCAGCTTATATCGTCGCACAAGACTCGAGCTATGAATACTACCAAGATTTACTGCGCGGCGGCCAAGCTGAGCTACTGTCGCAAAAGCTGCCGAGGGCAGTCTGGCCGTACGAGCATACCGTATACAGGACCTGGCAAATGTCGATGTCGCAGATAACTCGTCAAGACCCACTCGCTGCAGAGATAATGCAAACTGCTGCTCTGTTCCCCGCTAACGACATTCCGCTGGAATTGATGTGTCAAGGTGGACAGCGAATGGCGTACCCTGATGAGTGTTTTCTTAGCAGCTTCTTTGAATTTGACCCACGGATGGGAATTACGATGCTATTCTCGGGCCGTTACCTTAGCAATTTTCTCGGACTAGACAGGGTGTTGCCGCAGCCATCGGCACGCTGATATCCTTTTCTCTTATGTCCCGGACAGCAACGAATTCCTTCTCCGTTCACCCTTTGGTGCACTCCTGGCTCAACAACGTCATCGACACTTCTGGTAGACGTGATGATATCATATATTCGACCGTTAGTTTGATAAATCGAGCAATCTTTTAGTCGTGCAATACAGGCAACCTCAAACACACTCAGTCGCTTTACCCTCATGTGTTCAATATCAACAGACTACTGGAATCATCCCCTAAATTGCGGGAAACGACAGACGTCACACGACTAGCTGGCTGTTTGATTGCTGTCGACGCATGGGCAACCTTGTCGGTCGATTGGGCGACTTTGACGAGTGCCGATGAATTTTTCGCAATGTTGCAGCGAGTCGAGAGTGTAGGAGACTGGCAGATCTCTGAAGAGGTGTGGCTCCTCCGAGCTATATGCCGTTGCCGCGCTCAAGGTCGCCAGGAATATGCCGCTCAACTTTGTGAGCAGCTCTTCCGTAGAGCTCCTAACGCCTCTAGATATCAGAGTATGATTCGCGGTTGCATAGTACTGACATACGCTCCTTTCTTCTACAGGCGCCTGCTGTATGACCAAGCACGCGGCATTTTACAGACACACTGCATCACAAAAAATGATCGGACAAATTTTTTGCTCGCAAGGAAAAATCTAGTTCTCGGATCTATCGAACTAGATGATGGCAATCTGGACGAAGCTGAATCCTTATTACAGTCATGTAAACAAGGTCTACATCGTCATGTGGGACAAGACTACTTCCTATTGGCGGTGTGGTATCAACGTATGGGCTTCTGTTTACTGCAGCAGGGACGAGTACACGAAAGTGAGGTTCTGATCTGGTCGCTACTTCAAAACAAGATACGCAACTTAAACGCGAATCGACAGTCCTTTGCTTTCTGCGACTACGAATTACTCGAAGCTACGCTCAGTGCTTGCGTGCGCAAAAACGCTTCGACCAAACTGAGAATCTCATCCAATCAGTCCTCCAAAAGACCCTGGGGCACCAACCACTACTGCAGAGGTCGCTTGGAGAACTATCTCTTCAGATCACGATGATCGAAAGTATGTGCAGCAAATTCGAGGAAGGCCGGGAACAGTGCGCGAGGTTTGATGAGACTTCGTTTGACTCTATGCTTAAAGAAGCACGTGTGTTGCATGAGCGGTCTCTCAAGGCGTACGAGCAAGAGTGGAAACAAGGGTTCTGGATTTTTCAAGACTTCCGCCAGACGGTTGACAAATTTCTTTTGTTTGCAAATTCCAGGCGTCAGCACATTACTGCTGTAATGAGATTTGGCATAGCATCGGCATATTCTGACAAGGACAGCCAGCACTCATTAGTCAAGGGTTATTCCGACGGCTGAAAAGTAGGCTCAGGGGGCAGAATACTTCTTAGCGAGACACATGTTCCACGTAGTCAAGGATGAAGATGAGCAGCAACACATGCGCATTGTAGCAATAGATACTAGTGGCACAAAGTGCAGTGACTACTAAAATAACTAGACGGCAAACGACAAGAAAGTCTTGTGACGAATTCAGCATGAGGAATGATAAAAAATTTTTCGAAGATTTCCCTCAACTACCAGTACCGAAAAGATTAACCGCATTTCGGTCGCGCACAGGAGATATCTCGGCTGTGCAAGAAGTAGCTGAGGAATTTCGTCAAGCAGGGCCAGCCGAAGGTGAGAATAGGCAAGATGACCTCCAAATCTTGCCTCGTTGGATTCAAGATAACTCAGTCATAACTGTCTCCGAGAGCGAGCTGTACTTCCGCCCTTACACCGACACATCGCTCTGATGGTCTTCAGATACACTTCTTCTCACCGCCGAAGCTACCGTCAGCCAACACAACCAGAACATTAACAAGAGCATGATGTTAATGTTGACGTTGACGTTGACGTTGACATTGACATCTTCATCAACTCACTATACAACAGCACAACGAACAGAAAAAGCAGTGGCCAGTGAATCCGTGGACATCCAGCAACAATGTTGGCGTTTGTCGGGAAGTGAAAGAGAGGTTTCACAGATAATGTAAGGGACATGGTCAGCGGATCAAGGTAAGACACAGTGCTATACTATATGGATAGAGTAAAGGTATACTGGAAGAGACATGAAAAGTTTTGGTCTGGTTTGATCTGGCCGATTTCATCTGACATTGTTCTCGAACGTCACAGTTCCAAGCTGATGCAGAGGCTCGAGCATCCACGGTCATCCTCCATCGAACTTCAGCATCATGACTGTTTGCTCTCTCTCTCTCTCTCTCTCCCCGCGTGTGCGTGTGTGTGAAGGCGGAACCTCAAGAGTCACATGATTCGCTCATTGGAAGTCATGAACTCCATTCGATGGAACTACATCGTTTACGCTACGAACATCATATGGACGCCATCACAGCGCCGTGGTGGCAGCAGCGTTTAAGTCTTTAACGGGGCGAGACCCTTCCATTCCCCTTCCTGTTGTTTGGTAACAGATATCTAGGTTAGGCAGTGAAATGGGAGATGTATCATCATTTAAGAAGCGACTACGTTACTGATCGAGCCTCATTCAGCGACTGCGACCGCGTGAAGGGGCCTCTCTTCCCAATGATCACGCGTCAGTGACAGTGACAGTGATTGACTAGACTATTTGAATACGTGTACATGTGTATGAAAAGGAAGAAAGTTGATGAAATCCCTGATCGGGAGAAAATTCGTTTCAATCTTTGCAACATCGTCTGAGAATCTCATTCAAGCAGTATAAGCGGTTGTCTCCACCGGGTCGTGAGCACACAGGGATCTCTTGGGTTCCTCCCATCTGAGAGGACGATGGTTCGGGAGTTGAGGAAGCAAGTCTATATGGCACCGCAGACTCGTCCTAATGATCGACGTGGTCAGAATCGGACTTTTGGGCTGACTGTGCGAAGTGACTCTTCGCATTCCCACTGGTCTCGATCCCTGATATAGCGAGGAGTGTCTGCCACGATGGAACACGGGAGGTAACGCATGTGGTCGATGCGATAGGTCACGCTGCCACCCACTCCCTCCAGAGCGGAAGCGATCGCCGTGTCACACATAGTATGGCACGTGCTTTCCCAGCGACCGGAAATGGCTTCCGCGACCCATTTTTGTTCTAGGGATTGCTTCAAGCTCAGCGCGTTACTCTCCAACGTGGCGACCTCCAGATGGCGGAGTGCATCCATGATGATGGTGGCGGCCGGAGCTTCACGAACTTCTAGGACCTTCTCGTCGGTTCCAATAGGCTCAAGGCCAACAAAACGGCCATGACCAAACTTGCCCACCTCCTTGTTCAGCAGCGCGATGGCTTCCATAAGGGGCAGTCTATCACCATTGACAGAGGCGAGACTACCCTTCTCGAAGGTAAGCGTAAGCTTTTTAGGCGCGTGACGTCCGCAGTGCGCCGTCCACTGATAGGCATCTTCTGGAATATCGAAACTCTCCGGATCGTCCAGCGGACCAGCTTCGAACTCTCGGCACCACAAATTCTCGTCGCCACTCAGCTTGCGGTCAGACATGAAGGTCAGTCCGACTGCAGACAGCTCCCGTGCTTTCTGCTCCCGCGAGACGACCGAACGGACATATGGGCTTCCGAATTTTCCAGGGAAGCCATAGCGCCGAATGCTATTGTTGAGTCGGGGCAGACTGTTCTGGGACAGGTTTGCGGTATGGAGCAATAGACCGGCATTCAAGGTTTTGGCGTAGTCTGCGGTCAGCCGGGCAATGACGGGACGGGAGAGTGAACTGCTGACTGGATACATGCCCAGATACTTCGCGTGAGCGCGGATTGCCGGTATGACACATTTCTGGACAAAGAGTTCCCGCCCGTCGAGGTGTTTGAGTGTAGCACCAAAATGGGCGGCGGATTTGGTCAGCTGGTCCTCGTCAACGGGTCCCCCGACATCTACCACGACCGCGTGGACATTGGTAAAGCCCAGCTGCTGAAGCTTTAGGAGCAAGTAGGTGCTGTCCAAGCCGCCGCTAAACATGGTGACAACAGGAGTATCTCTGCTGTCATATTCCGCAATATGCCCAAAACTTTCAATAGGCCTATCATTCTGCCGGAGGAGGCCCCCCAGCACATGTTCCAAGCCCATCTCCTGCCGCGGAACCTCGGCGCCGAAGCGAGTCAGATCATACAGCAAGGATCGGATATCCTCAGGGAGAGTGCCTAGGTTGTTTGGATTTCCGAGGCAGAACTGAGAACGAGACGGCTCGAGCTCTTTCTTGGTGCCCTCAGCATTCAGGGCAGACTCGTCGTGAGCAAGCTTGGGTGCTGGACGGAAGAGGTCGCTTTCGATGACGTGTTTGACCTTGAGGCGACTACTGGAGAGCGGCGTAGAGTCGTGGCCGTCAATGACGACGAGGATGGTGTCCTGAAGAAGATGATTGAGCTCTTCAAGCGCAGCGATATAGAGTTCTTGTGCATCGGCAGGGGCAGCAAGAATGAGGCATTCATGCAATCCGACAAGCTCTTGCAGGCTGGCTGCTTCTTTGAACGGGGGTGCGTTGCTGAGAATGTGGCTATGATTGGCATGATGGTTGCCATCTTCACGGCGCACCGAGAAGGAGGCCTGGTGGTGCGGCAGTGCCCAAGCAGTGGCAGCTACCCCGCGACTTGCCAGGTAGGCGCCTATGCTCGCGTTGGCGTTGCCAAAGCCCAGGAGGCCGAATTTGAATCGTTCACCCTATGCTGGTCAACACAGTGACTTGATTAGGGGAAAATGCACTTACCATGGTTCTATATCGTTGCATGAAACAGAATATGGACAGTAGAAATCACTTGAGCGAGGTTGCGATTCCATCGCATTTTACACAGCACAAGCCGTGTTCAGCCTTGTTGTGTATCCAAAGATGAGGTGCTGCATTAGCGTCACCCGCAGTGGATGGCACATCAGGATGCAAAGGTTCGCCGAGGAAGCTCAGCCTGACCACAGTGACTGTGGGGGTTATGCAGAACCTCATGAGCAGGCGCCCTCCACGAGCACGAGGAGCGCAGGCATGATGGCCTCACACCTTCTTACCGCGTCAAATATCGAGCGCCACAAAAGCGTGAAGCAAGAAGATACCTCGGAGTGGAGAATAAGGAAGGTGGGCAGGGCCTGCGCTCACACCAATGCCGTAGCCTGGCCGAGCGAGCAGCTATCGATAAGTCGGCGATAAACTAGGGGCCTCTGTCACTGATTATCTTGTCTGGTAGGCCTAGGATACGAAAGGGTCCTTCATAGTACATCAGAGCGGCATGGAGAAATGTCAAGGTTTATTACACTACTTACACCACCAAGTAAAGCCAATGAATAAAGTCACTGAAAAGACGATATCAACGAGCCAGCGCAAATAAAATCCAAGCAGCACACGGACCCCCCCTCTATATTCCAAAGCAAGCCAGGCAAAGGCAAGCCGCAACCAACGTGACCCTAACGAGCCGACCTAATACAGCACTCGCCTCAAATCCGGCACATGGGCAAAAGCAATCTCCCGGAGCCTCCCCCGCAAAGCAAGCTGCGCAAAGGCAGGTCGTATCCAACGCAGTGATGAGTCACCCAATACAACAACTAGGTGCCACACATGGGCAAAAGCAACTCACAACGCCTGATCCATCGAAACGAAAATTTGCTACGAAATCCATTACACCAAATCTACCAGTGACCGAAAATCCTATCGAAGAAATGAATGATGATGAGGTCGTTAAAATTATTCGTATATTTAAACTTGATTTAAAAACTACAAGACACTTACAGAACCTTACCCTACAAAAAGAAACCAGGCTGCCCGGCTGGACCAACACTTGTATAGCTAGACCCACAAAAACGGGTACTAGAATTCAAATACCCGGCTGGGTACGGAACTTACCGGGCGGGACCACAATGGGTATGACTCAGTTGCTGGACCCCCATACCAGCTGGGGAAATCCGCCGTACACTTTGCGCTACCAATGCGGGAGCCTCATGCAGACACCCTTGTCCACCCCACGGCCCACTATCGATATCACGTAAACATGGGTATCTCATGCAGCTCCCGGCGCTGGGAAAGCTCCTGCGGTTGGTCAGCTTGCGCATTGGCGTCGTTTGCGACCCGAACGCAGTTCGGCGCTCCGCGACCCATTCTACGTTCAGAACTGTTCTTTCTTTCTGGTTTGCGTTTCACAGGGGAATATCTTGGCGGCAATTGGAAGACCCTAGGCGCGACACAAGTCGTGATAGCTCACAGAGTTGGCGGTTTCGACCCGCACGGGTACCAAAGCGATTGCAGGAAGATTCATCCAGTCGGAAAATCGTCGCTAGAAGGGTCTGTTTTTACGCGCTCGACTAGGATTTGGTGTTGCAGAATGGCGAACGTCGATGAAGTTATAAAAAAGCTGTAGATAGATTACGAAAGGGTGAGCGACTCTAGATTCCTATATGTAGGTAATACCGATACAGAGATGGTTGTGGCACGCACTAACAGCCCTCCGTGTAATGGGGCAAATCATATTACGTGATGAAGCCAATCTGGGAGTCCTGTGCCAGGCCAGCTCCAGGGAGTAAGAAGGAGAGACAAAACCAAAGCCGTTCCGTGGCGTCAGTGGGCGCTTCAAATCGCCTGCGCGTGGCGTGTTCGCAACTAATGCCAAGAAGAAGTGGGGATTCTCCTCCGTTTGTGAGCACAACCGTTTTAAAAAAAAAAAAAAAAAAAAAAAAAAAAACTAAACTAAAACGGGACACTAACAGAAGGAAAGAGGGCCCCGTTTTTAGATCCCAAGAACTCTGTTTCTGACCCCCTCACCTCGTATATATAATAACAAGCTTCTGATCGCTAGACTAGTAGTTGGGTCGGTGACGACCAGCGAATCCCTGGTGCCGCATGTTTTTTTTGTCGTTTTCTTACGTACGATCGAATTTACCTACCGATATAACGGTATATTCCTTTCCCAGGTATCTGTAGGGAAAGAGTCTCGGTAGGGGAATGGACGATGCAGCAGCGTACCCATGTGGTTTATGACAAGTGTGGGGTGGTGGGGTAGATTTATTTCTACTCTAGTACCGTTCCACGGCGGGCTGTTTCCTGCAAATTACTCCGCAAAACCTTAACTTTTCTTCAAGCCTCTCCCCGCCCGGCCTGCCCGCGGGTCCGGGCCCACCCCCCTGGCTTCCAGGCCGCCGCCGGCGCGAGCTCCGACCGCTTCAACCTCTGCCCCGGCGTCCGCAACATGCTGCCCCCAGGCATCCGCAGAAGCCAGGTCCCCTCCGTCCTGAATTGGGATCGCATACACGCTTCCGACTCTGCTGCCCCGAAAATGTCTCGAATGATGGCCTCAACATATGTTTCCGGCTTGGGACACGCCTCGTGTCGGCTTGCGCGTCTACCAAGACCACCAGGAGTGTCTCATTGACGACGGCTTCCTGCCCAATTTGTTGTTGGGCGGGATGGAAGTAAACCTGAGAAGTGAGGCGCGGACCTCGAACCGAGCCCGAGCCGACTCTCACAAGAGAAAATAAAGAAAACGAAGATAAATTAATAAAATTTCACCCTTCTGGTATTCCGTAAGATGGCCGAGAAAGCCGGGCGTTGTCGTACCGGTGTGTGATATTCCCGAGGCACGAAGTAGTATTTTGACGAACAGAATAGAAATGCACACTCCTTACGGTAGGCAAGCCCACTCGAGAGAGCGTCTTTTAACTAGGTAGGTAGGTACCTTGACTACTCGGCGCTCACACGGCTATCTGAGAAACAAGTAGCGGGTGCATCTATCTCATGTGCTTAACGACGGTTTCTGCTCTCCTGCTCTCTTGTCGACTCTGTGGACAAGCCTTGAGAACACCATCCATACAAAGTGTAAAGCAACTCGAGCAAGACTCTGCGAGATGTTTTGAGCGTCAAGAAAGCAGCCAAGAAAGAATCTCAGGGTGACGCCGCACCGCTGCTTACTGGCCGCTGCGGGCATGGACAGAATACAAGCAGATGCAGTACGAGTATAAGAGACATGCATACCTATCGAACCAGGAGTTCATTTTTGCTATGCTTGTACATCCATACACATATGTGCGGGGTGATTATCAGGCAAGTAGTCATGAGCAGCGAAACGGCTTGGGCATTTGATGCACTATTCTGGCTTTGTTAGGGCCAGCCAAAACATACCTCTCCTGAGCATATTAACAAATAAGGGGTGGAGAGAGACGCCCAGACCTATTGCTCCGCTTGGAACAGACAGACACAGGTCTATCCTCGCCGGTGAGCAAGCAAGCATGACCAGTGCAATTTAGGTAGACCAGCCCCTGACCAAGGAGCTGCATGGTCGTTTCTTCACAGGATCTTGCTCTTTGACCCACTGGGCTTTGAAATCCCGCACCTCCTTAGCCTAGGCCTGTTCTTCGATCTCAGATCCAGCCAGGTAGGTCAAGGGACGGGCAACACCCGGGACTTGATCTTTCCCCACCAGATAATCTGAGGTCGTCCATTGCCTACACTGAACTCGGGTGTGTCCATCTGTCGCCCAACGAAGTTTTGGCAGGAATATTACGTCTCTGAACAACCAGCGAATTGGATCTCGGAGCCGATTTGGAAGGTACAGGTCCAATAGAATCTGGAAGATTGTGCGAAGGATCGCTAAACGACATGAGATCGTGAAGAGCGCCACCACCGCACAGCCGTGCCTTCAGCTCGTACCTCATGTGTCGGGGAGATTGGTGCGACAGTTGACGCAGTCGATGTCAGATAAAAAGCAGCAGATTGAGGCTGTTGTTGGTCTGACTGGCAAAGTCGCGCATCTTCGAGCCGAGCGAGTCTCTCATCGCAAGTGTCAGAGCTCAACAAGCGGGTCTCTGAGCTCAGTTCACAACTCGAGGCGTCAATGTCAACGGCTGAAGGACAGATTAGATCCATAAGTACATCAGCTCAGTGTTAATAGGTACAGTACAGCACATTGCTTCCACGTGCAGCTATGCAGCAGAAGTAAGTCAGAAGAACCATAGGCGACCTAAGAGGCTTTGCCACGCTGATCAAGCTCGTCTAGTGCATAAGAGGGACTGTGTTGTTTCTGCAGCCCGTATATATTTGGCAGTCGCCACAACGAAGCTCTTTCGATCCATCTCGTCTTTCCCTGCCCTGTTCTGCCCTGCCCTGCCGAACTAACGGGCCAAACCTCGAAGAGCTCGCGCGAAAAGCATAGGCGACCACCACTAGTCACATGGAAGTCACCTCTAGCACGCACCAAGGAGATGCATGCTCGAACCCGCAGCCCCTCCAGACTAAAACAATAAGGACAGCATGCTTTCATAATTCATCATCCTCCCTAGCCCTTCTGATAGCACGCTATGAAAAAAACAAAAGAGAAAGCAACATGGTGAATGCCCCATGAATCCCCGCGAGGCTGATGTTTCATGCATCGTGCGCAAAGCCGATGATTAACACACGGCCAGACTGACAGCCGATGCCCAGAGTCTGTTCCCTCACGCTCACGGCCGGCTTGTGCCACGGATATGAATCCGGTCGCCAGTTCGGCTGCAGCCAAAGCAATCTCTCCCCGCCGCGCATAATCCAATGACCCTCAACATCGCAAACGGGCCAACAGGGCTCTGGGAGCAGCTGGGTTCCTTGCGCTTGACCTTGAGCGTCGTCGAGGTCCAAGTCAGTAGACCCCTGCTTATCTGCTTTTACGGACAATAGCGAGAGGTCTAAATCTATGCGCCCCAGTTTGCTTGATAAACGAAAGTCCGCATCAAACGATAAGCTGACAAGCAGCCCGCTGACAGGAGTTATCTGTAGGCAGGTGCCCGAAGCCGTATCCCAGAGCCGGACCGTCTCGTCGTCAGAACCCGAGGCCAGCCGCTTGCCGTCGGGCGAGAAGGCTACCGACTTAACCGTGTCGTCATGGCCTTCGAGCGTCTGTAGGCATATGCCTGAAGCCGTATCCCAGAGCCGGACCGTCTTGTCGTCAGAACCCGAGGCTAGCTGCTTGCCGTCGGGCGAGAAGGCACTGACTTAACGTCTAGGGTATGGCCCTCGAGCGTCTGTAGATATATGCCTGAAGCCGTATCCCAGAGCCGGACCGTACCGTCGTCAGATCCCGAGGCTAGCTGCCTACCGTCGGGCGAGAAGGCTACCGAATTAACACAGCCGAAATGGCCCTCGAGCGTCTGTAGGCATGCGCTCCAGTGATCTTCCACCTTGGGTTTCACGGTTATCCAGCTCAGCTCCTCGACTTCGAACAATTTCCGCACTACACTATTGACTGGACTAAACACGAGGGCTGACGCGTATGTTTGCAGTGGAGCGTTCTCTATAGGTATTCTGTGGGAGAGGATAAACCGGAGCATGTCTCGAACCAGTCCCGTCAATTTCTGGTCACTGCTGTGCGTCTTAAGTTATGTTAGTACGTTTCCGATTACCCGGGATTATCTCAGACTCACAAAGAACTCATTGAGCTTTCTTGTTGCAACGACCCCTTCGGACATGCTTCGGAGCAAACTGAGAGCTTCCAGCCAGTAGAGATACTTCTTCGAGAGAAATGTATAGACAGCGCCGCCGTCTTCCAGATTCGGATCCTGACCAACCTCCTTCGAATCGCAAAGGTGGTCTACCCAATACACGCATGAGTACCGCACTGCAGCTAACGGATCAGGGTCGCCAGAGCGGGCATCGTCGATGGAATATCCGGGCGATCCAAGTTGTACATGTCGCGCTTCAACGTACACGAAATGCGCTCCAGCGACCGGGTGAAGATGGCGCGGTGGATATCTGCGATGCCAGAGGGGAAGAGCATGGCATCGGCTTTTTCGGCTTTTTCGACCAAATAGTCCTTGGCCGACTGATGGACAAAGTAGACATGGTTGTCCTGAATTGTAAGAACCGACCCGCACAGTCTCACGACCTGACGGACATGCTCTAGAGACTTGTGGATTTTAGATGGCAGTCCGGATAATACCCCAATCTCCTCTAGGTGAATTGGGCGATATGTAGCGACAGCAGTGGCGAGTACGAGGCAACGAAATTCCGAGTTTCTTTGAAGCCCCTGGATCTGGTCTATCATGCGATCGTAGAGCTTGTACAAGTCGGAAGGCAGCTCTTTAGCTACGTCTAGAACCTCCCAAGCTTGGGACTTTGCTAGCTCCTGAACGACGAGGGCGACCCAGAGGAATGTGCCATTCGCCTTTTGGTGCAGGATGTCTCGAAATTGGTCCCGAGACTGGCTGTCGTTGTCAAGTGATGGTATCTTGGAGAGACTATACTCGATATATCAGTCGACTGTGCGAGAAACGTACTTGGCATTCTCTTTGAGCTCAAGATTTATCTGAGGGTGTTTGCCGAGCTTCTGCTCGATCCCGGGCTCATTCTGGCTCGAAAAAAGCCATTTTACGCGTGTTGGAAACAACAGGCTTTGAGAAATCAAGTCAAGAAGCTTAGGTAGTTCAACTACGCACTCATCGAGAGCATCGACGACGAGGTAGGTGCGCACCAGGCTTGCATCACTTAGGATATTTCGGAAGATCACAGTCAGTGCGGCCCAGGAATTGGTGCCCTCGAAGAAGTCCCTGCCGGCGCGGTCGTCCTTCCGCAGGCGGTCGTACTCCTTCCGCACGTGTCGGATGAGGGACGGCTGCTGGCCGACAAGCAGCCAGATCAGACCGCGTAGCACGGAGTTCGCGTTGTTGATTTCCTTGATGGCGGCCTGGCAGAAGAAGTATGAGAGCAGCTCGTCGGCCCCCGAGTCCGCCAGTTGTGTCGTGGCGTGTAATTTGTCGATAATGCCAGAAATCAGCATGGTCTTGCCCTTGCCGGGATTGCCCTTGATCCACAGCAGTGGGCAGGCTGGGTCCTCACGCCACTGGCGCCAGTGGTGAAAATCGGGGTGGTCGAGGATCCAGCACGAGTCCGGCAATATATTGCCTTTAGCCTCCCCGATACGAATCTTGTCGAATTCGGGATTGGTGACGCACAAGTCCGCGAGGCACTTCTTGTCTTCCGCATCTCGGTGCATATTTTCCTGCTGGCCCGTCTGGTCTTTGATGGCACTGGCCTGCTCTTTAGCAACAAAAAGAAATTTCTGCATCATTCTGAGAAATTCGTCTGTATTGCCACTAACGCTCTCCAGGGCTTGCCTTGAGGCTAGAGTATTGATAGCCTGGGATTCGTCGTTCACGATGTCCTCGAGGTTCTTAATCCGGGACAGCTTCTCTTTCCAGTCGTCGCTCTTGGAGACATCGCGCAAGAGTTTCCCTGACCAGCCCCGGTAGAAACGGAGGACGCTCTTGAGCTGGAAGTCGAGAATGTGCTGGTAGAGGTCGACAATGTGATCCTCGAACTCCTTCTGCAACCCACCGTTAGATTCTAAGTTCCTAGGCCATAAGAGACGTTCGAGCTCGACGTAGTAGCGCAGGCGAGAGGTGACGTATGCGAAGCCATCGCTGTTAGTCTGTTCTGCCGCCCTCGAGTTCGTGAGGATGGGGAGAATGATGCAGACGCCGGCCCAGGCGAGGGACGCCTCGGGGGACGCACTGACGGCCGTGGCGACAAAGCCCTTCGTCCAGAGAGCAAAGTCGGCGACTTTCGCGATCTAGTCCTCCAGGACGAATTTGTGGCCGGTAGTGGTGAAGGTGGTTTTTCTTTCTTCCATTCGTCGCAGGCCGCAGTCGATGATCTTCAGTTGGGCTTGACGGCTCTCGGGGTTTTCACTGAGATCTTGCCCGTCGTGTTGGCGAGGCCATTATCGGATGCGGTTGGGGTGGCAGCTATGGGTGATTAGTCGTGAAAAGGAGAAGATTATCGCAAATAAACCGACAGAAAAGGCCTTTAATAGGTACTTTCAGAGAAGAGAGAGGCCTCTAGAATTCTAGAATAGGCGTTCTAATAGTTGTTACCTCCCTTGCCGAAAAACCTCGACGTCTTTCAAATCTTGGAAAGTCCCCCGATAATAAAAATTCAGCGATTAGATTATAGAGCTGTAAGTGTCGGCAAGGCACGTACCTGTCACGGGTAGCTCACGCAAAAGTAGCTGCTCGTACTCTTTTACTAGGTCTGGGTCTTGTTTTCGAAGGAAATCGTAGGCACGGTCCCAGAGTGACAGTGGGTAGGATGTAGGATCGATAGCAAAAGACGCAACAGGCTCGGGAGGCGGGTCGTGGGCTTCTACCGGAGATGGCGAGCCATGAAGGGGATCGTCGGCTGCATGAAGTTCCGTTCGCGTACCTCCGCTTTTTGGTCTTCTGAATCGTTGCTTGAACCGCTTGAATAGCATCTTCACAGCTTCGACAAGCACGTTGAACGAGAAGATGAAACGATAGAAGGGCACTGCAGCCTGAAGATAGAGCGCGATTTGATGTGCTTGGGCTCGCTGAGGTCATGGAGGCCTGCGAGGTTTGGGATTTAGCTGTCGGCGAGGCTGGCTGAGAAGACAATCGGCGAAGGGAGCCGGCTGGGTTGCAGTCGCCTGCCGGCGCAGTGCATGGTGGCGCCTTTGTAGGCGCTTTCTGAGGAATAAACGGAAACAATCGGGACGTTGATACCCGTAAGTTCACGATATAATCCAATCCCTAAATTTTTATTAGCGGGGGACTCTCCAAGATTTGAAAGACCTCAATTCCTTATGGCTCGCCCTATAGGTTTTTCGCTGAGGGAGGTAATAAGTATTAGAACCTCTATTCTAGAATCCTAGAGACCTATCTCTTCTCTAAAAGTGCCTATTAAGGGCCTTTTCTGTCGGTTTATTTGCGATAATCTTCTCCTTGTTCCCAGGTACCAGGCCAACAAATATTCAGCGATTGGATTTTATGTAGGCGTGGCCCCTAGCGGTTGTCTAGGACTGAATGCTAGCCGGCTGCGCGACAGTGTTCGTTGCGGAGCAGGCCGCGTTTTGGCGGGTTCCCGATCGCATCGGTGCCTGCAATTGACAGTTTCCACACGACAGTCCAATCCCTAAATATTTGTTAGCGTGAGACCTTTCAAAAATGTAAAAGGCCTCTCATTCCACCTATATCTATATTACCTTCCACTACCCTGGGGTTCGGTCTGAATGGGTGCCTAAGAGGGAGGCGGCAGATCTTGGAAACACTGTCCCACCGTCTGCTTGTCAGGGCTACAAAACGCCCTGACCAAGTCGCAAGCTCCTGGTAAACCATTCCAGTATCCGCAGGCCTGATTTACGTACCTTGGCAACCCGAGTTGTTATATCCGCAAGAAAAAAGGAGAGCAGAGAAGCGCGGACCTTGAACCGAACCCGAGCCGGCCGCATTCGCATTCAAGGGCCGAGGGCCTGTGTGTGCCTCGGCATGTCTGGGATATTCCCCGCACTTTTCTGGCGCCGAGCCTGGGGTGGGTAGCGAAAAAACGTGGGGATCCGGGGAAATAGTTCGTTGCCACTCCCCACCGCACCCGTTCCCCGGGGCCGTTGTCCAACTCGAGGTCAGTCTGAAGGGGTTTACCTAGGTGGGTAGCTCTCACTCTCTCCCCTTCATCGTTTTGTTTGTGGGTTTAAGAGTTGGAATCTTTGCCAAATGCTTTTCTGTATTGCCCCTGAAAAGCAGGTTGTTGAAGCGAACCAGTCTTCGTTGTCGATAACTTCTCGGTGACATAACTCAACTTAACTCAACTCAATACATAATACACACACACACGCTCCACCAAAATGGCGCGCAAACAGCGGCAGCCCGTCTACGTGCTCGGGGTGGGCATGACCAAGTTCATCAAGCCGCGGGGCAAGGTCGACTACACGGAGCTGGGGTTCGAGGCGGGGGCCAAGGCGATGCTGGACGCGCAGATCTCGTACGACGACGTGGAGCAGGGGGTGGCGTGCTACTGCTACGGCGACTCGACGTGCGGGCAGCGCGTCTTCTACCAGTTCGGCATGACGGGGATCCCCATATACAACGTCAACAACAACTGCTCAACGGGCTCGACGGGCCTGGCCATGGGCCGCGACCTCATCTCGTACGGCGGCGCCGACTGCGTGCTCGTCGTCGGCTTCGAGAAGATGATGCCCGGCAGCCTGCAGAGCTTCTTCAACGACCGCGAGAACCCCATCGGCACCTCGGGCAAGATGATGGCCGCCACCCGCGGCGTCGCCAAGGCCCCCGGCGCCGCCCAGATGTTTGGCAATGCCGGCCGCGAGTACATGGAGAAGTGAGTCTTCGTTGCCTGCCTGACATTCCTAGAGAACTACTCACACGCCAATAGATACGGCGCCAAGGCCGAGGACTTTGCCGAGATAGCGCGCATCAACCACGCGCACTCGGTCAACAACCCGTATTCGCAGTTCCAGGACGTGTACACGCTAGAGCAGGTGGTAGAGTCGACCAAGATCCACGAGCCGCTGACCAAGCTGCAGTGCTGCCCGACGTCGGACGGCGGCGCGGCAGCGGTGCTGGTGTCGCAGGCCTTCCTGGACGCGCGGCCGCACCTGCTGGGCCAGGCGGTGCTGGTTGCGGGCCAGTGCATGGCGACGGACGCGCCGAGCCTGTTCTCGCGCAGCGCCATCGACCTGATGGGGCGCGAGATGAACCAGACGGCGGCGCGCACGGCCATGGCGGAGGCGGGCATCACGCCGGCCGACGTGACCGTGTGCGAGCTGCACGACTGCTTCAGCGCCAACGAGATGATCGTCATCGACGCGCTAGGGCTGTCGGAGCCGGGCAAGGCGCACGAGATGGTGCGGCGCGGCGACATCACGTACGGCGGCAAGGTCGTCATCAACCCCAGCGGCGGGCTCATCTCCAAGGGGCACCCGCTCGGGGCCACGGGCATCGCGCAGTGCGCCGAGCTGGTCTGGCACCTGCGCGGGTGGGCCAACAACCGCGCGGCGCCGCACACCAAGTGGACGCTGCAGCACAACCTCGGCCTCGGCGGTGCCGTCGTCGTGACCGTGTACCGGCGCGCCGACGGCAAGGAGGCACCCGTCGTCGACTCGGCCACGGTCGGGCGCGTCAACAAGCTGGGCTACAACCCGGCCGTCGAGGCCAAGGGCTTCACGGCCGAGCAGGCCAGGGCGGTGCGCAGCAAGGACAAGTCGAGCGACTGGGCGCTGCAAGACACGCTAGAGAAGGTCCAGGCTCGGTTTTAGCAAAGGCATTGGAAGAGAGCGAGTTTGTGTGTATCAGTAGGTATCTAGAACCTCGGAAGCCAGGTTTTGGTCGGCGGCATGCCCAGGGGAACAGAACATGGCAGCAGCGCCAGCAGCACCAGCAGCAGCATGGAAAGGTATGTTAATTAGGTAGTCAGGCCCATCATTCCATATCTCCATACGGATATCGTGTCTGCATTTGCATCTGCGAGGTTTCCAGTTATTTGGGAAGTGGAAAAAAAAAAGGTGTTTTGCCTGAACCCACAGTCGATCATGCGGCTCGTCGCTAATTCACCTCAGCCCGGGCTGGAAATGGAATAACATCTCACCTAAACTCTCAAGTCGCACCATGGTTGAACAGTCGGACGCTAAAACACGCCGCGCTGAGGCGTTCCAAAAGCTGAGGAAGCTGGAAGCCCGGCTTGGCATTGGATCTGTGGTATGGAGGTGAGAGACCCCTGCAGCTCTAGCGGCCCGTGCGTTTGTTAGAGGTGGTTCCATACGGCTTCGATTGGGGTGGCGATCACACAGCCCGTCGACTGCCACAAATCCATTTACACATACTCGCCAATCGTCGCGTCGACACATCACCTCAGCTTTGACCTGAGAGAGTGCAGAATCCAAATCATGCAGCAGCACCATCCAATGGCTTCCCAACTCCCCCGCGCGTTCCAATCTGGAGGACAGACAGGCACGGAGGAAAGTAGGATTGCATTCTACAGACGACGCACTGCACCCTATGAGACGTCCACTGTGTCCGCTGTGCACTGTTGCCTACGGCCAGCCTTCTAGAAGTTCCATTCTGCAGCCGAGGCCAGGCCGTGACTGAACTTTGAACGCAGAGTCGGCGTCGGGGCACTCCTCTCATTTTAACTTTTTTAAATCTTTAGGTAGGTTGTTGCCCCTCAATCATCAATCAGCCCAGCGCGTGGAGCCGTTCCATTCGGCGACAGCGAGTGCGGCTGTCTGCCAGCCAATCGACCTCGATCTGTCGAACAGAGGTGACGGACGACCGTCCTCCAATCATCCCGCCTCGCCGCCTCCTATTTGCGGACCGCCTTGCAAACACCCGCACGCTGGCCGATCAGCTTGTGGAGGCCCCCGTTTCAAAGACCCCTACTACCCTACGGCTGCCCCCAATGGGAGCGTGGCGGTCCCAGACGCCGTCGTGATTTGTTTTTTTCTCCTTCGGCTTGGCTTTGCTGGGCCGGCAAAGGCCTATGTACAGTATGTACTGCACAGGTGGTGCTGGTGGGTGGGTGCATGAATGACCTGCGCATTTACACGGCACTTCTGCCCATGGTCGACCGGTAGACGAGCGTCTCTGGCACCTCGCCTGTGTGTGTACTGCACTGGCGATGAAGGTCCATGATCGCCATCGCTCGCTGTTGCGTCCATCTCCTTGGTTTTTAGCCTGTTCGTGTGCTGTCTCTTATTTTGACATAGGTTGTACTGCTCACGAGACAGACTACCTACCTCGCTGACAGACTAGCTAGTGGACGGGCAGATGACATGCTTTGAGGGCGAGGCTTTGTGGATTGAACCTAATCCAGGCAGTCTAGAAGCCGCCCCGGGCGACTAAGGGAGGTAGATACCTAGGTAAAGAAAATAAGGTGAGGTGAGGTCAGGTAGACACCTGAGTTCGTTCCCCATTCCTTCCCACCTTGTTTGGGCCCAATCTATTATTGTTCTCTCCTGTCCTGCGAGTATGCTTCGCGGCGGCTGCCCTTCCTTTGCATATGCTATATGATGTTTGATATGAACCGAGTCGCTTCCCTCGCATAATCGATCGATCGTGCCGAGCCTCTGGCCGCCCCCCCTCCCTTTCCCCCACGCTCTCTGCGTGCGTGCTTTCATTCACTTCCCGCTCGCGCAGCTCGCTTCCGTCTCTTGGGTCCGGGGTCTAGCTCAGTCCACATTCACTTCCGTCTCAGTCCACACTCACTTCACTCTCTGCCCGCCCCCGGAACCAGAGACCCTGGCTTTCTGGTAAGAACGCTTCCGCTGGTTTCGGACCCTCTTGATCTGCCCCCAAACTGGCTACCACACACACACGCACACGCACGCACACAATCACCCTCCTTTATTAGCCGCGAGCTTCTTTCTGGGGCCATCAACAGCCTTCGATCCTCGCGCGTACGTCAGTTTCTCACTGCTCGGATCCTCAAAACTCCTCGACGAGCCTTCTCGACACCAAGTCCCTGTCTTATAGTATTTTCTCTTCGTCCTCAACCCGGTATCATGACCTGGAGCCTGGCGTCGATTTCCTAACTTCGACTTCGACTTCGACTTCGACTTCGACTCCGAGTCCATCACCATGGCCGCCCCCGCAACCGATCTCTCTGGAGGGCCGGTCCTTCTCTCCTTCTCCCTGGCCACGTCCAGCTTCGCCTTCTCCACCACGTTTGTCCGTTTCTGCGTCCGCTCGGGCATCAACAAGCACATCGGCTATGACGATTACGTGAGCGCCGCTGCCACGGTATGTTGTCTCCTGTTTTGCCTTGGGCTGTCTTCCAAACGGGAGAGGAGACGTTTTCTGACGATAGCTTTCGGGACGTAAACAGGTGGTGGCATTGATAGGGACGATATTCGGCATAATCGAAGGTACCACACAGGATGGAGCGCGCGCCGTCGAGTTCGATGTCCTGGGGCAGCCGTGGTACCTCATGAGCGTCACGTTAAGCAAGATCTCTATCTGCCTGCTCTTCATCAGTCTCCTCGGAAAGGCCCGCCAGTGGAGGATATTGCTGGGCGTCCTCATCTTTCTCCTCGCCGCCGTCAACCTCAGCTTCTCCCTGACGGTCAACCTCCAGTGCCGTCCGCTGGAGAAGCTGTGGAACCCGTCTGCGCTCGGCGAATGCTGGAACCCCAGCGTGCAACTCAACTTTGGGTTCTTCCAAGGAGGTATGCCGCCCTCGCTTTTGTCTTGGAGACGTATTCACTAACAAGCACAGCATTTTCCGTCTTTACTTGGTTCTTCCTCGCCCTGTTCCCCGTCCTTATTGTGCGGGATCTCAGGATCGACGGCGACATGAAGTGGCCGTTCTACGTATCCTTCACTCTCAGCCTCATGTGAGTGCCTCGCGAGCGAAGCAAAACCACCGTGCATCGACTAACATTTGCCAAAGGTCTGGCATTTTCGCCACTGTCAAGACCGCCGAGAGCGCTCAGCTCAGCGGCGTGACCGTTTACACGTCCCACAACTTTATCGCCAGCCTAATGGCTAAGTAAGTCCTCCTCCCTCAAGACCGCACGGCAACGGCAAAACTGACCCAATCCCAGCCTCGAGCAAAACCTCGGCCTCATGGCCGCCAACGTCCTAACTCTCGGACCGCTCTTCTCCGCGCACGCACGCCACCTCCCCGGGAGCAGCAGCAGCAACGACCCCAGCCGCGCCGGGAGCACACGGTCCCTCTCGCGGGCCAGCTCGTACCGCACGGCGTCGCGCGGCACCGGCTCGAAGCGCTCGTCCATCATCGACCTCAAGCGCACGACGCACCTGATCATCGAGGGCCCGCGGCTCGACAAGGGGGCCAGCAGCGACGACGAGTACGACCTCGGCGACGGCCGCCGTGGCAGCATCGACGAGCTCGACGTCGAGGCCTGGCCGCGCGGCATCATCAAGACGGTCAGCGTTGAGGTCTTTGAGGAGCCCAACCCCGACCACGTGCCCGCCGGCCCCGGCCCGCAACGTCCACCCACAGCTGCTGCCCGGTCAGGCGTCGCCAGCGCCGACCGCGTTAGCGACGCGAGCGGCATCGAGCAGGACTGGGAGGCCATGCTCCGTAACGGCCCGCCGGGGCGGTGATACTGGTGTCAGACATCTTTCCTACTTTTTTTTTTTTTTTTTTCGTCTGCCCCGTTGCGTGTCAGCAATCATCATGGGAAAGACGTGCATTTTTCTGGCTTTTTTTTACCGCATTGCATTGCGAAGAACTCATAACCATGCGTTCGTTATACATCCGTCTCTACGGCCTACTTATACACATCCTCCCACCACTTCCACCATCACCACATTATATAACAAGCAAGCCTTTATGTTTTCTCATGTTAGGGATATGGGGGAAACGCAAGGGGGGAAAACCCCCAATTTACGGCGCTAGGGAGAAGGATCCAGAAACTAGGATGGGATGTAGGGAGCAGACCCGGTTTACTACTACTTTCACTGGGCGGCTCTCCTTGTCTGTGTCAACGAAAGAACGAACGGACGAACGGACGAACGGACGAACGGACGAACGGTGTTGGGCGGCGGCGGCGGCGGCGTTTTTGATCTGTCTCTCTCGGGGCAGTACCTAATTCTGGGAAACAATACGCTACGTACGGAACGGAATAGATGAGGGAGATACCCCCTCCCCACGATGTGCGGTGTGTACAGTACTATCATTACCTGGCGGGGTGTCGGGCGGACTTTTTTTCTTTTCTTATTTCGCCTTAGACGGCGGTAAGCGGCCAGGCGAGCTGCGGCGTGAACGGACGGGATGGGCTGCGCTGGGCCTGTTGGCTCTTGTGGGAAATACGGTATCTAGCAAAACTTGGGGACCGGACACACATGGAATTGGGGCAGGAGCTGGTGGCTTCTTTTTTTATCTCTCTCTAGAAGTTTCCTTTTAGACGTTGAGGCATGAGATACAGGGACAAGATGATATACGCGATAACCGCTCTGACCAATACCTTTGAGTTCTAAAGTAACGAGGCTGGCAGGGCCTCCCTATTATCTTATATCTAAGGAAAATAAGCAGAGTATGCGAGTTTGCTTTGAACTGCTTTGTCCATTGCTACTGTGGTTCCATACTGACGTCGACCAACCATTGCACCGAGGCTCCCCCTTAGTATGTACATATATGGCCCTCGAACCGCAAAACCGTCTCGCTCCTTGTATATATCCACAAGCATGCATCTCCCGCTTCTCTTGTATTGTGCGAGGACCTTGATAACTCCTGCCTACCCAAGCTCTGTCTCTACCATCCCATTGTGATCCCAAATCTGATGTAGCGCTTCAGATGCTTTTTTCCTCATTATTTTTTGTACAACATGAAATACACGCAAACACGAACCACGGAAATCCTGAGGTTCACAACCTTTATTCTCCGCCGCTGCGTCTGCAGCGTCCCGAAGCACTCGCTCCTTCAGCAGTACTTCTCGAGGAGCCTGCCCAGAAAGTCACTCATAAAGTACTCGTCGTCGTGGCTGAGACGCCAGCGCTCCTTGAGGGCGTCGTAGACGTCCATGACACGCTCGCGCGACGAGCACCTTGCAAACGCGCGCAGGGCCCACAGCGCCAGCCACGTGGTGATTTCCAGGTCCGGGGTGCCGCTGTCGAGGCAGCGAAGGAGGGCGTCCCAAACGCTGGTGAGGCGCTGCTCGCCCCAGGTGGCGCTACGGAATCCGCCGCCGTGGGTGGCATAGCCCTTGAAAAGTGCCAGGAAGATAGCGCCGTGCACCGGAATCTGAAACCAGCGCATCTCGTCCACGCACTGGGCCACCTTGGCTAGGTTGCCCTGTTTGCAGTAGAAATTTAGCAGTATACGATACGTCTGCAGGTTTGGGTGTATAAGCGCCATGTCCTGGAACCGCGGCTGCATCTGCGGGAACCGCCGACCCATCTTGGCGAACATCTGCAGCGCAGAAGTGATAGACTTGTCGTTCATATACGTTCGGACGGGTAACTCGCGTCCCTTGCCCAGTGTTGAAGCAGCAGAGGCCTTCATACCGTCGTATACGCGATCGGCCGCATCTTCTTCGCCGGCCCGGAGTAGTCCCGAGAGAACGGCGTTGAGGACTACCGTGTCGATGATTTCCCCGGCGTTAACCATCTCCCTGAAGGCGGCCCGTATGCCGGTGGTGTCAAGTTTAAGACCGAAGAAGTGTATCAGGCTGACGTGGTGGTATCGGTTGTAGTGGTGGCCGCGGGCCTCCATCTCCTTATAGATCATCTCGGCTAGGGTGAAGTTACCTGACTTTGACGCCGCGTCAAAGAGGATGTTGAATGTCACGTTGGTGGCCTTGACACTCCCGTCAAACTCCATCTCTCGCCATAGTTTCAGAGCTGATTCGGTCTCGACCTCGGTGGTAGCACCAACATATCTAGCCGCGTAGGAGGCGGCGCCATTCCACTCGGCAGCCGTTAGGGGAAACCCAGCTTCCTGGACGTCGGCCATGACGGCAAAATAGCGCAACATGGACTTTGAGTTTTTCTTTTCAGGCTGGCCGAGCGCAGTGAGAAGCTGGTGGCGAAGACGGCCGGTGATATACGGCATGCGAGGCTCGGGCAAGCGCTGGTATATCTCATATATAGTGTCGAGATCAGCCTTGCTACGGCTCCGGAGGCGGGAGAGCACGGCGAAACGGAGATCCGATAATATGGCCTGCTCCACTTCGCTAGCATAGGTCACGTCGTCAATGGAGGGGAATTCGTAGTCATGCTTGTCATGAGCAACGATAGGATCGTTAGGGGGGCTGTATCGACGCATATAGGGGTCTCGGTGGAAGCTGAGGTGTTCGTCAACCTCGCCAGTGTCTTCGCCAAGGGGGTCGACAAGGGCAAGGAGCTCTTCCTTGGTGAGCGCAGGGCGTGGTATGGGCGAAGGAGTCTGTTCGGGCGTAGAGGTGTTCGTAGACTTGACGGCGGCTGCTGCGGCAGAGTGCGTCTCACATCTCCGAGATGTGGGGGAAAGAAAAAAGCTGCCGTTGTGCAGGCCGGCGGTGCGGAGGAGGGGGTCTGCGGTCAGCTGGCGACGGCGCGACGAGGGCGACCACTGGGCAGAGCTGATGTCGTCCCCAGACGGGCGCTTGCCTGTGTGGGTGGCATAATAGCTGCGGGGGTGCAGCGCTCTGCCGGCGGGGGTGAGGGCGGAGCGGGCGGCGGTGACGGCCGACGTGGACGGGGCGGCGGAAAGAAGTATCGTCGTCGTCGATATCGTCCAGGTCGACGATGGCCGACGCAAGACGAGGAATGCGCCGCATATCGGCCCGTCAATTCGGCTGGTGACTTTCATGGGCCGTCGTCCAACATGGTTGCCTACCGCTCAGCCCAGCCTCGTCTTGCTCCCAGGAGACTTGGCTTGTGTTGGAGTAGAATGCAATTGACCGAGGCGAGCAAGAGCGAGCGAGGTGGTGCTGGGCCGTCGATCAAGCACGGCCTGGGACCGCGATACGCTGTGGGAAAAAAAGTTGACTGGCCCATCAGAGCTTATCGCGCCCACTAGCTTCCGTTCGCGCGTCCACTGTGCGCGGGTACTGTGGGTCCCTTTCGGGGAGGGCCCGGGTCAATTTTTTTGGCTAGCAGCTTATAGGGCCCTGGGCAGCTTTCCAGGACCCTTGCGCTCCGTACAAGGGCTCTACTTTTCAACAGCAGCTATCGACCTCGAAACGACAAGCGCCCAAAAGGACGAACGAGGCCAAGCACGAAGCGGCAGAACTGACTCGATGGTCCCATCCTGAACAAGTTGCGACACTTCACACCTGCTCAATTGGAGTCATAGACCCACGCGAGCTGAGGTAGCACCGCCTTGGGGAGTCGAGTCGAGTCGAGTCTCGCAGCACAGAGGAAAGGCAAAGAAAATGGGGCGAAATTTCCGGGCCGCGCGGGTCTACGAGACAGTGCGCGACTTCCTCGAAACCGATGTCGTCAAGAGGGCCGCGGGCCAGCGGCCAAGGAAGCCGCCGGCGTGGTTCTCGGCCGTCCAGATGATACCGCCGACAGAGCTCCTGACACGGCCGCACTCCATCCAGCACTCGCCGCCCGACGCCAACGCCCGCCGCCCGCACAACATCTACCGCCCGACCAAGATTGTCTACCCCGAAGACCAAATGCGCTACCAGTTCTACAAGGACCACCCGTGGGAGCTAGCCCGCCCCAAGCTGCTGCTGGAGCACGACGGCAAGGACGGTCGGCATCGCGACTGGAGCAAGGGTCTGCGCCAGCCCGGCATGGCCCTGAGCGGCGAGAGGTAAGAAGTCCCAGCTTCATTTTTTTCCCTGCACGAAGCAGCTAATCTCTCTCTCTCTCCCGCACCACAGCGTCGTGCAGCGGCAGCTCTGGCTGCTAGAGAACACGCCGGGGATGAGCGTGGCGGAGGCGTACGACGCGGCGCGGCACGAGTTCTACAAGCTGCGGCAGCAAGAGGACATTACGCGGCGCATCGCGGTCGAGGAGGCGCGGTACGTGGGCGCCTACTTCGGCAAGGGCCCCATACAGGTCAGCATGATCAACGAGGACAAGGCGTACGACGAGTGGCGGGTGTGGGCGTACGGCCACATCCAGAAGGCGGCGGCCCTACAGGAGCAGGGCAGCGCGCAGGTGATCGGCACGCCCGACGTGCTCGATGTCGACGTGGACGACGAGGGGGCGGCGGCGGCGGCGTCGGAAGCTCCCGCAATCCCGCAATAGTAGGAGACTTGTTTCTGCGGAGGTTTTTTCGTCGCCATCCCTCTTGTCTCTCCTATCTTGTCATCAACAATCATGTAGTATATATAGACATGTGTTTTGAACAGACAAAGCTACATGTTGTAAAAATCTAAGAAATATGTTGAACCCAACATTCTCGCTAGTTTCCCGTCCACGCTGGACCCCTTAATTAAGTTCGCAAATGAACAGATGGGATCAAATACGCAAATAGAAACTGAAAGTGGTAGAGTGAGCTGATAAAGATTTGCTTTAGATGCGGATATTATTGCTCGAGGCTTTTTGGAGAGAAAATACGACAATGGAACCGCAGAAAAACGCCCCATTTACTCCCGCTGAACAAACACACACTTCTACCAAGTCTCTCCGCCCAAAGCATGTCTCGGATTCCTGTCCTCGCAGCGCCGGATCCATGTTACCTAATTCGTGTTTCGCTTTACGTATCGTTCCAGTTCTTTGATCATTACAGACGTAGCCATCCGCGTCCCATAACCAAATAAAACCCTAGGAGGCCATCACGCGTATATGTTGGGTTTCTTCGTATTGTGCGAGATATTATACCTCGGTTATTCTCCTCGATCGCGATGAGGGCTGGACGCGCTACCCGGCGGCGATTGGGCCGACGTACTCGGCCCCCGTGAGGCGGGCTAGCGCCTGGTGCTGGACGCCCACCGAGTCGGCGATGCCGGTCAGGAGGAACAGGCGGCCTGTGAGGCTCATGGTCTTGATGCGGGCCCAGGACTCGATGTAGATCATCTTGAGCCGGTTCTGTGGCACCAGGTAGAAGATCTTGAGCAGGCGCGCCACGACGCACACGATGAAGCCCGTGGCCGGGCCGTTGGTCACCACCACGTGCGGGTACTTGAACTGGTACCCGTACCGGGTGGCGGCCCGGGCTCTCGGCTCCCGCGTCAGCGCGTTGATGGCGTGCCCCGCGCTCACGAGGCACGTCAGCGGGGCCGTCAGCGCCGACTGGTGCACCTCGCGCGCCCGCCGAATGAGGAAGGCGTCTCGCGTCCCCGCGCGCTCGTCCGGGAATGCCTCGCTGATCTGCGCCTCTAGCTGCTGGACCCGGTCCTGCGAGCTCCTGTCGCCCGAGCTGATGACGTAGCGCCGGTGCTGGTTGACCTGCCCCCGGGTTTGCTGCCGAATAATCTCGAGCATTTCAGTCGTGTGCCCTCCAGAGCCGAGCACGTAGAGGAAATACACGGCCGGTAGATGGCTAGTGTCTGGAACAGCTGGGCCGCCTTGGGGTTTGTCGCTACGACCACGACTAACCCAGTGATTCCCTATCTTGGGCTGCTCCCACTTTAAGGTGACATGGCGGAACTGGAATGGATGTTAGCTGCCAGAATTGGTTCGGGTGTTGGGAAATATCCTCCCCCTTTTTTTCATCCCAACAGCAGGCTGGCACTTACGACGACAAACCCAACCAGAACGGCCAAAAGAGCAGTGATCCAGGACCAAGACAGGACGAAGAAGGCAATCAGAGCAGTCGCAGAGGCAAACAAGGACCAGAAGAAAAGAGTCACAGCGAAGTCGTCAACTCCGGAGACTTCGAAATTCTCAAGCGTATTGACATTGGTATCGGCGGGTGATTCGCTTGAGTTACTGTGAGCGGAACCTCTGTGTATCTTGGTAGATGGGGGTTGTATGTCGTGTCCCAGCTGGGGTTCATGAGAGTCGGTTTCGCCGGCATCGGTAATGTGAATCTGGGGAACAGGCGGCTCGCCTTTGACGGGCACTTTAAGTGTGCGCGCCATATTGAGATTTGGAATTCCAGATGCCAGGACAGGGCAATCGGTTATGAGTTGTGATATAAGCTTTATCTGCCAACATAGGCCAACTATGTTGGCAGTCTTCCACAACCCAGTTGGACGGGTTCTGCAAGAATGGATCGGCTAACTGATAGGGCGTTAGACTTTCACGCTCGCAAGAAGATGGGGAAATAAAACGGCCTACGCTGTGTCATCTGCGGCCGTCTGGTGCTTTGATGGCGACAGGCGAGGGCGGCAGCATGTTAGGCCTGGGCGGACAGATATGTGTCTTGGAAAGCACGCAATGTCAAGAGAAAGAGGCGACTGGGCTTTGATGATTGTGGCATGCGATGATGCGTGCACCTAGTCCCTCTCTCTGAAAGGCAGTCTGGCTTCCAAATCCCTAAATTAATAAGAGCAAACTGCCAAGGACAGGTGGTCGATTGCTGAATGGGTTGGATTCGCCGAAGACGAGGTGAATAACTAATGAACTAGCCAAAACGAGGGTCTGCATATGATCATATCATTATGGTACGCAATAAAGCGCCAGCAATCTGGCCATCTTCATCAAGGAACCTCTCATTCGGTACGGTACCTTAGCTGGTGACGCGCACTGTGCATCGATTTTAACGCTATAACCCGTGAAAAGGGACAATTCTGCAGCGGGCCGCTCACCACAGAAGGGCGAGTTGGTCTGTGCGCTAAGCTTCCAACCCCCCTGTGAGGCGGCTGAAAAGCATGACATCGTGTGTAGAGCACAAGTGTCCGGCGCCCCCCTGTCGCGTTAGCGCGTCTTTGGCACGGAAGCTGTCGGGCTCTTGAAATCAGTCGACCGCCCGACAGGATCCACCCAACTTTCGGTCTCCGAAGTGACCAGCGCAAGAGACGTCAACGAGTACCCGAAACACGGAGCTGCGAGACGTCGTTGCCTGTAGACGTGCCGCATTCTCTGTGGCTCTGCAATGGTGCTCGTGCTTCTCCGTCCTGGGTGCAAGCAAGAAGATGCCGCTCCTCAATCGGAGCCGCTACCTAAAATGCTTCTACTGCGGGTTCAGGACCTCGACGGCCTTCGACGGCAAGATCCGCCGCTTCGAATGCCTCAAGTGCGAAGCCACCAACTACTTAGATGAGGTGATTCCCCCCTCTCCTCTATTCTCTATTTCCAGTAACCGCAGACAGCTGACCGCTCTCAGAATGGAGAAATCACCGACCCGCCTGTGGCGACTGAGCGGATAGCGACGCCCGCTAGGTATGCGGCGTCACACGCCCCGTCGCCGCCCACGAGTCCTACCAATGCTGTCTTCTGTGCGACATGCCTGAAGAACCAGCATCTTCTGCGCGCCTCCTTAGCTCAATACCTCCCAGACCCAGATGACCCAGAGTACGCTGCTCGCGAGAAAAACCTCTACAAGTTCCGCAATCGCCAAGAGAAACTGTACCCCCAGATATGCGCCGAGTGCGAGCCAAGAGTACGACAGCGTATGGAGCAGGCCGCCTATACTGCAAAGGCAGATGTCCTGCGGCGCATGGTCGACAGGAGCACGACGATCCGGCGTAGCTCGACACAGACGAGCTGGTTGAATCGGCTGGACTGGTTGGGCCGGTGGCTATGGCTCGGCGGGCTATTTTTCCAGCTTGCTTGGCATGCCTCTATTTTGCAGGAAGTCTATCTACAGCATTTCCAGGAATCAGATGGCGACCCCCAAGCTTTTCTACCCGTCATTTTGCTCAAGAGCTGCGGCGCCGTTCTAGCACGTCTGCCGTCAACGGACCGGCTCATATCACTAAGTACGACTGCTAGCGTGATGAGCGTGTGGTGGTGCCCACGATTTGTCCAGATATTCCGGGGCTTTTCCAAGCACATCAAAGGCGTCTCTGCGTGGTACACGTTCCAAGCCATAGCCATCGTCCTTCGGCTTTTGTTGCCAAAGGTGCCGGGCATCACGAAGCCAGACCTCTCGCTCATTTACCTCCAGACAGCCGGCCACGTCCTTGGCGCAGGCTTCGCGCTACTGGTATGTACAAGTTTAAGTTCTCCAACGCTGTGTATGGCCTTGTTACTGACCTGGTTTTATAGATTTACAAACTTGGGCCGCGTTCGATTCGGATTGACATGGCGCCTCTGTTTCAGTCCTCTTCTGCGGCAGCCTCTCTGCGATTCGATCGCCTCCAACATAACACCATCGAGCCTCTGTCGCCAAGCCCTTCCCAAAAAGACGAAACCAAGAGCATGGCGGAATTACTCGATGAGATATCGTATACCCCTGCAGCAAACCAACTGGTCTCCTTCAACAGACCACCAAGCCCCGTCACCCTAGACGAAGACATGTCTTTGCCGTCATTTTCGCGAAAGAAACCCCAGATGGGATTCTCTCACATTCCGCGGCAAACTGAGGAGCTGCCAATAGACCTACTAAACTTATCATCCAGCCGCGTGCCGTCAGCAGCGCCGCAATACGAGCAGGAGATGGACTGGTCTCCGACGCAGTCCAAGTACCGCGCCTTCAACACGTATGGCCAGCGGCAGACTCAAGGGTTCGGCGAGGCACCGACAGAAGAGCATAAGGGCGCTTTTTGGTACCGCGTGCCTCCCGCCCCCACGACGCCGGCGCAGCTCGTCTACAACCCGCCAAACCAGCCGCTGCTGCGTAAAAGCCCTCTCACTAGGGAGCAGGAGCGGCAGCGGCAGCAGCAGCAGAACGTCCTTTTCAGGGGAAAGGACCGCACACTCCTTGCCAGAGATGCAACCTTCCACAACAAGCAAGATGACGGGAACGCTTCACAGCATCGCGTCGCCTTTGCCGAGCCGTCCTTCTTCCCTCCCGCGCCTCAGAACGACCCGCGTAACTCCCTCTCTGAACTGTTTGGCGAGAGCTTGGCGCTCACGCCGAGCCAACAGGAGGACCGCCGCGCCCAGGCCGAGCGCGAGGGTGGTTCGTGGATCAGCCGGCCGTGGCTGGGGCTGCTTGGTACGGGAAGCTCGGAGAAGAAGAGGAAATAGAGAGAAAGGGGTAGAGGTTCTGCCTGTCCTGTTTTCTGGACGGATGGGTTCATGTGTACCTAGATGGGTGGACGGGATCATGTGCCTAGCGACTTTCTTTTTTGTTTATTTCTTAGTGTCAAGCCCTGTCTATTCCGGCATTGCGATCAACGTGGCATGACTGGGCATTGGGTTACGGTTGGCTAGTACGGAATAAAATGCGTGCATTTGCTATTTTTATAGTTATATTTATTTATCGCATTCTCTGGCCGCTGTGCTGTTCGCCGTGGCAACCAACGCAAGTGGAATGCAGTTGCTTCGTCAGCTCTTTCATGCCTCTAAGGGGGTAATAGGTGTCGAAACCTGTCTCGCCTGTCGGGCTGGTTACCTACCGAAACCTACCTTAGATACTGTGTTGACGATGGATGTTTCTCCAGGTATTTCATGAACGGCGCTCATGGTAATGGAAGTGAGATTGGTCGAGACTGTATAGTACGTATTGCGTAGGTATACTTCTGGGTTGTGGGCACTGCACCGTTAATCAAGCGACTTGTCTCATGATTTTTGAACTACCTATTGTCATATTGGCACTGTACAATTTGGCAGGTAATAAGTTCGGTTTCTTCACTTCCTGCCTCACTACATCCTACCAGTTGTAGCCGCTCTGCTAGAAGCCGTACAGAGGAAGTAACAACTCAATGGCCTTTTCAGGGGCGTAGTTATGTTTCTTTACCTGCTCGCGGTACTCAAAAAACCCAGCTAACATGGCGAACTGCTCCATGAAGATGCGCTCCTGCAGGGGAATCCCACTGAGGTACGCGTTCGGCTTCAATTCTACTCGTAATAGCCGGCCGTGTTCAACTGGGCCGGCCTGCAAATCGACTTTCGCCAGCGCCTACCTCAGCGGAACACGTCCCACATTTGGGGTATCTAGGCGACTGGGTTGTGTCTGAAATCTGGTTTGCTTCTTTGCCCAGCAATGGAGCCCAGGAACTGAAGTTGGCACTGTTCAATTAGAGTTTCGCCACGCGGCACGCCTTTGAACGGCCAATCACGACCGCGCACCCCTCCACGGTGCACATCTCATCTCCATCTGGAAACCTAGCAGTGGCGTGGCGGGGAAGTTGGCCTACCGCGCCTGGGCCCTGGTGGCCATTCAGTGGGATGGACGCCTGCCTGCCGCCCTGTCCCGCGGCCCGCCTTGTTGTTCCAGCCCAGGTGACCTCAACGTCAGCCTCAGCCAAACTTGGAACCAGCCAGGGCGGCTCTTCCACCGAGTCTAACCCACGCCATCAAACCGTATTCCACCTCATCTCTCTTTCTCCTTCCTTTTCCCTTTCCTCTGTACTGGGCTTAGCACGCACTGCCATGTTATAGCGAGGGCGCGCAAGTGCATCCATCGTTCGTGGAAACCTGGAAGCTGCCTGCGCTCCAGGGCTACCTCGGTCCCCGTTCATCATTCGTCATCATCACCCGACGTCGACCGTCTGATAGCTTCCCATCATGTCCAATTCCGAAAGGTCGCCGCTGCTCGCCGCTGCCGGCAAGTCCAAGGCGCCGACGCCCCCGTCCGACGAGTCCCTCGAGTCAACCCCACTGCTCTCGGGGTCGGATACGACGCCGCGCTACGACGGGGAGCAGGATGACATTGCTGACGCCGACGCCAATGCCGATGTCGCCTCCATCACCTCCCGCGCTTCTCACGCCTCGTCTACCAAATCAACCAAGGCGAAATCAATAAGATGGCCGTCCGTCATTGCTGTCATTGTTCTGTCGCTCATTACGCTTTCCATCATTGTCGTTGCCTTCTTCGCCCCGGCTGCCGTCGAGGAATACGCCAAGCAAGCAGCTGTTATTGAGCCAACGAACCTCTCCCTCGAGTCCATCACGGCCGATGGCGTCCGCGCCCGCATCCAGCTCAAGTTCCGACTAGACAGCCAGCGCGTACGGAACGAGCATGTGAGGCGCGTGGGAGTAGCTACGGGGTGGCTAGTGCGGAATCTGGGGAGTCAAGAAACCAAGATCAATGTGTATCTCCCCGAGCACGAAGACGTCTTGCTTGGCAGCGCCTCTGTGCCCCCCTTGGTGGGCAGCATAGTCGAGGGTCAGACCACGGAAGTCGACTTTGTCGCCGAGCTCATCCCAGGCAATGCTGAGAGTGTTCGGATCATTGCCAATCTATGGCTGGGCGGCAAGCTGGATGCGCTTCAGCTGCTGGGGAAGGCCGACGTCCAACTGAAGGCCGGCATCATTCCGCTCGGGACGCACTCCATCGCCGAGGTTTTCACCTTTGAAGGTCAATATCTCTACCGCTCGTTTGCTTCCCTGTACTTTGGCGAGAAGGCCTTCGTTTAGGGGGCCTGACAGCAGATAACTCGAACATTGTACCTTGATTTTTGAGCCTTTTTGCTGATGAGCTGTGTAGCCAAGGAATTGCCCCAAGTGCCCGAGTACAACATAACAAAACTCAACTTCGAAGAGGAACCCGTCCCGGGACACGACGACAAAGCCATTGCGGCCGAAGTCTCCATTCAGGCATTCAACAAGTATCCGCTATCTGTCAATGTGCCAGAGCTCGGGTTTGAAGTGCTCATACCTGGTTGCGATGCGAATGACCCCTTCATCCTCGTCGCATCCGCCGTGACCAGCACTGTAGCTGTACGGCCGCAGTCAGACGTGGTCGTCGATGCTCATGGCTTGGTCAAGGAGATCCCAAAGCTTCTGACCCGACTCTGTCCTAATTCGGATTCCTCACCGCTCGACAACTTCTTCAAGAAGTATCTCGGCGGTGAACCGGCAACCGTATTTGTGCGGGGCCAGGAACAACCAAGCACAGATACGCCCGAGTGGCTTACAGACATCCTGTCTAGCATCACAGTTCCTGTGCCATTTCCGGGAAAGTCTTTCGGTAATCTGATTCGCAACTTTTCCTTGAGCGATGTGGACTTTACGCTGCCGGATCCCTTTGCCGAGCCGGGTGACCCGGATGCGGATTTGAAGGTGTCAGGGACGATCCAGGTCTTCGCTGCGCTCCCTTCCGAGATGAACTTCACCCTGAACGTATCTCATGTTCGGGCTGACGCCGACGTCTTTTACCGTACCAAAAAGCTGGGCGAGCTCAATTTGGAGCAGTGGCAAAAGGCAAACTCGACCCAATACCCAGCGGCAAAAGACCGCGAGGCAATGCTTCACATTCAGTCTTTTATCAAAGACGCGCCATTGAACGTGACAGACGGAAACGTGCTGACCGATGTCATGCAAGCACTCCTCTTTGGAGGCGAGGAGGTCATTTTGGGCATCTCGGCACTGGTTGAGGTCAGGGTCCAGACGATTCTCGGTCAGCTGGAGTTGAAAGGGGTTCCTGCGGAGGGCAAAATCCCAGTAAAACGTCCGTCTTCATTCTGGTAGTACTGTCAGTCGCCTTGTTTGATGGCTTTCATTGCCGTCCGCCCGACGCTGTCACCAGCCCTCCACCCTTCGGATCGTCAAACTAACTCGTCATTTGTAGCCTTTCCGAAAGATCTGATCGGCTCCGTTGTGCCCAAAGTCGGGAACATCGATATTATCAGCACCACGGCGGACTCCATCACTCTTGAAGCAACACTCAACGTCACCAATCCGTCGCCGTACTCAGCTCACATTCCTTGGCTCAGTATACACGTTCTCAGCAACGGCACTACGGTGGGCGAGGCCATAGCAAAGAACCTCGACGTCAAGACCGGCAACAACACGAACCTCGTAGTATCTGCAATATGGAACCCTTCCATGGGCGGGAAGCATGGCGTGAAGCAGGGACGCGACCTTCTGTCGCAGTACATATCTGGCTTCAACACGACCGTCACGCTGCGGACACACAGAGGCAGCATGCCTTCTCAGCCGCTACTTGGCGAGGCGCTGTCACGGCTGAATGTGACAGTGGCGGCGCCGCGTATCAAGCTACCGCGGGGCGGCGGCGGCGGCGATGACGGGGACGGAGACGGAGACAACGACGATGGCGACGACGACGATGACGACGACGAGCAGGCACACTTCATCCGCGACGCCACATTTCACGTCTTTTCCTCGACGGCCACCTTCACACTCGTTTCCCCCCTCCAGCACAACACCTTGTACATTGACCGCGTCAACGCCACGGCCCTGTACAACCACACCGAGCCCATCGGCCGCATCGAATACGACCTGCCCTTCGCCGCGCCCCCCGGCTCCTCGCTAACTCCGAAACTCCCCGTCGAGTGGTCCCTCGACTCTGTCGGCTACGAGCGCCTCCGCCAGGCTCTCGGCGGCAAGCTCAAGCTCGACGCCCGTGCCATGGTCGACGTGCGCCTCGGCGAATGGACCGAAGAGCTTTGGTATATCGGCAAGGGCATTGGTGCAAGTGTGAGGATATGACACGAATAGTGGGGTAACATATTTGGCTTGGATACGTTTTCTTTTTCTTTTTCATTCAAACTTTTGAAGGGGTGGCACGGCTCTCTGTAAAGGATGGAGTCTTGTGAGTCAGGTAGAGCGCGATTCGCGCCTGGCGTTTGGGGAGGTTAGGCCGAGGGTTTTTGTTTACGAATGATGTCTATTCGATATTATATCACATATTGTTTGATTGGGTTGGGACTTAAATATTACCCGATTTGGATACGGGTACACTTGAACATAGCGATCAGACAATAGATCCTAGTCTGCAATATCATACATATGCAGACAAGCGCACGCTAACGTAGTCTATACCTCACCATCCTTGTTCTAACAACGTAGGGAAGGTATTTAGAACCCTTGCAACAGATCACCGTCGTAGGAACTAAATATGTATGTTTCGCAGTGTGTGAACATTATCCGAACTTCCTATTTTGTCAACTCTCTATGAAATATAGCTGTTAAGATGAACAACGGAGATTAAATATGAGTATTTCAGTCTCGTACAATTTATTATGAGTACATATACAAGTCCTGTTGGACTGGAAACTAACAAGTCGAAGAAAAGAACTACCTGACCTCCCTACTCCAGACCGACAGCCTGCAAGAGGTGCCGCCTCCTCTTGACCTCCTTCTTGACGCCGCGCATGCTCTTCCTCGGGCGCTTCATGATGTGCTCTGTCCTGGGCTTGTTGAGGAGCCAGGCGTTCATGGGCGGGCGGGAGCCGATGAAGCGGCCCTCGGGGCTGTAGACGTCGACGACGGGGTAGCGGTCCTCGAGCGGGTCGCGCTTGTCAGGGCGGCCTTCATCGTCTGCGTCTGCGTCTGCCTCTCCGGCTCCGGCTCGCCAGTCGTTCGGGTCGGGCCCCGACAGGTCTAGCGTCGTTATCCGGTCGGAGGACCAGTTGTCGGCTGCTTTTGCGACGGTCTTCTCCGTTGGCGAGAATGAGGGCACGAGGTTCTTGGTACGGACCTGGGCCACGAGCTCGACCCAGCCGCAGCCCTCGATCAGGATGTCGATAGAGAAGACACGATAGGGGAGCCTGTCAACGGAGATGTTGGCGGCATTGCGGCGCGTGATAGGGCCCGCGCGGGGCTTGGTGACGTCGTACCGCAGCTTGAAGGAACCGGCATGCTTGATCTTGTCGCCGGTGCCGGGGAGGGCGATGGTCTCGACGTTGGGCGCCTCCTCGGACTGCTCCTGGATGGCAATGGCCTTGGCCGTAGATGACACGTGAGGTTCGATCGGAGTGAAGGCGTACGACAAGAAGACAAGGTCGGGTGTCTGCGGGGTGATCCGAATCAAGCCGCCGATGAGCAGCGACTGACCGGGCCTGAGGGACAACTGCTCGGGGGTCACGCGGTTCTTCATTATCAGTGAGGAGCGCTTATCCTCTTTGACAAAGTTTTCCAGCTCGCCCCGGGACAGTCCAGGGAGATCAATCAGCTCGCCCTTTCCGCCACCGAAAGGCATGCGGATGGGGGACGCAGTCGTCCCTGGGAGTGACGAGACGACGGGCATATCGGGGTATTCAGCTTCTGGTAGGGCTGGCGGCAGCAAAGCGAGGTCCTCGGTCACTCGCCTCTTGGGTTTGGCAAAAAGAGCGCTGAAGGGGTCGCTTCCTGCTACCCCAGAGGATGGGGTGGCTTGCTCGTTGGGATGCACAACGATAGAAATATCGTGCTTGGGAGGCTTCCAGTCCATCCGCCCCTTGGGGAACACACTCTGGAACAGCTGGCTCTTGCCCACATTGACCTTGCCAACCATCCACCCCGCGCCACCGCGTTCCCATATCTCTTCCTTGAGCTTCTTGGTCCACCACCCCCTCTTGGCGCTGACGCAGTGGATATTGCCGAGTCGAAGATTCCGGGCAACACGGCCCAGCGCCCCCCGGAGTGTATCCCTCAGGTACGGCATTAGTCGATCCACCTGTTCTTTCTGGGGCGCGAAGAGATCGGACCGGCTGATAATGAAGCTGATGTCCGTTTTGCGCCCATTACGGAATGTGGGTTCGCCTGCGCGCCGATTCTGCGACCGCATCGCCGACAAGTCCATGATCTCCCTCAGTTTCGGAAGTATAGACATGGGGAAGTCGGCGGCATCTAACACATGGTAGACGTGGTTGTACTTGTACGGTGACTCGTCAATCGTGTCGCGTAGCGACTCGATACTGGGGTGGAATATGGAATTGCCAGCATGGTGATGAATCAAGTTGTGACAGCGATCGCAAATGGGAGGCTTGACGGGCGCGGCTGCCGCCTCGGGACGGCGAGGTTTGGGATCCGGCAGCAGCGACTTGAGGTCGACGCCTTGCTTTTCCATTTTGTTTAGGTTTACTCTCTTAAGCGCCTCCTCAACCACATCGCCGTACTTGTGGGCACCGATTCGCCCTTGTCCATGTTCGTCTTCCTCGAGACCCAGATACTGCTTGACGGCCCTGCGCGACAGGTCGAAGTAGCCTGCCTGGTCGGGCACAATTATCTGAGACAAGCCGCCGCAGCCTGAGCATTGTATCGGCAGCGACTTCGAGGGCCTGTGAACTAGAATGGGCTGCGTCGCAGCTGGGGCGGCAGCAGCATGTGCATGCAGTCCGCGGGTTTGAGTACGATTGCGGATTTGGAACGAGGGCGCGCCCTGACGAAACCGTCGGCCACCAACGCTGGGAACTGCCAGAGGCCGGAAGAATGCTGGACAGAGGTACAGCGGTAGTTCTGATGGAAGGCTACCGTGCTCGACGCTGAACACCCTTCCCAGCCATCTCGAGCTGAGCGTACGGCCTCGCTGTATATGCATGGCGGCGTGTTGCGTGCCGCTTGTTAGTGCTGTTGTTGTCCAAGACTTCAAGTGACCAGAAAAGTCAAGCTGGGTTGGATGTCGTCAAAAGCCTCGACATCATCTAGGTGCAAGTGCCTAAAAATTTCATGACACGTACAGGGGTGCAATGGGCTGGATGAAATTTAGCGTCTAGGCGGCCGCGTGCAAGGGCCCCGGCAGGCATTTCCAGGTCGTGTTTGGGCCCGTTTTTCTCGGCAGGCAATTACCAGGGCGGTGAGCTGAAGCGCAGTCTCGGCCCGCTATTTGTCTGTCCAAGACCGGATGGGTGAACTGGCAAGCCTCGCCAAACTAAAAATTTAGGGGGCAGTAAAACGTAAAACCGACCAAGACGCGACAAACCACCCGCCTTATAATTTCACGCCGCCCACGCCGTCCGCGCCGAACCTAGAAGCTCGACAGATCTCAAGATGGTGGCCGTAGGAACGCGATTGCACAGATTGAACTCAGTAAGCTCTTCAGGCTCCGAAAGATCCCCAAACGAAGCTCCTGCTAACAAGCCAAACCAGAGGGTAATGCCAACTAGCCACTCGTACCTTGTCAGCCATTGTTGGCCCCGAGCCAGGACTCGACGTCTTCTTCAAGATGCTAACACTCCAAAAGCTCTTAACGATACGAAATGGGCCAGGAGCGGCAATTCTCCCGCCGGATGTGACAAGGATACACATGGAGTTTGCTATGAGGATGAACGACGGACACATGGGGCCGAGGTATGCGGGAACCTGCGCCACTGCTACGTCTTCGCGCCTCTGTTTCTAACCTGTTCGGCAGGAAGTTCTGGCGGGATAACCTCCCACGATTGAAGTTTTGGAACCCAGCTGTGCCCATGATTGTCAATCGGGTAAAGGACCAGTCCGGGCCGGCCACGATGAGCATATATATTCGCGATGCCGACGCCGACGCCGACGCCGACGCCAACACCGACGTGCCTCTCTCTACTCCCACGCCGAACTCGTCGACGACGGGTCACTCTACAGCGCCGCCGCCCGCCAAGGGTGAGCGCGTTGAGGTCATCTCGATGAAGGACATGCACTCGGACACTATTCTCGCCAGCCTTATCTCCAAGACAAAGGCAGTGCCGGTGCTTCCGACGCCCCAAGAGCAAATACAGATGGAAGAACTGGAAAATCTGCGCCAGCAAGCAGATGTTGACCGCGCACGGGTCTGGAAAAGGGTCGAGGCAGCGAAGAAAGAAGCGGCAATGATGGCCGCAGCAAGGGATGAAGCTGCATCTCTCAAGGCTGCCATGTAATCGAGAGGCCTGCGGTCTTTGGCGCATGTAAATTCATCTGTAGACTATTTATTGGGAAATGGTGTTTCTCGTGTATGTGATACGTATACCATTACTTCAAGGGCGATGGCCCTTGAGAGCACCTGTCCATAATCACAGAGAGGGAGTAAAATATCTTAGGTACGTGCCTAAGGTGAGACCAACCACATGTACTATTTCACTCTATAGCTCGACTACACACTGTGCTTACTTTCTGAGTGGGCCAGCTAATTATGATAAATAGATATGAAGCATAGCTCCCGTCAATTGTGCCGGAGCCGGCCATTCATCACCAAATCCCAATAGAAGAATCTATCAAACGCATATGCTTACTACCTGAGGTAGGCAGCTGCAAATCTATTTCAACTCTATCCACTGCAGCAGATGGAAGGCTGGATTGCCGGTGACAAAGTAAAGCTGAATCAAAGTTTACAACGTCTTCCGTACATGCACAGTATTAGACCAGGACGGACATTGCTCCACAGATGTTTTGGGGACCACGTAGATGTGACCATGCCCTCCAGGCACAGGAACGCAAGATCCTCTCACTTAATTAACACGCAATATATTTCAATCAGATTAGTCGGGATTCAACCGTTTTGCTGAGGTGATGCATATGGATGCGGCTCTCCAACAACCTGGAGGACGCGCAGCCCGTGTCCCAGGCTGCTGAAAGCTGCTGAAGTGGGGGGTTTATTAGTGGGACGTTCTGGGATTGGCGGGGAGCCAATAGCCCTGTGGAGGTACGGAGTACTTGCACTAGCAAGGGGCGTCGCGCCAAGCCGAATGCTTGCTGCGGCCATCCACTGGGGAAAGAGGCCACGAAGACGGTGCCATCATCCCTTTTCTTTTTTCAGCTCAGCTGTAACAAGCTCCCGTCGACTTCGCCCTCCACGACAGCGAGAGCCGGCCACCCCTTTCTTCTTTCTCTGTCCATCAGATATCGTGTCCCGTTTGCTCGGGGACATTGATGCTGGGGCACTAGACTTTTTCTTGTCGTCGTTCACGTCGCTGTGGAGCCTTTCCGAGTGCTTCCCTTCCTCTCCGAACAGTCTCGTCAATTGCCCGGACTGTTTCTTTCCCACACGCTCTTTTTACCCGTTTTATGATTCGCCTTGCCATAACACCACTCTCCGAGGCCTGACCTCCGACCACCCTTGGACCGTGTCTTGTAGACTGCGGCCACTTCCTTCCGCTTGAGCTCGGGTTCAAACACACTCCACCATGGCCGCTTCCGACAGGGCCGTCGCTGTCTCTGGCGTCGATGTTGGTGACGCGCGGAGGAGAACTGCTGTCCCCCAGACTGCCGTCGTCGAAAAGCCCGAGGCCGATGACAAGAAGAAGACTGCCAAGAAGGTTCGCGCTGCCCCATCCTGGCTTACGAGCAAACCATAAGCCCATGCCATTGCCAATGCATTGCAATGCGTCTCTACACCGCGTGCTTGCGACAACTTGCGCCTGGAATCAAACTAACACGCTGTCTCCTGCAGAGCCCCTCCATCCTTGACATCATCGACGAGTGGGAATGGATCTACGCCCCCCTAATCTTCACGGTTTTGGCCTTCTTCACCCGCTTCTACAAGATTGGTCTCTCGCCCATCGTGACATGGGACGAAGCTCAGTTAGTTGATCCCCGCGACTGTCGTCCCTTTCGCCCTTTCTAGCCCGCCATGTACACCGCTAACACGATGCAACTACCAGCTTTGGAAAATTCGGCAGCCACTATCTCAAGCGAGAATTCTACTTCGATGTGCACGCAAGTACCCCGTCCCCAGCGGCGAGTCATCTCGGATCTTGACTAACACACAACAGCCGCCTGCCGGAAAGCTTCTGGTTGGGTTGAGTGGATACCTCGCCGGCTACAATGGCTCGTTCGAGTTCAAGTCAGGCGAGAAGTACCCGGAGGAGCTCAACTACACATTCATGCGCCAGTTTAACGCCTTCTGGGGTGCGGCCTGCGTGCCGATGGCCTACTGGACGGCAAAGACGCTGAATCTCAAGCGCCCTGCCGTCTGGCTCGTCACCCTCATGGTTCTTTGCGAAAACTCCTACACCACCATCAGCCGCTTCATCCTCCTCGACTCGATGCTTTTGTTTGGCACTGTGCTTACCACGCTGTGCTGGGCAAAATTCCACGCCCAGCGCCACAACGCCTTCGAGCCCGAATGGTGCCTCTGGCTGCTCATGACTGGCCTTAGCATTGGGTTTGTGACGAGCATCAAGCTGGTTGGGCTCTTCGTTACTGCTCTCGTCGGTATCTACACTATTGAGGATTTATGGTCAAAGTTTGGCAACACCAAAATGCCGGTGGTAAGCTTGATCTCGGGCTCCTTAAATCCATTTGTTTGTTCTGACACGCGTGCAGACTGTCCTGGCTGCACACCTTACGGCTCGCGTCATCGGGCTCATTGTGTTGCCTTTCCTGGTCTACCTGCTCAGCTTTGCCATCCATTTCGCTGTCTTGACCAACAGCGGCCCAGGTGACGCCCAGATGTCTTCGCTCTTCCAGGCCAACTTGAGAGGCACCGAAGTCGGTAGGGACAGCCCATTGGAAATCGCCTATGGATCGAGAGCGACAATCAAGAACATGGGATATGGCGGCGGTCTACTTCACAGTCACGTTCAAACCTACCCCGAAGGCTCGGGCCAGCAACAGGTGACATGCTACCACCACAAAGATGCCAACAACGACTGGTTTTTCTACCCGAACCGGAGGGAGCCCGACTTCAGCCCCGAGGAGGAGCCCCGTTTTATTGCCGATGGCACCACCATCCGTCTGATTCACGCCCAAACTGGCCGCAATTTGCATTCGCATGAGATCTCCGCTCCTGTTACCAAGGCCGACAAGGAAGTGTCTTGCTATGGTAACCTGACTATTGGTGATGAGAAGGACCACTGGAAGATCGAGGTCATCAGTGACGCAGCCTCCAGGGACCGTAGCAAAATCCGCACCCTCACCACCGGATTCCGCCTGAAACACGAGACCTTGGGATGCTATCTGCGCGCCGGTAACACCAACTTGCCCCAGTGGGGCTTCAAGCAAATCGAGGTTACTTGCACAAAGGAGAACAAGCCTCGTGACACCTACACCCACTGGAACATCGAAGCGCACACGAACGAGAAGCGTAAGTTGTTAGGCCTGGCTTTCGTCGGTTCTCACTGCTAACTTTGGCTAGTTCCTCCCGGAGACCCTGGTTCTTACCGCTCACCGTTCTGGAAGGATTTTATCCACCTGGTACGTCCATACCCCAATGGCGTACCTATTTACCGCTATATGCAAACGCTAATTATTTTTAGAACGTCGCCATGATGACCTCTAACAATGCTCTTGTTCCGGATCCTGACAAGCAGGATGATCTCGCATCGCAGTGGTGGCAGTGGCCTATCCTCCATGTCGGCCTGAGGATGTGCAGCTGGGACGACAATATCGTCAAGTACTTCCTCCTCGGCAACCCTCTTGTCTATTGGGGCACAACGGCCGGGCTCGGCCTCTTCGCCTTCCTTGTTGTCTGGTATACCCTTCGCTGGCAACGAGGTTATAACGAGTTGTCCCAGTGGGACGTCGACCAGATTCATTACGCCGGGCTTTACCCCGTCATTGGGTGGTTCCTCCACTACCTACCGTTTGTGGTCATGGCCCGTGTCACGTATGTCCACCACTACTACCCAGCTCTATACTTCGCTATCCTCGAGTTTGGATTCCTCATCGACTGGTTCCTTCGCAACCGGACGAAGGTTGTTCAGTACGCCATCTACGGCGTCCTTGACGTGACCGTCATTGGCCTCTATGTCTACTTCATGCCCATATGCTGGGGTATGACGGGCCCCAACAAGCAGTACAGCTATATGAAGTGGTTTGACACGTGGAGGATGTCCGACGCATAAAGTTGTACGCGTTTCCGGTGTCGTCAAAGGAATGCGTGCGTGCGTGTCTTGTGGGAGTGTATGTGTGTGATGGTTGCTCGGGGAACCTTCGCCTCACATGTTTTTCATCTAGGGCTAGGTCGGAGAGCAGCATGAAAATGGATGTGGAGTTTACAGGGGATTGTGCCATCTTGGAGGCTAGCTACGGCAGGTAGGCAAATTCTTTTGCTGCGGCGGCAGTGAGGTATAACAGGCCTTCGTCGCGCCTGATCTAATACAATTCAGAAAGACGAAAGTTCTCTCATGTCATTTAGGGCCGGGATGGGAGGGGGAAACTAGATCTCATCTCAACTTTGCATCAATTATTATTGTGTCCTGTCTCTGCCTCTTTTTGGAAGTCGGTTTGGACTATCAAGAACGTCTATCCACACCATGGTAAAGACAACACTGGGGTCCAACACGGCTTTCGATAATAAACCGGTGTACAAAAAGGCTTTAGTATTCTATAATAGGCGTTTAGGTTTTCTTCTATATTATACCTTTGAACTACTTCTTCACCTATTAGGCCGTAACGCCATTACCTCTACAGTCTAAACAGACGGTGTGACAGTCTTCTGGATAGACTTCATCTGTGTGTGCTACTGGAATGTGTTACTAAATTATGTATGCATTTATTAAGTATGCTCTGCTTATTTTCTCACTCTCGCGCCTCCCGCTCTCTCATGCAACAGACAAATGAGACTGGCAACAAATAAAGGGCGAGGTTTCCAACCTCCTATCCTCCAACAAGGGGTATCGTACGTCGATGTAGTCATGTTTTGTGTTGTTTGTGTTTGTGTGTGTGGCAAGTTTTGCGCATCCTTCCGTGCCCGTTTGTTTGTTTGCATTGGTACCATCTTTTTCCTTCTCTTGGCTTCTTTCCTTCTCTGCTCGCTTGTTCTCTTATTGACTACAGCGTCCCAGGTGCTTGTTTCTACTTCGCTGTGCTCTCTCTGCATTGCTGCTGCCATTCGGAAGAAGAGGGGGGATGGGATGGGATGTAACATGGCGTTGAGAAAGATTTCTATCTGGTCTTCCTTCAAATAATAGAACAAACACAAAACATAAACAAGACAGGAAAATGAAGAATCAACAACAGCCGCCCGATACATTCTTGGGGTCGTTGGACAGCCGGACGGGCCGGTTACCGCCGACGCCGCCGACGCCGCCAGCGCTCGGCCCCTTGACGCCGGACCGGCGGTCGTTAAGGTCGTACTTGCCGGCCTGAATGTTTTGGTAGATGCGCTCGGCGACGCGCATAAAGGCCTTCTCGACGTTCTCGCCGCTCTTGGCGCTCGTCTCGACGTACTCAAGCACGCCGTTCCGGCGCGCCCACTCCTCGGCCTCCTCGCGAGTTACCTCGCGCTTGTTGCCTCCGGCGCTGCCGTCTTCCTCGGCGCTGTTCGGCGACGCCAGATCCGCCTTATTGCCTACTAGCACTACGACAATGTCGGGCTCGGCGATCTGCCGCAGGTCGGCAAGCCAGTCCGTGACATGCTGAAACGTCTGCTTCCGGCTCAGATCAAAAACAAGCAGGGCCCCTGATGCGCCGCGGAAATAGGAGCGCGTCACGCTCTTGTATGTTTCCTGGCCAGCCGTGTCCCACAGGCTGAGCTTCATGTGCTTTTGAGGAGGCAGCTGTTCTACTGCTGCTGCAACAGGCTTCTTGGGCGGTGGAGGGAGACCATTTGGTTCCGGTATCGCCGGCGCTGTCTTGGCCGCATCGTCGTCGTCTAATGAGAGGTCTGGAGAAGAGAGGGCTGACGTCGAGTTTGCGGCCAGGAACTCGCTCTTGTCGGAGTGCGGCGGCCCGACAGGTACGATGCGGGACCCGAATTCGACCCCAATTGTCACATCGTGGTGCGTCACGAACCGGCCTTCGCACAACCGGATCGTCAGCGACGATTTACCGCAGCCCGAGTCTCCTATGCATACTAGCTTCGCTATGTAATCCCAGGGCGGTCCGGAGGACATGAAGAGCGGACGGAGGCTGAGACAAGGGGGGGAGCCGGTAGGTTGGTGGGGGTGTTGGAAAGGGGGAGGGAACGAAGCACGAGCGCCTTTTTCTTCCTCGCTGTACTCTGCTCCTGGTGCTACCGCCTTCGGATATGTGCCAGTTCTGACTTTGGCCGATGTTGTAAGCTATCGTCGCCCTTGCCTAGCCGTCCTCTCCGACTATCGTGGGCCTTTGTTGGACCGAGGCGAGGCCAGTGGGAAACGGTCTGCTTAGTGGCGGGCCGGGCTGCACAAGCGATAGAAAATGGGGCAGAAAATACAAAAACAAAAAAGAGGGCCTTGGTAGTCTCGTGGGCAATGTGCGACGAAGCGTGCGCGCGAGTGAGCTGGCTGAGATGGACTGGTGGCCCGGTCATGCAGATCGCAGCGTCAAGAAAATACGGGTTGGGTTGGCGGGCAGGTAGGGCGATGGCAGTGTTCTAGAAGTTCAATGTCGGGTTCGGTCTGGTGTTTGGTTTGACAGCTGATGGCTGATGGGCATGGAGCTGCATGAGGGAACCTGGAAGCTAAGATACTTACCTTAGGTTACCTTAGGTATGTAGGCCTTGGAGGATGGAGCCGAGTGTGGATCAGCAGATCGCAGCGGGCTGCAAATTGGAGCTGTTATCAGTGACGCAACTAGCATCCTGCGTAAGAGTGCAGTAATAAGGCAGGGCACCTCCCTTCGCCAGCGGCCGACAAACCCCCAGGTCATGGGGCACCTGCAGCTGTCATTCGTCACTTCCGTCGGCCGTCGCAGTCAGTCAGGACTTGCCAGAGACAATAACACGAGACCCAGATAGCTAAGGTAGATTCTGCGTAAACACTGCAAATGAAAAGTTGGGTTCGTGGGTTTTGGTCTTGTTCTTGGTTTGCTATTCATTCTTACCACGACTGATTCGGCAGAGGACAGAGCCGACCTGAGGTTAACTTAGGTAGAGGCACTTAGCTTACCCCAGGCGCATGTCTTTAACGGGGTTTCGGCCTTAACACAAGCGGAAAATGCTTGTTTGTTAGGGCGGTCGGGTGGGGCGGTCGTGCTCCGTGGGGCAAATGGATGGGGCTTGGAGCCTGGATTGGCCATCGGTAGTCACGCCTACCGCGTTCGGTTGCTTCCGCTGTCTGGATGCTGGGCAATCCGCTGGCTGCCTGTCCGCCTCAAACTGACTAAACTGACTCTTCATCCGACCGACCTCTTCAATCATCCCGCTGGCACCTCTTTCCCTCCCACGATTTTGCAGGCCTCTTCAAGCTCACTGCTGACATCGGCGGCGCAACCGAATCCTCAATACTAACGCTGCATTTTTCCGGGCCTGAAACAGATTATTACCCATAACCCTTAGACCTGCCCGGCTTCCCGGGCCAACAGCGTGCTGCAACTTAACTGCCCCGCATCATCAGATTCTCGCCATTGTCATCCACTTCCCACCCCACACTCCCACTCCTCTTTAGTTATATTATTACGCGCGCAATCCACCGCTATCTTGGCTGTGTGTAGAATAGTGACAGACCTCTGAGGGGGGGTTTGGGTCGGTCGCCATGTTCTCAGAATGTGAGTCGGGTCGGAGCGTCTCCTTGGCCCGTGACGGCGCCATGACTCTGGCGCCCGGCTAATCCATCTCCAGATGCTTCCAGGTTTCTCGCGCAGTCGCAGTCACGGCTGTCCAACTTTGGCCAACCAGACAGTAGTGACCGCACTTCCCGCCAGCCAGAATGGCAATCTAGGGGCACGCGATTAGGAGGCAGATCGTACCTAGGCAGGGGCGCCGGCAACCCGTACCAACCCAGCGGCTCCCGTTTCTTTGGCTCACGATATGCCTCCCAAGACGCCCCCCTCTTCCAGGCCGCCCTCGAGCATGAGGAGGACGATGAGGAGGAGCGAGACCGCGAGGCAGCAGACCTGTTCGCCTTGCAGCGGTCCCGGCGCGTCTTTGCTGCCGGTCGCCTAGAAGAGAGCACCGACACCGAGAACGACGACAGCCGCATCTCGCTAGAACACAGCCAGGAATACGATGAGGGCGCAATGGGAGATCGCCTTCGGGGCATCAAGAGCAGCTGGAACGGCACCAGGAGTTTCTCGCGTCGCGGCCAAGAGGGGAGAGATGCCCTAGGCCAGGGGCGGCAGGGTTCGAGCGAGAGCGATGAGGCTAAGGGACGCATGGTGGACGTTGGCCTTGAGTCCATCATGGACAGCGAGCCGCCTATTGATTTGACCATGGAGACGCCGATGGACGACAGCACGCCGCCAGCCTTTCAGAAATTTAGATCCCCTGCCGCTCCGACACGACATCCGATAAGGAGGGACTCGACCAACGATTCGGAGCTGGGGATGCACCCGCCCCCCAGCTCTGCCGACACAAATGTGAACGCGATCTTGGCGCAGCCTCCAACTTCTGATGGAGAGATGTTTAAGCACGATGCCTTTTTCGCCTGGATATACCTGATTGCCGTGGCCTCTCTGTTCGCCACCTTCGTTCTGGTCTACCTGCACACCAACTCTAAGAAGCCACTTGGAGACACCATCTATACAACTCTAAGGGCGTCCTTTCACCTGTTGGCAGTTGACACCCTCGTATCGATTATTGTCTCGGTGGTCTGGCTGGCGGCGCTCCGGTCGTTCGTCAGGCCTCTAGTGGCCTTAGTTCTCATTGCCGTGCCAATCGTGCTGACATCGTTCTCGCTGTACCCTTTCATATCCAGCTATAAGTCGGGCGGTGGCAGCTCGCGCATGCAGGATGTTCTCATGAGATGGGCAGCTGCAATCCCTGCCATTTCGGCAGTGCTTTGGCTTTATCTGGTGTTCAAGGGGCGCCATGCGCTCAAGTCGGCAATCGAAATTCTCGAGTTTTCGAGTCGCATTCTGACAGCAAATTCCGCCCTAGTCCTGATCGGCATGGCATGCCTGGGTGTTATTGTTCTCTGGACTTGGGCATGGCTCCTCATGTTCACCAGGGTCTTTATGGGGGGCTACTTCTCGAGCAAGCTATCGAGATTTATCATCAGCGCATCGAGCTGGTGGCTCGGTGTGTACTTTGTGCTCATGTATATCTGGACGCTCTCGATCATTGCGGGAGTTCAGCGAGCCACGACTGCTGCCACGGTGTCTCAGTGGTATTTCCATCGCAATGCCGTCCCGTCTCCGTCATCCAGAGATATTGTCTCTGCTGCTCTGGGACACTCGGTCACGGCCATTTTCGGCACGATCAGCTTGTCAACGTTGCTAGCTCTTTGTATCCGGCTTCCGTTGCTAGTATTGCCTCAACGTGCCGCGAACATTATCAGCATGTTCGCGTACTCGTTCATCCCGACTCCCATTGCAGCCTTGACTAACCCCTTGACGCTCACGTACGCCGCTATACACTCACAGCCCCTGGCTGTAGCAGCGAGAGGACTTAGCCAAATGGACTTTCTTTCACCGCAGCGGCCCACAACCACACTCACGCCAGCGGCCCTGTCTTCGGGCCATAATCGATACTCGCCCTTACTTCCGTACCGGCTCGCCAAACTCATACTGCACGCGACTCGTTTCATCATGGCCACCGCGCTGGGCTTTGCCGGCTGGGTCATGACAGCACAGCAGTTGAAACTCGAGCGGCCAGATGGTGGGTTGGGTCTCAGGGGAAGTGCTTACGCATACGTGGTGGGCTTGGTTGCGAGCTTCATCGGCTGGGGCATTCTGGGAGCAATGGAGGGGATAATGAGCGGCATCGTGGATGGGGTTGTCATCTGCTACGGCAGCGAGAAGCGCATGGTGACGGGTGGCGGCGGGTATTGCATGGAAGCCGCCTCCCTCTTTGGTGACAGGAGTGCTGCTGATAGAGACAGAGACGAGCCTTACTGAAGCTCCACGTGGAGCGCGGCGTTATCTGTGGATTCATGTTTTAGGCTGAGGAGGCATTTGGGGAGACTGACGGTAAGGAGTTTGTTGCATTGGTTTGGATTAGAGGGCGAACGGATGTCCTGCATAGACCAGTAGACAGGAAACACCAGGGCGCCGTACCGAAAAGCCGACGCTATATCATCATTATTAACACTATCGAAGCGGTTCATGTTTATGTATCAGGCTCATGACAAGAGCATACGGTTAGGTTGAGCCAGGCTGTCTTATACCTGGTTTGCGAGTCATGTTTAATTTCAATCTTCAGTACGCCGTAGGCCGCCTACTATCAAATAGGTGTCGTAATACGTTGGTACCGAAGACAGCTAAAACTCGTGACACAAATTAATACAAATGCTTAGGGGCTTAGAGAGCTTCAAACGTGACTACTCAGGTCAACGCACGAATACGCGACCTGGATGTGGCTTGGCAGCCTAGGCGAACGTGACGCAGTGCGCTGAGCGTGATCCTGAGAGCACTGAAAGTCGCTTGGAAATGGAACAGCATGTGCGGCAAAAAGTTGAGCAAGGGAGCACAGCCACCATGCCACGCGTTGCTTTTGGGGGCTCTCAGTTCCGGCAACTTCAGTACCGGCAGCGGGTGGCGGTCTTAGAATGGGGCCCGATCGATCATCTTGGGGGCCCTCTCAGAGGGGCTGCCTACGGTACGACGGGACGCAATCGAGTCCGGGAGGGAGCCCACCCCATCACTAGCGGGCAGGTATTGTCACGCACTGTAACGAAGGTATCCGTACGAATACGGTACCTCGGAGCCCTGGGCAGCTTCCATTTCTATCCGCTTCCACCTGAACCTCGCGGCTCGTGAATTGGCGATTGCGTTGCCCAAAGGGCCAGCTGGTGAGACCACCATTGCTACCTGGTAGTTGCACTTGGCAGGGAGGCTGTGCTTGCTATAATCGACGGGCCCGTGGCGGAAACTCGCCCCTCCACTGTAAATAAAATATGTGTATACTTGGGCCGGGGGCTCCTGCGTATAACTGAGGCGCCTCGGGTGTTTTTTTTACTTCGCGACTGCTAACAGACTGATATTTGAAACAACCCGCGCCCCAGTGTTGGTGTAAAAAACCCCAACCGACCTCATCTCTGCTTTCTTTGTTCTGCCAAGCCCTTCCAGGTTGTCTCGAACAAGCCTAAAGCTATCACACTGGCACATCACACCATCTGAACCCCACTACACTACCCATAACTCACTCAGCACAGTGACTGCCAAGTATCCGTACCCCTCCTTCCCTGACCACAACCGCATCTTTAAGTGGCACGGGTACGTTCGTCCAACGGCCTGTCAGCAGCTCCCTTTCTCTTTTGTTCTTGTTTCACTTACGAATCTACCTAGGCAAACCCCAAAGAAGAAAACACCCGAAATAATCTCGATTCGACAACACCCTAAAGGTCGACAAGCACCTGCATACGTATCATGGCCGATTTCGAGGCTCCTTCAGGACCTCCCCCGCCTAGGGTTCCCGAGGGATGGTACGTGCTTGCTTTGCTGGCGATAAGCCATTCATGACGCTCATGCTCTTATTTCCCTGTCACTGTCAACTCCCAAACGACCCCGCCTGGCTGCGGCTAGCTGTGCGGCGTCTCTGCTCTTGGCTCTCGGCAGCCAGCCAGCCCACATCCCCGCTGAGGGAACTGAGAAAACATCAAAAGCTAACAATAAGAACCAGGGTTGCGCGATGGAACGACCAATACAAGGAATGGTAAGTGCACCTAGCCCGAGTATACCGGAACGAGGGGCGGAGGCTTGCGATGGGGTGCGGGATATGGACGAGAGACAGACCGGCCCTGCAATGTGCCGGGACAGAAGCAAAGCTAGGTAAGCCAGCTAACACGCACACCTCCCACCAGGTTCTACGTCAACACGTACACCAAGAAGTCGCAATGGGACAAGCCCACCGAGGCAGCGCGGCCCCCTATTGACGATGCGCCGGGCGGACCGCCTCCGTCGTATGCGCCAGGCAACACGGCCGCGCCAACCGACACCAAGGTGAACCCGTACGACGATCACAGCCGCGGCGCAAGCACCAACCCGTTCAAGTCGGACGAGTCTGAAGACGAGAAGCTGGCGCGCCAGCTGCAGGCCGAGGAAGACGCTAGGGCGCGCGGCCACAGCTCCGGCGGTCCCGGCGGCGCAGCAGCCTCGTACGCCAACACGCCCCCTCCGGCCTCGGTCTCCCCGTATCCCAGCCAGCTGCCTCCACGCTCCGGCGGCAGCGAAGTTGACAAGGCCAAGGGCCTTTTCGGGAAGTTCTTTGGCAAGAAGACGGGCGGCGGCGGCGGCGGCGGCGGCGGTCTCGGCGGCGCCCTCGGCAGCTTCGGCGGCGGCGGGCACAGCGGCCACGGCGGTTACGGACAGCAGCCGGGCGGTTATGGACAGCAGCCCGCATACGGACAGCAGCCCATGTACGGCCAGTCCCAGCCGGGCTACGGTGCGCCGGGAGGATATGGCCAACCCCAAGGGTACGGTAACTACCCGCCCCAGGGCGGCTACTACCCACAGCAGCAAGGCGGATACTATGGCGGAGGCGGATACCCCCAACAGCAGCAGGCCCCCCGTAAGTCGGGCGGTGGCATGGGCATGGCGGGCGGTGCCGCGCTCGGTCTCGGAGCCGGCGTGCTCGGCGGCGTGCTCATTGCAGACGCTATCAATGATAACCAGCAAGAGGCCTACCAAGAGGGCTATCGTGAGTGCAACCTTCCTAACTCCCAGAAGCGTAGCATGGGTGGTTTTGACTAATATTCCATTACAGAGGATGGCAACAATGACGACTACGGCGGCGGCGATGACGGCGGCGGCGATTTCTAAGGAGTGGAGAAAACAGATTCTTGCTTGCCTACCAGTGCCGCAGCCTATTGCAGCAGACTCGGGGATGATGACTCGAGGGCTCTCATCAGTCGCCTAGGAGCAGGAGAGCTTGGTTTTTTTTTTTTTTGGAAATTATTCCTGGCGCTGTTTTTATACTGCCTTGCTTTTTTCTAGCTTTTTTCCTAAATCCCCCCTTCACGGAGAGAATGAGGTTCCCGCAATCAGCCAAGGCTTTGCTGGCGAAGGGGAAAGGGGAGGATACTCCAGATGCGTTGCATGGCATGGCATGGACGGCATTGCTCCGGAGCTACCTACTTACTGCAAGCAAGCTAAGCTACGGTACCTTGCACAACCTGTACTCTCCTAGAATGACACTAAGACGATGATTACTTGTTACACCCGTACATAGCATGACTGAATAGCGAAGCTTTACCCCGTGTTTGTATTTGTGTCGATGTAATATCAGATTGCTCTAGAATGTTGACTTAATTCCAAGGTGATTTCTCTCCTGCGTTTGTTGAAGATTACGATAAGCTGCCTCAACTTGCTATGTTGTATAGAGAAGATTATGCGAGAATGCAGTTTGCTAAACCTGACCTACATCTATTTTCAAGCATTTATCTAAACCTATACAACATGAACACGCCGCAATCCTCCAACCGCTCAAGGAGACGGAGAGTGGATTAGTCCGTCAAGCTCCTAACTAGCAACACAGTCAGCTGCTAACTAACTGACTACCTGCGAGAAACAGTCTCAACGGCCTTCTCACCTCTTCTTCCTGCTGTTCTCTCCGCCTTTACCCGATGTCGTCTTGCCAGAGTCTGCTACTGAGGATGCTGCTGCTGCTCCATCATCGGACCCGCCCTTCTTGGCCGACGTCCCTGCCAGAAACGCCGCCATGTCGAAGTTGCCCACGCCGCCGCTGGCGCCCGGCTGCCCCGTCGCCGCGCCCATGATCCCGTTCATCGGGTTCGTCTTTTGGCGCTCCTCCCACTCGGCGCGCATCTCGGGGTCCACTGGAAAAGGGGGGACCGGTTAGTTTTGAAGCTGTGGAGGGGGATGGGTGGAAAATGGGGGGGGGGGGGGGGGGACTTACTGTTGTCGACAAGGTACGGCATCCCGATGAAGATGCACATGCTGACCAGCCCGAGGAGGATCATGGGGTTCTTGAGGATGCTGAAGGCGTTGACTGGTTTTGTGTGAAGTCAGTGATGCGCGGCATAGAACGTGTTATGGGAGGGGATAGGTTGGCTGCACGTACACTTGCTCCGCTCCATGAAGTAGTTCTTCTCCCCGAGCACGCGCACCTCAATCCCACCATCCGCTGGCACGGCCTCGCCCTTGTTATCCCAGTCATTGCCGCGGAACGTCTCCCACGCCCTGACCAGCAGCCCATCACCCTCACCCCTCTCAACCACATCCACCCGCAGCGGCGCAAACGCGTGCGTCGCGCAGTGCACGTCGACCAGGTACGAGCCGGCGCTGACGTTGCCGAACACGAGCGTGTTGGCCGCCGTCAGCGGCGCCGACGCGCGGCCTGCGCCGAGCGCCGACAGCGTGCCGTGCGTCGAAGGCGGCAGCACGCCCGGGTTCGGCAGCAAGTGCGAAGCGGGGATCCGTAGGGTCACGGAGGTCTGCCGCTGGAGATGCTGCTGGGGGGAGGTAGATGCGGCGGCGGTGACGGCTAGGGCTATGAGAAGGGCGGCTGTCTGTCCTAGTCCTCGTCCTCCTCCGAGGAGAGATGCCAGGTTGAGGTGCATGGTTTTCTGTTTTGCGGGCGTTGGATTGGTTCTAAAAATTGGTCGTGTATATGTAGAGTTGAATTCTCTTCTTCGTATGTTGTCTCTGTGATCGCCGAGTTGCACACCGGAGCATCGCCGTCGTCGTTGTCGTCGTCGTTGTCGGTGGTTGCTGGACAGTCGAGGCCCACAGTCCAGAGCACAACGGTCGTGCGGTGGAAGATCCCAGGTGACGAAATGCGGCGTGCATGCGCTAAAGGCGGCAGACAGGGGTTAGTTAACCGTTAGGTAAGTGCTCTCTGATTGGCGCGTGCCCGTCAGCCCCTGAGCGCCTCAGCTACCCAACCTACGCCTGAGTTCCTTACCAATACTTTCTCTTTCCTACAAGCTGTTGTCCTCGTAAACATGATTTTGACTTTCTCATTGCAATAAAAAGCTACCGTCGTGTAGGTGGCTGCAAAGGATAACATTTATTTGCTTCATAAACAGAACATACATTCATCATAAGGCGCAGAGCTACGAAGAACACGAAAGGGGAATTTCCTCCTCCAAGCATCCTCGAAACCTGTCGTCTAATAGGTAATAACTCGATATATCCGCGGAAACCTTGTTACCTACTCTTTCCCCCTTTAAACAGCCTTACACCACAGTCGGGGCCTCGTCGCTCTTGGGCGCCTCGGCCGCTGGTGCTTCCTCGGCATTGGTCTTGACGGCCTCAGCGGCCTTGAACGCCTGGTCGAAGTCGGCAATGATGTCGTCAATATGCTCGGTGCCGACAGAAATGCGGATGAGATCCTGTTCGGCCAGTGGTTAGCCGCAAATCATTCTCCAAGAGCTCGTCTATCAGAAAACTTTGGAGTGGGGCCATCTTACCTCGGTGGCGCCCGAGCTGATCTTCTCCTCGTCCGACAGCTGCTCGTGCGTAGTGCTCCAGGGGTGGATGGCGAGCGTCTTGGAGTCGCCGACGTTAGCCAGGTTGGAGACGAGCTTGAAACCGTCGACGATCTGGCTGCCGGCGGCACCGCCTCCCTTGACGCCGAAGCTCAGCATGCCGCCGAAGCCGCGCTTGAGGTACTTCTTGGCGTTCTCGTGCGACGGGTGGCTGGCCAGGCCCGGGTACGACACCCACGTCACGTAGGGGCTCTTCTCGAGGTACGCCGCCAGTGCGGCCGCGTTCTGCGCGTGCCGCTCCGCCCGCAGGCTCAGCGTTTCGATGCCGAGGATGAGCTGCTGCGCGGCGAAGGGGTTGAGGCACGCCCCGAGGTCGCGCAGAATCTCGACGCGCAGCCGGATGATGAAGGTGATGGGCCCGAACGTGTCCCAGAATTTGAGCCCGTGGTAGCCCGCCGACGGCTCCACCATCTGCGGGAACCGCGCCGCATTCTTGCCCCAGTCGAACTTGCCGCTGTCGACAATGACGCCGCCGATGGTCGTGCCGTGGCCCCCTATCCACTTGGTCGCCGAGTGCACGACAATGTCGGCGCCATGGTCGATGGGCCGCACGAAGAAGCCTCCGGCGGCAAACGTGTTGTCAACCTAAACGGGTCAGAACATCAAATTTCAAGCGCAGAGCGGGGTCACGTACCACAACGGGCACGCCGTGCTCGTGGGCAACCTTGACGATGCCCTCAAAGTCGGGCACGTTGTAGCGCGGGTTACCGATGCTCTCAATGTAGACGGCCTTGGTCTTGTCGTCGATGGCGGCGACAATGTCCTCGGGCTTGTCCCCGTCGATGAACTTTGTCGTGATGCCAAAGCGGGCGAACAGGACCTTGAACTGGTTGTACGTGCCGCCGTACAGGTTCGACGTCGACACAATGTTGTCGCCGCTGCCCGCCAGCGTAGCAATGGCCATGAACTGCGCTGCCTGGCCCGACGACGCCGCAACGGCGGCAACGCCACCCTCTAGAGCCGCGATCCGCTTCTCAAATACGTCTGTCGTAGGGCTGCGGAGAGAAGCGAAAAACGGGTAAGCATGCATGCCGCTGTCCCAAGAGGGGGTGGGGGTTTGCTTCAGCCACGTACTTCATTATCCGGGAGTAGATGTTGCCAAACTCCTTGAGCCCAAAGAGGCGGGCGCCATGGGCACTGTCGTTGAAGACGAAACTCTATATCAAAGCAGCCCGTGTATATGAGCTGCCGGTCCTCTCGCGCGTCGCCAGGACAGGGGGCAGGGGGCAGGGGCGCGGATACTAACCGTAGTGGCGTAGATGGGCACTGCTCGCGAGTTTGTCGTCGGATCGGGTTCCTGCCTGTATTGCTCGTCCAGACGTCAGTTCCGTGTACGCATACAAACTAGCATAGAGCAGCAGCGAATGGGTTTAGGGTTGTACGCACCCGGCATGGAGCTGCAGCGTCTCGAAGTTCTTGCTGAGTTCGGCCATGGTTGCGCGGCTTTGGGGATATGAGGTAGCGTAGAGAGAAATAGAGATGCAGAGGCAGAAGGTGGCACGGCAGATAAAGCAGCAAGAGCGAGCTTGTTACATGTAGGTATGGCAGGTATTGAGGGGGAGAGCAGTGGGCAAGGCAAGGTGCACAAAGAGGACGAGGAGGGCCGTGTTCTATATACGTGCTGAAGTATGTCACTGTTGCTGTCACCCCTTGTGGTCCGTCTCCTAATTCTGTCTAGACCAAAATCTCTCTCTTTCTTCCATTCCCAACTCTTCCCAGCTCTCCCCCAATTTTTATTACCTTTTTTTACCTTAATTCCCTCTTCACTTGTCAAAAGGGGGCCATAAGGGTGCTCGTTTGGGAATGGGAAGTGGGGTGAAACCCCAAGCACGCAATCGCGCCATCGACTCACGGGCGCGGGGCAATCGCGTGCCCAGGGACGATCATCGACAGAGAGAGGGGGGTACAATGGAGTAAGAGAGGCCTTAGGTTTCTTAGCACTAACTTGTCTTCGCCCCCTAAAGACCGAGAGTTGTTGGAAGACAAAAATAAAAAAATAAAAAAGTAAATAATAAGAGATGGAAGCGTCGCAACGATTACCGATTTTCATCGTCTCTGTCATCTGGCGCTTCTGTGGCGCAACGCCCTGCGTTCCTATTTCTGGGAGCTGGTGTTCCGTCATTGTGCATTTTATATCCGCATCAGGTTGTCTTTTACCTTTGCTCACCTTATGTACCTACCTTACCTTCCTTACCTGGGTAGCTCTCTATTCTATAAGTCAAGCAGGTAAGCAGCCTTACATGCACGCACTCGGGGAATGCTACGCGAGCTGGCGGGAGCGAGGCGCGAGACAGTGCGGCTAGGAGTCAGCTTCTCGGCCTACGAACGAGTTACATTACCCAGCCCATGAACCGCGGAAAGCTTGGGGTGAGGTGAGGTGAGGTGGTCGCCGTGTGGATTCCCTACCTGTTTCCGGAAAAAGAATGGATGGAATCAAGCAGGCAGTGCCAATGTAGCAGCTATTACACCAATCCATGCTTGCTTACAAGACACACCGAGAACAGAAAGTAGGTGGGTGGTGGTGGCGCGGGGTAGCTTTCTTCCCGGTCTTGGGGCATTGTAGGGGTCGTTTTCTCTCTTCAGCTTTCTTCCATCCTGTGGTTCACTCATTTGAAGATGAATGTAGGTACGTATCAGGTCCTTCTCTCACGTTTCTATCTCATCAGACCGGAGAATAAACAAAAATCCCGGCACGAAATACACGCCTGCGCCGCCGCCACGCCCAGCACCCGACTTCGAGGTCCCTGTTCTGGAATCTCTTTTCCAGTGGCCAACAAACGTCGTGTCATAAACGGCCTGTATTGCGCGATTGGGGGAAGAGTCTAGCTCGTTTTATCGTCGACCTGCCTTCAGCCTCGGGGTTCGGGACGACTTTGACGGTAGTGCTTATTATTATTAGAGAATTATCTACAACGCCATAGGATGAAAAGAAAAAAGGAAATAAAACGAACCCCGGATGAGAAGAGGTGGGCAAAGTTGAGAGAGAAGCTTTGCAGCTCCTGTTACGGACGTTTTCTTTGCCAAAGACCAAGTGTCGGATCTACAGCACTACACTCACTAAATTAGCCGCTTGGCAGACATTTCACGTCGTGGGAACCCCCCCAATGCTTCAACGCAGTGTTCCGCCATGTGCATATCTCGACCGTATTCTTTTACATTCAAGAAATAAAATAAAATAAAAACACAAGTGGCCGGGGTGACTGGCGGCCGCACGGCCTGTTAACTGCGGGAGACCAGCCCGGTCGGTCGCTGGACGATCTTTGAGGCGTTAGCATGGACCGCAATCCGAGATGTCGGCCAGATCCGAGGCCTCGGGCTCTCTTCGGCAAAGACACGACTACACACCTAAGCAGTCAATGCTGCCTCGTACTAGAGATGGTGGTTGTCCTCCTTAGCACCCAATGCCTCCTCCCGCGCTGCCTGTTGCGCCGCCTATCCCGCCGCCTCCTCGCCTCCCCCGTTGCGAGATCTGCGGGCATGTGGTACTTGCAACAGGGGCTCGCCCCTTTGAGCCGGATTATCGTGTATATGCGTATGTGTGTGTATGTATATGTATATATGTTTTTATGACAATGCTCAACAACCCTGAATACACTTTTGCGCCCTGAAGTCAACTGTTCCAACCGCTCGAATTATGACGCCATTTCGTCCCTTTAATAATAAAAACAACCTTGGAATCAAAACAGACACAGTCCAGCTGGCCATTTAAGACCAAGCAGAAAGGGTTGGCTTCTTCTCCTCTTCCTCCCCTTCTCACCAGCGCGAGCCCATGCTCTGTGTACGATGTGCCGTGGCGGCCAAGGGGGCGACCTCGTCTCTCAAATCAATAAAAACCCAATCTTCGCCATTGCCAAGCCCGCGGTGGCCGGCAGCAACACCAACCGCACCCCAGGATCCGGGAGGGAACGACGACGGCACTGAAGATCTGCCGCGGCGGCCCCAAGCCACCCATAACCTGCTCGAGTAGGTGCGGGGTTGTAACGGAAACGCCCCGTCGGTTGTTGAGTACCAGTCATGGTCCTGGTACGGCGGCAGCGGCCTCTTTGCATCCAGTCCGTGAATTAAGGCAGGGGCTCTTTCATCATAGGGCCAGCGGATGCCGCGGCCCGGGGCTTGCGAAACCCCATCTTTAGCACATCGAGGGCCAGGATAATGGCCGTCGCGGCCCATTGAAAGATCAAAAAGGCCGAGAAGGCGACGTCGGCCTGGGCCGCGCTGCATACGGCGCCGCGGCAGAAGAGCAGGCCGTTCATGAAGACGCCCAGACCCACGCTCCCGGCAAACCAGAAGAGCACATTAGTGGCCTCGAGTCCAAGGGCGGCATACGGATTCGACACTGTGGGTTATCGTCAGCACCCCCTCCCGACTTCCAAACCGGAGTTCCAATGGGTCTACTCACACCGCGGCAAGAACTTGGGTACCACTTCTAGGCATGCGATGGAGAGCAGTGACCAAAGAGGAGCAAAGATCAAGAAGTTGATCTGAGCCGGAGACGCCGTCTTGGTGTCGGTATTATACCAGTTGGAGACTAGACGTTTGCTATTGTTAGTCGGGCCAAGCCGTCCGTTAATCGTCCATCAGAGGTTGCGCTAAGTGCCTACCGAAGGCCGAAAGGCCCAGGACCACCACCGCAAAGGCGGCCTGGAAGACTCGAAGGATGAGGACGATGATCTTGAAATTCATCTTGACTGCTGTTTCCCAACCCGTGGACGGCAAGCAGAATAGTACAAAGAAAGAAATATAAAGTTACTGTAAATGAGCTGCAACTGGCGCGCTCAACCAAGAAGAGGAGTTAAAAAGGGAAATAAAAGAAAGAAACAGGCTTGCAGATCGGGGGCGGACGAGAGAAGAAAAGGAGAAAAGAGAGGGCGGCCAGACAGGACAGAAAAGGGAGGGCGAAGAAGTATATCCGTACTTTCTCGTTACGATGGGGGGTCTTGATTTCGTTACCCGAGGGCGGCAAGGACGTCCGGCCGCCGGCTGAGCAGCCCGAGTACTTGCCTCCCCCTTGGAGGTGGAGGGGACTGTCTTGTGTAGATGTGCAAGTGTGAAGCCATCCTGAAACGGGGCTCGCAGGGGAATGGCAATGCTGTGCACAAGGCGATCATTGAAGCACCCGGGCCAATGCGATGCCACAGTGGCGTCTAGCCGCGGGGACAACCTTGTTGCGGCTCACTCAATTCCGCCCTCCTGTGCAGCCGAATCCGGCATTGCAGCCGGCTGTTGGTCGCTGGGTGGAAGCTGGGCTTTGCGATTGCGTGTATAATCTCGACTTTTTTGGGGGGGCGTATATCTGTAACTCGCGATGATTTAGCGCCCCACCGCCCAAAGTTTCAAGCAGAGCAACGCATCATGTTCCCGACCCTGGACTTCCCGAGTGGAGAACAATTTGACAAACGCAAAGCAGATAAAACAAGAGAAGAGACAGGGAAGCCACCAAGGCGTAGAATGGCAAACTGTGCCAGGTTAGGAGTGACTGTGCATTTCCTGCTGAATCCCGTCAAGGCACCGGGCTCAGCCAATGCTGCGTTGTGTCTCCTCTTGGGTTGTTCCAAGAGACAAACTTGGGCACTTTGCAAGGCGGAAAGGGGCTGCCAAGGTGGCACCTCTTGCACCTCTTCCAGGAAGAAGCCATGGGAGTCGGACACTTTGCCAGGGGATTGCAACAGGAATGTTCTCGAGGCTTGCTGAGCACGTCTTGGCGTGCTGCCCGACTGTTTGACTCGATGCCAAGCTCCACGGCGTGTGCAAGAGTAGAAACCAGATCTCGTCATTGAAGGAAGGGCTCAGAGCTCTGGGAGTCTTGGCTGTTTGGGGTTTGAATCTCTGGTGGGGGCGCAGAGTTGAGTAATGGAGGTCTGTGCATGGCCTCCTGTGGCCGCTGTGCTGTGCCCGCCTAGACCTGCCGATTTACGACATGTGGGAGCCACCTAGCGGCCACCGACGGCCACTGACGGCTCTGTGGAGTTGGAGGCTCGGGAAGGCATGAATCGCAACGGGTGAAACACCGAAAGTTCCCCACAGTGGTATCTGCTGTGTGGAACGCCGAGGTACATCGACGCCGTAGCACCCGGCCCGGACCCAAAGCCCCTACCCTCTTGCTGCCTCTACAAATAAGGGACATATGCCAGTATGGCCCCTATTGTGCTCAAAATCTTCATCTCCAACTCAATCTTCGATGTTTGCTCGAGGGGAAGGATGTCAAAGGCCTCACTGCATTAGGGCAAGGCTCCCCCTGAGCCGGAGTCTTTTCTCCACCGGCGGAGGTCAGTAGTGGCTCAGGTATTATACCACCAGAGACCTATCTCCCTCCTGCAAATGCCTTGGCCGAGGCTTTTCCAGGCCAATTTCAAATACCAAAATCTCTCGCGTATTTTCACTTTATCCTGCGCTAACAATCATTCTGGGAGAGCTGTAATAGAATGACGCTGCCGTCCTAGCCACCGAGCCCTCGGTCAAGCCTTGAGGTACTATGTGCGTTGCCTCTGCGGTGTTTGTTTGGACTTACTCCGTAACGGCACGACTAATTGTGAAGAATATTTGCATGGTGATACGGATTTCATGCGCCAACCGTACGCTGGTCAGCATCAATTGAAGCGAGTTGAATTAAGCAAGTGGGCTCTGGCCAGCTCCCGTCAGTTCCTGTCAGCTTGATAAGAACTCTATAGACCTCACACGAAGCAGCGTTACCACCGCAGTGGGCATTCCTGCTCCCCGTCTCCGTTAACGTCAGAACCTTACGTAGTACATGTACGGATATAGCAACCCTAATTTATACACTTCTCCGCACTCCCCGCACAAAGTCTAGCATGCAACCCCACCTGCCCTGGGGGAGTCTCCACGAGATCCCGCCGGAACAGGGCGCATGTGACAGGGAATCAGCTTTGGAGGCGGACATTCGCCCGCATTCGGAAAATCGCCTGCAGTCCATACATGTACGCTACTGACGTCGATAGGCATTGGGCATTCGGGTTCGACTGCAAGCCGTGGAGAACGGGCTCGCCGCCTGCCACCGGCGGCCCACTCAGTCCAACCAGGGCACCAAGAAAGAGCCGAGGCTGACCGACCTCAGGCCTTGGCAGCAGCAGCTTCACTCTAGCGCTCGAGACAGCAAGCAAGCTTTAGAATGGCAGTGGAGGAGGCATTGCATGCAAAGTTGAAGGTGAGCAACTGCAGGGTTTGTATTTGGGGTTCTCTGCTCTAATCTGATTCTCGCTTGAACAAAAGGGACGCAGGTTTTAAGGTTGAGATGACAGAAGGTTTCCATTGGGGGGAGGTACGATGCTGTGTGTGCTAATACGCAGTTGCAAGCTTTTCCACAGAAGCTAGCCAAATTCGTGAACGTGGTGCGCTAGCCACCCTTGCGTTCCTTGTTGCACTCGGCGCGCAAGTCAGTTGTCTTGGAGGGGCGAACCACATGCTGCCGAGTACCGATGTGCGCATCTTAATAGGCGCTCGGAGATGGGCCATCAGCGGAATTCCGGCCTCCATTTTTTCAAAACCTTCTCCCCTCACTCGAGAATAGGGAACGGGCCGCAACGCGACAGACACCCAACTACCACCCAGCAGAGCTTTTGGAAAGAAACGACTATTTTCATCTTCACGTGAAGTAAGTCAGGTACACTACGCTATAGAGCTTCCTGCTGTGGCCCATGTATGCAGCCGCAATTGCAGCCACAGCCGCTTTTTACTGGCTCTCGTCTCTCTTTGTTTCCGAGACCTCCCCACGTCCTCGGACTCTGAACTAATGGTTTTCGTCGCCCAGTTGATCTCTGCTGCGTCCTCGTCCTCGTCCTCGTCCTCGTCGCGTCCGCGTCCGCATCCCTCGATACTTGTCGGGTAACACCGATACACGGCCTGCAACCATGGCTCCTGCTATCCAGGACCCGGCGGTCTACATCCAGACCATTGCGCAGCCTCCGCCGCCAGGCTCACCCTACGCCCTCCCCGTACCCGGCACTGAGCGCCCCAACCGGACCGCCGCCTACCGCCACTGGCGCTTCGTCAACGGCCCACTGCTCGACACTTTTAACCCGGCCCACCAGACCTTCCATGATCTCTTCGAGCATTCCGCTTCCACCTACCCCAACCGCCGGTGCTTGGGAACGAGGCCCTGGAATCCCGTGACCAAGACATTCGAGCCCAAGTATGTCTGGATCTCGTACGGCGAGGTTGCTGAGCGCAGGAAGAACTTTGGCGCTGGCATCGTCGAGCTACACAACCAGATTGGCTTCACCCAGGACAAGTACGGTGTCGGTTTGTGGGCACAGAACCGCGCGGAATGGCAGATTACAGGTATGTCTATACTTTGCGCCCATGTTCGCCACGAGATACTCAGCGGTAACCTAACAACCTTTGTAGAGCTTGCCCTCGTCTCCCAGGCCCTCTTTCCCGTGTCCCTTTACGAGACCCTTGGGCCCGAGACCTCCGAGTACATCATAAACCACGCCGGCCTGACGTGCATTGTTTGCTCGCTGCCCCATATCCCCACGTTGCTCAAGCTAGCGCCCCGCGTGCCTTCCCTGAAGCTCATCATCTCGCTCGACCCCTTGGACGCTGGCGAGCCGGCTGGGCATTCCAAGCTGTCCCTGCTCAATGCCGCCGCCGCCCAGGTCGGCATCCAGATCCACTCGATGGGCGATGTCGAAGCCCTTGGCGCCAGGTCCGGCCGGCCCATGAGACCCCCTAGGCGCGAAGACATCTTGACCATCAACTATACTTCGGGCACCACGGGAGACCCAAAGGGCGTTGTACTTACCCACGCCGTTGGCGTTGCTGGCATCACTGCTGCGCGCTCCAACGAGAGCATGAGGTCAAACGACGTGCACTTATCCTATCTCCCCCTGGCTCACATCTACGGCCGCATGTGCGACCAGTCCGCGCTATCCTCGGCCGCGAGCATTGGCTACTTCCACGGCGACATCACAACCCTAGTCGAGGACTTGAAGATTCTGCAGCCAACGGCGCTGATGTCGGTGCCTCGGTTATATAACCGCATCAGCTCCGCCATCCAGGCTGCGACTATTGAGGCTGACGGCTTCAAGGGCGCGCTTTCGCGCCACGTCGTCGAGACCAAGAAAGCCAACATGAAGCTTCCCCACGGCAAGGCCTACAACTCGCACCTATTGTTCGACCGCATATGGACGCCCAAGGTGGTCAAGGCAGTGGGCCTGGGGCGCGCGCGCACCATGGTTAGCGGCAGCGCCCAGCTCGATCCCGACGTGCACGAGTTCCTGCGCGCGGCATTTGGCAATAACTTTGTCCAGGGCTTCGGTATGACAGAGTCGTACGCCACGGGTACGGTACAGATGAAGGGCGACTTCACAACGGGCAACATCGGGCCGCCGTGCCCTTCGGTCGAGCTGTGCATCGAGTCGGTGCCCGAATTCGAATACACGGTGCAGGACAAGCCCAACCCGCGTGGCGAGCTGCTGATGCGCGGCCCCATCGTCTTCAGCGAGTACTACAAGAACCCCGAGGAGACCAAGAAGACGGTCGAAGCCGACGGCTGGTTCCACACGGGAGACATTGTCGAGGTCGACAGCATGGGACGCTTCAAGATCATCGATCGCAAGAAGAACGTGCTCAAGCTCGCCCAGGGCGAGTACATTTCGCCCGAGCGCATTGAGAACGTGTACATGGGCAGCACGAATCTGATCGCCATGGCCTACGTACACGGCGACCCCAAGGAATCGAGCCTCGTGGCCGTCTTGGGCCTCGACCCGCTCCACTTTGCGCCCTACGCCAGCAGGATACTCAAGAAGACCATCGCGGCCGAGGACCATGCTGCCCTCAAGGTTGCCGCCAACGACTCCCGTGTCAAGACAAACTTCCTCAAGCTGCTTGAGGACATTGGCAAGAGCCACAAGTTCAACAGCTTTGAGAAGGTCAAGAATGTCTACTTTGACATTGAGCCCTTCTCTATGGAAAACGAGCTCCTAACACCCACGTGAGTTTTTTTTAATCTCTCCCCCATTGCTATCATCACGTGCTTTTACTGATACCAGGAATGCAGACTCAAGCTCAAGCGGCCCCAGACGGCTAAGGCGTTCAAGAATGAGATTGCTCGCATGTACGAAGAGCTCGCTGCCGGACGCACCGAGAAGCCGAAGCTGTAAAAGAAGAGGGGTTCATTGGCCCGATTTATCATGGGCAAAAAAAAAAAGTCATTTCCGTGTCTCTCTGTTTTTGCAGCACATGGGTAATATCAACTTGTAGATATTCCCCGTATCTAGGTAGCTAGCTAGCATGTTTGGTTTGGAGTTTAATTTTAATATTATATTATATTCATCTTCTATCGGCAGGTATAGAGGCTGTCACGGTCGCCACAGGGCTCATGTGACAGAATTGATTCTATTGGCTGCATTGTGCTTAGGGTGTGGCCTGTGCGCACTGAGCACCACTACCTATTTCTCCGCGCCCTGCGCGGACCTGGCGATAGATTCCTTTCTCTTCTTTAGCATTAAATCCACATTCGTTACTGCCTTCAACCATTGACATCCCTACTGCGTAAGTGATGCCTGATTGAGCGAGGGAGCGCCAAGACAAGGTCATATGACCGGCACGTGTAATTTAAGTACATAGGTACATAGGGAAGCGGGGCTTACCCTGACGCGGTTAGACCGCGTCTGCCCCACCAAAGGACCACATTAAGGTCCTCGGCAGGGCAGTGCTCCCGAGCTTCCTCCCTCGATCATCAATTTACCTACCTTTTCACGAATAGCCTACCGCATTCCGTGATCTAGGTGACGATCACCCTTCAGTAAGGCGGGCCGTCACAGAGGCTAAAGGAGTCGTTATAAATAAGGGACATGCTTATTAGTAATATATATTTTAATAATTAGAGTCTTTTATAACATAGGTCATTAAATTCGGTAAGAGTACTGCTAAACGGAAATGCCTCTCTATATATCTCGAAGAGTCTGTAGGAATTACTAATCAATCAGGTATTACAAACTGTGACGAACCTGGTTCGTACTGGACCAGCTGCAGAAGGCAGGCGCCTCAGGCAAGACAGGGGGCCCCGCTTGTCGAGGACCAATCAGACGGTGCCCGGTGCCAAGAGGGCTCTTTGCACAAGGCAAACGGAAGGGCGGCCAATCAGGGGTGGCCCGGTGCCAAGAAGGGTCTTGGCACCAGGCAAATGGCCCGGCACGCTAGCAGTGCCCGGCGCCAGGCAGCTCCTTCCTGCCGGGCAAGTAAGAGCGCAGCTCTTACTGGCCCGCCATAATTAAATAAATACGATGACCGTGTCCACGGTCTTAGATAGTTCTTGCTTGGCTCTTCAAGCAAGCAATACACATTCGCTGCACTCATACACTTTGAGTGGCATTCTGATTTGACTGTATTACCCGTGCGATAGGAGCTTGCCCTTTGTTCTATCTTCATAATTACCAACCCCAGCATTCTGTGGAGCCCGTGCTCCCTTACAGACAGACGACCCTAACAGTCGAGTGGTTTGTAATACTCCTATCCCACGGGTAATACAGTCAAATTGGAATGCCACTCAAAGTGTATGAGTGCAGTTGTGACGGCGCCAGCTCACAGCACCCACTACCACTGCGCTAGAACCCCCAAAAGGATGCCAGAATTGCAAGTCGACGACTTGCAACCTGTAGTGGGTTATATATTACAAACCACTCGACTGTCAGGGTCGTCTGTCTGTAAGGGAGCACGGGCTCCACAGAATGCTGGGGTTGGTAATTATGAAGATAGAACAAAGGGCAAGCTCCTATCGCACGGGTAATACAGTCAAATCGGAATGCCACTCAAAGTGTACGAGTGCAGTGAATGTGTATTGCTTGCTTGAAGAACCAAGCAAGAGCTATCTAAGACCGTGGACACGATCGTCGTATATATCTATCTACGTAACCAATGACAGTGGTTCCGTAGTCCCGCGGTCCCGCGTCCGGGTCACCGCCCGGCCGGACCTGTCCCGCGTCCCCGAGCTCCAGAGCTCGGAATCCTGGAACGCTCCTGATTGGCTCGCGCCAAAAGTGCATGCCCCACCTTTGTGCATAACCACAGGGAATCCACAGGGATTCGTGACATTATAGTGTGCTACGGCCGTTGCGCGCCGTGACAGCAGTGAATGTGTATTGCTTGCTTGAAGAACCAAGCAAGAACTATCTAAGACCGTGGGTACGGTCATCGTATATATCTAACTGTGTAACCAATAACAATGGTCCCACTGGCCCGTGGTCCCGAGACCTTGCGGTCTCGGGACGCCGGGCGCGCGGGACACTGTCCCGCGTCCCCGACCTTAAGTGGTCCCGAACCTCGGGACCCAGGGACACTCCTAATTGGTTCCTTCCATGGGACGCTCCTGATTGGTCCACACCAAACTGAGCGTGCCCCACTATTGCGCATTTCAACAAGGATTCGTAACATCAGGGTTAATTAGGGTTAATCAAGCTTATGAAATGCAAGGCTGTGATTGGTCTAACAGGCAAAACAGTGGGGGAATCAGGTCAGCGCACGGTCCACACCCGCCTAACACGTTGCGCAACACGTGACCGCGGGGCACCCTGACTGAGCGCCTTCGTGTCCCTACAGTTCGTGATCCATTTGGTAGACATGGAAGAATATGATCAACACAACCACCACCCCACCTTTCGCAGCGGTTACTATAGTGACTAGCACGAATGACCTTGTCATTCCAACAGAGTCGAGTCCTTCGTATAGTAGTACTTATTTGCTAATTTCATTGTTATGAACCGATGGAGCGGAGCCGCATACTCGTTGCTCGTTTGCGAATATGCTTCTAAACGGTGAGACCATGACCAATGAGCGTGCTTTAAGTTGAGATGAAGAATGCGGCAAGCCTTTAAACTTGAGCTAAATTAGAATACGCTTTACTTTCTTTTTTACTATATAGCTAAGTCACTGAGGATGTCTCTTTGAACGTTGATGGGACATAGTTCAACGTGTTACGGAGGTGAAGGGTGATCGTTACCTAGATCACAGAATGCGTGTGCAATACGTAAAAGGTAGGTGAAAAGATGATGAAAGAAAGAAGCTCGGAAGCCCTGCCCCGCCAAGGATTTGTAAAAGATCCATCAGTGGGGCCGCACACTGGTGAGCGTGGCCCGAGCGCCCAGGGCTAAGCCCTGCTAGTCTGTACTAAATTACACGTGCTTGGTCATGTGACCCTGCATTGCACTCTCCATAGCACAATCAGGCATCAGGAGGCTTGTAGCGTCTAATGTGCACTTATGCGACGTCAAATGCCGTCTGAGCTTTCTGAGATGTGGCGAGCAAGCAGATCTAATCGATCGCGTGCATGCATTAATGTGATTGGTCAGCTTCTGTGGCCACTATTGATACGAGAAGCATAACCCCAACACCGTACTGTGAGCCAGCGCTCCATACTTTGGGCCAGGTTGTAAAAGGCAAGTTGTAAAAGGCAGTACGAAGTACTCCTATGAGCTCTATACTTCTTTAGAGAGCGTTAGAGAATAGACGTTTGTGAAGATCAAGAATGATACAAAAGAGCTACTTTCTACTACTACGTAAGAAGGCCGTTTAAAATAGGCTAAATTTATATAAAAAAATACTAGCGTTGGGTAATACTAAAAGAATTAAAAATTGACTATAATAAAATAGAAAGAAATTATTTTTATTAATATTATTAACTTTCTTGAAGCTTAAAGTATTTTAATTCCAAAATGACCAAGCTTACCTAAACTACGTTTAAATGCATAGCTTGCAATGGGTCCGCCTCTTTGTAGGCCTAGATTTAGCCTTCTTCCCTTACTTAACCTTCTAATTACACGGTGCATGGCCACCTTCTAACGCGACCACGATGGAACCAAGGTACGTAAGGTATAATCCCTAAGCGCGTTTTGGTTGGATACCTTACCTGGCTATCCTACCGTGATGCGTGTCGCGGTAGCCCACCCCCACCACCGTCGATACCTGCCTGGCCTTTCCTCGCGTGCCGCCTCAGCTTCGTGCTGTTCGCCCTACCCATGATCCCTTGTCCCAGTCCGGGTCCGGGTCCCTACGCGTAACTCTGCCCACGACAGCGACAGCGACAGCTATAGCTACGGCTATAGCTACAGCTAGGACGCCGAGCAATGGCTACGGCCACGACGACGACATCTATACCCCTACTTCCCATATCCAACCTCTCCGATCTCCTTCCTCTGCCTATTCGCGCCTGCACCACAATCACAAGTACACCAGCCCCACATCGAGGCGGTTACTGATCAATGGATTTTCTAGGCCTGGCACCGATGACAGCCAAGAACCGCCCGCCAAACGGCCTCGGCTCAGCGAGCAACCACAATTCGACGCGGCTTTCGTACTCACCAAAGAGCAAGTTCGTACCGAGAATATGGAGTACGACGAATTGATGCATTGTCTGAGGACGCAGGTCTTCACCCATGTCGACCGAGAGCTGGCCAAGCTGCCGCCGGGCGTGCTCAACACGCAGGCGATTGGCAGAAAGGTAAGAGCACCCTCTTTTCGTACTCCTCCCCCTCCGAAATCATGTCGTTCTGCTTCAACTTGTCGCGCCCTGTTCCGTTGTCCTCCGCTCCTTCGTGGCTTCTTTCCTTTACCATGCTTACCACTTGCCTTACTTCCCCCACAGGTCATCGACACGATACTCGACCCTACATTTAATGCCATGTTCAAACTCGGACGTGGGAAAATCAGTAAACAATTTGAAAAATACGTATCCGATCGAATAGAGTGGGATGTTCAAAATTTGGCAAAACTCCCCGTACGCTGATGATTTTCCAGCCCTGCCTGTGTATGTTATAGATATCTCGTGGTCTCATCACTAACGTGGCAGCATATTAGGAACATAAAGCGTACCCCGAGCCGCCTCCTCACCGAGTTTCGCCTACTTTTTATCAGCGATCTTTTAAGGCTCCAGTCCCAACTCCGCAAGTCCCTCACCGGCCGGCTGCTCCGCCCTTCGTTGCAAACAACCGGCCCTTCCCTGTGGCAAATGGTATGTCGCCATTGCCGGCTCTACGATACTCGCACTCACCAATCCCTCCACCAGCAGTCCCTCCCGGCCCAGCTAGAGTTTCAGCCTTTAAAAGCAAGGAAACCTCGGGGCTCCGTCCGTCAGGACACACCACCGTGAACAAATCTAACCTCACGGTCATAGTCATCAGTGATGACGACGATGACGAAGTGCCTCGGGGGCTTGCCGCGAGCAGTCCCGCGCCCCTGGCGTGTGCTCCGGTACCTCCACCGGCGCTTGTCCTGGCGACTGCGGCGCCATCTTCTGAAAAGCAGCCTTACAGCACTATCAAACCCGCTCCTGCCGTGATTAGGAATCTTGGGCCTAGAACTCCGCGAGCTTCGGTTAAGAATTGGGCAACGCTTGCCACGTTACCGCAGAATTTCCGCAGCCGGGCTCACGCTTCACTGTGGCGAGGTAGCAGCGGCCCAAGGGACGATTGTCGCGGCAAAGGCCAGACAGCCTTCCAGTGGTTTTCGAGTGCTCGTAGGCCATATCTTCAGGCGGAGATTAGGGAAACCTTGTTAGCCGGCACTCAAAGCTTGCTACGTCTGAACCAGGAGGAGGTCAATGAGCTTGGGGAGCTCGAGAAGTTGTCCCGACCTGTGGTAATCCACGTCGATTTCAGCCCCGATGAGGTCGAAAACCTACGAACCGTAGCTCGTCAAATCCTCAAGCTCCCTGCTAACAAGAAAGAGGTCAAGAAGGACTTGGCAAAGGTGTTAGGTAAAAATTTCACCCATGCCCAAAAGATTGCGAGTGCAGTTGCCAGGTCGAACAAACTGCCTCATCGGGATAAGAGGGATATTGCAAGGTTTATACGGGATGCCATCAACTCTAAGACCGCCAAGGAGCCGGCGATCCTATCTTTGCAAAGAGACGATTACGATCAAGCCGGGTCCTTTGTGCGCTCTACCCGTACACATTCTCTGCTCTTTGCGAGGGAGATCTCAGGCCAACGGGGCCGCCTTCTCGATTTGAAGAATGAATTTATGAAGTGTCTTGAGGATTCCCTAGAGCTCCGGCTCGAATGGACAGATTGTGCTGGAGACATCGCGACAATAACGTGGGTTTCAAACGATAATTTCGTTTGCGGCACAACGGAGCACTCGGACGCACACAATCAGCAATACAACAAGCCGGGCAACCTCGCCCTTGGCGCTTGTAGCAAAGGCACTTTACGAGCCTTCCCCCACCACCGTGTCGTTCGTCCTGTCGTCCCCGAGGGCGAGAACTCGACCGCTGCGATGAGGGAAAGCCAGGATCCCTGGCTCTACTCGTCAGTTGTATCTTCGGACTACGACGCTATTCATGATCGAGCCTTCACCTCAGGCTTTGACCGTACGGTTAAGATCTGGAGCGTGGACAAATCAGGGTCCTCTATGGGCTTGACTGGCGAATGGGCGCACAACGGCAACGTGAATTTCGTCGCCGCTTCCAAGCACGAGTCTGGCCTAGTGGCAACAGCTGCCGATGTGGCGGCCGACGCGGTCCGTATCTACTGGATCAATGACGACGATATATCCACGAGCGCTTTCCGGTCGTACTCATGCTCGAGAGTTACAGACGCGGAAGGCACTGCCGTGTCAACTGAGAAGTGGGCATATTTTCCGGCCACCATGCAGTGGGGCCTGTCCCCAGATACCAGGCACCTCCTGCTCGTCGGGTACTCGCCCCGAAGCCGGACGATGGACGATAGTGATATCCCGGAGGATCGCCTGAATACTGGCGAACTCTGTTTATGGAATGGCTTGACGGGCGAGCGGTGGCGAGTGATGTCGGCCACTACGTCGAACATTTTCGAGGTTTTGTGGCACCCTACCCAGGATTGCTTCATTGCGGCTACCTCGCCGCTAGGCTTGGAAGTTGACCCGCGCATTCGCACTCAGATCCGTGTCTTTTGCAAATCAGAGGTTGCCGAGCTTCAGGGGAAGGCATTCAGCTCTGTCAAGACGCTTGACTGCACAGCCATCGATATCAATGAGCTGACAATCATGTAAGCAAGCCCATTCCCGCTTCCCACGAGTTTTCCCATTGCTAACAATCTCATTGCAGGCCGAATGGTCCGCAGTCTTGCTACGTTACTGCTGGTTGCACCGATGGGAACACGTACGTATGGGATACAGCCTTGGGTGATAAGCCCACCCACACCCTACGCCATGGCCACCCTATCGACAGCTATACAGGAGAGAGGGAGCAAGAAGACGTTGGTGTCAAGTTCACTGCCTGGGGCACTACCCCGGATCGATTCTATACGGGCTCGTCAGATGGCGTTGTCAAAGTGTGGAATATACGGTCTCTCAAGAAACCACTAGTCCGTGACCTTCTCGAGGCCTCAGGCCCCATTTCTTGCGGCATGTTCTCACCTGACCGGAAGAGGCTGGTGGTCGGCGACGCTACTGGCCGTGTGTTTATGCTATCGCTTGACGATGAGGAGCAGACCCCGGCGCCCTTTATGAAAGTCCAGTCGCCCAACAACAGAGCAAGGACAGTCAGACGGCTTACGCCGGTAATTTTGCACCCAGACCCTGCGCCGCCCGCTTTTGACGCCGCCGGTAACCCTATACATCTAGAAACCGGCTGGTCGAGGGCGAAAGTCTACCTTGAGAGCCAGCAGCTAGAGCGCCACTCAGATCCCACGATTGGCGTTGTGCAAGGCCCCCGCTATGCCGAGACCGGTATGTTCAGGGCCGAGGCACATCTCGAGGGAGACCCCACTCAGCCGCTGCTGGCTGGCTGGGGAGTCCGTCAACAGGAGGATCTCAGGGCGCCCTGTGAGAGTCGACACAAAGGTGTTCTTTTGGCGCTACGGCCCGTGCCAGAGAAGCCAGATCTCGCCCGCTTACACCTCGACAATACTATGCTGGATCTCGACGTCGACGGCTTGGACGAGCCGACGCGGCGCGATCTCGAAAGCGCGGGGGTCGATCTTGACGAGCTAATGAACCCGGACTATGTCTTTGACTATGATGATGATGCTCCGCTTAGCGAGGACGAGTTCTAGGAGTTTTTCTGTTCGTATTTATTTGGGGGGGGTGGGGGGGTGTTATAGATTTACTCCATGGTGTATTAGCAGGCGGGCGATGAGGATTCTGTAATAGTTTAGAGTGGAGCGAGTTGGGGATATATGATCTTTCGATGCTGTAATCCATTGGCTGGCTGTCTATGTTCCAGCGCTGCAGCAGGCGCATGCGTGCATGTTCTGTTCGCTTTTTTTTGTAAGGTATATCGGGGGATATTTTGTCATCTGGAGGTCACGGAAAGGAGTAAGGATTAAATCCCAAGACCAAGGCTCGTTGAACTAGGACCTCATCCCTCAGAGTTCTACTACATACTTAGGTAAGGTAGATGATATAGATAATAGACTCTTTCACGTAAAGTTTTTCAAATCCCATTCAAACTGATAGGAACTAACTATCTAAGGATTGAAACGCCCATTGAAAACAAGTTACTTATTTGAGAAAAAAGACACTAACTAGGTACCCCTTCAGCCACGCCACAAATCACAACACACGAGACGCAAAGGTAAGAGAGAACGAAACGGTTGTAAATAGAAGTGTAATTGCTTCTTTGCCTGCGTATGCATGCATGCAAGCAGTCATTTTGCTCGTTTGATGAGGCGCCAAGTCAAGTAAAGTAAGTCATGTATGTACGCTTCCTCACCCACCACCCACCCACCCGCCTAGGTAATTTACCACCATACCATGCCATCCATCGACCCCTAGCCAAGGGAACAGTGCAGTAACCTCCTCTCCTCGTATACACAGCCAGGCCGGGCGGCAAAAGAACAAATAAAATAAGTACTGGAAGAATACAGAAGAAGAGACGAAAAAAAGGGGAGGGACAAGGAAGTGAAAGATACGTATCGTGGGTAGGTTAGTTAGCAAAGGGGATGACCGCCCTCCCTCCCAACCGGTTCCCTGGTCAATGTCCATTCCATAAAACGCCTGCCCATGCCAAAAAAAAATGCCTGACCCCGTCGCTGCATCCCATGCATTCATTCCATGCACCCTCCGTTGCCGCCCTTGCTATCATGGCCTACATTTGGACTTGACCCATGACTCTCCTCTCACACAAATGCCAGTACGTCCGCCTCTGCTGGGCAGCGACAGCAACTAATCTGTTTCCGCTACATACCTCAGAGCCGGGCCCATAGCCCCACTCGGCAGCTGTATAAATATACCGATAATGGCTCATTGCTAGGGTGTATAAAGGGGCAGAATACATATAATTTATCCTGTGTTGCCCCCTCGAGAGTTTTTAGCGAGAAGCTGAGTTTTCAGCAAGGGATGGGTCGTAAATTTTAGGCGGCTCGGGCACTTTTTATCCCGAGAGCAGCCCAGATGTGCGTTGTTAGTTTTCTTGGTTAGACTTCCTTCAAGGTGCTGGGCGCTAATAGTAGCAATATCCTGGAGAGATTGACCGACACTAATGGCTGGCTGTGCCAAAGGCAAAGTTGGGCGGATAGTTGATCCCATTTGGCCCCATAGTGATGCCGGCGGGAAGATCCATGACGATCGGGTCGTCATTGCCACCCATCCTGTCGTTTCGATCATCCCGTCTGCCGTCTCCGTTGTGGCCGCTGTGGTTCCGATGCCTGTCGCGGCCGTGACGCCAACGGCCGCCGCCGCCTCCACTACCGCCTCCGCGCTCGACACGCTCACCGCGGTCGTGGGAGTTAGCGAGATCGTTGCCTTGGCCGTCAGGGCTAGGCCCTGCGTCGTCGTCTCGCCGGCTTGACTTGGGCCCGTGGTTACCGCCCTTGTCGGTCTGCATGCGCCTGCTGATGGCTTTGGAGGAGACGCCGGCGCCGATTTCGATGTCGGGCTCTTCGACTGAAAGGCCTGTTTGTATGGGACGGCCACCGCTGCCGCCGTATGGGGCGGTGAGCATCCATTTCCGGTCGGCGTCTGTGAGCTTCGTGATGGGAATGATGCTTATGCCGCTTTGGTAGTCGCTGCAGTCGCGTGGGCCAAAGCCGACGCCCCATCTCGTCTTCTATCCAGTTAGCTACATTGTACACAAACACAAACACATGAAGGGACGAAACACGTACCCGAAGCTGGAGGTCTTGGTTCCGCTGGCCCTCCATGGCGTTTTTGGCGGCCTCGGCGTCCTTGCGGTAGAACATCTTGACAAAGGCGTGGCGCTTATCCTTGTTCACGATGCACGTCTGGACCTGTCCGAAGCGGTCGAAGATCTGGCGGAGTTCATTGTCCGAGCAACTAAGACGCGCACGTTAGCCACAAGAATCGAGCAAGGAGAGCCAGAACGCTGCCACTCACGTTACACCGCCGACAAAGAGCGTGCGGCTATAAACCTTGATGCAGCCACTGGGGATGCTGGTGTCATAGTCGACCCACTTTTCCTCGGGGACCGCCTCTCCCCGGGCAGGGGGGCTCTGGGCACGGCGGCCGGGAGGAGATCGCTGCCGGTACTCGGGCATGCGTCCGCCTCTGCCGCGGTCCCGCTCTCTCTCGTCGGGCCGTGGTCGGCCAGTTGGCGAAGGCACACGTCCATATTCAAAGCCACGATCATTCCCACGTCCGCGAGGCGATGCATGAACATCCCAGCCTCGGGGGGACCGGGACCGGGAACGGCCACGGGGGCGGTTCGGCGATCTCAGGCCGTCATGGAAGCCATTGCGGTCACGCGGGTCATCTGCTCTCGGAGTCTCCCAAGGAGCCTGGCCTGATGCAGATGATGGTCCTCCGTAGGGAGCTTGTGCGGGCTGGGCTACCTGCTGCAGCGGAGCCGCGGGTGCTGCGCCGCCCTGACCCATCATCTGGATTACGGATGTGATCTTGTCAATAGGCATACCCTGGGCCACGAGTGCGGCGACGAGCTGGACCGTCGGATTGGTCGGATTAAATGCGGCCGCCGGATTACTTGCACCACCATTGAGCAGAGCCGGAGCCGGCGCGGCTGGAGCCTGTGGGGGCGGCGGAAACGCATAATTCAAGGCTGAGGGCACGTTTACAGGCTGGACAGCTGGTTGAGACGTGGGCAGGAACGGCATGCCAGGCTGAGGCAGCGTTTGTACGGGCACTTGTTGGGCGCGCTGCAACGCGCCATTACTGGGCAGACCACCAACAGGACTGAACATGGGGTTATGGTGAGCGGAAACCGGGGCCGGAGCACTTAGGGAGGGATTACTCTGCGCTGTTGTCGCGTTCTGCCGCGCAATGTTTGCAAGCGTCTCCATGATGTTGGGCATTGCCGGCGGCGGCGGTGGCGGCGCAGCTAGCCTTGCTGAACCCGAGGCTAGGGTTCCTAGTAAGTTGGGCGGCGGGCTGCCCGGCGGTGTTGTCGAGTCATCTATGGGTAGGCGGCACAGTTAGAGCAATTGAGCATTTCATTGTCCGTCTTTTTAGACCAGACCGGACCGCAACGTTTTGCAAACAAAGCCGCAGATCTCTCTGCCTGCCATATTGGGGATGAACCTACTTTGTGGTCGCGGAGCACTGAGTTTCTCCTTGAACGAGTTAACCATGGAAGGAGGGAATGTCTGGCCCTTATCCCATATATCGACGAGTTTCTTAATCTTCTCCTACAAGCAGACGTTCATGTGAGTGTTTGTGCCCATCTAGACAGTGAATGTCCGCGTGTGTTTGCAGAGAAAATATGACAAAAAGAAAAGGTCAACAGATGGGCCGCTTGCTCAGCAGCAGCAGCAGCAGCAGCAGCAGCAGCAGCAGCAGCAGCAGCAGCAGCAGCACCGCAACAGCAGCATGTCTAGCCTGCCTAGAAGTGTTGCTGACGACCGACCGCACTTCAAGAGGCAAGCTACGGCGCCCGGCAACAGCGACACTCTTGCCGGCAGCTCTCACCTCGCGAGGCAATTGCTAGCCGTGCTGAGCGGGCTGGCTGAGCTGGCTGGCTGACGGGCTGGCTGGTGGTCGGACATATATGATAGATGGCGTCCAGAGCCTTGTTCTTTGCGTACCTTTTGATCCTCTGGTGCCGTCACGATGATGTCGTTCATCAACATGGGCATCAGTTCAGTCACTCGATACACGCCGGCTGCAAATGTCCCGTCCTGTGCGGACATGCCTATGGGCTGCCCTTGGGCCTTGGCCTGGTCCATCCACTTTCGTGTTACAGAGTCTACGACGTAGAGCACTCCCAGTTTGTGCGTACCAGGGGTTCTCTTAAAATGGGTGAAGATCTTCTGTATAAGAACCGACTCGGACTAGAAGAGACACGCGGTTAGCTCGGCCCTAGGCGGCCTCGCCGGCGAAGGCGGGGCGGACGGCGTGCGTCTGCAGGCTTACCTGGACGTTGGCGACGCATAGTGCAGTAATATTTGTGATTCGCGATCCCGATACTCCGGGGGGCTTCAGTGCGAGCATGCCCTGCAGCCCGGCTTCTAGTTCTGCTACGGCAGACGACATGATGGGTGCGCCTTCGGAGGTGACCACCAGCTGAGGAAGTGAAGATATGGCGACCGGGTAAGAGCCTAGTTTCTGTTCTGTGCACGCGCGTGCAATACGATACGCGGCAGAGTGGCAAGTGGCAGTGGCAGGCCGATGTGTCACCTATGCCATGCTATGCTCCTAGGTCACAGATCAAGCACAGAGTCCGGTTTGCTTTGCTTTGCTTCGGGCCCAGGAAAGCCCTTCGTCAATCCTCTTTCTGCACCACCCCACGAAGACCCACGACCAACTGGTTACGAAGCCTCAATGTCTGCGCGCGCGCAAATGCACCGAGAGCGCAACCTGTAGGGAGACGACTTCGCGCCTTTGTTTGCAAACCAGGTAAAGAAGGTGCTGACAGCGCGCGAGACGGTTGCGCGCGGGAATACGTTGAATACGATGTTGCTCTTGACCTCGGCTGCGCGCCCACGACTGAATGAATCCTGTGATTGATCTGAGGCTGAGAAGATTCTGCCTCTTCGCTTTCCTAGGTTCCCGTCTCCTCTTATTTTTCCCCTCTTGCACCCGCACCGAATCGGCCTTTTCAAGGAGCAGCAAAAAATATACTGAGGCTACTGGGAGACTGGAATTGATGAGGTCGTGTACTGATTTTGGTATGGGGAACCTCGATGGATTGGGCGAGATTAGGATGCTGGAATACGAGAACGATTCCGTTTGGCGGAGTGGAAGTGGTGGGAAAGAGGAGGCGGGGAAGCCAGGACTTCTGCGTGAGTTTATAATGGTTTGGGCGGGCGGCGGCCCCAGCCCAGTTTGGGGTTTTAACCTGGCCTGACAAACCGAGACCTAGGCAGCAAGGCACCAACATGGACAGCTGTCAGGCAACAAGGCAGAAAGGCACCATTTGAGACGACCACCAGGTGGGTCTTTCCAACAAGCGGGTCTCCCTCTTCACTCTCAAGTCCACCCGCACCCTAAAGGACAGGTACCCTTACGAACAAGCGAGACAGTTCCATCCATTGAATTTGGCGCAGAGCAATTTGAAAACAAGTCCCTTGCTCAGACTATAGCCGGCATGGTCCGGAGCAAGACCCTTCTTTGAGTGATATACTCGCCCCAATTAACGCATTCTTACTCCCAGTATCAATTCTCAATGGCCCGAGACGAAGAAGGGAACCTCTTCATTCTTTTGATGTCACTGGGGTTTTACGGATGCATTTAGGAAAAAGGTCGGGTATCTTGCCTGCGCTGGGATTACAAAAGTTACTAGCGTCGTGACGTCAACGCATTGAATTCCAGTTTGGCGCATGCTCCCACCACAACGCCTCTTCGGAAATGGAACGCGTTCAGTGTGCTGTGCTGTACATACGGAACGGGAATACAAAATAATAGCTCCTCAGATCACCCAGGACGCGGTCATCTCATGGGATGTGGCAAGACCCGGATATTATCGGCAGTTTTTGAGAGGAAATACCTTACCTCTGGAATAGCCTTTTAGATGCATCGCTGACCGTTAACGCCCTGAAAAAAAAAATTGAACGAGCATGCCCGAGACCCCGGTCCCATCCGCTGCAACCCCCCATGCTCACGGCTCTCCGGAGCCAATGCTCATTGAATTGATTTTCCCCGTCGCTGCGCTTTTTTTTTTCTAGCTCCGGCTACCATCTTTAACATCGCTCCAACCTTTTAATTCTTCCCCGTCTTCACTCCTGCATCTTCACTCCCTCCCGTACCTCACATCAAGATACCAATCATGGCTACTGCTATGCGCCTCAGCTCTTCCACCCTGCGAGTTTCCCTCAAGGCCCCTTCTTTCGCCGCCAGAAACACAGCTTTCACTGCGGCGAGATGCTACTCCTCCAAGACTCAGGTACTACCTGTCCTTCCGCATCTGTAGCCTGACATGATCCATTGACCGTGCATCTTTCTGCCAGACATTGAAGGAGCGCTTCGCCGAGCTCCTGCCAGAGAAGGTTGAAGAGATCAAGTCCCTGAGAAAGTAAAAAATGAATTCCTCGCATTCCTTTGCGGCGCCTGCAGGCATTGTTGTTGGTCCGTCGCTGACTCCCTGTCCGCAGAGAGCACGGCTCCAAGGTCGTCGACAAAGTCACCCTGGACCAGGTATATGGCGGTGCTCGCGGTATCAAGTCCCTGGTATGGGAGGGCTCCGTTCTCGACGCCGAGGAAGGCATCCGCTTCCGTGGCAAGACGATTCCGGAATGCCAGGAACTCCTCCCCAAGGCCCCCGGCGGCAAGGAGCCCCTGCCCGAAGGTATGTTTTTTCTCTCTCTGCACTCCAATCTAGGTGCTCCCGCTGACCGTGTCTTGCAGGTCTCTTCTGGCTTCTCCTGACCGGCGAGGTCCCGTCTGAGCAGCAGGTTCGCGACCTGTCGGCCGACTGGGCTGCCCGGTCCGACGTGCCCAAGTTCGTCGAGGAGCTGATCGACCGCTGCCCGTCCGACCTCCACCCCATGGCCCAGTTCTCGATCGCCGTCACTGCTCTCGAGCAGACGTCGTCGTTCGCCCGCGCCTACGCCAAGGGTATCAACAAGAAGGAGTACTGGGGTTACACTTTCGAGGACTCGATGGACCTCATTGCCAAGCTCCCCACCATCGCCGCCCGCATCTACCAGAATGTCTTCAAGGGTGGCAAGGTCCCCGCCGTCCAGAAGGACAAGGACTACTCGTTCAACTTCGCCAACCAGCTTGGCTTTGGCGAGAACACCGACTTCATTGAGCTTCTCCGTCTCTACCTCACCATCCACACCGATCACGAGGGTGGCAACGTCAGCGCCCACACGACACATCTAGTCGGCAGCGCCTTGAGCTCTCCCTTCCTCTCGCTGGCTGCTGGCCTCAACGGTCTTGCCGGCCCTCTGCACGGCTTGGCCAACCAGGAGGTGCTCAACTGGCTTACCGAGATGAAGAAGGCCATTGGCGACGACCTCAGCGACGGGGCCATCACCAAGTACCTCTGGTCTACTCTCAATGCTGGCCGCGTCGTGCCCGGCTACGGACACGCTGTGCTCCGCAAGACTGACCCCCGCTACATGGCCCAGCGCAAGTTCGCGCAGGGTAAGTTGCTATATATATTTCTACTTTGGACCATCGGCAATGCTAACCAGTCACTTCACAGAGAAAATGCCCCAGGACCCCATGTTCAACCTCGTCAGCCAGGTCTACAAGATTGCGCCCGGTGTTCTCACCGAGCACGGCAAGACCAAGAACCCCTACCCCAACGTCGATGCCCACTCCGGTGTGCTTCTCCAGTACTATGGCCTGACTGAGGCCAACTACTACACTGTCCTCTTCGGCGTGTCGCGTGCCATTGGTGTCCTCCCGCAGTTGATCATTGACCGTGCCGTTGGTGCCCCCATTGAGAGGTATGATTAACCCCGGCTCTTCCAACCAGAATGCCGCACAGCAACTTTTTACTAACCAAATATGCAGACCCAAGAGCTTCTCTACCCAGAAGTGGATCGAGATTTGCAAGAAGCTGTAAGATACCAGGGCCTGCACTTGGGGGGTTTTAGTTTAGGGGGTTGGGCGCGATGGGATGGGCTGCTACAGTTATTTACGGTATAGAATGGATGGGATATCAGCAAGAGGTTGTATTGTGACAATGCGGGTGTGCATAGATGGAGTAATAGCCGTCTGCCTTTGTACGATACACTACTGAGTCCGTAACTGAGTCTCTGGGAGTCGGTGGGAGTGGGGGGTTTTCAACAAGATGCGACTTCATTAGCGCGCGACAAGATGGGTTGTACCACAGAAGAATCAGATTTTATGTCTGCAGGTGATGTAGGTATAGTATTCGAGTATGGGTTATTGTTCAAGTGTCGGACTCCGAAGACGGCTCCCAACCTAAGACTGCCAACCTCGGTGTGACTCGGGCACTTTACGGGGAGTCATCGTTTCGCCTCTGGCCCACTGTCAGCGGCGTCAGCCCAGATGTGCATAGGGACCATCTGGGGCCACCCTGCGACACAGCTACCAGCAGACTAAAGGAGGCAAGCCACGTACTCCGTATGCAGGCCCAATGCTCCCAAATACGCCTACCTAGCTTGTAGTCCGACCACTTGCCGATGGTTTCAGCCAGGTGAGTGTAATCAATTGCTTATTTGGAGTTCAAACATGCCATGGCGACAGTCGATTGCACAGAAAGCTCTCACCAAATGCATGTATCTTTTGGCTGGTAAAGATGGGGTAGGAGGACGGGCGTGTGCCGGCATCGGCTCTCCAACATTTACCCCAAATTCGGTCCGCCTGTCCAGATGGATCTTCCCCAAGCGATTTGCGTTGAGGCGCCGAGAGTGGGTGGTTGAGGTACCGAGCAGGGGAGGTCGAAGCTGGCTTTTTTTTTTAGTAGTGTGTTGGGGATTGCCCGGGAACGAACGAAATCTGCACGGAAAAAAAACGAAAGAACAGAACAGAAGCGGCGGTGGCGCGTCCACGGACCCGCCCTCCAACAGTGAAGTAGCTAGGGTTTAGTGGCCTGAAGCGAAAGGCAGTGGCTTGGAGGTAGAACCTCTTTGGGCAGATGTTTTTTGAGGTGAGGCTGGTTTGGGAGGTCCCATTCCCGTCCCGCCCGTCCCTACAAACGCCCATCGCCGAGGACCTCTGGGGTTATCTCCATCGGTTGGTATCAGCCTATAGATTGAATCTTGGTAAGGAAGCTCTGACCTCCTACACCTCAAGTACCTTGGGTAGGCAGACAACGGCAACAACCAAAACCAAACCAAAAACACTCAAACATTCGCATACTTCCCATAACCACCCGAATATTGACCATTGACCGGCGCAACACACCGCATTGCATGTAAGTTCAAATTCCACTCGTCGCCCGAAGGCGGCGTGGGTGGCTGGCGCAGGCCGCGGCCCCCAATACCGCCTAAGGTTCCTAGCTTCTTAGCTAAGACGGGCTTGTCCTTCGGGCCTCGCCATTTTGGGCAGTTAAATCCTACCTGTGACAGAGCTTCGGCTTCGCTAACACTAACACGTGCATCGCAGTAGGCCGCAGAAAGGATTCCCGAACCTCTTTCCCGAACCCCGATCTCAATCTCATCAGCATCAGCCTCTCTCGCCTTCAACGATAGCCGGAGCCCCTTGTTGACTTACTCGTCTACGGATACTCGACTATACTCGACTGTCGCACGCACTCCGACTTCTGGCTCGCTTCCGACCCAAATCCCGTCCCTCCCTCCATCTCTCCCTTGATTCGCTCGTCTGCCGATTGGATTGGTTCCATTGTGCCGCATCCGTACACAGTACTCTCCGTTCGCGCTGCCTTCCTTGGTCTACGCAGTTCATAGCTACCCCAAGCCAGCCAGCCTCGTACCGCCGGTCCCTCTCTCTTCTCCCTTTCCCCCGCAACGCACACATCGCGACGAAGCACCATCTTCCCTTGGTCAGGGCCCCCATACTAGCAGCACCAGCCGCGTCATGTCCGCCATTATCGCCCCCGTCTCGGCGCCCGCGCCCGAGCCGCCCGCCAAGCTGGAGAAGAAGCCCATCAAGTTCTCCAACTTGCTGCTCGGCGCCGGCCTCAACATGTTCGAGGTCACCACCCTCGGCCAGCCCCTGGAGGTCATCAAGACCACCATGGCTGCCAACCGTGGCGACGGCTTCAGCACGGCCCTGGGCCGCATCTGGAGCCGCGGCGGCATTTTTGGATGTGAGTAGTTGCGATAAACATCCATCACCCACCTGTCTCTAACACATTTGGCGCCGCTGCAGTCTACCAGGGCTTGATTCCCTGGGCCTGGATCGAGGCGTCGACCAAGGGCGCCGTGCTGCTCTTTGTCGCGTCCGAGGCCGAGTACTATGCGCGCGCGGCGGGCGCCAACGACTTCGGCAGCGGCATCCTGGGCGGCGTGACGGGCGGTGTTGCGCAGGCGTACGCCACCATGGGCTTCTGCACATGCATGAAGACGGTTGAGATCACCAAGCACAAAGTGGCGGCGGCGGGCCAGAAGGTGCCGGGCACCTGGGCCACCTTCATGGGCATCTACCGCCGTGAGGGCATCCGCGGCATCAACAAGGGCGTCAACGCCGTGGCCATCCGCCAGATGACCAACTGGGGCTCGCGCTTCGGCCTCAGCCGCCTAGCCGAGCAAGGAATCCGCGACCTGACGGGCAAGAAGGACGGCGAAAAGCTGAGCGCCGTCGAGAAGATCACGGCCTCGGCCCTCGGCGGCGGCCTCTCGGCCTGGAACCAGCCCATCGAGGTCATCCGCGTCGAGATGCAGAGCAAGAAGGACGACCCCAACCGCCCCAAGAAGATGACGGTCGGCAACACGTTCAAGTACATCTACCAGACCAACGGCGTCAAGGGCCTGTACCGCGGCGTCACCCCCCGCATCGGCCTGGGCGTCTGGCAGACGGTGTGCATGGTGGCCATGGGAGACATGTGAGTTTTTTTTCCGTCTCGTCCACCGACAGTGTTCGCACATATATCTATCCATACTGACTCGTACTCTTTTTCCTCTGGCTATAGGGCAAAGACGTATGTTGAGAAACTTACCGGTGACAAGGTCACTGCGAAGCATTAAGCGACGGCGTTTTTTGTTTTTCAGGGGAGAGGGATAACTATGTAGGGCAGGACTACTTGTTTTCTCATCTCGGCTTGGCTTGGTTTGGTCAAGTTGCTTTTTTATCTATTTGTGTCTACTACCTATGCTATACTGTGCCAGCCGATCTCCAGTTTTAAACAGATTTTTATGTAACTTCTTGTTTCTTTCCTTCTTGTGTTTTTCTCTGTCTAGCTCGTTGTGTGTACCCTTTGATAGAGAATTACACCAACACGTGGGCCCGTGTTGAATTTGGGGGTGTGATTGTCTCTGTGAGTGAGAGAGAGAGAGAGATGCCATCTACCTTAGGTTTATAAAGGCCAGACAGGTATCTACCTACCTTACCCTACTTTGCCGTACTGCCTAGGAAATAGAGACTGCTTCTGTTGCTGGTGCTGAGATTCTGTCCATGCTTGTGTGCCTGTCTTGTTCGTGTTTGTTGTTGTGTACTGTTTGATATTGCGTCGAAGCCGTTTCGAGTCTTCGTGTTTGTGTTGTTGTTGCTGTTGTTGTTGCTGTTGTTGTTGCTGTTGTTGTTGCTGTTGTTGTTGCTGTTGTTGTTGCTGTTGTTGTTGCTGTTGTTGTTGTTGTTGTTGTTGTTGTTGTTGTTATTGTCCGGTCCAGCTCTCCTACTCTTGATAGGGGTAGGGTGGTTTCTCGATTACGGGTTTTGTAGCAGACTGGATATGATCCCACACTCGGGGGCTTTGAGTCTGCAAGGTGCGACGCCGTTTAGTTACCTAGCTATGTTTCTCTCTAGCTACCTACCTAGGTAGCTACCTTCACTTGACTATTGTATGTGTGCCCGTCCGTATGCCTGTCTGCCACGCTATAGTCTATTAGGCTATTATCTGTCAAGTTGCTGTCTGTCAAGCTGTCTACCATGCTATTGTCTATCACGCTGTTGTCTGTCGAGCTGTTGTCCGTCTGCCTTGACCTGACCAATTGACTGTCCATCCTGTTTAGTCGGGCGGTTCGTCGGAGTCCCGACTCATACGCATGAGATCGCGGAGTTTCTGCCGCGCAGGAGGAGTTATGCTCATACTTAGAAGGGGAGCGAAGTCCACGAGCAACTGGTTGGTATCGTTGCTTTTTGCGGGGTGAATGTACTACTGCTTGCTTGACATGCACGTTCATATACTCGTCAAGGCTCAGAACTCCGGTTGACTGAAGGGGTGAACCCTCTTGACTAGTAGCGGTTATCGCTACACTGTTGCTTTGTCTTTCTTTTCTATCGCGGTTTTCTTTCGTTGGCTCTACCTCCTTGGAACTGCTTCCCCCCATGTAGAGGCTGGCTTTTTGGCGTTATGTTATTGTTGCATGTGTGTGTCGATAACGCGGTAGTTGGTTGGTTGGAGTAACACATTCTAGTAATGTCATTTTGGTTCTATCCTCACAGTATTTGCCTCTGTTTCAACTCAGGTGTTCGCTTTCTTTGCTCTTTGCCCTAATTATTTTCCTTTTTTCTTGTTTTTTTTTTGGAATACAGTGCCCGGATACCTCGCCAGGGGTGTCAAAAAGATAGAAATGTAAACAACCCAGCTAAGAGCTTCGCTTTATTCGAGGCTTTGCCTCCTGCTCGTGATCAAACTGGCGGCGTCTTTTTTCTTGCCTCCTGCCCTAGTGAAGGACCTAGGAAGTAGGTAAGTTCAATTTGACCCAGATACAGTTAATTTGCGACCTTCTTCACTTTCGTGCGTTCGTATCCTAATTTGCCCTTAACGGATATTTCTAGTCAAAACCCCGAAAGCCACTTTCCGCATTGCACCTTTGGCAACACTAGGAAGTACCCTGGGGATATCATCTACCAAGAACGTTCCCAGTGGGTGGAGGGAGCAAGGGTTTGAAAAGAAAGCGTACTCTAGAAAGGGTCAGATGGCAAAACCCAACGAATTCATGCATTGGCAACCTTTAAGTAGACTTTTGACTGGTAAATGTCCCTCGATGAGAGCTGACTATAAGAGATAGTCACCAGTTTCCTTCCAGGTTCTCCATAGCCACTCCGTTCTATAGGCTTTGGAGCCTTGGAATATAGCTCATACGAGGCAACCTAAAAAGAAGGTTACTACAAAAGAAGCCAGCTGACCGCAGATCAAAGCCGCTTATGTTTTAGACGGGTTTTGACGACTCGGCCTCGCCGTGCCGAACTGCGGATCTGGGTTCCAGACCGAAAATGTATCTGTTGGATTGTCCAAATCTTGCTGTGTATAGTATGTACTCGGATACCCTAGGGTAGGTAATATCAGCATGTCAATTTAACTTTACCTTGGCTATTACTCTAAGGCTTGATTCTGGAACCACCGGCAGCAGCCTTCCTCAGCTGGCGTTTCTTTTTAATCCACAACATCGGATATATCGAGCTAAGAGTTTAGTGCTATGGCCTCAACAACCTCGGTGTTCAAGTTGGCAGTCAACTCTCTGCTTAGACCGGCAAACACGAGGTCTCGAGACTACAGGGGCAAGTTTTAATACAGTTGAACGCGAGGTTGCGTCGATATCTCTCTTGCTCTGCCAACTTCATGTGCTGGGTATAGTTTTATAAACTTTTCTCCGCGCCTAGACTGCTATCATCTGCCCCTGAGCTAGACTCGGGGCCTGTAAATAGGATTTGTGCCAACCTCCCAACCTGGCATGAGAAGCAGACTCTTCCCGCAACAGCAACACGCCAAACCTGAATTGAGCTCAGCCTAAGACGGAAACGTAGCTTACATGGTATTTAGGAACTCAAATTAGGTACCATAAGACTGATGTCCTCGAGTTAGTGTTTTACGCTAGGGCAAAGACAACAGTCCCAAAAACGGTGGCGCCCTGACAGTTAAAAACGCTCCCTGTATGTAGGCCATGAACTGCCCTCGCAGCTCACCGCCCATCACCACACCAAAGACTCACATGGTCAGTCACGTCCTGCGGCGGAAAGAAGGCTTGAAGGGCAAAAAAGTGGGAAGCAATGCGTGAGCCGTGAATCGAACACGGGGCCCATCGAGGTAATCATGCGGATGGCAACGATGGATTTTACCACTAAACCACTCACGCTGTGTTTGATGCCTGGATCTTGATGTTGACGGGGCTGGGCGAAGTTGTAGAAGAGCAAATGCCTGCCAGAGAGGATCCCGCGGACCATAAACTGCGGCTGGCAGGGACCGTAGCTCGTGGGTTCCATGGGTACTAGCGAGACTCCACATCTTCCGGATCTCGGCTTCTTGATCGAACTGTCGTTCTTTTCTGTCTCCATGATGTGGATATCAGCAGTCCTAGCTCTGGTTAGCCCTCAATGACAGAGGAGATAAGAATATAAGCTATGTGCGGCGTGCATCACGCCATCTCTGGGTTCCCCTAGGGGTTCCATCGGCCCCTGACTAAGGTGGGAATACAGAATGTAATTTCTCTAATGCAGTTCCCACCACGGAAGAGACAGGTCGCGGGCAGATTTAATGCACCCTAGCTGCCAAAACACCTAATGTGGAGATGCCAGTCATCGACATAGTTCATGATACTCCAGGCCGAGGCTTTTGGCATTTGCGTTCAGGCCTGATAGAGAAGTCTTCTCTAAATGCCTCATAAGAATGTCAAAGCCCTACTTCCTAATTATTCACTGGCAATACTCGTCAAAGCCATGTCAGGCCCCAAGCTTACTTATGTTCGATGTGGGAAGACGCTTTTGACAACCCGAACAAACTTTCTCAATATAAAAGCCAAGGCCAAGCCAGCCAACTAACCAGCCGCGAGGAGCCGAGCCGAGCCAAGTAGCCGGGAACCAACAGCCAAGGAAAATCTCCGTGCAGGATAAACCCCGACAAGTGTGCATAATGGTTCATAGACAAGGTGTTTATTACACATGATTGGCATGCGGAGAGTGATCTGGCCGCCGCATCTACAAAGCCTGGCCCTTACTTGGCTTACAGCGAAAGAGGGATGTGCCTGGTGCCCGGCTCCGCGGCCAGGCTAGGCCAGCAACATCAGACGATGAAAGGGAGCCAGGCAACACAGGAGTTGCCGAGACACATCTTGGCACTCTAGCAAGTTCCATGGGCGGCGAGGGGGATCCAGCGCCGTGCGGCATGAAAATGGGACAAGGGACGAAACCCAAAGTCTGGGCCCCGCGTAACCTTATAGAGAGGTACCCACTGCCTCAAACGGGAGATAAACCGAGAGAGGTTTGAGAAAGCAATCGGATTAGAATGAATGTAAAAAAAAGAGCAAAACCCCCTGCCAAGTCTCAATACAGTCAAGTAGACAGACAACAAAACATGCAGTTAATGAGGTAAGGTCAGCGAGCTAGCCCGGCTTACCACTCCAATCCATCCAATGACCACGCATCAGTTCAACTTTCATTCTGAGCCACGGACCGGCAACGAGCTCTCTGACGGTGGCTATTTTACCGCAGCTACCGCTCTCAAATTTGGGTACGGCTGTGCCTCTCTACGCCTCTCTCTCTGCCTCTATCATCTCTCTGCAACGACGTGGCACAGGGAACCGAAAGGAACCACTTCCCGTCTTGTCATCCCATCCCAAAACATTGCCAAGATATACAGCAAACGAAGACAGACACCAAGAGAGGGATTTGTGCAAGAAAGCTCAGATCATGATCAAAAAGAACACGAAGGAGGCACAGCCAAGGTTTCTGTCCGCGGCTGTTTCACCTAAACTCGGGGTCCAGCTAAAATAAACTCGGGGCCCATGCTGGGCATCCTCCTTTTCCCAATCCTAACGGAAGGATAATTCGAGGGTCCGGGCCAAGGTGGAAAAAAAGGGATCGCGATGAGGACATTAGGGCGAGCATAAGGTTCTGGGCCAAGTGATCTGACGGGCTGGGCTGGGCTGGGCCCTGGGTGCAGCGGCTGCTGGGCCTGAAGGTTACGTGTATGTGTACTCACCTTCCCTTTCTTGCATGCATCGAGTGCCAGAATAACGAGAGTGTTGTCTAAGCAATTAGAGCCTGACGACCTAGCCAAGACAGGATCGACAGAGACATGAGCGATCATAGTGTTACTCCCGGGGCTTGGCTCGACCACTGCTCCGTGTAGGCCGAACCAATAGAGAGGGGAGTTTTAGGGGACGGACGAGACGGACGAGCAACGGCGTGTCGAGCGAGAAGATGAGATAGAGTATGAGCAATTCGCCGTAGAGAACCGGACATGATGGAATTAAAAAAAAAATAGGTATAGTTTGTTTCGTTTCGTTCATTCTCCCGGGTCGGCGTGTTTCAAAACTCTTTGGATGGACATTGGGGGAATGCAGGCTAATAAGCTGCTGGATTTGGCTTTTTTTGGCGTTCGGTAGGTGACAAAGAGTGCACCCCACAGAACTGGCCGTTCGCGATTCGATTTCGATTTCGATCGTGCGTCTCGCGGCTCAGCTCGAAGGGGCGAAATGAGAGGTGGGGGTCGCTGGGGATCATAGAAGCGAGATAGGCAATGTTTATGCTGCTTGCGCTGTAAATTTACCATCTGCTCTCTCCTTGTTGTCGTACCCCCAAATTATCGATGCGATCTTCAGGAGTTGGGAGGAGACGATGGAGGATACAACGGAGCCGGCTTTGTTAGTATTGAATATCCGAGGATGCCCGGCATGAAGCTGAACTTAAAAAGAGACTCCATTCTGGGAAATTGGCACTCACTGGCTGCACCAAAAAAAAAAAAAGAAAAAAAAAGAGCCGGATGATGAGCCTTCGCCGATGCATTGCAGGCTTGCAGCGACCCCACGGTGGAGAAACGCAGGGGTGCGCGTGGGAGAGCGATTTCTTTTGCCGCAACATGCATGCCACTTGCTGCCTGCAGGCGGGCGGCTCTAGGCTCTTTGCCCAAAAGCTTGGGCCCATAGGAATCAACTCGCGGGTGGCTCGTGCGCTAGTCACGCAATAGGTAGGCGACTTTTCTGATCGATTCCACGCTTGAGCCTCTGGGATTCTCCGATTCATCGATTTCCGACCTTGGCATTGGCTGTTCTTAGCCGGTCCCGCTCTCGCCCGCCTCCCTCACCCTCGCCGCCACCGCGTGAGGGTCATAGACACACGGACAGCAGCCGGCGACGGCGACGATCGCCTCTCGACGACGAGCGCGAGTCGCGCGGCCCGCATCCATCGGCCGCCATGGCAAAGGTCCCGTCTCCTAGCCGGGGTTGTCTACCATAGCACGGCCTTTGCTCGGTCAAGAGCCGAGGTCAGCGGCGAGCGCAAGGAGCAGCCGAGACTCAGTGCCTTGCCTCCCCTGGGCCAGAGGGTCAAACGGTAGGCCCCGCTGGAACACGCTCCCGCCATCGCATCGTGCAGGGCGATAGCGGCGCGCTGGCTGGCTCGGCAAGGTACCATGCCTCCATCCTTCGTCGCAACGGCTTACGGCCCTGACCTCGCACCGTATCGTACTCCATCTAGACCAACCCAGTTACGGTTTGTTTTCCTATTTACGGAATATTGTTTACACTACTTAAATGCGGATTGATCAATGCGGTTCCAGCTTGATGTCAGTCCCCGCAGCGAGAACGGGCTCTATGGAGATGTGCACATAGTTTGGGAGTGGGTGCCCCGCTACAAACAAGCTCTGTGGTGGAAACTTTGCAACAACGATAATTGCGCTGAAGAATCATAGAGATTCTAGAATCTTTCGCCCCAGTATGCAGACCGCCATTTGCGGCATAATATCGCGTGGGACTTGTGGTTTTTTTGATGGGGAGAGGGGAGGAGAGAATCCCTCATACTACAGCGTCCTCCATTACGGGCGTCCCGCGATTCAGATTTTAGATGCACTGTTCCGGAACCACCCGCAGACGAGAACCCTGAGCTGTCAGACAGACTCGGCAGCAGTGTGCCGTTGCATTCCGCCCGTTCCCACACCGCGTCTGTATGGAGGAGGACAGAGGTCGTGTGCTGACTTGCCCCGACAAACTAAACGTCGTAACGCCGCTCTTGCGGATGCTGATGTTATACGGCGGCTGGCGATAATATTCCCAGGTCCGAAATAGTAATTGCCCGTTTGCCCGACTTGTCCTCCGATCACAATCTTATCCAAGGTGCCAAGTAGCCTTGGACGAGCACTGGCCAAATCTATAAGTCTAGGCACGGTCGCACCAAGACGATGCGCCCGTCTTGGTATGCTGAAACGGTCGCCAAAGAGGACATCTCGCAGGACACGGGACCATCGGAGATCATCACGCACGGTGGCTTGCCATTGAGGCTCAAATTGTATAACCATTCCGATTCTGCTTGGCCTGGGCCTGCGCGGGTTGCCGCGAGTCGGGGAATCAGCCATAGTCGGCACTGGCTCTCGGCGGCTTCTAGACTATACAGTATAGGGGACTGGGAGTCGTGGTGTGAGGCAAAAACGCTCCTCTAGGGTTCACCCCTATGGATTAATAGGCATTTACATTTAAGGCCGTCTTTGGCGGGAATAGTGTCGCAGGGAAATGCCGTCTACATCCACGGCGATACCGACCCGCGAGGCGACGACGATTAGAGAAGCGCCCCGAATGATTTTTTTTTTGATAGGGCTTCGGGAAGGTCGGGCTTACAACGACTTTCGGCGTGGCCTGTGCTGCAGGGAAGCTGTAAGGCGCTGACTTGAATCGTTCCTGGGGGGCGTGTAAATGACGTAGGAGGAATCACGCGCGACACTGCAGTGCCGTGACCGTCTTGGCCGACCTAGGTCATTCGGTATGCCCATCATACTTTTCCCCATTGTCTTATCCTGGGACTAGCGAAGAGACTCGGACGGCGCTCAGGCTCCGAAAAAAAAATCCCAGGGCGGCAAATATGCCTCGAGATAGATCAGACTTTGCGGCATCAATGGGCGAGAGGAAAACATTTGCATCAAGCTAGATAGGGCTGCACGGCTGGCAGGATGAGAGTAGTAAGACGCACGCCAACTGCAGTTGGCGGGCGGCACTATAGAATTTCACGTCGTCCAAAGGCAGGCGAGAAACAAATGGCTCGTGGATCCATCATCCGGTGAATGAACAAGTTTCGGGCCCACACCAATTAATAGCCACCTCGAGGCCCTTTGACCGCACCGCACCGCACCGTACCGCACATACCGTGCCACCGCCGTAGAGACGGAGGCGAATGGCAAAAGCGACGGAATCGCGTGCGCCGTTGACTCTGACCTCGACACACCGTCAAGTCCCGTGGGGGATGGGCCAAATCTGTTTGGCGAGTCCCGCTCTGGCAGTCCGGTCCATTGTTGTTTCCCAGAAAAGAGCAGGGGTGGAGCTATGGCCTCCAACCAGATAACAGTAAATTTTGGGGGGTTGACTGGCCAGTCAGAGCACTCGGACGGTATGCATGGGCGACGGGCGTACCCCAGCTTTCTGGCCCATGACGAACTGGCCAAACCTCCAAAGCTTGTGGCCCGCCGCTTTGCCAAGGAAGCCGCGAAGAGAGCTTCGACGACCCAGGGTCGGGGTAGGATCTTCTACTTTTATCACTTTACGTGGGTGAAGAGCAACATTCCGGAGGACGCGGTTGCACCAATTGGGTTCGCGCGAGGCAGTTAGAGCTTCGTGCGAGGTGACTTTCTAGCGTCGGATAGAAGCGCGTCTAGTAATGGTGAAGATCTTACCGGGCAGTCATAAATTTTCAATGCCTCTGTCGCCATTTGGCAGAGGAGCCCAAAAAAATTAAGCAAGAGCAGGGTGAGCAATCCACGCGGAATCGCGGATGGGCCGCTCAAAAATCCCGCAGGTACCTTCTGCGAAGAAGCAGCATGGTACTATGGCGGGGAGCCCTTGCTAGGTACCTCGTCGGCCGAGATTGCAACCTTCTCAGTGCGAGGGCGTCGCGGAACGTGGGGCGCCGGTACTTGCTCTCATTGCGTGGATTAGGTAGCTTCCTGATGATTGTGACCTGCGCCTGGGCGAACCCGCTTTTCGTGGGCCGGGGTGGCCTGCCAGTCGCTTGGTCGCGGAGGATGGCAATCACATTCAACCTTACTGAACAGGGACAGTGCCAATTGGGATGGCAAAGACACCGACCTGGCGCCGACGTTGGCAAACTGTTTGATTCCAGGACAGTCCAGGTGGAGGAGCGCACTGTCCACCGCGTGGAGCCGTGCTCGACTCGCCCTCGCCTTCACTCTGTCTAAGTGCGGTTGCCCCACTATTTCCAGGCCCTGGAGAGCAAAGGAAGGTCCGTTGCCTAGGCGTACGGCATCCAGCAGCACACTGTGCCATCGTAGCTAGCAAGAGAGAGTGTGTGTGTGCGGTACGGGAAAGGATTGACTTTCGTTTTGGCCGGAAAGAGCTCACCCACCACGGAAAGGTTGAAATACACCTGCCGCCCACTCCCCTCCCCTCGTTCATTCCTCTTCTTGCTTCACGCACGAAGGTCTTTTTTAACCCTCCCTTCGACGTGAGGTCTCGCTCGAGTCCGGTCTCCCAAGTCATTTCTCTCTCTCCGTCTAGTGTGGACGATTTCGCTATCCTCCAGCACGCCACATACCTCATCTCTCACCTATTAGGTCATCAAAACAATTACCTAGCCGCGCCCGACACACCTAGCTTTGGTAGTCTTCCCTACACCCGCAGCATCCTAATTGTTTCCTCCTGGATCGCCAATTCTAGATTGATCACCTTTTTTGTCCTGACACGCCACACCTGAGCGCTCGCCAATCCGGCCCCCCTGAGCATAGCTCATCTGCCCTAGCAGCATCGCGCCAATGGCCGAACACTCTGCAACCGGCGCCCCGGCGCTGTCGACTAACATCGAGAGCGGCAACTTTAATGAGAAGGAGACTCATCCTGGCCACCCTGCCCCTACCAAGCCGAAGGCGGTAGAAGAGGAGGAGGAGGATGAGGACATCGACGCCCTCATCGAGGACCTGGAGAGTGTCGATGGACACGGCGAAGTGAGTTGCCCGCCATTGCCAGTCGCGTCGACTCGATTGACGCGACGCGCTTTCTTTCTCTCTGCCTTCCACATGCTTACCACCAACGCGTAGGATGACGAGGAAGAGGTCGTCCAACCCGGCTCTGGGCGCGTTGTCCCTGAGGACATGCGTAAGTCTCCGCCCAATTGATCGCGTCCACGCCAGAGTCAACCGCCTAACTTGTTCGCTCTACAGTCCAGACAGATACCCGCGCCGGTCTGACTTCCGACGAGGTCATCGTGAGACGCAAGAAGTATGGTCTCAACCAAATGAAGTACGTACTGCCGCTCCTCCATTGACATCCGGGCTTGCCCAATTCCAAAGCTGGTCAACCATGTGCTAATACGCAATGTAGGGAGGAGAAGGAGAATCTCATTCTCAAGTTCTTCGGCTACTTCGTTGGTCCTATTCAGTTTGTCATGGAGGTAAGAATTCCCCCATCCATGGTTCAAAGCGCGACCCGACACGGTGGTGTTGAAACGAAACGCGACCCACTTCCCGTCCAAGAATTCATGCTAACACATGTGACCCATTAGGCTGCTGCTGTCTGTATGTATCTCCCCTTGAAACAGCTGCCATCGCTGGCGACGCTCGGCGAGCACACAAATCGCACCTCTGCGCTGCCTTGCATCACTGCACGGGACATTGTTTGCTGACTTTTCGGTTTCTAGTGGCGGCCGGTCTCGAGGATTGGATTGATTTCGGTGTTATTATCGCTCTGTTGCTGCTCAACGCAGCTGTCGGTTTCATTCAAGAGTTCCAGGCTGGATCCATCGTCGAAGAACTCAAGAAGACTCTCGCTCTCAAGGCTGTTGTTCTCCGTGACGGTACACTCAAGGAAGTTGAGGCCCCCGAAGTCGTTCCCGGCGATATCCTCCAGGTCGAAGAGGGAACCATCATTCCCGCCGATGGCCGCATCGTAACCGAGGATGCCTACCTTCAGGTCGACCAGTCTGCCATCACCGGTGAATCTCTTGCCGTCGACAGGCACAAGGGTGACCAATGCTACGCTTCTTCTGCCGTCAAGCGTGGTGAGGCTTTCGTCGTTGTCACTGCCACTGGTGATAACACGTTCGTCGGTCGCGCTGCTGCTCTTGTCAACGCCGCTAGCGCCGGAAGCGGTCACTTCACTGAGGTTCTGAACGGCATCGGTACTATTCTCCTCATTCTCGTCGTTTTCACCAACTTGGTCGTCTGGGTCTCCTCTTTCTATCGCTCCAACCCGATCGTCAAGATTCTCGAGTTCACCCTTGCCATCACCATCATTGGTGTGCCCGTCGGTCTCCCCGCTGTCGTCACGACTACCATGGCCGTCGGTGCTGCCTACCTCGCTCGCAAGAAGGCCATCGTCCAGAAGCTGTCTGCTATCGAATCCCTTGCTGGTGTCGAGATTCTCTGCTCCGACAAGACCGGTACCCTCACCAAGAACAAGCTCTCGCTCGCTGAGCCCTACACGGTTGCCGGCGTTGATCCCGAGGATCTCATGCTCACTGCCTGCTTGGCCGCCTCGCGCAAGAAGAAGGGTATGGACGCCATCGACAAGGCTTTCCTCAAGAGCTTGAAGCTCTACCCCCGCGCCAAGAGTGTTCTCAGCAAGTACAAGGTCATCGAGTTCTTCCCCTTCGACCCTGTCTCCAAGAAGGTTACCGCCATTGTTCAGTCCCCCCAGGGCGAGCGCATCACCTGTGTCAAGGGAGCTCCTCTTTTCGTTCTCAAGACTGTCGAGGAAGACCACCCCATCCCCGATGAGGTCGACCAGGCCTACAAGAACAAGGTTGCCGAGTTCGCTACCCGTGGTTTCCGTTCGCTCGGTGTTGCCCGCAAGCGTGGTGAGGGCTCTTGGGAGATTCTCGGAATCATGCCTTGCAGCGATCCTCCCCGTCACGATACCGCCCGCACCATCAACGAAGCCAAAGGTCTCGGTCTCTCCATCAAGATGCTTACCGGTGACGCCGTCGGTATCGCCAGGGAAACTTCTCGCCAACTTGGATTGGGCACTAACGTGTACAATGCTGAGCGTCTTGGTCTTGGCGGCGGCGGCGACATGCCCGGCTCTGAGGTTTATGATTTCGTCGAGGCTGCCGATGGTTTCGCTGAGGTGTTCCCCCAGCACAAGTACAATGTCGTCGAGATTCTGCAGCAGCGTGGCTACCTCGTTGCCATGACTGGTGACGGTGTCAACGACGCTCCCTCGCTCAAGAAGGCTGATACTGGTATTGCTGTCGAGGGTGCGTCCGACGCTGCCCGCTCCGCTGCCGACATTGTTTTCCTTGCCCCTGGTCTCGGTGCCATCATCGATGCTCTCAAGACGTCTCGCCAGATTTTCCACCGCATGTACGCGTACGTTGTCTACCGTATTGCGCTTTCGATCCATCTGGAGATTTTCCTCGGCCTGTGGATCGCCATTCTCAACCAGAGCTTGAACATCGAGCTTGTCGTCTTCATTGCTATCTTTGCCGATGTCGCCACCCTCGCCATTGCCTACGATAACGCCCCGTTCAGCAAGACTCCCGTTAAGTGGAACCTTCCCAAGCTTTGGGGCATGTCTGTTCTTCTCGGAGTTGTTCTCGCTGTCGGTACCTGGATTGCTCTCACGACCATGTATGCCGCTGGTGGCCCCAACGGTGGTATCGTGCAGAACTTCGGTAACCTGGACGAGGTTCTCTTCCTTGAGATCTCCCTGACTGAGAACTGGCTCATCTTCATCACTCGGTAAGGCTCACCCCTATCCGAATCTTGAACTTTCTAGTGCTAACATATATGTCTAGTGCCAATGGCCCCTTCTGGTCCTCCATTCCCTCGTGGCAGCTCAGCGGTGCCATTCTGGTTGTCGATCTTATTGCCACCTTCTTCACCATTTGGGGATGGCTCGAGCATTCCAACACCAGCATCGTCGCTGTTGTGAGAATCTGGATCTTCTCTTTTGGTGTCTTCTGCATCATGGGTGGTGTTTACTACATTCTGCAAGACAGCGTCGGATTCGACAATCTGATGCACGGCAAGTCGCCCAAGGGCAACCAGAAGCAGCGTTCGCTCGAGGACTTTGGTAAGTCGCACCATGCAACTCCCCGTTATGCCAACTCGGTGCTAACCCTTTGTGTGCAGTCGTTTCGCTCCAGCGTGTATCGACACAGCACGAGAAGTCGCAATAAGCGGACTCGGTGCTGGGAGAGGGATATTGCCTTTGTGGAAATCATGGAGTCGCGTGGTAGAGATTTAGACCATGGACTACATACATGATGCCCTCGGCATCTCGGCTTCTTTAGATGCATAGACCAGGAAGTGGCCGAGCGCTTGCCAACTGGGGCTTTTTCTTATTGTTAAAGATGTGTATCGACTTTACGATGGGGTTATCCTTGCCCTACCAATTTTTTTCTTAGACTTCTAATCATAAACACAAATAATCTTAGTCGAGTTGCAAATGTGAAGCTTTGCAATAAGTGATCGGTGAAGTTGTCTCGCTGTAGCATTAGGCAATTGCCGAATTTAGATGACACTTACCCAGCTCGGAACAACCCCAACGGAAGGAACAGTTGGTTTGGTTGTCAAGCCTACTGGGCCGATCGGTCGTAATTGGTCATATTGCCGAACAGGCGTTCTCCAACACGGAATACCTATTTTGGTGTAAGTATATTCCAGCATACCTCATGTACGTCCTTCCTTGCCAGGCCCGACGTGGCCGTGTGATAGCGCATCTACATCCAAACGACGCTTCAGAGTTACTACCTATTACCGTCAACCATTCTAACGCATCGGCTATGCGAGCACGTCTCTAGATATTGCCAAGTTTGGACCTCACTGTTCTGGTCTAGGTAAATGGTAGTTTCTCCGTTCACAGTTGAGCCCTCCCTCTCGGCGTAGCCGTTACTGCCTCACTCAACGTTTCTGTCCGAAAAGGCGCAGCAATAACAGCCAAGACGACATGCCATGGCCTCAACAACCGTGGCTACTCCTCCTGGGCAAAATTGTACGCCACATAGCGGAGGTGGCCGGATGGCTGCTTCAGATGCTGCAACGGCTTAGTCTGGTCCGTCGAGATCAGAGTCGGTCAGATCCAAGCATTTCCCCATCAACTGATGCTTTGGGCATCATTTCCCAGTCGGATGATGCCTTGGACAGCCCGCCCGTCCCATGGGACGATGGTCAACTTGTTCCCGTCAATACGACTTCCCTCCAGCCGGATCGTCTCTGCCGTTCCTGCAAAGATTGTGTGCGGAGCTGCGGCATTGAAACACCTGCCGGTTTGCACAGCAGAAGCTATGCCAGCGCTATGATGGGGAGCCCGTTCACTCCTGCTACTCGTTATTCTTACAGCAGCTTCTCTAAAGCCCTCCGAGATAGATGCTTCGTTTGTAACACGTTGCTTCGGAATAATAAAAGAGGGATGCCGCTTGCCATTCCCAAATCAGACTAGGATCGGCCGCAGGAAGCATCCAGCCGCAGGCATAATACGTGCCAGGCCTCTAACATCAACACATTCCATTATGAGTTTCTTGAAGACACTAAGAAATTCTCTTGCTCTCTCAAGTTTGCTCTACAATTGCCGTCCGATTCCACGAGCACCCATATTTGGGAGGAATTCATCCTGCAGGCGGAAGGTTATTATGCCCGCCTCGACTTCATCTTCCTGACATGATTTGAGAGATCATAGCTAATTGGTCTCGGATTCGGAATCACGTGTCTATATCAAACACGTCGGTGCGGGTTCTACAAACTCGGAAGCATCATGGGACTTCGCCCGCGAGCATCTGGCGGATTGCTGCAAGAACCATGAGCAATGCGGTTTCAGGGGCACCAACCCGTAGGTATCCTCGAAACGATACCCTACGCGACTCATAAACGTTGGCACTGGAGAGAGGGCTAGCGTTCGACTTATCGAAACGGCGCAAGCGGTTCTTGACGGCTCTTGACGGCTCTTACGTTACGTTAAGTCATTGCTGGGGAGATGCTGCGGCTGCGGCCATTGTCAAACTCACGACAACGAACCTCGCGATTTTCCAAGATCAAATTCCTTCTCTTCCGGCGACATTTCAGGACACGATCCTGGTTACTCGACGGCTTGGAGCTCAGTACATATGGATCGATTGCCTGTGCATTCTTCAGGATGACATCTCGGATTAGGAGAGGGAGTCGAGCGCCATGGCAGAGGTGTACAGGAACGGCCTCTGCAATATCACGGCCACTGCGTCCAAGGGTCCCCAACAAGGCCTGTTCCGCGATCGAGGTGACATTATCAGGAATACCCGTCAAGAGCTCGAATGGGCATCCATTGCTACTCATTAAAAGCGACGACGTCACGGAACATGAAGGGGACGAAGCCCCGCCGCAGAAGGTTAGTAGTCACCATTACTAGCCCATATTCATTCATTCCCCGCAATATCGCAGCGCGTAGGCATCGATCGCTAATAAGATGCACCCTATTACTACTAGAGGGGTTGGGCCCTGCAAGAGCGGCTCCTCTCGAGGCGCATTCTTCATTTTTCCTCTAGACAGCTCGTCTGGGAGTGCAACGCACTGGTGGCATCGGAAAGCTTCTCTCTCGGCGTTCCTCAAACCTGGAAGTCGCAGCGGACCGCGAGGCGTCTAGACATCAGCCGTGGAAACCACCGATGGCGCAGGGGCAAAGATGAAATCTTCTTGGAAATTTGGGGTGATATCGTGGAACGCTACACTGCCATGTATTTGACTTATCGCTCAGACCTCCTACCGGCTCTTTCCGGAGTGGCAAAATATCTCGAAGGTCTCTACGGTGCAAAGTACCTTGCGAAAATCTGGAAGAAGCCAGGAGCAGACGCCGAGTTCTCAGTTCACCTGGGTTGGAAATGCACAGCCTTCAGGCCAAATTGTACTCGGAGCCATTCGGCTGAATACCGAACACCGACCTGGAGCTGGGCTTCAACAGAGCATCACGTTAATCTTCGCCCATCAGAAAACCCATTTGAGGGCAGAGATTACGGAGAGTGAAGTCTGGTCAGCATAGAAGCCGGAGCGCGCATACTGGGTGCACAAGTCGTTCCGGCAACCTCGGACCTCACAGGCACCGTCTCATCGGGGGTTCTCCTCGTCGAAGGCCCCCTTAACGAGTTGGGGGCAGGCAGTGAAACGAAAGCAATGGAGATATTTTGGGATGATAAGGCTGCAGGACAAGAAAGTATGATGCTGAGATGCATACTACCGCTCTATTGGTACCCGGTATTCGACCCATGGGAATACGGAGACGACGACTACGGCGTTTTTGTCCCCTTGATCTTGACCCCATCGGAAAAACAACCGAACCGTTACACGCGTTGCGGGATAGGGCGTACTCATAGGGCTAAAGTTGACTATACCTATCCAGCCCCCGAGACCTGGACCAGGGTTATTTCTGCGCCGGACGCGCAGTGCGAGGAATTCCTTGGTCCTGACGTCGGTCATAGGTTTCGAATTATATAATCCACTGAGAGGTGTTGGGTTAAACTCTCGTGGAGGATGAAGGATGGTCTCAGATGCTCAGACCAGTACATGAATTGTGTATCGACTGGGCAGTTGCCGAATTCGGATGACACTAGCCAATCAAGGTTCTCAAAAAATTTGCATAACAGTGTGTGTGCATTTACTCTTGGACACGCTTTTCGCCATTGCCTGTTCTCCAAACCAAAGCTGTTTTTCTGGAATTTGAGTTGGCAAGTGAAGCTTGGCAGCTGCGTGCAACTTGCATTGCCTGGAGCATCACATGCAGCATTTCGTTCTACACCGCATAGGCCTCCTGCTTCTTTTCGTTCATTTAGAGAATTGAACTACTAGGGAATATCTCGCCGTTCATTCGCCCACTACGCTATTTGCCCACTTTTCCTCTTGTCCCCCACGACCCTAAGCACGAAATTTAGTGGCTCTTAATCCCTGAGCCCGCTAGTTCAACCCCCAAACGAGCGGCTCGCCACCTAACAGGCCAATCACATTACGCCCGCTGGCATCACCAACCTTTTCGCATTCAAGAAGACCTTCGGGCCTTTGAGGCGAAGGCGGACGAGGCGTGATGAATCGCAGTATTCCGGGCTACTATTACGGCAAGTCGCGTCGATTGGGCTTCGCTTCTTGGACACAGAGAGAGCTAATAAATCGTGAATGAGATTGTAGATGAGGAAAAGCGCAAGTACTTCAAGATTGAAGACCGCCGCACGGCGCCCGTCAACGCGCCCTGGGCCGGCAATAACGTGAAGCGCCGCCAGCTCGAGGATGCAGAGGCTGAGGCCCGCCAGCAGCGGCTTATCATCAAGGCCCGCGGCGTCAAGCGTGCCCCTATCCTTGCAAATGACACGGCCAGCGGCTTCTTGCGTCGCGAGCATGGCGAGCCTTCCCGCGACACGCCTCTCGCCTGCTGGCTCCAGGGCATCAGGCCCAAGGGTAGCATCAAGTTGTGGTCGTCAGGACTGGGAGACACGATGAACCCGTGGATCATGCATGTGGGCAACCAGGACACCAAGACCGGACTGGGGGTCGTGTATGCGAGTAAGGCATTTGTCGCTCGCTCTCTTGGTGAGAATGGAGCAAGTTTGCTAACGCCGAGGCAGTAAATTTTACCAGCCCCTATCTCGCCAATCTCGTTAGTTCGTACATCCCAAGGAACGACAACGACGAGTTAAGACTACCTCTCCTTTCTCATGAACCCTTCTCGGCCTGTGCCTGACGGACTGACTGTCCCGATATAGGATCGATTTTGGCGAAGCCGTTGTTAGTCACCGCCACACCGATTTCATGCCGAGGGTTGAGGTCACCAGCCTTTACCAACCGAGTTCTCTCAAATACCACGCGCCCTCGCACAGGCTCCTCCTCACCTCGAGTGAAGCAGCGCTCGATGGCAGCCTCATATGCTTCTCGCCCACGCTAACTGAACATGATGACCCGCGGCCAGCTTGGCTGCTTGGACAAGGTAGGCAGCTGTCCTCCCGCCCAGCGGTAGCCGTGGCCCTAGCTGATAGTCAATTTTGCCAGGGACATTCACCGAGATTAGCACTCCCAGCCTCAACCGGAACGGTCGGCTTGCCAGCCATTCAAGCAGTGTCTGGAAGAGCGCCACCACTTGCGCGCCCGCACCAGCCTCGTCACGCATGACCTGTGTAGTCGGTACCAACACCGGCATCCTCCGGCTCATCGGCGACCAGCTTCAGTGGCTCACGCCGCCTTCTGACACTGTCACCACGACGCAGAACAACAGTAGAAACGATATTATGGGAAGAGCCAGGGCCAGAGAGAGAGGTAGAGGCATAGGCATAGGCATAGGTGGAGGCAGAGGCAGAGGCAGAGGCAGAGGCAGAGGCAGAGACAGAGTACGGGGGAGAGACAATGATGTCCGCGGCAACCCTCTCAACGACAGCAGCCCCGACGAGCCCGAACCATGTCCCGCCAAGGGGTACATCCTCAGCCTCGACTTCCTCGCGCAGAACCCCGCCGACGTGGTGCTGGCCAGCAGCCGGCCGAGCTTTGTCAACGTGGTGGACACGCGCGCGCCCGTTCAAGAGTGGACGGCCTTCAAGCACCGCAGCCCCGTCATCCACGTCCGCTCTGTGGGCGCGCACAGCGTGCTGGCCGCGGGCATCGCCAACGCCATGGCGCTGTACGACGTGCGCTGGATCCGCAGCAGGCCGCAGCACCACGATCCACAAGCAGGCGGCGGGCTGTCGAACAAGCACAGCGCCTGTCCTGTCCTCGAGTTTCCCGACTACCGCAACGCTGGCGACCTGGGCGCCGGGCTCGACCTTCTGGCTGCCGACAGCGGCGGCTTCGGGCACGGCATCGTAGCGGCTGCGCAGGACGATGGGTCCGTCGCCCTGTACTCGCTGTCCTCGGGCGAGCGACTGCGCTGCGCCGCCGTCGACGCCATCGGCAAGTCGGCGCCCGCGGTGCCCGACGCCGAGCCGTACCGCATGGGATACGTGCACGGAGCCGGCGCCGCGTCGGCGGCGCCCGTCGTCATCAAGGCGCTGCAGTTCCAGACGCTGCCGGGCGACGTGCACCCCAGCCTGTTCGTCGGCGAGGGCTCGGCCATCAAGAAGTACTCGTTTGCTACCGGCTCGGGGTCTGCGTTGGGGGTCGACGAGTGGGAGTGAACCTGAAATAAAAGCAGCGTCTTGTTGTTGTTGTTGTTGTTTTTTATGACAAAACAAACAGGCCGGTGCTGGCTGAGCCGACAGACGGGCCGGACAGACGGACGGACGGGCATTTGACCCCCGTCTTCTCCATGCCGATTTGAGCCCTCCCTCCGTGCATGCACTGAGAGAATGCTTGCCTGACACGCAACCTCTCGGACTCCCGAACTGAGGTTGGCTGAGCTCGGTATGTGTGTATATATACCTACGCACAGGCTTTGCCCACGGCTGCGCCAGTGGTATGTGCGACGGACGAGTAAAGCCGTGTCGAGCCACGTCTCGGTACTTGCAGTGCGCTTGCTAGGTATGATTATTGTAAGTGATGCTTGCAGACTAGACTAGACCTACGCGGAGAGAGAGAGAGAGAGAGATAGATAGATAGATAGATGGGGAGGGGGAGCAAGTCATCACTGCCAACAGCCAAATAGCGCTGGTTGAGAAATAGTGTCTGTCAGGCATCATATATAGCAGGGCAATACACGTACATACACAAACAGTGACCACACCACACTCGACGAGTAAATAAACCAAATACCAACCAGCGATGGATTTGCGGAAATCTTGGTACTTTGTTGGTATCTGTATTCTTGAGTGATACTAAAATCAAGTCACGAAGGCAAGCTGAGCTGAACGCCCCTTTTTTCCTTCTTTCCTTCTTTCTTTCTTTCTTTCTTTCTTTCTTTCTTTCTTTCTTTCTTTCTTTCTTTCTTTCTTTCTTTCTTTCTTCCTTCCTTCCTTCTTTCCTTCTTTCCTTTTCACCTCCGGCGGCCCTCCGGGGGCGCCTGCGGCGGGCTCCTCGCTACGCTCGAAAGTCGTCTCGTTTCCTTACATGTTAACTACAAGCTCTCCGCTACCTACGTACTGTACGATACCTTATGGCGAGCTCGAGAGCTGATGGTGGCTTCGTTTAGCTGAAATAATTATGTTTCCAAAACGGGAAAGAAATGACAGACTCGAAAGTGGATTTTGTTCCTTTGGTGGGCAGTTCAGTTTCAGTTTCGGTTTTCCCTGTCCCACTGAACAGGATACGCCAAGTATTTTTTTTAAGGGGTATAAGATGGGTATTTAACCCTTCACCAGAATTTCGCAACCCAACACCCAACTAGACCTTGTTTGTTCACCCTTAATATTCTACACACACACCGCTTTTATCTATCTATCTATAAGCCACACATACAAACTCCATCTACCCCTTCCTTATCCGTACCCCGGGCAACGACAAAGTTCTCACATGGGCGCCGCCATGACCAGCTGGCCGCCGCGGCTCTCGCTCTTGAGGTTGTACGTGCCCCCGAGGTCAGGAAAAGCCCGCGCGAACATGTCGCCGAGGGTCCAGTTCTCGATGCGGCGCAGGTGCCGCTCGAAGACGGGGTTGATCATCAGCTCGTCTCGGGGGCCGAGGGCGCTGCCGGAGTCGCTGTCGCCAGTGGCGGCGGCGGCGGGGCTGTTGCCACTGTCGGACTTTGGGTTCGGGTTACTGCCGGGCGAGTAGACGAACAGCACGTCGGCGTCCTCGTACGGCCAGTTAAGGCTCAGCGTGGTGTCGTAGGGGATGAAGAAGTCGTCGAATGAGAACTCGCCGGGCTTGTAGGCGACGACGACGCGGTGGCGCATGCCCGGCCACGGGATGTTGTCGACCCAGATGGGGTGGGGGTGGGCGGGACTCAGCTGGGCGGGTAAAGGGCGCAGCCACTCGGGCAGGCGCAGGTAGTTTGCGCGCGTGGGGCTGACGCGCCACCGCATCAGCAGGAACTGCGAGTACAGCATGGCGACGCGCTCGGGCAGGCCCAGGATGTGCGGGAACAGCGCCAGGATGTCCGTGTACACCTTGGACATGGGGTGCGAGTGCACGCTGTGCGCCGGGTTGAGCAGCGATGACACGGACGGGTACCGCGGCCCGGCGATCTCGTGCTCGGGCAGGCCCTCGGCCGTGCGCTGCCGCCGCTCCGCCACGAAGTCGAGCAGCAGGCTGTCGAGCGGGCACGTCGGGCTGCAGTTTGCGAGCCGCGTGGCGCACGAGAAGGTCTCGTGGTCGACGTCGCCGTCTTCGCCGTCGCAGCTGCTGGCCGTGTTGCTGGGGTGGACGGCAACGTGCGGTACGAGGCACGTTGGCAGCGGCGGCTCCCCTGGAAACCGGGGTTCGTTCGGAGGCGGCGGCGCGCCGGATACGTTGGGTGGGTAGTTGGCGCCGCCAGTACTGCCTCCACCGCTGCTGCTGCCACTTGCCCCAAACAGCTGGGCCATGGTCGACCTGGCGTCCATCCAGTCGTGCTTCATGGGGACGTGGCAGTACTGTCCAGGCGAGTCCTGGGCACCGTTGCTGTAGCTGTCGATGCGGACAATCTTTTGCGAGGGGCTTAGAAGGAAGTCGAGGCCGAGCCGGTTCTGGCCCATGTCTGCGCCATAAGCAACGTCTTGCCGCTGCGGGCCCAGCCCGAGGGCCTGCGGGGGTGGGTGGGATTCTGCCGTCGTCAGGGGCGGCCCCACGGGCGAGAGGCTGATATGTTGCCATCCTACCGAGTCCGGAGAGGCGGCACTGGTAGGGACGGACCTGACAGTCAGAGACGGCGGCGGCGGTAAAGGAAGTGGCAGTGGGAGTGGCGGTGCTTGCTGCTGCTGCTGTTGCTGGTGCTGCCCAGAGAAGTAGGGCGGGTTGGGAAACGTAGGGAGGTCCAGGGGCTGGTCGCCTACGCACACAACAAAACACGACACGTCGTTTTAGCCTCCAAGCATACACGATACACGCACAACTAACTACCATCTCACGGATCGATCGAGTACCAATGGTCTTTGGGTTGGCACTTGACCAGCCACGGCAGACCGCGAAACCCAGACAAAACGTCACACAAAAACACACGTACGGAGAGGTCTGGACGGGAACAAAGTTCAGAAAAGAAACAGTGAACAGAGACGAGACGGACCACCCACCTCCCAGAGGACGGTCGGCGAGCAGGGGCTGGACCATAGCGACGACCGAGGCCAGCACGCGCTTGATGTTGGCCAGGTCGGCCTCGGCGGTGGCTTTTTGGCCGAGCGCCTTCTGCAGCTCCTGGTAGGGCTGCTGCGACTTGAGCTCGTGGATCTCGCGCTCGTACTGTTCGTTGCGCAGCCGCTGGCGCTCGCGGATGGCGCGCTGGGCCTCGCGGTCTTTTGTGTGTTGGCCGGCAGTTAGCCACGGGATCGCTCACGTATTATTCATTTTCATATTCATGTTCATCGTCATGTTCATCACAAGGACTAGCGGACAGGAAGCAAGGAATACATATGACATTTGATATTGAGCAGGAATGGGAAGGAAGGAAGGCGGCCAAACGCACCGTTCGCCCGCTTCTTAGCCAGCTGCTCGGGCGTCAGCTTGGCGACGCCGCGCGACACCGGGCCCGTCTTGCGCTTCCTGCTGCCGCTGCCGACCGAGCCGGCGTCGGCACCTGCGCTGATGTCGTGGGGCGGTGGCGGCGGCGGCGGAGGGGGCGGCGTCGGGGCGGCAGCCGCCGTGCTTGGACTCGTGCTGCTCGGACTCGCACTCGCCGTCGCACCGGCACTCACGCCGCTCGGGTGCAGCCAGCTGCTGCCGCCACTGCCGCTGCGGAAGGAAGAAGAGGCGCCGGGCGGCAGCGGGCCGAGCCTACTTCGCCGTTTTGCGCGGCGTTCATCGTAGTCATCGTCATCCTCATCGTCCTCATCGTCGTCGTCGCTGTATTCGCCATTCTCATTTTCGTCACCACCATTACCTTGGCCGCCGTCGTCGTCATCATAATCATCGTCTCGGTGGTCGTCTCGGTGGTCGTCTCGGTGTCGGCGTCCCCGTAGGCGCGCCTGTCGACCATGCACCCCCAAGCCGCTGGTGCTGGTGCTGTTGCTGTTGCCGGCATCGGCGACGACAATGGTGCCGCTGCTTGACCGCACGTCATTTCTATCAAGACTATTATTACTGTCGCCGCGCTCGACAACGCGGGCGATAGTGACGGGTGCAGCTGCATCTGCCCAAGGAAGAGGGCGCTGGTGCCGATGCCTGCCGGTGCCGGTGCCGGTGCCGGTATTCACGCCAACGTCAGAACCGGAACCATTGCCGCCGCCAATTTCGGGTACGGATTGCTGCTGCTGCTGCTGCTGCTGCGGCGGCGGTGGCAGTGGCTGGGAAGTAGTTCCTTTACCCCTGGCCATGTGCCCGCCGCGTCTATTTCCGTGGCCGCGGGCTTCTGGAACAGGCCAAGACGGCGACGACGCCATGGGGATTGGGGCCACGATGCGATGCGATGCGATGCGATGCGTCGCTGTAGGCTAGCTAGCCCAGTCCCAGTCCCAGTCCCAAACCCGCAAGCTAGCTACCAAAAAGGTAAATTAAAGCTCGCTCGCCCGCTAGCTGCAGTGAGCCTGGTTCCGAGCCCCGAGCAAAGTGCGACTGACACCCTGCAGGCGGGCGAACCTATACAGGAGTTTTCCTCCGAAGCCGAGTCGCTATGAGCCGCTGTGTAGGTGTGGATTCAGTATGGGGCGGGCGTGCCGGCCTGACGAGCCAAACTAAAAATATAGGGTAGCACTTAAGCGAGAACGGCAACGCAGCCTCGAACTGGCGCGGTCCAAGTCATTGGGTGGTGTTGCCGTGTATATACCATGTACATGTACATACATACGCGTGTATATCTGGTACGCAGTTTTGTGTGTGGCTACCTAGGTAAGCGATGGAGGTAAAGAAGGCAGAGAAGAGGTTGAAGAAGCAGCGAAGGACAAGGGAGTGAATGCCTTAGTAATTAGTATTTGACGACTTCCAAGTCGGGACTTGCCGCGCCGTCCTTTGGGCGGGGCTAGCCTACTGGAACTTATGCGGAAGACTCGATCCTTGGTATTGGTCGTACTCGTATTCCGCTATTTGTAATTATCGACCAAAGTCCCCTATCGGTATCATACAAAATATCCATTCAGGTAGTCTTGGACAGCCATGCCGAATAACAGCAGTAAGTACAGTAGTACCAATGCTTTTATTACGCAGTGTACTCTAACAATAGGGGAAATAAAAACCCGCCCACTTATGAGACCAAGTCTCGCAAGTCTACCCAGGCACCTGAGGTAAGGTAACCGCCCGCTAATTATAAACTCCATGTCTATATGTATTGCCGCCAGCATCAGCATCAGCCTTCGCCGGGACTGCCCAATTCGGCTTCTTCTCCCTCCTCTCCCAGCCTTAGCCCCAGTAAACCCTCTTCAATTGGCTGACGCCCTGGCTAGCGCCTCGTGCAGGTGAGGCGGTAGCCGGTAGCGCAGCTGGCTCGTGTATGTCGTCAGGTCGATGCTCATCTGCTTCAGCTCGTCCATCATCATGCGCGCTGTCGACTCGTTGCCGCTGAATTGGCCGTTCATGAGTCGCTCCCGTTGCTTGGTGCAACAGATGATGGTCCACATCAGCAGGTTCGGCAAGTTGATGGCCACGGGCTGCGCCAGATTCGAGAACTTGGATGCATAGCTGCGGATCACGCTGGGGTCGCCACGCGCACCCAGCGGCAGAATCTCCAGAGCCCGGATCCTCTGTAGAGTTGAAAAAAGAGATCGTTAGTATAGCTCAAAGAAAGGCCGAGAGATTTCTGGCATGGTAGAAAAAGTACTCACATCCAGGCACTGCGGCCATCTACCCGCCTCAACCAGGCCCTTGATGTCGCTCATCTGTAGCAGCACGGCGCACGCGACGCGGTTCGGCTCTCGGATCTTCTGCCAGAACATGGCGTCGCGCTCGTACATGGTCATCATGGTCTTGGCCAGCTCCACGGGGTCGTCGATGGCCGCCAGGCTCAGGCTGCTGCCCGGCTGCGCCTGTGCCTCGGCCCCGTCGACGCGCGGCTTGACCGGCACGAGGCGCATCGGGTCCTCGCCCATCTCGAGCGAGATGGCCTCGCTCAGCGCTCGGCTGACAATCGCCACTACCGTGTCGTAGTCGCCAGCCAGGTGGTACAAGAGGACCGCATCCGTTGTGCGCCCGTTGTCGTCGGCGAAGCTGGCCGCCTGCAGCGTGATGGCCCGGATGAACTCCTGCTCCTGCCCCAGCGCGATCAGCGGGCCGCGTTCCTCGATGAGGCCCTTGATGCGGTGTCCGTCGGGCTTGATGTCGCCAATGAGCCTGCTAAACTCCCTCGTCTCGAGCACCAGCTCACGTAGCGCCTCGTGACAGAGCGCCGCTTGCTGCGATCCCGACGGGTTGTCCGCGTTGAGGCAGATGAGCACGAGATAGTCGACCGCAGCGCGTGCGTTGGCCGCCCGGAAGTCCCGTGTGTAGTACCCCAGCATGCGCCCAAAGTTTATCTGAGGCTGCTCCCGCGTGTTGTATGTGAGGAGCTCGTTGCCCGACGACTGCGTAACCGCCGGACGGAGAAGGCCGTAGTACGTCAACGTAATGGCGAAGTGGACGGCGTCGATATACGAGAATGGGTAGAGGTAGGCGATGGCCTGCTCAAACATGCCCGACAGAATCTGGAGGTAAAAGAACATGCCGAAGCTGCCGTTGGAATCCTCGGTGGGCGCCTTGGAGAAGTGCTTCTGGCCAATCTCGCGGATGCTCGCCTGCAGCTCGGTCAAGCCGTACGACTCGCCCGCCAGCTCCATGGACCGGTCCGACTCCCGCGCCAGGTTGAACTGGAGCCAGACCCAGTCGTTGACGTCGGTATTGATGCGGTCCAGACTCCGGTTGTTAACCTCACAACGGCCAACAATCTTGTAGCAGGCCATCCGGAAGGGGTCGATCGAGTTGTCGGGCGAGTTGCGCATCCGCTGGCTGTATTCGCTGGCGCACCGCTCCTGCATCTGTCTCTTGAGCCGGCGGTCTTCGGTCGAGGCGTAGCTGTTGAGATAGCCGGGGAATGTGCGGTCAATACTGCGGAACGCGCTCGCTTTGCTGTTAACAAATTGCGCCGCCTCGTTGACGAAGCCCGCACGCAAGAGAAAGAAGATGACAGCCCAGGCAGGAGACTCTTCAATCATCTGCAGCTGCGTGTTGTCGGGCACAAGCGTCTTACGCACCATGCGCAGTCGGATGTACGCCATCATCTTGCTAACAACGTCAGGCCGACCGCCAAGATTTGCATCCTGCGGGTACTTGGCGATGAGCATGTTGACCTCGTTGTAGAATTGCTTCTCCAGAAACTGGTTGGCGCCTTTAAGAATCTGCTTCCGTAGTTCCACGGCGCCGGGGGATTGTGGGTTGGCGTCGTTCTCGGCGTACAGTCTCGCAAACTGCCGCTCCTTGGGGAGTTCGCCCGTATCGGGGTGCTCCCCTACAATCTCCATTAGAGCTCGATATGCCTCGACCATGTGTCCTGCGTGTCGGTCGCCCGACTTGCTCTCAAGTTCTGCCAGGTCGCTGCATATGAAGATGCCCTGCCCCGACTGGCGAGCGTCGTTCAGCTCGTGCACCTTGTCGGCCAACTTGCCCTGCTTCTCGCGCTGGAAACGGTCGTCGATTGAGGACACGCCGGTCGGCGGACTAGTCACTTCCTTGCCGGCATCGACGTCTGAAAAGCCCGCGGCGTGTGCGCCGATCCGGCTCGGCGCGCCGATGACCGATCGTTGCAGCCCAGACCTCCCGAGCGTGCCGGCCTTGGGCTGGGTAGACCGCTCGCCAGGGGGTTGGCTCACCTTGCGCCGCGAGCGGCCGAAACCTCCAGCCTGAGAGTCACGGGCAGGGGTAGCCGACGAGGCACGCGCTGCCTCGTCTCTGGGCTTGATCCCAAAGTGCTCGTAGATGCGCTTCCGCTGTGCCTCCCACTCCATCGTGACATTGTCCTCCAGGAAGCTGTCAAAGTCGCGAACCGACCGCTCCAGGCCATCGGCAATCATGCTCAGCGTAGTCTTTGTCTGCAGGTTAGAAAGGTACGTCTCGACATCCAACTCGCTGCTCGCCCATCCCTGCGGCTTCTCGGACCTTGCCTGAAGGCCCAAAGAGCCCAGGTCACGCACAGCAGCGCCAGGATCGACGCCAGACGCAGCGAGAAAGTAGTGCGCCTTGCCATCAAGTGTGCGGTCTTGGGTACGCGGCCCGACTTGCTTTAGTCTCTGCCGAAGGTCGCCGAGGCCTAGCTGGAGACTGGGCAGCTCGCCTAGCGCCGTCTCTCCCTCTGCCTGTTTCTTGTTCTTGACAAGCAGGCTGTCGAAATACGCCCCGGTTGGTGCTGCCTGCTGCTGCTGCTGCTGTTGCTGCTGCTGCTGCTGTTGTTGTTGTTGTTGTTGTGGCTGCTGCTGCTGTTGTGGCGGTTTCTGCAGCATGAATTGGCTCATGGCCGGAGGTGCCGTGTTTAATCCTCCTCCAAGACCACTAAACAAGCTGCCGCCTAGAGTTGGTTGAGCTGGTGCGGTTGTCGTGGTAGGTCCGAAGGGCGAGGGACGCGATACCGAAGGAATAGTTTCCAAGCCGCCGCTGTAAACACCGCCGGGGCCAAATAGCGTCGGCCTAGCTTGCTGTTGCTGCTGTTGCTGTGGCTGCTGCTGCCCAAGGTTCGAAAAGAGACCGCCCGACGTCGTCTGTTGCTGGGCGGCCTGCGTTTGGCCAAAGAGGCTACTCCCAGCTCCTCCCTGCGCAGCATTGTTTTGTCCCAGTCCGAAGCCGCTCAGGCCCAAGCCCAGCGACGGCGTTGTTTTGGATGCGCCTCCTGGGGGGTTCCCGAAAAGTGACATATCTGTGTGACTGCGTCCGAATGTCGCGTCGCCAGGGTGGAACGTGGAGCTGGATCGCGTTCCGCGGGCGCGTTTTCGCTGTTTAAATGCTTTCTCGAACCGCGATTTTTTGGGGGTTTGTAACAATTTTGGGTTCAAGGAGCGGAAGAGCAAGGCTCAAAGGCTGGCCAGCTGGAGCTGGAGCTGAAATTGTGGGGCTCGCAGAGACGTGGGGAGAGTGTACTGTAGCGATACTTGTCGCACCGTGCAGTGCCTTGTTTTCACACGCATTGATAAGGTGCCAGAAACCTTTCAAAAATGCCTGCGCATTCCAGCAGCTGTTTAATTATTCGCGTGGCACTTAGCGATGAGGACTGAGGTTAACGAAACCAGCTTCAACACGCGATAGACCGTAGGTGAGGTAGCTTTTACATTTGGCACAATCTGGTGAGATGCAGACCCAAAGGCCCCACTATTTAATGAAGCGGTGTAACATTTAAACAGGGGTTGAATAGACTGTGCAAGAGTGAGACATAAAGACTTCGGGAATACTCAGCGTTCATCATCAGTCAATGATGACGCATGCTGGTCAGGGATTTGCTTCCAACCCTCAAAAGTCAACAAAGCAACTTGTCGGTGTGAAGCCTAAATATTTGAGTGATTACGCTGTTCCCCCAAATTCTATCTAGAGAAAACTTGCTGAATTCCCAGGCATCACAAGCACCGCTCGCTTCACATCAACAGCAAGGCTAGGTACGCTGCAACACCATACGTAGCGATAATGAAAATCCAAGCAAGGCGAGGAACCCACAATTCCTAGCCGGAGGGCTGCTCAGCTGTCTCAACATCCAGAGAAGCATCCGGAGAAGCGTCTGGAGAAGCATCTGGAGAAGCAGCATCTGAAGAAGCATCAGAAGAAGCATCCAGAGAAGCATCCAGAGAAGCATCCAGAGAAGCATCCAGGGGAGTATCCGGAGAAGTATCTGGAGAAGTATCCAGAGGAGGGACCTGAGGAGGGAACATAGGAAATTCTGGACAAGTATCCAGAGGAGGAACTAAAGGAGGAGGGGCCAGAGGAATATCAGGAGAAGTATCCGGAGAAGCATCCAGAGGAGGATCCAGAGGAGGATCCAGAAGAGTATCCTACAAAGCATCCGGAGGAACATCCAGAGAAAGATCCTTGAGCGCGTCGTCAACCTTTTTCCTGTACTCCTGCTGCGTTCGGCACTGTTCAAGGAACACCCCGTATTTGGCATCCAGAAGCCTCTTCTCAACAGCGTCGCCCCGAGACCAGACGATCTTGCCCGGCTTGCTCATGCGGTCCATGATATCCCACAGCGGCTCCGTCGTTCCATCCTCCCCGGAACTCGCGGCCTTGACGCCGAGCATCGCTGCGCCGTGCACCACTGCCGCGTCGACGTAGCGCGGGATCACGACGGGCATGCCGCAAGCTGTGGCAATGAGCTCCATGAGGATTTCGTTCTTGCATTGGCTCCCCGACATGAAGATGCTCGAAATGGAGTGCCCGGCTCCGTTCATCGTTTCGACAATTTGCCTCGTCTGCAAAGCAATAAACTCCATTGTCGAATAGTATAGGAGCGCCATGCCGTCCTTGCTCTTGTCGTCATTCAGGCCAATAACCGCACCGCGCATGCTGGGGTCGGCGATCGGCGATCTGTTGCCCCAGAGATCGCCGTAAAAGAAGAAATGCCGGCCGAGGAACGATATGCCGGGCGCCTTCCTCGAGATAGCGAGCAGTCGAAGATGGTCATTCAAGAAGTCAAAGATGTTCTGCCACGCATCCTGAGCCTCCTTAACCGTGTCCTTATATGCGGGATGTGTCTCCAGCATGTGGTGCAGGAGCTCGCCGGTTGCCGACTGGCCTCCCTCGGCCATCCAGTAGCCTGGGATCAGAACATCCCGGTAAGGGCCCCAGACCCCTGGCACGAAAATCGCGTCTTTGGACATGGCTAGATGGCAGGTCGAGGTTCCAGCAACAGCAGCAAGCCGGGTGAAAGCCTGCGAAACGTCGTTTGGCGCAACCGTCTGGTCTAGGTGGTCCTGGCTCAACTTGACTTTGGCCCCAACCGTCCCGATCCAACCCGCGTATGCATCGATGACACCGCTGCCGATGGCGATGCCCGCCGGGAGCCCGAGGTCATGTGCTGCCGTCTCGGACAGGCCCCCGACCCGCTCCCCGGCGCTAAGGAACGAACCACTCTGCGATTAGTTAGCTATTTGACTCTTGAGCACGGCGAGGCTACCTCGCCAGGGAATGGGCTCACCACCCCGTTCACTCCTCCGATTCTCTTGTATTCATCCTTGACCAGATCGCCAAGGCCGATGCTCTGGTAAAAGTCTTCTTGCCAACCCTTAACGCTGCCGTCGACTCCCACTGGAACAAAGCCCTGTTTGCAGACGGCGCTGCAAAAGCTTCGCGTCTCGTGGCCGGTCGCCATGTGCGTCAAGGCATCAGCTAGATCATAGAACTTGCACCGATCGAACTGTTCGGTAGGCATGTGGTTCTTCAGCCACAGCACCTTTGGGATTTCCATTTCGACATTCATTTTGCCCCCGACGTAGCGGAGAAGTTTGTGGTTTGTCTCGTTTATCTTCTCTGTCTCGGCAAGGGGCCGGTGGTCGAGCCACAGGATGACGTTCCGGTCGTTACCATCGTTTTTGAAGTCTGGGCCCGTGACCGGAACCGGGTGGTCCGTGTTGTGGTCGAAGACGGCCAGAGAGCATGTCGCATCGAAGCCGATACCCTGAATGGTACCTGGGTCGACCTTGGACTCGGAGACCACCTTCTTCACGCAAATAGATATGCTATTCCAAATATCTGTCGTTGATTGTTCCTGCAGCGGGCTATTAGCAACCCTCGCACACTCCCCAGCGAGCCCGTCAGGCTTTTGTTTGGCCAACATGCATAGTGTGTGTCGCCATTGACAGTCGGTTTCCAGAGCTGAATGACTTTGGCCGCCTGGGCTTTGATCTCGCCCGTCGCGTCGATGATACATGCCCGGGCAGAGCCTGTCCCAACATCTACGCCAATGTAGTGGTTCTGCGCCATGGCGACGGAGACACGAAGGCGGCTAACTGGGTGAATTGCGTAAAGTCTGAAGATTTTCTTTTGTTTCAAACTTCCCATGTACTCTCAGGATAAAAAAAAAGGAATGAAGCAGAAAATATTTGAATTGTGCTAGAATTGACGGTCACGAAACTCCCGTGCTTAAGCCAAAGAGGATCTGGATCTCCAACAGCTCGTCCGAACGCGGCGTAGGTGACGTGTGGAGGGGGCGCCGAGGGGTAGGGGACAAGGAGCTTCTGGGCCCACTACGCCTGCCCCTCAGGTAGGTGGTATATTTTTGGAGGCAAACTTCAATCTAGAAAGAACGGGTAGTCGTAGCTGCCCGATAGGGCAGGTGCAAGCATCGAGAAGGAACTTTAGCGGGCAGAGAAATCAAGCTCGATACTCCTGGATCAGCATGATCGTCTTCCAAACATATTTAAGCTGGCAAGCTGACGCCTCGGGGTGGGTAGACACGGTGGTCTCGTGGCCGGCGCGAACGGTGGAAGCTCTATGGATCGTTGGGCGTATGTTTAAGGTGAGGACCATTCCGTAGAAGACGACCTAGCTTGATTGCCTTCGATCTCAGCGCTGAGGGCCGGTATTATTGAGTTTCCACAGGTCTCAGCGCTCGCCGCTTCGGGGAGGCACTAAAAATAGCAATCCTTAGCAGCTTGGGACGCGTCTCTCTAGGTTTGAAGCCATTGCAGGCTGGTTCCACGGCTTGCTTCGTTGGGCAATATAGCTCGGTCCGAAGCGCCGTCACCCAAGCGCAGGCCGCGCCGAGTCCTGACCGGTGGTGCGGGGACTTACGGACATTGCGCGTCCTGTGCCGGTTGAAGCGGCGCGGCTTGCAGGCTGTTCGACCCTGGCGGGGTTTCCGAACGTGCGCACGGTCCTGCTCCATACCCAAAGCGAATTGACCGTGGCCCGAGAAGAAAAACAAGTAGAAAGAGATGAGCCAGCGAGGAGAAAAAAGAGATTCCTGTCGATGGCGTGGAATGATTGCCTGTTCATAGGTAAATCCACCCCTCAACGGATATCCATTCATGCTGAAGTTCTTTGACCCCTCGGTGAGCCGGCGAGCTTTGTAAGGCATTATTTGGTGTCCAGCTCCAGTTTCAGTACCTGACTGAGCAATTGCTCAGGTCCGTGCTTAGCCTGCTGTTTTCATATCTTTCCTGACAAAAAAAAAGAAAAAGAAATAGAGGTAAAGAGAAAATTAAAAAAATTATCGGGATAGCTAAGGTATACGTAAACTCAATTAGCTGGCTTGGGTACGAGCACCTAGATTATGTGGGTGAAGCGACGTTGAGCGGACGAAAAAGCGATTTGCTTGAGCCGATTGCCTGAGGTTTCCTTGACTGCAGACAATGACATTTCCAGACTTTCACTGTAACTGGCCGAATTTCTCGTCTGCCACCAACACCAACAATTCTAACCACCATATCGAATCGCAAAAGTTTGCGCAGCCACACCTGGCGGTAAATCTGACGTGCGATTTCTGCGACGATGGAGCCCGGCGATGCAGATCTGGCTGGCCAGAACGACTGGGACGACGCGTCAATCGTCGACAACTGGGACAGGACTGTGAATGAGTACAAGGTCTGTCTCTCTCCTGTCCTCACTCCGTTCCACATATCGCATACCCCCCTTGGTCAACTCCCAGACACTAAAACCAATTCGCAGAAGTATCACAGCCTGCACCTCGCGGGGGGCACTGTCGAGGACATGATCCAACGCGGTGAAGAAGACCAGTAAGCCTCGCTCACCAATCCCCACAACGCACCCAGAAACGCAGAGCGAGTGTGATTGAGGCGCCCATGGCCACCTGGCGATCATTATCCAACCCTGACTAAACGATCGATCTGTCTCAGGAAAAATTGGGATGCCAAGCCTGAAACGGCCGGCGCCTGCGAGCCTGTCGAGGGCGACTGGGACGAGGGCGATGTCGACTCTGAGGTGGCAGCCCAGCTCGAGGCCTCCTCGGCGTCCGTGAGCGTCGAAACACGCACGGAAATCACCTTAGATCCCGCCCAGGGCTCGACCGCAGATGCGCAGAAGGTAGATCACACAGTTCGCCCTCAAGCTTATTGCCTTCAGAGCAAATCCCGGCCGATCACAGAAAGCTTGGCATGAAACGTCTGGGGGTTTGCCCGACCCCTATATCTCTTTCCCTGCTTTCTTGTTCCAGACCCCTTCAGACCCCACCCCCACACCAAATTCCCATAGCTTTACCTCACCTCACCTATTGTCCGGGCCGGCTGCTAACGGGGCGAACCCCCTTCTCAAAGCAGGTCGATGGGCCAAGATCGGGTCCCGACGGAAGGCAGGCTTCTCAGACAGGCCAAGATGGGGACGGCAGGCCCGCGGCGTTTGGGCCCGAGACCTTGCTTGGCTCCGGTAAGCATCCCCCACGAAAACAATGTTTTTTCTTCTTTCTGTCAACATGCCCGCATCGAGAAACTAACCTCTAATTATCACATGCGCGATGTAGTTCAAGGCGAGGGACTCAGGAGACTATTGATGTCGTGGTACTACGCAGGTAAGTTTCTCACCTCAGTAATCCGTCCCCCGGGTACGACTGAGGGCGGTTCAGTCGATCCCTTTCTTATTAATCATGTGTCTCAGGCTATTACACGGGCTTGCACCAAGGCCAACAGCAGGGACTCAATAGGTAAGATGCTGTTGTGAAGGAAGCAAAAATGGAAACACACAAGACTTATCCTCCAATGACAAAGAAACCTTGGGAGTGTCTCTGTGTGAGCACAGCAAAACACAACTCAACTAGGGTTCTTTACGAGCTAGCAACAACCCCCGCAGTGGAAACAACTTCAGCGTCGCTTTCGGCGAATTGGCTGGGTCTGCGGCCAACCTACAGTAGGAAGTGTTTGCACGCTACTCAGTACATATTACCATCTCTAGACCAGGGCCGCCGTAGTAGGTTGTTCGAGGAAGACGTGCAATTTTGGGCCCGAGCGGATGGATGGAGGAGGGATGAGGGGCACGACCCAGGGGTGTGGTGTTGAGGTGCATCCCCCCCCCCCCCCCCCCCCCCCCAATAAAAGGAAATTACCTAGGTACAGAGGTAGACCTTAACAAATCGCGGTACTGGCTTCCCGCTCTATCAGTTAGCAGCCCATCCATCCCCCATTGAAAGGAGGGAGAAACGTAGTGGGCTGGGCAAAACCTCAGAACGTGGACGCCATTCCCATGTCGCGGGTGGAAGCGTCAGGTCAGGGCATACGGAAGTAATTTCAGGTGGGGGAGGAAGTGTGGAGACCAGAAAAGACCTGCCCTGGGAGATCAGTCCCCAGCGACCACCCATGCAAGGCTAACAGCTCGCTACGTGATCGACGGCCAAAAGGCAACCTTCTGTAACGGCCTTTGTTCCAGCATGTCCATTTTCCCACGGCTCCGTCTGGTTCCTTGTCTGAACCCCGTCATGGGCAACACACACACACGTGAAGTACTCTTTTTTCTTCTTTTACTCGTTAGCATACCGAGTTATCTTACGGAATTGACTTTGCCACTTTCATATCTGGGCGACGGGGCGAAAGAGAGATAGGGAAATCGATTTCCGCTATCCGGCCCTGGGATCCCCCCCGTCCGTACACCACATACGAAGCATGGATCGGATGTGTGAACGCTCTGAAATGCCAGCTGCCATGGCAGGCATGAGAGGTAGAGAAAGAGAGATCTTCGAGCGGCTCTTGTTCGACGAGACAGCGTCTTTTTGCTCTATGATGAGAATAGAATGGCTTTTAGAGTTATTTTTATTGGCCCGCTCAAGCCTCACACTGTTGTCACTCATGTTCGGTGTAGGGAATGCTGCATCACGAAAGAGCTCTAATTCTAGAAGGGAACGAACAAGAGAGGACTGCAGGGCTTAGAAAACGAAGATCAGGCCATCTGGGCCGCCAGACACACATCACTGACTGAGCATGACGTTGCTTGCATCCGTCTTCCGTTCCAGGGGGGACGATGGCAGTGCTCATGAATCGCCAGCCGGATGCCCAGTGTTTCTCGAGGTACATGACAGGGTCGAAACCATCGCGGGCCACATGAGCGATCTTGGTACGGAGTACACACATACCTGGGCTGTCACTCTTTTTTAACTTAGCAATCCTTCATCCGGAAGAGCCAGCCGGGCGCTTGCCACCACGGGCTCTGCGTTCCCGAGCGACGGGAGTGCACACAGCGAGGCGAAGCTTGTTCGTGATAAGCGCGCCCGGCCTGAATCGCTGGCCAGAAACGCACGCCTTGTTTACAATAATAGGTCAGGTGGCTGTCTTGAATTCAGGTATGGACAACCTACAGGCAAGCCTTGGCTGGCCGACCACAGGGCCAAGGTCAAGGTACCTACTAGAGATGCCGATTACAAAGGCAGATCTTGGCCGGGCAAGTCCCGGCCTAGTCGTTCGTGGTTGAGGCTCGGATATGAGAGGGAAAGGGAAAGGGACGCTGCGAATGCCTCTATTCACAGCAGAGATGCGCGAAATTGTCGGTGCATCGCCTCAAAGCTCTGCAAGCGATGTTGCGCTCGCTGAATTGCCCGCCTTGGGGCAATTGGCCACCGCCCAGGGCTTGGAGGTGTCACTGTTGCGGCTGATATGGGGACGGGGTACATTTGAGCCCCACTTTCCGTCCCATCTTGCGGGGCCTGAGCGACGGTCGGGAAGGTACCTTGGGCCCTTGGCGAAATGCCAAACACAAATCTGAGACGGTTGACTGTCTCACAACTTCACCCTCCTGCACCTTTCAAGTCAAACCCGTCCCTGCCGGGCCTGTTACCTTCCAGTACACTGCGCTGCCACAGGCCAAGATGCTGCCCAGCCAGCCACACCCGCCCAGAATCCCCAGTGCCTCAGCAGGCAAGGGCCTCGTTCCTGGTATGGACGGGTTGGGAGTCAAGGGTTTTCGACTGCTGCTGGGGTCTAGGGCTCCGCTATGGATGCCGCTTAATCGGACACCCAGGACGCCGAACAGGAGTCGCTGTCACGGTGATGCCCTCCAGACTGTTTCGAGATGACCCCCCCCCCCCCCCCCCCCCCCCCCCTCTACCCTGGCCCAGCCAGCACGGGATGCAATGACACGGATGCACTCGAACATCAATGGATCATGCTGCGATTTAAGCACTGCCCGTCCCCGGGGCCACTCCCACAAGAAGGCCTTGTTTCCCTTTTTTAACCTCCCATCCATCTCTCTTCCAATTGTTGTCGTTCTCCTGTGTGCTGTTCGCTCATTTTGATTCTCTGTCGTCCTTCTTTTCTATTTCATCCTCTGAATTCGCTTCTTAACGAGCAGGGACTCGGACGCCTCCAAGAATTTCAATTTCTCCAACCGGTCATACTTTCATCTCAAGTCCTTCCCGGTCGACAGGTATCGCTCACGGTTCGATAATATTCACAGTCTCTTCGACATCATGAAGTACACGGCAGCATTGGCCCTGGGCATGGTCCCGGCGGCGCTTGGAAAGTCGGTCCACAAGGTCTACCCCGTGCGGCGGGATGGTGGGGAGCTCGAGGCTCGCAACAACGGCGGTGCTAGCGTGACGATCAACGGCCAGGCCGGCGTCGCGGCATCTTCCTCCCAGATCGAGGAGCTCACACGCCAGCTCGGCTTGAATAAGGGCTCGGGTATTGAGATCAACTTCCTCTGGGTCAACCTCGGTGGTGGCGCCGCCACCACTGTCCTCAACGCCGCCTCTACCGTGACGGTAACCCAGACCATTGGCGGTGCCGCCGCGGGCACCCCACCGCCCGCTGTGGCCACTGGCGGCGCCGAGGCAGGCTCGGCGACCCCACCAGCAGCTGCCTCGGGTGCTGCGAGCGCCGTCGCCGGCGGACAAACCCACGACGTGACGGTCGGCGGTCCCCAGGGCTTGTCATACAACCCCCCCGAGATCAAGGCGGCCGTTGGCGACACGGTCAGATTCACCTTCTTGAGCCAGAACCACACGGCCACGCAATCCGCTTTCGACAAGCCCTGCGAGCCTCTTGCTGGTGGCATGGACTCTGGCTTCCAGTCCAACCCCAACAACACCGTCAACCCGCCTCCCCAGGTCGCCATGCAAATCATGGTCTCCACGCCTCTCTGTAAGTTGATTTCCCATCTTTCAGGGCGACGACGGCCGGTTCACTGACTAGTCTGGCAAAATAGGGTTCTACTGCCGCCAGAACGGCCACTGCGGAAAGGGTATGGCTTTCTCCATCAACCCCACCGCTGCCAAGACGCAGGCCATGTTCCAGGCTATGGCCATCGCCCAGGCCGGCAAGGGCACTGGTAGCGCCATCACGGGCGGCGCTGCTGCTCCCGCGGCCGCTCCCCCTGCCGATGCCGGCGCCGCCCAGAACGTCACCAACACCGTCGGCGGAGGAGCCGCTGTCGCTGCCCCTACTTCCGTTGCTGGCGGCACGGCTTCCAACTCGGGCATTGTTACTGGCGCCGGCACTCTCGCTTCCGACGGGTCGTGCCTCTGCGCCGTATCTTGCGCCTTCCAGATGTTCCCCGCTGCCCAAGCACAAGGGGTTGACGCCTTTGGCGGCGTTCCTGGTCAGTAGCATCCCAAGCGACGACACATGAAGGCCTTCAAACCGCTAACATGCCATCTCTCAGGTGCCCTACCCATGAACATGGCGCAGGCGAGTTAGACGGAATCAGTTGTACAAAAACCCATTAAAAATATGTTTTTAAAGGGGGACGGTCTTTCTCGGGGAGAAGTTTTTTTTCTTGTTTCGGGATTCGTTGAGGGGGAAGATGGAGGAAAGAAAATACCATTTATTTTTTTGTAGATTTTACTCATCCGCCAACGCGCCGCGCCTGCCCCCCCTCTCACTCACCCTCGTGGAGATTTGAGTCGCTTACCTGCCCTACCTCTTTCCTTTCTTTTTTCTTTTTCCTCTTTTTTTGGTTTATATATCTCCCCCCTTTTCACTTCTTGGGGGGGGGGGAGACTAGACTCTTTCCCTCCTTGCGGTCTCTCATCTCTCCAGCTCGGGGCAGAATAGCAGCTAGAATCAAAAACAGGGGGCTGGGTGGCTGGTGGAGCCGGCTCGCAGGGCTGGGCTGGGCTTGCTCATATGACTGGTTCGTATTCTTGGATGCACTCTTAATAGGACATGATATCAATCTTGTTTATATATATATACATTTTTTTGCGTGGCCCTTTTGTTACATGTGTTTTTTTGGTGTGTGTGTGTGTGTATTTCTCTGTGTGTTTTGTGGTCTTTTATGGAATTGCGAATAACGCGTGGGAAAATATATTTAAAAATTAGATCGAGAAACCCCTCCTTTGTTGGTGTGCCTGTGGGGTGGTGAGACGTAGAATATCACATAGCAGGGGCTCTTGAGAGCTACATACCGCTTCTCTTTGAGAAAAACGTCAAGGGCGCACTGCAAGGTAATAAAGCCTTTCACATAAACATTGATGGATTGGACTATATCTTGCACGTGCTTGACCATCCAGCCGGCGGAGTCTACCGTGTTGCTGTGAGGCGCAAGTGGTGGGTGGCAATACCGATTGTACACCGTCGTCGTCACAGTAAGGAGTCAGCAGCCACATGGATGAGTCGACGAGGTCGAGAGATAATGGCGTGGCAAGGCGAGACTCACACACATGCACGCCAGGAACAGAGCGAAGGCCTTGACGAAAAAAATCTAGTCAAGTTCTGAGCTTTCTATTTCCCGTCTAAAACAAAACACCAAAAAGGAGGAATCTACCTTGGGCAAAATAAAGTAACGAAAAAAGGGTGTTTGCAAAAAAAAGAAATGGGGAACCGGCGGGCGGAAGACAAGAGCGTGTCTCAACCACAGTTTCTTCCCCCTTTTCCGCCCCCCAAAAACGGCCCCGTCAAAGATACGTAACTTTGCAACCCCCCTTTCCCCGCCTACTTCTACCTGGCCCAATAAATAAGGTAGTACCAAAAAAGCAATCCCGCGACGCCAGCCCTCTCCTACCACGAGTGGGAAGAACCACTGTGGTAGGAATCAAAGTCCAAAAAAAGGGGAGAGAAGAAGTGGGTGGCAGTGGTAGATCTTTCCATTACCGAAGGGGGGTGCCCCATGCCGGGTGTGTGGTTATCTTGAGAGTGACGATAGGGTTCGCTCAGATAGGACCGCCCATTTGCCTTCGTTTTTGTTCATTGTTCCCCCCCTCCTCTGTTTTCCCTCCCTCCACGCATCGCTACGTGTGCATGTCACAGGCCCGTAGCCGACATGGCGAGGAGCGCGGAGAGAGCGACGTTAGTGTGTGAAGTCGGCCAGCCAGGGCCTGGCTTAGGCGCGCCCCTGGGAGCCTTTCCCGGCCGGCGCCGAGGCGCTCGAACCTCCGGCTGCCTTCTTCGCGTCGGCTAGATCGGGGCGGCGCGGGTTAGCTTTTTTGCTCATAGATTCTTGTCGGGTCTCGTTCCTGAGAAGATGGGAAAAGAGACAGGGCAGAGAGAGAGAGGCTTACCGGCAGCCTGTTTTTGGCGCATCTTTTCTGCGGCCTCCTCCTTGGACTTGGCCAGCGCAGATCCGCTGAGGCTGTTGCCCTTTTTCTGTTTTGCGCGTGTCAGTTGGGTGCCCTTTTTTGGCTGGCTTACTGCAGTTGTGTCTCGGTGTCTGTGGTTGGAAACACTCTGCGCCGCTCAGCTTCACCGCCAACTCCCCCTCTCCCAATCTAACACCATCCTCGGGCACGCGCGCTCTTCCTCGGCCAAAGGCGATGTAGAGAGATGATCGAGGGAATCCGGCCGGGAGATGGGCGACTTCGGCGCGGTAATGACTTACCATAGTAGCAAGCTTCTTGAGGTTCGCCTCGCGGGCCTTGTCGCGTTGATTGCCGCGCGCCATTTTGGTGAGATTTTAATTTTGATTTTCGTCGTTGAGGGAGAATGTTCGATCGCGTGATTGGTTGGGAAGAGGGGAAAAAGCCAGAGACGCAGAAGACGCAAGCGTAGGTTGTTTTGCGACGCAGTGTTGTGGTTCACCCCTTGGCAGGACTTTGTCGGTAGGATTGCTTTGGGCATAAGCGAAGCGAAAGAGAAAGAAAGAGGGGGATTTGGCGACGGTTCGTGCTGCTTGTCAGCCGAAGTGGAAGTTTCCGCACCAGAGAGAGGGCTGCCTCAATTGAGGCTGTGCCACCCACACAAACAGAGCCAGCCATTCCAGGGAGGGTGGGGCGGGGCCAACGGGGACTTCCTTTTTTTTGCTGCTGGCGCTTCTTGATTGCGGGGAAGAAGACCATTCCGAGGCGTGGCCCCTCGGCCAATCAACCTGTTCAGCTGAGACAGACTCTGGTTGGGACGAAGTCGGGGTTCCAGCGTCTAATCCGGAACCACCTGGACTTGATTTAGAAGGGACGCCCTATCCGCGCGTTTGCGTTAATATTTCCAGGAAATTGAGTGGGCTCACTACTCTATCAGTGAAAGTAGGCACAGTAGAGAAGCGCTCCTTGAAATAGAAGCATCATCACTACTGGCCCGCCTCGCAAAGTTGGCGTGGCTTGTTGCCCGGTTGTAGTTATACAGTGTAGAGGCCCAAGACCGTCTTTGATGCCCTTTTGTTCTTAGTCTTTCCCTGGCTGGGACTTGTCACAAACATGGCAATGCACCCAGAAAGTCCCAGACAATTCCAGTCGCCACAGACCAATGTCCGGGTTTGGAAATGTTCTAGAGACTCATGCTGTTTTAGCCGCATGAAGTCCCACGCACTTGCACATCCCCTTCGGTTACATGACGGGAAGCATCAGGCATGAGGTGGATCGCCCTTCAACCTTTGATTTTCAAGGGACTGGAAATCGGAAGCGTCAACACTAGCGCCCGTTGCCCCACGACCAGGGACTCAACGTTGACGTCTAATTCGGTAAAAGGAACAGGGCGTCCAGCTGGGATGGGCAGTTTGGGCGGAATTCGCCACTACAGTCCAGACCCTAAATGTTTGTTGGCGTGGTATGGAGTCGAGATAGAACTCTAAGGTTCCAAAAAGGGATTCCAATAGCTTTTACGTCCCTCGGCGAAAGACCTTGACGGCGAGCCGTAAGATATTATGGCCTTTCAAATCTTAGAAAGTTCCCCGCTAATAAACATTCGGGGATTGTTCACCGTAAGCTTTCAAGAGCTAAGGTAATTTTTAATCAGACGCCCACCGCCCAACACACCTCGGGCGGTCTTATTTCCTACACAAGAGCTGACAACCGTGTTCAATTAAGGGTTCCCTCAGGAACCCTAGATAAATCCTCGGCCACCATTTTCTACATCTTCTCAAGTACTCTTCTAGTTTTCGAGGAGCCTAGCACTTGATACCCGACCGCTATGGAACCACCGACAGCACCGCCAATGACAGCACCGTCAAACATGCCACCTCATACAGGGCTCCTTGGAGACGAGACTATTGCTCTCCGACATTTATTCGGATATTGCGACAATACTCCGATATCCGAATTCATGGGCAAAAAAATTCGAAAGACAAAAATGAGAGACGTAAGACTCTTTAGTATCGATATCGACGCTCTCTAAGAACAAGGATAAGTTATCTAGCAATTTCACATTGGAATATCCCTTCTCGATACTCGAACTTTACAATCCTTGCCCCCTAAACCGAGGGGCGCAAAGCAGGAAACTCGGGTAATTGAGTCTCATCATTTTGTTGTTGGAAGCTCGAAATTTGCTCGGAGAAAGTCTAATAAATTTTTATTTTTGGAATTGAAACAATTTCTCTAGCGACTCTCCGAGTAAAATTAGAGGCGATGACTTTACACCGAGATGTTATTCTTATTTGTCATGGGAGTGCCCGGGAGCTTACGGTCCTTCAACGACGCCGTCTCGATCTTCATCCGCGCTACATAATAGATACGGCCAAGGCTGCACAACATCCACTCCAACTATCTTACAGATGTAGTCTGGAGAGCCTACTCGAAAGGCTCGATATTTCGTTTAGAAACCTCCAAGCCGCCGTGAACGATGTTAATTTCGTACTCCGAGCTCTACTGATGCTTGCAGTCAGAGATGCGGAACGCCAGTTGGATGCTTCTGTCCTTCCATATTGGCTGCTGACATTTAAAGCATCACCCGCGCTCCATTGCCACCTGCAAAAGCGGAACACCCGCCGCCACTCCCCGCTGCTGAGGCAACTTCCTCCCACTAGTTAACTGCCTCTAAAAATGGGATGTGCCGGTTGACCCCTTTGTTGCGGCTTGTTGGCAGCTTGCTTGTGTTGCACATCCGATTTTTGGAGGCACTGCTGTCGAAGGTATGGTGGAGACGGACGATCCATGGGTTGCACAGCCAGAGATTGGAGCTTGCGAGTTCGCGAGGCTAAAATGCATCTGAAACAGGCTTGGCTCGCTGCAAGCCAATCGACACGTGCAGCAGTCCCGGACATGAAGACGGCTATGTCCCGTGCGCCTCAACCCCAACTTGGTCCCAAGCATCCATGGGCCATTCCCGCGTCGACTGGCGCGGTCGCCCGCAGTCCACACGCTGTTCTGGGCTCGATGCGGCGGCCCCGGAGCCATTGGACGATAGCGATCTACAACTGCCCGTTATGCGCTGGCAGCCCTTTCCTCTTTCCCTCTGGGGCACGCCTCGGATCGTGGGGTTCTGGAATCTGGATCGCCTGTGGAGCTCCACCCTGACCCTAACTCTGACCCTAGCCCAGGTTCTCGTCTCTCGGCCACCAAACCACGGCCTTGCTCCGTGAGGTTTGTACGGAGCATGAAAGTTGGGCCACAAACTGCACCTGGAGAAGCGCTTCCGCTGGACTTCCATTTTGAGTTTGGCCGCCTTGACACGCCCGCTGCGCTGCGCGTCCCCTCGCCCGGCTCAAGTCGATGGTGAGGTGCAGGTGCCTGTGGTGAAACAGGCATGCTCTGAATCTATCTTCGTCGGCGTGAGACCACCCTCAGCGCCTACGGCTTCATTGGCCAGAGGAGCATAGAAACATTTTGCCCAATGCGAAACACTCAAGAGAAAGACCTGCGAACCAGTCCTGTCCCCTAGCCCCTGCCCCAGACTGGACTGTCCAGACCGTCCATACTCGTGGTGTGCTGTGCTTGCGGCTCCGGTATTGTTCCTCCATAGTGAGCTTGAAGTGAACAGTCCTCGCCTCGCATTGTTTAAATGTCACCGTCGCCACCCCGTTCTGGTTGTCGTTTCTTTATCCATCGGGTCTCTATTGTGCGACTAGACAAAAACGTGCTGTTTCCTTCTCTATTGTTCCTATTGTTCTATTTCACAGCCGGCCTGACCCACATCCTCTCCGTGAACTTCCTCCTCACGCCTAATTACCTCTCTTTCCATCTCCTTGCATCAAACCTTCTCTTTTTCATTAAAACATCTGCGAGCCAGATTCGTAGACTGCGACAGTCAAAACTCAGTACCTGCAGGCAGTACACTAACCGTATAGACATCCACCTCTACTTGTACGTCGTCACCCCATTCATTCATCCCATCGCTTTTGCCATCGCTAACCACCAAACAGTCTCCTATTCTCATTCTTTTAGGTATCTCGACAGGAGCAACACCAAAATGTTCAACCTCGGCGAGAACTCCAAGGTCCGGGGCTCCGGCCACCTGATCCTCAACGCCATCCGAGCCTTGACCATTGTCACGCTGGGCACTGTCATGGTGGCCAGCTGGGCTATGATTGTGCTCTCGGGCATCACAGCACACTTCGATTTCTTCGACATGATATCTCATTTCTTCATCTTCGTCATCTGCATCTTTCTTGTCATCTCAGAGCTGGGTCTCTTCAAGCGCTTCTTTGAGAAGAACTGGCCGGTGCTCAGCCCATCCCACTCTCTGATGTGGCTTGGCCTGGCCATCTTGATCATCGGCTGCCAGCTGCTAGCCGATCTCACCAAGCCCGCCTACACTCTAGGCAACCTCGGCCTGTCCATGTACCGCCTCGTGCTCGCTTCGGGCATCCTCTGCCTCATCTTCGGCATCTCCAACATTCTCGTCTCCATCATCTTCCGCGATGGAACACGCGACATCACTGCCCGCCAGATCCGGAGCCACGGCAACCTTGCAGGCCTTGAGGCAAACAGCAAGGAGTACTACGACAACATGTCGCACCAAGACAGCTACTCTCAGCGCAGCAACAGCCACTCGTACCGCCAGGCGGAGGAGCAACCCTCGGCCATGAGGCGCATGACCCAGGTGTTCAATGTCAAGAATTTCCGCAAATCCAAGATTGCCATCAGCAAGCCCTTTATCTCGGAGGCCCAGGCGGCCGACATTGAGCGCAACAACAGTCCACTCGCGAGCCGCACGAGCCCCATCGTCCCGGCAGTCCAGCGGCCTCCAACCGCATTGCATCCGGCTTTCACCGGGGGCAGCCACTACAGCACGGCGCACATGGACCGATTCTGAGTCCAGAACAATTCTATTTATTCTTCATAGACAAGCCCCGGATCACTTACATTTACGGTGTTGTAAAATACCTAGGCAGGCTGGTTACAAATGGCGGCGGGGGGCATTCCAGGCGTTTGTTTGGCGGGAATTTGCATTTTCATAATACCCTGGTATTACTTTACTTTGGGTCTACTGCTCAGCAGAGCGCTGCTTGGTGCCTTGGCTACCTGAGGTTGGGTATGGTATGCGGTTGCTATAGTCTGCCATCGTGTGTATAAATAATTAATTATCATAACAACTGGTCTACCGCACTAGCAGTAAATGACGTGACGAACTTTTTCAATAAAAGAAAACCTCACCGCGAGTATCAATATATTTATAAATATTTCGTTTCAAGTCTTGTGATTCGACCGCTGTAGAGTTTGGGAATGAGTCAAATAATGCTGGTAATAATGCGAAGTCAGGTGTAACTGAAGCGGTCGAGTTGCATTACTGTGTGTACGGATTACGGCGCTAACGTGCATAGACTCAAGTCACCCAATAGTCCGTGCGTCGCTTACTAAGGATTGGGTTCTTTATTCTTCAAGCTGGTCGGCACCCACTTGGTCTCACAAAGCAAACTGCTCCTCAACCCAAATCCTGACCTGACCCAGAACTACTTTTTTCTAACCTGTAATCCGCACAAACGACGACCGGCCAGCACGACGGCCACCTCGACAAAGCTTTCCTGCTCCCGTACATAGTGAATTTTGCAGCTGGCCATCTTGGTGTGTCCAACAGCACAGCGCCTTTCTGGACCGTCGCTCGCATTCCATTCCCCGCTCGTTGCTTTCTTTCTCTCCCGAAATCGCAATCGCATTCGCAATCAATCACGGCCACATCCAACCTAACACAGGCCAAAGCTGCCACGTCTTCTTTCTCGCCTGCTTGAGAGTCTGTCCCGCCATTTCCTGTTGGGCCGCCATCTGTGCCAATTGAGACTGCGCGTGAATTAACACATCGCTTCGCTGTGTATGGTGCGCACGTCGTGAACTTCTTGGACTGTTGTGCTGCGTCCAGAGAGGCCAGGCAGGGGCTGGCTGTGGGGAGATTGGAGGGCGTTGCAGACTGCAAACGTGCCACGGCGGCTGGTGTTGAGCGAGAACCGAGAGCGCGCTTTTGACTGCTCCTGTGACGGAATAGAAGAGGCGCGTGGCTAGGAGAGGAAACATCTCCCTCCCAGCATTGGGATATTTTAGAACAGACCCTTCTCTCTCTGCCACTGCCTCGCTCGCTCGCTCTCTAGCAGCGCTTTATGCAAACAAACAGCCGAGGCCCTGGATGTCTCTGGATTGATCTCATCTCGCCAAGCTCCCTAATAAAAGCATCACCCGCCGTTACTATCACCGGCCAGACCCAGGCGACAGCCATAGCTTGAAAATGGCGGATAACGCTGCCGACGTGGCAGAAGACTACCGGCAGGCCCTGGAGGACTTGACCATAAACTCGCGCATCGAGATCTCAACTCTGGCCAACATTGCCCGGGAAAACGCTAATCACGGCCTGGCAATCACAGAGGTGTTGCAGAACCACATAAAGAAGGTATGCCACACTGTGCCTTGGTTTTGCAAGACCGGAGGCTCAAAGACGCGAACTCGTGATAATATAGACGGCTTCGGGGCCAGCGTGGAAGCTGAGCTGAGGGCGCGGTTACTCCTCACAGCATCCTGGATTGTGTCCCCTTCTCGAGCCCTCAAGACAAGTGCTAACCAGTCACAAGGTGCCTCCCGGGCGGACATTACCGGCACTCTACGTCCTTGACTCGGTCGTGAAGAATGCGCCGACGCCGTACGCGCTCTACTTCGGCCCCAAGCTATACAGCGTCTTTATGGGCGCCTACACCAAAGTCGACAACATGACGCGGCGGAAGATGGAAGAGATGCTCAGGACGTGGAAGGAGCCCGTTCCCGGGTCTATCTCGTCAAGACCCGTGTTCCCGCCCGAGCATGTCCAGCCCATCGAAAACGCCCTCGTCGCTGCCCACAACGCGGCATTGGCGGCCCAGCAGAACAACTACCAGGGGACGCAGCAGTTGCTCCGCTCAGCGCGGCCTTCTGCCCCGAACCGTGACACGCCGACGCCGCCCATGGCTAGGGCGCCCTCGCACCACCAAGCTGGACCGCACGGCCATCAGCCCTTCCCCGGGCCGAACGGGCAACCACAATACCACAACGACCTCGCCATGGCCCAACAGCCTTATCCCGTGTTACCCCTCAGCGTACGTTGTGCCCTTGCCGCCCGCCCTCTGTGTCCTTCCTGCTGCTAACATCGTGACCGCCATCTAGGCCAATGTGATACCGACTCGCGCGCCACCACAGGCGCCTCCACCAGCTGGGCCCTTCTACGGCCACCAGCAGCCAGCCGGGCGAGACGTCTATGGCGCTCCGCAGCCGGGGATAAGCATAGACAAGTTGAAAGATGATATCCAGCATCTGATCGTTGCGGCGAAGGCGGAGTTTGCGCAAGACCCACTTGATACTAGTAAACAGACAAGGCTGAAGGCGTTGCTGGACTTGCAGACGTTAATCCAGAGACAAGACATGCCTCAGGATCAGTTGATGGTTGTTAAAGACAAAGTTGCTGAACTTGCTGTAAACATGCGGGCGCCCAGCGCTGCGCCCCTGTCGATGCCGATGCCTTATGCATACGCTGCAACGCCTCCGGTTGTTGTATCGCAGCAGCCGACCCCTGTGCCTCCAGTAGCAGTAGCACGTCCTCCTCCGCCCGCGGCTGCACCCCCGAGCGCTGTGTCGTTTGACGGTCTGTTCGGGCAGGGAGCTCTAGCTACGTTGCTCGGCGGGTTACAGAAGCCGGCCACTCCTCAAACACCAGTACTGCACCGTCCGCCTCCTCTTGCTGTTGCTGCTGCTTCCCCTGCCCTGGCCACCCTGACGTCTGCTGCTGTCCGGGCCACGCCCCCCCTCCGCAGAGATCTGTCGATCCAGCCGCACAGCCTGCTGTCTCGTCGCTCTCGGCAAATCCGTCTGCCTTGCTGGCGATGCTGAGACAGTCGGGCCTTCTTGCAGCCGGAGCCCCGGCCGCCGGCGCTGCTCCGGCACCGCCGCAGCCTGCGTCTTCCGCGGCAGTCGGCAACATATCCAGCTTGCTCTCGCAGGCGAGGCCTTTTGCAGCGGCACCGGCCCCCTCCGGCCACGGCAGCGAGCAGCTCCAGGCCGCCTCCCTCAAACAGTGAGTTCGCAAGCAGCAACATACAATAACCAGTTTTCAGTACAGTTACAGTGGCTGACCAACCGTCTGCTAGATTCCGCCCGCAACTCATTGCGCAGTTCCACGACGATCTCGGCCCCCCGTGCACGCAGTGCGGCCGCCGCTTCTGCGCCGACGAGCAGGGGCGTCGCAAGAAGACGGCGCACATGGACTGGCACTTCCGCGTACACCAGCGCATCGCCGAGGCCGAGAAGCGCGGCCAGCACCGCAGCTGGTACGTCGACGAGATGGTAAGTCACCCCCCCTTTTTTTTCCCCTGCCCCCTTTCCTACCTTGGGTATCTAACGAAACGTCCCAGGACTGGATCAAATCCCGCGAGGCCATCGACGTGGACTACGTGGCGCCAGACCTCGGGGGCAGCAGCAGCAACAGCGGCGACGGCGACGACGGCAACCAGGCGGGCGGTGACTACTACTACGCCGTTGGCGGCAGCGGCGGGCGAGCGGACTCGTCGTCGGCGCGGCAGCCGGTCGGCGCCAAGACCAGCAACAAGAACAGCAAGAAGATCCATTACATCGCGGTGCCCGACGACCCGGGCGTCAACACGACGTGCCCCATCTGCCAGGAGCGCTTCGAGATGAAGTGGCTCGACGAGGCCCAGGAGTGGGTGTGGATGGACGCCGTGTGGGTGCCCGCCTCTTCTGGTGCTTCCTCGGCTGGTGCCCACCCCGAGCAGCGCCGCGTCTACCACGCCACCTGCCACCGCGAGGTCGGCGGCGGCAGCGCGCCGCAGCAGGCGCACCACTTTGCCAGGGCCACGCCCGAGCTCGTGCTGGGCAAGCGCAAGGCCGAGGCATGTTTTTTCTCTCTTTCCCCTTTCTTCCTTCCCCTCTGCAAAAGCCAAGCCGGCGGTTCCAAACATCCCTTTCATATATATGTGTGGCTGAGTATTTGGCTAATTTCTTGAACTACAGGACGAGTTCAACTCTCTCCGCGGCGGCAAGCTCAAGATGGAGGGATACTGAATTCTCCCGTAATGCGGGGCAATATATCAAAAAACGAACGACACAACAACTAAAACAAAAGTTTTTCTTTTGCAACAAAGAGACAAAAGTAACTTGATGCTCTTCTTCTGTCTCTGATGAGGAAAATGGGGGGTAGGGCGGGGGTCGGTGGCTTTTTAAGATTCATTCATTGCTTGGACTGGGGGCACGGCAACGGCACGTCAACGGCACACATCTCATCTTGCATTGTTACGGCTCATCTTGCATTGTTACGGCTCATCTTGTATTGTTGCGGCTCATCTTGCATTGTTGCGGCGCATCATGGCTACGGTACCCAGCCGGTCATTCAGTCGGTCAGTCGGTCAGCTGGGAGGAAGGGAGGGAGGGGTTATGTGGTGGTGGTGACTGGCTGGACTGGCGGCGGCGGCGGCGGCGGCGGCGGTTCCCCTTGCGAGTTCTTCTTCCTGCTGGGTGGGGGTTGACGGCACTTGTTCCTATTCCTATTCCTGCTTCTGCAAATCAAATCATATGGTGCTGCTAGAGAGCAGGCAGGGCAAGGGCAAAAGAAAAGGAAAAGAGAGAAGAGCGGTAGCTGTGCACATACATATTACTAGAAGCCTTACTTACCTAGATAACTTAGGTAGCTTACCTTGGTTCACTTAGCGAGTTCTACCTCTGTTCTATAAGAAAACTCAGCTAGAAGTAAAATATAAGACAAATAATCTAACTCGAACCGTGTATATACGTTGATTACGAAGTGCCTAGTAGTTATGTGTTGTTGATCCTGCGTCGTATTCCGTATTCCGTATTCATTAGCAAATCCCACCATACCATACCCATACCCGTACTCCGTCCGTAGGGCGAGGGCCTACGGTGGTCCCTTTTCAGCCCAAATCCAACGCCCAAGAAAAGGAGAGAAAAAAAAGAAGAAAAAACGAACCAGCCAGTGTGCCGAGTTGCGTGACGAAGCAAGGAAGTACGCGAATCTCGAAATAGAGAAGGAAAAAAACGAACTGCCTTCTTTTCAACCCCCTTCCCTCCTACGACTGTCAACATCAACACCCCCACCGCCTAACTAGCCTACTCACTCCATGCCGATAAGCTGCTTGAAGATGGCGAAGCTGCGGGCCCACACATCAGCACCAGCAGGCTCGGCGCGCCACTCGGCGACGGCGCGCAGGCCGGCGAGGTCGTCGCGCATGTGGTCGGGGTTGGTGGTGCCGTTGAGCACGACGATGCCGACAGCCTGCAGCAGGGCGTACCAGGCGGTGGCCAGCGGCACGGCGGCGGCGTCGGCGACGTGGCGCACGAACGGCGCCGTCTTCCACTCGGCGCGATTGCCCGTCAGCGTCCAGAACCCCTGGTACGCGACGCCGCGCGCCGCGCACCACTGCCGCACGTCGGCGTCCCACGCGCGCTCGGCCCGCCGGAACCGGTTCTGCACGACCGATGGTGGATAGGGGGAGCTGCTGCTGGCGAGGACCTCGAGCACCGGCAGCGTCACGTTGCTGATGCCCACAGCGCGGATCCCGCCCGCGGGCACCAGCTCCGCCAGCGCCGCCCAGGCCGCCAGCGTGTCCTCGTCGTCCGCGTACGGCGAGTGCATGACCAGACAATCTAGGTAGTCGCTGCTGCTGTCGCCGTCGCCGGCGGTGGACAGGTTCCGGAGCGAGGAGGCTACCGAGGCGCGCACCTGCGAGGCAATTGTGGGATACTGCTCGCGGTCGGCGTAGGCATCGTCGCCGGGGGTGAATTTTGTTTGGATCTAGGAGACGGCATTAGCAGGCAGACGAACAAATATATATATATTTAAATAGATATAGATTACGTATAAGTCGGCGCGCGTCACGAGGCCGTCGGCGATGGCGCGCCGGATGCCGTCGCCCGTCAGGGCCTCGTCGTAGTGGCGCTTCATGGCAGCCGTGTCGATGCCGCGGAAGCCGGCGCGGATAGCCTCGTGGACCAGGTCGGCCGTCTGCTCCTTTTTCCACGCCGTCCCGTACATCATGGCCGGCATGTCGGCGCCGGCAGCAGCAGAAGCGGTACCGCCGCTGGTCATTTTAGTCCGTCTGCGAACAGGCGGTGGTGGGGTGGACGATGTGAATGAGAGCGGGCGGACTTGGCGTGTTACTGATGTGATTATGGCTCGACGGCAGCTCGGGTTGACCAGAGCCAGCGGCAGCCTTGCAGAGCCGAGCAGTGCTTGAGCTCGGGATAGCTTGAGCAGCGGCATGCAGCAGCAGTTCATGGGGCTGAACAGAGTGGGGATGGCCCGTCAGTTAGTCCCGTCGATGGTTGCACAGCAGGAACCTCCACTGATAGAAGGCGTGTGACTGTATCCAATGGACTGAGGTGTCTGGTGGCAGGGACGGAAGAAACTCCACCAATCGTTGCGGTACAGCTCTGTCCTGCTCAGTCTTGTGCTGCGTAAAGGCAAGCACGATAAGGCCCCCTAGGTACTTACCTACGTATGGAGTCGAACTGCTATCGGCAGGGGCGGCTCGAGATCCGATGACGCAATGGACAGAGCTCCCCTCCCAATATCCCAAGATGGAAGAAGCTGTCCACCACGCTCGGCCACTAGCATAGCACGCATGTCAAGCCAAGGCAAATCAACGTACAGCAGGGCCTGCCATCTGTTAGTTTAAATCTTTGTGGAGCGTCAACGGCTTTGAGCTGCCGCCGTTTTGGGCCTGTTTCGGCGATTTACCCGCAAGACCGGCCCTTGTGCCCCGCCATTCACGACTACTAGCATAACTAATCCGCGATAACCCCACGATTTCCATCGAGAGGGGAAAGAAAGGGGGGAGAGGGGAATTGGAGCCAACGAGGTCGGCGCAAGCCCATTTAGACCAGACACACACACTCTCTCATACGTTCATACTGCCAATTGCAACAGCCTCGATTCTTTCAATACGGCATCTAAACTGATCCAAGCAAAAAGCACACGTCGGCACAACCATGGCGTCCTCATCCTCGACACCCCTTTTTACGGTGAGATGGGGCATCATGGCCACGGGGTGGATTGCCGAGAGTGAGCCACTGCCTTTCTTTTTTTTCGTTTCGACTAGACTTAGCAGGTCTCGCTCACACCCCCAGCCTTCACCAAGGACCTCCTCACCAACCCCGCCTCGCGCGGCGTTGACGACGTGCGGCACGAGCTCATCGCGGCCGCGTCGTCCAGCTCCAAGCAGACGGCCGACGGCTTTCTGGCAAAGGTCAAGGCTCCGAGCTCGGCCAAGGCCTACGGCTCGTACCACGAGCTGGTCGCCGACCCCGACATCGACATCGTCTACGTCGCCACCCCCCACAGCCACCACTTCCAGAACGCCATGCTCGCCCTCGACGCCGGCAAGAACGTGCTCTGCGAGAAGTCGCTGACCGTCACCGCCGCCCAGACCCACAAGCTCGTCGCCACCGCCCGCGCTAAGAACCTCTTCTTCATGGAGGCCGTCTGGACCCGCTACTTCCCCCTGAGCATCCAGGTCCGCAAGCTGATCCAGGACGGCGCCATCGGCACAGTCTACCGAGCCATTGGTGAGTGCACCCACACCCCTTGATTCTGGGTATTTTTGCTGAAATTTGTCATCTACTCGAGCCGACTTGTCCCTCGGCAATGACATCGGGGACGGTAACTTGAGCTTTGCCGACTCCCACCGCATGGTCAACCCCGACCTGGCCGGTGGCGCCCTCCTGGATCTCGGCATCTACTCGCTCACGTGGGTCTTCCAGGCGCTGTACCACGTGCAGCCCGAGGAGGAGAAGGAGGCGCCGGACGTGCTGGCGGCCGTGACCAAGTACCACACGGGCGCCGACGAGTCGACGAGCATCATCCTGCAGTTCCCCAAGCACAAGACCACGGGCATCGCGCTGACGTCGCTGCGCATCGCCACCGACGTCGACGGCCACAACACGGCCGGCCCGGCCATCCGCATCCAGGGCTCGGCCGGCGAGATCCAGGTCATGGGCCCCGCCTACCGCCCACTGCAGTACAGGGTCGTGACGAAGAGCGGCGGCGGTAAGGTCGACGTCGTCGACTGCCCCATCCCGCGCGACGACGCCCGCGACTGGGGCCACGGCATGTTCTGGGAGGCCGACGAGGCCGCCCGCTGCCTGCACGACGGCAAGCGCGAGAGCGCCTCGCTGCCCTGGAGCGAGAGCATCGCCATCATGGAGGTCATGGACGAGGCGCTGAAGCAAGGCGGCGTGACGTACTCAGACCTGATCACGACCGACATCTACGACCCGCAGAGCCCCTTAAATACCGGTAAGCGGTGAACAGGGAACGGGGCTAATCTTGGCTGTGTCGTTGAGTGTCGATTACATTTGATGGAAATATATGATAGAAATGTCTAATGGAAACTATTCAGTGGCTTCGCCCATTTTAATCACAGTAACCAGCTAACCCCTTTATTTTAATTTAAACACGCCCTCCCGCTATTGGAATGTTCATACCTCGACGATTGACCAAGGTAAGTAAATAGGTCCCCAGATGAACCTCCTGTAATGCATGCACGCGCGCAGATAAGCAGGACTGGAAATAGGAGAACGAGTTCAGCTAGCCCGTCCGAGGTGGAGAGAGAACCTGCCTAGGTACCCATCTGCCACATTTCTGGCCTAAACACCAGGTTCTCTCTCTTCCCTCCAGGACCTTGACCTAGCCTAGAGCCCACCATCGTCAGCACCGCCACCACCACCGCCGACACTATATTTCCACGGCGAAGACCGCGTCCGCCGCTGGTGCTGCTGATGTTGGTCATGCAGCAGCTGCTGCGTCTGCAGCTGCTGCTGTAACCCTCCTCCATCCCCGCCACTGCTCGCAATCCCAATCCCAGGTCCAGGTCCAGGTCCAGGTCCAGGTCCAGGTCCAGGTCCAGGTCCAGGCCCAGGTCCAGGTCCAGGCCCAGGTCCCGACCCGGCGCCGATCACGATGCTGTTCCCAAGACGCATGCCACCCGCCCCGCCCGCACCGTCGCCGCGGCTCAGGCTCGAACCGTAGTCCACGTGCACTAGCACCTCGGACACCAGCGGCAACGCCACTGGCGGCGGTGCGCGCGGGAGGTGTGTTTCGGTGTCGTCATTGTCATCACTGTCGCTGCTTTCGCTTTTGTCTTTGTCGCGGTACTGGTGTTGGGTGCCCCCTGTGTGCATTACTGCTGCTGCTGCTGCTGCTGCTGTCTGCGAAGAAAACGGCAGCGTCCGTGAGCTGGACGGCGACGGCCCGGCGGCGGCGGCGATTCTGCCCGACTCGTCGTCGTCGTCGTCGTCGACCGACATGTCGCCCGGGTCGCCGATGATGGCCTCGGTGCTGCGGGCCGAGGCGAGCGTGGTCATGGCCAGGGCCTGCTTGGGAGGGGCGGTCATGGAGGTCCCTGCTGCTGTGGTAGTGGTGGTGGTGGTGGTGCTCCTGCTCCTGCCGTTGCTGGTAGTAGTGTTAATCCTTTGAGGGTTGTTGTTGAAGACGACGCTGTGCCACCGAGACGACAGCGTGCCCCCATCGCCAGCGAGTTCCTGCTGCTTGGCCTGCCTCGTCTTGCTACTGCGCAGGCCCCCGCCGCCGACGCTGCTTCGCCTGCTGGCGCCGCCTGCCAGCGCTAGTTCCTCGCCGGTGTGGCTCCGCGGCTGCGACAGTGACGTTGAGTCGTTGGATGTCGACGACGCCCCGTCCCGCGACGTGACCCATTGGATGACTACGGCGCTGAAGAGAACTGGAGGGGGCAAGGCTTGTAAGTATAACGCGCGCGCCCCCCTACGTGTGTGTTTAACGGTCGAAGGGGGTGCAACTCACTGTCGCTATTGCAACACATCAGACACACCCACCCCGGCTCGCCATCGAGGGCCATCAGAACAGACAAGTTGCTGTGCGCCTCACAGTGGTGGTCAGCCGAGAGGCGCACAAGAGGGAGAACGGAGAACACGCACGCGATGCTACTAGTAAGGGTGCAGATGGATCCGACAAAGGTCCTCATGGCCACCGTCTTCAGTCGTCGGCTGCCGCGCGTCTGCTGGAAGTTCCTGAACGAGTACAGTTCTGCACGGGCTGTCAGCGCGACGTCCTCGCTGGCAGACGGAAGGAAGGACGATGGGGGTTAGATAGGCAGCTTACTGGAGAGTGGGATGAGGAACAAGATGGTGAGGTAGACCTGCCGAGCCAGGTATCAGCATGCCGGATGTGCAAGCTACAACGACATTAGGCTCACGTTGACCAGGAGATCGAACGCGATCAGGGGTATCATGGCTAGCTTCTTCATGCCGATAATGCACTGGCCGTTTTCCACCCTCGTGATACGGCTGGTTAAGTGTCAGTGTGTTGGTTACTCTCCTGGGCCAAGCAAGAAGTGGCAACAGGAATACGAAACACCCTGACATACTATATGAAGTTGATGACGACCACGATGCAGTATACACCTAGTCTAGAGTCAGCCTGTAGTGCGCGGCGGGCAGCCAGCTAAAGCCCGACAGACAGTACGGGACTGACCGATCATGCCAAACGCGTTGAAGATGTAGAGTTTCGAGTGTAGCCGCGGCCTCTGGCTGCTCGAGCGGATGATGTGCTGGCGGTCCCCACGGCGTCAGTTGCATACCTCGCCGCACATCTCCCCGCCTTGGACTGTAAGGAGGCCTTACAACTTTCTCAACCAGGAAGAGGTAGATCAGCTGCGCGTTAGAAGATGCGCCGGTTAGCTATCACCACTCCTCGGTCCCCGGGTGATCCAGTCGGCGGGGAACAACAGAGCAAAATATGACACGCACGATCTGCAGGCCCGGCTTCGTCAGCATGACTCCCCCCTATTCCGGAATGACATGTGGCAACAGACACGCACCTTGGTCGTCACATAGCACGCGAGACAGAGCAGGATGGCCGACTCGCAGACGGAGATGGAGTGGTCGACGCCAAAGGCGAACTGGAGGATGGCCGTGGCGAAGACGAAGAGGAACGAGTCTGAGTAGATGGCGAAGACCACTGTGTATAAAGAATGCCGAGATTTCGTAAACAAATTCTCTCCCTACAAACACATCTCGAAAATCACAAGACGGAAGAGGGAGTATAACATACGCCACTGCACAAAGGGGAGTCTGGTCCAGGCCTTAACGGCCAGAAACCTCTGTGCTGTCGTCGCCGCGCCGCACACGAGCCCGCCGAGTTAGTTTTTTTCCGCCAAATCGTGTAGACAGAAAGGTGTTGAAGCCAGCTAAAACACGCTCACGCCTCACTCGGAAGGCAAGATGGCAAAGGGGAAGGGGACGGGTTCTCACTCAGGAAGGAAGAGATGATGACGAGCGAGATCATAACCAGGACGACGCTAACGACCATGCCAGACAGCGGCTCTTGGTACCGAACCTCTCCGTCCATGGCCTCGGCGGTTAGCTGGCGGCGGACAGGCAATAGATCCATGGTCTCTGCGGGCGCCCATCAAGAAGCAGAGGCAGAAGGGGGGGTGGGGGGGTGCTTGGATGGTCGACGCCGAGGTATAGCTGGGGAAGGGTTCAGGAGAGCGGCCAGATGCTGCTGTCATTCAAACAAGGTCAAGACGATAGAGAGGATAGAAGTCGACCATAGAGGCGCAGGGTAGCCCAGGTGGACTAAGATATTTTCTATATACTTAGGGAGGGTTGCATGCAGGCAGGTAGGAGAGGTGGGTTTGGTCGTTGAAAGAGTGCCGGCTGGCGGGGAGGTAGGTAGGTGGGAACAGCACCAGACTAGCCAAGAAGGCCCGCGTGGCAGAGACAGCGGGAGATGGGCAAATGGGGCACAAGAACGGCCCCGAGTCGATCGCCATAGATACGGTAGGTAGTTAAGGTAGTCTCTCGCCCGAGGGGCAGGAAAGAGAGGAGAAATAAAACATTGGAAGAGAACACGAGACGGACTGCTTCCAGACTACTGTAAGGGTCGTCCCTGCTTCGGGCAGCCACACATCCATGAAGGAGCAGCACAGCACCAACGGCTTCCATTTCCGTCGACGCTCGACCTGCTAGCAAGTCTTGAACGAGTCAAGGGAAAGCAGCGAGCGAAGGCGAGTGGATTTCTCGGCATGCCGGCGCGCCACTTGTCGCTGCCGTACGACCACACGCAGCTCCAGGCGGCGGTCAGTAGTTTTCTCGACGGCCCATTATTCGACGAACGGCGCCTTATAGTCCAGTTCAGCCGGGGCGAGACTGCACAACTAGAGGACTAAGACCGGCGAGCGATGGCAAAAACAAAAAGAGAGACGGTGGCGTTTGGCTAAAACGGCGCGCGGTCGAATCAGGGGAGCGGATTTCGAGACCACTCTACCCTCGTCTACGGCTGCAAGAGGCGAGCTAGTGCGGGCCACGGAGGAGGGCAGGCTCGAGGTTGGACGCACCAGCTTTTTGGCGTACATACTCAATGTGCCGAGCCAGTCGCAGGGCTCGCAAAAGCGCCTCTCACGAGAAGCAGGAAACCCCCTCTCGATACTCGGGGAGCTGAAGGCCAAGAACACGGTGCCCAGGGACAGGCCCGAGCTGCGAACCCGGACAATACGCAGCAACATGAATACGTAGTCTCTCCTTGGCCCAGAAGGCCAGGCCAGGGGGTTGCGAAAGGGTGCGGACTAATACCGGCCGTAGGTTGGTGAGGCTGTATGAATGATATCAAGACCGATCCGATCCGGGGCTGGGAAAGGGTAGGACAGCGATCTCAGCTGCTGGCAGCCCGTCGAATGGAGCTCGATCTTGCCGGATCCGCTCATGCCCTTGTTGGGACTAGTCGACTAGCCAGAGCCGTCGTGCAACCGACACGAGAGCAAGGTCGGAAGGCTGTACCACGTCTGGACTGGACTGGTCTAATAAACGCCCTACCGGGTTCCCCCTGCCCTGCCTATTTCCGGATCCAGCTTGGATCTGGATGTGCTACCAGGCATGATGCGGCCAGCCCAACTTCCCCACTGGGGCACGCCATTCTGGATACCGCAATAGCCAAATCCGACGTCCAAGAGGTGCCGCCGAGGCCGTTGAGATGAGCTGCCGTTTTATCTTGATTTCTCACGACGGAGCCGTCACGGGCGCCTGGCTGGAGTGGAGACTGGTTCAAGAGCGAACGAAGCTCACCCGTTGCGCCGGGAGAGGGAAGGTCGGGACGTTCGCAGGGGGGCACAGAGCCGATCCGATCCGTGTGCGTGTGCGTGTGTGTGTGTGTGTGTGTGTGTTTGAGCCGCATGCCGTAATGGATGTGAGCTGGGCCGCCTGTCACAACTCACCAGACACTAGTAGGTCCCGGCCTCCAGGGCGACTCGAAAGGCTAAAAAACCTCGGGCAGAAGTTCCGTTATGAATGTAGATAGTATTAGACACGTACAGCCCAGCTCGCCCAATTACCTTGCGTTCTGACACCCTCCACCATGTTCGGATGCAAGGGACATGCAAACAGGTGTATGGCTTGTGTTTGCCAAGCCGGTCACCAGAGAAGCGCCTCCATAGCGAGGGTGCCACCCAGCCCGGCCTTGGCCTTCGGAAGAACTGCTGCTGTAGCCCACGGTTCTTGCTTTGCGAGAGGCATTAGCATTAGCATTGGCATTAGCATTCGTCTTTGTACGCCCACAGATTATTACTCCGGGACAATACAATACTTGAGGCCCATGCAGACTAAGATCGATTGGCGCAGGGGGCCCGATACCTACCATACCTTGGGTATCTCGTATCAAGAGTGGAAGTAACACCAAGACAAACGAAAGAAAAACAATGGAACTTTTTTTTTTTTTTTTTTTTTTTAAAAAAAAAAAAAAAAAATTCACGCTTGTGTTTCCAACGAGAGGAAAAAAGTCAAATCAAAAGATCTTGTGCAATTGCACTTTCTATGTGTGGGGTGGTGGTGGGGAGTGAAAGAGGACTAACCGAAACTTTTTTCATTTTTGGCATCATTCCCCTTTCTGCTTGGACTGGACCAGGTTCTCGTCCCTACACAGGGCTCTCCCGTCTCCCGCCCCTCCCCCTCAACCCCTCCCCCCAAAATAAGCTGGGGTGTGCACGAGCCCGCCCCGGGGGGTCCTTCCGTGTGATCGACGGCAAGGATGAACGGCTTTCAGGGGAGGGTGCCCCACCCACGCACTAACAGAATGTCACAAAGCGAAAGCCCGCTCGAGAACAGAACGGAACAGAACAACGGCTCGTTCGAGTCGGAGTCGAATCCAGGAACCCGGAGCCGTGGCGGGCTATCAGGCGGCACAGGAGTCTTCCTCCTTTTTTTCTCTTTTACACCTATTCAACCACCGCCAAAGCATCCGTCTTCAGAGATATAATGACCTGACAGCCCCTGATTGGGGGTTTCGCCTCCCCCAAAACATTCCTCCAAGGGAAGGTCCACGATATCTCGTCTTGGGGCCCATCCCATTCGTGTCAGGTATAGAATCATCCATCTCAGAGGGCTATGTTACTCCTCGCCGTAAAGGAGGAGTTCTCTTTTTTTTTTTTTGCGGAAGGGGGGAATAGGTAGCTATTAGAATCCCTTTTATTGAACCCTAGAAGCTTACCATCTCTCCCCTGGTACCTATCAAAGGCTTTTCCTGGCTGGTTTATTATCTGCAATAATCTTCATTCTGCCCAAGCACGGATGCCACGCCAACAAATAGTCAGTGATGATACTCCGTAACCAAGACCAAACACAGCCAACAAACAGACCCACTCGGACCGCCAGACTTATTATATGCTAATTTTCATATGCACAGCTATCGTCTAAAATACTAGTTATGCTAGTCCGCTAAAGTAGGTACGTTATATAAAGGCGAAGCTGCCCTTGTCATAAAAGTTTGTTCCCGAGTCAGGCATCGTTTCGTATCATTCCACTTCAGTCAAGTCCTTCCGTCACATCTCAGCAAGTGAGCGAGTGCTCGAAACCCTGTTCTCAAAAAAGAACCACCTCCCAGAGCCGCCTTCTTTGGGCGTGATACTCCAGACCCAATCCGATATTGCCAGTTCGAGGTCTGAGTCTTAGTCCAGCCAGTCGACTTGCAAACAATAATACCAAAATTCAACACCGTGTAAATGCTCAACCGAGGTGCAAAGCCCGTTGCCCTCCCGTTTTCTTCTCTAAAACGCCAGTCTACCCATCCCATTTCTTCCTGCATGGTTAGTTGCCCGTTTTTCCGCGCTGTGGTCCCAAACAATCCTATCCAGTTCCCTCAAGAGCCGCAAAAATTCAAGTCCAGTTGCAAAAATGTCTCGAGCCCCGCCCCAAAAAGATTACCCGGCCTATATTCACCGTAGCATTACAACATCATTATCCTAGCAAATTAGAATCGGCGAGGCGAGACGAACAAAAATCGCGCACTCAGTCGTTATGATGACGTTTCCCTAGGCTGCGGGGCCTCGCCTGAACGCGTTGCGTTCGGAGACTGTGTCCGGGTGCGGATGCGGAATTTGTCTCGTAGCCGATCTGCTAGCCTTGCTCTGCGGCTTCGTTCATCGGCATCGCCGTCCCCCGGTGATTGTTGCTGCTCTGAGACAGCCGATGCTTGTTGCTGTTGTGACCGGTGTCGTCTGAGAATCTCGATGCGCTCCTCCACCGATGCATGCCGTAATCGGTGCAGATCGAGCAAGCGTGACGAGTGTAGATCGAGCAGTCGTGATCTTCTCCTCGGTGGGGTAGTGCTTCCCCCATTGCTACCAGCCTCGGGCTCGGCCAGATCTCCCGCAAGAGGGGGTGCCAACTGGCCCGAGTCCTCCATAGTGTCTGACGCATCCTGACCTTGTGGTCGGAGGTCGAGTCGGCTTTTAGGGGGCTGGGTTAGTTAAGTGGCCGGCAAAGTAGACACCAAAGCAATCACAACTTACCACAGGGGGCAAGTCCCAGACACATTGATCAACCATGGATCAATGCACGGCGGGTGGAACTTGTGATCGCACGGCAGGACCCTGACGTCCTCGCCCACGGTGAAGTCCTCGGTGCAGATGGAGCAGCCGAGATGCTCATCATCTTGGCTGTGATTCTCGTTTTGTATATGCTCGTCAATTTTCGTTGCGCTCAAGTCGGCGCTGGGGCTTGAGGCTGCTGTAACATTCAAGTGTGATTCCGTAACTGCAGCCAGAGCAGCCTCGTTTTGGCGCTTCTGCGGCGGTTGAGTCTCTTCCGGTATAGCCGATAACCTCGTCCCAGTTTCTGGGTCATGGGACGACCTAGACGGCTGATGTTCGAGCTCAAGAGCCGGATCCGCCTTGGCTGGGGTCGTGTCTCCAAACTTGACAATGGGCAGCGTCTCTAGCACGGCCCGCGCAATACCCTTGGCCCGACTCTGCCTCGGCCGCCCTCCGTAGCCAGACCGCGGACCGTATCGCTCCGGGTACCGATGCGCCCTGAGAGCGCCCGTCGCAATGATGATAAGAAACAACAGCGTGATGAGGCCCGTAATGCTGTAGAGTATACTCATGGCGACAGCAGAGTTGCTTCCGCTCTGTGCTTCAGGCTGCGCTGCGCTCGTGGTGTTGGCCGAGATGACGGCCAGGACAGTGCCGCTGGCCGTGTCCGTATAGTTCATGGTTTCAGAAGCCTCCTCGGAGAATGCCATGGTGAAAATGGACGTGTACGGCAGATCTGAGCCCTCGAGACCGCAGCAATTCCCCTCCTCGCTGTGCAGCACAATTGCGGCTGGCTGTTTGGCGGCTGGTAGATTGGGGTCCATGAAAAGGTTGAGGACATTGGTCGCGTTCGGCGGATCGCACGATAGATAGGCGATGTTGTCGGAGCTCCTCAGGCTGTCGTAGTTGCCCCAATCGGCCGAGATCATGTTTCCGTGTATCGCAATCGCCTACCGATATGTCAGCAAGGCAAACCTTTTGGCGTTGAGAGCGCCTCAACGGCACAAGCCAGCCATAGTGTCTCACGTTTAAGGTGACGTCGCTCCCATTCAGCCCCACGCTCTTGGTCATCGGATATATCGTGTAAGTGAGGGCCTGGGCTCCGCCCTCCTGGGCCGATAGTTCGAGGGTCATTTGGAAGTCGGCCTGCCACGCGGGGGCTTCGTCCATGGGGAAAATCCTCGCAGGGCCGGCATGGACGGGAGGCAGGACGGAGAGGGCGGCGGCGGCCAAAATCCACAGCAGCGAGGCCATCTTCCCAGCACCGGCGGCGGTCGACGTCGCGGCGTGCTAGATTGGAAGTGGTATGTTTGAGCGGCCTCAAACTGCGATTGGGTTGGATTCGAATCCAGTCGGTCCGAGGAGGAGAGGGTCGGCGGTTGTAAAGGAAGAAGGAGGGAAAAGGAAAATAGCCCGGAAGGCGTGGATGTTTGGCTGACAAGGGCCTCGCACCTCACGCCGGCCGGCAGAACATGACTCGGGCTTCTCTACCTTGGTTTCCTAGGCCCTTGATCGTCAAGACGGGCATGCTAAGACGGGGGGTGGAGCAATGGCAGGAAGCGCTGTCAGTGGTCTAGTGCTTGACGCCTCCCAGTCTCGACGCTCCCAAAGAGGCTTGGGCCCGGGTCAGTCGGAAACGGACTTGGCGGCCAAGGCGAGGGGGCTCAGTAGCCAGCTACCAAGCGACGCGGCGAGAGAGGCCTGCTGCGCTCAGGTATTCTGTTATCTACAGGCGTATTACCCTAGATCGTGGGCGGACCCTCGACCAAGCAATCTGATGATTTCTGATTGATGGGATTGGCTAGGCTTCGGAAGACCGGGATTTAAGACGATGCCGCCGCCGCAATGCGTATAGGGACGAATAGGTCAGATAGGGCTGTACGGGGCAGCGCAGAGCGAATACGTGTACGGCGATGCAGCGGGCATCGAGAGGTGTAACAAAGGCTGGCCTGTCAAGGTAAGGTAATCCCAACGAGGGAGTCGGAGGGCAATGGAACCAACCGTTGAGCTCCTGAGCAGGTATATTCGTACGCACAGTAGTAGCATGGAGGGCGTCGGTGGATCTGTGAGAGACGTTTTGGAACTGTTTTAGCGCCACTGTCTGCTTAAAGCACCCAGCACCCCAAGCACTCGCGGCTTCCCAGAGCAGCATCGCTCTGTGGAGTGCATCTCATGCGCCGGGGGTTTCCCAGCGATCATCGCACTTGCATTTTGGGCCTGGAGCGTCAATTGTCAAACCCTAAGCCCTGTCAAAGAGAAAGAAAAAACACCGGCACCTCGGAAGCCCGCAGTCAGAGTGCAGCGTCAGGTTGTATGGGGCATTGGGCAGGGGGCTTGATGGAGAACTTTGAGGCGTTTCGTTAGCAGCGCGCGAATCACACAGAACGCAGCCTCAAACCATTCGGTGCCTAGACTACGAGAACTATTGTATGCTAGCAGCTCTAGAGGCAAGCCATACGAGGACCGATATTACAATGCAACCAGCACCGCGGCAGGCCTCTAGCAGGTAGGAATGGATCAGGGACGAGTTATTTTTCAGGGAATCCGGATATTGGCCAAAAGGCAAGAAAGACTGGTGGTGTGGTCCATCTCTCTCTGCTTCCGTGCCGTTTTCCAGGTTCGCCATCACCGCAATGCTTGGCTAGAGTCTAGGCCCCTTCGCTAGACGCCTGCATTCACGGCATCGTGCATGTCGGCGACGGCAAGCTATCCGGCCTCTTGAAGCGATTGCCGACTAATTTTCGAACCCAGGAAACATTGTTTGGCGTCCACGACACGCATATCAGCGATGATTGCATTGATGTGGCTTGGTTGGGTTGTTCGGGATATTTTGCGGCTAGGCCTTGTTACGAAGTGCTAGGTCTCTAGTCCCTGACGATCAACTGGGCTGAGTCTCAGATTCCAAACACCCGTCGTCGTTTTGCTTACGGCACGACCATGAAATAGAAATGCTCAGACAGTCTCGAGAAGCCCTCCATACCGGCTGGACAGACCGCCGCCATGGCGATTCCTGTTCAGCCGCTCTTTGCAGAATGAACGTTCCATCCCATGAGCGATGGGATAGGCGTCTGCGCTCAATGCACCTTAGGTAGCGTCTGCAACACCTTCGGCCAACAAGGTTTTTGTTGACGTCAGCATTGGATCTTGGATCCGCTTGTTCGTCTGCTGTTGGGCACGCATCCTGCCTAAGGCAGGGAGGTAGCTGTGCAGTTATCTTTCCACTGCGGAACAACTGCCCTAAGTTTTGGGTAGCCCGCATGCAAATGTCAGGGGGTTGCGGTGCCCACGGACGGATTTCGCACAAGAAGAGTATCACAAGTCCATCCGAATCCTTGCAGTCAACGCTGCGGCTAAATGTCACCCTGCGTGTTCTGGCAGGTATTACTCCAACACGTGCGTCCTAACTCTCCGGCTGTCATGTTTTCATGGCTTGTTTGCTCCGTACAGTGGGGATGAATGTTGGAAACAACAGCATGCAAAGGTTATCTATCACTACGTAGGTTGTGATAGAAACATGAAGCCTGGTTCACCGACCTCCCTCTTCTAAGCTAAGAATAGCCCATAGAGATACTGACAAAGCGAAATAAAAATAGTAGGGGTTGCTTTTCTTCTCTTTTTGGTGTTTGTTTGTTGGCGGGTACTTGGTAAAGATGAGAAAGCTGCAAATAAACTAGCTAGTAGAGGGATGAGGCCTCAAGGATTACAGAATAGGGACGCAAGTAGATATTACAGGGAAAACCCTTTACGGCGAGCCGTAAGATTGATTCCGAGGCCCTTTAGATCTTGGAAAGTCCCTCGCTAACAAACATTCGGGGATTGTATTGTATATTCCGTCAAGTAATTGCATGGACCGATAAACCGCTGGGAAAGAATCTGGAGACGGCCAACAAGCTCAGCCCCTGTACTTCGCAGTCTGAAGCAGTTTGTACATATCTGATCCAGGACTATCTCACGAGCCGAACTCTTCTTCTCATGCCTAGGCAGGCGACCAAAGGCTAGCTCAGACTGTAATTGCAAATCAAGGAGTCAGCATCCGTTCGGCGGGTATGTCCGGACAGGCCTGACCATAGCTAGGACGTGTTCGATCCCCGTCATCTTGTAGAACTGACCATGACAAGTAGTGTGGTAGTTCGCATAGCGTTTGCGCTATCCTGTCGCCTGTTATCTGTTCGGGATCGGGATAGCCTCCAGTATCAAACTGCAATCCAACAAACCGGTTCGACACTTGGCCGTGTGGCAACGGTCATGGCAAGGCGACGGTGGAAAATATCCCAGCAGCTTTTGGGTTTTCATTGGTGGTGGATCGAGATTTGATGCTAGATCTCCTCCATGTCCTCTAAATCATCCATGACTGGCCAGTCGCCAACCTCTACTCGTTCTGGCCTGACAAAGACTCCCCGCTTGAGTTCGGAGGCTTCTCCCCAGTAACGAGTGCCTCCTATGCTTCCGTCATTTTTGCCCACAGGTTCGTCCAGGTCGACGCCAACCCACGAGCCAAGGCTGCCCGGGATCTCCTTGACTTCGCCCACATACTTGATTTCTCCTCTTCTAGTGTCGTTCGCGCCAACCCTGCATCGCTTGCCCACCGCAATACCGCGGGCTTTGATCTCCTGGGAAATCGCCTCGATCTTGGCCTGTTCATGGCTTGGGGCGTTGGGGTCAAAACGTCCCAACTTCTGCTCCTTCTTCCACGAGAGGACCGAGTCAGACTTCTTCTCATACTCTTCCTCGGGCATGACGTATTTCTCAACCCCAACGGCACTTGAGAAGTTTGGCTTCGCTGAAGCTGGGCGAGTATCCACGATCTGCCAGGTTTATTAGCCAGTTGCCTCTATTCTAGAGCAGGTCACTTCTAGTGCCTTCGCCAGCCCCAGACCCCGAGAAGAAAATGGATCAATGTGCATCACAATGTCTAGTTTCCTTGCGGAATGTGGATTTAGTCTCCCAGGGCAACTAGCAGGAGATGGAAGAGAACTAGCAACTGCCAACAGAGCAGCCGAAAGACAAGCAAGACAGTTCCAGCAAACGCCTTGTGTCCTGGCCTGATCCTTTTTGACTGCACCCAAGCTTCGCTAGCATGTGGCCATAATAAGACTTCCATGTAGGCAACGGAGAATTTCATCAAAAGTTCGACCAAAAGTACCATGTATCAAGTCATGCGCGCTTGCGCTTATGTGGCGCCTGCCAAAGCAGGGAGTTTCACTCTCCGGGTCTAGAAAGACTTCCAGAAAACCAGGAAGGAAATATTCCACTCACATGCAGCTCAGCATACGGGATGAGAGGGAAGCTCTGCAGATAGACAGCCTCTTCATCATTAGCCTCAACGGGGATCCTCTCGCTGGACGACGTCTTCAGGAAGACCCGCTGACACGATGGAGGGATACCCGTGATGGGCTCCATCTTAGTCTTCAAGTGCGCGATGGACCATGACGGAGTGATGCGGCGCTCGGACGAAGAGTATTCGGAAACGACGTAGAGAGGAACGTCGGCCATGATGGGTCGACTTTCCTGAGCGGTGGGGTGATTTTGGTTTGGAAAGGAAGTGGCGACAATGGACAGAGAGAGGCCAAGGCAGCTTTCAAAGTCTCGAGGAAGGATCTGCCGGTAAAACTAAACAGATTGAGACTGCGCGGGCATTCGGTCCGGTCCGCCTCCACTTGCACTTGCACTTCCAGGAATGATTTCTCAATCGGGATTCCCAACTTGCTTCGATACGCGTGAAGACACAGACAGTCGGCGGCACCTGCGGATACCTGTTTGTGTTCTTGTGATTTGGAGTGTCGTTGATGATAGTGGGTCCAAACTACTGGACGAGCCTGATTAGGCAGGAAATTGAAGCCATTCCCGGCCGCCACAGGTTTAGCCACAGCACGGTGGCACAGGCTGCGCTTCCAGCCCCCCCTTCAAGTTTCCCCACCTTCCCCAGGCGGCTGTGAATGTGTGATCCGCACTTCCAACAAACCTCCAAGAGCAAATTAACTTGCATGATGCCTAACAATAAGGTTCCTTGTTGCATCGGCTCCACAGGCAGGAGACAGGCAGGTCAGGCAGGTGCAGAGTAGTACGTGGACAGCTTTGTTACTCAGGATTCTGCTTCGGCACCGCCAAGAACGGCAGATCTCACACAGGTCCAGCAAGTATTTCCTGAACCAAACAAGGCGCGTCAATCTGCAATGCCTGCAGCCTCGCACTCAGCTCAGATTAACGACGGACGGCAAACCAGACCGGCGAGGAGTCCGGGCCCTAGCAGAGCTGAACCGGAGCAAAGTCGGCTGGCTCTAGGCGGAGCCAATATTAGAAATGTCGTGTGTTCGGAACAAAAAACCGAGCACATGGGGAATTGGAGATCGCGGGTCACGACTTGGGCCTGTTTTCGGGGCCTGGACCTACCTTAGCTGCGCACCTGAGGTACGGAAGAGGTACGGAATATTGCCCCTGGCCAGCCGGTAACTCGTCAGCCTGGAGTCGCAAACTTCTACCTGGGACCGCCCGTTTGCAACCCTCCCCTCCCCTCCCACCACCCACAAAGGAACCATGCCCGCTAGCGGCGACATCAGCATGGGCACGGGCACGCACACGCGCACGCGCAAAAGCAAGGACACAGGCACCATGGCATCGACGCCGTCAAACATGAGATTCCGCGGGAAGCTGAAGGTCAAACGCCCCCACGAGAAACCATTGGCTGGGCTGCTTCTCGGCCAGCTGCCCTGTCGCAAAAACAATTGGAATTGTCGCCTCGTGTCTGGTACCGGCAGCTCTGGAGCCATTGATTGAAGGTCGATGCCCGAATCTACATCCGCAATTCGATGCAGGTGCGGCGCCAGTCTGTCTGTCTCTGCGCAAACGGATGGACAATAGATGAAACACTTTGAAAGGTTGCCTGCAGAAACTGACAAGTCATTCCTCACCTGCTGCTTCTTTTTTATTTCTTTGCTTCCTTTTTTTCGCCAACTTCCTTATTGGGCGGCGCCACCCTTTTGAGATTTGAGACATTCAATCAATCACACGGGCGAGTCGCGAGCGAGGCTGCCGCGCGCGCACCCGTTGTTTCTACCCGCGACCCGAAAAACACGCCAACGTCTCCGTTCTCTGCGTATTGTTCTCTCCTCTCTTCCCATTGACTCAGTAACGGTTTCTCTCCTGGACCCCTGCGTCGCTGGCCTGGGGACCAATTCGCAGCCTCAATGGCTGTCGGTGGCAATTGTCCGATTGCCGAGCCTCGCTATGCACTTCAACTAGATCTAGGTCTCTGTCTAGCCCTAGGCGTGAGTGGGTCGTACTGTTGGTTACCTTGGCCTGCCGCGGCAGTTCGTCTCAAACACTCTCGTGGGCGAGCGTTGCAGACTCGTACCAGAGCGGAGGTAGAACGGGGCCCCGCCCGGTAGTCTCTTTTGTCTCTCGCCGTCGCATCATCCAAACAGCCGCCGCCGCTCTGTGCTGTCAGGTCAGAGGCGACAAGGACATGGCTTCGACAATGTCGGGCGACAGATGATATGCATGCTTGCTACCCAAGATCTGTGCCTGTGCCGTTCACCGCCACGTTGGGTTGCCCGACAATCTCTTGTCTGTCGAAATCCGTTTCTACGGGGGCTAGAAGACGGGAAGTCGTCATCCTGACCGGGTTCATGACCAGGGCCGCCGGGGAGTGTCTCTATCACCTGGGGTACATTCATGGCGCGCAGATGAGGCGCTTTTTGGGCTAACATCGGGACTCGGTCGTCTGATATCGCCAATGGCTGGAAAGCCTCCGCGCCAGCATCTGCTGCTGCTTGGAAAGCCCCGACGATGTGTTCCCGTATTGCTCAAAGTGCGTACAGTACTGCGTAGCTCGCCTTACAGTTCAGCAGGAGAGGGCGCCCATGACGTCGCCGGCGGGTCACCGTCGCCTTGGGCACCGGCCGTTCGATCGAGGGAGCGAGGGGCAAGAGAAAAGTGCCTGCATGCTCTCTGATCGTCGTTCCGGCCGCCAGCGCAGACAGGCATATCAAAACGATCACGGATGCATGTATGCAAGGCCAACGAGGTCGCCCACAACAGCTGAGAGGATTCTCGCTTGGCTCTGAATGGTCCCCCTTGCCCTGTGCCATGGGCTCCGAATGCTGTCCAATTGGTTTGGAGAGAGCGAATACTGAAGGAGCTAGGAATGACCGGCTGCTTTCAAGGCGCTCTCATAGGCTCGAATGGAGGCCCTGGCCTGGCAGCAAAATCGGGGAAAACGACGACACACATGCAGTTCATCTCACTTGACTTAGCGACGGTTTGATATACCCAACTGACGAAACAGATGCGTGTCGACAAAAACCATGCTTCAAGATCGGCCGGCTACAGTCGCGGCAACGCAAACGCCCCATATGTAACTGTGAGAGGTATTAACATCATCAAGGGCATGAACAAAAGAATGATGATTGATAGAGTGCCAACAAACGGAGCAAATTGGGAGAGCCCCAATTGCTTTGTTCGGGCAGCAATAGCGAAACAGGCCCGCGGTGATCTGCCGCCATCCCACGTCTGGTTTTCTTTCTTCCCTCAATTACCTGACCCTTTTGCTGCCTCGCCCCCAGGTAGTCACGCGCTTGACAATTCGTGACCTTTGGCCCTGCTTAGAGCTTCTCTACGTTTCCATCATCTCAAGGGATCGTCCCTGCGGTCTTCTGGATCCACCAATCTGCCACCTTGAACTGCTGGAAGGGGGGTGTGGGTGTGCAGATTCTAGCTGTTGACGACGATAGACTCAAGTCTAGATCAAGCTCCAGAATGATAATGACAGCTCGTCCGCAGCGGAACGGTACGAGAGGCCAGCTCTTTAGCAGGTAGCACACACCGTTGTGGCGGAGCTGCAACAACTCAGCTCTGTCTGCCATGCTAGCGTTGTGGGTTGGGCTTCTAGACATGTTCTTCCCGATTGACAAACAAGCCACGGAAGTGGGCTCAGACGTGTGGCCAGGCCAGGCCGTGAACGGAGAGACGAGGCGACGTGAAAATGGAAAGAGTGGTGGTGACGGGGCAAGTGGCATCTGGAAGCAGCATGTACCCATGGCGAGGGGTCGATCACGGTTCGCACGGGCTGGGGCGATGAATCGCGCGGCCAGCAGAGAAGATACAGTCGCCGGGATGGCGATTCTACACCGAGAATTCACGGCCCTATTGTTGGAACGAGCCCAAGGAGGGAGCACGATTCATGATCGCCTTGCCGGCGCTGCTGTCCCGCAGCAACCCTGATCCCGGTGTGGGGAAGGGACAATGCAGAGCTGACCGCCAGTTCGTCGGGCTTTTCGCGTTTGCAAAGCGACATCCGTACTGTACCTCTCCTAGGTCAGCCAGCCTTGGGTTGGGATGTTGGCATGTTGCTGCTGGCAGGCATTGACGACGGCAATGGCAATGGGAAGGGGGAGAGTAATGGGGATGGGACTCTGGTGCGATCGTTTCCAGCGCAGGAGCCCATTAACGGCCCTTGGACTTGACAATCCATTGTCGGGCATTGTTTGGTCGGGGTGCCCCGCCAAACGACGTCCAGACAAAGCCGCATCTGACAAAGATTGTGTGATGTAGACTGGCGAGGACAAGTTCCGAAACGCACAGACGCCGCCGGGTCAACAGTCAACTGCAAGTCTTTTACGGAGTACGTACACTACTGCGGACGCTAAAGTTCTGGACGAGGTTTAGGCTTTACGGATCCCATTACTTAGTATTTTCCATGTCTTTTTCTCTCCGTACTGTACCCGCTAGGTTTCGGCGGCGGGACAGGGCTTGCTGGGGGCTCGCAACGGCGAGCGTTAATGACAGTTACAGAGGGCCCCCCCCTTGTCTCGATTGGGCCTGTTGCGACAGTTTGGCCTAGTTCGGTCAACGAGATGTCGTTAGGGGGGCTTAATCGCAATGCTGGCACAAGCCATCCATCCATGCAAGCAATCGCAAGCAATGCTTCAGGCTTCCAAATCTCACATCCACGTTGCATCAGGCCCGGGGTCGGTCTGGATCCGGGCAGAGAACAGACGCCGTCTCGCGGTGCCCATTTCGCGCACGGAGGATGGGGATAAAGCCAGAATCCCCAGAAGAAGGATCATCGGAGCGCCAGGCCCCAGCGACAGGCGGTGCTTCCCAAAGCGGCTGATATCACATTGACCGCACAGGTTCTTGGGTCTCAGCAAAGCCCATGTGCTACCCGGGCCACAGAGGCGAGCCGGACGGTGGTCGTCTTTGGGTTGAGAGCGGATCGAAGCGAGCCTTGCGTCCCGCCCGCTCCCTTTTGTTTGCGACTCCTCTCCGTGCGCCTAGCGAGCTTGCCCTCCTGCTCCTGCTCCTGCTCCTGGCGCGGGGCGGGGACGGTACGGGGTCCTAGACTAGACGGCAGACGCAGACGGGTGTGGTGTGCCCTTCGCTGTAGCATTGTCGCCGCAGAGATCTGAGCTCGACGTGATGCACGATGGCAGGATGGGATGGGCTGGTCCATGAGATCCGTGGTCCGTGGTTCACGGTCCATGGTCCATAGTCAATGGTCCATTTCTGGGGCTCCGCACTTTTGCGGACGACCAAACTTTGGAATGCCCGGCTATAAAGCAAGCGGGCACGATGTTAGCGGGCGCATCCAAACCAAACCACCAAGCAAGCCCGCAAGCCCGCAGACCCGCAAACATCGAGGAGACCATATCTCAAATCGGACAATGTGACGGGCCCACTGGGTTGGTCTCGTTGGCCATTCGTGAATCCACCGCTGCGCAAGGCGACCCTCTGCCTCGGATCAAGCTCCATGGCATTTGGCAAGCCAGTTTCAAACTCTCCACGCCCATGCAAATCTGACGACTTGCAGCCACCTATCTTGGTCCTCCTTAGTCTCATTGCTCCCTCCTCCACGCCTTCCTTTCTCTGTATTCTCTCGGCTCTGTAAACTACAGAATACAGGGCTGTTTGGCCTGCCCGTTTCTGCCTTGCCGGAACTGGTTGTTGATGCTTGGGGGTTTTGATGCAGATGCAACGACTTGGCTGACGCCCGCCTTGTCCCTAGCTGGCCAGCTGGCTAGTTGCACATACCTCCAGTTCTCTCCCGCAAATCCCGGCCCGCCGCCAGATGGAGCGGCGATGCACCGGTGGCTGCTAGCAAGTAACAAGAGAAGCCTGCTTGCTTGTCTGCTTGCTTGGGAGAAACAACATCGGGCGGAGAGGGGACTGGGAGAAAAAAAAAGAAAAACGAAAACAAAATAAATGTTTTTTTTTGGAAAAAAAGAACAGAAAAAAAGAAAAAAAGAAAAAAAGGAAGCTAAAGGCACAGGCCGGTCGAGCCCAACTAGCAAAAGATTCCTTACCGAGTTTCAACCCAACCAGTCAAGGTGACCGCCCCCTCGTAAGCTTTTACTTCTGTTGTCTGCAGGGCTCGCTCCTCCTATATTCGCCGCACACACTAGGATATCTGCGCCATTAATAGGGCGTTTTATCGGATTTAGCGCTGCTATCCAAACAGGTTACGATAGCTAGAGATGGTGTGGCCCTGACTGCGAAGCTCATGCATGAATTCGTGGCAATTCCAAGAGGCCCTGGTCTAGTCGACATCTACCAGCCAACTTCCGTCTCACCACCACCTGTGTTTCGTTCGATGTTGGATTTCCGGGCTCTCCAACTCTGTACATGTGTCTCTGTCTCTCTCAATCGGCCGTCTACGACGCAGACACCTCACCAGGAGGGCCAATTGGGTACTGTACAATCGGATTGGGGTAAGGTTGCTCTCTTCTCCTCTCTCTGGTCTTGCACCCGAGCGAGGGGCGTGTGCTCCGGCTCTTGCTTTTCTGGAAAGACCAGCAGCATCATCGTCAGCAGAGGTAAGGAGACAGACTGGTGGGAGTCACGGGCGGCGGATTGGGAAACACTTCACCTTGATGTCTCTCTGGCTGCGAAGCCAGCCCAACAGCCGAACTGGTGCTAGTGCCGGCTCTTGATATCACAACCGCCTTAGATCTCTCGAACCCAACCGAAGTCACTCAGCCCCGTCCTGGAGGGTAGGGTGGTACCTCGCACCTCGCACGCACACACGCCCACACACGCCCACACACGCCCACGCCCACGCACACTCGCACTCGCACACACGCAAGCCGCCGCCGATATTTGACAGGCCCATCGTACCGCGCAGCGCTTGCGTTTGGCAGACACGGGGTAGAGACCCTGACTGACCTGACCTGACCTGACGGGCCCTGCCAGTGAAGTGCCCTGCCCTACCCTGCCCTATCCATCCCTATGCACGGCCAGAAGGCAAGGCAAGCCACTGACCTTCCCCCCATCCGGGAGCCCTGACTTCGTATGTACATACAGTATGTATTGAATGTACATGTCTCTTGTTCTGTTTCCTCCCACTCCACTCCACATTTTTGCTCTCCAACACACGCCCCCTGACCCTTGGGCTGCACCCCTCCCTGGTCCCCGACTCTTGGTCGTGTCCATCAACACGACTGCAGCCAGTCTGTACAGTTCCGGAGGGCTGTCGTTCTGTTCTTAGCATCCCATCTTTAAAGCCCTCCTCGTCCTGGCTGTACCCGCTATCCTATGACCCGGACCCTGGTTCTGTCCCCCACCGACCTCACTGCCTTGAGGCACACCGTCATCGATAATTTTTCTGTTTTCTCTCCCCATCCCATTGCCAATCTGCTTGCTGCTGCAGCGCGCCCTCCCGGCCCTATCTAGCCCCTTCCCTGTCCGTTGTCTCCGTCCTGCTGTTGGAAGGGAGACAATGACTATGGAAAAGTCGCTCTCTCCTCTTCCCAGGCACTTTAGCAAACTAGTTTGACCGACGTATCCATCCGCCGGCTACCCTCCCCCTTTCTCCTCCTCATCTGCCTCATCAGCTCGGCTCATCCCCGTTCATTGGTGGGCGGGTGCTTGGGAGGCACCAATCATGTTGATGTCTCTGCCCTCACAAACGCGAGCCACGCCTTCTTGAAAGCTACTACTACCTCGGCGGCCCGTCTGAAAGCCTCCATCTCTCGCTCACTAGAAAGCTCCCCCCCTCCCCCTCCCCCTTTTTACCCTTCTCGCGCCACCACGCCACGACTTCCGTGACTATCAGGACCGAGCTCCTCGGGCTGCCTGTCTCCAGTCTCAAACCCTTCTTATCAACCAGACTAGACCAGACCAGCGTCTCCACCACCTCGCACATTCTCACAACCGGCCTAGGCTTTGCACACGGGAAAAGCCGCTCGTCTCGCTCGTCTACACGCGGGTTTTCTTCTCTAACGAGTACTCACACGCACAGCTGCCGCCCTGGCGAGCAGCATCTTGACGAAGGGGGCCTGGGAGACGGCGAGGGCGGACGGCGAGGTTGCACCATCAGCTTCTATTTGGATCGACAAGGGCTCAGGCCTGTGGTCCCCGAGGTCACCGCCCGCATCCTCGTTCGGCAGACGGCGAGTCGCATCCAGGGCGCGCAGATCCAGCGCCCATGAACACGTTGCCCCTCTAGGCAAAGCCCGGCGAGACACCGCCATCGTGGATATCGCCTCACTCCTCAAGGGCTCCGACTCAAATGAGTCCTCCGTGTCTCCTACCCAGCAGAACCCGTCCGCCTCGGTCCCTCTATTCCTGGCGACAGCGGCACCCTCCGGTGGCCCCCCACCGACATCGTCGTCTGTAGCGTCTGGCGCACCGTCCCCGAGCGTCGCCGGCCCTGCTGGAGGAGTTGGAATCGGGGGGTTGAGCACTCAGGCCGTAGCTGGCTTTGGGCACTCGCTAGGGGCAGAGTCGGCATCTCGTCCAGGGAGCGGAAGCAGCAGGCGCAGCATGCCACCACACACGACTGAGTCGCCAGCAAAGAAGCAAAGCAAATGGTCGCCTGAGGAGGATGCTCTGATCATTGAGCTCCGGGGCAGCGGGATGAAGTGGGACGACATTTCCAAGCGTCTCCCGGGCCGGAGTTCTATCAGCTGTCGCCTCCACTACCAGAACTACCTCGAGAGACGCAGCGAGTGGGACGAGGAGCGCAAAAACAAGCTTGCGCGGCTGTACGAGAGGTGAGCCGCCCTACCAGAATCTGCCGCTTTGAGCGCCCGCCTTGGAAAGCCATGCGATACAGCTAGCCTCCTTGGTGCGCTGCCTGGCGCCCGGCCTGCCAACAGGCAGAGGCGCCCAGAGCGCGGGAGCCAGAGCTAGACATTGGTTGCTAACATCTTGGTAGATTCAAGCCCGAAATGTGGGCTAAGGTAGCCGAAGAGATGCAGGTTCCCTGGAGAGCCGCCGAGGCGATGCACTGGCAGTTGGGCGAGGCCGACATGGCGAGGCGCGCAGGAGTAGTCCCGTTCTCGCTCAACATGACCCCGGCCGACCCACAAGGCTCGCAACGCTCGTCGCCTTCTCGGGGACATGCACACTCGCAGTCCCAGGGGAGCCTCCCTCGAGACATGTCGGGCATGCCTTCTCCTCGATATAGCCGCGGCCCCACCACGCCACTGATACCTCCCCCTTTATCCAGTGGACGTCCGCTGGCGGCACGACGCGAGAGCATGCCCCCTCGACCTTCGTACGGGCCACCCGATCCCTCCGACTACGGTTATGGCGCGCCGGGACCCGCCTTCGGTCTTGCGCCCATCCAGACAGGCAACATCGGGCAGGGACGCGGCGGCATGCTGCCCAGTGTGGCCGAGCTGACAACGGGGGTCAGCCCCTACAGCACCCCGGCCTACTCCATGGGAGTTCCTAGCGCAAGCCCGGTCCACAGCGCGACAGCCAGCCCGGGCCCCCTCCTGCCTTCTCTCTCCTCGTATTCGCCTCTCGAGCCGGGCGGTGCCAAACGACGAGCGAGCCCCGACATGGGAGCTCGCGAGACGAGCCGACGGCGACATTTGTACCCGCGCCAAGACGAAAACGACGGCCAGCCGCCGGGGCCGTCACGGCGCGGCCACCGACGTGAACTTCCATATTAGATCGAATATTTTGTGTGTCGGTTGATGGAAAGAGCTGGGAGGAAGACATGGCGCCAACCTTCGGAGATGGAACTGTCAAAGCTGTGATGTTTGTATGGATCTAATTATGAGGAGGGGGGAGGTCGGGGTTGGGGGGGTTTCTGCTTTCTCTTCTTATCAAGGCGGCTTGATGGGGTTTACACCCGTCCAATACACTTTATTCCATACAACCTTCAACACCTTCTCCCATGTCCTTTTTTTTCCTCATGTTTCTGTGGGAAATTCATGTCGGCATTTTATCATCATCATTGTTTATCATCATGTTTTTTCTTTTGTATCTGGGATGTTGGCGCGTCCACAAGAAGAGGAGAAGCAGGAGAAACAAGGAAAGAAGAGGAACACATTTTTTATGACGAGTCATTAGTCTAAACGCAAGAGCGTGCATGCATTAAAAAAGCCAAGGGAGCCGTTTTCTTTTTCACCATTTTCTTGGGAGGAATAACAATAAGGAGAGACAGAGAGGCGCGTGGGCGGGCATGGATAGCATTGCTAGGTGGGGATTCAAGGAGTTTACAAAAAAGAAAGGCGGTACAGTGAGAGACGGAGAGAGGGACGGAGGGCTTGGGAAGGAGGAGGTTTTTCGCATCCACACATCACAGCGAACGGCTTTCCCTATTCCACTTTCTCCTTCTTCGATCAGCAGCAGCAGCAGCAGCATGAATTCTCTTTTGTATCCATCTTCCTTTTCCATGGAGCGGCGGTTTACATATTTACCTACCTATCTACGTGTTTTCTTGGTCTGTTTTCCTGTTGTACCCCCCCCCCCCCCCCCCCCCCAAAAAAAAAAAAAAACGAACGAACGAACGAACGAACGAACGAATTCCCACGTCAACGATCTACGATACGATACACACGCTATTTTTACGTCCGCTGTTTGTTTTTGCCTACTTGCTTCGAGGTCATACAATCATGTTTCTTTTCTTTTCATCCTTGTCCTTTTTCCGCTTCATCTGGTGGACATTTGCTTCCAAAGAAAGGGTAGAGAACAGGGACAAGACATTCAAGGTGCGAGACGGGGATCTGTCAAAAGTTGGAAGAATCATATTTCACAGAATTTTTTTTTCTGGTTCATGTCGTGTTGTTTGTAGTGTTTGTTTTGACAGAGAGAGACTGTGTGTGTGTCTGTGTCACGATTATTATTATTTGGTATTGGTAGTAATAGTAGTAGTATCATTTAAAGAAGCTGATTTGTTTTTTTCCCCTTGTTAAATTCCTTTCACGGTCCATTTCGCTCTTGTCAACTCTTCCCGGAATACAATCGGCTGACTTGCTCGTGCAGGCGATCAGAGGGAAAAAGGGGGCGGGACGGTGATTACTACGAGGCCAACAGCCCATCAACTGACAAACTGTTTTCTTTTTTTCCCTTCTCGTGTCGGCGATCTAGGGGACGGATGGACACGGGATATCCGACGCAAAGCGAAACGACATGTCATATCATTATCACAAGCCGATAGACGCTTTCCCTGTGGAAAAGGGCCGAGGGGAAGAAGAAAAGAAAAGAGACATTTAGACAAGCGCGAATTGGACCGTTTGAGAAAAAAGCAAAGAGGAACAAAACAAAGCGGCAGTGTGACTCGAGGCTTGGCTGTTGTTCACGCTAGTGGAACGTGACACTGACCACGGGGGAGGAACTTTTGTCCTAAATGACTTCCCCCCACCCCCTGGGCTCGGCCAGCTGCGGCCAGTTGGAGCTAGGTATCAAGATCGGCTCGACTAGGAAACTAGGTAAGGTCCTCCTGAGGGCCCGAGCAGCAGCACGAAAAGGTAAGATGAAGGACTCATTGATTGGTAGCCACGGTCCACCAGTTGTCTTTCTCGTAGCCGCTGGCGACCACTGCGCCCCCAGCTGCCAGCACATCCTCTTCCAGCTCACCTTGGCGGTAGAGGTGGTAGAAGCGCCGGAAGACGGGGTCGGTGTGGCTCGCGCCACTGCTGCCATCGTTACCATCCTCCCCAGTAGGCGGCGGCGGCGGCGGCGGCGGTGATGGTAGTGATTCAGTTAGCGGGGGCTCACCGCTTTTATTGGCCTCACTAAGGCTGTTGTCTCCTCGGAGATGATCTTCGTGCCCCTGGTACTTTTGTCGCTGCTTCGGCTGCTTCTGCTTTTTCTGCTGCGGTTTTGGGCTCTTGAGAACCCAGGGCACTAGCAAGTCCTGCTCTCCGCCTTCTTCCCACCCGCGCCGGCTATTCCCTTGCTCCAGAGCCCAGACATACACGAGGACTTTGCCGCCTGTTCCGGCCGCCTGGCCGTTGCCCTTGACACATGCCAAAAGCCGGCGTATAGAGTCTTGCCGCCTTGGGCGCGTTGACAAGTGGTGTACGACAGCCACACATATGACAAAGTCGACAGCGCCGTCGCGGAAGGGCAGTGAAAGGCCGTCAGCCACGAGAACGTCTGTACCCACTGCTACTGGGGCTGTGGGTGTGGGCGCGACTGCCACGGGCTCTGTTTCACCTGGTGCGTTGCTAATGGCAGCGGGTGAGTCAGGGGCGGCGGCGGCATCTGCTGTCGCCTCACCAATACCTGGCTCGCCTGGGAGTGGCACCCTTTTGTTTCTCGTCTTCCCGCCCGAGACAGCAGGGCCGACGGCTACTGTGGCCCCAGAATCACGTGGTCCTGGCAGCACTGGCAGAGGTCGCTCGAGAGACTGGACACGGTCCCTCGCAAGCGCGACGAGCGCGGGGCTGCGGTCAGAGCCCAGCATCACCAGGCTCGGGTTGACACCCAGGTACTTGCCGTTGCCACAGCCCACATCGAGCCCTACGGCGCCCGGGGGCTGGGCGCGCAGGAATTCGGCGACGGCGGGCCACGGCTTGTAGCGCGTGGCCGAGAAGTGCGGGGCGATGGCTTCGTACACGCCATGGACGTGGGCGTTTTCGTAGGCTTCCGCGACCTGGTCGGCCTTTTCTGCCTCTCCTGCAGCGGTAGCGGCGGCGGCGGCGGCAGCTGCCAGGCTTGCCACGGCATGGGCCGCTGACGAAGAGGGCAGGGAAGAGAGAGTCGGTGATGCCATGACGCAGGACAGGGGTCGTGGGAGATGGGGGACGGGAGGCGGGAGATGGGGGTCGGGCAAGCACGACAGGGCAGGAAGGTAGGTAGGGCTAGCCTGGGCACATCTGCTGGCCGGGGCTGTGGCTGGGTAGGGAGGTGGTGAAGATGGGGCGCTAGACTAGATGCCAAACATGCGGCGGTCGGGTAAGGTGAAGATGGACAAAGGCGTCGGACAGCGAGGGCCTTGTCTTGGCCCAAGGCCCAACTAGGCGAAGGCCGGTGCGGTGCGGTGCGGTGCTGTGGGGTGGACCACGCACGTTATTGTTGTCCACGCACAGAGATAGAGGCCCGTCAGGTCAGGGAGGCGGTATGGGATGGGAGATGTGGCTGGGCCGGAGTGATTGGCTGGGCTCCGTTGGGCTGCAGAAGCAAAGACACACCGCACCCTCACACCCTGGGGCCAGGGCGAGGTGACAAGGAGGTGTATCGGTGGTGTGGTGGTGATAGCAGACGAGAAACTATGTCGGGCGTTCGCTTCCCTCTTGTCGCGGCTCTTTTTTTTTCTTTTTTTGCCTTGTTCAGCTCTTGTGTCCCTGGCTCCCTTGACCGCTGGTTCTGTAGGAGCGGAGCAACAAACGACGAGATCGCAGCGCAGCGCAGCGCAGGGTGGCGGCCGGGAAACTAGGCCGGGTCTCTTGGTTGCAGATGCAGATGCAGACTGGTGCAGATAGATGCACTCTGACCGCACTTGGCGCACAGAGCAAGGCTGTCTGCAACTCTGGTAGACCGACTTTGTATGTGATACCGAGACAGGAGGCCCAAGACAGGTCGATCGACTTCGACTCGACTCGACTCGACTCGACACCGCACGACAGGGCCCGACGCAACAGGGCTGAGAGCCACGAACGGTGGGGTCGACAAGAAATAGACAATAGAAACTCCGATTAGAATGCACAGCGCATGCAGAGAGAGACGATCAATGCAGAATGCAGAATGCAGAACGCAGACCGCAGAACTGCCAGTACTGAGTTCGAAGTCTAGATTAACCCACGCCGCACTGCCCGCTTAGGGTAGCAATCAGTCCTTTCCTCTTTCTGTCTGCCTCGCTCTCGCACCGACATGCAATGCAGGCGGGCGATGGAAAATAAAAGACAACTGCAGAAAGAAGAATTGAAGAAGGCGGTCTGGAGCTGCCGACCTGAGGTGGTCTTGGGAAGCTCACTTTGGCGGGGTAAAATGGGAAAGGTTGAAATGCTCGGCTGCCCCGCCATCATCATGAAGTTCGAATCGGTGTGACGTCTTCGGCCTCGTGCAGCCAGGGTTAGGGGTATGTACTGTGCGCTAGGGCCGTTTGGTTTAGGTTTTGGGTTCCGGAATGAATGGCCTTGGCTTGCAAAGAATTCTCCGAGATCAAAATCGCGCACCTCAGGCACCAAGCCGCTCACTGTCCGTCATCGTACAGTGCCTAATCGCACAGGCACCGCACTCTTCCCGATTAGGAAGTTTGTTTTGACTCTCCTTCCTTCTCCACGACTGTCGTCTTCACATGGCATCTTGCCACGCCATGATTTTAGCAATAATCCGGATATGAAGACAGCCAAAATAATATAACCCCTTTCATGACGATAGAATATGTGCCGAACAAATAATCGCAGTGGTGATCTCAGTCACGACTCAATGGGTGCATCTACCTCGGTGAATTCCACAACCCGAAGGGTAGAGGCTCTATTACCGCGGCTCAGACTTGGGTGGAGCCGCCATCTCTCGGTCCGTCAATGCTAACCCTCAGCTGGTCTGCTAAGCCGTGCAGAAACCCAGGCTGTTACTAGTTGGTCTTGTATTGCCTTGGATATATTGAAGATAATTCCGCACCATCTCGATGGCATTCTGCAATGTCTTGCCGCCGCGGAACTGCCACAAACTGGCAGTCGTGGATGTTTAGCGGATCAACAAGTCTTGCGTGTTCCGCAGTTATTTCTGTAACGGCTCTACAATGACGTAAATATCGGTAGTGTGCTGAAACAGTTTAAAGCTCCCCAGCAGCCAATGCTGAGCAATTCAGCTATAGCCTTCATGTTTGTGGCTTTCTAGTCCGCGGTACTCTCTACTATTGTTGCCCAGACACAGCAGTTTAACTCAGGGTTTCAGGCCCCAAAGATTTATACCTCTGCAGTTCCCATCAATAATATCCTTGCTCTTCGAGAGTTAATAAGGTCCTGGGTTTCTGACTTATAATTTCCGAGCCAAGAGCACAACCTCTTCACGGCAGCATTTTCCAAGGACCGGCTTAAAAAACAGGAAAAGAGTCACAAGTACCGGCTGCCCTTGGTCCTGGTCAGAGAAGCTGGCTTCTCTTGGACTAAACGCAAACCCTCAGTAACAGAGTGGCAAGAGGTGGACGGAAAAAATAGAGAGTCATATTTCCGGAACTCACAAACCTCAACACAGCTCTTCGCTCGGAATATTTGCTCATTTGAGGATATACTCCAATATCTCATCCACGAGATCTTGTTACCACGTCCTTTTGGGCAGATGGTATGCAGAGCTGACGATTTTCTCGCCTGGATTCAACTAATAGCCGGTTCTCGCCCGCTGTTCTGTTTTGTTTCCCGGTATAGTGACTGCAAGATGCCACAAGTATCCTGCTGTCTGCGAGCCTGGAGATGTATCTCTATAATAATCCTTCACTCATCGCATCAACGGGAAGGCTATCAAAGCTCTGGCTGAAGGTCTACGGTGGTGAATAGATGATGGGTTAGTAAATCGACACTAGGAGTTTACTCCTCGCCAGATTCGATAGATAAAATAATTGTAGTGAACAAAACGTGCCTTTAAACCAATTCATTATCGCCAGCTAAATCGGATCTTGTCTTGGAGTACCTGCTAGCTCCTGGAAACCAGATGCGTCTGACTGATAGGACATGGTAAACCCGGAGTACACTGACTAGACTTGCTGGAACTGATACGAGCCCATTCTATCTCTTCTGGTTCGTCCTTACCATATGTAACACATCTCCCTCCTCGAGTAGACGAAAATAAAAGGATGAAAAGAAAATGCTTGGCACACCTACAAATTACCTACCCACCTACCTAGATAAGATATCTTTTACTCGCTTTGGAGGTCTTCCAAGAACTACTTCATTGAGTGCATGAGGAGATGCTCCTGGACCTTCACAGGAAAAAGATGCAAAAAACAACACTTGCCACACGTCTAAGAGCGAGCTACCACAGCTTTGCAAACCACAATAGAATCATGTCTTGTTCGTAATCACCCATCACCACCATCGACAACGGCAAAAAGAAATCGTCATTCGGATACCGGGAATTGAACCCGGGGCTAGTGAGTGAGAGTCACTAGTATTACCGTTACACCATACCCGATTGTGCTCTAGACAAAAAGAGATGGAGACTGGGGATGATTGTCAGTCGATCGCAGTAAGAGCAGGTATCATGTGGATACCTAACGATTCAACATTTTTGCAACTAGCCAATGTGACCGACTCCGGGGCTCTTTCTGGTGGATACGCCTGGGATCAAAGAGAGAAACACGCCCCTAGGCATTTCTCAAACGATATTGGGCGCTGTTGATGACCTTGGTTTCCTGGCAGGACGTCGGGCCCGCCTTCATTTGGGACGTGGGGCCTGCTGATTGTTACGTCGTCCTTGCTGTAGTGAACGACTCGGAACTCTTTCTGCCGACATTGACGACTCTTATGTGGAGTGAGTGACGAACTGCTGCGCCGTGTTCCGAGCATGCCCAACAAGTTTTAAAGTACAGTGACGGCGGATATTCAGTCTCGAGTCTGCACCTCCTTTCTCCCTTGGGTTTCCCGACACGGCAAACAAACGACGATACGTGGGATACAGCGATTCCACACATACGTGCTCTACTCAGCTTACAAGGATGGCAAAAGAAAAGGAAATAAACCGTCACGGCCGAGGTTCAAGTTGTGCCCGTATCAACACTATTCTATATATCCACGAAACGAGCAACTAATGTGGAATTCCAACAGAGGCTGCATATATACTGATTGCCAGTGCTATTGTTGGTTCAATCTCGAATTTAGAATGACCAAAACATGTCAACGACATCACAGCACAACGACTGTCATGCTCTACCTGCATACATCCCAAGGGGTGACGCGGGCCGCCTCGCAGGTGTTGGGACTGTTTCTTGCCATAGGTAGGTATCCCACCACCAAATAGCTAGCTAGGGTGCGGAACTACATTGCTTAGCCTTGGTGGCGGCGGCATATCTCACACCTGAACGAAACCACTTACTTACTCACATACTGCCAAATATTGATGGCTTTTTATATAGTAATTGAGAACACGGTGCCCTCCCCCGCCTCTACTTGTTTAGTTTAGCGCGGCCCTTTCATTAACCCACGACTTCATGTCCTTCCGCCCAGAGATAAATAAGAATCTCTCCCCCCGGCGTCTCTTTCTTATATTCTTGACTTTTGTCCTTCTCATGTTCTTCGCAATTATACCAGCATGCAATAACGCGGCGGCCGCACTTGATCCTTCATTTCGGCTACGTCGCTATCCATCCTCGTTCTCTCTTATATGCCCTCGCCACATCGATCGCGCCGTCGTTGTCGTCTATCCTCAATACCCGAAACCCACCCGCCCCTCTGTCCAGCGTACCTCAGCGCGTTACTTGTCGTTTTTCGGAATCTCGCGATACCTGCTATTTTATTTCGATACTCGCTCGACTCTGACCTTCGCTAACCTCCGCTAAGCGGCGAGGCTTACCGTGTTGAGCCTTGCGCCCCCGAGCTCGTATATATATCGTCTCCCGGGGCCGCCGCTACGTTTGCCTGGGGGAACCCTGGGCGCAGCCTCGCTAGCCAGTCGCCAAAAATGCCGTATATATCGATTGCGTTATTATAATAGGAGGAGGCCTTCTTACCGGGAGATTGGAACGTCTAGTTGAGGATTCAATCGGCTCTGTGAATCAGGTTTCCTGAACTAACGACAGATAACCCTTTGGCCGTCTTCAGAAAGGGCCTAGGCCACTTTAGCCGACCATCTCCTTGTCCACCGCCTCCTGTATAAACTCGCCTCCTCCCTCTCATCTTCAACGTTAATGCAGCGAGAGCTTACCGAGCACCCTCAAAGCGGTGATCTCAGCCTATCACCCCCCTTCCCTCCCCCCGGATATGCAGGGGGTAAGCATACCGACACCGACCAGCAGCTCAACTCTATAACTTACTTCGTAAGTCGCGAGCGAGATGGGAAGAGGCCACGTCGTCACGGAACCCTTCCTCATCCTTACTGGCTATGGTATGGCCGCGAGGAAAAGAGAAGATATCCGAAGGGGGAGGTTGAAATAAGTTAGTGTACTATAGGATGCGGTCTCTGGTTACCTCTTGTCCCGGCAGGATAATAGCTCGCATGCCAATATTTATCCAACTTTGCCATATCCTACACGCTTGCAACACAATGACAGACGGCCACGGCCCGATCAGCAATGATGAATTTGATTATAGCGAATTTTGTAGTAGCCAATCTAACTTCCTACTAATTGAGAATTCTAGCGTCGAAACTTACTACGAAGTTGGTGAGAACGACGTCGAGAGACAGGGGGCCTGCCCAGGCGATGAGGTCGTTTAGACCGAACAGTTGCGGCCGTGTATACTGCAGCGCTCTCTATCGCGTTCCTAAACACGGCCGCGGCCATCACCCGCCCTAGCGGTGGCCGGGCAGGCCATCCCTGGCGACGATATGTGCGATATTCCTTTGCAGGCGGGCGTTGATAATACCAGCGATTTGGGTCAGTTCTTCGATCTCTTAACCGGACGTTTTCGTCGCTAATTCTCATTGGGAAGCCCGAGCCTGTCTGCTAATACCGTCGACAATAACCTTAGCGATCCATCAACCCACGGATTATTCTAGTAGATAACGGCGCCGCTAGATTATAAAATATCCAAATACCTATCTCAGAGACGAACGGCCGGCGTAAATTTCCAGCCCGCCAAGCTCCCAAAGCTCCGCGGCAACGTTCGAGGAATAGCCGCTTAAGGATGCAGTTCTCAAACGCGTGATAGTAGACGGCCTAGTAACTTTCCAGCTATAGTTCTCTTGGACGCCTTACGCGAATTACTAACGCCAAGATTATATGACTCGAAGCCAATAGATCCATTCGCCGGCCAAAAGGCGACGTTCCACGAGACTGGTATTATCCGATTCACCGGTCAAAAGGCGACGTTCCAAGGTAAGAAAATATACCTAGATTCGTAAAGAGGACACTCTTCTCATCGATTTAAGGAACCGGGGGTTTAGGTGGGATAAGATCCGTAGGCGATTCGTAAAATACTTTCGAGGGAAACTGCGGCTAGGGGAAGTCGCGGCCGACTACTCAGAAAACGGAAGTCTCGACGGCGGCTAGCCCCGGCCCGCCCTTTTTCGCACCCTCAGCCTCTTTCAGAAGTGCCCATCCACGAGCCCTCACTGCGGGGTAGGTCTGTATGTACCTGCTTGCCTGTTTGCAAGGCACAGCTGGCACGAGGCTTCAGTTACAGATGGCTTTTGGTTGTCGACGGCCAACGAGCCTCGCCACTGCAGCCCCATCCAAGACAAGATGCCCAATCCGGTGCTCAAAGATGGGAGGCAGAGCTGCGATAAACACGTCTATTTTTCCTGCAGGCGTCGGCCGAATCCAGATTTATTTCCTTTGATCACCTTTACCTGATGCAAATATGGCAGAGGCCATTGGCACTCTCGGCCTCGTTGGTGTCGTTGACGTGTGCTGGAAATGGGGTAAGAAACTTGTTGAGATATGCGAAGCTTTCAGGCACGCCGACACGCAACTTGACGAGTACATCTTTCGTCTCGATGCCCGCTGGCTGCGCATTGAGGACCAGATTCAGGTAGTCCGCAAAATAGGACCACTACTCAGCAGCCGCCACCAGGCAGTCCAGCAACGGTCCCTGGAGATGGTGCTCGCTAAACTCACGGCGGCCGTCTCCAGGCTAGAGAGTTTCATCGAGATACCAGACCCTGCCCAGGGACCTTTGGCCCAACCAAGAATCAAGCGGTGGAAGTACTCGATTGTCAAGGAGGCCCTCGCAGAAGCCATTTCCGAGCTCGAAAGATGGCAGCAAATCTTCGACCCGAGCTGGTTCCTCTTACTGCTGATTGCCGACCCGCAGGTCGACAGCCTACTCGAGGCTAACCAGCCGCGGGCCGGCTCCGTACGCGGAGGGCCCCCGGCGCCTCTCTCCGCCGCACAGTCTATACGCCGCGCCATCAACCCGGGCACGGCGAATAACGGCCGCTCCGACATTGACCTCTCATGGAAGGGCCTGGTAGCTGGGAGCATCCGTCCAATTCCTTTCAGCACGGCCAGCACCGCCCAGCGCGCCGACAACCAGCAAAGCGTGCTGCTGGACCCTGTTACCTGCGTGTCGCGAACCTCGGCAGACGCCATGGCCCAAGACATCCGTAACTTCGCCTGGAGCCTACGCCACGCGGACCCCTCTACCCTGGGCCTCCTCGGGTGCAAGGGCATCTTGAAGGACGAGGAGGGAGACGGGGCGGCCGGGGGGAAGGCGGGGTCTCGACCCGTACTTCCCGCCGGTCTTTGCTTCGTCTTCCGCCTCCCCGTAACCCACCCACACGTGGAGAGTCTGCGGGGCCGCCTTCTCGGTGGGAGGAATCGCGCCCACGACTCGCTGTCAGAGCGCTTCATCCTGGCGAGGCAGATGGCGGCGGCCGTCAGCTACGTCCACCTCTACGGTTACGTACACAAAAACATCCGGCCAGAGACGATCCTCCTCCTCTGCCACCCCGCACCGCCCCGGAGCGGACTAGGCGAAGGAGGCGGGAATACCGGGCTCGTAGCGAGCGAGATGGTTGCCCTCGTCGGCTTCGACGTGCTCCGCGAAGCTGGGGGCAAGACATGCCGCACGGGCGACGATGATTGGGAGAAGAACCTATACCGGCATCCGCAGCGGCAAGGCCGATCGCTCCAGGTCGATTACGAGATGCGCCACGACATCTACAGCCTGGGCGTCTGCCTGCTCGAGATCGGCCTATGGGAAAGCCTTGTCGGTTACGGAGCCAGCTCGGGCGCGCCTTTTCCCGGGCCGGAGCTGTCTATATCCGACGGTAATATGAGCGGTCCGGAGTTGCTTAAGAACCCAGAGCGTATCAAAGACGGCCTTGTGCGGTTGGCTAGGGGCCCGCTCCGGCGTACCATGGGCACCATGTACGCCAAGGTCGTCGAGACGTGCCTGACATGTCTCGATATAGGCAATATCGACTTTGGGGACGAGAAAGAATCCCAAGGCAAGGATAGCGTGGTGGTAGGAGTTCGCTACATTGAGAAAGTGGTTATGAGGCTTGGTGAGATCGCTGTCTAAGATGTTTCTCCTTCATCCCATGAGGCTTTGCCACGTGCCACGCAAGAAAACGCGCAACTGCCTCTCTTGTTTACTAACCCGTTCTGTGGTGCTGTGAGGCTGGCCACTATACCTCATGACCACACCTCTTCCAGCCAGAGCTCTGCCTGCCTTTTCCTCTCCTCTTCCATAGCAGTAGCCATCATACTAGCCTAATCAACCACATTGTTGCTGCACCCGTCCATCACGTTCCTAATCTTTTCCCTACCTCCCACCTCTGCGTACGGCCAGCGAAGCGCCGGGTGGTCTGCGCATCAAGGCTGAACAACAGCCCCCGCATCAAGCACCCAATACGATGCCGCCTCTAGTTTGGCCCCCAAGTCTTTCGTTTCTGATCCCGTTCGACCTTGCGAGTATAGCGTAAATATCCGCCCCGCCGCTATGGCACACATCCCGGACCTCGTCCGTGATAACAAGCTCGAGACGAGCTTTGACGACAAGTTCACGGTCCATTATTACGACGATTCGGATGGCGAGGAGCACAGGCGGCCCAACCAGCGCTCTGTACACTGGGAAGAGGCTGGGCCGCTGGCGAGCGGCGGCTTCGGCGAGGTCTTGCTTCAGCGCTGCGTCGACGGGAACTGTGGTTAGACGTTGCGCGTCGTCAAGAAGATTGCCCGGCTATAAACCAAGCACTTCGACTACGTGACCGAGCTTAAGGTTATCGCCAAGTTCTCCCACAGGCGAGTAAGTAGATAACTGGCAGAGAGGCCTTGTTAAAAGGGGGCTAAGAGAGACGCTAACACCTCGCCTTCACAACAGTACTCCAAGTGCTTCGTTGAGCTCCTAGGATGGTAAGATACCGATAACTATCTATTTATCGCCATGGAGTACTTCCCCCTAGGCGACCTCCAAAAGCACATGTCCAAAAGTGGGCCAATGCTCGAGGCCCATGTCCGCACAGTCATATACCAGGTGTTAGAAGGACTGCACTACATGCACTGCGAGGGCTTTGCTTACCGTGATGTTAAACCAGGGGCATGCGCCTCCCCCCCTCTGCCGTCCCTCCTTATGGCGTCCTTGCAGACATACTGAGAAAACCCCGCAGAACGTATTGATCAAGTCGCAGCCGCCCCAGAAATATTGGTAGGTTAAGCTCAGCGACTTCGGCATCAGCAATCGCATCAGAGCACCAACCGAGATGCTATCGACAGTCAAGGGCACTCGAGAGTATATGGCGCCCGAGCTTGTCTACCCCAAAAGCGTGGTCGAGGTCAACAATCAAGCTTGTGATATGTGGTCCCTCGGCGAGATGGCGCACCGTATGTTGGCTGCGACGGCTGCCTTCCCTTCCTTAGAGGCCTTAATCTACTGTATGATAGGGCCGGACTCGTAGTGATTCCAAGAGCTTGGCCAGCATAGTGTCAGCGACAGCGCTGAATCTTTTATCTGTGCTCAGATGAGGCCGACGCCCGAACATCGCCTGCCCTCGGGTAAAGCCCTGGAGCATGGGTGGATCCAGCCCTGCAAGCCTTCTGGAGTGAAACTTGCCCCATCAAGGGCGTCTACACCAAGGTAGGGGCTATTTATTTTATTTTATTTTTATCTCCCCCTCCTCTTCCCACCTGACCCGTATGTTTGCTTAGCTAACTTCTCACGAGTAGCATGCGATCCAACATTACCATACCCGGCCTCGTCACCAACCCAGCTCCTAATTCCTAGGCAACAATATCATCAGTTGCTTCAGCTTTAACCCTTAGGCAAGATCAAAATCCAGGTGTTCCTACCCCCGAGGCGATCTCTAATAGCAGCAACGAGCCAACAACTGTCCAGGTCGAGCGACCCAAGCCAACGAGAAGAATCAAGAATGCGGCCCGACTCGCATCAGGCTCCACAGCGAATATCTGGGGCCTGCCGACAGGCGCACGGGTTCGCATCAGGCCCGGGCGACGGCACAGTGAAGATCTAGGACCCGGCGACAGGCGCATGCATTTCAACCCTCGAAGGCCACAGTAGTCATACGGTCACGTCGATAGCCTGGTCGTATTTGTAGATCTTGTGCCAGGGAGAAACTACATTTTCCAATGATGTCTTTATATGGAATCAGCATCAATTTCTCCCTTACTCTCTATCATATTATTTCTAATATCTTTGTTCAGTTGAAGGTTCTGGGAAACGCGATTACTCTATACTATTCGATTTCAGCTGCCAGCCTAACTCGCCACATACCACATCGCCACAGACAACTTAAACTGCTACGAACTACCTGCAGGAGGGCATAGCCGGCTAGAACGAAGCAAGGACTAGTCCGGGCCACGTTGTTACCAGACAAGGCCCTGGAGGATACTTATGAGGGGCTTTGGCTCCTAGCTGGGACTTGTGTATTAAGAGTGGATCTGGCCCTTTGAATATCGGTGTTTAGGGTGGCGCGTCTTAGTTTAAATTGAGTTACTTTTTACTCTGCAGTTAACTCTTAACCCTCAAGACAAAATCACGTAGAGTTCATAAGACGGCGAAGACAGTAGAAATGGGAGCCCCAGACAAGGGCTGCCACTCTTATCCTGTCTAAGAGCTAGCTAATACGGAGCAAACATCTCCTTTTATATTATCAACAAAGTTCCAAGGTAGGCACCTTCCATCGGCGAGACAACCGGGGTCAGACGAGGGTCTGGCTATAGATATAGACCCTACCTCACGAGCAGGATCACTGACAGAGACAGCAGAGTTGAAGAGATCGAAAAAGCCGTCCAGATCATGCCTATCGGTCCTCGTCAGCAACGGCCCGTTCTGCATCAATGTTCCCCTCGGCCCAGGACTCTTATGATTCCTCAACTCCGTATTCTTGAGCGCCGAGGTTGTATAAATCCCCGGGAGGGGGGGCGAGGGGTAGGCTACGGATAGCCCGCCCATGCGAGGCGACCAACCAATCCGGCCGCGGCGTCGCGCCATATGCCATGCACCATATATGTGTATGGGGAAATAAAGTTGGCGCGCCCCCGGCGATTCATGATCATACCTACATATCAACCTTATTCCATCCCACCTTATCTGTTTTCCCCGTGCGTGCGTGCGTGCAAGCGAGCGAGTGGTGGTTTAGAAAGTAAAAATGCGTGCTGCGCCGCATGCGTGTTTTGTTTCTGTTCGTCGTCGCACAAACTGTTTAAACGGTCGCACGGGAACGTCATCTTAACCTTTTCCATAATCTTCAAGCTATCATGTGCCGCTCTTAAGCACACGCGCTCAGAGCGAAAAACTCAAAGTGCTGTGCCCGGCGTGCGTTGGTCCATGCCTCTCTCTATACGCACATCCATCCATCCATCCGTTAGCGCACGCGGCACAGAACATGACAGACAATATGACATAATAATCCACCCCCTTTTTTCTTGTTCTTTCTCTATTGTCTTGTCTGTCTGACGTGATCCGGCGGGCTGGGCGAAAAATCCTTCCTCACAGAAGCAGCACCGATAACAGCGCCAAGTACTTGCCCAGGTACGTACCAAGAAGAAAACGAAGAATGCTCCAAGGCGTCGACCTTTGCCAGCCGAGGAATGCACATACACACGTGCGTGTGTATATATATGCGGGGAGGTGCAAACAGGTCTTCCATTCTATTGTCTTGGGTCAGCCGTCGTCCGTCGCCGTGTGGCTGGCATGTGAAGTGAGCAATGCGGATGCGGCCCCGCGTGCCTGGAAGCAAGAATGAGACTTGAAATTCTGAAGTTCCGAACCAAGACGACAATAAAGAGACTCACGGCACACGCACGTGGGAAGCGGTTCGATCGCGATGCCTGCCTGCCTGCCTGCCTGCCTGCCTGCCTGCCTGCCTGCCTGCCTGCCTGCCTGGGCCTCCGCCCCCATTCCATTCCCGTGCCGTTGCCAAGTATAAGTGCTCGGCCGGATTGACGACTGGCGGGTCAGGGGGTGGCGGCCACACGACCTGTCAACTCAACTTTAGGTCGTTCGTTGCCTCACCGCACCTCGCTCGCCCTAGACCCGCCCCCAGGCCTAGCAATTTACCTGCAAAGTTTCAGGTCGCCAAGGGAGCAAACATGGGCCGAACATGAGCGTTGTGCAACACAAAAGCAATGCTTAATCATACCGCATGGAGCTATCCCAAGCGAACAGTGACACCACCACACGCAGGGACAGAGGCAAACAAATTTCTTTTGCAAGTCGCAAAGCCCATTTTGATTCCTGGTTCGTAGCTCGTGAAAATCTATCCGTGATTTCCATTTCCTGTATGTGTCTGTACCGACACCTTTTGCCCGCGCAATCATAATCATCAAAGGTTACCAATACAAGGTCCCAAGCCCAGCAGCGCCCGTGAGAAATCCAAAGACACCTCAGGGCGGGCGCGGCAGCGACGGGAAACGAAGAGAAACGCTCCAACCAACCCATCATTTTTGGCTTGTCGGTACACGGGTTTCGTGCTGTGCGTGTGCATGCCGAATGGAACAAGACAGAAAAACACATGTACAAGTGAAGTGAAGATATAGCAAAATCGTTGCCATCCACGTGCTCCTCCTCCTTCAGAAACAGGATATACCCAGAAGGCAGAAAGTACCCCAGACCAAGCCAACCATAGAGTGGTGCAAAGTGTTCCAACAATCCCATCGAAAAATAAGCGACGCTAAATGTCCCGCCAGATATCCACACTGGTAAACGCGAAATCGCCTAAGCACCAAAGGCAAACGTTTGGCCTAATGTGCTAACACCGCCACCCTGCGCGAGCAGGCCGTCGCTCACCATGAAGAACGAGGCCCGCTCAACAAAGGAAAAGGTCGCGTTGGTCTCCAATTGCTTCAGGACCGTCTGGAGGGACTTGTTAACATCATCCGGCGAGCCGGGGAAGCCGAACTCGGTGATCCAGATGTTCGTCTTGGCCGCGGCGTGAGCCTCCAAGATGTGAGCAAGGAAGACGTCGGGCGGTACGCCATAGATGTGGATGGCAGTGAAATCGATCTTGCATTGGCCATTGCAAGCGGTAAGGAAAGCCGTAAGCCACTTAATACCCTGGCCTGCTTCTTGGCTGTTGGTGATGGCCGGAGAACCGATCCGGACCTTCCCAGACAGGGGGTTCATCAACTGGATGTGAGCAGCAGCAGCGTCTGCTGGCGACAGGTCGGCCTGACTGGGCAGGTCGGGCTCATTGAAGCTGAGGACGCACTTGCTGCCAGCACTGATAGCCTTTGCGGCGTTTGCGGGCCAGGTTGCGGGGAAGCCCTTGCTCGTAGACCAAAGCATGGGCACGAATTCGAGCCCGACGCCGGAGTCGTCACCTTGACCCCAGTTGTAGGTCCATGTGGCCTTGGTGCCGGATGTGAGGAAGCGCGGGAGTAAGGTATGGTCGTTGTAAACAAGACCGCGCTGCAGACCGCCAGAAGCGGGGGCGGCAGCGGGTGTCGCGGCGGGGGTTGCCGCAGCGGCAGAAGTCGCGGCAGGTTTAACCACAGCCGGAGGAGCCTGGGCCGCGCGGCTAGCAGCCGGGGCCGGGGTGGACGGAGATGGAGCGGCAGCAGCGGCCTCGGGCTGTTTGGCGACGGGGGCGACGCTGCTAGCAGCCGAGCTCTTTACCTGGGTAATGATAGTAGTCGGGGTAGGAGCGACGACGGGCGGGGAAGGAGGTGCGACAACGCTGGAACTGGAACTCGACGAGCTAGAGCGGACTTGGCGGGTCTGAGCAAGAAATTCGCGAGCGCTCGAGGTAGTAGACTTGTCGCCGACCGTGACCGTGACCCAGTCCGTCACCGTGACCAACTCAGTAACCAAGGCCCTCTTGTTGTTGTGGAGATGTTGGTGAACATGCTGGCGAGGGCCGAGAGCGACTGCGTGTCCAGCGAGACTGGCGGCGGCCAGAGCGAGAATTGCGTTGGAAAACATGACGCCGATGCGCACGTCTTCGTGCGGCAGTATGTGGTGGTTTCTCTTCCAGTTGTGTTATGCGTGTGGCGTAGATAAGCACTAGCAGTGCGGTGTGTCGGTGGTAGTCGCAACGAGTTTGTCAGCAGGTCGGTGGTTTGATGTGTCCAGGCGCAGCTGGCTGGGAATCGATGCAAAATTGCGGGAAATTTGCCCGCACGATCAGGCGTGAAAGGAACGGAAGGAAGAACCGGCAGACTCAACCAACGGAAAATGAAGAGTACAGAAGGATCAAGTAGGGACCGGGACAGTTCGCCGTCTATCAAAGACGCAGAAGGAGTGATGCGAATTTGAAAATAAACGAAAGGCCGCGGACCACCAGTGAGTGAGGCTGGAAGAGTTGCAGAAGGAGCAGGGAGGGTGGAGGGAGGGACGGGATTTAAAGGTGCCAGAAAATAGACGTGACCGGGGGGGGAAGGAAGGGTTGCTCAGATCGTCCCCGACGGTATTGCTTGGCGCGAGGGGGAGATCCAGGCACAGCAGCGCGCAAGCAGGGGGGGTGTGATGACAGGGATTACTGATGGACCCACCAGGAGTCGGGCCTGGCGAAAAGGAGCTTGGCAAGCCGCACGGTTGGGATTACCTTAGAGGTTGGTTGCAACGTCCAGGTTCCTTCTCCCTGCCAAATTATTTAAATACTCCTTCGTATTCCGTACCTGGCGAAAAATGCACAACAATCCCGGATGCACCTATTGCTGCGTCGTCTAGGGTCAAATACTGACAATGACAGGTGCTGTCAAGACCTTGTCGGGTGCTAATCACATTGCGCGCAACTGATTGCCTCATGCGGAGCTACAAACACCAAGCCTGGGCAAAAGCCGGTGGACTTAGTCGGGCAACCGGGCCTCTGAGATGCGCTGCACAGCAGGCTAAGCCCAAGCCCAACCGCCCTGAGCGGCCTAAGAAAAATTCGGATTAATTGGACTGGAGAAGGAATCATGCCAGAGCCTAGGCTAGTCAGACCTCATGTGGCACGGGCTACAGACTGCTGGGCAGACACAGAGGCAGAGAGTTCAGACGACAGCTGACTTATCGTGCGAACCCGTGGATAAACCTTGTTTCCATGGCCGGTTCATCCTATGATGGCCGTGCCAAGGCTCAAACTGGCCTGGGCAGGGTGACGATGCATTCGGCCACAACCCACGGCCTGCTTGTGTGAAGTCGTCTTATTTCAAAACAGACGCCGACGCTTGAGACGACGCCTACGTTCGCCCAGGTCGTTGGCCTCGACAAGATAGCTTATTGGAGCCTATTGAGGCGAATCGCTCAGCGCCGGCCCGGAGCAAAACAGGGCCGTCTTGAGGCGCGATGGCAGGAACGAATCACTTGGGATCCGAACCGACGGGTTCTGAATCAGTTGCCGCTGGGCCGTTTGGCGGGGCTTCGATCCGCTTAGCTAAACGTGTCCACGCCCCCCCCCCCCCCAGGAGCCACGCAAGCTCTTGGCTCGGCGGATTGGGCAATCAGTCCCCCACCACGGCCGGGTTTCCGCCAATCGACAGCGGCCTGCCCATGCAGGTACGGAACCGTCCACTGCGTGTCGCACAAAAAACCTGCCGTCCTGCAGGAACAAGGCACACGCGGCGGAAACCGGACGAGAAGAAAATCCTGGAGAAAAAAAACTAGGTGGCACCGACCGGCTTGCTCTGCGGAAAGATAGCCTGTCGCTGTCGTTGGCTGCTGATTATTAAGGAATACGCACCGCCAACGCGCCCGACGCCACAGGCTGACCGTTTCTAGGGTTGGCTAGACTGCCGTGGTATTCCGATCGGAGAATCCATAGATGTTGAAACCTGACCCTACCCTAAAGGGAGCGACTTGGCTAGCGCCTCCCTTTGCATGCAGTGCGCTGGGCGCTCTTTCTGCGCATCCTGACACACAGTGGCTAGCAATCGAGGGAAACCCCTTGCCGTCGAACAAAGGGCGGCCCCGCAGAGGGCGGTTGCTTACTGCGTGGCTTGAGCAAACCGCCGGCGCTTTAACGTGGGTCTCTTCCTCTGCAGAAGCCGCACGGCAAAGGCGCTTTACGTTTGAGCGTTGCGTTAAATGCAAACGGCAATAATTGCTCAGCTCCTCGCTGCTGCGTAAGGCAAGAAATAGGGTTATTCTTCTGTGCCCCTCCCAATCCATGGAAAACTGCCAACCAGCGTTATGGAGCCTCCCTGCTACGGGGCGCTCCCGCCGCCCCATGGTGGGTGACGGACAGCGCATCTGGCCCGTGAAACAGGGAAGCGAAATGAGCAGGCCGGCGCCACAGGCCGAAATGGCGCGTGTCCCCCTGTCAGAGAACAAGAGAAAAAAATGCTTGTCTTTTTTCCCTCTTCGCCCAGCCACGGACGATGCCCAATGCGGAATGGGTCCTACGCGGCCGGCGACCCGGCGATGAGGCCGCGCCAGTGATCCTCATTTCAGTATTGAAGTGCTGAAGGACAAATTTGCAAACCCGAGCGCAAATGATCTAGTCTTGTTGAAAAGTCATCGGATTATTAGATGGGCAATTGCACTGGGGCGGGGGGAATGCAGAAGAACAATTGATCATGGTTCGCGCCGGCGGCCGCTATGCGGGCCACGGGGGTAGGGCGGACGGATGGGCAACAGCGACTCGACTCGGTGGCGCGAGCGTTTTATTATCATTCAGACATCTTGCTCAGGTCTGGAGCGCAACGAGCGAGCAAGCAAGCCACCCGGAGAACCGTCACGCCGCGGCTTTTAATTGTTACGACAGAGTGAGAGTGAGAGTGAGAGCGAGAGTGTGACTCAGCTTCGACACTAACAAGAAAACGGACTACGGGCTACGGGCTACGTACGTCTCTGCCAAGCGCCACGTGGTGTCGCACGACATGATCCGCGTCAGCGCAGCGATAAGATGAAGAAGCCCCGAAGGAAAGGTAAAATAGGTAAGCACTCAATCAGGTGCCGTAGGAGCACTAGACTTCGCTATCTTTCCGCCAAGACTGTTTGGCGGGGTCGCTGGGTTGCTTGTTTGTGCTTGCTAGCCTGTCTGATCTCCCGTGGGCGAGTAGACTTCGTTGATTGCGTGTCAAGGTAGCGGGCACCTTTCAAGTTCAAGATTATGTACCTGGGACCTGGGCATTACATTACGCCCTCCCTCCTCGACTCAAGGTACAGGCCAGTGATCGCCGCACGGAGACTAGGCATGCAGTCGAGGGGCTAGCTTCAACAGCCATCTTTTAAGTTGTCTGTTGACAGTTGGAATCAGACGGTGTTTTCTGACTTGTCGGACGATAACCGTGACTGACTGCTGTTCATTAATTTGTGTATGTACCACATCCTTGCAGTGGAAAACGGCAGTGAGCAATCCCATTTCTCTCTACCTTGCGTGACATGTTCCTTCTCGATTTACCTTTTTTCGAAATTTATATTACCTGTCCTTGCTCGCGCGTGTGCCGCCCGCCCCAAGTCAGTCCCGCTTCCTTGTGCGTGTGTGTGCACTGTGAAGAATTTCCCGGGGTGTCACTTTACTGTAGTCTGTGTGGCGAGCCAGGTGCGCTCGAATATTAAATAGAGTGGAAACAAAAAAGATTAGATTGTTCTCAGTACCCGAGCCGTCCGCTCACAGTCACGGACAAAAGTTCCGAAGTTGCGAGATTGTGCGTTGTGCGTTGTGCGTTGTGCCAGGGGCGGGGATAATTTAAAACCCTCTTTTGATACGTATCGCTTTCCTTGTTTATTATGTTATTTCCTTCTTTTTTCCTTCTTTTAATTGTCCTTCGTGTGTTATTTATTTGTTTATTGCCGTTATTGCTGTTAAGCCCGGCGCCCCTATATCGCCAAACAGGGCAGGCCAGAAGCCCGGTTGTTGTTGTTCTGCTCGTTTCCCACTCTCTTCTGCCGTGCCGTGCCTGCGTGCCTGCGTCCAAGACGGGTGCCACGAGGGCCCACGGGTTCTTGGACGGGAAGCACGGGTTTGAGAAGCCGTGTACCTTCAACCTTCAACCTTGGGGGTGCGTATGTACTTACCTGGGTATGTGCGAGCGTGGGAAAACAAACAGCGAGCTCCACAAAAGGATATGTAATATGTATGCATTCGTCCGTTGTCACCGTTCTTCCGCTCAAGCAGGCGCCCTCTGGTGTTCCCATGGGCGTGGGGAAAGTTGGAACCGCGTTTTCGTCGGGCTCAGGTTTGTTGCATATATAAAGGGCGGGCGCCTGCTCTTCCTGTCTGTTCGTCCGTGGCCTGTGTGTGTGCCTCCACACACTCCAATTGCGCACACTGATCGTCCCGACCATCCGTACACGGCCGCGGTTTGTCTTTGGGCGTATGTGTTCGCTTGGGGCTGGGTTATTCTTTCCAGCGGGCTTTTAGTTTGCCGTTCTAGCGGGCCTTTATATTTTGCCGTTGGCTGCTGGCCTGTAGGTTGTGGTTGGAAATATTGACCAACTCGCCAGCCGCAGGTTGCGGCAGAAGCTAGGCTGAGCAGAAGAAATCCAGACGGCGGACGCGGACCAAAGGGGAGGATCTGCAGCCCTAGGCCGGCTGTTCTCTCTCGGCTATTGCGCCGATGCGGTGCAAACTTGAATCCTCGCAGGTAGATGGCTTCTGTCGTCACGACAGCCAACGACGGATACAGGCGGGTTGCTCGCCTCCCACCAACATAGCCGCTTCATATCGAGCAGCGTTTGCGACTCGGTCTGGAACGTGCGGGCAGCAAGTTATCTTGGGCCGCCCGTGAACATTTCGTGTTATCGCACGGAATGGAGTCGCTACAAACCGACAGTGGTAGGACGATTTTAATGGCTACACTCTCACTAAGTAAGTTGTGCGTGGCTCAGCAGCAGCTACCTACTCAGTACCTGAGTAAGTGAGTGAGTGGATAGCGTCAAATATTGTGGCTAACAATGGAACTCGATGGGATGTTCTGATAGCTCACATGTTATTATCACGACAGTAAAGAAAGACAGAGACAGAGCCAGTGGCTGGCCGAGATATGTGAGCCAACAGGTCAACCAGCTGCCGGAACGCCCGTCAGCCTCTTCCGGGCCGAACTCCGTACACGGGACCTATCACGACACGACCTGCACCAGACAAAAAATTCGGGGCGCGGCGATCCTGCCCTCGCAGCTCCTTCGGCGTGAGGTTTAGGTTTAGGTGACGACGATCTGTTGGCGAAGCCTTGCTGCTGCTGTTGAAGCCGTGGGTGGTTGATCTGCGGGCGTCCCCGAAAAGGCTAAACATTTCCGGTGGCGGTGTTTTACAGTACTGTCCTGACAGCCTTATTCCCAGTGTGGGAGGATTTTGCGGGGGGGCCACAAGCCACAAGCCACACGCGGAGGAAAATATGACCCGTGTCGGCCGGCTCACCGAACCGCCCAACCGCCCAACGGGCATGGGACCGACGGCAAGAAGGCGCTAAGCTCTGATGGGCGACCGTCGTCATGCGCGGCAGCAATATTGGCCAGAGGACGTGGCTTGCACGCGAAATGGGCAGACAAACGTCATCGTCGATTAAACAAGTCAAGGCTCGTCCGATACGCGGGTATTAGGCAAAGAAATGAAGGGGGTTTATTGACTTGTTGGAGGGCCGCATCAGCCTCAGTCACTGACGGAGCCGAGTCTCTGGGTCGTTTGATTTACTGTACGTAGTACACACTACTTAGGTCCCGCCTATGATCTGCGCACTGCCACAATACTACCACTCCTAGTGTACATGTACACCACCACTGCCCTACCACCCATGGGCAAGGTGTAATTCGCTCTTGTCCGAGCAAAGGCATAGCCAAGAGATGCCATGCCTGCAAACCACACCGTGATTCGCCCATTGCACCAACTGGCCCAACTGTCGTCGCCGTCGTCGTCACCCTTCATATCATCTCCTGTTATCTCCATCTCCAGGAGGACCCCATTAAGAAATGCCGTGAGAAGACGGGATTTAAACCTGATCAACACGGCTAGAATATCCATCACCAAAACCCACCCCGACGAAACAAAAAAACAAACAAACAAACAACCCACCCAATTGACCCGGACCCAACTCTAGCGCCTCGCCAACGTGCACGTAGGTAGACATGGCAGATCATCTGCGGCCCCATCTGACGCCCATGCTGGACTTTTCCGACCCGGGCCTGGACCTGCTGCTGCCGCTGGACGGCGCGGAGGCGTCTCCAAGCAACATGGCTGGCGACGACGACTTTGACTACGGCGCCTTTTTGTGCGAGCAGCAGCAGCACGACCTCGACATCGACTACCTGGCCGAAGAGAGCTCGGCGTCGACGTCGACCAACACTATCTCCATCCCGGACCAGGCCATCGCCCCGCAGCCGCAGCCGCGGCCGCAGCAGCGCCACCAGACGGGGGGGTTCGTGCCGCTGAAGCCTGCGCCGCCGCCGGCAGGACCTACGTCGGCTGCCAGGCCGGGCAATGCCATGCTCCTCGCGCGGCAGCGGCTTGAGCGGCGCGGACACACTAAGAGCCGCAGGGGCTGCTTCAACTGCAAGCGAAGACGTATCAAGGTGGGTTTTTACCTCTCCCCCCCGTCCCTGGTTCTTCTTTTATTACTAGGCACCTGCGAGGGGGGCGGGCGTCTTACCAAAAGAATACAAATATCATTATCTTGCATGCATGACTCTCCCTATTTATCTTACCCAGCGGGATATATATACGGATAAGAAACGAAGAGAGAAGTGTTAATACGTTGCCACTGTGCGTGCCTGTCCGGGCAGTGCCAGGAAACGAGGCCAGCCTGTGGCCACTGCGTCAAGACGGGGCTCAACTGCGAGTATCCCGCCGTTCCACTGGTTGTGCACCAGGTACGTACATACATATATGCGTGTCTGCGGTGTTTGTGTGTGTGTGGGGGGGAGGTAGGCAAGCAGGTGGCTTTTCCCCCCTAGGATGCCTGCCACATACGTACAAACACAGGACATCCCACCGGCCGACAGATGGCTCCCAGGACACGTGCCTGCATGTCAAAGAACAGAGAACTGACAGGGATATATTTATACACATGCAGCCACAGCACCAGATCCCCGTGTTCAGCATGCAGGACATGCGCTTCTTCCAACACTTCCTGCTGCAGTGCTATCCGCACCACCCCATCGGGTCCGAGAGCATCTGGACGCACGAGATTCCGTGTCTCTCGCAAAAGGCACGTCTTTCCAGTCGTCTCTTCTGCAATTTTGACCGAACTGACTCTCGGCAGTACGACTACCTGATGCACGCCATCCTGGGGCTCGCGGCGTCGGAACTGCTGTGCGAGGATGCCAGCCTGGCCGAGGCGGCCATGACGCACCGGCTCAAGGCGATCCGCGCCATCAAGAAGGCCATCGCCGAGACGGCTGCCTCGGCACCGCCGTGCCCAACCAAGAAAGACAAAAGCGGAAAAGGGGCAACAACACCACCGAACAACACCCACACAACAGCCAGCGACGGCTCGTTCGAGGAAGGCAACGCGCTCATGGCGACGTGCTACGCGCTGACGTTCCAGTCGGTGCTGCTGGACGACGGCATGGCCGAGTACATGACCTTTATAAGAGGGATCATCCTGGTGGGCATCCAGATGTACGTGCGGCGGGCGCGGCTCATCTTTGGCGACCTGATGGGCGAGCAGGCCGAGGAGTCCAAGCTGGCGCCGCACATGGCCGGCGTGCCGCTGATCGAGCGCGCGTGGGTCGACGGCGCCGTGGCGGCCATCGCGGCCCTCGAGCCGCTGGCCGCCCGCCACCCCGTCGAGCGCCGCTATCACGAGATGATTGAAAACATGGCGCGGCAGCTGTACGTGTCGTCGTGGGGGGGTGAGTCGTCTCTTTCCTTTCTTTTATCCTCGACAGAAAAAAAAACACACTTGAGTGACAACGTCCTGACTGCCTCGAACAGCATACAAGGCACTAACACAGCACTACGCGTGGTGGATGATGCTGCCGCACGAGCAGTTCCAGCGGCTGGTCGACCCGGCCAACCAGCCGGCCGTGCTGCTGGCCGCGCACTGGATCGCGCTCAAGCAGATCATGGAGCCCGTGACGGACGCGCAGAAGCGCGCGTGGGCCGACGGCGGCGGCGGCACCAGCGATAGCCTCGGCATGATCCGCTGGCTCAAGTACCTTAACCGCCTTGTCGGGGCTGAGTACCGTGCCTACAACGACTGGCCCGTGTGGGTCGAGCAGCAGCTGGCCGGGGACCGCGGGTTTTTCGGAAGGGCGGACTGATTTTGGGGGGATACCGTCCTCTATATATACCGGTATACCTTGGCCTGTGTCGTGTTGTGTGCAGCATTTCAGAGCCTGTCGTGTTGAGTGCAGCATCTTAGAGCTTGTCGTGTTTCGTTTTCAGGGAATCGTATTCGTCGGGATATGGTCCCTTTACTATACCCATGTATAATATCGTCACACAGCGTTTTGATGTGATATGATACCTTGCCCCCTATCTTTGTTTCTTCCCCTTTTCCCCTTCCAGATAAGACACCAATTCTCAAGCTGGAATTTTTTCATGTATCCCTAGTGAACGAAAAACGCTGTTACAAAACTGCTGGCTCGTCATAAATCGAGGCGCAAAGCGAATAGAAACAAAAATAAAATAAAATGGAAAGGGTCATCATGCCTGGGGGGGTGCGTACTGGACAGTGCGCCCCCTTCCCCTGAGCCCCTATAAATTCACCTCGGTTTCGCTGGCACCGCCCTCCCCCCACAGCGGGCGGGCAAGTGCATCCACCGGGTGCGCCCCACATTTCGTATTTCGCATTCCGACATTTTGGAAAGAGTGGAGCAGCCATGCACAGAGGTGGGTGGACGTCTTCTGGAAGGCTGACTGGCGGCGACGCCAAGCCAAGCTAACCTGGCCAAGCCAGGCAAGCCTCGGCGTCGTTGGCCAGTTTCCCCTTCTTGTCCACCTCGTAGTCAGTCAGTGGCTTCAACTTCTTTGTGGCCGGCAGCATCAAGCATCAGCGGCTGGCTGGCTGGCTGTGTAATGTCCCGCCACACGACTGACGTGGGTTTCGTATGCCTCGCATCGTACTGTGATTGGCTACGCGGAGGGAATTCATGCATACCTTACCCACCCACGGCAGGTACCTCCCTCTGAACATCGTTGCGGGCAAATACCGAGCATGGATGTGGTTAGGTCATTGATGCAACACCTAGCCTCTTCATTTGTATATACATATACATATATATATATATATGTGTGTGTGTGTATCCGTCTTTCCACAATGATCTTATCCATAGCTTTCGTACACTGTGCCGTGGTGACGCCGGCGAGAACACCGAGATTCCCAAAGTAAAAGGAAAGAAAGAAAGAAAGAAAAAAGAAGAAAAAAGCCATGACAGCCCGACTGCGAAAACAGCCGCGACACGGCCCCTTCCGCCGACACAGCAACGGCGGCAGTGAGGATCGGCTCGCAGGCATCGAGATGGCGCCCTTCAACAGCTCCCGCCGCGCCAGCAGCAACAGCAGCGTCGCCACCAGCGAGACGTCGTCGCCGCCGCCACCGCCCTACTACAGCAGCATCAACACCGGCCCCAGCACCAGCAATCCCACAGCTGCCGCCGCGGCATTCATCCCCACCGTGCAGCTGCAGATCGAGGCGGTCGGCCGGCCCGTGCTGTCGCTGCCGCTGCCGCCGCGCCCGGACCCGATCCACATCTACGCCGTGGACCCGGCCTCGGCCTCGTCCTCGTCTCCGTTTTGTTGTCTGTACACGTCGCTGCGCCAGTCGCGGCACTCGGGGTCGTGCACGCTGGTAGCCGGCGACGGTGGCGACGGCGACAACTCCCAAATCCCGCTGAGCACGACGACGTACCGCTTCGGGCCCGGCCGCAGCCCGCGCGTGCGCCTGTTTCTGCCCTCGGCGGCGGCGGCGTCGCATGCCCATGCGAGTGCGAGTGCGAGTGCGAGTGCGAGTGCGAGTTCAAACACAGCAGACACGTCTTCACTGCCCTATGACAATGATGATGACAACAACAACACGTGCAGCTTCGCTGCCGACGACGCACTGCCGCAGCAGCAACCCTGCTGGGACGACTTCGAGCTCACGTCGGCCGGCCTGCTCACGCGCGCCGTCGTATTCCGCACCCGCCTGGGCACGTTCGCGTGGCGCTATGCCGGGCGTCGCGAGCGCAGGCACTTTTTCCACTCCCACTTCCAGTCCAGCACATCGTCGCAATCACCGTCGCCACCATCCTCGTTTTGGAGTAGCAGTGGAAGTGGCAGCCTGCTAGTGCTCGAACGGGTCGTCAGGGTCGCGCGGGCACAGAACCACCACAACGGAGCAAAGGTAGATGACGAAGAACTGCGCACGCCCGTGGCGTACCTCGCGCGCAACGCCGCCCTGCGCACCCCCGGCAGCAGCGCCGGCAGCGCCGGCAACGGCGGGCGGCTGCTGGTCGACCTGGCGTCGTGGGACGAGGCGGGCGAGAAGACGGACAGGGACATGGCCGTCGTGCTTGTCATGGCGACGGGTCTTGCTATGCTCAAGCGCGAGGTTGACCGCCGGCGGGCGCAGCAGATTGCTGTCATGGCGGGCGTGGCTAGTTAGGGATTGGGTAGGGAAGGGGGAGTGGAAGTGGAAGTGGAAGGGAAAGGGAGAGTGGAAGTGGAAGGGAAAGGTGCAGTGGAAGTGGAAGTGGAAGGGAAAGGGGCAGTGGAAATGGAAGTGGAAGGGAAAGGGGCAGTGGAAGTGGAAGTGGAAGGGAAAGGGGCAGTGGAAGTGGAAGTGGAAGGGAAAGGGGCAGTGGAAGTGGAAGTGGAAGGGAAAGGGGCAGTGGAAGTGGAAGTGGAAGGGAAAGGGGCAGTGGAAGTGGAAGTGGAAGGGAAAGGGGGAAGTGGAAGTGGGAAGGGAAAGGGGAAGGTGGTGTCATTTTGATTTCTATTTTTTTAATCTGTTGTATTTACTTTCCCTCTATTTTTCTCCTTTACAATCGTCCAGCACGCGGCTACACATGATCCAGCACGGCAGTTTTCTCGGCCCTACCAAGCCCGGCAATGTCAACCTTGCCGTCGCTGCGCGTGGCCTCGTGCAGCGTGCGGCGTCCACACAGCGCAGTGTACTCCGTGCACCCACCCACAAACAGCGAGTCGGACGGGCACGACTTGCCCCACAGCTCGAACAGCAGCGTCCAGACGCTGAGGCCGGTGGTGGTCGCAACGAGGCCCAGGCTGTCGAGCCCCGTGGCGGCCGACAGGCAGAAAAAGACAACGCACACGGCGCCGCGGTTCGCCAGGCGCGCCCACTTGGGCAGCCGGCAGCGCGCGCCGCCGCTGGCCGGCCCGCGGTGCTCGTGCGACAGCGAGATGGCGCCCATGGCGAGCAGCGCCGTGCCGAGCCCCACGCAGTAGTACAGCCGCAGGCCGAGCGAGACGGACGGCGCGGACCGCTCCTGGTAGAACTCGGTCAGCGCGTCGAGCGGCGCGTTGGCGCAGTCGGCGACGACGACGAGCTTGGACAGTGCTGCTGCTGCGAGGATATACGCCATGATGAAGGCCAGGTGCGAGTACTGCCAGAGGGACGCTGAATTGCCGGTAGTTAGAGAGAGGGAGTGCTCGTCTAGTGTAGAAGACAGACGAAAGAAAAAAAACATACCAGAAACCACGCTCCGCCGAATCGCGTGCGTGCGCAGACCGCCACCATCGACCTCGAAATACAGCCAGTTAAACACATACGCCTGCACGAGGCCCAAGACGGCCTTTCCAAGAAACGCATTCAGCACGGCCGACGAGTTCCCGCCGGCAGCGTTCTGGAACACGACCCCGACCACCGAGTACCCCAGCACGAGCGTGACGAAGGCGTTGGTGCGCTCGACGCGGTGCTCGATGTTGATGGCCGGGAAGAACTCGAAGAAGCGGTTGATGCGGCGCGCCAGCGGCGGCGTGTCCTCCTCGCGCGTCGCCGTGCGCTTGCGCGCCCACGTGAAGAACCACACCGGCGCCGCGCTCGACAGGAACAGGTCGACGGCCAGCGCGGCAAACACCAGACCTACGCGCTGCCGCGGGAACTCTGCGTCGCTGCCGTGTTGGGATTCGTCTCCGTGGGATTCGCCGTCGGGCGGCTGCTGTTCCGTCTGCGCCTGCCCCTGCGTGTATGCGTGCACGCTGGCGATCCACAGCGCGGCGCCGACCAGCACGCCGGCGACCTGGGCGGCCATCATGCCGCGGACGAGCGGGACGAGGTAGGCGGTGAGGGCGCAGTAGGCAGCACTGAAGAGGCGGGCGGCGAGGTAGAAGCCGACGAGCTGGGTGAAGGTGTCCTCGGCCGGGTCGGGCGCGAACGCCTGCAGCATGTTGGTGGTCTGGCCCAGCAGGCAGGCGATCAGCACCAGCATCTCGACGCGCTGCGCCACGTCGTTGGTCTCGAACCAGCTGACCAGCTGCTGCACGTCGCTCCAGATCTTCCAGCTCATGGCGAACGTCACCGCGAACCGCAGCAGCTCGTGCCCGTTGGCTTCTTCGGCTGCGTGGTCGCCGTTGATGGCGATGATGCCGACTGCCCCCGGGGTTAGTGTGGTACTCACTCAGTAAGGGGGGAGGAGGGCATGCCGCGCACCGTAGAGCAGGTCGAAGAACAGCTCAAAGCTCATGACCTCGGTCTGGTTGGCCGCACGCCAGAGGAGCCCGCCGTGGAAGTACTGCTTGACAACGGGCCGCTTGAACAACTTGATGGTGTCGCTGCCGCCGCCGCCGCCGCCGCCGCCGCCGCCGCCGCCGCCGCTGCTGCTGCTGCACGTCAGTCTCGTTCACCCACGACAAACCCTCCCCCAAAAAGAAAAGGGGACAACACACCCATCCGAATCCCCCGCCGCGAAGCTGGGACTCCGGCTAACAGGCACCGAATACCCATCACTGCCCCCACCTCCAACCTCATCATCCCCACCATCACGATCATCATCATCATCATACATCCTCAACTTCGCATCGAACCCGAACCGCGAGAAACTCGCATTGCCCACGCGCACGCTGACATCGACTTGCAGGCGATCAAGCTGGCGCTCGAGCGCGTCGAGCTCGGCGCGCGCAGAGTCGAGCTCGTCGACGGCGGCGGCCCCGAACCGCGCGCGCAGCTCGGCGCGCCGCGCCGCATGGTGCGCCTGCGCCTCGCGCAGCAGCCGCCGGTGCTCGTCGGAGCCGTGGACGACGACCTCGACGTCGATCTGTTCTTCGTTGTTGTCGGCGGCGGCGGCGGCTTCCTCGTCGGCTGCTGCTGCTGCAGAGGTGGATTCCTTGTTGTTGTTATTGTTAGGGGTGGTGGAGTAGCGCCGGCGCAGCGTCTCGGCGTCCTCGGGTAGGCGCGCGACGACGACCTTGCGCCCATCGGGGAGGCGGAACTCTGTGGGCCGGCGGCGCGGGGCTCCTCCCGCGTTGTTGTTGCGGCGCATGATTTTTTTTGGGGTCTTTTCCCCCTTTAATCCGTAATCTTTATTTTATACTTTTCTTTTCTAACCTTTTATTTGTCTCTCTATCGTCTGACGTTGTACCGGTAGGTATGTGCGTACGCCGCAACCGCGCCGCGTTCCAACCTTTAGAAACTTTATAGTATAAGTTTAAAAAAGAAGGATTTGAGATAACAGATCAGATCAGATCAGATCAGGTCAGATAAAACAAAACGGTCTCTGCTGAAGGACGAGACTGAGTCCGCAAACTGCCTAACAGGGCTGTAGAGATTGACGGCCGGGACGGACCGTCGCGTCGTGTGCTGTGAAACCAGTGGGACGGCGGGAATCCGAATCCCACGGGGGACTGAACAGGGGGGGAAGGGCTGGAATTTAATCCCGTGGGTGCTGTAGCAGGGAGGGAGGAGGTGAAGTTGCGCCAAAGAATCGATGGATATCTGTAAAGCATGCAAAGACGGGTGTCGGAAACAAAGTAGGGAGATAACAAGAACTTTTGAAAGGTAGCAGGCTAGAACACGAGCGCGCCCGTAGCTCGTTATCCTTAGCCTCCCGCTCACGACATTCACCGCAACAACAGTTGGCGAGGGGCGCTGAATAAGAACCGCCCTCAATTGCTTGGCATCTTCCCTTGGCAGAGGCGTTTCTCATTTTACCTCGCTGCCTCTCTATCTCGAAACCCCAGAACGGCCATCAGTACGTGAACAAAAAGAAGCACAACATCAAGATTACTCCAGCCTTGTGCATACACAGAGGTGTGTATGTGTATTGATAAGATATAGTCATATATATATATATATATATACTCGCTGTGCTAGACTAACCCCAGACGTGAACGGAACCACAGCATTCGACGACAGGCGACAAATACGCTGAACGAATCGGCTTACTGCTACACCACAGCTCAAGCACCCGCCCGTGTCTGAAACGTGTACAGAGAAGTATACGTTGTTGCTGAGTGCCTCCGCTGTGTACCTGCGTGCGTAGCCGCTAGTTTATCCTTCATGGGGTCTCTCTATCTCATTCCCTCTCTATGATGGATGCCCATGTCGCTGCTTCGCCGTCATACCTAAAAATGGAACCCAACTCCAGCCCAAGAGACGGCAAGTTCCCGAAACCGACAAATGCAAAAAAGAAATTAAGTAACAAAAAGAGAAAAAAACCACCCAGTCCGCCAGCCAGTTGGCCCTCCAGTCTTCTTTATCATTCACATGTCTCAGGTCGTAGCCTCGGCGTCGATGCCGCGCCGTCCCGTGTTCCGCGCCATGGCTGACCCCAAAACGAACCACCCAAAAACATGCGATATATCCCCCAGTCCATTCGCCGACCGACTTCATTAAACAGCCCAGCCCAGAAAATAAACCGACCCATTAGCCAATGCATCACGCCATGTTATGTCAGCTCGTACCGCCCTATGCTATTACAAAGACACCCAAAAAAGACAGGGTCAAGAATGCTGTTCGTCAAGAGTTTCGGTCGACCGTTCTTTGCGGCTTGTAGTTGGGCAGCTCGTCGAACCACGACTGCTCCTCGTTGTACTTGTACGCGTGGAACTCGATGCCGTACGGCTTAGGCTCGATGGCGTATAGGATCCCGAGGGGCACGTCGAGGTCGGCAATGTCGTCGCGCGTCAGGTCCATGAAGTAGGCCATGAGCACGCGGCACACCGAGCGGTGGCTGATGATGAGGAGGTGGTCCGTGATGCGCTCGATCTCGCGCACCATGTCGCGCAGCCGGCTGATGACCTGCAGATAGCCCTCGCCGCCGACGCCCGGGTAGATGTACTGGAGCTTGTCGCGCGAGCGCTTCTGGTATTCTTCGGGATACTTTTGCGCAATCTCGTCGTACGTCATGCCCTCAAACGTGCCCGCGTTGAGCTCGTTGAGCATCTCCCATGCCTTGACGTCGTAGTCGTCGTCCGCGTCGAAATACTCGGCCGTCTCGATGCTGCGCTTGAGCATCGAAGTCCACACGCAAAAGTTCTTGTCGTCCAGTTCCTGGTTGAGCTCGGGGTAGGGAGGCGTGTGATCGCCCGGCTGCGGCGGGAACGTCGATTTCGCAATCTTGTTCTTCTGATCGATCAGCCACTCCTTGCGCTTCTGCGTGATGAAGTGGTACAGGGCCTGGCCGTAATAGTGGCCCCGCTCCGTCAGCTCCGAGTCGCCGCCAAGCTTCTGCAGCTGGTTGTCCACGCTCTGCCCGTGGCGTGTGATCCAGATCTGCCTCGGCGACAGGTTGAACGTTGTTAGATACGACGCGATGCCGCCGCTTAGGAAGCCCTTCAGCCTATGATGGACTACCTTCCTCCCAACATCGATCATCTGCCGGGTCGTTAGCGCGTTAACTGTTCTCACTTGCTGCGGGCGGCGGCTTTTTTGGAGTACCTGGATGTACTGCAAATCATGCTCCTCTTCGTACTCGCCCAGGGGTTCATAGGCGCTCTCGTACGCCTTGACCCGCTGCTTGAAGTCTTCGAGGGACTTCCACGGGTCCTTGTCCTTGTAATCCGGTCCAGACAACTTCAGGCGCATGTTTGCTTCCAAGAGCTTGACCGTCGTCAGTTGCGGCCCCAAGACACGCGCTCTCTGAAGAAAGGACTCACATTCTCATCATGACATATGCTCTCAATGAACAGTATGCCGAGTTTCGGCTCTCTCTCCCTGATGCGGTTGACGAGCAGCTGCCGCCTGTGGATCGTGCTGTTGGTGGCGTCGAGGATACCGACGGCGCCGCCTCGGTGGAGGAGGTAGTCGAGCAGCTCGTCCAGCGTGTCAAGCGCGACCTGTTCCCGAAGCTTGGCCGCCGATTCGTTTTTGGGGTCGAAGAACTTGGCCGACTGGTCAATCTGTTGCTGACGCTTCAAGCGGGCCGCCGACCCGTTGAGGTCCAGCCTCGTAGGCTCGTCCTCTACAGTAATGTTTGGCATGTTCTGGGCGCCATTCAGCAGGATCGTGGCCGCCTGGGTCGGTCCATCGGGCTCGGTGGCCGAAACCGGAGCAGCTTCGTTTTGGGGCTTGGCGACGCCCGCCGCGATACGCCTGCGGTTGCCGACATTGAAAATCCTTGAATTATGTTGTTGCCAGGACAGATATCGCTGTATCTTCTTGGTGATGTACGACTTTCCCCGCGCTGGGAGGCCTACCATGATAATGACGAGCTTGGCCGCGACATCTCTCTCGGGAATCCGGCCGTCAGGAGAGGCTTTTGATCGCGTCATCCCTGGAATGTTGAGCGTTGTGGCATGAGGCCGGACTCGGGGAGTGTGGTTGCCCGAATTCTGGCGGAGCGGAGGACTGCCAAAGCGTCAGCCTCTAAACGTGGGCGCATACCAATAAAATTGCAAGATGCAGCGCGCCACGGGGCGAGAACAAACAAGCGACAGGTGCAAAGGTCGACAAAGCAGCATGCGGGGACAGCTCTGCACATTCGCCGCACTTACATCCGTGGTGATCCTGGGGCAGTGGACGCTATGCTGCGGCTGTAGGGTGAATCGTACGCGGTCGTCGCAGGCCTGTCGAGGGCCTGCCCGTTCACATCGAGCTCGTGCAGCGACCGGAGGGCGTGCGCCAGCGCCGGGGTTGCGGGGGGAGGTAGGAGGTCATCGTGGGAGCGCCCCGACCCGTGGGGTTGCGGTCCATTGGCAGAGATGTTGGGCGACGAAGGAGCTGTGGCCGACGAGGCGATCATTGCCAGCTTTCGTAGCGACTGTGTTTGCGATTGTAGCAGCGGCGTCGTGCTGCCACGATTTCCTTCTCGGCGAAATGCAGGGTTAGCCGTGGTGTTGCTCGAATGCGTCAAGGCTGCGCGGGATGGGGAGGTAGTATCTGTAGCAGCAGATTGAGGAACAAAAAAAAAGAAGGGGGAGGTGGAGGTCAACCTTTACCTTTGTTCTGCAGACCCGTTCTGTCAGGGAGCACAACCAAAGGTGGTGGTGACATGGACGACATCAGGTTTGGTAATCGCAGGGCTAGTTCAGTGTGCCAGAGCCCAGGGCAGTCTAGTGGCCCCCAATCGCGTGGCTTAAGCCTGGAAACTAAGGCGCCCAACAAGCAGCTTTTTGGGGGTCAGTTTTATCCGAAATATCCCAAATGGAAGTTGGAGACGGAACACAAAACGAATGCGAGTTGATTGCAGCAGCTTTAGTGAATGGAAGAAAGCAGCAACCTTGTCGCGAGGATTCTCGTCCGAAGAAAAATGAACAAAGGTTAAGGTACGTAAAAGAATTGGATGGGGTCGCCACCCGCTCCATGGCCGACAGACAACTAACTTACCGTGGAGAACTTTGGAAAGAATATGAAGGACTATCCACTTTAAGAGTTTTGCTCTGCACAGTTTATTCTGTGGGTGGGCCTAGGAGGCAAGTGCTAGCAATCGCAAGACCTTGTAGTTTGCGCCGCACGGGTCTGGTACCTAACCGTTCCACAGAGGGGCGGCTCTAAGTTCCTGGCGCGCCGGTAGAGGTTCCACTTTGTTGGTTCTGGTGTCGGATCGCTTCGTCCAGTTCTCGGTTGTTGAACGGCAGATGACGTACTTGGATCCTGCCGTTGATGTTTGGGCCAGTTCGACGTGCGGGAAGGATAATAAATAGGTAACCTGGGACCTGAACCGCGGTAGCCACAAAGCCAAAAGGCCTAAGGTTTCTTGCCAGCCGGGCGTGTGCCTGTCATTTTGAAATAGGTACTGCCCGATCGGCGCCAAGACGGGATCATCTGAATGCGGTCCGTGGTGTAGGAGATGGTGGTTGAAATGGATTGGCTCAATGTCCGACTCGGTTCTTTTTACGTGCCACTCCGAGACACTGGTCGGTCGACGACGGCCCGCGCTGGCTTCACTTCTCGGGCCAGGAGAGTTCAATAGAGTGGAAAGAGTGGCTGACTGGTGGCAGAAGGGGACCCGCTTGTAAGTGGCCCTTGAGAATAATTTATATTTCTTTCTTGCCGTCAAACGGACCAGTGATGCGACAAGCGCAAACCAAACGGCCGATGTTGAGGGAGTGATGCGGGTGGCTTTTGGAACTGTTGAAGAAAGTCTACCCGGCGCCTTGGCGGTGCAAGCTGTGTACGCCGTACGTATTGTACAAGTTCAAGCTGGCGAGAGGTTGTATGTAAGTGAGGAAAGCACGTCGCCTAAGAGCGGCTCGGGGTCCCAAGGTCTTAGGTGTTCTCAAAAACCGGAGCAGCAAATTGCATGTGCATAGGTGTCCACGGCCATGCTTGCCTGGTGCGGAAGAGTCAAGATGGAAATGTAATCAGAAAGGGAGACGGGATTCTCGGACAAGGCATATTGCATCGCACCGCCCAGCCTGGCACCTCACCCCCCTTTTCTTATCACCAGCCAAGTAACCAAGTAACACCCGCCCTGCCTTCACGCATCCCCGTGCTCCTTCCTACTGCCGGTCAGACAGTACGCACGCAGTCACGCACGTCTCAAGCTGTCTGTTGGGAGCAAAGACGGGAACGGGGACCAAGCAATCGTCTCCGTCAGTCCAAGTTTCTTATCTCGACCTCCCTGAGCTTTGAAGACAAGTACATACCCCGCTCTCCGTGTTCGGAGGGCCGGCTGCTGCTGTGTGGCACAATTTGCTGCGTTCAAACCTAGGCCAGGGATATGCGTAATCCGGACAGAGACGTTTCGGGAATCTGACAGCCTCCCGAGTGCAGATCACCCAGTCTAAGACTGCCAACGTCGCCGTAGCCATTGACAAAACAAACAAGTCGAAGACGAAGACGAAGCCCCCCATCAATTCAATCTGCCCCAAATTGTGATTCCGCGCCCAGCTTTGCCAAGGCCGCTGGATGCTCCTTCGGCACTTGATTTGGTTCCAACTTCCAACATGGCATCAAGACTCAAGAGCGCTGGGCGAGAGCAAAGGCCTTGCTTGTTTGGGTCAGATCATCCAGAGCAAGTGGATGTGGAAGTGGATGTGGAAGTGGATGTGGATAGAGGATTTTCCGAAACCATGTCTCGGCAGGAAGCCGCCTGCCATGGATGTCTGCACACGCAGACTCAGACCCATACAGTTACCTAAGCTGGATGGGGCTAGCCATGCGCCCCAAAGGTACCGAGTACGGACGCAGGAAACTACTGCAAAAACTAAGGCAAGGTAACTTCCATTGCCTTAGTGTAAAAGAGGTGAAGCTGAAGTGAAGCTGTCTTCACCTTGCCCCGAGCTTCGTCCCACCAGCCAGCCAGCCAGCCCTATTCGTAGCCACAGTGCATCTCCCCATCAGATCAAGTTCACAGCACCGTCAGATCTTGCAGCGATTGGCGTGATTGTCCTGGCGGCGACGCTCGGTTCGGCGTGGAGACCAGGGGAGACCCTAGACACCTGAAAGCCCCCTCAACGCCTAGCCATGCCCCGCAACGCGCAGGCCTGTGCCTGCCCGCGTCAGAATGGACACGGCGTGGGACCCACTCCAGGGGTCTTAATTGTTGTCGGGTGGGGCTCGGTTTTTTTGTCGCATCGCTGCCTACCTCTTCGAACGGAATTGGGCACCTGAATTTCTTTCCTCCTGGATGAACAACATCAAACTTGTTCTTTCCTGGGCGCTTCTTGGGTTGGAAAGGGTACTCGCAATGGTTTCTATCCTTCGACCCTTCTATCCTACACTCGACATTTCTTAACTTTCTCCCTCGTCGCGCGTTTCGTCCTCGCTCGCTCTCTTTCAAGCTCGCGAAATCGCGTTGCCCAGGTCAGCCCACTCCGCCGCCCGACAGAGGTTCGCTGCCTCTTCCATCCTCCTCTCCTCCATCTTCACCGCCCGCCTCAAATCGGGGTCACTCTCAGTCCGTTAGCTTTGGATCGCCTTTTTGCTTCATACACTGTTGTTTCCGGTGCTAATTTCGGGCTTCCAAGTGCAGACGGTCAAGATGTCTGACAACGATATCTCCGCCTCTGCCTCGGCTTCTTCGTCTGCCGCGGCCTCTGCCCCTGCTGCTGCTGCTGCTCCTACCACCGCCACCACCTCCGCCCCCGACGCTAAGCCTGTCCTTTTCTCGCCAGAGTTGATTTCTCTTCACGCCTCAATAGTCAAGGAGTTCGTGCAAGGCGAAGTTGACCAAGGCATCTTAATCCCGCTGAAGACGGCGTCTGAGCTGGGGGACAACTTTACGACGGACAATTTCTTGATCACTCGTGCGCCTGTCAAGGCTGCAAACTTGGCCATCAGGTATGTGAATCTAGCCTCCCAGTATCGGATGCACGCCAATGTGAAAATAACGTTGTTAGCAAGCTTCGCGAACTGCTCCACGATGACGTCGTTAAAGGCTACCCTCATCTTCGCAGATGTGCCAAGCCTTGCGACCTTCCGGCGCACCTCAAATGCAAATACATGAACGACACGCCAGAGGGCCGCCACATCCACACGGGCAAGTCGACGTGGATCTACATCATATGCGGCCCCGAGTCGGAGCTGGACCGCGGCGCCCTTGAAGCGAAGCTCCGCGAGCTCGAGGAGTTTGAGGTCGGGGTGTTCATTGCCAGCATCGTCGTGCCCCTGGTCGCCCCAAATTCTCAGATGCAGGCGGCCATGTGGTCCCAGCACTTCTGGCCCACCGTCTACCGGAAGAACAATCCAATCGGGCCGCACCCGGCCATGCTAGCTCGGAGCACAGAGGAGATTGACGGCGATACTTCGGTCTGGATGATGATGGCGCAGCAAGTCGCCATTGAGTCGCATGACGCTGGATACGGCGAGCCCGTTGGCGCCTGCATCATCAAGCGCGACGATGAAGGACATCCCGTTGTCGTTGCCCTTGCTGCGGATGCTCGCTGGATTGGCCACGACCGTGGAGCTGGAGAAACCGGTAACGTGATGGCGCATGCCGTAATGCGTCTCGTCAGCATGGTTGCTCAGAAGCTTAAACGAGTCGAAAATAAAGAGAATGGCACCGTGCCCGAGGCCCCCGAGGAGCTCTTGTTTGATGCGTTTCAGGACGCCCCGATTCTCGAGGCGGAACAGAAGATCTTCCAGCTAGACCACCCATGCCCCAATGGATATTTGTCGCACGGCCTCGAGCTGTACGTGACGCACGAGCCTTGCGTCATGTGCTGCATGGCCATCCTTCATTCTCGCATGGGCAAGGTCGTCTTTCGCTACCGCCAGCCGCTCACCGGCGGACTGTGCGCCGAGCACCGCGGCGACGGTCATCCGGCTCTAGCGGGAGCAGACGGCGGCCAGGGGCTTGGACTGTTCTGGCGCAGGGAGCTCAACTGGAGCCTGATAGCCTGGGAGTGGGAATCGCCCATCACCTTCAAGATGTTGGATGTGGACGCGGCCATCCACATTTAGTATGGAGGAGCAGGTCGGCGCCGGGAGGGGAGACGCAACACGTTTTTTTAGGGATCTTGCGCTACGTTCCTTTTGGGTTGCAATGACAGAAGCTGGGGGAATTAGGTAGTCCCCTCGTCGGGTTGGCATTATTGAGGCAGCATTTTGAGGCAAGTGGCATGGTAAGGACGGCGTTAGGTATGCAGCCTTTCGAGAAAAGCTTGACGCTGCCATTGGCGGGTAATTCTCTGCGGGGTTTATACAACAACATGGATGGCGGGTGTTAGTTCCGGCATGGGTTAGTGGCGTTGGATGGTATATCCCCGAATCGAATTCTATCCCCCCGATCTGCGCGTGAAGGTGATTGTGTCTGTGGTTGCCGGTCTGGTGTCGGCAAAGTCCTGAAGAAGCTTTGCTGGGCGGTAGGTATGTTCCAGCTGCCGCCGAGTTGAGAGATCGGCAGAGATGGGGGTATGGCTGTTTCGTGCCACCAGACTTTTGGTTGAGCAAACAAGCGCTCATTTAGCAAACACCTACTTTGTAATTCACAGGTTTTGAAACTTGTGTGGCAACTCAGATAACGGCGATCTCTAGGTCCCTATTATTGCCGGCCCGAGAAAGAGAACTAGAACGTCAAATAGCACAAGACATGTTTGGGCACTTGTCCTGGGTGTCCGAGAAACATCTTAGTAAGTACGTATTAGTATTGTGTGTGCTGGTGTCTCAATGGAGATGGGCGATCTGGGTTAGGTCGGTATGCAAGATGTGTATGTACCTATACATACATGAAGTACACACCTGGGGAAAAGTGCATCCATGCCTCATTTGTTACCTCACCCCCGGTGCAGCGCTGTTTCGGGTACCGCACCCAACGTCGCGGAGTCCCGATTACTCACGTCACTTGTCAGGACAGGGGGCAGCTTTTTGCACGGTGAGATTAAGGAGACCCTTGCGATGGTTTCTATGATTGATGTAGGCATGTATGTATGTAGCTTGGTACCTTAGCTACCTAGGTTGCCTCTCACTGGGTCGCAAATGGCCGGGCAACGCTGTGAAGTTAATAAGATAGGGGTAATGCACGATGCAGTTGGAGCGAGATGGCTCGAAAAGGTCGACGTTTCCTTTGAGGAGTAGAACTATTTTCTTTGAGTAATCTAGTCCCCTCCCTTAGGGCAGGTCCTGCCCATCCCAAGTATCCCAATTATCCTTTCCTTTTGTTTCTTGGATGTCCTGCACCCAGTGCTATATGTACCGGATTCAAAATTACCAGAGAAGCCTCCAAAACGCAGCCCGGCTGCTCGGGTTCGTCCCCAGGGACGGTTTTGCTCCGGCACTCGAACCAGCTGAGAGCCTGCCCACCTAGATACGTACCTACCTCCCAAGAACTCGACGCTCAACATCGACGGCCACCTGCGGTGATTTGGCTATTTAGGGCCGGTTTTCCTAGTAGAGGCAGCGGAAGCTACAGGCGCAGCCGCAGGTGCAGCTAATTGTCCGGCGCGAGACTCTGAGCGTGACGACGATCCCGAGCCGGTGGTGTCGTCTGACTTACAAAGCGTGTAGTAAACTTCGCTATACTGCTCGCTCTCGGTGCCCGGCTGCCGGGTGCGCCGTAGTGCTTGTTCGCACATGTCTCGTACTTGTGCATGAAGTCTTCGACGAGGCCGTCGGCGGTGTTGGCGCGGTGCCTACGCATGCGGCGCTGGTACGTCACGCACAGCCACTCGACGTCGCCGACGTCTTTCTACGGCAAGCCGCGCTCTACGGCCGACTGCAGCTTGCCCGCAAAGAGACTCTCGGGCGTCATCACTTTAATGCCCTTGACCGTGTCGAAGCTGCTGCTGAACCCGCTCAGGACTTTGTCTGTACAGCACGAAAAACAAAAGGGATGGTGTTAGCTGAGATACTGATAATAGTGGTGTCTGTCCCGTATATCTTCCCGCGTCCGTCTATTTCACCGCCTGCCTAGAGGGGCTTGTTGGTCAGACTCTGTCCCCAAGAAGAGTAATTCGTCTCTATACGCACCTATACGTAGCTTGCAGCCTGCCTGCCGCGAGGTTTCATGATGTTTGGGGGGAGGGGTTCCCGGTTCCTCCTCGCCGAGCCGCTCTGAACAACAGGCTGCCAATGCCGCGCCCATATTGGTATTTGGCCCCTGCATGGCTGGGCCATGTTTCGCTGCTATCTCAATTTCCCAGCAATATCTGTACACACAGGAGAAGCAACGGTTATCCCAATCTACTCCCCACTTTCACAGTCCTCACAGCCAGTTGCTTGACGCACGACTTCCCCATGCTTGTCTCTGAAAACCGTATTCCTGTCCTGGACGAAATGGCCCAACCAGCCAACGACGATGCCACGGTGATCGACTGAGTGTTTAGCGTCGTCCAGAGGCTCGAGGAGCGCGGGATTCCCAGCTGCGTCGCGGGGGCGGCCGCCCTGTAATACTACGGCGCGCCGCGGCTCACCGAGGTCTGTCTGCCTGCCACGCCATCCCACCCCTCTCCATCTAGTCAAGACCGCTAACACGTCTCCGCACTCCTCTACTACTAGAACTGGGAGATATGCGACCCAGACACCATGCTAGACCAGGCAACAGCAGAATTCGCCCCCGACACAGCGCACTACGAGCCGCGGCCCTCCTTAAACCCGGGGCTCAAGTCACTCACACACACGTACCAGCGATTTGCAGCCCTAGACTTCCACACCGACGCCGGTGAGAACGAAACCGGCTTCTGCTTCCGCGTGGTGCCCGCAACCGAGTACTTCGTCATTTCCTTCGACTTCGCGCGCGACTTCGAGCGCAGCCAGCGGCGCGGCGTCCTCTTCCCGAAACTCGACGCGCTGGCGCGCGGCCTGCTGCACGCGCAGCGGTACCACGACGCCGAGGACCTAGTCAACAGCATGGGGCTTAGCGAAGCGTAGGCCGACGGTGCGTGTCTTAACCTCGACGGCCCTGTGCAGACGGATTACATCCGTAAGACGAATGAGCGGATTGCGTCGAGTCTTGTAGAGCTGGGGCTGAGGCCCGCGCTTGCGATGCTGGTTGAGATGCCGAGGTGGAGGGGGGTTTGGGAGGATACTGTGTATTGTGCGTGGTAAGGAGCAGAGGGTTGATCCTAGTTTGAAGGGCGTGTTTGAGACGCAGTACCGTGCCAAGGGTGCGGGGGGTCCGAGGGATAGGGAGGATTGTCTGTGGTAGTGTTCTGGTTGCTATGGGTGGGATGGAGAGGGGAGTTGTGTGGTGCAGGTTGATGGATATTATAATTTCGGAGATTCTGTAGAGGCTAATTCTCTAGATACGCTAATTTGATCGAGAAACTGGACCGGCTGGGGTGTTGATGACCGTTAACGGGCGACCCACCAGCACAGTGCAAGTGGGTCGCTCCGGCTCCAAGCACTGTCTAAATAGGGGCTCCTTAACTACCCTTCCTCTCCTCGCCATCAATTATGGTAAAATGGGCAAGATATCTCTGTTAACCGAAATATCACCATTTAATAGCTCAAGAGAAGAGTAAACCTACTGGAGAGCAGGTATAAAGTATAATAAAGAATCAAGGCGGGCGACTTTTAATATGCCTAGCCCCTGAAACCCGGTAGAAGAAAACAAACTGTTCGTGGCGCTCTAGCTACGATTGTGCCTAGGCGTTGTGTCGCGATGCAACCTCAGGGGGGGTGATGAATAGTACGTTGATTCATGTCTAGTGCTACCTACGGTTCTAGCTGAGGGGGCCCAATTAAGTAGGTGCGGGCCGATGTCCGTGCAGCACGTTCCTCCGTCACGTGCCTACGCACCCGACCCTCTACATCCTTTGTCGTACCGTCCAAAGTGTCGCTATTCCAACACAAACCAAGACCAAAACAAGACAAACTAAATAAATTAGCGGTTTCCTGGTTCTTCAGGGCTCGGTAGTACCGAAGACTTGGTAATTTATCCCTTAATATTTCTCTGCTCGACTTGACCCAAAATTGATTAGCTCTAAAATTTGTTATGGGGGCCTCGAATAAGAAAACTGGCAACCGTTCAGGGGCTAGCTAGGGTGTGTATGTACAGTACACACGTAAGATAGTCACTACTAGTACGGCGTACAGCACTTGAATAAAAAGGGGTAAGGCGCGACGCGGGAGTGGATACAGTTCAACTTCCATTGACTTGTTATACTGCCACCAGGGCGCCTCCCTAGGACGGTTCCTGCATCCCGAAATACCCTGTTCCTACATAAGGTAGTAGGATGTTCCGCATCAGACCCATACCCGCTTGCCTGTTACAAATGACCCAGGGTCTCCAAGACGCAGCCAGCTGCTCGTTTTTAGACCTCGATCCCGGTAAAGACGGCTTTGCTCTGCTCCTCAGACCAGCTGGAGGCGCAAGGAAAAAACGAAGCCAGGGATCAACCCTCCCCGCCCCAAACACCGCACAGAGCCCGCCTCTCAATGCTGACTTGAGTCAGGTATCTGTTTCGAACCTGATCACTTCCTCTTGTGTCCCAAAGCCAAAGTCGCCGCAGCCGAAGAGGATTCGGCAGCCGAGCTGGAGTCGGCGGCAGTGGAAGTTGTAGCTGGGGCTTTTCAAGACGCTTCCTTTTCGGCGCTAAAGCGAGACTCGCCCCCCGATAAGCTCTTCTCATCCACGCCGAACAGCGTCCAGTAAATAAGAGAAAACGTTTCGTTCCTTTCAACATCGCCGTCATTCTCGGTCACATAGGCCCGGTAATCCTCGATGAACCCGTCTCTGAGCTGGGTGTTGATGTGCTCGCGATGTCTTGTCCGCATGTCTTGCCAGCATGTCTTGTCAGCATGTCTTGTCAGCTCTTTCTGGCGGTTAAAACACAGCCACTCCAAGTCGTCCAGGTCTTTTTCTTCCATCTGAGACACCACGGCCGCCTGTATTTCGGTGACGAAGAGGACCTCTGCCTTGAATACGTTCCCTTTTTGATGACGGTGATGCAGTCGTTGAACTGTGGCATTAGTCGCTCCATATGCTGGTGCAGCACAATGAGTTAGCCAAGTTACCGGCAGCTACCTCGAGTAACAGTACTCTTTTTTTTTCCTTATTCGGTCTTCGTTTATTCCGCTCATCTTTCTTACCGGGTATCCTCAGGTAAACTCAACGAGGCCACTATTTCAGGACGAGTCTCCGACCTGGGGCCCGACGATGATGAAGCATCAGGCGTTACCAGAACTCCAGGACAGAGGACTCGGCCGCCACATCCTGACAGGCTCAAGTTAGCAACGCAAGCTAAAAGCCGCCAAGGCCTGTACCAGCCCCATGTCTGTTAAAAACATGGACCTGGGGAGAAACCTCAGAATTGATGGAGGGGGGTGTATGGAAAAGGCCCGTACCAGTCACTGGTTTCTATTACCTCCTTCACTGAACGGACAGTGGTGTTGATTTGAAAGTCAATATCGGAGGTGGTGCGGTCCTTCCGCCCTATCATCTTAAGCTCCATTCCACCCATTAGTGCATATGGGATGCTGTTATTACTCATGAGACGTACGATATATTTCATTGCCGCCTTGATTTGGTCGAGGTCAGCCGTTGCTGCAGTCATATCAATTCATCAAGTTTGTCATCAGTGGGAATTAGACACTATGTTAGATCGTTGTTGCTGCCGCTGCCGCTGCCACTGCCGCTGCCACTACCGCCTGCGTCGGAGCCTTTATCTTTCTTTCCACCGCTGGTGATCTTCTTCGGAGTACTGCCTATAGCCTTCATATCGGGTGATGGGGGTGCGATATCGGCCGATGGACGTGTGGCGAGAGAATATATCTAACTATTACTTGCTCTGTAGAGATAGGTGGACTGGTGAGAGTGATGTGGGTGTGTGGGTGGCCTCAATGCAGTGGTGTCTTTGGGTTGTCTGATGGATATCTCCATCGCCTCTGAAAGCGAGGGAGCTCTCGAGGCTTTATACAGATTCACCAAGCGTTTCAAGGCTGCGTCCCGGGGCATTGTTGCGAGCATCCTGCGTCCTAGCAGGAGTTGACGAACCACCCACCCCCATCCCTCAGTTCTGCTGAGTGTCATGAGCTGACCAAAACAACGGGTGATGGTTCTGGTGAAACAAAACAGGCACCGGCGGGCTGTTTCGTCCTGCCCGAGCATGGCTCTGAGCATGGCACAGCAGGGTTACGACGTTTGCGAAGCGGCTCACTCGGTAGAAACTACCCTCCTTGCCTGGCTTGAGGGAGGCGCGGCATGGTGGTGGTGGTGGTGGGTGGTGGTGATGATGATGGTGATGATGACGGCTATGATAGAGCGACACGCGTTGGCGGAAGTGTTTTGACGAGCTTGACCCGAGCAACCCGAGCACGGCGTGTCATTCCTGTCAGCTCGGAAAATAGCGTCTCGATAGCAGTCTGCTGGGAATTTCCACATTCGAGGAGAACAAAGCTCGTTACTGAAGTTGGGTTGGTGAATGTGGTGATACCACGCCGCCTGTGGTGGTGTCTAAACCCTGCGAGATCCGACGATCCTTGAAGACAGGCATCCAAGAGTTGGCTATATTTCACTCAATCTCATCTTATTTAGAGTTCTTGACAAGTTTTGGTAAGACTGAAGGTAAAGGGGGGTGGTCGTGATGATTTCTGGTACGCGGGACACAGAATGGGCTTATAAATCTGTTATCAGAGACTACCCGCTTATTCTCGTTCGTTTGGTGTCTGAACTAGCTTGGGCCACCGGCCTTTGATCCATCTTTTCCTTCTTGTTCGCTATTATCATTTGGCCTGACTTTTCTCGGTAATTACTAGAAATCTTTCAGGCCAGTTAAAAGAAGAAAAACAAAGTGGGGATATGGACTGCGAACCAGAGGCCCAAGCTAGTTCAGATACCAAACGAATAAGAATAAGCGGGTAGTCTCTGATAACAGATTTGGAAGACCCAATTCACGCTCGCCCCCTTCGCTCGTAACTCGCTCTAGGGACTCACTTCGCCGTCCTGATGATGAGAGTGCCCAAGTATAGAACGGCACAGAACCGCATTAGGATAAATCTAACAGCCACAAATGTCAAAAACGCCGAAGTCAGTGAAACGCCAACTTCATGGCTGATGGTTTCCGAACAACGTTGGATGGGCTCGGCTGCATTCCCCATGGTTCTTGAAATGACAATGGAAACGTTCATGTTCCCGGATTTGGCAGTGCCGTTTGTGTACTTGCCGGTGATGCCACCCCGACTGGAAACACACCCGGCGCGGGGGTAGAGTGTAGGGAGGCAATTAGTACCTACTACCTAGCCAGGTTTATATCTCTCGGGAGGCGTGTCTAGGCATTGTTAGCTCCAGGTTGGGAGCTTTTTGTGGTATAAGAACCCGGGTAGCTGGCCTCGTCCTGGTAGAGTTTTCACTTGCCATACGCCAGCCCCCAAAACCACCACTGAGCTCAGTTATTTGGGACTTCACTTGAGAGCTCCAGTTATTCCTCTCCCAGCATATAGGAACTAACATCAGATCATCTATCCAAATGTAGGCTGGTCCATTTGGCGGAGCTGATCGACGGCCTGAGCCTCTCGGCGGACTGGGACCACAAGAACCTGAGCCTGAACATCCCCGTCGACGCCGAGTATATCGCCAGTACAAATCGCAAGACGCCCGAGAGCTTCACAAACCTAGGCAAAAGAGTCATTAAGTTACCCAAACACCCTAATCTGAAGAAAGACTGGGACCGCGCTGTCAGCCGCAAGACAATCAGGATTGCCGAAAGTTTGAGGGGCAGATGGGAGACACAATACCGTAAGATTGGAGCGGGGGATCCAACAAAGTCGAGCAGTTCCATTTGGTGATGAAGAGGGGATATCGTCTTTTGTCTTGTCTTGTTTATTGTGTTTTGGTTTTGTGTTACCGAGGCCCTAGTGGCTAGCCTACGCCGACACTCCTGAAAGAGGTCTTTACTTTATACTTGCATTAGAAATAAACCAGTATTGTCCCAGCGGCATAAATCGAGACTTGTCCGACGATAATGCCATGATATGTCATGATCTTTGAGGAAATGCAGGACAGTAACTTTAAAAACCACTATTTAGACAGTGCCAAGAACCCGCTTGAGCCGCTGTGCACTGTGTCGCGTGGGTCGTCCGTCAAGGTTCTCTGGTTTGGCCAATTACCTTACATAAGAATTCCACGTGTAGCAGTTGCGCTCGTTGTTCACAGCTCCATTGATAAGAATCTAGACACGGGATAGGCTAAAGCGTGATAGTAGTAGTACGTACCTACCTTAAGAGAGCGCCTTCCCGTCCTCCTCTTTCACAATTTGTCAACTCAAACTCGCACAATTCCTCGTCTTAAACTAAACTGAAGCTAGCGATTCGGATTTGTCGTAATTGAAGCCCTCCTAGTGCCGAGCTCCATCCTGATTCCGGGTCGACAGGGGAAAGCCGATCTCTGCTCGCCTTTCTTGGCAACATGTTAGCGGATGATCAAGTGCAGGGTCATTCCGGAATCAATGTTGCAGTCCCAAAAGCCCTCAAGAATCCAACCGACGGCGCCACCCCATCCCGAACCCGCTTGATTCGATGTGAGCCGCCGCCTAGTCTGTCAGCCTTCGCCTCGCTTCACGTCCCCACTTCCTGACTCTTGGTGTGGGCCACACAATCCGGAAATCGACGGCGGACCAACTTCTAGCCTGGACGTTCAGGTTGCAGGGCAATTTCTGCTATCCGTAAGGTACTCGCTCCTGGACAACCCACCCCAGGTTGCTTGTTTCGTTTCGTACCTTCTCCTTAACGGCCGTACTCGAACCTGCACCTGTATCACTGCTAGTGTGCCGTATACGAGTATACAGTGCACAGGTGCGGTACACAGGACTCACGTCTTTGCTTGGTTCGTCCGTCGCTTGTCATTTGCTGGTTATCCAAGAAATTACCAAGCCTTGGCTATTGCGATATAGCAAACACAAAAAAAAGACAAGAAAACGGACCTCTCCCGAAAGGGCATGCTGGACCGGTTGAAGCGCCGTTCCGCTCCTCGCCGCCTCGTCGCTCCGGCTCCCAGAGGACGCACCCATGATTCAATAACACTTAACCTCCCCGCTCCGGCCTACTACACCCTATTCGTCCATAGCAACACTTGCGAGGACGGCCACTCCGGAGTCGGCCAAGATTCTTCTCCGGCCTGCGCTGCGGCCGCGAAAGGAAAAAAAATTCATACTCCGTACTCCTGCTCGACCCAACCGTCAAGATGCCGACCCTAGCAATCACCAATTTTAACATTGTGGTGAGTGTGCTGGGCGGATGGATATCCCTTTTCGGCCTCGTCTCGTATTTGTGCAAAGAGAACTTCTACCTCTCCGAGGCCCGTAAGTTGCCAAGTGATAATCTTCCAGATCGATTCCTCCGCCGGGACTGACCCTCCATCTTCTTAGTCATATCTCTCTTGGCGGGCGTGGTAGTCTCGCCGTCGGCGGCAGACTTGGTAAGGCCCCTCGAATATGCGGGCTCGGTGGAGAACGTCAACACTGTGACTTTGTATTTCTCGCGCCTTGTTCTTGGAGTGCAGCTGGTCTTGGCCGGCGTGCAGCTGCCCAGCCGCTACCTCAAGAAGCAATGGAGACCGCTTTCCCTCCTCCTTGGCCCCATCATGGCCGCCATGTGGCTGGCCACGAGCCTCCTCATATGGGCGCTCGTCCCCAACATGAGCTTCCTCCATGCTCTTGTTGTCGGGTCTTGCGTCACCCCGACCGACCCCGTCCTGTCTAACGTTATTGTTAAAGGCAAGTTCGCAGACCACAACGTACCCAAGGATCTCCAGCAAATCATCATTGCCGAGTCTGGCGCCAATGACGGCCTGGGGTACCCCTTCCTCTTCTTTGCCCTCTATCTGATCAAGTATACTGGCGACGGCGGAGTAGCAGAAGATGGAGGCGCACGCGTCGCTATGGGCATGTGGTTCGGCGAGACGTGGGGCTATGTCATCCTCCTCAGCATTGTCTACGGCGCCGTCATCGGCTGGATCGCCAAGGAGCTACTGCACTGGGCCGAGGAGCGCAAGTACGTCGATCGCGAGAGCTTCCTCGTCTTCGCCATCTCCCTGGCTCTCTTTATCGTGGGGACCTGTGGCATGATTGGCAGCGACGATGTGCTCGCATGCTTCATCGCCGGCAATGTCTTCACCTGGGACGACTGGTTCCGCTTGGAGACGATAGACGACTCGCTGCAGCCCACCATTGACATGCTGCTCAACGTCAGCATATTCATGTGGTATGGCGCCGTCTGCCCCTGGGACAGCTTCTTGCACAATGACGTCATTCCCATCTACCGCCTCATCACGCTCGGCATCCTGGTCCTCTTGTTCCGCCGTCTGCCGTGGGTGTTTGCCATCCATAAATTCGTACCGCAGATTGAGCACGTGCGCCAGGCCATATTCGTAGGCTTCTTTGGGCCCGTGGGCGTGTCGGCCATCTTTTATCTCTACATTACGCTCGAGTTTCTGGCGACAATGGAGGTCGATGGCGAACCCCGGGCGGATATTGCTAACCTGGGCGAGACTGTCAATGTGGTGGTGTGGTTTCTTGCCATTTGTAGCATTGTAGGCGGTTTTATATTGGTGGTTGTGTTTTAGGCAGGCATCCCAACTAACAACTCCCTAGGTTGTCCACGGTCTCAGTATTCCCCTTGGGAAGCTGGGCTTCTACCTGCCTCGGACTATATCTTCGAGAGTCATCACCTCGGCTTCTAGTGAGGGCCGAGCGGGCGAGACACCACCTTTTCGCGTCGGTGAACTAGTCACTGCCATTTCCACGCGCTCGAGATCTAGAACTACGTCAGACGAGCTGCCGGGAGCCGTTGCGCCATCGGCACTAGGTCGGCCCGTCTTTAAGATTGGCGGGACTGTTATTCCAGTGCGGAGAGAAGAGGCTACGTCGGGTACCGCGATCGCGTCACGGTTCGAGAGCCGGAGCCCGCCCGTGGGTGGCGGAGACGGCGCGGCCACTCCCGACCTGGAGCGCGACGCGGGGCCAGTGGCGGCGGGCCGAACGATACGGTTCCCTGACGACCCACTCCCTCTAAAACCTTCAACCGCCGCTGAGCAATGAGATGCAACTTGTGACAGATGCGCAGAGCGGGCCGTTGGGTGTGGGATTTATAGACTTTGGCGTCTGATTAGCGGACGCTATTCAGCCGGAATGGAAGAGAGCGGCGACATCGGAGGGGGTCGACAAGGAGGAGGCCTCATCGCCAATTGTTCGTCTTTGACGTTATCTTGCGAGAGCGTTCTCTTTAGACTTATTGAACTTGATTGGCCAATGGATTTTCTTCACTCTGCAATGAGAGAGTTGCTCTTTATTTGGTGGCTCGGTATCCGGCAAACTACTCTGGATAACGGCGACTAACTAAATTTATTTTCTGGAATCTTGAGTCTCGTATCCCGAGCGTAGCCGACTCCGCAATAATGCGCGGCAAACTCGTCGAGCGCCTACCTACCTATGCACAAGGCCGAAGTGGTAAAGAAGCTAGCACCCACCTACTTCAGATATCATGTCCCGCAACACGAGCGTCGTTCATATCCACACACACAAGGCACCCTGGCAGTGGTAGTGGCAGTGGCAGTGGCAGGCCATACCCGGGCTTCGGGTCGATGTCGACCCCCCTTAGAGAAGGGATGGGTTACACGGCAGCAAGCCGACCTGCGCGGCTGCCCTGTGCTTCGTTATACGGGATCCTTTTGACATGCTGCATCTGACTCGTCAGGTTCGCCAAAGCGATGACGGGGCGAATGCAAGCCACCAAGCCACAAGCCACTCATTGCCAGGTTTTTTTTTTTTTTTCTTTTTCGGCAAGTGTTGTTGCTTTCTTCTTCGGAATCAGCTCTCGGGATACCAGAAAAGGAAAACGAAAGACATTTGGCAACGAGGTGAGAAACGAGGCGGGAAACGAGGCGAGAAGGGATGAGAAGGTGGAAGGTGGAAGGTGGAAGGTGGAAGGGGGGAGGGAGGAGGGAGGCGTCTTTGTTTGTGATACACGACAATGATAAATGCAACACAAACATCGATGAGAAGGGGGGGGATGGTATGGTATGGTATGGCTGGGTAGGTAGGTAAGGTTTGGTAGTGGTTTTCGCAAAGCCTACAGACGTGCATATATACATACCGTGCCTGTATAGACGTGTGTGTGGGTGCCGGCTGCTGTCAAATAACTGCTGGGGTGGGTTCACAGCCCATTGATTGATCGACATTAAAGGAGAAGTCATATGTGGGATGTGAACTACTATTGTTTAATTGACTGATTTATTGACGCGACTTTGGGAGATGGGACTTCGAGCTGTGTATGCTGGTAATCTGTAAACTAGTTATAGTTATCTCGACAACGCACGTGTAGAAAGACACCTAAAATATCCGTAAACTCCCTTAGATCCTTTCGTTCCATGGTCCCTTAATTCCCCAAAAACGGCTCGCGTGCGAGGCCGCGCAGCAAAGAGGGAACAGGACAGAGGGCGCGGTAGATGGATGGATGGATGGGGTTGCTTCGAGAGTCAAATAAGCTCGGAAATAGGGTGTGCATACATATACAACCTCCTGGTTGGTGAGGTACCTGACTTTTTGGCTCGAGGACACGCCGTTTCGATCCAACGCTTGCCGGGGGACCAACGCGTCTCTGTCCATGTTCTTGTGCGAATTGAGTTTGCCTTTTTTGGTTCTTATGCTTCAGCAAAGATGGGGTGGCAGCAGGTTGGACAGCGGCCCTAAATAAGGTCGGTATCTGAGGCAAGGGCGAGGGGCAAAGTTTATTCCAGTAGTATTGTCCCTTTAAGCCGACAAGGAAGACATAAAAACGGAGAATTTTGGAAATTGTCCAAATCAGACAGCTGCGGATAAATGCCTAGTGACGGTAGACAAATATCTGCAGCCTCGGTGAGTCTTCAGGGCCTGTCTGCCGCTAGGAAGACGTCTTAAAGAGCTCACGAGTTGAGGGGAGGTGACAGCAGAACAAGGTTTGGAGCCATCCATGAAAGTTTCTCGGCACCCAAGGTTCAGGGACACGCAATTCTAGTCCTCGGCAGCTGCCCGTGGTCCTGTCCCATTTCATGACACCTTTAAGACCCGGGCAGATGCTTATAACCCAGAGTCAATAAACAACATCCAGCAAGGGAGCTATCCCAGCCAGAGCCAGACTGGTCCGTCGCGCTTCTCCAGCGGTCTTCCTGTCTTGAATTCCCCAACGAAGAAGTGGGACAAGTGATTTGCGCGGGATGCCCTAACAATAAACTGCCTTAGGTTACCTGGTTCTGCACTGCGCGCGCAATACAATAGACTTGATAACAGACAGCTGCAACGGGGCCTGGGCCAGGTGTGTGGGACCGACCTACGCGCAAAGAACGAAGGGGACAGAACTTGAAGGGCCTTGGCTCGGCTTGGCGGCGCCTCATTGGCCCATCTCAAGGCACACACCCACTTTTGTTCTCGTCCGACGTCGCCTCCACTTTCTATCGCACCTAGTCCTATCGAGCCCATCCTCAATTCCCAGCCCAACTTGGCTGCTTGTCGTCAGCGTTCGTGTCTGGCCGCCGCCGCCCTCCTCAAGTCCCGTCGTCTGCCTGCGCTTCCATATCCTGCGACCAAAGCTCGCGGAAAAGCTGGAAAACGTAGCAACGGCCGGCACCGACGCGACGCTTGGGTTTTCGACGTTGATCATCTGTCTAGGGTTAATGCACCAGACTAATCCATCGTCGCCTGCAACCTGCATCGCCAATTGGCCACGCCAGCCAACCGCCTCCCAATTCGTTTACCGCCTTTCGAAAGGGAAACTGCCTGTCTAGTCTCTCGTCGTCGCTCGTCCCCCATCCGCCGTCGCACACCCACACACCACCGCGATCGATCGATTGACCGATTGACCGATTGACCGATTGACCGGCCGACCGAACCAACCGGCCGACCAACTTTTCCTCCCGTGCCAGCCGTCTGTCCACGCGGCCCCTCTTATCCCTGCCCGTGCCACATCCATTCGCGGCTGCTTGGTTTGCAAACATCGATATTCTCTCGAGACGGGTGTTTAGTTCGCGCGCCAAGGAGACGAAGCAGACAAGCCACGAACGTTGTCGCACGTGAATCGCCTGCCCAGGTACCCCCTGCTCCGGGAGCCTTGCCGACGAGCACGAGGTCAGCCCGACACGGAGGGCGCTGAGACGTCTTGACACCGAGCAGGGCCAATTGCCAGTGCCTGGCGTGCTCCATCGCCGCTCGATCACGCCATCGCCGCTTCTTATCGCATTTACTGGCCACCCACGGCCACTGGCGACGGCAGGACCGGCTGCATGGACGACGGCATTGTGCCCGGGACCGCAGGGTTCGGGTCCGACCCGGACCTCGAACACGACTTCGGCACCCACTTCAACACCGACTTCAACCCAGACGTCAACGCCGACTTCAGCAGCGAGTTCATCTTCGATTCGGACGAGGCAAGCCCTCTGCCAAACCGCCACGAGACCCCCGATGTCGAGACACTCCAACCCTTCGTGGATCTGATTGACCACGACAAGGGGCTTCCCTCTCCGTCCGTCACCTTCTCAGTCCCCCCCCCAATGGTGCGCTTTTACAATCGACGAGCAGCTCCGACAATTCCATGTCCGGCACGCTGTGGTCGAGGAGGACGGACAGCATCGGGTCGGCCAAGACCAACCTGACCAGCGGAGACCTTTCCAAGGGAAACGACGCAGATGTCAAGGCAAATTTTGAATTCTGCATGGCGGATGGGACAATTCAAATCGGCCGGCTCGACGGGACCGTGAACCTTTCTGCCATCGAGAAGTCTGCCAATATGGTTCAGTTCGGCACTGGTGCCGGAACCTTTAATTCGGATTTCGACAGCCCCGTAAGCTGTCCGAGCCCAGATGGAGACGACTCACCACCGTATTCGCAGAATGCAGGGTCGAACAAAGTTTTGCCACCAGGAATGGTTTATTTTGGCAAGGATTATCCAGTACGTTTACACTTACCACAAGAGTCTCGTCAGTGTGGGGTTCTAATGCTATTCACAGACCTATGCTCCTTCTACTATGAACATAGATGTGTCGCCGAGAACGTCGCCTTTCTCGGGCATGATCGCGAGTCAGAGCTCTTCACCCTCTGCCCTGTCACCTAGCAACACCTTCGACACATGTGGTCTACCCGTCACTGGAAGTCAGTGGGGCAAGTCGTTCAATGTGGGCATCCCTTCTTTACAGTTCGACCTACCAAAAAGGGCCCAAGATCCCATCCCAGCTCAGTGGGTCGGCAGTGCTATGGCGAATGTCGGCGGTCTACGACAATCGCAATCGGACCTGCAACCTTACAGGAGACTAGACGTTATGCCGATACCTCTCAAGTCGAGGGTCGAGACGCAGATCCCCGTCAAGCTGGTCTTCACTGGCTTGCCCAATGGCGTCAAGAACCTCCACCTCCCGCCGCATACAATTAGCAAGCCCAAGTTCTTACAAAAACCCACACCGGAGCCCTCGCCGGATACGCTGGAGTTGCACACTACCCTCGTCTGCTCCAGTGCGATGAAAGATGCCGACCTGTGCGAGGCGGCAATGGAGCGTGCTCGCAAAGCGGCCAGTGGGCAAGCGAACACGGAAGAAGACCAAACAATAACAAACCCTCAGGATGGTGGTGTTGTGCAGATCTGCAAGGGCTGCATGACGCGCGAACAGAAGCGGGCGGCACGTAAGAAGGTTAAGAAGCCCGACGAGGAACAGGCCTGGGCCAAGGACGAAGACAAAAGAGTCATTGTCTTCAACTGCATCGAGGTCAGAGAATGGCAGCCGTATATGCTCGAGGAGCCCGCATCGCCCAAGCCACAGCCACAACCTCCAGTGTGGTTCGTGGACGTGCCCATGCGGATCGCATGCTATTGCCGACACCATTCCGAGAAAGATGGATTCAGGGTCATATTCACCATCACCGACTACCGCGGCAACCTCGTCGACCAAGTCATGTCGCGCTCCATCATGATTACCGACGACCACAAGACCCCGGTGCCGCCATCGCCTAGTGCAGATACAACGCCTCAGGGGCCCAACGCCGGAGTGGGCCCTGACCAGAGTCTAACAGCAGGCATAGGTCCTAGCCAGCCACTTTCCTTCCCGGACTTCTCAGTTCACGAGCACGCCATGTCAATGTCAATGGCGCCAGCCGATGGGACCTTGGCTGCCCAGTCTCAAACGGCCGCCATAGTCTCTCCTCCGCGGAATCTATCTCGACCTGCCTCGCCTCCGCTACTTGAGCCATCTTCCAAGAGGCGCAAGCCTAGCGGCTCCAAGAAGGTCCCGAGGGGGCTAACGATGACAAAGCTGGAGACGGCCTATCCGTCCGAGTCCCAGCTCGCAAACCCCCCGCCCTTCAGCGCGAGAGAAACATTAGGGGCATCACCATTTTCCCCTACCCCCCCGCCATTCCTAGCCACCCCCGAGCAGTCGTTGTACGGTGCGGGTGCCGTCGCCTCTGCGCCCGCAATACCTCTTCGGTTCGCAAACGGCGTCCCGACGCCACCCACCAACGATCAGCCATCGATATTTTCAAATGGCAACAGTGCCTCTAGCTTAGAGGCCGCTGGACTGGCCATGTTTACCCAACCGTCGTCGGTCCATCCGAGCCGTGCGCCGAGTCCGAACGGAGTGAGGGCAGCGGCAAATGCTTCCGAGGCACAAGCCAACAACCAGATGGCCCACGCAATTTCAGCTGGCTTGTACAATACAATCGCCTTGGCGACCCCGGCTACATCCTCCATTTCGACCATTCATAAGATCATTCCTTCTGAAGGGCCCAAATCTGGTGGTATAGAAGTTACAGTGCTCGGCTGCGGGTTTCAACAGGGCATGGAAGTTATGTTTGGCGACACGCAGGCCACTACAACGACGTTCTGGGGGGCCACTTCCTTGGTGTGTCTGCTTCCGCCGTCTGCCAAGGCGGGTCCTGTGCATGTGCTTCTCAAACACCAGGCTGTCCAGCCGCCTCAAAATCCCAAGACGTTCAGGTACGTCGAGGACGATGAGCAACAGCTCCTGCGCACTGCCCTCGCCGTGCTGGGACACAAAATGTCTGGCACATACGACGATGTGTCTAGCATCGCGCGGCGAATCATTGGCCGTCCAGAACCGTGGAGCCACTCTTCCGGTGGCGATGGCTCAGCGTTCAACAACTTCACGATGAACACGAAATTCGAGAGCCAGGTGCTCCAAGTACTAGAAATGATCGACATGGACGACAGCCCCCATAAACCCAGGCTGAACCTCAGGAGGAGGACGGGACAGACGATGTTGCATCTTGCCTCTGCCATGGGCCTGCATCGCTTCGTTGCTGGTCTTCTTGCGCGAGGTGCAAACCCGGATATGCGCGACAGGGGAGGCTACACGGCCCTTCACATGGCGTGCCTCAATAATCACCCCGATATTGTCAGGCGCTTAATATCGTGTGGAGCTGACCCTACGATCCGGACTCTGTCAGGCTTTACGGCCGCAGACGTTGCTCGGTCACGGGAAGCCCGTCGAGCCGTGAACGGTCCCGAGCGACATACGAGATCCCAGAGCGGCACGTCACTCTTTACTCGTGCAAGCAGTGCTGCCAGCCTCACATCCCTCCGACCCTCGAGACTAGCGGCGGGAGGTATGTCTAGCGATAGCCTCGGGCCCGCACCAGAGTCGCCAGAATATTCGTCCACGGACATTTCGGAGACTTCGGGTTCGGAGGAAGCTGATGAACCTTGGCTTCAAATGCGACGAAGCAGCGTTCACGAGTCTCGAACACGAGAAAGCAGTCCGCATCGTCTCCGTCAACCCAAATCTGGCGACGATGGAGCCGGGAGGCCAGAATCGCCCTCTACCGTTACAGGGCTCAAGGATCACTTCGCTGCACAGCTCCAGCAGTTCCAGCAGTCGATGGCTTTGCATCTCCAGAACCTTGCGCAGTTGCCACAGCTGCCTCAGTTTCCACAGTTCCCCCAATTTCCGCAATTCCCCCAATTCCCTTATCGACCACAACTAAACATGCCGCTTCTACCGGAATACCAAGCCGCCGTGATGCAACGTCTGCAATCCATGGTGCCTACTCTTGGCGGGCCCAGGCCGGGGTCGGCTGGAGACCAGGCACCTGTTACCAAGGAGCTGTATGGCAAGTGGTGGGATCTATCATCGCTGATGGCCGGTGCTGCTGTCGCCGGTGCTACTGCTTCAACCCCTCCGCCATCTTACGAAGATATATATCCACGGCGCGATGACGGCCTGCACACGAAACAGGCATCTGCCGCGCAGGCGGCAGCCGAGGCTGAGGCGGATCTAAAATGTGCTGCTCTTTACGACACTGCAACGGAGGACCAGATCGCCAGCAGCACCTCGTCTGCGGCTTCGGCTTTGGCGGCAGTGGAGATTAAATCTAAAGAGGCCGACTTTGAAAGACCGGCTCTGCTCCAGATTGGACGCAAGAACGCAATCACCAAAGAGCAGCAGGAGAATCTCCGACGGGAGCATGCGAAAAAGCTGAAGAGATTGAGCCGCGACCGCAATCTTTTCTTCATCTGGGTATGTCTTTATTTCTGCTCCTTCGCTTCTCTTTCCTACTCTGGCCGGCGATTCTAACCATGTGATAGATTCCACTGCTCCTGTTTGTACTGTGCGCCATGTCGTACAGCAGATTCCCAGGCTTCTTTGCGGCCGTTCGTGAGATTTTCCCCTCTTCGCCAACAAACAGCGACTCTTATCAAATACCTAAACAACAACAACAAAATCAAAATCTATAGCGGCTAGTTGAAATTTAATTGTCTTCTTTTTTTTTGACGACATCTTATTTAGCGAGACGTACATAGCAGGGTTTTCGCTCATAGATGGAGAGTGGGCTTCGCCGATGAAGACAAAAGAGTCACCGCAAGGCGACTGGCGATCAGCGACGATGGACCGGTTTTGTCCTTTATTACTATTGGAATTGTATTCGGCGGAGAGAGAGGAATGATCCTTTTTTGGAATTTATATTTTATCAGTATCGAGCAGGTTATATGTATGGTAGCGGTGGAATTTTGCAAGCCCGTGTATTGCACGAGAGGAACGACGCAGGGCAGGGGGGCTGGGCCGGACCGGACTGGGTGGACACTCGCTCAGTAAACTTGAAAGCTTGAGGGACGGACGGGGGCGGATCAGGCACGGGACAGCAGGCAGCGAGGCGCGGCGCCCGCCGGTGACCTTCCGCTGTGCATGTATATATGCGTTCGATTCGTAGGACGTGAACGGGCTGAGGGCTGCCTATCTATTTATATTTCTACCTATCTATGTGTCCATCTGTCTGTCTGGATCTTTGTGAGTTTTGCATGACTTATTGTTTACTAGTATAAGTTACGGCTAGTGTTGCATGTATTAGAGTTTATGTATATGCCTGTCTGCTGGGGTTCTGTGTTTGCAGTTGCTGTCCTGTCTGGGCGTTCTTATCCCCTTTTCCTTAACTTCCGGTTCCCATATTTTGGTTTTTCTTGCTACGATAATAGTAAAAGAGACAGGTTATGCCCAGTATATAAACCTAAAGTTCGAAAGGAGAAGTTGCTGGCACTGGGGTTTGTTTGTCCAGAGGAATTGATGCCGCTCATGGACAGATGCGAACCACTGGAACCGGGTCAGAGATAATGACCTCGCCCCCCCTTGGTAGTTGTTGATAGTTAAGCCTTGCACAGTAGTGATATATTATAAAATACTAATTATATGTGCTCGAGAGGCGTAAGTGTCTTGCTGCGAATAAGACTTGAGGGTGCTGAAGACGAGGTAATATCAGTCACGATGCCGAGAAATTTAGACGCGATATATTGCTGCTAGTGCTTAGGAGATATCTTGGCACGAGAAAAAGGCTGATTGGGAGCACTAGATCTAGCAAAGGGGACAAGGCAGCAGACAATAGGTAGTGCGAATTAGGTAACTAAGCCTTCACGCAAATTTCAGCATCGAGGAATATCGAGGAGGGCGAACGGTGCGAGATTATTCCAAGCCCGCGACCAAATTGCAGCAGGAGACCAGCACGAACCGCCAACCGGGCTCGGTAGTGATTCACTTTCTGAGCTGTAAGAAGTGTCACGGAGAACACGGCCCTCCTTACTCCCATAGCCTTTCGCAGAGGTAAGTTGTGCATCTCTAGCCTCCATTTTCTCCCAGTGGGCTGCGAGATACCGTTACAAAGGCCGCTAAGATGTTTGCCAGCACTTGGTGACAGGAGCATGCAAGCATTGTCCTCAGATGCTCGATAACAACCATCCCCAGTCCCTAGGATATAGATAGTCACATATAGATTTCGTTGCACTTAACTTAAAGGGAATGAATTTCCACAAAGTTGTAGACTTTGTCATTCCCGTAGAAAAGCTTTGGCTACATGCGCTTCGATACAACAGTATACGGACGCCAGATTCCTTTCCCGGGCACAAAACAAGCGGAGGAAGAAAAACATGTGAAGGAGATGGGCACGAGAAGCCACCGAATAACGAGGCCCAACGACAAACCGAATTTTGCTGCTGCAGGAACACCCGAGCTGTAGGCTGGCTAGACGTACCACCTCTACTCCCGCCATGTGCGTGTCGTAAAGGAGAGACTAGACAGGGAAACGGCTGCCCGGGTAGGCTAGAATCGGGCTATTATGCACGGTCAGTAGGACGGTGAAGCAAGTCTTCCCTTCACGTCTGCCGGGCTGCCAGATATCAATCGCCCTGCTATACATACACACAACAACAGCAAAACACCCGTTTTCTGACCCGTGATCGCCGCCGAGATATGACCAAAACATCACCTGCCCCGTGGGTCGGGAGTTGTTCTGGTGCCGCATGTGCGGCGTTCCCTCTTCCCCCGTTACCTATCCATCTCCCATACACAAACTAGAACCAGAGGCATAAGACATTACACTTTTTTTCTCTTCATTCGTTCCGACGGACGGAAACTGAAGTGCTGTGTGACCTTTCATTGGAAAAGAAAAGGGCACACAAACCACCTGATACATCACCCCCTCGGGAAGTCTCGTAGGGAAGAGACAAACCAATGGAGGCAGCCAAACACCAATCTAGATACCTATGTATCTATCTGCACACCAGAACCACCACAGACGAAGAAAAAAGAAAAGGATGAGGAGAGCGTCGGCAGCCGGCACGGAAAAAACAAGGTGTGGCGTCGAGGCTAGCAAATGCAGTAGCAGGCAGATCCGGGACAGACACTATGGAATTGGGGGGGGGAACAGCCCGCTGGGTATTCTATCAAGCAGAAGCAGGAGCAGAAGTAGAGCGATCCCGCCCTGCCGGGGTTGATATAGGTGGAGTCCTCCTTGTCCTTTACACCCAGGTATATATATGCCTGGCCTATACGTGCATGTACATATTACATGTACACCAGGCAGGGGATGTGTGGATATGTGTGTATGTGTGGGACGCCCGAGAACAGCCTGATAACGGGCTCGTTCGAGCAAAAAAGCGAAAACGTCTCAACATGGCGTACAGACGCATGCGTGCATTGCATGCATGCATGTACTTCTTTTCTGCTGCTTTGCCACCTCGAGTCCTGGCGGGTAAGAGCGTGTGTCTCACGTCCGGGGGACCAAGACCAGCGGCAGGGGGGAAAGATGAAGACGATGAAGGGCGTGATGATGATCGCGGCTTCGGCCTCCCACCCAAAAAAAACAAAAAAAGAAAAGAAACAAACGACAAAATGGTACTTTTGCAGCTGCCACGTTCGGGTATCCGCGAATGGATAGATCGATGGATAGGCCGCGCACCACGGCGAGGAGCTAACTCTTCCACTGTTTCTACTCGCTGCGTGCACGACGTTACGCAGGCGTCACAGGTTCTTCGAGGTAAAGGAGGGCAGACGGGTTGCCCGACGACGTTTGACGGCTTGGGTTAGATGGGAGGGGGGAGGGGATCTCGGAACCACAAGACAAATTCACCCTCTCAGGTTTTCTCTCTCCTGGCTGAGCGCCGAGCCGGAGCTTTTTCTGCTGTGGAAAATCTTCTTTTTCCCTTCTCCGAGACACATTGCACCCCCCGGGCGCCAAAGAAAAATAACATGCACATCATCCCGAGAAGCCCCATGGCCCCGGGGGCGGGCGGGCAGGGAGAGAGACAGGTGTGTGAGAAAGTGACGGGCGACCATAAGTGATGCCCGAGACAAAATGCGGGAAGACAGAGAGAGCATATGCATTCTTGAGTGCCCGAGTGACCTTACCGAATAAATGTAAAAAATAATCAAAAACATGGGGGGTGTGATATATGACTTGTCCCGAGAGTGCAGACGCCTGTATGCCTTTACCTCCTGACCCCGGTAGAGACATGAGAGAGAGACATTCGCCTCCTGAGGCAAGCCCTCGGTAAGTCCCCCCCTTGAATACAATGAAATCATGTAGACGCAGGGGCTGGCGGGGCGTCGGTCGGTTCGAGATGGGAAAAAATCCAACAGCAGCAGCGGGTAGATGCAGGTGTTTTTTGTTCTCGGCCGGCTACCTGCAGCAGGAAAAAAGGGGGAGGGGGAAATATGATGGGGCGGTCTGGAGCCGTGGCTCGAGGCATTTCGATTCCTGGTCTGTCTCAGACGACGGTTCTGGGCCACTCGGCACCCCAAGTGAACACGGACAGGTAGGGTCAGATGAGAGTCCTGTGTGTGCGTGTGTGTGTGTGTGTGTTGTTTTGATATCCTCCCATAGGGGGAAGCACGTGAGAACCCTAACAGGCATGCCATCTTCTCCGGCAGCTATCTTGTGCATGTGTGTTTTTTTGATCGACACTGTCAAACCTGCCACGCCGAGCCGGATTCGCGCTAGCTAGTGGCATCTTAGACAACAGAGCAAGCACGCAAGGGTCCATTGGCTACCTACCTGGGTCTCGGTCTAGGTAGATATCAAAGGGAAGGGGTCGTCGGAGTCGGGAGGAGAGTAATTCCAGCCACGTCTCGCGGGAGCACGGAGCCGTCCAGGTATACCTACACAATGGGGGAGAGAGAGAGGCCTGCCGTGCCACAGAGAGGCGGAATCCCGACGGGTCGCTGGGCCGGATCAAGGCAATGAAGGGGGCACGCCGCACACATACACAAAGGCGAGAGCTCCTCTTTCCCACGCCGCTGGGCCCAGGTTTCGAAAGTACCGCTCCCTGGGGGTTCCCGCCCTGCAAGCTGCCGCCGCCAGCGGTTTCGCCCGAGTTCTGGTTTCCCCCCCAATGGAACGACCCATCCCATCGAGGCGCTGGGAGAACAAGAAAGAGGCGTCCCGTCACTTGTGTGCGACGAAGCTTCAACCCAGCTCTGGCCCTATCCTATCCATCTCTCTGCGCAGGGCGACTGGAGGATTGATTCTGGGCGACGGTGTGAACGTGAACCGTGGTGACGTGACTGCCGACGGAATCGCAGACTCGCACAATGCCGTGTTTTCTCCGGTCAACCTCGACCAGGAAGGAGGCAAGCAAGCAAGCAAGCAAGCAGTCAAGCAAGCACCGGCCTGTGTACATACGTACACATATACGTAGAAGAAACGTGAACGAGCGCCTGGGGAACGGTTCTTGGGACCCGGCCGCCCGACCGACCGGCCGGCCAGCCAAGGCCCCCTTTTCTTTCCCTCCCCTCTTTCTAGTTTCTAAAGCGTAGATCACCACGGGATATTTTTCCCTAGAAACATCAGAAATTCTAGAATTCTAGAATACCTAAAACGCTAGACTCGCGCGTGCTGTCCGCGATCGCTCGGGACACGTCTGTCTGCAAAGCCCTCGGGACCGAGGCGTCGAGACAGACCCGTGGCCCATTTCAGGCTGAATTGACGCCTCTCTCTCTTGCCCTGGGGCTGGGCTGCGGGCTGGACCCGGCAATCATCTCGTGTCAGGGCCAGTCAGTCATATCAGACGGGAGCCAGTCCGCGGCCTTGGGAGAATTGAATGGATGGAATTGGGAGAGGGGGGAGATCATGATGCGATGCGGATATGCGATGCGATGCGATGCAATTTGCACTTCAACAGAGTACAGTACACACATACAGTGTGCTAACTGAACCTGAGCCTGAGGTAAGGTAGGTAGGTACCTTGGCTGCAGGCACTGGCATGGGAAACTTGTGGTACCTGCAGCCACTCGTCCGTCACACACGTTGCCCTCCATGCCTAGATGGCTGTCTCCCCGACTGAGTTTGATGTAGGTCAAGTTCTGTGCGGACAAACGTGCGTGCGTGCGTGCGTGCGTGTCCCGTAGGTTTTAGCAGTGAGGTTCCAGTTATCAAGTTATCACTTGGAACTGAGGTTGGCTGCACTTGCACCCGCTGAGAGTTTAGCCCAAGGGCCACCCCAAGACGGCGGCCGGGCAAACGTTATAGTGGAGTACCCCGTACCAAAGGCAATCCATCCAGCTCGAGCCGTCATGGGCCGACCACCTGAGATGCCTACCAAGGTTTGAGTTGAAGCTTAGCTGTCCGCTGCATGGAGCTGTCTTGACAGCCAGCTGAACTCAACCCAAGCGCCCTTCTTTGGGAACTGGGCGCAGTAAATACATAGCGCTAATGTATGACCGAGTACGTCGCCATGACAGACAGCGGGCCAGAAACCGCGGAACCTAATAAAATGGGTTGACGCCGTGACGTCGGTCCTGTCCTGTCCAGGCGGCGGGGTTAATATAGAACGGCGGGCGAACAAGAAGAGGAAGGTTTCAGTGGAGTGGCCTCCCTAGCCAGGTAGACCTGAGGCAGCGGAGGTGAGGTATTTCGAATTTCTTGGTCGACGCACGTCTCCCACAAGTCACAGCCCCTGGAAAGACTGGGCAAAAGGCCGACGCCTCCTGACTTTCTGCGGCCCGAGTGAGTGGTCTGAACCTGAACCTCTAGAGAAAAAATTCGGTATTCCGATGCAGAGTACCGAGTATTGAATCTGCGGGCCCAAACTGCCCCCCATCGTGGGATGGTCCAAGAATACTTTCGTTAGCTGCGAGCTTGTCGAGTCTCCGGCATTTTTAGCAATCCCCTACGGAGAGCTGCGCGGCCGGTGTGCGGCGCAGAAGCGGCATCCCGCTCTCCGCAGGCAAGGAAGGCCCGACGCACCCAGGGTGGGCATGCTGACGGCACAGCAATGGAAATTCCCAGCAAGAAATGGCTTGCGGGCTGATGAGTCAAATCTCGATAAGCCCAACAAGCCTTGCCCGAGTCTGAGTCTCACCCCCGGCTCATGACAACTCCGGTTGCGGCAGCACCCCCGACGCGGACGATTCTGCTATTTTCGCCTTTTGGAAAATCCAGTTTCAGCCTGACATGACATGCCTGGCGTGTGCGACATGGCACGCAGTGCAAAAAAGACGGTTGTTTCTAGTGAACGCATGCACATCACCTGGTTCTGTGGTATTCCGTTCTGCGGCTTCGTTCCATGATAAGCGTCCCTCCTACGGAGTATATGCTGGCAGGCGGGCCAATGATTGGTGCGGCGCCAAGTGGGAGCTTCCGAAGCGTCGCACAGTGCTTCCGCACGCAAGAGCGCACGTACCCTCGGAGCAATGGGGCCTACGCGTGCGTTCCCCGGTTCCCAAAAGTTTACTGATAATACTAAAATCCACATGGAATCCACAAACCGTAACCTAAACTCTCGCCAACGGCTGGGTAGGTACCTACTTAGGCTCGCAGTAGTCTAACAAAATACAGGCTGAATAATGTCGGTCGTCTAAATCCGCCTGAAGGAGGTCCTTCGTCTTCGAGGCGAACAAGTGAAATAAATCAACTTCCAATACCTACACGCGTGCAGTACGAATCTACTAGTTCCCATCCGCGAAAGCAACCCCTTGCATCCGTCCCTCTCAGGTCTTGTATTCGTACTACCTACTGCGTCGCGGGATATCATTTATTTATTAGCGTTCGGGATGGCGGCGCCCATCACAGCCCAACAAGCTTAGACCCATTTCTTGGAACGGAAACGACGTTACGCTAACCGTGCAAGACGCAAGTGCCAAGCACGCCAAGCAGGACTCTCGCTGTGCACTCTCCTACGGGACACATGGGTACAGGATATTGTTGAACGAAGGCGGCGGGAAGATCTGGCATGGTGCATCCCACGATGCCTTTTTGTCGCCGTGCAGCCGCGAGAGCGAAGGCGGATCGCCCTCCAAAGTCCCGGGGGCCATGGACCGTTGACGATCAAGTTGCCTCGCATGGGCACTCGTGACGACTGGCCAACGAGAAGGCGAGCCGGATGATGCACCCAAGAGGTTTGCGAACCGGTCGCGAACGGGACGGGTCGACGTTCAATTGGCGGTGCCCAAAAAACCGCCCACGGCAGAACCTGAGCTCTGGAATCTGGATTAAGCAAATGGGGCCGTCCATCCAATCCCAGGGCCATCTGACCAACAGGGAGCGGTCCAGCCAGGACTCCCAGAGGGCTCGTGTGTGGCGGAGAAACGGCATTAAGCCCAAGTGGGAAGCCGGCACCCACCCTTTCCGAGGCCCCCACAGTGCAGAATAAGTCCATTGGTACCCCTTACCAAGGGGGGGGGCCTTATTGGGAGGGAGTGAGTCTCCGCCACTGGACTTCGCAGCTAGTGTAAACTCGCTGGGACGAGGCCCACAGGCCCCCGGCCCGAGTGGGTGGGCGCGGCGTAGCACGGTGCAATGTCTCAGACTCGCAGACTGTACGCAGTGCGAAGAAAGAAACGCGTACTACTAAGGGGGGGCGGGATGACCTCTGACCAGAGCGACTGACCAGACCAACTCTGGGGGTGGCCTCCACTTTTCCGACGCTACTTCCCATGCAGGCGCTGTCACATTGGTCCCACCTCATTTCCACCCTCGCGCGTCGTCCAAACCGCAGCCGAAGCCTCTTCTCTTCCACATCCCCCCCCCGTTTCCTTGCCTGCCTGCCCTGGACCGGTGGGTTGTTTCTCAACTCTCATCTCTGCCATCAAGAGCACGAGTTTCCCATCCTTTTCGTCATCGTGAGCGAAGGCCAGGAGCTCGTTGCGGAAACTCTCCAGATCGCGGCCAATATCATTTCCGGTTCCCAGGAAAAGAAAAAAAAGGGAGCGACAAGACATTTAGTGCAGCACAGTTCCTTCCCTCCGACGAACTGGGGGAGTCCTAATTGTGGGCTGCCCAATAACATCGGTCCCGACCGACCTTTTTTCAGCTACCCGTCGCTTTGGTTCTGGGACCTCTGGGCCACCCCCATCCATTCCATCCACCATCCTCCAATCCCTCTCCTCTCCTTGCCACCTTTAACCCGCACCCGCCGCGCAAAAAAAAAACCACCCTCTCTTCCGTCGCACCGCAATCTCGACGACAGGAACGACGTTGGGAGGACTCGGCATTCGGTTTCGCCTCGACTGTGCTCGTTCAATCGTTGCGCGTGATTTTTATTGTTCGTTTGCTGCGTGTCTCGAAATCGGCCCGCAGCTTGTGTTATTGTGTGAATAAGTCGTGTTTTGTTCAATCGGGTCACAGGGTGAGTAAAAGCTACGCACCCTTTTTTATTCTTCACCTGCACGCTGTCATCCGCGGGTCTCGCGCCGGCGACGCAACTGGCACGGCGTTTAAGTTTGCAGTCATGCCTCGCTGACGCAGAATGACGCTGATGCCCAGAGTTTCTAGCTTCCATCTCTGGTGCCCTTTCATCTTGTTAAAATCGCAAATTTGTGTTGTTCTAGCGCTTCAGACGAAGGCTCTCCTCCCAGGTAGCCGCGGTTGCAAAAGAGATTTTTAATCAGGAAACCCGCGCACGCTTGCAGCTCCTTGCACGTGCACCCCGGAGAGATAGTCGAGCATCATGGGAGCGCCGGTTGTTGCGGCCTCTGCCCATGGCATGTCGGCTCACGAGAGCGATGCCAAGGGGTCTTCGAAGGGGCCTCATATCGTCGACCGAATCACCAAGAGCGGACGCAGGCTCTGGTACTGTTTGAAGGTCATCCAGCAGCCAGAGCGCGCCAGAGCATGTGGCTCGGGCCCAAAGTGTAAGTGGAGTCGAGTCTATCTGGGATGATGCTGTCTAACGATATCGCAGCGTCGGCCGATCGACGTCCCGTTGATCCGCCCCCGGTTGTGGAGTTGCGCATCTACGAGGGCCAAAGCTGGGAACTAGCCCAGGAGAAGGACGTCACGTTCCTGTACAACGCCAACTTCTTTCTCTATGCCACCCTCGAGCATGCACGTGTTATGGCACACGGCCGGGTGCAGACGCCCGCTGCCAATACGCCACCCGTCTTGACCGGTATGCCCGTATCTGGTATGGCATATCTGGACCGACCGCAGGAGGCAGGATATTTCCTGTTCCCGGATCTCTCTGTGAGACACGAGGGTCGCTATCGCCTGACCTTTAACCTTTACGAGGAGACCAAGGAGGACAAGGACAAGGATGCCGAGTCGTCGGAGCCAAAGCAGGCCTCGCATGCACTGAACCCGGCGACAGGTGGATCTTTTGATTTCCGTATGGAAGTGAAGTCGCAGGACTTTGTCGTCTACAGCGCCAAGAAGTTCCCCGGGTTGACGGAAAGCACAGCACTGAGCCGCGTGGTGGCAGAACAGGGCTGCCGTGTCCGGATTCGTCGTGATGTCCGGATGAGACGCCGCGACGTAAAGGGTGGTGGAGATTTCGACAATGGAGAAGACGAATATGCTCGGAGAGCTCGGAGGACCGCTACACCGGATACGCGACCCGACCCGTATAGAGCCCGGTCGTTGAGTGGTAGCGTGGAACGGACCCCGTACTCGGCCGATTCGCAGCGGAGGCCGTCGATTGCCGACTATCCGCCTCAGTTCGTAGCGCAAAACCCACCGCAGGGCGGTCATCTCCAATTCCTCGGTGGAAATTCCAGCTCGCAATATCCGTCTCAGCCGCAAAACTTTGCTCAGCCCCCCTCAGTCCCCGCCTCGCCCGTGTACCCCCCGAGTCAAGGAGCGTCGTATCCGTCGGCTTCGTCGTACCCTCCACCGCCGCCGCTGTCGTACACTGCCGAGCGGACGCCATCACAGTCGTATGCCCCGATCACGCCGATTACACCGTCTCCGCGTCGTGACAGCGTCCAGCACGAGTACCGAAGCTCGGTAGGAAGCGCAACACTCCCGCCCCTGAGTCTCCCTCCTTATTCCGCAAATCCACAACATATGCTTCCACAGAAACCCCAAGCCATACCTCTGCCTCCGTTGCAAATCGATGGAGCCCTTTTGAGCCGGCTGCCAATGCCGAGCCCAACGCTAAGTGGGCATCGTCCTGGGTCACTCAGCGGGTCGTCAAGTGCCAGCTTTTCGCGTCCTTCGCCTGCGCATTACGCAGGAACCAAGCGGGCTCACGATCAATCTTTCAGACAAGACGCCGAACCGCGTTACGACGGTGCTCGCGACCGTGGCTTATCTGAAGACATTGACGGAGCGCCGTTGGTGTACAAGCGTGCCGATGGACGACGGGCCGAGCGGGTGGGCGACGTGTAATTGCGAGGTGGCTGAGTCTTGGTGCTTGTATTGCTGGGTGTTGGGGAGTTGTGGTCTGCATTGAATCGACAGGGGATTCAGTTTCGACTCTGTGCTATTTATTTTCGAATCTGTTGTATATACGGAGAGGGCCGCTCAACCTCGAACCCGGTCACACTCTCAGACTCACTCGGCCTCGCGCTCATGGTTTGAGGCGGGTGCCGCCGAACCTTCTTTTGGACGACATCATTTCATTCTCGATATTTCCTTGGCGAGTTTACTACTATTACCGCTACTGCACGACGCGTTTCATTTTGTTGGAGGCAATACTTACCGAAAATACAATTCTGGCTGGACATATTAGGACAGACGAAAGAGCTCGGGAGGACTATGGGAGCAAACGCGAGTTGGTGGAAGGAACGATTTTAAGACACGCGATGCTGTACCAATGCCCTGGCTTCACAAGCCTTGATTTAAATAGCCATCATGTTCATATAGCTTGTGGAATGATGATGGATTGAGTTACGAATATTGTATTGCAAGCTCATTGGGTTTCGCCCGAGGACCTGTAATGGCGACCTTTCCCGGCTCTGGAGTTGACGGGTAAATGGGCGTCTCTCAGTGTCCAGGTAATAAAAGCGGGGCACAACCGTTGCATCTGGTTGCTGGGTCGCGTCGTGGGCAGCCCCCCACACGCGTACAGCACAGCGTTCCTGTTCGCAATCCAAACAAGACGGGAATTTTGGCACGCGCTCAACTCAGTCCATACCCCATTTTACTTCCTTTGGAAGACCTAACTGCATTGCGTATTACTATTTGGGATTTACGGCTCACGGTTTTCGATATTTCGGAGCACAAGATTACCTGGCAATTGGTAAACAGTAATCGTCCACGAAGCAGCCAAGGGCGCGACGCTGCACCTTTTCCCGACAAGACGAGTGGCGCATCGACGGCGACGATCTCGGTCCACCTTGGACTTGGGCAGTTTCGTCAGACCCAACACTACATGTGCCGGCTCAGCTCCTAGCGCATGCCACTAAGCAAAGCCAGCACCATGAAAGCAACAGTGCCGGTGCCATGGCCGGGCGGCGGCGGCGTCGTCGCGCAGAACCGGCATGACCAATACCAGTACCAACACCAATACCAATACCACCAGCAGTCCCAGCAGCAGCAGGCGGCGGCGGCGGCGGCTGCGCGCGCAGCCCACAGCCGCTTCGTCGAGGGCTCCATGAACGACCGCGTGTCGGCGGTGCCTCCGCCAGACTTCCTCGGCGACGCCGCCGCGTTTGAGCGACAGTTTTACCAACATACCAGCGACGCGCGCCCGCCGTTGCGCCGGCCGCTAAGCACCATCGGCCAGTCCGTGCCGCCGCGCAAAGGCAACTTCCTCACGCCGCTGTGGGACGGCGTGCGGGAGAAGCTGCACCTCACAAGATCCAAGTCGTCCAGCAGCATCCGCCGCGTGTCGGGCAAGGAAAACAAGGCCGCCCAAGCTCCCGCGCCACTGCCCCTCCAACAAGCGCACGGCAGGGACGAACCCCCAGCACCCGCCGCTCCGGGCGCGGCTCCTATATATCCGAGCCGAGAGGAAGTCATGGAGAGCTACAAGAGCCTGGTGGCCTCGGGCTTCTTTAAGGACCACGTCACCGTCGGCACGCGCCACCCTCTCAGGACGGGCAACAGCAACGGCGGCAGTGGCGGTCCCCCGGGCGCCGCCGCAACAGCGCTTCCTCCTCGGGGCGCCGCTTCGCGATCGTTCGCGCAGCACGTGGCGACAAACCAGCACAACTCTACGCCACTCGCCTTCTCGTCGGTCCCGTACGGCTCGACCAAGCAGCCCGGCCCGGGCGACGCGCCGTCGACGACACTGATGCCGCCGCCGCCGATCCCGTACGCGCGCGCGCGCGCACCCGCCGCCGCCGCCGAGATGCCGTCCCCGCAGCGCGGCACCAAGCGCGGCGTGCCCGTCGACGCCGCCACCGGCGAGGACGAGCCCGCCGACACGACGGCCCGCAAGCTCGTCAAGAAGCTGCGCCGGTCCGCGTCGCGCGTGTCGGCCGACCTGTCGACCGCATACAGCGGCAGCAATGCGGTATCGTCATCGTCGTCACGCCCGTCATCGTCGTCGCGCCCGTCGTCGTCGTCGCGCCCGTCGACGTCGTCCGACGCGCCCGCGCCCTCGTCGTCTGTGTTCCGCGGCGTCGCCCCTACTGCCCCTTCCGCGCCAGCGCCAGCGCTGGCCACGGCGTCGTCCTTCTACGCCCTCGACAACACCAACATCGAGGGCATCAGGCTAGTGCGCACCCCGACCAAGCTGACCAAGCCTAAGCCCGCCCGGCGGCATATTCTAGGCCTCGGCAGCCGGAGTCGACAGGCTAGCATAAGCCGCTCGCCGACCCGGCCACCTCCACCCATTCCGCCTTCGCAACAGACTTACGAGATCGCGACTGATGACGAGCTCGACATCGACGCCATGGTCATCGACTCACCCGAGCGCCCCCCACCAGTACTCCCAATCCCGCCAGCAGCAAGCTTCCACTACCCGCAGCGCCTGCGCACGCGCCACGACGCCCCGCCGCCCGAGCCGCTGTCCGTCGTCCCGGACCCCAACCGCGGCATCCCCGCCGTGCCGCAGATCCCCGCCGGGTTCTATTCTCGTCCTCGCCGCCGTCCCAGTGGCGGTGGTGCCCGCGTGCATCAGCAGGCTGTGGCGACTATTGCGGTCGCGCCGGGTAAGGCGAAGATGGTCATGGTTGGCGGGAATGGGCATGGGAATCGTGGTGGGAGTGGGAATCGTGACTCGGGGCTTGGCGAGGATGTTGAGAATGGGAATGGTTATCCGAGGCCGTGTTGGTAGCTGGTTCTTTTTTCTTCTCCTGGGTGGTTGGTTGGCTATGGGCTGGTTTTCGGTTTGGGCTTGTTTCGGTTCGGTGTTTTTTTCCCTTTTTCTCGGGAAGGAGACGGACGAACTGGCGGACCGAGATGATGATATGATATGATATGTTGTTACGGTTATGGTTACGGCCACGGCCACGGCTATGGTTATGGTTATGGCTATGGCTATGGTTACGTACGGTTATGGCTGCTGCTATGGGTTATATGACTGACTGGCGACGAAAAGGAGCATGTGGGTGAGATGAGCATAATGAGCATGAGCACGAGGGCGAGGAATCTATGATAGGGATGTATTATCTTGTGTGGTCCTCTCATGTCTACGTATTTATGAGGCTTTGGGCTTGGGGCTGGGGGTGCCATCCCAACCTGCCCTGCTTGGTGTCCGAGTATATATTTACATGTGTATGTGTTTTGTATATATGGTATGAGATAGCCGCTGGGCTAGGAGGCCTTTTCATGTCCGGGGTTTCGATGATGGCCAGCCATCTCTGACGAGGTGACATGGCTATATAGACATACATACGGCTTAGTGTCTTTTCTATTCACCCTATTTCATTTGATTTATGAGTGGCGGGTGCTAGGTGTGGCGGACACGAAAACGAAGGCCACAATCTAGGCTTGGTGTTGGGTATTTCTGGCCAGGCCGGTCATGAAGATTCAGATCTCAATGTGTGTGTGTATTGAGCTCGGTTTTCTTCGTGTCACTGTCAGACATGGATGGACTAGAGTCGGCATTGGAGACAGGTATGAGTGTGGTTGTGTATGGATGTATCAAACGAATATTTCGAACGGCTATTGCTCTTCTTCTCCTCTTCTTCTTCTTCTTTTTGCTCTCTCTCCGGCTGCAGGGATCCCAGGAAAGGGGCGGGCGATGCTGCCGTGGAAAGTGCACAACGCCCCCCTGACGGCTTGCAGTGTATATGGCAGAGATTTTGACGAAGCGTGTGGCAGGAAGGTACATACAGGACAACGCTGGGAATTGTATACGTGTGTTTGACCGTCGGGTCGTTTTGTCTGGATAAGCAAATCTCTTCTTTGGCGTAGGTACAGTTTCGCTACGAGGTGAAACGGAAGCAGAACCGCCCATACTGTCAGACGACGGACCCAGAATGTTGGCATGCGCCACACCACTTGGCATGGCCGGCACACGGTTTGCGAGGACCGGGTCACGTATTGTATGTGCCACCCCCTAGCTCATCATCACCACGACACTAGCTCTCAGCAACCACAGGATAACTTCAGCGATCCCGGTTCTTTTATGAATTGACCGCGGTTCACGATATAAATCGAGTACTAATCGTAATCGGCAGTCCCGATTCTTATTTAATCGACTCTCCCGATAGGAATCGACTTGTCCCGATTAGTTTCCTAATCGGCTGACAGCTCTTGGCAGCAATCAACTGCCCTGACCAGAGAGGAGTAGACTACACCAAGCAACATACACAATGGTAACCACAACAGAACACGAGTACACATCAAAAGATTTCTTCATTAGTCTCGTAGATTGATTAGTACCTAGTCTGTAGTATTAGGTAGCAACTCCACACATAAACATTCTTAGGGGTCCCTCTCACACACCACACACACACACTACAGTAAATCCCCCCTCCCTTTCTTTACCAATTAATTCCACCACTCACTCGGATTCAAACACCATAGACTATAGACCGTAGACCAAATATCAAACACCTAAAAGCGAACGTGGGGGGTATCTCCGACAACACAAAAAGCCAAAACGGAACAGCGGGTATAGTCGAGATGATGCGCGTCTGGAAGGTGCCGTATCTTAATTATTTATTCATTATCCCAGCTTCGTCTTCGTTCGTTGATTATTCCGTTACCGCTGTGGGTATATATAATATATTAAGCATGCCAGCTAAGCTCAGGCATACTCGTGGGCTCTCACGCGGTTCGGCGGAAAGGAGGCCTAGACAGCGGCGACAGGCGCGGGAGCAGCAGGCGCGGCGGCGGGAGCGGCGGCGACGGGGTGCTTCTCGGGGAAGGTGCCGGGGGTGGCGTGGACACGCCCGTACTGGGTGAAGGCGATGTTGAGGCTGCTGTAGTCCCACTTGGCCGACAGGAAGACGACGGAGAAGGCGAGGACGGGAATCATGAGCAGGTCGAGCACGCCGAAAAAGACGAAGCCGCCCACGACGCCGATGCGGTTGCCGCCGTCGCTGAGCCCGTACGCGATTGGGTACAGCAGCCACAGCAGGTTGAGCCAGGCGGTCAGCCCCGTGTAGTGACCGGCGACGCCGACGCGGGCGGCCGAGCGGCGGCCTAGGAGCAGCGTGTTGACGGCTAGAAACAAATAGGCTACGGTGCCGAAGGCGAAGAAGCCCCACTTGTAGTTGGTGGTGGTGTAGGCGCCGACGAGGTACGACAGCACCCAGATCCACGACAGGAAGACGTTGAAGACGATGCTGGCCCAGGAGACGCCCGACAGCACGCCGAGGGCGATGACGGCGGCCGGGAAGCTGACGACCCAGTAGATGTACTTGGCGAAGAAGATCTGGCGGAGCAGGCCGTGGCTGGCGACGCTGTTGGCCTGCGGGATGAGCGACCAGCCCAGGTCCGACGCCATGGCGAAATAGGCGATGGAGCCGACAAAGGTGGTGATGATGAAGATGAAGTGGAAGAAGCGCTCGCCGGCTCTAGCCTTCAGAGTCAAGCCGTACAGAGTGAGCTGCCTCTCGTGTTAGCATGCGGGTCCGGATGGACGGGTGCCGGGGCGGGCAAACTCACAAAGGAGACGATGAACAGGGCAGTGACGGTCCATAGCCAGTCGGAGCCGTTGACGTTGAGGAACTGGTCTCCGGCGGGAGGGTTGATGTCCAACGCATCGTTCTCCCGGGTGGAGATGGAGATGACGGCCATTGCGGGTAGCTTTGGCTAGACCTAGGGGTAGGTAGGGGGTTGTTCCGTGCGTGGCTGGTAGAAAGGCAGGCGTAGTACGGGACGACTGTGTTGATGCTGGTGAGAGAGTTCGGGCCAGAGACTGACGAGCAGAGGCGTCTTATATCCCGACCGACAGGGACTCGTCGCGTCATGGATGCCATTGCCATATGGGGACGGTCGCGTACCTATCGGACGGCGTAGTAAGGGCACAGTCGGTTCTGGGGAGGGGAAACTTCTCGAACGCCGAGTCCTCCGAGGGGGCGTTGGTATCCAAAGCATGCCATGCCATCGCAGATCGGGTAACAAGGACTCACTCCGAGGGCATGCAAGACGCCGGAACAAGGAGACGCTGGTCACTAACAGCCTCTGCTATCATTGGTCAACCCGCAGTCTGAGGGAGAAGCTGGCCACTCAGCTCGGCTCCCGTGAAAGCCTCTCTTGGCCATGTCCCTCTTCAACCGTCACACGACCTTCTGCTCCTCTTTTCGAGACCTATATCGAGCTATGGTTCTGCTTCCTCATCATGGCCGGCCTGCTGTTGGTCAACACGACGTATCTGTATTATCTGCCATGCCGGAACCATGCCCGCACAAAGCCGAACGAGCCCATGCATTGTATCTAGCCACCCTCGGCTAGCCTTGCCAGCCTCGTGGGAGGAATGGATGGGTTATGTCATTTCTGTCCCTCGCCGCCCGGGGCCGTATCCGGACCTCACCTCCACACTTCTCACCTAATAGGTGCCACAAAGGAATAAATGCATGATGAGTGAGAAGACCAAAAGAAAAAAAACAAGGAAAACTACCGAGCAGGAGGCAAGAGGCAAGGGGTGTGGGCAGATGGCGATAATTCCTCGGATGGGTTATTTCTCAGCAACGCCAAACATGGCAGCTGTTGTCTGATCTGATTTGATATGATGTGATGTGGATGGCGAATGGGATCGGTGATTGATCGCAGAAAACATATACATCCAGACACAACCCTAAAAAGGTTGAACAAACACACACACACACACACAAGCACCCCCGGAATCTTCGGATGGAAAGCTATTGTGCATGCGGTAGGTAGGTATGGGGTAATGCATCCATGGACAGATGGCATATCGCATGGTGGGGAGAGAGTCAGGAACAATAAAAAACCCTCTGACCCCTCAAAAATAAAAAGGGCACATGATTTGCTTACGCGATGGGCGCTGGGCGTTGGGAACTCCGAGACGGCGAAGAGAAACACTCTGCCAACAGAGAACAAGTAAGCAAGCAAGCAGACAGGCAGACAGATCGAAAACCGGCCGTCACATGATGGCCGGGCCCCAGTCAACCTCACAGACTCACTCTCACTATTCGCGGTTTTCTGCAATCGGGATAGAACCACACAAATTGATGGATGGGATGGGGCCACACCGTGCGCCGAAAGGCGACCACCATTGGCTTTTTCCTTCGCGGGCGGGAGAGCGAGTGAGCGAGCAAGCGAATGATACACAGTAGTACCTCAGAATGGATTTGGGAATGATGGCGTATCCCTTTCGCGCCGCTTCCCTCAGGTGTGTCTGTCTTCGTCTTCTGTCTCGTAACAGCTACCCTACAGTACCTCACTCACCTCACCGAGGTTACCTTACATAGAGGTAGCACTTGCTTGATGCCGGCACTTGCTCGAGAGTGTCCCCTCTGGGGTCCAAATCGGGTAGGAACGCCTGCTCGAGGCTGCGGCTTTGCGCATTGCATACATGCATCTTCAATACAGTAGTGGTATAAAAACCGAGTAGACGAGTAGTAACAAGCGCCAGCAGCCGTGGTCTGTTTCACTTGGCACTTTTTTGGCTGGCTTACAACTAACTGTGCAGGACGCTGTACTGTGTAAGCATGTCGTCGGACGGTTCGGGGGAGCTGCTATGTGACGCCATTGACTTTGAGAGGTCATGCCACCCACCCCGCCAGAGCTTTTGGTGCCAATTGGCTGGTCACTCTCCACAGAAAAAAGGCGGCCAGCAACCCCAGCGGCTCTGTCGCTCTCCCGCTAGCCAGTCCCGCAGCAGCTCCGCCCTCCCCCCCGCAAGCCGGCAGCCGTGAAACAGCTGACAATGGAACCGACAAGGGGGTGGAAAGAGGAAATGCAAATGGAATTAACGACGCCTCGCCGCCTCAACGACACCTTCTTTACTCTCCAGTTGGAGCATCATTAGGTATAGGGTTAAAGTCATAGCACGCTCTAGTGTAAGAAACAAACCCCTTGCGCCCTTTTGACAGGCGTGCATGTAATTAATTATAGGCATAAACTAGGTAACCTAAGTCATGATTTCACCTATACATATTTCCAAAACCTTCTGAGGAATGACCCGATTCCCGAGTAGGTCTGTGTAGCAAGGCCAGAAGACAACTACCTTACCTTACCTACCTACCCATGCACTTGGGTAGGTAAGGTAGGGTTATGCCATTCGCCAATTAGCTGCCATTCCAGACCGCACCTGTCCGTCACTTTCCTTCAAAAAAGGTGCAGTAAGCGACGTGCTCGCTCACCCACACACGCGCTCTCACCTCATCATCTCTTCCCCAGACTCCCAGACTCCGCGCCTTCCGCGGCGCGGGTCTGGGTCGACCGGCCGGGCCCCCGAGACACGGGAGACACCCTCCCATCCTCCCCTCCCAACCTCCTCTTCCCCCCGGATGCATTTGCCACATGGGGGGCTTTTTTGGTACCTTAGTAGTGTGTAGACGGCAATGCTATGCCATGTCCATTTATTAGATACCACGCCTTTCTCAACGCCGAAAAAACCCGCCAGTCCATGACTCAGCCGCGGATATCCGACTCGGCCCTGGCTTGTTTGTTCCCTTTTCCCTGCCGTCCCTCTGGGCAGGGCGAGGATGGCCAATTGCCTCCTACTACTGTACAGCACATCCTTCGTAATAGCTATGCGTATGTATGTATGTAGCATGCGTACATATTAACCCGTGCCAGTTACGGCTCCAAACTGCCACTTCCAAGCCCTTTCTTTGCTCGCTCCGCTGCTTATGCTCGTAAATGCGACGATTACGTTATGTGTGCCCCCTCGACACGTGCTTGCTCTGACATGAAAAACGTGCTATGTTAAAAGAATGTCCTAGCCAAAAAAAAAAAACAGAAAATCACCATCGCCTTCCTCTTGCCAAGCTCTCGGCACTCCGTCCAGCAGGGCACGCGCATGTGTCAGCTAGCCCAGCTAAGAACCCCAGGTTTATACGCCGTCAACGCTGCAGACCCTAGATTAGTCAAACTTCTAGACTCAGCTGCTATGGTTCTTGATTTGCCAGATGGCCGTCTTGGCACGCTCACGGACGTCGAGGTCGCTGTCCGTCCGCTCTAGCCTCTCGAGCTTGCTCAGGAAGCCGAGATTTTTTATCTCCAGGGCCCGCTGACCGCACGCCTCCATGTCCGTCTTGTCGTCCTGACAGCTAAGATTCCCAAATAAGTGGCAGAGCGCTTTCCGCACGCCGATATCCTTGTGGTCGATATGGGTGCCCAGCAAATTGAGGAGCTCCGTCTGCGCTATTACTAGCTGCCGGTGTCGTGGGTGGCTCGAGCTGATGTGTACGAGGATGTAGATGGCCGCTTCCATGATCTTGGATTGCGGATAGAGCACCCGAGACTCGCCAATGCGGCTGCCGCCCCCCGCAGCAGCCGCCGCCCGCCGTGTGAGCGGGTGGAGCACCCTCCTCGTCTTCAGTTTCGACGCCAGGATATCAAAGAGCCGGACGCCGAGCTCGCTCAGTACGTAGTCCACCATCTCGGGCAATCTCAAACTCGGCAGCCCCATGAGATTCCGGATAAAGTTCAGCCCTTGCTCTTGAATAAGAAGGTCATCGTTCCGCGCCTTGCGCGTGGGATTCAATTCCGTCTCGCGAAGCATTGCCAGCTTCATTTCCACTCGCCGTAATCGTGGCGATGGATTCCGAAGTGCCGGGAATCGACCAGAAATGCTGTCTCTGTAGATTCCTGGCCAAACACAAGACCGACTGTCATGCCCGTACGACGCATCGGTATCCATGTCCTCGTCGTCGTCATCGTCAATATCTAGACTCCCGCTCCCTCGCTCGAGCCTTAGACGCGCGTGTAGAGCCTCGTCTTCCGTATCGTCGCGTATCAGCTGGACAAGCCAGCCGGCTTCAAGTTCTTCCAGCGCTAGCTTCCTCAGATCCTCGTCGGCTCCGTCCACCAGGTGCTTCAAAGCCCACACTGCGTTCAGTCTTATTCCGGGATTCAACGAGTGGGCCTGCTCACAGAGCACCTTGAGGATACCCGCTTCAAAGAGTGGCTGCGAGAGTCAGCGTCTATCAACGAGAGAAGTCGAAATGAGAACGAATACGTACTGTCCGCATAGGGCTGCTGTTCGTCACCAGGTTGCAGACGACGCTGCCAGCTGCGGTTTGGACCTCCGCATCGGGATGCCTCAGAAGCCTAAAGATTGGCATTGCGACATCATGGTCGTCGAGCGCTGTCCGAAGGTTGCTGACCGATCGGCTCAGCGTCCGGATCGCATGGCACGCCGCGATGATGACCGAGTTGAGATTTGTCCCATAGGGCGAGCTTCCACCTGACGAAATGTCCATGCCTTCGTCTGCGCTACCGGACTTTGTCTTTTCTTTCGCGATATTGGGCTTGCCAGGCGACTGGGAAAGTGACTCGACTATGAACGGCACCACGTCTTGCTCGACAATAGCTTTCCGATATTCCTCTTTCGACGTGCCCAGAGCAGTGAGGAGCTTCAGGCTGCCCTCTCTTATCCTGATCTTGTGGGCGTTTATTGGGAGCTTGCCTGGGAGCCCAACCCGGTTAGTTGACAAGCCCTCGCCGCTCTCGACACCACGATCCGGATTCGGCGACCAAGGCCTCGGAGCGGTCTGAGCTGGTAGAGGCTCATACGAGTCTTTGAGTAGCTGGCAGGCCATCTTAACAGCGCCGCAGCTATAGGCGGCCTCCTGAAGCACATTGCTGTCCCCAATGAGTCGCGCTAGGACGCCTGGAGTCCGCTCCGAGACGACCCAATCCGCAGCCACGTCGGGCTCGAGGAAGGTGGAAAGCTGTGCAGCAGCCACGCTATCTTTGTCGTAGTCCTTCATTAGCTGGCAGAGGATTGGAACGATGAGATGACCAAGCACGGCCTCCCTTTCGGGGCTGGCAAGCCCGGATTTGTATAACGACGTAAGCACAGAGGCCGCCATGACTCTGTCGAGCCCGCTAGACCACCTGGCGAAGTTTATGAGCCACGGTATGAGAGGACTCTCCGGATCCTCAGCCTCGGGGTCGCTGCCGGGGTTAGAAGGGTCGAACCGACCAGAGTCCCAAGCCGAGAATTTGCTACCAGTCGACCGGCCATTAGAAGCTAGGTTCTCCCGAGATAGGCTGAAGCCCAACGGGGGAAAGTGGGCGAACTGTGACGACAAAGACCTGGATTGCATAATAGGCACAATCGGCAGCAGGTAGTCGGCAGCGCCGGGGCTTCGGGCACGAGGGCTGCTGAGTCCGCTCATCTCGAGACTGTTCCACGCAGCCTTAGTCTCCTTCGCCGACGGCGAGAACTCGGCGGCGGGGAACACCGCCATGATGGCCGGTGAAGAGATAAGCATGCAGGCCCGGAAGCGGGAGCCTTCTATGATGCACGATATGGCTTCTAGAACCAGAGCCAAGCTCGCCCCTCGAGGTGCAGCAGCCGGTATCATGTCGGCGAGGCCATCGGCCTGGCCTATGATCTCGGCCCCCGGGATGACTTCCCCACGTGCCACAACGAAGCTGGCCAGCACGGTGGCAAGAGCGTCCAGAATGCCGGCATTGGCCAACAGGTTCTGGTGACGCGTGTCCCTGCACAACCGGCTGATCAGGCTTGCGACCAGACATTTCTGCTCTTGCACTACCACGTCGGTCGACTCCGAGTCCAAGATGGCGCACAAGACGTCGAGGTAACGAGACACGAACAAGGCTTCCGACAGCGCGCCTGAATCATCCAAACCCGGCGAGGCAAGGCGGGTCGCATCGGCGATGTTGGTCAGGGCGCGCAGAGCGTTCAGGGTGACCAGCGGCGGGTTCTCGAGGGGGGAGAGGTTCTGTAGGATTACAGGCACGGCGTTGGCAGCATAGATAGGTCCCAGAAATGCAGGGCCGCCTGGGAGTAATGTCAATATTGAGCTCCACCCTGCGAGGGCTTCAATCTCACTTTGGATGGAAATGTCTGTCAGCGAACTTACCACTTGCGAAGCTGGCAATGAGCTGTAGGCACAGCAGCCGGACGAGTTCATTATCTGCTAAGCCCCTCGGCAGCCCGGGCCCGGGGTGAGTGGGCGACTCCTTGCCGTTCAGGCTCACCGGGGAGTGGCTGGCCTGCAGTATTTTGACGAGGGGTTCTAAAATGCCATATTCCACCCACTTCTCCTTGCGCTGGGCGTGGCCGACTGTGTCGTCTTTCAGGCCGCGAAGGGCGGCAGCCTGATCCGAATAGCTTCTCGCTCCTCTGATCTGCGCGAAACCAGGCGGCGTCTGTATGCGGGCCATGGCAACGATGCACCGGCACACCGGCACACCGGCACACAGGCACACGGGCCCAGTAGTCGGGAGGGCCCGGTCTTGTCTTGCAGTCGCTCGACGACACCGAACGAGCGTCGCTGCCGCTGTCGCCTAGTTTGGAGAACGGTGGTACCCAACGCTTCCCCCGGCTGGCCGCGTGCGGTTCACTCTGTTGCAGGTTGCGCGGGCGCTGTGTCGAGATGTGGAAAGAAAACGGACGACGTCGCCTACAGGCCCTGAAATGGATGCAGATGCCGAAGGGACCTCGGGAGCAATTGATACGCGACTAGGTTCCCGGGGTGGAAGGAGAGCGGGAAGGGGCACTCGGGGCTGTACTAGTTGGTGTGCTAGCGTGCTAGCAGCAGTCGATAGAGCAGCGATAAAAAAGAGATCGCACGCTGGGCAGAGGTAGAAGATTACGTTGCAATTATTCGCCGATGGATGATTGATGCGAGGTGGCTTCGACACTTTGTCGCATCGTCATTCTAGCCGTGAAGCTTGGTGGCAGGCATGGGATTGCAGTCCCCAGCACCAGCGGGCTAGGAAGGCTTGGCCTTGTCGATTCGTGAACCCGCCGAGCCCCACCGGGTCCCTAGAGTAGACATGCAGCCAATCAGACAGCACGAGAAGGATAGGATCAGCTGTCAGGTCAGCGAGGGCCCCGGACGCCGCCTAAAAACCATGCGTATACTTAAGACAGAACCTTGAAGGTTTTATTACCAGCCTCCACTGTCTGCACAGTACATGCCCCCCTTATTCAACAGACCTAGGCTACAAATGGGGAAGAGCGTTACAGCCCCTGAAACGTCGAAAGTAAACAAACGCTCTTTGTCCCAAATCTGCTCATGGTTCTGCAGTGTAAACGCCCTCCGCACCATGACCGACATTCCTGCTATGATTTAATATAGTGAAAGCTCACTCTTCAAGGGAAATAAACAGCTATAATCCAATCCTATAAATTTTAGTTTGATATCCGTACTTTGATAGCGTAGACCGGAGGCCATGGGTTTGTAGGGGGAGAAGAGGTCTAGGGCTCTGAGATCATATATTAGGAACTGTCATATCCCTCAGAGGGAAAAAATTAAGGCGAGCCTCAAGGTTATTAGGTTCTTCATGTTTTGGAAGGTTTCACACCAATAAACAATGGGGGATTATATCGTAAACTAATGCCGATAGTAAAGAATGAACAGTATTTGATATCAATTCGTGTTCAATCTGCTCCCTAGTGCCAAGGCCTAGCTCATTCCAACAGATAGCACAAATGAAAAATGGAGGAACCAGACTGTACTCGCCAGGCGGTTGGCGTACCAAGTCGTTTTGTTCACTGGACATGGCTTGTCTATTCTCCATTCTCAAACCACCTCGTTGAGGCTCCGTCTGCGTAGCCCACGGATCAGGGTACCAGCCGTCCGGCCATGACTGGGCATCCCCTGTCGGCAACGCTCCCCCGTCATAGCTTGAGCTGCTAGACACCGCGGTTGCTGTGGTGTAATTGTATTTGGGGGAGGGGCATAGGCCGGCAGCAGCCTCTCTCTGAACATGGCGATTTCTGGGACTCGCACTTGCTCCCTTGTTCTTTCGAACCAGTCTTGGAAATTTGTAGGTTTTATCCTTTTTGACCAGCAGAAAGCGCCGTTCATTCCTATGCGAGTTCTCGGTGCACAAGCTTGATATTATGCTCGTGATAAACGAGATGGCCGTTGTCATTTCCAGTCAGTAGGATCTTGAAATGAGGATGAGAATTGGTTTCCTCAACAAGGGAACTGTAATAATAAAAATATTAGTTTACACTCAGGTACCGTCGTCGCCTTGGCAGTTTCCGGGTTTGGACTTCCGGTGCGAAGTTGGGAAAAGTGTCATTCTGTCGTCAAAGTCACCCAAGGTAGGTACGGATACCTAAGGTAGCAGGACCGTACTTGAGATTCTAGCTCGTGCCTTAAGTAATAAACCAAAGCGGTTCAAGTTCCTTCTCTATATTCGATAATAGCGTTTGCCATAAAGAATGTGGGGTACCGCATCGAGCGCGTTACTATGTACTGTAGCATCAATTCATGATTACATTATCCGTACCTACATATAATCCCATCCTTATTTGTTTCGTCACTTTCATTGAAAATAAAAATATCGAAAACCTGTAATACTAGCTTCTACTACCCGGACTCGGGGCGCTCACCACAGGCGCCAGAAACGGGGGGGGGGGGGGCGGCTAACAATAGTTGGCTTTTGTGAGACGGTGCGGGTCGGCTAGGCTTGACCGCTCACAGTAAAAGCGCTGCGCGCGCAAGGCCCGCCACACTGTATCGGATGCCCATCGATGCACACAAAGACTCGTCTTGGACCATTCGTCACTCAACAATTCGTGAATTTTTCGGAAAGATTTAGCACCTAGTCGCCAGGGCTAGAAGGTATTAACGGTGTCCCAGGCCCATAATTGCCTGTGGACGCGCAGCCACCCAAAACGCTGCCAGTTGCGACAACGGCATCAGTCGTCTGGCTGCTATTCATCAGTCCTTTGGTTCACGTCTCGCGCTGCCTCTGCCTGCGCACCGCCGCTGTTCTCTTTAGTATACGCGCGTACCAAAATGACATAGTCTCAAGAGTCCCGACTATGAAGACCTGCGTTTCCTCTCTCTCCAGGGCGTTGGCGTTTAAACGGAAGATGTCGAAAAATACCGGCTGGGGTGGTACTAACCTGTTCACTTGGACGACATGTACGACGGCGGACAGTAAAAGATTTTGCACAGACTCGGTGCTGGCGGGTTCTCCACGGTTTGGCTTACGCGAGACGGACATGAGAAGAAGTAGGTGGCGCTGAAAATTGTTGCCACACTCAACCCTTAGTTGGCGAGAAATCCCTTTAACGCTTCACCTTTGAAGGACCAAATGGTCACCATCTATGTCTAGTTCTACCCGTTCTTGGCCCGTCCGCGTCTGACCTATGTTATGGGTTCACTATTCGACTTAGACCTTGGCTCACCCGGAAGGCTGGCCATGAAGCCACGAAAGCCGTCGCTGATCTCCACTCCCAAGGCCTGTGCCATGGAGGTTAGTGATCCCATGTCAACATCTCTACGAAAACTTGCTAATCGAATATTAGACGTGACAACTAGCAACATTTTCTTTGGCTTGTCGGGTTTCGACAGTTTGGATGAAGCCGACATCTACAACTTGTTCGAGCCGCCTGTGACGGGAGAGCTTGAGACCGAGGCCGGCGATATACCTGGCCCAGAAGCGCCGCGGTATGTTGTGAAAACCTTCAATTTCCTCTCCTCGACGACCAGAAATTCTATTACCGACCAGATCAAACTCGTCGACTTCGACCAGTGTTTCCTGGCTTCTTCGCCGCCCCAGAAAATGCTGGGCACGCCACTTGAGTTTCTGGCACCCGAGTTTGCAGCTGGCTTACCGGCTAGTCCAGCAAGCGATGTATGGGCTCTCGGCTACTGCTTCTTTCGGCTCAGGTCGGGGCAAGGCCCTTTCGATAACCCTTACCAAGCCACGTGTCGGAGCTAATGAAGTATATCGTTCAGACCCTGGGGGACATGCCCCAAGACTGGGAGGAAATCCTTTGGGACGACGATGGACAGCCGACAAAGGATTCTAGTAAAGGAGAGTCGCTTGAGAAGTTGGAGGGCAAGCGACCTCTGAAGAATCTGGTTTATCAGATATGGGATGAGCCCGATGGCCGTGTCGTCCAGACTGGCACGCCTAGGGGGAAGAACGGGGACTGCGACAAGTACGAGGAGGAAAGAAGGAAACCGTTTCCCCCTTGTTTCTCGGACATGGTGTGGAAGCCTACGGCTGTGCAGGTGAATAATGTCTACCTAAAGGGCTTTAATAGGGAATGGAAGCCGTTGTTGGAGGCAATGCCCAAGATCCCAGAGCATGAAGCCGACCTGCTCTTCGACCTCTTGTCAAAGATCTTTGTCTACGATCCGGAAAAACGGCCCACTGCACAGGAGGTGCTCAGTCACCCGTGGTTCCATATTGACGGGCGTTGATACATATATTTAAACAGGGCATCAGCGTTGGGCCAAAGGTTTTTTGGCCATTGGACGAGGGCCGATAGCCCCTTGTACTAAGCTAGGTAGCTGCTAAAATCTCTAGAAACTCGTGAGTTGCACTTTTGTATTTGCAAGTTGTAAAAACACCAACCCCAGCAGACTCTTTCCAGTTGGCAGTGGAGGCGTGTTGCATCTCCTGAGTACCAGGCTGCGTACTCCGTTGTGATGGGAAGTAATCCTAGAATAATAGAGGGAGGAGAGACTTTCTAATTCTCATACCCTAAACAGCGCCATCCGGAAAATTAAGGGCTGCATCTTATTGTGGGGATTCGCTTTCTAAAAATCGAAAAAACCCGAAAATGTGAATGCCATTACTACGTGTCCCAGGTCGTGTAGCCCTATAGCATTGTGCTCATCCTAAGCATCACTAAGAATTCGCTCGAGACAGCTGTGATGCGGGTCGAGCTACTGAATACCAGCACAGTTTCTTTACCGTATCCGCAGGGAGGGGCAGCTCCCATGTGTCTCTTCCGACGCCATGGATCCGACCACGGCCCATCCCAGGCCAGACGTTCCTGAGGTCGTACGGAGCTCGGCTCTGGCCCCAAGACAAGACATTGAGGTCATTGCATTGGATGCACGAACCGGGCCACATGGCCTTGATGCAGGCGTCTCTGCCCTGTTGTCAGTTGGTCTCGGTGCCAAACCTGATCGGATCCAAGCAGCCGCCAGTACAATTTTCGCCTCTCTCCAATCACGTCGCGGGGCCAGGCGAGGCCAGGCCATCCAAGCGAGCATACGTGACTGGTACGGCAGTGGCGCTTTTGTGGGTTTGGCGATAAAGACATGCATTGGAAAGGCGGCGCACCCCTTTGGCCCGTCGCTGCCATTCTAGTGCGCTAGCCCGCTGCTCGGTGAAGCGAAGAGAACGTTAGGGCCCACGGGTTACACTAAAAGCAACCCGACCTGGACAGCCCGAGACGTCCAGTTGACAACGTGCCACCTACACTTTTACCCACCTCGATGCTATGGAGGGAGAAAATACGGTCTGTTTGGGCGTGGCGAGGCGGCAATAAAATAAGTACAGCGTAGAGATCCATCGTGGGTCCTCACTCCGCCGTCGCTTGTCGGGTCTTGGGTTCCAATTCACATCCCGCCATTGACAAAGCACCCAACTTACTACTCTTCTTCACCTACAACGGCAATCTTATATTCCAGGTTACCTGTTACCTATCTGACCGCCATACCTTGCGCCCATTCTTCTTAACAGTCACCTGGACGCCCGCCCTTCCACGTCGTGTGATAACAAACTACTCCGTATCTAGATCCAGAGTCTAAACCCGAATTGCACAAACCGCGCAAAGCACCCGCACCTGCCCCAGGATCCCAGCGCCATCATCCAGCATCGGCGCCAGCACTAGCGTCCAAGCGAGAGGCGACAGTTTTGTGGCCATCTTAGGCATTCCACTGTGGACTTCGGGTTGTGGGTTTTGGGCGATTTGCTCCGCAGTCTGACAGCGCAAAGTCCCGTGTCTTAGTGACTGGCCAGGACGTGCCGTCGACCTCGTCGCCTCCAACTCCCTGACTGTGGGGTTGCAAAGTCTCAGGCTAACCTACCTAATCCATAACTTTACCAAGACAACCCTGCCCCACCCCTCCCCCGCCGTCGATAACTGATCCGCGGCCTCTTTAACCTCGTCGCCCGCCCGCGCTGTGTCTGCGCCTAGCAGAAGAATGAGTTTGGGATGATGTTGGAGGCTGTCTCGACCCCAGTCAATGCCTCTCCCAGAAGTGGCCTCCATAGCTTCCACTATGCACCTGCATCCACATCCGCAGTCGCGCCTTCGCCGCGACAGTCTCCAGCCCGGCTCCCGGCTGCCCTGTCCCGCCGGCAATCCGCCGCCTCGTCGCCTCTCATCTCAACTACCACCACCACAACTACAATCGCCTCGCCTTCTTTCGCACGCCCCAAGCGATATGTAGGCGTCGACGCTGCCACCCAGTACTCGCCTATGGAGCTAGTGGACTACGCTACCGGCGCCCCTCTCTGTCGCCCTGCACCCGCGCCGTCGCCAGCCGACATTGATCGGCTCGAGCCCCCGCCAATGCCAGGACCGAAGCCCATGGCTCTCCCCGACGACCCGCCTGCGACAGTGGCCTCTCATCCCATTCCGGCGAAGCCCGCAAAGTCTATACCGCCAGCCGCGCCTAAGCAGCAGCAGCAGCCGTCGGGGTCCCAATCGCAACTTGCCGCTGCCGTCGCCGTTCCCGCAGCCGCAGTGCCCGCGCCGGCATCTTCTCCCACGGCTAAGAGAAGAAATTCGCAGGGGCCGGGCAGCTCCAGCGTTGCGACGCCGGCCGATGCCGTGCAAAATCCTTCAGCGCTCGCTAAGCGCCCGAAGCCCGAGACGGCCCTCCCCAAAATTTTGCCCGAGCGATACGAGTTATGCGCGGTCGAAGACGTCGTGGTGCTTATCGCCCACATGCTGGGAGAGCTCATTGAGACCAACGATGCGCTGGCCCTGAAGTCTGGCCATTTGACCAGATTTCACTCTCGGTGAGAGCTCCCAGCTATGCAATCGCCGACTGGCTTTTGTGGTTACCGCCGAACTGACATTTCTTCTTTGCCCCCCCAGGACCGCACCGGGGATCTCAGTTCTAGACTATCTTCACAGGCTGGCAAAGCACGCCACACTTAGCCCCCCTCTGCTCTTATCCATGGTCTACTACATCGACCGACTATGCGCGCTTTATCCCGAATTCACCATCAACACGCTTACCGTGCACCGTTTCTTAATCACAGCAGCTACAGTCGCGGCCAAGGGTCTTTCCGACGCCTTTTGGAACAATTCGACCTACGCGAGAGTCGGCGGGGTCAGGGTCGCTGAGCTGAAACTGCTGGAGCTCGAATTTCTCTACAGGGTTGATTGGAAAATCGTGCCCAACCCCGAGGTCTTGGTTGCCTACTACCGAGGCCTGGTTGAACGGTGCCCTGGATTTCAGCTAGAGGAAGACGATAATGAAGACGACGATAGCGAGGTCATTGACGACGAGGATGACGACGAACTTGACGACGAAGAGGAAATAGAAGGGGGGACGAGCAAGGGCAAAGCCGCGATCACGAACCACGGGCAAACGGCAAGCAGCAGCTAATAGTCGCTGCTCACCCCGCGAAACCTGCGCTTTGAATCCTCCCCCTTTTGGGTTCTGGGTTCTGGGGCCTGCGATTAGGGCGGCGTCGTTCCATTTTGTATATGCAGGCATTAGGATCAGGAGATGGGGGAAGCCGAGTTTGAATCTCGGCTCGCAGTGTCTTCGGCGGTTTCGTTTTGGGTAGCCGGCGTATCTAAACTCGACACACCTTCAAGTGTGAATAGGCTGAGTCATGGATTGATGCGGAGCGATGTATGCATTCAGGCTTGTGTCTGTAAATAGGTCTTTCAACTAGGTACCGCGTGCGGGATTTCCGTTGGAATGTTTTTTATGCTAACCTAACTGTTCTTGGGCGTGCACGGAACAGTCTCTCACGTCGTAGAGGAAACCGTTCCCTCACAAACACGGATATCAAACACCCTCTGAGAGTTGTTCCAAGCGTGCTCGCTCCTTGTGTTGTGAGACAGTGAGATGAACTGGGAGCGTGTGACAAAAAATTGTGGATGGGATTCAGACCCTCGTCGGCAAGCAGCAGCACAGTGCCAGCTGGCAGCGAGGCTGGGGAGGCTCTAAATTTCCGGCTCGCCAAGACACGCCCCAACTGCTGGGTCTGTCGATCCACCCCCTCCCATTGGATTGCCGCCGCCGACATTCAAGCTCGCCAACAACCCGCCTTATCAAAAGCTCGGAGCTGAAGAGGACAGACAGACAAACAGACAGACAAACAAGCGATATCAATTGCGACCCCAAGACGGAACGATGAGGTATTCCGCGCTTTTCTCGACGCTTCTAGCAGTCGCGGCCGTCGCGAGCGCAGAAAGTGTCGTCGCCTCCATCTTCATCCAACCCATCACGACGCCCGAAACACCGCCTAGCCTCCTCGCCGACGTCAGCTACGAAGCCCAGCCGGAGACAACAGCAACAGGCGAGGTCCTGTCGTACGAAGCGCCAGATCTCCCCGAGGGCGGTGCGGCGGCGCTGTTGCGCGTCGGCGTCTACGACGCGGCCGCGGCGCGCTGGGTGTCGTCGACCTCGGTGGCGTCGGCCGACAACTTTGGCAAGGGGCTGTCGCCGCACCTGGTGCTCTCGGTCGACAATAGCAAAGGCCAGATCCTGGGCGTACTGTGCAAGGGGGTGCGGATCGACGCCGGACAGACGCGCGACTTTGGCCCGCAGGTCGTCGTGGTCCCGACGGCGCGCGGCAAGCAGCCCGACCTCAACAGGCCCGTCGTGCTCTCGCCCGAGGGCAAGAATGTCGTCCCCGAGGAGAAGACGCTGTTGCAGAAGTATGTGCAGAGCCAGCCCCCCCTCCCCCTTTCCATCTGTTATGGTTATGTGTTTGGTGTAGTACGCGCAACTGCTGACGTTTTAACAATGATAGGTATTGGTGGGTGTTAGCTATTGGCGTCTTCGTCCTGGTGTCGGGCGGGGGAGACTCAAAGTGAATTAATACATCTAAAAATTACTTCCAGCGCCGTGTTCTATGCTCTAGGTCCTTCCATCATGTTCTTATATGTCTTTGCAGTCTAGGGGCTCAAAGACCTGGAGTGGTCACTAGACTAGGTAGGGACGCTCTTTTTATTGTCTTTTACTCCCGACCCGTCTTTCATGAATCTCTAGCCTGGTTGGCTCCAGCCTTTCTGCAGCATTTTTATCGCTGTTTCTAAAGTTCCTTATCATGCTCTGGTAAATTTGGCGGAGTTCCCCATCCCCCAGTGGGCCTTGACATGTTTCTCTGGTCGCAAATCCCCGGCTCTTGCCTAACTTGCACAGTGTGCCGCGCAACCCACGCTGTTGCCCCGTCAGCTGGCGCCAAGTGGTGTGCGACGAACAGAGTTTAGGGCGGGCCTCGCTGCGCAACAGCGCCCCACAAAAATGCCCCATAATGGCGGGAGGCAAGGTGCGCCGGCTCTGAAATTCGGACAACCTCCAGATCTTAGACCTTCGCACACCACACCCCCCCAAGACCCAGTCTTTTCCCTCTTTCTCGCGACGCAAGGCTACACTCTACTCCCTCTGCTTCTCTGTCCACCGCCTCCGCAATCAAACCGCAGGCTCTCTACACGTATCTAGAGCTCTCCTCTGTTTACTTGAACCCAAACATCCAAACCTCTCCATAAACCACAGCCATGGCTACCGAGAACGGCACCACCACCTCTGGGGTCCAGGACCCCGCCACCTTTGGCGACTCCAAGGGAAAGGGCAAGGCTGCCGCGGCGACCGAGGACGACACCATGAAGGACGTCTCCATGGGCGAGGATGAAGATGACGAGGACGAAGAGGAAGACGCTGATGAGGTATATGCCGCCCAACTTTGAATTAGTCTTGCGCGCACGCGCCTTGGTGTGCGCGCCGTGAATACGCATGCTGCACTCGCGTCGCATTACTTTTACTCTTTTTGATTCATTGTTGTCAAACGTCCAGCGCTAACATGATGCTAATAGGAGACTGAAGCTGGTATGTCATTGGAATCCCAACTTCCCTTGCCCCCTCCCGCTCTCTTCGGAGAACAAATGCAGGAAAATGCGACTGCGTGTCACCCTTTCTTAATACCAGCTTCTAACCATTGTGCGCGCATGTAGCCGACGAGGAGGATGGCCTGGAGGAGATTGATCTCGACAACGTGATTGGCCGCCGCACCCGCGGAAAGGTCATCGACTTCGCCAAGGCGGCCGAGGAGAACCCGGCCGATGCCGACGAAGATGAGGAGGACGATGAAGACTTTGAGGCCGAGGACGAGAAGATGGAAGACTAGATTCCCTCTCCCTTCTTCAAACGTTCTCGTCTTTGTTCGGCCCAACAGCACGACCGCAACAACAGCATTTTCCGTCGATTGCCCTCTCGTCCCTGCATAACTGTACGGGTCGGGGTGGCTGTTGAAGGGATGATGATGATCATGACGACGGGACGGTTACGATAAAAAGAATCTATGGTTTTTCATGGTTTGGCACTAGGTAGGAATGGGAATAAACAAAACAGAGAAACCATAATCTCCCCAAAACCCTCTCCCCAGCTCTTAAATTCTCCTTCAGCCTCTTTCTGGATCGGATGCGACCTTACTCTTCTTCTGGGCGGGCGACCTTTTTGTCTTGTTATGAAGGGTTTTGATGACACGGATGGCAATTGTCTTTTAAGGCGGCGGGAAGACAGCGGTAGTGTCCGCTATCTCAAGTCACCGTATGGCCATTGGATGGGGAGAGCATGTATCGTCTTCGCGCACTTCTCCCCGCTGAGTGCATTATGAAAGTAGCGAGAGACATTTGTGTGGAGGAACTAGGATTAGGTGTTGGGGGTGGCTTTATCTGTTGGACGATAGATTCCATTCCACCTCGTCTTCCTGGGGCGCGTGATATGTGCTATTCTATGTTTTGAACCTTGGCTGACTTGCTGCTTTGGCCGGTTTACGGTAAAGTAAGTAAAGATATATACTACTACAAAGAAAGCTGTACGGCTGTAATGCTATAAGCTGCTGGTAAAGCGCTTCTTTACACAACAACAGCTGTCTATTGTAAGTTGTTGCATGAGTCGGAATAGCCCGGACTGTATACGCAGGCGAAGGCTTGGCCGTAAGCTGCTACCTAGCCGCATCGCCCTCCGAGAAAGGATCCCTAGCTGCGCCAGTCCTGGGCGACAATATAATTTGAGTCTACCTGTGACATTTGCTTTGAGATTTGGAATGCATCAATCACGGCTCTGACAGGTGCTGTGACCTTGCTGCCAGAAACCGGGAGGCTACTAGGGCAAGTGCCGGCCGGCAATTGGCCAATGAACGCCAAAAATTTAAGCTGAGGTGACATGGGACTCGCATTTTACTTAGTTCAAAGGCCTGTAATAGAACAACCTATCAAAAACTAGAAGACGTATCCGTAGAGGCCAGGCTGGACAGAAGCCTCCTTTGAGGAGGCCTAGAGTAAGAAAGGGCGGAAGAGAAATCCTGGCCCAACAAACAACCAAATATTGAAAAGCTACAAGAGAGTCACATTCGTCGGTTTGACCCCCCTTTTTAAATTATCCCGCGGGTTTCTTTCTAGATCAGATCCCCTAATTTTTTGGGGCGCCGTTCGCTCCAAACACAACCTCCCGTCCCTACCTGTCTGACCAGGTCTCCTTTGGCGTCGTCATCGTCATGGAAGGCAGATCGCCCGTGCAATAAACGCAACCAACCGCAACGAACAAAAAAAAGGCACCAGGGAGGAGCAAAAGAATAAAACAAAATAAAAGATGGCGTCGCGGTGAGCTATCCCCTACTTTTCTCTTTCTTGTTCCCCTTCTATGCGCCTCTGCAAACGAAACCGGACACAGGCGTTGCGCACACGCCTACGAACGCTACCCGAAGCAAGTCTGCGGCCAAGGCCACGATGCTCACGCGATTGTCGTCGCGATCGGGGGAGTTAGGGCGGTCGGCAATCGCGGCGCTGCTATACTACATTACATGACGATGGCGACGGCGACGGAGACTGTCGAATACTCGATGATTCCACCCCGGCAATCCAGAACGCAGCCGAGCACACGACGAACCACGCGCCATGTCCGCTCCGCCTTCAGCAGATCCGATTTCCGGCTACAACGGCCGACTCCCTTTCTCTTTTCATCGCAAGCCTACAGCCTTTTCGCAGCCGAGGACCAAACGACATGGGGAATCATTTCACTGCAAAAACTTCACAGTGTGACAGACGGCTGACGATAGTTTTGTCTGGGGTAACCTTTTAGATTTGGTGCATCGTCTCTGCACCAACGCGACTCGCGCAGCGACCTGTTCAAGGGCTATACAGGCTCGGGGGCTGAGTCGGGGGCGCGGCGGCCGGTGAGCGCGAGCCCGAACCGGGTCGGCGGCGGTTACGGCTACGGAGGATACCAGCAGCAGCAGCAGCAATATTCCGGCGGAAGCGGGAGCAGTAGTGGCAACGGCTCGGCGATAGGAGGAGGGATAGGGATAGGCGGCGGCGGGCAACATCTCGGCGTGGAGAACAGAGCTGGGTTTCGGCCGGCGACGCCGAACTCGAGGTGCGTGTTGATAATTCGAGCCTCCCCTGGCATACATATACGGCTCCCCCTGAGATGCTAGGGGATCGATCCATCGATCGCAAAGGCTGACAGTTTTTGTCGCTGTCGCAGGGGCCAATACAGCGATGCGGTGCTCAACGAGCTCGAGAGCCAGAACGACCATCAGGTCGAGGGGATCCTAGGCAAGGTCAAGGTGCTCAAGGACGTGAGTTCACCCCCAACCTCTCTCTCTCTCTCTCTCTCTCTCTCTCTCTCTCTCTGCCACGCCACCCAGCTAACCCTTCCCCCCCGGGCAACAGATGACGATAGCGATCGGCGACGAGATCCGCGAGTCGTCGGCGCTGGCGGAGAAGATGAACGACAGCTTCGACAAGACGCGGCTGCGGCTGCGCGGCACCATGAACCGCATGCTGCTGATGGCAGAGCGCACCGGCGTCGGCTGGAAGGTGTGGCTGGGCTTCTTCCTGGCCGTCATCTTTCTGTTTTCTTACGTCTGGCTCTTTTGATATTTCGGCTACTGGCTGTGGTCAGAGGGGAAAAGAATGGATTGATCAATAGCCCGATAGGTGGGGTGGAGGGGGGGGGATGGAATCAATCTATGGAAATAAACACAAAAACGAGTTCCCAACCTCCCTCCCCCGGCTCGGTCCCGCCATTCCTTGGAGGGACTGGGCTTCTCAGGGCACGCGGCGCATATGGAGTTTTCATGGGAAGAAGTGTGCATGTCTGTCTGTCTGCCTGTCTGCTACTTGGCGGATTTTGTTTCTCTCTTTTTCTTTTCTCCAACTGGGATCATGCAACATACCTTATACTGTACTGTACAAACCAACTCGCATGCATGCAGAAGGCCTATTTTGATTATTAAAGAAACGGCTTAATGCTTCATGCCGCATGTGTCTACTTTTACACTCTTGATAATAATGATAATAACAATAACAATAATAATAGTACTGTGTGGTGGTGCCCGAACTCTTGCCATACCGAAACCATGGACGGCAGGTAACTGAAGTTTTGACTTTGGGTATCTCCTGCTGTTTGGGCCCAAATGACCTTCTCTTCTCTTCTCTTTGCACTCTCTTCTCTATCACCTCCAACTCTAGGTCCTCCTCTGCATCTGCGGGCTGCTGCCCGTAATGCTGCTCCCGTCCCTGGAAAGGATACTGCTGATGTCTAGGCTTGATCTCGGCCCGCCGTCGCCGCGCCCGATGCTGCTCCTCTGGGGATGGGCTGGCGGCAGGCGAGCGCGAGGGGCGAGGTAGCTGACGTTGTGGTCGCCGTCCTCGCTGCTGCTGAGCGAGGCCTCGGAGTCGGTGTGTTCATAGCCGCCGCCGCTCTCTGCCTCGGGGATCTCGTCGTCCAGATCTGCCTCCATGTCCATGTCTGGTCCAGGCTCTACCTCGTCCCGGTACACGGCACCCACGAGATCCTCCTCCTCGAGCATGTGCGCCAGGTCCTCCTCGTCAATCTCCTCGTCGGCGCCGTAGAGGTCCCCGGCGCCGTCACCCGGCCCGCCGCGGGCCATCCGCTCCCGCATGCGGTCCTCGGTTGCGCGCATGGTCGCCATCCGGCTGGCAAACTCGCGCTGCTGGATGCGCCGCTGTTGCCGGAGAGCATCGCCTGCGCTAGACCCTTCCACCTGCATCGCATGGTCATTGTCAGCGTCGTCGTTTTCGTCGTCCTCTGCATCCAGATCGTCATCTTCATCCTCGTCGTCGCTAGCTCCATCAAAGCCGAACCCGCCTTCGTCCGCGTCCGGTATGTCTTCGTCGAGATCCCTCCCGCCATCCTCGTCGTCGTCGTCCATTCCCGGCTCGCCGCCATCCATGGCTTCGTCACCTGGAAGGCCGCCAGCCCCACCGCCAGCCTCAGCCTCCGCCGCCTCGGCTAGCTCGGCCGCCAGCATCTCCCGGCGCACCGCCTCGGCGTGCTCCTCGGCCTCGCGCCGCTCCTCGCGCAGCTGGAACAGCGTCTTGGTCACTCCGGGCGGCTTCAGCCACGTACTACCTAGGTTACTGACGTTGGCCCGGCACCGCTCCATGTAGATCTCGTCGGCGCGCAGGCGGCCAAGCATGGAGCGTTCAATGATGGCCTGGCTGTGGTGCTGGCTGTGGTGCTGGCTGTGGTGATGTTGGCCGCCGCCGTTGCTATTGTTGTTGTTGTTTCCGTCGCTCGCACTATGGCCTCTATTATCGCCGAAGCCGAGGGCGCCGGCGGTGTCGAGGTACGACGGTGATGCGTTGGGGTTGCGCGAAGATGTGTACCACAGAGAATGCGACTAGAAAAACAATGAAGGCACGAGTTTAGCACAGTACGCCACTTGTTCTACGGGCAATCGAGAAACAACGTACATCTCTTGGCGTCAGATCTGGAAGAATGGAAAACATGGCGACATTGGGAGGGTGCGATGTTATGTGGTTGGTGATTGCAGATTTTCGACGAGCAGACGATGCTGAACTCCGGATCTGCCAAACAGGCCCTGGTTCGCGGCCTTGCTATATCAGAATTCTACCATCGCTGTTATCCCGAGAACGATGATACAGCTACGGGCGTCAGCGAGGTGAGTGGTTTTACTGAATCTATTCAGCGATTATTCTGATTCCGATGTCATCGCGCAGAGCGCTGGGTAGGTTCGATTGAGTAAACAATCTGCCAGTGCGGACACCGCGTGCGAGCGCACTTCGTACGGCCTACTTACAGGGGTTCCGGTTGTCTACCCCACGATGCGGCTACCGACCACGGGTCTGTGCGCTTTGGGGGCTTCACACTAGCAAAGCGGGGACAAGGATGGACACCAGGTTCAACTTCCTAATCCTAGATCCGTCCGCCCACCTGAAAATTATCAAGGGAGCCGGGATTTCCTAGCCTCGTCTAGTTTTTTTCTTTCTCCAAAACCTGAGAAAGACCACGGTGGCCGATGGAGACCGCCCAACCCCGCCGTAGCATTTGCCACATCTCAATTGCAATAGCGCGCTGTTTAGTGGCTACTCGATGAGATCACCCGTTTCAAGATTCCCGGCCGAGGGAAAGGCAGAGCCCCCCGTCGGCCATGAGTCTCGCTGGAGGAACCCCGCCTCCAGACCGACTCGAACATCTCCGACTCCAAGTGTCCCGACTCTCCTCCGCATCGGCGGACATACAAATATTCCCAATTGAACGGAAGAGGGTGGCCAATAGACCTTAGTCATGCAGGTCTAAAGCCATCGTCCTCAGGCGAGGGTCCCAGGCAAGGTTTGTCTTTGGGCCTTACTCCGTAGAGAAGTCCCATCTTTTTCTCAAGAGGCACGATATCCCCGTCCGCCTCTCCGCGTCGCCCTTCCGAATCCAGACTGCTCGGCAGGAGAGGGCAGCCTACCTTAGCACTTTCCTCCTTTTTTTGCTGTCTGAGAGTTTCTGTGAGGTAATCAGGTAACCTCATCTGCAACGCTGAACGCAGAGTGCCTGGATGCGGTGTCGAGAAATTCTGCCTCGTCCCTTGCCTGCATCGGAGGCTAGCTCGCGTAGCTTAGCTGGCTCCCTACATTACCAGTACTTCGTTCCTAGGCGCGGATATGTAGGCAGGCTTTACGCAATATGTAGTACGGGCGGAATACGGGATAGTAGTGCGAGTCTCTATTCTTGCGCACCGCCTGGTGAGAAAAGCGTTTTTTTTTATTTGGTTCTCCAACTCAGACTATCTTGAGCTAGAGCAGGTACCTGGCGACTAGCGACGGTTCTCGCCTTCCATGCTAATACCCGCCAGGTCGGGATTATACGGAAGCAGAGAGTGAAGCCTGGGTCCGGCTGGGTGGACGCGTGGTGAGTGAGGAGTCCATTGAGAGGAACCTCATCTGTCAGTCGCGTGGTGATGCTCAGCGCCTAGGGTGATGGTTTTATGGGATGCCACGGCAGGGCCAAATTTTCTTTACGTACTATCCGTACCTCTCCGTCCGTACTTCAACTCAGGGTCAGCGGGCCTGAGCCTGGGCTGGCTGTCGGCGTGGCGCGACTTTTCCCAGGCAGTCGAACGGCCAGTGGAGAGCGACAAGGCGCCGACATCGGTGGGTTCCTGGACCGCTGCCAACTTAATGACCCCTTTTAACTTTTCCCAAACCCGAGTGGGGCGGGATGTTTAACGCCGAGTTGCGGATGCCAGATCAGATGTCGAAAGAAAGCTAAAACAACGTGGTATTCATGCACCCCCGACAACGACATCGTCTCGTCTACCTCTACCCTCCCTGCCCCCACACATCTGGTGGTGGAGTGTAGTAGGTATTCTGCATCACGTTTAGTGCCTATCAGACAGGTGTCACTGCAACACATTCATTTCCAGGCTGCTACCCCGCCTTCACAAAGACTGGCTCGCTGGGGGCTGCTTCAACTCTCTTGCTAAACTCACCTTGGTAAGACATTGGATCACGATGAGACGCCGGGTCAATCTTTGGGGGTTTCTATGGATTCTGGAATGTGGCTCATGCTGGGATGAGATGCCAAGCGGAGATTCGTCGTCGGTCCTGCCCGAACGTGAGCCAAGTCCTCATCTCATGTATTAGCTCAATCTCTGGGGACGGGGAGGGACTTATGTTGGTTTTCGTCTTCCCTCATGACTGGTTCGGTTCAAGATGGGCTGCATGGAAGATAAGGGAAGCAGCACATCGGATGCGAGGCTGCCGGAAGCGCGTGCTGTGATTGGCCGGACGCGGCTGTTTTCTGCTGATAATTCTTTTACAGCACCCTACTCTGCAACTCGCCCAGTTCCGTCCATCACGGGGCCGACCTTGGATGCAGCTGCAATTTGTGCTGAAAACTCTGTTTCCCCCTCCCTGTCGGCAGGCAAATGCCCATTGCAACTTGTTCCCCTCTCTATTTGGTTTATAGTACAGCTCTCTTTTGCTTTTCTGTGCGTGCCCTCTAAGCCTGTTTGTTGGTTACCCATGACATGCGATTGGTCAGCCTTCTCACCATCTAGCCGTCCCTCCACTTTCTGCCCTTTTCCCCGAGGCCCGAATCTTGGGAGAGGGGAAGCGGGATTTTTTGAGCTCGGAACGGACAAAAGCAGAAACAGGCCCAAAACCTTCTTAAACTATGTGTCAGTTGGCAACTGACGGCCGGGCATGGATATCTACGTATGTATGATACTTATCGATTGGTAGGATATCTGAGCCTGGCCTGCCCGGATACTACATATCTACCTAAACCATATGGTAAACGGTCCCGGCTCTCATCCAAGTTCCAGTTCCTAAGGTGCCGCGTTGCTGGCGACATCGGCAAGCCGTCTTTGAAAAACGCAGCCGTTGATTGGCGCGCAGTGGCGGAACTTGACGTGACCCCCCAGCACCGAACAAGGATGCTTCAGCACGGATTTCATGCAGGCTATGCTTGTGGATCTCGGGCTAACCTGGATTGGCTCTGCACGATGCAGCCCGGTGTGGGGTGCGTCCATCAAGGCCCGTTGCTCTCATTCAGTTTCGATGGCGAATTTCTCTTACACAAGCGATTTTACAAGCAACAGCAACAGCGTGCTGCTGACTAGGGATCTTGCTGTACGTCCGCATTTTTGCAACAGCCTCAGGGAAGGCCCTTGGCACTCGCAAGCAGAGCCGCCGGGTAAATCTGGCTTGCAAGCCCCCTCGTCAGCCCAGATGAGTTAAGATCCAGCTTATCCTCAACGGGCTGGCTCGCGTTCTTTGTGCTCTGTTGGAAGGCCGCCCCGGGTGACCATGGGCGAAGATGCTATTCTTGACGATTGAGATTAAACGTGCGGGATGGGATTGGCGCCAAATGGCCATGCACAGCGGCCAACGTCTTCTCCAACATTGTCCCCATCGCCCAGCTTTTGACTGTGTGCAGCCACACTAAGACTTTGGAGAGGTGGGATGGGCTCCAAAGCCTCAAGATGGTTCCGCTAGCTGGCGCCATACGACAAAGACTCCAATTTGGCCCATCTCAGCCCTGTTAGTGTTCTCTCTGTACCTTTCATTGTCGGCTGTCTTGGTTGGGATTAGAAACAGGTTACTCGTAGGAGGTTACAAGTCTGGTGCGAGGACGGAGGAGTGCTACGTTATTCGGTGCGTTCGGTGCGTTCGCAGAAGAGTAAAGACCGAACCTAAATGCACACGAATATGTTACTAATATACCTATTGAGCTATATTCGCGAACTGCATCGTGTGGTTAGTCGGCTGACAGCAAATGTTGATTGCCATGTAATTAGCAAAGAGGTAGTAATTTGAAACCCCGTTCTGCAAGCCTTGGATGATGCGAGCTTTGGGGAAGTAGAGAAAAAGTGATGCTAACCCTGACCTGGCCCACACTTTCTATGCCACTTTCTACTTCTAGTAATACTTATGTCTGCCTCAATGCTCTGGCACCGAAAGGCAAGCGCCACGAGAAGCACGGCAAACCGGCACTCGTCCAGGTCAGCCCAGAGCAGCGATTGAAGGTAATGGAATTAAGCGTTGCCTTCGACAGTTTGTCCTGGCCTCTGTGTTTGTAAGCACGAAAAGATGCGACTACCGGACCACGTTAGTAGGCGGTGGACGGTATGGAAGGTAGGCGCGGAATGGAGCCGACCTGAATACATCGGAGTACTGAATGAATACCAGCCCAGGTAGCAATAACCCACAGGGATGGTGCTGGCCCGTGGACCGAAAACCAGCTCCAGCCTAGCCAGCTCCCCACCCTCCCCCCACCCACTCCAGGTGCGGCCACCTTCAACACTGGCTGCGCACATGCATGCCGCTTGGGACCGAGCTTCTTGTCGTCGTTCCTCTTCCATACCCTTGTGCTTGCACTTGTCACTCCGGTTTACCTTGGCCTGGCTTGCTCCGCTCCGACCGCTCAGTCTCAGTCAAGCTACGGAAATCCTAGATCCAACGTATGAACCCACCCGCAGCTGACCCCTCGCTGTTCTCCGTCCACAGCCAACTCTATCATAAAAGCAGGCTCGCCACCCCTTTCCAGGCCCGGTTCCCCTCTTCCTCTCTTTCTTTCACGAATTCCCGATCCTGCTGCCCGCCTCGAGCTCCCCCCTGGGATCTTAAAAGCGAACAGAGTGTCACATCCTCCGTCGGAGGTCCAACCAAGCCAATTGGTAAGTCTTGCGATACCTATTCACCTATTACTGCCCTCTCTCGTCTTCCCTCCTTCCCCAGCTGTGCCCCGCAGAAGACAAGACACGTGCTCCGTATCCCAATGGCCGGGCGTCCGATCTGGAAAGACCTCCCGACCAAAGACTCGTCAAACACATTGCCATCCGTCGCCCAGGGCAAGGACAAAACGGGAGATTGCCCAATCCTTGTCCATGATCACCACGAGTATGGCACGCCGATGACGGCGAAGAAAAAAGGCGCCGAGGGACAAGTGCGGGTAGCGATACGCTCTCGGGGTTTCAACCTCCGCGAAAGATAGGTGGTGCGAGCAGCAATAGCGTCGAAAAGGCGAGCCCATCTTCCCTCGAGCCCTCCAAAGTCAACAAAGATGAATTGTTAGCCGTGTGTGAAGGCCGCGGTGGTGGTTCGCTTTGCTGGTGCCCCCCGACCCCGCCATTTTGGACAAAGCTGGGATCAATCGTTCTGCAATTGCGGATTTGGTCCCCGCTTCACCATCCATCCATTAGCCATTAGCGACGCTGCGAGGATTGCGCTGTCAGGCGATGACGGCAAGCACCGATTTCGACGTACCGACAAGAAAATCATGCTAGTCCTTACGGTTTCGCATGTCTCCCAGGCCCGCCTTTGATCTGCCGTCCTCCATCCTATCAGATGGCGGGAAATACAGCCGCATGGGGTCGATAAGGGACAGTGCAATTGGCCTGTCGTCATATCGCATCCCGCGGGGCAGTTGGAGAGGTTGTAAGTGGGCAAGCCCAGAATTGGCTGGCTGGACCGCTTCGATTGCAGTCAAAAGCTTTTGGGGTGGCCCGCAAGGTTATCAGGAGCTTCTATCGCGAGAGCAACTCATGCAGCTGCGAAGCTTGTCCTCGCCCTCTGTGCATTGCGCTAGCCAAAACCACTGCGACTTACATGGTCATGCACCCACGCCGAGCCAATACCCCCAGACGGAATACAGAAACCGTCGAGGCCTGTTTATCTGTGGCTGCATCTCCGTCGCTCTCTCTGCATGCGGTGCCGGAACTGGCGATAGCATGTCTGCCTATTCTCTTCAATTCCCAGCGGCGCCGTGCTTGTCTACCTCCGCACCATCGTTCCGGAGTCGGATATGGACCCAGTCGCCTACTACACCTTGGGTGGCTCTTTTTGGCTTTTGGTGTTTGGTTGCCCTTTTGCCAGAGTTCGGGCTCGGTAACTATCTGCACACCATCCTCCTCCTCTTCCCTACGGCCGCTTCGCATGCCCTTGCATTCGACGTAACCACGCTATCTATCGCTGCTCGCCCACGCCAGCGCGCCCTCCATCCCGCTTCCGACAGTCCAACTAGGACGGAGCATTGTTCGAGACTTGACTCGCGAGTCGGCCTTTGGAATACCGCATTTGTCTTGTCTAACGCCATCTGCTGCCATTCCTCGCTTTCCCCTCGCTCTGCCTTTCAAGTAGAGCCTGCTAGTTGCTAATTTGACTCTCCGTTACCTCAGACTGGTGTGTCGTCTGAGCGGCCCCTGCTGCTCCCCGATATTCTTCCCCGGCGATATCCCTCAGCAAAGGCATCTGATAAGCAAAGCTTGCCTAGCATGGGCTTGAACGAGGAGTTCGATGATCGACAAACACAGACCGAGGCTGAATCAGAGAAATACTATCCCTATGAATACCAAACAGAAAACAACACCTCATGGGCGGGAGCCCTTCCGGTGAAACAGTATGTACCACATGCCTTTATGTTCCAAGTTGCGCAACCGCTGATTGATCGATGTTTAGAGGGCTCTATGACCCGAGCCTCGAGAAAGATGCCTGCGGTGTAGGCTTCGCTTGGTAAGTTAGACGGCCGGACGGGTGCTAGAAGCCTTGTGCTGACAACTTCCAGCCATATCAAGGGCAAAGCAAGCCACAAAATCGTTAGCGATGGTGAGTTCTAGCTTTGGCCGTCGAGATGTTGGACACTGCGGGACACTAACTTTTATAGCACGCAATCTCCTCTGCAACATGACCCACCGTGGTGCTGTGGGATCCGACGCGCGGGATGGTGACGGTGCTGGCGTCATGACCTCAATCCCGCACAAGTTTTTTGTCAAGAACTTTGAGCGGGAGGAGGGGATCAAGCTCCCTCCTCCGGGCCAGTATGCTGTGGGGAATCTTTTTTTCAAGCCTGATCCAGAGACCATACACGAGTCTAAGCGGCAGTTGGAAGATATTGCCGAGTCCTTGGGCTTGAGAGTTCTGGGGTGGCGAGAGCCCCCTACGGACTCGTCTTTGCTGGGTCCTGCTGCTGCCTCCCGGGAGCCCACTATCTTGCAGCCCTTCGTCGTCTTGCAGTCTACCTATGGTCCCGGCAATGCTCCAGAGATGACAGATGCAGAGAAATTTGACGATAGGCTGTTTGAGAGACAGCTTTATATCCTTCGGAAGCGGGCCACCCATACTATTGGGCTCCAGAACTGGTTCTACCTCTGCTCCCTTTCCAACAGAAACATTATCTACAAGGGACAGTTGGCTCCAGTTCAGGTATACCAATACTACCATGATTTGGTGAATGCCGATTATGAAGCGCACTTTGCCCTTGTGCACTCGCGCTTCTCGACCAACACTTTCCCTTCCTGGGATCGTGCCCAGCCTCTTCGGTGGGCAGCACACAACGGTAAGCGGTAGAATATCTGCTCCTGCTGAAGCGAGATTGCTAATTCGACACTGTATAGGCGAGATCAACACTCTCCGTGGCAACAAGAACTGGATGCGCGCCCGCGAGGGTGTCATGCAGTCTGACATTTTCGGTGACGAGCTTGAAGGGCTTTACCCCATTGTCGAGGATGGCGGTTCTGATTCGGCTGCTTTCGACAACGTTCTAGAGCTTCTCACCATCAATGGAGTTCTCTCTCTCCCCGAGGCCGTCATGCTTATGGTCCCCGAGGCCTGGCAAGGTAACGCGTTGATGGACCCCAAGAAAGCTGCATTCTACGAATGGGCCGCCTGCCAGATGGAACCATGGGACGGTCCTGCCTTGTTCACCTTCGCCGATGGGCGGTACTGTGGCGCCAACCTTGACCGTAACGGTCTCAGACCCTGCCGGTACTACGTTATGGACGATGACCGTATCATTTGCGCCTCCGAGGTTGGGACTATCGCTGTTGAGCCCGAGAAGGTTATCCTGAAGGGCCGTCTGCAGCCCGGGCGCATGCTTCTTGTTGACACGCATGCCGGTCGCATCATCGATGACAGCGAGCTCAAGGCCGCCGTTTCTAGCCGGCACGACTTCAGGGCGTGGCTCGACCAGGAGTTGATTTCAATGCCTCAGGTTCTGGACCAACTCACTCAAGAAAAGAAGTTCGATCTCTCTGCGAAGCCAGACGCCACGAAACTACAAGAAGACCCCCTCCTTCTGGCGTATGGTTACACTTTCGAGCAGATCAGCTTGCTTCTTGCTCCTATGGCTTCCGACGAGAAGGAGGCCCTTGGCTCCATGGGCAATGATGCTCCCCTGGCCTGTCTTTCACAGGCCCCAAAGCTGCTCTACGAGTACTTCCGCCAACTTTTTGCGCAGGTTACCAACCCCCCATTGACCCCATCAGAGAGTCAATTGTCATGTCCTTGGAGTGCTACGTTGGACCTCAGGGAAACCTTCTAGAGATGGATCCTTCACAGTGCGGAAGGCTTCACTTGCCCAGCCCCATCCTCTCTATTCCAGAGTTCAATGTGCTCCAGAAGATGTCTACTCTTCACCCCAACTGGACAGTCAAGACCATTGACATCACGTTTCCCAAGAAGGACGGCGTCGAGGGCTATGTCAAACACCTTGACTATATCTGCAACGAGGCCACAGCCGCCGTTGAGGCCCGGGACCGAATCATCGTTCTCTCCGATCGGAACACGTCCAAGGATCGCGTTGCCGTGTCGGCTCTTCTCGCCTCATCCATGGTTCACCACCACCTCGTCAGCAACAAGTGGCGCGCAATGGCCGCTATTGTTGTCGAGACGGCCGAGGCTCGCGAGGTTCACCACATGTGTGTTCTCCTTGGCTATGGCGCTGATGCTGTCAATCCTTATCTTGCGATGGAGTGCATCCTGAAGCTCAACAAGGAGAAGCTGATCAAGAAGAAGCTGTCGGACGAGGCCTTGATCCAAAACTACAAGCACTCGTGCGATGGTGGCATCTTGAAGGTCATGAGCAAGATGGGAATCTCAACTCTGGCTAGTTACAAGGGCGCACAGATCTTCGAGGCTCTTGGTGTAGATGACGCCGTTGTTGACCGCTGCTTCAAGGGCACCGCTACTCGCATTAAGGGCGTCACTTTTGAGCTCATTGCAGAGGACGCCTTCCGTTTCCACGAGCGGGGTTTCCCGTCTCGGTATACCGCTGGGATCCCTGGACTGCCAGAATCTGGCGAATACCACTGGCGCGACGGCGGCGAGGCACACATCAACGACCCCACGTCGATCGCCAACATCCAGGATGCTGTTCGTACCAAAAATGACAAGTCGTACGAGGCGTACTCGCGTTCCGAGTATGAGCAGATCAAGGCCTGTACGCTCCGTGGTATGCTCGACTTCAAGTTTGAGGAGTGCACACCTGTCCCTATTGACCAGGTCGAGCCATGGACCGAGATTGTGCGTCGCTTCTGCACCGGCGCCATGTCGTACGGCTCGATTTCCATGGAAGCCCACTCTACTCTGGCTGTTGCCATGAACCGTCTGGGCGGTAAATCCAACACCGGCGAAGGTGGCGAGGACCCTGAGCGATCCGAGAGGCTGCCCAACGGGGACACGATGCGATCCGCCATCAAGCAGGTTGCCTCTGGCCGTTTTGGTGTCACTTCTGCCTACTTGGCAGATTCGGACGAGCTCCAGATCAAGATGGCCCAGGGTGCCAAGCCAGGCGAGGGCGGCGAGCTGCCCGGCCACAAGGTTTCCAAGTCGATTGCTCGCACTCGTCACTCGACGCCCGGCGTCGGCCTTATTTCCCCCCCTCCCCACCACGACATTTACTCCATTGAGGACTTGAAGCAGCTCATTTACGACCTCAAGTGTTCGAGCCCTCGATCCCGCGTATCTGTAAAGTTGGTGTCCGAGACGGGTGTGGGTATCGTTGCGTCAGGGGTTGCCAAAGCTAAGGCGGACCACATTCTGATTTCCGGACACGACGGCGGCACTGGCGCCTCGCGGTGGACTGGCATCAAGTACGCCGGTCTCCCGTGGGAGCTTGGTCTCGCGGAGACTCACCAGACTCTAGTCCTCAACGACCTCAGAGGCCGTGTTGTCGTCCAGACCGATGGTCAGCTGCGAACAGGTCGCGATGTCGCCATTGCCTGCCTCCTTGGCGCAGAGGAGTGGGGCTTCGCAACTACGCCCTTGATTGCCATGGGCTGCATCTTTATGCGGAAGTGCCATCTCAATAGTTGCCCGGTTGGTATCGCTACCCAGGATCCGGAACTCCGGAAGAAGTTTAAGGGAACGCCCGAGCAGGTCATCAACTTCTTCTACTATGTTGCCAATGAACTCCGCGCAATCATGGCCAAGCTCGGATTCCGAACGGTCAATGAGATGATAGGGTAATGCCACCTAGACTCCCAAACTATGATTCCTGTGGAATTTGCTAACCAGATGCGTTAACAGGCATGTTGATGTCCTCCGGGTTCGTGATGATCTGAGGACCGGCAAGACGGCTAACATCGACTTGTCCCTCATTCTTACCCCAGCTCACAAGCTGCGACCTGGCGTCGCTACCTTCAACGTCCGCAAGCAGGACCACCGCCTATATGTCCGCCTTGACAACAAGCTGATTTCAGAGGCCGAGTTGACCCTCGACAAAGGCCTCCCGTCTCGCATCGAATGCGACATTGTCAACACTGATCGCGCCATGGGCACTTCGCTGTCATACCACATTTCAAAGCGTTATGGCGAAGCCGGATTGCCCATGGACACTGTCCACGTCAACATCAAGGGGTCTGCTGGCCAGTCCTTTGGCGCTTTCCTTGCCCCTGGCGTGACACTGGAGCTAGAGGGCGATTCCAACGATTATGTCGGCAAGGGCTTGTCTGGTGGCCGACTTATCATCTACCCGCCTCGCTCCGCCGTCTTCAAGGCGGAGGAGAACGTTCTGATTGGCAATGTTTGCTTGTACGGTGCCACCAGCGGCACTTGCTTCTTCCGCGGTGTTGCCGCAGAGAGATTTGCGGTACGCAACTCGGGTGCCACCGCTGTTGTCGAGGGCGTTGGTGACCACGGATGCGAGTATATGACTGGCGGCCGCATCGTCATTCTCGGCAGCACCGGACGCAACTTTGCGGCTGGCATGTCTGGCGGTATTGCATACGTCCTGGACCTCCACCGGGACTTCATGCAGAAGCTGAACATGGAGATGGTTGAGGCCAGTACCGTTGATGATCCTGAAGAGATTGCCTTCCTGCGTGGTCTCATCGAGGACCACCACCATTACACGGGCTCGGAACTCGCGGCCCGCATCCTGGTTGACTTTAATCGTGCGCTGCCCCGGTTCGTCAAGGTGTTGCCTGTCGACTACAAGCGTGTTCTGCTAGAGGAAGCGGCCAAGGCCGCCGAGGCCAAGCGTGCCGAATATAACCTTCCCATCGTCTCGGGCGTCAAGACAAAGAGCCACGAAAAGGGCGCCAAGCTTCAGGATATCGAGGAGAGCGTGGGCGACAACGCTGCCGAGAAGAAGAAGGCTCTTGTCCTGGACAAGACGAAGGGCTTCATGAAGTACCAGCGGCGATCAGAAAAGTACCGCAACGCAAAGACCAGAACCAAGGATTGGGCCGAGCTCTCCCAGAGACTCGACGAGGATGAGCTCAAATACCAGTCCGCTCGCTGCATGGACTGCGGTGTTCCGTTCTGCCAGTCGGATACTGGATGCCCCATCTCCAACATCATCCCGAAGTGGAACGAATTGGTGTTCCAGGACCAATGGCGCGACGCCTTGAATCGCCTCCTCATGACAAACAACTTCCCCGAATTCACTGGTCGTGTTTGCCCCGCCCCTTGTGAAGGTGCCTGCGTTCTGGGAATTAACGAGGACCCAGTCGGTATCAAGTCCATCGAATGCGCCATCATTGATCGAGGATTCGAGAAGGGCTGGATGATCCCAGAGCCCCCGAAGGTGCGCACCGGCAAGACGATTGCGGTTATTGGGTCTGGACCTGCCGGCCTTGCCTGTGCCGACCAGTTGAACAAGGCCGGCCACCTTGTCACCATCTACGAGCGGGCCGACCGTCTCGGAGGTCTGCTTATGTATGGCATCCCCAATATGAAGCTTGACAAGCGCATCGTGAAGCGCCGCACCGATTTCATGGCTGCTGAGGGAATCCAGTTCAAGACGGGCGTCGCCGTGGGCGAGGATGTCCAGCTGCTGGATCTCAAGGCGCAGAATGACGCCGTGGTTATCGCCACTGGCGCGACCGTCGCTCGTGACCTTCCCATCAAGGGCCGCAACCTCCAGGGCATCCACTTCGCTATGGAGTTCCTTCACAAGAACACCAAGTCGCTCCTCGATTCCGAACTCGCCGATGGCTCTTACATTTCGGCCAAGGATAAGCATGTGGTTGTCATTGGTGGTGGCGATACCGGAAACGACTGCATTGGCACTTCGGTCCGCCACGGTGCCAAGTCGGTGATCAACTTTGAGCTGCTGCCCCAGCCGCCGCCGGAGCGGGCGCGAGACAACCCGTGGCCCCAGTGGCCTCGTATCTATCGCGTCGACTACGGCCATACCGAAGTACGGCAGCACATGGGTAAGGACCCTCGTGAGTTCTGCATCATGTCTGAGGAGTTTGTCGACGATGGCAACGGAAAGGTGAAGGGCATCAACACGATGCGCGTCGAGTGGACCAAGTCTCCCAGCGGGGGCTGGGACATGAAGAAGGTCGACGGCTCTCAACAGTTCTTCCCGGCTGATCTCGTCCTCCTGTCGATGGGATTCCTTGGGCCAGAGGCCCGCGTCCTCGGCGACGAGATTGAGAAGGACGCACGCAAGAACGTGAAGACGGCACCGGGAACCTACAGCACGAATGTTCCAGGAATCTTCGCTGCTGGTGACTGCCGTCGTGGACAGTCTCTAATCGTTTGGTAAGTTGACTTCTGAGTCTAAACCTGCATGAACAAGATACTAATGAACTCGCAGGGGAATCAACGAGGGTCGCCAGGCTGCGCGCGAGGTTGATCTGTACCTAGAGAGCAGTACCGGCCTGCCCGTGACTGGTGGCATTGTCAAGCGCACCGCCCAAGAGGTGTTTGCGGCAGCAGCCAGCGCCGCTGCTTGAAGCCGGGGGGCGATGGGAAGCTTGGCAGGTGAATCAGATGGGCAGTATTTGGGAGTCGGGTCCGTTTCTAGCGCCAAGGTCTCAGTCTATTTTTTTTTCCTAATTTGATACCATGAAAGCAAAAGCATCAGCAATCGTTGTGGGTTGACATCTGCGGACGGAATTTTACATTTTGCTCTTGGGATTTGGCGGCATGGATGGGCGAATCGAGGTGCAGGCTGGGGGTTGTTCTCCTCTCCAACAGATCTCGTCTTTGCATCTCTGTTGTTGTCTAGCGTCTCTGCATAGGGCACGAGCACCCCTAGCAATATGAACTTGTACATAGGACGAACCTAGACACATTAGGTGAGCTACGACTGCTTTCAACAAGGTGGTTTTCTCACTTTTATATATATATATATTATATATATTACCTTTAAATAAGCCTGGTCGCCGTGATTGGTACATGCTACGAAAACCAGCAAGACAAGTCTGTTTGGGCTGTTATGAGCGTCTACCCAATGAAGTACGGGGTACAAAACATACATATATACAACACTAAGGCGAAAGGGTAGGGTGTTAAGCTTTCAAACCGTCGCCGGATGTTTGTCCCGCAAACATGGAGGCATTTTGGGAATAACTCCAAACAGTCTAATTCCAAGCGGTGGATTCTCCAACTCTCCTTTGAAGGTGGAAACGGTCAGGCGCGCACGTGGGATAACGATTGGACAATGGTAATTGATCAACGGGCGAAAGAGTCTGGACTTCACGCTAAAGTGTTTCCATCCTAAGCTTCAAGGTTTGTTAGTCTAGATAACTTCGATTACATGTTATCGAGTGACTTCGCTTAAAACGTCTGTTCAAATGCTTTCATGTAGAAAGTCTCGGCCTGGAGGGCCCCGCGAGCATGGATAATTCTAATCTAGGACTGAAGTAGCGAAAATTACTAATAACTATGCATTTTGTGTAGAAATACACGATTTTGAGGGCAAATTGTCCTATTATATATTTGGGTTGAGCTGGGGCTCGAAGTTTAATACTAGCAGCTATCCCGTAGCACTGGGGCTGTTTTGGCGGGGCGACAGCTACATAGCGGGGAATTACTGCAGCTGAGGCCCTCCCTCGCCTGCTGGTGCGGGAGCTTGAATTGCGTCCGTTTTTCTTCCTCTTCTGCGCCTCTGACGCCTTTGCCCATGAGGAAGGCCCCCTCTCCCCCTTGCGTGCCCAGTAATTGAATCGCCCTTCAATTGCGCAACCCATGAGCGTTGGCTCTTTCAAGTGTCAAAGTATTGTATTTTATTTTGCAGGGGATTACCTCGCCGCGTGCAAGCTACTCTCCATCTTACCGAGGCGCTCCCGGATAAACCATAGCGCACGGCCCCATCGTCGAGCTCGGCCATGCGGTTCGGCAAGACGCTGCGGCAGGCCTTCTACGCGCCATGGAAGGACAAGTACATCGACTATGGGAGGCTCAAGAGCATCCTGCGCGAGGATAAGCCCGAGGACGAAGATGAGCCATGGACCGAGGACGACGAGAACCGATTCTGCGATGAGATCTTCAACACGCAGCTCGAGAAGGTCGCTCAGTTCCAGGAAGAGAAGATGGCCGACCTGCGCCAGCGTGTCGACGCCGTCTTCGACAAGCTCAAGGAGCTCCCCCCCGCCGAGGAGGGCAAACCCCTTCCCGACTCCACGGCCGAGCGGCTCAGGGAGCTCGAGGCCGACCTCGACGGCATCACCAACGAAGTCAAGGAGCTCCGCAAGTTCAGCAATCTCAACTACACGGGCTTCCTCAAGATTGTCAAGAAGCACGACCGCAAGCGTGGTGACAGATACAAGATCCGGCCCATCATGCAGGTCAGCCTGTCCAAGAGGCCCTTCAACTCGGAAAAGGGATACGCCCCCTTGCTCAACAAGCTCTCTCTGATGTACTTTGCCATCCGCCAACAACTCGAGGGCGACGACGGCCACGCAGAGCAGTACCTCCTCGACCCCGACAGCCAGCCCGAGACGCACAACGGCGAAAAGTACACGGCCCACAAGTTCTGGGTCCATCCCGACAATCTTCTCGAGGTCAAGACGTACATCCTGCGACGCCTCCCCACGCTGGTATACAGCGAGCAGTCGGCGAAGGAAGTCGACGGCAACCCAGACCCGACCATCACGTCGCTCTACTTCGACAACCCAAAGTTTGAGCTCTACTCGAAGAAGGTGGAACGCGAGTCGGACGCCCCGTCGCTGCGCATCCGCTGGTACGGCCAGCTGGGCGACAAGCCCGACATTTTCCTCGAGCAAAAGATTGTGCACCCCAACGGGAGTAGTGAGGAGCGCAAGTTCTCGGTAAAGGAGAAGTACGTGAAGCCCTTCCTTGACGGCGAGTACAAGATGGAGAAGTCGGTGCAGAAGATGGAGCGCCAGGGTCGGGGCGCCGAGGACGTGGACGAGTTCCGGTCGACGGCCGACGCCATCCAGGAGTTTGTGCGAGACAACAAGCTCGCGCCCGTCGTGCGGGCCAACTACGTGCGGACGGCGTTCCAGAATCCCGTCGACGACCGCGTCCGCATCTCCATCGACACGGACATTGCCTTTATTCGCGAGGACACCCTGGACCGGGACAGGCCGTGCCGCGACCCCCGCGAGTGGCACCGACACGACATCGACGAAAGCAACATGACGTACCCCTTCAAGAACATCAACCAGAGCGAGGTGTCGCGCTTCCCCTACGCCGTCCTCGAGATCAAGCTCAAGGGGGACAGCAACAGGAAGCGGCCGACGTGGATCCAGGAGCTGATTGGGTCGCACCTGGTGTACCCGGCTCCGCGCTTCTCCAAGTTCCTGCACGGCGTGGCCTCGCTCTTTGAGGACTACGTGAACCAGCTGCCGTTTTGGCTCAGCGACCTGGGCACCGACATCCGCAAAGACCCACAGGAAGCATTCGAGGAGGAGGAGGGGCGGCGGGCCGAGCGGGCCGAGAACGAGCTGGCCGTGGGCAGCTTCCTCGGTACCCTCGGCACCAAGCTCAGCTCGTACAAGCCGTCGAAGAGCTCGCCAATGAGCAAATCGTACCTGGCGGAGCGGGCGGCGGCCGATGCGGCGGCGGCGGCGGCGACGCCCCGGTCTGGGGGCTTCACGTTGCCGGCGGCAGCTGCAGACGAGGAGGGCGGCAGCAGCGGCCGCCAGGGGGCTGCCACAGGCGCAGGAGGAGCAGCGGATGCGGACAGAGACTACGGGACGCTGTCGGGCATCTTTCCTGGCTTCTCGCTGAGCAAGTACGCCCGGGCCAAGCGGGCGGCTCGCGAGGTAGTGCTGCCCGAGGGCGTAGTCGAGCCGACGGAGTGGATTAAGAACTCGGGCCCGCTGCGCATTGAGCCTAAGGTGTGGCTCGCCAACGAGCGCACGTTCCTTAAGTGGCAGCACATCTGCGTGCTTCTGGGCACCCTCGCCATCAGCCTATACACGGCGGCGGGCAAGAACTCGCTCGCCGAGTTTATGGGCATCGGGTACATCCTGGTGGCCGTCTTCGCCGGCTGCTGGAGCTACTACATCCTCCACACGCGCCGCACCATGATTGTCCAGCGCAGCGGCAGGGACTTTGATAATATTATCGGCCCGCTCGTAATTAGTGCCGCGCTGATGGTCTCGTTGGTTTTGAACTTTGTGTTTGCCGTGAGTTTGTCCTCTCCCTTTTCTCTTATTCCTGCGGCAGGAGAGGTGCTCGCTACTCTGAGGTATGCTAACAAACGATGTAGTACCGCGCGGCATTTGCTCGGGAGGGATTCGGCGAGCAGCTTGTCCAGCAGCAGGGCGGCAACAACACTCTCCCGATCATGGCACACGGCGACTTGTGGTGACCTGCTTGATTCGACTGGCATCGACATTCATTGATTTCATGCTTTGGTCCCAACATGGGAGGAAAGTGTGGTATATAGGATACCGTGTACATACAGGGGACCAGCTCAAAGATGCGATGGGGGTTTTAATTGGTGGCATGGGGCATGCTACCGTACCGTCCAGATTGATATGGCATAGTGATTAATTGGATAGGATAGGATAGGATGATTTTGGGTATTCCGTAAGGCTTGTCTCCTTGAGCATCGGTCTGAGTTTTGGGAGCCTCGAGTCTACTTAGGTGCTTATTCTAGGTGGCCAACAGTAAATTGACAACTTGGCTTACGATAAGAAAGACGCTGTGAGGATTGGAATCAAAGACGATGGCCGGTTAATAAGGTAATCGATGCAACTGCCTCTAATCTGTTACTTGGGAGAACGAAAGCCCAACCTACCCCTCCCCCGCCAAGAGGACAGGACAGCTGTTAATGGAGCTGGAACTGGAGCTGGACACGACACACAAACCCCATCGTCACACCAAGCGATTGGGCCTCGGGATTGTGTCAAGAGACAGCCCAGGGCAGCCCAGGTGCAGCAATGTAGCGATGCGCTGCTGCACACCACCCAACCCACCACCTTGCATTCGCGACTGCTACTGCTTCTGCTGCAGCTGCACCGACGATGCGAAGCTCGGCCTGGCATATGCCATGCCAACTGATGCTTGTTTCATCGAGCCCTGCCGCCGGCCGCTCGATTTTCCCTCTCTTTTTGGTCCGAAATATTTTTTTAGCCTTAGGTTTCCATTCCGCGTCTCGCCGTCCAGTCTTGAACACCCAAGTTCAGACGAAACGAAACAGGGATCATCTTCTTGACTTTTTCGCCCTTGTCCATCACTTCGTGCCTTCTTCCGACTGCTCCCCGGTTTTTGTTGAAAAGGAATCTACCTAGTTTGCCTTGACAGTGTTGTGTTACGGAAGCTTTGGCTTGGCTTGGGTTCGAGACGCCCGTCCCTGGCCCTGGCATAGCCACACCTCCATGACGCACGCGCGCCCACGTTGAAGCTCGAGTTGTCCTGCACCCTCAAGTACTTGCAAGGCACCACGCACCCGTCGCTCAGCCTCACATCGCGGGGGGCCGCCCGCCCACGAGCTCTCCCTCTCCGCATTTTCGACGACAAAAAGCGCCCGCCCTTTTCGTGCCTGGGATTTCTCTTCTAGACAAGACGAAACAAGAATTCTCGAGAATATTGGTGACTCGGCCCTGGAGGACTAGTAGGTCTGGTTGTAGGTGGAGACGGCCATCTGGAGAATGCTTGTCGCAACCCGCATTCGCAACCCCACGACCAAACGAGACTCGCCTGCGACTCGCAGTCGACGGCGCCCAGCATGAGCGACGACTCTAGAAAGAAGGGCTTCTGGGGGGGCCTGTTCCGCACCAAGAGCTCGGCCACCGGGAGCGGGAAGCTGGTTCGCCTACCCTGCCCTGCCCTTACACCCTGATGCGCAGAACGAGGAGAGAGAGACTCAGATGGCCTAATGCGCACAATAACAGGAAAAAACATACCCGAGACGCGCCAGCGAGGGAGACGTACTCGCCCGCCATAGGAAGTCGGAGAACCTCTCCAGCGCCAAGGCGTCTGCGTCTTCCTCGGACCGCCGCCGCCCCAGACGGCCCGACACGGGCGCCGCCAAGGGCAAGGGCAAGGGCCGCGAGGAGCCCAACGGCTCCGCCTACCATGTCGGCCCCCTGACTGAGTGGCCCCCGGCCGGCATGTCGAGCACCAAGGAGCTGACCCTCGGCGCCGCCATGCAGCTCATCGCGACAGGCGTCCCCCGCTTCAAGGGCCACAAGAGGTTCATCCCCCACGCCTCGGACCACTACTACGCCCTCTTTGCCACCGCTGCCGGCAACGGAGGCGACGAGACCGACGCCGCGAACCCCCACGACGCAATGACGCAGCTCATGACCCTGCGCCTCCTGGGCTCGGGCCCCGCCCTCGACCCCTGGGAGACGCTCGAACAGCCTAGCTTCTCCTTCTGCTACGGCAGGCGCCCTGGCACCATCACCCTCAACCACTGGGCCTCGATCGCGAGCCAGCTCCCGCCCGTTATTGCCCTCCGTGACCCCGGCATCGTCCCCCGCGACATCGGGCTCGACCTCATCTTCGAGCGACTGCAGGATCTGGAGAGGAGGGGGCTGGAGGATGACGACGACGACCTCATGTACAGGAACCTCTACCGCAAGCTGCTCCGGGACCCGGACAAGTACCGCAGCCCGCACAAGACGCTCGACAAGCAGATCACGGACCTGATCATGGTGCTGTCGCGCGCCGACTGGATCGACTTTACGAACCCCAAAAATCAGATCCCCACCACCTTCATCTTCGACACAGACATGTCCAAGAGCCAGACGTACCGCAGCTTCTTCCACCAGCTGCTGCTCAGCGTCGAGCTCGACGCCCGCATCAACTCGCGCCTCCACCTCACAGAGGCTAAGGAGAAGCTGCTGCACCAAATACCCCCCACGATACAGTGGAACCTCGCCCTGGCCAGGCGGTGGCGCGACAACGTGCGCGTCGACGACTACGGCTCCACGCCCGCCGAGGTGCGGCTGCGCTTCAAGCTCAAGAAACGCCAGGTCAAGGTGCTCAAGCGCTTCGCCCAGATCATGAAGTGGCCCAACCTGGGCGAGACGCTCGAAAGCCTGCGGGACCGCGACGCGCGGTCGACGCTCGACGTGGTCAGCTCGCACACCATGGCCTTCTTCAGCGGGCTCGTGCTGCCGGGCCCGACCTTTCCCTTCCTCATGATGAACACGCTCATCGACATGGACCCGGACCCGGCCACGGACGAGCTGGCCATGCTGATGCACACGTTCCCGAGCTGCGGCTTCCAGTACCGCAGTAGCTATACGTACTGGACCGCCACCTCGGTCGTCGGCAAGGTGCTCGCGCCCACGTGCCATGCCATCGCCGGCTGGGTCGGCCCCGCCCGACCGACCGCCGACCTCGGCCGCTCGCAGATCGCCCGCATCCGCTCCCGCCGGCCCCTCCAGCGCGTTACCGACGGCGACATCAACACCGCGACGGAGCGCTCAGACCCCCTCGGCCCCATGGCCCAGGTCTTCCCCGTCAACGAGTACGTCCTAGTCAGCCCCGACCGCGACGACGACGGCTACCTCGCCAACCTTGTTCGCATCGAGGTGCTGAGCCTGCGCCCCGTGCCCGCTGCCCCTGTGGCTGCTACCGCATCTCCTGTTGCTGCTGCTGCTGCTGCTGCCGCCGCCACTCCTGCCAGCGGCGCCGGCCCGCGCCTGTTCGACGCGAGCCTCCAGTTCGCCATCGACGGCGTCTCGTGGCCTCTGCGCCTGACTTTTGACGTCAACTTCGTCAACGCGTGGCCCTGCACCGACGGGCCCCACCCGCTCTTCTTCGACTACGTCTACACGTGCGTCAAGGCCGACGAGCTCGTCTCCATCCGCGACTGGAACGGCCAGTACGGCGGGCACCCGCACGACCGCAGCGCCCGATCGCTATCGCCTGCTGCTGCTGCTGCTGCTGCCGCTGCCGGGGGGACTTCTCTCTCGACGGCAAAGAAGACGGCTTCTGCGGACGCTGCTGTAGGAGGCGCCGCGGCAAAACTGGGATCTTCGACCGCTACCAGCAAGAGCAGCAGCCTGACGGCGGCGTCGTCGATAAACACCACGGCGCACTCGCATTCGCACTCTAAGAACCAACAGCAGCAGCAGAAAGACGGCCGTGACCGCGACTCGCTCGCGTCCGAAGACGAGGAAAAGGTCTTGGTCGTCGAGGCGTTTGGCGTCGCCGACAACGAGGTCCTCGCCCGCGCGTGGTGCTCGCACTGGGGCCTCAGCGCCGTCGTTGCGGATATCGGCAAGACTTGGTTAGTTTGTTCTCTCTCTTTTTTTCTCTTTCTTCCCTTGGTACATTGGAAACGCAAATTGCTAACGTTGGCGGCGACGTAGCATGGCGTGCGCCATTCGCGAGACCTTTGCCGCGACCCTGAACGTTGTCATCTTGGTCGACGACGACCAGAACGGGGAACGCGATAACTGAACGGTGCAGATCTGGTCGGATGGGTATGGTACGGGGTTATGGGCTATGTGCTATGGGCTATGGACTACGGACAGGCTTGGTGACTACGGATGAGATGAGATACGACAGTCTGTCGACTGGGCGGCATGATGGTGTTTGTGCTATGGCATGGTATGGTATTGTATGAGAGATGATGGCGAAGATGAGAAATGGGCGGGACTGGCTGGGCTGGGCTGAATTGGGATGGACATGAAAGGATAGCGGGAGTCCTCGGGGGTTGGGGTTTCGTATGGGTGGGTGGGAAACGGACGGCGTTTGCGAGGTGATATTTTGTGGACAAGGACGGAAAGATATTCAAATACCCAGACATTATTCTTTTTTTTCCTTTTCACAATTGCAATTGATTTGTCGTATCTAGTTTTTGAAAGTTGTATACATTATTTGTTTCGGGGTTTTTGATTTACGTGTTAGTCTTCTTCCATGTATCTGCCTGCATTTAGCTGGGTTTCTTCGGAGTCAAACTAGATATAACTTCAGGTCAACAAACTCTACATGTACGTAAATAAATGTTCATCCCCTACTCATCAAGACCCCCGTGGCTCCCAAAAAGTAGAAGAACAAGAAACTGAAGGAGAAACAACGGAAATGGAAAGAAAAACTAAAAAAAGAATACGGTCGTCAGAGGACGGGAATTGAGCCCGACGTGGGGGTCGAACCCACAACCTTGAGATTAAGAGTCTCACGCTCTACCGATTGAGCTAGCCGGGCGAGACTTGGAGATCCGAGGTTCTTGTTGTTTTAGGTTGTGTGTGTTGAGGTATATATATCCAACAAGGGGGGAGGGGTGTCCCTTGCTTGGTTTCTCTCGAAGTGTAAAAGTGTGTTTTGGGGCTCGAGGTGGGTATTTTGATTCAACTTTTGAGTTTAGGCATAATTGTGAAATTCAGTTGAGAAATCATGGTTTGAAGTTTATGAGAACAAGATTTTTTATGATATTAGTTTTGCTGCGATAATGTTGTGAACGGAATATTGAGGAGCAAGTCCGCGGTGTTGATGCCCGGGGTGGTGTTCAGGGGCTGTTAGGAGGACCCTAACCCTGCTATGTATGTACATACAGTCTTCAACTTCATGGTGGGGCCCGCCTCACCGCCCCAGCCTTGAGCTTTCCGGCGCTGGCAGAATCTAGAAATTTTCTTAAGGACCGAATTGCGTGCGGGCCACCACCACAAATGCCCGCCGCTGTCCACCGCACCCCCTCGAAAAAATACACTGGGCCGCCGCCAATCTCGTTGACCACGCGCCTCCTCAAAAAAACTACAGAAAACATGGCGCCCGAACTCCGCAAGAAGAAGTCCAAACAGGGTTTGTCTCTCCAATCGACGCGCAACAAAGCCGGGCGCTAATTGGTTTTTTTTTTAAAGCTGTTGCTGCTGTCGAAGAGCCTGCCCCGGCAGCTGCGAAGAAGCCCCTGGCCAAGTCCAAGATGGAGAAGCGAAAGGGTGAGCGGGCGTGCACCCTCACAACGTGATTGCTCTCGGCAGCTAACGGCTCGTTTCCACATTGTGCAGCGCCTGAACAGGAAGCTTCCCCCATCCCAGTCAAGAAGCAGAAGCCCAGCAAGGATGTCGCTCCCCTTCCCAAGTCGGGTCTAAAGAGGACAAAGGCTGTTGCTGCCGAGGAGGAGGCACCTGTAGCCGAGAAGTCGGCCAAGGCTAAGAAGGTCAAGGCTATCGCCGAGGAGGAGGCGCCTGTCGCTGAGAAGAAGTCCAAGAGGGCTGCCACTGGAGAGGCCGCGGCTGCTGGCGACAAGCCCGCCGCCAAGAAGGCAAAGAAGTCGAAGGGAACCTCCGACAAGAAAGAGAAGAAGGAGAAGGAGGTTGTCACCGCAGAGCCTGAGGAAGAACAGCAAGACCAAGTAGCTCCTTTAGACGCAGAAAAGGACGAGGACGAGGAGATGGACGACGAGACCCAGGCCCTTGTCGACACCCTCGATGGCGACGACGATTCAGACAGTGAGGAGCCAGCATCAAGCGATGCCTTCAAAACGGGCCAGTCTGTCGGCAAGATCCCCAAGTCCAAAAAGTCAGCAGAGTCAAAGTCCAAGAGCGGAAAGCCCGGCGTCATGTATCTGGGCCGCCTTCCGCACGGCTTCTACGAGCATGAGCTCCGCGAGTACTTCAGCCAGTTTGGCGCCATTTCGAAGCTCAGAGTCGTCCGGAACAAGAAGACGGGCGCCAGCCGTCACCGTGCCTTCATCGAGTTCGACGACGCCGAAGTTGCTGACATCGCGGCCCGGACCATGGACAAGTACCTCCTGTTCGGCCACATCCTCGCGGCCAAGTTCGTAGCGCCCGCGCAGGTCCACCCCAACCTGTTCAAGGGCAGCAATCGCCGCTTCAAGGTGATTCCGTGGAACAAGATGGCGGGCAAGCAGCTGGAGCGGGCACTCCCCGAGTCCAAGTGGGCGGCCAAGGTCACCAAGGAGGAGAAGAGGCGGGCGGCGAGGGCAGAGAAGCTGAAGGCGATTGGCTACGAGTTTGAGAGCCCCAAGCTCAAGGCCGCCGAGGCCAAGGAGGTGGCGGTTGTGGAGGCCGAGGAGCCCGCAAAGCCGGTTGAGGCTGCCCCGGCCGCGGAAGCCGAGGCGGAGTCCAAGGCGGTCGAGAAGGTCGAGGCCCTGGCGGTCACAGAGCCCGAGGCGGCGGTGGAGGAGACGAGCATACAAAAGAAGAAGAAGGGCACCAAGGCGAAGAAGGTGAAGGCTTGAGTGCGAGAAACATATCTTTGTAAATGGTCACTTGATACCCCAAAATTCAAGGAAACTAGTATAGGACGAAACGAGCATGGATATCCTCTACTATGGATTCTGTCTTTCCAGTTTCCCATCAGAGTAATGCGTGCAAAATATCTCGAAATCCCGCTCTTTTAGATTCATACATGTGATTGTTCGTCATATCTAGTTTGTGTGCAAAACGGCGAATGAATGAATATTCTTATGAACAGAGTGTTGGGGTATGTGCGCACCAAGCGAACCCGACAGGACCATGGACGAGAGCTCCTTGCGAAGCCCCAACGAACTGACAGGATTATAAAGCGCGTCGTCATCTCTCTACTTCACCCTGATTGCGAATAGGCCATTGTACGCTTGGTGGGCCGGAGGCTTTAAAACGGGCGGATTCAGCATGATTAGTGAGGTGAAGAGTTAATATGTAGCGAGAGAAGAAGAAAGATTTAAAATCTGGGCTGAGAGGACATCGGTGCCGCTAAATAGTCGGCGGGCTGGTTGGCTCGTGCGTTCTATGGGTGGATGGTTCACTGGGTGGGTGTCCGTTTTTACACTACTGTGTACTACTGAGGTGCCCACCACTGCAACCAAGCACTGCAGTGAACCAGCCACTGGAGGGGAGGGCCCCGAAGATTACGTATCTCTGCAAGCACAGCCTCTATTCCGGGGTGGCGCTACGCGCTAGGGCCCGGAGGTTTGAGGGGAAGAAAAGCCGGAATTACTAGCAAGGATTGGTGACTGGTTACCGCAAAACACATGCGAACCTTCGCTTGGGAGTTGGGGGAGGGAATCCATTCAAGGTAGGCCTGTAAGGTTTATACCAATTGGTGTGATTTGTCGTTGTCGTTGTTGTCATTGTTGTTGTTGTCGTTGTGGAAAAGAGAAATATGCGCCCAAAGGTTTCCATTGAATCACGATGCAAAAAATGACAGGAGGTCTGACCTTGCAGAGATAGGTAACCCCAGGATACCTTGAGTTTCCCGGCTCTCCTGCAGGTTCCGGGCTACCTGGTAAGGTACGGAACAGAGCAGAGCAGAGCGCCGTTTTGGCCACGTGGGTTTAGAACTCGAAACCGGGTTCTTGCTTTGCTGTGTTGGGTAGATTGGCTCTGGCAGAGGAATGGAGCGGCATTGGCATCTTGTGCATGTCAAACGACGGGAGTGAGGCCCATTGGACTCTAGAGGCTTCTAGTTCTTATACGTTTGTACGAATACATACCCCGTATTGTGGTTTCAACGATGACAGACATTCGAGGGACAAACAAATTCACGAATGTAGATAATACTTGTTCAAACTATTAATTACCAATGCCAACTTTGGACGAACGTGGGGCGCTGTCGAATACGAGCAAGTGTCGCTTGGTTGTTGGTAAAAATAATCAAGGTGCTCTGCTCTGCCGTTGTTGAAACGCATGGCAAAGTGCAGTAGCTTAACAAGGTGCTCCCACGTCCCCGTCCCGGACCTGGGCCCAAAATCCGAATCGCCATCCATAACAGGTATTGGCCACGACACACACCCGCCTACCGCCCTATTGATGGCTGACTAGCACCGTCGAGAGTAAGACACCGACCAAGGAGCTACCCTACCGAGGGACACCGTAGAGCGTTTTGCGGCCGCGCTTGCCTTCCGTCGGCACTCTGTCGCCCGCCCCGTCGTCGCTTCGTTGTTTTCATGTCTTTGGCAAGCCATTGAGTCCAGGAGCCAGCCATGTCGTCTCCGTCGCCCGTTGTTAACGTTCCTGCATCTGCCGCGCAAGCAACAGCTTCTATCCAATCAGCTGCACACGGTATGTGCTGTACTGTGCATCACTGGTCCATCCCCCATTGCAGAGTGGAGGGCCAACCGACGCAACGAGGCTAATCGAGCCACCTATCCCCTCGCCGTCCAGTCTTTTTTTTCTCGTCTGGCGCCGCTCTGCAGCTGCCCTGAGTCTAGTCTGCTGTGCATGCGCTAATGGGGCCCGACGCTGGCGAAACAGCTCCAGCATCTAGTAATAACAGCACCAAGAAGAAAAACAGCAAGAAGAAGAAGAACGCCCAAGCCGGCGCCAACAAACCAAAACCGCAGCCAGCGCTCGACGCCGCCGCAAAGGATGGCGCAGACGGCGCCGACGGCGACGACGTGCCCGCAGCCGAGCAAGACATCCCCAGCCTAGTACGATGCGACCCCACATGCTGCTCTGTCTTTTTTAAACGCAGATTCTCTCACCCCGTCGTCGTCCTACCTGTCTCTATCCGCGTAACGCACGTATTTGACTAACACGTCTCTCTGCAGAGTGCGCCAAGGGAGCAGCCGCCAGAAGAACAACTCGACCGCCAGCGACAAACACAGCACCAAGGAGGGCAACAGCAAGAGCAGGAGAAGGAAGCCGAGGAAGGGGGGTTGGCAGTGGGCAGGGCTCAACGGCGAGAAAAGCCCGGTTCTACAGACTCGACGACAAACGGACATGCCAACGGTTATCCGACGACGACAACAACCACTACAGCCAGACCTCGCAGCCAGACGGCCGAAATAGGGGCAAGCATGGGGCCCGAAATATCAGACACAAGTGCCAAGCTAGAAGCCATGTCGCAAGACCGCGAGGCCCTGCGGGCCGAGGTCGAGCAACTGCGGCGGCAGCTCGAGAGCATACAGGAGACGCACGACCAGGAAGTGGCACAGCTCAAGACAGACCTCGGCGAGAGCGAGCAAGCCAAGGAACATGCCGAGGCACAGTACCAGGCCTTGATGGGGCGCCTCGAGAGGATCAAGGAGACGCTGGGCGACCGGTTAAAGCGGGACAAGGCCGAGCTGGAGGAGGCCAAGGACCGCGTGGAGGAGCTCGAGACGCAGAACGAAGACCTGACGCGGGCAGCGCGCGCCGGCGAGGACGAGGCGGCCCGCCTGCGCGACGAGATGCAGGAGCAGGGGCGCGAGCTAGCCAGCCTGCGCAGCCGGAACAACCTGTCGCAGCAAAACTGGCTCAAGGAGAAGGAAGACCTGGCGCGGCAGGTGCAGCAGCTCCGGGGTGAGCTCGAGTCGACCAGCGGCGCCATGGGCGAGTGGGAGGTCATCGCCATGGAGGAGCGGTCGATGCGCGAGAGCCTGGGCGAGAAGGTAGCCGACCTGGAGGAACAGCTGGCCGGCACGCGCGAGGCGTACGAGCGGGCCGCCCTCGAGCGCGACACGCAGTCGCAGGCCGTCGACGGCCTGCAGCGGGCGCTGCAAGAGATCCAGGAAGCGCGCAAGCGGGAGCTGCGCGAGATGGTCGAGTCCTCGGAGGAGCAGCTGCAGGCCATGAAGAAGCGCGCCCAAGACGCCGACGCGCGAGCCGCCGACGCCGAAGCCGCTAGGGGGTCGCTCTCCAAAGAGCTCGAACGGACGGCGCCGTTCGAGAAGGAGGTCAAGGAAAAGAACCTCTTGATCGGCAAGCTCCGGCACGAGGCAATCGTCCTCAACGACCACCTCACGAAAGCCCTCAAGTACATCAAAAAGACGAAGCCCGAGGAGACAATCGACAGGTGAGCTTATTTCTATTCTTGTCACTAGGCCCAGACGCTAATATTCGTGTCTAGACAAATCGTCACCAACCACTTTCTACACTTCCTCGCGCTCGACCGCTCGGACCCCCGGAAGTTCCAGATCCTGCAGGTCATCGCCGGGCTGCTCAACTGGACGGACGAGCAGCGGGAGCAGGCCGGGCTGGCCCGGCCCGGCGCCGCGGGCAACATGCTGCGGCTGCCGTCGTCGCCCTTCCACCGCACGCCCAGCTCGCCCGCGCTCAACAACGACTTCTTCAGCGACGCGTCAGCCGCGCCCGGCGGCAAGGAGTCGCTCGCCGACCTCTGGGCCGGGTTCCTCGAACGCAGCGTCGAGGAGGCGGGCGCCGCAGGGGCCCCTCCCTCGCGAAAGGACAGCGTGTCCAGCGTGGCCACCACCACTACCACGGCGACTCGGCCCGAGACCAGGGGCCACATCTAGGGCCTTCGTGGCTTCTCGTGGAGGGCGACGTCGTCGGTGGCGGAGGCAGACGCGGAGTCAGAACTAGAGGGGGACAAAAAGATTCAAGAGCCGAGCGGAGGTTTGTTAGCGATAGCTGCAGCAGGGTTAGAGGAGAGTGCTGTGGAATAAATTTAATATCTTTTTTGTTCTTTCTCTTTCTTACAAATTCGGAAATCAGGATATTTTGACTAGAGGGAGGGAAAGAGTAAAGGAGGGGGAAAAGAAAGAAGACAAAAGAAAGAAAGGAAACCGGCTGGGCTTGGTCAGTCTTGTTTGGGCTGTGCTGTGCTGTGCAGCTCAAAAGAGTACTCATGGCTAGGTAAGTAGGCACGTACCTAGGTATCTTGACATGGAGGGAAAAGGGGGGGAGAGGAAGAAAAAATAAAACCATGGTCTAGATGCTATGCTATGCGGTTGGTTGGTCTACCTACTTTACTTGCGTGTACTGCTGCTTGTCACGGTCGTCGTAGGTCAGCGGGGCATGGCCATTCCATGCTGTCGTCGTTATTTCACTGTTGCCGTGTCGTATGGTGCAGAGTATGGGAGGTATGTTATGTACTGTACGTATTTACATGCATAGGTAAATTCTATTCCCGCTGGGGTGTTGGTGTCTTATGTCATTTTCTTTCTTGTGTGTGTGTGTCTATTTTTTGGGTCGCGCCTTGGAATTGGAAGGGCTTTTTGGAGAGATGCGTAGACTGGTGGGTATGTATGGAGTACCTATGTATGGAAGAGGCTACCTACCTAAGGATACCTACCTTACCTACCTATCATAGCATGGAAGTGGGATAAAATCATAGCATAAGTGGGTGGTGCTGTGCTGTGCAAAAAAAAAAAATGGGGGGGGAAGGCAGATGGAATACAGACAGACAGACACACGTTCCTGAAAGGTAGGTAAGGCAGGCGCATAAACCGTAGGAGTGGCTACCTATACTAGCTTGTTTTTTTGATGGCTGCAAATTGCGAGGTAGGGAACTTTCAAGTTTGAGAGACAGGCACGTATAAACAAACCGAGATACGGATAAAGGCTGGATCACCGAGGGACTCTACACAGATCCCTGTTTCACAAGCGAAGCAAATGATACAAGGCAGTCCACATTGCGTGTCTATTTTCTATTTCCTTATCATCAAAACACCCCCGTCTATGCCAGACCTAAAAGAAAGCTCCGGCGCTAGATTGGCAGACAGACATGCAAATCCCGATCCCATACACCCGACAACAAACCCCGCTAACTCCCCGGCTGGAGCACGTTCCTGGCATAGACCTCCGCGTCGCGCGTGATGGACGCAATGTCGATGCGGTTCAGCAGGGCGTCGTTGACGCCCTCGATGACGTCGCGGTCCTCCATGACGTCGCGCATCAGGCGCACCTCGTGGCCCCAGTAGTCGGTGCTGCGGCGGCGCAGGTCGTCGTCGCGGATGGCCGTGTTCTTGACGACCCCGGCGGCGTTGAGCTTGGCCTTTGCGGACGCGAGCACGCGCGCGGCCGCCTCGACGCGCTCGGCCGGCGCCGGCGGCGCCGTGAACGCGCGGTTCGTCGCCGTCGCGTAGACGGCCCAGCCGAGCAGCGCGTCGAGGCCCGCGAGGGCTGCCGCGCGCCACACGCGCGCCGTCCAGAAGAAGAAGTCGAGGTCCTGCAGGCGCGTGGCGCGCGCGTTGCGCTGGTAGTTGTAGGCGCTGAAGAGGTAGACGTCGGCGGCGGCCAGGGCGACGGCGGCCAGGGTGGCGGGGGTGCGCCAGGTGGCGGCGCGCGAGGCGTGGCCGGTCATGGCCGGGGCGGTGGCGAGGGCGATGGCGACCAGGTTCAGCAGGTGCGGGGCGGCCAGGGCCGGCAGGGCGTACCACAGGTAGGAGCGGGGGTCGTCGGCGGCGCAGAAGGGGCAGGCGGCGAGCACGTCGGGGCCGAACTGCAGGTACAGCAGGCGGCTCTCGAGGTTGACGAACTTATGGCGTAGGGCGTCGTCGGCGGCGGAGAGCGGCCGTAGCGTGGATAGGCGCGTAAACAGCACGTCGACGGGGATCTGTAGGCGCGACTGCGTGACGGCGAAGACGTTCTCGGGCGACAGCACGGGCAGCGTGCGCAGCAGGAAGCACGCGGCCACCGACAGGAGCAGCGTCAAGGCCACGGCCACGCCCGGCGGGAGCGGCCGGATGGGGATGTGCTGCTGCTGCGCGCGCGAGGCCTGCAGCGACCGGTACCAGCCGAGGGCCTTGGGCACGAGGATGGGCCCGAAGAAGACGAGCAGCGACTTGACGCTGTCGAGTCAGGTCAGCCACAGTGTTTCGAATCACGGTTGCGTGAGCGGTGCCTACTTTGCCCAAGATAAAGCCTCCATCTTGGCTTTGGCCTTGGTCTTGGTCCTAGGTCTTGGTTAGGCAACCTCCTTAATAGTTGCTGATAGCCCCGGTTAAGGGGGTTTGGGATCCAGGCTTCCCAGATCGCCTGTGTCGTGTCGTGCCGTTCCAAAGAGATGATTGCCTAAAACGTGTCAACGTTGATTAGGTACTTGTCATTTGCGCTATCGAGCCGGTAAGAGTCACCAGCCAGCATAAAAACAGTGAAAAGAAAAGAATAAAAAGAAAAAAAAACACTTGTCAAAAACAAAGCGAGGTCAATGTCACTCATAAAATGCACAGGTGTCGTCACACACGCCGCTGGCCGTTCGGACAACGAGGCTGATACAAAGCGCTTTGATTGACTGCGGGCATTCATTGGGCACGCCAGGCCAGGCCAAGCCTCAGGGACATGGGTACGTTCAATCAAGCCTCGATCCAGGGCGGCAAAGCCAGGCTGTGGCTAACCCAGCCTGCCACCCCACTGGGAATGGAAGCCCTGAGCTGGCCGGGCCGCCAGAAGTGGGCAACCTGCAGGCGCCAGCTGCCCACTAAGGAACGGAAAGAAAAAAGCAGCCTCAGCAGACAGTATAAATCTGGTTCCCTTTTCACTTTCTCTCGTTTGCACCACACCCAACCACAGCTTGGTCTCTCTCGCAGTCCAGCAAGGCCCAAGCAATGGCAACAACACCGTCTCAATCTTCTGTCTCTGCCGCCGTCACTAACGATGGGGCTCAAATTCATTACCGCGAGCAGAAGACGAGGTTTGTATTCTCCTTGCTTGCCTGCTTCTCTCTTGTCGCCATACAGCCAATTCTTGGGTTTTCTGCCGAGTGAACAAGCCAACATGTTGCGCACCCACCACACCGCCGCCGCAAGAATTATTTATTTCCATTTTTGATGTTGGCACTTTCGAAGCTTTGGCAACCGTGTCCCTCGGGACATATCTCAGTGGTTGCCAGAGTCAAAAAGCTGCCTAGAGCAAGCCCAAGTACTCTGCCAAGAGTCATCTCACTAGTGTTGCAGCTTTCCAGCCTCTCTTTTCCGAGATCGAGGCCATGAAGAATCCTGCGTCAAACTGTGAGAGACATTTTTTCCATGTTCGAGAAGCATAATTGCGTGTGCGATTTTTATAATTTGTGTGTCACTTTTTGTGATAATTTTTTGTCTATTCTCCGGCCGACAACCTACTTGCCCTGCATCATGCTCTCCTCTTCGTAGCAGTAGAAGCAGCTCCGGTCTGCTGCCGCCCTGTGCCCTGGGCACCATCTGCTCTCGTCTCTACTCCGCCAGCAGGAGCGGCTTGCTTATTGGGCTTTTCTTTCTGGGCGGGCTGCTGTCTGGCAGCGACCGCCAGTCCCAAAATCGCCGTCACCGTCTCCACGAGCAGCGTCAGCATGCCTGTGCACGCGCCCTGCCAGACGACGATGCTGACGCTGCCCAGCGGCGCGCGCGGGAACGACGCAAACCATTCCACGTAGTACGGGAACGACCCGTAGGGCAGCCAGAACATGGGCGTTCGGCCGTACCAGAACGGCAGGAACCACTGCAGGCCGCGCGTGGAGATGAAGCGCGCCGTCGTGAGGTAGCGGTCGAACTTTGTGCGCGAGCCGTCGAGAGCGGCTTCTGTGGGCGAGGGGTAACGCAAGAATAGTCAGCGGTTCGCTCTCTCGGAGAGGCAGACGGAAGTGCTATAGAGGTAAACCATACTCTTCTTCTCGAGATCCTCGAGCAGCTTGTCGTGCTTCCGGCGCAGCTTGGCCCACTTGGCAAACTCGTCCTGGCTGCTCGTGCCCGTCAATTCGCGCCGCACCTCGAGGTATTCCTTCTGCTTCTGGCGCTGCACGGCGAATTCCCTGGACAGCGGTATCGGGAGGCGAACGACCAGATCCCATATCTATTTCATTCGCAACTCAAGAGTGTCAGTTTAAAAAAACAGCGCCGCCGAAGTGTGTATCGGTTCGTTGCAGCGGGAGAAGAAGAAAATACGCACCAGGCCGTTGATGGTCGCTGCGCCGATGGTGTTGACGAGCTGGACGGCCAGCTCGACGCAGAATATGACGACTAGCAGGCTGGCCATGGTTGCTCGTGTTTCGTGTCTCGTGTGTCTCGTTTTGGTTGGGGGCCCGCGTTGGAGAATGCGCCCGTCGGCGGTAAAGTCAGAAACGGCTTTGCGCGACCTTGGTCTCGACAAAATACTCAAAGCAGCTTATTTAGTTTGAGGAGAGAATCCAGAGCGCAAACGATGACGGAGCTGCCAGCTCAGAGTACCAGGTGGCCCGAAGCAGACTCCCCCCCACACCACATCTCAGCGCTCTCGTTATTGGCGGCCGTTTTTTCTTTTTGCATGCAGAGGAGGGTTAGGGTTGAAGCGTGGAGCCGGTTCAACGCTTCAGCTTGAGCAATTTGATGGTTCATCGTGTAGCCAACTCTAAATCGAGGTTTAAACACGTGCAGCTTGCTGTACACACGGGCATAATATTCGTATATCCATGACATTGGCCCCCTGACCACAGAGCCTCAGCCATGTCCCGGGCACTGGACCAAGATGTCGCGGAATCGCTCGAGGAGGGCAACCGGCTGGATGCTTACGAGGCCATATCTGCGCTGCTGCTGTCTCGGCCGGGCGGCGGGCTGCTGGAACTCGAGATACTGGGCAAGAGCTTCCCCATGCCCGACGGACTCTACGTGCTGCAAGACGGGCGTGCCGCTGGCGTTTCCAAGGTCGGGCTCGTCCAGGCCTTCCTCGTTGCCCGCCAGAAGCTCGCCGCCCACCTGCACAAGACGGCCGCCCTGGACGACGGCGAGCTCTTCTCCACCACCGCCGTCATCCTGCTGATGGACCCAGAGTACCTCACTGCTGCCAACACCCGCAAGCGCCTGTTACAAAAGCTCACGTCCCGCCGCGACAGCACCTGTGCCGCCGTGCTCGAGAACGAGAAGCACTTCGTCGACAGCCTCCTGACCAGCAGGCTGCACAGGCACACAAAATCCCCAACGCTGTGGAGCCACCGCCGCTGGCTGGTCCGCCTCTGCAGGTCGCTCGACGTGTCCGTGGACGTGGCGTCAGACGTCGTCCATGTCGTCTCTGTCGCTGGAGAGAGACACCCCCGAAATTACTACGCCTGGTGCCACGCACGCTTCCTCAGCGACCTGGACCCGGAAGACCAGGGCGGGAAGCTGCTCGCCGCCGTCAAGGACTGGTGCTGGAAACACCACACCGACATATCCGGGTGGTCGTTCCTCTACTACCTGCTCAGCGCCAGAGGATCCCCCGGCTCGGCCGCCAGCTCCGCGACATTCTCACAGGTCCTGGAGCGCGTCCGCTCTCTGCGACTGGCCAACGAGTCGGTCTGGGTGTTCTTGCGCACCCTAGCCGCCTCGGGCCTCGTGGGCGAGAAGGAGTACGCCGAGTTAGTCACTGTCGGCCACGGCCTCTCGGGCGCCGCGGCGGCACCTACGGACCAGCGCGTGCTACGCTCGGCCATGGAATGGTGCGACACATATCGGCTCGGCCGGTAGGCGAGCAACACTCCAAAGTTTCAGCTTCACGGGCTGTACGTATTTAACTGTGCTGGATCGTCGCCCGTAATGGGAGAAGATGGAGACGGTCTGTCTCTGCCAGAGTGCCGCTCTTCAAACCTCTGAGACGGTGTCCGCTGGTGTCCGCCGGTGTCTCTACGACAGCCCCATTGCGAATACTTTGTTTCAAGAGCCGCCAGAACCGTATGGCTTTTGGGGCTACATGCTGAAAATATCCCGTGCCCATACAGTTTGAAAGAACTTGGAGAAAAAACACATCTCCTTTGACCACATTTGAGCAAAACATACGCAAGCAATGCATATCAAGGAGGTGTACACTGACGCGTCCTGTATGACTCCAATCCTACCGTCCAGCGCGCTAGGCAGCAGTTGGGAGGCGTTGGGACAGGGAATTCAGCCCCTCCTTCCCCTAAAAATGGAGGGGTAATGAGACACGAAACGAGGCTGGCTTACCGTGGGAGCTCCGGCCATATGTTGACATTTTCCTGAATACCATTAAAGAAAAGAGCAGGAAAACAAAACAAGGCCGCGCTGCATTGTCAACTACTTGGACCTTCTCATCACACAACCCAATCATCCACCCAGGCAGCTCATCCGCCAAAATGCCAGACGGGGACCTCACGGGCCAGGTACTCCTCACGCGAGCATGGCTGTTCCAGCTTGTCGCCGCCGTGCCAATCTTCCTCGCTCTGGGATGGTGGGTGTTTGACAGCTTCTTCTGGTCGTGGAGCAGCATCTACACGCTTTGTTCAGCCCTATTCAACTGCCTGTTTGCGGGCGGGATCGTCTTCATCATCCTCGTCCAGCGCCAGCTTCCCGGCGCCAGCAAGTCGTTGACGTCGTACTTTGAGATTGGCAAGTCGGTGCTAGCGACGGCCATGTGGATCTGGCTACTGTATGCACCTTTCCCCCCTAATGTGTTCCTCGTGATCGTCAGGGTATGAGCTGCCGCTGAATTATCCGTTCCCAACCGACAAACAGATGCGATGCCGTTTACCACCCGCGCCATTATTCCTACTACCCTCCCGACGTCGAAAAGGAGTACCAGAAGCGCAAGATTGTCTTTAGTGTCATTGCGTTGGTTATCCCCATGTAAGAGAAACCCCTCCCCTTCTGGTTTCTCTCAAGTCTTGGTCGCCGCTTGACAGGATGGAAACAAGAAAGCTGACACGCATGCCCAGTGTCATTTTCTACCCTACTGCTATCTACACCACCTACCTTGCTAGGAAGGCAGGCGAGCTCCCTGGGAGTGCTCGGGTGGCGGATGGCGGCAGTGAACGAGGGGAGGGATCCAACGAGCAGACGCCTCTGCTTGGGGCTTGAGTCGCGATGCCCTCACTCAATTGTTTACTCGCTCTGTTCGGTTTTTTTTGTGAGCACCAAGCCGATTGCCGCCTTTGCTTTCTTTCCATTTCCATGTCTCACTTGGCGTCTAATCCGTCTACCTGTAGGCCATTGGTTGTGAAGCAACCTGGCAGGTTGTGGACTGAGGAAGGCAGAAAAGTTATGTAATGCAGTATATACACTGTACATAAATTCTGTTAGCTTAGAATGTGATTGGCTGCTTAACTTATTCCAGATCCAAAAATGCAAGGTGAGGTGCCCTCTACGCGCCGGCTGGGAACGAGGGGCATCTTCTACGCCGACTTCGATCTCGGGCAAATCCTCGAGCTAGCCGAACGTCTCCGGGGCTGCTCGTGTACTTGCAACGAGTCTTAAACGCCTAAATCAGGCGCCTTCAACTGGGCTATATTCCTCGAGTTCGACGATGGCGTCGAGTGGGTGTTTCGCGCTACCTGCTCAGACCGTAGTGTCGATAAAGTCGTCACCAGCCGCCTCGTATCTAGCGAGGCCGCTACCCTCAAATACGTTCGACAGCACACTGGAATTCCCGTACCGGAGGTCTTTCACTATAGGTAGGTACTGCTTCCAGTCCAATGCCAGCCAGTCAGTGCCTTGAGCTGACAAGTACGAGCCCCACGTACGAAAATGACATCGGGATCCCGTACATCCTGATGAGCAAGGCTGCCAGCCATTCCCTTGCCGAATACAGCTGGTGAACCCATGGCCATGAACGTACTTCTGTGAAGGCGCCACCCTGAACCGACGAAGAGAAGAAGAAAATCATGCAACAGCTTGGATGCCACGCTCGCCAGCTCTTCCATCTACGCCTTCCCACAGTCGGATCTCTCTTCGAAGGCGAGCAGGGATACTACATCGGCGAGTGCCTCTCCCCGGGACACATGTTAGCTCGGGTCGGGGACGGCGTAGGAGAGAATGGGTGAGTGAGTGGTATCAAGGCCACACTGCCTTGCCCATTGATGCTGCTAGCAAGCTCTCGCCAGCCCGGGAAAGCGGTCCCATGTTACCGCGACGTGCTTAAGCTCGATCCGTTGTCTGAATGGGGCTAACAGGCTGCTAGAATCAGGCCTCTGTGCAGGACAGACCCGCCGGGGAAGGCGCTCCGGCGACAAAGCCCGCCTCCGGAATGGGAGAAGGTGTGGGGTTGAGATGGCCATCCTCATGTCTTGAGTGATTGGCCACTTTACCTACCTACCTAATAGGTGAGGTAGACAGCACGCGTGACGTGGAGGGCGCTTAGTCCCAGATCTGAAGCCTTAGAGCTAGGTTAGTTCTGTTGGCGAACCGTCAGAGCATAGAGGTGAATGTGGAGGCTCTAGACTAGAGGACGCGAGGCTCTCGACAATGACATGACATGACATGAATGCTGCGGCGGCTGTTCAGTCCAGTGCTGAGTAACCGCTATGCGACGGAACCGCAGCTAGTACAGTACTAGGTATCAACTCAGTATTTCGTACAGTGAGGGCCTCCAGATGGTTGCCGCCTGATGACTAAACTGGGCTATCTACTAGTAGTATCCGTATTGAGCTAGAGTACGGATACTATACTCCGTACACCCAAAGGAAGTTAACTGCTAGGGGTTTCATCGTTGGTATCGGTATCCACCTGACGCACGGTCTTGCGCCGCCAGAAACATGTATTTACCAGGTACCTTTAGTATTCGTACCTGCCCGAGTGAGCATCATCGACTCTTCACTCACGCTGCCCATTTATTTCACTCGTTCCATTTTGGCCAACAGAGAATGTGACACACACACACACACACACATCATGCCGGAATTTCCAGAAGCCTTTGTGGCATGTATTGCGCAAGCTCTCCGCACGACGCAGGTTCTCAATGTGCTTTGGGGCTACTGCCTCTTCAATGTCTATGGCGTTCTATCTGTCATCATGGCGAGTCTAGATTCTTGGCAAGAAAGAGACCACAGCAATAACATTTTTTTTGCCAGTCGGTTGACTTTGTCGTTCGGGATGATCGTCTAAATGCCGGCGCAGAGGCTATTGGGCATGTCAAGGGCGTTGCGCCTTGCCCCGACCCGGCCACTTGCCCTTCCAGTTCACCAACCCGGCCGACGCCGCCTCCCCCGTTCCATGTTCATTGCGAGGACTCGGAGCTTGAAGCAGGCCTGTACCTTCAGTCGGATACTCTGATGTTTCTACCACACTTAGACCACTCGCTTCTGCACCCGACGAAACTTGAACTTCCGCCGCATTTCATTCTTGCTTCGGACCAAGCGGTGCTGCCGCCTTGGAGACCCGGCCGGGGAACAGGCTTGTTCAAATCTAGCAGAGACTTGATCGTGGTCCCAAAATCCCACATATTGTTGGAAGCCTACATGCGGCTGTATGCCCGGGATTTTGGGAAGCCTGTGGGCAATTTCGGCATGGCCATGATCTGTTGCCTGGAAGGGTACGTTGACTCGGACGGGCTGTTGGACATCCAACAGCTCCCCGCGCCGCTCAAGACTTTGTATGTGGAGCTACGCGATGGCCGGAAACCGGGTCGTCAGTGGACCATCGAGCTGAGAGACGCGCTGGCACTTCCCGAGCTGAACCGTTTTTCAAATTGAAAAGTGTTGAAATGCGCAGCCAGCAGGTGCCTTGAACGCCCACACTGAGCTCCCCGAAACGTTATGACACACAAACAGCACGGGGCGGGGGAACGCCAATGATTCCCAGTCCCATGCATACCTGAGAGGCTGGAAACACCAAAACACATAGACGGCGCGAGCTACTTCATTTTGAAATTGCCCACTACAGCCGTCCAAATCGTTTCCGAACTGCACTTGGAGTTCCCCAAAGCTTACGACGCGTTCGAGCTTGAGCCAAAAGCGCCCTGTCTCGCTCTGCTCGGCGACATCGGCAACGTCGCAGCGCACAGGGACGACTACCTCGCTTTCCTGACGCGCCAGCTGAGGCAGTTCCACGCCGTGCTTTTCGTGCCCGGTACCTGGCCGGGATGCCAGATCTCGTCGTTGGCGAGCACATAGCAGGAAACGAGTGGTCAAAGTCCATGACGCAGATCTCTCAGCTCAGCACGCCGGCCGTGGCGGTGTTGGAGGACCAGCAAAAGTCCAGCGGGGCGACAATGTAGCTCGGGCCGTGTGGTCCCGGGGGCTTGCCGGAGTAGGTGCGCAGCGGCGCCGTCTGGGGCCGTCCTCCGCCGACGAGGCTGAGCAGCAGCTGGTCCTCGTCGCACGAATCGAACAGCGCGTCGTCGGCGAGGCGCACCGCCATGCTGTTCACGGTGAAGTCTGTGTCAGAGAGAGACCAGACCAGCACCCATGCCCAGTCAGTCCTGGATTGCCGGGGGGAGAGAGGCAACTCGACTTACCGCCGTGACACCCGTTTGCATGCATGTGCGCCAGAGCTCGCGCGGACAGCAGAGTCACCTCTCTAGAAAACTGCGGGGTGATTCTCGCGTAGATGCCGTTCGACAGCCTGGCCAGGTCGGGGCCCAGGACCGGGGACACTAGACAAAGATGCCTTCCGTTTGGCCCGTCGAACCAGAACTCCCTTTCGACCGTGGCGAACAGACGCGAGTCGGCGATCGCCGCAGCAGCGCGGGCATCCCCTCCGTAATTGTACGTAGGCGACTCTCGCGCAGCGACAATCTTCAAGGCGACCCAGCAGCTCGCGAGCGCGTCGCGGGCGAGTCGCACAGTGGAGAAGCCGCCGAAGCCGAGCTTGTGCGCGACGCGGTACCGCCCCCCCCCCTCGTCGTCGTCGTACACGTCGCTGAGGTGCACTGCGTAGAAGCCGCTCGGCTCATAGTTCTCGAGGTTCTCGCTCTCGCCGAGCTCGAAGGGCAGGTACTTCCACAGGCTAGATTCCGAGTCCGAGTCCATGGTGGTGGTGGCGGCGGGAATTGAGGAGGCAGGAGTTTCTGATGGAATTGCGGGTTGATTTCCCTCCTTGATCAGAGCCTCCTTGAGCAGACGAAGCAAAAACATCTTGAGACATGCCCTAACTGCACCAAAACATAACATCACATCCCTTGGTGGTCTGTCTCCCTGCCTGGCCGACAGCAAGTCATGTGCGAGTTACAGATGAATGACACTGTGACAAGTTGGCACCGTTGTTTGCCATCCTAGGAATACTAACCATGTTCTACTCGTCAAGGCCCAAAACGCCAGTTGACTAAATGGGTGAACCCTTTAGTCAAGGTCTAGATGCTGTTTTCCATGCGCGTCCAGAACTCCGGCGGCGCCAGCAGTATATTACATACAAGCGTATATATATATATACCTCGGAAGATAGAATAGTCGAGGTCGCTGTCGCCAATATATGTCCAGGTTAGCAACATTAGATCGAGCAAATATTCATGTTTCAGGACTTCATGATCCCTCCTACTTACACCAAAGAGGCTCAGGCGTTTGCAAGGTCATGACAGCGAAACCCCTCGCCGAAACATAAGGGGCAAACCAGGCAGGCAAACACGGCCGGGGCAAGCCACCGGCTTCTTTCTCTCTGTAGCAGTGAAAACTCCTCCCAGTTCCCTCCCTTTTTTAATCTAGATATATACAGAGTTTCCGATTCCCACGCAGCAATGGATAACAAGGGGCCCCGGTACGCCACACGCCCACGCTCCCTTGATGGCAGATAGGATCCTTATTTTGGCTTCACTGCTTGTAACCTGGTATTGACACAGAGGGGGAAGAGAAAGAAATACAAGGTCTATTACATGCACTGTGCCATACCTCCCTCACCTATGACGAAGAGTGGTTAGCCTTTTGGAACAGCGTGACAACTGCACAACTGAGAGAAAAGCTCACCTCGGATCATCTTGCCCACCGCCTGCAGAATGCTGATGGTCATGACGGCGGTGCCAAACGCGGCGACGGCCCAGGCGACGTACGTCTTCCACGAGCGCGTCGTCAGCTTGATGTAGCAGAGCGGGGGCAGGATGTAGGCCATGGCGGCAGCGCTAGTGGCGCCGACGAGCTCGAAGACGGTGCCGAGGTCGCAGGTGAAGAGGCTGAGCGTCATGGCGCTGACGACCAGGCTGGTGGTGAAGATGAGGTGCAGGTTCATGTTGAAGGGCTCGCCGGGGAAGTAGTAGTTGAGCATGACCTCGCGGCACACAAACGCCTCGAGCGGCAGCGTCGTCAGCATGTTGAGCCCAAAGCAGAGCCGCGCCACGTTGACCATGGTGTTGTCGGCCGGAAAGTTGTTGAGCACGTTGCCCAGCGTCTTGTCGCCAAACGTCAGGAACCCCGCCAGCGCCATCAGCAGGCACGCCACCATGGAGATGGCCGTCGAGTAGTGCGTCACCTTGGAGAAGCGGTTGATGGTCGGCGTCTCGAGGGACCCGTAGATAAGGAGCGAGTTGTGGTGGCACACAAACGCTTTTTTGCCGTCGTGTCAGCGACGGCCTGGTTACTTCGGGAGGGGGCTCATACCAAATGAAATCACACCAATGGCCTGGAAGATGCCGCCGTTGATCACCAGAAGGTTGAACGTATTGAGCGACCCTCTTGCTTCGCTGGGCGTCAGGATGCCCTGGACAACGACGGTGACAACGATGATGCCCATGCTGACGAGGGCGAGGGTACTCGCCTTGGCCAACTACAACAACACCTCGCAAAAGCATCTCGTTAATACAAGACACAAAAAGTCTAGGCAGTGCTATATTCCACGCCCCCACGAACACCAGAAAGACGGTTAGAGACAAGTAAACCCACCTTGGCAATATCCCTGTACAGGGCTAGAGGGTAGCTGATGCTTAGCGTAAACAGCACAATAACGGCCCTCCTATCGGCTAGCAGGCCCAGGACGGGCATGCTCCGCAGGCCGGGCCAGATGGCCATGAGGACGTGGGGGATGGAGTCGCCGACGATGACGCCGAAGGCGACCATGCCGCCAAAGGCAAACGCCCACTGGGCGACCGAGATGGCGATGAGGCCGGTGCGGCCGAAGCACTTCTCGACGGTGCCCTGGAAGCTGGTGGCGCCGCTGAGCTTGCTGTTGACGACGATGAGGCGGATGGTCCAGTCGACCACCACCGTCAGCGCCACCAGCAGCACCACGCCCGCCAGCAGGCCCGCCTGCCGGAACGCGTACGGCTGCCCGATGATACCCGCGCCGATGATGCTGTTGGCCATGTTCATGAACGCCATGCGCAGCCCGCTCTTGGGCCGCGCCCGCTCCGCCGCCGCCCACGCGTGCAGCTCGCCGTCGCCGTCGCCGCTCCACGGGCTGTTGGCCACCGATACCGACGGCGCCTCGATGTCGGTGAGCAGCGGCACGCGCTGCTGCCGCTGGTTGCGCCGTCGCCCCGAGGCCGTCGTGCTGCCGGGGTTGAGGGGGTCTTCGTCGTCGACGTCGAAGCTCTCGCGCGCGGCGTAGTCCTCGCCTTCCTGGCCCACTCCCCCTCCTCCTGGCCCCCGCTCCCTGTAACTGCCATTATTGTGATTGCTGCTGCTGTTCCGAGCGACGCCATCGATGACAATGGTTGGGGTCAGGTCGAAGCGCACTCGATTTGGCGTCCGCGGGGTGCGCGGGGTGCGTGGAGTGTGGACGGGCGGCCGCTCCTGGTCGCCATTGTGGTCGCCACCGTCGCCGTCGTCGTCTGGGCCCAGCGCCGCCGACAGCAGGCCAATGTCTTCCTCGTCGGCGGGCAGCGAGGGTTCGCGGCGGTCGGCGGTGCGGCCCTGACGGGCAGCAGCGGCGGCAGCTGCAGCGGCGGCGCCATTCGATCTGGCCCTTGCCATGCTCTCCCGTCGGCTTTAAAGGGCACCCCGGGGCATCTTTTAGCTGGAGACCAACCGCCCAGTCCCGCAAACTCTGTCTCTCTCCCTCGCCCACTTGGTGCTGTCTACTATGCCAGCCACCTAGGCATTCACTCTTTGTTTCTGCCCTGGTTGCCCCTGCCTTCTCAACGGTTATACAAGTAAGTATGTAGGTGGCGGAAAGCGGTAGATGCTGTTTAAACGGATTGGCTGAATGTCGAAATCTATTGCGTAGGTAAGGCCCAAAAAGAATGCCTAGGTCGATGTCGTCTTGGCGCATGTTGCATCAAATCGGCCCTGAAGACAGGCCCAGGAAGAGCCCAGCAATAACGGGCTGGCAAGCTCCCCATCATGTGATACAGGGGGTGTGTCCGCTGCGGCGCTGCCAGGGCACTGCCAAGAGGCAGAGAGAGCTGCTAAAGATTGGGGAAACCGGGGCGCCAGCTGGAGGCGAGCTGATGCGGCTGGCTTTCGCTTGGCGCCTTGTCTCACCAACAAAGCCGAATCCGACGGTACCCGGCCCTTTTGGGGTTAGCATCCTCGTGTGGATTATCGCATCGGAGATTTTTAGCCAATGGCGTTAATGCTCAGCACGCCTCCTATTTCCGATCCCAACATCTCGTCTCGTCTTCCCCAAACACCAGCACAAAGACGGAAGACATACGCCCATAGAACACATAGTACAAACAAACTCAACCAAAGCTAATATATACTTGGCTTCATTCCATTCAGATGAAGTCATCGCTATCGAATCCTGAATTACATAATTCTACATTTCCAAAAGCGTGGGGAGCGTGGCCGACAGCCAACATCCCCCCACAATTTGCTCCCTGAGCTCCGACGTGTTTTTGCTTTCATTCCCACTCCCTCCCTAGGGGTATCATGTATTTTTGTTTCCAACTCGACTACGCTGGCTCTTTAGATGCAAATGCGAATTAAAGAAAGGACAGATGCAATCGTTCTCGTGACTAGAAGAACCCCGTTGCGGCTATATCCCAAGCCGAAGGGAACCGTAGGTTTGCTTCCCGAATGCCCGCCGCCTGCCAACCGACAAGCTGCCGAGCACACTATGTACGTGGGAAAAAAGGGTATAAATAAGATGCCGTCGCTCTAGGCCACCATGGCCATGACTGCGACAATACACAGAATGGACACGTAGGTCCTGCTCTCGAGCTGCTCGCCAGGCGACGCTAGCGTTGGCGTGGCCGACGGGCTCGACGCTGTCTCGGCCACCAGCGACCCTGCCGCGGTCGCTCCCGTCTCTTGCCCACTAAGACCAGCGACGGGATGACCAGGCGAGGAGCTGGATGGAGACGGTGTAATGGCGCCGGTAGAAAGAGTCGACTGTCCTGAGCTTGTGGTCGTCGTCGACGACGACGAAGACACAGTTGATGTGCTGGTTTGTTTGGGAGGCTCGGGCTTGGTGGCGAAGCCAATCCGGCTTTGGTCCGCGTCGAAAACCGCAAACACGTTTTTGAGAAACACGTCGCCCAGCAGCCAGGTGTTCCTGACCACCTCATGGCCATAGATATTGCTGGTGCAAGCGCCACCGCTGCTTGATATCCAGTCTTTGGAGGAGATGCCGTACGTGACACCAGAGAAGGTGACGGGGATGGAGAGGTTCGTGTCGCATGGCACCTTGTAGTTGACTCCGTCGTCCGACGAAGCTCCGGGAATAAGCTTGTGCAAGGCAGCCACGTCAGCCGGCGGCCCAAACACGAAAGACGTGCCCGTGTCAATATAGGCCAACCTCCCCTTGATCCCATCACCAATCGACTTGCCGTCGTACTCGATATCGTCCAATGGAATAGCCCAGTCCCCTTTCGCATTGGTCGAAGTCGACGTGTACGTAATGTCCCCCGTGTATTTAGCCTTGTCGATGGCGCCAAACGAGACCTCGCCCGTGTTCGGCCCGTCTGAGTTCCGGCTGAGCGAAACGCTAAACATGTGAGAGTCGAGAAGCTTTTTGTCTTCGAGGACCTGCATGAAATTGTCCGAGGCACCTGTACTCATCGAAAGGCCCAGAATGCCATCAAAGGGGAAATGCGTGAAATCGTCCGATGTCTCGTTGGCTACCCCAAATGCCATGTCAACCGTCAGGCCAGCAACCGAAATGCTGTCGTGGCCAAGCGACCCCTTGACAAACCCCGTGCCGTACTGGATATTGATCGTCTTGGTATCCGCCTTGAACGTTGTCGAACCTGTGGGGTCAAAAGCATCATGCATGGCGCACGCCGTGGATTTGCATGCCGAACCGTACACCCATGTCGTCGACGCCCCCGAATCTAACAGCATGTATAGAGCCGTCTGTGAAGAGCCGAACTGGGCCTGGATGAAGTAAGAAAAGTCTGTCCCGTCCTGGTAGACACCCTCGCTGCGTGTTGCCGTGGGGTCAGCAGGCTTCACCACCGAATACTTGTTTTCTCGCGCAGCCAAGTCGGCTTGTCGTCGGGACCCCCGCGGAGCCGTTACGGGCGCGTATTTGTGTGCAAGCCGAGTTGCAGTTCGAGCCGCACGAGCTGCCTTCGCTACTGGATCTTCGGGCGACTGAGGAATACCTTGTCAGCAACAATCTGAAAGATGCCAAACAGAAAGAAATTTCAACTGCAGACGGGAAACGACTCTCTCGGCGGTTACACGTACATTGGGAGCTCGCTGGAAAAGCTCAAAGCTGACGCTCCCGCCTTCTGGCAGAGCCGCACGCTCTGCCTTCTCGCCTTGCCCATCCCGCCTCGGTTTTGGGCTCTTCGGCTCGATACAAGTATTGTCGGCTTCGCAGGCGAGCCACGGGAAGAAGCCATGGACGGCGGTAGCCCATAGCGTCAGCAGCAGGAGAGCGACTCTCTGCATATTGAAACAACCACAACAGCAGCCTCACCGCTCCAGCACCGACCGCGGTAGGAGCTGAGGAGGCAGCAACAAATCCCAGGTGCTCCGTATACGGTTCGAGTTACGGCAGCTTCGGGTCGGAAATTGGCGTCTTGTAGCAAGACACGAGCATGAGAGCCACGGAGTCCTTTGGGGCGAATTAAGTCCCGGCTGCACTGCCAATTGACCGACCAAGAGTACCGGACTCTGGCACCGAGGGGATATTAAGACGATTAATGATTAAATAGGCCGCATTGGTGGAAACTGTCGCAGTAAACGACAGAGACCGCGAGCCGGACGAAGACGATTGAGAAACAACAAACAATAGCAAACACGAGATAAAACGGGAAAGTTGGGCGATGCTGATACTATATACGGCGGGACCCGTTGGCGATAACCCGGGGGGGCGAGAGCTGATCGGCCGAATAAGAATGGTGTTTTGCTGGAAAAGACTCCTAAGACGGACGACACAAAGGCGGAGAGCGAGAGTAAGAAAAATCCGGAGGACCGAGGAAAGACGAAGCAAGGCAAAACGAGGAGCCGAGGAGCCGCAGAGGCGAGAAACAAGACACAAAGTACTACTAGTATGGTAAGGGATCGACACAGGCAAAAAAACGAAAGGGCCCTGGTGCCAGATGGGAAAAAACGACAGTATGCACCGCTCGAAACACTGCAGGTGCAGGTGGCCAAGAGGAGGTGGTGGAGGCGGAGGAGGAGGTCGGAGAGGTCGGCGTCGGGCGGAGAAGGGGGGGGGAACGGCGGTAGAGAAGGGGAAGGACAAGAGATATGGATCCCGATGCAAGCAAAGCAAAGCGACCAAGCAGGAAAGAAAAAAAGATGCGTGGATACGATGTGCATGCAAGCCTTGCCCAGTGCGGCAATGTGGACTCGAGGGGGCCACCCCCCAGGCCCCAGGCCCCAAGATGCCCCAGGGGGCCAGGCAGCTGGCTGCGGTTGACGAGAAGCAGTTGACAAGGTAGGTAACCACCCTCTGACAGACATGGCGTAGGGTGAGTGCTACCGTAATATCGGCGGGTAGGCACGATGTCTGCATCTGTGGAAGTTTTGCCGCATGAGGGCAAGGCAAAGGCCAGGAGAACCAGGCAACTGAGGAATTGACTCTCCCTCTCTCCAGGGTCACGATGCTCGCAGCTCAGGTGGTGTGTGGGATGCGAGGCGCGCGATGTGGAGAGAGCTGGGGACGAGTAACCGCGGAGCCACGGTAACATTGTCGAGCGAGTAGCTCAATTGTTTCTTTTCGTCCAATGCCAGCTCTTCAACTGCCCTCGACCCCAATTCCCGCTGGTCCCGGCCGTCACTGCCTTGTGGAGCAAAGTTCAGATGACCTCGAAACGTTTAATCCTTCGAGAACAGATGAATCAATTCATTGACCTATTGACTGACGGCAAACTCCCAGTAACTCGCAAGCAGCACAACCATCAGGAAACTGCTTCAGAGTTCAAACATCAGGAAGTTTTGCTTGCCTCGCCAGATAGAAAGAAGGATACCCAGCATTTGGCGATCTGCTCATTTTGGCTGCAGCCATGTCGACGCCCCCCTGTCCGGGCAATCAGCGCCCCCCCCTTCCCTGATTGGACCAGTGTCCCGAACAAGCTCTCTGCAGGCGGCCAGCGTCTGTGCAGGTGCGGGCCACCTTTCTTCTTCCCACGAGCTCGCTCTTCGAGTTGTCGTTTTTGCCGGGCCCGTTTCTCATTCGATCCAAAACATGTCGAGACATAAATGGGGATGGTGGTCGGGGGCCAGACCTCAGTCAAGAACAGAGGTGCGAGCAAGTAGCACAATGGGGTTCCGCTGCGGCGCAAAATGCGAAATGAGCTTCGTTTCTCTCTAAAAGCAATAATGAGCATCCTTCATGGTCCTTGCCGGGCCATCGTCTTTTGCGGCGTCGTTTCCCGGGGTCTCCTGAGCGGCCAAAATTGAGGGCGCAGGGATTTGGTAAAGGTGGGTACCAGAACGGCGCGACATGGGCATGGGGCACCCCCGGGGGAAGGAAGGCCAGCGCCCAGATTGATTAGCCTGGTCCGAGCCAGGCCAGCCTGCACCTGTGGTCTTCTTGTTCTCGACCGCCTGCCAAGAGCGAAGGCTCGGCCTCAGGCTGCTTATTCTATACGGAATAGGAAACCACTACTGCCTTTCCTGTCTTTTAATCACTTGTTTTCGCTTCTCTCGAGTACGGATACGAAAGTGGCTATTACGGTATACTTTGTGCATTCTTGCCTCGTCTATTGACGAAGATGGCTCTTTATATCTTCACGGTGTGTTATATACATATATCTTAGAGTTGGTCCAAGTTCATGCTCTCGAGTCTTCGACATCCAACGCCGGAGAAAAAAAGGGGCTGGGCCGGCCGGGGATTCGGATATATCGACACTACTTACTTGCATATTTATTTGGAAAGAGAGGGCTCGAGTGGTTCTCTATTTCATTCTCTCGAATGAATACGAAACAACCTCTCAACACCACGAGCTGCGGCTCCAATCGGCCAGTTTGTGTCTTTTGCAATCAACCCTTCGCCAAGTGCCTGCCTGCTTGTCGTCTGATGAGAGACTGACGACATGTTTCTTTTTTTGTCGCCGTGATCCTGCGCCCGCCATCATCCCCCGCCATCACCATCACTATCACTACCAGCAACAAAAATACTTACCCTCTCCCTATCAGAGAGCTAAGAGAACGAGAATGTCTGACTACGAACAAGCAGATGACGATGTTGGGCTGACGAAAGATATGTAGCTTGCCGGCACGCCCAATGCTGCGCCAGATCTTGGCCAAGGCTGAAGGGAAGGGATGGAGAAAGGAGAACCCACGTCAGCACTACCTACACATCCGCGCATACACGCACCGGGTAGCTTGACAATAGCCCGGCGTTTGTGTGTGTGTGTCGTGAGATGCATATTATACGTGCTATGCTATGCTCGGCTAGCTTACGGATCGGTCTGTGGTTTGGAATATGCAGGAGCGTTTTTTTTTGGTTCTTGTTCCTGTTTCTTCCCCCGTGGAGGTTTGTTTGGTTTGGTTTGGTTTCCTTTTTCCCGGCTGAATGCGCGGCGTGGATCTGCATCCAACATGCCTACCCGGGGATTTTATCAGATGCAGGACCTGTGTTTCCCGGGCGTCAAAGAAACACACGCATGACGACGGGAAAGAGGTTTGTATTTTTTTTTCTTTTTAGTTTTATTTCTAGCCCTAATACATACATACGGAGCGAAGGAAGCTTACAACTTGTAGGCGAGGTAAGGTAGACAGATATGCCCTATTCGGATTACCGCAGGCACGCAGGCACGCAGGCACGCAGGCACGCAGGCACGCAGGCACGCAGGCACGCACGCAGGCACGCAGGTACGGGGGGTGTAGGTGACAGGTCTCCCTCCTCCCGTCCCGCCTCGCCTGACAAAGTCCGCGCCGGCCGGCTTTTGTGAGAAAGACGGAAGAAGAGAGAGGGAGGGAGGGAGGGAGGGAGAGAGGGAGAGAGAGAGAGCATCGGATGATATGCAGGGGTTTTTAGGTCCTCATCATATGCAAGCGGCTCTTGGTCGTTTTTTTCTTTTTCCTCTCTTGTTCGTCCAACGGAATTAGGACTTCCTACCAACGGCACCAAACACCCTTCCGGGGACAGCCCTTGGCACATTAGGGATATTATGTGTTGGCGGGAAAACGACGTGCGAACGTTCACTCTCATGTCTTGGGACTACGGGCCAATCTCTCTCTCCGCCGGTCTAGGTTATATGGTGTGACATGATGGTGTTATGCTTTACAAGGAAGATGTCTGCTCGGACTGTTGGTCGTCCATTCGGACTCCGAAAAACGGAGGGGGGGAAGGTTGCAATGGTCCTCCTGAGCATTAACAGAGTAGTTGTGAACATGTCTGTCTACAACCCCCTTCCACTTCCAGCCTCGAGAGCAACAGCCTCCTCAAACGCGCCCAGCACGGCGTCGTACACGGCGTCGACATCATCAGTCCCCGTCCCCGTCCCCGTCCCCGTCCCAACTACCTCAGGGAACAGGACCCTCCGCAGGTTCTTGGCGAGCGGTCTCACAGCGGCGAGCCTGGGCGGTATCTCTGCCAACACGACTGAGAAGCTGTCCGCAGACATATCCCGCGCCTTGTGCGCCGCCGAGTCGTCCCAGGTCTTCTCTATCCCCCACAGCCGCAGCCGGCTCCCGCCCAGCAAGCTGTCGGAGCCGTTGGCGATGGCGGCCCACAGCAGAACGTAGAGGAACGACTCGAGGTCGTGCCGGTGAGTGTGCCTCCCTCCCTCTTTTCCCAGCAGCAGCAGCTCGACGGCCATGAACATGCGCGTGCCGACGACCTCGCCCGGAGGCGACGCGGGGCCGCCGCTGGCTACGTCCAGGGCCACGTCGAGGTCGATCAGGATGCCTACCGAGCCAGAGTCCCCGTCGGCAATGACAATATTCTGCGGCGACACGTCGCGGTGCAGGATGCCAGCGCGCTGCAGCAGCGACCAGTGGGCGCTGACGGCGTCGCAGAGCACGCGCAGCAGCTCCAGCGCCGTCTGGAACGTCCACAGCGGCCGCCCAGCCGGCGACACGACCAGGCACGTCAGGATGCGGTTCTGCAGGAAGCGGCTGGTGGCCTCCGTCACGTCGAGTATGCCGGCGCCGGCGCCGGCTGCTGCTGCTGCTGTTCCGCGGGGTATGAGGTTGTCGGCCTGGTGCTGCTGCTGCTGCTGCTGCTGCTGCTGCGAGACAAGCCGCCTGTGCGGGCCCCAGCGGAGACCTGAGCGCAGGTCTGCCGTGCTGGTATACCGCTTGTCGTAGTCGAGCGACACCAAGCCGCGTACGCCCTTCTCCCCGGCCAGCCTCAGCAGCTCTTCCTCCGGGCGCGTGCGGGCCCAGCGCCACGTGAACTTGACCACGCAGTGCCACCTGCTCGAGGTCGGCCGCCTGCCCCGGTAGCACGCGGTGCCCTGCCCGACGAGGGTCCGGGAGAGCGCGATCGGCTGGTCTTCGAGGTAGAGCTTCTCGCCCAGCGCCGCGGCGTGCCCGGGCTCAGGCTCTAGCTCGAATGTAATAAAACTGCCAACCTCGTCGGTTCGGATGATACCGCTCCTCCCGAGCTCGCCGTCCCGCATCAGACGGTAGCCGAGCACGGCGGAGAGGAACGGCGTGAGGCGGCTGTCGCGGCGGAGGTCGAGCGCGCCGCTGCTGTAGAGCCCGGACCTGTCGAAGACCTAGAGCTCGGCTAGCGGCCCGCGCACGTAGAAGCCGTGGAGGAAGAGGCGGGTCGGCTGGGCGGCGAAGACGGCCCGGGCGTGCCCGCCGAGAGCCAGCAGCCCGTCTAGATAGGTACCTCCACTGCTGTTATCGTCTTGGCAGAACTGCCCGATGACCTCGACGTCACGCCACGAGGCCTCGATGTTTGGGTCGAATGCTGCCGAGCGCGTCAGGAGCAGGTGAGCACCGCCGCCGCTAGAACCTTCGGGCTCGGATGCTGCTGCTGCTGCCGGTGCGTGGCAGCATGCATGCCAGGTGCCCCGGGCGCCGTTTACTCCCTCCAGCGACAGGGCAGAAAACCAGGCAAGAATGTCCTGGACAGATGGACGGGGTGATAGTGAAAACGGGTAGCGGTCACGAGCTATTATTCCAGTCACGGTGTCCTGGAGGATCGAGTCGAACCTAGCAAAGTATTTGACCATAAATCTGTCGACGGGACTGTGGATGTAGCCGCCGATGTCGTTGAAAACGTCGTCGAGAATGTCGTCGACGTCGGTCTCGAAATAGTGTGGGAGTAAATGACTGCCTGCCTCTACCGTTTCTCCCATTTTACGAAGGGGGGTTGCAGAGTAAGTTTGACAGCGTTACGCAGAGGCAAGGATAAACAAAGTGGTTATGGGCAGAGCAACTTGGTCGCACCACTCGAATTCTATGAAGTTGGTAGTTATTCCTTTTGGGGAGAGTTGTTGTGTTTGTTGACCGCCTCGTCTCGATGTAGAGCTCGACTAGGCGATGCCGGTTTGAGCCAATACTGTTTCGAGGAACATGGACGGGTACCAGTCTGTCGGGATTTGACGCCATGTTTTGATTGGGTCAGACACGGAGCTGGCAGACCAGGGCGGCCTGGATGCTGGAAGACGTCAGTCGGCACTTCCTACCGTACCTTACCTTTCAAGCGTGTCCCTTCTCTTCAGAACCTAGCCAGATAGCTAGCCGTGAAGCGCTTGAGTGACTGTCTCGAGGTAGAGTCTAGTTTGACAGCGTTCGAACCTGATAGGGTTCCAGCCTGCTTGGCCAGCCAAAGGTCGCTCGCCGCGCCACATGGACAAGATATATCCAGTGTAGAACGCCTGCCTGGGCAAGGAAGTTGCTGGTGGGCTGGCACGGGGTGTTGCCTTGAGATTCCAAAGGCACTTGAGCAGAGGAGACCCAAATTATATCCCTATAATTCAACGAACCAACTTGAGGGAGGTCTTCCCTGTTTCGGATAGCCGCCATATCCCCATGGCAACTTAGGCTCCGGTTGTAGGCCAACAAGTCTCGCCTTTGACTGGTACCCCGGTACCGCTTCCTCATGGCGGAGTTATTGGGACTCTATGAAGGTGGCAGTGTTCTAGAAAAGATGCAAAAGTCGCCCCGAGGATCATTCATCTCGAGGTATAGCCCAACTATCTCCATCACTCCATCACTCGACCCGCCTACCTCGGCTGAAATATATTCAGAATGTATCGTCAACTTCTCCCTCCAAATCACGCCTGCCTCAAATATGCCCCGACTGATCGACAAAGCGCGCTTGTGGCGGCATGTTGATTTTTTTTCTTCCATCTTTTTGTGGTGTGTGGGCAGCACGACCATTTCTTTGTCTGGGCCGAGTTGTGTTCTTGGACGCTTGTTAGTGAAATATACCTGGTATCCGGATAAATGTGGGGATTTGTAGCATCTATAGCAACAGGTAGTCATATGTTTTGAACCAGGGAGATGGAACTTCCCATGTAATCAGATAGAATAGCTCGTTGGGTAGGCAACATACACCTAGGTATTGATGTTTCTCTATGATAATACGAGTTCACCAGTCCCACTTCCGAGTCGCATGCTGTCATTTTCCGCGTAGGGGATTTTGAGAGCAAACCACACAACCAACCCGACAACAAGTTCGACAAGTACACTACCTACCTTAACCTACAGAAACGGGATGAGTACACACATACGAGAGGCTAGGCCTCTCGCACATCTGCCGAGCGGCTGCCGTGCAATGCAGATGAACAAGGCAACTCGTGCTCGCTTGCTTGCTGTGGAGCACGCACGGCGAGTGCGCTTGGCTTCGTCTTATCACTGCCCGCCTGGTGGTCACTTGCCTTGTCGGGTGGTGTGTGGAGGCGGGCGGGCAGGCGGGGTGGGTTGTGTGAGTGTGAGTGTGTGGGTGCTTTGTGGTTGCCCGTGTGGTAGGCCGGTAGGGTGCGGGTGTAAGTGAGTGGATGAGCGGTGGAAGTGGGAGGGAACACGCGCTTTCCATGGCTATGGCGGCTTCTCGCCCCTTCCCTTCGTTAGTCCTGCGGGATATCTGCGCGCGTCTGAATAGGTGCGGTGCATTCATGCATGCATGTTTCAGACGAATGTGCAGCTGGAAATAACTGCTAATGCCAACAGTGGACGTAGAAGATAGGTGGTGGTGGATAGGTAATGAATGGCCCCTCGCGTGATCTAGCAAAGCAAGGTAAGGTAGTAGAGAGCTAGGGATACGCTCCGCAGACGGGACACCTCTCGCTCTGCCTCTGAGGGAACAGGTGCGTGGGGTCCGGTTCCCTACTACCTACCTGGTATACACGTATATATATATATATAAATCGGGATATTATATGCTACTACAAGTAAGGTATGTAGACAGGTGGGTGGGTGTATAGGTGTATATATGTGAGAGCCTCCTCCTCTTCGTCGCTTCCCCGCTTCCTCGATCGGCTACCCCTCTTCTTCGTCTACCTCGTTCTCAGCTCAACGCCCCGAGATCTACACTTCCCACCAAAGCACTTCGTATCCAGAAAGAAAAAAAAAGCTTCGGATTGTCCATCCATCATACATCCCTGCGGAACTCTCCAGTAAGAACAAGGAGCCATCATCGTCATCATGCACGGAAGCGCCTGCCCCAAGTGCGGAGCCGACGGTGCGTCTAGCAAGACGTGCGGTTCTTGCGGAGCTGTAAGTCAATCATCACCACCACAACCTCCTCAGTCCCCGGTTCCTTCCTCCAAACTCTCGTAGTCTCGGCATATGGCTGCTTGCTGCTTAGCCAGGATCGGAGAGTGTTGAAATAACAAGGATAATCACCACCTATCTGCCTTGTTGATTACCCTACCCTGCCTCGCTTTCTTCTCCCTAGCGATCGCCCTCCCTTTCCTCTTTCCCCTCTTTATTTTATTTTATTCCCCCCTCCCCAACCATCTACTACCCACCTCCCAGAGGCGAGAAAATCAAGACTAACAACCCCTGGAAACAGTCGTGCCCCAACTGAGAGCCCAGCAAGCCACCGCCGTCTCCCTCTCTCTCCTTCCCTCTACCCACTCACTCACTCGTTCTCTCTCCGCCGTCGTGTCCATCTGTAGGCGGCGGGGGCGGGATGTAGAGCTGCAAGTTCGCGGGAGGGAGCGGTAGGAAGGACGGGCCAACGTCGCTCGGCGTGGATGGGATAATTAGTGCGGCGGTTTTTCATCAAGTCTTACCATGGGGGAATTGCATCTTTTTTTGGTCCAGGTACTTACCTATCTATTTAAGCCAGGCAGCTAGCTAGTCGTCTTCCCCGATTATGGGGTGAGGTCGGTGAGAACTGTGCGAGCCATGATTATCATTTGCTCTCGTCTGCTTCCCCCTGTCTTTCTGCACGGCTTGTGTTCGTAAGGTACGATATAACCAGCATGTTGTTGTGCTTGTTGTTGCACCGCTGGTATGCGCTCTAGGGGTCATGGTTTGAAGGTAGTCCTACTCTACTGACTGGCTAAGTTATTGCCTTAGTTTGCTTTCTGGGTTGAGAATGGCCTCGGGCCTATTGTACGTAAATCATTGCATAGCACGTCCTCACAGGTCTAGAGCCTCTAGGAAGTTAAACGAATACAATAACAACGGCTGGTATGCATTCCACGCGTGGTCCGGGTTTGCGTAGTAGGGAGCCACCTATATGGGTATCCTATTCCCAGAGAATCGCCGTGACTATTCCCTCGTATTGAACCCCTCTCGGCCACGCAAGGGCACAGTGAGTATCTAAAGATAGACAAACAGGTAGCAGAGCAGCTAGGATCCCCCCTGTTCTCGACACAGCGAGAGGGATTTGGCCGAGCCTAAACCACTGCAAAGCCAAGTCCATCTCGCCCGTCATCCCAATAACCGCAGCGTGCGGACCAGCAGACCTCTGCAAAACAATATATAGGAGAATAAGAGGACATGTATAAAAGGGCGACCTTGGCAACTAGGACCAACATCAACAAGGACCAAACACAAGCCGAGACACGCACAAATAGGGCAGACATATCACACACAACTCGCTTCCCACCCAAGAATCAAGAGCACCAGCAACTTCCATTCTCTCCTAAGTGTCTCTCTTCAATTCTTCCAAGTAACGCTACCGACAACTCCCTCAAAATAGTCCAATTCCACTCACTACTGCTACAGCTACACCCCCCGCACACACGCTTCACTAATATATCTGGGTCCATATGAGAGAGGATAAAAAAGGATGGCAAGAAAATAGTAGAAAGGAAAAAAACACAGATAAATAATTCGCGTGTTTCTCGTCTTATCAGTACCTGAGGTTTGCGATCAAGAAAACGAGAGGAAAATCAACCGCCAATACCAGTCGAGCCGACGACCAACACACATAGATAAGAACCCCCCAAGTCGGAATTCCTGGCCCCCCAAAGGACCCCAGACGGGGAGGTGGAGGGGAAAGAGAAAAAAGTTGACTGATTTGCCCACCATGAGAAGCCCAAACCACAAACCCAAACCTGCCAAGGAGACACACCGTCCGTACAGTGGGAGAAAATTGAGGAAAGGGGGGAAATAATGGGGGTGGAAATAGAGATCCGAATGTAGTGCACCGCGACGGGGAGAGGCATCGGCAGGCAGACACATGGACCCGAAGACGATAGTGGTCAAAATCCCAACCAGGGCTGTTGACAAATGTGGCCCAGATCCTTCCGCATTACCTGCCTTCATCCATGGAGAGATATTGCGGTCCCGAGCGGTTTCATTCCAACCCTCCCCTCCCACCACATCACTCCCCACGGCGACAGTGCTGACAGTGGCGGAATTGACGACAAGGCGGTTTCTCAAAGGGAGGGACGATAGAGGGAGTTGATCCATGCTGGATTTAGAAGACCTTGCAACCCTTTTTGGACTTGGTCTTCTTGCAAAGCGCGGCCCGTGTGGCATGCTCAAAGACATCACGGACGTTGGTGTTGGTCTTGGCCGAGCACTCGAGATACTTGTGGGCGCCAATCTTGTCCGAGATCTTCTGTCCCTGTAGTCGTGTCATTTTGTCAGCAGACTGCGCTTGGACGCCTAGAAATTCACACAACACACAACACGGGGAACCCAACGCCTCACTTACCCTTTCGGGCGTAACGGGGGCCTGGTTGATTTTGCGGAGCTCCTCGACAGTCTTGGGGTCGTAACGCAGATCCATCTTGCATCCGACAAGGATTATCGGCACGTCACGGCAGAAGTGCTGCACTTCAGCGTACCACTGTATTTTATCAGATAAGTTAGCATATTTCGAACCAGCGCGGGAAAGTAGGATATGCCATCGGCCGCTGCAGCAAAGGGGGGCAAGCGCTGACCTTCTCTTCCACATTGTCGAGCGAGTCGGGGGAATCGATGGCAAAGCAAATCAGGACAACGTGGGAGTCCGGGTAGGACAGAGGCCGAAGACGGTCGTAATCCTCCTGACCGGCCGTATCCCATAGCGCAAGCTCGACCTGTCTGCCGTCCACCTCGACATCGGCAACGTAGTTCTCAAAGACAGTAGGGACATAAACCTGCACGCAGAGGCGTTAGTATTATTTATTCTGGCTGACAGGAAACCCGACCGAGCGAGGGCTGATGCGGCCGGACAGATCCGAGGTGCTGCTGTCTTTGTCGAACATTGGGGATGTAACGAAAGCGATAGGCTCCGAGGCCGAGGCTGAAGCGAGGGAAATTGTCTACACATAGCCGCGAAAAAAATATCACGAAGGGCAATCGACGGGACAGCTAGAACTAACCTCGGGGAAAGTTCCCTTGGAGAACACACTGTAGTGAGAGCAGAGTTAGCAGGGCGGCGATGACGATACGGGGTAAAGCGGCACCAAGTGAGCGAGCGGCACGGGAGATTTAAGACGCGGAGTGGGGGAAAAAAGGAGGGAATCACGTACATCAAAAGACACGTCTTTCCGCAGGCGCCATCGCCGACGATGACTAGCTTCCGACGAAGTTCGGCCGACATGGTTGCTGGCTAGACCCGGAATGGGGAGCTAGCTAGGAGAGCTGGTGGTGGTGGTGGTCGGCGGAGGATCGAGTTGACGAGCCGGGCAGCAGAATTTTGAGGACGCGGCTGTCGGAAGGTCGCAGGCGACGCAGGAAAAGGCGGAAGGCGTTACTGCGTGGTCTAATCGCCTGCTTAAGTCCTGGGAGGCTGGCGGAGGCAGAAACGGAAATGGAGAGAGATGGACGGGTGCGAGGTGCAGGGTGAGCGTGCAGGAAATGGGAGAGGAGAAGAAGGCAAGCCGAAGCAATTGACGACAGAGACAGGGCAACTGTGCGTTTGGGGGGAGGTCGGGAAAGAAGATGGAAGACAGATGGCGCGTTGCGGTCGGGGCCTTCTGAGTGGCCAAAAGATTGGGGGAGGGGCCTGCTGCTGCTGGGCCAGGCAGGGCAGGTCGCCCCAGGCGTCCCGTCAAGCGTCAAGGTCCACCTCAGTCTCAGTGCCCGTCCAGCGTCAAGCATCAACAATGAACCTAGACCTGCCCTGCTCGCCTTCCTGACGGGACCTTCCAGTTCGCAGCATCCATTCGAGCGTCAGTGCAGTGCCAACACGGAATGGGACCTGGAACTACCTCACCTACACTGCGCCTAGCCAACCCAGCTTCTGTTTCTGGTGGCCTTGCACAGGGAATGGACACACTGTCGCGTGCCTTGACGGAGTACCCAAGGTAGCTTTTCACGACTTCTTGATTTGAATCGTCCTACGCCTAGTCTAGCGGCTCTCTGCCGGCTGCACCGTATCCGTCCTTCCGACAAGGCTTTCCCACAATGAAAATCCCCAGACCTTTGGTACTTCAGACACTCACTCAGGCTACCTGATAGGCAGTTACCTGTCTAGGACAGTGGGATGATAGACACAATTACTAATTGGATGTACGGATAACTCGTGGACAGTTTTGTGCAGGGTTAGGTACTCCGTACCTCGAGCAACCAGGCGGAGAGCTGCGCAGGAATTGATAAGGCAAGTTATGTATGTTACGGCTTGTGGCTTTCTCTACGCAGTAGTGAGGCTGCTAGCATTATAGGACGTTCCCGTGCGTGCTGGCCACCAAGCACGGTGATGGTTGCAGAGGCTGCTGGCTCGCTGTCGATCGGCGGTTGGACTCAAGAGGCTGGGTAGACTGGCAGTCTAGGCCCGAATCTGCAGGCGACTGCCACCCCTGGAAAGTGGTGTCTTCAGCGATCTCTTGATGAGCTGCGGTCGGGTCCCCGCCACGCAAGGCCTGAGGTGGTGCCGAGATACGGACACCCACGCAGCAGATCAAGACATTTGCTGATCTGTAATCTACATACCTACGTAGCGGCGGCTGCATGTGAGAGGGAGTCGTTCCCTTCCGTCTCCTGCGTAGTTGCCAAGGCGAGTTGCTGCATTTGAGTGAATGACATTGAAAGCGAGACGCGGGGGCGAGTTTGCCTGTGTCGTTCCTGGACGGAAACAGGCAAATACCTGCCACTCCGAAACGTCCTGACTCTAACTCGCGTCGCAGTCCTTGCCCTTGGGCGTCTCGTACAGTACCCTAAAGTTAAGTGCTGACATGCATGCCACATCAACCCAAGGGACCGTTCCTGCCTCGTGGCGGGGTCCTCCTGGAGACGGAGACGAAGACGACGCGGTCACCTGGTGGGCAATCGAAATGGGCGGGTCCGGGGTGCTGCCGGCCTACGTACACACGTTACAATCCGGCCGGGTTGTTTGCTAGCTAGATTGGCTCTGCGAATAGGGGTTCTTGTCCAAAGTTGTGGAACTCCACGGTTTTATAGCCAGAAGAGTGGTCTTGAACGGTGGGACAGGAGAGGAATTCCTAGAGAATCCTGCAATAACCTTGTCCATGCCTTTTCAATCAGAGGAGACCATACGATGTTGTGGTGTAAAGATGAAGAGGTTGAAAACAATAAGGTATAGCACTAACAATTAAACACAATTGAACTGTATCCGTAACTGCAGATACATTACCTACCAGTACTTACATACTGTACCCCGTTGACTGGGTCGCTTACATAGCGAGTACAGTGCACCGTACGGATTGTGAAGGCGGTCAGGACTTGTATCATACTTGTCCATAGGTTATTACTATAGTAGAAAGGATGTTAAATCGCGGTGCTGGATGTCTGTGCAGGTGGCCGACCACAAGCAGGCGAGGACAAGAGACCGTCCAGGTGGCGTCAGCTGCATTTGAGACCTCCCTGGCGGGGCTTGTTCACGTCCCACTCTGGCAGTGGCATCTGCTCGAAAGAGTCAGGCTGTTGCACTGTGGTCGCAGCTGGCTGACAGATGGCAACCCCCACATGCCAAACCGGCTGGGCCTCGCTCGTGTTGTAAAGCCGGAGTGGGCCGCAGAGGAAGTCCTACGATTTCTAGGACTTTTAGGGCTTGCCTTGCGCAAAGGAAGAGCCGCAGCCGCAGCGAGCAAACGATGGGACCAGAGCCTGGCTCGTCTGCTGGTTGTCAGCCTCATACAGATGGATGCAGTCAGGCGATTGGCATCATTGGATGCACGAACGAGATGTGGCTTTCATTATTGCGTTTCGCGGACCCAAGACCTGCAGGTGTTCAGAGTCCAGACCCACCCCTTTGCAGCACGGCGTGTCTGTTATCAACTCGCTGGAGACTGCTGCTGCAGGTGGAGATGATGGACGACGCAGAGTGACATGATGCTGTTGTTGTTCTCGTTTGCATGCAACCAGCATTCAGGTGAGCGCATGACTGTGTGCTAATGGCTACCGGATGTTGTTTGCGCACAAAACAAATCCATCGCATGGCTTCCGTCTTGCATCTGTCATGTCACATATTCGGAACGGGTTGAAGGACCAGGCAGGCCGACCAGCCGAGCTCCGAGTCTCCCAGAGAGCCAGGCCAGAGCGAGCTCGGGCGGCACGTCAGCTGCAGCTCAAAAATGGTGGGGCTAACCCCAACCCCAGGTACGTAGCACCAGCACAGCAGCTCGGGCCCCGACCAGCTTGCCAGCTGCCGACCGCAACCGGACAGCCGCAAAAATTTTGGGCAGTCTGAAGATCCAATTGGTCATGGTAGCTTTCGACCTCAAATCTCGAGGCCATCATCCATTGAAGCTCGAAATGGACGATTGAGTGATAGTCGAGCCGAGAAAACACCACCTGACCACCTCCCCGACCGTCCACCTAGCCGACCGAGCTCAGGAGGGCAAGGTACGTGAGAAGAGAAGAGAAGCGAAGCGCGATGGATAAGCTTCTGCGGCGGGTGCGCATGGCCGAGGGCCAGGTCGCGCGCCGGAAAAAGCGCGAGGAGCACATCTCGCACCGCATCGAACTGGCAAAGAACCGCAAGGAGAAGGTCGTGGCGCGCAGGAATGCCAGCGAACAGCTCGGAGCCGCCATCAAGACCCGCCACGAGGACTGGGAGATGGGGTCCCTCCGCCCCAACCGCGACGTGGGCAAGGTCGACAAATTTGGCAACTACTGGGGCACCATCAGTGCCCAGCAGGCCCTCCTGCAGCTCGACATCACCGACGAGCAGCGCGAGGCCCGCGCTGCCTGGGCCGGCGGCGCCACGAACCTATGTCTGGCACCCGGCGACCGTGTCGTCGTCATTGAGGGTCCCTACAAGGGCAAGATTGCTGATATCGACAAGATTAAGCGGGACATTATGGCCCTCGAGCTCGTCAATGCCCTCCAGGTAGGCCCAGTCCTCTAAACGCCGTGCTTGTTGTCCATATCCTCATACACAGACGCCGCACTTACTTATCCCTCCTGCCTCCCGACCAGGTCAACACCCAAATCCCCGACTTCATGGTCAGCAAAGGCGAGACGCCGGTCCAGGTCATGCAGGGCGTGATACCCATCTCGGCGGTGCGGCTCGTACACCCGCTCAAAGACCCGGCGACGGGCAAGTGGCGCGACGTGGTGATACGGGAGCTCAAGCCCGTTAGCATCAAACATGACAGGCCGACGCGCAGCACATCGTTTGCCCGGCTTGTGCCCGGCCTGAACGTGCGCATACCGTGGCCGAAAGTGGTGCGCCCGACATTCGAGGACCACCCGGTCGATACCCTGCGCATCGACGTCGAGGAGCGCACGTTTGTGCCTACCCTGCTGCGGCCGCCCATTCCCGAGACAGTCATCGACGAGCTCCGCAACCGCTACAGCATCTTCCGCACCCGCCATACCCCCGAGTACATCGCAAAGAAGGAGGCCGAGGAGGCCGAGAAGAAGGCCCGCAAGAAGAGCCCCGACTCGATGCTGACGCCCGTGCAGGAGCTCAACCGACAGCTGCGTGCCCAGCGGCGCGAGCGCGGCCAGCCCCAGCTGACGGACGAGATGCTCGAGAAGATTGGCCAGGTTATGGCCAGGAACTTAGAGAGGCCAACAACATTTGCCGCAGCGCGGGCGGCGGGCGTTGTCCGCAGCGACAAGCGGTTAAGCGCGCTTCAGGCTGCCGTGGAGCAAATATCGCTGGAACCAGCACAGGGGCCGACTGCTACGGACCACCCCCCGCCCTCATAAGGCTCTCTGTACATTACAAATATAACTACTACGTGGAAGTATAACGTTCGGGTTCTATGGCTTCGGTCGTAGCCCTTTTCTCATGTCGAGACACCCGTAGGGTCCGCTGGGTGGCGGGAAGCGGGAGGGCTTTGTAACATTTTGTATGTGTGTGCCCTACTCGGTTGTAACGATTAGTGTGGATATCTATCTATAGCATGGGCGGGAAAAAACAAGCATCTGTCTCGCTGGTGGTCTCTGTAGCTAGCGGCTAGAAGTCATCACTCCTATCTTTGGGTCTGTCTAGAAGACGAAAAGGGGCTAGCTGAGTACACGACTAAGTATGCGTGGTGTTTGGTTTATACGTGACTATGTATCTATAACTGTATATGACACCCTCCTTAACTGTGTTTGTGTTAGTGTGTATATGCTATATATCTGGTGGCCGGTATAAGCCATATTTTTACCGCCGTAAATCACACTCAAAGTTCGCTCCCCAACACGGAATCGAGAAGTAAACAAACATAAAAACCGCCTTCTAGTCATTACCCCCAAGTTTTGTTATTATTCAAAGCCTACAACAACAAACGCCAAATCTACCCACCTCTTTACTTCGCAACGGCTTGGAATTATCTACCCACCTAGAAATACAACACAACATCCAAACTCCCCACCCCCTTCCCTAAACCGCAACCCCCCTGATAACCCTCCCCTACGACTCCTATTGTTACATACGGCCATACCTAGCTGAAAACTCGGGATCCCGTTCGCTCTCCGTTCGATAAACAGCCGAGGGCCAGACTAGTAGTTGGGTCGGTGACGACCAGCGAATCCCTGGTGTTGTATGTTTTTTTGCTCCTTTCTGCTTTCCTCTCCTTCCCCGTCGTTGCCCTTGTCCTTGTTCCTAGGATGGCCAGTGTTGCTGCTGTGTGGCTTCCTGTGTTCTGCATGTCGATTCTGCGTGTCGTGGTTATCTGCTACCATGGTAAGGTTATGTTTGTTAGCTAGGCAGGGTAGTTGGTTGTATTGAGTTGTGTTTTATTTCTTTATTTTACCTTTTGGGGCCGGCAAAGGAGGAGAGTCGGTTCTCCTCCCCCATTTTGGCCCTTGTTTTTCATCTCAGAATACCTACCTACATACAGCAACCCCTTAAAAGACATCTGCGGTCTCGAAAATTTGCAGAAAGCTAGTTGTAAGTCATTTCAGAAATTAACACAGTATTATTGACTTTGGACACTGGAATGAATGTCGGTGGCTGGCAAAATGTCTACATATACCACTGACATACGGCTTTGTAACTACTGAAAATGGATATATTGGCCAGATCGGCAAAGAACGCTCTGCGAAACAAGACCCCTTAAATCTCAAAAGTTTAACGCACGAATTTAGACGTGCTCCCCCAGAAAACAACCATATCAGTTAGACACCACCAGCAGCGGCTCCCCGACTCTTCAAAAACCGACACGCCTCCTCGGCCGCACGCACGCGGACCTCCTCCCTGCTCATGCCGCCGGCGACGTCGGCGACGCAGCGGCCGCCGACGAGGACCCTGCACGAGAAGACCACGTCGCCGCTGTCGGAGGGCGAGGGCGAGGGCGAGGTGGCGATGACGTAGTCGACCTTTTCGCTGATGGCGAGGTGGCCGAGCTCCTCCTTGGGGTGGAGGACGTGGACCTTGTCGGCGAGCATGCGGCGCAGGTACGGCAGGATGCCGGCGCGCTCGACGAGCTTCTCGCACTCGGCGAGCGAGCCTGAGTCGACCCACACGGCGCCGAGGACGGCCTCGAACATGTTCGAGAAGAACTTCTGCGCCTGCAGGCGCGCGAGCAGCGCCCAGGGGTAGTGGGAGCCCGTGCGCATAGCAGCGCGGATGTCGCCGCGCAGCTCAGCGTAGCGCTGCTTGGTCGCGCGCTGGATGAGCGCTATTTCGCTCGAGCCGTGACGCATGAAGCTCCACAACGGTAGCTCGACCGTGAAGGGCATGAGAGACAGCGGCGGCTCTGACCCACCCTCAGCCTCGCTGCCGCTGGGCCCAGGGCCGGCTGTGATGTCGAAGCGGTTCTGGGTGATGCTCCACTCCATGGCTAGGAAGGCGAGGATGTCGGCGTTGACGAGCGCCGTGCGCAGCAGGTGCATCTCGGACTGCGTCAGGGGCCTTGGGTCGTTGACGGCAAAGATCTTCGTCACCACGATGTGGTCGAGGATGGCGTCGCCGAGAAACTCGGCGCGGTCGAGGGAGATGATGGCGCCGGAGAGGTCTTGGCGCTGGAGGACGGGGGGCTTGTACGAGGGATGGGTGAGAGCCTCGGTGAGCAGCGACTTTTTGGAAAATGTGTAGCCTATGAGCTGCTCGACTGGCTGTATCGTGATGGGCAGGGGGTCATTTGCAGGGGCATTTTTGTATAGGGCTTCGCGCCCGGCTTCGATGCTTTGCCACTTCCGCTCGGGCAGGAAGAGAGACATGCACGCCAGCGCCTTCGAAATTCCTCCGCTGATGAAGGAGGCGCCGATGAGGGCTTCGACGACGTCTGCGACTGTCTTGGTAGAAATTTTCCTCGTTCCAGTGATGGATGGGGGTTGTTCGAGAAGGTCCTCGACGTATGTCGGCCGCCACTTCTGATGCGTGAAACACTTCAAGATAATGTACTTGTCGAGGCCAAATTGGGTGGCGGCCCGAAAGAGTCTTGAGTTGGAGACAATCTTCTCCTTCAAGAGCGAGAGGTAGCCTTCTGGGAAGTGCAAATCTAGAACCCACCGAATGTTCAGCAAAACCCGAGCCAGAACTCTAGGAAATGGGGTGGGTCTTACTCTCAGCAGTGCAGTCGATCGTGGCACAGAGCTTAAGGATCGAGTCTCCGAGGAATTCTATGCGCTCGTAGTCGCCTAGACCCCGAGAAGCGCTGGCGGTGATGGCTGTTGCCACGAGAGACAAGTCTGTGATACCCGTCTTTTCTAGACGTGACTCGAGCAGATCTGCCGCGACCAAGTAGACCTCGAGCGCATGAGTGATTGCGGGAATCATCATCCCTACCTGCGAGTACACAGCCGGGACATCATCCACCTTGACTCGGTCCGCAGGAAGCACCTGGTGATAGGGCTTGGTGCTGGGCGGCTGGGGGTTTGGGTTTGGATGAAGAACGGGGTTGTTGTTGAGGTGGAACAAACCGGCTTTCTTGGGCCAGTCCTTGACAACGACATAGGGCACGTCCTCTGGCAATGAGTCGAAGTCCGTCTGCAGCCGTTTTACTAGAGCCGCCGGAGGTTTGGCAGGTAAGTGGCCGAGGAAGAAGAACGGGCGGTGACGGCCCCGGAGCAGGTTGGTTGCAAGGAGGTTCTCGGCCAGCCCGACGTCGAAGTCCTTCGCTCCGACGTCCTCGACGCTCAAGTCGCGTTCCAACGAGACGAGCTGGATGGGATACTGCTTGTTTTCGACTAGCCAGCGATGGCCAAATGCCATTTCAAGCAGAGCGGTTGATTGCCCTGCTCTACCGCCGCCCACCGCTGGGCTGCTGGCCACGCCACCCGGTACCATTGAAATAAGCCACGAGGAACGGTAGTCCCAGTGCAGCGTGAAATCAGGCACATGGGGAATCGGGATAGGGAGCGCCATCTCAAACTCAACACGAGCTGAGCTCTCCAGGCTCGAGACGGTCAGCCGACGCTTAAAGAGCTCTCCGTTGTTGCGCCAGGCATTCGCGACCTCGGGCCAGGGATTCATTTGGGCCTTGACAATAGCCAAGCCGAGGCGCGCCTCAGCCCCCTTTAGCAGCTTGGAATGGGTGAGGGGCAGGAGGTTATGATTCACCAGGCTGGCACGGTAGAGGTTAACATAAGCTTGAAATGCGGCATCCTTGCAGGCATTGGCCTCGGAGTTCCAGGCACGAAGGCTCTCGGCGCGGCGCACTTCGGGGGCTAGGGATACTGGCAAGTGGACGGTTGCTTTCAGGAGAGACGGCCTTGAGTTGTCGATGGGCGACCCGTCCAGACTGTGGACAACGTAGAAGGGGCTCCAGTTGACAAACTCGCGCGTGGATATGGTGGCGCAGAAGTGCTCGAGATGTTGTTTGGCGTCGTCTATCGTGAGACGCGCCCCGGTAACTTCGTCTTCCAAGACGGGGTATTCTGGTATTTCCGACGACTCGAGCTCTTCGAGCATCTTCTTCTGACGCATCTCGTCCTCGTACATGCGCTTCATTTCCTCCTCGAGGCGTTGCCATTCTGTCGCCGACTGGTCTGTCGTGTCTTGGAGCATGAGGTACAGCTGCGAGGTCGACATCCTGGCTCGTCCACGGCGCTGGATGAAGGCCTTCAGGTTTTCGGGCTTGTCAAAGCAGATGACGAGGTTGCAGGCGGGGATGTCAATGCCTTCCTCGATCACGCTTGTCGCTACCAAAAGATTGGTCTTGCCTTTGCGGAAGCGCTGGAGAGAAAGCGAGTAATCCTTCTGGCTCGGGTCTAGAAAGTCTTGTTTCTGGCCCGGGGAGTTGGAGGTTCCCACCATGGAGCCGACTCGGTAGCGGTCTTTGGTTCGAGGGTGGACGGAGAGAATATGAGACAAGACGGCAGCGGTCGCCCTTTCCTTGACAAACACAATACCTACCGGGCTTCCCGAATGCGAATCGAGTATGTCGAGCAGAGCATCCACCTTTGCGGATAATCTGGTGGGCTCCTCAGAAGACTGCGGGGCGTCTACACTCCGAAAAGCTGTGGCCAGATACTTCTTCTCCTCATCCGTCCATCCTTCGAGAGGCTTGTCCGACGTGCCGGAGCCTGTAAGAAATCCCGAGATGGTCCGGTGTATATAATAGTCGGCGGCCCAGGGGCCAAGGTGGACGCACATCTCCCAGGCCCTAGCACAAAACGCTTTCATCTGTCTCTGTGCGTAAGTATTGCGCTTGATGAGAGCTTCTCGGAGTTTTGCTCGACTTTGCAGCGTGTTGGTTGCAAGCAGGGGTACAATATACGGGTCCTTTTTGATGTCCAACTCGAGGTAGGCCTTCTTCAGACTGGACATGCTCGAAGTTGGGCCGCCGTAGGCGGCCACATCTAAGAGGCTTCCGTACGGCGTGGCGATCATATCAGGCCGATTCACCTGGGCAATCAGCTCGTCCCGATGCTTGTTGGGCCTCCGGCAGATGGCGTCCAATGTCGTCTCAAGAACTTCGAGTTCTTCAGCTTTAGATGTCACCAAGGGGCTGGCCGTTAGCCCCAGGATATGGGGTACCTCATGGCCGATTTGCTTTGCTGGCCAGTAGAACTCATTCATGAGCCTGGCAACGGGGTTCTTCTTGATACAGTTGTGTGCTTCACACCGTAAGCCAGCGAGCACAAGATAAGGTCCCTGGATACATGCACCTACCTTCGTCGATCACGATGAGACTGAGAGAACTGAGCCTGACAAAGGCATGGCTCACCGCGTCGAACAGGATCTTGAAGGTGGAGACGACGACGCGGACGTTGTAGAGAACAGCATCCCACACGCGCTGCTCAGACCATGCTTCGACATTGTCAAGGCCGCAGATGAGCCTACACTGGACAGCGGGGATCTCGGCCTGGAGAACCTCGAACTGCTGTAAGGCTAGCGGCACTGTTGGGGTCAAGAACCAGACTCTCTTGATCAGGCAGACTGTCAGCTAGCCCGGGACAAACAAGGACAAGGCCTTTGGCGCGAGAGTTCTGACGAACCTTTTCACTCCGTTCGAGTTCGACCATGATTCGAAGCACGGCACTGGAGCAGACTTTAGCACAGACCACAGAGAAGACGGTAGAGCAGGCGTTTGCCGGACAGAGCTTACACCCGAGTCTTGCCGCTACCCGTGTCCATCTGTATGGCAGAGGTGGGTGGGTTAGTCGGTGGTTAAGTTGGCGGTGGTGAGAATTGGCTGTGGCCATACCGCAACAATGATGTTCTCTCGGAGGCTCTTCTCGAGCATCTCAAACTGGTATGCCCTGGCGGCCATGGTGACATAGCTGGGGGGTGTCTCGTGGGGAGTGCTTGTGCCGGAGCCGGCTCCAGGGGTGGCGAAGACGTCGTCGTCTTCATCTTGGTCGGCGGTAGAGACGGAGAGGGGGGAGAGGTCTTCATTAAGACATGACACGAAGGTCTCGCTGCACGAGTCGGACAAGACCCAGCCGTCATCGTCGTCGTCTTGGTCGGGGTAGTAGTCCATCTTGCCGCTAGTAGTTGCCAGTCCACGGTCCGCGGCCCAGTCAACAGTCAGCCGGCCAGCAGTCCGAGGATGGCGCGGCTGCTGCACGATGCAATTCCTGGTCCAGAGGGCAACCTCTAAAGGTGCCGACAGGTAGCGATGGCGTGTTACGCGGCGGTGTGGTGTAGTGGCCAGGAGCCGCATGCAGAACTGAGACCCTCTTGCTGCTTTGGGTGTTATGTTCAAGAGCAGGGATTGCCAATTCGGTGGGTAGACACAGCGGGGAGACGAAACAATGCCTGGCCTGGGAACAATTGAGAGGCCTAAAGTTAATTCGAGCCATGTTGGCCATGCGTTGCAGAATATGGGTGCACGTAAAGAGTCATGATGGATAAAACGTGGGCACATGCGGATAGCAGAGCATGAGAACAGAGATGACACTAAAGGTCTCTGAAAAGTTTGAAGAAACTGCCCGCGATGGCCTGCAATACCCCGTAAATCAAATAAAATTACTCTGTAATGGGATTGAAACCAACAGCTTGCTTGCCGAGGGGCTGGCTGACGTACTCGAGTGACTCGAGTGTTCGACAACCACTTTGCTCTTCGACAACCTACTGCACCTTACTGCACATACAGTACTTGTGGGAGACGTCCCGTCCGAATTGGGCTGCAGCGGCTGTCATTGGAGTGGAACGCATGGAGGGTGCCGCGCACTGCAGTCGGTGTCTGTCTTTCAATTTCTCAGTCAATTAGAAAAAGCTTTACTATTAGCTTTGGTTCTCCATGTTGTGCACAGCGAATTAGAACCTAAATGCAAGCAGATGCGGGGCCCCCAGGTTCCTCGTCATGCACCTACACAATAGCAACTGGCTTCGTAACCTCTCTTGCTCCTTCCTCCCAGATCAGGGTTCCATCTCAAACCCCCAAAGTCGGTCAGCAGAAGCAAGGTGACGCCCCGAGTCTAGAATTACAAAGCACCCACCTCTATAACCAATCTCGCAAGCTCCCCGGCGACACATGGCAAACGTCACCGGCCATGGAGCTATACGCAGCCGGCTTCAACGCCTGGAACCAATTGCGCTTCCCCCCTCAGAGCCACGCCGGTCAACAAGAAAAAGAAAAAGAAGAAGTGGACGACGAGCCTGACGACTTGTCTTCCTTCACTTGCGTACTGCGCGACAAGGACGGGATCGACGACGTCGAGCCCTTTCTCTCCTACACGCTCGGTGAGTGAGTCATGCTGGTGTATTCTCAGTGTAACAACCACACCTCAACAACTGCCTCGGTCGGCACACTATCGCTGCACGCAGGGGTGGTCGCGGCTCTGCTCCATCTGCCTTGCTCTGTCACTTCTACTGCCTTGCTTTGCTCTACCTCTAGCTGCTCTGGTCGAGGGCCAAGGTAGGGGGTAAATCCGACATCCATGTATTCAGCGAGACCGAGCCAGCCAACGAAACAGCCCCTCATAGCTCCACTGCCCTAGCAACAAACAGATTGAAGCTTCATCCACATCTGCCCCCCTTTCCTCCCTTCGCCGGCCTGAGTGGAGCACAAGCACGTCTTGAGACTAAGCAGTAACTGAGATGTAAAAAAAATTTATATAAAAAAGTCCACACGAAGTCTGCCGGGCAGCTATGCGCAGGCCTGATGCCCCAAGAGCGCGCGCAAGCCGTGTCGCTGTGTTGGGCAAATAACTGGCCCCACCTGGCTGAGGCCTGCAACGGCGTTGTCGTAGGTATGTACATACACACAACTACGAGGGTTCAAAGGGTGGTTTGATGACGCACCGACACATACACACACACACACGCACACGCACACGCACGTCTCATATCCACACGTCTCATCCTCACATATACGTACCGTTAGCATATCACACCATACACCATGAACCACACCCCAAGTCATGCCATGCGATGCCATACTACACCTGATCTTCCCCTAGCCTGACAGCTTCGTTCAACAACAACACTAGTGCACGACGGCGTAGACACCTTCCGACAGTACGCATCCCTCCACGATCTCCTCACCACTAACAACACCACTAGCACAACAACAACCACCTTCTCCGGCTTCCACAACATAACCCAACTCGTATCCTTCGCGACGGGCTTCGCCGCACTCTCCGCAAGCGGGCGCGTGTGGACGTGGGGTGACGCGCGGTTCGGTGCGTGCCTTGGGCGCGAGACCAGCACTTCCCCTCACCACAGCCCGGCAGAGATGCCGGGGGCAGTCGAGGACGTCTTGGACCTGCCGACGGGCCGCATCGTCCGGCTCGCGGCCGGCGGGTACGTGGTTGCGGCGCTGACGGCCGGGAACGACCTATACGTGTGGGGCCAGGGCCATCCGGGGGGCCGGCCGTTGCCTGTCCTCGAGGGGCTCACGGATCGGCCTGCGCCGGTGGATATTCAGGACAACGACATTGTCGACGTCGCCGTAGGGGACGCGCATCTTGTCGCTCTGACGACCGAGGGGCAGGTCTTTGTGATTGGCGACAACAGCAACGGGCAGCTGGGGCTGCCGGTCAAGGCTGTAGATAGCTGGAGGGCGGTCAGTAGTGTGCCGGGGGGGGGCACAGGGCAGTCCGTGGTTGGAGTCGCAGCTGGTCCGCAAAACTCCTTCTTGATGGTCCGTAGTTAAGCAGATTAACCATGAGGGGGAAATGGCACGACACGGAAGTAGGTAGACAACGATTCCCGCTTATTCGCCGACCATCTGTCTCTCTATCCGGTATTGTGTACAGTTGCTATCAATCGCAGAAAAAATGCCATCCTCATCATAGATTCGTAAGGTAGTCCTCAATTTCCTGCGGAGTGAGCTTGCGGAAGCGCGGGCCTCTTGCCCCTTCCACGCCCTCAACACCCAGCAGATGGTCCGCTGGGGGCCCAACAATGCCTAGTCAGGATGTTAGCGAACAGAGAATTCAAAAATATAATCAAGAAAAAGTGAAGCAAACTCACCGATCTCGATCGTCTCCCCATTCATCTCGCCCTCGATTGTCTCTTTGAGGGTCAACAGGGCAATGTGCACGGCGTCCTCGAGCTCCAGTCCCTCGGTATATCTCTTCTCCAGGAAAGTCTTGGCCGTCGTGGCGCTCTTGCCGATGGCAGTGGCCTTCCACGGGAAGTAGCTCCCCGAGGGGTCGACCTGGTAGAGCATAGGGCCGCCCTTGAGGATGCCGCCCGTCTTGCCGCTGGGCTTCTTCTTCTCGTCGCCGCCGGCCGCCTCCTCCGCCTCCTTCTCCTCGTCTCCCTCGGGCAGGATGCCCTCGTCCCAGCCGGCGATTAGCAGGCTGACGCCGTACGGGCGCACACCTCCCGATTGCGTCGCCTCCTGCATCACGCGCGCTACGTCCTGCACTAATATTCTCGTCGGCGGGTATTCATTGTAGATGCGCTTGTAGCCAGTGTGCGACACCTTGCGCGCCTTGTCCACCAGCACTCTGTAGTCAGGCCCCATGCCCGAATACACCATGCCGATGTTGGGCGTGATCAGGCTGATCTTGGACAGCGACGACGGGTCGGCGAGTGGCGACGACGACTTCTTCTCGGTCGCAAGAACGATGCCATTGGTAGCTGCAATTACTTCTGTTAGATGGGGTGCTCAGGGCTGCAGTGAGGGGTATGCTGCAAAAACGGTGGGTTTGGAACGCTTGCTTGCCTTTAATGCCAAGGGCTGTTACACCTTGGTTGACGGCATTCAGGGCATATTCTGCGAGGCGGTCAGCACGGAATCACCGACGACGGTTGCATGTGAACCGGTATTTAGTCGAGCTGCAGAGAGGATATGGGCTTGGATGGAGCGACTGACCGATCTGGACCAGCTTGCCGCTGCGCAAATAGTGTTAGCGAGGTTTAAGGTGGGATGGATAGTACAAGATGTATTAATGGATTGATAGCTCTAGTAAGCATCGGTGGTCGGGACTTACCTGGGCGAGAAGGTTGTGAGGGAGAATGAGTATCTGTCAGCCATGATGGTGATGTGCGATAATCTCCAGAGATGGCGTTGCAGGTACGAGTGTGTTTGGAGTTTTGGTCTGGGGGGTGGTGGTGCGAAGGGAGCTGTTTCTGGTGTTTCTGGTCGGTTGTTCACGAGCTCCGTCCTGTCCAGGCACGGGGAAGTTGCGCGTCGACAGCCTGAGCTCTCAGCCTGAGCGAGCTCAGACCAACAACGGTGGGCGGAGCCGATGATTCGCCGAGAACTTAGAAGCCTTGCCTTGCCTTGTGAGGTGGTCCATGCTTCCTTCCAGGCTAGAGCGGAGCTCTAAAGCTTGGCCGCCCCATTATTAATCATGGTCTTCAGGGTTGAGCTGGGCACGATTTAAAGCTGGCCTGGCCCTTAAATATCGGGCTGACCTGGCTGTTTTCTTTTGCTGTGCTGCATTTTCTGCTAAACCTAATTCTCTTGACCTGCCTCTTGCTCTCTACTCTTTTCCCCCGAGTTCAAGGAGCGCCAAAGACGGCAACTCCGTTCTTGGGGCCAATGCGGGCAGGCTGAGATGTGAAAACGCCTGGTTACCCATACACATGGGGAGTCTCGAACCCTGCTGGCAGTAGCTGCCTGGGCAAAGCTGCTCAGCTGTCTTTGACCACCTGGCACTTTTACCGCGCCTCGTCACCCAATTCCCTTTGAGCTACTCCGTGGCACTCCGAACAGAGTACCCCCCATAGTCTCGATATACATCAGCTCGAACCAGTTACAAACCCAATACCCGCAGGTCCGGGAGTTTTGTATTTTTTGTCTCAGTCATGGCTTTCAGTGCTTCGGGTTCGCAGTGGTCATGGCCGGACGACCTAGCTGGGCCCCGTCAGAGGAGAGCAGACGCGTCGTCGGCTCATGCGGATGCCCATGCCCATGCTCATCAGTCTCGCCCCGATGGTGTCTTTCCGCAAGGCTCGCCGCCCACCACCCCGGGACCGCCGCCGCCGCAGACGCAGCAGCAGCAGAAGCAACGGCACTACAAGCCCCGCACATGTCGCATCTGCTTGGATGTCGTTCAGCCTAGCGCCGACATCGACGAGTCCGTCGCCGGCGGTCTCTTCCCGTCGAGGACTCGGGTGCGCTACGTGTCGGATGACCCGGAGCTTGGCCGTCTGATCAGCCCCTGCAAATGCAAAGGCTCCCAGAAATACGTCCACGAAGGCTGCCTGCAGCAATGGCGACGGGCCGCGCCCATGTCGGACAGGAACTTCTGGCGGTGCCCGACGTGTCACTTCCAGTACCGCATGCAGAGGCTTCGCTGGGGCCGCTGGATGACGAGCAAGCTGGCCCGGGCAGGCTTGACCTTGTCCATCATGGTGGTGACCGTCTTCTTCCTCGGCTTCGTCGCCGACCCCATCATCAGTCTCTGGGTCGACCCGCTGGGCAGCATTGCCGACACCTTTGCCGAAGTCGTTGCCGATGTGGAGGCTATGCGCCCCTTGGATAACGACGAGCCGGCCACGTGGTCGTTCCACTTCCTCAAGGGGTTCCTCTCGCTTGGCCTGCTCGGGTTCTTGAAGACGTTCTTGGCCATGTCTCCTTGGCATTGGTTCAACCTTCGGGCCGGGGTAGGTGGTCGCCGGCGAGGCACGGGACGGGACAGGATCGAGTCCATCAACTGGGCTCTTGTTATTGTCGGAGTCATTACATTTTTGGGAGTGAGTACAAAACCTACCGTATACATCCTTCCGAGCTTGAGCTAGTCTGACCAACTTTCAACCGTCCAGGCAACTTGGAAATTAGTTAGCCACTTTAGTGCGCAAGCTCTAGAAAGAGCGGGCGACCGCGTCATCGATGTCCAAGGCGATGAGCCGGACGAAGACGATGACGAATAAAGGAGCGACAAAGAAGCCGAGCAGAGAGATACCGATTATTAGCGTCACTAGACTTTGTATATTTCGAAATTGGATATTAACAGCTTCTTCTAACTATACCACTCTGGCCCGGCCCCCCCATCCAGATTTTTATGAACCCATTCTTCTTTCTCCGTCCTGTTTCTGCCACCCCTGAGCCCTGAACCCCAATGCCCAAAACTAAACCCCCCAATTGCACACTCTTAAGTTGCTATAGCTTTGCTACTATGCCTTGGCAACTAGTCTGCGTGCAGAGATCAAGCTTCATCGCTACCTTGGGAATGGGGCGTCTTGTCCCGTTCTCGTACAAGGCCGGCGTGAACGCGTCAGTCCCGAGCCCTCTTGGTCATGTCGGGTTCCTTCCTTTTTTTGGAGGGGAATCCGGCGTGGCCACGACTGTTTCCCCCGAGACCAACCCCTTTTTGGGTAGTCTCGACTTTCGAGGCGGGGGTTGCTGAAGGGCTTGGACTGATATATACCTAGGTACCTACTTGATCTTGATGTTGATATAGTGCCCAACAATACAAAAACTACTGGTCCCGTTTAACCGTTGAGAATTAAGTTTTCCGACGAATGTAAAGGACGACGCTCTGATTCTCCACATCACACGTGGCTTTGGTTGTTTCTTTCCGTCCCATTTGGTTTACTCCTCAGTCCCATGGCAACTTCACCGTCACCATCTAACCAGCTAAATCTTTAATAGCAAACCACACTAACCGTAGCTCAATAATAAAACATCCATTAGCCTTGGGAATAACAGATATCCCAAGCGGCTGTTGTATAATTACAAAAATAATAAGATATGCTACCTACAGTGATTGGTTTAAAACAACCCCAAGAGGGCGCGCAATGGAGACAGCGCGAAAGCTTGTCCCCTCCGTCTGCGCTGCCCTCGTTTCCTTTCCCTTCCCTCCTTGCCACAAAGAAGCGGCTAGAAAGCCGAGCAGTCCCATATAAAAACAAAAACTCGATGCTTAACCATGTGATGCTCCGTCTCGCGCTCTCCCGCCAGACTTGATGAGATAGAACGCCGTCGCTCCCTGTCACCCAAGACAAGGTCCCGGAAAATATGCATGATTTTTGCCGCCTTTGATTTGATGCGGTACCCTTGTTCCCGGCCTTCCTCGCCGCCGCTGCCAAACTTAACAACCTTGCTTTGTTTGCATGGGAAGTTTCGGACGAGGGGAAAGGCGAATTAATCTTAACAACAATGACCACCCCAGTAACGGGGTTTGTCTGACTGTGTGTCTCTTTCTATGAGACTAGACGACAGACGCTCACTAGTCGTCCATGGCCTTGATGCGCTTCTTCAGAAACTCGAACGAGGAGAAAAAGACGGCGTTGACGGCGCAAGACCGGCCCATGGACACGCCGAGGCCGCGGTACATGTTCCGCTTGAAGAACTCAATCTTCACAGGCTTTACCTTTTCGCCCTTCGAGTACATCAGCGAGTTACGCTGGTAAATGCTCTTTGCCGAGTCGACAGGATCTAGAGCAGCAGGTTCCTGGTCAGTTTCACAACTTTTATGCCTGGAATAGGGGGTCGGACGAGACTCACATATCAAGGCCCAGGAAACGATTCCACACAGACCTCCGGCAACAACGACCGCCAACGGGTTGTTAGAGTTGGCGTTATCGCCGCCAATGGTCGTCAGGAGTTGCTTGCTGCTTTCGTACGTCATGAAGTAGGTGCCGGTTCCCAGGGTGTCACGCACTGTAGCGAGGTTCAGTTAGTTGCGCAACATGCCGGTGTGCTGTATGTTGGCGGGGCAACTTACTTAAGTGCAGTCTGAAGCCTGTGTACAGGCCTCCAAAGCCGCGGTGCTTGACGATGTTTCCCAGTGTTTTCAGGGTTCCCTTATTCTGGTAGCTTGCAGCAATCGCGTGGCTCTCGGGTCTGGGGCAATTCTTCTTATCTGCCATTAGCACCGAAACCTGAGCGCTCAGCTTCGTCAACTCAAACGGGCCTATAATTACAGTTAGCGTCCAAGACTCGAGTACCTCAAATTGTCATAGGTATGGTAGACGTAGACTTACAGGCTATAACTGTTATGCATGAGCCTGCTGTTGCGCCGGCAGCTCCAAACGTGGCAACGGACCATAGGTTGGGGTAAGAGCCCTTAGCGCTCACATGGCCCATGACATCGAAGCCAAAATTCGTCTTGACCCAGTCGCTGTAGATGTATTTAGAGCGCTGGTAGAGGGAGAAGGACACGGTTCGCACGAGAGTGATACTAGCCATCGGGGCCGTCACGCCTAGAGAGAAACAGTCAACAAGACATCCGCGGATCTGAGGGAGCAGGGCTGAGAAGAATATGAGAAGGATATGAGAAGCAGCAGGCGAGACGAAAGGGATATAACGAAAACATTTGAGCCCGTACCCCGAAAAAACCCTCTAAGCTTCTCCGCTTGGTACGTGTGGCGCACGCAGTCCCGGAACCCATCATAGCGGTACGTCTGCATGCGGGTCTTGACGCTGTCGAGAGGGAAGGTGGTCAGGGTAGAAAGGACGCTCGAGGCGGACGCGGCCACTTCGATGCGATAGCGCTTGATCCAGTACTGAGTGACGGGCCAATTGGTGCCGCCGCCATTTCCGCCGCCGCCGCCGCCGCCTTGTCCTCTGTTGCCGTTAGGACCCTGGTCTTGCTTCGTGGTAATGGTGGTAGGTGTGAGTTTAGTGGGGGTGGGGGAGGAGGAGGTGATGCTGTCGCGGCCGCCTTCGGTCCGCGGGCTGCCGTTCTGAGGCATGATGGAAAGCGGCAGTCGAAAGGCCGGATCATCTTGTAGTAGCAAAAAATACAGGTGATGGTTGGTCAGGAGCGCAGCAGGCATAGCTCTCTGCCCTGGCTGACTACCCAGGGGAGGCCCTCGCGTCGTCTCTCTTTTTCCGTGTCGCTGTGCTGTCGCCGCTGGAATTTAGGTGAGGGTGGTGGTATTTTGGGGATCGAGTGACCGTGACCGGGCCCTCAGTGAGGCAGGTAGGTGTAAGGTAAAGTAAGGTAGGTTGAGGGTAGCTTCACTCAAAGGCGGGGGCGGGGTTCCCCTCCCACGTCTAAGGACCTCTGTTCTCCACTGCCACTCAGTTGTCTCCACTACCTCAGGCGACTGTGGGCCAGGTCGGCACCAGTAATTGTACTTTGCCAACATGCAAAGCGAGTGCTGTGAGGAAAGGCACAATGATCATGTCTAGCTTTGGGTGTGATGGGGAAGGCGCATCTCAAGCTCACGCCCGATGCATGGTCGTTTGACGGGCTGTTATTGGGGGGCTTGGGGTAGATGAACCAAACGTCATCGACTGGACTGTGCAGCGTGCAAACCAACCGCGTCTAAACTTAATCGGGCTACCTACCTATATAGTGTAGCTCCCAGGCGCTCAAATCTCAACTTTTGAATGCTCCTGGGACACCTCTGAATGAACGTGAAAGAGGAACCCGTATACAAGTATGAGGCTGAAACAAAAACGACCTGGAATACTGCCGTCTCAACTAAGAAACATGTCATAAAAATAGAAGCTAGAGACAAGGATAGAGAAGGCACGTGGATGGCTTCTTGATGTGCAAAGATAGGTAGATAGCGGGTTGATCGTGCACATGTTTAATCCCTAGTTGAGCTTAGACACGGTTGTTTTACAAGCTGCACGGTCGCTTTCTTTCGGCCGGTTACCGACGACCTTCACTGAGTAAGCTCTCAAGACACTAGTACCGGGCCTTGTCGTGAGCTGGCTGCGACGGCGGTCGTCTGCATCTAAGACCACCTCACCCAGCTCACAAGCTGCTCGGCTCTCGGCTCAGCCTACAAAAGACGGGAATGAATGCTATATACGACATATACGGCCCAATTTACAAACTACCAGCGATATTTCCGGGTTTTACGTTGCCAATGCTTGTTGATTTGCCCTAAACGCCATTTACAAATATTTCACAACGCCACTGAGAACGGAAAGCCTCCACACCCCCTCATCTGTCGTCCCGCTGGCTAACGTCGGCATGAACTTTAAAACCCTGGAAGTACATACGGCCGAAGATCCCAGATCTCATAGCGGACATGTGCCGAGGACCGGAGAGAGGCTGTCAGGTGTTGGTAAGGGATCAATCGGAATCGGTGGGTTTCGTGGATGTTTAGAGTTTCCGAAATAGTTGATGAGTTGCCGCATCTTGCTTGGTGAAGGAGTCGGGTGGCCATTTGTGATACGCGACGGCGTATTCAACATGAGATTTCACTTGACATTGGTAGACGACGTGGCGCGTTGCCGTCGACGCGTTGGCTTTTTGAAACCGCCAACAGGCCTTTTTCAGTCGTAGCCAGGCTTGAGGCAACTCGAATTGCGGGGGTGGGCTTTCGGGGGGGAGGCGTTCTGGGGTGCAGTGGCTTCTCCGGACCGCTGTTGCACGCTTTGGAAAGCTTCTCGGGCCTCGCAGCAGCTGGTCCGGGCAGCTACCGGGACCTCAGGACTGCCACCCGCTTGACTTTATCTCAGACACAGGCCCATGGAGTCGTTCAACAAGGCGATCGTCCGCTCGTACGCCTCAAACTCGTGTCCCGTGACGGACTCAGGTGGGTAGGGTTTCCTAATCAGAATCTCATTTAACAGGCTGTTCGCAGCTTTGATTTTGGAGGTATTGAAAAGAATATTGGCGTTTTGATACTGCTAGTTTTGGCTGCCTCTGAGCAAGGCAGAGACGATAAGAGCTAAAGCAGAGCAAAATCGTCTCTAATGTTCCTGTTGCTCATGACTGATCACACTCGTCATAAAAACTGAGGACAGCTGCCCAACGCTGCATCTCAGCGTTTCTCTCTTAGAGTTCAAAGGGCAAGTGGAGATTCCCAGAGAGAAAAAATGAACAAAATAAACGAAAAAAGAGTAATAAAAAAACTCACCTCTGACCCTGAGCATCCATCTTAACCTGCAGGCCCCAGGCCATGCGATTCGCCTCCCTCTTGCGCGCGAAGCTGACCATCACAATATTCTTGACGATCCGGTGCTCGATCTGCCTGGCCTGGGCGGCGCCGTTGAGGAACCAGGTGGTGCGGCGGACGCGGTCGGCGTCGAGGATGCCGTCCGGGTCGCGGAATCCCGCGCGCAGCTTGTCGCGGATTACGAACCGCCCAGGTTTGGAGAACTGCACCGCCCGCAGCCCCGCCCGCAGCAGGTGCCGGTACGCGTGGATGAGTTCTAGGTCGGCCATTATGCGCGCGTGCGCTTACGAGTAGCAGGCAAGCTCTGGTTGTGTGGGTATTGGGCGATGAGTCCAGATTTTATTGAGAGTGAGTGTGTTGGACTGTTGATGTGATTCGGTAATTACACTTTTGGGCTTCTCGTTTTCTTTCGGTCTCACTACCCCGGAAACCGGCGCACGGGCCATATTAATATTAGCCAGCCTCAACCTTGCATTGCGATAATTAAAATATGGCCAGATTTAGATAGAAGAGACAAAGTGAAACTGGATCACAGGCAGTTTCTTTGCCTCTGCTTGGCTGCGGAATGCTCTATTTTCATCTATCTACGTAACCCAGTCTAGCCCATCGGCTACATGAATATCTACCAGCCCTTCTACCGACACCGGACATCTTATGAACAAACCCTCAACCGGGTCCTTGTTAACACAAACATAAACATGAGAAGCAGTCGTCTCGTGGGGTTCTATATGCAAAAGAAAGCAGGAAATGACCATATACTTTGCCCTGACAGGCACAATCATACACCTACCAGTGGAACAATATCCAACAAAAACAAACCTTACTCCTCTCGCTGGTCTAGAGGCGCATACTCCCCAGAACCGCCGCTCGACGCACCTGCTGAACTACCACGGCCCATAATTCTAGAGAGCCAGCCGCCGATCCCGCCGCCTGTACGATAGGTTGCTCCGGCCGCAGACCGCGACTTGCGGTCGTCATCGGCATCAGCATCGACGTCATCGGGGGGGTCAATATTTAGGCCAGGGATGGCACTACCGGCACCGAACCGACGGGCTCTGAGATCGAGCGGCGGCACAGGGGAACCAGACCGTACCAGCGCGTCAGATTCTGCGGCCACCGATGGCGTTCCTGCACCAGCTGGTGTTCCCAGAGCTTTGGTCGAGTCGCCAAAGAGAGCATCCATGTCCTCAAGGCGCACTCCGCAGGTTTCGGGGTATAGAAAATACACTACACGGGTCAGCTTTCGTCGCGGAAAGGCGGGGCGAGAAGAAAGGGGGAGAAATGAAACTCACCAACTACAAAGCTAACAGCGCAAAAGAATGCGTGTATAAGGTAGAGGCGCCATGTGATCAGCTCTTGCAAAACCGGTGTCATTTCGCCCACTAGCCAGTTGAAGGCCCAGTTCGTCGCTGTGGAAAGACTAGCGCCCTTGGAGCGAATTTTGAGCGGCAGGATCTCGGGCGGGTAGAGCCACGGGATAGGGCCCCACGAGTAGCCAAACGCGGCGTTGTAAGTCATAACCATGATGACAACCAGAGTCGGTGTGGCCTTAATGTTCAAGTACAAGAAGTATGAGATTAGAGACAAGGATATGGCCATGGCCACGGCGCCCGACAGGAGGATCGGCCGCCGGCCCCAGCGGTCGACAATGTACCAAGGCGGGATGGTGGATAGGAAATACGTGATGCCGTTGATGCCCGCCATCAAGACGGCCGCATGACCCTTCCATCCGGCTGCCTCGAATACCAGTGGTGCATAGTACGAGATGACGTTGATGCCATTCAACTGGGCAAGGGCCTGGGCCGACATGGCAATGAAGACGCGCCTGCCGTAGCGTTGAAACATGTCGGTATAAGTCCTCTCACCTTCTTGTCGATGCATAAGTACGTTCATTTTAATGTCGCGGAACTCGTCGCGGGCGCGCGGATCATGAATATCGCCGCCACCGTAAAGGTTAGCAATGACGACAATGCCCTCTTCGTCATGATCGTTGTCAAGCAGCCACCTGTGGAATTGCGTGTTAGCTTTTGCCACAGAGCAAAAACTAGCAAGGTGTGGGCTGTACATACCTGGGTGATTCGACAATGATTAGGCTCCCCAGGCCCAGCAAAGCGCCCATCACGCACTGCATGAGCAGAGGGAGACGCCAGGAGAGATTGCTCTCGATATAACCGCAGAAGTAGTCCACCCACACCGAGGTTGTATACCCAATGATGTTCCCCGAGAATTCGATACACGCGAGTTTGCCCCTGTTGTGCGGCGGGGAGATCTCGGATTGATAGACGGGAACGATGGTCGAGAGCATGCCGACTCCTAGACCGGCCGTGATTCTGCCCAGCATCATCATGGGCATACTGAGGGCAAATGTTTGTAGAGCGCCGCCTACGAAGAAGATACAGGACCCGTAGAGAATGGTTTTTCTTCGTCCGATAATGTCACCTATATGGCCAACCATCAAAGATGAGACGAAAGCCCCGACTTCAAGGATGGCGACCATGGTCCCAATCTGGAAGTTTGATGGCTCGTGGAAGTATTCTTTGAAATAGCCACCACTGCACAAGTGCCAGGTCAGCTATATCCATAACTAGATACTGGAGCAGGTATCTGCAACAATGGAGGCAGCAAAAGCGGGGGTAGGACGCACGTAATGATGCCCGACATGACGCCTTGGTCATAGCCGAAGAGGAAGACGCCGAGGGACACGAATATAGATGTGAAATAACTGTAATTCCTGTTAGTATATACAAGGTCAGCAGGCGGGACGCAGCTGAAGGGTGTCTAACATTAACGGTTTCCCGGTCAAGCCGTGGATGGAGCTCGTGCCGCCCGTCATGATGGCGGCGAGGAGGCGCTCAGCTGCAGGGACGTTTCGAGGGGGTACGTCAGGAATATGAATGCCCTCTTTAGTAACGACGCCAATGTGGCGAGACGCGGACCTGCTGCGTGAGGGGGAGAGCAGCTGGCGGTAGCGAACCCGCTTTGTACTGGTTTGGTGGTGATTGCGATGCCTCGGATGGCGCTTGACGACGCCAGCAAGAAGCTCGTCGTCGAGAGTTTCGGTGAGCCTTTGGCGCAGTGGATCCTCGCTGGCGAGCTGCTCGGAAATATCGCCCGTGTCGGTCCACGATGAGTCGGATGAACGGCCGTCGTCGGATAGGGAGAAGCGCAGGTCTTCGTTCAGATGACTAGGCTGATGCGAGGCAAGCAACGAGGCTGACTGCCCGTGGTCGGGGTCGTAATCGTGGCCGTGACTGTGCCGGTGGTCTCGTAGGGTGCGGAGAGGGATGTTGGAAGGAAAACGGGCCGGGGGTGGTGTTGGAGAAGAAATCTTGAAAGAATCGGGGCTGTTGAGCAGCGACCCCGTTCTGCAGCGGCGAATGCGCCGAGTCCGAGTCTGGGGTAATAATAGCGGGAGTTGGGCGAGTCTGGCCCGATTCGACTGGTGCCACGGCGAAGAACATTGGTCAGGTGGGAACAGCTCGGATGGTTTGTAAACTCTCAGCGCAGTCAAGCTTCGCGTGTCCACTTGAGTTTGCGGCGTCGGTCAAAGAAGGCTCAGTTGGCAGCTTCCATTCACATCAAGGATGCGAACGTAGTAGCGGCGGCACCTTAACGACCCCCAAGCCGCGCCAACTGGCAGTCACGGCTAGGGGGCCCCTGTCCCGAAAAGGTGCCACCCCGCCCTGCGCGCTGACGTTTCAAACTGGAGCCCCATTTTATTCAGCCAGCACAAGCCACAACAGCCTACCAAGCTAGCTGCTTGTTTCCTAGCTCGCTGCTAAACTATGAAAATCACTGCAAATCACTACTGAACTTGGCAAGACGGCACTGATATCACACGCACGAAAATAGGGGTTCGCTTTCTTTCAGGGCTTGTATCGGTTGGCTGCTTGTGTTGTTGAGGGTACTGCTACCAGCCATCACAAGGCTGGGAAAGCGGGTTCTTTTCAGCCTCGGATCCATCATGACTGAGTCGACAGCCGAGTTGACGGCTACCAGACCTCCACAGAATACAGATACTACTATCATAAACATGTCGAAATCAACACCGTACACTGCAAGGTATAGATGCGAAAGAGTCCCTCCTTTCAAGGGGTGAGAACGGCGACCACAACAAGTTCTGTTCTTTGAGTCTTGCGAGTAAAAATATCTACTATAACCGACAACGGGATGGTCTTTGGGGTCTGTGGCGTTCACGATGAATGCGGCGCGAGGCTGTCAGGGACATGCATCGGGGTGCATAAAATTCGGCTGTGGCACGGCCGACATGTCAAGTCCCGATCGATTCGGTGCTCCGATTGCCTCCCCCACGAAACCCCGCTCACGTGGCGTCTTGGTGTATTGCTCGAGAGCGGCTTTAGGATGCGAGAGCACTCCTCGACCATCATCTCGGTAGCCAAGACATGTTTACAAAACCCGAAATAGCGAAGGCATCTTTTCTGCGTCTTTCTTCGCATGTTTCAATTATCAATGTTGGGTCGAGGTCGAGGTCGAGGTCGTCTCACGTCATCCCACCCCATCCCCCAACCGATTACATACGGAGTTTTCAGAAGGGAAGTATCTGGGCATCTCATTGCGGAATACTTCAGGTAGCATCTAAAACGCACTAACTCCCTTAGTACTTAACTACCCATTGTTTCCGCAACTGTGAACCGTTGGATGGCTTGCCAAACCTGAAATCTTACGGCAGACGGAAGATACGGATAGCTCCGACTGCGCCGCCATCAGCTTCTGAGCCAACGCCGGGCACTGTCGTTAACATCCATCAAACCAGCACTCGCATGGCTCAGTCTCTAGGTTTACTCAGTACACGTGTGCATGCGTATAAATAACAAAGCAGATGCGCCATTGATCAAAGCGGAACCGTTGCTGTCCGGGAGCCGCCACAATCTGGACGCACACCATCTTCCCACGCACTGCCACAGGCTGTCTTGGCTCGTTAGCTTTCCGAGCATTGAAACGGCTCTTTCTCTCATCATTCGCAAACAATTTGTTTCAACTCAATACCATGGGTTGAGCAACCGTGTCCGTTGTGCCGCTCTCCCTTGCATCAGCCATCAACCCGCCCACTATGGTAGATTCATGCACAAGTGCCGCTCTGCGCTGGGTAACGTGGAACATCCCGGCGGAACAATACTAAGCATGAATCAATCCCTAGAGGGCCGAGAGGCTTTCGGCCGCGTGCCGCTGTGAATCAGCTACTTTCTATACGCGGAGCAGCAAGACACGCGTGCTAGAAAGGCCTTGACACTGGCCGCAGGATCCCAGGCTTGGGTCGGGCGTTGGTTACATTTCTCGACCGCTTCACGAACGGCAACCAGGTTGAAATGGGGACGGATTGCATGCGCGGACCCGGACCGGAATAATCACTCCGACTCTCGACAGTGTTTATTTATTCCTTGCCAAAGCACGACAAGTGCGAAGTATCGTATTCACCTTACCTTCGGCCTAGGTAGCACGCTTGATTCGCCCGCGAACTGACTTGCCTATCACGTACAGTACATTGTGCTATGGACTGGGTAGAATTGAAGGAGGTTGTAGTGGCCGCAGAAGCTGGTGCCTCAGGACCAACAATCCATGGAGGCCAATCAAGGGGCCACCACGGTAAAGCTATTAATCTCACTCCATAACTTGCAAAGGTAGACGAAGCGAATCCATGGTTACGCCACGTTACAGGTCTAAAAAAGTCATTATTGTCTTTTGGACCGATCGCTGTATTCTAAGCGCGGACCAAGACGAGGAGATCAAATGGAAGAGTGTTTGGGATTCAGATCTCGCTTGGCACGTTCTGCGGGGGCTAGGCGGGCTAGCTAGGCGGGGACGAGCGGGCGGGCGGCGTTCTGTCTGTCTCCCGCTTCTGACGGCCTGATGCAGTGATGCGATGCAGGATTCTTCGCCTTGCATGCAAGTCACAGCTTTAGCTCCGGCCACACCTGAGCTGCGGCTTGGAAGGGGAACGGTCGACTACAGGTGGCTTGAATGTACTGTGCGGTCGGTGTCCGGGGTCGGGTTGGAGAAGCACCAGTGCTGCACTCTTTATTTGGGGCCAGAGGCAATCAATGGAGGTGTGAGAGGAGAGAGTGAGCTCTGGGCGTCCAGCTCATCATGCATGAACGTCGCAGATTGCCTTCTTAATTAGGTACCAAGATACCCCGAGCTTCCCATCCAGTGTTTTTCAGAGGATCGGTCTGGCTACCCCGCGAGCATGTTGCCGATTGTTGTGCTTTCTGCTTCGATTTGACTTTATAGTTGCCGGCAACCAACGTCGCACCCCAGAGGGCGTGGAATTCGAAGCCACGTCTGACACCCATCACGCCGCGCTGTGCCCGTCGCCCAACACCTTTGGAATTAGACACTAGGACACCACTGGCACATACGTTATCCGGCCTGTGGTTCTGTATGATTGCCGAAGTCCATGCGCCGCCTTCACTGTTTCTGGCGCGAATACAACACAACTTGAGTGAACCGACGAGCATCTCCGGGCCGAAATCGATCGCGAGAGTCCAGTCTCATCAGAACCCCATTCTCGTCATTTCGGAAAGGGCTGGACTTGTCCACAGCATCGGCCAATCGCGAGGCTGGGAGGGGTGTGTGGGTCCCGCAGCCTGCCAGCAAAACGGGGCCCTCTCGCTGGGGCGGTTTCCTGTTCCTTGCTTGGTGTAGACTTGCGCTAGTGTGGCAGTTCACCCCAGCCTGCAATCCCAAGCATCGAGTTTTATATTACAGAGTCCCAGCCGACCCATTCTGTCTTCCCATCTCTCGGTCACCATAGCAATACCTAAGCAGCACACTCCCCACCGCAAAAAGGCACCAGCCTCGTCTCTCGCCAACGCAAAACTCGATCGCATGTGCCTCGCTACATCCGAAAGCACCAATTGAGCAACACTGGAGGAAATTGGTGCGAAGGAAACGAAATCAATTGATCGAATCCGCAAAAGGGAGCTTAGGGGGGCTATTTCGGCCGTCACGCGTAAAAAGTTTCCGGCCGAGTCGCAACACAATCCATCCTCTGCATACGCCGCGCAACGCGGATGTCGCGCACAAGTCACAGGAGAATTAAAAGAAAGAGGTTGTAGCCGACGAGAGAAGGCAGGGGGGCGAAAATTGGAAATTCGAGGTGTTAGGCGACGCCGATTGGAGAGAGTTTTACACAAGACCACGCCGTCTCGTCGCCTCGGGCTATCCCTCGATCGACAAAATCGACCCACAGCGCTCAGGCGCCACGTCACAAAATCACAATGGGGTCAACACAGTTTGGGAATTTCGATGTGAGCAAAGCGCGCCTCGATCCGAAGTTTGGCAATTAGGTTTTGCGCGAATTGGGGGGTTTGGACGCTAACCAGTCGCGCTACAACAGAACTTCTGTCGAGATTCGACGCTTCCAGTCTGCAATGTACGTGCACCACGTCCCTAAGCGGAGCAAGCCTCTGTCGCACCGTATTTTTGGTACCTTGCAGTTACTGACTCTTCTGCAGGTGCTATCGGACTTCCATAACCAGACGGGGCCATGGGGGGGCTGCGAGTTGACTGGAATCCCACTATCAGACGGAAGGTTCCTGGGAAATCTAGGTGGGTGACCACCTCAACGCTGGCGGCATGCCCGCACGCCCTAGGCAAGGGTTTACTGACCAGCTGCAGGCTCCATCTTGTTGTCGGGCATTGCAATTGCTGCTAGCATCTTCCTGCTTTTGCGGTCCGAGAGAAAAAGGGCAGCTGTCGGACGGAGGTGAGCAAACTCTAAAATCCTCGTCTGATGATTGGCGGGCTAACAAGCGCAAAAGGGAGATGCAAGCATTTCTCGCTGGCTACATCGTAATCTCGATATGTGAAATCTTTACCATCGGAGAATTCCCCTTGAGCAACCGGGTGCGAATTGTGAGTATATGGCAGGACGTGGCGCAGAAAATCGGATATGTGCTGACCTGGTTGGCAGGCTTTCTCCGGCATCCATATTGGATTCATCATTGCGACAACATGGATCCTGTTGCTCAACGCAGTGATAGGATATCAACTAGTCGACGACGGAACGCCACTCTCTATGGGGATCTTGCTCGCCACGGCAGCTGCGCTACTCATCGGAACTGGCTACATCGCTCTGGACACGGGGTTTCAATGGACAGGATACTGGAATTCCAGCTACCAGCTGCCGAACCGGAACATAGCGCTCTATGTGCTGTACCAGCTTGCGCCACTGGTATTCATCGTCGGCTTCTTCGTGCTTGAGACGATTCTGGTTCTCAGGGTCCTCAGAGAGACGATGCCCATGGTTTACCTGGCTGGAGCTGCCGTCCTTTTCGCGCTAGGCCAGATCTTCACCTACGTCGTCAGCCCCCACATCTGCACCGGCACGGTGGGAAAGATTGACGGTTCGCTATTTGAGACGCTATTCACGCTATTGTCAGTCGTGACAATCTGGTTCTTTTGGTCCAGCATTACCGAGGACGATTGGCCGATGCCAGTCGGCAACACGTTCCCATGAACCTTATGATACCCTCATTTAACACGTTGTCAATAAAAACCGGAGTTCAGGTGCTTGCTTTATACCATCATATTCACACAAACGACATTCAAATTTAGTTCGTGGCGCAGAGCCACACACACTCAGCTCCAGAACCTAAGCGACAGAAACAAACAAAAAAACAATGGAATCAACATTGATAACGAAACACGATATACGGAATTAGTCTTTCTAATTCGCGGTTGCAACGAGCACGGTTGGGTTGTCTGAGATACATCAATCCAACTTGTACAAGCCCGGAGAGAGACTCAGATCTTTGGAGGAGCTTTTTTTTGGACAATTCTGATCGAAACGAAACGGAATTGGGTTTTGACATGGGGAATGTATGGAGAAGGGGTGATGGAGAGCAAAGCGATTACGCGTTTGCGCAAGAGGGGAGGCGAGTGGATGTGACAAATACCACAGCCTTTGGAATTGCGGCCGGCCCCCCTACTATGCGGGCCATGGCGGCTGCGCATGTTGGGCGGTACCGTGTGTGATTTGTTTTAGAGAATATGGCTTCGAGTATACCCATCGACAGGCAGTGGATGTGCGACAGTAATGAGAGAAATAATTGTCAGGCTTATAGGCCCTCGACTAGGTCTATATATCACTAGGGCAACTGTGATTCTGAAGTGATGATCTTTCCTGTTTCGTTGAATGGAGAGACAGCACAACATGACTGAGAGCGCAAGCAACACGAATTATCATTGGTTCCCGTTTACCTATGTATACATGCCAGCACTCGGTTTTCAAGAAGGGAGTGCTAGGCTTGGCTGAAAGCGACCCAACAGCTAACTAAACCAAAGCATTCACGGATAAGAAAAGGGGTTTCCTGTTTTTCCTCCAAGCCTCGTTTTCGCTAGTATTTTTTCCCCTGTGCTTTCCTTTCCAGCCGGCACTACCGGTGCCATGCACTTCATTTTCATTACATATCCCCGTTTCTCTCCCCGTTCTTGCTTCCGTACTGCAACAACAACGACGGAGATATAGCCAATAGACCAAACTCTCCCGCATGGCCCTCCCAAAAAGACCAAGAGCAATCGGTTGCCCCGACGAGGCCAGCAACAGATTGTAGACACGAAATGACAGGAGATAGATGACCAGACAGATACAGCAGTGGTAACGTTGGAGGGGAGTAACCAGCCCAGTCTAGACTGTCCCCTCTTAGGCTGCTGCCTATTGGGTATGATGGCGCTGGATGCCGAGCTTCTTGAGCTGGATCCTCGGGAAGGTGCCGACGAGGATGAGGGCGACAGCTAGGAGGATGGACCACAGCTTGATCTTGAGGATGCCCTCGTTGTAGGGGGTGGCGGCGGCGGCGGCGACGGTGGCGAGCACGAGCAGGAAGAGCGTGTAGCCCGTGTAGCGGTGGTATTTCCACAGGGCCTTGGCGGCGTCGACGCCGCCGAGGACCGCCGGGAACGCCCACATGAGCAGGCCGAAGACGTACTGGGCCAGCAGCAGCGCGGCCGTGACGGCGCCCAGCCAGCCGTGCGCGCTGTGCAGGTGCGCGCCGTGGCTGACGACCTTGTTGGTCTCGATGACGCTGATGCCGGCCGCGAACAGCAGGAACGACAGCAGCTGCAGCACGGCGTGGCCGCGCTGGCCCAGAAGTTTTGTTTCGGGCTGGTCCGTTGGTTGGAGGAGCAGGATCGCCTGCGAAAGCGTGAACACGCCCAGCGACTGCAGCAGCGGGTGCGGCGACACCAGCTTCATGGTCGGGTGCGTGAACACGCCCGCCCAGATCACCACCAGCAGCAGCACGTTGCCGATCTGGGCAATCCAGCCGGTTCCTTTCGATGGGGAAGCGGTTAGTTACACATACACACACACACGGGTTTGGGATGATGATAGAGAAAGACTCTTACCGAGCCAGAGATTGTTAATCATTGGTGCGTTGGGCTTCTGAATAGCGTCGCCTGGGCCTCCAAGTAGCGGTTCACTCTCGGTGGGAGGAATAGCATCGAGGCCATCTGACGTAGGCGCCGGTTCTACTGCTGCCACGGAAGCCATAGTTTTTTTTAGTCTCAAGCCTCTCGGGTCAAGCTTTTTGGGGCTGTTGTCAAGGTTAACGGTTTCCTTAGGCCTCGATAGTTCAATTAAGGGGAGGCTGGTTCTTCGCTCTTTTAGATTCTCGAAGAGAACCCTAACTATTTAAAGTATGAAGTTAGAAATAAGGTCTGGAATGAGCCTACTCTGGAGGTGAGGAGGTGGGGGGAAAGAGAGCGGAAGGCCGGGTGTTGATGTCAACTCCAGGATCTGAGAGCCAAGGTCGATCGGGATGCGGGCAGCTGCCGGGTTTCGGGTGCCGAACAGCGTCACGGGGTATTCGAACTATCGGCAGGATGGCCGAACACGACTAAATCGGTCGGGATGTAGTTAAGGTCGTTGCTATAGTAGTATGTAAAGAAGGCAACTTGAACGCAACACTATCGAATGTTCATTCGGGCTAAGTCCGGTAGGTACCCGTCTCGCTTGCGTGGAGGTTTCGCTTTCTAGGCACGGTGCAACGCAACTCCTCTTGCGCTGCACTGCACTGCATTAAACACCTACAGAGTTCGCTGCGGTCATATCCGTACTGTACATCATGATGCCAGACAAGCCCGAACTCGTATGCATGCACGCGTCCTCGCCAGCCCCAGGCGATTCGGGAATTGCGTAGCCCAGCCAGTCGATGACGGAAGCTAGAACGGCCGCGCCAAGAAAGCTTCTTCGTCTGAACTGAAGCCCCGCTCCAGCGAATAGAGTCTCTCGAATTACCATTCCCCGGTTTTGCGGGCCAGCTCGTCCCGAATCACCAGCCCGCCAAGGACAGGAGGCTTGCTTAGCTAAGGCATGCTACCAATCCTTAACTTATAGCAGCCGAGGCAGCCACTCACAGGCCATCATCCCCCCATCTTATCAGTTTGAGCAGCCCCTCTATCTTAGTTGGTTGCCCACATTCAGTCAGATGGAAGAGCACAACTTCGCCCCACCAACCAACAGCTGCCTGCCAATGCGGCGCTCTCATCTCACACTTAGTGGCATCTTGCACGTTGGCAGTGGACACCCCGTCGAGCCCCCAGATGCAAACATGCTCTCTTGCCCATTGGCGTGCATGATTGGCCTACCTCCACCCATGGAGCAAGACGAGCGACGTCGGACCTGCCCGACGTCTGGCGAGTGAGGGTGTCGCGGATGATGGAATGCTAATGCTGTGCATGTTAAGAGACACTCTCCCAGCCCGTTTGCTGTGCCTCCCATGTCATCATTCCCTCGTCGCTTGAAAAGAAAAATTTAAGTTCGTGACGGCTTCTCTTTCGGCTTCTCATCCCACACCTGCAACCCATCAAGTGCCAGTGATCATCCCGGGATATACATTCCACCCTTAGGCCTAGTGACTCAACTTGCTCAACCATCATGGCTGAAATCGACTACGGCTACGCTCTGGAGGCCGTCGAGGCAACTCCAGTCGCCTCGGCGGACATTGACAAGACCTTCCGCTCGAGCTGCATCGGTACGTTGTTCCCTCGGTAGCATGCCCACAGGCATGAAACTATACTTACGGCATCTCTCCGAGCACAGACTTGGTCTCTGCGGCGCTTGGTGGCAAGATTCTCGGCTTCTCGGACGAGTGGTTCGCCGAGGCCGCAAACCTCCTCAACCCTGCCGCGCCCATCCGGCAGCCCGGCAAGATGGTCTACACGGGCGCGTGGTACGATGGCTGGGAGACGCGGCGGCACAACACGGCCCCGTTCGACTGGGTCGTGGTGCGGCTCGGCGTGGCCTCGGGCACCGTCGATGGCGTCGAGGTCGACACGGCCTTCTTCTCGGGCAACCACGCGCCCGCCATCTCGGTCGAGGGCTGCTTCAGCCAGAACGACGGCGAGGTGCTCTCGTGGCAGGGCGGCCGCGGTGGCTGGGAGCCCGTGCTGGACATCAGGGAGTGCGGGCCCTCGCAGCGCTTCGCCTGGAAGCTCGCTGCTACTGAGAAGAAGCATTACACGCACGTCCGCCTCAACATGTACCCCGACGGCGGCATCGCGCGGTTCCGCCTCTTCGGCCACGCCGTGCCCGTGTTCCCCGACGACGCCGGCGCCGTGTTCGACCTAGCCGCTGCGCAGAACGGCGGCGTCGCCGTCTCGTGCAGCGACCAGCACTTTGGCACCAAGGACAACCTGCTGCTGCCGGGCCGCGGCAAGGACATGGGCGACGGCTGGGAGACGGCGCGGTCGCGCGGCAAAGCCCACGTCGACTGGGCCATCGTGCGCCTGGGCGCCCCGGGCTACCTGCAGAACTTCGTCGTCGACACGGCCCACTTCCGCGGCAACTTCCCGCAGCAGGTCAGGCTCGAGGCCGTCGAGTGGAGGGGCGGCGGCGGGCCCGGGCCAGACGCCCCCGGCTGGACCGCCGTCGCCGAGCCCATCAAGTGCAAGCCCGACCACGAGCACCCGGCCGACAGCTTGGTGAGCGACAGGCAGTTTACCCACGTCAAGCTCACCATCGTGCCCGACGGCGGCGTCAAGCGGCTGCGCGTCTTTGCCAAGAGGGCCGTCTGAAAACGGACGGACGGGTGCATGTCTAGGAAGACCGACTAAAGAAAGAAAAAAGGATGTGGGGCATACCGTGCTATTTGATGTGTAGTCAGTGTAGTGTAGCAGTGTATTGGCAAGCAACAAGACGATGCATGATCCCCACGATGGCGATATTCCCCGTTCCCCGTGGCTGGTGAATATGTGGTGGCCATGACTTGCTGCGCGTTGGAAATATCCTCGTATGTTATAGATACGTGCCTTGCCGCGCAACATGCAGCAGCTGTCAAGATGCGGCTGCCGACTACGCTTAACCTCGAGACGTGGTAGAGTAAACAGCCTCGAAGCGAGAGATGCTGCGGTTCGGTTCGGTTCGGTTCGGTTGTTCGATGCGGGTGGAGGTAGGTAGGTAGCGTGGCCGAGTTCTAAAGCTGTTGTATGTCTGTCTGTCTGTCCGTCCGTCTGTCCCAGCGCGGAGACGTGCTGCATACAATTACAATACGTACGTGCAGAGAGGAAAACCCTCCCTCTCCGATCTGCGTTCTGTGATGATGGTACTAGAGTGGATTTTTGAGGGGGTTATCAAGTTCTCCAAGCAAGGAATACGATACGTATTTAGTTAGGCTGTGTACCTACTTTCTTCATGGATTGACCTCCTCACGCCGAGAAACACGGCTTGGGCATTTAAGCGGGAGGAACCTCGAACCCCCTATCTATGTCACGACATATCGTCGACTCTGCTGCCGTGCACCACGGGAACAGGGAGAATGGCGACAGGTAGATATTCAAGCAAGCCACTTTTTATTTCTCGACGTCAGTATCGTAAAGCAGACGGCGTGCCTCTCTGGGCCCATGAGTAGCACCAGCATAAACGAACAAAGCGGTTGCTTCATGCTGGCAGGGCCCGAGGATGGATTGACTCGGGGTTTGCTGCTCCTTGCTGCTCCTTGACACAGCGGTGGTTGGGACGAGATACTCCGTAGGTTGGCAAACAAGCCCACGCACACGAATACTGGCAAAGGCCGGGACAGAGTAGGATGCGAAGAGGAGCTATCGTTCTGTGTGCTTGGTGTATGTATGATCAGGGGGTGAGATGGAGGTCTGGTCGGCGGCTATTTATTTGAACACATAGCACGACCATGGCGCTGTTTACGCCGTTAGGCATAACATAGAAACGGACATCACCAAGAACAACGCTGTCATAGACCTTTTGGCCTTCGGCAATCTTGTCAGTCGTTCGTTTGCATTGGTTGGACGAAATTGAGGGAGCTCTCGTCGGTGGCGAGCTGTTACGAATGCCAGGGCACCTCACTGAATATCCCCCCACCCTGTGTAGGTTTGCTGTCGACAGAGGGATATTGGGTGCCGATATAGTTTAGGGGTAGAAACAAGCAACTACCCGTATGACGAATTGCTCCTTTTCGGTCCTTGCTAAAGAGTCTAGCGAAGGCTGGACTCTAAAGCATCGTCAAGATCGTCGCTTCGCAACCCATAACCACGAGCCGAGCCTACACCCGTCTGCACACCCTGTCCAACGACTCGTAGACCTCGAGCATATTACTAGGCGGTGATGGCTGAAAGAGCTCAGGGCACTGCAATGGGAGCAAACATGGCAGGTTTGGTGTTTCTCCTCAAGCCGGTTTTCCTGCCTGCAGAATACAGTACAGACGACTCCGTCAATGCAGTAATCAGCGGTGAGGGAGCACTGGGGGAATTGGCACCGCCAGGACTGCCTATAGGACTCGAGAACTGGGAAGTGGGAAATGGGAAGGGGAAAAGAGCATTAGCCTAGCGTAACACGATGGTGAACACGAAAATGGGGTTGCCCTTGTGCGATGCTTCCCATACACACTCGGTGCCTTTCTCATTTCACCGTCTCCCAACGCAGCGTGATGGGCGATCGTGAGGGCGGAAGTCGGGGGTTGGGAGAAGTTCACGATGCAAATCTCACGACCAGCATTGGGGGATCAGGACTAAAAACCATCCAGATCGCAGCCCAAAACTGCAAACTGTCTAGCGTAGAGCTCCGTTTCTTAGTATCTTCGTTATCTTTCCCTCTCTGGGCCGTCGTTGCTGGGCATCAAGCCGTCAACAGCAGCAGCAGGGCAGCGGTGGGCGGGAAGAAATTGGCAGTAGCGAGTGACGTGGAGAGCCCAAATGCATTGCCGGCCACCTTGACGGCCACCTGTGGCTGGTGGGACTCGGACTGATTGCTAGCAGCTCGGGGCTTCTGTCGGCAGGGATCTGTGGTCTAGCGCATGCAATTGAGCAATGGACGCGAACAATGTCTCACAATGAGTGAGTAAATAAAATAAAAAAGAGGGCGGCTGGCGCTAACGATGTCAATCGTCTTCCCTTTGCGCTACTAGCCTCGTTTTCTTGTTTTTCCCCCCAATCCCCATCGTGATCACAGAAGATCCTCCTTCGGGGTCAAATTTAGCAATCTCATCTTCTTCGCACCCAATGCGGTGAACAGGATGGGGCCTGAAACGAAATTATACCATCCGTAATATGCGAATTCCGTAAAGTGTGGAGAAATCTTGATTGTCGGGTCGCCAGTTTTCTTCCCAACAAGCGACGGGAATGACGCACACGCAGTGACATCAATGCTCACCTGTGCAAGAAGTGCTTCCTTCCATCAGGCAAGGCAAGCGGAGGGCAAGGCAAGTGTGGTTGGGGAAAAGCGACAGGGGTCACGTTTAAAGTGATGACGGGGCGAGCTTTCGGCACCCCCCGCCCCATGCTGCCTGCAATGAGGAGGCTCAGAAAAGGCCTGGTCCGGGACCTGATGGGCGCTGCAGGGCACGTTCGGAAGACCACCTCACCTTGACCTTCCCACGTTCAAATGCCTAACATTAGTCTACGTCACCGTCGAGCCTCGGACTGTGGGTCATTGCTGGGCTATTTCGCAAAGAGATCAAGCGTGACACTAACCAGCAGGTCAGGCTCGCTGCTGTGGTCTCTAGCCTTGGAAGGGTTCGAGTAGGATGACCCTTCAGCTGCGTCTGCTAGTCCGGCGCGGTCATCCAGCTGTTCCGGGGTTGTGGCTTGCAGGCGTACCCCTGCCGTGCCAAGATGATGTGTGCAGGAAATCAGCTAATTGGCCAATAGGAGGCTGCCAGCACCCACCCCCAGACCACTTTTGACTTCAACCATCCAGGGCGCTGGAAGCTCGTCAAGCAGGGAATGCAGGGCAGGGTGCCTACTGTCGCCGAAAGAAAACAAAAGGCTTACGAAAACCTGCAGTAGCTCGGAATCAGGGAGCCCTGAAAAAGTTCATCAAAGGTGCCCTGCTCTGGTGTGGTGGAAGCGAGGTGCCCGCTCCAGATCTCGCTCTGTGCCATGCTTGCAGCTTGCTGGGTCTTGGCCCCGATCTTGGATCTTCCGGGTTCGGTAGTTTCCTTTCGGTTGCCCTGGCAGCCCCATCAGCCCACGTCCATGCCCTTCCAGGTTCCAGGTTCTGCTGTACTCAGTTCCGTCATCGTTCCATGGCCACAGACAAGAGTTGCAATCCTGCGGGGTCAAGCAAACATGGCATGTAGGCATCATGGTTGCTTTGTCCAACACCAAAACGCAAAACGAAATGTAAACTGTGTGCCGCCGGGACTGACTGGTCTTCGAAACACGGGAGGCTCCCCGCCCTGGAAACTCGGACAACTGGCGTGTATTTCTGCGAACGGCGTAGATTGACAAAGAGGGAGCTTCTGGCGTTGATCCCTGGTTTCGTCCCGGCAGAAATGGTCCGTGATTTCGCAAGCCATCACTCGCCAGCTACCACCGTGACCGATCCCAATGGGCTTTGCTCTGTACATTCAATGCCCAGAAGAGCGCCAGCGCATTGCACAAATTACAGAAGTGCATTGGGAAGTTGAGGCGGCCCAACCTCCTCTCCACGCTGTTCGGGCCCGTGTGGCTGCAGGCGCCTCGTGGGGAGGCATGTCGGATGGCAACGTCAAGACCACACGACGAGCTGGGAAACCGGATGGATTTCTTGCCACAGTCCATGCATGCGGTGAGAGCAAGTGCAAGTGTTGCGTTTCCCCGTCACTAGCATGTGGCTTTGCCTTTGGTGGCGACGCCTCTTCTCTCTTTCTCTCCCCCTCGTGCAGAAGGACGGCCTCCATCGCAGTGGTCGTGGGGTGCCCGTGGCCAAGGCAGGGTATCAAGAAGCTGGACCGCACAGGACCCTGCCGCGGCAACCATGACTACGCTAGGCAATATGCAATCGATTATCGAGCAGGGTCCACGGGAGCCGCTCACGTCCACGATGGCCGAGCCGGGCACTCCCTACCGAGAGCTAGGATGCTAGTTAGTACCTACAGCAACACCACGCTCCGGTGACTGGGAAATTTGGTGGCAGATGGGCTCCAAGGGAAGTCCCTGTCTAGTCGTCCTTCTGCGCTGCCCGAGTCCTTTGCACTTCCGTCTGATGAAACAAATTATACCTGATCAAGGTGAGGGACCCACTCCACTTGACTTGTATTCCGTCTCCACGATCTGAATTACACCCGAGAACTGAAGTGGAAAGCCTGCTACCTAACACAGGTGTTCCTGCTTTGCTGCCGTGCTCCTTCCTCCTTCCTCGTAATATAAGGCACGCACCTTCCTCGCCAGTACTGTACGGCCTCTCTTCTCCCTACCTCACCTGCCCTACCAAGTACCGTACCTCTAATTGTCCATCACCTGCCAGTACCGTAGGGGATAATACCAGCCCAATCAATCGTCCTTTCCCTCTATCCCGTAACGGTCACAGCTACCTGCCTCCCTCGTTACCCAGGCCTGTGGTAAGGTAACTACCCGTCTCCGTCCGCCACCCGCATCCATTTAAATCCCCACCACCTCGCAAGCACCCACCCGCCTGCCGCACCTACCCTCCCTACATCCCCGACCTCTTTACTCCTCTAACTCTGTCCTCGTCAACCTTATCTACCGCCCACATACCTACCTAAGACACCTTGGCTAATCCGCGCCCGTCTCTCCTTCTCAGACATCCTCACCTTTCTTGACAGCCACTTTGGAGTCTTGGACCTTCACGTCAACCCGACGCAAACCACCCTTACTCCTCTTGGACCCGATATATCACTAGCCTCGACATCATGAAGACGACTACTCTGATCTGCGCCCTTGTCGGCACTGTTGCTGTGTCGGCTCAGGCTAACTATCCCGCCGACATTCCCGCTTGTGGCGTAAGTAGCACTCTGACCCTTCTTGCCGTCTTCTGCTCCCTCGGAGATACTGACGTTGTGCCCTGCAGAAAACCTGTGGTGACAACATGCTCGCTAAGGCGGGCGAGTTCAAGTGCGGAGCCGACGACATCGCCTGTCTATGCAAGGTCCGGGAGTTCGGATACGGTATCCATGACTGCTCCATCCAGGCATGCCAGAACGCCACTGCGGCCGATATCACCATCAGCTGGGGCAACACTCTGTGTGCGAATGCCGGTGTCCCCATCGGTCTTCCTCTTGCCGGCGGTGCTGTAAGTATTTTTCTAGCTCGGCATTTCTATAGGGCAATGACTAGGTCGCTAACAGTTGTCTTAGGGATCGGGCTCTGGATCGGGTGGCTCCACGGGTACTTCGGCTTCTTCCACCACTGGTGGCTCCGGCAGTGGTTCCGGTGCATCAGGCAGCGCTGGAGCGACTACCACCACCGCGGCAGGTGGCTCCGGAGAGTCAACCGTGACCAACTCAGCGATTACTACGGCCGATGTCGTCGCAACCATCACCAGCGGCTCCACGACCTACACGACCACGGGCTCGACTACCATCACCGGTGTCGGCCACGAGGGCAGCTCCAGCCTTAGTGCCATCACCACGAGCGGCTTCACCTCGGTCATCACGAGCGGCACGGAGACATCCACCGTCACGGGCGAGACGACCATCTATGCCACCCCTACCACCGTCACGTCGGCTCTTGTCACTACTAGTACTAGCGGCACCCTCACGACAGAGATTACCACGGGAGCTACGACATTCACCACCAGTGCTATCAGCAGCGGCGGTAGCGGCTCCGGCTCCGGCTCCGGCTCGAGCGGTGGTTCGAGCACTACGACTGCTGTCACCACCAGCAGATCCAGTGGTGGACAGGTACGCACTCTAGTCCGAGCCACATTCATAACCGAGACCCGACTAACACTGAACAATAGGGCTCCCAGAAGACGGCTGCTCCTGTTGCTGGCTTGTTCGCCGCCGCTGGCCTTGCCGCGTTTCTTCTATAATGACGATATCTCATGATTCTTGGTGAGATATTTGATGGTTTGGCTTTGAACGATGCTTAATGAATGCACAACAACATGGGAAAAGCAATGGCACGGTATTCCGAATCTTAATGACCGCGGTGGCGAGGGGTGCAAGACCTAATTTAATGGAAGGTGTTCTCCCATATCCTGTGGATAATGTCCTGGTGTTTCGATCCTGGACATTGATTCTTGTACATATGTAACTTATGATTGGGACATTGGCGGATATGAGATACCCGCGATGAGCTTACCTCTTGTTGGGCGAATGGGGCTGCTTAATACTAGGCTCTAGAGAAAAGCCCGTATCTATCTTTTCAGTCTAGAGACAATGAAGAAAAGCACTGATAACATCCGTCTCTTTCTCGCCGGTCGATGTCCAAGCGCCACACTCTGTTTGAGTTTTGTCACTAAATACCAAACGGTTGACATTTAACGGACACGCCAATGCCAACGCCAACGCCAACGCCAACACCAACGCCAACGCCAACGCTACGGCGAACATGGTCCGGACGCCAGCGTACGAGTTGCTATTCGCACCAACATTATAAATCATTCTTGAGGGCTCTACACAGACGAGAGAGCTTGCTTCCTGACGGGCTGAAACAAACCACAATCTCGGCAGAGAAAGGACGGCAGCCGTCTTCCTTGTGTTTCGACCGTCGCGCTGTCTCGCCGCTCTCGATCGGTCACCCCTACCTATCCAAAACGGGACGCCTTGCTATAAAAACAAAAAAGAAAACAAAAAAACGTATTCGCTTTTTAATCATCTGTCTTGATTCGCTGCTTGGCTAGGTAGGTACCTAGTAACCAAGTAACTGGTTGGCTTTATCTTGTTGTCATATTGTTGATAACGAGAACTGAAACCCGGCAGAATGGCATGGTCGTTCGACTACTCGTAGTATTCGTTTCGTCGTTTAGTCCCTCTCCGTGTGGCAGGGGTATGGCACGAGTATGGTATGAGCATGGTATGAGTATAACGCGAGTATGGTCACTCACTGTATAGTCCCTGGTTTAGCCTTGGCTTAATCTTGGTTCAGTCGTGGTTTACGCAAAGAGTTCAGCCCCCGTATAGCAAGAATATGTATGTATGGCGTGGGTATGTTTGTATGTAATTAGTAAGACCGCATCGCCGCTTAACACGGCGAACACCGGAACGCCCTTTAGACTAAACTGGGGGAGTGGACGCCCCTCCTAATATGACCGAACCCTACAGAGAGAGACTGGCACTCAATCTATCACCAGCGCGTAGTCCTACCCTAGAAAGACGCCAGGGCATTGCTTCAAGACAATATATATAGTTGGGTATTTTACCACGTAAACTCAGGTAGTCACATAAAAGAACAGTGAATATAATACTGTACATAGAACTCCCGGCCACAGAACAGCTACGGCCATATGCGAGGACCCAGCCGCGAAGCCACAAACACCACCAGCGCCGCGAGCGCCGCCAGACACAGGGCCACGACAGCATGAGACAGAGCGGCCGGCCCGTCCGTCTTGGCAGCGGCCATGCCGTCGAAGATGGCGTCGAGGCGCTCAGCCATCTGGACGTCGGCAAAGTTGTCCCTGACGCGGCTTTCGCCGGCGCGGCCCATGTCGGCGAGCTCGGCGGGGGACAGGCGGTTGAGGGCGCGGTCCATGACCTCTGTCCAGGCGGAGACGTCGGCGGGGTCGCGCAGCCAGCCGGTGCGGCCGTCGACGACGGTCTCGACGGGGCCGCCCGAGTCGGCGGCGAGCACGGGCACGCCGCGCAGCATGGCCTCGAGTGGTACGATGCCAAAGTGCTCGTTGGCCGGCGTGTAGACGAGCAGCCGCGCCGACCGCAGCAGCATCTCCTTAAGCGCGTTGGGCACCGACAGCAGGAACACCACCTGCACGTCGTCCGGCACCCCGAGCGCCCCGACCACCGTCGTCGCCGTCGCGTGCGACAGCCCTAGCGAACCCGCCAGCGCGCACAGCTCCGCGTGGTACGCCACGTTCTCCCCGACCCGCGGGTCGTACCCCCCCGCGATCAGCAGCCGCGCCCCGTCGACCCCGCCCGCCGTCTTCTTCTGCTGCCCCCCCTCGCGGCCGCGCCCGCGCCGCTGCTCGGGCGATAGTCCTGCAAAGGCCCGGATGGCCAGGGCAATGTTCTTCTTGCGCTCGAAGCGGTTGATACTAAGAATAACGCCCGACTCTTCCCAGGGGAGGACGTCTGGAGACTCGTCGTCGTCGTCGTCGCTCTTGGTAGCGGTCGTGATGTCAATACACGGGTAGACGACCTTGAGGTCGCGCCGGCGGGCGAGAGCGGGCCAGGTGCGGGCGACGACTCCTCGGGTAAAGGCCGAGTTGACGGCGATGGCGTCGGCCCAGGCCATGCTCCACTGCTCGAGGCAGTCAAAGGGCAGGCGGTAGGCGCGCTTCCACCAGCGGGCGCGGCCGGTGGCCAGCAGCAGGTCGGGGAAGTGGCAGTAGAAGAAGACGGGGGCGCAGTGGGCGGCGGGCAGGGTCTTGAGCAGGGGCAGGCCGGCGCTGAGCTGGTCGGCGAAGAAGGCGACGTCGGGGCCGAGCTCGCGCAGCTCGCGCGTCAGCAGGGCGATGGACAGGATCAGGTGCAGCTGGCGGGCGATGGCGCATAGGATGGCGAAGCGGCCAAGCAGCGAGGGCGGGACGAGCCAGTGGCCGCGCACGCGCACGTCGAGGGTGCCGTCGCGGGCCTCGTCGAAGCAGTGGCGCGGGTCGCAGTGGCTCGTGAACACGACGACGCGGTGCCCGCGCTTCTGCAGCCCCACCGCCGCGTCCACCACCAGCCGCTCTGCCCCGCCGATCCCCAGGTCCGGGTGCAGAAACACTATCGTCCTCTTTCGCCTCAGAGCGGGCGCCATCTCGACGGCGTCGGCGTGGGCGAAGTGATGCTGTTCTGTTCTGGAACTGAGGCGTCTCGTGTCTCGGCTCAACGTGGCCTAGACTTCAGTTACAGTGCATGCATACTAACAACGTCACAACCTACCTACCCGCAGATAGCACACGCTAAAATACCCCTGCTCGGCATCCATCCATTCATTGGCCCACTCAGGCAGGGACCCGGCGCAGCATTGAGTCCGATTCAAAGTTCCCCTCCTGTCCGATTTCGGCGATTGATGTTGATTGACTGCCTTGAATACTCGTTTCTACACATCTACACTGCGGACGCAACAGTCGCCTTCACAGAAAAACAAGAGTGAAGGTAAATAGGTATGGTACGCATGATCCAAAACCAATGTCTTCCTCCCCAAGGCTTTCTACCTAAGGTAAAGTTGGTCCAGTCTCTCTCTGTGTACACGAACACTCCCCCACACCCACAACCACAGCCAAACCCCCACCGCCGCTCATCATGTCATTCACACACCCCCCAACCCGGCAAATAGCCAAACCATTATGTGTGCGTCCCACGGGTTTCAAGTCATCCAATCCCTCCCGTCCGCCACTTCCCATTCTCAGGAAGGAGGCGAGCCTAGTGTTTCCCTGAAGCAACCTCCCAATGCGATGCAAGTATACCTGCCTGCCATGTGCGTCTGGTCTGCGCACCCATTTCTTTTCGTCTCTGTGCTTCCGTCTTCCGTCCTTCTAAAGTCTTGGGGAAAACGAGATCGAAAAGAGCCGAAAACACCAAGCGCCCTCTCTCGGCCCAAAAAAATATTTCGATAACAGTACCCAGCCCAAGAGAATAGTAGACGAAGAAAAATAGATATTGTGAGTCAATAGAGTAACAGGTGAAATAAACAAAAATAGATAAAATAAAATAACGAGAAATTGAAATAAAAAGATCATATCCGCACGCTCGATCGAGTGCGGATATCAAGAAATAGTTCAGAAGTGAAGTGTAAAAATAAAAAAGGACATACGCCCAAAAGAAAAACAAGAGAAAAAGAAGTTAAGAAGTGAAGTGAAGAAAAATGGAAACGCCCCAGTCCATGTGACGACATCCTGCCAATCAAAAAATAGACAAATGAAAAAAAGGAAAACTCCCAAAGCCCATCATGTTGAACCATCGTGTCGAAAGAAGAAAATAAGAGCCGTCCCGTACTCGTTTTCCTGCGTACCGAGATGATTTTTGCGCGAGAGTCACAGTGCCTGCCTGCCTGCCCTTGAGTGCCGTGCCGTTGCCGTGCTGCCGTGTCGCGCCTGAGCATATTCAAGTTTTGTTGCAAAAGGCCTCTCGTGGACCCGCCGCCCAGCTCGCTCCTGCCTCCGGTCGTCATCGGAAGGCTTCTCTTCTTTTCGCAGACTCGTCCAATCTCTCTCATTTCCCTCGTGTCTTTCATCCAATCGTCGTCTTGTCCCAACATAACGCCAAAAGCCGCCACATGGGAGTTGCCTCCGCGTGCATAATTTCGAGGCGGGCTGAACAGTCCAGTCGCTGTAGTAAAAGAAGAATATAAACAGATTCCAGCCACGAGGGGCGGGAGCGAAATGCAAGGCGACAAGAAATAAAGGCAATGCGTCTGTCTATTTGCACCCGCCCGTCGATATATCTGATTGGAAACGATGCCCAAAAATGACTCAGTCGCTATCTACGACGAGCTTCTTGGCTGTCTCGGTGCTGCCGACACTTGCATTCGTGTCTCTCCGCCTTGTGCTGCCGGCTAGTCTCCCCATCGAGTGGCGTTCTCTGGACAATGCGTGCTTCTTCGATTTCGCCATGAGAAGCCCCTCGTCGCTGTCGCTCTCGTCATCGCCGTCCGCTTGGCTCCGTGGGGCAGCCGAGTGTGACGTTGCCAGAGATGGCGCGCTCTTCGCTCCAGCACGGTGGTCCAGCTCCACGGTAACCACGTCATCTAGCCCCGGTTCATCCTCGAGCGGAAACCCGGCGACGGGCTCCTTTGCAAAGGCTGGCGGGGTGAGCGAGTCCGTTGTGTCGATGACCGAAGACCGTCCCACGATTCCTGGGTTGCCGAGAAACTCTCCCTCAAGATCTGCAGAGACCGAGCTAGTACTACTAAGAAGAGCCGGCAGGGAGGGATCAGACTGAAAAGCTAGAATATGGTCGGCGTCTTTCGAGGTAATTGGGTTAATGACGTATATAGGACTGGTAGACTCGCTTGAGCTAGTCAAGGGCGTCGTGAGCCCGCCCATCGACGTCGAGCTCGAAGACACAGCCGTGACCATTGTCTCCTCTCGGGACGGAAGCGACGGCCGCGCCACAAACACATCATCGCTAGGCGATGGCGGACACGGTATCTGCGCCGGGTCAACATCAGACGGTGTATCGGCACGCTGCTGGTGCATGGCCGATTCTTTCTTCTCTACTTCAACGGAAAGGCCCTCTGGGGCTTGTCTCCGCAGGAACGACGACGGCCTTGACGGGTTGGGCCAAGACTGTTGCGGAGTCGGAGGACGAGCCTGCTCCTGCTCCTTGACACGGTGGGCCGTCACGGGCCTCTCTTCCCGATCGGTAGCAGCGCGTTGCTCGTACTGATATCCAGGTAACGACTTGGAAGACATGGCGAGGGCAGAATTCTCAAACTCTTTCATGATTTCGCTCGATCGTAGAGGGCGGGGCCGTGGCGAGAAGTGGACATTGCCCGGGGCGACAGCCGTGCTCAACGAGACTTTGGGCTCGGCGCGCTTGTCGTTGCTAGCGAACAAGCCGCGATCAACGGACCGTGATCGTGTCGAATCATATGCACTAGGCGGCCTCATGTCGCGGCCCTTTCTCAATGCCGTGCTCGGATCATCTGCCGGGCCATCGAACAAAGGGGTTACCGGCATCGTCTGGGGTTCGCTCGGGTTGGGAGTGAGGCTTAGGAAGGCATTTGTGACGGAGCGAGTATGACCGTGGCGAGGAGACCTCCTTTGGAATCCATGTGGCGACCGATTCGGCGACTCTTCTTTCGTATTAAGGCTAGTGACTAGGTCGAGAAGCTGGCGAGAGGATGGGCCCCCTGTCGACGATGTCGATAGAGGCTGGGTAGATGACGAAGCCGAAACCTCTTCAAAGGACGAGTCAAGCGGGCTTGCCACCACGCTCTGCGTCAGCGGGTGCTCGCTGGACGCCTGTGATAAGCCAGAAAAAATATCATCGGGCCGAATGCTTCTGCGTCTTGCGTCTCGTGGGTGTGGTGTGGACGGGCCGTGGATTGGGCTGTCTCCCGCGGAACTGGCGGCACTGCTTCCAGCGCGCCTCCGCGAAGAGACGCTCTCAGCCCGATCGCCACGCGGGTGTATCACCTTGCCCACAACCTTCTTGACAGCGGACCTGGCCCGCTCGAGAAGGGTGAGGGGCACAACAGCACGAGCAACCTCGCGTTCATCGACCTGGATTTTCCTGCCGGATGTTCGCCGCGAGGGATCTGTCTCATCGAGCCACGCAACGACATTACTAATTCCCTTGGTAACCCACGCGTGGCGTTTGACATCGCGTAGCCGTATCCTTTTCTCCGGATTCTTGGTGAGCATCTTGAAAAGAAGATCCCGGAGGTCTTTGTCGATGTCCTCGTATGCCAGCTCATCGTCATCCCGGTATGGTGCGCTGTTCACACGCTGGTACAGCGACTTCTCGTCTGGCTTCGTAGAGGGGTCGACAGGCCGCAGCCTTTTGGTCGGGATGTAAACGTCCTCAGTAGCGATCTTTCTGAACATCTGCCACTCATCTTCCGCCAGGAAGGGTATGCGGGCAAAGATGAGGCAATAAAGGGTAACTCCCAGCGACCAAACATCAATCTGCTCGGTGATCTTAGGCTGCTGGCCCGGCTGGTCGTCGTACGCGTCGGTGTAGCAGAGTTCGGGGGCAAAAAAGGCCGGTGTGCCGACCGTCTTGGCAAGTTCGAGATCATTATCAAAGTCCTTTGCCTCAGACTCGGAGACGGTGTCGTCGGGTTCTCCGTCGCGGACAGGGCGTCCGAAATAAGACACTCCGAAGTCGGAGATCTTAACGCGGTGGTCCTTAGTCCAAAGAAGGTTCGCTGGCTTGATATCTCGGTGCACAACTCCCTCGTAGTGAAGGTACTCCAGGCCCGACACTGTATCGCGGAAGGTTTGCCTTGCCTTTTCAAGCGTAAAGCATGGAACGTAGGAAAAGTCATCGACATATGGGTCGTGGACTCTGCTAAAGTCGAGCGAAGACATGTGGGAGATGATCGAGTCGGCCATGCTCGGCGACCTGCCCCGGAGCGTGGGATCGTCAACGTAGGCGCCATACATGGTCCCATCCAGCGCGCTCGACGAGTTAGGATTGGAGCGGAGAGCGCTCGGCGTCTCCAAGTCATCTTCATTGGGCACGAACCCGAAATCGGAGTCAGGTGTGTGCGAAAATGCGGCTCTCGAGATTGACCTAGTCGAGTGCGTACGTGAGGGTGCTCGCGAAGCGACCTTAGGGCCCGTTGCGGTGTCGGTAGTCGGCTCCATCGACGCGGACAGTGCATCGGCCTCGTCCCTTCCTAGCGACCGGGACTGAGATTCGTAATCGTCGTCGTCGGTTCCGCCGTATTCGAGGCTCCAATAATCGTTGGTTGAGCCAACTTGACCCTGGGAAATTTTTGCCCGCTTGGCTTCCTTTACTTGCTGCCGTTGCTCGAGGATGCGATCATATCGTTCTTCTTCAGGAGTGGCCTTTTCTCCACGCATCTCCCGCTCGACACGGCGTCGCTCGTACGAGCAGATATGGGGGAGGCCTTTCTTCCTCCATATGATCTCGCCGAGTTCGACGTGCTCCAGGGCGATGTATATCTTCTTCAACTCGGGATCGTCGATGATTTCTAGCAGCGCGACAACGTTGGGGTGCCGGATCTTCTTGAGGATGGCAATCTCCCTCTTGCTTTTGTCCTGTGTGTCCATGGCCGTGACTTTCCCGAGCCGCCGCCTCTTTGAGAAGCGCGGGATGATCTTGATGGCGACATTTTCCCCTGTCTCGAGGTTTCGGGCGAGCTTGACCTTGCCATGCATGCCTCGGCCAAGCTCCTCAATGATCTCATAGTGGTTGATGAGCTTCCGCCCGGTTGTGTAGTCGTGCTCGACGTTGGCTTTGTGTGTCCTGCAGCCGCATATCAGCTACCTGAGAGGCGTAGATGGGCCGTACATGCGTGCGGGCCCCACTAAGGAGCCGCCCCAATAGCCGAGGGTGCACACACACGACTCGGATTTATTTTGCACGACGACGGGAACACAAGGAGATATACAGAAATTCAATCTAACGACAGGGACGGGAGGGGACCTACTCTCGGACCTTGTGAGTCTGCAGCGGGTGCAGAAACGGGCTGTTGAGCACGGCGGGCGTCGTACTCTCCGAGGCGGGCTGCGAAGCGGGGAAGGACATGTTGGAGCGTGAGAGGCTCGGGCTGAAGAGGCCCGGCGACGACATGGGCGTGCTATTGGCGGTGCGCTGGCCGGGCTGGGACGGCGCCGGCGGCAGGGTGATGTTTTGGAGATGCGGAAACGAGGGTCGCGAGCGTGGCTGGGGGTGTTGCGGCTCCATGATGAGGAATTGATCGGGTGTCGCTTGGGGTCGCCTTCATGCTGGATGGCGATGTCGTATCGCGATTGCGGGCGGGCGAGAATTGAGTTGCGGGCGGCGTGCAAGGTTGCGGGGAGGGGCGTCGGGCCAGATAGACTTCGCAATTAATTAGACTGCCATGGCGGCGGCAGGGAAACGCAGGCAAACAAGACGAGGCCACGGATTTTGAATTGTCCAACGGCTAGTCGACTGAGGTGTCGGAACTGCCAGCCAGGTTGAGGGCGATAATGGGGAGTGGTGTGTGGTGTGTTTGAAGAAAAAGGTGGGTAGTGTGCGCCTAAGGTGGAGAAAAGAGGCACAGAGAGAGAGGTAAGGTAGGTAAAAAGCACTACAGCGCGCAGGTGCTTTTTGGGCTGGCGGGCTGGCTGCTGGCTGCTGGCTGGCTGGGCTAGCTTTTTTGCTGACTGGGGTGGACCGCAACTCCAGCACCGGAGTGGCTGAGATTGGTGGCCTGTTGCGCTTTTGTGCGGCGGCGTCGGGGGGTCGAACAACCTAGCGACACGCCAGGAGGGTTACCGGCTGCGTGTCTGTGGCGGGCTCCCAAAACGGCCTGACGGTCCCAGTGCGGAAGAAGGCAAGGAGAGGAGCAGCTCCCTCATGCACACACCCTTCCCCTTTGCAGACCGGGCGGCCTTCCAAGGATGACAAAAAAGGCCAAAGAAAAAAAAGTTTAAATGATACCAAGATCCCAGCGCAATTCGACTTGTATGGACGGTGGCGGGCGGGCAGCACTAGAATTGGTCAAGAGGACAACAGTCGCTTGCCCAGGTCAGGTCTCGGCCCAACGCTATTCTGCGTTGTTTCTGCTGCTGCACTGCAGTGTGTTGCTGTTGCTGCACCCCTCGCCAGTTTTTACCAGTCAATCGAGGCAAGGCCGGGGCCTCAAAGCACAGGCTGCTGCTGCTTGGTGACGGGTGCCCGCACCGACATCATCTCGCTGTTGGATGGCCGGGGGTTGCTGGGGCGCAGAGCATGGATAAGGTACTGGATATACAACAGGAAGATGGGACGAGTGAAGCTGTAGAAGGTTAAACTGGCCCCTACTAATAACCTTAGAACAACCCAAGGTATCACTCTAGACTACGGCGAGGGCAAGGCTGGGGCCACACGACACGCTTTGTATGTCGAGGCTCTTGCCCGTCCCAGCCCGCTCTCATACGGACGGACTAGGAAAGTCGCACACGGCTCGTCGACGAGCCCGGGCGATGGACGGGGCGAGCAGGACCTCCATATCGGCGCGGCAGCCTTTGAGCAAGGAGCCGTCGTCGTTTGTGTGTGTGTGGTTCACAAGACACTTGGAGCACAGGGGGGCCTGGTTGGAGACGCACAGGCCAGGCGGCTTGACGTAGTGCAGCTAGCGCAGCAGCCAAATCGCCAAGAACCAAGTGGGGTCTGGCGAGGGAAAAAAAAGAAAAGAAAAAAAAGGTTGCCTGAGCGAGTGGCAGAACAGTGGGTTTACGAGGACAGGGATCTCATCGATGGCGGCAGTGATTGGCGGGGCAAAGCAGAGCGACCGACCCCTGCACATCTGTCGTGTGTGTGCCCCGCAGTCCTGGGGATGTCGAGTGAGAGAGAAAGAAACCACTTTGGCTCCAACAGCGAACGAATCGAGCCAGGGTAGCCCAAGACAATGAAGTCAGTCAGTCCAGCGAGCGGCTTTGCTGTTGGGCATAGTACGTATGTACACGTACGCTCGAAGATACGGAGATGTCGATTGCGGGCGCAAAGCCACTCACTGTCCCCGCCACGTCTCCCACTTCTTGCTCTTTTTGAGTTTGATTCTGCCTCCAATTGCATTCCACGGGCGGGACTCGGTACGCCATGTATCGAGGACTTTGGCCAGGGTGCCGACTTTGTCGGCTTTTGTTCCACCTGCATGCTGTATAACCTTTTCAGGGAACTACCAGTTCGTCATTTATTCCACCTCAGGGCATGTGTGTACTGTATATGCAGTGCACTGCAACACTATGGCATCTTCGCGAGCCGGTCCATCCCGAGAGCTGGCTTGGCCCAGGCGTGGTAGAAGCGTCTGCCTTGTCGACACAGAAGACATTTCATTAACGGCAGCCAGTCTCAGCTGGTAGAGGCGGCCCACGGCGGCGTGCTGGCGTGCACTTGGCTTAGCACCACCACGGAGGGGCTACCCTAATAAGACTGCCTCTGGACACTACGGAGTAAACCCTCTGGCTTTGACCCCGCCGCTCCTTTCAGTGCCAATGAGTATCCGGGACTGCATGCAGCCGCCCATTAACAACACACAAAGAACGATTTATTCGTGTAGGCGAGATGCACTCCAATGTATGTATGCACCGCTTATGCTTTGGACCACCTCAGCTAATGGCGACCGAGGTTGTCAGAACAATCATTATAGTGCCGTGACCACGGGGATCGAGCGTCCTTTTTTTGTTTGTTTGGAGAATTGGATTTCTCCTCCCATCCCTCACCGGGACCGTTGTGAGCGCCGAGCACAGGCCACACGTCACAGTCTCCTTTGTCTGTGTCTGTATATACAGTACATCATCAGACGTGGCGTAAACCGGAGGTGATACTGGCAGGGGTGGTAGGAGGTGCCCGGCTCCATCTAGCTGAGGAGTCTGGCGTCCCGCCATCTGCCTTATTAGGCATGCTAATGCAAATACTAGGGGAATATCTCCGCCAGGTTTGACTTTGGACATGCTTAGCTGGGCTGCTGTGTTACCCGGTGTAGTATACGGGAATGTCCTCTAGGCGGACACCGGCCGGCTGGTGTCCATCGCGTGTTGTTCAGCGAGACGAGACTAAGGGTAGGCCCGTTTGTCGTTTTCTCCCACCAGAGCCCCAAGTACCTGCAGTGCCGGCCGTGCTGGCTCGTCCGGCCGCGTCTGCACGCTTGGTAGTGTTAAGGCAGGCCAACAGGCTGCTCTTGAGAAACCAAGATCCAGTTAGGCATCATCCCGTTGACGGGGGGCGGGGAGTGGAGGCGGGGAACGGGGAACGGGGAACGGGGAACGGGGAACGGAAACGCGAGTTCAGGGTTCCGAGGCACCATGTTCCCAAGGTTAGGCATTCAGAAGAAGACGCAAGAAGGCAGGCACGGAGTACGTCCGCGGGTCCGTTCATGTTCGGGCTGGACGCTGGCCGGTCCATCTGGCGTCGCTGCAAGGCCGCCTCGGCTTCTCTCGATTTGCCTATCTCGGCTTGCCGAGACGAGGATGCAGGACGGCTCCCCATCACGACTCGCCCAAGACATGGCAGGCCATGGACGGCAGGCCCTGCCAAACAAAAAAGGCCCTTTGGTTCTCCACTCGATACGTAGTCGAACGTGTGCGACAGAAGCGAATTAATTAACCCGGTGGGCTACCATTCGCTGGCTGAGATTACCATGCACGAACGGAAAACTATGCAGCCAGGTAAGAGACTTCACCAACGCTTCGCTGATCGCTTCTATCGCTGTTGAGGTGGGCTGCATGTGCCTGCACTTTCGCTTTATTGTCTCTTAGAGGGTCTTTTTGACGGCACGGTTTGCGGCGACAAAAGATCTGGGCGGGCTGCAGGCTGTCGGGCCAAGGAAGGTATTGGATGTACTGGACGCCTGCCTTCGGCTGAGCAGAGACAGAGACCTCCGGGTCTACTACCTGAGACCTGCCTTGACAGCTTTCTCGGATGGCCAGGCCCAGAGAAGCCACCGGTGATAGTTCTGTCTTGCTCGAGCCAAAATGCGAGGTCCAGAATGGTCGGTAAGGGTGACTAAGGCATGCGACACTGGACATGGCACCTGCAGTTGGATGCGAGTGGCCGTCGGAGTCGGCTCCAAGTTGCGCACCAGGCATTGCTGCCCAAGGAATCCCGTAATGCGCATACTACTCAGAGTCTGGACACCAGCTCCCCAACTCCGCATTCATGCAACTATCCGATACGAGCCAAGACCCAACCACAACACGTAAGGCACCTCCTAGCGTGGGCCAGCACTCCGAAGCTGGTTAGTTCCATACGGAATAATAGTCTGTACACTATCCGTCCTAGGTGCATTAGTTTACTTAAGCATTTGTGGAGAGAATCGAGATCTGCTCAGTGGATCGTTTCCTGTGGAGCAAGCGAACTACAGAGAGCGGGCGGATACCCACCACCCTCGCCGCCGTCGTCGTCGTCGCGCCGACGCCGTCGCGTTGTCGCCGCTTTCTCTCACTGTTGTTGCCGCCATCGTCATCTTTACTTGCTCGCCCAGGGGGAAGATTTCGGGAATGTCCATTCCCGTTGGTCAGACGTTGGACTTTTAGCACACTCGCACTCGAGCGCTGTGGAGATTGGCTGTCCTAGCTTGCCTGTCCATGGGTCACACGGGCACAGGCACAGGCACACACGCACCCACATGAAGCCCATGTCAGTCCGAATTTTGGGCCGGGAAGTTTATGAGGTCATGGAAGCCGCGACAACCCGAGATGGCGGTGCGTCACGGGTCGAGAGCCGGGCGCAAGCCAGAGAGAAGATGAGAAAAGAAGGTGCAGGATAATCTTGTCCCCCTGTCGCCCGCCCCTCGCTGCCTGTGGTTGTGGTTGTGGTGTGGTCACTGGGGCTGGGTGACTGACTGCGCGCCTGTTTCGTCCCCCGATCTCCCGCCGACATCGTTTTGACTCCTAGCCTGTCTGGTGATCAGCTGACGGGCAAGGCGACTAGAATCGCAGCGGGAATGCAGCGTGGCCGGTCCCCAGTGCACCCAACCCAATCCTTGTGGCCCTCGTGGATCAAACCGTCCAGTGGTGCTCCCACGGACGGCGAACTGGCTGACGGGATGTTTTCTCCTACCTACCTACGGATATCGCTACCCCAGGATCGACAGCTGGCCGCCCTATCATGGTTTAGTGGGATCTTTACCAGATTGGCCGCGCCCCTTCCGACTGGACCCTCGAGGTTCTGGTCTGACACCGGCCTCGCGACTGTGAAGTCGGCGGACCTGTGCCTTGACCGGTCTGCTTCGTCTCCGTGCATGTCGTCGCCAACCTCCTCGACAGGTGATTCGCTCTCGGCGATGCAATATCCAACATGCATCGAGGTTACACGATGCATCAGCGCAGTGCTTTGCGCAGTACGTACTCGGTACAGTGCAGTTATTTATTTATCTAAAAGAGATGGGTACAGTATTCGCAGCGCAGTGCAGCGCGAGGATCAGCAAAGCCGGAACCAACCAACGAGATCATGAAATTACTATTGTCCGACTCTCGAGCGGGTGGAATCCACCATGGCTACCCCTCCTTGGCCTTGGAGACGACGGCGAGTGTGGGACGCAAGAGCGCGCTCAGACCCCGCCCCAGCTCAAATGCCAAGCTCGAGCAGCGCCGCGTCCAATCAGACCGGCGACCCAGCACCACAGCTAGGGCGGTCTTATTGGAGGTGGCTCTTGCGCCCGCGGGGTCTCAGGTCTCGTCTCCTTGGCCCACATGGACGGATGCAATGAGAAAAGTGACAGGTCATGTTGCGGTAAGTAGCGTACGGAGTAAGAAACGACAGAAGACACTCTGTCAACTCCGAATCCAACTCCAGCTCGAGGAGGTGCGAACCACTCGGCGCCACATTGGCATCCGATTATTGGGGCACGTGGGGCAACAATGTTCTTCTCCCGCTTTTCTCATCTCGGTTTGATATCGCGACTCGGATGCCCGCCTTTCCCCTTGGGGCATACGTGCATACGCGAACGTCTGTTGTTGTTTTTTTTGTTTTTTTTCCCTCGGTGGGACGGGTATGGTGGTGTTAGGAAAGTTTAAACACCTTGTGCCCTTGTCATGCACGTCGACAATAACCCAGCCAAGCCAAATGCGACGACTTTGACCAGGGGCCTTCAAAGACTTGTCCTCTCCTCCACCTTAGTAAAGCGATATCTACACTACCGAGCAAGAGACAGTCCCCGGGGAGAAAGGTTACCCGCAGTAAGGTATATATATACACGGCCTACCTAGCGGAATACAGAGAATGGAAGGCCCAGAGAAGCGGCCTGTGACGACTCAGGGGTCCTGCGTCGTCCAGCGTTCCGGTTCTTTCCATGTCGTTACACCAATCCCTTCAGTAATCTTGAGCCGTGTCTTGCCTTCACTGTCCGAGGAAGGATGGAATGGGATGGCTGTTGCTTCTGCTGCCATGATTCTATTAGCCGCCGAAACTCGCTCGGGAGCCGGGAGCATGGGGCCACAGCAGCCATCATGTCTCGCGAGTCCTTTCACGGACTCCGAAGTGCGCGAGCCGGAACGGCAGCGCCTTGTTCTTTTCTTCCTCGGTCAGGTCGGCCGGCCTAAGCCACCTGGCCACCTCACTCACCTGCTCACCCAGTACGTACTTGACTTACTTCGGGTAGTTGGACATCTAAGCTCAGGGAAAGGCCAAGGCTCCAAGGTAGAGTCTACTTACTTCGCAGACACTCGTTCGCAATAAGAATAATAGTAAGATCAACAATCGACAAAGTCAAGGCGGCAAGGCGAGAAGGATGTGTGGGCACCTCTGTCCAAGGGAATCACACCGATTTGGTGGTGCCATGTCCATGCAGCTGGGCTTTCGCGGCCTTCCAGCTTGCCCAAAGGAGCCAAACCATCACGGCCAGCCCTCAACTGATTGGCCTTGGTGCCTCCCGCGCACCGTACCCTCTCTCCTTTCGTTCACACAGACGGAATCACTCGACACGATGCAACCTCGTTCCCCGTCGAACTTGGGAAAAGTGGCTTTTTTTCCAAGGCCTTCTTCCGTCTTTTGGGTGCTTAAAAATCCGGGCTCCCTCTGTTCCGTCCTGTAGCTGCCAATCAGAGCCGAGGACTGCTGGCAAGGAACACCAAGTAAGTGGACGGATAATGGGCAAGAGTGAAATGCCCAGCACCAAGGGGACGGGGTGCTCGCTCATTTGCTCGGGCTCCAGTGCCACATGCACGTCATCTCACAATACCCGACGCCTAGTGGGCAGCTGGCCCGGCTGGCCTCATGCGAGGCTGTCCCAAGCATATCGAGTGTTTTTGACCGAAAAAAGTGTGTGTGCCTGTCTGTCCGGCTATCCTTCGGACACAGCCCCCCGTCCCCCCCTTATCGAGTCCCACACCCACCCACCCAACCCTCGTCGTTCGAGATCACCCCTCTGACCACATGTTTCAACATGTGATCGCCAACTTTTCTGTTTGTTGCTGAGATAGCAACCAACTTCTATTTCCCACCTGGCCAAAATACCACCCACACCAATCACACACCACGGGATACATTGAAACACACACACACACATACACGCAATCCTCACACTCGTCGCGAAACGAAACCCACACCTTCCGGTGTACAGTAGAGTGTTCGTCGATAAGCTCTCCGCGGTTGTGTTTGTGGCGATAAGACGTGAGGGGGTGGTTGTGTGCGCTCGCTATCTTTTGACGTCGTTATTTCTGTACGGCTTGCTACCTACGTAGTTGGAAAGCTTATTGTGTTAATATATCCTCGGATGGTTTCCATCATCCTTGCTCTCACGCCATCTTTTTTTTTAATAAAAAAAAAAAAAAAAAAAAAAAAAAGAGGGGAAGCTTCCCTGGTCCTGTCCCTTGGCTTGGCCTTGGAAGTCATTCTCGGTTAGAAGGGGACTCGGTACATAAATGGCCTTGAACCAGTTTGCTCTAGGCTGTAAAGAGCTGCTAGCTAGCTAGCCAGGTCTGGGTACGAGACTAACAGCACGTTTGAAGGTCAGGTCATTGGATATTCGTGGACTAGTTGTATAGAATGCATGTCTACACACGAGAGAAAGAGAGAAAGGAGGACACCAACAAAGTGAGCCAGCCACACCCACACCTTCTATCACGGGAGTCTCGGTCACATCTCCCCACAGGCCCTCCTCACCCTCTTGCAAGCTCAAGCTAGCTAGCTACATTACGCAAGATAAACTCAACCCCTTTCAACAACCTCCTTTCCCCTCCCCCCCCTTTCCTCGCCGGGGATCATCATCTCGAACGTCGTGTTCGTATCAGCTACAACCTCTTCTCCCGCGGATGTCTCAATATCCTGTCTTGCTCGTATACTGTTAAAAGGGGTGACAGGAGAGCGGAGATCACCCGACCTGCAACATGCCAGCCTTGTTTTCTGTCCTGTCAACTTACTCCGTATCTCGGACTTATTACGCCCGCCCGCCCGCTAAATAGAAACGAAAAAAAGAAAAAAAGCGAGACATGGCGTGGGTGTGCACATCTACCTATCTATGCGTGCGTGCGTTCGCACATGTGTGTGATGGATGGTATGGTCTCTCTCTCTCTCTCTCTCAGACCAAGACAAGAAGCAAAACCCCAACTGCGCGTCTGATCACCCATCCGGCCGAGTCAGTGAGTTAGCTGGAAGAGGTTGATGGATGGATGGATGATTGGGCGATAGTGAAACGCCGATAACGCGATGTCCATCCCAAGCCTCCTCTCTCTCTTTCTCAAGAAAGAGAAACAGTTTGAGAGCTGAAAAATAACCACCCCCGCCCATGGCAAGTGCAGCGACTCGATTGGGTGTGCTCTGGACTATTGGTCTCTTTGCCACCGCGTCAGCCTTCTCTATATGCATGTTTCTTTTTTAGTTCGTTTTTTTCCCCTTGCCCGGGCAAGATCCCACAACGGCGGAACACACAGACGGCTCTTCCAAGGCCTAGCCCCCCCAGCCCCTTTCAGCTGCCGCGCCGATCACTCTGAACTATCTGAGGTATGGGGGTACGTTTGGCGTTTTTGGGGATCCGGCTCTCTGTCTCGCGCCCGCTTTGCTGGGACTTTGTGTTGGTGGTTTGTCCGGTGCATATCTCGGCACGCCAAGAGATAGGCCAGATTTGGTCTCGGAACTCGGCCGCACTATCGACGTATCTGGTTTCTTATTCTATTTCCAGTCTGTGCCCTGTGGTTTTTTTGTTGGAAGGGGGTGGTGTGATAATATCGTGCAGATAAGGTTTGGTTGTTCGTTCCCCTCGGAGCCTCCTTTTTTTTGGAGAAGCACCTTCATTGTCCCAAATGATGAATGCTGAAGCGAGCCTCGCCTTTGCAATTTGCATCGAGCTATTAGAGATAACAAATAGGGGGTCGCGGTCCTGGTGTCAGCCCATCAATATTGCATTGTACTGTGCATACATATGAAGCCCCCCATGATGTTTGTACACTACAGTACAAGTTCACTATACCGGCTTCGAGCTAGCAGGCGACCCGCGATGTCTTCCTGAAGTATATGCCGTTAACCAACATAGCACGGACATGGGTAACCAAGACATTGGCAGTGATAAGGGAATCTTACACTCGACATCGCCAAGTGCAGTAGTCTACATGTAGTTTTGATGGTCAAGGCTAAAGGAAACAAAATGGTCGTGCAGACAGATGGACGGTTTTGGTTTCAGCGACAGGGCCCTTCCCCAGCCTGAACCAGCCAAGCAGACGTGCAGGACGCGGCCTTGGCGCTGGGAAGGAACCCTGTCTCAATATTCTTGGCAACGCTGCGTCGACCTAGCGGCCCTCCTCTCTCTTCCCCAAAAAATAGGGGAAAACCAAACCACCACCACACCCAAGACACCCAGTCACACCTCGACACACAAACTGTATTGAGAACAGACTAGACTCGAAGCCTACCGACGGCTAGCTAGCACGTACATACGTAACCAAAAAGACCAAAAACCAAAAAAAAAAGGCGCACATTGCATACCCGCCTGCTTGCTTATTGCCTACCAAGATATTGCCCCCCTCCCAACGAGTCGCCACCGACGCTCTCCTGATGATGATGCAAGTGCTGCAATGTCCCTCCAATCCCGGCCAAGGACTCACACCACAAGGCTGTGCGGGGAGCTTGTTCCGGTCGGTCCACCCAACCAGAGCGACAGCGTCGATCTCCCTTCCCTTTCCCTCTCTCCCGTCACCTTCTCCTCCTCCTGCTCCCCAACCCATGTTCCCGTCTTCCCACTTTTCCTTTTGTTCGAGCCATCCACCATCGCACGACAGGGCAAAAAAAAAAAAGTCAATCTTTTGTCTCGTCTCATTGCCTGCAGCTGTCTCTCCAGTCTCACCGGCTGCTTCGGGCTTCGGGCTCTCGCGTCTCGCGTCTCTCTCGTCTGCTGTTTCTCTCAACCCCCGAAGCAAAACTCGGAGGGGACAAGACCCTGGACAAGGAGATCCATACACAGGTATGCAGGTAGGAAGAATAGCGTGATGCATATCTTGCCTCCCCGCTACCCTACCTACCCTCCTCCCGGACAGAAACTACGCTATATGCTGCGTGTACACTGCTACGTAGGTACTACTGCGCGGACGCAACGGAACGCAACGAGCATGCTGTCTGTGCGTCGATATGTACGTAGGTGGACGGGAAAGGAATGAACACGCAGCCTACGTAGGTAAGGTAGTCAAGGTTGCTGCCGTCTACTCCAGTGCTACACTACCAAGCTCTCACTCAAGTCGTGTCTTGTTTTGTCCATGTGCCCTCTACACCACCCCCCCGTCCGTTGCAACTAGAATAGATAGTTAGCAGCGAGTAATGGAAAATAGCAATGAAAAGCAAGAAACGAGAAACAGACGTTTTCCAAGCTTCTGTGCGTCCCTCTCCCCCCCGCTCTCTGCCGATTAATCCGCCATCCTTTGTTCTCCAAAGATGGGCTGAGTGGACTGACGCTCCCCCCTTCCTAATCCCCTAATCCGGCGCTCGGGGTCCTTTGACGTCGGCTTCCCACCTCCGCAGCAGCGGGTTTCTCGCTCGCTGCCCGGCCCGTCCCCACGCACGAGCCTCTTCTCTCCCTCTCTCTGCGTCTGCCTGTTCTCCCATGTCAAGCTAGCCCCGGCGCCGTTGGTCCCGTAGCTCCCGTCCCCCCCTTTTTCGATTCTACTAGTGCGTGCCCCGTGTAGACCACCCCCCTTTATTTTGCAGGGGCTTGTGGACTGTTTGGCTGTTGTGTTATGTTGCTGTGAGCTGAGCGGAGAGCAGCTATCAGAGCAGTGCTGATGAATTAGCTAATATTGAGAGAGAGAGATAGACATAGATGTGTGAAGCATGCGGCTTCTGTGGGTTCACAGCTGCCAACTTGCCGCAGTAACTTGATGAAATGTGGTGGGTGGAAGGAGGTGCGTTGCACACTCTAGTGCCGTCGATTTGTTGATGCCGCCCCTGAAGAGCGAGCCGCGATATTGGGGGCAAATCACGGGTGGGTTGGTTCTCGCAGTTCTGACGCCCGTGACATGGCCCTTTATACCCCTGGTAGTAACGACAACCACAGCCTACGGCTTCGGATCTCGTCTCGGGCGGGCGTGGCCTAGGTAGGTACTGCGGCAACTTGATGAGGTGAGTCGCGACTGGTCAAGATTTCTGACAAGACATCTCGTGTACTGGACCAGAATCTATATGGTAATTATAGTGTGTGTATTGAAGCCTTCGCTGTTATCCGCGCTGGGAAGTATACTCTTGGGCTGTGTTCGAGGAAGGCACATCTTTAACTACCATGATAGGGGGTGAAAAGAGGAGAGAGTTAGGGAGGGGGAAAGACGAAAGTGGCCAGCAGATGACAGGGGGGACTGCACCTTAATCTATTGACACTTGCCAGAGTCTCCAAACGAGCCCCGACTATGTTGCCGTCAGTCAGCGACCATGTAAGTCACTTACTCGTCCGCGATGAAGCATGCCATGACAACCCTTTCCTGTCGCCACAGCAACAAGACACCATGGAGACCGGCGAAGAGAAGAAGAACAAACGGCACTCCATCCTATCTTTCGCAGTGAATAGGTACACAACTGGCGCCGAGTTCTTCCTGTGTTCTTTGTATATTCTCGCGAATACGAGCTAGTTAGAATATGCCAAACCCGACTTGGGAGGCAAAAGTCCTTTATATTTATACGCTCTCCCGAGGGAGCTAGGGACAAGAGAAGACAGTGACGGTTGGAAAGTAGACGGCTATCGATCAGGAGTGCGACATGGAGAAACACCGGGACGAGTAATACAAAAGAAGAGAGATATCATAGGACATGTTTTTTTCACAAAATCCATCACTCAACCTATATTTCCTTTTCATTAGAGGCCAGCACGTTGGGTATATTTGCTTATACTGTCATTCATACATCCCGTAGAGAGTATGGCAGCACTCTCCTGAGCGTCACTCACTTCACCCACAACAACAGAGAAAAAGGAAAGGGACAAGAGTAGAAACTAGAGCAAACAAATATAGGTACGTCTACAACCGTTCAGTAATTTCTGGGTCCAAGAAACAGGGCAATCATAACAACAAGCAATACCAAGTAGGCCACACCCGTGACAGTCGTCATTAATTGATCCCATAACTATCATCTGCATGCATGCCGATACCAGAAAGCAAAAAAAAAGAGAAGTAAAAACGCCCGGCCCAACTCAACTACAACCAAACACACACATTAACCCCTCCCTGCCTACCCACCTACCTGCTTCCGCTCCTGGAACAGAACCCAAGTATTAACAAGAAGAGAAAAGAAAAGAAGAAAACAAAGAAATCAATGAAAAAAAATATGCTATACCGCCACACACACGCACACACGCCCGCACTCCCACCCATTCATCCATCCGTCCGTACGTCCGTCAGTAATAATCCTTCGGGGATATCCGCCCCATCCCTGAACACACACACACATGTTGCACGCATTGATTCGTCATGTAACCCCTTCATACCCTATCCCCGTTCTCATTTTCCCATTCCCATTCCATCCCGGCCGGATGGCATGACATGGCGTGCTCATGTCAAGCCGGGTTTCCCAGACTTTGTACTTTTAACTCTCTCAGCCACTCGTGAAACAAAACAACCATAACAGAGAAAAGAAGAGAATCAAGCAAAGCTGTCCTCGGCCTGCCACCTCGCGCTCTCGTCAGGCAAGACGGCATCATTCTTCTTGATGCTCCCTCGATGTTCACCGCACAGCACAGCTCCGTCCTTGCCCTCGGCCTCAGCCTCACCCTCCTGTGCGCCAGCACGTACCAGCCCCTGTTCGGCGAGGGCAGCCCACACGGCGTCCCTACAGCCGGCCACATCGCCCCTGCGCAGGTCGAGGCCGTCAAGGCGCTTGACGCGGCGGCACGCAGCGCAGAACAGGTGCTCGTAGAGACGGCGGCGTATGCGCGTTGCGAGGTCGAGACGGCTGGCATAGGCGCGGTCGCGCGCGGGATCCTGGTCGGGCAGCGCGAAGCGGCCGCCGCTGGGGTCGTCTTCGGCGGCAACTGCAGAAGTAGTAGAAGCAGAAGCAGAAGCAGACGCAGACGCAGCACCGTCGCTGCTGCCAGACTCCTCGGCGGCACGGCGAGCCACGGCCATCATCTGCGCGGGGACATAGAAGCCCTGCGTGACAGGATTGTCGCGGACGTCGACGGCGACCAGGTGCGGGAACGCGGCCAGCGTGTCGACGAGGGCGGCGGCGTCGGCAAGGCGGTTGCCTGAGGTAAAGAGGCGCTTGAGACGGGGGATGCAACGCAGCGGGGCGAGGTCGGCGAGGGCGTTGAGGTTGAGGTTGAGCACGCGCAGGTTGGGCATCATGAGGCCTAAGTCGGCGGGCAGCGTTTGTAGGCCGCAGTTGGCGAGCTCGAGGAGCTGCAGATTGAGGAAGTCGACGGCAGGCGCAAACGATGACGGCCCGTCTTCGGCTCCGAGGAAATTCCCCGACAGGTAAAGCTTGCGGACTTCATAAGCTCGCGAGAGTAGGTACGCAACGTCGAGAGCGGGCGTCGACTCGTCTGCACCGCCCTGCTGCTCGCGTAGCGACAGGCTGTCGATGCGACGGGCGCGCGAGAAGCCCGCAATGCGGCTGATAAAATTGCGATCAGCGTGCAGGAGCCGTAGATGGGGAAGCAGCTTGATGTCTAGCACCGAGATCCTGTTGTCGTCCAGCCGCAGGTGCCTGAGCGAGACGAGTGGCTTCTCCGACTCGATTGCAAAGCTCTCAAGCAGGTTCCCCTCAAGGTTGAGCGAGCTGAGCCCGGGCAGCTGCTCGAGGTTGGCGATGCGCTTGATGGCATTGTTTTTCAAATCGAGTTCCATCAGCTGATGCAGCTTGTTGCCATCCAGATCCAGCTCCTCAATAGCATTTCCCCTGGCCCGGAGCGTCTGGAGGCCGCTGTGGAACTTGATGCCCTCGAGGCTGGTGATGAGGTTGTTGTCCACCTTTAGGCTTCGTAGATGAACGAGATCCCGGAAAGCCGAGAGGCTGGTGAGTCCATTGTTCGAAATGTCGACATACTGGAGGTTCATCAGGTGGCCCCAGGACGTCAGGCTCGACAGCTGATTGTGGACCATCTTCAGGTGTCGCACTGTCGACGGGACGCCGACGAGATTCCGGATGTCGTTATTAGAGACGTCGAGGCTCTCTAGATGGTCGCAGAATTCGTCGAGGGCATGCAGGCTCCCCAGCCGTTTATCTCGAAGATCCAGCTCGCGCATGTCGTCCCAATACGGCTCAAAGGGCTCCACCTCGGCCAGCTTGTCCACCAGGTCTCGCGTGTTCATCGACATGACGCGCCTCGACTGGTCGCCCGTTACGAGGTGATGGTTGCCAACAATGTAGCTGGCTTCGAGCGGCATTGTCTCCTCACCTTGGTGCATCGTAAACTCCGAAATGGGGCTCAGGGACAGCGTGCCGACGTATTGGCTGATGATGGGGGCTGCGTCGACCCCGGCAAGAGAGCAATCCCGGCGGCGTGCCGGGGTTGTGACGACGAAGCTGAGACTCGCCTGATGTCCGCCATCGGCGTCGTGGCTGACGACACTACTGTCGGCGACGATGCTAAGCTCCATATTGGGAGCCGGGGTCCGGTTCCATACCCGATCGAGGACCGACTCCTCTTCTAGCTCGTCGATCCTGGAGATGGGGCGGGGCACAAAGGTGTGACCCCTAACTGAGAGATGTCGTGCAGGACCCCGCGAAGTGCTGCGCGACCGCGAAGAGCTATTTCTGGCCGAAGTGTGAACCGACACGACCCGCCGGCCCCGTTTCATCGAGTCCCACGTAAAATCCTTTGAGGCATCATCGGCCTGCTCCAGTACGCTTGGCTCGTCGGCAGCCGCCTCGCCCTCTTCTTGAGCATCTTGAATAAAGGAAGCGACTGGAGACGAGAAGCTTATGGTCATGTTCCGTCGCTTGGGAATGCTCGCCCGCCCTTCGTCGATCTTGATCTCGTGCTCGACAGAGTCGTCGTCTATCTTCGCATTCGCATTAGTGACAGGTTGGTTGGCGACCCTGCTCGGGCCTGGGCGAGGCGGGCTCGGCGGTGAGCTGGCATACGCTTCTAGCAGCGCCGACTTTGACATGGGGGCCGAGTTGGATGGCCTCGAGGGGCTGGTCGGACTGGCGGCCTCTGCCGGATCATCGTGGGAAGCTTGTTGCTTCTTCGCCGTCGCGAGCCTCAGGTTCTGCATCTCGATTGTCATGTCGACGGTCAAATCGGGTATGTCGGCAAACGGGTCGTCCTCGCTGGCCTCGGATGGAAGAAAGTTAGTCCTCCTGTTCCCGCTTGAAGCTGTTGAAACCGCTGGCTTTGGCGGCTTCCGCTTGATCCATATGTTACGCTGCTTGTCCAGAACCATATTCCCGACCTGGTCTGGAATCAAGTGCTGTACAGTTTCCGGCGCAATTGTCTTTCTCGTGTCGGATCCCCGTGACGATCCGGTTGGGATGGACCGCCCGGTAGACTGGCTTGACGAACCGCTCGAGACGTGCGAGGGCAAGCCATTGCCGTCGTTCGCGAACTGGCGCTCCTGCAAATCGGGGTTCTGGGAGATGCGGATGTTGGGGGGGTCGCTGATCACGTCGTCGTCAAAGATGGATGGCCGGGTGGAAATGCTGTCCAGTGTGCCCTGGCCAAGTGCCACAGAGCGCATCGACGAGCTGATTATGTCTCCCATGTCGCTGGCTTCCTCGTACTTCTTCAAGCGCTCGGCGAGTTCTGGATCTTCCTGCCTCGCAGACATGCGCGCGACCGGAGCACGCCCTTCGCGGCTGGGCGGGCGCGAGAAGGGCTCCTGTGTTGATTCTTGATAAGACGTGTCCGAGTCGGGCGACAGCTGCGGCTGCCCATTCTCTGCGTCCGACTCCTCCACGCTGGCCAGACCACTCGCCAGGCCAGCCTTGCTGCGGATCATGGCCATGATCTTGTTCGCCTCGTTGATAAAGTCTTCGGTCTTGATCGACGGCTTCCGGTCCGCATCTAGGACGGAACCGAGCGGCATTGGAGCAGAAGGCTGGGCATGTCTGGCAGAGCGGCCCGGAGACTTCTCTATGTCGGCGAGAGGCGGCCGATCCCACTGGAGAGAAGGCCTCTGGCCGGGCGTGGGAGTTCGTGGCCTGAGCAGCTGTCGCACCGCAAGAACGTCAGCATCCGCAAACTCCAGCTGGTCGCCGTGGCGTGCGTCTTTGCGCTTTCTCCCAATGATAGACTGCATCTGCTGGTGCGAGAGCTGGACAGAATCTACCGCCCGGGCATCAACCATGGCCTCGTACGCAACGTCTGATTTGTGCAGTGTCCTACGGCGCTTTGGTGTTGGATCTTTGGAAGGTGATGTGCGAGGCCGCTTGATATCCGACCCCGAGTCTCTCTGCTTGGGCGTCGACTGGACCTCGGCGCCGTTTGAACACGAGTCCTTGACGGACCTCCTCGCCTCGTCGACGGAAATGCCTCGCATGGAATACCGCGACGAGACAGATGTTGATTTCTGACGCAGTTTGCGCACTACCAAGTCGTCTATCTCGGACGGCGAAGAGTCGTGACTGACGTCGAAAATAGGGGCATGCGCCGCCATTTGCTCCGAGTCTCCATCGGGGTGGCGATTCTCCTTGTCCCCGTCCAGGGCCGAGACACCGTTGGACACGTACGAAAACTCGTCGCTGAATTCATAGCCATCGAGTCTTCCAGCACCAAACTGGTTTAGGGATGCAGAGGACGTGCGCACCTCGTCCCCTTGCCCATCTATCCATGTTTGGTCAGCTGCTCGTCGTGATGCTTGGCCTTGACCCAAGCTTAGCGGTCGCTCGAGCTCTTCCTGTTTGGGAAACGAAGGCGTGTCGTCCTCGGCGCCCTCCTGAAATTGGCTCAGTCGCCTTAGGAGGGTCTGGTTGGTGAATGTGTCATAGGGCTGAAAAAGCTTCAAGGGGCTTCCAGAGGTGCCCTGGGTCTGAGTAACAGTCTTCTTTTCCGGGCTTGGATTCGGCACGCGGGGGATGTCTGGACTGTCGGCTGGCAGCGCCTCGGTCTCTTCCCAACGCTGCGTCCTAACAGAGGGAAACTGCTTTGGCGTGCTGGCCTGGAGCGACTCTTCTGGGAGCAGTTCTGACGTGTCGTTCATGGCTGAACTAAGGCCATGGTTGCGAAAGGACCCGTCAGCCGACCGCCCGCCTCTCCGAAAGTTGATGAACCCCCCCAACCTCTCAAAGTCTTCTGTAGTCTCGACATTATTCCCAGCCCCAGACGGACCGTCTAGGGCGTCGGGGTCTGTTGTGAGGAGCATCTGGTTCCGACGGAGCTTCTCGAGGCGCTTGCGCAGCTCGTCGGGGCGCAGGTCCGCAGCACCAAACATCTCCTTGCCGTTGCTGGCCTGGCGTCTCTCAATCAGGATTGGACTGAAGTCCTCGTTGCGAACGACGCTGCGGCCACTGGCCTTGCGCGACTCCGTCTCGAGTGCGTCGTGGCGCGGAGGCGACGGAGCAGTCTGTTCCGTCGGTGAGACATCCTGGGAGTAGCTTTCGGGGGGCGGCGCGCTCAGATCCGAATCACCGCTGGCCTCAAAGGACTCGTCTGTCCGTCTGTATCGCATTGATGTCGGGGCCCTCCTCTCGGCCTGCTGAGGCAGCTCGTGCCCCGACTCGTCAACGTGTATCTCTACCGTCGAAGGATCCCGGAGATAGGGCGGCGGGCTGGAGGGTAAGGTAACGTCGTATTGAGAAGGCCTGGCCGCCTCGTGGTGCTCGTATGACTCTTCCTGAGCTGAGCCATGGCCCCGGTGGGCAGCTGACGGCTGTGGCGGTGGGGGCTTGAATATGTTTTCAAGCACTGCGCCTGCCGAGGTGAACAGGTCGCGCTGTTCCCCGAACGATAGGTCGCCGTCGACTAAGCGCCTCTTCCACTCGGGCGTGTCCCGTTGCCCCTTTGTGGGCGACGTGCTCAGCGACTTGTGGTGGACTATGTTATGGACGACCGAGCCTGATGTCGAGGCAGCCGAGACGGAGCGGCTCGAATAGCGGCGGTCGTGGAACTTGATCTCTTGTGAGAGCTTGGAGGGCGTGCGGCGAGAACCAGCGCCAACGAGCTCGTTCACGCTCCGCTCGCTCAAGACGTTGCTGCTGTTGAAGTCGTCGATGGCGCCAGCAGCCTGTGGTTTCTTAGCGCCATTGTTCAGACGCGGGATCCGACTGACAGCCGTCTTTGGGGGAGATTGTGTTGTCGCGTCGTGGCCGGTCTTTGCGTTTGCTTTCGATGTCGGGTTTGGATTCGGGTCTTGGAACGACGTATCGGAGCCGTGCTGCGACACCCAGTCCTCGGACAGGGAGTCAAGCCAGGCATTGCCGCCCATCGTGGTCCGGTCGAGCCGTGGCCACGGCGCAATTGTGATGTGTGTTGTGGAGGACGTGGTGGGCCGTGATGGTCGTGGGTGGCGTCGCTCGATGTCGTCGACACGGGGGCGCGATGAATCTGTCAGCTAGTAGCTGCCATCAGGCATGCCGCCTCCCAGTTTGAGTCCGTCGGTTTCCGTGACAGGGACAGTTAGATGCCGTCGGTTTGGTGGGGTCCGGCGATGGTTCTAGGTTGGGGTAGCGGGTAGCTGGTGGTGGTAGTGGTATTGAAAGGGTTGTGCGATGCTTTGGCTATGCTGCGCTATGATGTGTAAAGTAAGGTAGGTCGTGCTGTGATTTTTGCTACTGTTATGGTATCGTGTATGTACTATGTACAGTACAGGCAGTTCAGTCCAGTGCTGTTTTGGAGGCGGCCCGACGCGCTTCGGCTCTGGCAATCGACCAAAGCTGCCGTGTCGCGCAGTGGTGGACAGTATTGCTGTACCTGTGCGTAAATCGATCCGGAATACCTAATGGAAATAATGCTTAGGTGCTATGGGTAATTGAGCATATGGATCCTGATTGCACGTATACAGCTCCCAATCCGGTATCAACTGCAGGGGCTCAGTTGGGTTGGGGTTAATTGATTTTCGCGTTTTTGGTAAACAGCGCCAAGCCCATTGGATGGCAGCCCTGTGCCTTTGCCGTAGCAACGGCGTTGCATCCGTTTCAACCGCAAAGAGACAGAAGGTACGTACCTTTTGTTCAAGTGCGTGCAGCAGCAGGTGACCACGCGGGCCTCTTTAATTGACGTTGGAACGCGTCTTGACGCGCGCGCCGCGCGCTAACAATTTCTAGGCACTGGGCCAACGCGGCGTAAAATGGCCTCTGACTTGACGGCGTATCTCACTCAGCCCTCTACTCGACTTGTCAGTTACGTAATGTTCCAGTAAGTCTAATTGTCGACACCGACCCACTGCATCTGCGTCGGCATCGCAGCTGCGTCCAGGGACAGCAACAACGACAGCAACTGCCACAAATGCAAACAGCGCCGACCTTCATGTAACAATTACACTTTCCCTTGCAAAGGACGACATACCCACGATGAAACGTCACTGCCTAAGCCCCAGCCGCACATGGCTTCTACCAGACAACTTTGCCGACGAGCTTGTCTATTGCGAGGCCGTGCCCAAGTCGGCCGACGACGTGCTCTACTCGGGATCCGAAGACGAGGCCTATGACAATTCCGACGACCGCCGTGCTCGCTACGAAACCCAAGCCCAGCGCTTCCTGAATGGCCACGAGCCCGTCCTGCTCTCGGCATCACTGCGCGGCCCTTTCGGGGGGAAGCATGGCTGGACCAATCCCTGGCGCTCTACTTCGGCATCGGCTCTGCATCACCACCACGTCGAATCCAGCCAGATCCTGGGCACCGCCACTTCCTCCATGCCTCCCCCCGAGACCGTCCGACCCAAGTCTCCCGCACGCGCACATCGATTCCTCAACAATGAATCGCTGTGCCGCGTCGACAGTTGGCGGCAGGGCATCACGACGGACATCTGCACCAACCAAGCGTCGTCATCTCAGGGCGCTTCCATTACTGAATCTGAAGACTCCATTTTACCAGGCACCCAATCGGCTAGAGGCAATGGCACTTCGAGAACACTAGAGGTGTTTGTTGAAGATACTACGCCTCTGAAGAATTTATCACAACCCCCAGTTGTCGTTAAGAAAGGCGCCTCTGTGAGGCCTCCATCAGAAAGACATGGCTCGTTTCAGTTTCGGAGAAGGCCCTCAGTATCGAGTAGCTTGAGCTCACTACCGACGAAAAAACCTGAGCCTTCTTCCGTCTCTCTTAATGGACAGGCCGTTCAGCCGGCAAAGATGGGGCACATTGTACCACAAGCAAAAGTGCTGTTGCCGACGAAAAAGCCAGTCAATATTGCCCGGGCAGCAATGGAGACGATACTTACTCCTCGCGCAAAGGAGGCCAAAAGCGGCTTCCAGAGTGCTTCGGACCGCAGTTTTTGCTTCCGGCGCTGGGGTTCTCGAGACAAAGTCACGACTGCCATTCCAACCACCAAATCATCTACCAAGCTCGTGACTCAGCAGGCATCATCGCAAACTAGTAACAGAAAGAACTCTAAGAAGACTGTAGCTTCACAAAGGCCGGAATCTACGGGCAAACACGCATCCCAGCTCTCCAGAGAAGACTGCGAGGGGGTCATAGTTATGGATATCCCCGAAACCCATAAACCCGATCTCGTTGGGGAGTCAATTATTATTGCCGGAAACTTGCCTGTGGAATTCGAGGACGAGGGCGGGTCGGAATCCTCTGATAGCTCTACGGACTCCTCCGAGAGTACTTCAGAATCGGAGAGGCACACTGATGATTTAGATCCCATTAGAGAGGACGGTACTGGAGAGACAACTCCGCTAATCGACGGGCCGACGCTGGTCCCCCCTGAGTCCTCAGCATCATTGCTAAAGTCACCGCTACGTACCGACCCGAGCGTGTTTTTGTCAACTGAGAAGTTTCTCAAACCATTTGTTGGCGAGAAGCCAAAAATGTCTAGAAAGCTTCTTTGGCCCAGTTCACAACAGCCCGTCAAAAGCAGTTTGTCGTTGTCGTCCCTTCCAGCCGCGGCCTCGTCACAACCTCTTCCAGAGATAAGATATAACGTATCTAAAAACGCAACCCTACCAGACCTCCTGCCAGCGAGTGCCAGACTGGTGAAAGGGCATTCGCCCCAAGTTAGTACGCAGCCTATGGTCACGTTAACAGCTCGGGGAGAGGAAACGCTCGTGGAAATAGTTGAGCAGAATAGTCAGCCCAACGCTAGCGACAAAAACTTGAAAACGGAGCCAGAGCCCGAAACCAGTACGGAGAAGGACGAAATTGCCGAACCCAGCTCAATCTCTCCCATGCCCATTAATCAGAGTCCCTGGTATACAGATGAAGTCCGCTCCAAGGCGCTTGGGGAAGCTACCGAGGCCAGTAAGCTCGAGCCCCGCCAATCCCAGGGGTTGCATAGACGTATCAGCCAAAATCTATCCCAATCCCAGAGTCCATGGGCCGCAAATGCACATGTGGCACCTCAAATCCCAACTGCAAATGTTGAGAGTTTACTAGTCATTGCCACTGAAGCACTCAGGGGGACTGGCTACCAAAGCCCACGGAGACCTGGTGGCTCGCAAATCCCGGTTTCTGACACCGGACCTTTCAGTCCTATATCGCTACCTCCCGTTGAATACGATCTGCCAAACGCCACAGATTCCTACCCCACGCTCCGACAAGCATCCTACCGTGACGAAGATGTTGACATGGCCAATTCTCTGCCGCATACCAACCAGCCATCTACACCCGAGACCAAACGCTCTAGTCTGCCGACCCCTGACTTCACCTTGTCGATCAAATCCTTTAGAGAGTTTATGACTCCGTCCCCTCAACGCCCTACAAAGATACGTCGCATCTCCACGGCAGATGGCGGGTATTTGCCAAGCACACAAATCCTCGTGGACGCTGCGATCTCTAACCCTTGGGCCATGCCGTCGACGAAAAAGAGGAGTCACAACAGGATAAAGAAACATGTAACATGGGCGCCACTTCCTGGGGAAGAAGGTGCCAGCCCCAGGGATGGCGACGAAGTCAGCCAGAACTCCCTGCACGGCGCCGAGCCGCCATATATCACCACTCTGGGCAACCCGGCACCGAGACTGCCTCGCGCCGCCTCGCCGCCTCCTCTCATTGTCGCAGCTGAAATCCCCGCCCGTGATGAGAAGTTCGCAAAACACTTTGCTGCCATGGCAGGCCGCCGCCTTCGAACCCCGATCCCCCGAACAAGTCTCCTCCCAAGCGCCTCGCAGCAGTTTTGTGCCAGCCCCGCCGTTGACGCCATGGCCAATGCCTTCATCCAGGCTGACGAGCAGGCGACGGATGGCACCGCAGCGGTGCAGGGAGATAGCCCACTGCTGCCCTTGGACCTGCGCGGCAACACGCGTATGGAGGAAGACGGGGCACAGGGAGGCGACCGGCTAGTGCAGGACGGGGAAGAGTCTGACGCCACCGATGATGTCAACGCTGTCCTGGAAAACATTAGTGACTTCCTCGAGAGCTGGGATATCGACGCTGAGCTCGCCAAGGCAGCTAGGGCGGACAACAGCCGTAGCGGCCGCGACAATGATACCCCGACGAGGATGCCCCGGTCTGTACTAGTGGGGTCTTCTATTGCTGTGGATCTTCCGGGCCTGATGGACGACGGTGTCTGGGACTAAGGTGCAATATATGTGACGAGCAGAGGTCACATATCGGCGTGTATTTGCTGGTTTCTTATTTTGGGTGGGATTCGGAGCGAGTGAGTGTTTCTTTCAAGGGGAGTATACGGGACCATTCTATTCTAAACGTATACCCAAAAGAGGGGGTGGGGGGGGTCTTTTCTCTCTATCGGTTTTTTTTCTTCCTCGTTTTCTTTTGGTCTGTGGCGGCTGGCGTAGTGGAGTTGTGGTTTAGATAGGTGCTTTATTTAGCTTCAATTGACGACGAGGTATGTCGCTGTACTTACTTAAGTATGGAATGGCAAACCTAGGCACTGGGTGGTGCGTTATATGTGTATGTGTTTACATTTTGTGGGGCGTGGGGACGGGCACTCGTGTTTGGGGAAGACTGGCAGACAAGGCAGGGTCCCTAGGGAGTAAAGGGGCTGAAAGGCGGATTTGTTTGTCCTGTCCTTTGGCGCACTACAGTGGTCTTTTACATGTGTCGTTATTGGTCTTGTTGCTCTTGTTGTTATTGTTGTCCCGGTAATACCTACCTATCTACGAAGTACCTGGTGAGTTTGGCAAGGAGGTGATGATGGATGGTGGTTCTGTTTCACTTCTCGGCGCTGTCACCGTGTTTGTGCATGTACACGCCCTGTTACGGGCAGCGTACATTGAAGATATATTCAATGACATCTGGATTTTGTTTACTTGCGAAACTACTTTACCTATCTACCTAGACAAGCAGCTCTCCTTGGCTCACGACACGGGCCGAGGTTCTGGCAAGGTTTCTTGTTCGGAAAGGGAGAGGGGTTTGTACTTAGACACTTAAGTTTCTTACTTTGTTTAGGTGACATGAGAGTGGTGATACGGTGGCGCGATACAATGTGATTCCTTTACGCAGGAGGGTGTATTGGACAACATGAGAAGAGAGTTCCGGTTTGCTTTGTGAAAGTCAGATAGCCAGATTGCAACAGCCGGTTTACTAGTCACATCCTACTCCAGCTGACGTTATAGTTGTGACCCCTCGATCTCTCGCTATAGTTCTGTTTCCTTTACACCAAGTCTCAGCATCTCGGTGCTACGAACTGCGGGCACAATATACGGCCAGCGGCCAAGCCCGTGTCGCACCACCTACCCGTCCACCACCACCACCAGCGATATATTGGTCAATACTCATCGGGACGGTCGACGAGTGAGCGCCGCGACAATCCGGCAGTTCACTTTTCGCGTTGCGCAAGATACGACGCAGCCGCACGAGCAACCGGGCGGAGTAGACTGGCTAGAGGAGGACAATATTCCCCTTAGCGTTCAGCCCTTGAGCTTCTAGGAGCGTGCTACCCACATGGGTTGAACCATTGGATATCCTTTGACCCAGGGAGAAGGAGGGAGATTGGGGCGGTCTGACAAACTCTGCAAATCTGAGCTGCTGTGCAACAGGGGAGCAGCGGAAACGTGCCGGGACTGTGGAGTAGGAGGAGGCACTGGGATGATTGTTTGTGAAAAAGAACGACTTCTGATAACAAAAACCCCTACATGTCAAGTGGTATGGAAGCTGATCCTCTGTCAGCCCAGACAGGCTAAATATGAGCAGGTGGCGTGAGTACCTGGGTAGGTATCAAGCAAAGAGCCTCATCAACTGCCACAACCCCTGTCAAATATGCTGCAGGGTTTCAAACGTCAAGGGCAATTGGAACTCTCAAATATCTGGATCGAAAAAAACGGAAAGCTTTCAGTACTCCCAATGCATGTCGGAGACGCAACCTAGTGAGGAAAGCAGCGAGGATCCTAACTCAAAAATAGGTCGTGGCGGGCGGGAGATGTAGTCCAGGCCAACCTGTCGAGCATGAACCTCGGGAAGTCTCTGTTCACTGACCTTTCAGCAAGCTGGGGTGTTGAGACGGCGGCTTCGATATTTTGGAGAGAAAAGCCAGATTATTAGTAGCCCCGTGGAAATACAGGATGGGAGAAGCGGCTCAGTCCATTTTCATCCTTTTTTCTGCATCAGGTCAGAATGTTCCCGAGATTTTTGGTCGTGCTCAGTCCACTCCGTGGAACTAACTAGGCAGTCCTATAGTAGGCATGAAAGAAAGCAGAAGGGGTGCCGATTGAGATATTGAACTCCTTATCAGGCTTCATAATGCCATAATAATGCCCTATCCCGGTCTTCATCGGTTCTTCCGTTGTCCTTTGGTGGCTCAACTCGGAACAGAGTCAGATAGGCACTAAGCCCAAATCTACCCACCTCAAGCCAAAGCAACACGCGGCATAGCCACTTCGAGACCTGATCATTAGCAGTAGTCAAAATGGCAGGCTGACTATGCCCTCGCAGGGAACCAAGCACTCGCTTGATGCGGTAATGTCGGTCGAGAAGAGAGACCTGGGGGAGCGGTGCGTGCTGGGATCCAAGAAGTTGACGGGTGGTCTGTGAGGAGCACGTTTCTGCTTGATTGGTGGTGGGCTACTCGGGCTGCGCAAACTCGTGCAGAAACTCGGTCGGGCACCACCACCCTTGGTTCAGGGCAGGCGGCACTTGCTCGTCGCGTCGAAGCCAAACTAAGGAGCGGTTGGGACTGTCCAAGACGAAGCCGAGGAGGAGGGGAGGGGGAGGGGCCACGACTGGGAGGGATTCGTCCATCGGCGCGAGTATCGCGTGTCTGCACCCTTCAAGGCTCGCTTGGTCGTGAGCCCGGCTGGTCGAGCGTGGTATCAGCAGTAGGGGGCTGATGGCAGCTTGTTGCCTGATTGCGCGACATGTTTCCGAGTTCCGGCCGTAAAGGAGGGGAACAAGGAGTAGGAGGTAGGAGGCGGGAGGCATACGACGGCGCAATGTAAAGTACGAATAGACCGCGATCATTCAAGGTTCCGGATAGGAATGCCGTCCGATGCCGTCGAACGCCGACAAAACTTGGTTTGGACTGCGTGTGAAAGAAATATTGATGGTATTTGACATGTCAATTCGCGTCGTCCTCCAATAGGGACGCTTCCAGTAAACTCTGCTATACCGAATGTCTGTACATACATTACTTACATGCATAGAAGGGATTCGACACTCGGGGCCGGAGCAAGCTCGAGGAGCTGACTTAGCCTGGCCGCGAATTCTATTGCGTAATGACACGAGGACCCTCCGGATTCAAACGGCATCTCTCGGCTGGCGACGCTGGCTCCGAACCTTGAATCTGGAGGTCAAGATACGCAAAGCAACAGTGCTGCAGATTAATATGTCTGTACATACACTTCCAAGCTGCATCCTTGGGGGTTTGGATCTACAGCTGATACGTGTGTAGGGAGAATCCGTGGTTCGAGCTGCAGTGATCAAGTGGGCCCCACATCCCATCGTCGACGGGCTTCCGACCCCGGCCTCCTACGATCAGTCCGAATCTGCGTTTCAGGCCGACCACGGAGGCCAGCCCAATGGGAAGGTGAGATGGCGACAGGAGTGGTACCGTGCTGATAAGAATTGCGTCGTTGCCAGCCTGGCGGTCGCATGTTGCTGGGAGCTAAATAAAATTCAGCCAGACGAGAGAAGATATCTGTCGGCGGCGCTGGCGACGTCATCGTGATTGGCCTCGAATTGGTTTAGAACTGAGTTACTACCCTAGAATTTAGCTTCTAGCCCTGGGGTTTGCTGTCCAAGTGGGGTTCGTTATTCAGTGGAGAAATGCTTGCTCAGGTGCACGGTGTGCTAGGACGTCCCTTCCCCAAGCTCGAATTTTCCCTAAAAGACCCGCTACTGGCCTAACAAAATAGCCACCCTTCCCGCGTTTGCATTTCTATTGCATTTTCAACACCCCGTCATTCCCACCTTTTTCTTATCTCGATACTTTAGTCAGGTACAGTGCCCGCGTCTTTGTTTGGCAACCGCCGCACCAGGCTTGTGTCATACCCTAAGTACCAAGGTAAGGTAAAGAGTGCAGTTCCGATGCCATAGATTGCAGACCGACCTGCACCAAGTTGCCAGTGTACTATGCATGCCTCCGGCTCGTTGCCAGCACGTTCTCACACTATCCACCTAAACTAGAAAAGGCACAACAGAGGGGGAAAAAGGCAAACTGAGCGGACACAAGAAAATATCCCCGAAAAAGAGCAAGGCCAAGGTTCTGCAGAAACCCAACCTCAACGCACAGCGGCAAACGATACCGATCCACGCATTCTCGCAGTCGCCGCCAGATGTCCACCTCATGTCCAGCCCGCCTTCTGAGCCCGGAAATGCCGCAACCGCTGCACCGGTGAGCCCTGACCGTGCTGCTGCTGCTGTTGCTGCTGCTGCCACAACCACCACCACCATAGCTGGTGCTGGTGCTGCCGTCACAGCGACCCCCCAACCTGACGATGCGCCACCCGCCCACGCCCACGCCCATGCCCACGCCCAGCAGCTAGACCAGGCTGGAGCCGCGCCGCACCACCTTGGGCCTCTCCCCATCCCTCCTCCCGTCACACCCCAGCCCCCGTTGCCCGCGGCCACGGCCACCGCCTCTGTTGCCGCACCTTATGCAGATCAGATTAAATATCCTCGTGGCCCTGTCCTCCCGCAGAGGCCCCATAGCCATGGCCCCTCGCTGCTGACACAGGCTCTCGCAACAGCTCGTGGCATCCCTATCCACAGCCAGGCAGAGCCGTCGCACACCAAGCCCCAATCTACACGATCACCACCAGACCAAGCTGCCCGCCTGGCGTCACTTGATTCTCCCCAGCCCTCGACCGAAGAAGTCGGTGGTGGTCAAGATGCTCGCCATGACTCCCTCCTTCAGGTCTCTGGCGGTGTTCTGACGCCACGAGCTTCTTCCCCGCCGACTGCGATGCACCCACCGTCGACCGCTGCTGTCTCTGCAACTGTCGAATCTCGCAGCGCCAGCGCCGGCGCGAGCGAGACTCCCGCGCCTACTGCCTGCAGCATGCTGAACCTTGGCGAGGTGAATTCGATGCTTAACGGCCACCGCGATTTTCTCTCCAAGACCAAGGGACGAAGTTCTCCGCTGGAACGTACAGACCGGGAATGGAGGCTCCAGGACCGCCTAAGTCGATCAAGCACCTTCCCCCACGACTCTGCCACCGGCAGCTCCCACACTTCGCCGCTCTTGACAGACTCACCTCTTGGCGCGCAGGACGTCAGCGCCGACGAGGGCGCCTTGTCGTCGGATGGCCTCGCCCGCGCTGTGACGTGGAAGCCGGAGCATCGCGTGTCTATGGGTCCCGAGAAGGCTTGGTCAATTAGCACTGGAGATCTCGCCACGGGTCAGGAGGATGGCCGGGTTGAGAAGTCAATCGCCGAGGTCATCTCTGGCGGCGAGGCAAACGTGCGCAGCCGGAAAGCAAGTCACAGACTTGGCTTCTTCAAAGAAGGGCTTCCCGAAGAAAAGGGCAAGAGAAAGGAATCGCGTCCTGGGCCACATGTCCGAGATAAACCGCTACCGATTGTTGAGACTACTACTACTACTACTACTACTGATGCCCAACGGCAACCCGGGGGCGGCGAAGGAGCCAATACGCGCACCTTGGCGGCTCACGAAGACAGGTCTTTGGCCGCTAATAGTCATAGCCAAGTGCGCGCATTCACTGTGCGTAGCCCCGAGGCGTGTTCCGCCAGTGACTCGCAGCAAGATTATATTTCTTCCAATCGCGGCCCAGCTCCGGCCCGAGACGTCACTGCTCACCACGCTGCGCCGGATGCCGAGCCCCCTTGTCTAGATCGTCAAGCGACCGAGTTTGGTGAGGATGATGCGGACTTGGGGTTGGAGGCACGGCGGAATTCGGATGACAGCGTTGGGCTTGGAGAGTGTGCTGAGGAAGGCGATGAATCTGGCGAGGAGAAGATCTCGTCTGCGGTTTTCTTGCCGCATCAGGGCCTCGAGCAATCGCAAGACCATGCCGCAATCCCTGGCGTGCCCCCGAGATCAACCCCCGCACCGAGGACGGTTTCGCGAGCGGATGATTGGCTTGTTAAAGCTGGTGAGCCTGAGGTTGATCAAGTCCAGAATGCCGACTATGAGAGGCTGCCTCGGCCGGAGCCCGCCGACAGCTCCCATGTATCTCCAAAAGTAGACTCCAGCCAAGTCGATGGTTCTGCAATTGCCGATGAAAGTGACCCTACCGCTTATCCTCCCAAGCCCACGCGTCCGCTTCCTCAATATCATGAGGATAACGTCCACGAGCATCAGTGGGCGCCGAAGCAGCCGCTGGAGGCGATCGAGCTGATCCCCTACAAGCATCAAGTGGGGGGACATACGACCCTGTGGCGATTTTCTCGGCGCGCTGTCTGTAAACAACTGAACAATCGAGAAAATGAGTTCTATGAAAAGGTGGAAAAATACCATCGCGACCTGTTGGCTTTTTTGCCAAGGTATGTTCATGCTAGCCTGGCCTCTCTTCGCCTTTCTTTCGGCCAGCGCGAACATTGCTAACAAGGCCCCGCCCTCCGCCAGATATATTGGGGTTTTGAATGTCACCTTCCAGAAGCAGCCGCGGCGCAAGTCTACCCTAAAGCAAAACGATGTCGCGGCGTTGGAGCGGCACCAGGTCGGCCAGCCCGAGTCCGGCGTCGATGCAAAGCGCAACGAGACTGCGCGGGATGAAGCCGCGCAGAAATCGCAGGGCGCCCAGGCCTCAAGCACTCATCAAAGAGTCGTAAGCCAGTCGCTCCAGCCGTCTCCAGGCCAGATCCCGACGGTTACCTTTGTGGATAACCAGCACATCCTGCCCCGGAACCTCCTGCAGCCGTCGCCGGGCGGATCCAGCCCGTCCGGTCGCTTCAGAAGCCCGTCTGCATTTGCCCAAGAGCTTGGCACGGGAGGGCATAACGGCTCTAGCGCTAGTGGACGAGCCGACTTAGCACGCCCTGCCCTCCAGGACCGCCATGCCAACAGCTGGGGAGCAACCACGGTGAACAAGAGACTCCGGAACGAAGTCTTCAACGATGCGTTCCTAAAGCAGCCTATCGCGATCCATCGGCATAAAAGGGGGCACCAGCGTCCCTTGCCTCGAACTCTTCAGCAGGCACTCCGGTCGACTGGATCGGATCCGAGCTTGATGGACTCGCACGACAAGCAAGCTCGAGCCTTTGGCACCGTGGGTGAGCCGCCCAGCTCCCTCAAAGTCAGCTCCATGGCGCAAAGCGCGAGCGATCTTGGCCAAGTAAGCGTTTTTTGCGAGGATGATGATGAACCGACACCTGCGGATGTGACGGGGACTAGCGCGCCCGAACCCGAGATCCTCGGAGACGCATCTCCCGCGCAGAAGAAGAAGCGTCGGTATTCCGGGACTGGCCTCCGCAGGAAGCCAAAGGACGTCAGAGACGCCCGTGGCGACCTTAGATACTACGCTGAAGCAGACGATGCTGGCTACAAGGGAAAGAGGGAAGAGAACAAACTCAAGGCTCTACAGGACGCACTCCCGGTTGGCTCCGAGCCTGAGCTCGAGCCGGCACAGAACGAGGGAAATGGCAATTTGCTCCCCGATGCAAACTTGTCGGTGATGTCTTCGGCCGCCACTTCGGGCCTTCCGAGCCCGACGTCAGAGTTCAAGAGGATTCCACGCCCTGTCAACCCCAAAGAGGCTCAGACACAGCGAGACTCGCGCGTCGAGTATTTCCTACTTCTCGAGGATCTTACCGCCGGCATGAAGCGGCCGTGCATCATGGACCTGAAGATGGGCACCAGACAGTACGGTGTGGATGCGAGCCCGAAGAAGCAGAAATCGCAGCAAGGCAAGTGTGCCAAGACGACATCGCGCGAATTAGGTGTTCGCGTCTGCGGTCTCCAGGTTTGGGACGTGAAGACGCAAAGCTACGAGTTCAGAGACAAGTACTACGGGCGAGATCTCAAGAAGGGTCGGGAATTCCAGGAGGCGCTCACGAGGTTCCTGTACGATGGCGCCGACTGGTCCAGCATCCTCCGTCATATCCCTACCGTACTGCACAAGCTCGATCTCCTCGAGGTTATCATCGGCCGCCTGCGCGGCTACCGCTTCTACGCGGCGAGCCTGCTGATGTTCTATAACGGCGACACGTCCGAGGACTACGACACGGCCGTGGACGACTCGACGACCGACTTTGCGACGGACACGGAGGAGACGCCGCGCCGCACGCGCAACAACCCCCGCGAGATCGACTTCAAAATAGCCGACTTTGCAAACTGCGTCACGGCCGGCGACCTCGGCGACCACCGCTCGTGCCCGCCCAAGCACCCTAACGAGCCCGACCGCGGCTTCCTGCGCGGCCTCCGCAGCCTGCGCAAGTACTTTCTCAAGATCCAGCGCGACACGAGGGCCGAGATGGGCATGGTCGGCGCCCAGTCGCGCAGCGGAGCTGGAGCGTTTGATGGCGCCAGCGTGGACGAGCCGGAGGATGACGATTCTGTGAGCGACTGACGGACTTGCTCGACGATGATGAATATAGGCGGAACTGCGTGATGTGCGGTCACGGTTATGGACCAAAGTTTGGGTCTAGGCAACTGTTTGTGCTTCGGCGATGATTTTATTTTTCACGAAATTTCCCTTGCTCTGCTTGTCCACGTTACCCACCTGTAGGGGCGAAAAGTCATGCGGAACTCTTTTGCGCTTCTGGTTAAATTCACCATGTTTGTTTTTGTCAGAGTATGCCAGGGGGTCGGGGTGGGGGCGGTTTGGGTTTAAGGGGCGTTATGACGTTATGGAACTCCTGCCATTCTGGAAGGAATTGGGGGCTTTTGCGGAAAGCAGGCAGTGTTTTGCAGGAACTCGGTTATAGCTATTTAGTGACATACCCAGCCAATTTCTTCTTCCATTTCTTTTTTCTTTCTTCGGGTGTTGTTTTCTTTGTTTTTGGTGATGTTTTTCTTCTTTGGTGTTGGGACTTGGCCGTGTTTCGTTATGTGCTGTGATGCGAATTCGGGGGTGGGGTGGTGTCGACGGGACTTGTTTATTTCCCAGCTTGTGAAGCAGAGGCAGGCGGAGGCAGAGGCAGTCATGTGTGTGCGGGAGGGGAGATAGGTGTCCTTGAAGAATGGCGGAAATAAGGACGGACGGGATAGGAGAGGAAGAGGAGTGCGCCTACCTATCTAGGCTTGATGAAATTCATGACGATTCACCAACCAGGCCTTTTTTTCAAAATTGAATGAGGTGAGAATGAGGTGGGGAGAGGAGGGCGTCGTCAGGATGCTTGGTGAGACGAGCCCAAGACTGTAGCTACGGGGTATTTCATTCATTCTGCTACTAAATCCCAGGTTACGCATGTATGGGTATTCTCTCATGGATGAGAACTGGAGTGTTTGCGAGATGGAGACGGAAGGGGTGTAGGGTGAGCAGGTAGGTAGGCAAGTAGACAAAACGAGCAAGTAAACGGTGATATGTTTTTTATTTATTATTCAAGGAATGGCCTTGCGTGATGTATATCATTCTCACTCCGGTTCTGTAACAAAAATAAACGAAAAACACGGCATCAATGCTACCTACGCAGCAGGGTGCTTGCGTAAACAAAATTTATGTAAGAATGCTACAAAAAGAGAAAACTATCCTACAGCAGCAGTAAAACAGCATCCCATCACAGCTTAGCCGCCGACGCCCTGCCGCCCTTCCTCAAGACGTCGCGGGCGGTGCGCTCGCCTTGGTCGCGGCGGGCGTCGTAGGCCTTGGCAGCTTCCTTCTCGCGCAGCTCGTCGCGGGCGTGGGCCGCGGCGCCGAGCAGGTCGACGCTCTCGCGGTACATTTCGGCCTTAAGCAGGCCGTAGACGCCCGTCTTAGCCTTAGTGGTCAACCCCCTCGCGGCGACAAACGCCAGCACGGCGTCGAGCCCGCCCAGCGCGTCGACGAGCCCGGCGTCGAGCGCCGCCGGCCCGCCGAAGCGCCGCGCCTCGAGCACCAGCGTCCGGTAGGTCGCCGCGCTCGTCTTGAGCCGGAAGATGGCGCTCATGCCGGCTTTCAGCGGCACCCCGAACTCGAGCTCGTTGATGCAGCAGTACCCCCGCGTCGGGTTCATCACGCGGTAGTCGTGGTGCATGGCCAGCATCAGCCCGCCCGCGAAGGCGTGGCCGTTGAGCAGCGCGACCGTTGGCATGGGGTAGCTGTTCATGTTAGGTAAATTTGACTAGGTATTAATAGACAAGAAAAAACTCACGTCAGAAACCGGGCAAACAGGCGGTAGAGCACGTCAGGAGTAAAGCCCTCGGTGGACAGGGCGTGCTCCAGGTCGAGGCCGTTGGAGTAGAACTTTGCGATCCCGCTGGTCGTAACGACGACGCCCGGGGCGAAGCCGCCGAACTCGAGCGTGTCGAGGGCCGCCAGCAGCGCACGGCACGTTGGCGTTGTTAGCCGGTTGTCGGCGCCGACTGTGATGGTCAGCACGTACACAGCCGGCGCCGGCTCCGTGCACACGACCGTCCCCGCCGGGTAGCGGTCGCCCAGCGGCTCGATGGGGATGGTGAAGAGCGCCGGAGGCGAGGAGGGGGGTGGTTGTTGCGACATGTTGTGTGTTTGTGTGTGTCTTGTCTCTTTCACTCTGCGCACCTCAGACAGACAGACCTCGGCTGCTGGCCTGTGTCGGTGTTGGTAATTATTCAAGTTAATTCTGCAGCCGTTTTGCAGTGAGAATGAATGCGATGTGTTGTGTTGTGTTGGGGGTGAGGCGAGGCCAGGTCTCAGGTCAGCGGTCGATGTATAAGTGCGGCGGCAGTAGTGGCAAGGGAGGCAGCCTTGGCCGAGCCGGGGACGGACTACCTCGGCCCACCTTGGGGGCACTTTCAGCGAACGGATTTTGGGTTATGTTTACTTTAATCGCAATTAGAGATGCTGAAATGCTGAAACGCGGCTATGCGCATACATTTCAGCATATGCTAATGGACCTCGCATTCAGAAATTGAATACTGAAGTAGGTGGTGAGTGAGAGAACCTTGCCAAGCATTCCCCTGTCCCTCCGGGCTGGCTTGACATGTGATAGCGTCGGCACCAGACACAGTCCGAGCCGCAACAGAGTCAGGGCCAGGTTAGAGAATCAACAGATCCGGAGAATCAATTGAAACACAAAACAATATCCAAGAACTGATCACTCTTGAAATACAAGAGAACGAGAAAATAGGAAACAACCCTTGCTATTTATTCCCCATCTAATCCGTCAAGAGCTCAAACTCACATGAACCCACGTAGGGATGAGGTTCAGCGACTAGCGCATCTCGAAGCAGTAACCCTCCCAAAACAAACCCCAACTATCAGGAAGGGCTACTCAATAGACAACTCAATAGCCAGGCCAGGCCAAGGCGGCAATAACAAGGTCTGTAGTCGACGTAGTCAAAGACGCAATAGTACAGTACAACATCTCAAGATACCTACCTAGGTACCTTGGTCACTTATTTGTAGTATTAGGTAAACAAGTAGGCTACCATGGTACAATGCGACGCAACGTAACTGAACAACTACAAAAGAACATACGGATTACAAGCCAATCAAAAACACTGGGTCACGGAGTGTGTTTTTCAATGCGACGAAAAAGGAGGGTACTAACCACAACAGTACCAGCAATAGCAGTGGTAACAACGACAAAGCAAGAGCCAAAACAGCCAAAAGCAAAACAATTATTGAGACAACAAAAAAATAACCTGAAAACGCCATTCTGCAGCACGCCATCCATCCATCCATCCCATCCCATCCCACCCCGGCCGTCCCATCCTGATTAATGAGAACACCACGCAAGAGACACCACTCAACCACTCAACCGCTCAACCAAGGGCAACAATACAAGGAAACACACATGCGCAAGACAGCAAGTTTAGCGACAATAAGGGAATTAAAAGCGCCTTGCTTCACAACCATCCACCCCATCCTACCCACTCTCTGCTCTCACACACCCACACGCACCCCCTTTGAGAAATAAGGAAAAAAAAACAAATTGAAACTGTCTATGGTATGGATGATAATGAACGCACGCATGCAATGCTCTTCTCTTCTTTTCCTTCCTCTTTATTTCTGCCTGCCTGCCTGCCTGTCTTTCCCTAGCCCCTCACAGCCCAAAACTCGAGCAGGGAGTCACGACCAGGGTCAGACCGTCCGGCCGCCTCCCCGTCCAGCCCCCAAGGGCGGTGGCTCAGCTCGCTGCCGGCCGCGGCGGGGGCGTAGACCTCTTCCTAGACGGCCGAGTAGCCGCCCCTGCTCCCGCTGCTCTGCACCGTGTTGAGCACGCGGCGCGTCCAGTCCTTGAGCAGCCAGGGAATGTCGCGGATGGCGTCGCCGTGCGGGAGCAGATCCCACCCGCGCGCGCCGTAGCGGTTGTAGTTGAGCCACGAGCCGAAGATGAGGTATGTCGCAATAGCGAGAAAGACACTAGGGCATTGAAAACACGGTCAGCAGGTATTCACTCTCGGGAGGGACGAGAAAAAACTCACAGCACGACCAGCCACGTAAACAGGCCCCAGTGGCTGCTCTCCTGGCCCGGCCCCTCCACCTTGGCTTCGCACGCGTATTTGGAGTACCACGTCAGGTACAGCGTGTCCGTCTTGTCGTCGGCCGAGCGCTTGTAGCCATCCCAGATGAGGGCGGCGCCGTCCTTTTTGCGCTGCTTCTCGGGCTCGCCGCCGCCAGCGGGGGGCTTCTTGTCGTCGCCGCCCTCGTCTGCGCTGGGCTTGACGTACTCGTCCTCCGACTCCCACTCGCCCTCGGTGCCGTCGAGCTTGGGGTTGCACCGGAAATCGACGACGGCCAGCTGCTCGCGCTGCTGGTACAGGGCGGCGCCCTTGAGCGTGATCTGCACGCCCTTGTCCTTGTCCTGGCTGTCGCTGCTCCCTCCCTCACCCCCTGTCGGCTGCAGCCGCTTCGCCTCCCAGCTCTCGTAGTCGCCGCCCGCGCTACCGCCGGCTATGGGTATCACCTGCTCGATCTCGTCTGCCTTCTTGTCCGCGTTCCAGTGATGTATGATGGCGCAGACTAGGAAATCATTGCCGATTAGCCAACAGACACTTTCTGTCTATAATTCGGCACAGCACAGCATAAATGGGAAACACCCACCCCGCGACCCCTCGGGGCACTCAAAGTCCTTCTCGGCCTTGTCCTTGCGCTTTAGCGGCGCGCAAATGTCGAGCGTGTACGTTGTATTATAATAGCTCGGCGGCTTTGATTCCGTGGTAACGACTGTGTGCGGCCCCGCTAACTTGCCAAAGTCGAATGTTTGGCCGTCGACAACGACCTTTTTGCAGTCGAGCGCCGTGGCCGAGGCGACGGGCGCTGTGGCAGCTGCCGCAACAGCCCACAGCAGGTTACGCAGCGACGTGCGCGAGCCAGGCTGCCGGCGCAGCTGCTCTCTTCTCCTTGTCGGTGCCGACATTGTGCTGTGCCTGCGTGTGTATGTGTTAGGTATTTAGATGTAGGGATGGGACGGGCGAGGCCGACGAAAGCTGACGGGCAGCAAGGTCCCAAGAGACGAGGAAGAAGGGATTCGCCCCAGACAGCTAGGCTAACTGCAAGTGCGGATGGCTGGCGTGTATAGGATGCCCCCAAACCGTCTTCACGCTTGCGCAACAGCTGGATGCGGCGGCGAAGAAGAGAAGCTCGAGCTAGGACGTGGAGGGTGACTGCGACGGCGAGGGCGACGGCTGGATGGGGTGGACGAAATAAAATGGCCGAATGTTGGTTGGCTCGTGGCGGCCAAAGGTCCGCAGCAGCAGCAGCAGCAGCAGCAGCTAACTGACGTGGCTGAAACAAGCAGCCGGTACTTCGTCCGACCGGGAGAAAAGAAGGCCCCAAAAATAAAAGGAGGACTGCAGAATATGATAGATAGCTGGATACGCAAGAAAGAATTTGGTGAGCTACTGGCGACACACGTGCACCGTGTTAGACGTGATGGATCTGCTCTGAAGCTCCGGGACCAAGGTGTGGCTTCGCTGGCGTTGCTGCTTAACAAGTGAACCACAGGATCAGGCTATTCCGTCATTTGACTCAACCTGCCGCCCCCTGGCAGTCTTGGCGGGAATAGCGTCATCCACGTGAAGAGTCATGTGACCTCGGCCACTTCCCCCCCTTTTCACAACAGGCCACAACAATACAACACCAGCCCCCCATGGCCTACAGGAGGCGACTCATATTTACCAGAGGGGGGAAATATAAATAACATTATTATCATTTGATACATGAAGTACGGAGTGCTGCCCTGGCCCTACGTAGCTCTCTACACCCCATGATAGACATACCTTCCGCGCTCCTATCATCCATATGCATGCCCCCCTCCCCACCTCGCCAAACAGCTCGACTGCGGGTTCAGTTAAACTCACGACGCAAAAGCCCCAACCATCCCGTAGCGTCATTACCGATTCCTAAGCAAATAAAGTGGCCGACTCCCTCCCAGTGTTTTGGACACCAATTTGCCCGGGGTATATAAAAAAAGCTTCAAGAACCCACGGCCCGTTTGATGACAGAACAGTCCCATAATAAGCCGAATGATGCCTCCCCAAATCAACGCCTTTCCAAGAAAAGATGAATGATGAAAGATAAAGATGAAAACACAGGAAAAGAAAGGGGGGGGAAAGGAAGAAAGGATGAACATAATCTGACACTCTGAATGTACTCGATGGTTTGCCACGAGCATTCAACTCCCGACAATGCCACACCCAAAACACCAGGCGGCTTGGCAAGACACGCACTCCCCTTCCAGCAGGGCACCCTTTACATGCCCTGGGGCATCATCCCTTGCATCGCTGCTTGCTGCTGCTGCGCCTGCTGCTGCTGCTGCATCTGAAGGGCCTGATTATTTCTAGCTGAGATCGCGTTCAGCACCACAGTTCTCGCTTGCACCTGGCAACTTTTTCTAAAAGTCTCCAGCATGTCCGGCGGGATATTGTGGGCTCCGTTATACCGTTCAGCAAAGTTGGGAAGGCTCTTGGTGTAGATGGCGCTAAACTGGTTCCGGATTTGCTGTTGTATGACAGGGTTCATCAGCATCTGCTGCTGCATCTGCTGCTGTTGGTGTTGCTGCTGTGCTTGCTGTTGCACTTGGTGCTGCTGCGCCTGCTGCTGCTGCTGAACTTGCTGCAGCTGCAGCTGCATGGCCGCCATTTGCGACGGGCTCATAGCGCCGCCTATCATGGTCTGCCCCTGAGCAGCAAGCTGTCGCTGGAGATTCTGCAGCTGACCTACGTGCGCCTGTTGCTGCATGTTATTCTGCATGGTGCTGAGCTGTTGCGAATACTGCTGTGCCAGCTGAGCGTTCATCATTTGGCCGCGCTGCTGCTGCTGCTGCTGCTGCTGCTGCTGCTGTTGCTGTTGCGCCTGGTGGTGCTGCTGCTGCTGCGCCTGCTGTTGTTGCTGGTGATGCTGCATCTGCTGCTGCAGGAGCCGTTGCTGCATCAATTGCTGCTGTTGGAGAGCCATATTACCAGCCGGGTTGTTCATAAGCCCGTTTGCTTGCATGGATTGCAACTGTATCCGCTGCTGCATCATACGCTGCTGATGCGCGATCAACTGCGCGTTTGAGAAGTTCTGGCTGGCGATCTGAGGCATGCCTTGGTTGTGCAACAACATGGCCTGTCCTACTTGTTGGGCTTGTGTCATGGCGCCAGGTGGTGGGCTTGCCTGCGTCATGCGCGGTGTAGCCACCAGCTGCGGACGTGTAATTGGGGTTCCAACTTGCGCTCCGACTGCCGTGTTAGGGGTCGCGTTGCGGACCCTGGGGGTCCCGCCCGGATGGCTCTGCTGGCTTCCTCGAGCCGACATGCTAGCAGCCATAGGCACAGACATGCCGTGGGCTTGGACGACGGATGAAGGTCTCGGAGGGCTTCCACCCATGTTTGAATTCGAATGCTGCATGGGAACGCCGTGCACCATGGGAGACGACGCCGTCTGAGGCGTGTTCTGCCGTACGATTGGCGATGAGACCTGCGCCTGGGAAACTTGAGAGAATCGCCCCTGTGCTTGAGGCGCCATGCTTGTGGGCAATCCATTGGGCATTCCGTTGGCCAGCGGGCTGTTTTGCGCACCATTGACATGGTGAGTCTGGCCCATATTCGATCCATTCGCATTTTGGTGTGCCTGAGCCTGGGCCTGAGCCTGTGCCTGTACCTGAGCCTGGTGGGCTTGCTGGGCCTGGGCCTGCTGTTGTGCCTGTGCCTGTGCTTGGTGGATTTGAGCTTGAGCCTGAGCGTGTTGCTGGGCCTGGGCCTGAGCCTGCTGCTGTGCTTGTGCCTGAGCCTGAGCCTGAGCCTGCTGTTGTGCTTGGGCCTGAACTTGAGCCTGCTGAGCTTGCTGAGCTTGTGCTGCTCGCGCACTAGCCGCCAAGCGCTGCTGCTCGCGGAGGGCCATCTCTCGTCTCTGGCGCTCTTGCTCCGCCTGTCTCTGCTGCTGCGCTGCTGCCTGCGCTGCTGCTTGAGCTGCTGCTTGCTGTTCGGACTGCTGCTTCTGTAGCGCCACCCGCCGTTCGTTTTCTTGCTGTTTAATCTTCTCTTGCTCCTTCTTCTCTGCATGTTCTCTCTTGATGTCTGCAATGAGCTTGAATCGCTCAAACCGGGGCTCCCAAGTGGATCCTCCAGACTGGCCATCCCCGTCAGCGCCATTGCCCCCTGCCTGGGACCGGACGAACTTGGAGGATAGGCGCTCGTCAAGTGCCAGCATGTACCGCTCTTGCTCGGCAGCCAGTGCCTCGTCGGCCGCAACCTCTGCAACAGTTCTCTTCCGGATTTTGGGCTGAGGCGGCTTGTGTGAATAGTCAGGGTGTGAGAGCTTCTCAAGTTTCGTGATGGTCTCTTCAGCGTTCTTGGTGGGCTCTAGATCCAGCGGCGCAGTTGTTGCTAGCAATATCTGCGCTTCCGCCGCATATATGTTGCTAGCATCCAGCTCCATTCGTTCTCGCTTCTGCTTCTTGGCCGGTGGTGGCATGCTCGCGGCAGTAGGTGTTGGCGGTACACCATGGGGGGTTGGAGGGGGGGCATTTCCATCGCGGCCGTCTGATGCTCCGCGCGGCGTGCTTGCTTTGATGGCCAAATCCATATGCAAACTCTGCTGGGTAGGGTGTAGTACAACAGTATACACCTTAGCCTTGGACGCGCCCTTGCTCTTCTGACCGTCCGTGAGAGCGCTGGGGGCCGGCATGTTTTCTTTATCTTTCTCCTCGGCCGTCTTCTCCGTCGCGTCGGTATCAGCGGCGTGGGGTGTCTCTCCGTTGGAGGTCTGGTTCTCCTTTGGGTACGGAACATAAGGCGAAGGCGTTAGGTAGGGATTATAATTATGGATGGAAAATGGGGTCGTTTTGGTCGCCGAAGATGCTGGCTTCGCAACATCCTTGGACTGTGCAACAGACTTATGGTCGTGCACCTGGACGATCAGGCAGCCCTCGTAGAAGGGCACGCCCCACTGCGTAAAGTACTCGACCATGTCGTGCGGGACAGTTCGGGCCTTCAAGTGTTCCAGAAATATCCTCATGGGTGATTTGTACTGGAACATGCCCTCCTGCTGGTCGAAGCGGAAATGTGTTGGGTGCATGTGAACAATTAGCGACGGCGGGTTGCCCGCGTACTTCTTCAAGATGTAATCATCGGTAATAACTGTGGTGTCTGTTAGCAGATGCCGCGATGCAGCCTGTGAAGACGGAGACGAACCATAGGGGGGTGGCTCGATCACCGGCGAGACGGCAAAGTCAGGAACAATGCTGGTCGACCTAAGACCGGCACTTCTCTGACCGCGGCCCAGCACCTGTGACGATTCCCTACGCGCACGGCTAGGGGGAGGTCGGACAGGCGTAGCAGCCGTTCCGTTGGTAGTGGGGGGGTTGGAGGGCTGGCGGACGGCCGAAGGGGCGCGCTTTGCGGACATGGATGGGGACGGCGACGAGCGGGACGACGAGACGCCATTGGTTTGGATGCCCGGCGGAATAGGGCGCTTGATCTTGGACGCGACAGACGGGACCGGCACTGCGGTGACGGTGGGCGCCATGCTCGGGTGTGGTGCCGCCCGACGGCAGCCGGGTGCTCAGCGGTATGCTCCCCTCGCACGTCCCTCTTCCCTCTCCCTCTCCGTACCTAAGGTGACTATCCCCCTTCTCTCTCTGTCTACCTCCGACCTCAGGGGGGATTCGAAGAGATGCGGTCGAATAACATAGGACGGGACGGCGGACGCGTACTGGCGGGCCGTCGAAATAAGACAGAGCCGCGGGAGGGGATGCAGATGGAGAAGGGCGGGTCTGAAATTGATGGGTTGGGTGTCACAAGCAACAGCTGAGTCTGCGGCGGTTAGCGGCAGTGCGTGCGTGCCTCGAAGTCGTGATAGCAGGCGACAGTTCGCGCGCCCAACCAACCGAAGAACGGCGTCGGCCAGCGGTCGATTGCAATCGGCAATGTGCTCGGACACGGCGACGTGACGGGTCCAATGCTTTGGCGCGCGTGTTACGTGGGATGCGCGCAATTATGGCGATAAAATCCACCAACGAGATGATGAAGGCCGTCGCGGAGCCGATGCTGATGATGGACAGCTCTTTGTGGGGGTTTCTTTGACTGACCGTCAGATCCCTGCTTGGCGAAGCGACAAGGCCGGTGGGCGTCTGTGGCTGCTGCACGGAATCAAGGAGCCGCATCACGTGACATGGCGCTTTGAATACGTCAGCGAAACAATGCACCGCTGTATCTCAGTCGGTAATTGCCCTACATACTATAACCTTAGGTTGGTAGCCCTCAAGTTTACATAAAAATAGCCACCTAACTATGGGCACGTCGAGCCACTGGGAACTCTACAATATTTCGGCAGATTGAGAAAACAGCAAAGTGAAGGCGAGTTAGCCCCTTTTCTTCCATCACTGAAGAGGCCTGCATTGAGTGGTATTGAAAATTACGGTACATACAGGTCGGTATGGTACCTTGCGTACGGATATCGTGCATCAAAGACACTCAAGCATCACTTCATTGTTTGAATATTTAGATATTTGAACTGCATAAGCATTCCTTCATCCAAAACCACCCAGAGTGTTTACCCTATGAACCTATCTAGACTTGCCCTACAACAGAACAATGACAGGACCCTAACCGCGGCAACTATACTAGTAGTTTGGAAGAAACATGAGGAAAAAGGGGACAAATAACATAACATGGCATAGCGCTGTCGCGTCGCATCGCAAAGTAAAGCATTGCAAACAAGCCGCAAATACGCGCAATCCTCCTCTTCCTCCTAGGCTAGTCCTTGCCCAAGACGCGGCGCTGCCAGTCGTCGTGGACCCTCATGCCGTCGACCACGACAACACCCCGGCCCCGCCCGACGCGTTCCTCCTTCTGCCACCACACTTCGGCCTTGGCGCCGGGCTTTTCGGCCTCGGAATCGCTGTCTGCGAGCCCGCCGTGCCCGCCCTCTGCCCCGACCACGAGGATCACGTCGTGCCGCAGCCACGTCTGGAGGTTCGTGATCACGCTGCCGTTGTCGCCGGCAAGCGATTCCTGCAGGTAGATCACGTCGGGCTGGATGTGACGTAGGATGTGCGCGTGGCCGTTGGGCGTCGTGAATGTCAGCACCATGCTGTCCTTCTCAACGAGCGCCTGCGCCTGCGCGTAGACTGCGGCGTATGCAGGGTCCACATTCGTGCCCGTAAGTCTATAATACGGTCAGTAAGTCTCCAAGACTAAACGCAAGGTGCGCTGTTCTGCGCCAGAAGCAGAGCAGAATCAGAGGAAGGGCTTACAGGGGGCTCTTCGTCTCGTCGCCTGGCGTCTGCGCCTGGGCGTGATCGATATTAGAAAAGGACGAGCTCAGCGACGCGGGCGGGAGGGTGGTGGCCGTTGTATCTACGGTGTTGTCCTTCAAGTTAGGGGCGTAGATAAGAACATATATCTTATTTTTAGAGAAGTCGGTTTGGCGCGGGATGTGGGAGAGGAGGGACTTAGTTTCAGGTTAGCAAGCGCGCGCATGGACGTGAACGGGTGGGCCGGGCCACTTACGGCATGTTCGTGGAATCCGTCTCCGTCGGCGTCCTCCGAGAAGTTTTCGGCCGACACGACGATGACGATCTTCTTGCGGCGCTTGCCGGCGTCTTTGGCATGGGACGGCGCAGGGACCCTGTCCTTTTTGGCATCAGCCTCTTCTGACCACGTCTCATGGTCGGCGTACGCGATCTTGTCCTCCTCTCGGATGGCCGCCAAGGCGCCGCCCACGACTGCGCCTGCGGCCGTCACTCCGGCGGCAACCGTCTTGCGCGCGCTGTCCAGAAACTGCTGGGGACTTGGGGTTCGGCGCAATGCACCCGACACCTGTGCCCCCCAGCCCGACCCCGCATGCTCTCCTTGCGCCGGTGTCACGCCGTGGCTCACGTCGCGCACGAGAGGGTCGGTGCCAGCAAATGAGGGGGGCTTCTGGCCGGCACTGGGCCCGTCCGATGCTCCATAAGCAGGGTTGTCTCCATAGTCGGCATTATCATAATCCAGGTCCTGATAGGCAGTATCGGCTTCCGGGTCCTCGAGGTTCTCGTCCTTGCGCTGGCTCCAGATCCAGGCGGCTACGCCGACGGTGGCGACCGTCACGGTCAACACCAGCGGCACCCAGTGACCCCACACGCCGCGGCGGCGGGACGACCCGCGGTCATAGCGATCATACGGCGACGACATTTACGGCAGGACGATCATCGCTTTCGCCGTCGGTTGCGGGCAGCGCTAGACGTAGCAACGACGCGAGTCTCGGGAGTGCCTCGGCTCAGGGGGCGGCAAAAATAGGAGCGGCTTCCAGGTTACTGCTTGGCGCATGCGCGCGCCTCGATGGAAGTTAGCGGCCGGCTCAGGTCTCGTCCAGATTTACGAGGATATTGATCGCGTCCTATTGTTTACCGCGAGGAGGAGGTGGTGTTGGTGGTGGCAGCGGTGGTGGTAGGAGGGGGTTGGGATTGAATGAATGATCGATCGATTGTTGATGCCCCAAGCTCTCACAAGCTCAGCTCCATTTCCAGGCCAAAAGAACAGGCCTTGGCCGAGGTAGGTGGTTGGCCGGACAGGAGCCAGAGCTGATGCCAAGAATTGGGACCCTGCAGCGCAAATGCTCGACTGGCCAAATCAGACTAAACCCAATTCCGTTAGCCCAACGCTTTCCGTTCAACCTGAAGACGGCGCACGAGCCAGCCAAGTTCTTGGTGCGGGGACATGTATGTCCCACCTTGAGTGCTAAGAGCTTAAAGTCCAAAGGGAAGTAAGTTTGGTTGTCAATGTGAGTCAGTCCTGTCGAGGAAAAATTCAATGAAAAACAAATGCCGAAAGCCCATTAATCAGCATTTAGCCAACTCAACAGCACTCTTCTTACCTATCTAAGAGTAAAACACAATCTAGACATCGTCAAGGATAGAGAGCCCGAGTCGGCACCCAACCAAATTGCCAATCGCGGGGCTCAGGCTCCCGCTTGCTCTTTCTCACGATGCCCCACGCTGTCACAATTGCGTCGCCCGGCCTGCAAGCCCTGATCTTGTGTGGCCCCGGCAGCTCTTTTCCCACTTTCACGGCCAACCCTGACGAAAACCCAAAGGCGCTCCTCCCAATTGCCAACCGGCCTATGGTCTGGTACCCCCTCGAGTTCTGTTACCGAGCCGGCATCATAGGCACGTATTGTGATACTTCACTATGATATCTGATGCGAGACGACCTGATGTGATGTGACGCGACTGACGCTTTGTAGATATCACGCTTGTCTGTCCCCCTTCAGCTGCCAATGCTATCAGCACTGCGCTCAACACAAACCCCTTCTTAACCAGCTTGCCCTATCCTAGGCCCGATCTGCTGTCGCCAAAGGATCTGGACCAAAACACAGGCACCGCTGAGATCCTCCGGCTTCCCGAGCTGCAAGCCGTTGTGAAGACGGATTTCGTGGTGCTCCCCTGCGACCTGGTCTGCGAGTTGGGTCCAGACAAGCTGCTGCAGGCATGGATGGTCAAGTCGGCCAGCCTGGGTGATCTCGTTGGGGACACTCGCTCGCCCAACACCCAGCGCAGCGGCGGTCTCGGTGTCTGGTACCAGACCAAGACTGCCACCCCCATCAAGGGTGAGGAGACAGACTTCGTGGCGACGGTCCCACTGCCATCCTCTACCGTGTTGCCCCCCAAGGGCTCGCTGTTTCCCCATCTCTCAAAAGTCGTATACTCGATACCCACAGACTCCCTCAAGGATCTGATAGAAGAGAAAAAAGGGTTCCCAGTTCGCCATGGCCTCTTCCGAAGCCACCCGCGCGCTCGAGTGCTGACCACACACCGTGATGCCCACATCTACATATTCCCGCGCTGGGTCATGGAGCTCGTCAGGGACAACGAGCTCCTCGAAACTATCGGTGAGGATATCATTGGGTGGTGGGTGAAAGCGGGCTGGCAGAAGGGACTTCTACACAAGTTGCACCTTGACCAGATTCTCGCAAAAAACGGACCTAGCACAGGGGAGAAACAGAAACCCGACCTTAAGGACAGCGGGATTCTAAGCCCCAAGAGCGGCCAGAGCCAGACTACCTCGTCATCTGTCAAAGACGAGGGCGACAACGGCGCGCAGGGTCAGGAAGAGCCCACAATCCCCCCCATGCTGGCCTACATCCATCCCTCGGAGGCGTCGTCGCAGCTGATTCGCCGCGTCGACACCTCTCAGCTGCTGCTTCAGATCTCGCTGCAGCTCGCCAAGCTGCCGTCGGTGGAGGAGGTCGGCGCCGACGCGGCCTCGCCCTTTGCGCACTCTCGCAAGGTGGCCTACCCTGAAGGCGTCAAACCTCGCACCACAATCACAAAGGCCGACAGCTTAGTGGCGGACAATGTGACGGTGCAGGAGAAGACGTCCATCAAGGAGTGCGTCGTGGGAGCCAACTGCCAGATTAACGAGGGCGCGCGGATCTCACAGTGCCTGCTGATGGACGGCGTTGTCGTGGGCAAGAACTGCAGACTCACCAAGTGCATCCTCGGCAAGCGCAGCGAGATCGGCGAGGGCTGTGTCCTGACCGACTGCGAGATCCAGGAGAACATGCTCGTCGAGCCAAAAAGTAAGTCCTCCCCTCTCTCACACCAATATCCCTAGACAGGGAGGGACTAACACGAGTTGTTCTTTTTTGCCCCTCTTCAGCCGAGGCCAAGGAGGAAAAGTTCATGTCATCGTCCGGCCTCGAGGCAACCGAGCAAGAGCTGGACAACTTTGCAGACGAAGACGGAACAGACAGCGACGATTCGTCCTGAAGTCTCGACCACGGTCGTCCAGATTATCTGGGGGGTCCCGGTCCAGGAAGGCTTTTGCAGGAGGCCGTGCCCCTTCCATCAGCGACAATGGCTTTCTCAGAGATAGAGCAGGCCCGAGCGAAGGGCTGTAAGAATAAAACCATTTGCCCTGTATTTGTCACACATCACTTTTCTCCTTCCTCGCGAAGCGTTGCCTCTTGTTGGCTGTAGGGTCTACCTGGAGCTGAGCGCCTGGAAGCAACTTGGCTGCTTTACCCTCCTCCCTAGCGTCTGTTCGCCCTGGCCACGAGGTGGGTGGCTGCTGCGGCCTTCAATGACAAGCACGTTGTAGGAGAGTAAGGTAGGTAGGTAGCTTGCAGACAGACAGACAGATAAAATCGTATCCTTCTCCGGGGCTGCTTGCTGCGTCGATTCTGTAGACCAAAATCTTGCCGCCTTCTTTGCCTTCCATGTGTGCCTGACTAATTGACTTTGCATTGTTGTTTTCTTATTGTCCCCTCATCCTGAGCATGCGTATGCGATATATGCCATGCAACTCGACATTTTTCCAGCAAACACACATATATATCGTAAGGTATATAGACACACTACCGACGCAAGGAGCTGTCGACGAAAGTGGCGTATGGGGTAGCCAGTCAACATGTCAAAGCCGTCCCCAGGGCGGGTCGACAGCAGCTGACGAAGAGGATGAGGAAATTGCTTTTTTCCCAATATCACATATTCGTCCTTTTCTACAACCATGGCCATGCCAGGGGCATCCAGAATCAAACGCAGGAGATGAATCGATAGTCTGCAGAGAGTAAGAGAGGGCCACGAAGAAAAAGAGAGGAAGTTGGCTTCGCGCCAAAATAGTTTGATTGAACTTGAACTGCAATACGTACTATTAATCGGGGTAATCCCTGGCTGGCCATGTGGTTCTCCTCCTTCCCTTCAACTCTTGGCACACACACACACACACACACACACACACACACACACACACAAAATGCATGGTGTGGAAGGGATACGTATTCAGCTTTCCCCAGCAGCAGGTGCTTCAGATGCGGGGAGGTGGTAAGGATCGATGATGTGATGAGATGGGCTGGGCTGGGATGATGCACGGAGGGCTGGAAGGCACAGACAGACAGACAAACAAACAGACACACAGAGAAGTGTGTGATAGCAGCATCATCAAAGCCGGGTGTAAGCGGCCTCGAAAAGCAGACAGACAGGCTTACCAAGCAAGCCACGCCGTTGAGGGTACGTAGATGGCTGGCAGATTGTTTCCTTTTTAGTTGGCCTGGTGCAATGAATGCTATACGATATTGCAGGATTCTGTACATGTATGTGTGCGTAGATGTGTATGCATGGAGATATTTCTATGGACCTGCAGAGCGGATGGAAGACGGAACAAATCTTCTTCTCCGCGTTACCACATGTGCGTCCCATGCAAAGGCAAGCGGAAGGATGGGGTACCATTATCTGGTAGAGCGGCATGTAAGGTACCAACACGGCAGAGGAAATAGACGAGTAGTTTGCCGGTAGCTCTCCCTTCCCTTTACGGCCTCCTCTCGAATGCACACGCTACTGCGAGTGGTGCGGTCGTCGTGTAGTTGACGAATCGGGCGATGCGGTTTTTATGTAAGTGAAGCAATCATGAATCCTCTTTTTCTATTAGGTAACCTCTTGGGCCTCGCACAGCATGAGTTGAGCTGAGGCTGGTTGATAAGAAAGCTGCGGTGGCTCGACGGGACAAAGTTTGCACATGTTGTTCGATGATTCGCTGTTTTTCAGGGAGGGTTACTTCGAGACAGCCTCGCCCGATTGTGTCAATCGACATCTGTTATTTTTTCCCTGTCCGGAGAACTCGGGTTCTACACAGCTGAGTGGCCGATAATGCAATGAAAGATCGTTCCTTGACGAGTACTCCAATTCAAGATGGATATCGCTATTGTCTTAGCGAGAGAAAGTGTAGTGAAATCTCTTTGTCGATTCAGGGAAGCCAAGATGGTCAATGCGAAAGGGAGCCTCTAGATGGCGCAAAGGTATCTCCCTCCATCCCATCACCTCCTGTTCTGTTTGTGTCAACCTCAACACTCAGAAAGATGGTTGGAAATAATATTTCCTTCCAAAGTGGGAACCATCATCAACGAGATGCGGTGAGATCATCTAGGCTCTGTACTTCTCGGTCACCAAGCTATTTCGAAGAAGCTTGGAGAGAATGCACTTGCAACCAGGGTCGATTTTTGTCAGTCGGCGAGGGCGGTTGAGTGTGGTCGAGGGCCTGCGAGTGCGATCGACGCCTTGCAGACGCCCGGGGCATCTCCCATGTCTGTGTAGGGAAACACCATTTCAGGGTTACGGCGACCGAGGAGGGGTATGTCCGACAGGAGTTGGGTAGTATTGACGACTGCCGTAGCCGAATCACACTTCGAAAGTGGTTCAGCCGCCTTCTGGGTTGGCGTGTGTGTGTGTCAGATAGCCAGGGCCAACATGTCCATCGCCTGCGACAAAACGCCATCTCCAAGTCTGGGCGAAAGCTGGCTACGCGTCGCTCTGGAGTGCGGGAAAATGGCTTTCCTGGTGTGTGTGTGTGCTCAAACATGAGCAGTACTAGGTCTAGTCAAGGTCTAGTACACGTTCAGAGTACAGTCGTGGCACTTACGCCGATACCTTACCTTACCGGCTTCCGGGTTATCCTGTGGCAGTACATCTCCAGAGTCCGCGACCTTAAAGGGCCGAGTGCTCGTCTAGGGAGCCTCTTTCTAAAACAGACATAATCGCGATAGCCGCAACAGTCCGAGGACCCATCAATCCAAGGCAAAAGATCTTAAACTCCGGGCAAGAAAATAAAAGAAAAAGGGAAAAACAACTTGTGGCTGGCCTGACCGTTACTGACGTAAAGGAACCGTTGGCGTGTCGGAAATATTACATGTGAGAATTCAAGACAGCTCAAGTCGTACAGTCAAACAGCATGCATGGGCGGGCGGCGGGCTATCAGAGAGCCAACTACTCGAACTCGCAGAACAATGGGCGGAAAGAGCCATGTTTGCTCCAAGTTGGGGTGGGCAGCTCTTCCCGCCCTAGGCTCTTGCCCTCCTCCTACTTCTACTATTAGGCACTAGCAGCTCACATAACTAGCGGCCCACATAACGCTAGTGCATGTAGCCACCCATTTCTAACCCGGGCAAGTACGACTACGTACTAACTTTGGCCAAGTGAGATGGAGGTGTGGTGCCATCCCATCCATCCCAACAAGGATCCTTGCTCACGAGGCACAGCGCGGACAGTGCAAATAAGGTTGAAATAAGGTTTAATTGCTTGGCAGGCCCCCCTCTACCCCCCTCCCCTGCCGTTGGACAAGCGTGACAGGCTAGCTGATACCCTGTCGCGAGCCTGTGACTTCCCTGTAGGTTTTGTTTGGTCGATGACAAGCAGCTTGGGTGCTTGACCGCCATCGTCGGAGTTTTCTCTCATGTCGTGCTGCGATTGCATCGACCGTCACTGCACGGCGGCGACGCTTTGTTTTTCTTAGCGTGGACCGGTGACTATTACCGAGCTGCCCCGGCAGCTGGAAATGCCAAGCCGATCGCCGCCGTCTCGTTTTGGCTTTCCATCCGTCGCCTGTTTCTCCAATGCCTGGTTGGACTTCCCGACCGACCTGCACTGCCGTGATTGTCTCCCCTCCTTCTTCTCTTCCAAAATACTCCATCCTCCTCCCTCGTCCTGTTATTGTTGCTCTGGACCTACAATGACTACCGGATTCCCGCATGAAGTGGATCAGTGGGCCGCAGGCTGCATACAGGGACAGCTAGCCGTATAGGGAGGGTTGCAGGGTCCCCATGTAGGTGCCACCTACGGGTTGGCGCCGCAAAGTTTGGGGCATCTCGGCCTCTGACTGGCCACCCCTCTCTGCCCTGCCGGATGAGCCCTGAAGGTCTTGGCTCAATTTGCTCCGTCTACAGGCAGATCATCGCATCTGCTCCTTCCTAGGCGACCAGCGTCCGCCATATGAGGGTTTCTAACCAGACTCTCGCTCCCTCGCGGCTTGCTCGTCGATCCAGCACGTCTCCGTCGCCGGCGTGTCTCATTTGTCTTGGCCCGGGGCAAAATGCGGGCCCTTGCCCATTCCTCTGTGTGCTATCACCATTCCAAGCTGCCGTGCTAGACTATAGTTTTAGTCTGGTCTGTGGCAAGAATCCCCAGATTCTCGGCTGATCTACACAACTGCTTTTGCCCGACGGTTCATGCAGGCCCCAGCTTAGTTTGGTTGGGCAATTCCGCTTTGTTCCGTTAGACTAACGTCAGGCGCCATCTTAGACGGCATCCGTCGAACGGTGAGTACGTCAAAGATACCCTGCGTTGCTGACCTTGGGTAACAAGTAGCAGCCAAGGCACCGTACCCCATGCATGACGGGATTCCTAAGTGAAGAGACCGCTTCAGAGCCAGTGATTCTATCACTGCAGCGGCCTCATTTGGCCTGTGCTTTTCCATATTGGCGTTTCTTGCACGGGCTATCTGTAATCGGGCAGAGGTTGCTGCGTTGACTGTCATGGCTTCATCTGCACCACCGGGGTTTTGAGACAGACACTTGGAGCCGTATATAATGTGGGCGGTGGGGCGGAGGGGCGGAGGGGGGAAGGTCGATCCCAAATGGACAACTCCTTAAACATCGGTCATTTCCCTAGTGTCCACCCCGGTCCGAGCGCTTGACCGCTGTCAGGTACATATATTCCATCTCTGACTTCTGGTCAGCCTTCTTATCTTGGCAACGCTATTCCCATTCTGATGCCCGATTTAGTCCACCTTATCTAAGGGTCAAGCGTTGCTGTTAACGATCCTCCCACCGGCTCCTGTATATCTATCGGCGAGCCTCCTCCCCCCTCTTCAGGTGAAGTTCCGATCCTGTCCTCAACCCTTTATTCTCCATTCCCCTCTGTAGACAGCATATGCCCATTGTCGGGTTGGAGCAACATGGAGCTCGGTGGATACCTCATGTGTGACCTAGGACTAGGCTTCGATGATGGCGATGGCTTCAACTTTGGCAACAGCCAAACGGTTACCTGCCTTCCGTCCAGGACCAAGAGCTCCTCGTATGCCTCGAGCTTAGGACCGTACACGCCAACTTCTGGACGGTCAACGCCCCCTGGCCCGGGCTCAATGGACTTTGCTCATTCGTTCGGCGACTCGTATTCCTTTGAGCCCACTCCGCCATCATCAGCCGTGTCGACTTACTTCCCCATGGGCTTGAAAACAGACGATGCTTCCAACTTCTTTCCACCCAGCCTTCCCGTCACACCGTCGCGGAACCAGTTAGACTTTTCCGGCCTCCCCTACCATGATTTCGTATGCCAGCTGCCTTCCTCCCAAGCCCCGGGTCTCTACTCTTTCCCCAATGACATTGGACCCTCGCCATTCGTGCCCACACCTACACAGACAGGCCAAGTTGGTGAGACCTGGGAGGAGTCCTGGACCGCCTGGGCACAATCAGACAGCCCCATCACCTTCAAGCCTCAGCCTTCCCCGGAGAACAGTGCTCACCAGTCCATGGCAGCAACAATCCAAAACCAAGAGGAGGATATGACACCGCCTTTCACTTTGGGGGTTCCAAGACGCCGACTCTTCATAGACGATGCCAGGCAAAAGTCGACGGCGTTACAGAGAGTACAAGGTATCCGAACGCGACCAAAACCCGCAAAGGTCATTGATAGCTTTGTCAGTGAGGAAGGTTTCGCTATCCAGAAGATTCCCTCGGGAAGGTTCAGGTGTGACCATCCCCAATGCTCGTCCAAGCAATACAAGAGAATGGAGCACCTGAAGCGACACATGAAATCGTGAGTACCTGTCTACTTCATATATCTAACGGAAGCCCAGTGAACTAATTCCTGGCAGGAAACATGGCGAGGAAGAATACAGGTGCGAGTTCTGTCTCAAGACGTTCAACCGCAACGACAACAGAAGACAGCACCAACACCTCCACACATTGAAGGACCGAAGAGCCCCAAGGGTGAAATGGGCTGACGGGGCTGAGCAAGCATTGGAGGAGGAGCTCAAGCGGATCAAGACTCGTCGACGAGTGACGACCAACAAGAAGCGCACCACGATCTGAACATGGTTCGGGTTGGAGGAGGCGGAGCGGAATCTTTTCGGGAGGTTTTCGCGACATGAAGTCAACGACTAATCTAATTCCCCGAACCACATTGCAACAATTAATTTACATGTGTAGCAATGTTGCTTACAGGCGCTTAGGGCAAGCCTTGAGGATGGCTCGATCAAGATATCACGTCATTGGACAATCAGGATACCATGTCACTGGACATGAACAAGAGAGTCTGCTCTTCATAAGGCAGAGAATATTATTGGGCAACATACGATTATGGTGGCTCGGATTTTAGGATCAGGTGTGGTAATCTCTGTATCAAGGTCAAAACACGTTTGCAAAATAGGATAAAAAATAAAAGTAAAACTTATTATCATTAGCTACTACTGCGGCGATGACATTGGATATTACGAAACATCTTTTGACAATCTTTGCGAGCACTTTGGCCACCTTGCCGAGGAGCAGAAAGCCTGGGAATCGTGGCGTGCGTACGGTTCCTCGTGCATCCGAGTACACTATGTCCTCCCTTTCACATTTGTGGGCCGTAAATGATCTGAATCCCCTTGACTCAGATCAGAACACGTCGTTCTCCAGTGAGACTCTCTCAGAGCCTTTTCTTTCCGAGACTTGGTTGAACATCCAGAATGCAGGCCTGCCAGGAAACAGTGGACTTGTCTCCAGAACAAGACGTGACCAAAAGGAACCTTGGCTTCGCAAGATGCAAACACACCGACTTGCGAAGCCAAGACTTCTGTTCGCTATCCTCCGACGGCACGCCAACAAATAACTACCCGAAATGCCGATCCAGACAGAGACACGCTAATGGGCCTTTCTCGGTAACCAGTAAATTGTTACGCCTCCGGGAGAGAGATGGCGAATCCGTCTCAGCCCCCCCCCCCCCCCCCAAAAAAAAAATTCCAGTCCACTTTGCCTTTACAAAATGAATGCCTCGCCTGTCGGAAAGAGACCGAGCCGGACAGGACTCCGGCTCCGCACGACACCTTGCTAGCCATCCTTGCTAGAGATAGTCTCGAGAAGCCCAAGACGAGAATGCATACAGAGAGACAGAATATGTGCGAGCTCCGCAGATCATCGCGTTAGACTAGGTCCTTGTGTTAGGGGGAGGGGAATGTTGTGAAACGAGATTGGGCACCTCCTCAGGCTGCTCCTCAGGCTACTCCATCCTCGACACGAGCCGAGCAAACGAGGGTCCTCGAAGGCTGGCGGCGACGTTGCTTGCAAAGCACAACTTAACCTATGGACGAGGATCCGAGGGTCCTGGGATGCAGGCCGCCAATTCCCCTCTCCGCTCAGGTAGGCAGGCGGGGAAGAGACACACGAAAACAAAACAGCCACCTATCCTCAGCCCCAACCCCTCGGCCCCCGGCCTCCGCGTGCGAGTGAGAAGCCGGAGAGGGGCGTGGGCATCTGTAGATCTCCCCTCCCCGCTTGCTTGTCAAATACGCATTTATGTGCTCGAGGCGCCTCTTTGCTTTTTCTGTTACATTTTTTGATCTATGACAATTTGTGAGATCCTCGTTTCACCCCCCCGTGTCCGCCATGTGGCAAGCTGGTTCGAGACCGCCGTTTTCCTTTTCTTTTTCCTTTATTTCCTTCCTCTGTTAGATGGAAACTCGCGGCTTGGTTGGTTAGTTTTTCCTGTCCCCTCTCGTCCTTTCTTATTACTTGTTCCCACCTAGACCTACTTGAGACGGCAAAGATCGTTGCAATGTCTCGATTCTTGAACCCTCTTTCGGTTCTCCATGTCTGACAGAGAAAGAACACGCGCAAAATGGAAGTGAAAGAAAAAGAAGGAAAGCGTGTGCGAAATTGGAGAAGAAAAATGACTGGCGATGATACCCAATTTCTTCCAATTTAATAGAACCCCCGCAAGTCTTGTCGGCAACTTTTGAGGTCTCTTAAAACACAACTGGTAAAGGGGTTGGGGCGCTTGAGATAACCCTGAATGCCGGGCCGCCTACCTGGTGGCAACAAGGCGGCAAATTCCCGATTCAACCCACCCACCGGAATAATACAGTTTCTGTGGAATGGCGTATTTCCTTGTCCAGTCCAATTCGGAAGGCGCAGGTCAAGTTGGAGATTTGCGAAAATGTCCCAGGAATTACCTTAGATAAGCCCGGTCAACTTTAATACTTGGTGCTGTGATTGGCTGGGTGCTTTAAGCACCTTGGTGTTCAACTCCCCCTCTTCAAGCCAAGGCAACAATCCGGATCTAGCACTAGCAACCTCAAACTCGTGGAGCTCCCATCTTCCAATGCCACCGGTTTTCACGGCAATTTATTGCTGGCTTGCAACACACAGCACGCAAAACATGCAGAATGTCTGATTCGGCCGTCGTTGTCTACCTTTCTACGCTTCGGGCATAAGATGCAGCAGATCACAACGCTCGGGTTGCCTGCTGCCATGCACCACCACGTCTCCTAAACACTTGAGCACATGGGAGGTGGCAGGTATGGCCGACAGCCATAACCCAAACCCGCCATCCTACCAAGATGCCACCCGGCTCCTGGATTGGCTGGAGCTCGCCGCGCCCTTCATTCCCGCTCGAGAGTACGCGCGACTGTGCCTTGTGTCGCGCCGCTTCTATCACCACTTCGCTCCTCGCCTTTGGAATGACCCCCTCGCCGTCGCCACCCGGCTCTCGTTGGACCGAGACAGCGGTAAGTACCCAGCCGGACCTGGCTCTGATCTTCGCCCCGCTGCTTGTCTTGCCCGCTAACCAGCCGACACTGGGCAGATTTCGAGCGCTATCAACACTTCATGCTGAGGCACCTCAAGGATGTCCGGCCTGTTACTCGCTCGCTCGTCACCTGTCTTGATCTGCGCCGCTTGACGCGTCCGGGCTCTGTCTTCTCGCTAGACTCCAGCGGCCCTACCCTCACCGGCACTCTCCGCCACCTGCCGTTCACCTTGCCCCGGCTCCGCTGTATCCTGCTCGATGGACACTCGGATGTCGACACGGACGTCCTGGTAACGGCGTGGGCTTCTGGCACCCTCGCTGCGCCGCCACACTTCCAACCCCCTTTACTCCTGAGCATGGCGCATTGCCGCACTCCTCTGCCGACAGCTTTCTTTGGGTGTAGTTTTCTGAAAAGCCTTGTGTACCTTGATGTGTCTGATGTGCCTGGTTCACTCAAAACGCCCTTGATGCAGCGCATGATGAGCCCTGACAATCTGCCGCGTCTCCGGATATTGAAAGCGCAAGGGCGCGAGGTGGACGACTCAGAGGCGTCACTTCTCTTCCAAACTTTTAAGGACCAGCTCTGGAGTCTGGACTTGAGCCGGAACAAGCTCTCAGACAATGTACTCTATGACATGTATCAATTCACCTTCCCGGCCGTGACGTTGAGAGGCCGTGGAAGCTCCTGCTCCGACGTTGAAGGCACGTTGCTCTTACCCCAAGGACAGGGCAGCGATTTTTATGGCCCCTTTTGCTTTGTTCAAGAGTCGCAATCGAGTGCCTCTTTCACCCACCCACAGAGATACCTGGCCGATGCTCCCGTCTACACTAGAGACGCCCACGGACCGGTACCGCAAGGGATAGCCGGTGCTAGATTAGACGGCCGACGGGGAATCAGGGACGACTCGGCAACTTCCGTCAAGAATTTACTCTGTGGCGACAGTCCGGGATCACCCTTTCACTCGCTAGATGACCCAGTTCAGGATCTGGACGTATGTTGCGGCCACGGGGGCATCACGCACCTGTACCTGAATGAGAACAATATCTCCGCTCAGGGCATTGCGAAGCTGATCCGGTCTTCTCCCGGGAATTTGCATCGTTTCGAGTGTGATTCCATGTCTCTCAGCTTCCCCGACGGCTGTCTTCCCAAGTGGATCTCGCCAACAGCGAGGTTGTCAGGTATCCTTGGAGTTGCGCACCTGTTCCGCCCTGTGTTCTCGTCGAATCTACAGGTATTACGAATCCACCACTCTCTCGTAACGCAACTTCCATCTCTGGAGACGGACGACTTACCCACTATGTCAAGTTTATGGCTCGCTGAGACCTTTCTCCTACCGAGAGCAGAGCTGGCCTATCCTGAAGCCTTTCTCCCAGATATGAACCCCAGACTCCGATCGCTCACCCTAACACGGATTCCTAGATATTCTACGGGGCCTCTTATTGACAAGTTGGTTAGGTTCTTAGAACTTGTCTCCCTGCAAGAGCGGGCGATCCAGGATGCACAGCCTACATCAGCCAGGCACGCACCAACCGTTTTGTTAGGCCTCAGGCATATCCGCCTTGAATTCGAGCCTGACCTTAGCGAAGAGCTCGGGCCCGAGCTTTCTGATATCGAGGGCCTCGATTCCGAGGCTCTGATGAGAATGACCACGGAGGAATTTAGCTTCTTTGGAGATTCTGGCGGTTGGGAATCTTCGCCAAGCACAGCAGACGCTACCGACGCTGGCACCAAGTCACTGATGTATGTAGAGAGACAGTCTGTCGCTAGTGCTAGCAGTCCTCGCAGTGCATCTGAGCCTAAGAACCAAGAATCGGCCCGGCTAGAACGATACCCGCAACCCGAGACATATCTGTCTGGGCTGGAATACCTCGACGCCACCGGCGCGGGCATATGGAATGGAGCTGCCTTTACCGTGCCCGTCTGGGTAGGCACTGGCCCGAATGTCTACGGCCACCAAATGGAGAAGCTTGACGCCGTTGGCGAGTATATGCGGCTCCTGGCGAATCATCCCGCCTTGCGCGCCAACCCCGTACCGGCCTCTCCCTGTCACGTCGCCGCCGGCGTTCCACCTGGTTCCTACATCTTCTTGGCGGCCTGGGATGCTATGTTGGCCCCGCCTTCGGCGTCCAACAGCGCAAAAGCTCGCAGCCACAGCAACGGCGAGAGCATGCGCAAACCAACGCAGCGAGAACTCAAAGGAATGCGAGACGTTGTTGCCGCCATCAAGGCCTATCGCGTCCAGACCCGCAGAGCGTACGACGCGGCGCGCCAACGGGCATCGCGGGACGGCATTCCACTGCGGCCGCTACTGGGCGATCCGCATTTCCACTGGGGCGGCAAGCTCGAGGTGTCTATGAAGGACCCAGCGGCGCACTACCATTCATCCAAGTACTGGCGATGATGGCTGCTTCTCTGTCTATTGTAGGGGTTATAATGTTATGGCGACGTACTGTGAACTCCAACCATGGTGGATGGTTCGTAGATGAGAAATGTGGCAATAATGTAGATATATAGGTAATGTGAGGCGGTTGGTGTCGTATGCTGCGGCATAGTCTCCAATCCACGATGGGTTCTAGTGATGGCTGGTGCGGGGTGTTTGTCTACGGGTGGTTCATATTTATTAACCACCGGATGTGTTTCGTTTATTGTACTAATTTGCGCTATAGTGTTCAATCTAGGTTCTACGGCTCGCAGACAAACATTCTTCCAGAATTTGCTTTGGTCTAGTTATCACTTGTGTCTTCGCCTACAAGTAGAATGTCTCCCCAGCATCTGACTTCCTGACGTCCAGTAATACAGTCGTTGACAGCGGTCCTGTTGTTTACGAGGTCCTGGGTCACCCTTATTTGTCAAACTGTTTTCTAAGCACAGTGTTTGACTGCCCTGATGTATAAATATAATCCCTGAGACCGGATCGAGACAGTTTGGTGACTGTCGTACGGGCTCGTCTTTCATCATTCGCTGAAGCTGAGTCGGGCTTGATACGAGCAACTATTTTCTTACGTCCTTGCTTGCTTACTCCCTTCCTTCCTTCCTTCCTTCCTTGCTTGCTTGCTTGCTTACTATATGAGTTCGAGCAATAATGTATATTCTTGTGTTTCCACGTCTAAGTGCGGTTGGAGCGGATTGTGGTTGTTCCATCTGGAGTTCTGGTGGTTCGAAGTCTTGACCTATCTATTTGTGAAGAACACAGGGCAGCAGGAACGTGCTGTGCTATGATATGCTGGGATTTACGTATGTTTGTATGTGTATAAGGTTTATCTTTCCGTCGTGTCTATTGAGGAGTGGCTTCCATAACTTTGGACTCATCACCACCGTAGTACTTTTAAGTGTCTGCGTGGTGATGGGTATAAGCTGTTTCACTTGGTGATAGATCTAACTGTGGAAGTCGCTCCTTGAACAGATGAAATAAACCATCATTACCATCAATGTACGTATTAAGGGGCCCAGAGCAACAAAAAGTGCATTTGCGCCCTTGGTGACTTAGCCCAGTGCGATCTTTTCTTGGTTTCTTTTGGCCAATCCACCTCATATATGTTAGCTGGCCTGCTCTGCTCATGATCAGAGGACCGGCACTACTCTCTCCCACCTTTTCCTAACCACTCTTTAGAAATCACGTTCTTTTTCCTTGAATCAAGGTCACCAGACCATTGCACGTGGTAGTGTTTCTTTCTTTGTTGCATTTGAATTCCTGGCCAGTCCCCTGCAACAGTACCCTGTAAGGCTCGTCTTATGGCATTGTTGTTGTCGTTGTCGTATGGTGCCATTTCACCGCTTCAAGCTCAAGGAACATGTCGTCTGGAATTGACCCACTTTTCATGGAATTGGACAGGCCCTGGTTGACATGCCTCTGAGCTTCCTTCACTCTTTGTTATTTCCTTCATTCTTGACTCGGAATGTCCTCATTTCATTCGGAATGCCCTCTTTCGGGCTGCGCCTCCCTTGCCCTCTCTCCATGAGTATAAGGAAGCGTTCTTTTCTGTACTTTTAGACCTACTGAGCAGACAATTCAATGCGCTGTCAACTTCGATCGCGTGCAACGGAACACAATTACGCACGTAGAGCACCACTGATGTTATCCCAAAACTGGGAAGCAAGCTGGGCACCAAGTCGCCCGTAGCGGAGGGAATTGCAGGTATCCTCGTCACCGCCCGTCGCCCCTGTTATGAACGCCTACGATAAAGGGCCCAACCAGTTCCTGCGCCCTCCCGAACCAATCCACAGAGACAAATAAGAACAGGAGAATATTCAAGTTGAGAGACGGGGATAGCAGTAGAAAGTGGAAATCCAAAATGTAGCATATCGAATTAATGTTTTTTTTTTAAAAAAGAAAAGAAGAAAAGAAAAGAAAGTGGATACGTTTTTTTAAATAATATAATAAGTATTCACGATTAAGAATGTTGGAACAGCGGCATTCATGACCGTACTTTTGGGTGCAGGAGGGAGGTAGCGCCAGGCACGTGCCGGCTCACGTGGTACGTGAGCGCACAGGAGCCTGCGTGCCGATCCACCAAAACCAAGCCCACCCAGAAACCTTAGTTACTTCTGTAGACAATCAATGAACAAATCATTACCCCCCCTCCCACAGTAGTACTACTACGAACCATTCCGGAATACCACGAACAAAGAATGTGCGCGCGCGAGACTTTCTTTAAGTAGATATGGAGATCTAAATATTAGTTGGTTGGCCTCCTCAAGGAACTCAATAAAAGAGCGGAGGAAAAAAAAGGAAAAAAAGAGGAAGAGGACAAAAACATGAAGAGCCATCAACTTAGATGGGGATGATGGAACAAAAAATTAATGACAAAGACGAGATTCGAACTCGCGCGGTTTCCCATTGCGGAATGTGGGCGTCTGCTTTCTCTAGAGAAGGCAGATCTCCTAAACACAACGCCTTAACCACTCGGCCACTTTGCCCTTACTTTAGGGGGTGCTACTTTGGTCCACTGTTGTGGGCTATGTTCCTTAGTTGGCCCGCCCGCCTGGCCTCCCCGCTGACTGGCTGGCTGACTGTTCTGGGGGCGCCGCTGATTGTGGGAGTGGACTCTTAGTGGAGCGGGGAGAAGGTTTATGAGGTGGGGCTTTGGCGCGATTTGACGCTGTGCTTCCAGGCGGCTCTCCACTGTCGTGGGAAGTGACGACGGTGGAGTATTGCTGGGGATGAGCTCTATCAAGTGTGCGTGATGTGATTTAGGCGGGTGAGATCCTTCTGCCTGCTGAAGGGCGAATCCAAGTGAGAGAGGCAGAAATACAGGACAGAGAGGGGCATGATAAAGGTTGTCTTCTCTCGAAGAGGTTGGGCGTTAACTTCAAGCTACGGATACCTAGAACTGAGTTGTGTTTGGCTTGACGCAGCTTGCAGGCTACTTGCAGCAGTGTTGCAAGCGGCAGCAGCCAGCCTGATAGCTTCGGTTTACATATCCATTCCAGGCTTATAATTACAAGGCACCACAATTCTTGACGTCTCGGGGATTTTCTGACTGTCACTGCGCTGGGGTGATGACCTAGGCCGAGGCAGTCCGCCGGCATGGTATGTACATACACTCCTGTGTCCTCCCGCCAGAGCTTGACCGTGTCGACAGACTTGCCTGTTTTTTGCATTGCCAACAAAAGGTTCTCGTCAGTTGGGTGGTCAGTGGTCACGCCCAGCTTCCGGCGCTTCAGGTTCTGCCAGCAACCAACCTTCAGCGGGTCGGCGATGGTCCGTGCGTAACCTTCTCTCACCTTCAAAATCTCCTTATCAAGTCTTACCACGTGCAGCAAAAAACCCCGCAGGCGGGACTTTACAGGCCTCCACAATTTACCTGTCAACTTGACTTTAAGCACCTTCCTTCCTCACTCAACACCATCACTCGCCACGCATTTCTTCCTTGCACACCGCGTCACGATTCCCACCTTTCCCACTCCCGCATCTCCAAACTTCGCGAACAGAGGCATCCATCTTCAAATCACCTGCATTTCGCACGAATCAAACGAGTCTTACCCCAATCTTTCATTTGACCGACCGCGCGGGCCTACGTCGTACCATCTCCCAAAATGTCGGGTTTGGACGTCGAGGCTTTGCTAGACTCGACGGCTTCGTCGAAGGAGCAGCCAAAGACCACCAACGGAGGAGGCGAGTCGCCCAATGGTCATCACAGCAATCGCCATGGAAGTAGCCCTCGTAGCGAGACGGGCAGCGCTATGAGCCGTCGTAGAAGCCGTAGCAGGGATTCCGGCCGCAGCGTCCGCCGCTATCGTGGAGGTGATTCCTATCGTCGCTCAGACCGCTCGCGTTCGCGTTCTCCCAACCGCCACTACCGTCCCCGCGGAGACCGCAATGATCGCCGCGACTATCGAGGCGACCGACGCGACCGCGACTACCGTCGTCGTGACGACGATCGTGCTTATCGTGGAAGCGGCCGTCATAGTGTGCCCCGCGACCGCGACCCGTCCCCGCCTCAACCGACTGAGGACGAGCGTGATCGTCGTACTGTTTTTGTCCAGCAGCTTGCAGCGCGTCTGCGAACTAAGGAACTCAAGGAGTTCTTCGAGAAAGCCGGCCCGGTCGCTGAGGCCCAAATCGTTAAAGACCGTGTGAGCAACCGGTCTAAAGGGTATGTTTCTATTCTGTTTACTCCCTCTTGCATTCTTTTGGCGTTACATTTAGCTCATAAAATTCTAGTGTTGGTTACGTGGAATTCAAGAGCGAGGAGTCCGTGGTTGCTGCTCTGCAGCTTACCGGTCAAAAGCTCCTCGGCATCCCAGTCATCGTCCAGATGACCGAGGCGGAGAAGAACCGCCAAGTCCGCACCACGGAGCCGACCAATAACCATCCAAATTCAATCCCATTTCACCGCCTCTATGTGGGTAATATCCATTTTAGTATCACTGAGCAGGATTTGCAAACTGTCTTCGAGCCGTTTGGTGAGCTTGAGTTCGTGCAACTCCAGAAGGATGACAACGCCCGCAGCCGCGGTTATGGCTTTGTTCAGTAAGTTCTTTCGGCTCACGAGTCATCATCGTTGAATGCGTGCTAACATGGTGCAGGTTCCGTGATGCCGCCCAGGCTCGCGATGCTCTTGAAAAGATGAACGGATTCGATCTTGCCGGCCGCCCGATCCGCGTGGGACTCGGCAATGACAAATTCACGCCCGAGTCAACTGCAAACCTCCTGCAAAAGTTCCAAGGCCAGAACCACTCTCAGTTCCAGGGCTCAGCTTTTTCGGGTGCTGGAGGACGCGGCGGCCAGTCCGCAAACTTTGATCGCGCCGGTGCACGTGAGAGCGAGAAAGGGACTGGTGCCAGTGCCCTCGACGATACGGATGTCGCCGGCGTAAATTTCAATAATTACAGCCGCGATGCGCTCATGCGAAAGCTCGCGCGGACTGATGAGCCAGCTGCTCCAACCGAGCGGCAGGTGATCAAGCCGAAAGCGGAAGTTAAAGCCCCCCTGCCTTTGAATGTCAACATGGCCAGCCGCTGTGTTGTACTTCACAACATGTTTGACCCCTCGACGTATGTTATCCTCTACCTTCCTTTCGTCGAGCTGTGGGTTAAGTTACTAACTTTGCTTCTCTTGTAGTGTGCCCGAGGGTGATGAGTGGATCAAGACCCTCGAGGGCGAAGTCCGCGAGGAGGCGGAGGAGAAATACGGCCACGTACTTCACATTGCCATCGATCCCAACTCGGATGGTGATATCTACCTCAAGTTTGAGAAGCTGGCCGGGGGTGAGAACGCCATCAAAGGCCTGAATGGCCGCTACTTCGACGGCCGAATGATCACAGCGGCGCCTGTTGTCGACGCTGTTTACAGCAGTTTGTTCTCTCGCACCAAAGCGATTTAGGACGCTAATTGCGGCTATCGCCTGCTTGACTACTACATCTAGGACTCTCAACCGTTGGTCTCCCCGGTCCCTACCTGGCCTTCCTGTCCCCTCACTCGATGCGCTTGCTGACACTAGTGACAGTACCTTCGACTGCAGATCGATCGTGGTCGTAACTCTCACCTGTACAGATTACTCTCACTCTCTATCCGAGTCACGGAAAATTCCCGGCGGTTTCGACATACTTCCTGGTCTCCCCTAATTCCCTTAAGATCACGAAGTCTCGAGTTTCTTTTCGATATCACTGATCTTCTCAAACAGAAACTGCCAACCATTTTCTCTTGTTCGTTTCGGCATGGACGGAGGCAGTCACTGCCTACATTTTCGGCGTTAGGCGTTGCTGATCTTTGTACTTAGGCAGACCATTCGCCTTTGCAGAGAACGCTCCCACAGTATCGGGCAACCTCAATAACCTGGTTCCTGGTTCTTCCCCTAACTACTTAACTGCCCTTGTCTGAATACAAACTACCACAGTGTCTCATAGGCTCCTGAATGATGCGGCGAGTGAGATGTTACGAAACTGGTCAATGTGGCGGACCTGGTCAACGCTGTGGTTTTCCTTTTCTTTTCCTTGTCATTGTCGATGGTGCACTGATGCTCAGCAGATCTACCTCGAGACCTGGCTACCTCCTAGTTGACGTGTTCTAGTCTCGGTTTTCCTTTTGCTCCGGGTATAGTCCTATCAGCCTTTTCTCCGGAAATCCCTTTGGCCTTCAATGCCATTGGTGATCCATTGTTTTCTGGCCAATATCTTGCTTTCCTCTCGTCTAATACTATAAGGTGGGTACCAAGATGGTCCAATCAGATCAACCAGAAGCCATGTCTTTCCTCATATCTTCGGGATAGACAGAAAGTGACCGTCTGCGCCAGCAGAAAAGCCCTAGGGGGAGACGGGTACAACTCTATGCACCCTAATGCCTGCCAAGGGACGTGATCGTGATGTCTTGGATTTCCCTTTCCCAGACTTGACCTTTAGAGCGCTTACTTTCCATGTGCTGTCAGGGTAAACGCCCGAATCTGTTTCCGTCGCCGCGCTAAACGGATGTCTTGATGTAGGTGATACCGTTGATACTTGCATGGGGCTATCGATGTGGACTGCTGTTGTTGGGCAAAATTTATGGTGGTGTGGTCAATAATGATGATGTGAGCAATGATGCCGGCGTGGTGATTGTTGTTGGTTACGTTGTGGGCATAGACAGCTGTTTGACGTGCACAAGACTGTTGGAAGATCCCCCCCTGCGTTTGCCCTCGTCGCTATCTGCTATGAAACCTTGTCCAGACAAGTAGTATATGGTTGGCTTTGAATGTGACAGTGATCCCCCAGGCACCTTGCCCTTATCCCATCTCGTGTACAGCAAGGCAATCCCTTTACAGATGGCACGCCGTGCATAAATGGGATATGAACAGCCCACAAAATAAAGACTTTCCGAAGACATTTGAACACCTCCTTCCCATGATGGACAATGCCAGCCAATAGGTAGGAAGCCGCATATCCTTTCGCGCTGCCGCCTGGTTGCCTGCCTTTGACTGGCGCTGGGTTGCTCCGGAGACTGGCATATGGTGCGGCAGGCTGTGGCGCCCCTCAGTCTTCAGGCGCAAGCAAGTGCGTGGTGGCTGTGGGATGATGTGCCAGTTACGGATAGGATAGAGCGTCACTCTCGTCGCATCTACAGAAGTCCCCTAGTGAGATAGAGGAGCAGTCCCATGCTGTGAAATGGTGTAAGTGATCAGGAGGAAGCCCACGTGAGAATCAAGGACTAAGGAGGAATGTTTTGGCTGAAAGGGTCTTGCTGGCCTTGCCATCTTGCTACGTACGTATATCACTCACTGCTCTTTCTGTCTAACTGGTCCTACTGTTTTGTTGGGTTTGCTAGTCTCGCTACGTAGTTTGGTTTTTTTTCATGTAGACCCTCTGCTGCCAGACCCAGACGTGACTAGAAAGAGGCCAACGCGTGACAAAGTCCCAACGACGCGACTGTTTTTCTCACAAGCTTCCTATCTCTCGACAAGGTAGGCGGTCACGCGGCTCGTCTCGCCCTTCATGACCTCACCCGCCCCTGAGCGCCAAGGTGGGCGGGCGGCTCTTCAGGGGAGGGGGTGTGGTTCTTAAAGGGGCACGGTTACTGAGGGACGTAGGTGAGGTAGGTAGGTAGTTACCGAAGCAACTCACTCTCGCCTTCGCGTCACGCCCCCTCGCGGCCGTCAGGGTCCTCAGTCGCGTGCACAGTCTCCCTCTCCGGGCCTCTGGTCAGCCGGCTTCCTCGTCCTTCTCTGGCCTTGCCCGCCTCAGGTACATATTCCTTTTCCTTTCCTCACCACCTCCAGTCTCTTTTTCCCGGCTTCAGCCAAACAACAACCTCACCTCTTTCATCCGCGCCGCCCTCGGGGCTAAGCTCTACGCATATTTAACGGATAAGTTGAAAAGGGGTGTCGTGTTGCTCGCTTCTGTTGGCCCTCGACTCTCCTGACCGACGCGTTGACATGTTTCCATCACAGCTTTCGGATCAGACCGATGGGGGCGGGGCGGGGCGGTCTCGAGACTGAATTTTTTTTTTTGCCTCCCTGGCTATTTAGGCCGTTGATGTTCAAGACAAATCGACAACGGGCACGCGCCGGCGACTTTTTTTGCGAAAGAGATTCTTTATCCCCTCTAGGAACCCCCTTTAGGGTGATTTTGAGCGCTGGTGGTTTTTAGGTATGCATAGTCGGGCTGCTTATTCTGCTCCATCTATTTCTACTAGGTCTAGTTTTGTGGGAGCACCTTCGTCGCATAGCAATCCAGCGGATTACACTTTGGCCGCTCGGCCCTGGAAGATTCGCGTCGGGCAGATTTCTGATGAATATCGCGTTTTCAAAATCAAAAGCTGACATTGCCTCCAACCTTAAGACTCGGCTCTTTCTTCGTCCTCCCCTCTCTCTGGCCTTCACCCCATGCCGCTGTCAATGATCGGTCCTAGGCACACGTCTTGCTCACCGGGCAACATCCCCGTCCCTTTCATATTCCTCTCATTTCCTTGGTTCCATACACTACAGCTTGGGCGGAAAGCACCCTACCTGCCAGCCCCCGCCCTCTTGACCCGGCTTGTAGTTGCCACACCGGACCTGCATAAACTCGCCTGCCCTCTGCCGGCTTACCTCTCTTCCTCCTTCTTTCAACGACCGACCTTTATCATCTCCCGCCTTATTCTCGGTTTTGCTCTTATGCACACAAAACTAACGATAACCTCAATCCGGCCTAGATTTTTTTCCAAAAGGTTCGTTGCTACACTTACCCTCTCTCCATCGTGAAGCTCTTCCCCTCCTCAAATCCCGACCTTGTTGCCTCCTCTTCTTCCCTAGCTCGCCCTCGCCCGAGCACACAACCCTCTCCCGCCATCAAACCTCGAGCGTCACCGCCTCGAGCACAAACACGCTTCCTCAATAAATCCTCCTCATCAAGCTCTCCCGGGCGCAACTCTCTTCATCTTCCTTCATTAATCCGCTGCGAGCAGCATCATCCATCTCATTTGATTTTCATTCTCGCCTCGTGCCCCACTAACCTTGACGTCGTGTTTCTCGCGATAATTAGGGAAAAGAAAATGGAGAAGAGTCCGTCGTCGGCGAGCAGCGACGGCTCGCAAGAAGGCGGCGTCCGCCTGTTCATGTCGCCGCCGGGAGCAGGCGGAGTGCTCCTCTACGGGCACTCGCCGGTGCCTTCTACGGCGAAGAAGTCGGAGAAGGCTGGCGCGCCTCTCGCGAGAGAGGCCGCCAAGCCAGCAAAGTCGGAGGTTCGTAACGTGCCAGTTTCAGACCCCTTTGTCGACCCCAAGACGCCAGAGGGCCTAGGGCAGCGTCATCGCCGCACGGCCAAGCCGAGCACGGGCAGTGACCTGCTACCGCCAAACTCGAAGCTGCGCGGGCCCAGAGGCCAGCCGCCGGCCCCTCCTCCGCCTTTCTTCCTGACGGCGGCAGACACAGCGAGTGCCGGGCAGAGCCTCGCAGAACAGGTCCGGCGGTTTGCCGAGAGGATCGACATGATTGGTGCCGATGTAAGCTTCTACAGCGTGCCAGCTATCAGAATCCTCATGAAGTACCAGAAGCTAAGCATGGACGTCGTAAAGAAAGTTGTCAAGGAGCTCCACCAGGAGAGGGAGGAGAAGGAGAACGAGCAGATGGAGCAGGGCCTCCTGGAGCCGGCGGTATGTTTCTACGCCCTCTCCCTTCTCATCACCGCCCCCAACACTAACACCAACACCGAGGAGCAAAAATCAAATGCTAACTAGTCCCACCCCGCATTACAGGACGCCCACAAACTGACAGCAGATCTCAAGGCTCGGACAGTGAGAGTCCACAACGTGGTGGCGGCCCAGCAGTGGCCAGCCGAGCTGAAGGATCTGCTGCAGCAGGATCTCTACCAGGTTATAAACCTCGTGGACGCTCTCGACGAGGATGCGAATCGACGCGGCAATGTCGTCGATCGAACCAAGATCACCATCGCCAACATGGTGATGAGGGACGAGAGGATGCGGGCCGAGCACGAGTCGGCCATCCACGAGCTGCAGGCCCAGCTGCAGAACGAGAAAGAGCGCCTGGAGAACCTGGACGCCATATTGGAGAGCATGCGGACGCTCCGGCTTGAAGACGAGAAGACCATCCAGGTAAGCTTACATTGACATTCAAATCACCACACATCTCATCTGAATCTTGCAAACTATCCCGCTAACGCTTCTCACAGCACCTCCGAGAGCAGCTCGCCGGCAAGAGAAACCTGTGGCTGGAGCACCACGCCGACCCTGCCGAGAAGGCACACGCACTGGGGGCCATCAAGCGGAGCTCGCCGCCGCCCGCTGAACCGACCCTCAACTTGACGTACGGACCGGCCATGGGGGCACCGGAGGTTCCCCGCTACCTTCAAGAGTCGTGGCGGAAACCTTCGCGTGTCACAAGCCAGGCAGTGCCCGCCAGTGTCTACCAAGCAGCTCCGGCCAGCATCTACAACCCTGCAACTAGAATTGTCTACCAGCAAATCCCAAACAGCATCCTTCAGGGATACGAGAGCAGGGTGCCTCCCTCGGTCGCGGCTGCTGAGACACAAGACTCCGGACAGCGAGCGTCCAAGGCCAGCCTGCACCGCGCCGTCTCAGCCATGTACATTCGCCGCCAGCCAAGCCTAGCCAGATTCGACGACACGTGGACTAGCGCAGACCGCCGATCTGGACACTCTGGCGCGGACGAGCTTGGCAGCCCCGTGCCGCGGATGAAGCAGCTAGCCTTGACGACCATCCCGGACGAGCCCGTGTCCGAAGCCCCCGACGCCGAGGCAGTGCAGTGGGCGAAGGAGTTCTCCAGGATGTTCAACCTGGTCCTCGGCTTCTGCAACTCGTACATGCAGACCCCCGCGGCGCGCGACATAGTGCAGCACATCAAGGCGAGCTCGCCTCCGCTGTGGAAGTACATGTGCCGCGTCATCAGCCCGGCCGACGAGGCCGCCGGCGAAGCGCAGGCGACGGCCCTCCTCAAGGACGCCAAGACGCGGCCGCACCTCGTGCAGCGGCTGATCGCGCAGCACATGGTGCTGTTCATGTTCTCGGCCGACGGCTGGCTCGAGTTCGACACGGAGCACGACGCCGTCATGAAGCAGCTCACCTCACAGCTAAGCAGCAAGGCCGTTGTCAAGCCGCACGAGCGGCAAGCCCTTGTCGACCGCCAGGCCGAGCTCGTGCAGAGCATGACGGTGCACGACAAGTGGGCGTCGTTCCGCCAGTACAAGGTCAACGACCACTTCCAGAAGCTCAAGAAGATGATGGGCCCGCTCGTCTGCGCGCGCCCCGGCCACAACATGCACCAGGAGGCCTTCTATGATCTGCACAACGTCACCACGTCCGCCTGGGACCTGTCGGCCAAGCTCGTGCTGTCACGCCTGACCTTCAGCTATGTGTGGAACGACACGGGCGCCAAGTATTCTGACGAGAGCCACGTCGCCATCGAGCACAGGGAGGATCCCGTGATCCTGCAGATCAAGCAGGCGCGCATCAAGCTCGCCGTGACGCCCATCATCACCATGCGCGACGACCGCGGGCTGGCGGTTATGCCCAAGTGCCTGAGCAAGTCCGAGGTCCTGATCATGTCGTGATTGGGGACTGGGGACTGGGGACTGGGGACTGGGGAGGAGGAGGGGTTGATTGAAGTTTCGAATCATCATCTCTCTTCTCTTCTTCTCGGGCATTCACGTCGCGATGGGCTCTCTCTCTCTCTCTCTCTCTCGGTATGGGCGCCCTTCTGCTTTTCGCAGGTCGGCTTCGAACATATTCATATAACCACACACAGAAAACCAAAAAGAAAATGTCTCGACAGAGGGCTAGACACCAAAAAAAAAAGAAGTCGACTCTATCATATCCCGCTTCCGTTTTTGCTCTTCATTCCTTAGGTCTTTAGCATCTCTTGGGGCGTTCAGGAATACCAACCAGGTCTAGGGTTGGATAATGGCTGACGATGTAGGCCCTGTATTTCTTCCTCTTCGTTGAAGTTGAGAGGTAGGCTCAGGGCGTTGATCAAGTCCTTTGGCTTCCTTTTGCTCTGCTGTTTCGTACGGCGTTTTCTAACCGTGGGTTCGTGAGGGCGATATATTATGTAGGCGGGCAGCCGTTTTCGAGGCCTCAGGCCAGAGAGTTCCGTGTAGCCGTAAGGCTATAATCATGGTCCTAATTTTCGTCTTGATCGTTCTCCCTGCCCTCTCAGCGCCTCCATTCGGCTCTGGTGTGCTTGCTGGGGTCCTTTCGATATCGATGCCTTCGTCTTTGGCCCAGTTCTCGAAGCGGGATAGCTTCTGGTTATCTAGGTTAACTAGCGACCTCTCATTATCAATCCTAATCTTACAGATCGCTAGACCGTACTACCTTTTGACCCAGGCTTCAAAGTCAATGATTATTTCTACCGAGTGGTTCTTCTTGGCCATCGAGAAGACACAGATACCGCCGCTATATTCGTCCTTAATAGCTATGAGGTGCTAGCGGCCGTTGAAGCCCTCCTCATACTCAAAGAGATCCATCGAGACCCTCCAAAACGGTTGTTTTGAGCGATTTTCCGATACTCGTCGGGAGATAATTTCGTACGCTTTGCCTAGCCTGCAGGCCTCACAGTCCTTGAAGTCCCTTGCCGCTATTTGTCCTCCTATGTTATCAACCAGCCTATTAATGGCTTCCTCCCATAGATGCCCCGACCGTAGGTGCCAGAGATGCCCCGGATCCTCCCTTAGGGGCGGAGGGTCCCTGGAAGGCCGGTGTTGTTAATAACTCCGTCTTACTAGAAGCACGAATATATCTATATCACTTCTAGGCACTTTATTGAGCACTGAAAAGCACGAGGAAATAGCGTTATATTGGATAATAGGGAGATTATATATAGTCATGAGTGTAATAATAACCTTATTCTTCTTCAGAGTCCCGAACCTAATCGTATTATCGAAGCCTGCAAGCCAGAATTTGGCCTTGTTATAGAGAACAGTGTCTGAGACGATGTTGACGTGGAAGCCTGCAATAACGGCCATATCTTCGAGGGTTAGATCAACCGTGTTCATTCCGTTCGGACCGTTGAGGGCGTTCTTAATGAACCAGGTGCCTCTGCCTTCAATAGCTAGGTAGCTATCGCCGACTTGTATAAAGTCTTCGTCTGTAGAGGGCGTGAACGTGCCGGGCTTCAGTAGAGCCTTGGAGTTGACGACGTAGATTGAAGCGCCTATATCGAAGATGATAGATTGTGAGAGAGGGTGAGGGCCGTAGTTGACTGCGTTGACCGTAAAGATCGCAGCTACGAAGTTCTTCGGCCAGCCTTCTCCTTCTTCGGTCGTAGAAACCTTTCTAATCTTCTGGGCCAGTTCTTTCCACTTAGGCTTCTTTAGTTCCTCACGGGCGTAGTCCAGCCTTTTCTTCGGGACGTTATGCCGGCCTTTCTTGCCCGTAATGACCTCCTGTAGGGCCCAGCACTTCTCAGGCTTGTGGAAGGCGGCATCAGGCCGGTAAGGGCATGTATATGCCTCCCGGGCTCTTTCAACCTCTTCTCCTTTAGACATTGAAACCAGGGTATGTAGCTTCCTGACGATGTCCTTCAGGGTCGTATTTTCAGGCTCAGTGAGGTCAGCGTACGTAGTGGCTGTGCTGGAGTGAATCCATTCCTTGATCTCTCGAATCAGGGCTTCCTGCTTCTACCAGGACTGCATTTGCTGAGCGGTAGCGTTATCGGCTAGGTCACGCTTTTCTTCAGCGATGCGAGGTGTGGCTTGAGGTTAGCGATGATCGAGGAAGTGTTCAAGTCGTAGAAGATGAGTTCGGGGAGCGGGAGCCAGGTGGTGTTGTTGATGTCAACGGCTTCACCGAGCTTCCTGTCGCCATCGACCTTTTTCAGGGCAGCGTACCATGCGAGCCATTCTGACAGGCGCGTCAGAACGGGCTTGTAGAGAGTAGTAGCGGTAGTTGCTGCAGCTGACGAAGCCATTGTCGGTTTGACTGATCAAAAGAAGGAAAGAAGGAAGGATTTAAAGGCATTGAGAGTGGTCTGTTGGCTAAGAACACGAGCTTGGAAATGAGGTGCCGAAATGCTGTTGCGGAAGCGATTTTTGATTAGGCCGGGCTCATAACTATTGCACGTGATCGAAGTTGACAACGCATTGAATTGTCTGTCTAGGCTAGAAGAAAGGTTCCAAGGACGAAGCTGTAAGCTTCCTTATATAGACCCTGTAGCCCTATGCCTCCTACCGCCGCCTCCGCCGCTTATTGTCTTGTTGGTTCAACCAACACACATCTTCAAAGGTCAAAAACGTAAGATAACGGTATAAGCCGACGACGGAATAAGCCGACGACGGAATAAGCCGACGACGGAATAAGCCGACTATGGCTTGAAGGGTGGCTCAAAGTGGCTCAAATCTGGGCGACAAATTGCCTGTAGGAAGTGAGCGTCATAGAGGGCCTTCTTAAGGTTCAACTCGGATGTGGCTCAAAGTGGCTTCAATAGTGGCTTAGATCTAGGCGACAGATGAATAACTACGAATGAATGAATGAACGAACGACACGACACGACACGACATAGCGGACAGTTGTGTGTACGTGCGCGCGCGCGTGTTTTCACGGTTGGAATTTAAAATTTTAGAAGCTTGGAACGGACTTTTTTCTGTTGTTCTTGTTTCTCTTCTTTTTTTTCCTCTTTCTTTCTCTCTTTTCGGAGGCTAGTCTTGGTTGGCTTGGCTTTATTCGGTCGTTCATTCATTCAGTCATTCATCGCTTGGAGTCATCGCGGAGTCCTTTCCCTTGTCCATTTTCCCGGCCGGTTGATACCCATTTCTTATTCGGGTTTCCCATCGTTTGCGGTTTCGGGATTCGGGCGTTTCGGAGTTGGCGAGTTCACGGTCGGCGGATCAGTTAGTTAGTTTCTGGCTCACGTCTCATGGTATCGTCACGATCTATCGCAAGCTCTTCTGCCGAGAGCCGAGTCGACGTCGCATAGCAGGGCTTTTGCATTTGCACTGACATAGTCAATTTTCACGCGCATTCACAGGGCAATGGAAAATAGGGCATTTGTCAGATGGAACATGCTGGAATGTGGGCTGTGAAGGAGCTAGGCAAAGGATTCGCGGCCTACTTCGCCACTCATTTTGCCACCTATTTTGCCACCACAATAGTAGTATAAGAAGGAGGCTTTCTGGCACTGCCAGAAAGCCAGGAAGATAGAGAAGACAATCAATTGAAGCCAGTAAAAAATCCTGAAGTGCAGTAATCCAACAGCATTTGATGCAGGAAGGTAAAGCTTAAATTGTCTGAAAAAGTCTGCAGAAGTAGGACGAAAAATGAAGGTCCTGTTGGTCCTACTTATAGCTATGAATCCAGCCTTGGAATGAGGTTAAGCGGCCTGAAAAAGAAGCCATAGCGAGGTCTGTAGGGTAGGTCGTTATGTCGATGTTCGGTCATGCCTGAAATACGAGATGTTTGCCCAAGGTCATGTTTGACGAGGGCAGGCCTATTGATATGGCCCATGCGATATCAATCAATCACACGACACGACACGACAAGCTTGGTCTCTCAGTATCGCCTAGATAGGCTATGTAAGTAGGACGAGAGGGTTTTCCATTTCCAGAGACAGGCACGCGGGCAGACAGGCAGGTGGACGAGACGGACGTACATAAATATATTTAAGGCGGGATTTACCATGGATGGCTGGGTGGATGCTTTCTTTCTCCTCAGCTCATTCTGTGAGGATTTGTACGGGTATTATTATAGTAATTGCAATTGACAGTTGCAGTGGACCCATTACTTGCTTGGCTCACTAAGGCCACCTTCTCTGCATATTGTGTGTGTATCGTTGTGTTTTGTGATGTCTTTTTATTTGAATCTTCAGTAAAGCGCTCAATCGGGTTTGTCGAGTGAGCAGCCTGCAGCCTTGACATATTGAAGTACCCAAGAAGCTCATCTCGAGGTTGGCAAACCTACAATTTTTACTGCGTTTTAGACTTCGTTCCGTGTGCCTTTCTGGATTTTATATGACGTTCGGCCCATCTACGGCGGCGGGGTTGGAATCTCTGTTCTGTTCCTCGGCTAGGTTTCGCATCATGCAACCAATTATCAAAGCTAGTGGCCACATTTCAATGCCAGCCGCCAGTCCCCAGAAGTGAGATGTCTGGATTAGACAGGAAAGCCAAGTGTTTGAAAACTAGATTCTTCCTAACGCTAAGGCTTCCTCAAATACCGCTTGTTGCTTCCCACCGCTCCCAAATCCAGGGTGCTGTTCTCCAAAAGCACAAAGCCAATTGCTTGCCGCGTCGGAGTAGTCCCCCTTGTTCCCTTTAGAAATGCATGTATTGGTCAAAAGATACGCCGAGTCGTTCCTGCGTGCAAGAGACGAGGTGATGAGCGAATCCGACAGCCATGCCAGCGCTCTGCTCGCCATCGCCAAGAGCAACCCCGTCACCGCCGAAGAAAAGCTTGCCAGCACACTTCACCCCGTATGATCCCCATCGCCGCCAGCTTCCACCTCAAGGCTGGCCCCCTAAGCCAGAGTTTTGAACCTGAAAGCACGCAAAGTCAGTCTAGTGTACGTAGTTTGCCCGCCTAGAGGACCCACTTGTTGAGGACGCGCTCAATGCCGTCGCAGCCCATCTTGAGCGTGTCCATGCGCGGGCCGTACGAGAAGCGGACAAAGTGGTGGCAGGGGCTGTCGAAGAGGTCGCGGCGGCGGGCGGGGTTGAGGTCGAAGAAGATGCCGGGGACGACAATGACCTTCTCCTCGAGGCAGGCCTGGAAGAAGTTGAGGCCGTCGGAAATGGGACCCGGCAGGCCCTCGAGGTTGAGCCACAGGTAGAAGGTCGAGTCGGGCACGAAGCGGATGACGAAGCCCATCTTGCGCAGGCGCTCGACCACGTAGTCGCGCTTTTCGCGGAAATGCGTCTGCAGCGCCACCATCTCCTTCTGGACGAGCGAGGGCTCGAGCATCGGAACAGCAGCCTCCTGGAAGGGCACGTTGGTGCCGCCGTCGAGGTAGGAGCCGCAAGATCCGATGCTGTATTAGCCGGCGGTTAGTACTCATGCGCAACAGACACAGGAATGGAGAAAGGAATAACGGAAACGAATACATACGCCTTGATAAACTCCTTTGGTCCAATAATCCAAGCCACACGCCAGCCGGGCAATCTAAAGCGCTTGGTCAAGCCGTCGATGATGAGGACGTCGTCCTCGTCGACATCAATGATGTTCTCCTAGATATAGAGAAGAATCAGCCCTAGTCCCTCCATCTCTGTGTAAAGCCCCGGGTTGTAACACTAGGCAACAAAGGCAACAAGTACTCACGGCGGCGCTAATGGTCGAACCGTTGCAATTGCTGGTGTAGTTGTAGCCCGAGTAGAACTCGTCGCTCACGAGGGTGGCTCGCTCGCGGCATATGTCCTGAATCTCGGCCAGTTCCGGGTTGGCGACGACGCGGCCGGTAGGGTTGCGCGGGTTCGACGTGATGATGACGCCGGTGCCTCGGGCGATCTCCTCGGCAATCTTTTCCGGGTGAATGTGGTATCCGTCTTCTTCAGACAGGGGGACGGGAATGGCTGCAAACTAGATGTGATTCGCCGTCTCGTTAGCGCATGTGCTCAGACGCGAGCTTGGTCGGATGTGGGTTTACGTTTTTGAACAGCGAGAGCATTTCATTGTACGCTAGCCGGCTGTTAACCTATATTCGGGTATTATGACGACGAAGGAAGAAAAACATGCCTGTATAGTCGGGGATAAAGAAGCCCACATAGGCGTTGTTCAGGACAGCGGCGATGCGGATCAGGCCGGCGCGGCCTCCCGGCACAATCGCGACATTCTCCCACGTGTACTTGCTGGACTTGCCCTGGCGATGCATTTCGTTGTATAGATGGGCAACGGCCTCTCTCAGGGGCTTGATTCCGGCAGTCGGGCCGTACTCGCGACCGCTCATGCTGACATCGATGGTCTTTGGCCGGGCGAAGCAGCCCTCGATGTCATCTTCGACCTGGCACGTGGTTTGTTAGAGCACAGCTTGGCGGGCTGAAGTGGTGTGGTTTGGTTGGGAGTACCTCAGGGGCGCCCTCTGGTTCACTCGGTTAGCTATTATACGCAGCAGAAGCTATTTGATACGTACGGCCAAGGTTTGCCCACTTTTCGGGCTCCTCAAAGAAGCCATGCTCTCCAGCACGCTCGGTACACCACACTACACCGGTTGAGGAGCGGGTGGCGTCTAGGCCGGCATGGGGAAGATGTCTGAGACACGGCCTGTCAGTGCTGTCGACCACCAAGTCAATTAATCGCAGTGTGCGTACCCTTCATGGGCAGCTCGGAACTGCCTATGTATCTTGCTGCTAGCCTCTAGTTGCCAACAAGACACGGGTCAGCCAAGCAAGCACTGCCGAGGCGTGGAAGGATTGGCTCCCACCGTTCAAACCAGGCTCGACACTCGAGAAACGACGCGCAGGTCGAGGGACGCCAGTGTTACGATTAATACTGAACTTGCGGGCCGCGAATGCGCCAGAGATGGCCGATGCCATGGAGGACATGATGGCGACACAATACCGATTTCCTAGGGAGACGTAGCAATTAATTGCAGTGTCAAAAAAAAGAGGACGCGGGGAAGAATTGTCTAATAGGAGCAAGAGACCAGGCCTAGGTGATGAAAGAACGTAACAGAAGGGCAGCGGGTGACGGGGGGGGGTTTTTTGCTTCTTTTATTCCGACTGCGACGATGACAGCGACGACATCATCGGCAGGACGGTGAGGAAGGTAACACGAGCAACAGCAGCAGCCAGAATTTGGCTCCTCAGATCGAATGGCAGAGCAAAGAAACCGGGCGGCACATCTTAATCATCTGTCGGAGTTATATAACAACAAGGCACCTTGCGCCGAAGTTATTTCCAGTCTTTTGGTGGGACGGCTGCCTCACCGCAACTGTCTGCCAGAAAACGATTCGATGGCTTGCCCATCGCGCACCCCGCCGCGCCTGGTACTGTACAGTAGTTTTCTGCGTCTTGGAGCTGGGATTACAGCAGAGACGACAAGCTCTGTATGCACCTCCAAAAACGTGGCTCTCTGACTGGCCAGCAGCTGGTATAGGAATGCGCGCATCGCGCACCGCACAAATCAACGAGGCGCCTTTCGTTTGGCCTGATTCGACGCCTTCTTCTTGCCACTCGAACCTTATCTCTCGTTGCCGCGGCGCGCCACTTGAGGAATCAATAATGCGTGAGGGACTTGATAACATATATGCGTATATTCTTTCTTGGCGTGTATTTTGATGCTGTGATGAGGGCATTTATTGCCTCGTTCCTTCTCAGCTCGCGATTTTCGACCTAAGTTGATCAGCTACCCCACCATCATGGCGCCAAGACAGCCCCCTGCCAAGAACTGCCACCGCGGGGTGCGTAAAACAGATTGAACCCCGCAAGACCAACAGAATACAGGAAACGATACGAGCACAGCACAGCTACAACACCAAAGACGGCATCCATGGATGGCTCTTGCCTTGGTAGCAAGCACTATGTCCATACCTTAGCTACTCTGCTTCGTAATGGCATGATTTATTGCAGTAATTGTGCAGTTTAGTACAACTGAAGCGATGGAAGGAGCAAAGTCCCCACTATCACGCACCCTTGTTAAGTTGTTACCTTTAAGTACTAGGGGTTGTTGCGAGAAAAGCCACGGACATACACCATCTTCAACAGCTCGCTCCCGAGTCTCTGGTTCTACAACGAGCCGCCTGCCCATCGGATTTCCAAATCCAAGACTTCAATGTCAGATGTCTCCGAGCAATAAGAGGCGCATGAAACGACGTGACATGATCAGTTGGCCCAATCGTCTTGCGAGGCAGTGAGAGCGGCCGTAGGTATCAGGCCTCACCGCTTGGCAAGGGCCGGTGAGGTGGTCAAAGGAAAGGAACCTAACGGTCAGAAATTTAAACAGCACCCCGTGCGGACGGACGTTGGCACAATCCAAAGCCCATCAAACGAACTAGAAAGGGAATTAAAAAAATCCAAGTTGGCCGAATCGCCTCACCAACGCCAGCCACCTACGCTTGGTGGCTTATCAAGAGGCACATTGAGACTGAATCCCACACATGTCGACCTTGTCTCCCCATCCATCGCATAGCGGGAGACTTCCGATGTTGGGCGCCCGTTCGCGGATGACTTGCATGAAATGGAAACCATGGAATTCTTGAGCCTCATCGAATACCAGATATAAGCCGGCCCATTCGGCCGGTTCTATCTTGTCACGAATGCCGCCTATTCTCCTGAGACGAAGATGGTGGCGGGGCGACCACTACTAACCTCAAGGCAGAATGAGCTGCGCCTAGTATCTGTTAGCACACGCTGCTCTCACGTGCACAAAAGCTTAACAGACCCAGGCTTACCTCGTTGGGCAAGGCGCCCCCAGTGCGGCTGTGCCTAACCTGGAACCCCCAAGGACGCACTGACCAGTGCAGTGGCTGGGACGCTTCGCCCCCTGGCAACCCGCTTTTCGTCATTTGGTGATGGCAACTAAACACGCAACTGCGGCTTTCCACAGGTGAGGAGGTGGTGGCAAGCCGCCCGCAAGGCCGTGACCTAGGCGTTGAGGCGTACAGCAAGGCTGTACATGCTCATCCACGGCCCAAGATTACCAGAGAGTGGATCTAGTGGATTTCATATAAGACTTCTATCTAAAAAGCAAAGTTGCTTTTAGTTCGTGCACTAAACTCAACCCCCTACAACGGTCTAGACAGTACTCTCAGATCGATATCAAAATACCATACATTTCAAGTGTCTTGTCCAAAGCACTCTACCACGACTGGTCAGACTGGCAAGCCACAGACTACCTACTTGATCTACCTGAACTACCAACTGCAGAGCGACACATTTCAGAGGAAAGCGCAAGCAGTGCTACCTGAGGCAGCTGTTGCTTGGCAACATCGACCCAAAAACACCCCCTCACCCCTTCCCACTTCGCGTTCACAGCTTTACAAGTTCACAATCTCCACGAAAAGCAAAGCAGTGGTGCCCGACTTTGTCTCGATCAGTGAATACCTATTCAGACAAGAAAAAACCTCACCCCACAAACTCCACCATCGCACAACATGACGAGCCCAGTCACCAATGTGCGGCGCTCCATCTTCGGCTCTGTCAAGGACAAGTTCCTAGGCAGTGGCAAGAAATCGAGATCGCCCAGCCCGAATCCTTTTGCCAGCCCAGAGCAGATACAGCCCCCGTCACCCGTGTCGCCGTATCAGTCCCACGCCAGCCCCGTATTCCCCCCTCCAGCTGAACTGCAGGGCGAAAATGAAGTCCCGCCTCCCCCGTACACAGAGAGCACGCGGCGCACTGCCCCGAACACGCCGGCCATCGTCCTGAGTAGCCCGCGATCGCAGCGCGGAGTATCGCCAGCGCCGTCGGCCGGCTCGGGCATCTCGATGGCGAGTATCTCGTCGCCCGATGACAAGTACGGGTTCCTGAGCATATTCGACACCAAATTCCTGATCGACGATAGCGGGTCGATGGCGGGGGCCCCGTGGCGCGAGGTCAAGGAAGTGCTCCGGACCATCACATCTATCTGCACGGAGCGTGACTCAGACGGCATCGACGTGTACTTCCTCAACGCGCGCAACCGTCGATGCGATGACGGCACCGGCGGCTTCAAAAACATCAAGCGGCCCGAGGAAGTCGAGGAGCTGTTCCGTAGGGTCCACCCCGGCGGACACACGCTAACAGGCACGCGCATCAACGACATCCTTAAGCCGTGGATGCGGGAATACGCAGAATCATTGGTCAAGGAGCGTGACCAGCGCAACGGCGACACTCGCAACAGCAATAATATCAAGCCCGTCAAGCCCGTCAAGCCCGTCAACATGATCGTCATCACGGATGGCGCGCCGCAAGACGATCCCCGGAGCGTCATCGTTAGCGTTGCCAAGAAGCTCGACGTCCTCGAAGCCCCACCCTACCAGGTCGGCATCCAATTCTTCCAGGTCGGCAACGAGGAAACTGCCGCCACGGCTCTCAAGGAGCTCGACGACAACCTGGGAAAGAAGTACGATGTCCGCGACATCGTCGACACCGTCACCTGGGACCATGACTCCGGCCCTCACGTTCTGACGGCCGAAAGCATTCTCAAAGTAGTCCTGGGTGCAGTCAACAAGCGCTATGACGACAGACCAACGCGCGGCGAGTCTAGCCGTCCAGAGATGCTCTCCCCGCGACGGCGATAAAATAGGCAGCACAACAGTCGGAAGCAGGATACACTGGCTTTCTTCGACATTTCTTTGATTTGCCATTTTCTTGATTCCCCACTTTGCATTAGTTTTCAAGTTTTAGCAAGGAGTTTTGGGGGCAGAGGAGCCTGGCCTTGGTTTTTTTTTCTTCGCCGGCATACGGCGATGTTAGGGATGGACATCATTATCATGATGGGTCGGGAGGGTTTATTTCTTGTACAGTATGTCTCATGGCATCCTCGTTTTCGCCTCAGAAGGGGATATGGATCTGATCCATCAATCGCGTAGACAAAGGGAAAGCGAGATTAATCCTCAGCTTATCAGGCCGGGGTAGGAAATGATACAGTTGGCTCTGGCATCGTTGCCTGCATACATACTTTATATGCTTCCTGCCCCAGACGGTTCACGTGTATCGTATCCGGCTCAAAGGCCCCACGAATGGATGCTTTTTGAAGGGCCATGTTCCCAAGCCAGGACAGCCTGCCTTCGTCCCGTGCACTCTTCCACAAGAGTCTTTGACCCGCGTAACTGCTTCGCCAGGATGGTTAGACGTTAAATTTCATGGAATTTGTTGGATATTTTCGTAGACTCTAGTCCGCCGTTCGGCTGTAGATGTTTGGAAACACTTTCGCTAAAGCACTAACTTGAAACCATGAGACCAGAACGAACGATCAGGGACATGACTTGCGTTGTGGGGGTTGTGACCATATAACTGCTGTTGCCCAAAGTGCCAGGCAACAGGTATCTATTTTGTCTACTGGCGTGACGTCACACCATTACAGCTTGGTTCACGCCCTGAAGACGAAAGGAGGCGGGAGCGCAAGATGAATAAGCCAAGGCTCCGTTCGTTACATGAACTCGATGACGGGAAGAAAGGAGAAGAGTTGCTCGCCGTCAAGGACGGAGATATATCCATGGGGCACTTATGAACCGAATTTCAGCAGGATAGAAACGTTGGTATTCTATCTTGGAGGACGGCGAAGAACGGGTCAAGGGGAAACGTTGTTGGGTTATGTTGACGATGTCGATATTCGCTCGGCTCCCCCAACTCCGCCGACCTTATATTGGAATATGATCACCATGTTTCGAGAGTCCCCCCTTTACTTGTTGCACTGACAACCGGGCCGGGTATCACGACTCTGCAAGCATGTATTTTGTTATCTCCCGTACCGTATCTCGAAAAAGATCCGCCTCTATCTCACTGGAGGATACTTGTGTAGTTGTAAAACGCATCGGAGAAAGTTCACGAGCTAATTGGGGCAAGATTTGCAGCGCTGTTATGGATGGTAACGGTATTTTGATCTCGAAGAGCCCTCGTTTTTGGCTTTAAGAAAAGATACGCGGATCGTAGAATCGTCGAGTCGGGTTGAGGCAGGAGAAGCTAAGAAATCAATGGGTTGTTGTCTGTGTTAGCATCGATAGCAATGATACAAGAAGGGGGTTTGTTGGATTGGCTTCGTCAACAAAGGCAGCTGAGCAGCTGGGAGGTCACGAGAACTCGCGTGTTGTCCACTTGCATGCTGAGTACCTACAGTCCACCTAATGAAAACCTCTGATATACCCACCAAGGGGCAAGAGCAACAACCCCCTTGGCCTCGCTATAGTGGCGGTTAGGTTATGTAAGAGAAAATTTGGGGGTGGGGGTCGGGTATGGCCTCGAAGGCTCGTGGGAAAATAGCGTCTCACCCATCCCGACAAGACAAGGTGCAGGTCACTGGTAGCCGGCCAAGACCACGCGGGCATACCGTAGGTGACGGGATATCCGCTCAGTGGTCCCTTTTCCGCGTCCCCCACTCTCTTCTGTAATGTGCGTGCTGACAGCTGAAAGGGAAGCCTCGATCGGGCGAACAATTTCGGCTTGCTGCAGAGAGCTCAGAGGAGCAATGGTTGCATGATGCGGACTGGGATAGCTTCAAACCTGCATAGAGTGGCGAGACTGGTCACGGAGACTCCGTGGGTGGGGGGGGGGGGTTGGTGTTAAGAAGGCGGTATCCTTTGCCTGAATGGACTGCAAATATGGAAGGCCGAGGAGATCGCCGCGCCGCGTCTGGCCGGGTGATGGAAAGACGGAGAGTATCTTACCTGGGGTTGAAGAGAATTAGGAAGGTGCTACCTTGTATGCATGATTTCATGTTCATGTCTTCGGAAAGAGGAGCCTAACCACGGATGTTGAGTATCGGTGCCAGTGTGTCAATACAAGTGAAGGAACGCCTGGGTTTTCTTGTCGAGACGAGGGAGGAAGGAGAGTCCGACACGAGAGGTTGGGTAGGACTAATGGCGCCATGTTGCCTACAGGACCTCGATCACGCCTTCGGCTGTCAGCCGGGGCCATAATTTTGACGTGATAATCTTAACGGGGGCTGGGGTCCATCAATACCTCGTCAGACACGCACCCTCTACGCAGCCAACTCCTGAGGTCTCCAGGTGAGTAATTCTCCACATCTACCGTATTAGACTCAAGTGCACATCGTGTATATTGTCTAGCTATGGTTGTTTGCAGGTCCCTTTTCAGTTTTATTTCATCTAGTACGGCGTTTGCAGATGGCTCCAAGTAGGGGGCTTCCTTGTTGACTTGGAGCCAAGCGCCTCTCCTCACCGAGGCCTCTGCTCACCGAATACCCCACAGAAACAACACAGCTTGGAGGGTTCTAGATGCTTCCCAACAACGACATGGCAGAACCCGAAAAACATTAACTGTGACTGACACCTCGACCACCGAAGCAGAGGAAGTGGAAATTTAGCCAAGATCTCCCATTTCGCTTCTTCGGAATCCACTGCTGCCAATAAAGGATCACCGCTTTAGCTCCAAGACCTGACTCTTGATTGTCAAGAAACACGTGTGGGAACGGTGGGCGGCACAGCCGATCGATCTTCAAACCTGTCTTTCCCCACCGTGGAGACGTGTACGTAAACCTGGGGAAAAGACGTCGAAAGCGCATCCAGACTCTGACGGACCTGAACCAACCTGGGGAAGAAGACATCAAGACACAGATAGCCCCCAGCAGCCTAGCGAGACCCAAAGCAGCAGCCGGGAGGGTTCCGCACGAATCACTGCACCAGCGCATGACACCATATATCCCCAAAGTGGCAAAGCAAATCTTGAGCAGAACAGGGCTCTCTACTCTACTCCGGACCTAGCTATACACGCAAACAGCACACAACAGTGACCTCCGCGTGTATAGTCAGTCGCACAGACAGACGGGAGTTTTGGACCTGACCCCCACCACGCAAATCCCACCGCCTCAGCCAACCGACCAACCAAACCAACTACAGAGCTCTATTCCCCGGCGGGAGGAGGGCATTGGATATCTTGTTCGTGCCGTAGAAGACAGCGGACGGCAAGCGACGTTCCATTGTTCCCGATTCCTTTTTTAATATCGACAGCACGCAATCCGGATCCATCTCTCTCGCAAACAATCTCCAAAATTTTTATAGGTCCGTCCGCCGGCATGTCGTCTTCTTCCTCCCCCTCACCGGCCGTGTCGCAAGTTGAGGCGAGCACGTCACCGGTCCCCGGGAAAGCATCATCACCACCACCAGCCGCGGCTCTTCGATCTGCACCTGCCCTTGCACCTGCAGTTGCCAGCACGGCCAATACTAGCAACGACAGCAGCAGCAATACTAAAAGTAGTAGTTGCACCACAGAAAGCAGCGGAAGCCAGCAGCAACAGGCAGCACCGCAACCGCACCCGTTCCCTGCCCTGCCTGCCCTACCTGCCCTGCCCGCTCTGCCCGCCCCACAAGGAGAAGGAGACAAAGAAGGTCCTGATGGCGCCACGACGGTTGTGGAGGTCAACGGTGGCGCCGTCGTGCTAGACCGCCTGGGGCCCATGGTGATCGGGCGGGACGGGACGGTGTCACGCATCGCAAACTGGCTGGACATGAGTGATCGAGAGCGGGAGAACACCGTTCGTGTTCTGGGGAAGCGGAACCAGCTGAGGATGGCCACGCTCCGCCAAGGACGACAGCAAGAGGCAGAGGAGAGAGAACAGGATATGGAAGACAAGGCCTAGGAGCCTGTTCTGCGCACATAGTTACCTTACCTTAGGATATCTCTACCACAGTTGCCCAAGATATTCACGTCTTAGAACGCCCCTGAATGCTCAAAAAAAGACGGCTCTCTTTCCCTTCCTGGGACCGCCTGCTTCCCCTAATTGCGCCTCATGGGACCTGACATCCATGCACTCCCTGAGATGAATAAATTTGGCTTTGTCATTGAGAGAGCCCTCAGGAGTTGACCCCCTAAAGCTCCCATATTTCCCTGTTGACATAATATAGACAGTAAATAGATAGAAAATTTGAAGACGTGAAGTCCATGAGGTGGAGGATTGCCAAAGGCTCCCCATGTCCACATTTTCCCGTCATGTTCATAAGTGATGCCGGATTGTGGGCAGCACGCCGTCCCTGTCCTAGTCCCTCGGGTCCCCCCTCTCCAGTTCCACCAAACCCACGGTGAATATATCTTTCCTCGGCCGGGAACGACACCGTTCGCCATGAAAAAGGAAGATAAAATCAGATTCACCGCTACAAAAAAAGCACGCGAAAACGCCCAATCAATGATGGTATATGCGCAACCCAAATCCAGACCCTTTGAAACCCTTAATCCTTTTTCTTGTTGGGCTTTCGGGGTTCCGACTCGTCGGTGGCTGTCGAAGAGACCGAGCCTCTACTGCTGCCGCTGCTGCCTTGGGCGTCACTACCGTCCGACTTTGATATCTCCTGGGACGAGAACTCCTTCAGGAGCTTTTTCAGGATGTCGTCTTTCCCGCCGTGCTTTTCCGTCACCAAGCTCTTCAGCCACTTGTTTTCTGTTTCGAGAGCTGAAATGCGACTCTCTAGCATCGTCACCTTGTCCGTCATCTCCTTGGCTGACTTCTCGAGGGCCTGTTCTCGTTGCTTCTTCTTGATGCGGAACCGCGCGCTGGCTGCCGTGTTGCGTTTCCGCTTGTCCTCCTCGGCGGCCAGGCGGGACGCGTCCTCGAAGCTTAGCATCCGGTTGGTGCTAATTGTCTCAGCTTTACGTTTTCCACCCCCCACACGGGGGGGAGTTGGTACATACCCTGACTGGTGCGTAGGGACGGACGCGGAGTAGGCCGATTGAGGGTTTGGCTGGATGGGCTGCAGGTTCCCTAGACTGTCTGGGAAGGCTGGGACTGTGGGAGAGGTGTAAGAGCTGCTAAAGTCCCCAAAACTGAAGTCGCCTGAAGACATTGTGCCATGGTCAGCGGACGAGAATTACAGCGAGCTTGTTTGAACCATAGCGTAGACGATTTGGACGGTGTGGCGCCGCCGACGAGAAGAGGGCGGAGACTAGGGGAGTATTGAGGCAGAGGTAAGGCAGCCCGGAATAGCCACTGTTGATGCAGCATCCTCGATGGTGCAATAGCTCAAAAGTCACGGGGAATGGCACCATCGCCGGCGCCGACGATCATTTGTCAGCTCCATTTAGCCACGTCTCTGGGACTCGTGCTTCTAGGTGCATGCACCTCAGCGGCTTGCTTCCAATCAAGTGACAGCCCAGAACATGGGGGCAGCAGAGAAGAGTGGGGTAGCAATAGCATCCCCGATTCGATGATAAGGAAACAGGATCTCTTTGGTGGACTTGGCGGCCAACCCCTCAAGCGATGATGTCCACGGTGTCGATCCCAGTTCTTGTGTTCCCTTTGAGGCAACTTGCCTCGTCTGTAACGTTTGGTTTGGGGTCCGGAGGGTGACCTTTGACTGGTGCTTGAACATCCAAGGAACAATGACGTGAAAGAGAACCATGGATGATTATGGCGAGGGCAATGGGCAGTAACAAGTATAAAGGTGAAGAAAATGAAATATAAATAACTGGGAAATAAACAACATCACAAGACTCACCTGATATAAAATCAAGCCCGGTCGAAAAGTCGCTCATGATGGAATCGGTTGGCGTCACATCCTCGGTAGGGGATGACTGTGTCTGAGCAACGGACTTTGGCTTGAGGGGCGGGGCCTGGTAGTCGGTATTCTGGCCCGTTTCAAAGTCGTAAAACTGGGTGTTGGTGAAGAGCGCAAGGTCCTTTGCGAGGTCGTCATCAGTGATGAATGTCTCTTCCACGGCTGGCTCCTGCACATTGAGATTGCGTAGATACCGAGAGACATTGACGTCCCGTCGGCCGCCGTTGAACGACATGCTGTCTGGATGCCTTTTTTAGACCTAGAGTCTCTTGATGCCAAAGTTGGCGCGCGAGTCGATGAGTAAGGGCAAGGGCCCGGAAGGTCTGTGTGACGCGCGCCGGCGGCCCGAACTAATGCTGATCGAGGTTTGGGTTTGACTGTGCTGCTTGACGCCAGACACACACGATATATGTTTCGCGGTTCCTTTCTCTTGCCGGTGTTGTATAGTGTTTGGCGCAGGTTGGCAACGATCCAAGTGTTGACAAAGAGCTGGGCTGGGGGGCGGGGTGTCTTTTTCAGGGACCGCGATCAAGACGGCATGTGCTGTCGGATAGCGCCCCCAGGGCCTGGCTGCAGTGGGGAAAGTGTGCGTATACCGTGCGACTCGCGGCAGAAGAAGCGACACAAAGAGCGGAATCCCGCGGTGACGAGGTCTCGATTATGCTGAGTAGGTACGATTGACCGAGTTCAATGAGGTAGACAGACGTCAGGATGTGAAGTTGGTAGAGTCAGAATCTGGACGGCTCTTTGAACAAAGAGTTTGAGAAGGTAATAGCCGATCGGTGGAAGTCGAGGCTTGTGGAGTGGGCCGGGGCGAGCATCGGATACCTCAGGTCCACTTCTGAGCCCTCCAATTAGTCAGAGCGTCTTCAATCCCACGCCCTCGGTAGAATCTAAAAAAATTGCCCCTCCTTCTCTTCTCGACCCCCGCCAATCTGGTCGAAGGCTCCAATGGAATCAAAGAACGAACCGCTAACAGATTTCCATCACCAAGCCGCGTTAGCAATTGGCGAGTTCTCCCTCACGCTTTCGCCGTTCCGAAGAATTACGCCACCGCTGCAGGAGCTTTGTTTCTCCAGCCGTTCAGATGATGCTCTTATTATATATGTCTTTGGCGTCCAACAATTGGTATCCCAAGGGGGTTATAGTGCCTCGTACCGCATTCACATCGTATTTCACCTGTGAATAGGATTGAACACCAACAAGTTACCAGGAAGCTCATCGCGGCCCCATCTCAAGATATCTCTCACTACAATAGGAGAGGAGATAGAACGATGAGCCCGCACCTAGGAAATTCTTGGAGCTGTTCTGGCCCAAGAAATCGCCGCTCTCGCCTGCAGGTAGGTGGATTGACGAGTGGGAACACCTGACTCGTGAAAACCCTGACTTTTAAAAGTACTGCGTGGTCCGGAACTGCCCGTTTGGGTAAGACGGCTGCGACGAACCTCTCCGAGCTCGGCTGGGTCATTTTGGCTTTCGGCAGCTCGGCTCTTGTCGGGTTCCATCGGACCGGTCGTATAGGCACAGTGATTTCCGATAAAGGACGCCCCTCGCCCGTCCCGAAGAAACATGTTCATTGCTTTTCGTCCCGTACGAGAGGAAGTAAAAGAATGTCGGTCTGAGCTTTGGCGAATACCCCCAGGTGTGATGCCATGACTTCCATACGATAAGACTCGGTTCCAAATCCCTCCCACAAGCCGGACAGGGTGCTACAAAATGCGGGGTGCTTTCGTGCAGGAGCGAGCACGTTCGTACTCCCTCAGTCTGGGCGCGGGGGACCTTCACAACCCCGGCAAGCGCCGCCTTAGAAGGGCACGGGCCACTCGGCGACGCGAAAACCTGACGCGACGGACGCACGTGTTTCTGCCCATAGGTGCAACCACTTGCCAAAGCGGGGTGGTAGATTTGGGTGAAGGATGCTGTTGTCTTGAATCCCGGAACGTGACGTGACGGCCTCAAGCGTGACTGAAAGCCTGATCCGGCGGAATTCAACGACAAGACAGCCGAGTAAGGAGCAGCATAGTATATACAAATAGTCGGGCCGCGTCGGTAGTGGGCCGATATCCCGGAATTTTTATTCCATTTATTTCCAAGCAGCAAATCATCCGACTGACGACGGCAATGGGGTCCTGAAGGGTGCGATAGCTGCAGTGCCTTCCTAACCGTGCCTACCTCAGCCATCTCGTCGTGATATTGCCTCGTACTACATATATGGCTCTGTCTTGAACATGGCGCGCATTTCTATCCCGACGTCTGCACGTCTGCCCTCGTCGCTTCGCGTCGACGCCTCCCACCCGGCTGTCGCCAAGATCCTCGGTCACCTCTCTAGGGCGTCTCTCCTTTCTGTTGCTCTCGACTGGCTCGACGAGAAGAACCTGCCTCTAGCCGCTCCTTATCTGCGTCGTAGCAGCGACCAAGACGGCGCCGATGATGACGAAGACGACGATCTCAACCCTCCAGCCCGCTCGCCCGCAGAGCTGCAGCGGTTATATTCCCGGCTTCAGGCGCGGAAGGGCTCCAAGAGAGACGTAATGGACCGCATCATCGAAGGTGACTGGCGAGAGGGGCTGAGCTTGTACCAGCTGGCCATGGCCGATCTCCAGTACCTCCATGACCATCCAACATCACAGAAATGGTCGGCATATCGCATCGTCCCACTGAAGACTCAGTCGGCGGATCTGGACCAGGACGGCGCGCAGACCGCCGTCGACAAGGAGTCCCTAACTATCCCGCGCTTCCACCCATCCACCTTTCTTAAGGCTCTCCAAGCACAAGTTCTGCCCGATGTCAAAGCACACTACAACTTCGACAGGCACAAAGACCTGCCGTTGCTACTACTGCGCATCTTCGTCCTTGATTCTCCCTACAGCACCAGTCTCGGGCTGGCGAATGGCAGCGGCCAAAGCACCGCTGGCGCCAGTTTCGACACGTCACGAACCATCTACATCGCCTTTCCGGACGCCTCACCACACATTTATATCTCCAAACCGCAAACATTCGGGACGGCTGGCTTCGGTGTTGGCGGAGGCGGAGGCGGCGAGTCCAAGAGCCTTCGAAATTTGATTTTTGAGGGCATCCCCAAAGCGCTTTCTCGGCCACGGCAGCGTGTCACGCTCAAGTCGACCAACCTGTCAACGCGCAACCTTACCGAGATTCTCGACCGGCGCGGCGCGGCGCGGACTAACTGCGCCGGCGGGGGGTGGAGCATTTACGCCGACGAAAAGGCCAAGGATACGCCTCTGGACATAGTGGCTCTGCCGACACCTCCGCTATCCGACAGGGGCAGCGACGAGGAGAACAGCAACCTGCCCAAGACACAGCAGCGGCCGCACAAGAAGCGGGATCTCTCCCCTGCGTCACGGGGCGAGGAGCGGGCCGTCAAGCGCGCCAAGGTTGTGGCGCAGGCCCGGTTCGCTGACACGGCGCGTCCGGATGACGGCAAGGGTGTCGAGAGGGTTGATATTGTTATTGAGGATCCATTTTCTCCCTCGGGAACTCACGAACAATCACCACACGGAGCGGCAAGTGGCGATAGGCCCTCACCTCCGGCGCAGCGGAAGCGATCAACCAAGAACGCCCAGGAACCAGCAATCCAGGACGGCGGAGAGGAGAAAGCTGGAGAGGACGAGCACGGCGTGGCCACCATAACCGACGCCGACACGACAGGTGGATGGCGGCCGAATGTGCGGCTGACGTTCCACGGCCCGCACGTATTCGCGGGAGTGCGCCAGCTCGTCGAGTGCGGCATTATTGATGGCGAGCGTATGCCCGGCTGGATGACGGGTGAGGAGGGTGTCACTGTTGGCGCCGTGAAGCATGGAAGAATACGAGGTCACAAAGGGTCAGGGGTATGAAGGAAGGACAAAAAGATTACTAGCTAGCTCTGTGGCTTTGGGGAGAAAATATTGGATTTGTACAAATTATGGGGGCAGCAGGGCAGCAATACCCACGCTTGGAACGTGATCCTATGCGGCGTTTTGATAATTGGGATGTGGCTAGTCGGTCGGTTCAGGTCTGAGCGGTGCAGTTCTAGGCGCGAGGGAGTGGAGATCACTGTGTATACATATACCTAGGCAGCTTCTTTTTATATAGAGCATGGGAAATCTTCATGATTTATTTTCATTCCCCCTTTCCTTACCTCGAGCCAGGGGATTGGTTCTAGTCGGAGGTAGAGTCAAAGTAACGGTAGCTACCATCAAGAAACCAACCTTACTCTACTACTCTACGCCAAATACCTTGACAGTGTTGGCCCACGCCGCCTCGCACACCTCCTCGACCGAGACGCCTTTTATCCCAGCCACAATCTTGGCAACGCGCTCAACGGTGCACGGCTCGTTGCGCCCTTTGACCATGGCGCCCTCCTCCCATTTCTCCTTCTTCACCACCTTGAACCGCTCGGGGACCTCGGGCTCCTTTTTCTGGTTCTTTTTGTTTTTCTTCCCCTGCTGCTGTTGTTGCTGCTTATTCTTCGGTTGTTGCTGTGAGGTGCCAGCAGCAGCCTCGTCCGCCTCCCCGTTACCGACCTCGAGGGTAGCAGGACTCGGAGCTGACTCGGCGGGCTTCTCAACGAGGTACTTCCAGCCGTAGTGGCTGGGGCGGACCTCGCACCAGGGCCCGTCCGTCTCGAGCATGAGGCGGTCGAGCTCAATCTCGGCAACGACGTCGCAATTTTCGGCCGTCTTGAAGCTGCACCCGTTGATGCCAATGTACAGCCCCAGGCCCATAAGCTCGCGCAGCTCGTCGATAGTACCCGTGAAGCTGTGCACCACCCCGCCGCGCTCCAGCCGCTCCAGCCGGCTGCCGAAGGCGCCCTGCAGTAGCCACACGAAATCGCTGTGCGCTGCCCGTGAGTGCAGGAACAGCGGTAACTGGGGCTGCAGTGATGCTGCTAGCTCTAGCTGCGCCGCGAACGAGTGCAGCTGCACCTCCTTGGAGCAGTAGTGCAGCCGGTCGTAGTCGAGCCCGAACTCGCCAAAGGCGACGAGGGCTGCTGGCGCTGCCGATGGTGATGGTAGCTGGGCCTGCTCGACTAGAGTCTTTAGGTCGGAAATGATAACCTTGGTTCGAATATGGTCGATGCCACCGCCGTCGGCGATCGGCTTGGACGGGTCCGGGTCGCAGGCAGGCGTGTGCTCGTCCTCTGCCCCTTCGCCCTCACTCTGGCTCTCATCGTGGTGCCTGTGGTGGGAGGAGCTGAAGATGGAGCTGCTGCAGGGATGGATGCCAGCGGTTGTGTAGACAGTACCGGCTAGGGTTTGTGATGAAGGCATGTGGTTAGCTGATTACTTGGGGCTTGCGCATCGGAATATTTCTCCAGAGCATCCGCATCCTCTGTTAGGTGGTGGTGTGACTGATAAGACAAGACATACGGAATGCACGGGCGAGTTTCAGGGCGTCCCTCGAGCTTTTGAAGCTGGAGCCCGTTACGATGAGTTTTGTGCATCCGACCTCGTCGGCTCTCTTGATGACGCCCTTCAAGTCATCGGGATGCCTGGACTTGCCATGGTAACGGCCTCGGAAGATGGGATCTGCCAAGTTGATACCAATCTTATCGCATTGAAAGGGTAAAAAACCATTAGTCTTTTAAAAAGTTTGAAGTTGCTGGTGAACGCACCAGGGCGGCTTACATCGATATATCTAGGCTTGTAGTCTGCTGCTGGTGACAGGGTTGCTTCTGTCTGAGTCGGGTTACTCGTTGAGTTTGGGGTTGCCGTCGCCATCTTCGAATCGGTCTTGATAGCTGCCGCTGACGAGCCGCTAAGCACGGAAATTCTTCTCTGAATAATCAATTGATTTGTAAGAAGACGCGGAATCCACTGAGGGGCTCTTGGTATCATTATTCGCCCGTCTTTGCCGGCTGTTCTGATCTGATCCTTTTCTTCCTCCCCTGAAATGACAACAACAGAGACCTTGAAACTCCAGGCACCAGTCCCTCAGCCTGAGTCATTCCGGCGCGCCGTTGGCTCGCTCGCTGCAAGGCACCTGTAACCATAGCGGGAATGCGGTATCCGTTTACCACTGTAATTGTAATGTATGTATGTACGGAATACAGAGTACTTTGTACGTATTGGCGTGCCTGCCCATTAGGGAACTGCCCTGCTTACCTCACCGAGGCTGCCACCTGTGGACCTGAGCATTGGACCAGGAACAATGCAACCTAACTCAAGGAAAGCACGAAGAAATAGGCTTCGAACGATTGCAATATTAAAGAAAAAAAATCCAATTAAGCTACGATAACAGTGATCATGTCTCGGGTTCTCTGATTAGCCCTTTGCCCGGCAAACGATGTTGAAGAAGTCATATTTCCTGGCGCTGGCTCTTGTCTCACCAACACCAGTGAGTGCCTGACGCAGGGATCTACAGTGGGGCGTGCCTTCCTGATGTTACAGCCTTCCATTTACCGTGCCACCTCGCTGTTTGTTTAATGGAGTGGGGCAGACGCGCCAAAAAACGGTGGGACGCGTCTCGACACGGTCCGCAGCTTCTTAAAAGAGTGGCACGCGAAAAGGCCCCTCGACGCTCATCCTCTTTCCTCCATCCTCCACAACACACACAAACACCACGCTTCTGCACCAAGAACTGTCTGGCTACAGCACTCAGCACTCTCTCCCCGCTGCCTCACAGACAGACATTGACGCGCATGCTAACAGCATTGGTCTACTGAGGGATCCTCTCTCCGTCTTCCTTTGCCGGCCTGTTGCAACTCGCCTCGCCTCGAGACCTGTCTTTGTCTGCCCGCCCTCCCACCTTACCGCCTTCCCGCTTCATCTTCCCCACACATTCTAGGCGCCATGTACGTCAAGAAGCGCGGTACGTATACCTCTGATCCCCGAGAACAAGCACGGCGGCGAGCAGTGCGAGACCTGATACTGATTCCGCTGCAGATGGGCGCCAGGAACGCGTCCAGTTCGACAAGATCACGGCCCGTGTGTCGCGACTTTGTTATGGCCTCGACATGGATCATGTCGACCCCGTCGCCATCACCCAGAAAGTTATCTCGGGTGTTTATGGTGGTGTCACAACGGCCCAGCTCGACGATCTGGTGAGTGGCCTTCCAAGTCGCTTAGGCTGTAAAAAAGTAAAGCTCGGTTTTGCTGTTTCTAATCGCTCCACCCGTCTAGGCCGCCGAAACTGCCGCGTACATGACTGTCACGCATCCCGACTACGCCATCCTAGCTGCTCGCATCGCTGTCTCCAACCTCCACAAGCAGACCAAGAAGCAATGGTCGCAAGTTGTCAGTGATCTGTACCACTATGTGAACCCCAAGAACCGCACCCCCTCCCCCATGATTGCTCAGGAGACGTACGACTGCGTCATGCGCCACAAGGAGGACTTCGACTCAGCAATTGTCTACGACCGTGACTTCAACTACCAGTACTTTGGCTTCAAAACACTGGAGCGGTCCTACCTCTTGAAGCTCAATGGCAAGATTGTCGAACGCCCCCAGCACATGATTATGCGTGTCGCTGTCGGTATCTGGGGAGACAACATCGAGAAGGTCCTTGAGACATACAACCTCATGTCGAGCAAGTTCTTTACACATGCCTCGCCCACTCTTTTCAACGCCGGCACCCCGCAGGCCCAATTGTCATCCTGTTTCCTGGTTGATATGAAGGATGATAGCATTGAGGGTATCTACGACACACTCAAGACTTGCGCTATGATCTCCAAGATGGCGGGTGGCATCGGTCTCAACATCCACCGCATCCGCGCCACTGGCTCATACATTGCCGGCACCAACGGCACCTCCAACGGCATTATTCCCATGCTTCGTGTTTTTAACAACACGGCCCGCTATGTCGACCAGGGCGGCAACAAGCGCCCTGGTGCGTTTGCCATCTACCTTGAGCCTTGGCACGCGGATGTTTTCGAGTTCCTCGACCTCCGCAAGAATCACGGAAAGGAAGAGATCCGTGCTCGCGATCTATTCCTCGCCTTGTGGATCCCCGACCTTTTCATGAAGCGTGTCGAGAAGAACGGCGACTGGACGCTTATGTGCCCCAACGAGTGCCCTGGTCTTGCCGATTGCTATGGCGACGAGTTCGAGGCTCTGTACGAGAAGTACGAGAGGGAGGGCCGTGGTCGCAAGACCATCAAGGCTCAGAAGCTGTGGTATGCCGTTCTCGAGGCCCAGACCGAGACCGGCAATCCCTTCATGCTCTACAAGGATGCGTGCAACCGCAAGAGCAACCAGAAGAATCTCGGCACAATTCGCAGCTCCAACCTGTGCACCGAGATCATTGAGTACTCTGCTCCCGATGAGGTTGCTGTCTGCAACTTGGCATCTTTGGCGCTGCCTCAGTTCATCAACTACAATCAGAGCACCTATGACTTCCAGAAGCTGCACGATGTGACTCAGGTTGTCGTCCGCAATCTGAACAAGATCATTGACGTCAACCACTACCCAGTTAAGGAGGCATACAACAGCAACATGCGTCACCGCCCCATCGGCGTCGGCGTTCAGGGTCTGGCAGATGCCTTCCTGGCACTGCGCATGCCCTTCGAGTCCCCCGAGGCCCGTGAGCTCAACAAGCAGGTTTTCGAGACGATTTATCATGCGGCCTTGACTGCCTCGTGCGATATTGCCAAGGAAGAGGGCCCATACTCAACCTATGAAGGCTCCCCCGTGTCCCAGGGTATCCTCCAGTACGATATGTGGAATGTAAAGCCCAGCAGCCTGTGGGACTGGGATTCACTGAAGGCCAAGATCAAGGAGCATGGCGTGCGGAACAGCTTGCTCCTTGCCCCAATGCCTACTGCGTCGACCTCGCAGATTTTGGGCAACAATGAGTGCTTCGAGCCCTACACGTCCAACATCTACCAGCGCCGTGTGCTTGCTGGCGAGTTCCAGGTCGTCAACCCTTGGCTGCTGAAGGACCTCGTCGACATGGGTCTTTGGTCGGACAACATGAAGAACCGCATCATTGCCGAGGGCGGTTCGATTCAGAACATTCCCAACATCCCGAATGATGTCAAGGCCTTGTACAAGACCGTCTGGGAGATCTCTCAGCGCACTATTGTACAGATGGCTGCCGACCGTGGCGCCTTCATCGATCAGTCCCAGTCTCTGAACATCCACATGCGTGAACCAACCATGGGCAAGATCACCAGCATGCACTTCGCCGGCTGGAAGCTCGGTCTCAAGACGGGCATGTACTACCTCCGCACCCAGGCCGCTGCGCAGCCCATTCAGTTTACCGTCGACCAGGAGGCGCTTCTGGTACGAGACACCAACATTGTCAACAAGGCGTCGTCAGGCCTCAAGAAGCGCAGCCCTCCCCCTGGTTCTTACATGTCGTCGCCCAGCGCGATGCCCCGGCCCATGTACGCCTACAAAGAGAGCACACCCAACAGCCTCACTCACAACGGGATCCCGACTCCCAGCACCACACCCCCGCCGATCAAGGTACCTACCAATGGCGAGATCAAGTCTCGTCCTCTGCCTTCGCCAGCGAAGCCGCCCGTTTTCAAGGCGGACGTCGAAGAGGGCGACAGCCCCAAGACGCTGCCAACTGAGCCTGCTGAGAAGATTAAGCTCGAGGAGATTGGCTCGCCGGCGCTCGGCGCGAAGAAAGATGGCCAGACAGAGGACAAAGAGGACGAGAGCAAAGTCCGGGAGCTTGATATTTACTCCGAGGCGGTTCTTGCTTGTAAGTGATCCTGTTCGCCCTGATCCCCCGGCGGTGCTAACTGTATACCCTTACAGGCAGCATTGAGAACCCCGAGTCCTGCGTTATGTGCAGCGGCTAAGCAATCGAGCTCTCTCACGAGTCTGGTTGCCCCGTAGTGCGACGACGAGGGACATACTGTTTCTTAATTACGATGGGACTAATATCTACTTTCTATTCATGGCGTGGCATTTCTTTTGTTTTCGTGGGCGGACGACATGTATATCATCTGAAGGATCACGTTTTGTGCAGGCTCGTTCATTGCATGGCATTGCATGGAGCGGGGAGACAGTAAAGGAAGGGACGCAAGAGAAACGGAAAGCAAGGGGTGTCGTGCTACCTGTCACACTGCCACCTGATACCCTATTTAGTTTTGTTTTTCTTGTCTGCTTCTCTTCTTCTGAATCAGCCTTGGATACGGAATACGGATTTTCTTTTTACTTTTCCTCATATGTGTCTATAGGTCAACCGGAACAGCTCAAGTCGCTGTGTCCATCGACTACCTTGCCCGCCGCCTTCTCATCTCTCTCTCATAAACTAGATGTACTTTTACTACTACCCGGAGCGCTTGCTCGCTGCTGTAGCTGCTGCATTTATATATTGTTTATCTTGTTATTGGGTTGTCCTACTAGCCCATATATTATTGTCTGTTCCTATCCCTTTGCACTGGCTGTTTGCGTTGCTCTTGGAGTGTTTGGTGTGCAGTGGTTACAGATACTTGCGATGTAGGCTGACGGTGTTGCTCAGTGTATTGTTTGGGGCGGCTGTTGTTATGCAAGGAACCTGAAATAGCCTTGTGAGTTTTTATTTGGATGTACATGTACATGTACAACCACATAACATGAAAACTGAAGAAGAGTACCCCTATATCGCCGTGGAAGACCGCGGGGAGGCTGAAACGGGGACCTGAGAGCTGACTCCTCTAACCACCCCCGTTCGGGCGAGTAATGTTGGAAAGTAAGACGGTGTTTCTCCGTACTGAGGTACAGATAGTCTAGGGTATTTCCCGCAAAGGAAGCTCTCGAGTTGTGCATGTAATTGGTGGAGTCAAGGCGTGCAGCGCCCCGCTTTTATTCTCCCCAAGCAATTTGATAACACATGTCATCGGCAGCAGATCTGCGCCAAGCTCAAGCCCCCACTGCATGATAGCTAAGTAGCTCTGGATCTTCAGCGTGGGTTTCGAACAACGCGGCCTTCAAGTCATCATCACCAAGCAGCAATAACGCCACAGTCCAGCAATATTTCGAACTCCTCATTGCTGTTCCCACTACTGCTGCGTTTTGCAGGGCCCAGGCCAGACGACCGGGCAGGCAAGTATAGGGCGGCCCGACGAACAGCGACAAGGAAAAGGGGAGGAAGATGTCAAGGTAGCAGCAGCTGGAGAGCACGCCAGGACGAACCCTCTCGCCTCAACGATGTCTTTCGCAAGCACGCCGGTGACGCGCACCTTGGTGCTGGGGTTGGTCGCATCCTCTGTTGCGGCCAGTCTGTTTGACGTCAAACACTACTTTTACATATCCGTCGGCACCCACATCCTGCGATACCACCAAGTGTGGCGCTTCCTGATATACCAGCTGTGCTACACCAACTCGTCTGAGGTACTCTTTGCCGCCATGTCTCTATATAACATGAGGGCTATCGAACAGCTGTGGGGCTCGAGGAAATACGCCGTGAGTTGATGTTCTCTCCTCCCACGAGCATTATCCTGTGGCATTCGGCCTGGTCTGGGTTGGCTGGCTTGCGCTCTCTAACCTCGATCTAGTCATTCATCGCAGTGACAGCCCTATTCACGGCGATCATCCCGCCGTTCCTTCTGACAGCAGTTCTCCGACCGTTGTCCCTGGGGAGGTTCGAATACCTACCGGCCGGCCCGACGCCCATCATCTTCGCCATACTGGCCCAGTACCACGCCATGATCCCCCACGTCTACAAGTACAGGATCGCGCTGTCCACGGCGGCGCCCGGCAACGACGACTCGATGGGGCTGACCTTTTCGGACAAGTCTACGCGCTATCTCATTGCGCTGCAGTTGGCACTCTTCCAGCTGCCCGGATCTCTCCTGGGCGCAGCGGTTGGCTGGGTCGTGGGATATTCGTGGCGTAACGAGCTCATACCAGCGAGGTTGACACGGTGGCGAGTCCCCGGGTGGGTGGTGGGGCTCCGGAGCCAGAAGAGGAACAGGGGCTTTGAAGAGATGCGGCGCAGGCTCGAGGGAGAAGGGTCGGGCTCGGGCTCGTCTACGGGCGCAGCCTCCGGACTCCAGCAGCCTGCCGATAGTGACAATAGGAGAAGGACCATGGGGCAGCAGCTCATGGACGAGGTCCGGGGGGCGTTCTAGATGTGAGCCTCCATTGGATGGCAGGAGGCAAACTGGTTTGCATTTTTATGGTACAAATTACCTTGTTTGCGTTTTATTCGGCAGCACGTGTTTCCTGTATAGCGGCCGCCTTTGAAGCGCTCTGGACTCGAGTATCCACACACGCTTTGTTCCTACACGTGTACTCATCCTATTCGGTTTTATTGAATTTCAGCCCAAAGTCCGAAAGGGAGTGAGAAGAAGGAGAAGGAACATGGAGAGGAAAGCAGAGCCACCTTTAGTAGATAGATACGAACAAGGACCAAGCCCGTATTGAATGGCGAGCATGAATACGTACATACAGTACGGAATATTCGGACATGTGTCGCGTGCACAGCCCGGCTAGGAAATCGTAAATTCAATCCGAGGTCGTTCAATCACAAAACACGATGTTTAGTATAGACACGAAACACGCCGAGAGTTTAACAGTCAAACTTCATGAGACGCCGGCCCGCTGACTCGAGGTCCGCCATCAAGTCCGGGCACGATGACGGTGCGCTTCCTAGACTAGGATGTCTACGAATTGAAGTTACCCAGTGTCTCTTTGCATGCTACTAAATACTTAGGGCAGGTATTCGGCGTAGCAGACTACGGTAGTACAGTTGCATCCCACGTTGCTTTCAAACTCAGCTCATTATCTCGTATCATGCGGCATGTCGGACGGCTGAACAGAGCTGGCAACAGCTCAGGCATCGTCGTCTTATTAGGTTGAGTGTGCTTCACTCCAAAAATACGCGCCGCCCGCATCGTTAGTCGCCAAGGGCGAACAGGGGGACGAGGCTGCCACTAAAACCCAGCGTGGCGACCCGCTGCTGCTCCCCAAGGCGTGCAGCACGGGGCAGCGCAGCGCCCCCAGATCGGCTTGGCCTTAAACCGGGCAACCGCCTACCCAAAGGGGGAAGATGGAAGCGTGGGTGCTCCAACGCTCAAGGATGTGCGGGAGGGGACGCCAATGTAGTGCGGAACCGATTTCGCCAAAGCACCGCCCCCTGTTTTTGGGGGCTGGTATCCAGCTTGATTGCGCTGAAGAACGAAGCCGTCATGCAGCGGCCAACCCTGGGGCCTCTGGCCTTGGCACGGCTCCTGCCCTGCCTTGCCTGCCCAACGTAGCAGCCCGCCAGCCGCCAGCTGCCAAAGCGCGCAGGCTGCTCTGCACTGGAAGGGTTTCTTTCCTTCAACCGTCCCGAGTCCCCGTCCATAACCCAAACCTTGACGTCCTAATCAAACGGCACCAACTCGCGCCGTCTCTATACTACCGCCTTTTTGGATTTGCTCCCTGCATCCGCTCGCCCCCTGGATCCGTCATTCCTCGACTGGTTTCTTCCTCTCCTGTTTTTTGGAGGGCTGCCGACGACGATCGATTCGCCGAATTCGAACCCAGCAACCGATAGGCCTCCCCGTTTGCCTCCTTTCCCGCGATTGTGGGACACGCGCGCAAAGTCTACCCCGACCCCAGCTAGGTTGCATGTCCCGATAGGCTCACGACTGCGCACGAAATTCGATAATTGGGAGACGGTGTTCCGGTCTGCCCATAGTGACTGGGAGAGCAAGAGGGAGATTGTGTGAGGCCACATCTTGGATTTTCGCTCCTTCTTGGTATAATGTCTTGGACGATTATTAGCAACACCATCGTTCTATTCCGACCCCTCACATAATGAACGGGGCCAACACCCGAAGAGGGGGAGATGGCTTCACCCAAGGGTCGAGGCTACCTCCCCCGGCCGTCCAGCCGCCCCCTTCAACTGGGCCCAGCGCGAAGGCGCTCGTCGAGGGCTACAGAAAAGATATCCTCATCGGATTCGACCAAGAAAAGCCGCGCTACAATCCGGTACGAGATAGGACATCCAGGCCTTGTGCCATGCGCTCCCTGGTTAGGGACCCCTTAGCTAACCCTTGCGACTCTCTAGTTGAACCCTGAACGGCCACAAAGCTCCGCTCTCGTCGATCTCAAGGATCCGATACAGGTCCACCTACTGACCGAGACAGCCCTTTTAGACAGCAAGAAGTTCGAGATCTTGTCGCAGGAGGAAGTGGACGGTCTCAAGAAGCAGATCCAATCGCTTACGATGCGCGTCGAGCAGGCCCGGACAAACTTGGCCATACAGTCTAAATATCGCGACGCCGCCATCTCCATGGCCCGCCTCTACTCGCCGGCCAAGTCCGAGGGTAAAAGGCGAAGTCTTCTCGGCAATCGCATGAGCGACTCTGTCAAGGAAGCCGAGATGGAAAAGCAAGCAAGTGAGCGCCGCTGCGAGGAACTTGCCACCGAGCTGTTCACGCTAGAAAAGCGCTTGGTCGAACCCCAGAGGCGTCTGCTTCAGCACACGGCGGGAATCCTACAGATGACGCACCGAGCCGCCGCGAGGAAATTTGGCCAGCCGGCCGCTGGACAGCCGATGATGAATGGAATCCCCGGCAGCCCGGAGAGCCTGTACACATACTCCAACGCTCGCAACAGCCTGGAAGCTACTAGCGAAGATGCCGACTTTGACGATAGGAGTCTCTACCTTCCACTAGACCAGATGGATGGGCAACCTGGTCGCCCGCGCAAAAATACGATCGAAATACCCACTAAGTCGCCTGTACGAGAACAGCAGAATCAGCTCAGGGAGGAGATGGACCGCGCAAAAGACGAGATCTCGCGACTTCAGGCTGTGGAGCGGCAACTGAAGGAGGAGAATTGGAAGCTCAAAAAGGCTGAGGAGGAATCTACTACTGAGAAAATTCAGTCTGGGGCTCTGGAAAAGAAGCTCAAGGACGAAAACACACGCCTCAAAGAAGCCCAGCAGCAACTTAAATCAGAAGCCGACGAACTGCGAGCACAAACTGGGGATCAGAGGAGTTCGATATCTAACGCCGAGCAGAAATTGGAGGCCATGAACAACAAGTTAAGGGAAGTGGTCGTCACGTTTAGTCCAGCGAAGAACAATGACTTTGGTTACCCTGAAGTGGCAGTGGGCTCGGGCTCGACGCTCAAAAGCCAGCTAGAGTATTTAGAAAGAGGAATCGCCACTGCCATGGAGGAGCAGAGGTTACATGCGACAAAGACATCGAGGGAGTCTGAGGAGGTCAGCGCCGCCGCAGCCGCAGCAACAGCATCCCTCGCAAAGGCCGAGTCACGGATCAAAGCCCTTTCCCGACAGACCCAGGACGTGCTTCAGAAGGCCAAGATTACCCAACCGCCAGCTGAGTCAGAGGCAACCCTAGTTGGACAGCTCAACTACATTGAAAATGCTCTTAGCGTATTCCAGACAGAACTTGCATCTTCCGGCAAGAAGAACATCGCACAGGTGGACGCAGTCCTTATGGGCCTGTGGGATATTATCCAGACCGGCTACTCCGAAATTCAGCAGCAAAGGATAGAGCGCAAGAAGCTGCGGTCAGAAAAGGGTGTGGTGGATGACGACGACGACGATGTGTCGGGCGACGAGATTGGAGACATGAACGAGAAGTATTCCCTGCAGGCATTCTCGACCAAAGTCCAATGGCTTTATGCGCAAGCGACAAGTCTGAGAGAACAGAAATCTGTGCTCAAGAGGCAGATCAAACAACAGCGAGAGCTGAATAATAAGAGCGGATCCGAAAAAGATGAGGACATGAGGGCTATGGAAGACGAGCTAGAAACGACCCGAGCAATGCTCGACGAGAGCGAGAGAACTGCGCAAGACGCAATGGATAGGCTTGGACTGACACTCCGCAACATGGAGACGCTCCAAAAGACAAATGCGGCAAACGAATCAGCATCATTCTCGTCGTCCAAGACCATCCAGGACCAGCTCAAGGATCGCAACACTAAAATTGCGGCCCTCGAGTCGAGCAACCAGAATGTGCAGGCCAAGCTCGCCGACGCCGAGACGAATCTGGCCAGCGTCAAGGCGCAGCTCAGCCAGGCTAGCGAATCGCAGACGGCAACCCAAGCAGAGGCAGGCAAGCTCGCTAAGGCGGTCAAGGACAAGGACGAAGAGCTCGACCGGCTAAACATGATGGTCATTGAACTTAAGACGGAGGTGGCCTTTGCTAAAGCCGAGCTTGATGGCGCCTATGGGTCCCGCAAACAGCGCGCAGCCGAGGTGGCGGCACTCTCCAAGACGTCCGAGACATCAGAGCTCAACACGCAGGTGCAGAACCTCCGCTCCGAGCTCGAGAACACGCTCAAAGACCTCGAAGACATCACCAAGGAGTCCATTGCCGCCGAGAAGGAGAAACTCGACCTCGAGTCCAAGCTGGACGACGCCCTCAGCTCAAAGGCGTCGCTCGAGTCGGAGATCAAGACGCTGCGCGACAAGCTCGACGCCGAAGTCTCCAGGCTCCAGGAGCAGCTTGATGCTGAGCGTCTTAAGGCTCCCACTAGTTCCGCGGGTGGTAGTGCCGGCGGTGCCGGCTCTTCCAGAGCCGGAGCCTCCATGCTCAGTGAGCAGTTCAGGGCGACGATGAAAGAGGAAAGGAAGAAATTCCAGGAAGAGCTCAGGGTTGGTTTTACACCTAAACCCCTTTCTGTGCTATCCGCACATACGAGACATAAAGCTAACCTAACTAAACTATGTCCAGGAGGAGCAAGCCAGACGCCGCAAGATCGAAGACGAACTCCGCGCCCTGCGCAAGAGCCAGGGCCTCAGCAGTCGCAGTACCACGAACCTGGGGAGCTCGCTCAGCCCGAGGTGACACCAGCACACACGCAAGACATAACCAATGCGCCATGCCGGATGATTTGATGAAACTGACGAAAGGGCCCTTGTACTATTGAGAGCACGTGGCGTGCCCGAGAAAAGACCCGAACGTAGTAACTAATGCTTCCGCTTTTGGCTTTTTGTTTTCATTCCCTCTTCTTTAGACTCAATCGGTCTACAGAATGGAGGCGGGAAAATTTTCCAGGAGCATGCTCTGTAACAGTATCTCTCCTTACTGCTTGAATGATCTTTTTGGGAGGGGATAACGAGGGGAGGAAGCATTGGGTTGTATTGCACCTTGGATTGGCAAACTTGACGGATGTACTTGTATACCTTTTCTTCCTTGTGTTCTTTTTTGACTACCTTTTTTATCATCCTGGGCTCCGTGTGGTCTCTGCATTATGGGGAAAGCCGAAGAAAGGTTCGGGGTTTGCTAGAATCATCATCATCGTCGGTTTGTGGATTGGATGGATTCTTTTTTCTTTCTTTTAATTGGAAAGCTTTCTTCACACATAAATATAATATATACACACTCATACCGACCCTCGCACGTCTCCTGCATTGGATTGATAGGGGAAGGGGTCTGGTTGGCGCTGAAGCAAAATACTTACTTTTATTTTGTTCAATTGTTTGACTTTTTTGCTGTTCCGCGGCAAATGCCCGTGTTAACCTTTTAATGTGTACGCGGTGATGGATGGGTATGAGCTATTTCATTTTTGTGATAAATCTAATTGCTCCTTGAGGAAAGCCTCATTGAAGCAGACGAAACAATACATGCTTAACTCCTTTCGCTTTCTTCTGGGCTTCTTATTTATTTACTAGTGCTCGTCTATGCAGTCCTTTATAGCGTTTTTACTGACGCTTCGTCTTCTTTCGTCTACTCTAGGAGCGACTTCCACGGTTAGATCTAGGGGCCAACAAAGTGAAATGGCTTATACCCACCACCGTACACAAACTAAAATGAACGCAATTAAGAAGACATATATATATTATGGTCTGTTGTGGAACTTTGCTATGCGATTGGGTTAGGAAACAAACAACGCAAGATAGATAGGTACTACAAAGTACAAATGTGGAAACCATTGACGTTCGGGCCCCCTGAGCTGCTCTGGCAAGCGACGATCAGCAAACTAAGGAAAATCGATAAGCGTATTAGTTTTTTCAAAATTATATAGCAGCCAAACAATGTCCTTGTAGCTTTTCAGGGCGGCGTATCCTCGCGGTGTCCGGCCCCGTATATCCTTCGAGTTGGCCTGGACCTGGCCTGAGGCGAGTAATACCCGGACGACGGTCTTGTGCCCGTTCCAAGCGGCCCAGCTCAGGGGTGTTTGGCCTTCGTTATCCTTCGAGTCGGCCTCGACCTGAGCTGTGGCGAGTAATACCCGGACGACGGCCTCGCGCCCTTTCCCAGCGGCATGGCTCATTGGTGTCCGGCCCTTTTTATCCTTCGAGTTAGCCTTAACATGGCTTATACCAAGTAATAGTCGGACGACGGCCACAGACCCGCCCGTGGCGGCGTGTATCAGTGGTGTCCGGCCGATTGAATCCTTCGCGTCGGCTTCAACCTGGCCTGTGGAGAGCAATAGCCGGACGACAGCTTCGCTCCCGTGCTGAGCAGCGTTGCTTAGCGGTGTCTTGTTAAATCTATCTTTGGAATCGGCCTCGGCCTGACCCGTGGCGAGCAATACCCGGACGACGCTCTCGCTCCCGTCCCCAGCGGCCCAGCTCAGCGGTGTTTCACCATAACTATCCTTGGAGTCGATATCAGCCTGGCCTGTGGCGATCAATAGCTGGACGACGGCCTCGTGCCCTGTCCCAGCGGCCTGGCTTAGCGGAGTTCGGCCCTTTTTATCCCTCGAGTTGATTTCGACCTGGCCTGTGGCGAGTAATAACTTGACAACAGCTACGTGCCCGTTTTGGGCGGCATGGCTCAGCGGTGTTTGGCCATAGGCATTATCCTTCATATCAGCGTCTACCTGTCCTGAGGCGAGCAACACCCGGACGACAGCCTCGTGCCCGTGCTGAGCAGCGTAGCATAGTGGCGTTATGCCAAGAAACGTATCCCACAAGTTGGCTTCGACCTGGCCTGTGGAAAGTAGTAGCTGGACGACGGCATCGTGCCCCTTTTCAGCGGCCCATGTTAGCGGTGTTCTGTGATAAAAAGTATCCTCTAGGTTGGCGTCGACCTGGCCTGTGGCAAGCAATAGCTTGACGACGGCCTCGTGCCCTTTTTCAGCGGCCCAGCTCAGCGGTGTCCGGCCCTCACTATCGCGCAAATCAAAAGATTCGTAATGTTGAATAAGGAAGTTTGCTGCTTCTTTAGCTCCAAAGAATGCTGCTAAATGGAGGACCGTAATCTGCTTTGGAAACACCTCGCTATTGTATGATCCTTCGGGGTAGTCCTTGACGACCATGAGCGCTTGGCTCGCCGCCTCCACCTTGGCTTGGGACCCCGCGAATTCTTCAAACAAGTGACATAATTTCGAAGACTTCCGAGCATGGTGACCCCAGCTGCGTGCCGCATATTCATAAAGCGGATTTAGCTGCAGTCTTTTGTCAAATTCGGAGTTCGTGTGACAGATGCCATCCTCAAAGGCGTCGAATAGAAGGTAGGTAAGGCAGGCTGCCGTGATATCAGACTCTGGTTCCCGAAACCAATCACCTTGGGTTCGTTCAAAATATTCCTGTGTTGTATAGTGGACTAACCGTATGACGCTGCTTTGATCGTCGACCGTGACCAGCCCAGCGCATGCCGAAATAATATCTTCAGCATCCGATATATTGTCTCGCCTGAGCTCTCGCCTGCCTAATTCTACAGCGAGAGCATGCTGAAGCTCTAACGTGGTGAGAGGTCGATTTGCGCATGTGATCCATGACAAGGTCTGCTTGGCGAGGCCCTCTTGGTCTTTTGCCTGACCTTCAATGCGTTCCATCGCGTCCTGATATGCACGGTCGTATGCGTCCGACCCGGTCGGCAGTTTTGCAAGAGCCTCTCGCACGGCCAGGGGGGATCTCTTTCCAATCAAGGAATCAAGGTGCAGCTTTGCAAGGAGGAACCTGAGGATATATTAACGCCGTACATCGTCTTTGGAAAAAGCGGCTACATACATTCCTTGGACTGACTGGATGATCCCGCTCCTGACCTCCTCCTGGAGTTCGGGGCTGCGGCCAACGAAGGCTGGAAGTCGGGACATATGGCTATGGAGATATGCGCCCACGTCTTCGTCGCTAGCGCGGATTTCTAGTGAAATACTACTCCCTTTGAACTTTTCATTGACCTCCGGAATAAACCTTGAAGTTGCAAAGACGTTGGCATCCGACCCAGCCTGGAGGTTGAAGATCTCTGTCAAAAGTCTCGCTCGACAGCCATCGAAAGCTTCGCACTCGTCAAGCGCATCAATGATGATGAAAACTCGAGAGTAATCAGTAACGACATGGTTTAGTGTTTTCAAGATTTCCTCTACCGACGGCCGAGTGCGGGTAGACTTGTGCTTGTCATGGAGGGTTTTCACTTCGTTCGGCAGAGAAGCCCTCTTCTGGCTTAGCTGTTTGAGGAGACTTGCCAGCAGGTCGTCAACCTTTTGCTCCTCTTTTCGCCTGAAATTGCAGTATATATATGCGAGACATATTGTTGGGTCGCCTTGGAATCTTTTGCAGAGATCGTCAACCACAATGGATGTGAGTATCGTCTTCCCGGCTCCCGGGATGCCTGGGCAGAAGAGCGTCTGCTTGCGTGTGACTAGCCAAGTCTGGTACTCGTTCGAATCTAGAAGCCACTGGCCAGTTCCCGGCTGCTGTAGCTTGAAGTAGTCACTCTGTTGCAGACCGTAGTCAATTGGCGTGAGCCAATCCAAAATCTTCTGCTCTTCCTCATTATGACGATGACGTAGAATGTCGTCTGTCCTCCTTCCTATGTCCGAGAGTCCAGTTTGAACGTTTGACAGCACTACATATGTAGAATGATTAGTTAGCCAGCCAGAGACATCCAATGTAGCCCCATTTCATATAACTTCAACTCACAGCTTTCTATCTTGCCAGCCCATGACGGCAACGCAGACACCCTTTTAGGTTTGAGCACATGGAGAAGCTCTCTCGCATACGCTGCAGCTGTGAGCGCTGCGTAGTTGTGCCACTCGTCGTTCTTGTGGGAGTCGGAATAATCGCAGATGCCTCGAATTACCAGACACGGGAAGTTGTTCATCAAGCCCCCGGCTTCCATCTCGAAGCACAGCACTTTCAGCTCTGGATCTTTGGCAATTCGGTCTCTCTCGACGGCGTCTTTCATAACCGAGTTGGCAGATGCAATGATGCCATAGTGGACAGATACTTCACGGTGGGTAGAACGCGGCGGACGCTTCTCCAAGCCGTCAGCCTTGCAGGCGTCACAGTTCTTTCCGTCCTTGTGGCCATAGTCGGTGCGAAACAGCTGATCTTTGGCTGGCCGTCGGTAGTCGGGCATATCCTCCATGAGCTTCAAGTTTTCGGCGATGGTGTCCGGCTTCTTGGGGTCGTTGTGGCGCCGTCTGATCTCGGGCAGAGCTCCTAGAAGCGCCTCGGGAGGAGCGTTCAGCTGGCCTGTCCGCTGGAACTGGCCGTTTGACAAGCGTTTCCCGAAATCGTATTGCACCACGCCACCGAGAACTCCCTCTGGTACGCTAACCACGACGTCGCCGAGTCGAATATCTCTTTCCCCTATCGGCGCGCCTCCGCCAATGCCCACCATCAAGGCAAACTTCAAGTTTGGGAACGAGCGGACCATGTCTCTAGCGACGCAGGCAGCCGAGGTGGTCCCGTATCGACCATCTGGCAGGCATCCAATGACCACATTGTGCCCATTAATACGGCCAAAGGCGTACGTGTTGTTGTCGTTAACTTCGTCCATATCATGGCAGTCGAATTCATCATCGAGCATCCGGCATGCGGCTTCGTATTCCTCTTGCAGGGCACATATCCAACTGATTCCGTAGTCTTCGATGGACGGTTCCGACATGGTAGGAACAGCTGTTGTATCAAAGGACTCGGTCGTCCAACACCGCCGATACACGTAGGTCTAGGTCGTTTGGCAGGTTTCGGTGAAAGCTCGATGGCTACAACTTGTTAACAATAGGAGGACTGACAACTGACAGGACTCAACTCGCCAGCTCTCGACTTAAGGAAAATGCGAAACGCCGTACATGTATGTGAGGCCCTGCTTCGGGATTTCCAGTCCTTTTGAGCCGCCGCATCTCGTCGCATTTGGCGTGCAGAATTCTAGGCTGCCAATAATTGACTGGTCAGAATGTAGTCACCGAGATAGGTGGCTACGTTGAGGCGGCACAATGTGCATCGGTTCACACCATCTGCGCCCAGCCCCGGCCCCCACCCCTGGCCCAGCTGTTTCCGATGCAGCCCGGACATTTGGGTGTTACCAGTGCCACTGCTCCAGCTGTCCAGCTCGTTAAACAGCGGCGCTAGGCTGGAGCTCTTCTAGGCCAGGACTTTTTTGGTGATATTGTGGAGGACGATGGTGATTAGTTTACTGAAGGTGAGAAGCGCAATGGCGACGGGCAGGCCAAGACATACCCATGCGAGCGAGATGGCCTCTGTGATCTGTCGCACCCGGCTAAGAACAGGGAGTTTAAGAAGTAGGAGAGGCCAGTCAAAGTCTAGTGGTAGGAGTACATCTGAAAGAGATTTCAGCTTGTGGTGGTGTCCAAGGTTGACTTTGTGCTGTTATTATCCGATGGCGACGGCTACATGTCAACAAGATCATGATCTATGTGCTCCTAGTTACGGAGTACTTCGTACTGTCGTCAGGTCTCCGGCGTGTTAATGGGGTAACTGACGGGTGCGGTAGTGCAACCCCGTCACAAATCATATCGGCGTTACTGGAGTTGTCGATAGGCGGCTCTGAAATTGAAGGCGCAGTGGCTGTTTGCACTGTGTGGAAGGAAGTCTGAACGATCGAAGGCATGAGACTCGGCGATTGGGATGGCTTATGGCCAAGTCTACCGACATAATAATTGACACTACAGAATCTGCAAGCCGAACTTGAGCTTCCACTCCATCGCGCCTACGTAAAGTTGCTAGAAACTTTTGTCGTCGTCATAGGCCCATGATCCGATGACCAGACGTGCGACATATCTCGATCGCAATTTCTTCAGTAGGGGCTTTCCCGCAAGGAAGGCGCGGCCCGCCCAATTCGGGCCACCTCGCTCACTGTGTGTGTATAAGAATACATACTGTATAGGATGCACATTCGCGCGCTACAACGTCCGCCAGCTCGCCAAGGCAGATTCTGCCCCTCGTCTATGATGCCTGCCATTTGACTGCGGCTGCAAGGGCGGGCGGAAAAGATTGCGAACTCCGAGCCGACCGCATTACAGGCCAAGTCGATTCAAAAGTTGTCTAGAGCCTAACTCCTGATTTTTCCAATCAGACCTTCCCACTCTTGCAGATCCACAGCCCTCCCAGGTGGTTTCCGTTGCGTCTTCTCGGGGGCGTAATTGCCCCACGCCCAGGACTCCAATTTCAGCGCCTTAGGAAGCACAAAGCTCTGCTTCTGCCCGGAAAAGTTCAGCACCACCAACCACCGGTCTCCACTGTCCACGCTGCTCGTCCGAATATAGGCGTAAACATTCGGGTCGGCAGGATTCTGGTCGTGGAAATCGCCATAGACAAACACCTCCTTGTGCTCTGCGCGGTTCTTCAAGCAACGCTGCCAGAACTGCCAGGTGGTCAGCTCACCACCACTGCCTTCGCCCGACTGCTGCTGCATTTGCGATTCGACGTTGACCGTCTTGTAGTCGCTCATGACTCTCATCCATGGCGTGACCTCCGGGTCGCAGAATCCCGCATTCGGCGCTGCACTCCACTGCATCGGGGTTCTCGAGTGGTCCCGCGCCTTCATGTCCATCACCTTCCGGCCCAGCGACAGCATGTCGGGGTCGTTGGCATACAGTGTCTGGACCTTCTTCCAGTAGTTGATGGTCTCAACGTCTCGAAAGGCCTCCGGTGGCCACTCGCCCGACCTCGCATTACGCATCCCAATCTCCTCTCCCTGATACACAAACAGGGTGCCGCCCAGCGTGGTCTGCATCAGCGCGAGCAGCTTTGCCCCTTTGTCTCTCCATTCATCGCTGTCGTCGGCATACCGCGACACGGAGCGCGGTTGGTCGTGGTTCTCGATGAAGACGGTGTTCCAGCCGTCTTTCTCAATCATGGTGCGCTGCCAGCGCGTGATGATGGCCTTCATCTCGCGCACCGTCCACGGCTTGAGCGCCATGCGCACGTTCGGATTGTCGATGTCGACGAGGCCAAAGATGAAGATCATGTTGAGCTCTCCGGACCGGGCGCCGACGGCCTTTAGGATCTCGTCCTCGTCATACACAAAGGGCATTTCGCCCAGCGCAAGGGCTTCGTACTTGCTCAGTACCCGTCGGTTCATCTCGGTGAGGTAGTCGTGCAGCTTGGGCCCGTTGACGAAAAACTTCTGGCCAGGCTGGTACTTGTGCTCGGGGCCTAGGATGAGCGGTGCGTCGGGGTACGAGGGCACTTTGGAGATCAGGTTGATGACGTCCATGCGGAACCCGGAGACGCCGCGCTTCAGCCAGAAGTGCATGACGTCCCAGACGGCCTCTCGCACCTCGGGATTCTCCCAGTTCAGGTCGGGCTGTTCGGGAGTGAACAGGCCAAGGTAATACTCGCCCGTGACTTGGTCATAGTTCCAAGCCGAGTTCGCTTCGCCGAGAATCTGAGCCCAGTTGTTTGGCGGCTCGGGGCTGCCGTCGGGGTTGATGCTCTTGGGCGCCTTCCAGATGTACCAGTCGCGTTTGGGGTTCGTCTTGCTGCTCTTGCTCTCGAGAAACCAAGCATGCTGGTTGCTGGTGTGGTTCACAACCAGATCCATCACCAGGCGCATGTCTCGCCGCTTCAGCTCGCGGATGAGGTCGTCCACGTCGGCCAGCGTCCCGTAGCAGGGGTCAATGTCCTTGTAGTCGGCGATGTCGTAGCCCATGTCGGCCTGGGGCGACTTGTAGATTGGCGATGTCCACAGCACGTCGATGCCGAGCTCTTTGAGGTAGTCGAGCCTCGACGTGATGCCCTTGACCGATCCCCAGCCTGTCGCGTTGCCGGGGTGGGACTGGAAGGACGACGGGTACACTTGGTATACGATGGCTTCCTTCCACCATTTTGGGGAGGCGTAGGTCGAGTCTGGGGATGCCATGGTCCTGGTTCGGTTTATCCCGACGGTGCGTGTGTGTGTGTGTGTGTATCTGTGTGTCTGTGTGTCTGTGTGACCAAAGAGACAGAGTATGTATGAAGGGTGCCTTTTGGAGAGTGAGGACCTGAGTTACCCCGCGTTTGTCTCCGCGCAGGTCTCCGAGAATTGTGAGTTAGAACATAGTAGAGGCTGTCAAATGGCCAGGCTCAGTCAGGTCCCCTGTTTAAGCCACCCCCATTTATTGCAACTTGCATAGCATGAGCAACCAGTTTGGCCTGTCTAAATTCCCTGTTCTCACCAAAGGACCGCATCCTTTTCTGCAACTTGCATAATATGTGCAACCTACATTCAGGCCCCCTGCTTAAGCAACCAATTCAGACAGACCAAATAGGCTGCACATACTAGGGTGCGGTCTTTTGGTGAGAACAGGGAATTCAGACAGGCCAAACCGGTTGCTCATACTATGCAAGTTGCAATAAATGGAAGTTGCTTAAAAAGGGGACTTGATTGTACGTGTAGATAATATCACCTATTCATGGGTAAAGGTGAGGAAGTGCAGCGCGGCCCCATACCACGACACCATCTAGGTTAGTTTAGGTGCAGGCCGTACGGGTACGCCTGCCTAGGTAGTTGGCGTTTTCCTTCGTCGATTCTAGCAATTGAGTATTCTACTTGGCTCCAAAGAATTGGTCGGTAGGCAAGGTTCCTCCTCCCATATGGTTATATAAGTCCAACGACGGCAACGCTAATCAGGGGGTTCAGGGGCCGGGCAACAAGGGGTTTATTTACATCACCCTTACCCACTAAAAATCTACTTCGTAGTACGGATCCAATTATTTTCCTTTTTTTCTTGGCCCACCCACCTCATCATATAAGGTGGGCCCTCCCCCTGATGAGAGGTCGTCGGCATCGCTCCTTCAAGGATGTCCTTTTTCCTAGTCTTTCTTTAGAAATCACGTCTTTTTTTACCATTGGTGCCTTTGCCTTTACACCGCTTCAACGAGAATTGGCAAAGATGGGCCAAATTGCCACCATCTGGCTGCAGCTGAATCCGGCCATGATATTTATAGACGTCTGCCTGTCTGTCTGTCTGTCTTGTCTGTCCGTATGTGCGCCACAGATTTGCCTGAAGGCACGCTCTCTTGGACCGAAAGCATGTAAGGTAAGATAGGTAGTTCTAGAAAAGGCGGCTGAAAACGTTGTCCATGTTACGGCATCATGGCGTGCATGTGCATCTGGTCCCGCTTTGGGGGGAGTGTTTCGGCCGCCGAATTTTGGCTGGCGGATGCTCACCCCTATAGGTACCATTTTCGGCGGCTTCAACACGGAGCGCACAAGTCTTACAAGTATCCCTCCAACTACCTTGATAGCTGTGTCATGTCAAAGGGAACATGCTCACCGTTCCGTTGATTCGTCCTTTCCATGCCTAGCGTGTCATTTCCCGCGAACCCGCCCTTTCATTCTTTCTTTCTTCTGTTTCCTCTTGTCCTCATCCGAGACACTTACAACGCCAGTGTTTAGAGGCTAGTGCAGTACCGTACCAACAACTAACGAGGCAACTAAGGTACGTACCTCCAAAAATGGGTTGTGCCGGTTAAGTCCCCTGTTTCGGGTTGTTGACACTTGACAGCTTGCTTGCAGCACTCGGTTCTTTGGATGCCATTGCGGGGTTCCCGCAGGAAGCGGCGACTGGCAGCTAAAACCCCTTCCCCAGACGGAAAAAGGCGCGGCAATCGTGTTTTCCGGTCATGATAAGTCCGGCGCCCCTGCAATGCCGGCCCCGGGAGCCGACGGCCGGTCTAGGCTTTAGCCGCAGCGGCAAAGGAACGGCAGTGATCAACGTTTCGACTAAGCTAGGTTGATTTCGTCTGTCAGTTGAACACGTGCATATCAAAGGTTTTAATCGAGGCCCTAAAAATAGCTCGAAAAGCAAGTCAAAAGGTGGTTTTATTTGCGAGCTATTTTGGCTTATGGCCCGCAAGTCTTGCCTTCCGGCTGGCCCGCAGCTGCTTACAGAACTTGTCAATGGAGCAGCCTATTTGCTGCTGTTGGAGATGAACTATGCGGACGGCGGCTTCCTCGCTCGTACGCAGGGCTCGTACGATCCGCTGGACCCCTTAACAACTTCGGACCGTAAAGAATACCACTGCAGTTCAGTCTGCCGGCCGGCCCGCCACCGGTTCCCCCATCTCCGATCAAGAGTAGCTACGGCCGGCCCGCCCTGGAGGCCAACAGTCCACTCACGCCAAAGGTCTGTCACCGTTCTGACAGTACGGCTCATGCGGTACTGTGGCGGCTGTTCCTCATTTTCTTCGGCTGGTAGCCAGCTGATTGTGGGAGCCGGGCTACAAAGGCGGCTAGCAGCAGAACCATACTGGCTTTGTTCGTCGGGGCCAGCTCCCGGCCCAGCCACAGGGCCAGCTGCCGGCCTAGTTATAGGGCTAGTTCGTCGGCCCGCTTCGGCCAGGACCGGCTGTGGAGCGGTTGCTTGTATATGGACTGTAAGGCCGGCAGAAAGGATATTGTGGAGCTTAAATGTCTGCTGCGACTGGGCCTCGATAAGCCGCATCTCGGTGGCTTGGAGATTTGCTGTGAGCTCTCGGACCAGGGCCTCATTGCGAGCATCGATCGACTTCAAGTAGTCTCATAAGACTGGAAGCGCTTGGGTTAATATAGCTAGCTGGCTGGGCCGCTCTTCTTCCTGTACGAAAGCAGCCACCTGCTTGGCGAATAGCTGATATGCTGGGTGTTGGAATACTGGGTGGCTCCAAACTGGGCTATTCGGGAACCTATCCATCAGGATAGCCGAGTCTTGCAGAACTACCCCACGTAGGTAGAAAAGGAGGTTGGTAAAGCCCATGGCGGCTAGATTGTTAATTTGGCCAGGCCCTGGACCAAACCGGTCTTGCCACTGGTCTAACTGCGGCCAGATCATCGAAAGGACGTCGGCTGGCGGCGCCACGCCGGCCCTCCGGACCTCAAAGCATCCCATCTGCGGAGGGTGGCCGGCCATAGTACGCATAAACGTACGGGGTAGGGAGTTGAGGTAACAGCCGATTATCTGCTCTTGGTTCCAACGGCCGGCCCGGCGGATTTGATCCTCGCTAACACCCTTCAATTCGGCTACCTTCGCTCCCGAGCTGCGGCCGATATGTGTCTTCTTTTGGGAGCTGATCCCGGCATACGAGAGGGCCCTGGCCGCCCACTCCCGTTGCGAGTTGTAGGATAGACCTGCCGTTCGCCCCGTACTACTACTCGTGATCAGGCGGATGTCGTACCACGCCGGACGCCGGCTGAAGTCTGGGAACGGCTCTTCTGTGAGGTCCTAGCGGAAAAGGAGATAAAATGCGAGGCCGCTCAACATACAAATTAGTGGCTTACGGTTCCGTAGAGCCCCGGCTGTCTCGAGCCGGCCGTGCTGGTTGGTCTTCCCGGCCCGCGTCGTCATGATCAACGGCATACAAGGAGTAGGGCCTTCGTCCGGGAACTCAAAGGTAAATAGATCGGATAGCTCTAAAGCCCTCCGGTCGCCTCCACGTGTGAGCATATAGTGGCCAAGAAGCAGGTCGACAAGGGTCCGCAGGTGGCTCTCAGCTGAGCCGGTAGCTGTATGCGCCCACAGCTCGTAGCATATCGTCTCAAACTCCAGCTCTGTATAGCCATCCAGCAGAGTATCAGAGCCTTTATCCGCACAGCTGGTCTTGGCCTGCTCGGCATCGCGCCGCTGTAAGGACTTGAGGTAATCCCGGACATTGTCTTCGCGTGGAGATGGGTGGATGTTCATACCGCGTGCCTTTTGCGTGCGGTAGAGGTCCGTAATTGCCGTGATATAGCTGCGGACCGATCGCCAGGCTAGCCGTGTCTCTTCTTGTGGAGTATCCGCGGCCGCCTTCCGGCTTTTGGCTCGTAACGGCCGGCTGGTGACGCTCTTAGTGAGGAAGTAAAGGAGCTTGTCTTCTGTGACGGTGTCCCCATCGTAATACTGCTGCAGCCTACAGAACTCCTGGAATTCCCGCTGCTTTGGCTCGTACGTAGAGGTCGTATTCTTTGGCCGCATGGTGTGAATTACGGAGAGGATGCTCTGCGCCTTGGCGCGTAGTTCTGCGTTGTTGAGTGCGTCGCGTTGCACGCGTCCCAAGCCCAGGACAGGGGGTAGGCCGCTAACCGTAATCACATCCCACTCTGGCCGCCAGCCGGAGCCGTAGCCGTAGCCGTAGCCGTAGCCGGAGCCGGAGCCGGAGCCGGAGCCGGCTGCGCCGCCGGCGCCCTCTTTCGCTTGCGGGCCATAGTTAAAAACAGGTCAATTGATCGATAGGATGCGCGGGAGACTGGCTAGCTCTACGGCTGGCCGGCCGGACGTAAAGCGGGAGGGAGCGAGAGGCCTTACACGCATTTGAGCAGCTAACTCGCTGGCACGCCCCGCGAGCAGGCCGGTCAATAGGGGGCCACAGCGGCTCGATCAGCCAAGCTAGGCTAGTTACAGCGGCCTGTCTAACTGGGAAGCGCTGTAGCGCTAGCGTACTAGACCCAACTCAGCTGCGCAATCAGCGAGTGGATGAAGAGACCGGGATCTAGGCCGCATTTGTGTGGCGGCCCGGTGTGAAAATACGATAGGCCGGCGAGCACAGGGGGGGGGGGGGGCACGGGCCATAGTCAGCCAGCTCAGCGAGAGCTCAGCGAGGGCTCGAATACCATATTTAGTGCATTAGCCTGGTACGGTGAGTCTGCTGCCCGATCTCGCCGAACTGAAAGAAACAATCACCCTTTCGTGTTATTATTAGTTGGTTGGCATCGAGCAAGGAAGGAGTTGATCATTAAATTCCAGCTAGATTTTCGTTAGAGTAGTAATTAACGCAACGCATCAGATTTAAAAACTTGAAGAGGAAAATAAGACGTTTTACCAAAGCAAAAAAAGAAAAAAGAAAATCCACCCGCTTACCATCCCTTCCTTCGTCTACATTCCCCTTTTCACTATCATAATATTCAATCACGGATCCCTCGTCTTGCGCCAATCATGTTGTCATGGTTTCCATCCGCGGAATCTTGGCCTCGGCCGTCGTTGCCCTCTTCGCCGTGCCAGCTCTCGCGGCCATCCTGCCAGCAGACGTGGTGAACAACATTAAAACGGTGACACGGAAGTCGCAAGTCCTCCACGCTCCTGCCAACAGCATCACCTCATCAACGGGCCCCTGACTATCATCGGCGTGGGACCATTCCCGGTGAGTGTTTACGGGTGGTGGCGCACCCCCCATAAACTCTTAACCTGTAGCGCCGCGCCGCGCTCATAATTAGACCATTATCAAGGGGCTCGCTGACATTGTTACGACAGCAACTACCGCCATTGCCCAGGTGCAGGGTGATCTCCCGGTCCCGGCCGGAGCTGACGCCACGGCCATTGCGGATGCTTTCAGAGACGTAAGCGAACCCCCCCCCCATCCCTTTTGCCGTTCTGTACAGCGAGCTAACCTAACCGGTTCCTCCCCCTCTGCCAGTTTGTCCGCATCCACCAGCAGCTGCTCAACATCTTGATCGGCAAGGCTGGCTCGTTCCCGACAGTGCCCCTCATTGGCTCGCCGGTTGCTGCCGCGCTCCGCAGGATCGAGGGCGTCATCGATGGAACCAAACCCCCTCCCCCTGCCCACCCATCCATCACACTCCCCAAGAAACCTGCCTGCCTGCCTGCCTGCCTGCCTGCCTGCCTACCTACCTACCTGACTGACTGACTGACTGACTGACTGACTCGCCATTATATCTCCATTCAGACTATCGCATTCAGCCTCATTAACACGGTCCAGTCTGAGCGACGCAGATCACCGACGACCACGACTCGCTGTCGTCGTCGATCCAGACGGCCATCATGGCCTACAGCGGCCTTACCGGCCCCATTGTTAAGCGCGATCATGCGCGCAACTTCTCTGCTTGATTAAATGTAGTGCAATGGGTGCTGACGCACTTTGGGCATGGGAAAAGACGGGGGGGGGGCTGGTTGGATCTCACCTCGCTTTCTCAACATTGTTGGAAACTTTTTCTCCCATATCATTCATATATAGCCCGAGATATTAGGCAGCTGCGAACTAAATGTCAGTCAGTCGTGACTTGACTTTATTATCTCTGAAAGGTTTTTGATTAGCACCTAGGTTAGGTTAGTTTGAAATGATAACGACTCTGCCAAGCAATTACCTGGGTAATTTATTATTGTGTATGACTAAATCATCAAATTACTGAGTTGTTCGTCTTTCAAGCATCTGTTCCGCGTGTCGGTGATTAATTAATTACCGAACCTGTTTGAGCGCTGCTCGGATATTCTTTGAACTGCTCTTAATGGAGCAAGCTAGTGAAATGGGTCGTTGATTCTCTCTTTCGTTCTCTAATACCTCATCATATCAGACGAGCGAGCGCTCGGCCGAGTTTTCAGTCAGTGTACTAGTTAATTAGATGAACTTGCGGACTAGCGTGTAGGATTTTCGGTCTACTAACAGCTTCATGGTAGGTATATAGCGTTTACACACCACAAAAACAGTTAGCGATACCTAGGTACCTTACCTACTTACCTATAAAGTTAGGTAATTGTCACGATCCTAGCCCAAGATGTACTATGTAGGAGGCTCGGGGGGGGGGGGGACCTCAACCCAGAGTTAAGCTTTATGGGGTCTACGAACCAATAGGTAGGCGCTCGCTCACCTCGATAAGTATTTGGGGACACCGAGAACTTGAGGATGAAGGGTTTCTTATCCATGTTCAGACGCAAGGACGCAGAGTCGCGGGGATAGTAGAAGGTCACCATGTTCGCTTTACATAGTAGGTTACCGAACAGCCAAATTTTCACTGATATAAAAACACCCACTAGCCTAGGTAGCTTGACATACAAGTGATATAGAAGATTTGTTCCGCCGCTCTCCCCTTTCCACGTCCCATTTCCACATTGAAGCCGAACTGAACTGGCTTGAGAGGTTAGCAAACAAACAACTCCTTATCCATCCCGTGTCCCCCAGATTAGGATTCTTTTCATACAGTTCTTTCCTTTTGGTTGATACAAAAAACAAGTTAGCACAGACTAGAACTGGCCGCCGGCCATGGGCGCCGTGACCTCGACGGCACGCTCGACGACGGCGCGCACGCGGTCGGCAAACACCTTGGTCTTGCACTCGACCTCGAGGTCCTCGAGCCAGACGGTGGCGACCATCTTGTCGACCCTGATCTCAACGCCCGGGACCGGGATGCCGAGGCGGTGCAAGCGTGCGAGCTCGGCTTGCTGGCGCGCCTTGAGCTGCGTCTCTTGTTCCTCCTTTATGTTGTCGTCGTCTTCCGACACATCCATCGAGGCACCACCCTCCGAGTCTGCGCCGGCGTCTGGGTCCACGCTCTCGCCTTTGGGGGGCAGGAGCTTCTTCTTTGCTGATGCGGCCGATGCCGGTGGCGAGGGCGGCAGCTTGGGCTCCGTGACGGGATTCACGTTTTCGGCGCCGAACTGCGCCTCGAGGAACATCATCAAGCGCTCAAGGCGCTCATCGGGAGAGAGGTTGGCATGGAGGTTCCGCGTGGGTAGCTCGAATGACAGCGCCTCGTCGTGAGAGTGTGAGTGCGGGTTCTTGCTTGCAGAGCCTAGAACAGAGTCATGTTAGTGAATAGGGCTCAGCTCCAAGTCCCATCTCTGAAGTTGAGGGGGAAAAGGGGGAGGCGCTTACGCTTTACTGCCGCAGGGCTGCTCTCAATGCTGACAAGCACGGCCATAACGGCGTCGGCAATACCATCGTTGAGGACATTGCCCTCCCATTCCAGTTCGATCTCGCCGGTGCTGTGGTAGCGGACCGTAACACAGCCCATCACTAGGTAAGTAGCGACAACATCGCTGTCCTCGTCGGCCTCCGCTTGAGCCCCAGCCTCGCTTGCGTGGCCGTTGCCATTAGCGTTGGCAGAAGAATGCTGGGGCTTAGGCTGAGGGAGCTCCTCGACGCCGCCAAAGGTGCCCTCAAGGCCCCATTTGATCAAATCAATGCTGGCGGCGCTGAGCCGGAGGCGCTGCTTGCAGGCAATCGTCGTCGTGGTCAGTCCGGCGTACTCGCGCAGGTCCTCGGGCGCCATAAGCGACATCTTAAAGTCATTCTGTACTAGCACGCCCGTGAACACCTTTGGCTCCTGGGCCCCGCTGCCACCCCTGGGCGGCGGGATTGACGCAAGCTTGCCCACAACCTTGGCCGTCTTGTCCGCTTTGAACGGAATGCGCAGCTCTTCGCAGTTGCGGGGGCTGTAGACTTTCACCTTGTTGGTCTTGGACGCATTGAGAGATAGCAGCTTGGACTTGAGCCGCATCATGTTGTGCACTTCGCCGTGCACGAGAATCTGTTAAATCCAAGCTGTCAGCTGGGCCGTGGCTAGCAGGTACACAAGGAGATCGGATTTACTTACCACAACGGGGGCGCTAACCTCCTCAATGAACTCCCGGTTCTCTGTTCCGTCGACATGGGCCGCAAACGAGTACTCTTGGACCGTGCAACGGCGAGGGATCATGACCTTATCAGTATCGCCGCCTGGGTTCCGGCGCCCGCCGCCAACATTTCTAGACATGACGGCCTGAATCTGCTCGGGCTCCTGCATGATCTGCTTGGCCATAGTCCCTTCAACGCTGTAACCGGTGATAATGACGCCGTTCTTTTCACTCGGCGCCCAGCGTTCTAGCAGTTCACGGCTGACACCGTTCTGGAGCATACCCGGGCTGGCTAGCATGACGCAGCCGCCCACGTCGTCGAAGCGGTCGATATTCTTCAGCGACCGGATGAACTTGAAGTCCCAGGGCCCGCCTTTCCCAGCCGAGTCTCCAGACGCCTCGGCATCAGCCATGCGCTCCCGGAAGAGACGTTTGATATTATCATTCATGGCGCCGACATAAGTCTGATAGACCAGCATGCACTTCCTGGCGAGATTGCTGGCATAGTAGATGGGGTACTTTTGGAACTCTGCATGCTTGCCCCAGTACTCGTCGAGGATCAGAAGGAGCTCCTGCGCTCGGCCTAGGGCGAAGACAGGCATGAGAACTCGGCCGCCCTTATTGAGGACCCCGGTGATAGACTTCATCAGAGCCTGCTCCCTCTCAACGCGCGGCACGTGCGAGGCAATGCCGTAGGTCGATTCCGTGATGAGCACGTCGATCTTGACGCCTTTGGGTACTTCGGCAGACACCAGATGACGGTCTTGCTCCCTCGAGTAGTCGCCGGTGAAGAAGATGTTGAGGCCCGCAATCTCGATCAGAAACATGGCCGCGCCCAGGACGTGTCCTGCAGGATAAGGGGTAATGCGGATCGACGAGATGGTATGGGTGGTATGGTAGTCGATAGCCTCAATCTGGGGGAACGTGTTCAGGTGGTCCTGCTCTGTGTAGACAAGCGACGTGGTTGGGTTTGAAGACGTGTTGCCGACGCGCACACTGTCCTGGATAAGCCACTTGTAGATGGCCTTGGTGGGATGCGTCATGAAGACGCGGCCGCGGAAGTTGGTCTTTGCCAGAACATATGGCAGCGAGGCGGCATGGTCTATGTGGAAACTGCAACCGAGTTAGTACTATGCGGGCGGCTGAGGGAGAGGGAGATGGGAAAGAAGAAAAGCAGAAGCAAAATGGCTGAGATGCTTTACAGAGCGCATGGGAAGGCAGAGGCAAAGGCAGAGGCAGAGGCAGCGGCAGAGGCCGGTCAAGCTTGGGGCAGCTTTGGACATGGTGACGAGATATTATATTTGATATCTGAGTACATATATGGTGTGGACGGATGGTACATGACATGGCAAGGCGGCCGTCGCGTCGCTACGCGAGGCCGTGGTAACGAAGCAGCATGCGAGCATGTACCACAGTCAGAGGACCATGACGATGCCACGGCGACTGGGCCAGAGCCAGCCGCCTCTACCAATGTTGCCTGCCCCAAGCCAAACACAGCGCGACTCGCGCCCGGTACAGAAGGACGCAAACGATGGGAAGGGGGAACTTACTGGCTGATGAGTAGCACATCTACCGTGCTCAGGTCGAAGTCGTCAAAGAAGGGGAGGGCAGCAAGCCCGTCGTAGGCAGGATGCTGGCCGGCGTCAAGCTATTTCCCCTCAGAGACATTTTAGCGGGGTATAACCAAAGTGGCGTAGCTGGGACAGGCAAGCACGCGACACAGGGCAGATGCAGGATTGGGGGAGGGCAGGGAGACTTGCCATGACTGTCTTCCCCTTGTACTGAATAATATGGCATGATCGGCCAACCTCGTTGCCACCGCCCAAGCAAAGAAACATGAGCTCGTCAGCCGGGTCGACAGGCTCGTCGGGCACGGCGGATGCCATGGCTGAGGCTTTGCGCTTGGATGCCATGGCGGGCGCGGTGTCTCTCTCTTTCTTGTGATGACAAGTCGTTCGGTGCAGTCGATCGGCGGGGTGCGACTCGTGCACCTACCTTGTCGGAAGGCAGCTGGTCGCTCTCGTCTTTCGCCCAGTCGCTTTCTCTCCAATGACCACCTCAATTGTCTGTCAGTCTGCTCAGCTCAGCTCAGATCTTGCTCTTTCCAGATGCCGCGTGCTTCTGATCAACCTAAGGCATGCTTGCCTGCGCGACGTGTAGAAGGAGTGGAGCGAAGAGATTAACGCGAATTAACGTCGTCGGATGCGGGGATACGCTGGCAAAGGGACGCAGGGCAATAATGAGGACAGGAAGAAACAAGGCGGGCTTCAAAGAACGGCCGGATCCCTAAAATGGGTGAAGGTGGGTTGATGTATGGACTGTAGTGCATTACAGGGAAAAGTTATGTTTTACCGTCCTGGGTGCCAATTCTGGCTAGCCCCGGCCCGCCCTTTTCGGCACCCTCAACCACCCCTCTAGAGGTACCCAGACCTCGAGCCACCGAGTACCTACCAAAGTCACTTCACAGCTTAGGAACTCCAAAGGTGCACTCGATTTACAGTTCACACCATAGTACGCAACCGCGAGGACCTTTGAGCAAAGGCTTCGCGGGCAACAGACTGTATTCCACGTCGTTGACGAAGTCGTCAACGGCCCTATCAATGGCGCCAACGATGTCTTTTAGTGTTGAAGGTTAGTTGTAGTGGAAAGGTATAGGCCAGGTTACGTTGTGGTGAAAAGTGGTAAATTATCGCGGCAGAATCTTGGATGTTCTGGTGGGCGTGGTATGTAATCAGGGTTAGGGTTATATGTGGTGGATTACAGTACATGGGGACGTTTTAACTGTAGTAGGAGAGGCACTCATTATGATTATGGTTATACATACCTTTAGTCGTCGAAGCAGGGGCAAAGTAAAAATCAGAACCGTACGGGGATATACCAAGACGGCAACTCAGGCAACACCCCGCACCAAAAAGTCACTATATGGCCGGACGCCGAATGACACTGCCATACAGAATACTGTTTCTTCACTCCAGTTTGTCATATTGACCGTCTCGTCACTCTTCCTAACTCCGGTTGATGATGCCCCTGAACGGGCAGCCAAGTTACGGATGACAAGATGCCGAGTTACAAACTGAGTTTCATTAAGGTATCTGGAGGGCGAGGAAGCAATTTGGTACAGTTGGAAGACTTTGCGAATCCCTCCCTCGTAGGATATCCGCCACTATCAAACGGTTCTGACAGGTCTTGTCGCATGTGGGACAGAGGATATATATTCTAAAGCGGACTCGTTAGGCCCTCAGAGGTTATTTTGTGGTATCATTCTGTAAATACCTAGAAGAGACTGAGTTCCGAGCGGTCATGGTTCTTAAATTCGTACGTCAACTTAGAGGAAACAAACCCAAGGGTGCAACTAGTCGGGGAGCTCGTTCCTTTACCTCCAGGCTCTTACTAAATGACTTTGGGAGGCAAATTCTTTTGGAATGTCGAACCCACCCCATGGTAGAGGGAAGTGGCCGTTTACGGAGGGGAGCCTCGTCGTTCTTCTGCTGAGTCACTTGTCAGCCGTTTCCACTGAGCCCAACCACATTGCGTATGTTACAGGCAGGCAGTCAGGAGGTAAATCAGGTAGGTACCTCAGTTTGCAGGACACTGTCTTGAGTCGATGGTGAGGGCGAGGATGGCTCTTCCACGGAGCATCTCCGCCAACTTCAATAAGTCGCTTAGGTAGAGATTGCTAAGAGACATTCCACTAGCTATCTCTACCGATAACTCGTCCTCAACGTCACTAAGGGTATCAGGGGGGTGTGGTTTAGTGTCGGCGGGGCTAGTAGTCTGAAACATACTAGAATCGTCTCCGCCGCTTTAATAATGAATCCAGGTACCTCTGGCGAAGCAAATATCCCCTAAGAAAACGATAAATACGAAGAGAGTATTTTGGTAAGATAGTTATAAAGATATAGGTATATAGGTAAGGGGTAAGGCGTCAAGTTGGGAGTGACTATAGGACGCGAGCGAGCAGCCTTTTGAACTTAAGGAGATACCCGCTGATTTATCGTTCGTCCAGCCGCTGACCTCAGGCTCCTGATCATCTCCCCTATGCCCGCTAAAAGCCCGTTACCTAACACCCACATCTACCCAGCCGGAAGCAGGTAACCAAAGGCGCCAACAGACACATCGTCGCTCAAGGTCGGCAACCTGCTAAGACTCTCCCCACGGTAACTCCTCGGTGCCTAAACCTGGCACGGCTAAGGCACGCCGTTCCGTCCTAGAGATAGTATTCTACTGACCGGTGCCGCGCCCTCGTACCGATGGTGATCTGCAAGAGTCATGTTTTTGTCATCGGGAAGGAACCAACCGGCCACCCTATCAGTTGTTGATCCTTGTCTGTTTCCAATTAGAGACCGGCCGCTTATCAACCACCACATCAACGCCGAGGAACAGAGCCACACTCCGTAGCCTTGCTCACGTAACCTATTCTGTCTCGTTCCCCAATCTAACCCGTATGTTCAATAGATAAATATCTAAGTTATCTGCCAACTGGTTGATAACAGTTAAAGTTGAGGGCACCACGGCGGTTGTGCCGGCTCCGGCCCCGGCTCCGGCTCCAAGAAGTATATATCTATAATCTGGTTAATTTGGGCAGCGGAGATCCTCGGAAAGGGGGTATTCAATTTGTCACGCTCCGCTCAATGTCATGCTTTGCATGGATACCTTTGTCCTTAGTTTCCGATAGGGCCTCAAACTTCCCAACGTGGCATTGGCAGCTTAGGTTCTGCCCCTTATCCTAGACTAGCCGGCATGGCCTCGAGGCCAGGCATCAGCGCTCCTGCTATGCAATTGGCATGCGTCATGCTCAGGCATTCACTAACTACGCAGCTCTACTGGGCGGTGGTTCGCCAGACCCGACCTCGATCGCGAGCGTCATGGGAGGTACTTGCTACTCGCTAAGACGCCAGCATTCTACTCTCAATCCGCGAATCTCAAACTAAGTCAAGCGTACACTTGACGTAGGCGATCGGGGAGAGTTAGGGATCAAATTCGAAAGACTTACGAGACTCGTACCGACGAGTTTAATCCATCCCTTCAATACCGGTATCGAGGTAGCGGGTCGTATATTACGTTACATTAGGTTGGGCGTCTGAGCTTGAGTGCGGCATTTTTACCATTAGTTAGGACACGAAGCCAGAGGAAACGAAAAGAGTACGAGGAAAGGTAGAATCGTAGCAAGGGGCGAGGGACGAGGGCATATTATCGTCAAAGTTAACCTCGCGATCCAGCAAGGGGCACTAGGAATGAGGACAAAATCTAGGTCCGTACGCTGAACTGTGATTGGCGGATGCCGCGGCCAGGCGGAGCGCGGTCGACCAACGGAAGCCTCGACGGCAACACATGGATTACAGTACCCAGGCAAGGCAAGCGTCCCGCAGGCGCAGGCAGGTGCCAGGCAGGAAACACTGGCACCTTGAAATCGGGTACATGAACGGGCACGAGCCTCTGAAGGATCTGAGCGCCAAAACCGCCTGTCTCACGCTGCAACTATACTAAGCCTCGCACGTGACCGGCCCAGGACGCGACAGACTCAATGGCAGGTGCCTTTTCTCATTTCAAATACCAAACCGCATTTCGAGCTCCATTCGACTATCGCCAGCGTCATCGCCCGCGCCTGCCTGCTACGGAACCCGCATGAATCGCAGCTTTTTCAGCACCTCGAGAACCTCGGACTCGACTTTGCGCCGTCAAAACCCTCGGCGTCGGATGGGCACCGTGAAGGGCGGTTTGACCGGCAACGCAGGTTCGCCTGCCTTGTCTTCCTCCTAGGACGAAGGAAGAAGGCACTACTGAGGCATCTTCAACGGGGTCGGCAAGGCCACTGGCGTTTATCAACCCATCGCGCTGTTTGGGCCTAGTCCTCACCTTCTGCTCGCCCGGCTTTTTGCCCCTCCCGACCTCCACCTCTCGCATTCACCGCAACTCGACCTCGCCTTAGATTCTTCCTGATCTGCGCGCGACCGACCAACAACTCGCCGCTCCTTTGGCGCGACGACTGCACATCGTCCACCATGGCGCAACCACAACCCCAGATTCCGCCGCACATGCAGGTGTCGCAGATGCCCCAAATGTCGCCGCAGCTGCCACAGATGTCTCCCCAGATGTCGCCTCTGCCACAAATGTCGCCTCAAATCCAGATGGGCCAGCTCCCCCAGATGTCTCCTCAGATGGGGCAGCTGCCTCAGATGGCCCCGCGGCCTTCCTACTCACCACCCCAGAACCCGCCATCACCCGCGCCGACGCCTCAGCCAGGATTCGCGATGCCCCCTAACAAACGTCCGCGCAATTCGCCTGGGCCTCTCGCTCAACCTCCGTCTCCTTACACAGCTTCACCATATGCTATGAGCCCCCAGGCGCCAGCACACCCCCAGGCGCCGGCACATCCCCAGGCGCCGGCACATCCCCAAGCGGCAGCGCGCCCCTTGCCAGCACCCGCACCGGCGCCAGCGCCCTCACCAGCCCTCGGCTCCCCGAATATACCAGCGCCGATTCAGCCTCAGCCTCACCAGCAACTTTACCTCCCTCCGTCGTACGCCAACGGAAACGGTAGCGCGAATGGCAACACTAACGGCAATGCTAATGGCAATGGCAACTCGGCATCGAGCCCTGTGGCAACACCCACTCTCACTTTGCCCGAGTCGCGCCCAGTTTACACGCCGACTTCAGCTCCTCCGGCTCCCTTACCAAGCCAACAACAGTACACCACGGCGACCATGGCGCCTATTCACCAGCAGCTGAACCTGCCACCCCCCACGCCAGGCACCATGGGTCCTCCTTCGAAACCCGCAGAGCGTCCGACTAGGGAATACGAGTACGATGTGAGCGACTCCTTGGCTGGTACCGGCATCGATCTGCGCGCCGAAGAACAGGCTCTGGCCGACTACTACGCCGGCTCTTTTGCTCAGGAGGCAAAGACCGGCGCACCGTCCAATGCGCCTGGAGGCAAGGGGTCGTTCTATGGCGCAGGCTGGGCCAATCAGCCCGCCCAGGCGACCGACGCCTCCCAGGAAGAATTCGCTGCCGAGGCAGCCAAGAAGTCTTGGGAAGACGCGGCCAACAGGCTGGCTACCCAACGCATCGTCGAGATTAAAAACCCCTTCCTACAAGTCAGCATTGCACACTACAGGGCCGACAAGATTGCCAAGGAACATGGCATCGGTCTCAATGTAGACTTCAAGACTCAAAATCAAATGGGCAAGATGAGGCTTCCCCAAGACTTTCCACAACCCAAAGTCACGGTGAGCACCAAAGTCGGCCCGGATGGCGCCATGGTAATGACTTCGGGCTCGTGGATACCCCATGACTCCTACTTGGCAGACCAGCTGGCGCTTTTGTCGATTGCAACACGACATCGTATTAGGGAAATGCTTGAGGAGGCCAACAGCGTGGCCATTATTCGCCAGACAACGTCACATGGAGAAGTGCCTGAGGAGTGGGCGGATGTATCGCAGCCTCTGAAGACCGGACTCGAGTCACTCCCGGACGATTTAGTGGGCGGTGTGGCCCCGCAAACAAACCCCCTCAAGCGTACGCCGATGTTGGTCCTGTGTTTTTGTTTTGCTCGTGCTAACTCGTTCTCGCAGGCTCCTTTGATGCCGCTAATGCTGATAACCCACCACCCACAGGCGATAAAGCATTGCCCAAGAACCTGAAGGAAGCCGTCAACGCCGCGGCCAAGCTCGACCGTGATATCGAGGAGGCAAGGATGAAGAAGCGTCAGAAGCGCTTGAACCCAGAAGCGGCGCCCGGCGGCTCGCGACCAGGCTCCACGGTTCCTGGAACTCCTGGCTCGACTGCTCTCGAAACCGAAAAAGCACCTTCCAAGAAGGAGCTCAAAAAGGGAGCCGCGGCGGCAAGGATGTCGGAGGCCTCCAGCACCGCAAGCGCCAATCAGACCCTCAGCACCCTCATGGGCGGCTTCGGAGGTAAAAAGAAGATCAAGCAGTATTCCTGGATGAAGGCCGGGAATAGCGGCCCAGCCACTCCTAGATCCAGTGCGCTAGACGGGACATCGGCGGCCACGACACCTGGCTTGAAAGCGCCCGAGAGTACAGCCCTCACGATAGATGGGAGAACGCGGCTTGGCGTCTGGCGAGAAGACAAACAAAAAGGCAAAAACATACAGCTCCGAGATTGGGTCACGGTCCTGGAACAGGACGGCATGGACACGCGGGCGATTCAGAGTGCTTATCTGAAGCTGGATGACTCAACGCCTAAGTGAATCTGGGAGACCACAGAAAGATGCCGTACGTACGGCAATGCCTCCGCTGTGATGCCGTCGTCGTACCCTCACGCCTGGAGCGACGGGAGCATGTAAGCACGCTAAAACTGCTAGCCTTCAACATGTACTAGTCATCAAACCGGCGCAGCTGTCTTTTCTGTGCTTATTAACCTCTTCACCCCTCACCGTTCGGCAATTTGGGTAGTTCGGGGATTTGGAATAAATATTATTAAACCAGGGAGACAGAAGCAGCGGCATGCCTCCCTGTTTCAACCCACCGCTAGCGATGATAAAGCAACAGACAATTCCATGGACCTCTCGACTCCTCCCTCCCCTCTCGTCGACACTTTTGATGAGATGTGAGGCGATGACGAAGCAACCACGGAAACATGTGGTCGAACACGGCAGGTGGCTAAGAGTTGAACACGCACGATAACGTCGGCACGAAATATTTTTTTAAATAAAAAAATTTTGAATTAGAGTGATTTGATTTTACGTCTCTGGAGATGATGAAGCACCCGAATAGCTGACTGCCTCTGACTTGCGCGCTCGTGCATGTGTGTATGTGTGTCCTTTACTCAGGCAGGCAGTGATCAAGGCAAGGAACAAGGGAGTTTGAAACAGAGGCCCTGGACGGCGGCGACATAGGCCGTCATCGCCGTCGCCGTCGCCGTCGCCGTCGCCGTCGATAAACGGTGACCTACCTAATCTAGACATTAGGTCCTCTAGCTGTATAGCTACTCCCTCTCTAGGCACCTGCGATGCACCCAGACGGACCGATTCCCGTCAACATGGTTCGATCGTTGCTTAGAGAGAGAAACGACGGCGATGCCGTCAAACACCAACCACCAAAGCATGTTCTTCTATCTGCAGCTCAGCAAGCATGGAGGGGGGGAAAAATTAAGAAATCTTGTTTTTTTTTGTGTCCAACTCGTTCCTCCCGTGCTTTCCATCGCCGTCCATTCCTTCAGCCACCTAACGACCAGTATGACGGTACATAGCATGCAGGTACAGTAAGTACTAGGCGCGGCCCGAAGTGGCCAGGCTCAGACCGGAGCAAGCTCCGGTTGGGCGAGGGCAGTTCGTTGTCCAGGTTAGGTGCTCCTCGACAATCGATGTCAGACCAGTTTCATGCCGCCGGCACCAGGGCGTCGGGCAACGCAACAGCAGGGGGGAGGTTCCGTTAAAAGTCAGACGGGTTGGCTGGTTCTGGTTGGGTCCGAGGGCTCTGATATTCCGGGGGTGGGCATTCATTCATTCATTCATTCGATGGGCATTCGATCGGGATGGGTATGGGATGGTGTCGGTCAGACCTTGACCTTGCTCACCGACCATCCATCCCTCCAAACCCCCAGCGACCCCGACCGCGACCACCACCCTCGCGCTCACCGGCACAGAAAAAAAACGAGGAAAAATGGGCTCATGTTGGATTCTCACGGGCGGATTCTCTCGATGTGACCCCACGAGCCACCACCACCAAACGGGCTTTTTTCCTTCTTTCCGTTCTTAGTGCCATCGCGGAGGGAAAAAAGTTCTATAGCAAGGAGCTGCTGTCGATAAGAAACCATTTTGTCCGTGTCCATGTACGGGGATTACTTATTCAGGTAAAAATACGAACGTACCTAGAGAATGCGCGGTTTTTCTCTCTCGTTATTAGACACCTTGGTTACCCGTATCTCCGGCAGATATGGCAGAGAACGTCAGAAACCAGTCCGAGCGCCATTTGCGCCTTGGCTTTTTTTTTCCCTCGTTTGCCTTCCCTTCCCCTTCGTGCCGTCTGGCCTGTCGTTGGGGTCAAAAAAGGCAGAAAGAATAATTGGTGTTGACGTGCAGGTACATGAAGCTTACGCAATACATAGTACACGCTCTCCTCACTCACACAATACGCGCATACAGGGAAGAGAAGATTGGGCAGATGGAGAGAGAAAAAAGAGACAAGACAGGACAAAACCGGTGTGTGTCTGTGTGTTAGTTGTCCGAGTCTGGGCCAGTGCCGGACAAGGAAGCCGGGGCGAGATTTCGGAAATCAGATCATGGCTTTGACAACGACCAGGAACAGCAGCAGCGCCTTTTTTTCCCGCAGTTCTTGCCTGCCTCCTTCCATTCTTCTTCTTTTTCTTCTTCCAGATTCTCACTCACTCGCAGAGTCACACGCACGACGCGAGAGACGGCCCAGCTGCCGCGTCTAAGATATAGATAGGCAGGGAAGAGAGATCTCTAAGAGCCTTAATCCAGCAACTGCGTAGTGATGTACCATACACTAGACCAACTTCGTAAACGTCCACTGCACTGCACTGCACTGCGCTGCACATATAACGGCTGCAAGCTTGACTGCGACATTACAACCGCGAAGGTAATGTAACGGTCAGATCGGGCTAGCGGGTCCCTTCTCCCTCCCCAAACGGTCCGGCCAAATTTGCGACCCGTGTTTTTCTTTCTCTCTTCCCTCCCTTTCAATTTTTCTCCAATCCAACTCACTCACCTTCAGGTTTCCTTTCCCCAGCTTTTCTTCAACCCGCCTCCGTAGTTCCCAATGCGGCTTTTCCATCCCGCCTTCCCAACTATCATTTAATACCACAACACACAATAGCGGGAAAAGCTGGGGAGCACGAAATAGGAGGAGGCAGAATGCGGAATGCGGAATGCGGAACCACGGGTCGAACATCGACAATGAGCCGAACCCCACAACATCAAGCAAATAGAAAATAAATCCTCTTTTTCGCTTCGATTCAAGTTTCTCTTGTATATACGTAGTCTGGCCGGGTCCCGAGTAATAATGCCGTAGTGTCCGTCTGCTCCATAGCGCTACCGGCTAGTAAAATGGGACACAGACGATCTTTCTTTTCTCTGTCTGTCTGTAATCTGTATCGAGTTGCGCCGCGGGGGAATAGACAGAAAAAGAAAAAAAGAAAAGCCGTCGTCGCCCAATTGCACCGAGGACGGAGTACACTCCGCATCCAAACCTCAGTGGCCGAGAGAGAGAGAGGAGGGAAAGCTCCACCACGATAGAAGAGAGCGAGCGCCCAAATGCACGGCGCAAGCACGCACGCACATCCTCAACCATGCCCCCGGTACGGTATCCCCATTCCCATCCCCCAGGGGCCATCATAGGATTGAAGAAAACCCCAAAGAAAAGAAGAAAAAAAGAGTCACAAGAGGTTCCGTTTTTATCTTCTCTTTTCTTTTCTTTGTTTTATTTTAATTGGCAGAGGAAGGAGCGCATGGCCAAGACGGGCGCACAGGGCATCCTCGGGGAAGCTTTCCGCCTTGCAGCAAAACCAGGAGGGGGATATAGAGACCTTTCCACTGCGGGCCCCGTTTTGGAGAGCGACGGTTGACGGTTCTATGCCATGCCCCATGTACATACACCTAGCAACTGCCTACAAAAATGGGGCGTGCAAGCAAGCCGTGAACAAGCCGCAACAGGGGCCTTGACCTGCACACCTGATTTTTGCAGGCAGTTGCCCAGGTAGGGGCTTGCTTGACCCGAGGAGCAATCCATGAGATTGCTCCGTCCAGGTGCATGGGCGTCGTCCAAACTTGACTGGGTCTACTACACTAGGGCGGGAACCGGCTTCTGGAAACCGGCAAACTACTACCTAGGTTGTAACTACCTAACTAAGGTAGGTGGATATTTTTTTTGGGGGGGGAAGGGGTTTAAACCCATTTCTTTCGAAACTCTGTCTGCCCGCTCTGGCCTGGCCTGCTTTTTCTATCTTTCAGCTTCTTACGTTTTTATCTTGCATTTTCTTCTGTCCTCTTTCTCCCTAGGTTGGCCTAGCCTGGGGCGCGATGCATGGCGCTGATTTGTGGGCTCGCTTACCCGCCCAGGCGTCCCAACATCCGCGCCCGCGCTTGTGTTACAGAAGCCACAGGTGGAGCCTGGCCGGGGAGACGGGACCCGGCGAAGAAGAGGATCTTCTTCCACGTAAGCTTCGAAAAAGCTTCTGGAAGAATTCCGTTCCGTGGGAGGAAAAGAAGCCAACCAGCCCCCAAAACGCCTTGCTTGGAACTAGTAGTCGCGCGCGCGCGCCACCAAGTGGCTATTTCGAAGCCTGAACTTCTGAGGAAGCCCCAGTAAGAAGATCTTGGCCTGTTTGCCAACCTCTCTCGTTCTCACGAGGCGTCGTAACATGCTTGTCATGCGCATCGCGGCGTAGAAAACAGTCAGTACACATTTGGGGTTGAGCTGAAGAGCCCGAGGAACACCTAGAGCTACTTGAATGAGAAAGAAGAAAAAAAAGCATCTCAATCTCAATGGCAAGGGTGGTGTTGTTTAGCGAGCAATCGCAAACTCCTTCAAACCTCAAAGGGCCTGAAAAAGTTGAACCTGGCAACTTTCGTGCCGCGCTTCTCTAAATCGAGCCTAGACGCGTGCGGGCGGCCGGGCACCATCCACGCCTAGTATCGCGCTCGCTCGCTCTCGAATCCCTCCTAGCCTCTAGGGCCCCAGGGAGATTCGCCATGGGTCATGGAAGGAGACCCGAGAAAGCGAAATCCCAATCGTTCTGTTGGGCCCTGCTGGAAATTTGGATCTGACCTCCCGCCAGATCAAGCAGAGTTGTGGGCCTGACTGTGCACCTTGTTAGGAATAAACGCCCCACCTTCCTTCCCAACACCGTTTCCCAGGGCTCGTCCCCGGGGATTTGGGCTTTCAAACGGCCGTTGACAGTGCAGGCAAGACAAGGTATCCGTAACTGCACATACCTTTAAACTCGCGGGCCGGGGGTAGGCCTGGCTTACTGGGTGACCGGTGACATCCTCGGTGGGCGGCTTGGGTTGTTGGTACTGCACTGTGTCCAGAGAACAGTCCCAGGTGCGTTTCGTTTGCTGGGGACGACGAGGGGGGCCGGCCGGATGACTGGCGCGGTTCTTATGGCTGTCCGCGAATCTTGAAAAATCGCAATGAGGATTAATGACTTGTCTGGTCAAAAGTGATATGCCGCACCAGCATGTTCAAGCCGGAATGAAATATAAATCTGTGCCGACGTTGCTGGAAGACATGGACATGGACATGGACATGGACATGGACATGGACATGGACATGGACACGGACATGGACGCGGACATGAACATGGGAGAGAGACGAGAGAGACATACATATCATGCTCAAGACATGGCTTTGTCAAGAGTGAGACAGCTTAACCGAGCAGCCTGTTGTTCTCCCCGTTGGTGTGTTGCGCGAACCTGAATTGTGCAAGGTAGGCAGGTACTCAGCAGGGCGCCCGAGTCTTGACTGACGCGTGATTGCGGCCGGAATGACAACTCAGGAACAGCGCGACTAGACGGAGATGACGACGACGCGATGAGGCGAGGCGAGGCCAGGCAAGAGAAAGGTTGGGCAGCTACCTTGCCTTACAACTGCCCAGGCGTGACGTGACTGGCGACCGAGGCACATTTCCCCGATACCAAAAAGCCCATTCTCTGCCTTACCGAGTACCTTGGTAGGTACGGATACTGTGCAATACATTTGGCCCTTGGGCATCTTGATAAGGTATGTATTCGTGCCTTCGTCTCACATGCTTGCGTTTGCGTTGCGACTGCGATTCTCAAATCCGGGGCTGCAGAGGGAGAAAAGCCTCCCACGCCAGGCTCTCAAGTTAGGTGTGCAAGGTACCCATCACATGATGAGGCACGAATGCATCGCGTTCCATGGGAGATCTTCAGCTCCGCTGGTCCTAGACCCAAATGCCGGACTCTGACTGGCTGTGCCGCGGATGAATGGGAACCTCTCCTGAACCGCTGCCTGAGAAATCACGCGACAGCCTCACAGTGCAGGAGGAAGAGGGGATACAGGCCTCGTGTCTGGTAAACCTCGGGACCCAATGGTTGCGAATTGCTGCCCTCTCAGCTTTTCTTGGACTTGAGCGCAACGAATGGGGGAGGGAAAAAAGTGGGATTTGCAAAGCTTCTCCTGTTTCAAGATAAGGTCTCCCGGAATTGCCACGGCGACATCCACACAATGACGATATCTTCTCGTGTAAAACAAGGGCGGGCGGGATGATCAATGAAGGAAGCTGATCCCGCAGATAGCTCTTTTATTTTTTCTTCCACGTTTGTCAACGAGCCCCCATCGCTGGTCTCTTGTCCGTTTTCCCTCTTGTGGGACCCCTGTCGCCTGCGTGGTGGTTTGCTGGGGGCTAAATGCAGGAACCACCAACCCTTGAAAGAGAGAAAAAAGGTTAGCGTCCCGTTTGGGCGTGTGGGACCTGCAAGGAACAGAAAGTGAAGCTGAGTCCTCGCCCCATCAGGTAAGGTACGACGGGCGGAGGTATCCGAGACCTGGGCTAGGCATCAAGTACCGAGTACATACATCTGCCCAGCCAGCCAGTCCCAAAAATGGGGGGGCAGAACCCAAAAGGGGTCATCTCACGAGTGTGCGAGACGGGCCGTCAGCACTGTATGCCAAGTATGGTACTCCATACAATACGTTCACCTACACGTGCTGTGAGGTGCTTAAGGTACCTTCAGGCTGTCTCTTAGTATTGCTGTCACCTTGCTGAGGTGTGCGGGCGGATGGACGGCTCTGCGGTCGTTGCTCCAAGAACAACCGTTTTCCTCTCAGGCTGGATCGCCCTTAATAGGCCGGGATCCATCAATATCAAACCAAACCCCGAAAAAGAAGGTCTCGTTGTGAATGAAAATCCATCGCCGGGTGGGTGGTGCTGCTCCGTTCTGCCGAGGGATTGGTGCGACAATGCCATAGCTGACCGTCAAACTCCCGCGACAGCCCGCTGCGAGTCCTGTGCCGGTTCTCATGATGCCTATCGACGACGGTAAGCAATAAGGCGATTGTGGGAGGACGAAAAAGGCCCACGCATTCACACAAGTCGGGGCTGGAAACGGTCCCTTCGGGTCGTACAAACCTCACTGTTCCACGGATTCATGCAATGCAAGTTGACCGGTAAGCTGCCTACTTACCTATTCTTGGATTGTTAATATTTTTCTCAGCCTTGGCGGTGGATGTGCCGTCAGCAACGCAGTCAGGTCAGTATACTTACTGCAAGCAGCTCTCGATGATGATGTCAGTTCTAAATAAACGTCTGAAGTTGTAAACCTCGCTTCTACCTCAAACGGGAGACACAGAGGGAGCGAGCGAGAGGGCGAAAGGAGAAGCATGGCTGCCATGATTGCACGACGGCATCTATTTCCAGTTGGGCGCACCGCGTCGCTAGACTTGCTGGCTGTCTGGGATCCATTGCATGGAATACGATGGCGGGCGACACATGTGCGCCCGTGTCGTGGCCGACTGACAGATGATGGCCCTGTGGCCCAGTGTGCTGGTGTTCACCTCGGTGTTTTATTACCACGTCTAATGCCTGTGCTAGGGTGTCGCGGCCCGCCGAAACCGTTGCCCTCGCTTTTTGACGTGACTCGAGGTCGGGTTGTTTCGCGAGCTGTGGGGAAACCCGCAAGTGAAAGCAACGAACCGGACGCTGGTCCATTTGCCTGGTACTGGGCGGCTGGTACTCCGAGGCTGGTGCTGACTGCGCTAGGCACTAGCCGGCCAGCATCATGCATGCACTGTGTAGAGATGGCAGTTGTAGCGTAGTAAGATCGGGCCATGCCATGCTTCTAGAAGTCTCCTGCTGCAGGAGAAGCTCATTCGAAGGCCTCCCGCGCGCGCCCGTTCGAAACAAGCACACGAGCATTGAGCCTTGACCTGCTGCCCTCGTCGGGCCCGGTCCTCGTGGCAATACGGGTACCAGGCGCAGCATTATCAGCTCGAGTTGTCTTGTCCGCCCTGAGAAGCGAAAGTTTGATTTCTCCATAAACGAAAAGGCGCTACATGGCCCAATGCAGCGGGCTGTTCCCCGACCAATATACGCCGACCCGAAATCCTTGCTTATTGAGCATTATCATTTGGACCAAGACAGTCATGTCCGTTGGCTGGCATCTCTCGTTACGGCTGGATGCTTCCCGCCCGTGAAATAGTTTCGACGGAGCCGTTGAAGCGAACAACCTGTCTCGCCTGTCGCCGTCCTGTGCAAGAGCCCATTAGCTCGTGTCTTAGAAGGCCTAGTATATCGACCATCGCCCTCGGAATAACCCCGTCTGTTGTACGATACATACCGACCTTGCTTAGCATAGCCTATACTATACGGAGTATACCATCTTGGTATGTACCTTGTGTTCGGATACCAGTTCTCGTACCGATACGCCGTGTAAATCTGCGCCCCACGGCAAGCCACTAGTCTTTGTCAACGGGCTGTCGATTGGGGCGGTGGCTCCGCGGGGTTCGGCTGTGCGATCCCCCGTTGTGTGTTCCGCTGTTGCCCCGCATCCGAATGCTGCGGACCCGGCCAGGTCCGTCCGACTACGGCCCGGGCGGATTTCAATCAAACACCCCTTTTTGGCTACTTGTCGCGTATGTAACCCATCCAGCTCTTGAGCTCCTGCGACAATATTGAAGCACACAAAGTCCATGCCCATGCCCATGCCCAGGCCCAGGCCCAGGCTAGTCAGATCCGGAACTAGGCTGTTGTGCGCAGACGGACGGATGTCCAGAGAGACCTTGGTGACTGACTGTGGCCGGAACACGCGATGCTTGAGACTCTCGGTCCAGCGTCGACGACTGGTCTCCCTCTCCTCCACCGTCTCGTACCCCGCTCTCTGTGTCTTGACTTCCACGGTCCCTGTATGCTGACTAGGGTGTTAGGCTGGTCGGATCTGCAAGATATTGCCTATCTGGCTGCCCTGCATGCCGCGGGCAGGTCTGTTGGGCATCATCGCATCGCTTCCGATCCGTTTCCTCAGTTTCTTGACCTTTGCGGTGAGCATGTAGACCGGACAACACAGTTGGCCGCATATCAAGGCCTGCCTCTTTTGGTCACAGACCAGCCCTCCACATTCCTAATCAATCGACTGAAACAAAGTCTTTGAATCTCGGTCAGCTGCCATAAAGTTTCGTCTGGCCGCTGGCCGCTGTGTTTCCTCGTCGAGCAAGACAGATCAGATAGCCGACGATCTTCAGTCTTGGGGATAGACTCTCTCATCAGTGAGCGTTGCCCCTCTACTTCTTGGCAACCCTCCGGCCGCATGTCCTCGACTGAATCACAAGAAACAAATCGGGTGTGCGTGGTCGACGGATGTTGATGCTTAAACGGACGGAACACCACCCATGCCCGTTGTTGCAGACAACGAGGCCGACACACAGTGCGAGATGCCACCGTATCCACCTCGGACGGCTGTTGTGGTGGTGGGTTGCTTGATGGATGAGTTGTAACCGTTGAGCATGCTGTCAAATGTGTCATTATTCCCGTACGGACCGCACCGAGGACGGCACCTCAAACATGCGTCGGCTTCTACAAGCCTCCACGATGTATTTTGCTGCGGCATCTAGGCCGCAAAAGCGGTGCACTGTACTCAGGAGCACTGCACCTAAGATCCGGGATAGCGCCGTCCGAGTATTAGTAGTTCCCCTTATTGCCTCGGCCTGGGCCAAACCGTGCAGCTCACAGCCGCCTCTCTCAGCTGTGTTGAGTTAAGGATACGGAGTTCCCTCTATGGGGCATTCTGAGCGCTGTGCGAGACCTTGGCCCGTACCGGTACAGTATGTACACCCTCATTCTCGTCCGCCCTTGCTCTCGTCGACCAGCTCCGATCCGGTCTTGGGACGAGGGGCCGTGAGACATAGCGCGGAGACTAGCGAGCAATGAATTGGCTCGGGGGTGCAGCGACTGGACAACACAACTGGCGCACACTCGGCCGGATGTCTGTCCTGCCTATCATAGTCGCCGTCACATATGTGACTGTTGCACGACGCAGGCACGCCGAGCATTCCCCGGTGCCCCAGATCTATCGTAATAACAAGAGCCAGTATGTTGCCAGAGTGTGGTCTGCGTCACGGCAGCCTGGCATAATTGGACAGTGTGCCCGGATGCAAGGCATGCAGCCACCTCCAGATCAGTGATTTCCTCGATTTTCTGTGCTGTTTGGTTTGCAACTTGGTCTTGCGGTGTAGAATGGACCTTTTCATGCACGATGATGACAGGTTTCTCTTGTGACTCTGCTCGTGTTCTCGAGGCCGGCGGGCGTTGACTCGACGAGCAGAGCAGAACAGAACTGACAAAATAAACCAGAGCCGGGCAGAGCAGCGCAGAGCAGGCGCAAGCAGGAAGTTGTATCTCTTTTGATTTGCCATAGGCGGCCGAATGGGCATCAGCAGGCCGGATACTGGTGGCTGACTGGCTGCAGCCGTGCTCGACGGGGCCCTGGCCGGGACCACCGATCTGGGCCAAGCCCCGAAAATCATCAGATACTGGCGACGACACGAAACGTGGACGCCATGTTAGCCAGCACCGAGCGGGACCGGCAGCTTCACTAGCAAGCGACACCTAATTATAGGAAACATTTTGCTGCAGTGCCACGACGGCCAGCAGCAAGGGAAAGGCAGAGGGAAAGGCGTATGCAGTCAACGGGCGCATTGAAGGATCTTCCGGGGGATGTGTTGGGAGTTGCGAGCATCTCCCGATGGCTGTTGCCAGCCAGCGAAGTACTCTGTAGTGTAGTAGAGGAGCCCTAACGTCACCCTATTGCGCATTTGGCTGCTTCCGAGTTAGATCAAATGGGAGCGTTTCCGGCTTGGCCTATCCTGATTCTGAACTAAGGTAAGGTATGAAGTACGGAGTAGGCTTTGGTTGACCGCAGTCGTGCAGTGCAGTCAGTGCAGTGCAGCCCACTGCATGTATCGAGTCTAAGTGCCCCGTAGGTACCTGGAGGTAAAGGAGGCTTGTAAGTCCATTCAGGTGGTGAGTGAGATGAAGATGATTGAGGTGAGGCACGATGCTGCCCCAGCTCGGCGCCTAAGGTCGGGCGGGTAGTTGATAGTTGTGCGTAGAGAGAGTTTTGGGGGCTTGGGGCCGTGAGTTTCGAGCGCAGCTCAGGTTTCATCTAACTTCAGTTTGCTGTCCCATCGTCCTGTCCGTTTTGGGGGTGATTTGAGGTTTACTTGGTGGTTTGGGGGCATGGAAAGCAGATGATGTGCCCCCGAAACACCGCAATCGCACGCAAGGCGATTGCTAAGATGGCCTGGCTCCAGGCGTCTCTCACTGCCAGAAGAAAGAAGGTTGAAATTGCAGGGAGCAAGCAGAGAGCGGACAGCCACCACGGTGCCGCGCCCTCAAAGGGCACGCACCACCCACCACAGCACCAGGGCACCTTCCACGCGTCTTTGCCAGACGAAATATCCCGTCCCAACCTTATTAACCAGCAACCTAAACTGACTTGCACAACTAAAAAAAGCCCTCGGAATTAGAGGAAGGCGCAGCCCTCGCAAATCGAGACCACCAGCAAGCTCTTCCATCTTTGCCCGCTGTTGTGCCATCCAGGGACACATGGTGATTAGCACCGTGCCTTACCTCAAGTCACCGCCCGGCAAGCCATGTACCTGATGTAGCACGTTGCATCCATCCCATGCGGTGCGTAGCCGGTGCAGCGCCGTTCTTTTTACCTACCTTAACTGTACCTTCCTACGGAGTATGTTCCGTTGCATGGGCGTCACCACCACCCCATTCCATCCCGTCAGCGTGTCTGTGGCTCGTCGACGTCGGGACGTAAGCCGTACACGTGTTCTGAGTAGGGCTGGGTTGGGGAGGGGGGGTTCCATCAGACAGCCGACAGGTCGGGAGCAAAACTGTGGCTCATGTATCCCGAATCTTACTCAGTGCCTTGGGCCTTTCGCCCTTAGGTTGAGATGGGATGCCTGGAGTCTTCTGCTCGACGGGGAGGTGGGTGGTGAATGTGATGTAGGTAATGCTTATCCGCGAGTTCCATGTTTCCCGAACTTGACGGCACCTCTACACCACCAAACACTAATACGTGAGGATGGCGCCTGGGCACGCACCCAAAGTATGGATGGCTCGGATGCTGGGAATATCAAAGTGGTTACCTTGCCGGCCGTCTCCCGCTCTCCCGCCCGTCTGACGGCACTGGACCGATAAGAAGAAAACTCTGATTTCAATTCAAATCCCACAACATGGATGTCATGATGAAAGCAAAATTACTACCCAGCACGCAACATACCGCGACTTATGATACTTGAACAAGCCAAATACTTATCAAGTACCACTCAGAAGTGATGTAACCAATTACCGTACCTTATTAGGTTCCCATCTCACCAACATAAGTCGTGACTTGCAAGAACCAACAGAGCCAAGTGTTAGATGTCTGCTTGACTCCCAAGGTACAATACCTTGAGTATGAGGCTGTGCGAGCTCCTAGTCGGGTCTCTATTCCGTAGCCCGCATCTACGGTGACTACAATATGAAGGCACGTACACACGGCGTATGCCCGTACTATGTACAGTACGCCGGACCGAAACGAGATTGCATTTCAGCGCTTCCAAGAACCTCATGGGTGATACCGTCTCTCGTCATGAGGTTAACTACACGACAAACCGTGGCTGTCGAGTTGTAGTAGATAAATACATTCCGTATGCATGTACCAAGACGACATGCGCCCGAGTCTACTTCAAGGTAGTAATGACAAACAGAACGACCCTCCCGACGGCTGCGTTTGTGTTGCCGTGGCTTATCCCGCTGCCGCAACGCGAACAGCGAGGGAGGCAGGCTTGCAATGGCCTTCCTTGACAGTTGATTGCATTGCATTTGATTGTTTTGTGCTCTCTTCTCCGTGAGGCAATCAGGTCAAACTTCCCAACTTCCCAACTTCCATGGATGAGCACCGAGCAGGGGGAGTGGTACCAAACCGAGAGAACTCTGGTCCACTGCCAGGGACCCAGGATTACACAGAGGGGTGGCTTCGGAATCCCTGCCCGCCTGGGCTTCAACGTGGAAGCTGTGGCATGTCACTGAGTAGTGTACTTGGGCGACCGTATTCGTCGAGTGCACAGTGTGCGAACGTGCCCAAATCGTCCCGTCTTGGAGCCTAGGCGCAGGCTCCGTTGTGTGAGAGAATCAGTGGGCCCGGCAAGGTACCCCTGACCTGGAAATCCACCGAGCCGTTCGCTGGGTCTTCCGTTGAAAATGGAAGCCCTCCATTTCTCGAGCAGGCCCTGTGGACCTGGGGCACCGCCAAAAAAGGAGAGCCTCTGTGCTTTGGGCAACGGTACAGTACCGCGCTAGGTACCTTTTTCTCTTGAGGAGCTCGTCAAACGGAGCCCTGGCACGCGAAATGTGGACTGGGGTCCGCCGGGGTACTGTACTTTGTAGCCGGGTACATGGCTGGCCTGGCAAAATGGGCTTGACGCCAACGCCAACAGGAGTCTCGAAGAAAAAAAAAACTGTCCCCCTTCCATCCTGGCATTCCCGCCGCCGTGTCCCAGCAATCCCATCCTTCATTATAAGACCAACTCCCATCCCCGTCTTGGACGTTCTCTCTCTTGGACTCCCTCCACAGTTCTCCAGCCCTTTGGCCCCTATATCCTGTGTTTTGCCATCAGGACAGCTCCTGCAGTCGTCAACATCTCCTGACTTCGATCTTCTTTACTGTCGCAACCGTTCCTGCGGCTTATACCTGAAACTACTGCACCAACTGCCAACCTCGGAGCCAGCCCAGTTCCCCTTCTGAGCGATCCACAGCCCACACCCAACTTTTTCTTTTGCTGCAGTGTCCAGCCGGTACCTGACAGCCCGCCCAAAGGCCATACACATCAACGGCCCCCTTTTGCGCCAACGCGACCGATCCTGCCTGCCTTAGCCGGAGAGGCCCGAAAAGGAAACAGAAAGGGAGAGAGCAGACCGAAATACATAGCAGCGCTTACGCACTCGGCGCCGACCATCGTTTTTGATCGCAGTGACTGCGCCTCAATCACGATACCAACTGCCACCAAGGTTCCTAGACAGTTGCCATAGTGCAACACACGTCGCACTCTTGGGCTGCGTTCGGTGTCGCCTTCAGCTCCCCAAGGCCACAAACCCCCGACAGCCCCGAATCTGACCGGCACTCGCCTCGACTGCCATCGCATGCAATTCGGCAGAATTTAACGCTCCCTTGCATCGCCGCCTCAACTGTCGCCAATCCCACTCTACCTCGTCGTCGCCCTGCGACGTCCAAATTGTGAGTCACAGCTGCGGCGCCTTCCTGACCGCTTACCTGAGAAATCAATTTCCCATGGCTTTACGAAACTAGCTGCCTGGCGGCTTAGCTCCCGAAGCTTCCATTTACGTACCTTTATACGCTTGCTATTTCCTTATATATGTATATACTTGGCGCTGCCTGTCTTGTTGCATTCAATGGCTAACCTCGCAACTTTTTCACAATGCAGCCTCCCCACGCTTCCCGCCCTTCAAACTTCAAAATGATTGTCAGAGAGTCTCAATTTCCTCTCAACCTCGGCCGAGGCGCCTATGACACGACAGGAGTACCAAAGCCTCCACCTCAGCCTAAGCCGCGGTAACAAGATCGACTCGGACCGGAGTGTGACATCAACTCATCCCTTGATTCGCACCAATGCGACGAGTCGCGCCGTGGGCCAATCCCGTGCGATGCGCACAACAGGGCCTTCCCTCTGCAGTTTGGGACTGCTTTATGTCAACCTCGGCCGGCGGCAGTACTTGACCCAAACCGTGCATTCAGCAGTTTGCACCTTCTCAAGGACAATGCATTCTCCGCCTTTCGAAAGTTCGGCATGATATCGCCTGTACCAACACATTTATTGCGCCTTTTCAACACGATCCCAGTCTCTGGCGGTTGTCTCGTTTTCGATATAGCATTTTAATTACAGTTCCTCTCACGATAAATAGTTTGGCTCGCTGCCACTTGCTTCCCAGCAGCAAGAATTGAGGAAAGACTCCTGGCATCTCATTCCCGGCTGCACATTTCCTTGGTCGGATCCTCGGAGTTCATTAGACGGCTTTCACATTTTGGCTTTCTTGGGCTCATCGGGCGACTTTGCGACCCAACCGACCCGACCCGCCTAATAACATCGTCAACATCTGGAACCAACGTCCGGGTCCACATTTGTGGTTCGAGCTCAGCTTTAATCATTGGGAGGGGGTTCGTTTGCTTTTGGATGACAGCGTTTTTTTTTCCTTCTTCATGGGTAAATAAAAAGGGCAGTTTTCGGGATCAACAAATGGTCAGGGGTTCTGGTTGGATTTTTGTTTTGGGAAGACTGGAAGGCTGGAAAAACTGACTGGTTTGCATATAGACTTTTCTTCTCTTACAACCCCTTTCTTGGCTTCTATCCTCACATTTGTTTTTGGGCTCGTCTCCTCGCGGAGATGACCTAGTCATACCATTTTGTTGGCCGGCATACTGACGAGAGCGGCTATAGCCTTTCTGTCTCTTTTCTTTCATTGTCATCACTACTGTACACAAGCTGCTCGAGAGATTTGGAGGATTTTTTCTATGTGTTTCTGGCCAGCGAAGGGTGCTGGGCTGGATCCAGGTTCAAAGAAGATACCCCCTGGTTTTAGACTCATGTATACTAGTTACTATATAAGACGCCGATAGCTACACAGCTCAGAGCCTGGTCACCTTGCGCGGATATTCAAACAAGATTCTCTTTCAATGCCGCAATTCTCGGGTCTTTCACAAAATGTCTATAAGAGCAGGCGCTGTGGCCCGACAAGTCACCAGACAGCACCTTGGGCTGTAAGAGGGATGTGCGCGCACAGTCACACGACGCACACAATCCAAAACAAGAATTTGCGACATCCAATCAACAAAAACTCCCTCTGCCCACAGATGCATGTTTCATCGGCAAGGTAGATTAGCGATTTGCTTTTTTTTTCACGATGCCCTACACGGCGCACCAACGCTAGTTCATTCATTTTGTCTCTCTCTAGGGAAAACAATCCACAAGTTGACTTGCTTCTCGCTGTCTCTCGTCTATCTTGAATCCTCGACACGGGACAGCAAAGTCTGGGCGGACACCGGCACGCAAGGGCTGGATCTCCAAACATGCGTCCAGGAAAACCTAACCCCCATTACTACCAAACCAAAAGCGAGTTTGGCAACGAAAGAATGAGTCAAAATATTCTATATTACCTATAGGCATAGCAGGCGAAAATCGCACAACCACATGAGGACCCCGTTTTGTTTTCAGCGGAATAGTTTCGGATCCCCAAGAGACGGAGCTGGCTCCGGGAATTAGTGTGACAACCTAGGCCGGGCTGGTCAGACACCGAGGTGTGTTGTGGAGGTGCATGTGCCACTGGCCGCCCACGTCGGTGATTGGGATGTCTGGCCGCCTCAGCCAGCCCCCCTGGGCTGCTCTAGATAATCTAGACTTCCCCAATCTTATCAGGAAAAAAAAAGATGTCTCGGGAAGAATAGCAAGCGGGAATCAAGATGGAGATAAGAAATTTTTGGAAAAAAAAAATGTTGAAGAAAAGAGAGGAGAAAATTTGAAACAAAAAAGGAAATCCAAATAAGTCAGTGATCAACAAGTGTGTGCAGCCTAACCGAGTCGGATCACCGAAAGAAAAAAAAATAAGAAAAGAAAATTGTCAATCGCCGACAGGTTTTTGGCAGACCGAACTACGAGTAACTTTTTTTTTTCCCCTTTGTGCTGTGTCCCCAATTGAGGTGCCAGGGGGGCCGCCAAAAGTGCAGGTGGGGGAAAGGGCCGCAGCATGGAACTAATGCACGCTCTAAGGAGTTGCAAGGGCTTCGGACAGCGGGTTACCAGGACCGCAGTCCTGGGTCCTGGCCACCGGGAAAGGCCGCCGCCCCTTCGGGCCCATCGTCGGTTTGGGGGGCCTGGTGGGCCCCCTCCCTCCCACTGTCACCAGGGACGGGGCTTGGGGGGTCGTCTTCTCGCGTCGCACCCAGTGGCGCGACGGGGGAGAAGGTGACGCGGGCGCTGCGTGGAGCTTGTTGCTTCTTTCCTTCTCTTGTCCCCTCACTCTCCTCACTCACTCTCATACTCACGCACACACAGACACACACACACACACGCTTCCTCTCATTGGCAATCCCCATCGTCATTTCCAGAAAAATATGTCAAAGTTGCATGGCATCTCGGACACGGGATCTTCCTATTGATTCCATTGGTCGGCCGCCCCATCGCGTCGCACACAAGCAAGGAGTGGTTTGCCCGGGATGACTCGGCCTTTTTTCTTTTTTTCTTTCAATGACTCTTTTCTCCTTCTTTCTTTTCTTATGGTCGTGCCCTTTTCAGACCGTTCACCCGTCCTCCATCGGCACGAGAGTCCCCACAGTCACTGACACTGAAACCCAAAACGCGGACTGTTTTTTGGGAGGCGGCGCAACAGGCTGCTTACCTGTGCTTCCTTCTGACGTTATCCCCCTCAGGTTGATTCGTTCTGTCCAATGAGTGTTTAAACTTATCCCCATCCGGTCCGAGCCAGCTCGTCTCCGTCCCTTCACCCACCACACTCGGCACTGGGCACAGCCACTCCAGGATTACTTGACGCATCTCGAGATGGTTGCAGCCACCACGTGCTGAGAATGTTTGTTGGGACCAGGCAGCCACTTTTTAGCTTTTTTCCCGTCATCTCCTCTCCCGTCCGAAGGAAACCGTGGGGGGACCTCGTCCCTTCCGTGGCGTACTGGCGAACCTGTTTGGGTTGCTGTTGCTGACTACGTTTACGCCTGTTCTTGTGAGCCAGCCGCTTAATACCCCCCTTTTGAGGCACATTGTTCCTTGTTAGCGGGACCATTTTGCCCGTTTCGAGACGTATGTTATTGTACCCGGTACACTTTTCGACCAACGTCTCTGGTCCGGCCCTGCCCCGTTGCGTCATGATACACGGAGTGGAGTCAGGATGACAAGACCCCGAGTCTTTTGTTTGCACCTTTCTCTCGTCCTGTCCGGACCTGAACGAACACAATAACCAGCCATCATTTGCGTCTCTTGGCTCTCCAGCACCCTGCGATTTCCGTCCAACCAAACGGGGGTCTTGTCATGGTCATATTCGATTAGCCCCGAGATCGACGACCAAACTTCAAAGAGCATCAGGGACCACTCTAAATCCACTTAATCCTCAACATGCAAGCGCCTTCTCCTCCTCCCGGCACCGCGGACCCTTCCCGGCGTTTGGTCCACCGACTAGTAATCCGTAGCGGGAACCAACGAGCTGCAAGTGGGCTCGCGAGGCTGCATCTGGACAAGAGGTCAAAACGGAGACCCGCTAAACCGCCCTGCCGCTCGCCTCGACTTGCTTCCAAGCTTCCAATGCCCATCCCAATGCCGCCTCAATCGAGCCTCTGTGGTTTGACCAGCACCTAAGCCGTAACTGCTTTTGCAATAGTAAACCAGGGCTCCTGGCGGATGTGAGAAGCCGGATCCCAGCTTCTCAGAGGCAGCAAGAAAGAAGAAAAAAACCCAATCTCAAACAACCTGGTGTGGATCCCACGCCAGAGCTGTTTACAACTCCACCTGTCAAAAGCGGCCCTTGTCGTCGTTCCGCATCTATCTTTCTCGTTTCTTTTTCCCAAAGCCTCACCCCACCGAGATAGCATTCCGCCATCAGGTGGCTGGATCCAGCATCTCGAACGTAATCGAGCCGCGCCCAGGTTTCCCGTAATCCGAACCTAATCTTGCCAAGGCGACGAGGCTCTGTTTTTGCCCTCTCCTGTCTCAGACTCGAACAGGCCCTCAGCGGCCTCCTCAACGCGTCTGAATGTCTTTCCACGGAGTGGGGCATACAACAGCGATTTAACAGCTGCAGCGATGCCACCGCATTGAAAACCCGCCAACGATTGGCAGGCTCTATTTCGCTGTAAGAGCTGAGAACTGACGCTCATATTCCAACCAGGGGAGCTGCGAAAAAAGTTGGGTCGGCGAGCAAACAAACGGCCCGGCAAACTTTTGGTCTCTATTTTTTGTTGGCCGATAAACAGCAACAGCGGGACAAGAAAAACAAAAGTGAAACCGAGGCGCAATCAACAGAAATAATCGTAACGCCACTTCTGGCTCAGGAGAAGCAGCCAAGAGAACCGTAGAGAACGGAGTATTCCGTAGGTCAAGAGGCAGAGGTAACATAGAGGTCAACGATGTACACAGTATTGACACAGTCCGCGAAAAAAGGACGAGGATAAAAAAGTCCCCCCCCCCCCCCATGCCGCAAAAAACGGAGGCAGCCTCCGTTCCAAACATATCCACACGGAGTCAGCAGACCAATCCCTACCCGCCACCCGGCTCTCCCTCCCCGGCCGGCCCTTACCGGGCGCCCCGCCAAGCCGGGAGGGAATCCGGCCCCACTCCTCAGCGGATCCTCTGCCGTGCGGCTCTCCCTCCACACCGTGGCTTTGCATCATGTATTGACCTTGTCCCGAGCCTTCCTCCAGAATACTAGCTTTGGCGGTAAATGAAAATATGAAAATATTGGGCCCAAAACCGGAAGAAGGGGGGGAAATCCCATGCAGAAGCAGCCAAGAAAACAAAAAGATAATTGTTTTAATCCTTCGGACCGGATTACTCGGGTCCAAAAAGGCAAAAAAAGGGGAAGAAGCAAACGTGGCGGCAGGCAAGAGAACGAACGGAAGCGCTAAAAGGCAAGGCAAGGCAAGGCAAGGCAAGCGCCAGATAAAATGGAAAGCGGGCGTGCGGCGAGGGGGTAGCGAATAACGAAAAGCCCCCCGTGCCGCATCGTGGCCGCCACCACCGGCATGATCGGGCCTTTGGGGCTATACAAAACTAACCTATAGCAGCCGAGAGGGATTCTGGAAATCAAGCAAGAAAGCAGCACAGCGGCACGACAGAAAAAAGAGCTCTTGGCTCTCGCGTGGCACGCATGCTGGTCGTTATCTTGGCATATATACTCTTGCTCTAAATGTATGCGAGTATTATTTCCGCGGCGTTGCATGGCGATGGCACACAGCCAGGCGGCGTGGTTGTCTTTCCTTACTTTTTTTTTTTTTTTTTGGTTGGGAGGTTTGTACTACCTCACACACAGGCTCTCATTCTCAAGCCTTGACAAGAGCCGGTCGGCTATGGCTGTTGTACTGTGTAACTATAACACACCTCCCATTAGAGAGATAAGAAACGCCCCCAATCATACGCCAATTGTTCGATCCAGTCCAATCCAGTCGGCGAATGATTTCTAATCGCGGAATTATGTGCACACATGGCTTGAGAAGCCACAGGTAGGTGGGTACCCAAGGTAGGTAAGAAGGGATCGTTTTGCGAGGCTCGGTCCCGAGGTTTCTTTCTATCTTTCCTTCTCCGCCTCGTTCGATTATGACGGAGTCTTTCTGGTAGTGGTGTGTCACGACATGCCGGTATGTCTTTCGCACTTCTTGTTGCTGTTCCTATCTGTGTGGGTCCGGCGTGCACCGCCGTCCCAGGTCTTCTGAATCCCGTGAACCATATTCGTGCGGTGCTTGGTTTACAGGAAGGGACTGCTGCGTGGATGGGGGATGCGTGTTGTAGGTGTCAGCAGACGGTGTGATGTAGCTGGGATCTGTCTTGTTCATTTCTTTAGGATGGCATGGCAGTCACAAGTCAGGTAGTTAGTTGTCGTTGTCTGCAGTAGTGGATGACATGTTTGCCATTACTACCGTGGCCTAGATATCGTAGTAAAAACGATATGTTTGATACGTTTAATGAATGTTTAGAATAGCGTGAGATAAACTAGGATCTGAAAGTTTGACTTGGTTGTGAGCTGAAGGGTCTGAAACTGCGAGGGTATGTTGAGTCTGATATTGGGAATACAACGGGAAAAGGCTTCTCCAAGTCTACGCCCTAGATTTGGCAGCACATTGCCACAGTGCTATTGGGAAGACGACAATCGGTTTTACACAAGGTATCACATGTGGGAAGAAAGAGAGGCGGAGTAAAGCTCGATAATGTCCTGATGATACCAATCCTCATCCAGCCTAGACAAGACCTAAACCAACGCCAGCCTCATTATGAGGTGCTCAACTGCCCTAGAATTTCTGCTTGTTTTTCACCATATGTTGACGAGTTTTCTTCGATCCTCTGGCTGTATTTCATTCGTGATATTCGGCCAGAAGTCTACGCCGGTTTCTAGTTCCTTCACAGACCCTGTGGCTCAACTTGGTGTAATGTGACGTTTTAATTTTCTCGTCACCGCCAGTCACCACCAGCCCTTTCTTCGCTTGGCAGAAATCCAAGTGCCCGCTTACACAGACATTAGAATGGCCTAGAAAGCCTTAGATAGATGACCTGCCTCGGCATCTAGGTAGTTTCGAATAAAGCAAAGACTCAGCCGTGATTGTCAACGACACAGTGGCAGTAGCCCTACGATTCGCTGGATGTGGATTTCCGTGGGTTGAAACCCAAAGAACTCGACATCTATGTGAATGGCCGATACTACTTACCTTTCTTTGCACCTGTTAGCAGTCACTGTGGACTCGTAGGATTCAATAACCTTACACGGTAGTCACCGGGGTCGGCCACTATGCCTATCGTCGAAGCCAAAGTGTCACAACTGTCTAGCATGCTCCCCCGGGAAATGCGCTAAAATAAACATGATTGATGTCCTGGACGGTTTACTCTTCTAACTCACCCCTTGCATGTGGTATGGAGTCTGGAGAAAATTAAACAGGTTCCGGTGACAATTACAGTCTTTGACGTCGCGGAAGAGCGTGCTTGCACAATGTGAAGTTGCCTATGCTCGCCATACACCACGACGGCAAAGAAACACAGGAATCTCATGGCGTTCAGACAACAGAAACTCAAGACAACCGAAGCCTGAGGAAACAAGGCACATACACAAGGTACTTTGGTACCTAGACATATAGATACTCAAAAGGCCGTGGAAACTGGTTAACACAACCCAACATGTTTAAGCTAGGTAGTCAAACCCAATATCGTCGTTTCTGTCTCAATCCCTAATCGATCTATTCACTCACTGGTTCATCGGCTGCATGACTTTGCGGTTGGGGTTTCGACTAAAGATGAGACGTAACACTCTCAGATTGGGTTGTATGTGATGACGGCAGTAAGAAAAGGAGGACGGGTGAAAAGTTTCCGCTTGTTCGTACAGCAGTGTAGGGAGTAAAGCCGGTATATGTCAAGGATTATATAGTCCATAGTTTAGCAGCACATAGACGAGAGAATATAAAAGAAAAGAAGATAATATCTAGTATCGTACCGTTTTTCAAGTGATAAGCCAAAGGTGTTAGTCTCCAAAGTGTTTTGTGCAACGGCCTGGCCAGCCCCTGGAACACTTCGTAAGCCCCACCCAAGACCAGGCCCACAGCAGTGCGGGGAGGGCTCATCCTCTGCAACGACACCCAGGCCATCGTTCATCAGCCTCGCTGGGCAGCATCCCCACGAAACCACCACCCCACAGAACACCTCTCGAGCTCCCCAAGCCGACCTGCAACCTGCAACCTGCAACCTGCAACCTGCAACCTGCGATTTGCGACTGCGACTGCGATTCGCGACCTACGACCCACAAACGAATTTCCCGCCTTTGAGCTCCGAGACACGCCTAGCTGCCAGAACCTAACAGCCCCGGGCTGTCAACCTATCTACCCAAGGTTCCTCCCCTCGCAGCCGCCGCCATGTCCATCATCCAGCAGCACACGCAGGCGACGCTCAGCGACGCGTGGCGCACCATCAACATCGACGCGCTGCAGGAGGACTCGAGCGTCAACTTCGACACGTCGACGCTGCACCCGGCGCTGCCCGAGACGAGCGAGGCCGAGGTGCGGCAGCTCACCAACCAGGTGCGGCAGCTGCTGCGGGGCGGCGACGCCGAGGGCGCCCTGCGCGGCTGCCTCGAGTCGCCCGTCTACCGCGGCCGCGACGAGGCCAAGGAGGCCCACCTGCAGACCGTCATCGAGGTGCTGCAGTCCATCAAGGCCAGCGACATGACCCCCATGCTGCAGCGCATCTACGCCAGCCCCGGCGGCACCGAGTGCCTCGACGTGCTGATGAAGTACCTGTGAGTGGCGGCCCATAGCATAGCATGAAACACACACAGAGAGAGAGACACTGACAATACTCTCTTTGTCTTGTAGATACAAGGGCATGGCGGTGACGTCGACGCCGACGTCGGGCGGCGCCGGCAAGAGCAACCCGCAGACACCGACACGCATGACGCCGCAGCAGACGGGGTTCAGCCAGATGAGCGGGCGGCCCGGTGGGTCCAGCGAGTCGACGGGCGGCGCCATGAGCGTGCTCCTCAGCTGGCACGAGAAGGTGGTAGATGTGGCCGGGCTGGGCTGCATAGGGCGGTGCATGACGGACTGGCGGAAGGTATGAATCTGTGGTGGGGAGGGGAGGGGAGTTATTTTTGGTTCCTGTATGGCAAGAGAAAAAGAAATCCGACGAGACACAAGACGACTTTGGCTGCAAACACTTGAGGGAGCGAGCTAGCTGGGACCTTGTTACGTTGCCGCTGCTCTCTCGACTGCGGTTACCCGATATCCATGGACAGCGTGTAACTCGCATGAAAGTGAGGGCAGATAGCTAGGCTATATCCACCTGCGCATGGCGCCTCAAAAATTACGCAGAGGCCGGCTGGGACAGCCATGAGCGCTGAAATTGGACAAAATATTTACACAATTTCTATATCCGGAGGGCGCGCCCCAGGAACTTAGATTCTACAAATACATATCGTACATGTGTAATATACCCAAGCTGAGTACCCAGACAGGGCCTCATTTATTCTCCAGATAGTCCTTGAGGTTAATCTGCCCGCTGCCCCTCGGGAGCGGCTTTGCCTGGTCGGCCGACTCTTGCCAGCCGATCATGTGGATGATGCGGAAGGTGGCCGGGACGGTGCCGTCGTCGTTGCCGTGCAGCTCGCGGTAGATGGCGTCGGCGGCGAGGAGCACGTCGCGGCTCAGGGCGCCCATCTCGCGGCCCAGGATGGCGTTGCTCTCGCCCATGGCCTGCAGGTCCTGCATCAGGGCGAACGAGTCCGGGTAGTCGACGATGATGTCCTCGACGTCGACCGTTAGCATCTTGAAGCCGGCGCGCTGTAGTAGGCCGCCGACGTCGCGCGTGTCGGCCAGCGGCGACACGTGTGGCGACATGCCACCCCGCCGCTCCGTGTCGGCCAGCTGCAGCGCCGTGCGCAGCTCGAATAGCGTGTCGCCGCCCAGCATGGCGCCGATGAACGGGCAGTCGGGCCGCAGCACCCGGTTGATCTGCGCCAGCACCCCGGGTAGGTCATTGACCCAGTGCAGGCTCATGCTGCTCAGCACCATGTCGAACAACGCCGGCTCGTACGGGAGGCTCTCGGCGTCGCCCAGCACGTGGCGCGAGACGCGCATCTGGCCGTTCTCGTTGAAGGGCAGGTCGGCGTCCCGGTACAGCGCGGTCTCGGACGAGTCGGCCGCCACCAACTCCGAGATCTTGGCGGCGAGCGGCGGTGACACGGGCATGGTCGGGTCGGGGTCCGGGTTGTCGGCGGCCAGGGCGCGGGCGACGTTGCACGAGTTGGCGCCAAAGTCCAGCACGCGCGGGAAGTGGCGCTTGATGTCCAGCAGCCGCTCGCACACGCGCGCCGCGACCTCATCTTTCAAGTAGTCGGCCTGCCGGCTTTGCTCGACGTGGGCGGCCGCGCGCTCCCTCTGCAGCCATTTCGTCTTGCGGTTGAAGACGTCGAAGACGGGGCTGCCCGCCGCCTGGAACGCGTAGCTTCGCCGCGCCGCGGCGCTCGCGGTTCTAAGCAGTGGTGGTGCAAGTGGCCGCTGCAGACACGTCTGCGGCCTGCAGACGGCTCGGGCAACGTTCAGCCGCATCCTCCAGTTGCTGCTGGTGGGAGGATTTGGTGGCCTGGCATTCCGCGGGGGAGACGGAGACTCGAGTTGTAGGTTCCTGTCGTCCTGACGAAGTCAATTCGTCATTCATAAATCCACACCCCGCCAAGCCACAAAATGGATGGAATCGTTGAACAAATCAGCCACACAGTACAGAATACTCTCTCTCTGTGACTCGTGCAAAAGTCGACTTTATGAATGAACGGCTAGCGCAAATAAATATGTCCAATAGTACGGTTGCGGAGTGGCGTATTATTAAATACTCTGGGCTGGAGGTCGTGCCAAGCGTCCCCATGCGGGGAATATAATTCTACGAGTTATCCGATGCCCCCCCCCAAGCCAGAGCCAGGGATCCCCAAATGCAACCTTGCGCTTGCGTCCGGGCACTCTTTCTGTTTAATAATAATAACCTCCAGTCTCCACTGACCGTCCCGGAACAACCGTCGCCCATCCCACCTCCCCTGAGACTAGCAGCGTCGGTAGGTTAGCATCTCAGTCGGCCGACCCAAGAGTTGCACGTCGCATACTTCCCTGCAGTCCCCGTCGCAACGCCCCTTTCTCGACTCGCGACCCGTGGCACGCACGCAACTGGCCCTGCCTTGCTGACGTGTGGTCGATCGAACAACTGTTGCCCCCCTATCTATCCACCGACGGGCTCAGCCCTCGAAGCTGCCCTGTCGCGCGCCTTTCCGCACCTCCGCACCTCGGCGCCTCTGCCCTTCCGCTGCCCGCCGAACTCGATGGGCCAATGCCCCTTTGCCATGCCGTATAGCTGCTACTGAAGGCTTGCTGCAACGTTTTCTGGTTCTGGAGTAGCTTGGCTTCGTTTGTAGCGAATTTGGGATTCGAGGTCGAACTGTCGACATCTGAGAAATCGAGCTGTGGTTTCGAACGAATGCCGACACGATAGAAGGCGCGCCCCCTCACCCCACCACCCCTTGAAGTTGCGACAAGAGACATCCCAAGTCTAGTCAAGATGGCGTCTTCTTCTACGACTAGCTTTCTGGGCCGGTCTAGCAGTAGCAATGCGAACATGCGCGGCCTGGTGCAGTTCATTGCGGACCTGCGGAACGCCCGCGCCCGCGAGCTCGAGGAGAAGCGCATCAACAAGGAATTGGCCAATATCCGGTATGTCACCCACAAGGAATTGCCCCGTCGGGGTTGCGTCTGCGTCCATGTTTGCTGACCCGAATCGTCTCAAAGCCAAAAATTCAAAGGTTTGAGCATCCCTTCCGCTGTGCTGTTGCTCGCACTTCCTCCTTTTTCTCGTGTGACCCCTGCTGACAGTGGCTGTTCTAGACGGTAACCTGAGCGGATATCACAAGAAGAAATACGTTTGCAAGGTGCGTGTCCCCTGGCAAGCACGGCCCTGCTGGTCATTGAAGGGGGTGCAGGCTGACAAGATCCGTTACAGCTTTTGTACATCTACATTTTGGGATGGAACGTCGACTTTGGCCACCTCGAGGCCGTCAACCTGATTTCGGCAAACAAGTACTCGGAGAAGCAAATCGGCTACCTGGCCATGACTCTCTTCCTGCATGAAAAGCACGAGCTTTTGCATCTCGTGGTCAACAGTATACGCAAGGACCTTTTGGACCACAATGAACTCTTCAACTGCCTTGCGCTGCACGCGATTGCCAACGTTGGCAGCCGAGAAATGGGCGAGGCGCTGAGCGGCGAGGTCCACAGGCTCTTAATCTCACCGTAGGTCTCACGAGAGCCCAATTCCTTCGTATCTTGCAAGGTTTAGACTGACGCGTCGTAGGACATCCAAGGCCTTTGTGAAAAAGAAGGCCGCCCTCACACTGCTCCGCCTGTACCGGAAACATACAGACATTATCCAGCCCCAATGGGCAGAGCGGATAATATCTTTAATGGACGACGTCGACTTGGGTGTGGCGATATCCGTGACCTCTCTTGTCATGGCACTGGCTCAGGACAACCTCGAGCAGTACAAGGGCGCGTATGCCAAGGCTGCCGCCCGGATGAAGCGGATTCTAATCGACGGCGAGTGCGGCCCTGACTATCTGTACTACAAGGTTCCATGTCCCTGGATTCAAGTGAAGCTTCTGCGGCTGCTGCAGTACTTCCCCCCATCAGGTATGCAACTTACACCCCTTCGTAAAGTTGACGTGACTAAATCTAACGCATACTAGATGATAGTCATGTCCGGGGGATGATCCGCGAGTCACTCCAAAAGATACTTAACCTAGCTCTCGAGACAAATAAGAATGTGCAGCAAAACAATGCTCAGAACGCCGTTCTATTTGAGGCTATTAACCTCATTATCCATCTCGATACGGAACAGGCGTTGATGAAGCAGATCTCGTCACGACTGGGTCGCTTCATCCAGTCGAGGGAGACCAATGTTCGATACCTGGGACTGGAGGCTATGACCCATCTAGCAGCCCGCACCGACACCCTCGACCCTATCAAGCAGCACCAAGACGTCATTCTGGGGTCCCTCAAGGACAGAGACATCAGCGTCCGCCGAAAGGGACTGGACTTGCTTTATAGCATGTGCGACTCTACTAATGCGCGGGTTATTGTTGGCGAGTTGCTGCACTACTTGCAGAATGCTGACTTTGCTATTCGGGAAGAAATGGTGCTCAAGATAGCCATTCTGACGGAGAAGTACGCCACGGACGTGCAGTGGTATGTCGACATCTCTCTGCGCCTTATAGCCATGGCAGGAGACCATGTCAGCGATGAGGTGTGGCAGCGAGTGATCCAGATTGTCACAAACAACGAAGAACTGCAGGTGTACGCTGCCCAGAACATCCTCCAGTACGCGAAGCAGGACCACTGCCACGAGACGCTGGTCAAGATCGGCGCCTACATTATCGGAGAGTTTGGTCATCTCATCGCGGAAGAGCAAGGCTGCAGCCCGATTGAGCAGTTCCTCGCGCTCCAGGGCAAGCTGGCGGCCTGCTCATCAAGCACACGGGCCATGATCTTGTCGTGCTTCATAAAATTTGTCAATCTCTTCCCCGAGATCAAGCCTCAGCTCATCGGCGTGTTCAATGTCTACAGCCACACGCTCGACTCGGAGCTCCAACAGCGGGCATGTGAGTATCTAACCCTGGCGAGCCTTCCCACGGATGACCTGCTTCGGGCAATTTGCGACGAGATGCCCCCCTTCCCCGAGCGCCAGTCAGCGCTGCTTTCCAGGTTGCACCAGAAACACGCCAACACGAGCGACAAGCGGACCTGGGTTGTTGGTGGGAAAGACGCCAACGCGGACAAGACGGAGCTCACCATGGTCAAAAACCCGGGTCTTAGGAGGACCTTTAGCACCAATGGGCAGAGAGGTGGGGATGGACAGGCCAACGGCAAGCCGAATGGGGCCAATGGTCACTCGTCAGTGTCCGACCTTCTTGGTCTCGACATGAACAACCTTGGGCCGGCAGAGGCGAAGGCGCTCAAGCCGCTTCCTAACCTGGCGAGTGCTGCTCACTTGTCGCCCGGTTGGGAGAAGGGCTTCACCCGGCTGCTTCTCAAAGCCGACGGTGTTCTCTTCGAGGACGGGCAGCTGCAGGTCGGTGTTCGCTCCGAGTACCGGGGGGAGATGGCCTGCCTGATTATGTACTTCACCAACAAAACCCCGGCCCTCGTCAGCTCTTTTACCACGACTCTAGACCTAGACGAATCGGAGAAACCGAACCTGTCATGGGACGTCAAGGGGCTGCCCGATACCACCATCGCTCAGGGAGCCCAAGGTCAGCAAGTGGTTGTTTTTGAGGCCAAGAAGGTGTTCGAGAAGAGCCCGACCATCCGGATCAGCTACCTCGCGGGCGCACTCCAGGCCCTGACACTCAAGCTCCCCATATCCATCCACAAGTTCATGGACCCGGCTGAACTGTCAGCCGAAGACTTCTTTAAGCGGTGGAAGCAGATCGGCGGTGCTCCCCGGGAAGCGCAGGAGGTCTTTGGGCTATCAGGGTCCAAAGACAGCGGGAGGGAGCTCAATGACGCCTTCGTGAGGGGTGTTCTCGAGGGCTTCAGGTGGGGTCTTTTGCATGGGGTTGACCCCAACCAGAAGAACTTCGTTGGAGCCAGCGTTGTCCATACCTCTGGAGCTGGTAAATTCGGTTGCCTACTGAGGCTGGAGCCGAACTATGGCAGCCAGGTAAATACTTGTCCCTTATGCTGAGTATGCAATGTTTGCTGACTATTGTGTGCAGATGATCCGGCTGACTATCAGAGCAACGGACGACACCCTGCCGCCAGTGCTCTTGAAGCTGATGGTAGAGAGGCTTTCGGTGGGTCTGTCGACAACACCGGAGAAGTTCTCGGCCCCAACGGCAAGCGAGATTACGGACTCGTTTAGGAACATAATGGTTAGGTGAGACTAGAAGAATAAGTTGGAGGACGAAAATGGGGCGCGTTGGAATAGCCAGTATTGATGGAGAGAGTGAGCCCTATTGCTTTCGGTCGCCGTACTTTTGGCATCTAGGGGCCGTGGTTTAATTAGCAGTGATCGAGTTTTGTCAGACATTGACGCAAGCAAGCAAGCACGCACGCAATTCAAGGAAAGAAAAGCAAAGCAAGCAAGTAAGCAAGTAAGCATATAAGCACTGGAAGTGAAGTAGAAATGCATATCCCCTTCTCGAGGCGTTTAATGGCACATTTCTTCTGCTGCATGGGACTGGGGCACAATGCTGACTTGGGCGAGAAATTGAGATTTGTTTCGGGCTTCATACCACCTTCTTCACTGGTGCAGTGTAATTTGGCAACCGTGATACGTAGACCCTCATACAACAATTCGAGAAATCTGAGTGTGGACGGGAGCCATTGAATTTGATTGTGTCTGTAAGGTACTTACCTACCTCAAATACCATGTGAGGCGTAGTAAAACCTTTGGAAAATGGAAAATGCCACAACTCGGGTGAGTGTGTAAGGAGACTGGAAGATTGTCGGCGTTGACTCGGCTTTCTGCTGGAGGAGTCTCCCGTACCAAATACGGACGGATACCGGAAGCATCTGTAGCCTTCTCCACTGCCCCGCCGATCCCCAGATTTATACGTCCGTCTTTAGGTGGTGGCCCAAGCTTCCTTCACCTATCAGGCGGCTCCAACTACGCTGCACTCAGTGGACAAGGCAGCAGAGAGCTCCATCTCCCCTCACCGAAACCCTAAACCATCACACCTGATCTTCGCAGCTTGGAGCTCCAGGCAGCCAGACCCGTAAAGTGTCATCTTCCATTCAATCTCAAGCGAGCATTGCCAGCACCTCGTCTTTCGCCCCAGCCAGGTAGGCGCAGATGTGCTAGCTTGCGCGCCTTCCATCGCAGCTTCTTTCCCAACAAACCCGCGGGCGACGACGCCACCGTTCGCCCCTATCGAGACTTTCCTACCTTGGCTACTGCCACTGAACGACGACCCGGCCGTACTTTGTCGACTGACATCAAATCCGGATTCGACGGCCGCTTTGCGCCCTGCGTTTCCAGCCAGAGCGAAACCAATTGCTGGAGGACTCGGCGCCTCAACGCTGTGCCGAGCATCGCCCATCATGTCGGGCGGCGCGCTCAACTTTGTCACGTTCAATCAGGACCACAGCTGCCTTGCGGTTGGCACATCCAAAGGCTTCCGCATCTACCATAGCGACCCCTTCTCCAAGGTCTTCAATAGCAGCGATGGCAATGTCTCCATCATCGAGATGCTCTTTTCGACCTCGCTGGTAGCCCTGATCCTCTCTCCGAGACATCTGATAATCCAGAACACGAAGGCATGTCCAGCCCATCGTTTTCATCCAAACCCCCAAGCTCCCAACCCAGCCGCCGCGCTCTCTCTAATGCGCTCCTCTACAGAGAGGCTCGGTTATCTGCGAGCTCACCTTCCCGTCTGCTGTCCTCGCTGTGCGGCTGAACCGCAAGAGACTTGCGGTAGTGCTCGAGGAAGAGATATACCTCTACGACATTGCGAACATGAGCCTGCTCTACACCATCGCAACATCGCCGAACCCGACTGCGATCTGCGCTCTATCGCCGTCCTCAGAGAATTGCTTCATTGCATATCCCCTGCCTAAGCCGCGCGAGGACCAGAACGAACGGCGCCCCGCTCATGCCCCCCCTCTCTCCATGTTCGTGCCGCCAACGTCTGGCGAGGTGCTCATCTTCGACACGGTCACTCTCAAGGCGGTCAACGTCATCGAAGCACACCGCTCGCCCCTGTGTTGCATAGCGCTGAATAGCGATGGCACGCTTCTGGCCACGGCCTCCGAGACGGGCACTATTATCCGCGTCTTTTCGGTCCCCCGCGGCCAGAAGCTCTTCCAGTTCCGCCGCGGTACTTACCCTTCGACCATATACAGCATGTCTTTCAACCTCAGCTCGACTCTGCTGTGCGTGTCGTCTACCTCGGATACTGTGCATATCTTCCGCCTGGTTAATGGCCAGGCGCCTGGCACTCCGGCCACGGCAGAGGCCGAGGGTCCTGGATCCCCTCGCACGAACCGCTGGTCGCGGTCCCGCAGCGTCGACAGTATAGAGAACTCGCCGAGCAGCAATGCCGGTTCGCCCCGCAGCGACGCGGCTGATTACCAGGGCGCCGGCGGATCAGGGACCCCTGGGGGTAGCTCTACAGCAGCGAACAGAAGGCAGAGCGGAACTTTCAGCAGCATGCTCCGGCGGTCGTCGCAGATAATGGGCCGCAGCGTCGCAGGAGTCGTTGGCTCATACCTGCCACAGTCTGTCACAGAGATGTGGGAGCCCCAACGAGACTTTGCCAACATCAAGATCCCAAAGTCAGCCAATGCCGCTACGCAAACTCCTAGAGGCGGCCTGGGAGGAGGTACCGGCCCTCTCCGAAGCGTGGTCGCCATGAGCAGCAGCTCCCCACAGGTCATGGTGGTAACGAGCGACGGTGGATTCTACGTTTTCAATATCGACATGGAGAAAGGGGGCGAGGGATATCTGGTGAAGCAATTTTCGTGAGTCTTAGATCTAGCCGTGCGTTTCTGTGTGTTGGCCCTTGACAACTGACAACCCCTCTCTAGGGTGCTGGATGGAGATGACAAGTTGGATGCCTCTGCAGACGGCCCTTAGGAATTGGTCGAGTGGCGTGCAAATATTGGACAGCGGCATGGCTCCGAAGAGCGCTGGCAGATTTTGAATATGGACCTGTCGACTTTTGGAACAGAGTCGGGAGAGCTCGTAGAGAAGCCGAAAAAGGCATCGTAAGTGACTGACTGATTTGGCAGAGGTCAGGTCTCGAAATACAGCAGAGATGAGACAATGGGGTGTGGCTGGGGGGAGCAGGATATTGATTTCCAAGCTCCCAAAGATGTCCCGCAGCGGATGAACCTTATTCTCCTTATACCCAGTTTACGGTGTAGCTCAAGCGGTTCGATGGCGTGAGGGAGGGACGGAGAAATGAACACACCCAAAATGCGCGGCACGGGTATTGGTCTACTTATGCATAGCGTTTGGCGTCTGGTGGTTGGAGTCTTGTTTGTATCTATTGTTCTATTATTCTTGCGTTATCTCTGTGTGTTTCTGTTTCTGCTCAGTGTGTGTGTGTGTATATGTATATATATATATGTGTGTGTGTGTGTATGTGTGTGTGTATGTGTGTATGTGTGTAGTGTATAATGCGCGTGAGATATGGTGGTTGGATTAATACGAGTAGGGAGAGTGCTGTGGCCTGTCACCTTCTTGCGGGGAACGAATGAAGGTGGTAAGATATGGACAGATATATTCAGTCGCCCTGTAGTTGATACCATGGCATCTTTCCGGGCGGTTGTGGCGGTTTCCTCCCTTCTTTGACGCGTGGCTGGTTTCCGCGTGCTCACTTCAGGAATATGCTTGCTTGTAGTTGACAAGGTTGCCTAGGTAGGAACCTGGGTCAAACAGTTAACCGACAAGTCGCGGAATCGCCGCCATGTCTCTGGCAGTTTGGCTTGTTTGTCTGTTATGTGCTCCGTGTGTTGGCTTGGCGTCATTTCTACAGATGCCTTGCCTGGGTGAAGCTCTGATGCCACCGCCGCTGCTTGATATACCTACCTTACCTGCCCAGCCTACCTGTCTACTGTAGTCTGGGTTCATAGCATGTACCTAAGTAAAGTAGGTAGGTACTTTCCCGACACCGAAGCACTCTCACACTTGCTCTGACCTCAGTATCTACTTTGCATACCTTGCCTAGGTAGGTTCCTACTACTCCGGTACCTAACCTGGCAAAGATAAGGTAAGGTAGGCGTCACGACAGGCTGGCATGTGCATGCATTACGTACAAAAGCTTTGGCTACAAACCTATCTAGGAATCTAGACTTGAGGCATCAAAGCCGAAGTGGAAGTCTTCGTATATGGAATCATATCTCTCAAATACTAGGTAGGTACCTAGGTATATACTTCAGCCCCGTACTTTTTTTTATTTATTTTTTAAAAAAAAAAGATAAAAAGAGGGGGGATGAGCGAAACATTTACGCAACGTTTTACGCAACATTTACAAATGTCGAAGCCACTCTGGGTGGGAGGGAGACACAGAAGTAGTCGCTGCTTGGGAGGAATCTCACTCATAATGAGAAAAATAACGCAGTATAAACCGGGCGAGATCTCTCAGCAAGTAGGTATGTGCCTGGGCTTTTATGTAATGTCATCTGAACAGGTGGAAAGGGGTGCTTCTTTATCGATTGGCTGTGTCCGAGACAAGGCAAGGGGTTGTTGGCCGGGCGTTGTTGAACGTGGAGGCATTTATTTTGTCTAGGCGGTTGTTTGATGTGTGTCGTTGTGTCGAGGGGGGTTTTATTTACCAAAAACACCTACACGATACAGCTCCTCGGCCACGCATCCGTGGATGTTCCACGTTTCGCCTCTTCCCCTGGATATGGTATGGGGAGGGAGAGAGATGTTCGGCTGCACACAGAGGCAAAATCCCTCGCCCGCCGCCCCCTTGCCTTGGCTTTCTCGGGGGGAAGCGTCGCGTGGTTGTGGTTTGGGGTGGTTACTTTGCAGCTTCTCCGGGCGTGCATCGGGCATTTAATGCCTTCGAGTTCCATTTGTGTATTATGTCATGGTATTCCATGTTATGGTGTGGTATATTTTAGCAAGCATATCGATGGAACCCCGAATATACCCCTCGTCCGAATCCGGAAGGTTTCGAGAAGGGTTGGAAGTGCGACTGCTAGTCGGGTTTTGCGCCTCATTCCTGCCCGCCCCATTACTGCCTGTCGACTGTCGACCAACAGACACCCAATGGAACGAGTCCCACCTCAGATCACTAACGGCGGCTTACTTCTAAAACCTACCACATTTTCTGCGTACCTTATCAATCCTACAGCCGGTCCAGATCTGATCTGATCCGATCTGGTGCAACACGATACTGTATTTATGTACATACATCCATACAGTACCATACCCCGAGAAAGGCACTAGACATACACCTTCTCCATTCTCTGGCTCTTGGCGTGTCTCACTCTACTTAGTACCCATTCATCCCCTCCAGTCAGACCCGAAGAAGCTTCTTCCCTTCCTTCCAGAAACAGGCACTTGGCACGCGAGCGACCGAGGCGGTCCGTCTCGTCTCCCCTAAGCCTCGTCTCCACCCCGACCGAGACAGAGGCAAGGCAAAGCCCATCCAACTTGCTTCCCCTGCCGCCACCGCCGCCACCACTGCCACCACCACCTCGAGGTTGCCTTGCCTGCCGCCCATCGTCATCAATTAGAACCATGCAACCGAAACTTCGCAAAACTAACAGCCAACCAACATACCAAACCCACTTACACACATACTATACATAGCTCCCACCCAACCCTATACTAAGCGGCGAGCTCCTTAAGCCAGCCAGCCGACGGCTGACTACTCCGTACGCTTGCCGCGTATTTCGTCTGCTGCGCGTGCCTGTACGGATGGACACCTCAGCTTACCCGGGCACAGTCCATAATCCGCACCTTGATCTTGATTACCTTCCCACACCACCACCCTATATGCAAGACTCGGGTCCGGGACCAACCTGCCGTCTCTCTCTCACATTCTCTTTCCGTTTCCACCTCTTTCCTGGCCATGCCATACCACGCCGTGCCCTGCAGCCGGATCTCACCCATGAGCCTCCGAACGCGGTCCACCCGGGGGCGGTGCGGATGGGCGGGCAGAGATGCATCTGTCTCTCAAAGATGGCCCCGCACCTACCCACCCACCCACACACTCTCACCTCTTCTGCTCTCGGTAATCAGTTTAATAATTAGTAAACACGCGGTCGACAGAGTTTCGAGAACCGACTCAAGTCAGACAGACGCAACCCAAGGCCCAACCCACAGCCCAAGAAACGCCCAGGATGGCCGCTGCGAGTAAGAGGGGAGAGAGACTACTGCGTAGATACGTAGGTGTTTGCTTGAAAGTGAATGAGAACTGTTCCCCCATACCCAAGGTATTTCACCTTAACGACCTGTCTATGCATGTACAACACACAGGGTAGGTTAGTTCCTATATAGGATTTGCAAATAAGGAATTCCGTAGTACAACTCCATGGCCAACGGCAGTGACACAGCCAGCGGCAACAAACATGAGCAACAATCAATCAACACGAATCATATATCCTCCCTCCCCTTCGACATTCTCCAGTGCTCCACAGTGTCTCCATTCCTCGGCATCGCCATCGGATTGCCATCTGAAATCCGCAGCTCGCAAACCCGCAATCCCTCTAACTGGCACATATGTACATGTACCTATGCACATAGCGCAGTGGGTAATCCCACTCATCCATCCAGCCATCCATCCATACCACCTGGGGTAGTATGTATCATGTATATACGTATTTCAAACCCCTAGAAAACTTCTCAACACCCCCCTGCCCTGCAAGTAAAGCACCTTGAGTAAAAAGGTGTCTACGCCCCCTCTCCACATGTCCCCGCCGCTGGCCAAACCATCCATGACAACCTTCCTCGGTTCTCCCGATCGCTGCTAGGGATGATTGCGAATTGGGAATCTGGGATGGGCCCAACCAGGGGACAGCCCGACTAGCTTGCTCTTGATAGACACACACACCAACAAGCCCACCCACCTGCTTTGCCTTTGAAACCTAGCCTGGTCTTCACTCCGCGTATTACTAACCTATGGAGAGATGCGCAGATACTCGGCGTAAGCCTCCAAGAGGACCCAAACCCGTCGTTAATGTAGACAGTAGGCCAGAGCCCGCAACCTCGCAGAGACAGCCGCATCACAGACACATAGATAAAATAAAAGCAAGAAAGAGGCTGATTATTAGGACGGCCCCCGTCGACAAATATAAACAACGATTTTTTCTTGGAGCGAACCAATGCAAGCTCTGAGCCAAATCTATTCTGCATGCTGATGTATGATGATAGACAATCCCTGGGCGTCTGTAGCCAATCAGGGGAGACAAAAGGAAAAAGAGAAATAAGAAGGGAACAAAACATAATAAGTGCCTCTCCGCCAGCTCCGCAAAGCACCAAAAAAGAGAACGCCAATGCTGTGTACTCGAAACTCCGGTTCTATCTTTTGCTTCCAACCCAGACAATGAATAGCTTCTCTTCCACAGCCGGGGAAGCCTCAAGAAATGCATATTAAACTCGTAAAGGGGGTATTCCGATGACAAGAAACCACCCAGGAAATAAGAGAGAAATGATGTGGCGTGATGCCAAAGTCCACGTGTACGACAGGAAAACCCTCCAATTCTGCCGTGAGGTGAGAAAAGGTGGTGGGCGTGTTTTTCGGGATTAAAAGGAGTAGTGGTCGGAAACAAAGTCTGTAGTAGACGTCTCTAGAACGGTAATGAGCCAGTCGGAAGCCTGCCCCCTGTCGCGACGCCCTCAGCCTCGTAAAGGAAGCTGCTGAGCGCCCCGTGGCCTTATGGTGCTCTAATATTCTTCTTTTTTCTTTCTTCAGTTACCCACCCGGTCATATCCCCGTCATTTGAGGTGAGCCACCGAGATCCATGTTGACGTCGCCTTCGTATGCCAGCTGCGACCATACTCTCCAGTGCAGTATTCCAAGATGTGCCAGGCGGGTGGCCATGTCATCGATGCCGGCATCCTCGCGCGGGTCCAACGGCCGCGATGAGTCAAGGCTTGCAAACCAGCTGACGTCGCGCTGCTCTCTGTCGCGGCCCGACCCATTGACTCGACCCCCGGTGGCTACCGAGAAAAGTCCGACTCCTGAAAGGCTCTTGTAGTCCTTGACCCGCTTCGCAAGTGCGGCAAGCAGCCGCTGCTGGAATTGAAGCTCGACCTCGCGGAAAACCTCATTCTGGACATCTCCCAGGCACTCGACGAGTTGGTCCTCAAATCCTGGAAGGGAATGGGGCGCATTGACGTAGCGAAGTATCTGGGGGGCTACAGACTGGGCGAGGCATTGCCATCTCTGGGCCGGGCGGCTTGAAGGAGCCGCTGTGTGGAGCAGCGCTACAAGGGAGCTGTAGAGGTTGGCTGACCGGGATCGTGACTCGGCGAGATCCAAAATAGGCTGGGCAAACAGGCCACCCGAGTTCCGAGGAGACGAGTTGATTGACCCGTGGTCGCTAAGGGCGAGGCTGGATGGACGTGATGTTGTTGTTGGCGCGTTGAAGTTGAACTCGGCCGACGACCGCCCGCTCGAGGTCGAACTCTCGCGGACGTATGCTGGTACCCTCGAGTAGAGCTGGGTTAATTTCGACAGCCGTTCCAAATCCTCGTATTTGAGCATGCAAATCTCGAGGCAGATGTTGTCGTACATGTCGGACCGTAGTTTGATGATGCGCTCCTCGTCAAACAGGAATGTCGTCGGCACCTTGGTCGTATCGGTCGACGGCAGCACCAGTCTGGAAAGGGCCTCGAAGAACACGGCCGTTTCGCCGAACGCGTGCAAGTAGGGCATGGCCGAGCCCATGTACGACCTCTCCGCACACTCGCGGGCTCCTCTGTACCATATCCTTGCCTCTCGGATGTCGACTTTCCTCGCCTGTATCTTCTTCATGAAGAAGCGCTGCTCGAAGTGGACCGTATCCTCGATAAGCACCGGACGCAGACACCGGATCTGATGGTTCGCGACATCTAGTTTCATCGCTTCCAGCACGCTGAGCAGGCTCCGCATCCCCTTGACAAGCTCGGCCATGTCGTTGTTGCGATTCCCACTGCTCAGCTCGTTGTACATCTCGTCGACCCATTCGTCGCGCATCGGGGCACAGTGGAGTTTCAGAACTCCGGATAGCCACGACGCTAGCCTCTCCAGATCGGCCACTCCCCGGTTGAACTGCTGCATTAAGAGGTCGACATTGAGCCCCTCGTTGAGGAATTCCCGGTCCCGCTGTGGTACCAAAGTTTGGATTATTTCCTTGACCGCCCTCAAGAGTAGCGGCAGGCACCAGTCCTCATCTTTCCCGTAACTCCTGTGGAATCCATCCCGATCCGTCACAAACTGCATCAGCTGATCCAACAGAGCGTTCCAGAATTGGTTTGCCTTCTCTTGCTTCTTCCTCCCCTTCTCGCCATCTAGGTTTGGCCGGAAGTGCAGTTCTGGGTCGAAGTTGATATCGTGGCGCAGTTTTGGGTTGTGGATAATCTTGTTGACGTCAAGCTCGCTGAGCGTCGCCTTGGTGACCGGAGGTTCAAGCGGGCGGTTTGACGCAATCGTAGAACTCCGAGACAACGGCGACGGCCGGCGCTCACTTGTATGAGCCGTCAAGTACTCGCTGTTCGGCTTGGCGTGTGAGCTGGTCGAGCACGTCGACGGATTCCTAGACAGTCCTGGCGCAGCACCAACAACCACAGGCGCGGCGGCACCGGCCCCATCCTCGACGAGTTCTCGGGAGCCGCGTGGCAGCTCTTGGAGCGTCTGCGAGTACTGTTCCTGTTGGTCGGGCTCGGGAGGCGGGTTCCGTGTTTCTGGTACGGACTCGGTCGGTATCGGCTCCTCCCCGGAGTCCTGTCGCCTGTGAGTGGGCATGTGGCTCTCAATACCCCCACCAGCACCTTGGTCGCCCATCTTGTACGCGGTGGCTCCTCTTCCCGGCTGCCACTACTTGGTCTGGCGAAGCGGGGTGGTGTGCGACAAAGGCTGATATCACAGACCGTATTATCAGAAAACAGCGATAGGCCTCGTGAGGAGAGGTATTATTAGAGGACGCAGTGGGCGGCTAGCCGTAAGAATCAGCAACACGGTCTAGGTTTTATTTCAGGTGGGGGAGAAGAGAGGGGAAGAGGAGGGCAAACAAAAGTATTAGGGGGACACAATCGCGAAGACTAGGTCTCGTGGACGCGGAAGGCTGCATGAGAAACGGAAGCCGTGGCCGCCCTGTGATCGGAAGCAGATGGACCTAGAGGGAAACAGGGGGGAGGGCCTTGTGTAATGGTCACTAGCAAGCGAGAAAAAGCCGCGCTCACCTGCAGGATTCGTGATGATTGCCCGGCAGTCGGCAGGTTATTGGGACCTCGAGGCGACTCGAAGCACAGCTTTGAAGAATGGGCGGCTGCAGCAAGCCGGGAGTCGTGGACCGAGACGTGTACAAACAGGGCACACACACATACGCGCACGCACGCATACACACACTGGCCGGGCAAAAGTCGAAAGAGGGCCGCGATGAAGGATTGTTGCTGCGTATACGACTAGAGGTGGTAGGTAACGAGACGAGATTGAAAGAGAGAAAAGAGGGAAAGAAGACTGAGGGAGAGACAGTCGGTTCGGTCCGTCCGCGTTGATTTGCCGTTGGCTTTAGCTTGAGGAAAGCAGCAAGCAAGCAGCAGAAGCAGCAGCCTGAGCCTGAGATGGGGCGAGAAAAGTAAAACAGTCTGCCCTCAGAAAGCACAAATAAGACGTCTCGAGCTGGGACCCAATGGCATGAGGTTGGGCTGGCGAGACAGAGAAGACCGGAAGGGCCCAGGATGTGGAAAGGTACCGGCAGGTTTTTGGTACAGTACGGCTAGCTGGCTGGCTGGTCGTCGAGCTCGGGAGGCGGCGAGGCAAGACGAGGCGAAAAAGCGACGGCGACGGGCTCCAAAGGGGGCGCTCAGTTGCAACGTGACGCACAGCTGGAACTACAGACACCAGGTCCCGAGAGAGAGATAGAGGAGAGAGAGGGAGAGGGAGAAAAAAAAGCCTGGAGGAAGGTTCGACACGATGTATAGGTCGACCAGAGAAACAGACAAAAAGGTCAGAAAAAGGCGGAAGGAGCGAGAGGAAACAAACAGGTAGTGGCATGCCCAGGGGCGCAGAGACCGTAATATTACTAGTAGACAGTAATGTACAAGGAAGGGATGGTGAGGGAAGGGAAAGAGCGACACGATGCCGGAGGCGGCAAGGAGATGATGACCGTGGGCCGTGGGTTCGTGAGTCAAGTCGTGGGCCAAGGGGACGTTCCTAGGGAGGGGCGGCGTGGTACCGTACAGTACGCTGTACGGAATACCCAAGGTGAGGTACCCCAATCCATGGATGGATCCAATGCACACACCCTTAGGTGGGAATGCGCCGTGGGCCGTCGGCTGTCCATTCTTTGGAACATTGACCCCATGGGCCTGATGGACCACGGCCTGGGTCCCAAACAGAGCTGCGCTGCAGCAGAATAGGGCATGCGCCAGCGGTTGCCACCGCCGGCAGCGGACCAAGCACCCAACCGCGCTGACACTGACTGACTGACTGACTGACTGACTGACTGACTGACTGACTGACTGACTGACTGACTGACTGACTGACTGACTGACTGACTGACTGACTGACTGCCCTGCCTGACTGAGGCGAGGCGGAAAAGCAGCTCATCGTTCATCTAGACTTTCAGCAGACGACTGCGCTGCGGTACGGTGACAGCGCTGGCTGAACGCAGCTCGGTTGCTAGTTTGACCTTAGTCGTCCCCTTGGCGGGCTGCGCTGCTACAAAAACGAAAGTGAGAATTTAACTATATGCATGCATCCACACCCCCCCTTTTCCACCCCCCACGCGGCCGCTTCTGGAAACGCCTCCTTCCCGCTGAGGCGCGTCCAGGCGAATGGATATGCAGCGCAGCGCAGGGCCTTGCAGCGTCAGGCACCGCCCTTTGAACCCTGGGAGGCATGCATCTGAATTCAAACGTGACCAAAAGCAGGGTGTAGGGTGTGAGGTACCTAGCCTCAAGTTGCAGCAGACACAGGACGGAAAAAAAAAAGAAGGAAAAAAAGGCATGGAAGGCATGCAGACAATGAATGGAGGGCCGCAGGTGAAGAAGCTGGAAGGCCGGGCACCATTACGCCGGTATGCATGTACGTACCAGTACATTTCTAGGTTTTCTTTTGTCCACCTCACCCACCGATGCCCGCGTGGTCATGTCGTTTGCGTCTCGTGCTTGTCAAGGCCACCACAGACGGTCGTGCAAGAGCCTCGAACGCAGTCGGGTGAATTAGTCGTCGGGCTCCGGTTTGGAGAGTTATGCCCGTGTCAGCCAGCGCGGCTCCGCACTGTATGTATACCTGCCCAGCGCTGAGAGAACCTTACCTCCATATCCGTATGTATGTATGTACCTCCTCCACTTCCATCATCCATCTCGCTTGATCATCCATCTCGCTTGACGGGCGACAACCAAGAGAGGCACCGCAGGGCACGCCTCAAACGCCAGAACCCGAGGAATGGAACCCCAACAGATCGGTCGGGGCGGCGCCGCGATGCAACACATACGACGGTGGGCGTTCGGCGACGCAGACCTTCCGTCGCGAGGCGTCTCACGACGCTACTAATGTAGGTGAGAGCTGGAGGTGTGGCCCAGGGCAGCACAACCTACCCGACCTCCATACCTCCCGTCACCCATATGCGGTCCAGTTGTCTATCTCACCCAATCCACCCATACGCATCGACGAGCTTTCTTGCTCTAGAAGACAGACGTGCCGGACGTCCACTGTGACCTTCCCTAACAGTGTGTGGCAGTTGGGTATGTTTGGCGAGAGCAAACCGACGCGCGCGCTGGCAACTCACACAGACACCCGCACCCGAACCCGCAGACGCACGCCCGGGCATTGCGTACCTCTGGCGTCGACATTGGCACCTGTGAGATCCGGTAGTGTAGTGGCAGCGGGTGGTGGCACTAACATTTTGCCCGATGCTAGCGCTGGCCCTAGGTACATACCTTGCCTACTATACGGAGTAGCTTTAAGGGTGAGGCACCTCAGGTATGTAAGGTACGTATGTTCTTAGGTTCTTGGACGGGCTAGGGAGTGTGAGGTGGCATTGGAGATTCTATGCCCTCATCTTCTGGACTGGCGGTGCTTGAGCCGCCATGATTCATTTGCCTTGCCTCTGCGTTATTAGGGGCTTCCTTCTGTGGGACATAGAGCCGGCGTGGCCGCGCCAGATATGCTGTCTGAGCCAACTGCTGTTGCACCTTGGGGCAGGAGGTTCCCGGCTCTAAGAAAAAAAGGAAAAAGGCACCGAGATAAATAGCCGGGGCTGCTGTTGGACGGCGGAGGGTGCGGCGTGCCCCCTACCTTACCCACCTAGGTAGTTGTTGCTTCGCTCGCTCATCCTCCTTCAAGGCATTTTTGGAACGCCTGGGCTTTCTTCAGGCGCTGGTACTGTACCGTTGGTTTTTGTTGGCCATCCACTTCCTCCTTTCTTCCACTGGCACAAATTGGCGCCGGCTCATGAATCAAATTCAATGCACTGCCGATCCGCTCCTCCTCCCACCACCCGTCATCCACTTTTTGGCTACGCACGCACGCACGCACTCACGCACGCGAACGAACGCACGCACGCACGCAACGTGCACGTACGCACGCAACGCACAGAAGGCACGCGGGTTCTTCTATTAAAGCTTTGGCTGGGCTGTCAACCCAAACCCAACCAAGGGTCCAAGGTCACACATGCACGCAACTCACGCACTAGTCGGCCTCGGACGATGGAAGATCGGGAGAAGCGCATATCTGGCACTGGAATGGACCAGACCGCCTTGTTGCACAGACAATGGAATTTGGCACCTGGCTCTGCCGTCTTTGCTGCCCTCTCTCGGGCTCTCTCCGTCGTTCTTGGTCGTTTGGCTTATAGCCCGCTGCCTCGTATTAGAAATGTCAACGTGGTTAACCCGCACAGTTTGAACTGTAGGCTGTTTGTATCCAATGCCATGTTGTTCGTTCCATGGCTGTTAGCCAAAAGCAGAAACTGTCACGACGACTTGCAAGTCCGGGTCGGGTGGTAGAGAAACCTACCTTACCTCTCACCTAGATTCCCACCTTGTAAGGTTACCTGCATTGGGTATATCGAAGTCAGGTATGCAAGGTATATGTCGTCTTTGCTAAACACCGGAATCGGTTATCTCTCCGGCTCCTTTTTTATTTCTTCAGATCGAAGGGCCTGGCCGCCACCACTACCACCACCACCGCCACCACCCAAAGCGATCGACGGGGTCTACGAACGCCAATTGCCCGAGTTCTGATATTAGCCCGCTATCCCTCATCACAATTGCGCTTCTGAAATGTGGCGGGCCGGGAATCACAAGATCGCCAGCCTGGCCCTGTGGGGGACTTTGTCCAACAGACCTAGCCCAACTACTCAAGGTACTCGTATCTAGGCGTGTGCGGTAACCAAATTTTTTGCCTGCTGAAGTGCGAGAGAGAGATGGAGGTGTAAGAGAAGCGCCTCTGTTGGGAACTTTTGGAGGGGCGTGTCCTTGCGTCTCGCCTCTCGCCGCCCACAAGAACGCCAATGCCTGCCCCGCCGCGCATAGGTTGCTCATTAAGAGCTGCAGGTGGGAACAGACTAGAGCAACGACCATGGAATTGGCCATGCCTTCAGGTTAGTGGTCGGAGTTGGCTGGCTGGCTGGCTGGCACTTTTTAGGGATGGGATGGGATGAGATGGGATGGGATGGATTGCATGGGCCGATGGAGAAGGTGGGTGGCGTGCCCAGGGCAGCCAGTCTCGGATTAACCTGCTGTTTTATTATTTCACGGGGCAGGAAACTCTATCCGTGTCGCATGTGTGAAGGAAACATTCCCACCCTGCATTCAGCGTGTGACTTTCCCTTTCCTCACCTCACCTAGGTAAGCTCGGTAAAGGTGGGAAGGATGGAGGGGCACCGTAGGAGGCCAGCCATCAGCCGTGGTAAATTGCACTGCACTGCACTGACTGCACCCTCTGAGCTGCAGGCACGGCTGAGTCTCGTATTGAACTGTAATAGCAGAAGGTGGTGTTCAGTTGCATACCTTATTACATGATACGGGCTACCGCATACCGAACGGACCGGAGCCACCTCACCTCCCATCATGGATGGCGTGGAACCTCGTATGTGCCCTACTGAGTTTAGCTGGCCTCACCCAGCCTCAGGATGGGCGAGAAACCCACAGGCAAATTTCAAATCTGATTCGAACACGGCCGCAAAAGGCGCCTTTTGAAGCAGAGCCAGAGGCGGAAGGAAAAGGAGGTGTAGAAGTGGAACATGTGGTCTGTGATTGCCTGACCCCCTTTTTGGCTTCTTTGGAGGTCGGTGGTGGACTGGTGGCTGCGGGATTGAGATGGGTTAGAAGGAGTTCCAAGTGTGTGGGTCGGAGTAGAGGGAGGGGGGGGCCTGTCCCGTCCAAAGCGGGCAATCGACGTCTGCTGATCAGGGTCCCGAATCTCTTCGAATTGAAGTTGATGAGCCTTGCTGCCCGTTTTTAGTGTCTTCTATCTTCTGGCATCATCCCAGGCTTTTCTTTTCCTATAATATCTGAGGTGGGCGGGCATTTTGAGCACAGTGCGAGTCGAACTTGATGCGCACCTCGAGATCCAATGCCAAAGACGGGGCCTGTCCAGCTAAGTTGCCGCTTGCGCAGTGTTTTAACCAAGTTGCCTTCCCACTGATGCAAGTTACAAAAGGTACTGATGGCACTTGGATGCAGGCACATCACATCACATCGGCCCTCAAGGCTGCAGTGGTAACGTCTTTTCAAATTCTTCCATGTCATGCGCCGCTGATGGTCTGATGAGAGGGCAGCCCTCTCAGAGTTTCGACAGCCATCGGCCCGCCGGCTATGCTGTTCTTGAGGGGGCTTCGACCGCAAGTCGGATTCTCTGGAAACGAGGAGGGCCAACAGCAACCTCATGACTATAGTATGTACATGCATACATTACCTTGCATACAGAGTATCCAATATCATCCTTACGTCGTTGTGTGATGTCTCCAGCCCGCCAGCCTACTACAGTGCTGTACAATTCCAAATGTGGCCAATTGGCCGTTCGCTAGTAGCTGCCCTCAGCTGCCGTGGGCTGGCTGCCCACTGCCGCTTCTCCGCCAAGTTTCATAAGCCAGCAACGAACAGTTTCGCCGCCTCGCAGTTTCGGACAAGCAGAATCCAGCCTCTTGCAGGCCTGTTGGTCCAGCCGGGATAGCCTAGCTTTTACAGCCAGCCTCTCTCCACCGCCGCCGCCGCCTCAGTCATTATCACATACATAAATGCGTACATGTACATACAGTAGTCCATACGGATCCGTACATACGCGCACACCTCAAATTAGAGGAGACATGGAGATTAGAGAGATGTGAAGCAAACCAGCCAAAAGGCGGATAGCCAGCAGATCCCAAATCCCGGCAGCTGACCATGTAACCAACTCGCCAGGGGCAGGGCCGTCATGTTTTCCTTGATTCTGCGATTCGTTCCTTTTTCTTCTCTTGTTTCCCCTCCTCGCCAGATCTCTCATGATCTTCACAAAGGCCCGCCCACACCTAGCAGCCGCCCTGCAACCAGCCCGTCTGCTGGCCGGACCATACGGACGCGACAGAGTAATAACTAATAAGCCCGTCAGTACGGGATCTGTATCACAGGATCTGCCCTGTATGTACCAGATACATGTCGCAGACCGCCGTGTGGGCTGGCCACGGCGGTGATCGTCATCACGAGATTCGACCGTAACTCCCGAGAGGCGATCAGGATCTGACAAGTGATCACGGGGCTGACTAGCACGCGAGAGAACCGCCGCTGGCTTGCCGAATCTAGTGATAATTTGAGAACCTACTTGCAACCAAAGGCTACACATATTATTACACCTGCGCGTATGGCACTTGAGCAATCTTCTAGCGCCTCTAGGCTCAATATGGAGCCACCATAAGGGTAACCTGCTAGACATTCATCATCATCATCGCCAGCTCTGCGCATTGGGACCTGACAGATAGACGACCTGCTTAAGTACTCGACTGCTTGATCTATTGGTCCAGAGAAGGCGCTGCGGCGGGGCTGCGACGGGGCTGCGACGGGGCTGCAACTACAGAACGAGAGCCCGAAGGAAGACAAGAAATAGGTTGGGCGGCGGCGGCCCGTCAATATTCGGAGCGGTCGGCGGCATGATATGATGCATCAATCGTATGTTTGGGCGCGGTTTGCCACCGCACTCGCCGGACGCCGTGGCCGGTTTGCATTGCCGTATCCGCATGTATGTAAGGTATGGTATGGACGGCCGTGCAACCTGACAGGAGGAAGTATCCTTGCCTACCTTGCTGGGAAGCCGACATAAGTCGCATCTAGCTAGTCAGCCAGCCAGACAGACAGACAGACAGACAGGGCGACATTGTTGCGGGCGAGCGAGCAATGCGTTGTCAAGAAAGCTGTTGTTGTTCGGGCTGCGAGTCAGACCGCATAGGTGAAATGGAAGGTATCAAAAGGACGGACCGGGCATGTGCAGCACATTACGGATACTCTCGGAGCTGAGAGGAGCGAGAGGCCGAGTACGTGGACCGATTTGCAGTGCTATGAATGCATGCGGCTTGAGACCGGACCGGGCTGGCATCCCCGCATCATCTTCATCGGGCTGCGTCGAAGCCGACAACTGTGCCGGGTTCGGCTTCAGGGATTTCCACAGGAACCCATATAGCATATAGGGGGGGGGTGCGACCAGTGCCTGGGCTGGGCTAGGGCCTAAAAGAAGCCCAAGATCCAACAAAGGCCACCACGCCGCCCTGCTCTGTCCGCGTGTACCATATGCGTATCGCCACAAGCCAGGACGAAACATTTGCCTTGCACTATGCCTGTCTCTCTGTCTCTAATCACTTGTCAGTTGTCAATTGGCGATGGCTACGCCTGAGGCCACGGCGGAAACCGAGACAAGGAAGGCGGGTACCTTCCTATCCACCTTCTGCATTTGTGTGTCATGGCAAGCCTTCTCGCGAGTCCTAGTCCCCGCTCGGCTAACAGGGAAGGAAGTAAGTAAGGTGAGGTGGCAGTTGCTCACCTCGCGCCTGCTGGCTGCATTTTCTGATGCCGCCTTCACCGCAGCGACTCGCAATGGAACTTGAAGGCCCCGCGTCCACCACTTCCAACCTTGGACCCCGGTCCGATGCCGCAGGTCCCGCAGCCGCCGCCGCCACCCAACAGTCCGCCCGGCAAGCCCTCAACTAGTGGAGATCTGATACAACTGAAAGACTCTGCATGCACTACTACGACATGCCTACTCCGTCGAATCCCTCGTGCTGCTGCGTGCCTCCTCCCACGTCCCAACCTACCTACCCAACATAACACCAGGAACGGAAGGGCTGAGCGTGCAGTGGGCACAGACGATAATAACCTACCCAGCTTGTCTCGAGTTTTGGCGTGTAACAAATTCGACTTTCCTAATTCCATTCTACCCGCAGGTTTGCATATACTCCATACATGACTCCATGTCATTTCTCTCACATCTTGGGGCGGCTAACCTAGTGCCACCACGCCCGTCCGTCCGTCCGTCCATCCATCCGTCCGTCCTTTCTTTTTCTTCCTTTTGGTTCGATTTTGATTTCTGCCTGCTACGTACACTGCTGGCAGCTCGTCGCATTTCTTCACCGGCTGTCTCTGTCTGAAGAAACCTAGCCGGCCCACATTTTTTCACCTCTAGAAGTGCCGCTGTTTCATGTCGATCGCCGACTCGTCACTGGTCCCCCGCCGCCGTCTGGCTCTACACTAAAACTTGCCAACCAGACTTGTCTAGAGTCTGGAATTGCCGGGCAGTCATCAGTCTACAAATAGCTTTCTCTCTCTCGGCTTGACGTAGCCGAGCCGGCTGCAACAAACATTTTTTATTTGGTACCGCGGCCGCTCCCGAAACATAATCGAACCGATGTCCGCATTTTCTGTTTGTTACGTCTCCCATTCACAGCCATTGATCGGCCAATCAGTCCTGGGTCGCCTCTTACAAACACACACTCTCTTGCTTTGTCGCGGATCGTGAAGCTTGGTCCCAAGCTTGGTCCCAAGCTAGGGTAAGGTAGGTAGTGAGTTGAATGGGCGTGCAGCAGCTGTCTGAGGAGCCGAGGGAGGGAAACCCCTCGCAGCGCCGCAACTGTGCGCCCTTCAACCAACCTCACCCGAGCACCACACACCACGCACCCAAGCGCACAAACGCCCACTTAGTTTGAACATTTGGACGGATCCTGCAGGCGGTTTTAGATTAGGCAGGCTCGCTGCTTTGTTTTGCTTCACTTCGCTTGGCTTTGCTTTGGGTTGTCCAAGCAAGCCAGTCCATAGGTAGGTATGCTGCAGTTACGGATACATACATGACCAAGGACTTTGGTTTGTGCAACGCCACTGCGTAAGGAACCTAGCACGTATGCATGCATTCCTGGGCTAGGTAAGGTACGTAGGTAAGGTACGTAGGTTCCGTGTTGTTCATTTCACTTCGCACAGGTCCATGTTTTGTGGACGGACAGACGGACGGGTAGTAGGCGGACTCTCTCGTTTTGATGAAACAGGAACACAACCCTCTCTCTTCCTGTCTTGTTTGTATGTATGCGCCTCAGTTCCGCCCTAAACCGCAAACACATACCCTTCCATTGACTGCCCTTGGTTGCGTTGAACCTGGCAAAGGCGACAGTGAAACACTGTGTGTAGCTAGGTGAGGTATTTGTCTATTCAATATGCCCATCTCCATTGTCCCCCGCCGCACCCATACTGGTAATCCTTTAGGTCGAGGTACCTAGGTTGGCATGTCCACGCGCGCGGGCAAGGGAGGAGTCGATGATCATCAAGTCCTAGTTTCTCTTTGGGGAAGTTACTTGCAAGTGACACCACCTTGGTCAAGCTTGAATGGTTTGCGTGAGACAGGTTGAGAAGGGGATAAAAGAGAGAAATGGAATGCACGGCAATTCCGAAAGCTGCCTTGCCTCAGTAGTTCGCGTCCATACTGTACTGCAATCTTTGCCTCTCAACAATACTCCGCGCTATGTGGTCGACTGGCTCTTGTTGCAATTGCGCCCATCCCTGGGCCGCATGTTGCATGCCCTCGGCGATCACTGCAATGTCAAGACCCGGCCGCATGCTGTACAAAGAGGACGGCTGGGGCTTTTCTGCTCACTCTGAACACAATAGTACTCTGAAGAAAAATGTATGTTTCGGGTAGCAATGGCACGGCCAGGCACATATTAAGGCATTTTGATAAACCAAGATACCTGGCTCAGTAGTGCATAGGTAGTCCGCAGCCCGGTTATTAGATGTAGATATACGCATCTCTAATATCCCTTGCGAGGACAAAGCCATGTGTCATACTCAACTTGCCTTGGTCTATCGTAGTGTTGATCTACTGCCGGGCAACAGCTGCTTCGTAATCCACAATTTGATATGTATAGACAGCGTGAGAAAAAAACAAGAAGAGAGACGTCCATTTCATAGACGAATATGCCGCTGCACGTAGGTAGGCTAAGTTCGTATCAAGTGGCCGCCAAAGCCAGGCATAATCCACCGTTCCAGGACAACTGGCACAACACAGCTGTCCTGCTCGTGGGTTGACTTCAAGTCTCGGTCTGCTTTCCAGGGCTCGAAACAAACCTGGCTCGATGTGGTGATCAGGCAGGACAGGGCCTTCGGATGCTTCCAGGAGATGGACAGGGTTTCAGCCTCATCTTCACTAGGGGCTACTATCTGAGCGTGGCTCGACAAACAAAGCTTTTGCCAATGTAAACAACAGGTGAGAAACATTCGCCGTGGGAAGCGGTTTGTTGACTCTAGCGCTTTCTTGTTCGGCAATTGCTCTTCACCCTTGTCCTATCACCAAAGTTTGCTCGTGTCTGGCTGGTTTGCCGACTGGCACATGTAGTTTAGTTCAATATGTTTTGTGTTGACTGAGACCTTTTCGATTTCCTTTGTTTCGGGCCCCAGATCCGTCCAGAATGTTATCATTGTCTGAAATGCCGATCGACTGTCACTAGGCAGCCTCTACCTAAACCTTGAGAAGTCACCCGTGAAGAGTTGATGAGAGCATCGCGAGTACTTTCCCCCAACACCGCTTGCTGGCCAGGGGATAATTGATGGTGACCGTCTGGAATCAAAGTTACACTTGGCACATTGGTACATACCGGAGCATACAAGCGCAGATATCGGTCTCCAGCTGCCGACTCTCGTTCACACATTTTCAGGCAACGGGGCTAGAACAGTCCCGGATTGACGTAGCCTTCGCCCTATGCACACGTCTCATCTGATCCATGGGGTGTCTGACGGGCTCGTGCAAGAAAAGAAAAGAGCATAAATAGCTTCGCCTCGCCTCCTCCGCTTTCCTCTTACATGTGAAATGTTCCTGAATACAGAGTGGGAGAGAGACTGACTGTAAACAAAGCCATGACGCCGTATCGCCCCAACAACAGACAGGGGCTAGATGGGGACAACGGGTTAAAAAAGAATAGATTAATACCGGTAACTCCTGACCCGCGCGCCCAAGTAAAAAAAACAGCAACAACAACAAGAGTCAGGACTCCAACATAGCCGACCGAGAAGCGCCGAGAAGGATGGAAATAGCAGGACGATTGCCAGTCCTTCAGTTGCCAACAAATACAGAGATCTGGATCATAGTCAGTCAAAAAGCTCACGCTGCTGCTGCAAGCGCTGCCGCCAGCAAAAGCAAGAGAAGGTAAAGAGGACCGCCTTACCGCCATGAAGACACAACACAGACTTATGTAGGGGCTCAACCGCTCGCCTATCCTGGCGCACTTCCAAAAGACGCCCGTGAGGCTGTTTGTTGAGAAAAGAAAGAGCTGTTAGCATGCATGCGTGTGATTCTTTTTCTCTCTCCCTCCTTTCTCAGTCCGCCTGCGGAAGATCTTGCCGCTTTATTCTTGTCTTGCCCCCCCTCCTCCATATAAACTCACCCAGTCTTGTTGCGGTCGAGGATCGCGGGGAATATCTGGTGCACGTAGGCGCACGTGCAGATCAGCAGCAGCAGGACGAGCAGCAGGCTCTGGAAGTTGAAGAGCGCCGACTGTAGGTAAAAGGCAACGACGGCCATGTTAGCATGTGTTTTTGTGTTTGAACTTTATTGGGGCCTTCTCCTGAGGAATGGTTCTTTTGCGCCAGCTACTGCGCTCTAGCCACTGGTCTTCCCCCCTCGATTCTTTCCTGCCCACCTCCTCTGGTGTTCAAAACGTACCATGCTGATCGTGTGGCGGCGACGCGCGGCGAGAGCTGGTTTGAGAGAGATGCGCTGTGGGAGGATGGCAGTGAGATCGCAATAGCACGCGCAGCTAAGTATCGGCGGCGGCTGAGCCGGGGTGCGTATCTATCGAAGACAGTTGTAGTTGCGCCTGGTCGGGGTGTCGCGCTTTCGATGATGTCGATCCCGATGATGCTCGTTTTCGGTTTTGGAGACTGGCGTGAGGCCAGGGTGTCATAGCTCCTTCGAATTGGGACACCTTTTTTCCCCGCCAAATTTTGGGGAGGCTTGGCACCAAGCGCCCCCCGAGAATTAAGCGAGGCAAACCCCTGCGGAGCTTCGTTGCGGCTGGGCCCGACAGCGTGTCCACTGTCCACTGCAATTCAGCTCCGGCTGAGCTGAGCTGTTAGTGGGCCTCCAGTGGCAGGCGAAAGAAGAACCTCTGGTTTCGCGGCATCAAACGACAAATTTCATTAGAAAAATACATCAACTACGAGAAAGAAAAAGCGTCATCCCGAACGGAGCTTTGGATCTAGCACTCTGTCCCTTCTCTTGAAAAACTGAATGGACGAAGAGTGAAGGGTGGGTCCACGGGTACCCACTTCACAACCTGGACCGTTACCACCCCACTGTTACACGAGCTGTCGTCTGCCGGGGGTTCGTCATTCCAGAGCCTCAACTACATTTCATATAGCCTTGCAAACGTCTGCTCATCCCGTGCAGTGGAAGGTGCGACGCATTTCCTTCACGACCTACGCCCGCACTTTTTTCTTCACTTTCCCGAACCCAGCAGTATCTGCCCAACGAGAAGCAAAAAAAGGCTGACCGAATAAGATAAGACAAAAAAACCAATCTTCTCATCAGTACTACCTTACATACTGCCGCCCGAGCTCGCGCGACCTTCTCTTTCAGTCTCTCGTTTATCTCATCTCCCTCTCACGACCGCTCACCAGTCTTTATACGCATCCACACAAAAATCCAAGCAACCCGACAAGATGGAGCCTCGTGCGCGCGCCGGCAAGAATGTCGGCAAGATGAACTTTGCGCACAACGAGCGTAAGCATTTCTGCCTCTTCCCATTCCGTCCTTCCCCCCTTTGGCCTGTCACATACACCTCACCAACTTCTACCAGAAAAGTATTCTAACTCTGCTTGGGTCAGTGGCGCAGCTGCTGTATGGCGACGGCGATGTCAAGGCGCCGCTGCCGGAGACGGTGCGGGTGCTGGACGAGATCGTGACCGACTTCATCCAGGGGGTGAGCTTCGAGGCGACGCGGGCGGCGCACCACGCGGGGCGGCAAAAGGTCAAGTTCGAAGACTTCGAGTTCGCCATGCGCCGCAACCCGCGCTACATGGGCAAGATCCAGGAGGTATTTGAGAAGAAGAAGGAGATCGAGGCCGCCCGCAAGAACTTTAATATTGACGACCAGCTGGTCCGCGAAACCAACGCTGAGGAGAAGCAGGCTAAGCAAGCTTCCGCTAAGGAAGGTGGCGCCAAAGGTGGCTCTGCTGGTGAGGGAGGATCCAAGGGCGGCTCTGCTGCTGGAGGTGCGGCCCGAGGCGCCAAGCGACCCCGCCCTACCGAGGAGGAGCTCGACGAGGGCGACGACGATTTGGACGCCGAGGCAGACATTGGCACGGCGACGAAGAAGAGAGGCTGATTTCGACACGGCAACGAAGAGATGAGCGGGGGGTAGGCGTTCTCGAGTGGGTGGGTCAGTGAGAGTGTCTTGACTATTTGCCTTTCTTCTCGGTGGCCCGGTTTATTTACAAAATGGCATAGCTATGGAGTTTTTTTTTTTTTTTTTGGGGGGGGGGGGTGACTTCTGTTTATGGGAGTGCGACTGGCGTCTGGGTTTGTATCACGGAGAGTGGCATGCCTTCGAATGGGGAGCAGAAGAGAGGACAGGACAGGACAGGACAGGACAGGACAGGACAGGACGGACAAAATATGGTCGGGAATGAAGATGCTTCGAAACTGCATCATGGACATACGAAAATCATGGAAATATGGGCGACGAGCCACAGTGACCGCGGTATCGCATGCAGGGGCTTGCCACCAATCCCCTCTCCTGCCAGTGCCAGCCCAGCAGCGCGCTCGTCCGCTAGCCCGTGACCCCAGCGCGGTACCTGTCATCCGGTCTCCCCTGATAAATTTGGCGCACACCTGACCCTAGGCAGCTGCCCATATAGCGCCAGCTACCAGGGCGTCCCAGCACCAAGAAACGTCCGTCCGAAAGTCTACAAGCCAAGCCCGCTGTGGTGTAGTCAGTAATGCACGGGGGGTTTCAGGATTCTAGTGGGAACCTGGGAGGTTGGGTCTTCGATTCACATGTCGCACACCTGGTTTAATGGCCTCCTAGACTCTCCGAGGGGATCCTCCACGGCGCATATGGTATGTGCCCGTGCTGGAGGGAAGTGCGTAGCCCCACCTACTTCCTTCGTTTCCTATGATGCTTCAGGGATGAACGTCTCGGGTTCTAGGGCTCAGGGTGACCGCGCTTCTGTGGGGCTAAGGGCTTGGGAGGACGAGTTGTTGGGCTCACCGTGGGTGAGCAGCTGCACTCGGTCTCAGCTGGCCTATAGCACATGGGGATGAGGTCGTCCTCTCCCCAAGGGGGTAACACCCGAGATGGTTTGTCCCTGTGAGAGAGTTCCGGTGCAAATCCGGTCGGCGGGCTAGCTTGTTCAAGACGATTAAGACAAAGACACACACAATATGCAATATTCTTTTTTTCTATGCTTTAAATCTTTTTTTATATCACTTTATGAATTCGGAATCCAGTCAGCCTGGCGATGCCACACCGCAATTCGGAGCAGCGGCTCGTCATCATCATCATCGCCGTCAATAAAGTCGCCGCCGTTACTAGGAACATCAACGTGCAGCGCAACAATGACCTGCCTGGTGCTCGCCCACGGCACATTGAACAGGCCCGTGTTGATCTGGCACATGCGCAGCTCGGAGATAATGTGACTTTCCGCGTCGATCGCCAGAACCTGTTGCATCAAGTCCTGCATCGCAGGCTTTGTCGCCCTCAGAATGCTGGCGGGCGAGTCGCGGTCCTGGCCCACGCGCCTGCTCGTGAACAGGCACCCGATGTAGTGCGGCGGTGGTTTCCGCTGCTGCTGCTGCTGTTTTGACTCGGACTTGGACTTCCTCCGTCGCTGCGGAGATTTCTTGCTCGTGGCGCCACCGTCGTCCTCCTCTTCATCATCGTCATCGTCGTCGTTTTCGTAACCGGCCTCCTGCGGCGCGATCAGTAGCGCCGTCGCGAGCAGCTCGTCTGGCGACAGCCGCTGGCAGTGGTCGCGGTAGACAGCAAAGGCCGTCGGATAGCGCAGCCGGAACGCGGCGGCAATGCCCCCGCCCCACGACCCGATGCAGTTGCACGTGTGGATCAGGACGGAGTTGGCCGGCGCGGCGAAGATGTCGCCCACTCGCTCGACGATGCGGAGCTGCTTCTTGACCGTCGGCGGGGGTGCGGCGGCAGCGGTCGCTTTGCCCTTGCCCTTCGTGTCCGTAGCCGCCTTGATGGGTCGTGCTGGCGCCCGGCTTGCGTTTGGAGAAGGAGACGGGGCCGGCTCTCGCTTTACGACTGCCGAGATGGGCGAGGGTGGCCCTCGCTTTCTTTTCCGTGAAAGGGGCGAGGCTGAGGAGCGGTTCACACTGGGGCTGCTTGACGGAGTGGACCTGAACTTGAGAGACGTGCCGGCGGCGGCAGGGGTTTCTCTTTGGGCTCCAACTTTCGGCTGGGATTTGGGGGGCTTGGAGGGAGCAGCGGGCCGTGGTGAAGGTTCGGCCTTAGGCTCTTGCTCTTGCTCTTGTTCTTCCTCTTCGTCTTGTCTAGCGGCGTGGATGAGCCTCCGCCAACTGGCGAGGAAAGACGAGAGTGATCTCGTGTTGGTGGCCCAGTTTGGCGGGTAGGCCTCGTCGCCGTCAAGCTGGTCCGCATCGCCCGGGTCGAAGTTGGGCTGAAGCCGGCGAGCCCATGCTATGTCCGACTCCACGATCCTGTCTGCGTTGGCATTGCCCGCATCTATGAACCGAAGCAACTGACGGGCACGGAGCAGATGCTGCTCGTTGACTGGCGCTGGGCGGGCCGCGTTGGCCTTGGCCCCCTTCTTTTTAGCTCCCGCTCGGCTCTTCGCCTTCTTAGCTACCTTATCCTTCTTCGGAGGCATGACCTTCGGAGGCATGACCTTCGGAGGCATGACCTTCGGAGGCATGATCAATCAGGAAGTGAAGCTGAGGATATTATTCATTCAGTAAACAAAACATGGACTGTTGGTCAAGGGGGTGAGGTGCATACCAAACAACTTAATTCCATTGCAAGTTGTGAAGCTACCTATATAACGACCCAGGGCACTGGAAGCTGTCTTTTGTTGTCCTTTGTTCGTATTCTATTCTCTTGGGAGTCCGTTCCGGCAGAGTACGCACTGGAACGGACCCATCGACCTTGGGTTGTCTTTGTTCTTTTCCTTACTGCCGCTGAAAACGTATTTGCTTGATTGCGCATTTTGCAGAGATCTGCGTCTGCTTTCGAGGGACAGCTGTTTGTGTTGTTGTTACTGTGGCTAGAGAGAAAAGGGGGTGGGTGTTTGGGACACGATATGAATACATAGCTTGCTTACGACATTCCGCAACTCTCACTCGGTTACACCAAACGAGCCTCATTGGTAGCTCAATTCAGACCTGGGACTCAGGACACCGTCTTACGTTGCCGGATTCTTTAGTGTAGAATTGAAGATAGTAGAGGCGGCGCTAAGGCCTAAGGGACCGATGTATGTTTGTACAGCAACTTAGGTACCTTACCTACGAATACCTTGGCTGCAGGGCCGCAGCCGTCCCGCGCCGCCCTGTAGGATGGATGGATGGATGGACGGGTGGATGGGTAGCGTCTCAGAGCCTCGGACTCTTGTCAGCCGAACCGTCGGGTATCTAATGAGGTCATGTGTGCCAGCCGTTTGAGCTGAGATTGCTGTGCTGCTGTGCCATCGGAGTGGTTGATTGAAATAGGTGAGGTTGGGTGCCAAAAGACCGATCCCGGTCTCTTGAAGCCAGCGATGTACGCAATTAGCTTGAAGGAGTCTGGAATAATTTCGGACCCTTTTAGACAGTGCAACCTTTTCTTCAAGGATAAATGGAAATAAGAATGCGTGCAAATGGAGATAAGGAGTAGTGATGAGAGTGCTCTTGCCCTGCAGGAAACTAGGAAACGTGGGAGAGCACTTGACAAGACCTGCCCTTGCCTGTTTGCACCTCCCCGCACCCCCCCCTCTCGCTATGCTCCACACCGCACCTACCAAGTCCCAACCTCGTCCCGCCACAGACACGGATGCCACAGCCGCAGCGGATGATGACACTGACAACAGGCCCTGGTTCTTATCAGCTGGGAGTAGACGAGTGGCTAGTGGCCGGCGCGCATTCTTACCTAGACGCATGGCTATCGGAAAAGGCACCTCAGCGACATCGGGGCACGGGCTGGTCAGGCACTCAATGTATGATTTGATGATGAAATCCCGGTTCACGGTGATGCAGCTTGCAGAGCGGATAGGTCGGTCGGCGCCTTTGCCTGTTAACGGCGCCTCAGGTTGGCATCGCCCCCCCTCTCTCGTTCTCTCCCGCACGCGCTAAAAGGCTTCCTTCAGGATGGCGTTTCCCAGAATGGCGAACTTCTGTGTGGGGAGGCCCGATTACCAGGCAGTGCTGGGATTTTTTTTTTTAGCTCTCGTCGAGTTTCCTTCTCTCTTTCCTACCTTACTTCTTCGTCCTCACTATTTACCTACCCGGTATCTTAGTTTAAAGGATTCCGGCTTACACACGCGCTTTGGTTTTTGGGAGCATGCTGCTGCAAGGTCTTTCGTTAGGTAGTAATTGCAGTTGTTTTCTTTCCCTGTAACCTGGGACCAGACCAACCCCCCCCCTCCCCTCTCATCAACCACCCCCTTCCAGTGGCTCGCTGCTTTTGAACTTGTGCACCCCCCTTATGTCGTGGCCCCTGGGTTGGTTGACTCCTGACGACCATGACCTATTTCCTCCAAATCCCCCAGACTCCTCGCTCCAAAACGAGGATCGAGGACGGTGAATATGACGATATCACCGGCCACCTCCCATCCAGTCCCTACAAGCAGGACTCGTCGCTGCTGAGCTTGGATGCTCTTCGTTCACTTTCGGGCAGCCCCTTCTCCGAACATGGGCCACTGTCGCCGGCAATGTCGAGAGCCCCGTCCCCGTGCCCACCGCCGCTCCATCCGCGCACATGGTCGAGGCCCTTCTTTGAACAGGCCTGGGCCCGGTTCTGGGGCCGGAACCGAGGCGTTGTTTTGGTTGGAGTCGCCCAGCTTTTCGGTGCCCTCATGAATCTGGCTGCACGGCTTCTCGAGCTGGACGGAGAGGGCATGCACCCCTTCCAAATCCTCTTCGGCCGCATGAGCATAACCACCGTCCTGGCCTGTATTTATATGTGGTGGACCAAGGTTCCGCACTTTCCGTTGGGCGCCAGGGGAGTGAGAGGCTTGCTGCTTGCGAGAGGCTTCACTGGATTCGTATGTCAAACTGTGCCCGTCACTTATCCCCCAACTCGCATATCCGCGCAGGTTGCCCGTCGGCGCCGCTAACATGAAGGCCTGTTTAGTTTGGGATTTTCTCCATGTGGTACTCGATGATGTACTTGCCTCTTGCCGAAGCCACTGTCATCACCTTTCTGGCCCCGAGTCTGTCGGGGTACATATGTCACCTCGTGCTCAAGGACCCCTTCACGCGGAAAGAGCAACTGGCATCATTCATCGCCCTCGGCGGAGTCATTCTTATTGCGAGGCCGACGTCACTGTTTAGCGGATCAACACCAGCAGGCGAGATCATCACAGGCCCAATTGACGTCACGGTCAGGAGCACCAACACCACCCACACGACGCCTCATCAAGGTGACGAGCCGACGCCAGCAGAGAGGCTGTTCGCCACCGGGGTTGCGCTCATTGGTGTGCTTGGGGCAGCTGGAGCGTTTACGTTAATTCGCTGGATAGGGAAGCGAGCGCATCCACTCATAAGCGTCACGTACTTCTCAACCTGGAGCACGCTGGTCAGCACGGCGGCCCTGCTTTTCTTTCCGATGCTCGATATTGGGCAGCCCGAGATCCGGTTCGGCATGCCGGCTTCGGCATACCAGTGGTTTCTCCTGCTCTCGCTTGGCCTGAGCGGCTTCATCATGCAGTTCATGCTCACGGCCGGGCTGGGGGGAGAGAAGTCGAACCGGGCCACGGCCATGGTCTACACGCACATGCTGTTCGCGGCGGGCTTCGACAAGTGGGTGTTTGGGCACGAAATGGGCGTCATCAGCCTCATCGGGTGTACACTCATCGTTGGAAGCGCACTCTGGGCTGCGCTGGCTAAGAAGGAGCCGGCAAAGAAGGCGGGAGTGGATATGGAGCAGAACAGCAGCGAGGTGGTGGAGGAGAGTGTCCCCATGCTCAGAGACAATGGTGGTGAAGACGAGCAGGAAGACGACGAAGATGGAGCATTTGTGTTGCGGCAGGTTAGATAGAATCTAGATGAGAAGAAACAAAAAAGGCGTATCAAGATGGTAATTACGAGTCAAACAAACAGATAAATAAATACAGACCCCTAGCAATATTTGCTTGTATCTGGGTTACCTGGGTACGGCTTATCGCAGCGGTAAGAATGCAAGGCCAAAAGGATTATGATTCTGAATACTGCGTACGCACCTTGGGAAAAGGGGTGAGGGTTCACAAAGGAGGATCGCAGCGGTGTTTGGAAATAGACCCACTCTACCTGCTCAGCGCCCACCATGACCAAAGGAAGGCCTAAGCGTTGCACACCGAGGTGTAAGCTTTAAGCACGGGCCTCTCGGATTCTGGCCGCTGTTGCGCAGGGAAATTTGAAGCTTTTGGAGCTTGTCACTGGTGCCTGCCTGCGTCGGAATTTCTCACAGCATTTCTCACAGCCACTCTTGTTCTCGCCCTCCGCTGATTCCCAAAAAAAACAAGACGCCCCAACTTTCCCCGCGCCGATTGCTCTCGAGGTTGCACCCTTCCCTTCCAGAAAACTAGCACCCAGAAAAAGCGCGACAATGGTACAAATCAGCGAGGTCAAGGGCAACAATCGCGACAACCGCACCGCCGCCCACACGCACATCAAGGGTCTCGGTCTCAATGCCCAGGGGATTGCCGAGAAGCAGGCCGCGGGCTTCGTGGGCCAGGCCACGGCGCGAGAGGTGAGCGGCGCGTTTTGAACTCGGGGAGGCCATCGAGATGCAAATTGCAGCAAGCAGCCTGCAAGTTGCAACGCGATGCGATGCGATGGCAGGAAAAAGAGGAAAAAACTGACATGATATGAACCAACCAGGCATGTGGTGTCGTCGTCGATCTCATCAGAGCACACAAAATGTCGGGCCGCGGCGTGCTGCTAGCAGGCGGCCCTGGCACCGGAAAGACGGCCCTGGCGCTCGCCATCAGCCAGGAGCTCGGCACCAAGATCCCCTTCTGCCCTATCACGGGCAGCGAAATCTACTCGACAGAAGTCAAGAAGACCGAGGTGCTGATGGAGAACTTCCGGAGGGCGATTGGCCTCAAGGTCCGCGAGACAAAGGAGGTGTACGAGGGCGAGGTGACGGAGCTGACGCCCGAGGAGGCCGAGAACCCGCTCGGTGGCTACGGAAAGACCATCAGCACGCTCTTGATAGGACTCAAGAGCGCCAAGGGTCAGAAGAAGCTGCGCCTCGACCCCAGCATATACGAAGCCATCCAGAAGGAGAGAGTCACGGTGGGCGACGTCATCTACATCGAGGCAAACACGGGCGCCTGCAAGCGCGTCGGCCGGTCAGACGCCTACGCCACCGAGTTCGATCTCGAGGCCGAGGAATACGTCCCCATCCCCAAGGGCGAGGTGCACAAGAAGAAGGAGATTGTCCAGGATGTCTCGCTACACGACCTAGACGTGGCCAACGCGCGCCCCCAGGGCGGTCAGGACATCATGTCCATGATGGGCCAGCTCATGAAGCCCAAAATGACCGAGATCACAGACAAGCTGCGGACCGAGATCAACAAGGTCGTTAGTAAGTATATCGACCAGGGCGTTGCCGAGCTTGTTCCGGGCGTTCTGTTCATCGACGAGGTACGTTTTGATCTTTAAGTGCATGTCTTGCCGTCGGCGAACGCGCCATGCTGACACAGATACGCAAACGACAGGCGCACATGCTTGACGTCGAATGCTTCACCTACCTCAACAAAGCCCTAGAGTCCCCAATCTCGCCAATCGTTGTTCTGGCCTCGAACCGGGGCATGGCGACGGTCCGCGGCGCCGATGACCTCGTGGCGGCTCACGGTGTCCCCCCTGACTTCCTCACCCGGCTGCTCATCATTCCCACGCACCCGTACGAGCCAGAAGAGATTAAGAGAATCGTGCGCATCCGCGCCGCCACCGAGGGTGTTCAAATCACGGACCCTGCTATTGATAAGATTTCAGAACACGGCGTTCGCATCAGTCTGAGATACTGTCTCCAGCTCCTAACCCCTGCAAGGTACGTTGTTGGTCGGGTGCTGTCTCGGTTGTTTGTTTGGCGGTGCGGGTCCGTGCTGACGGAGAAACAGCATCCTTGCACGGGTCAATGGCCGCAGCCAAATCGACCTCCTCGACGTTGCGGAGTGCGAAGACCTGTTCCTGGACGCCCGGCGAAGCGCCAAGGTGCTGGCGAGCGAATCTAGCCATGGGTTAATTTCATGATTTTGTCGCGCAGCTGTAAGAGAAGACGACGAGTCGCCGTGCGGTGTAGAGACAAACGCTCGCACGAGACTCGTCATATATCCGAATTTACAACTATGATAGATGAGGGGATACGGTCGGTTGGGAAAATTGCCTTTTCGGCTGGAGTCGTTGGCGTGTCTCTATATTTTTTCTCCAACCTTTTTTTGTCTTTTTATCTTTTATTATTTTTTGTTTTGTTATGTCTTGTTTTTGTTTTCTCCGACAAGGGAGAACAGGGGAAACGGGCGAGTGGGGCGGATTTGCGCGGGATTTCGCTCGTCAGTCAGTTAAGTTTCCATACCCTCAAAGATTGGGCCTGAAAGCACTTTTTCTCCCTCAAAGAAAACAGGCATGGATACCAGCCGGGCTGGCGCAGAGTGCAGAATGGACAAGCAACAAGAGTCAAGCGGGCGGGAGAGAGAGAGAGAGAGAGAGAGAGAGAGAGAGAGAGAGAGAGAGAGAGAGAGAGAGAGAGAGAGAGAGAGAGAGGTGAGGGGGTGGCTAGGCCAAGTTCAGCTGACATGGTCTTTGTCCAGTTTCGCATTCCACGCCGGCCGCTCTGCCACATTCCTTTGACATTGTCATGGCTGAGGGAGGTTGGACTAAAGGCTATAACATGGCTTCTCTGTCTCTTGCCATTTGGCTGCGACTTCGCACTGCGAACGGAATCCTGCAAACGCTGGACAAAGAATCCTCAGGTGGGCAGCTTGGTTGGGCTCGGTACATTCCCGAGACATCTGAAGACTGCCCACCACTCCAGCTCAGGCCCGCCCACCCCGTCCGTCATAATAGCTACCTTTTGATCGTGGGTGGATAGCAATGATAAGGTCATCAGCGTGGGAGGCAGTATCATTGTCTAGCCGCCCGCCCCATTAATGAGAAATCATGTCACAAAGGGGACAATCCAACAACAAGTCGCTCCTGCTATCTGTGTCTGACTTGTTCTTCACTTCCTGCTGATGGACGGGTGAAATTTGCCTCCGCGCCCCCTCTTCTAATAATATTCCCGTCTCCTTTTTTTTTGCCTGTTTTGAATTTGTTCTGTGGGCTCGTTACGCACCATCCTGAAGCCGATCCCAGCAGCGGTGCGGCGGACGACAGAGACACAGGATCCGCGGGCCCCTGGCTCTTTTGACAGGCCGGCTTGCTTTCGGTCTTGGGCTCCTCTCTCTCTCTCTCTCTCTCTCTCTCTCTCTCTCTCTCTCTCTCTCTCTCTCTCTCTTTCTCTCTCGCTCGCTCCTCGCTCCCTAAGTCTGCGTTTGCGCCTACGTTCCCCACCTACCTAGTGCCCTTTCACCTCTCCCTTCTTGAAAAAAATGACAGGAGTCGTAGTGACCTCGTCTGTATCGCTGCCGCCTCCTGCCATCTCGGGGCCTGTAACTCGTTCAGCCATGTCGGCCAGGCAGACAGGAATAGTGGCAGCAAATGCGAGACGACTGCAAACACATCACCAGCAGCAACAACAGCAACGGCAACAACACCGCTCCGAGACCTCGGTGGCTGTAGCTCCCTTACCTAGCACTAGTACTACTTCTTCTCCTTCCCCATCTTCAAGTCTCCATCGCCCTCCTCCTCCCTCTTCATCCTCAACTTCTCGCCATCCGCCGCCTCACTCCCCCAGAGGCCCGCTAACGAGAAAGCGAGCGGCCTCGATCAACACGGACGAGGCCAACCACCCGCTGATCGAGAGCCTGAGCCTCAACACGCCCATCGACTTTGCAGGGAGCAGGAGCAGCCCGCGGCCGCTGGAGCCGGCGAGGGCAGACCTTATATGCCTCTGTACTCCGGCTCCCAAGATCCCCCGGCCACGAAACGGTACGTCTTGAGCTTTTTTTTTTTTTTTTTTTTTTTTTTTGAATGATTCCCCTTTCTTGCCTTCTGCTGCAGCCTGACTGAGAAGCGGCTCACCCTGGGACGCTGGGTGTATTCTTTTGTTTTTGGTTGGAAGGCGTGTTTTTTGCTGCCTGCTTTCCTCCCTTTCTGCATATCATCTGCCTAATTTTCCTCCGGTTTCTTTTTTTTTGGTCTATCCTTTGTCACTTGAGTCAAGTCTCAAATGAGCCACTTAGCGGAGAAAAAAGGAGAGAGGATAAAAGAAAAGAGAGAACAGGAGAAGACATGGAACCGAGACACGCATGTCACTGCATTAAAAGGCCCAGGCTGAGAACGGACAAGAAAGAAGGAGAAAAGAGAAAAGAGACGGCCAGCTAACCGCTCCCACCCCACTACAGCATTCATCCTCTACCGACAACACCACCAAGCGCAGGTGGTGGCGCAGAATCCGGGGCTAGCCAACCCAGAAATCTCAAAGATCATCGGCGAGCAGTGGCGCGACGAGCCCGAGGAGCGCAAGAACCAGTGGAAGCGGCTGGCCGAGGAGGAGAAGCAGCGGCACCAGCGGCAGTACCCCGACTACCGCTACCAGCCGCGGCGCGGGAACAAGGGGGGTAGCGCTGGAGGAGGCCCGGCGTCAGCGCGGCCCGCCTCGTCGCCTTCGGTGGGTCCCGGTGAGGACCCCGGCCGCTGCCTGAAGTGCGGCGGCCGGTACATTGCGACGCCACGCACGCCGTCTACGCCGTTCCCGCTGTCGTCGTCGTCGGCTTCGTCCCTGTCCGCTAAGGCCGGTTCCGTGTCGTCCGGGTCGGGAAACATGCACCACCACAGCCACCATTCGCAACACCAGCGTCACCAGCATCCGCCGCCGTACATCTCGCCATCCATTGCCGAGCGGCCACACATGCACTCCTCCCCCCCCCACCACCATCAGCAGCCTACACTGCCAGGCTACGGCCTCCTCCCTCTCCGCCAGCAACAGCAACAGCAGCAGCTGGCCGAGCTGCGAGCAAGCCGCTCGTCATGGCCGCCGCCGCCCACGCCAGCAACGCCCGGGACAGCAGGTACGACGTCCCAAGGCTACGGCCCGCCGCCGCCGCAGCACGGCCTTTACGACATCCACGAGGACTACGAGCCGGCGTCGGCCGCTGTGTCGCCGTCCGAAGCCAAGCGCCGCCGCTATAACATAGCCGGCAGCTACCACAACAGCGCCTACCAGGCGGCCATGCTGTCTCCGCCACCAGGGGCCGCTTACGGTGGGGTTGGGGCCGGCAGTGGCGGGCACCCGCTGAGGCAAAACGTGCGCCAGTCGTCCATCAGCAGCAGCAGCGGCGGTGGCGGCGTGCACTCGGGCCCGCCGACGCCGACGCCCACGCCGGGGTACAGCGGTGGAGGCGGGACGCCGCTGCCTGGCCCATCGACGATGCTGACGCGCGCCACGAGCACCGGGCATGCAGGAGGAGGAGGAGGCCACATGGGCCCGCCGCCGCGGCCGTCGCTGGTCGTGCCGCACCACGTCCACTCGGCGGTGGCAGCGCACCAACAACAACAACACCACGCCGTGTCTCTGTCGTCTGCTGGCGGCGGCGGCGGCGCCTTCGACGAGTCGCTGCGCCTGCCGCCGCTGCAGATGCACCTCCCGACCTCGCCAGCGTCCGAGGTCAGCACCGCCGGCCCAGGCGGGATGCTGGCCAACAACGCGCTGGGGATTAGCGGCGGCGGCGGCGGCGGCGGCAGTCATCGCCAGCAGCAGAAACACCACCACCACAATCATCACTCCCAGTACTACCGTGTCAGCCAGCAGCAACAACAACAACAGCAGCAGCAGCAGCAGCGCAGCATCGAGGCCATGGTCATGAGCATCCCGTACCTCAATAAGCTGCGCGTGCTGGAACGCATCAGCCCGCCGCTAACGTCGTCGTCGGTGAGAAGCACGGGTAGTAGCGGCGGTTCCGAGCGCGGCCCCATCATCGCCGTCGAGGGCCCCGACCGCCGGCTGGTGCGGCTCGTGGGCGCCGCCGTCGAGAAGGCGCTGGCCGCATTGGGCGAGTGCGACGTGCGCACATGGATGTCGGTTGGCAATGGCGATGGCGAGTACGGCTTGTCGTCATCCTTTCCGTCTTGGAACCCCGGTGTTGGCGCAGGTGTGGTGGAGAAAACCAACGACGGCCACGACGGCCACGACGACCACGACCACGACACGCACATGGCCGATGCTGCTCCTCCTCTTGCTGCTTCAGGAACTGGCCAGGTGTCGCGCACGGGCAGCGTCGTCACCAGCGCGAGCGCCAGCGCCAGCGTCAGCATGAGTGTGAGCAGTAGCAGCGCCGCCGACGACAGCGCCGCCGCTGGCAACCCGTTCGCGGCGTACCTGCAGACCATGCTCGAGTGGCAGGGCAAGTCGGCCGAGATTGTGCGGTTCGTGACGACGGCGCAGCATCCGGGGTCGTCGTCGTCATCATTGTCTCGGAACACGACTGTTGCTGCCGCTGCCACTGCTACTGGGGCGGCGGCGGCGGCGGCAGACTCGTCGTCGCCGCTTTTGTCCCTGCCTGACGACACCGCTGCAGAGACCGGCGGCAAGAAGAGGGACAGCAAAGAGAGGGCTACCGCCAGCAGCAGCGAGAGACTGGAGGCGCAGGACAAGAACATGGACACAGATAAGGCAAGGGCAGCACCCCTGCTCCCCGTTGCGCTGCTCCCAGCCGGCTTCAGCCTCACAGTCGCCGACCGCTTCGCCTGCGCGGTGCCCATCGCCGACGCGTACGCGCCCGTCGACCACTGGCAGTGGATGGCGACGCTGTGGCGCGGGATCGCGGGCGCCGACCTCGTCGTCTACGTGCGGCCTGTTTCTGGGACTGGAGCATTAGCAGCGGCAGTGGTCGATGATCCCGGCCTCGCCGCCCATCAGCAGCAGCAGCAGCAGGGGGTCGAGCTTAAGACGCCTGGCCTCATGGTGGTGCGCGTCGGTGTTGATTCGGGGGGCATGGACGAGAAGACGGAGCGCCGGCTGGGGTTCGAGGTTGTCGAGTGGATGCGGGCTCGCTCGTGGCGTGTGGACGGCTGGACCGGCGCAAGGGATGTCGGCGAGGGAGGGGGAGGAGGAGGGGCGTGGGAGGGCTGAGGGGTTTGCCTGCCTTGTTGTCATGGCTGTTAGAGTGTGAGGGTTGGGATGTTAGGTGGGGTATTGTGTTTGGCTCTGAAGTTTGGAAAAGGGGCCGCTCCAGAGGAGGGCCGGGGTTTGTTTGAAATGGGGTTGTTTCTCTGTTTAAATCTTTTCTTTTTCTTTTCTTTTCTCTCTTTTCACCACTTCAAGCACGTACCTATCTTACCTACCTTACCTACCCCCGTTCTTCTTCGTTTCCGTTCCCGGCACTCTTTTACTCTCGATTCACTTTTTGTTCACGACGAATACCAAATACATTTGCTAGATAAAACACACACCGGCAGGGGTTGTGTTTGCTTGCCAGCGCCCCGCTTTTATTTATTTACTTGAAGAAAAAAGGGGCGGGCAGGCACCTTGATGGTACCAAAGTATCTGTCGACGAGCAAGAAAAAACAATAAAAGGAACCCAAGCCTATCGACGGTTTCCTTGATAATAACCGGCCGCAGAATTGTTGGGTTTGTTGATTACCTCTACGCAAGTAGGTAGTAGGTAGTCACGGCAAGGTAGAAATGGATCCGTGAATTGCCTGTCGCGGATTGCCATGTCTGTGTCTCGGGATCTGAGATTGCAACCCATATATTGTTGTTGTTTTCCCCCCTCTTTTCTCAAATGAACCTCACACAACTAAAGTGTTTGATGGCTGCTTACTTAAATTACATGGTATGGAAATTTTGGTTGAAATAAATACGGGAGTAGAGGAAGTGGGAAGACTCTGACGAAATTGGTCACGGGCTAATAAAGGGTCAGATTGGGCTGTGCACCTCGCGACGCCTTATCCTTGTAAGGCACGACCACGCAGTAAATGGCCTTCTTTGAAAGTGAGATTCCAGTTCGTACCGCGCAATGTAGGGAATATATTCTGTAAATATTTTTGGACTGCCTTGGAACTGCGGGTTGCGTATTCAAAGCTTCTACGCTGGTTTCCGTCTGATGTTCCGGACAGTGCGCATCAGAGCCCCGCTGTGACACGCCCACTGTGTTCGACAGGGGGGAGAGTCAGCTTCCCGCCCCTGCAACCTGCAGCAGCTGCAGCTGTCCGTCGCGTCCCAATCTGGCGCGGTCCATATCTCTCGTCCCCGAAACCAGGGCACCTCAGCCGGGCAGACTCCAGGGGAACCGCAACTGACAGCAGCTGCTTGACAAATACCATCGACAGCGACATTGACACCGACAGCGACATCGACATCGATATCGACATCGACATCCACATCGACATCGACATTGACGCAGGGCATGACGGCTGGCTCGAGGCGCGCACCATGGCGGAGCTCGCAGTAGGCCAGCGCATCGTGCTGAACGACGGCCGCAATGCCACTATCCGCTTCGTCGGCATCACCGCCTTCGCCGCCGGCGAATGGGTCGGCGTCGAGCTCGACGACGGCTCCGGCAAGAACGATGGCAGCGTCCAGGGCGACCGCTACTTCGACTGCCCCATGGGCTACGGCATGTTCGTGAGGCCCTCCACCATCACCGTGCTCGCCCACCAGCCTCCCCCCCCCCTCCGCCCCCCAAGCAACAGCCCGCCGCCAAAAAGCCTGCCCGCCCCAGCAGTCTGTTCAACACCGCTCGCGGCCCCACCCCCCAGGACTCCGGCCTGACCAAGCGCATGAGCCTCAATGCCCCAAGCCCCAGTCCCGGCCCCAAATCAGCCCGCCCCTCCAGCATCTTGAGGTCCCCCACAAAGTCGCCCACCAAACAGCTCGCAACCGCCTCGTCCAGCGCCGCTCCCTCCCGGACCGGCACACCCTCCAATGCCGCCAAGCCCCCTCTCGGCACCAAGCCCCGCCCGTCGGTTGGCCCCAGCCGGACCTCAATGGGCCCGCCGCCCCCCGTGCTGGCTCCCAAAGCAGGTCGCCTAGTGTCGGGCTCGTCTACAACAAGGGCCGCTGCCGTTCCGTCGAGGACCGTCAGCGGTCGGCTGGCCACAGCACCGAGACCCGCCCCGATGCGTGCAGGCCTTGGGAGGAACATGTCGTCGGGCTCCCTGTCGGGGTTGGAAAGCGGCTCGACTGGCAAAGGCGGCGCCATGGGCAGGACCATTGGCTCGCCCCAGAAGAGTAGCGATGACGACGAAATCTTGTCGCCCCAGCCCACCAGCCCCGTCCAGATGAAGACGATGGCTCTCGAGAAGCTCGCGGGTGCCGCACCGCTCTCCAACCCCCGGCCGCTAGCCGCTACGGCCGCCCCGCGCCCCGCCCCTACTAGTACCGCCACGAACAAAGAGATTGAGGACCTCAAGACCAAGCTACGTATCCTCGAGAAAAAGAGGATGGAGGACCGCGAGAAGCTCAACAGCCTGGAAAAGGTCAAGGGGGAGCGCGATAAGTTCGAGCGCATCATCCACACTCTGCAGATCAAATTCCAGCCCCAGCAACAGGAAATCGCCGACCTGAAGAAGCAGCTGAAGGAGGCCGAAACAAGCCTCTACAACATCGAGGAGATACAAGCCGAACATGAGAGCGCCATGGAGCTCGCCACCCTCGACCGCGAGATGGCCGAGGAGACGGCCGAGGTGCTCAAGGTAGAGCTCGATGCCCTCAAGCAAAAGTCGGAAGAGCTGGAGCTCGAGGTCGAGATTCTTCGCGAGGAGAACGCCGAATTCACCACGGGCATGTCGCCCGACGAGAGAGCTAGCACCGGCTGGTTGCAGATGGAGAGGAACAACGAGCGCCTGCGCGATGCCCTGATCCGTCTCCGTGACCTGGCTCAGGGCCAAGAGGAGGAGCTGAGGAGCCAGATCAAGGGGCTAGAGGAAGATGTCGGCGACTTCGAGACGCTCAAGGAACAGCACGCCGCCGCCTTGGAAAAGCTGGAGCGCGCCGAGGCTACCGTGGAGGATTTCAGAGAGCAGCTGAACAACGCCTCCAGCGCTGAGGACATGATCGAGACGCTTGGCGACAGGGTCATGAACCAGGACGAGGAGATCAACGAGCTCAAGGCTGTCATCGACGACCTCGAGAGTCTGAAGGAAATCAGCGACGAGCTTGAGATCAACCACATCCAGAACGCAAAGGAGATGCAGGAGGAGCTCGACCTGCGAGACGCCCTGCTCGCCGAGCAGCTCCGGCAGGCCACGCAGCAGAAGGAGAGCATGGAAGACATGGAGTACACCTTGCTGAGATTCCGAGAGCTCGTGGTAAATCTGCAGAGCGACCTGGAAGACATGCGCGCCTCGCACGCCGTGACCGAGAACGAGTCGGAGCAGCTGAACAGCCGCTCCAGGGCCATGATGGACCTCAATATGAAGCTGCAGCTCTCGGCCGCCAAGGCCCAGGTCAAGACGATAGACCTCGAGCTACGGCGCATGGAGGCGCAGGAGGCGGACCAGCACCTCGAGATTGTCAAGCTGTTCTTGCCCGAGACGTACCAGTCCGACCGCGACTCGGTCCTGGCCCTGCTGCGGTTCAAGAGGCTGGCCTTCAAGGCGAATCTTGTCAACGGCTTCATCAAGGAGCGCGTCAACGGGCAGCCTCATCCTGGCCACGAAGATGACGTGTTTGAGGGCTGCGGCGCCATTGATAAGCTCACGTGGGTTTCGGCCATGTGCGACCGCTTTGTCAACGCGATCAGCCACTGCTCGCTGGAGCAGTTCGCCAAGTACGAGGGCGCGCTGTACGAGCTGGAGCCTGTCGAGAGAGCCCTCAACGGCTGGATCGATGGCCTGAGGCGCGACGAGCTGAAGGAGAAGCAGTGCGCAACTGAGCTGCAGCGTACCATCGCTCTCATGACGCATCTGGGCGAGGTTCACATTGCCAACGATCTCGAGAGCTTCGCCGACGACGCCCACATGAGGGCTCTGCTGATGCAGAGCAACCTAGACTCGGCCGCCGTCACGTTTGCATCTCTCAGGGGCATGGTCCAGAGGGCCATCGAGTCGAACGAGGACGGCGACGAACTGGCCCAGTACTTCTCCAAGCGGTCCGAGGCGGTCGTCAGCCAGACGCGCAGCGCCAAGGTTATCGCCGCAAAGACTGTCCGATCGCTGGAGGACCTGAAGTCGAGATCGCTGTCCCTCATGCCCGAGACCCTGGGGGCTTTCGAGCAGTGCGAGACGGCTACGCAGGAGTTGGCGGACATGGCCCGCAAGATCGGGCTCGACCTGCACAAGCTGCTGCACGAAGAGGGCAGGACGGAGCCGTATAGCTACGCCGAAGTGCAGGCGTGCGTCCAGCAGACGGCCCTAGCGGCCTTTAGCTCGAGCGAGGCAGACTTATTCTCGGCGTACCTCACAAAACTCCGCGTCGTGACGTCCCAGATAACCGACCTCGCTGCCCTCAGCGCGGATCTCGCGCAGACGCAAGAGTTTGACAGCAGCCAGCCGCCCTGGCTCCTCCGCAGCCGCGAGCTGAGGGCGCTCCGCACCGTTCCCGTCGACGCCGAGGAGGAAGTCCGCCGGCTCAAGGACGACATCAACGACCTGCGGCGCCACATTGCCATCCGCGAGGAGAGCCTCAGCACCGCTCAAGTTAAGATCGAGACGCTCGAGTCTCGCATGCGCGACGCGAACGCCAAGGCCTCGCGCATCGTCGACCTCGAGGCCCAGATTGCCGCCGCCAAGGAGCACGCGGCCGGCCTCGTCGACAGCATGCAGAAGCAAGACCGCGAGCTCCGGGCGCTCGAGGCGGACCGCGACAAGTGGAAGAAGATTGCAAGCGACAGCCGCCTCATGGCAGGGGTGGGTGGTGGCGGTGTTCCCGGCGGCGACCCCAGCCTCAGGGCCCGCCAAGAGCGAGCCGTCGCCACCGCTCGCGAGATGGACGCTCACAAGCTGGAGATTGTCGCCCTCCAGTCGGCCCTGCGCTACCTGCGCGAGGATAACCGCCGCGCCCGCTTGACGGAGCAGCCCAACTACGACTGGCTCGCCGAACCCCTGACCGCCACCCACGCGCCCGCCCTCGGGGCCGGTGCCGGCGCAGAGCACCAGCGCAAGACGGCCGCCGTCGCCGCCGAGGGCAAGGCCGTCCTCGGCGAGCTCGTCAAGCTCGCCACCTCGGCCACGCTGTACAGTCTCGACACGCTGCCCCAAGACAAGCTCGCGTGGCGCCCCGCCAAGACAACCCCCCAGTACCACGCCGCCAAGCAGCTCGAGGACTTTGCCGCGTGGAAGAGCTGGCACGACGCCGTGCTCAAGAAGTCGCACGCTCTGATGGGCCGTCCCGGCGCCGGCAGCGGCGCGTCGGCGTCGGCGCGCAGCGATGCCGCCGCGGGTAAGAAGGCCAGGGCGGCAGCCGCCGCCGCGAGGCTGCACATCACGCTCCCCGGCAGCCAGGAGAGGAAGCTCCATGCTCGAGCGGGCGAGGTGCAGATTGTCGGCTCGAGGGAGTGGGAGGGCTTGCAGGGGCGCTTGGCGGTTGTGTGAGCCAGCCAGCTAGTCAGCCAGGCAGGCAGGCAGTCAGTCAGTCAGCCAGCCAGCGGGTGGGCTATTCACTCCCTAGGAGGAAGGCAGGCCGTTGAGAACTATCTCTAATTAACTAGCGGCTTGTCGGCCGCGTGGGCGTGGATGCGGACGTGTATATATGTAGCATGGCATTCGGATATATACCCCTCGTTTTGGTTTTGTTTTATCTTTTTGTCCTTTGGGTTTGGTTTGTTGGGAAGGGACTGGAAGGAGACTGTCTGTCTGTCTGGGTCTTTGGTAAATAGAGAAGTCGGTGGCAGGCTCACAAAATGAAGCGGTTTATGCTTATTCTGTAAACACTCTCCCTGTCTCTCTCTCTATGTGTGTGTGTGTGTGTGTGTGTGTGTGTGTGTGTGTGTATGTGTGTGTGTGTGTGTGTGTGTTGGAATGATTGTGGGCGAGATTTGACGTCTTGACGTCTTGTCTTCTTAACTTGCCCATGTCACGATACCTAGTGCTGGCTTTGTCTCTGTCCATTTACTTGGCTTGATTCATTTTGCAATGGGTTTGGTCTCAGAGAGTCTTGATCTAGTAGCATGGTACTAGCCCTCTCCTTTCCCTTGTGGGGGGGGGGGGGGGAAGGGTGTCAGTTATTGGTACTTCTATTGCTATTCCTATTTCTATAGTATCATGCATGCCGCCTCTTCCTCTCCCTCTCTACCTCTCCCGTGCAATGTAGTGCTGATTTCCATGCCCATGCTGGTGCTGCCCCGGATCAAAAATGTTCAAGACACCAAAGGTCACAGCATATTCACCACTTGAAAATGTCATTTTTGCAAAGTCCCCCTCCCTCAATTTCCACCATGGCACACTCGCTGTCTTCATCATAGTGCAAACAATCAATATCTGCGCTGCACCCCAACTAGTCTTTGCCTCTTTTTTTGGGGGGGGGAGGAGGGGGGGGGGTTGTTTCTCTCTTCTAGTCAGCAGCAATCGTTCATTTCCCCTTGCCCTTTTTCTCCTTCTTGCTGCTATTCGTGCCCCCGCTCCCACTCGCACCACCACCCCCACCAGCCGCCGCCGCCAATAGGCTCGCCATATCGGCTCCCCCGGGCCCGCCGGCACCGCCCATCTCCTTCATCATGTCCTTGAGGAAGTTCTCACTAACCCCGCCGCCCGTCATGGCCGGGCTGTAGTAGGGCAGCAAATCACTCATCTTCCAGCCGCGCGGGACAGCCGGGCGCGGCCACTTGCCATCGCCGCTCCCATCATCGTGCGGGGGCGGGGGAGCGCCGCGGACGACGACGCGCAGCGCAGCGGAGCCATCTGTCGTCGGGTGGGCGCGCAGGTGCTGCGCGACGAGCACGTACAGGTGGTGCTTGTTCTTGACGCGGGCCTTCATCACGGCGGGCTGCGCGGCGTGCTGCTCCTTGAGTGCGACTTTCACGCGCCCCGGGTTCGCCCAGTCCTTGGGGTGCAGGCGGCCGGCCTCGAGCACGGTCGGCAGGCGCAGCGCGGCGCACGCGTTGACGATCTCCGTGGCCAGCGGGTTCAGCACGGCCAGCGATTTGGGCACGCGCCGGCCCTCGGCGCGGCTGCGGCGCGCGTCGAAGTACACCGGGTACAGGCACTGGTAGGCGCGGTAGGCCGAGTCGTCCGTCGCCGGCATCATCTCGGGGTAGCCGCGCGGCTGCTGTATGGGGGGCTGGTGCTGGTGCTGGTGTGTGGGCGCCGCTGCTGTAGGTGGAGGTGCTTGTCTCGAGAGCTGCTGCTGCTGGGGTTGCCGTGTGCGCAGAATGTCGGCCTCGTCAAAGTCGTTAATGTCGCCCTCGGACGGGTCCGACATGTCGACATCGCTGTCCTCGACCTCCTCGACGCGCGGGTGGGACGGCATTGTGCTTTCTAGCGATTTCTGTCCAGTGTGCGGCTATGGTGGTGACGTCTGGCGGCGGTTGGACAACCCAAGGCGAATATCTGTTGAAAGTGCTCAGATTCGAGTACTGCTGCTGCTGTCTGCTGTCTGTCTGTCCCCTCACCGTGGGTGGAATGGATGGTGGGGGTGAATTGTGGCATGCAGTTATGGAATAAGGTTGGTTCAGTGCACCGCGCCAAGCTAAGCCTTTGACAAGGGTAGGTGTTGTAACTTGTGTGGGGCTTCAACATGGGAAAGCCATACGGACTGCACTAAATACGGGTACTGAAAGGCATTTATTTCCCCTTATTTATTTAGGCGGTATGCATCTTCCAGTGTCCCATCTTCAAAGTTGGAAAAAGGTCGGTTTAGTTTTTCATTGACAGTCAAAGTGTCCGTCCACACACCTCTTGCTCTTTACCGTGTTTGCCTCTTTGGTAATCAATTTCTGTGCCTGTACAGAGCGAGCGTACGGAATACAAATCATATGCCTATGTATCGGCTTAACCTGCCCTGTCATGAGATATCCCCTCGCCACGGCGTCAAAGCCAGCCCAACCATATCAACTAAATCCAACTATGGTGTTCTGAATTCTACCGCCAGCATCCCTCTTTCAGTATACTAAAAATCCTTCTGTTCGTATTGCTCTTAGCCCCCAACACATTGGCCGGTACCCAACCCATGAAGTAGCCAAGAAGCTAAGGGATTCTTGTCCGATACAATTACCGGACAGAAAAAACGAGTGGAGAGTGCAAGCCCGCTATTTTTCGGGCTGCGGTCAAAATCGTAAAAATACATAAGGGGAAAAAAAAGTCAGTTAAATAAAAAGGTAAGAGTACGAGGCAGGCGACGCCTCAGTAGTCGTGAGACTTGGTTCGGAATTTGGTGCCCGGCGGATGATCTGCAGTTCCAAACTTGCAGTACGGATGGGTGCACATCCCGTCTCGCACGCTGGGACACTGAAGCAAGAGAGGGAGGACGGTTAGCAGGGCAACGCTTGCGCGAAGGATGAGGATGTGAGAGGCCATGACTCGCAACGACCACCGCTTCAGACGGGAGTTGAAGACAAGAAGCCGAATAGCATGTTGACCAGCATCATATACTTAGAGACATTAAGAAAATAGCAAACACATACATGATGACCATAAATACAGTCTTTGACCTCGCACTCCTGGCCGCTAGTACAGGGGTTGAGGCGGGCCAGAAATGCGATGGCCACAATCTCGTCCTTGGTGGGCTTGTACCTATGCTCGAAGCAACAGGCATCACCCTTGACGCAGGGCCCTCTCAAATAATGATTGTTGCAAAGTTTATTGTTGTCTTTTCGTTTCTTGATGTTGTCCAAAGCCGACTGTACCACCGTTATGGGCGAGTCGACTCCCCGCGGGCCCGGATTCCACGGGGCAGGCTTGGCTTGTTGCGCCGCTGCCCGAGCTGGGGTGTTGACTGGTCTCGGCTGCAGCGGCAGCGTAATCTGCGGAGGGGGGCTGGCATTGCTAATGGCTCTGGCCCAGGTTGTCGCCGGCGCGGTGCTCGGTGTCGACGTGGCCGAGGCAGCAGGCGTCAGAATGGTACCCGGCCCCACGACGCCATTAGCAGCGTTTCCAAGACCGTTCGCGCCGACACCGCCACCGCCGCCGGCCGACGGCAATGACAAGCTTGTCGGCACCTTATCCACGAGCTTATCGGAGCGAAAGAGGTCGTCGTTCAAGTTCAAAATATTGGCGCCCGTCGCTATTAGCTCTCGGACAGTGGGAAAGCCTTCGAGCACCGTGACACGGCGGCGGGCGGCGTCGTCATGGAACAGCTCGTCCAAAAACGGCGCATATCCAGCATCGTGAGAGATCCCAAGAATGGCTTGTTTGCAGTTGAAATTGCGGAGATTCCATTTCGTTGATTCTGGCCTTCGTATTAACAAACAGGCAGTCCAAGTCAATTCGGGCTCGACTGAATACTGGGAGCTCCTTCTCCCTACCTTTTATTTTATTATCTGCTCTTTCTTTACCGTGACCAACATCGACAAAATCAAACGTGGCCTTGCCCTGCGTGAATCCCAGGCTAAAGTCTTTCAAATCGCTTTCGTTTTCCAGGCTGCCGTCACGGCGCATGGCTTTCGATAGACCGGCAAGATTAGCATAGACCTTAGCCACCACCTCGACATCGGAAGCATGCTCGCCGCATTCTGTGAGAATGGCGGTCCGCAGCGCGTATGCTGCTCGTTTACCGCCCTCGACTCCTTGCTTGATGAAGGCTTGTTTAAACTATATGCAGAGAAGCTGATGAGCGCGAGATTCTGGGAGCTCGGCATCAAAAATGACGAGGGGCCAAAGCAGGCGAGCACGTACAAGCAAGCCTTCGCCATCGATCAGGACAATAACGTAAGGGTTGTTGTTCTGCAGACGCGTCATTCAAAAACCGTATCACCAGCACGCATGGGCCGCGTGTCTAACCTTCAAATGGCTATTGTCTTGCGATATTAACATGTTGCGGGTCTCCACTTCCTGTAACTGTTGCTGCAGGTCCCGTCTCGATTTGGTCGCGTCGTCGAGGTCGAGTTTTGCATCGCGAAGCTCGATCAGCAAGCCTTGGTTCTGGGCTCGAAGGATAGTCTCGATTCCTTCGGAATAGACGAGAAGGTCCTGGGCGCTACATGTTAGAGACAGCAGACAACTAGATGGGCTCTGGGTTGCACACCTTGATCAACTGGTCCTTGGAGTCCGTCTGAACTTCGAGGTTCCGGAACCTCTGGACAAAGTCCAGGATTCCCCCGCTTATGTCCATACCCTCGATCTTTATTGACTTTTTCGGCGCTTGTTGCTGTTATATAACGTTGGATTGTTTCTTTGATGATGCTAGCCCAAGTGGCTATGATTCCGAAATATATAGAGGCTGCTTCTCTAAGGCGCGGCGCTGTTGTCAGAACGTGGGGATAATAATTCGTGGGGGGGATGGCAGGGAAGCTCCGCACTTGTTCTTCGGGAGGCGGAAGAAACTAGGTACAAAAGCTTGTTAATGGGATGGCAAAGTGGAGATCAGGTGCGCTGGAATTACCTACAGATTTGATAACTTTGATAACTGGGAGAAGTATGGAGTATGGAATAGTATGGATGGTTGTAGCTTCGTATCCAAATGTCGTCTTGAGATTCTGCCTGGATGGCTGTCTGTTTCCTGTCAACTACTAGCGTCGGGAAGCAGGAAAAGCCACCTAGCTAGGTACGTACTAGAGCTGTGGTATCGAATACCCCAGGTAATGCGATGATAAAACGCCGATGGCGCAGATTCGCCGTGCCTCCTTCGATAACTCAAGTTCGGAATGCGTTAAGACATTTCAGTCAAGGTCAGGAGGAAGGACCGAAACCCCCGCATCCAATTGCTTTGGAGGCTCAGCTTCAACGTTCGAGTTACATTTACATAGTACACATATTAGGTTAGCGCCATGCATAGGCAAGGCACCCCTGATAGGCTGACACGGACCCCAGATGGTCCAGAAAGGCTCGAGTTCATCAGTTGCAGCCTTGTTCGACAAGGCGACGAGGAGCGCAGCTTCATGCCGTACGTCTTGCTTTCTTCCGGAGCGTCCTGCCGCATGCAAATATGGTAAATACCTATATATAAACAGGATTGCAACTTTGTGCGCCAAGTCTCCATCTCGATTCTACCTCTCGGCTTGCGCAAGGTTGAAACTTTCCCTGCGTTTCCTCAATCCACATTGATCTCCCTTCCTTCCCGCCTCCAACTCTTATGTCCCCTTCTCAAGACGAACCACTCGACTTAATTGTCCCTTGCTCTATCCAACGGCGCCGGCCACTAAGACCTGACTACCTCCTCAGTCTGGCTAATAAGCTTCAGAGGGTTCGAACTAACGTGCCGTACCCCGCCGCAAAGCTGTAGCCATTGGGCAGAGGCGACTGGAACAATTGTATCACGAATGTGGCCGCCGATTTGTTTGATATTGTAGTTGCTAATAATATTTGAATATTTGTCAAGAATTATCCCGCCCCCCCCTTCGTGGAGTTTATACCAGGCTCGCGTCTTGTCTGAACCTCCAGCCCTCTACTCTTATACCAGGTTAGGTATCTCGGGCCGAGGGTACAGTGATAGGCAACACTGTGGTTCCGACCTCGGACTAAACGAGGGGCCGCCGTATACAGCTTGAACACTAAGTCAGAACTGAAATGTCGGATGAAGTGGGCGAGGCGCGGGTGCACTGTACCGTATTGAAGCAGATTGAAAAGTTTAAAAGGACATCGCATCCATTTGGGCGCCATGACCGAAGCTGTTTTTTTTTTCGTTTCCATTTAGGACCAACATTTCACCACTCTTGCCTCGTAACCACGCCTCTCCTGTTCCCTAAATTGGTGTCTTGAATCCCTTTTCAGACCTAGAGGCAGTTATAAGACGTCGAACCACAGGAAACTATGGGTATGTACAAATTAGCTGACCCGAAAGGAACCTTGATCAAGTCTGTGCAACTCCTTCCACCTTAACTTTGGGAGTTGAGCAGCAGCAGGCACAACCCACTTTATTACAGGTAAGCTTCAAGTTCAACTGCCAGGCAGAGGCACATTTAAGGTTTCCCAGCGGTGCTCAGGGGCTCGGGGGATTACCCTCTACTCTAGGTTTTTGAGCGGCATTGACTGTCGTGGGGCGGCGAATTTGCCTGCCCGCCTTTTATTTTGTTCAGACGACGGCTATGTATATACCAAATACCTGGTACACCGCCAAACAAACTTATTCGTACTGTGTGTATGCAACTCTCATTATCGCCAACCAGACAACCTTTCAGTCCGAGGAAAGCTATGGACGAGTTCCGTCACGACCAATTGGATTTAGACCGGACCGAGTTGGGCAGTCTAGGAGCAGCAGGTCGGGTTATGCCGAAGCACCTGCAGCATTCAGTGGTCGCTTGCTCCCTGTTCATGCTTCCTGCTTAGATTCTCGCTTCCTGCTCTCGTCTCCCTGCAGTGTGCCCGGGACTTGGCTGTGGGACGAGCACACACACCACACTAGCACACAGACACCAAGCACACCGAATGAACGTCCACAGCAGCCTACTATGTATCACCAGTGAGCATTGGCCTTTTGGTTCCAGCCCTCCCTCCCGAAGCTGCAGCCCAGCAATAATTGAATCACACGACGGTGTTCTAATTTCAACCTAAAATAAGAAATAAAAACGGGAGAAAGGCCGCGGATGCAACGATACCTAGGTAGGTACAGTACATATGGATGTCGATCTCGACTGGACTACCTTCGGGAGTTTTCAGAGTCTACGACGCCCAGAATGGCGACATGCGCTGCAAGGCATCGGCGTCTTTGTCTACCTCTAGTCTCCTATCTCAGCCGACAATCAAGCAGATGTGCGTTAGTTCAAGGCCTGAGCCGTCCACGACGGTTTAAACGCCGGACGGGGCCCAGGATGTCAGGCCAGGCTCGAGCCAGGCTCGAACCAGGCGGGCAGGGGCGGCAGCCCTGCGCGACCCCGTCGCCGGGACTTGAGATGCAGGGTATGTGACTGGGGCAGCCACCAACTGCTGGACACCCACTCAGCGATCAACACAAGCAAGCTGACCCCACGCCACTTGCTGTGAAGCCGATCAGCCCCAAAAAAGGGCACAGCGGCCTCTGGTGGGAGACTCGAAATTCTAATTTCGTGGGCTTTCGCAAAGGCCAAATACGGATATGGGAAGGCCGGGCAGGAGAGGAGGGGACCTGGGTCTGGCGGCGCCGCGGCAGCACCTTCTCCAATAAGTTCAAAAACTTGCAATTGGTCTGCCCACCATCTGCGCCTACCATCCGACATCGCCAGTGCCCAGTCGTTCTTGCCCTGCCTCCACTTGCTCCCCGAGCTGTTTGCGGCCAGCTTGCTTGCTTTTTCCTCCTGCTCCCACTTGCATGAGGAACGTACACTCGGCTCTGTCACTGCATTTTGTCTTGCGGTGTTGGGCGCTTGAACTTAGCCAGCCCCTGACACGACGAGTTCCGGGACCTGTTCTGCATTACGGCATTGCAGCATTGTCCAATTGTCTAATTCGCTTCGGCGCCAAGCCTTTTGTGTGCTGGGATCTCTCCTGCTCTCGACTCGTCCTGCTGTCTGAAGTTTGCCGTTCAGTCTCGACCTGGCCCGTCACACATTTTCTCGCACTTGTCACGGCTTTCGTCTTGGCTTAATTACAAGAACGTCTGCCCCGTCTACCGTGCTGAGTAGCTGTCTCTCTCTCTTCCTCGGACACTGCCGCCTCCCATCGCATATTTGTGGACTGTCCGTCTCCAGCTCCCACAACCCACCAAAAAGTCGACAGATACCCTGTCGCACGACCCCGCCTCGTACTCACTCCCCCGTCTCCGTCCTCGAAACCAGCAGCCAATCTGGTGAAACCTCGCGCCGCCTGCTGCTCCTCCCCACCAGGGTCCGGCTCTTCAGCCTCGAAGCGTGGCCTTAAACATCCACTATAAGTAAGGCTTCTCTGAGATACCAGATCTCAGGAACATCCCTCCGCCCCCCTTCCCCCACTCGGCTTGAGCTGTTCGGATAATAAGCCGCATGCCCCTACCATACCCTTATTGATCCCTACCCCTAGATCCTCCTGAGGAGCACAACATTGCAATATTTCCCGATCCGAAACCCCCTGACACATTAATAGCTACGATAGTAGTCCCTAGACCTTTGTTCTTCTCGTCGTCGTACGAGAGTAGAAAAGCAACCCCCTAGACGCACCCCAAGATGTCGACAAGGCATCCGACTTTGGCGACGCCGTTCGCCGAGCGGGCGAACCAAGCCACGCACCCGCTCACCAATTACCTGTTCCGCTTGATGGAGCTTAAAAGGTCCAACCTCTGTCTTAGCGCTGATGTCCAGAGCGCCCGGCAGCTCCTCGATCTTGCGGAGAAGGCTGGGCCAGCAATTGTCGTGTTCAAGACACACTACGATCTGATTTCGGGCTGGGACTACAACCCCCAGACAGGCACGGGTGCCAAGCTGGCCGTCCTCGCAAGGAAGCACGGCTTCCTAATCTTTGAGGACCGCAAGTTTGTCGACATTGGCAAGACGGTGCAGATGCAGTATACAGCCGGCACAGCCCGCATAATAGAGTGGGCCCACATCACCAACGCCAATATCGATGCCGGCAAGGACATGGTTCGCGCCCTAGCCGAGGCCGCGGCGAAGTGGAAGGAGCGCATCAACTACGAGGTCAAGACATCTGTCACAGTCGGCACCCCCGTCTTGGAGCACTTTGACGACGCAGAGGAGCTGTCCGAGGACGGACGCAGGCTAGATCCCAGGGAGCAGAATGGCGGCTTCTACCGGGACGGCCGGGACGCCGACGGAAGGAAAGGGAGCATCGTCTCCATCACGACGGTCACGCAGTCGTTCGAACCCGTCGACTCTCCACGCTTGTCCAAGAACATGACAGAGGGCGACGAAGTGCTCTTCCCTGGCATTGAGGAGCCTCCGTCTGACCGTGGGCTACTGCTCCTGGCCCAAATGTCGTCCAGGGGCTGCCTGATGACCAAGGAGTACACTCAGGCCTGCGTTGAGGCGGCGCGCGAGCACAAGATCTTCGTCATGGGGTTCGTCTCCCAGGAAAGCTTGAATACCGAGCCCGAGGACAACTTCATCCACATGACGCCTGGCTGCAAGTTGCCTCCGCAGGGCGAGGGAGAAAACGGACATGTGGAAGGTGATGGCTTGGGACAGCAGTACAACACGCCGTCAAAACTAATCAATGTCTGCGGAGTCGACATAGTAATTGTAGGGCGGGGTATCACCACGGCCATGGACCCTCAAAAGGAGGCCGAACGGTACCAAAGGGAGGCCTGGAGGGCTTATCTGAGACGTATCGGCCAATGAGGATGATCCGGCGGGGAAAAGACGGCTCTTGTCTGTGGCGTTGGCCGAAACGGCCGAACACTCGCGAGATATGGGTGGTAATAAGGGGCCGGAGCACAGCTGAGAACTTTCGGGGCTCGGGGAGAAAAGCAAAGTGGGAAACGACCACGGAGTCGTGATCCGAAGGAACGGGCGTTTCGGTGACAATAGGTCTTCCCAAGGCACCTGCCTGCAATTGCAATTGACCCCTCTGAAAACCTAGCAGAACAAAGATTCACATGTCTCGATTCTCCTTCTATTGCTGTCGGCCCGAGACGGGGCCGGATTTCGGCCCACCAAGAGCGGACACCAACCATGGCAACAACCTTCTTGAGCTTCGGAATCGTTGGCGAAATTATTGTCTGAAAAGCGAAGGCGGGCAATGGAAGGAGAGAAAGGATATGAGTATAATATAACACACAAGGTACTCTGCATAATCCTGTATTCTGAATGAAGTGACGCATAACACCACTCTTCCTCTCGCGGAGTTAACGGGCCTAAGCACCTCACGACGTAACAGATGCGCCGGATGAGGAGATAGAAGGCCGTACATGGGAAGCTTGGCGGGCGGGGGTCAATCCCGCTCGCTGTCTCTCCCTCACGGCTTTTGGCCTGTGGACGGCGGTGATTGGAGTTGCGTTATTCAGCAACATGCTGGAAGCCCATCAGTCCGTCAGGACGGGGATTTTAGTTAAACCCACTAGCAATCGTCTATCTTGGATTGTCTCAGTCACCTGTCAGTCATCTGCACTCGACTAGTACCGCATTTGTACGCTGCAGGGCTTGCTCGATTAACATACAGTACCTGATAGCTTCGAGCTTCGGTCTAGGTTGTTGACGTTGACACATTATCTCTTATCACTAATCAAGTCGAGCCCCCCTACACGCCCGCGCCGAGAGGTGTCGGCGCCATGTCAATGTCTTCCAGCTCAGAAAGTCCGCCTGTCGAGACGGTCGTCTCGGCTGATAAAAACGGCTCAAAGGACGAGGCCGGCCACGACGCCGAGTCCAGGCCGCCGCCTAAGAAGCGGAGGCGGACCGTCATTTCGTGCACGGAATGCCATCGCAGGAAGCAGAAGGTAGGGAATTTTGTCTTGGTTGTCATATGAGGGCTCCGGCTAACCCATGGTTTGCTCTCGCCTTGCCATTGACAGTGCGATCGGAAGCTGCCATGCACCAACTGCCTGGGGCGAAACAAGCAGGGCGCATGCACCTACGAGACGGGCGCGCCCACGGCGAAGGCGCACAGGTCTAACACGAACAACGGGGCGCCCATATCGCCCGAGGCCGAGGACCCCCAGGACAGCATCCCAAGCAAGGTGGTCAACTTTGGGTATTCGTATACGGGCCCGTCGACGCTCGGGTTCCTGGCCAAGATCGAGGGCGCGCACCCGGACGAGCCGCTGTCGACGCTCAACCCGACGTCGGGCCAGCAAGACGACCTCTTCAACACGCGCGAGCGCTACAAGAGCCTGATCAGGCAGCTCCCCGCGCGAAGCTACATCGAGAAGCTGGGAGACATCTACTTTAAGGGCTTCAACTGGCACTACTATGGCCTGGAACGCGACATCTTCGAGAAGCAGCTCGCCGACTGGTACAAGCTGCCCTTTAGCCTGCTCACGTCGGGCGGGCCCCAGGCGCTGCCTCCCGACCTGAGGGTCTTCCCCGGCCTGGTGTTTCAGGTGCTGGCCATGGCGCTGCTGGTCTTGACCCCCGGCGACGACCACTTGTTTGAATCGCTCAAGTATGCCGGCAACATGAGCTTCGAGGACCTCGCCGTCGACTACAGCGAGTCGGGCGTGGCCATCCTGTCGCTGCTGGGAAAGCGCCAGATGACTCTGACCACGGTCATGGCCGGCTTCGTGAGGGCCTCGTTCCTGAAGTACGTCGCCCAGGTCACAGAGGCGTGGCATGCCATCGGCGGCGCCATCAGGGACGCGCAGGAGATCGGCCTTCATCGAGACAGCCTCGATCCCCAGCCGAGAAGTGACGATGCCGAGTCGGTACTCGAGAACCAGTGGGAAATCCAGCGCCGGCGAAGGATGTGGATGATTCTTATTGGCTGGGATGTTCATACGGGCCTCATCCTCGGCCGTCCCATCACCATCAGCCTCGGCATGACGCCGCCTACGCTGCCTATTGACGCGCCGATCCCTAAGGACCGCTCCAAGACCCCCGTATTGCCCCGGGGCGAGAATGACCCGCCAACGCCCCTGACGCGGTCGTTGTGGGCGCATGAGATCATACTGCCGCTGCGCGAAGTATTGGAGCTGGAGAAGGAAGGGCCCTGTCCCAAGGACTTTTATAGGGTAAACCGGCTGCACCAGGAGCTGCTGGACCTCGACGCCCGCACCCCATCGTGGTTCCGCATGGTGAATCCGGACACCAGGTTTGACGGCCTGCCAGAGTGTCACTGGCTCCCCTTTGTCCGCACCACTTTGCCCCAGCTCATAGCCTTCAACTTCATGGCGCTCCACCGGCCGTATATCTTCACGAGGCCCAAGAGCCGGACAGAAGCCCTTCGCGCGAGTTTGAGGATGCTGCACGCCCAAAAGGCGCACTTCAAATCTCTGCCCCCACAGCAGCACAGAGCGTGAGTCTTGATCATCCCCGTCCTCCTTTGTTCAATAAAAAAAAACTTGGCTGTAGCTGATGCAAGGTAGCCACTCTCTCTTCTTTGGCACCTTTGACGCCATCGTCATGATCGCATCCATCTACATTCTCTTCCCAAAGGAGCATCCGGATTTGGTTTTTGAATCCATCCAGCAGTTTGACTGGTCCGTCGAACGCTTCGAGATCATGTCGGTGCGCAACGGCCTGGCCAAGGCGGCTCTCGGCGTGCTGCGGGCCATTAACCTGCGGCTGCGCAGGTCGCTCGGCATTTCCAGCCAGCCCGGCACCTCCGCAAAGCCCACCCTCCCGTCCCCCGCTTCGACCACGCCCAGCGCGTCCGTCGGAGACCAGAACAACGGCCCTTCCCCGTATTCGTCGTACTGGGAAACGTCCATCCTGCCATCCGGCGCCAACCCGGAGGCTGCCACGACAAGCTCCGCGAGCCCACAGCCCGGCAGCTCCTCCACCTTTACCAACGGCAGCAGCATATTCTCGCCGTCCGTGGCTGTCGGCGGCGGCGTGTATTCGACTGGTAATAGTAGCAACGACGGTGCCGACGGTGGGGCGGCGGTAACAGCCGCGGCGACTGCGGCGACTGCCGATTTCGACTGGGGGACCTTACCCAGCGGTTTTGACCTAGCCAGCCTGCAGCCCATCTACGCCACCAGCGACCTCATCTACAATGACCTCATGACCATGGGCGACGACTCGTCACCGTCGGGCGCCGCTGTGCATTCATCGTCCACGGCTCTGGCGGGAGCCTGGGACGGCAGCGACATGGGGGCTGCTGCGCTGCCCTGGCAGTTTGAAGGCGACTTTGGGAACGACAGCGTCTGGAACCTCTTCAACCAGTACAAGTCGTTTTGAAGGGGTCCCTCGGCCCTAACCCCGGGAATTGCGCTGCGAACCACCAAGGGCTAACATGTCGCCGACTTCTGTTAGCGTTTCTTGTCCAACATGTGGCTCCCTTAGGGCGGTGGCGTCCTAAAAGCGGAATGGCCTTGTGGAAGACGACAGAGTCGACTGAGCCTTTTAAACCCTCTCGCGCTGCCTTTGAGCCGCCGAACTCGGGTGTATCCATATCTTGGGTCTCCTCGTGGCAAACTCGAAGCCGTCATCATATGGAGAAAGAGGCAAGCCAAAACTGTGGCGGGTCCGTGGTTTTGTTCCAGACGCCGTGCATACTTACTTACCTACCTCCCTCACCTAGGTAGGTAGGAATACCGACAGCACCGATCTTGAACCGGGCAACGGGACCAAACCCGGCCACGATCTGCCCCCTGGGTTTCAACTGAAGCCTTTGATCAGAGCTCGTTGCGGTGTGGATGGAGAACGACGGAGTCAGCGGCCCGCCGCGGTTCGGTTGTGGGGATCTAGTGGCGCATACACCGGAATGCTAGCTACGGTGCCTAGCAACCTGCCTTGATGTCTGGCCTAGGGAAGCGGAAGCTTGGGGTTGCGATGGTGCCCCAGTAGGCAGGTACTCTCGGGATTAATATTATCTTTCCTTTTCTCCACACATATGTATGCAAATTCCCCCAAATTCGAAGCACACGCACGCCATGTGTTTGTTGTGGTTTCTCCCAATAAAGAGAATAGAAAGATGAAGAAAGTAATATTAGACTCGTCGCTCTAGTTCTATAGATGCGGCACGCCGACGCTCTGCATGATCAAGTTGACAATGCTCAGGAAGCCTTCGCCCAGAATGAAGCCCTAGCACAGTGACAATAAAATCCCGTTAGCAAGCGGTTTTGTACGTCGCATACGGAACAGAGAGAAAACGGATTGAGTTGCAAGGAAAAGAAACTCACCGAAGCCAGCACAATCAGCGGCGTGTCCTGCCAGCCCTTGACGGAGCGCCACCACCAGCCGAGCATGCCGCCAATGGTGCGCGCGAGCGTGAATGACGGGACGTTGTACATGCCTAGAAGCAGACAACAGTTAGTGCCATGTCAAAAACCAAAGAAACATCAGGGAACACAGTAGAAAAGAGAGAGAAAACCATACCAACAGCGACGGCAATCCCGCCGGGGATCAGATTCTGCCACGGTTTGCCGGTGGCCTTGATGCGCAGGGCAGTGGTGGCGGCGAACAGAGCGGCGGAGCCCATGGCCCACTCCTTGGCCATGGGCGGCAGACCGCCGCCGGTAACGAGGCGGGCGGTGGAGATCCTAGATTATTCTATTAACGTATGCTACTGAATAAAAACAGTTTCAAAAAGATAAAGCTTTCCATCATTTAGTGTTAAAGACTGACTTACCACACGTAGCCCGTGGGGACCTGGAACAGGTCGCCGGGGATGTCGTACACGCTGTCATGTCACACATGTCACACATGTCAGTCAGCCCTGGATCTCGGCGCCAATATTCTATTTTCCTTTCTTGAAAGAAGGGGAGGGGTTTAAAAAAAACTCACGATGTGTATAGCTGGTAGATTAAAGCGCTGACCACGGCTCCCACCGTGGCGCCAATGACCTGGCCCCAGAACTGGGCCTTGGGCGCGGCGCCGAGCAGGTGGCCCGTCTTGAGGTCTTGCATGAGATCGCCGGCTTGCAGGGCGCCCTGTAGCTCGCCAAAGACGGTAAATCAGTAACCGAGAAATCATCACCATAGAAAAAAGATACGTGACATACCGCTTCAGACTATTCCACACACAAACAAAAAGTCAGCAATCAGATCCCAGCAACACACACGGGAACGAAATATAAGGGGGACACATACCACGGCGCCAGCCACCAAATTGATCAGCACGCTCGACTTGTGCGACTGGGGGATGATGAGCGCAAAGAACAGCTGGGCGAGCTTGCTGATGCCCGACACGGGGTTGAGGTCCGTCTCGCCGAGGGCGCGCACGCCCATGATGCTGAGCACGAGGGCCATGAGCACGGCCGTGACGGTGGCATAGAGCGGCACGAGGTCGCCGAACACGACGTGGATGCACGCGATGCAGAACGCCACCGACAGCACTAGCCCCACGCCCACCACGCGGTCGCTGATCTGCTGGTCCACCGGCGCGTCGTCCTCTTCTTCGGCGTCGGCGTCGTCGGTATCCACGTCTGCGTCTGCGTTAGGATCCGCGTCCTGGGCGTCGATGCGCGTGTAGCCGGCCCCGACCCCACGCCTACGCCCAGGCGTCAAGCTAGGCACCAGCGCCTTGAGCTTGACGGGCACGGCGAGGTAGGGGCGGACGGAGCGGACCGCGAGATACGACAGGCTGACGACGGCATCGGCGAGCATGATAGCCAGTGAGGTCCAGACGATCCAGCCCTTGCTGCCGTGCTCCCAGTCATCAACTTCCCCGGGGGCCCAGCCGCGCACCTTGGCCAGGGGCGAGAGCACGGCCCAGCCGAGCACGGCGCCCAGCAGCATGTGCAGGGTGGTGGCGGGGCCCATGATGATGCCCTGGCCGACGTAGGCCAGGCTGGGGTTGAGCGTCCACAGCCACGTCGCGGCGGCCGCGCGCCCGAACACGGGCACGCTGCGCAGCACGGGGAAGAAGTAGGTCGCGAAGGTCGACAGCCCCGACACGAGGAAGCACACGAGCAGCAGCTGCACGTTCTGGCGCCACGACGCGGCCGTCTCCTGGGCATCGGCGGCTTCTTCATCGGCGTCACCTCCACCAGCAGTAGGCTTGTGGCTGCTGTCTGGGGGACCGAGGAGGAGGGGGGTGCTGGGGACAGACTTGGTTTTGGGGGAGGGACCAGGTCCGGCAAGACTGCCGAAGCCGGCGGCGTCGGGCTGGGCGCTGTCGTTGGGGGTGCGGCCGTGGAGGACACTGATCAGAACAGCGGTGCTAAACCCGCTGGGGAACTTGAGCTTCTCCCGGATCAAGACCTGGCGGCGCAGGGGCACTGCAAAAACAACACCAAAATAGCATAGGCCGAGGGACCATAGTATGAGCTTTGGAAGGGAGAGGACGATGGGGCCTTGTTCGTCGTCGCGCAGCAGGTAACTCATGGCGGGCAGGACACCGACAAACCCGCAGCCGAGCGGCATGATGGCCATGCTGCCGGCGACGGTCTGGACCAGGACGTTCTCGACGGGCGTGAAGGGCCCGCCGTCGAGGAGGCGGCCGCGGCGCCCCAGCAGCTTGAAGATGCCGAAGCCCATCAGGCTGGCCGGCATGGTCATGGTGCTGACCCACCCCGTCTGCAGCCCAAAGTACATGTTGGAGAAGCAGATGACGAGCCCCACGAGCAGGCCCACGCCGACGCCGCGCCACGTGAAGCTGGGGTCGCTGTCGCTGTCGCCGTCGCCATATTTTCTTGTTGGAAGTGAGTCTGTGTCGTCATCTCGGACTCGGACTCTGTGTCGGACACCGCCGCTGCTGCTGCTGTCGTCCATCGTCAAGACAGTAGAGTGACAAAATGAATTTCGATTACATCACTGCTGCGCACGTAAATAGGGGACCTGGTGATATGTGTTGTGTCTGGTGGTTGGTGGCGTGCCCCATTTCCACTTGACTTGCTCGACTTGACTGTAATCAGTTTAAGCACTTGGACGCCGCTGCGCTGCGGAAGAGGAGGATGCCAACCTAGCCCTGTCATTCAAGACCCCCTTCCGATTGCGGCGAGGGTTAGGGTTCGATTCTAGTTACACCATTCACACCCTTATCAAACAGCGGGCCCAGGTAGACAGGCTGCAGCACCCTCCAACTTGCATGTCCATTCGTCCCGTTACAGCTTTAATCCGTCCTGATTCAATATAATTCAATCCAGTCCCAAAAAAGAGACCGAAAGTAAATAAACACCTAACCGCTCCCCGCAATGAATATACGTACTGTGATGCACCCACTCAACCACTCATCTATCTATCCCCCAAAAAAACACCATTCTGGCACCCCCCCTAACACAAAACAAAATACAGCATGCTTACAACGACAAAAGCACTTATCCCCCCTTGTCTCTCTTTCACCCGCCACCTCTAACCCGGCAAATTGGTCCTGACCATTAAAACCCAAAGCTGTCTAGCAGAGAGTTTGCATCGGGCTCCTCAAACACGGTCGCGGGCGCCGGGGATGGCTGATGGTGGCCGAGGTGGCCGCCCGACTTCATCTCGGCGGGCATGAACTGCGCGAGACCACCAGCAGCAACAGGCGACTGGGACGCGGCCAGCAAATCCGACACGACGAGGGAGCCCCTTCTTTTAAGAAGACTAAGCGCACCAAGACCATTTGTGGCAGGCGTAGTGCTGTCGTCGAGCGTCGCACCAGCACCGGCAAAGAACTCCCAGTTGCGCACCAGGTCGAGGCCTAGCAGGTCACAGCCCATGCGGTCGTACAGGCGCGCGTTGTGCAGCACAAACTCCCACTCGACCTTGGGCGTCACCTTGGACGCGCCGCGCAGCGTCTGCAGCGTCTTCTGCCGCAGCTGCGCGTACAGGATCACGAGCGCCGGGTCGTCCGTCAGGAACAGCTTGGACCGCAGGTCCGGCGACCCCGGCGTCTCGAGGAGCGTGTACACGGGCGTCTGTCGAGAGCCTAATTAGAAGACGACCCAGAAAAAAAAGGGGGGGAGGAGAAAAAACTGACAATAAGCGCGCGCACCGCCATGTCGCGGCGGTGCAGCATCCAAAACGCCCACGACGCCAGCCAGCGGTTGCCCTCTTGCGCCGCAATCGCCAGCACCTCCTCCTCGAGCAGCTTGCGCAGCACCGGGCCGTGGTCGCCCTCGTACACACGCGCCACCGCGATGGCCAGCTGCAGGTCCTTGAGCTGGTTGAAGCAGACGTTGACCGCGTCGTCGAGGTGGCCCGCCAGCAGGAAGAAGGCGGCAGCGTATTCTGCCCGTCGGTCAGTAAATCCACAGAGTCAGAAAAAAAAGCAAAACACTAACCAAACCGCCGCTTGCTCATCAGCGCATAGGCATTCTTGAGCGCCGCCGTGCGCCACTTGGGGTCGTCAAAGTTATTGGCCAGGAAGCGCTGCGTCGCGCCCTGCTCGCGGTTCCACGACGCCATACGCCACAGCCCCTGCAGCACCGTCTTCTTCTTGAGGGCGAGGTAGAAGAGGCTGCAGTCGACGGGGTTCTTGACTTCGCTCTTAGTGTACTCGTTACGAGCAATCGCCTCGAACTGGGCGCGCTGATATCAAAAGACAAACAGTCAGTCAATGACTTGTCAGAAAAAGGAGAGAAAACTCACAACCGCCGCCCCGTCCGTCAGCCACATAAAGATGCCGCTCTCCCGTGCGTCCTCCCACAGCATCCTGCCGTGGTGCTGGCGGGCGACAAAGTCGAGCAGGATGTCCTGGCTGCCCGAGTGGTAGGCCCAGTTGATCTCGCGCCACGAGAGGTGGATCTCGTTGGTGCGGCCCTTGCGCAGCGCGTGCTGGCGGAAGAAGAGGGTGAAGCGCGCGCCGTTCTCGTCAAGCGACCGCCGCTGCTTCTCCACGAGGCCCACGCACTCGACAATGTCCACCAGCTGGATCTGCTCGTGCCCCGACAGCTGCGGGATCCCCACGCGCGTCAGCTTCTCGCTGATGACCCCCGCCAACTCCTCGCTGAACGTCTCGTCGTCGCCGCCGCCGCCGCCGCCGCCGCCGCCATTGTCGTACGACTCGCCCCGGCTCAGGTAGTCGAGCGCCCCCTTGCCCGACGATGCTTTGGATGCCTGGGTGGGTCGACAGGAAGAGTTAGCGACTTTAATATAGTATGAAGATAACACTGTGAGATCATGGGAGGAAACGGATATACTCTGGGAAAAGAAGAGAGAAAAAGAAAAAAGGAAGACATACGTTGTCCGAAATGTAAAAGGCCTCAGTAGGCAGGCCCAGGTAGTCGTCAATGGGCTCGCCCTCGACCCAGAACTTGAGCGTGCGGTGCAGGGCCAGCAGGACGGCGTGCACGAGCGCGATCTTGCCGGCCAGGATGCACTGGCTGAGGAACTGGGGGTGGAAGACGGGCAGCGGGCCGTTGAGGCGCTGCACCACGTCGAAGAGGTCCCAGTTGCCGCCCTTGCGCTGCGGCAGCCGCAGCGTCGCCACGAGGGAGCTCGACACGTCGAACTGGCGGTCGTGCACAAAGAACTGGTTGCCGGCGCCGATGACCAGGTGGCCGTCGCCCAGCCACGTCGAGTCGCCGATGGGGTGCGGCGTGAGGCCGTGGATGTTGATCTCGCGCAGGGGCGCCCACGCGGGGCCCTTGTTGAGGTAGTCGAAGCGCATCTGCGAGAGCAGCAGCACGCGGTGCGGGAAGCCGACGGCTAGGATGGACTGCGAATCGGGCGTCGACGTCCAGTCGAGGTCCTGGATGGCCCGGCCGCCCTCAAAGTCGTCGGCATACTCGAGGCGCGCGCCGCGTATGTCCCAGATGGTCAGCGACGACCTGGCCGCGTTGACCAGCGCCGCCCTCCTCATGGTGCTCCCGCTGACGAGCGCCGGGCTGGCCACGCCCGTCTCCATCGAGCTGGTCGAGAGCCACTCGACCCCGTTGCCCTCGTGCCCGACCCGCGCCGTCCAGAACTCGACGCGCCCCGAGTGCGTGTACGAGATGGCCACGTCGCGCGCAAACACGTCGAGGAACCCCGACACGATGGGCGACGCCCCGGCCGGATCCACGGGCAGGACGTAGCCGAGGTCGCCGGCATCCTCGAGCTCGAACTTGACGAACTCGCGGATCGTGGCCTGCTGGTGGCTGTTCCCGTTGGCCGGGGGGGCCCCGCTCTCGTGGGTGGCGTAAAAGGGCAGCTTCACCTCCCAGACGAGCCCCTGCTTCTCCGAGGTTATGGTCGCGATGTGCGCCGTGGTGTAGTCCTCGACCTTGACGCGGGGCAAGATCAGCAGGCACAGCGGCTTCCCGGGGATGTCGTATTTGCCTTCGGCCAGCAGCACGGGCGTCGACTTGCGACAGTCCCACAAGGCCACGTGGTCGTGGCAGAGAAAGACGACAAAGCGCCCTTTCCGGAGCAGACACATGCGGTGGATGTGCACGTCGTGCTGGATGGCCGTCTGGCGCGAGATGGTTGTGCGCTTGGCGTCCAGCTGGTGCTTCCATATAATGCTCTGGTTCTTTTCCGTCCGCGACACAATGGCGCGCCCGCTGAAGTTGCGCACGATCTTCCTGATGGGCGCCGAGTGGCCGTTCCACAGACATCTGAGGGCCATGCGCCTCGTCTGCGGGTTCACGTCGAATAATTGGGCAATTCTGGTGCGGTAGACCTCGATCCCACCGTCAAAGAAGTGCATGAGAATGTGCAAGTGGCCGCCAGGGTTGCAGTAGCTGTAGGCCTCTACGTGTGGTCTAGGGGTGGCCGAGCGGCCTTTTAGAAAGTCGAACTCTGGGGAGTTGACATGGACTACGTTGAATATGGCCGCCTTTTGTGTCTTGCAGCCGACGTTCTCGAGCGCCCACGCAGACATGCGGCCTTGGCCGTCCAATACGACGCAGATCTCGGGGCTCCGGTTCGCCACGGCAATGACGTGGTCGAGGGCCGCCGCGTCGTCGGCCGGCGGCGAGGCGCCGTCTCGGACCGCGGTTTCGGTGGCGGCAGAGAGATCCCGGCCATGCATCATAAAGGCCCAGCGGAACACCGGGACAGTCGAGGACTTTGCGGCCCTGTCTTGCATCGCCGTGGCCAGGTCGAGCTTCCCCCATAGCTGCAGGTGTTGCTGGCCATGGCTGTCGGAGCCTGTCCAGACGCGCAGGGTGTTGTCGGCGCAAAATGTGTAAAGCACATTATCGATGGTCTGGTCGATGTGGTGCGGCAGGCGCCAGTGGAAGCCCGTCACAGGCTGTGGGTGGGGGAGGTAGGCAAAGTCGAAGCGCACATCGTCGGATCCGTAGCTCAGGCGGCGCCACACCTTGACCAGGCGGTCGACCTGGCCGACCGAGGCAATGTAGGCCGAGTCGTAGGACAGGGTGGCGAGCGCGACGGGGCTTGCCAGCTCCTTGCGCCACGAGCACTCTGGCTCCAACGAGGTCTGGTATAGTTCGAGGTGTGAGTGCGCCACCAGCAGCTCCTCGGAGCTACCCCACGAGAGAGATGTGGACGTGTCTCGGTGTGTGCCCGTGGGTCCTTGGTTGGGGTTGATGGAGAAAGAGGACTGCAGCGCCCACCTGAGCGCATTCTCCTTCTGGCCAAAGGGCCGGTAGATGCGCACGGTGCGGCGGGTGGACACGGCTATCTTGCCCGAGGCCTCGTCCAGGGCGACGGCGTCGAGGGGGTCGTCGTCGTCATCGTAGATGGTCTGCAGGAGGGCGTCGGGCTCGCCGAGGATGGAGAGAGCGGAGCCGGTGATGTAGGCCTAGAGTCGGCGGCGGCAGCTGAGGTTAGCGGCGTTGAGGTCAGGGTTAAGGTTCAGTCGAGGTTGGGGTTGTGGTTGGCAGCTCACGGTGATGCGGCGCGAATCCCAGTAGCCCGTTGCCAGAGCTTGACGCCGGGATTCTGGCTTTCCCGGCAGGACAGCTTTCATACTACCGGCACGAGGACGACGGCTGCGTAGCTGGCATCTCGAAACTGGCCAGCAGATGCTCCAATTCTACGAGATCAGGCGGATTGAGGTGGGCTAGTGGATTGCAGTTGGGAGAGACCTAGGTAGCTGATCAAACGAAGCTCGACGAAATCGATGGCGTGGTCCTGTCGTTCACGGTTGCGCGAGCTCCGACTTGTTCAGCGGCCAGCTGTTGCAGTTCGGGCGTGTAACGCGGCAATGCGGCGCTGCAAATTTGAGCCAACGGGGGGTCCCCTGGCTGGGCCTGTCGGATGTGCTTCAGGGGCCTATAAGACCCGGACGGGAAGGCGGGACGAAGTGGCTTGGCCGGCGCCGTTCCGTCAAAACTCGCGTACCTCTTGTTTAAAATTCTACGAAATCATACGTATGAGTAACTGAGGTAGGGCTAGAAAGGCTTTACTCTCTAATGTAAAGCCCGCACAGCCGGAGCGGAGGACATGAACAGCTGCCCGCCATCTCTGGACCTTTCAATTCATGCATGCCCGGGCGAGATCGCTGATGATGACGTGGGGGGATCGGACTGTGCGCTTCCCGGGGTCCCACCCCCACACTTCCGGGTCGCTGCCGTCCTATTCATTAACCAACTGTAAACAGCTGAGAGACTCCTCTTCAAACCAATCAACTTTTGCATCAACAACAGCGAAGAGCTGCCTTATAACCGCGAGATCACCACGCAATGCTATCCAGGCCGCTGCCATCTAATTTCAGCTAACCCTCTCGAAAAAAGCAGTAGCATATGCTTGAGATAGGGCATTATGGTTGCATGCCTACCTACCTACAACCACTAATGCAAATGGACGCCAATCGATGCACCCGCTGCATGGACATGGCGAGAAAGCACCAATCGCGAGAGGGAGACGACCCCCAATCCCCAAATCTCCAAAGCCCGCATGCATGCTGGAAAATGGCTATCTATCTCGGACGAATGCGTGATATAAGTCGGGAACCTACCCAACGGCGCGACGACGCTGACTGAATACTACTGCACACACATGGTAGGGTAACAAAATCACATGACATGTCTACATATACAACTAGTACTCCCTCAAAACCAAATCCTAGTGTCGCCCGCCCGCTCACTGCACGACAAAGCGCTGGGCGTGCTGCTTGAAGAGCACGGAGCTGTCGAGCTGCACGCCGTTGTCGCTGCGCACAAAGTCGACGCGCAGGCGCTGCGCGTCGAGGAAGCTGACGGTGGCGTAGCTGAAGCTGTCGGCGTAGGCGAAGCGGTTGATGGTCGTGTTGGTGCCAACATCCTCGAGGCCCTCGATGTTGCCCGCGCCGCCCGCGACAATGTACATGGGCGCCTTGGGGTTGGCTAGGCCAGCCGGGTCCGCGGTCCCGTTGACGGCTGGCGCGAAGCGCTGGCTGTTGTGCACGTGGCCGAAGATGGCCAGGTCCACGCCGTACCTATACAGCAGCGGCTCGAAGGCCTTCTGGCACGGCGCGCACGCGTTGGAGTCGCCCGTCGTGTACCACGGCCGGTGGCCCGCCACCACCACCCACGGCGTCACTGCCCGGTCGACCGACGCGAGGTCTGCCTCGAGGAAGTCGAGCTGCTGCCGCGCGTAGCTGCCAAACGGCCCCGCGCCCAGGTGCGCCGAGCCACCCGGCTGGTCTGGCGCGTCGGTGAAGTCGGTCTCGGTGTCGATCATGGCCACGTGCACCATGCCGTACTCGAACGAGTACCAGAACGGTGGGTTTGATAGCACGCGTGCCCGGTTCGCAGCCACCTTGGCCGGCGCGTCGGCCGACGTCGACGCAAAGGCCGCCGGCATGGTCCGCCCGAAGCGGTTGATGAAGTCGGTAAAGTTCTTCTGGCCGCTCGGGCACAGCCCGCTCGTCAGCGGCACCTCCTGGCAACTCGCCTCGTGGTTTCCGGGAGAGGCCATGTACGGCTTGCGCCCCGCGATGGGCGCCAGCTGGTTGAAGAAGTCCTCGGTGATGACCTGGTAGCCGTCCTTGCCATCGAACCAGTTGTGCGCCTTGAGGATCCAGTCGTCGGCGTAGCCAATGTCGCCCGGGTGCACGATGAACTCGTAGTCGTTGATGGTCTGCGCGAGCCGGTGGATGGTGGTGTGGTTGAGCGACGGGTCGACGGCCGGGATGTCGTCGCGCCTGCGCTTGTCCGCCTTGATGGTGTAGCCGTCGCGCCCGTAGACGCCCAGGTCGATGACGGCGTTCATCTGGAAGGGCGTCTTGTCGCCCGGCAGCCGCGGGCTGAAGAAGTGGCCCACCGTCGAGTTGGTCGACACGATCTTGTAGTAGTACGTCGCCGCCGGCGTCAGCCCGCTCACCGTCACCACGTTGGACCACGTGCGCGACGTCGCGTACGTCACCGACGACGTCGAGCACGCCTGCCGGCTGAGCGCGCCCGGCGCCGTCCCATACTGCACGCACGGCTGCGCGAGCTGCTGGAATGTGTTCCACGCGACCGTCACGGCTGGGTCCCCGTCAGTCTGGCTGTTGTGTCACCCAGGCACGGATCACTCACTGTTGGGTCCGCTGATGGCCAAGCGCTGCTGCAGGGGCGTCGTCAGGTCGGCGGGGATAGGGGCGTAGGTTGCTGCGGCAGCCGCCAGAGCAGCCGCCAAAGGGGGCAGCCCCTTAACCACGGCGAAGAGACCCATGTCGTGGGCGATGCGAGACACTGCCTACCTAGGGGTAGCCACGGCGGCGACGGCCATGGCAAAGACCAGAGCAGCCATACGGGCAATATATACCTTTTCGAGACAGAAAAAACACAAAAGAAGTGCCAGTCTTGGCGTGGTTTGAGAGAAGCACACAATCCGGTTTCTGTCATGCTGAGCGTCTCCCTCAGGGCAAGGGGGCGATGCAACGGGGTGAAGCGTGGGCATTTTATTCGCGGCTGCCGGGTGGGTGGTATCGCGCTACCCCTCTATTTTCTCCAGACTCCAGCTAGCTAGCCCCCCTCGCTAGCAGTAGCTATGGTTGTCGACCCCCCGTGGGCCCGACTATTCGACGACAGCAAAAGCGGCTAGCGACAGGGCATTGCGGACCTGCCCAACCAAACCAAGTTCAGGTAAGGTAGGTGGTATCTGCCATTCTATCTCATTCCGATGGGGCTGAAGAGATCATGCGGCTCTCTCTCTCTCTCTCTCTCTCTTCTGGCTAGGTATGCAGATTGATGATAGCCCTGGCTTGTGTCACAAGGAAAAAAGGGGAAAATGCAAGCCTCGGTTCGCGAGGGACATGCGGAGTAGCTAGGTAGCTGCCTATCTCAGCTGCGCGCAGACCTAGCTAGGCCAGCCAGCCAGCCACAAACACGGTGCCATCCCGTGCCGTCTTCACCGAAATACATGTACATGTACGTGTATATCCCTCGAGCGTCCGGGCTCGTCCACAGCAGTCCGCGCCCAAAAACCGGAGGGGGCTGTAGATATAGTACGTAACTACAGTACCTTACCTGCGTCGAGGATTTGCGGCTAGACACGGGCATGGCGACGACGGTACCTACCTATTAAGAAGGCATTCGGGACAGCGATACTGAGCCGGGGCCTCGCCGGTAATGGTAGCAAACATCCAAAGCTACCTAGATACTAGGTAGTCTTCTTATAGCCACCGCATCTGTGAACAGCTTACCTACTCTAGCTTCACACAAAGCATTCTGCTGGTAAGGAATGCCATAATTGATCCCAGGGCTCGTCCCCTGTGACTTCTAGCCTTGGGCCGCCATTCTATGACTTGCCATGAGTTGTTAATTCCATGTCTTTTTAAACAACGTCGCTTGCTTCAGCTTCCTTACCCATGCGCCGAAGTCGTGTGGCTCCAAAAGGGCCATCATCCCTAAGGAGAGGAATTGGTAGGTATGTATGTACATACAAATGTAGGTATATACATATATATGTGTGTGTATGTGTTTATCTTACAATGGTCGCCCTTCTCTACTACCGTCACTGGCCATCTGCAGACTAGACCCAGGCCTAGACCCGAGGCTATACTGCCGGAGCCGGCTGGAAGCCTTTGGTATCCCCGTTGTTGTCATAGCGAGCCTCTGCAGGGGAAGGATACAGCGGTTAGTAACCTGTCGCAAAACCGAGACAAATGGAGGGAGGGAACGTACTAAAAAACGTATAATTCAGCGTGACCGTCTCGACGCCCTTCATGTTGACATCATTCAGTAGGTCGGGGTCGAGGTAGAAGAAGACGGGCATGTCGACCGTCTCGCCGGCATTCAGGCGCTGCTCCTCAAAACAAAAACACTGGATCTTGCTAAAGTACGGCGCGACCTGGCCGGGCGTGACGCTGTACGTGGCGATCCCGATTATGTCCGAGTCGCTCTTGTTGGTGGCCGTGTAAAAGGCCAGCGCCGTCTCGCCCGGCAGCACGCGCACCTCGCGCTGCTGCGGCACAAACTTCCACGGCAGCGTGTCCGACACGGACGAGCTGAACGTGACGCGGATCCGCTTGGCGTCCGTCACCGGCTTCAGCCGGCTGGCCAGGTCGAAGTCGGCGTCGGACCCTGAGCCCGAGCTGCCGTGCGCCTTGATGGGCTGCCCGCCCCAGCCGATCGTCTGGCAGAGCTGGAGAGGGACGGACACAGACAACGGTTAGCGGCGTGTGTTGACAAGACTGGAAATAGACAACAGATGGGGGAGCCAACGGGGAGGCTTACCATCTTGTAGAGCGGGACCGAGCCGTACGAAAAGGCGACGGTGCCGAGGATGATGCTGAGGGTGTAGAACCTGGGAGCACGCGGTGAGCTTTCGCGGCGCCTTCGCAAGGGCCAAGACCCAAATCTGGACCTGGACCTACATGGTTGACCTATTCCGCTGCTTGTAGATCTCGCGCACCTTGAGCATGCCCTGCAGCTCTGGGCGGGCGCGCGGGTTTGCGTGCTGCTGGTCTTTTGTCACCGTTTTTGATATGAACCGCGCGCCCCGCGACACGGTGTTGCCCGCCCATTGGCCCTGTGCAGCCCGGCACCCGAAACATGACCACCCCGTCGCTCGCTCTGCCGTGCGCCGGCCAAATCGTGATATTGAATTCATGGCTGTTGCTCGTCTGTCGGGCGAGCTTTTGGTGGTGGATTGCCATTGAATGGTCTGATAGCTTAAGCTGTCCGAACTCAGGCACCGCGCAGCCGCCAGCTGGCCGTCAGCTGCCAGCGGCCATCCCTCTCCATCTCAATACGAGCTCCGAGCTTCTTCGGGGGTTAAAGACTTGGGTTTCGACGAGCATCTTAGGGAAGAAAATCCCTAGACAGAGAAGAGAGTGTCTCGTAAACTCATGTATGGATAGAGCTAATACTCATCTTCTTTTACTTATTTTCTTCTTTTCTTTGGGGGGAATCTACAAATTTAGGGCCCCCGCAAATGCCCCAGAATCACCGTGTGCGCCTGTCTCCTGTCTCAGTCACCTCACTACAGCTCCTTCTCGTGCACTCTCCCGTTCCCATTCATCGCCGCACTACCGTTCACGCGGGATGCCGAAACGGCCAGCTGCTTCGTCGTCCGCAACTGCCTCGCGATCCTGTCCACGACGGCAATGAAGAACATCTGAATGGCCAAAATCCACAATCGCAAAATCCGGTCCCCGAGTCGCAGTTCCGGTTTCTTGCCGCGACTAAATGTTGAGTCCTTGAACTCAAATGGCAGTTTTGACCCAAGATAGTCCTGCGCGACATGGAGGCCGCTACTGAACCCGTCCTCGTGAAACCCATATTTAGTCCATGCTCCCGCATAGCTGATCCCGCGCTTGTTCTGTATGTCTGGCAGACGCTGCTGGGCCCGGATGGCCGCAGGCGTGTAAAGAGGGTGCCTGTACGAATAACGCCCCTGCACTGTGTTCGGATCCGGCTCGTGGAGCGGATTGAGCGTCACAAGCACGTCGCCAAAGGCTTCCCGTGGGATGTGCTGCAAGATGTTCATGTTGTATGTCAGGCAGACCTGGTCAATGTTGCCCGTGCCCGTCAGGGGTGACGATTTGGTTATGTAGTTCCAGCTCGACCACGACTTTCGAGACTCGGGCATCAGAGACAGGTCCGAATGCAACACTGCCGAGTTCTCGGACGTGTGGAAGCTTGACATGATGTCCCTCTCCTCGTCCGTTGCAGACTCGCGGATTATTGAATACGCCTGGTCGCCGTGTGTTGCCAGGATAACGTGGTCGAACACCTCGGACCGCCCCCCGTCGAGGTGGAGCCGCACACGGCCGTCGTCCTCGTTGGTCACGGACCGTACTCGCGTGTTGAGAAACAGATGGTTCGGTGGAAAGCCCTTCATGACAACGTCAATATACGCCTTTGACCCTTCTGATATGGTGAGCCACGGTGGCCTCGCGGCGACCGTCGACAGAAGGTGGTGGTTCCATCTTGACTCGTAAATTAGCTTGAGATTCAAGTAAAAGGCTGGCTAGAGAGGGCTAGTACAAACAGGAAGCGAATCAAAGTCACGGCCGGAAAGTCGAGCGAGCACTTGTCGGGGCTCGTGCTCCAGACCGCGGCCGTCATGGGGATAAGATAGTCGTCGCGGAAGGAATCCGAGTACCCGTTTCGCTGCATATACTCGCCAATCGTTTCGTCGGGGCGAACAGAAGTCTGGTCGTCTTTCCTCAAGACGTCCAGGGCCATCTGGTTGAAACGGACAATGTCAAATATCATGCGCCACATCCTCGGCGAGAACAGATTCCCCCGCTGGCAAAACAGGGCGTCCAGACCGCCCCCGGCCCACTCAAACAGGCCATGGTCTCGCGAGACGGCAAACGTCATCTCCGTCTGCACCATGTCCACACGGATCCTGTTGAGAAAGTTGATGAAGTTTGCTGCAGCGGGTTAGCACATCTCAAGAACAATCCTGGGCAGCAGCAACGCACGGTAGGTGGCCGTATTCATGACAATGAAACCCGTGTCGACCATGGTCTTGTATTTGCCCTTCACCCATTCCACGGTGTTGGTATGGCCCCCAAGGCGGCTGTCGGCCTCGTAAAGGTACACATCGTGGTGGCTCCGATTCAAGGCCCACAGGGCGGCGATGCCGGCGCAGCCACTGCCCACGATGGCGACCTTCTTCCTAGGAACACGGTTAACCGGAGGGCTCATGGGTGAGGAGCGGGCATGAACGGCAGCGGCTTCGAAGGAAGGGAGTGCTGGTTAAAACGGCACCGCCCGGCTCGACTACAACGGCGTACAACGGACGGGACAGTTCCAGCAAAGTAGAGACTCCTTGGAAGGAAGCCGGGTGGCGGGGCGGTGGGGTAATGGGCCATAATATGTCTGAGTGGTCTGTGAAAGTCATGGACAGATTGGGATGGATTGTGAGGCGTGCGCTTGCGTGCGCGGGCGTGTGGACGTATCGTATGAGTGGAAGTACGTGGGAGCGCAGGTGAGAGCAAGACACAACACCTAGCCCGACAGGATAAAGCTAGGTTACAGCAGGACACTAGGGGCCGTGGCAGCCCAGAGAGCCCAGACCTGCGCAAACATGCAGATGCAGAGCGCGCTTGAGCAGCAATAGCCTAGCTTCTCGTTGGGTAGAACCTCCACTAGAAGGAGCAACACGACCACCAGGCCTCATGTGCGGGCTGCTGCCAGGAGGCAACTTGCAGAGTGCTGCAGACTTGCAGAGCGATCTGCCCGGGCCGCCATAGGCGGATGTGCTGTGGCTGGCTGCGCTGCGTGCGCTAGCCGACGCCAATCGCTGCTGGCATTTGGTCACGCACGACGAGAGTGAGACATTCAATGGAGAGGCCGAAATCCGACTTACAAGGGCTCTTGTCCGCTGTCGCTGTCGTTGTCGCCCATTTCGTTCGTCTGAGTGAAGGGTGTTCCCGAAAGACGGGACGTGGCAGGTGTGACAGAAGGGAAGGAGGAAACCTGGAACCGAAGAGGGACTCAAACGGGAATGGAAGACAGGTACAAAAGGAAAGCGCAATTGCTGAAACACTAAGCATGGAATGTCCTGCCCTGCCGGTTCAAACAGCTTCAGAACCGCGACACATCACCTCGGACGGCAGGTGCCCACGGTCAGGTCAGGTTGCAGGCGATCAATCGCCAGTGCCTGCCAGTGCCGGCAGTGGACTGTCTAGCGCTTGCCTGTTCGTAAACGGAATACCGTCAAGGGCAAAAAGCGCGCGCAGACAAGCGGCAATTTTACACTAGTAAAGCCAGCTGCAAAGAATTCGCTGTCTGGTGAGGGAATCCCGATGGGAAGCCACAAGTGATACTAGAGGCATCGAGCCGCAGTCCAAAGCGGGACCCCGGCGCCCAGTTGCCAACTCCACGACGTAGTCCGCATCGGGTTAGTCTGTCTATCTAGACTTGCTGCTACGAAGTGCTTCACAGATCATGAAGGCGATTCAGTCATTGTGTTTGCATCGACACATATCTTCCACGTCGCGGATTGAACCTGTAGGTTGCTATGCATGTGTAGTTTGCCTTCGCAAAAATTCAGATGAATCGTTTCATGGTGAGTACAGACCGGATCAAACTAAGGCACGGTCATGCGGGCATCTGCCTATCTTTGATCTGAAGATTGAGGTCACCGATAGTCGAGTCACACCGTAAGAATTCCGTCGGAACCCGGCAATCTTTCAGTGCCAAAGAGACTTACAAGTTAATAGCTGCGGTTGACAGTGGAGGGGTGTTTATAAGAGATGGAAGCCATAGCAAACCGGCCTCAAGTCTTTCACTTCAGTGAGATCAACTAACACAGGTGGTCAGCCTCCCTATTGCCCAAGGACACGAACTGTACGGAATACACTAAACGTATTCCTCAATAATGGCAGTTGGCCTTTTGCCAAATGCGAAACTCTTATGGCAACCAAGATACTCCGTATTCAGGTAAACGATAAAATATTGAGACATCCCGCCTTATCTCGTTGGAAGAGACTCTGCAAAGACACTGAAAGTTCTTGCAAATAGATAAAATATGTTATTCAGATAGACAAAACTGACTCTCTCACTAGGGCAAGGAACATGTGAAACTCCGTAAACAGTTAGAACACCTTGGAGAAAGCTCATGTTTCCAAACCAAACTATCAAGGCATAAAAGAAAAGCCAACTTCGTCTACCTGCCAGTAGTAGCTGCAGAAGACGAAACTCGTGTCTGTGAAATAGGAAATGTCGGCGCCAAACGGAACTGCGGTACTCATTGAGTGCCCGTATAAAAACGCGCTCAGTAGCAATTCTTAGGACTCCATGATGCTCTGCCCAGCTGATTACAACTCGGTGCCCATGCAGAAATTGCTTTCCTAAGCGCCGAGCCTGTTTTCTGCGTCGCCGGGGGACTAAACTTTCATGGAGAAGGAAAGAAAAAAAACAGAAAAAGTAAGCAGAACCGGGCCCTTAAGTACTCCAGACACTACTCCAGTTGACCCACTAGCGGAGAGAGTTTTGCGCTCTGATTGGTACGGCCTTTTTTTTCTCTTGGTGGAGTGGCTGGCAGCGGCCATGTCCCCTGCAAGCTGATGACACCAGCCGGCCCCCAGGCACGAGGAACGCTTCGAGGGCGGGACGTACGTAACCAACCCCAAACCAGAGCAGACCAGTCAGCCGAGAGCCGCTTTCAAACAACCTCACCAACCTCCAGCATCGCTCAATCAATTCTGCTCCATCCCCGCGAGCTTCCGAGACCGCCAAACAAACGAATAACAATCGGCCGTTTTTTTTCTCGCATCGCAAGCGACCAAAGCCGACTGGGAAAAGCGCACTCGGCCAATCGAAGCCCGTTGACCAAAGTGTCCTCTGCTTGACGAAGAGAGAGGCGTGGCTGCATCTGCTGGTCTAGGCAGCCCTTCCACCTACACGACCCTCGACAGACGTCACAAGTAAAAACAGAGCCCATATACGCGGGCGCCAACCAGCTACCCAAGAAGCGAAGAGGCGAAGACAAAGACGAAAAGCCGAGCAAAGATGGCGCACAACCCTCTCGACACGGAGGCGGGCACGGAGCTGTTCAGCAGCTACGAGGCTGAGTTTAAGCTAGTGCAGGCGGACCTGACGCAGAAGCTGGACTCGATCCCCGAGCTGTCGGGGGAGCCGCGCAAGGCGGCGCTGTCCCTCGCGGAGCGGGCGCTCGAGGAGGCGGGCGAGCTGCTGGACCAGATGCGGCTCGAGAAGCAGAACATCCCGTCGAGCACGCGCACGCGCGTCAACCAGCGGCTGCGCAACTACGACGCCGACGTCGACGGCTACAAGCGCAAGCTGCGCACGCTGGCCGACGACCGCGCGGCGCTGTTCGGCGCCGGCCGCTACAGCGACAACCCCGGCGACTCGCAGTTAGGTGGTGCCGGCGACGTCCAGCTCGAGCAGCGCCAGCAGCTGCTGAGCGGCACCGACCGCCTCGATCGCAGCACCCAGCGCCTGCGCGCCAGCCAAGCCCTCGCCAACGAGACTGAGGCCATCGGCGCCAACACGCTAGCCGACCTGCACCGCCAGCGCGAGACCATCCAGCACACGACTGATGTCCTGCTCGAGAGTGAAGGCTATGGTGCGTTCACTCTCTCCTCCCCCTTTTTAAAAGAAAAAAAGACAATGACAACTAAGAAACTCTCCCTCTCCAGTGGACCGAAGCGTCAAGACACTCCGAGGGATGGCCCGTAGGTACTGTGACCACCTACCCACCAGCATCTTAAACCCCCTTTAACCACCAATCAAACTAACAATCTCTGTTCTCTAGGATGGCTACAAATCGGGTAATCACCATCGCCATCATCACGATCCTGGTGCTGCTCATTTTCGCCGTCATTTTCAGCAAGTTCAGATGATTCCTCCCCTGGCTTTTCTTTTCCCACTCAAATTCTTTCATGACAGCGTCAGTCAGTCGAAACGCTGGGAGCCAGGCGGTTTCCCGGGGTGTTTTTAAATGGCGTTTTTTAAGGGCGTGTTGGCTTTTGTTGGTAGTAATTACTTAGGTAATTCCCGTCCTGTTATTACTTTACTTTACTTTTTTGCAAGAGAGAGAGGGAGGCTGAGAGAGGAAAAGAGAAATATTGTAAAACTATTGTTTCCCTCCTTTTTCCCCTCCACGCTGCCTGCTGTACTGCTCTTATTTTCCCGCCCCCTGTCACCCAGGGGAAGGGGTGAGAAGACGGCTGAAGCGACGGAGTTGTTCTGTAACCGTGTCTATAGACCTAGCTGTCTAACAATTCTCGTGCCTACGGAGCACGAATAGACACAAGACCACGAATAGACAGCTCGTGATTCTCCTAAGGTCCAGCAAATACTATCGATATAATCCGTATTAACCCGACACTAGCGGAGAAACATATACGGTTGTGCAAACCACTTAGTCTAGATACCCCTCGACCTAAGTTCTCCGGCCCCTCCCTCCCTTGTCTACCCTCCCCCCTTGAATTCCTTGCCGCTTGTCTTGTCCCAGACCCCGTCTGCCCGACTCGATGCCACCCCTCCCTCCTCTACCTGCACCCCGGCCTCCGCCCCGGCCTCCGCCCCTTCCTCTACCCCTATCGCCCCTATCGCCTCCGCCTCCGCCTCCGCCTCCTCTACCACCGCCCCCTCTGCCTCGCGACATGCCGCGAGACTTGCCGTCGCCCCGCGACCGGAAGCCGCTAGACTTGAGCGCCCGCGCAGCCGAGTCGTCGACATCCATGCCGTCCTCGTCATCGTCGTCATCCCCGCCCTTTTTCCCGTTGGACCACTTGATTTTTCCACGAAGGCCTCTCCGCGGCGCGTCCTTGCCTCTGAGGGCAGCCACATAGGCCCCCACGCCGCTCTCGCCCTCGCCACCAGTCGTGTCGATGTCCATGGCGCCGTCGTTATCGTCCTTGCCGAAGATGAGCTTCCCATCCAGGTCCATCTTTGCCTTGGACTTGGTCCGGAGCTTAAGCTTCACCGGCCTTGTCGAGGAGATGTTGGCAAGCGCGTTGCGGTCGAGCAGATCCAGAGGCTCGTCCTCGTCCTCGACGATATACGCATTGCCACCCTTCGCGCCCTTCCGCGATGCCTTTGTCGGCTTGCCGCCCATCTCGGTATCGGATTCACCCGACTGCCCAGACTCGTCGCTGCTATATAGAGCCTGGTCGTACTCGCTCTCAAACCGACCGGTGCGCTTGTCCTCCTCGCCATCCTCCGAGTCGTCGGCGTCTCTCGAAGCGTCCTTCTTCCTCTTGTTCCGCTCCTTGGTCTTGCGTATGTTGGTGATAAGCTTCTTATCGGCTTCTGGGCAGTACTTGTTGACCGTCTCAACGCCAAATCGCCGTATCATTCTCTCAAGTATGTGCTTGACCTTTGATCTAAAGTGGCCCTTGTGTTCGTGACTCCATACCATGAGGTTTGGTACAAGCGTACCAAGACGTGGGAGCACCATGTCAGTGGGTGAGCTGATGATGCAGACCTTGACGAAGCCCAACACGCTTTTCACGATTTCGCGGTTGTTAGACGTCAAGAAGAGGTCCATTGTTTGCACCAAGTCGGCCGTAGTCTCCAGGCTAAGGGTCTCCCGGAACTCGTAGAGTATCCGCGTAATTGCTGTGATGGAAGCCGAGATCATGTGAGGTGTGCTTCCTGCAAGACCGGCGCTGACCATGGTAACGTACTCCTCGATCGAAGCAGGCGCCATCAGGGCATCCTTGGTCATGTGTGGGACTTTGCTGTTGTCAATTAGAGCACCCTTAGCAGATGTCATCTTCTCGCCCATGAGAACCAGCAGGTCAAAGGCTGTTATGCGGGCCCTTTCGTTGTGCTCTTTGCAGCTGATGACGACCTCAGAAAGGATAGACGGGATGAAATGGAGTTCGGTGTCGGGGACAGATGGGATGAGGGCAGCAATGGCAGCAAGGCGGTCCCGCCGAGCGGGAGCCGACACCTTCTCTGCGCTTGATAAAAGGAGAGTTTGGAGTTCCGGGCTTCTTTGCTCCAGAGCCACCTTGCCTAGCGGGGAGTCGGCCAGGCGCGGGATCAGTTTGTAGGCCTTCTTCTGCAGTTGCGGGTCGTCGTCGCGAATTATGACAAGGGACGCAATCTTAAACAGGGCCTCGAAGCTTTCCCTTGGAAGGTATATCGACATTGTGACGACAAGGTCCATAAGGGTCTGTGCAGTAGATGGCAGCTGCTCCTCCTTTTTCTTTGCCTTCTTTGGTTGCTCGCCTTCCTGGGTCTGTTTCTCGTGTTTCGCCGGGACCTCTTGCAGAGCAGCAGCGAGCTTCTCGCAAACCAGATCAAAGGTTTCCTGGAGACGTGCTGAAGGTATTATGCTGAGAAACGCGTTGATGGTCTGCAAAACCGGACCGCGCTTCTGGGGCAACGTTGTGCTGTAGACATTGAAAAGCACTGCCAAGAGGTCTCCAGCGTATGTTGCTCCAAGGAAGTCTAGGTTCTCTTGCGCATCCTCCTTGCTAAGTCTGCTCTGCAAGACCAGATCATCCTCGCCCTCTAGCGAGGCGATTGCCTGGTTTGACTCGACGAGGGTCTTCAGTGCGCGGCAGATACCGAGGCGCAGATCTACCTGTTCGTATAGCAGATTTGTCAACATCTCGGCGAAAGGAGTGTCAAAGGCCACGGTCAGATCCAGCGGCAGGTCGCAATAGCCCGGGAGGATTGACCAGATCTGGTTCACGACCGTCTCGTAAATCTTGATTTCCATTGTCCTCGCTTCCTCCCCATGATCCATCACACGCTGGAACATAATGGCACTGAGGGGTACAAGTTCGGACCTGAAGTGCGCAAGATTAGTGTTAGAGACGTAATCACGCATCAAGGGCAGCATCCAGGCCCTCCCTGGCTGACCCCTGACTGGCGTTGCGAGGTTCAACGGCAAAACTTCCAAGACCGCTTCCGGACCCATTGCACGTATGGCTTTGCCAATGACCTCGTCGGCCTCTTGCTTGCCGGCAAATAACTCGACACTTCGCATTTCGCCAATGGTTTTCGCCACCCCAAGCAGATAGGGCGAGGCCCTCCAGCGCAGCGCGTCAAACATGGCGCCGAGAACATTGAACGTTTCCAGCCACGCCTGTTGATAGTTTACAGTCAACAGACTCTCGGCTGTCTTGACCAGTCTCCGAAGCACCTTTTCATCGTAGACTGAAGGGTCAAGGAGGACTTGGTGCGGAACACAGTTGGCCATGAAGGACACAAGGCACTCCGAGGCCGAGATCCGAATATTCTTGGCCTCCGATTCCAGATATTTAGCAACCAGCGCAAACGGCTCTGCCAGCTCCTGGAACGTCTCCTCTGGGGAGATCTGCGCAGAAACATCGTAGGCTCTCGAATAAATGGCCAGCCAAGGCGGGAGAAGCTGAGTGTCGCCCGACGCCGGACGCAGCTCCTTGATAATTTCGATCAGGCGCGGCAGCTTTGCAGACGCAACCTCGTCGGCCATGCCCTCAAAAATCATCTCGAAGACATCGAACACAGCGATGCTCATGTGCTCGCTGCCAGAGCGAGCAATGGCGAGGAGCAGTTCACACAGCGACTCGATCTTGGTGCTAGGCCACCCGCCGCTCGCCGAGGCGATAGACTTGACGAGCTGCAGGGCGTGGATAAGCTCGGGAATGTTCAAGGGCTCCGAGGCCTTCTTCTCCTTCTGGGACGTGGTCGCCTTCTCGGCGAGATCGCGGAGACTCTGCATGGCCGTCTCGGCGCACATGGGCGCCGCGGGGTGGTCGAGAGACGGGCTCGGGGGTGGGTTCTTGAGGACTTTCCTCAGCGCCTCCTGGGCCCTCTTCCGGACCTTGGGGCGAGGATCCAGGGCGAGGCCGAGAAGTCCGCCGACGGCGCGCCGAGGGCCGACCTGGGCCGTGCTCATATCCCACGCGGCCGCATCTTGAGCCAGCAGTAAGCTCTCTAGACACCCTAGCGACGACCGGATCAGGGGAGCGTCGGCATCAGGCTGTGTCAAGACTGGCGCCAGAAGAGCCAGGATTTGTGTGAACTTGGCTCTCAGGAGAGGCTCGGGCGCGAAAGGCGTGACGACATCGAGGAGATAGACGACTGGCGTTACCAGACTCTTGTTGTCGAGGAGGCTGAGGAGCGCTGCAAAGTATGCGGTCGGGGTGACTTCGGTTTTGCGTTCTGCAAAGGCAGACTCAACGCCTTCGAGCACGCTGGCGGTCTGCAAGAGAAAAGGGCAATGGCTGTCAGTCTCTGCCACACAAGTTGCGCACGCTTTGCATTTGTTGTAGCTATGGGAAAGACAATCTCCGTCTTACCTGCTTCTGGTTTTGGAGATTGGGGGACCTGATCTTGTCCAATTTCTCCTTCAGTGACGCGGACGCCATCTTGAAATTTTGAGTCGGCCTTCGCTCTACAGTCGGTCAACTCGGGTCTCGCTTTCCTTTTTCAACCCTTGAAAGTCGAGAAATTTGAGGGACTTCAGAAAAGTTCAGCGTTATCGGCAGCAAAACCCCACCTCGGCAGCGATAAGGGTCAAGGCGGTGGAACGAGTATACAAGGGTATGCTACAGATTAACTCAGTAAACTCAGACCAGTGTTGGCGAGGAAAGGGGGGGGTGACATACCAATTAGGAATAGATCCAAAGACCCGCTTTTTAAATAAAATTCAACCAATAGAATTTTTTATATTCGAACGGCTGGACCAGGGCCAACACCGGTCTGGAGCATTTCCGGATTTTTCCCAATTCGAGTTGCGGTGCAATATTCGCATTTCAAGTTTTTAGAAAATCCTGATTTGTATGGGAGCGCGTAACTCAGTAGCCCATATTCCCAATTTTGCTCTCAGATGTCTTTTCTAGGGGTTCTGGGCAAAAATGTGGGTCCTGGGATCTAAAATACTCAATTGGGCTAGCGGGACAGATTTACACATAAATTGAGTAGATTTTTGTCCAGCCGCCCATCCGGCCCTCGAAGTAGGCCATTCAATCCACACCTGCCCGGAATGGTGGCGAAGCCACCCCCCCTGCCTGGAAAAAGACGTCGAGTTTACTGAGATAAGCTACAGACCCACTGGAATCAGGGTTGGCGGTGGGGCATAACCGCCGACTTCGTCATTGGCCCTACAGCAAGTGGATGCGAATGGACGAGGACCCATACGTCAATGTCATTCCACCGCGAGATCAAGTAACTCGGCCTCGTGAGATCAAGGGGACTTGAAAAAACACAATAGAAAGAGAATTGAAACAAAAATCAATAATGAGGTAGTTCTGGCTCATCAGCTATGGACTCTAGGTATACCGCCCCAAATCAGAAAAGAAAAGAAAGTCCAAAGCGATTGAATCAATCCCCCTCCCCGTCAAATCCCGAAAAACGCCGTGACAGAGGAAGGGGGCAGCTGACAAACGTTTTTTTATCTACCTTTCGCATATCCCCCTGTCCCCGCTTAAGAAAACTCATTGTCGGCTTCTTCGATCTGGTTCTTGATCTTCACACAGATTGCCGTCTTCCACTTATCGAGCCTGCTCATCTGGTCGTAGGCAAACAGCTTATCTGTGTAGGCTTCTTGGTTCCCGGCCTCGACAGCATCGACCAAGTCTGACAGCAGCTGGTACTCGCGCTGCCCCGCAAAACTCGGGTCCTTTTCTGCGTAGCGCTCGAGGTTGCGCCTCGTGGTGATGACGTCCTTGGTCGCGAGCATGCACAGGCCCGCCTTCAGGAAGTACTCCTTGACCGAGTATCTCATCAGGTTGTTGTTGAGCGACTGCTCGGCCACCTTCTCGAAGTTCTCCACCGCCCTGTAGAAGTCATCGTCGAGGGCCGAGATATCGGCCACCTTGAGCCAGAGTTTGTTGGCCAGACTGTTCAAGTGTCAGCGCCGTTCAGAACTGGGAGCGCTCGAACCATGTGCAGGTCAACTTACGCTGTGGCGTTGTCTCCCTCATACCACGTAGCCGCTTTCTCGTAGCAGTCCAGGGCCCGCTTCAGGTCGCCAATCTCCATCTCGAGGACCTCGCCCTCGGTTTCCTTGTGGGACGCGGCTCTCCGGAAGTTGCCCTTAGATGTGTAATGGTTGATGGCCTGCTCGACGCAGCGAACCGCGTCTTCGGGGCTATCTTTTCTATAGACCTTGAAGGCGTCGACCATAAGGTTTGCGGCGTCGTCAGGCTCGTTAAGCTTGTTCCTGTGGATGTCGGCCGCCTTTTCGAAAGCCTTGCCGGCCTCGGTATCTATCGTTGTCCCGTCGTCAGCTCTGCCCAGACACGCGCGAGCACTCATCTCATCTCGCCGCCAGCCAGCCAGGGGCGGGGCTGCTCACTCATCCTCTCGAGCTTGAAGGCATTGCCGGCCTCGACGAACAGCTCGGCCGCGCTCTGTAACTTGTCCTCCTTGCCGCTGCTAAAGAAGCTGAAGCCTCCAGACGCGCTCTGGAGCGTCTTCTCTGCCTGTGCCGGGAACCGTCAGTTAGTGAGCCTATGCAAAGCCGGGGCCCCCGCGGCATGGCCCAACGAGAGAAGGGGGCTTGGCGAACCTTTGCAATGAGACCGCGTGGATCTACAGACATGATGGCCGCTGGCGCAATGCGTCGGGAAATACTGCGATCAGTTAATCCAAAAGGTGAATCGGGTGGGTGCGCGAAAGTCGCTTCGAGGATTCAGGTCAGTTTTCGTCGGCAAACGTTCGTGGAGTAGTGTCGCAATCCTGAGCCAGGGCCCCGTCTTTGACACACTTACTGCTGAGGAGGGGGATGCCTGCGGGCGCGGGGCCAAGCCAACCTACCTACGTAACCCAGCAAGCCTCGGGCTACCATGGCCCCCACACCAGTTGAGAGCTATGACGCCCAGGCCACAACAGACCCATAGCGAGGCTAATAATAAGCGGTTAGCGTAGAACCTAATATGGCTAGATCGGGCATAATCACCTAGGTCATTGATCACCAGCCTTCAAATGCAAAAGCGGCCTGCCCCCCTTTATCACGACAACGACAACAACCAAAAAAAGCCCCCCAATGCACTGGCGGTAGACCAAACGACCTCACAACCAGAGCCAAACAGACATGTATTCCGCCCGAGCAATGATCATATCCGGCAGCACCCGGAGCTGCGTGCGCCTAGCGCGGCGGAGTCTTTTTTCCCCAGCGCCAGCATCATCACTCACAACAAGCCCGCAAGCGCAACAACATCCACAACCACAACAGCACCAGCAGCAACGCCTCACCTCGTCAATATCAGCACCACCAGCACCAACCATAAAACTCTCAACAACAGCCAGAAGACCGGCCGACATAACCGACGCCGCAGCGCTCCTGTCGCAGCCAACATGGTCCGTCCGCTCGCTTCTGCCAACCACAGCCACATCCACAACCACAACGGGCACAACCACAACACCAACCACACCAACAGACTTAACACCAGTGGTAACCCCCTCACAACTCCACCACCTCCTCCGCCTGTCCGCTCTACCCCTCCCACAAACCCCCGCCGAAGAGACGGCACAGATCACCACCCTGCAGTCGCAGCTCTCATTCGTGCGAGCGATCCAGCAGGTCGACACGCGGGGGGTCGAGCCGCTGCGAGCGATCCGGGACGAGACGGACGCAGGCCTAAAAGAGGCGGCGGCGGCGGGGATGGAGGTTGTGCGCGCGGCGCTGGCGGAGGAGGACGTGGTGGGGCGGTGCCGGCGGCCTAGACGGCGGCGGGGGCAGCGGTCGACACCGGCCGGTGGCTTGGCTGGCGTGGAGGACTGGGACGTGCTGGGGACTGCGCCGCAGAGGGCCGGGCCGTATTTCGTAGTCCGGAGCGGGACCTCCCAGAGTGGGGCCAGCCGTGTTGTCGCTGGCAGCCCAGCTGAACAAGGCGACACCCAGTGAGGATAGTATCTAAGCTATGTAGCTTTCTGCGTATCCGGACTTACCTCCCACGCAGCTCGGTTCTGCATCGAGTCCTGACAGGGGCGGGCTATCACGTTCGAGTCAAACCCCATAAGATCTCTGAATCAACTTGGAGACCAAGAGAACGACTATGAAAAGCCTTCATTGTGTCAAGTATAAGGTAAGCCCCCCCTATCATAATAGAGCCCTATGGCAGGGGCAGGGGCAGGGCAGAGAAAGCTCGAGCTAATTACATACATCTATTTAGGCACAAGGAACACTTTCCCTAGTTCCAATCTTAATCCATCAACCCACCAATCCCGAGGCATAAAATGCCAATCCCCAACGCAGCAATGTCGTTACGATGTGATTCTCCCCTCAACCCCCCCCCCCCCACTACAACAGATCACTTCTTGTTCTTGGTCTTGTTCTTGGTCTTGTTCTTGTTCTTTCGCTTGCGGGTCGGGATTGGCTCCTGCTGGACCTCGTTTTCGGCCCCGTAGCCCGATTTCTTGGCCAGATCGGCGTCGTGGTTTCTCTCCCGTTCAACGTTTTCCCGATCCACCATTGCCAGCACCTCTTCGTCCTTTGCAACTTGGGCATGGTCGATGTTTTCCCATCCAATGTGCTTGAGGATGCTCCCAACCATGTATTGGTATCTCCAGTGGGTGCTGACATTAGCTGAGGCATCCACGTTTTCGACACCGTCAACGCCCTGGATCCGCTGCAGTCCTGCAACTCCAGCGTGAAGGCTGCTCATCCGATACATAAATCCAAGGAGGTGGTCATTCTCGGAGAAGACGTTGATCAGTCGTCCCGATACCACGCTCTTCATCGCGCACCACGAAAATTCATCCGATGGCATAGGTGCCCCCATCAAGACGGCGTTCTCGACGAGACCAAAAGCCCGCCGCTCAGCCAGTACCATCAGACAGGTGAAAATCACCCGAGCGCCGAGACTGTAGCCAACCAGGGTGACACCGCGCTCGCCTTGGCCCTTGTTGATGATGATATCGGCGAGGACGGAACCCGTCTTGTCGGCGCGGCTGAGGCCAATGCACCAAGGGTTGTCGATGACTTTGCAGACGTTCAAGAGACCCGCGGGCCAGATCGCCTGGTGCAGACTGGCAAAAACTGACCCTAGTGTGTTAGCTGGCTTCACACAAGCAGGGTCATGAAGGACGGAGCTCTGCTCACTAGTCCTAGCAATGATTTCCTTCTTTGCCTTGGACCACGCCGTGCTCTTCATCACAACCTCCAGTGCGTTGCCGATCTTGCCGAGAGTTTCGAGTTCCCACCGGAGCATATGGACCTCGTTGTGATCCTCCAATGCCTTCCAAGGACTGGTGGCACCCGAGACACCGGCCGGTTTCTCGTTGTTCACCCATCCGTTGATGCAGAAGACAACCCGGAAACGGCGGTTCTCTGGATTGATCTTGCAGATCTCGGACTGGTTGCCGAGAGAGCCGTGCAACGGGACAAAAGCAAGATCCGGGATATCCTTTGCGTACTGCTCCATTCCCTTGCCGACAGTTCTGCCTAGGCCAAAGAAGGCAGCCATAGCAAGCTTGTTGTTAGCTAGCGGTCCGAGGACGCTCGCCGTGGTGCTGGTTCCAAGGCCACCACCCATGACCTGCCCAATACTAGCGGCTACAAGCGGTCCGACAAGAGCTCCGCTGTCCGCCATATTCTTCCACTTCTTGGACGACTTGCCATCATCGGCCGTCTTCCTCTTGTGGCTTAGGTCCCCCTGCTGGACATCTTTGACCACTTGCGCCAGGGCCTTTGCCACTCGGACCTCATCTTCGGTCAACATGCGCAGGGGGAGATTGAGAGAAGAGACAATGTTGAGCAGAAGGATACGAGAGTAGGAGCTGTAGTGCTCGAGTGATAGCAGCAGCAGAAGCAGCGAGTGCAGCAGGAGGTTTCGCTTCTCCAGCGCCAGTGAGCCCAGAGTGGTTTGGGTGGGTGGGTAAAGCTGTGTCAGTAGTTGATCATTCTCCACCGCCTGCTGTATCTGTATCTTGGGGGCTTTCATTCTGTCAGCAGCTGTCATCGACCAGAGACGCCATGGCCATATCTGGCGCTGGCTTACCAGGCACAGGCCCTTTGGCCTTGTTTGGCGAAGAGCCCTTCTTTGCTCCCGACAATGCTGACTGAGTGGTCTGGGCATCGTTGCTTCTCTTCACGGAAATGTCGCTCATTCTCTTCTGAACCCCAGTCTGCCATCGCTTGAAGTGCACAATGACGTCTTTCTTGAGCTCCGCCATTCTGGGGCCAGGCTCGCTGTCGTCCTTGGTAGAGTTACCATCGGTACTGATAGCGAGCTTTGCGATGGCAAGCTGGTCGGCCGTGGACATGGCCGGCTTAGTGCCGGACGGCTTCACATTCTCCTTTTGGTTTGGCAGCGGCTTCACATCGGGCTTCACGTCGGGCTTCTTGTAGACCTCCTTGGCAGGCGACATGATGCCGACGTCCTTGAGGTGGGCTGGAAGGCCGTCCCAATAGCTGACGCGGCGGGTATCGGTGGGGCTGGCCGACTCGAACAAGCGGTTGATATGCTGCTGCATGCCATCAATCACCTTGTTCACGAGTTTCACTAGCTCTACCTTCTCCTCGAAGCTCAGCAAGGCGCTAAGGTCCACCTCCCGCTTTGGAGTGTTGGGGCGTGGCTTGCCAGGGGGCGGCATGTCGGCGGTGTCGTCGGAAGACGAATTGCGTTTTGGGGGGGCCTGATCCGAGCCCTTGAAGCGTGACTTCTTGTGCGAGGCAGCCGTATTTCTGGAGTTGCGCGAGGGGCGGACGTCTTTGGCGTCTTGGGAGTCCTTCGTGTCTTTGTGGTCTTTCAAACCCTTGGGGTCCTTGGGGCCTTTGGTGTCCTCCATGATCACAGACGGGAAGGTGGAACCTGCATGCTACGCAGTTGCCTCCTGGTAAGGCTTGAAAGCAGTCAGCGTTTGTCCGGGTCAAGACACTGCTAGTGCTAGTGCTGCGATTATGGCCAGAGGGGCCCGAGCAGGTGCGGGCGCAGGTGCAATCGCGGTCGCAGCAGTCGCAGTCGCAGTCGCCGTCGCTACCTGCCATGGCCAACTGTCATGGAGCAGAAGAGGAAGGCACGACGCGCTTTCTCCCCCACCATCGATCGCCTCTCCACCGACAGTAGTAAGTACCAGGTAATGGCAGTAGGACTGACTGATTGCCTACGCTGTAGCGTCCGACTGCCCTGATCTCGGGCGCCTCTATTTCAAGTCTTTCTCGGAGCCGACAGGAGAGGGGAACGGGGGTAGCAACCGCCAGCTCTAGCCTGTTTGCTCGTTTGTGTGCGTGTCAAGTGCTTACCTTCTGCTGTACTTGTACCACTTGGACGTCAAGGTGTAACTGATGTGGTTACCCGGCAGCGGTATTCGCAAGCAAGGAAACGCGGCGGGGTACCAGCGACGGGTAACTGCGCTGCACTGCCGGCGTTGGGGTGGAAAGAAAGAAGGACGTTCGCAGCAAGAAAGATTCAGAATTCAAAATTCAGATCTATTGTCGCGGTGCCTCGCGCAGAAGGAAGGGCAAGGTAGAAGGAGAAGGAGGGGTGCGGTATCTTTTCTCAGTGCAAGTGGCTCAGGTAGGGACTCAGGTAGGCTGGCCACCTTTCCTGTCGGCTGCTGAAGGTGGGCGAAGGTGAGCGTCACCTTCGGATTACCAAACACTCACTTGGTACTTGGGCAAGGAGCAGCACATTGGCATGCGGGGTTTTGATGTGCCAAACCAATGCAGCTGAGCGACAAACCGGACGAGGAAGGAGCGTGACTTGCGTTTTACTCACTGCGCTCAGCAGCACTTGAATCTTTGAATTTCGCCCAGCCTTTGAATTCTACCGCCCAGCCAGCATCCAGTTTTCAAACACACAGCCACAGCAACGACATTCCTATGGTCAGCATTATTAGAGGCGCCGGCTGGGATTGGGTCTACCTGTTCTACAGCTAACTATCTCGGCGCGTGCCCATCGCACTGTATCTGTTGCTCATGAAGGATTGCTATGGACCTCAGGCATTCAATATATTTGATCTTGAACATTTTGACCTGAGGATAGGCAGCCCTGTCTATCGAGCCAATTCCGCCTGTTTTACCCATGGCAATACCCGCATAAATATTTTATTCTCTTCGCCGTAACTCATTATGCTCCCAAGTTGAGGTTATATTGAGAAGAAAAAGGGGCCCTTGTAGTCATGTGGCTTGGAAGCTTGGGTGGTATTAGGACCTGAGGCATGACGTTGACAGCCGCCCAGGGATCTTGTGGGATCTGCCGGGTGGCCGGTAGGGGTCCTGCGCCTTCTAGAAGCGGGCCGCCAGAATTAGTGGGGCCGATCTTCCAGATCTTTGCCCCACCTTCCATGGCTAACATGACGTGGGGTAAAGGTGGGCGGTTGGCCAAGCCGCCGAAGAAAACGCCACTTTATGTCAGGGCAGAACTCCCTTCTCTCCCAAAGCCGCAAACAACAATCAACCGCCAGTGTCAAATACCTCAAACTGCCCAACTCAGACTACCTACGAATCGAAGGACTTGTAGGTCTCTTAAGGAATAGCATAGCTCTTTCCTATTAGACCACGGCCTCTGCGCTTTTGTCTCTGCAGAAGATCGCTGCCCTGGCCTTCTCGAAATCTTGATCGGGATCCAAAGCTCCTATTTGCGCCACCATCTATCTCCAGTCTGTCGCTCGTCGGTAGGGGCGCAAGGTCTCCTGCATCCCAGCATGGCAACACTAGCCCAAGGACAAGCGCCACAGTCGGTCGGCAGCCGTACCGAGATCCTGCTCGCCCCAACACAGCAGCAGACAGGCACACAGACGCAGGCCATTTTGCGACTGCGCGGCGCGCACACGTCAACTGGGAGGTCTGTCCAGTGGCGGGAAGACGTTGTGGACAATGAGGGCCTGGGCCGGAAGAAGTCTAAGGGTTAGTGTGTTCCAGCGCGCACCCAGCAGCGGGGAGCAGGCCTCTCGTCAGCTCCCCGGCTTGCGTTTATACCGCCCTCTTTCGTAACCGGGGAGCTGCGATGTCGAGTAAATAGGCGCTGGGCTAACAGACCTCAAGTTTGCTGCATCTATCACCGGACAAGAGGCGTCGACGAGTCCAGCGACGAATCCTCGTCCGACTCCAGCTCGTCGGATTCCGACTCGGACCGTGAGGGCGGCAGCGATCCCAGGAGAGACAGGGGCGATGGCGCCGGCGGCGAGAAGGACAAGGACGAGAAGGTGAAGGATAGCGACGGGCACGGGCACGAAGGGCACGATTGTGATGACCATGGACACTCTCACAGGCACGGTGGTAGTAGTCAGAGGCGTAGGAGGAGGAGGCCGAGTCCGAATGCCTATGAGAAGATGCCGAAGCCTCAAAACCAAAGCAACAAGCCGCAAAATGACAAGCCCGGCATCGGTGGCGGCCAGGGGCCGCCGGGGGCAAGTACATAGGAGTGGGCCGTCTGGCAAGAGTGCAATGGCGATACCGGAACATTAGCGGTAGTGCATAGTATGTTTAATTTTGGGACACATCTGGGTTTGGATGACTTTGGAGCGCACGCACATTTCTTTGTCTTAGTCCCGTAGTCTAACCCACCCATTCTATCACTCTAGACTTGAGTGGGAAATGTCACGAATCAATGAATATATTAAAAGTGGGCAAAGCATCTTATATAAATATGGCCATGGAGTGCTCTGACATGTCATTAGCCCGTGTCCACTGCCTGTTCTTTAAGAGGATCGACTGAATTCCTGACATAAATAAATTCAAGGTAAATATCTATCCAAGTTTCACTCACTTCTGTCTCCGTGTCCCCCGCCTGATCTCGCTCATCAAGAGCATGAGTATAGGAGTCATTTTTTCACACTATCTCTCTCCAGATAAATAACCCAATTCCTGAATTTGTACCCAGGTATAGCGGGGGAACTTGATTTCCAAGGATTTCAAGAGGTCTTGATACCTTGCGACTTTCCCTAATTGCTCTTCTCGTTACTACTATAGGAGTTTTTGCAGCGGCGGCCCTTCTTCTGTTTGTTTACCGGGTAGTAGTAATGGTATTGCTTCTCCCGCCTCCTTTGCACACTGGCTAGCGATAGACTGTACGAGGTCCATGATGGACTCGGCCGCAGGGCGATCCGAGAAGATGGGCTTGGCGAGCGATAGGAACTTGGACATGGATTTGGGCGACTTGTTGAACTTCTTCGGGCTGGCTAAAGCATCGTGGAGGGCGGTCCGGTGGAGGGCCTCGAGAATCCCGTAATTCCCCGGAGCGACTTTGTTGCGCAGGGTGCTGGACGCAGGCTCGGCGAAATATTGAGCTACATTAGCGATCGCGTGCTTGAATTGGTCGTCTGATAGGGCCAAGTGGGAATCCATGGCTAGCTACCTATAGGGGAGAACGAAGATGTCGAGGCTTGTTGGGTAAAGGTAGGTAGGTAGTGACAAGTGGTTCGGGAGACAAGCTTTATAAACTTCATAAAGAAAGTGCAAAGTAAACCAAACCTTGCTTGTTAAGAAGGAAGAACTGGCTTGGTTGAGTCGTTGCCGATGACGAGCTTAGGTACTGTCCCGACTGGGTAGGGTCGGATGCCAGATTTAGATCTAGGGCTGTATCTTGTGTTAACGACTTTCCGGGAACAAGATACACTACCTTGGTATACGCCTGGCCTCATCACTCTGCTCGGCTCATGGTGCTTTCTTCCAAACGTCCACGCCTGACCAAACCTTTCTCCCCATCCTATAGATCCTATCATTTCGTCCGAAGATACAAATGGAAGACAGACGGGAGCCTGAACATCCGCCCCGTCCGGCGTCTTCACCCATCTCACCCCTTTGTTGTCAGTGGCTGCTATTTGACGACTGTTATTATATGTTGACTTCTTAACGGAATGTTGTTATGTATGATCTCGGTTGTGAGCCGGCCGATATGACTCTGCCGTAAATGACTGTGTTAAAAGTTAATGTGTACTGTACGTGGTGATGGGTATGAGCCATTTCACTTTCGTGATAAATCTAACGCGGAAGTCGCTCCTTAAGCAAGCCTTGTTGAAGTAGACGAGATAATACACACGTATAACCTCCTTTTGCTAGAGGCCCAAAAGCCAAAGAAAGAAAGAAAGAAAACAAAAGTTTGTCACCCAGCGGCTGCACCTCTAATCCCCCCTTTTCCCTTTCTCACCACCACTAGGTAGCCCCACGACACACACACACACACACACACACGCCCCAAGAAGAAAGGAGAAATTAAAGGAGCCCCCAACAGAAACCCGCGAGAGCGGTAAAAAAGAGCTATACATAAAAGGACCGCATACCTAGCGAGGATCGAAACATACCTACATACATCATGCTTCTACAGTGCAAGACCAAACCAAACCAAACCAAAACAAGAAAACCCCTCACCACCAAGGAGAACAACAACAACCCCCCAAAAAGAAGAAACAAAGAACAACAAGAAGACATGCTCTAACAAGAGTGGGATTCGAGCCCACGCCCTTTCGGACCACGGAATCATATGATGCGAATGTGACAAGGATGCCAGGCCACATCGTGAGTGAATTAAGAGATTTGGAAATTCCTTAACGTGGCGCCTTAGACCGCTCAGCCATCTTGCCTGGTGCTTGCTTGCTTGCTTGATGGAGAGTTGGGTGGACAAGACGAGTTATGTCTTGTCCTATCCTGTCCTGGCGAGGAGAAGATTCTTTTGCAAAAAACCGAGGAGTGGACCACACAGGAAAAAGGGGGGGTTCATTAACAGAAAGGCAAACTAAACTCCACAGTAGGAAAACCTTGGCTGACAAGACTCAGAAAAGACCAAGATGGATTTGCATGACGAATTGGTGAATTGGTGAGTGCTATCCTTGCATTTGTTTCCATTTCAGTTCTCATCTGTCAGGTTTCCCATTTTTGCCTGTTTTTCACGATCTTGGCCCCAAGCCGTCCCGTCCTATCCTCCCAAGAACAAGAAAAAAGACAAAAATATCGGAGTTAAAAAAATTAATGCAACCAACAAAAATGCAAAAAAAGATCAGGGTCTGCTTCTGCTGCTGTTGCTGCTGCTGTTATCGTAAAAAACAAGAAAAACAAATATCCGCCAAACACAGTCCGTGGGCAAGGCATAGGTCCATTTCTCCTTTTTGCTCCCTTCTTAGAGTCCTATTTCCCACGGCGGTGGGTAGATGATGAAGCTTGCCGGCCAGTAGGGGCAGTAGTCGACGAAGAGGCGGAACATCAAGTGGAACGGGGGAAGGTTTTAATAGTTCGGTTTTAATGCATGAGTTCGTCGCCTCCAAGGGGGTATGTATTACTGATGGGAGTATACCGCGTTTTCAGATGCTGAATTCCGGCATCGGCGGGCCCAACATGCTCGGGACTTGCTTGCGGACGAGGCCTCTAGCTCGGCCATGCTCGGGGCGGGGAATGCCCTGGATGGCGCGAGGCTCTTTCATCAGGGACGGGTCCAGCTTCAGAGGGACCCTGGTGATGACCGATCTATAGTCCCCCGGGAACTTGGCCGACGGGAAAGGAACCGACGCCGTCCGCCAGAGGTGGTCTGAAGTATCACTGAGGTAGCTGGGGATCTTCGCGGGCCTTGCCGGCGCCACGAAGCCCGTCGATGCCCCGTGCGATGCCCGGATGGTAGAGAGGCGGGAGAGACCAGCGGAGAGCGTCGGACGCCCGCGTGCTTTCTTGGCCAGAATTATCTCGTCAAATAGACGCACAGAGGGGTCAGAAGGCAAGTGACGCTCGCGTTCATGAATAAACTCGTTAAATGCTAGGTTATCATAGTCAGTAAACGAGATCGAGGACGAGAGAGCAGGGGGCACACACCTTGAGTTTCCCTCATCATGCCTGCATAATCCTGCTGATCATAGGGCAGGCTCCTAATGAATGTGTCCATGTCAAAGGCATACAGCTGGCCGTTGGCCTTTTGGTCGCGGCTGGGCCGCCCGAGATGCTTCCTGTAAGTGTAGAGGAGACTAGCCAGACAGCGTACAAATGCGGCTCGGACACGATCCGCGTGGAAGGCCTCGGGGCAGACCAGCGAGACAGAGCCCAGACAGCGGTTGTGGGATAGGCACGAGCAGCCGTTGCACTTGTAGAGCCCGTCGCCCTCGGACCGGTCCTCGCAAACTGTGCACGAGGACCCCGCATCATCGGTAGTCCAGTTGAAGCAATGGCCCTCTACCCAGACTGTGCTCTCCGTGTTGCGGACTGGCTGGATCAGCATGTTAGGCATGATGGTCGAGGCCGCTATGGTAGACTGCGCATATGTTGACGGAGCATAACCGCCAAACGAGGACTGCGAGTCGATAGATATGCCCGAGATGGAAAGGTTCTGCGCGTGTCCGTTCAGGAACGGCAGGCTTGGCCGGTGGAGCGGATGGTGCTTGTCTACTCCGAACGACGAACTCCGTCTGGACTTCTCGTCAAAGTGACCTGACCGCTTTTCGCGGAGCGTGGTGGAGAGGGCAAAGCCCGAGTCGCTGCGTGAGATGGGTGTCGTGGGCATCGGCGGGAAGTTCATCGAGATGGGCGATACAGACGACGGCGGGCTGCCCTTCCCAGACTTACCGGTGGGCGGCCGCTCGTTTCTGGTCGGGTCGATCTTGGCTTGCGAGAAGGCGTTGAAGAGAGGAGGTCGGATGCTGCTGGGCGGGTCGGGCTCTCCAAAGCTAGCCGAGTTTTGCGTGACCCATTTGCCCAGCGAGCTCGGTACCGTGGTGGCGTTGAAGAGGGCCTCATTCTCGGCCGAGTGCGCATCGTAGGGAAATGCCTCCATTGCGTAGGGCGGGGCCCCAGTCGCAACGCCATACCGCAGCTTGTGAGGGGCCGCGACCTGGAGAAGAGCCTGGAGCTTTCGACGGTGCTGGCGCGGGAGGCTAACGGACGGCCCAGTGGCGTCTATAGTGTCCTTGTCGAGATCCACAAGCACGTAGTCGTCCTCGGGCAGCTCGATGCTCTCGTAGCGCCTCTCAACCCCGACAATGTAGGGGCACGGCGCATCCAGAGCAGAGAGGAGCCGAGCCGGGAGGATGGGTATGAAGATGCTCGCCCACTTGAGCGGGTAAAGCAGGCTAACCAAAGCGTGACAGGCAAGATGCAGCATGCCGGCATGGGACGAGAGGAAGATGATTCGCGATTCTGACATGGCATACTCAAACAAGAGCACAATATTGTCCAGCGACAAGCACCTGAAGAGCGAGTATATGTCAATATTCCGCGAGCCAGGCAGCTCGTTGGCCGCCTCCTTGCGTGCATAAAGCCGGAGCTCGCGCACCCCGAGCTCGACCTGCGTCGTCGAGCCCAGGGGGCTGAAAGCCTCGGTGCACAGATTGACAACATAGCGCTCGAGAGGCTGCCAGCGCCCGACCTTGGGGGAGCTAGGCGGCACCCTCAAGATGGCGCCGTCCGTCATGGGCACCACGACGGCCCTGAGCCACTCCTTCCAGAAGCCCATCCTGGTAGCATCTTTACCTAGAATCCCGTACGCCCGAGGCGTCCAGAGGCCCGTCTCGCCGGCGGTGAGGCCGTCGATCTTGGACGCGGCGCCGTGCCTTAGCGGCCTTAACATTTCTGTCATCAGGCTGATCTTCTCCTCGACGGCGCTAATCTGGTCGTCGAGCATCTCGCGGGCCGACGACCCCGAGGGGATCGCCGGCAGCTTGGCGAGAAGCTGCGACAGGTGCGCCCGCTCTGCAGCCAGACGCACGCCCAGGCTGGCCGCGAGCTCCCTCTCCTCGTTGCTCATGTGGCTCTGCCGCCACTGCTCGCACTTCTTCTCAACCTGCTCGGCTATCTCCGAGTTCAACGCCGTCCAGACGATGATGGTGATGCCGTATATTTTGGAGTTGTCGTCCGAGGTCATGGTGAAGCCGTGCCACGTCGAGCGCGGCCGCTCGTCAGACGACACAACCTGGATGTCGTTGGGGAAGGCAAACATGGGTACGTAGTCCGGGAACTTGCCTCTCCGGGCCAGCTCCTCCACCGAAGAATCCCGCGGCGGGTAGCGGTCGAGCAACACGGGCTCAAACCTCTTCTTCAGGGGGTGCATATCGGGGTCCGTGTTCAGCGGTTCTGGCGGCGGTATGACTGAGTTGTAGTTGCTCAGACGCTTTGCGGTTCGGACGGAAGCTAGAACACGAGGGACAAATGCACACGCGTCAGTACTCGAGACAAATGAATACCAGTTGGGGATTGGGGGTCCCACATACCGGCTTTCGGGGCAGTGGGTTGCTTCCTCGCACTGGTCATATCCCTAAAACTCATCTTGCGGCGGATGCTCCCACGAATGCTCCTCAGAGGGCTCCTCCTGCCACTCTGGTCGCCCTCGTCAGCCCTGAGCTTCTCAGCCCTAGGGTTGACCATGGGCGGTCTTGACTGGACCTTGGCACCGGCACTGAATGTCAGGTCGTCGAGGAAGATCTCGCGCTCGGCAGCGAATTTGAGAAGGGCCTTGTCAAAGTCAAAGTCGAGAGGGAGTCCGTCGGGCCCAATGCCTTGGCCCAAGGGGTGGCCAGTGAGTACAACGCTGCCGTTGGCGCCATTGGCACCGTTCAGGCTGTTGCTGACAATGCCACTGGAGGAAGGCACGGCCCGTATGGTCGCGCTACTGCGGTTGCTCTTGGTATTGCCGTCGACATCTTCCAGTGAGCGGCCGTCGGCGAGCGATAGGGGGATGGAGAGCTTGGAGATGGTGGAGAGGCGGTTGGCCGAGTTCTGGCGAGAGTGGCGGGCCGTGGCACGGGACGACGACACTACCGACGTGTCGACACTCTCGCTCTCACGCTCTCGCTCCCGCTCCCGCTCCCGCTCCCGCTCCCGCTCCCGCTCGCCCTCGCCCTCGCCCTCGCCTTCTCCCTCGCCGTCCTCGGCTATTGTGTCATCAAGCTGGGCGGTGCTGGGGCCATCGTCGTAGGCGATGTTCTCTATGCCGGCGATCCAGAAGTAGTCGGCGAGCGGCGTGGAGGAATTGTCCATGACATATCAATCCGACCTCGTGTCGATGCCCGCGTGGCCCGTCGTCAGTCAGGTCCTCCCTTACCAGGCACCGTGCCCTGTCTTTTGTTTTGCCCCGTTTAACTTCCACTGGGCTTCCTGGCTTAGTTCCCGTGGTTCCTGTCGTTGTCTTCGTTGTCGTCGTCGTCGTCAAACTGTTCCCGCCCGGCGTGCCTGTCGCCGTTTGTCTCGTCGCGGTCTCGGGCGCGTATCTTATCCTCTATCTCGAGCCAGGGTTAGCGTTTTTCGGAATTGTGAGTCGGGGTGGTGGATGCGAGCGACAAGCAGAGGAACATGTGCGGCTGGGGCGCGCAACAGGCACCGCCCAGTCCCCTGGAGGCGTACTGTATACAGTAGGTATGGATGTTCACTACGGTGCCGCTAACGCACACGGAAATAGATCGCTCACCTACAGGACCGACCTGACCGACCACCTCACCGATGTGGATGGAGACGGGAAGTTGGAGAAGTTAGGGAGAGGCGGAGTGGGGTGCCCGCTGATGGTAAGCCGAACACGAAAATGAGCCCCGGAATCCACTGCAACAGCCCTATCCGCACTGAGGGCTGTCGGTCCAGTGAGGTAATGTATATACGGAATACTGTATGTATGTACCCAGAAAAAAAGGAAGAGAACTGCCCCGAGATGCAAAGGTTGGTCCAAAAAAAGATACGGTATGGAATGCTCAGGGTTGGGGCTTCCTCGCCATGAAAAAAAAAAAAAGCTTAAAAGACGTTCTTCAAGAACAGAAGCCAAGCCAACCGAAGAAAGACGAGCACGACACGAGGAGCCTCAAGTGAGGTGTCCTACTCTTGCACGCTTTTTGTTCTTCTTCCCATCCACCTCACCATTCACTACTCAGGGCTCTAGGCTAGGCGTCCACACTGGAACTGGACTCCTGCATCTCTGCTGCATTTACGCCTAAAGCGAACCCCTGTGCTGAGCTGCATGAGGGTGCGGCGTGTTTTTTCTGGCGCCCCTGCGTCCCTAGCTCCATCTGCCATAGGCCATAGGTGGGCGGGCCAGACCAGACCTCTGGTTATCCATCCGGTCTGCCCTGATTATCTATCCCGTCGGACGGACAGCAGGCCATAAGGTAACTTATGGATGCAGATACGCGGTTACATCTCGCTTCCTTACGATTATTTCTCGTGTCAACGGAGCAACCTGAGCAAAGCCATCTCCTTGAGGAAAAAGGTCTGCGCAACCCTTGTGCCGATCTTGCGTCTTCTTCTTGTTGACGGCCGGGCCGGTAGGGGAGGGGAGAGGCAGAGGCAGTGAGTGAGTGGACGTCGTCCTCGAACACGAGCACTGAAGACCGAGCTAGCGAGCGAACGGCGGATTTTTGGACGTTTTCGTCCGCATCTCATTCCCACCACTGGATGCGTGCGTGGAGGGGTCCATCAGCCCACCCCTAAAAGTCAATTCACCCCACCATCTAAAGGTTGTCAGCGGGTCGGCCCAAGTTGGGCGTCACCTCAGTCAGGGGAGTTAATACTCAAGCCGTCGAACACATCTCGCCAAAGGATCCGGCCCTGATGGCTAATTGAAGCCAGCCAGCCACTTCGCAGGCTTTATTCCGTAGATTCTTCTTCACTTCAGGCACTTTGTGTAGGCGAAAGACGCATCTCTCACAAAGGACGCAGGCTCACATCCAATACTACCTACCGACCGAGGGACACTCGCGGAGCTCTTGAACTTCGTTCCTGAACTGGGCCGTAGGCTTGCATTGTTGGAGGGGGGGGCAGTGAGGGCGGGAGGATCGTCGCCACCATATGCCCCCGTCCAAGCCCTCCAGCACCCCAGAGGCTCTGTTCAGGGGGACAGCTGGAGTCTGAACTGGGCAACAAGACGCGCGCCCAGGGATGAATGCAGCAGGGCGAGCCGCGGCGAAGCGGCCGCACGGCTGCATGTTGCTGAAAGGATCATAAAGCCATCTGAGATAATCCTCACTGTGGATGGGCCTGCCTGTTTTCAGCGCTACCCGAATTCACGTCGAGCCATTGACGAGAGCGCTGGTCGTTAGGCAGGCTATATTTGAAGATCCACTTCGCTGTGTAGCTCGGAGCCGCTTGGGAGCTCCAGACAGTTGAGTTGTTTAGACTCTCCCACCGTCATGTCTCTGACTGGTTCAGGCCTAGTAGTTCTAGGCAGGTACAACACTGTACATACAGTGCAATCTAAAGTTTCGGCTTCTGAACGATATACTACCGGCAACGTTCAGTCGAGCTCGACGCCAACCCAAACTACGGCACTCACCTCACTCGGCCCTCGAACAAGGCGCAGCAGAATTTGCCCACTTCGCCGTGACCCAACAGAGAAGTCTGGACGAGCAAAGACTGACTTGGTTGATCTTGGATGAGGATGCGTGCCCATCCAACGAACCGGCACGCCAATGGTGCTTAGGCTTGAAGTAGTGTGAAAATGAAACAGGGCCTGTGTGATATGATTGGCGTGTTTGTCAACAGTCGAGTCAACCCAACTTCCAATGGCACATGCTGGCAGCTAAATGAATGGCCTCTTTTCAGGCCCGGGTGCCTGCAAGTGCCCAGGAACCGTCTGCATATATCGTCGAGGCACCCTCCGGTACCCAGCCCTCGCCCTGCCGAAGCCAGCCAGTGCAGGGCCATGCAAGGTTGAAGGCTGCTTCCTCTTGCTGCAGTTCCCAGGCACGCACGCATCATCGACACGCTGCTGTGCCACAGACTGAAGGGGTCGGGTCCCCAAGGACGGACCATCGTCCCATGCCTCCTGGGCCGCACGGCGGCTTCGAAAGCCTTCATGTGCGGCGACGTGCCACCTGGCACCTGACACCGACGACATGCCTCAGACTGGGAGCTGCATGTTATGTACGTCCATGGTTCGCCGATCTGTTGGCGACAGCTAAGCCAAGGAAAAATATGCGTCAAACGACGTCGACTTGCCTTTTCCTTGCTCGGCCCCGGTGTGGGTAAGTGCGGATACGACTTTTCTACGTGTTGTTTTTCTCCTGTTCATCAACATCGACTTATGACGTCGTTCCCCCTTGCCATCGCGATGACTGGACCAAGCCACTTTCTTCAGGTACAGTACACGTGTAATGCACAGCACACTAGCACTGTACATACACATACATACGTCCGCCGATGCCACAGCGGGAGGAGACATGGTTTTATTTCCCCTTTCTCGGTCGACGATTTGTCGACATTGATTAGTTGTTCGGATTCATGCATGCACGCAGCTCGATTCGGGTGGGGGTTATCTTGTCTTCGTCTTTGCAGAATCAACGAGCGAGCTGAATGACACTACCCACTTAGGCAACATGGGCCACGACAAGTCCTTGTTATCAATAAATCTATGCCCTATAGGACTAACTGTCTGCTGGCAGACTACTCATACGCTGTGAAACAAAGTTGGACGATGCAGGAGGCATTACAGGGCGGTCGGGGTGATGCTATTTTCTCCGATGCAGACATCCTCCGTTGTACTGAGTAAGTTGACTTGTCGGCGCGCCACGTCTGCCAGGTCCCGGCAACTAATTAAACCTGGCGATAATACCTGGAAGCTCCCTCAACAATGCACCTCCAGCTGCCCCGAAAAGAAAATGAGGAAGAAAATTACATTGAGATAGGGCACATCTCTGCAGAGATCGAATACACGTGCTTACCGCGTCTTCCTGCTTCTGTTTTCGTGATACCGACACCGGGCCAGCCAGCCCCGTTTTCATGGCAGGCACACCCGTACGCCCCCGAAGACAATATCTATCACCCGACGAAGGACCTGCATATCATGCTCTGCGTTCAGGTACGGTACGTACGTCCGGAGGAGAGCAATCTTGAATTTTCTCGCCAAGCTGCTATGTTATCGTGTACGGTCTTATTACTGCTAGACGGCGAGGGGGATGGGTGGCCGGAGGCAATAAAGAAGTTATCGAGAAAAAAGTGATGAGAACCGAGACCAAAATACTTTACCTAGATGGTGTGGCATCACTTACACCGGTCGGTATTCCGCGCTACATACATACCTTATGCATATCCATCCGTAGATAAAAACAACAATAAATAAGAACACAGATGTTAATCGGGGTTTCAGATCTCAGATCACCCCTCCTCGCACACAGACGATCACCCCTCTAGAAAAAAAAAACCGGGCTCGTCGAACCTGGCCTGACCCTGCCCCATATATCACCAGAGTGCTAAGGCAGGCCTACTCCACACAAAAGGGGGGGGGGGCCTCGAGGCGGCGGGCCTCGCCCAGATCCCAGATCCCAGTCCCGGCTGATATCGTACTGTATGCACGCACAGCAAGTACAGTACTGGACGATACAACACACACACGCACTTATTAGGACAGGCATACTATATCCTACCTCGAGCGATGCCCACAGTTGATATATCCCATGGGGAATTCGATCGATAGTCATGCTCGCCATATTGACTTCCATGCGAAGTACTTAGGTAAACCGTAAGGCTCGTTACGTAGGTAGGGAATTAATTATCACGAGATGGAACCCGTATCAAAAGTTGCCTACGTATCTATGGCCATCCACCATCTTACTAGTTAGTACTGATACCACCAGGCCTTCTCGCGAGAGCCAGGTCTGTCCGTCTATTTAATGACTTGCATCCCCAGTGAGAAACCAGAGAAAGAGAGAGATTTAGGCCTCTAAAAGTCATGCTCGAGTGCGGAAAAGAGTCATTGGCAACATGAATTCTCTCGCCAAAGCAGACAAGCTGCTGCAAAACATGGGAACCTTTCACGAAGCGCCGACCTTGCGCCTAAATATTGTCTCACACCGCCCTCGGAGTTTAGGTAAGATGAGGACGCCACCTAAAGGCAACAGAGCGGGCGTAAAGTAGAAGTAGCGAACATCTCACGCCGGAGCGGTAATAGCCTTTGGCTCGCGGGGCTTGACGTGGCGCGTGCCCAACTTGCCCGTCTCCAAGAACCCGCGGTTGCCCATCTCGCTGCGCCAGCTGATTCCCAATACGCCAAAGATGATCCTGCCGTCCTGCTCTTGAAGAACGGCATCACCTCCTCGGCCGGCGCCCGCCGCGTCCGTCTCCTCTTCCAGCACAAAGCAGACCTGCTCCGTCTCGCCCGGGTGCAGCACGGGCTTGGGCGACGCGCTGGCCTCCCAGTTGCAGTCGGTGTAGGCGAGGCCGGGCTCGAGGTCGAGCACGATGCGCTCGAGCTGCATCGTGTCCTCGCTGCAGTTTTCGAGCTGGGCCTCGAGGACCCAGCGGCGGCGCCACCACCCGCCCGACGACAGCCCACCGTCGTCGACGACGCGCACCGCCGGCAGCGGCCCGGGCTTGGTGCGCACGATCAGTGACGCCTTGCAGATGAACTGGTACAGCTTGCGGAACGTGCGCGTGCGCCCGCTCGTGTCCGTGGCCTCGTAGTAGCTGACCGTGACGGCCAGGACGTGGTTGCCCTCCTCCTTGAGGTCGAAGTTGACCACCTTCTGCAGCGTCTCGCCTGGCTCCAAGTCCACTCCCACGCCGCCGGCGGTAGCCAAATCCGACGAGGCTACCGGCGCCTGGTCCGGGCTCGTCAGCAGCTCGAGCTTCGTCACGGCGGCCGAGTTGGGCGTCTTCATCTCGGCCTCGATGCGCACGTCGCGGATCGTCTTCTTGGCCGCGGCAGCAGTCACCGCCGCCGCCGCCGCCGCCAGCGGGCGCAAGCTCACTCCTCCTCCCGGCCCGCCCGCGCCAGGGGCTGCGACGTCGCCCTGGGACATGACATCGTGGTTGGCGCACAGCGTGCAGCTAAACGTCTCGCCGACGTAGGTTGAGCCGAACGACGGCGGGAGGTTCAGCATGGGGCTCAGGATGAACGGCACCGGATTGGGCTGGGCGCTGTGGCCTGCGCCATGGCTCTCGGCGGGAGGGTAGGCGAGTGAAGCTGGAAGCGGCGGTTGATGGAGCAAGCCGACTACTGCGGGACTAGCGCCAGAGGAGGGCGGCTGAACGGGGTACTGTGCGACCAGCGACGGTCGGGATAAGCTGCCCCAAACCACGGCGCACGCCTCGGGTTAGCCAATGCAAGAGGAATTGAATGAGGGAGGGCTTGAGGGAGGGCTTGAGAGAGCGGATTGTCGGAAGCTTACCGAAGCACCTTTAGCGAGACAGAATGTGGCTCCTTGACCGCATCAGAAGATGGGTAACGTTGGTGGCTCATTGTAGACAGATCATGACGGTGTGGGCAAGACCAAACCGAGAATGGCCTGTCGTCGTTGTCAATCCAGGTTGGGAGCCAGGTTGTTTCTTGGGTGGAACAAGGTTAGGAGCGAGTTGGTTCAGCGACGCCCGGAAGGAGGGGTTGAGGCTGAGCACGGACTCAAACAAACACCAACATTGGCAGGGCAGGGAGGGCAGTTCATACAGAGTCTTGGTATTGTTCGTGTGTAGCTCGTTAAGAGCTCACTTCAGAAACTACCTAGAAGCAAACTAGGATACCTCAAATAATCCCGTCGTATCCGTAGTATGTACAGTTCAAGTTTCCTTACAAGGCAGGTGTATATCCATGAGGTACACACTGCCCAGGCCAAATGCTCCCATAATTCGGAGAGAACACCTTACATATGCAAACAAAACCATCCCAAATATCCGCCTTTCACCCCGAGAACGCCAGGTCAGGCATTCTTCTAAATAACATCAAGTTTCCGTACCTGTCCCGGTATCAATGCCAATGCCATGCAAACACACAGGAGGAAAGAGTGGTGATCTGACGTCTTACACGATGTTCGTCCTCAGACTCACGTCAACTCAATTCCCCGACACCCAATGGCCTCGAGGCGCCGAGACAAGCTTCGTAGAATTTGCAGCTGCCTCACGACAAGGATCAAGGTCACAGCCTATTGGGAAAACTCGCTGCCAGCACTGTTCAGAATAGATAGCAATAAGCGCTCCATGTCCGTCTAATCATCTCGTGTTTTCTAGGTTGTGTCTAAGCTCAAGCAAAGTTGACTTAGGCTTGAATATATCATGCTTACCATTAATGACCCAGGCGATGTATCACATCCTTCCAATAATCGTGGTCTTCCACTAGAGACCAGGGGGTGGAGGGACCTAAAAGTATTGAGCATTGGCGCCAGAATCGATATCTAGGGCCTGAATCTTACGGCATTGTAACCACCTGTCCTGGATGGACCACCAGGCGGAGGAGGCGGGGGAGCTGCCACCGAGGGTGGCGGCGGGGGTGGTGCCGCCTCAAGAGGAGGGGGGGGCGCCAACGCTGACATGCCAGGAGGTGCTGCTGCAACGGGGTTTTGTGCTGCATACCATTGCTGGTACATTGCATAGTATCTGGAAGCCTCGTTAGCAAAAGCTAAAAAAGAGTCCGCCAGTAGTGACTAGGGACCTACGCTTCGTATCCGCCATATGCGGCATAGGGGTCAGCGGCACCATTTTGGTCACCGCCGCCGTAATACTGGGCGTACTGGGCATATTGGCTAGCATAGTCTGCAGCTGCTGTAGGATTGCCGGCCGGCGTAGTGGGCGATGTAGAAGCTGCTGTAGGGGCTGCCGAGTTCCCATAGTTGTGCGCGTTGTTCTGGTGGTGACTGTTGTTGTTGTATCCTTGATACGAGTTGTTGGAGTGGTTGTTTGGGCCTCTGTTCGGGCGGTCTCCGTATCCGCCTCTATCACCGTAGTTGTTGCGCGGCGGGCGGTTCTTGTAGTCTTCCAACTCCTGCTTGACATTGGCCAGCAGATCCTCGCAGAGCTCCTTGGCTCTCTTGACATTTTCCGGATCCGCACCCCTATTGACATGTTAGCTCAGATGCCAGCGAAAACTGGCATGACTAGAAGGTGGGACGAAAGACATACGCAACATGCAGATACATGTCATCGTCGCTCTCTTGGCCAGACTGGCCCTCCCAATACCCGGAACCACGTCCTTTGATTTGGACGCGACAGTTAGTTTCGTTCTGGATGTGCTTGACGTATGAGCCGCCAGATCCGACAATCTGGGCCCGCAAGTTGAAGCCCGGGACCGACTCGAGATTGATGGGGATCCGCTCCTCGGGCCACGGCACCTGTAATTGTGTCAGCTAGCTATGTGCGGGATCTGCTGGCAGTGACTTACGCGGCGGTCCTCGCGCTCCCGGGGGGGTTGCTGCTGCTCTTGGTCTCGGCGACGGAAACGTCGCTCGTCGACAAGCTGCGGGAGCTCCTGCTGCTTGAGCTCCTCTATCTTAGCGACAGCCTTGTCTAGGCCTTCCTTGGTAGTGCTCGTGACGTGTAGATAAAGAGGCGGGTTCTGGAAAGAGAGTGTTAGCAGTGCCGGCGGTCGTCAGGGCGTGGGAGAAACGTACAATAGGGGTTGCCATGCTCTTGTCGGGCAAGTAGGCTCCACGAGTGGTGACATCTTTGAAAATCAAATGGTCAATCGAGGTTCTCTATACAACAGTAGAAATGGAGGGCGGGCGTACCGGCACCAGTCTCTTCTTTAATCTAAATCAGGCAGCGGAGGTCAGCAGATGCAAAAGAGGGTGTGCCTGCGCGAGCTATCAAGCTTCGAGTAAGCAAGACTGTCTCGCAGATGCAAGCTTATAAAGAAGCCGTCACTGGCACTGGAGAGGATCTGATGGAGAATCAGTGTGATAACCAAGGGGCCATTTACCATTTTCTGAGTCGAGCTCTTGGTCAGCAGATATCGGTTGCGAAGATCGTTGACCTCGATATCCTTGATGTAGTCCCCGTCCGAAATATAGACCTCGCCGTTGATCTTAGCAGGCGTGGTGCTACCATCCTTGGCCGTGGCAGAGCTCGATCTGATGGGCGGGACATCCACATGCTGTATGCCTTTGCGAGCCTGGAGCTGCGCGTTGATTTTCGCCGCGGCAGCAGCTGGCAACAGAGTTAGCAGGCACTCAAAAGTCACGTTGAACAAATTCAGAGATAGGCACTCGTATGCAACATACCAGCGGCTGCAGCGGGATCGATAGCGGGCTTGTGATCTGGTGTCTCGCTTCTGACATCTCTAGTGCCTGAGAGAGGACTGCGATCGCGACCAGGCTCTCGCTTGGTGGCCGGCGGGGAGCGCGATCGTCGGTCGAAACGCGAGTGACGTCGGGGCTCAGGCTCGGTCTGGTCGAACCGAGAGCGCTTTGCGCTGCGTCGCTCAGAATCGTCCATGGTGCAGACCCTACTACGTGTGCGGTTTGTTTGACTTGAAATATGGAATGGAGAGTGAAGTGGTGGGAAAGGTTGGCGGGCGCTCCTCGAAGAAAACCGGAAATTCGCTGTGGGGGTGAAAGAAAATACCCGTTGCCCAACAACACAAAAATAAAGAACTACTTTTCCTAAGGTGCTGCCGGAGCCGTGAAAGTTGAGCGGAGGGGTGGAAAATTACACGACAGAAAGCTTAAGGCAGGGTGCATTTGGAAGGTACGTTGAAGGTGGTGGCTCCACTGCCGTGATTTAATCGGTCGAGACCTCAAAGGCACGGATTAATGCATTTGTAGTTAACATTTATCGGGGTTTAAGATTGGATAGCTTTCTAAGCAGACTAAACGGTGTTATGCAACAAAGCGCCAACTTTCTGCTCCAATCGAAGTCGGGCCGGAATATTACTATTCCAGCTCTTTAAGGTTTGCCAGAAGTTGGGCCGAGCACGGAAGTAGAATGCACGGTCCTTGTTGAAACCCCACCAAAGCAAGCTTGCACCCTTGACCTTCGGGAACCTTACCAACGCTAGCGGCATTGGCCAATCCCTGTCCACACTCCGCAAACCGCGGTGAGAGCGCCTGCTTCGGGTGCAACGACCTCCCCACACCGAATTGGAAATCTTTTTTCTCTCTCTGACCCCCCCAGATTTTGAAGGGTGACTCACGACCAATCCAATTGCTAAGCCTAGTGCTTGGAGTTATCTGTCGCCGTTAGATTGAGGGCACTGCACAGGTCCCAATCGAAGAGAAATCCCCCTTCCCTTCCCGCCCAACCCTTTTTCCAAGATGGCCTCCCGCAGCCTCTTGACGTCGGCCTCCTCGTCCTGGGGCAGGATCGCCACGCGGGCCCGGGATGTACCGCTCCCCAGACAATTAGCGGCATCGATTGGCGTGCGACACAGCTCAGGCAGCAGCAGCTCGACGTCTGCGATTGCCTACAAGGCGATCCGGCGCCGCCACGGGCCGCTACCGACCAGCGACTCGCCGCCGGCGTGGTCGGCCCAGGCCGCCGTGTCCAACATCCTCTACGAGACGCCGACGCCGTCGGTGGCGCCGCCGAAGCGCCACATCCTCAACTGCCTCGTGCAGAACGAGCCCGGCGTGCTGTCGCGCGTGTCGGGCATCCTGGCCGCCCGCGGCTTTAACATCGACTCGCTGGTCGTGTGCAGCACCGAGGTGGAGGACCTGTCGCGCATGACCATCGTGCTCACAGGCCAGGACGGCGTGGTGGAGCAGGCCCGCCGCCAGCTCGAGGACCTCGTGCCCGTGTGGGCCGTGCTGGACTACACCAGCGCCGCGCTGGTGCAGCGCGAGCTGCTCCTGGCCAAGGTCAACATCCTCGGCCCCGAGTACTTTGAGGAGCTCCTTGCCCACCACCGCGAGATGACGGCCGACGGCGGCGAGGCCGAGAACGGCCAGGAGGCGTACGACCCGAGCGTAGAGGAGGCGGCGGCAGACGACTTCCACCCGAGCCGCCTGGCCGTCAGCCAGGCGCTGAGGCATAAGCACGAGCACCTGAAGAGCATCACATACCTCGCCCACCAGTTCGGCGGAAAGATGCTAGACATTAGCACCAACAGCTGCATTGTCGAAGTGTGAGTACCGCGCCGTGTGCGCCTTGACGCTTCTGGTATGACCTGTCACTGATGTTTTTTGGGATTGCAGATCCGCGAAGCCCTCGAGGATAGACTCGTTTCTCAAGCTGATTTCTCCCTTTGGCATTCTGGAGTCGGCTCGCACGGGTCTCATGGCCCTACCCCGATCTCCGCTCTACGGACCCGATGAGGACAACAGCACTTCCAAGGAAGCTGATGATGTTGTCGACGCCAGCCAGATGCCGCCTGGCTAAAAGTGGGAGGGTATCACGGCGTCCTGGGGGGTGGAAATGGGATTTGGTCACTTTAATATTTTGCAAAGTTTGTCCATCGTAGCGCAAAACACGAATCAATTGATCAACTTTTTTTCTTGGCGTGTTCATTATATATATATATGTCATATAAGTCTTTTTTTCCCCGCCTTTGTACTCTGTACCGTACACCTGGAATGCAATGCCTGCCTAGAAACTGTAGAGTATTTTTAATTTACTAACAAGCCAAGACGTGTGAATTATGTAGTGCTGTTTGTTTTAGGGAAGGGGGGTGGTTTGTTCTTAGACAACCTTTCCCTTGTTGACCACAAACGCCTCCAGAGCAGCTAGTGGTAGATTGGGCAAGCCGAGTTAGTAAAAAATAAAAAAAATAAAAAAATCCTCTTCACGTAGCAAATGATAGTGGTGGGAGGACAATAATACGTACCGACAGCAGCGTAGACGCGGTTCTCAGCCTCGTCGAAGACGAGCGACTGCGGGCCGTAGAAGACGTCGTCGTCGACCTCCTCCTGGTGCCGCGGCAGGCAGTGCATGAACTTCCAGCCGGGCTTGGCGCCGCCGCGCTCCGCGAGCGCCCGCGTGATTTGGTACCCCGCGAACGCGCGCACGCGCGCCTGCGCCTCGGCCTCCTGGCCCATCGACACCCACGTGTCGGTGACTAAAATGTCGGCGCCGCGCACCGCCTCCTCGGGCACCGTCGTCTCGCTAAGACGCCCCGGCGACGATACGCCAGCACCGGCGGACAGGATCACCTGCTTCATCGCGGCCGGGATCCCGTACCCGGGCGGTGAGGCGACCGCGATGTCGACGCCCGTCTTGATGCACGCCGTGGCCAGATCGAAGAGCACGTTGTTTGAGTCGCCGACCCACGCGACTTTGAGGCCTCCGAGCCCGAGGCTGGTGGTGTCGGACGGCGGCTGCCGCTGCCGGAACGCCTCGTGGATCGTCTGGAAGTCGGCAATCGTCTGCAGCGGGTGGAAGTCGTCGGACAGCGCGTTGATGACGGGCACGGCCGAGTGCTCGGCCAGCCCGGCCACGTCCGAGTGTGGGCCCACTCGGGCCACCATGCAGGATGTCATGGACGAGATGACCTTAGACGTGTCTAGGAGTGACTCGTTGACCTTTGTTAGGGTGGTTAGCCAAATAATCAGTAAAGAGAGAGAGAGATAGGACAGAGGCTTACGCCGAGCTGAATGTCGTCCTTGCCGAGGAACATGGGGTGGCCGCCCATGACGGTGACGGCGGCCTCGGTCGACACGCGGGTGCGGGTGCTGCGCTTGCTGAACATCATGGCGACGGTCTGGCCCGTCAGCTTGCCGTAGAGCGACTGGGGCGGCTGGCCGGCGTCGCGGGCGGCCCTGATGGCGGCCTTGTGCGACGAGGCGTTGAGCACGAGCCTGCTGAACTCGGCCGGGCTGAGATCGCTGATGGACATGAGATGGCGCGGGCCTGCCGATGAGCTGCTGCTGCTGCTGCTATTAGATGCGCACCGAGCCTGGAGATGGCCTACGGCCGATTTGGCCGTGCGAGAAACTGCCCGATTCATGGTGAGTTTGTGTGAGGGATGTGTTTTTGCGGTGAGCCTGTCTGTGGTCGATCTGGATCCAAGTCAAGCTTTGCCGTCAAATCCTAAGCAGTACTCCGTAATAATATTTGGAAACCGTAGAGGCGACGGGACGATAGAAGCTTGGTGTATGCCAGTCAATGGCAGATGCGAATGGATGTTTGTATTTTCGTCCAAAGGAAAAACAGATACCAAGTATCGAAGTGGACTGTGTGACTGGTGGGCAACTAACGGGGCGAGTGCAGACGGTGAGTCAATGTGTCTGCAAGTCGCTTCACATATTCAATGTCATGATAGAAACCTACCTGGAAAAAGCCTACTGTAGGTAGGAATTAATTATTCTGGCGCCCCGGTTCTCACGGTTTGGCGAGCTGATGGGACCTCGAGTTTCTCCGAATGCCTTCAATAGTTATTTTATAGAGGTAGGTAAGTTTCCACAGCTCAAGGATACTCAATTGCGAGAATCGGCACCCCGACCGTCCAATTCGCCGCTCTCACGCTCTGGAAAGATCTCGACATGGTCATGCGTGAATCAGAAGCATCAGGGGGCGGGCTGCAGGGCGGGGGTCCCTTACAGGGCTAGCGAATCAGCCGTCACTGAATGGTCAAGTCCACCCCGGTCAACGGCGGGGGCACTTTACTCAACGGCTCCGCTTCGCTTGGTCGTCGATCCCACCATCGCCTCCCATCGTTAATTCTTCTATTACTATTATTTTGCCTTCACTGTATCCCTCTGTGGCCAACATTGTATGCAGGCATTACTAAGTACGATGGACCCAGAGATGTTGCTCCGGATATCTATCCCCGTGAAAGGTGACTTTGGCATCGACGAGGTCCCGGCGCTTCACACAACCCCATCACTCAATCCACAGCACAAAACATCCAGGAGTCTCGGCATTAATCACATCTCTACCTAAGGCCATGCCTTTGAATCCGACAACCAAATAAAATGCTTCAGATCTTTACCCCTTCAGTCCTCCCGTCAAACCTTGAGGAACACCAAGCTGTAAGCTGCCATACTCTGATCATAACATACGTACAAATACTGTCCAGCTAGTACGCCTCTTATAAAGCCTGGATAAATCATGCAGTTGTGTAGACGAATACCAGGATCTAGGGGACGTGAAAAAAGGGCAATAAACAAGAGATTAGACCGGTCGTAGAGCAACAGCTCCCACAATAACGATAGCGACTTGCTCTGTCTGCTCAACTGCTATCCCATGTTCCCAGGGTCAAAGCTGTCCGCCATCAACAGCGGGTATGACCTGGACCTTCCATTCCAGGTTCTGAACTTTGTGGCAGTGCTGGCACTCGTGTTGGATATGCTTGTCGAACGCAGATTCTGTAGAAGTGTAGTATCGCTCTTCGCCGAGACGGCACTGGTGCTCGTCTCTGTCAACGTCTCTGACGAAAGGGCCATGGATCGTGATAAGGGCCTTGACTGGGGGTAAGAATGGAACGACATGTTGTCATTGCTTATTGACATTGAACCCAAGGGAGTGACAAATCGATCCGTCGTAGAGCTCGAATTTCCTCCATGCCTCGGAGCATCAGCTAACGTACCCGGCGTTAAAAGAAGGGGTGTCGAAATGCGCCATCGCTCCGATTCGGATGTTCCATCAGTGTGTAGTATTGTCGCCATTTTAGTGCTGAGAGTCACTTTCTTGTCAAAGCCTGCCACATCCTGCAATGCGGCTGGGCATTGCAGGCGTGGGGCACCTTTCATGTGCTGAATTTCATGTTCGAGAGCCTTGATCTCCTGGTAGCCGCCCTCCATTGGCAATAGCTCAAGTTCTGGATACTCCAAGTTGGTTCTCGACCGGTTTCCACTGCGCTGCCGATTCTTTGGGCCCTTTGGGCTCTCGCGGCTTGGAGATGCTCTTCCTGAAATGAGCTTGCTAATTCCAGACTTGACTGCTCGTCCAAACCTCCCAGTTAGCGATTGCGTGTGAAGCTTGGAGGATTCATGAGCAGGAGAAGCGGGTTGTCCTGTCCGTGATCCTGGCGAATTATCTCCAGGAGCCTCCGCCATAGTCATAAAATCTGTTGGGGCCACTTGATCAACATAACCTGCAGGCCCATTCCGCTCGGCCCGGCTATGGGAAGGAAACCTTGCCCATGACTCGGGAATCCCAGAGAGCCGGCTGCTACCTGATTCACTTGTCCTGGGTGACTGGATATGCGCAATATCAGTATTGGAACCCTTTCGCTGATGCATTGATAAGCTACTCTTGGGTGTCTGGATCGACCAGCTAACAGATATTGGATGATATTTGTTTCCATGAGCACTTGAAGGTGCTGCTCTTTTGGCCGGAGAATCTCCAGATGCCCTCAGCGAGCTATGAAGGTTCTTGTAGCTAGTAGGGGAGCTACTATGGTGTTTGAGCGCAGAAGTTGCATCACCCTGGCTTTGACGAGAACTACTAGGGAAGCTCAGTCTTCTGTGATGGCTATCGCTCCTGCGATCGGCTACATTGCAGCCTCGGGCTTGTGCCTCTTCTCGGATAGCCCGTTGCCAAAGTTCTGCAGTGCTGTCCTCGCAGTCTGATGATCCGGAAGGGCTTAGTGACAAGGGTGAAGGACGGCCCGTCTCGCTGTCTCCTCGGTGCGAACGGCTTAGAGTCTCAGCGACCAAGCTGTTCGTTGGCAAGGGTGATGAGAATGTTGGCTGCTCTTCTGGTGCTGAAGTTGAGCCGTCGAAAGTCCTTTGTACCAACTTGGCCTTTCTGGGAATTGTGAGATGCAGTCGAGCTAAAAGAGAGGGCTTGGCAGACTCCAATGACAACGGTGAAGGGGCCGTGTTGGATTCTTTGCGAAACCTGCTGGCAATCATGGCGGGAGCTCCATGACCCAGACGAAAATGACCAATAGCCTTATCAATAGTTTCCGCTCTGTTTCCATTCCGAGCCTTACTGGAAGCCTTGGAGGTCGGAGGCCGGCAGCCCAACCTGTCTTGTGTGTAACTGGCTTGTCGGTGACTGTTTGATGTATCCTGGCTACTCCCCGCTCGATGGTGCCGTTGTGGCTTATTTGGGGGTTTTTCGTTTTCCACGACATCAAACCCTGTATACCTAGATATGAGCAAGCGGTCTTGGCACATGGAGAGCACAACTCACATTCAGTATCGAGCTCTAGACGAGCCGGCATAGTCGCTTTGTTGTTTGCCAAGCCTGACGGATTGACGGAAGGTGTGTTTGTGACTGGATCTACGCTGGTGGTTGTCGAGGGGTAAACTGAAGAAGAGTTGGTAGTCAAGCCACCCGATATATAGTTTGCCGCACCCAAGCTAGTATACTGACTCCCCAATTCCGGGACCGGGCCTGCGAGCTTCTGGGAAGCAATCTCGATGGAATTCCCCTGCCTATTGGAAACGACCCGAGGGCTATTTCTTCCAGACCCAGAATGACTCTGAGAGTCGGCTGGAGTGTTGAAAGCCCGGGTCACTAGCTGCCGGGATATGTCCATATCGTAGAGATGAACAATCTCGGGTCGCGAGATATCAGTTTCTGCCACAGCACAATTCTGTACCGAGCTCCATCTTCTGATATAGACCACCTCGGCCTCCTTTACGCTTCCCTCCTGCTCTAGGCCTGGGTCGGATGTTCTAATATACGAAAGCGAGGGCGACTGAGATCGAGACCGAAGACCCTGGCTACGAAGCCATGTACCCAATGGTGATTGGTCCACCCTGGGCGATTTTTCATTTCCTGGGGTGCCCTGGCGAGCAGGAGAGGAATGAGATCGTGACAGCGATAGCGAATGGCCAGTGAGGGAGAATCTTTGAGACAATGACAGCGACTGTTTTGGCGGCGGTGAGGTAGATTTCCAGTGGACCGAGCCCGCATCATTGGAAACGCACCCGTCACCAACATAACCCAAGAATTCGTCAAGCTGACTAGCGCTATACGAGAGGCGCCACGAACCCAGAGATGACGTTTCGGGGCTGCTTGGAAGACGTCTGGGACAAAGGTCCGGGGATGATGGCATTTGGGGAAGCGAGTTCCGTTCTCGTACGAAGCACTGGCCAACAGGCTGGAGATGGGACTCTGGACAGCTGGCTCGACGGCAATCCTGGCGATCGTTTTCGTCATTGACGGGCGATATCTTCCCATCGTCGAGTATGCGTGCATTCGACTCGTCATTGCTGGCACACGGCTTATTGGGTCTGCTGTCGTCAGAGACGGAGAACTCGAGGTTGTCTCGCGGACCTCCTCCTGGGAGGTGGCCAAGCAAAGGGGCACCGTGCTGGGCGGGGTTCGATGAAATGTCACTCGGTGGAGGCTCTTGGCCCTCCTCGCTGCGAAGTTCTTCTTGTATCCTCTTGTGCATAAGTCTCTTGAGCTCTGCTCGGCGCTGAATCTCTTCCTGGCTGCAGCCGACAGCAGAGCGGCCCTTCCGGCGAGACAGCGAGTCCTGAGACAGATGGCGTCGTATGCGCGTTCGGACCAGTTGGAGTGCACTGGAGTTTTTGACTGACGCGGCTGGATTGGGCTCCTCGTCGCTGTCCGAGTCTTCAACCACCAGCTGGCCGAGTTCGACTGGCTCAATGGGGATCATGGCCATGGGGACCGAGGCCCGCAACGAAGATAGAGAGTCGGGGGACGTGTCTGGAGAAGCTGGAGTAACTGGATTCATGGTCAGCGGCCCTGGGAGCCGAGCGGGCGGCGGCAGCACCGGTAGCAAAAGGTGGTGTTTTGGGGCCGAAGCCGAGGCCCGGGACGAGCGAGGGGCGGAACAACAGCAAAAGACAGCCATGGCGTGGGATGGCCAAGCGACATTTCACGCTGGGGTCGCTAACCTCACCTGGGCAGCTAGCTGTCTGTCTGGCCGTAGGTATTGTGTAAAAGTTGGGTAGGTTGGGATGTGAGCGGGCTTTCCAAGAAAAGGCACCAGCGTCCACGGCCAGGACGTTGTACCATGAAATATCAGAGATGGTTGGCAGATACGCGGTAGTTGCACAGGGGCACAAGATGGTAGAACACAAGACCAGCTCCATCGAGTCCAAGTCCGAGTGTCGAGCTGGACTTGGGCGACGGCGACGGAAGGAGTCGCATCTCTGCCTGGTGTGCGGACGCAACTGCGCGACTTCCCGCTTGGCAACTACCCTCCAGTCCCGCCCACTCGATCTAGACCGTCAGGCGGAATCGATGGCTTGTGCTGTTTCTGTCTGATGTTCTGGCGTCGTCCCGTAAGGATACCTAAACTAAGCAGGTAGGCGGACACCCTGCTTAACGAAGTGGAGTCTGAGTTGAAATGGTCTGATCAAAGAATCATGGATGAAAGGTGCCATGGAGCCCCCAACATGCGCAGTGTACGTTCTGGGCAAGAACGTCAAGTCGGAAACCCAGAATGCCAAGACGGGAAGTTGCGAGGCAGTTTATCTGACGCCGTGACCAACTCAACCTTGAACTAAACTCGAACGCAAGACATCCATCTAGGGGCGTACCTCACTTTCGAAAGGGGTTTAACACTATGTCAACGGGACCCAACTAAAGCAACATTATTTCCAAGATTCTCTCATTCACAAGTTATGGAGGATATTTCAATAAGATTACCCATCTATGGCGAGTTTGCTGCGGGCCGTTTGTATATTGGTGGGTTTCGGTTCCCATCATTAACCCTTCCGCTGCCGTCGTACGGTGTCTGGCCGTCCTTTCCCGCCCAGGCCAGCCTCACAGCTTCCAGGATGGGCTGTCCGCCGGCACCCACAAGCTTTGAATTGGGCACGGGTATCGGGAGCCGCTTTGACGTTTCGTTGTTCAGCTGCCCTGGATACGACACCGAGTTGTCGACTGCCGGCGCATTCTCAGGGTCCTTGTTCTTGGTGTATCCCGTCTGGTCGGCCACGACCCGGAAGACATTTGCTCCGACGTCGTACCTACCGAGGTGTGGCAGCTCCCAGTTGTTCTCGAGCGTCGACAGGATGCTGTAGTGCGTGTAGAACGTAGCGTCCTCGGTGCCCTTCAGGGCCGGCGGAACGGCGCTTCCCAGCAGCAGCGTCACAATCTGGTTTGGCACGCCGTATGTCTCACACTCGTCAAATGTCAGCATGACCAGCGTGCGCCCATCAAATGCGCCATCCGCCAGCAGAGGCTGCAAGAAGCGGTGCGACCAGTCAGTTGCGAACTTCAACGATGTGTTGTGTCCGTCGTTCATCATGTTCGGCGACATGAAGGCAAACTGCGGCACCTTCTTAGCCGCTAAGGCGCGCTCGAAGGCGCCAAACGATTGCAGGTCCAGCAGGTGCTCCCCTTTCATGTTGATGCTGTCAAACGACACGAACGGACTGCGAAGACGGGTTAGCAGAGCCGTCACATTGGCCGAGGAGGCTTGAATTACTTGTGTTTCCGAACATAGTCCCACCCGCCGTTGCCTGTGGAACCATCGCTTGCATCTGACATGTAGCCTGGCCCGGGCATGTCTTCGAAATACCCAGCCCATGATATATTTTTCGTCTCTAGCAGATCAACTACCGTGAAGACGTCCTCAGGCACGCGAACGTTCTCGTCGTGGTTGAGCCCAAAGTAGTCGCCTGCAACGGCGGCCAGGTAGTTGGGCTGCGAGGGATGCGTGTGGGCATAGTAGCGCGTGAGCAGAATGCCCTGCCTTTTCAGGTCGGCAATGTTGGCATCGACGGCAGCTTTCGCGTAGTCCTACAACAATGCGGCTCTCTGGTCAGAGCCCGACGGACGTCAAGGTGTGCGGAGATTGGGGACGGGACCCGAGGCCCTCTGCAACGCACTTGGTTCTCCAGCCAGATGGTTATGAACCTGTCAAAGGCGCGCCCCGGAACTAGGCTGGCGGCGCTCGCAAACGTCAAGAATGTCAATCCAAAAAGGGTTACCGAGAGACGCGACATCGTGTCATGACGGTGCGCAGTCACGATATCTGGCTACTATGCGGATACCGGCTACGGTGTCGGACGGAAGCCAAGTCACGGTCGCTGGAGCCGACAAGCCGGCTTCAAACGCCTGAAGGATTCCTTCACTACGCCGCTGGTCGTGGGGCTCAGGTGGGCATCCTTCCCTCGCACTCTGTGTCGGTTCCGGACAGTGCCAAATATGTCGAGGAGGGACGACTACAATGCAGTACGAAGTTCGTTGTAGATATTCTATGAACGTGCTTACGTATTAGCTGGCTCGCTGGGAAAATGTTTAGAATCTGCCTGCTATGAACGCGCCGAACATGAAACATGGACATGCTACTCCAAGTGACTGGGACCCTTGCCAGCAAGACCAGAATCTGAGCACGGAAAAACGATTTCGCGTTAGTGGGACAGAGCGCTGGCTCGGCTCAGGGTTCGGGCTCGCCCTCGGATTTAGCCAGCCTGACTGAGCGACGCCTCGGCTTTGCTCGATGTCCGAGGACGCGACCAGGAGCCAGAAGTTCGAGGAAAGAGTGACGGATCCGCGGATACTTTGCCCTGAGAGGGACTCGTGGCCACTGACGCTTTCCCCTTCGTCATCTCCAGTTTCGGGTGTCAATTGGTTAGCGGCGTAAAAGGGAAATTCTTGCGACGCTGGTGTCGGCGTGGCCGCCCGTTTTGAATCTGCCGAGCGATCAGATCGATTGACAAAGCGGCCTCTTATTCATACCTTAGAGATACATATATCGGCACTGCCAACACACGCTAGGCCTCTGTTGCAGGTGGTCGCGCCGCTCTGCTCGTAGACCGAAGCGCACCTGTCCCCTGAGCCCCGATAGCTCCTTGAGATAATGTCGGATCCGAGCGTGCGCAGCCGTAGCGAGAGCACAGAGGGCACCCCACCCCTTCACGAGGCCGGCGAACAAGGCGACCACCGCCCGCCTCGGAAGCGCCAGAGGGTTCGCCTGTCGTGCCTAGAGTGTAGGCGGAGGAAGTTGTCGTGCGACCGCGAGTTCCCGTGCTCGCGCTGTCTCCAGTCTGGCACCCCAGAGCGCTGCGAGTTTGAGACACGCCCGGGCTTGGCCCCCCCGAACAAGCTCGGCCTCTCTCAGGCTGCTCTTGCAGGCTTCGACTCCCGCCTGTCTCTGCCCATCACCGGTGGAGACTCGTCTCAATATTACCGGAAGGACTCTCGCGATGCTGACAGAATCCGCCGCCTCGAGCTCGAGGTTGCTCATCTCAAGAGCATCATCCCAAAACAGGCCTCGCTAGATGACGGGAGCACAGCCATAGATCGCACCCCCCCTGACCCCAAGAATGGTGCGGATGCCGATTTCGGGCAATCCCCGGCCGATCTTCCTTACCAGGACCTCTGTCTCGAGAAGTCCGAGATGCGCTTCGTCCGGGGCAAAGAGTGGAAGTCGAGATACTTAGGCCCCCATAGCGCCTATCTGGCCTTTCAAGAGGTGATTGTCCCCGGCTCCATCTTTCTTCGTGACACCTGCTGATGCGTTCTGTACAGCTCACGGGGTTGTCTCCGTTTATGAAGGAGACCTCTGCCGAATGGCTTCGGCCCCTTCATGTCCATCACAGCATCAGCCAGAGCAACCACTACAAGGATCGCCAAAGAGACGCGCAGGTGCGAGAGAAGAAGTTCCTCGAACCTGACTTGGCCCTCGAGAGACACCTTCCGTCCAAGCAGGAAACCGACAGTCTTGTGTCAATCTACCTGGACCAGTTTGAGCAGATTCACCGCATCGTTCACATCCCCTCATTCCGCCGAGACTATGCCGGGTTTTGGGATCCCACGAAACCCAGAAGCGCGGCCTTCACGGCACTTGTCTTGGCCATGATGGGAGTCTCCAGCTGCCTGGACGAGCATTTACCGCAGAGGTTTGAGCGGCTGGTATCGAGCTCGCACATGCGTGCCGTCAAGTGGATAGAGGCAGTGAGCGAATGGCAAGACCGCCAGAGCCAGAAACACCGTCGCATGATACACTACCAGATTGCCCTGGTGCTTTACCTCGGCAAGAGAGTCAACACTGTCAAGAAGAAGCGTTACTGGAAAGGCGCTGGCGCTCTGTCTCAGGACGCCGTCTCAGTTGGCCTGCATCGGGAACCTGGTCACGTCACCCGCGGCCTCTCCCCCTTCGACCAGGAGATGAGAAGGAGAATCTGGGCCACCATACAGAGCTTTGATCTCCAGGCGTCATTCGACCACGGGCTGCCGACTCTGATGAGCTCTCTGTATTCGGATATATACCCTCCGAGGAATATCGACGACAGTGAGTTTGACGAGGACTCGGAGGAGCTGCCGCCTTCTAAGCCGCCAGGTGAATACACGTTTTCGTCATATCAGCACTTGAGCCGCCGGTGCCTTGCTCTGCGCTTGGAGCTGAGCAGGTTTCTGACTGGGCCCAACGAGCACATGGATTACGACAGCGTGATCCGCCTCACGAACGAGATCACGCAGGAGATTGATATGTTACCATCCTGGGACGTCAGCGGGTCCGACAGCGCACGGGAGGGAGTGCCCAAGAAGCCATTGCTGGCCTACACGCTGCTCCACATCCAGCTAAGGCAGTACATCATTCCGCTGCACCAGCCGTTTCTCAAGCTCCGGAAGAACAACTCAAAGTACCTGTACTCGGAGATTGTCTACTACAATGCCGCCCGGGACATGGTGCTTCTCGACGACAAGCTGGCGGAGCTGGGGATCCGGACGCTGAACTTTATGCGCGAGGACAACCTGACACTGGCCATCAACCTGTGCAGCGTCACGATGCTGCAACCACGGGGATCGACGAACATGATCATGATCAACTCACAGCACACGCTCGAGCTCATGGAGAAGTGTCTGGCCATGAAGGAAGACCGCATCCTGCGGTGCGGAAACAATGAGCCTTGGTCTTACTCCATCATGTGTGCGGCACTCGGGCTGCTGCAGGCGCACCTAGGCATCAAAACGCCGGAGAAGGCCAAGGCGGCCTCAGCAGACCGCTTCGTCAATCTGAACTACAAGCTGCTGGCCGGCCAGGAACCCCCGGTGTTGAGCGAATCCGTCAACGAGCCGGGCGTGCCCGCGCCCCCGCCGCAATCGTCGGCCGAGGTGCTTGACAGGTCCAAGGTTAGCAGCTGCCCCGTCTCACTGACTCTAGGTAGCAACATAGGGTAGTGATTGTGATTGCTGACACTCTCTCTTTGTTTAGTCGGCGACGCCTTTCCAATTCCTGGGACAGATCCCGCCTCCCAGCAGCGGGGGGTCTGTGCCTGCAGCTGTCGAGGTTCCAGGGACACCTTGGTGGTTTCCCAACCCTTTTGACCCATCAGTTGCCCCACAGGTGAGCTTTATTTCCTGTCACTATTCCTTGCGCCTGATATGGGCGTTTCTGTATTTTGCTAGAGACTACATGCGCTCCTCCTTTTTTATAACCGCCAAAGCTAACGCGTTTCTTATTCTTTACTCCACCAGATGCAGCCAAACCTCATATTCAACAACCCGGACTTTAACCTCGAAGCTATGGGCCTGAACTTTGATGCCCTCTGGGGGGGCAATGACTGGGAATGGGAGCAGGCCTGATCCGTGACGGCAGCAGCTTGTCGACAAGAATCTTGCTCCGTTGGTAACGAGAGTTGGATGCGATCAGCTCGCTTTTGCTGCAATCATCTAGTTGACTATTAGGGTGATTCAGGGGGAAAGGGGTGTATTCTGACTTGTGCGTAGTGCAATCAGTATCCAAAAGGTAGATGAGGTGCATTTGAGAGGGAGGAGGCTGGATTTTGCGAGGAGTTGTGCTTGTGTAGTTGTATACCCATATCGTCGCTCAGTTATTGCGAGGCCAGCAGACGAACACTCCGTCTGTGGAAGCACGCACGGTCTGATACCAGCCGATTAGTCAGTCAATCACAACACTTCTGGATTTTCAGAACGGACATCGAATTTTCCTCTACCCCTACGGTGACGCGCCCCGATACGAGCTCCACCATGTCGAGCGACATCTCCAGCGCCCCTACAGTACCTTCAAGACAGACGCCCCAGTCTCTCTTCAGAATAAAATCCATTTTACTCCAAACTGTGAATTGCTAAGAAGAAAATATCGGAGGCTCGCCAGCGCCAATAAAGGGCACAGCAACACAGACTTCGCAGCAAAACCCCTAATCAAACGTTCTTTAGCATTGTCACCACTCCTCAGCCGTTGTCATAACCGTCCTTGTCGATCGTCTGCTGTACGACGGCTGTGAGGCGCTGCGACAGCGTTTCATATGGCTCAAATGCGAGCCGCCGGTGAGAGATGACCATTTCGAGCCGAAATTGGGCGGGCGGACGGCGGGAGGGATGGTCAAACTTGTCGAGAAGTTCGGCCGAGATGTTGCTGGTGTAGATGTGTAACCATGTAGTATCGTCTAGACTAGTGACTAGGAGCATTTGCGAGGGAACATTGGTCGAGCCATCGAACAACTTGTGCCTAGCATTCTCGTCGTTGATGCTGCCTCTGTCCGGATTGCTGAGTCGCTGCCTACGCACTTGCTCCTGCGCAAGCGCGATGAGGAGCGCGACAAGGTATGGATCCTCGTAGGGGTTAGGGTTGTTGGGATGTCGACGGCGGTTTCTCCGCTCTCTCGCGAGCTCGCCTAAGTGGAGGTAGCCGAGCTGAGTGAGCGGGGGCGGAGATTGTGAGGACGAGGCGAAGTACTTGCACGGCAGATCGGTGACCCTGATGTAGTTATATCGAAAGCAAACTTCGTTTCTAGAATGACGGGCGATCGGGATGGTTAGCGAAGTTCGTTATGGGAAAAGCCGAGATTGTTTTAGCGAAAAAAAAAGTGGACAAATTTACCTATGGTTACTTGAACTCTTCTTTCAAGAGTCGGGTAAGACCCCACCACCTGCTGTGAGAGCGTTTGGATGTCGCAAGGGAGCGCGCTGAGTTGGTATCGCCGTACTTCTCTGCAAGATAGCGCTCTACCCAAGTCGCCTCGTCGTCGTTGCCGACATCTGGTTGGTTACGGGTTGGGGAGGGAAGAATAGTCGTAGGTGGAGGCGGGGAGAGAATATCGTCATCCGAGAACTTGCAACCCAAGAGGCTGAGGTGTTGCCATGTCCAGAGTAGCGGATGAACAAACAGCCGTACGCGGGGATATGCGGAAATCAATTCAGAGATTGAAAGGCTGTTGGTATATGCCGTTGCTTCCACCTTTATCGCGGTCGTGGGCTCCATATTTGCGATGTGACATTGAGCTGTCGTTGGTTGGGGTTGGCCAACATTTTTTCACGCACTCGCGCAGGAGTTGCCAAGTCCTAGTCACATAATAGCGCGAGCCTGGGCCAGGAACCGAATCCCACTGAAGCCTAACCCCACCAGAGCCTACATAACCCCTCCACAAGAAATCGCATCCTTGACCTCGTCACATTCTATCTACACAGTATCCTAAAAAGGTTCATTTGAGAGCGTTTATAATGACGGATTTTACCTATTTCAAAAACATAACGTCCGAGAGGCTGCTATGGAAGCATCTAAAGACACTATATACGCCATTCTATCAGCGGCTGCATAACCCGCCCCCAGCAAGCGCCTGGAGTACTGCCGAGCTTTTCGCCTGCCGAGTTGTTGTCAATCGCGTCCGGCCCCATATTCTCGACCTCGACTTCGGTTTTCCCTTGGCCGCACTTGAACCTGATACAGAGCTATCAAAGATTATTAATCCGCTCCCCCCCAACCTAGATGGCTTAACTGAGACGTAGTTAATCCACCAGCTGGGCGGCCTCCCAGGAATATTCTGGGGAGCGCTGCATCGCTTCACTCGCAACCAACTCGCCACTGCGGCCATTTCCACGGTATCAAGTCCAATTGATTCTAGTACCGACGACGTCGACGACGACATCGACGTGGATATGGTTGATTTTTTCGGCCTCCTATCCCTGCCCTCGTCTCGGCCACAACGTGACCGCCGCGCGGCCCCAAATCACCCACAGTATGTGGATAGCGGCACGATGAAGGTCGAGAGCAGCAGCCCGCCATTAGCAAGCAGCTCACCTAGAAGCTCCGCTGCTAGCTGCGTCCCGCGGGAGGGGTACGACGGCTCGGCCCCCTTGGAGGATGAGACTGTGCAACTCGCCTCGGCGTTCTTACGATCGACGCTGGTTTTTTGCCCGCTACAGTCAGCTACCGTCACCAAATCCATTTCGCGTCTGCTCGAGTTCTCAGGTACACGGCGTTATTTATCCGCCTGCTTCGGAAACGAAGCTCAGGAAGAAGCGGGGTTATACAGGCACAAGTAAAAGTCTCTTCTGCACCAAAGCCAGAAGCCGTTGCCGAGATGTCGTACTGGGTTTCAACATCGGTTGTCTCGTTCAAAGAGTCGAAGCCGGCGTCGTGGGAACCTTCGGTTGGGAAAATCCCTGCGCTATCCGTAGCAGGCTTTGGCACGAAGTCGACCTCGTGGCTGTCGTCGTTCTCACGAGCCTTGACACTCGAGTTACTTGCTGGTTCTTCTGCGACTTTGACAAGCTCCGGTGGCTTACTTTCTGCGGCGACAACCAGTGGCATTCTGGCGGTCCGCATGCCTCCCCTTCTCGCCCTCGTGGGAGGGGCGGGTATCGACGCCTGAAGCTGCTCGTCGATGAGGTGATTGAGTTCCTGGGAGTTTGCCATTGTTAGCGGGATATCCCAAAACATGAAGCAGCACATCGCGTTGGGATCAGTAGATTGCAGGCCTGAAGGGAGACCTTATTCGTCTCTTTTCCTCCAGCGCAGCTAGCGTCTTCCTTCCTTCCTCGACCATGCGCTGCGCCTCTACTTCCACCTGGCTGATCAAGTCGTCTGCCTCATCTTTAACGTCCTTGTCTCGTCCTCTAAGCTTCAACCCGCGCTCTACATCTTCGTTTTGGTCTCTCGCGGCGAGCTCCTCGTCTTCGAGCCTGCGCCTTCTCTCGCGCTCCTCATCTTCCTGTCTCTGCCGCTCGGCAATCTGGTCGCGCTCTGCTTTGCGCTTCTGGCCTAGTAGGTCTGATTCGGCCGAGAAGCCGACATGCAAAGCCTGAATGGCGCCATCACGGTCTTGCTCCAGCTGATCGAGCTTGGCGTTGTGGTGGGCCATATCCAGGGATACGACGGTGCTGTGGATCGTCGACAGCGTATCCTGCATCTGCGCCACGAGAAGCGAGACGTCCATTTTGGCGGCCATGGTCTCGGGTGTGGCCCGGCTTCTGTGGGCTGCGGGATTGGTGGAGCGGGGGACGGGGTGTGGTGGTCCTGCTAGCTAAAGAGGGCCGCCAACGGCAGGGACCCGCAGACACCGCGGGGTTCCGGACACGGGGACCCGGGAATTTGAGGTTTGGTCTCTGTAGAAACTCAATTGGAGGAGAAATTTCTTCAGGCTAGCGTGCACTGCAATCAATAGGAAGCGTTGTTAAGCTCGAGACTCGGGGCTTTAGCGGCGGCTCGAATGGTGGCTGCGAGAAGCGAAGAAAGGCAGAGAGCGGCGCGGAAGGTGCAGGCGAGAAGGGACCTGAGCAGGAAAGCAGGCGGGTAATAGCAGCCCATGGGCGCAAGACAAAATACTGCTTGGATTCCACATTTAACCCCAACCCTAGAACCGCCATTTGTGAGCACTGCACTGTAAATTGCCCCTCCTTGCACCCCGCAACACGAACTCAGACCTCAGATCGCGTATCTCGATGCGCGTCTTGGAATTCCACTGTCTCACACCATTAACTCCTTCCATCAACTCAACTCATCAGGCAGTTCAACACCCGTAACACCCGCCAGCGCTATGGCCTCACACCAGCGGTCCGCATCCGCTGCTACTACTGCCACTGCCACTGCTGCTGCCGGCAGAAGCAGAAGCAGCGCACGAGAGAAATCGTACTTTGAGCAGCAGCGCGAGGAACTGATTGGCGAGATTGCCTTGGTGCGTTTGTCTGTCCTGTCTGTCCTGTCTGTCCTGTCTGTCCTGTCTTGTATTGTCCGCTATTGAGTGTCTGGCAGACGGGGTTCGAGACCGGGAGCGGGAACTGGACTGGATTGGAATTAGAACTAGAACTAGGCTGATCCGCGTCGGTTTCGGTGTCGGTGTCGGTGCAGAGCTTCGAGCACGTCCTCGCCAACATCAACAAGCTAAACCGCTCGCTCGAGGCGGTTATTGCCGTATGTGATTTCCCCCCCTTTGGCTTTTCGTTTCCTTTTTTCATGAATTCTTCTTGTTTTACGGCGCTCCCTTTGCAGTTCCTTGAGCTGTAGGCGGTACTGACAAGGCCCGACTTTCTTACTGAGCAGGTGGGCAACGAGTTCTCATCCGTCGAGGCGCTGTGGTCGACTTTTGAGACGGTCATGGCCAAGGATCCCGAGGCGGGAGCGGAGGATGCGGCGGCGGCTGCAGGCGGCAAGCCGGACGAGACGGAGGGCGAGACGGAGGTCGACGGGGACCAGTCGAGAAACGACGAGAGCGCCGCTGAGCCGTAGCCAGCTCCCTAGCCCCTATGGTTCGCGGGGCTTATTAATAGCAAGGGAGTGTTCCCGCTGTTGAATTTTGGGTTTGGTTTTTTATTTTGTTGGCGGGATATGGATGTTCATAGATTTGCTCGGTTGCTAGCGATGGATGGTTATGAACAAATGATGGATGACAGATACCCACTTACAGAGAGCCTCACAGGAAAGGGGCCTGAAGTTATAGATTCATACAGGCTCTATGTTTACGTACATATATATCACCCAAAGCCGAAAAGGACAAGAGTTGGTGTTTGAACATGTTTATCTTATTGTGTGGCGGTCTAGGCATACTCCCGCGGCTGAACCTACTAGAGGGCAACCCGCAATACATGCTGACAAAAGAAGCATTCTTTATGGCGTATAAAGAGAAAAAGACCAGAAAATTGATCTAGCTCGCGGCTTTCCCACTCTCTCCTGTTGAAGGCAGGGGTGAAGGCCCACGATATTCTCAGCTTCCAACAATATTCACGCTTTGCAAAGTTCCAATTAGCAGAAAACAAGAAAACGAAACCAAAAGCAAAATAAGGAAAATATTCAGCATTTCCCGCTGGGGTATCACATCCCTTCTAAAACCCTATATCAAGTGTTCACGAAGAGAGGTTCATACTCCAACCCACAGAACACACACACACACATACATACACACACAAGACACATATACAAGGCATACAACTATGCCACCCTCCCACCCCTTCCACACCCCCCGCTTTTCGCCCCTGGCGTGTGCTCGTAGTATTGTATAGCCAACAGACCAGCCAGACGCTCCCAGGAGCACCGGATGTAGACAGGCAAGCCCAGCCGGCAAAGGGCGACAGAAAGCATGGCTAGGTATGTAGGCAAGGTAGTTATGTTCCGCTCTTCTCCCCGGCTGTTGTGTTCCCACCCCTCCCCAACTTCGTGATGAAGAGGTTTGTAAAAAATGACGAGAAAATAGAAACGGAGAGAGAGAATAAAAAAAGGAGAAATAAAAGAAGCAAAGAAAAAAATGTGGTCGTATCAAATCATGCAGTTGTTGTTAGTAGGTCATTATTCCTTTCCCCACCCCAGCCATCCCGTTCCGTTCCCATGCCGTTCCCCGTCTCGCCTCGCGAAGGAAGAGGTAGCGCATTGGGGAGTCTCCATTTTTTTGTCGGGATAGTCTCGCATGTCCCCTCGCCCCGCTTGCTTGCTTGAATTGCGTCGGCTTAGCCCGAAGCGTTGGGAGGCTCTCACAAGACGCCGCACTTTCTCTTCCTCTTCTTGACGATAATAGGAATACGCGCGCCGTTGGGGCCGTAGACGACGCCCGCGTTGCCGCTACCATTACCATTGCCGTTACCGCCAGCCTTTCCGTAGTTACTCTGGGAAGTACCGCCGCCGCTCCCGGCTAGTAGCTCGAGGTTTTTCCGGTCGTTGGCGACGACGGTTAGGATGGCCTGCTCGAAGATGTCCTCGACGCCCGTCATCTCCTTGCTGCTGCACTCCATGTAGGCGGCGCCCATCTTGTGCGCCACCGCCAGGCCCTGCTCTGCCGTCACGGGTGTCAAACCCTGAGTCTTGAGCATGTCGATGCACGTCTTCTTATACCGCAGGTCCGACTTGAGCCCGACCAGGATTAGCGGCGTGTACGGGCAAAAGTGCAGCACCTCGGGGAACCACTATTGTTTTTGGGAGAGAGGGTTAGCTTTCTTCTTCTTCTGCTTTTTGTTGGGTCCGAAAGGGAAAGGAAAAAACGTACCTTGTCGACGACGTTCTCGAGCGAGTTGGGGCAGTCAATGGCAAAGCACACAAAGATCAGATCTGTCTCGGGGTACGACAGCGGGCGCAGCCGGTCGTATTCTTCCTGACCGGCCGTGTCCCACAGGGCGAGCTCGACCGTCTTGCCTGTGGGCGAGTGCGTGGGGTACGTGATGTAGTTCTCGAACACGGTCGGGACGTATTTCTATACAGTGGCAAGAAAATTAGTCGAGGCGAATGATGATGCTGAGAGAGGACAAGGGGACGCGCCTCGGGGAAGTAGCCTTGGCTGTAGCTGATCAGCAGACACGTCTTGCCGCAGCCGCCGTCGCCGACGACGACTATCTTCTTGGAGTAGGCGGGGCCCTCGGTCATGGCGGTGGCCGAGGATTCCCTGCCGGTAGAGCCGCTCATCATGGTGCTCACTGTGCCTTCGCTCGACCTCTGCGTGCCGCGTGTGTTTCGTCGGTCGGAAGTCGGCCTCCGCTGCTGCTGCTGCTGCTGTTGCAAGCCGGCGTCATACTTTTCGTGCGTCGGCGCCGGCGAGTTATAGTACGAGCTGCGTTGCTGGTACGAAGCCATGGCAGGGTCCGTCGAGCCCTTTTAGGGGGTTTTTGAGTTTAGCTTCTGTTTTTTTTAGCGGCGGAGATAGTAGTAGTAGTAGTGTAGTGAAAAAAAGAGCAGTATGCCTAGTAAATAAGTATGCGCGCGAGCGAGCGCAAAGGCAAGCCGCAGGAACGAGCGAGAGAAGAGAAATTGACGACAAAGGTCAGGAGTCGACAACGAATAGACTGTCGAGGTAGACAATAGATAGGGGACTTTTTTGGTTCTCCCCAAATTCCCCGCCCGTCTTGCTTTAGTGCAGTCGCAGGCAAAATGTCTGGGTTCGAGTCAATTCCAGTTCCGCGTTGACGGGAGCAGGCGATGCAAGGAATGCAATTCGAGTCGAGGTGTCTTTTGTGTGTGTATGTGTGCGGGTGTGGTCTTTGCTGGCAGCCAACGGTTGCTCGAGGGTGCTTCCGCAAAGCTCAAGCAGGCAAATGTGGGCAGCCCGGCTGCTTGCTGATGCATGTAAACTGTCGGCTGGGCAACCATTCCTTTGTCCAGCTCCAGCGGCAATGACACAATGTGGGGGCCCTTTCTCGGCCCCCTCCGAGAAGCCTTGGCGGGCCACTGGGCACCTCACACTTTCTGGCCCGTGCACGCCAAACCGTTTACAGTACTTAAGTCGCCGCGCCAAATTCTTTTTTCTCCTGGCTGCAATTGCATTTTCCCCCCATCCAAACGCGTGCAACGCGTTGGGGCCATCTCCGACTCCCAGGCAAGCGTCTCTGCAAAGTTTGTTGGCTCTGCGATGTCTCGCGCAGTCACCATCAAAGGCTACAAACCGGCCTGACCACACCTGTCACCGGCATTGACTGCCTGATTTCTCTCAACAACAACCCCCAAAAAGGAAACCCGGAAATTTCTTCAACCCTTGCGAAACCTCTTTGACAACCCCGCAAAGAATTTCCCTTTCCGTTGTGTTTGTGTGCGCGCTAGCCCGCATCCACTGCTCATCTCTCTCCTGGCACATTCTCCAGTAGGAGAGAAGAAAGGCACTCGCTTGGCAAGCAAACATGGCCGACGACGGCCCTAACAAGTATATCACGCTGGTCTCGAGCGACGGCTTCGAGTTCGTCGTGCTCCGCGAAGCTGCCTGCGCAAGCCCAACCATTGCCGGCATGCTCCGGAACCAGATGGTCGAAGCCAAGACGGGCCGGTGCAGCTTTGCCGAAATCAGGTTTGTTGTCTCCTTTGCCTCTTTTATTTTCTTTCCGTCCCCCCCCTTCTCGGCCCTTGTTTGGTTGCGCACCTAGCTGGTGCTGGAACAGACAGGAAGGGGCAGCCTAAGCTGGGAGATGACACCGAGACTATGTTCTTCACAGACCAGACCCCTTCTTCTCCTTCACTGGCGGACAGAGGGGAGGCATGGACTGGATGAGATTTCCTCACCTACACTTGATCTGACAGCTCGCTTTTCGGGTTTTGCAAACAAGCAAAGCAAAAAGCATAACATCCAGCCGCCTCCATTCATTGGTCTTGGATAGGGCGGCTTATGCTAACAGTTACCTGTCCCCTCCCGACAGCTCTATCATTCTGGAAAAGGTTGCAGAGTACTTGAGCTACCGACTCAAGTACAAGGACAAGTTGGATGTTCCAGACTTGGACATTCCCGTCGAGTATTGCCTGGAGATGATTGTCGTGGCTGACTTTCTTGGCTTGGATGGTAAGCAACCCTCGATCCATGACAACCTGATATTTAGCCTTTGCTAACCCGTCTCCAGAACAAATGGCGTAATGTACTAGCAAAGGCCTTGGCTTGGTATTGGCGCTGCGGCGCTCAATGCAGTTACGAATGAATATTCACGACCTGAATCCGCAGGACAGGTGCAACAAGCCCCTACCTTTCGATCTTGTCGTGGTTCTCTTACCGAACCTACCGAACCTAAGCAAATCTACTTCAAGTGACTCCTCCCCAAGCACCATCTTAGCATATACGTCCAACCCCTTTCCTCTGTGGGTACGATGTCTAAAATAGATGGAAGAACAATGTTCCTTCACGATCTACGAGGCTCTTGTCTTTTACGGGGTCTTGCTTTATATGAATAGGATACATCTTGCCATATCAATACAATTTACACACCATCTTTTCTTGAACATGTTTTCTCTACTGTGGGTATACCGAATGCGGCAGTGTCACCGTGCAAAAAATAGAGTGACTGGATCTAGGCGTGCCATCCACGCTGCGTAGATTTCCCGGACAATACTAGACCTAGGTCTGTGCCTGAATGCTTGTATGCGCTGATGCAAACTACCATCTCCCCCCTCGTCCTCTTCCGCGTCCACGTCCGCGTCCACCAAAATCACCCCTCCCGCCTCTGCCGCCTCTCCCTCCTCTACCGCCCCGTCCTCCACCACCCCGGAACCCTCCTCTTCCCCCGCCGCCGTCGTGATGAGAAGGCGGCGGCCCCCTCTCCTTCCTCTCCCGCCTCTCCTCGTCCGTCGCGTCCCAGATGTTGGGCACGCCCAGCAGCACGCAGTAGGCCGCCGTCTGCGGGTTCGTGTACTCGTCGGGCTGCTGCTCCACGCTCAAGTTGGGTGGCGGGCCGCCAGGAACGTGCGGTGGCGCCGTCCACGCAAAGTTGGCCGGCACGTCCAGCTTGCCCGCCTCGACCACGTGCGCTCGCACCCACGCCTCCTCGGCCTCGATCAACGGCCGGTAGTGCGCCTCGCCGAGGTCCGCCGGCGTCGCCGCCCCGCGGTGGCCGACCGTCACCGACGCGGCGAATACCCGCGTGATGGCTAGCCACTCGGCGTCGTACTGCAGCGTGTAGCGCGACGGGTAGCTCGCAGCGGTGGTGGTGGTAGGTTGGTCGCTGGCGTTGGTGTTGGGGTTGGGGTTTCTAGGGGGATATTTCTCAGCGTCGGATGGGTTCAGGGGCGGGATCTCGCACAGCTGCAGGAAATGTCGGCCGGGCAGGCATTTGTCGAGCGCAAGGAAGCGCACTGTCGTGTTGGTGATGCCGGCGGGCACGGGCTGGCCCGGCACGGCTGATGTGTTCTTCTTCCGCAAAGACTCGAGCAGCTCTTTGTGGTATTTGTTTCCGAGTTCCGCCGTGTCTGTAGTCGGGGGAGCTGCTTGCTCTGTTTTGACCGCCGCAGGCTTTGGTTGTTTTTTAAGTTCCTCTGCTGTAGTGGCTGCGCCAGCATCGTCGTCGTCGTCGTCGTCGTCGAGGTCCAGGTCGATCTCGTCAGGGTTCGCCGCGGGCGGCAGGGCTTCGCTCAAAGCCGGTTGGTTTGCTTGAGCGTGGGTGCTCGGTCCTCCGGCTTTGGGATCGCGACCGTCGTCGTCGTCGTCGTCGAGGTCCAGGTTGATCTCATCGGGATTCGCTGCGGGTGGGAGGGCTTCGTTTAAAGCCGGTTGGTTTGCTTGAGCGTGGATGCTCGGTCCTCCGGCTCCGGCTTTGACGGACGTGTCTTCAGGCAATGCCGGAGGCTCGTACGTTTTGATGGCCGACCACTTGCAATGCAGATGCGCCGAGAACCAGTAGGGGGGCCTGAGCCGGTCCATGACATACTGGGCGGCCGGGTTCCCCAGGGTGCCGTCGCGAGACTCTTGCTCAAAGTCAGGCTTCATCTTGAACAGCCGTCTCTCGTTCCCGTGGTTCTCAATGGCGCGCGGCCAGTCGTGGCTGAGGCCGATGTCGACCTGGGTGCGCAGCTGCAGCAGCTTGCGCACGTCGATCTCGCGCACGTGGTAGAAGCTCCTGATGTCGTCGTTGCCAAAGGGCAGGCGCTCGTGGTGGGGCTTCCTGTACTCGAACTTCTTGTAGATGCCGCTCATGCCGGCGATGCGCAGCGGGCCCAGCCGCAGCACGTTGGCGGCACCCATGTAGTAGATTTTGGGCGCCACCCAGCCGCCATAGTACAGCTCCCATAGGTGCGATGCGGCCTCGTGGTTGCCGCCGACGAACAGGGTCAGGAACGGCGCTATCTTGGCGCCGCTGTAGTAGTCTGGGAAGTCGCCCAGCTCGCGGTATTTGGCCGGCACCGACATGACGGTCAGGTCGGCAGCATTGCGGACGGCCTTTGAGATGTTAACAACAACTCTGTATCTGTGTAATACTTTTGGTTGGATATATATGTGTACCTACCTGAAAATCGCCGCCAATGATGACAAGATCAACGCCGTCCCAGTTGCGCTCTTTGCAGGACCTCTCCACCGTCGCGTAGATTGCATCGAGTGTGCCATGTCCCTTGATGGTTAAAGTCAGTTAGGGTGTCTTCGTGGGCGAGAGCCCACAAGGTGCGAGTGCGTGGGGTGAGGTGAGGTGAGGAAGCAGCGAATAGAGAGTAATAGAAGAGACATACACAGCCTTGCACGGCGACGCGGACTCCCTGCGCCGTAAAGGTTTTTGTTGAAGCCATTCTCGCAGTCTTCACCACCTCAGATATTGGGGCGACTATGCCTGCTAGTGCAGTATTCCAGGAAGTCGAGAAAACGGCCTCATTCCTCGCTAGTGCAAGTGCAGGTTTGGGATAGCTTGTACGGTGATGAAAGGATTCAATTGGCTGTACTGCAGTGCAGTGAAAAGCAATCGGGAATTCCCCGCTGATCAGCCGCCAAAAATTTATTTGATGTGAACTTGGAACTCCCCTTGGTTTTTGCTTGGGCAGGAGCGAATGGGGTGCCTGGAAGTCACTGCCTCCACAGTGAATTAATTCCTTGAGTTCGCAGCACGCGGAGCATGCAAATCCGTGCCTGTCGACCGTCGTGCTTTCCTTGACCTAGCCTACGCCGCCTATGCTGTGTCCATGTGAGAAAATCCAGTTACAGGCGATTATCGCTCGAAGTTCTCCTCTTCTGCCAGCTGTCTTAGACCACTCTCCACCTATTCAATATTCACAATAGACCTTCTAGCCTTCATCAACAGCAGCTCCACAGCAGCGTCAGTGGTTTAGTGGTAAAATCCATCGTTGCCATCGATGGGCCCCGCGTTCGATTCGCGGCTGACGCATTTCTTTTTCTTTTTCTCTCTTTTTTGCCTTCCTCTTCTGGCCAACTCTTTGACCAGAATGTCTCCGAAAGCAGACAGTCCGGACAGCCTGACAGTTGTCGGTTTTTTTTTAGCGCTGGCTAACAAATACGTGAGGTGCTCCGCCACTCGCAACGCAGCAACCGAATAATAAGGGGCTCTTGAAGGAGCAAAACCCGAGTTAAGCTCGCCCAGAGATTCGTGCTGGAGGTGGCGTTCGGGCCAAGCCGGGGCTTAATTTCCAGCACGGTGAGAAAAGGGTATGCTGCCCGACAGCGACAGATGTGACCAAAAGAAAGAGAGCATAAAAGATGGAAGGGCCGCTGTATCCCGCTGAAACCATCAGGTCATTATCGCAAGCACAGTTGTGAAGATAACTCTAGCAAAGTCATGTTCAACTTCCACCTCAGCTACCAGTGGCTGCACTGGCGCCGTCCAGTCAGCCGCCCTCTGCCTCGTCTTCCCGACGGCGTGGAGCGCTTCTTCGTCCAGACAGCCGGCGGCGACGTCGAGGTGCTGTACGCAAAGCCTAAGGGGCCGGCGAAAACCAGCCACCCTCACCCTCACCCTCGCCCTCACCCCCTTTTCTTCGCCCACGGTGGCATGGGCGGCGCTTGGGTGTGGCTTGAGTATCTCGAATACTTCTCTGCCCGTGGCATTCCCTGCTATGCCGTCAGCCTGCGTGGCCATGGCAACAGCTGGTATCCTTCCTTCCTCCACATGGTTTACGGCACGACCAAACGCATGCTCGCCGACGACCTGGTGGCCGGCATCCGTTGGGCCCAGGAACGGGAAAGCGGGAACGAAGTCGTCCTAGTCGGCCATTCTAGCGGCGGAGGGCTCTCCCAGCTCATTCTCTCCGAGCAGGACGTCAAGGTGAAAGGCCTGGCGCTGGTCGCTGCCGTCCCCGGCTTCGGGTCGTATGTCTCTCTGCCCGTGGCCTTGCCTAGACACGACGAGTTCCAGTGCTGACTTGGACTCAATACAGCTTCCGAGTTTATGTGAACTGGTGGCTCCTGGATCCCTGGTTCACGCTCAGGATGGTCTTCCACGGGTGGCATCCAAACTCGCCTCTGTCACACCCGGCCCTGACAAAGAGGGCCTTCTTCAGCGAGCATGTAACGGATGATCTTGTGAAGAGGTTCCAGCAGCGCATCAACTCATACGAGAGCTTCCTCTGGCCCCTAGGAATGGGCTATTCTTTTGTCAACCCGCGCAAGATGCTCCCCCAGATTACCAGCAACACAGCCACTGGCCAGCGGATACTGATTCTCTGTGGCGGTGCCGACAAGCTTATGACCTTGCCAGTTATGACAAGACTGGCAGATATGTACCGCGCGGCCTTTTTCAATCTTTCTCGCCGAAGAAAGCTTGATGCGGTGGGTGACGAGATAAACTCCATCTCAGAGGAGGGACAGCAAGATACGACCGGACAGGGCGTGAGGCTGTGTGTTGTCCCTGGGGCAGGTCACCATCTGCAGAACGACGTACAATGGGAGGTAGGCGCTCAGAAGCTGCTCACTTTCTACGAGCAGCTATAGCCACTTCAGTTCTCAGTCTGCGCGGCGACGACAATGCCCCTGGCTTGAACACATAAGTATCTCGACTTTCTGTGGTGTTCTTTGTTAGCGAAAGATACGAAATTACTGTCATTTTCATGTACAACCAAATACCAGCTCAGCTATCTTTGCAGAAACCCCTTGTTATGCCAATATTGGAAAGGGGGCTAATTCACGTCGAGGGAAATAGTAACTAGGGGGCTGGCTTGTCATCAAATCTCTGTTTACAACAGATAACTCTCGTTCAATTCCAAATGGCATGGCAATTCCAACGTCAGGACTACCAGGGAGTAGTATGGCGATCTTTCCCAGCCCCAGGGCCCTGCGAATCAACCCTGCAGGAAGATGTTGAGCTGTCAAATGGCAACTGGCGGAAGGTGAGCATGAAAACGGACCGAAATATTTCAGACTCCCTGCCTCGCCGGATGGAGAGGGGATCCATATCCAGTGGCCTGGTCACGAACTTGGGTCGCCCAGGCACTGCGTGCGACGGCACCTGTCGTCGTGTCGTCTAAAGCCGACGCTGTCTCTGCAGACTGGCTGCATGGTCCTGCATCTCTCTCACCCTTGGCATCAGATACCACCTGCTGTTGCACTTGTTTGTCTCTCGGAAGCAGCCGAAGGAGTTCAAGCAGAGCAAAGTACGCTCGCAGTCGAAAACTTGCCAAGGCTATCTCCATGGCTTTCCAAACTCAGTCGGTTGAATACGAAAAAGTGAGGTGGTCCGGGACCAGAGTGCAACAGGTTTGGTGTTGATGACTGAAGATTCGAAACCGAGCTCAGTCACTATTGCTACGCTACCTTACGTACGCTCTGTTTTCCAAGACTCCTTCTCCTCATGGCCCGCAGAGTGTCTAGTTCTAGCGTCACTTCCAGCTCGTACAGTCGTGCTCAGAAGGGGATATCAACCTCGTACTCAGCGTCATTGCCCTGACACCTGCATGCCGGCTTCAGTACCGTCTCAAAGTCGCCACCGTCTCAATCGGTCACTGATTCATACACGAAAGGGCCCTACTCGTCAAGACTCGAAACGCCTAATGACTAAAGGGGAGGGAGTTTCAGGGCGCTGCTTTGGACTTATCTGGTCACAGAGATCCTGGCTTCGGGTCAAAGCCCGAGTGGTTTTCCACCACCTCGTCTCCCCTTTTGGCAGAGCAACTCGCTGTCACGCCTAGTTTGGGGGAGTATTCCCTACCACTATGGCCCCCTGAGAGGTCCGACCGACTGAACCGCGGAGACAGACCCTTGCTGTTCAAAACCCGCGGGCTGGGCTCTCATTTAATCGGCGTAGTGTAGTGCAGTGTAGTGCAGTGCAGTGCAGTCCGATATAGCAAAGCTGTCTATAATACTATGAGGCTGCAGGAACCAGCAGCAATAGCAGCAGCAGAAGCAGGCCCTCCTGCAACGAAACACTACCAGACACACAAGGGCAGCAGTGTTCGGGGTTCCTAAACCAGGACGTGCCGGACCTCGCTGCGGGAATACCCCCCTTGCTGCTGTTGCGACGCTGACCGCAGTTCCTTGGTGTACCCCCCCAAATCCCCCGGGTTGAGCCAAGCCAACACGCGGCTTGTTTGTCCAAGACGGGACGGGGCGGCCGACCGACCGACGGGACAACGGGCCCGACCCGACGGACTGGCCTGCCATTTGATTCCCCCATCCTGTGCTGTCCCACTCCGCGCGCGCGCCCCCTGGTTTTTCTCCGAAGGCGGGCGGGCGGGTTGTTGTGCCTGTCTGTCCCCACTGGTTTCTATCAGCTGGAAGAATCACCCAGGCGTATGTATGTGTTCGGATTCGGGATAGGAAAAAAAAAAGAAACGTATGAGGCTCTTGGCAATATGCAAATGCGTATTGTGCCCCGAGACTACCCGCCAACCCAAAATAGGCAGTGCTTTCTGAAAAAGGACACCAAAGGAGAAAAAAGAAAAGAAAGGAGGTCGCCGAAGCGGACGACAAGACGCAGATGCGCTCGCTACTACATATCACAATCCTCCTCCTCCCTCTTTCGTCGTTGATCACCCCACGTCGTTGCTTCTTCAACGTCACCTCCGCCTGCACGGAGCCGGATCTGGACCACAGCATACATACAACATACCTTACCTAACCTACGGGCCCTTGAACGGGCATATCCCGCAGCTTTAGGGGAAGATCTCGGGTTGCAGGGGTTCTTGCTGAACAAACAAACAATCAGGGGTCCAGCTTGACAGAAAGACGCACGCACATGCTGGTTCATGCACAACGCTAGGAGACGCACCCTGATTGTTTGCCTATCTGTCTGTTTTCCCTTTCTAAATTTTGTCTCGCTGCTTTTGTTCAACCGGCAGCCGGCGGCCGGGGACGAATCCCGTCTCTCTCTCTCGCACACCTTCGGAGGCTTTTCCCCTCGGCCTACCTACGGACAATTGCGCATCACATTACGAAGCAAGCATGCGCTGCTGCTTGCTGCTGCTGGGCCCAGCACGCCGGGGGTGGTTATTCTGCACTCCCCAACCACCACCATTGCCCCCCCTGTCCTCTGCTGCCTTATAGCAGACGCGATATAGCCTCAGTTGGGAAGTTTGGTGCCACTCGCTTAGTGGGGACAAGCAACCAAGCCCACCGGATTGGGAACACCTATTTTCCTTTGATGTGATCAGTGCTTTTTCTTTCTTTTTCCTCGGGTTACACGTGTCACAACCCTTCAGAACTTGATAGTTTGTGATGAGTGTTGAAAGGGGGGCGGCGGGCGGCTGCTGTGCCTGTCCCGGTTCCCCCGGATTTGGTGGATTTACAGTCGAAGCACATAGCAAGTCAGGTTAGCAGAGCCGATATAGAGTCAGTGAGTAGGCGGACATGTAAGGTACGAGTCCCTTGCCCCATTTGACAGCTCTATTGGCAAGGGATGTGTTGCTATAGGGGCCGCGACCCGGAACCGCATCTCGTGCGTTAGAGACTGGACAGGACAAGCTCGGAACGCCAGCCGAGAGAACGAACCCAGACCTTGCTGCGTCTCGCTTTGCGTGCAGCTGTCGTTGTTGTTATTGCTACTGCGTAGCAACAGCTGTTATTAGTCCCGTCAGTTGAGATTGAAACAGCGGCGTCGCGGAGGCCCTGGCGTTGCGAGGAATGGAGACCTCCAGGCAGCGCAGCAGAACTTACTTTCGCTTTGCAAATTTGAGATACGTTATGGCAGCCCTTAACGTGGTTAAAGAAGGTTGTCGCTGAAACTGATTCACAAGAGGGAGGACTTTCTTTGAAGGTCAACAGACCTGCTAGGTTCTACTGCAGTTCATTCAAAAGTCCAGCCTGGCGAAATGGGAGAAACTGCGAAGCCAGTGTTTTCCCAGCTGTGTGGAGCTCTTTTTTGTTGTCTATGTCAGCGGACAGAGGCCACGTCATGATGTAATGATTCACGGAGACTGTGCAGGTATGCTCCCCCGGGAATACTAAAGTAAACAAACAGGGCAAGGCAGTGAACGAGTTGTTCGCTGCCTGCTTGCGTTATCCTACACCACCACTGCCGCCGTGGACCAGCCAGCCCTTTGTCTCGATCTCGTGAACATTGCCTCGTGAACATTGCCTCGTCTCTCCCCAAGGTTAGGAGGTTATGTACCTGATCAACCTCAGTTAATATTTGGTCTTTGAGGCAGCAGCAGCCTAGGTTATGTTCTCGTTGCGTAGACTCTTTGGGAGGTTGCTTGTATCACCGGGCTTTAAAATTCTAGGGAGGTGGTGTATATACTACGCTGAGTTGTAGTTTCCGCTGCTGAACTGGAGTTGCCATCATCACTTCATGAGATGGGCAGCAAGGTTGGCTTTTGAGTCTGCCTTTCTACTTGGTTGTGTGTAGTATAATGGCTAGAGTCTAGCTATTACGAACATGTGGTAACTCAATGTTTCTTTAACCAACACGAGACAACTGCGTTATCCAAATTAACATTGGCGACTTTAAGACTTGACAATGTTTACGGACTTTGTATATTTCTTAACTGCTCACGATGAGATAGTTAGACTCTGAAAGACCAAGTGAGAGAACCCAACCAACTTAAGTTAAACAGTTACATGTCTTTGTTTCCTCTAATTTGGTTCAATTCCGTGGACGTAAGTTTGCTTCTCGAAAGGGTGACAAACTGTCAAACAAATATTTCCATTTCTCTTTTTAGTTGTCCATTTCTAACAAAGACTGTTCCCACGATGCCCATCATAGACCAGAGCCGGTTTAACCTACATTGTGTGTATGTACAACACAATTTCCATTCACGAGTTCCTAGCCCGTCGGTAGTTATGGCACAAGTTGGGAGAGATCTCTCCACACCAAAAACAGAGTTATATCTACATTGAAACAAAGGCTTCCTACCGGCAAGACTGGCGACACCAAGTCAACGGCAGAGCACAACCTAGCTGAAAGCAGTCCCGCCTCGTCGAACCTCTACGCACCAGTTTCCAAAATTGTTCGCCTGACTACACACACACTTGAGACGCGAAAGGGGGTGGCTACGAGTCCACACACACCAGACATGCCAGATCAACAAAAAACGACAATGCAGCGCCCCGTCAAAGGGGGCGATAGCATAGACAGACGGGTCACGGACGGCTCAGCCCTCGCTCCAGCACCAGCGAGCAGGTAGGCAGGTAGGCAGGAGGGTGGGCTGGTTGTGGCGAGACGTTGCCCTCCACTCCCCTTCCCCTTCGAAAAGGAACAGACAATCCGGAGCAGCAGAAGAGACTCGAAGAAAGAAATCTCCACCATGAACACACGCACCGGGATTTTGCATTAGACACACACACGCACACACGAGACGGGGGAACCTCCGTTACACGCCAACCAGCCAGCAAGCAGCAAGCAGCCAGCGAAAACACAGGACGAATGTCTCAGTTCTAGGTTGAAAGAAGGAAAAGTCTATACTCTCCACCGCTTTAGCTTGCGTGCCTGCGTGCCTGCGTGTCTGCGTGACTGGAGCGAGCGACCTGCAAGAGAAACCGTCTGAGCGCGCACCCGCCAGCCCGCCCGTCCTTGCACACACGTGAGCCTGCTAGTCTAGAGAAGGCTGGGGCTAGAACAATCGCAGCAAACTCCACGCGAGATCCGCCCTCGCGAGATCCGCCCACGCGGCAGCCCACCGTGGTTCCACGTGGCCGTGCCCTTTTCTAGAACGCTGCCACAGAGGCGGTAGCCGTGCTAGTCTTGCTAGTAGTAGTAGTTCCTGGTCTCGGTCTTGGTCTACGTGTGTAAGAGGTTTTGAACTAACTAGGGGTGGTGGTGGTGTTGTCGATCTTTTTCTCTCTCCGTCTTTCCTTCTCTCTGATGTGCGTGTCTGTGCTGGAGAGAGAGGGGAGAGAGACACAACACAGGGAAAGAAAAGACTATAGGCGCCAAGCCATGGGGACGACCCGCCGTCTGACAGTCGGTCTGTTCGCCGGCCTAGCGCCGCAGCGAGGCTCCACGTCGATGAAGAAGAAGCCGATGAAGCTATCTACATTGGACACTAGTGTGCTGGCTGGCTCGCTGTAGAAGCGGCTCGGCGCTGCTAGCTGGTTGCAGGTTAGCTACGTAGCTAGGTAGGGTAGGAGGCCAGCCGAGATGAGACCTGAAGAGAGACGAAGAAGAATCGAGAGAGGGCTGTCCGTGGTGTGATGAAACGCGCCGTCTATTGAAGATGCTGCAGGGCGCGAGTTTGAAGTCCTGCACCCACACTGACACACTGACACTGGCTCTTCTAGTCGATGATGTCGACGCACTGACATGCCGTGTTCTCGGCAGGCAGGCAGACTGGCAGAAAAAGAAAGACAAGACATTGGCCAACACCTGCAGCGAAGATCGCGCCCCCCCGGGGGCAATTGCGAGGTGCATTTTGAATGTCTTGCTGTTCGTCTTTTTTCTCTCTCCACGACTCTCTTATCTAGAATAGACTAGACTGCGACGAGATAGACTATCACGTTAAACGTCGCAAGATGCTCATCTACGTTTAATTGCCTATTACCCATTAGTTCTCTTCGAGGGGCTCGCGTATCTTAGACAGAGAAGATGGTGTTATTAGTGTATCGAGTTGTGGATTTTCCGGGTCTCTGCAGGAACACGGAACACTCGGGCGCACGGGCAGGCGGGCACACCAGGCACAATGTGTCGATATCCATGGATGTTTTGCAGCGGAGGTGCCTGGCAAGCTCCACATCTCCCTATTTTCTAAGGTACCCTGCCCCAGCTCTCAGCTCTCAGCTCTCAGCTCTCCCAGCACGAATGGCCGATCTCTTAGCAGCTTGCTGGAGGAACCCGGGGGGGGGGCAATGCAGCTCCAAACTCGCCCATCTGTCAGGTTGGGTATCGACGAGGACAGAGTGTCCGTACTGCACAGCAGAATAGATACCTAGGAGCAAGGCAAACCTGATTTTGAAACCGTCGGCCGGTCGGTGGCTAGCCCGGCGGTTCCACGGCTTTTCTTCTCTCGGTATTCTGTTGCTTCTAGTGCTTCTAGAAGCTCAGCCAAACAGGAAGGGATCGGCCAACAATGCACTTTGGTGGTGGTGGTGGTGGTGGTGTGGTGTGTGGTTCACTCATTCCCTTCCCCAGTTTCGTCCAAGCTCCAAAGGAAGCTGGACCAGTGGGGTTGATGATCTCCCCCCCTCTCTCTGTCTTCTCGTCGGTAAGGACGAGGCGGGAAATGGCACAGCTAGGTAAGGTTAAAACCCACAACCGGGGGGGGGGAGGGAAGGGGAAAGGCGAGAAGTGGTTGGTTGGAGACCTGAGACGGGGAAGGAAAAAGAACAAGACGCGGGAAAGCTAAAGCTTGCTAGCTAGCTAAGCCAGACTAGTACAAAACAGTAAGAACCCAACTTGAACCTTTCCCTCCCTCCACTTCGAAACTCGCCCTTGCCAAGCCATCTTTTCCCCAGCAAGCTAAAAGCTAAAATGCAACAGGCGCGGGTCATTTCGGCGCATCGATTCAGTAAGTACCAAGTATTCCTGTGCCCATGACGATACCTCCGTACTGTGTAGATTTTCCTCAATTGCCCAAGGCATGGCATTTCGTACCTCAGCTAGTAAAGAGCCTTGAAAACGCTCAAGAGGACGAGATCCACGCCAAATGACAAAATCGATGATGCTCTGTCAACCCATCCTCGCGGGAATCGCGTCATGACCTGTCATGTACACATTAGGGGCAGATGACGCAAACCAGCAAGTCAGTCTTTGGTACTGGCAAAAGCACATGCTGCAACTTCTCCGACCCCTAAAAATAGGACCGACTATTGGGGCGAAAACCAAAGAATAAAGAGTCCCAAGGACTCAGGAGACGGGTGATGGTCTGGTGCAGAAGATAAAAGAAGATAAATTAAATTAAAAAGAAATATATATTCCAGAATAAACTAGTAACGATTTAAAGAATAAATAAATAAACGAGAATGGAATGTAATGTAATATCATGCAATTGCTCCGAATAGCTGTTAGTTATCTTGCTCTCCTGGTTGGCTGGCATCCGGTCCACACACCCAGCACAGTTGTTGTTGACCATGATGCCTTGCAGCAAACATACGCACTCTGTCTGTACATACAGACATACAGACAGACATGGCATTCTCCCCTGATCCCAGTAACAACAACAGCAACTTGGCCAAGTAGTACGAAAGTACAATACCTGCCACGACGTTTCTAGCTTCGTCTAGTGGAGGAGGCAACAAGCAAGAACCAACTCACTGAGCTGTGCGTTACTTTACTGTGCGTACTGCTCTAATCCCACGTCTCCCGCAAAAGAAGCAGAAAGAAGGATGCATGAAATCATCACTACACTCACACTCACACTCACGCTCGTGCTCGTGCCCAGCTTACGACGAGCCGCAGGTTGCTTCTTATGACCCAGCTTGGTAAACCAGTCCAGTCCGTAGAACTGCTTTCACGGTTGGTTGCCCAAGGGAGCAACTGACCAGCACGAGGAAGTCATCATGTGGAATCCATCCCCAGAATGAGAGCCGCAAAGTCCGAGGTTGTATGTATATGTGTGTGTGCATACGAGAAAGATCGCGAAAAAGAGTCAATCCGGTTCGGTTCAGTCAGCCTTCGCCGCAATGTTTCAGCGACAGACAGACAGAAAAAGTAAGCGTATCCAGCAACTCGAATCGAACGGAATCCGTGTTTCGAGAAGAAATAAAATAGAAAATGACGCGGGGTAAGGAAGGCCCAAATCGCACACATCATATCACCAACAGAACGAGGTCATTCAGTGATCCGTCCGTCCCCAGTGTATATGTCATGTGTGCGAGGGAGCAAGTTAGTCATCCGCGCCGCCGCCCGCCGCGCCGCCCCCCTTATCTCTCGCTCCCAGAAAAAAAACAGGAAGCAAGGCCGGCCTTGTAGATACTCGGGGAGCCGAGCGGTGCCGCCACGGCCCTCGGGGCCGAAGCCCTCGATGGCTCGTGAATGGCTTCGATCCCCACCTAGAATAGCACAACCTACACCCCTCCATTCAGAGGCATGTGCTAGCTGGACTTCAAGGCTTCAGGGCCTCTTCAGGCCCTCCTCTTGGAGGAGAGGGGAGAGAAAGAGCGGTGGTCCAAAGCAGGGTTGTCCCCGGATCATGGCAATTCTGGTAGCGAAAGGACCAGGGATCGGCCATGTGCTGCGGGCAGGTGATTGCGTGAGAGATGGTGAAGAAGAGGGATGTGTGTGTGTGTGTGTGAGTGAGTGACCGCAGACCAAATCGCATGTCTTGCAAGGATGGGGGAAGCAGAAGCAGGAGATGGCGCCCTATCACCATCCGCGCTCGCACTTTTCCACGCGTGAAAGACTGAACAGCGCCGCCCCCAACCCAAACAGAAAGAGAGAAAAAAAGGTCGACCAAAGAAACTCAAGTTCGGGATCCGTAGGGCATTGATTGTACTGGTACACTTGGTGACAAGTACTGCTGCATGACCAGGTCTTTGATCCTGGCCAGAGAAACAAGAGGATGGAATATTTGGTGATTTCTTTTCGAGGGGAATTCTTTAAAAAAAAAAAAAAAAAAAAGCCCCGATGCAAAAAGCCAAAATGCGAATCCTTCCGGCATTACAAAAACGGACAAGATCGATTTTGGTTCCCCCGAGTGGTCCGAGAATCCCTTCCCTCCCCCCTCCATTCCATTCAATCAACGCCGTAGGGACTTGGCCAGCCAGGGCGGCCGTCCATGGGCCCCTGCTTGGCATTTTGGCAGAGAGAGAAAGCAAGGGAAGAAAAGAACAAGCTAAACCCGGTATTCTGGCGTGCGAGCGGCCGGAACGGCTTCCGGACACGTGCAGTCTGACTCTCTCATGCGGGGTGGACTAACACGGCGACCGGTCTGGCGTGGGCGAGCTAGGGCCGGACCATCCTTTCCACTCCCAGTTTAGAGCCCTTTGCTGTGGCTGGCTCTGCCCCTGTCCTGTTGTCCCCCCTTCCTCAAAAGCTTCTCATCGCCGACCGCCTTCACCGTTGCTGAGGGGAGAGGGGCAGCCGTCAAAACGACGGACGCAGCAAGTCTCGTCGTCTTCGTCCTTGGAGGGGCGGCATAGCATGCTACTTGTGTCGCCCGCTCTGCTTCCACTAAGTGCATAGTCTCTTCACCGGCTGCCAGCCTAGTTTAGTCTCCCAATGGTAGTGGTGGGTGCATGGTCCTTTCTCTCAGCCCAAAACGAGGCACAGCCGATAACGTTCAGAGCCAAAAACCGTCTAGCGGAAACCCGGGATTGGAGTCCGTCAATTAGTCTTGCTGATAAGTACGAAGTAGGTAGAGGACATACGTCTGGGCGTGCAGGAGCAGCACGGATGATGGCGACGCCTTTGGGCACACTGATATGCGCGTCTCAGCCCAGATTGCCCATCCCCTTTCCCAAAACATCAAGCTCAGAGGCCCCGCCTGTCGACAAGGTCTATCTGTCGGATCGAGGCGAGTTTCACGATCTAGAATCGCGAATGCAAGAGAGAACTGACAAGCGCTCCAACCCATGTCCTGGCTGGGCATGGGAAATGAGTTGCTCATGCAGTTGAGGTGGCTCTAGAAGACCGGACTTGCCCAGCCAAGCCCGCCAGCAGCAGATCAATCCATCCACCGATTCGAATCATCAAAAGTCGAGTTTCCCGTAATCCACACCCAACGTACGTATCAGGTTAAGACACAGCCACATGTGAGCTAGAGGCGTCGTAGAATGACCAATTGTCACGACATGGTGGATATTCCCACGTAAGTATCAACCACAAGCCTTTGTCTAGCAGACACTAAACCCTTCGAGAACCACTCAGGAAGATGACGGAGCCACCTTCTCCCCGGATTTCGGCGGCATTCCTCGCTGTCGGGTCGCGAAGCGCCCCCGACTACTAGCTAGGCCTTGACGACGCCTGACACGCCACTTCTGGAGCCTTGTTCGCTAGCTAGCTGGCCAGGCCAGGGACAATGAGCGGGCTTGCTTCCAAAACGCGTACCTGCCGCCGTAGCAGACGCGTCCTAGGCCTCGATGGCTGTCCGTGCTCCCCTGGCTGCGGAGTTGTCTGTGCCATGGCTTTGCAGGCCTGTTGCTCTTCGTATCCCGAAAGCTCACAACAATACGACGAGCTTCCATAAGGCTGGAGCCACAGCTGACGACATGAACCCTAGCGTCAACTCGGGGACGCCTGAACCAACACTCAAATTCCCTGTTTTGGGTACCGGAGAACCAAGTCTGTGCTTTGGTTGTTTTCAGCTCCATGGCCGATGCAAGTTCCGCACGGAGCTCTCCAGACTGGAGCCTCTTTGATAAGCAAGCACAATGAGCTTCTCAATGGAGATGAACTATGGGACCCGACTGGCCCGTGATTATGGCCTCCGGACGTTTCCTGGACCGAGACCGACAGGTCGCTGGAGCAAATACCTACCCGCGTCAAGAAGTTGCATGGCGGCCGTGGGAAGGAGTCGGCCTCCTTGTCTTATCTGCAATTGCACGGCCATCCGCAGCTTTTCCAGATCGCCAAGTCCGAGCATCACGGTTTCCGGGGAAGTAAGCTTGGTGAGAGTCCGTGGGTTTATGTTTCCGCGGCCCCATGCCCAAGCGGTCATGTCTTGGCTGAAGGATCGTATTTCAAGAGCTTCTCGCGGCTTGAACATTGCGCTTTCGAGAATCCCCCTTTCGATGCTCTATTTCAATTTGTTTCGCGTCTTCATTCTCCTGCTTTGTTTCGGCAAGGACGGCGACGGTAGCGGACCGCCGTCTGAGCGTGCAGTTGGCCCGACCCTTAGCGCGAAGCGGTATTCTTGAAGAGGATTTGAGATCCTCACTTGCCACGGACGTTGGCTTGTTGGCCAATCGAGGCAAGTGACGCTTGGTCGCCGAATGGTGAACAGGTTATTTGATAGCAAGCCTCTGTCAGAGAGAAGGAACAGCTGTCTCGCAGTAACCTGGAGAGTCTTGCCATCAAAGAGTTCCTGAACGTATGTGTGTTTGCGCTGCCAATGATGCATCTGATGATACGCCATGGCCGATGTTGGCATCCTTCTCCAACCTGGCTCGTGAAGGATCAGGAGCTGGCAATGCTTCGTCACGGGCCGTCTCTGGTCTTGTTGGTTTTCACTTTGGATCGTGCAGCTCGGATTCAAGTTATGTTCCCCGGCTCTGATATTGATCTCTCGAGATGATATCCCGAATGAAGGATCGACGTTTCTTCTGCTGTTCGTTGGTATTGTTGTCTAAGCCCAGACAGTTGCAGCATCAGACTGATCGAGCACCTGGTATCGTGAGGTTCTAGTACATACTCGAGAGGCAGGAAGCAACGGGGATAGTCTTTTTCGACTGTTCCGGAGATCCGCCTTCCATCTCTCATACTTCCTGAAGCGCTCAAAGTAGCACCGAGACGTACGAGACATACATCCAGAACTGTACATGGCGTAGACAAGTGCCGGGTGGCTCCTGCAATGCTGCATGGCCCGTTTACGGGGCATATGTTGTTGGAGACTATTAGCAGCCCTTGGCAGTCAGAAGTTGTTTACATGGCCAACCCTGTCACGGCGATATGCATAATGACTGCCAGATTCCGAAGTTTACCGATCGAATGTGATAAGAGGCAGGCCGCCTAATGTACGGATCTGTACATATCAATGTCATACAGCAAGCAGTGCGGAGTAACCGTGAAGGATTCATGGCGATAGCAGTCCGAGGGGCATCACCAACCACTCTTCATCTGCGTGTGTCCTGGTTGCTTCTGTGATGATGATGCCGCTGCTCCTGCTGCAGCGGTATCACCGTCCGTGACGAGACTGATTAGAAACGAGGTGCGGAATGATGGTGACATTGATGAGATTGAGACGCAGCGACCATCGTAGCGAAACAGAGCTCTTTGACGGCTTTTCCGCCTACCTGTCGGTAGGTGTGCTTCGCCAATACTGCAGAGTGTCGATATGGACATGACAAGTCCGTTCGCGGCGAACTGCTGCAGGGGAGGCGATGTTTTTCAGTATATTTCTCCTTGGCAGGTTGCACCGGCACCTAAACCTGCAACGCACAGCTTCGCCAAAGTCACCTGCTCCTGCACTATTCTCCGATAGGCTTGGTGGCAACGGAATAGGGTTATTTCTCTTTGAGAAGATGTTGAGAAAGGAAAGAGACGTTCCAAGCATGTAGGGACCCCCTTACTGGGAGAGTATTGGGGACGGGACGAGGGCGACTGCACTGCACAGAGCCGAGCAGTCGTGAGGGAGCTCGTCGAACCCCCCTTATGATCTCACGGCCCGTCCAAAAGCAGAAGGCGACAAGGGCTGCAGAGGTCCTTCAGTGGAACGAGGATGCGCGATATTGGCTGCCGAGGCCTTCCGGCAGCAAGGGCGACGAGGCGGTCGCGAAATACCAGATTGGGAAAAAGGCCCTCGGGAAAGGAAAGCCACAAGTTGCAACACAACTATAGAGAAGAGGGCAAACCGAAGTTCCTGATCTGCGAGGATTACCTGACTGCCAGTGTATGTACTGTACGGAGTAGTTCTAGGGCTTACGTAGCCCGCCCGTCCGCCCGCCCTTCTCCGGGGAACGGATCCGGAGGAGCGCCCAGTCACACCACATCTAAAAGTGGTCATATATTTATCGCCGCGTAGTTCGGTGCAAGTGTGATTCGCGATGCGCCTGGAAAGGGTCGAAGGGGGCTTGTTTCAATCCCCGTTCTCACTGGCTGGTTGGATCTTCGTTTGATTCCCCGAACGCAGGAAAGTTGTTGGGCCTTCCTTGGGACCGCACCGCCTTCCGGGCTGACCGCTTTATCGCCATGGAGGGGTAAAAAGAGAAGTGTGCGATAAGCCCGCGGACCACTCGCTCCTCCCACTATGTGTGTCCCACTATGTATGATTGTCACTACTCCGTGCTGCGTACGGATTCACCATCTCGGTTCTGGTGGGGTTAGGTGGGCATCGCATCTCTCGTCTCCATGTCCAAATCGAAACACGAATGCGGACCGCCTGATGATGAGAGCGACAGGCGTGATGTGATGGGCGAGAGCGCCAAATCCATACGCTTGGCCTGCCCTAGCCACGTCGGGCGAAGCCGAACACAACTGCTGGTCATCTCCGCCGCGGAATGCGCATCATAACGGGGTTTTTGTTGGCCGGTTCTTCGGTAGCCGGAATGGTTTATGCGTCCCTTCTCAGACATTTACCAGGTTCCAGTCTGCCGAGTCGACCTTTTGTTTCTTTGCTAGTCCCGTCTCTGCTGACTCTGGTTTTACTCAACGCAATGGCATTGCCGTCCAGCGACGATCTGTCGAGTCGCGACGCACGCCACCAGGCTCGAAGGCTCGTCCAACTCGGTTTTGCTCCAGGGCTGGCTGGCATCAAAGCCGCTAGGCCGAATATGAAGCTCGCCTACAAGCAAAGCTCGAGATCAAGTGTGGTGGGGGTGTTACGTACTCGGGCGAGTCCTGCCCGACAGGTGGGGGGGGAGGGGGAGGGCTAGGCCAAGATGAAGACGGCGAGATTGTGACTATCGTGAGATGCCACAGCGTCACCCTCAAGGATTTCCCGCAGCTGCTGTTGGGACCGTCCTGTCAAGTAAGTATTGCGCAATATGTGACTGCTGCGCGCAGCACTTCAATTTAATAAAGTCTGCCGGGAAAGGGCAATCTAGACGCTAGCCAAGCTAGTTGGAAGTCTACTACTTGTAGTGGAGCCGGGACGGTTCCTGCCTGTTTAACGCTTCACTGTGATAAACTTTCCCTGAAGAACTTTAGTTAGTACTAGGGAAGGCTCGCTTACAAAACTGTCGCTATTCGGAGTCTTTTCGCAGGGCAGGAGCATTGCAATCGCCAGGGTGTCGGTGATCAGCCATGCAGGAGCCCACTTCTTTGCCTCGACTGGGGAAAGGGGCATGCTGACGGGACCTGGGCAGTTGCTGCTGTATGTCAAGAGGTTGTTCAGGGCAGGTTCGGTATACGTAGTACGTAGCTGCCGTGATGGTGCAATCACGCGGTTTTCTGGGTTACATGAACCAGAAAACCCTAGACACTACTATAAGGCAATGGATTCTTGATGCGATGTGCTGAGTCTTCTTGTGTCACAGTTATTGTGATACCCTTCCGGATTATTGCTAACGCGCTTCTTTTGTCGCTCGCTTGTATCACCGGTCAGGGCCAAGAATGACCGCCCGGGGCCGGAACGGCCACTATAGATCATACTGAGCGTGCTATAATGCTGTCAACCCTAGCGTCTGCCCAGAGGGTTGGATTGGTGATTGCAACGGTGGAGGGCCTGTCACCACGGCGTTAGGGCGCTACACTGGCATCGCTTTAGGTGGTAACAAAAGCGATAAGATGGGCACCTATACTATGGAACACCTGACACTCTTGTGAGAGATATGCACCTCAGATAACTGTGATAGCAGTGCACCATGTCCCATAAATAGTAGAGGCCTTGGTCAAGAACTCAAGGTTCCTTCTCGCAGGCTCTACTTTTGCGCTCCAGCGAGGGCCAAGTGTAACTGTCGTCGTCACAACTGTCGTCGTCACAACTGTTGTTATTAGTGATAAAGATCTACAGCCACGGGGCTAGATGCGGCTTTGGATTCCGCTGTTTTCTTGGAAACGCCGGAGAAACACCGTGCCACTCGCAGGGCACCAAACCAGGGCCGGTTCCTCCCAGACTGTGCCGGCGGCCGGCGTTGATGAATAAACCACCGCCCAGGGTGTCCAAGACGGCGAGATTAAGCGCCCCCAAGCCTGCTCAGGTCGAAGCCGCACTATATACATCCTATCTGGTAGCTGGGGCTGTCCGAGGTGTGAATCAGACCCTTTGCATGGGAGGCGAGACCTCTTTCGATATGCCCTCCCCGCTCCCGGCTGTCTTCGTCATCCCATCCTTGGCACCGATTCTCGTCAGGGCCGGGGTAAGCGGAGGAAGAAAAAACAAATCCGGCCAAGTGTGCCTGTATCACATCGGGTGTGCTTATTCTGAAACCCGGCATCAGCACCCCAGTAATAACCTTGTCAACGCGCCGCGCCGTTTCCTCAACTCCGGGACGGCGGCGGGGGTCATTACTGTCGGGGACTGGGGTTGGATCTGGCGTTAGTGAAAGCTAGCCGCTTCTTGACAGGCCCGTCGCGAACGGAATCCTTCCGAGTCATCGCTTAAATGACAAGGCGGTAATGTTTCGGCGAGGGCGTCTCTTGATAGGACGGTTTACCGTCATTCGTATTCCGTACCGGCCTACACCGTAGATTTAAGGAAGGCGGCTTGCCGGGGCTGAGATTCGCGTGTCTCTCGAATGATAAGACGACAACCTGGAGAGTACAGGAGCTGTTCACTGTCAACGAGAACTCCAAACTTAGAATGGCTGTTTGCTGGAAGCTCGTCGATGTCCTTGCCAGAAAGCATACTTTCTAGGTATGTTTCGCTATGAGACTTTGATGTCAGCAGCGACCCCTGTAGATCACTTTCACGCATTTCATATCGCCTGAGCTTGGAGTGGTGATGTTCATCTGGGGTTGTCGATACAATACACGGTATTAGCAAGGGAGCCCTTCCTCGGACCCGGAAATATTGGCTGGGCCTGCCAAACAATTGACAAATGAGAAGTGGCGTGAGTGTTTGCCTGCCGGAGACTCAGCTGGCGGGAGCGGCGAGGCCAGTCCACTCACGGAAGAGAAACCACCGTGCGCCTGCGCGTCAGTTTCAGGAGGATATTAGCACCTACCCTTGGGCTGTCCAGGGCTATGGGCTAGCCGACTGCCGCCGTTGTGCCGGATCGACAAGCTTTTATTAGAATTGGTCCCAGGGCCACAGTTGCCAATGTCCTGGTTGAAGGCGGCCGGCAAATTTCGACAAGCGAGCGCCGCCATTGACGACGCGACTCTTGGCCTGCAGTTGCCCTTCAACCGCGGAAGTTATCAACGAATTTGAAGCGGAGAGCACAGCGACGCAGAATCAAGGCGCAGATTGGACAGTGGCGTTGTGGGTCAGGCTGTTCTGTACCTGCATACCCGTCAGCTTGCAGGCTGCTGGATGCAGGGTGGCCTGAAAGTTGTGACTGGATGAGCTGTGCTGTTAAAGAAAGCAAGAAGGGCCACCGCCAATCAAGCGCGTCGCGGGCAATTGGGTAAAGGCGCGACTGGAAGTCGAAATCTCGTTATGTAAAACTGATGCGATCTCTCAGCCCTAGAAGACAAGCGCAGGAGATAATCTCCAGGCTCTGCGGAGTGCTCCGACATCCGTAGCCGTGCTCCGAAAGTTTCGTTGTGATGTTGAGAGGAAAGATAGCTCGGGTGGGGGCCTGTGGGAATTTGGGGTCAGCTGTTGAATACAACCCGTACTCCACTTGTATCCGTACCTGACCTACAGCGCTCGGCAACTTACATTTACGTACTGTATGTATTTTGTATGTATCCGGAGCGCGGAGATTATATAAAACGTCAATATGATTGATTATAAATTTCCCTTGCGTATGAGGCAAGCTGCTTCCTTCAATTCGTTTCGAAGCCCATTGTGTTGGTGAATAAATTTCAATGGACACCTAATCTTGAAAATTGTTCACGTCAGGTGAGCGAAAACGCATCGCGGTATTTTGTTGCCCAGTCGATCGGGTGCGAACTGCTGGTCTGTGTGCAGTGTGCAGTCCGTGTACATACAGACACAAGGTGACATTACATATAGACCATGGCATCTGCACGTTTAGCTTAAAGCAAGACCGACCTCTTGTCAGATAGCCCAGAGAAGCAATCCGCAGTCAGTTTCCTCGTCAGCAAAAAACATACCTCAACAATTCTTGATCGACTACTGCGTCAAGCGGCGCAGTAACATTGGCGCCAGAGTGAATTCTGTAAAGGCCACGCGACGACACAAACTGAGATGCACTCACCCAAAATCCCGTATTGTCGATGATGGGGCGTAGTTGTCTGAAACACGAAGCAAGCCCATTTGGGCCGCATTGGGGTTGCGAAACGACGCTGCCATGTAGGCGGAGAATTGCAGGAGGGTGCGGGTGAGGCGCTGAATTGACTTTCGTGTGAGCTCAGACGCTGAGATGCAGACTCTCCGACAATAACGAGCAAATCATCTCAGTCGTCATCAAGAGCCGTGGGTGCGTCGATCCGTAAAAGGTGGGGTGTTTCGACCCCGTTTCAGATCAAGTGATGTAAGCCACGCCCTGCGATTGGCTGGCCGGCACGGCTGAATGTCGCCAGACCAGAACACTAGTTTTCTTCCACGTGCAGCCACGTTTTATCCCTGCAGGATCGTCGTTGTGGTGCCCGAGTGTACGCCCAGACGCAGCCGTTTTGATCATTGAGTTGGGACCAAGATGCATCTCGATTGTTCCCAACCGACTTTGTGCCACGCCTTCCTAAGAGCGCCGGGTCCCTTTACGAGATACCGTGACGTTGGATGGAGACAACTAGACAGATGGAAGTCGTCTCGAAACGTGCATTATCGGCAGAGAGACGCTGCTGGGGATTCTTGTTGCAGTTGGGGGCCAATAGCGCGAGCCCTTGAATGGAAGGTTGTTATTTGAAGAATTGGACCCTTGGCAAATGAATCTTTTTGTCGTACTGACGGACAATGTCCACCTGTCCACCTCCCAACACTCCTTCAGAGTGGAGTGAGGTGCCGTTTTTTGTTCCCATGATGAGTAAGTCTAGGTTTCGCTCTAGTTTGGGCCACAAATAGGCCGGCCTTAAGTGCGAGTGAGTAAGTGCATGTCCGCATTCCCTAGCCCGCAGTCTTTTACGTATACAGCATGCAAGTTCCCCGCACGGATTGACAGATATCAGCGCTGTCACATCTTCAGATAGAAGGAGAGAGAAAGAGGCGGGAGATTGCGTGACTGCTCGGCCGCTCTTACAAACTCTGCGATGCACGACACCCTCGCGGCTGCAAGTGATGCACCAAGGAACGCCTGCACGAGGAGGTCTTACTTTCGTCGACGATGAACCTAACCTTAGTACGATACAACCAGACTCTAGACTCCAAACCCCGACTTGATCGGCCTGTGCGGCGGTGTAGTCGGTTCCGCAGTGCAGCAGTTCTCCACCGGCGAGCCGTCTTCTTGTTCGCATGATGCTGAGGTATGCTCGTGGCTGGCCAGGTGGTGCTGCTCTGTTCGTCACGAACTATGTGGAGTTGGAGGCAATGGAGACGGCTGCGAAGGGGGGCCTCGAAGCAAGGAAGCGCAAACAATCCAGCTCTGGTGCGTCAGTGCTCTGCAGGACCTGGGCTCTGCTCATGCAGTCTGACGAACTGCTGGCCCGAGATGCGACGAACTGCAGCAAGATGACTGCAAGATGTTGCCTCTGGCTCGCCCATGTTGGTCGATATGCAAACCAGAAAAAACTGTCTTGTCAGGACGTTGCAGCGGTGGCTTGATCTGGCCTTTTTTAGGGAACCTCGTGCTTCATGCTGCAGTCAAGGCGGTCTGGGGTTGCGGAGTCGTGTTGGGAAATAGCAACAGAGTTGTCTAGATGTTGACGAGAACCAAACTCGAGCCGCACAAGGTTCGCTGCCACTGGGCAAAACCTCTTGCGAGCGCGAGTGGTTTCGAAATGTGGGGGAGGGGCAGGCAGCGCGGTCGGACGGAGCCACAACGGGGGGTGAGCCAGCCACAGCTTCGGTAGTTATCAAATCCACGGGGAGGCACCCTCACTCTTCACACTGCGCAATGAGAAATGCTGCAGTCATTTGGCAAATCAGCAGCAGGACGCAGTCTGCCACCGGGGAAGCAGGCATAGGTATTTGAAGATAGGCCATGAATCGGCAGAACTTGAGGGGTTTTCTTTAGTCTTTACTTCTTTTCCTTGCCTCTTGCCACGCAACCTGCGTGGCTGCTGCTTGCCAGCTCCAGTGAGATGATGGCCTGCTCCTGCCGCCTGCAAAGCCACCCGCACGGGCCTCAGGACCCTTCAGTTTGCGGGGGAGCTGGGTGCAACTTGCGGTCGGAGTTGCAGTGCGGGAGACATTGCTTTTTCCGCTCTCGCTAAGGTTGACGTCGACTCGGCTGCAGCAATCTCCCGTCGCCATCTTAGGATCGGCCCAGCTAAGAAACCCTGGCGTCCAAAGGCCAGGCCTGGTGTTTAAATCGACCCTAATAAACCTTGCCAGTCGTCCATTTTCCAACGTTTTCAATGCCCCGCCAGCCGATTGGTGAATTTTCATTTCGTCCCTTCTTGAGTTTCCGTCTATGCGGCAAGGACCGAGCAAAATGCATCGGAGTCGTTTCTTTCCAGCCTTGCCCCTCCTCCTTTTATCTTGGCCCTGTCGCGCTATCACACCTTACACCGCTAGATTTTATTGAACAGATTAAGGGTAAGAATTCGGGATACCTTAGGCTGGTCTGAAGAGGTAGATGGGTAAGAAGCAGAGCACCGTCAACTATCTTACCTCCTTAAGTAAGGTACCTACCATACGGGCTGAACGTTCCAGCTGCCTGGAGATCTATGTTGGGATTTCAGTTCCCGATATAGCAAATTCGGCATGTCTGTTAAGGACTGGGAGTATAGAGAGTCCCCGTGCGAGGACATCTCCTGCGTCTCCCGGTCGTGGCAGTTGAACTTGGTAAGAGATTATGAATCGACCGGTTTGCGGACAAAAGGGCTGGCACTATGTCCAGCATCCAGGCCACTGGTGCTCGGTCGAGATGGATGGCAAGCGCGATGGCAGGTGCCAGGCGCAAGCCATGCTATGCCCTGAGCTCCACGCTGTTCCATGCAACCACTTTACCTTTGCTACCCCACTCCATTCAAGACGTTGACCCGACCATCTTTTTCCGCACAGGAGGAGCACGAGGGGTAGGTAGGCGGAGCCGTGTCATCATGGATGCTCACGACGACCCCAGTACCGCTTCTGGCACTTGTGTCTTCCCAATCAGGGAATGGGGCAGTCGCGCAAGCCATGCAGTCGTTCAAAGGTTCTGAAGCACGACAGAGACCCCTGCATTGACGCTGCCGCGCTGGCTCGCTATTTTCCGGTGCCTTGCTCGGCAGAAGTGGACTGGCCGTAGGCTGCAAGCACGTTGAAGAACTAAGGTATGGAAGGCAATAGTGGCCTGTCTCACCCCGAGTCGTGGAGACGTGACGCAGGTGCTTTCGGCGGCCCGTTGAGGAAGTCGCCATCATCCGATGCCAGCTCACCGGTCGCGGCCCCGCTTGGTCTAGAACTGGATTGCAGTATCCGCAGGTTGCTAGTCAGTTCGCTATCGCTATCTCGACGGAGCGGGTTTCCACTACTCAGGATTTCTATGCCGTCCATATCTCTCCACTACTGTACGTAGTAGCTAGGTAAGGTATGAATCGTCCATCGACCGACCTGGTCCGTCTCCCGGCGGCGGCCGTCCGCCTACAGAGTACGGGGCCAGAAATCCACGCCTATCCATGTCGTCTAGGAAGCCCCGTCCTCAGGGACCCTGTCCACCCCGCCGTCGTTCAAGACGGCACGGCATCTTGTCGAGCGAGAGTGCTCTGATTGGCCGGCCCAACTGGGCAGCCTATCGGCGGCCACGGCAGCACACCACCATCTTTTGCGCACAGACACTTGCCATCCGGATCACGTCCATGCTTGATATCTCTGCGACGGCAGGCTTCTTTTACCCAGACGCGGATCACCACTGATCATGGAAACACGGAAGCCGCGCCTGCGTAGACACTGGAGACTGCGCCGGTAAAGCGCAGAAGCTGGGAACCCGGCAAAAGGACGACACAAACGACCCAACCCAACTTAGGTTGTCTTATTTTGCCGCCTAGGCGCCGCCAGCCGCAGCGCTCGCTCGCTCGCTCGCTCCCGTTGCCGCGCTCAACGGCTTCTGTCGTGCGAGTTTGGGGCGTGGGCATGATGCGTCCTCGGCCCGGCGCGGCCACCATGTCATGGCAAGGTGCAAGCAATCCCAGCACACCGACAAACAACTAGTCTGGCCGCCGGCGAGTTCGAATCGACGTGCGGAGTCACCGCAGCTTGCAAAAGCGTCGGGGTGAAAAATTTTTGCAGGGAGAAAAGGGAAAA